TGGCTCTTCAACAGGATCTGGCTCTAGCGGATCTCTCACAAGCTCAGCACCAAGTGGATCTTCTACTGGATCTGGAACTAGCGGTTCTTCGACAGGACCAAGTGGCTCTGCTACAGGATCTGGTTCGAGTGGCTCCTCTACAGGATCTGGCTCTAGCGGATCTCTAACAAGTTCAGCACCAAGTGGATCTTCTACAGGATCTGGTTCCAGCGGTCCTTCAACAAGCTCAGCACCAAGTGGATCTTCTACAGGATCTGGCTCTAGCGGCTCTAGCGATTCTTTAACAAGCTCAGCACCAAGTGGCTCTTCTACAGGATCTGGCACTAGCGGATCTTCGACAGGACCAAGTGGCTCTGCTACAGGATCTGGTTCAGGTGGCTCTTCTGCGGCCTCAGGCTCGAGCGGTTCTTCAACTAGCTCAGGTTCAAGTGGCTCTTCTACGGCCTCAGGCTCGAGCGGTTCTTCAACTAGCTCAGGTTCAAGTGGCTCTTCTACGGCCTCAGGCTCGAGCGGTTCTTCAACTAGCTCAGGTTCAAGTGGCTCTTTAACGAGCTCAGCTTCCAGTAGTTCTGCTACGAGTTCTGGGTCCAGCGGCTCTTCTACTATCAGCTCCTGTAATCCACCAAGCTCTCCGTCCTCGAACGGTTTTATGGCCAGGTTCTACCCATATAGCCTTGGCACGATTTTAGATCCGTTGTCATACCTCATGTGCGACTACAGAAGTACTACACTTCTTTACACTTCTACAGGCAATACGAATCCGTCCTTTACTTTCAACCCGGGCCTATCACTTCAGGTAGACCTTTTGGGCTTTCCTTTGACTACCAACTTTTTTACGCTGGAGCTAACTGGTTACTTTGTTCCACCAACCACCGGCAGCTACACGTTCAATGTCGGAAATCTCGGGGATAGCGCACTATTTATGTTTGGTTCACCTTCCGCTTTCCAATGCTGTCAATCCACTTCCTCCAGCTGCTCCACAAGCGGTGTTGCAATCAATGCCATGAGCCCGCTGAGCTCACTGCTGGGCCCACGAACATACACCGTGCAACTAACCCAGGGTGCTAAATACCCCATCAGGCTAACATTTGGCAGCGTGGGCATTGTTGGCTCTCTTTCCTTGACTTTCACAGATCCATCAGGTGTGACGCATACGTCCTTCAGTGGGTATGTCAGCAACTACGCGGATGGCCAAAGTTCTTGCCCATACCAGACCTCTTCAACTTCAGGCACAAGTGGCTCTTCTACAGGATCTGGTTCCAGCGGTCCTTCAACAAGCTCAGCACCAAGTGGCTCTTCTACAGGATCTGGCTCTAGCGGATCTCTCACAAGCTCAGCACCAAGTGGATCTTCCACTGGATCTGGTTCCAGCGGTCCTTCAACAAGCTCAGCACCAAGTGGCTCTTCTACAGGATCTGGCTCTAGCGGCTCTAGCGATTCTTTAACAAGCTCAGCACCAAGTGGCTCTTCTACAGGATCTGGCACTAGCGGATCTTCGACAGGACCAAGTGGCTCTGCTACAGGATCTGGTTCGAGTGGCTCCTCTACAGGATCTGGCTCTAGCGGATCTCTAACAAGTTCAGCACCAAGTGGATCTTCTACAGGATCTGGTTCCAGCGGTCCTTCAACAAGCTCAGCACCAAGTGGCTCTTCTACAGGATCTGGCTCTAGCGGATCTTCTGAAGCTTCAGCACCAAGTGGATCTTCTACTGGATCTGGTTCTAGCGGTTCTTCAACAAGCTCAGCACCAAGTGGCTCTTCTACAGGATCTGGCTCTAGCGGATCTTCTGAAACTTCAGGGTCAAGTGGATCTTCTACTGGATCTGGCACTAGCGGTTCTTCAACAAGCTCAGCACCAAGTGGCTCTTCTACAGGATCTGGCTCTAGCGGATCTTCGGAAACTTCAGGGTCAAGTGTCTCTGCTACAGGATCTGGCTCTAGCGGATCTCTAACAAGCTCAGCACCAAGTGGATCTTCAACAGGATCTGGCTCTAGCGGATCTCTCACAAGCTCAGCACCAAGTGCATCTTCTACTGGATCTGGTTCAAGTGGCTCTTCGACAGGACCAAGTGGCCCTGCTACAGGATCTGGTTCGAGTGGCTCCTCTACAGGATCTGGCTCTAGCGGATCTCTAACAAGCTCAGCACCAAGTGGATCCTCCACCGGATCTGGTTCCAGCGGTTCTTCAACAAGCTCAGCACCAAGTGGCTCTTCTACAGGATCTGGCTCTAGCGGATCTCTAACAATCTCAGCACCAAGTGGATCCTCCACCGGATCTGGTTCCAGCGGTTCTTCAACAAGCTCAGCACCAAGTGGCTCTTCTACAGGATCTGGTTCCAGCGGATCGTCTACAGGACCAAGTGGCTCTGCTACAGGATCTGGCACTAGCGGTTCTTTAACAAGCTCAGCACTAAGTGCATCTTCTACTGGATCTGGTTCAAGTGGCTCTTCGACAGTACCAAGTGGCTCCTCTACAGGACCTAGCGGATCTTCGGCAACTTCAGGTTCAAGTGGCTCTGCTACAGGATCTGGTTCGAGTGTATCGTCTACAGGACCAAATGGCTCTGCTACAGGATCTGCTTCGAGCGGCTCTTTAACAAGCTCAGCACCAAGTGGATCTTCTACAGGATCTGGATCTAGCGGATCTTCGGCAATTTCAGCACCAAGTGGATCTTCTACTGGATCTGGTGCGAGCGGCTCTTTAACAAGCTTAGTACTAAGTGGCTCCTCTACAAGATCTGGCACTAGAGGATCTTCGACAGTACCAAGTGGCTCCTCTACAGGATCTGGCTCTAGCGGATCTCTAACAAGCTCAGCACCAAGTAGATCTTCCACTGGATCTGGTTCCAGCGGTCCTTCAATAAGCTCAGCACCAAGTGACTCTTCAACAGGATCTGGCTCTAGCGGCTCTTTAACAAGCTCAGCGCCAAGTGGATCTTCTACAGGATCTGGTTCGAGTGGCCCTGCTACAGGATCTGGTTCGAGTGGCCCTGCCACAGGATCTGGTTCGAGTGGCTCTTCGACAGGACCAAGTGGCTCTACTACAGGATCTGGCTCTAGCGGATCTTCGGCAACTTCAGGTTCAAGTGGCTTTGCTACAGGATCTGGTTCAGGTGGCTCTTCAACAAGCGCAGCACCAAGTGGGTCTTCTACAGGATCTGGCACTAGCGGATCTTCGACAGGACCAAGTGGCTCTTCTACAGGATCTGGCACTGGCGGATCTTCGACAGGACCAAATGGCTCTACTACGGGATCTTTTTCAGGTGGCTCTGCTACAGGAACCGGCTCTAACGGATCTTCTACAGGATCTGGTACTAGCGGCTCTTCAACAAGCTCAGCACCAAGTGGCTCTTCAACAGGATCTGGCTCTAGCGGCTCTTTAACAAGCTCAGTACTAAGTGGCTCCTCTACAGGATCTGGCTCTAGCGGATCTTCGGCACCTTCAGGTTCAAGTGGCTCTGCTACAGGATCTGGTTCAGGTGGCTCTTCAACAAGCGCAGCACCAAATGGCTCTTCTACAGGATCTGGCACTAGCGGATCTTCGACAGGACCAAATGGCTCTACTACGGGATCTTTTTCAGGTGGCTCTGCTACAGGAACCGGCTCTAACGGATCTTCTACAGGATCTGGTACTAGCGGCTCTTCAACAAGCGCAGCACCAAGTGGGTCTTCGACAGGATCTGGCTCTAGCGGTAGTTTCACAGGAACTGGCTCTATAGGTTCTTTATCAGGCTCAGGTCCAAGTGGCTCTGCTACGGTGTCCGGTTCGAGTGGCTCTTTTACAAGCTCAGCACCAAGTGGCTCTTCCACAGGAACTGGTTTCGGCAATTCTGCTGCAAGCTCAGGCTCGAGCAGTTCTATTTCGGGCTCATCTGGATTTAGCGGCTCTTCGACTTTGAGCTCTTCAGCATCTTTTGGTCTAAGCTCTAATGGCTTTAACACAAGGTCGAGTTCGGACGCCAGCTCCCCTCCGTCATCAATCGTACCATTAGGATCGGCTGTAATCACGGGATGGTCTGGTACTTACACCACGACATACACCACTAGTATAGCTGTCTTCACTGGTATTGATGGTTCGACAACGATTCAGGATGTCTATTATGTGCTAACTCCTACCAAATTACCATCAGCCATAAGTTCTGCTTATTTCGCAAACTCTACTACATTAAGTGGTTCAATTAAAGGCTCCGGGGCTGATTCTTCCACGAACTCAATTGTCCCTCAGTTCCAATCATCAACTATTGCTAGACCTGAAAGCAGCCAATCATCAGGCTCTTCCCAAACCCATAGCAACTTCATGACCACATCATCGTCTGATAACGGAGGTGCTAGTTCTTTATCGACCAGCGACGGTTCATCTTCGAGCAGGGCCATATTGGCTTCGACTAGAGGCTCATTGCACTTTAGTTCAGGAAGCGTATCTTCAACAGCAGATAAATCGCAAGCCTCAAACGAAGGTAACATTCACTCGATCTCTACTACGTCATCTAGTTCTGCTTCACTCAATTCTGCCGCACAAAGGTTGAGTCATAACAGTACTCCCGAGGGTAGAACTACTACATTAACTTCTGGTGGAAATGCTGGCACTGCCAGTAATAATTACTTTACCGTTACGTCTGGACAACTTGGCCAAAATACTGGTGCGTCTGCTTCTCGCGTTGCTAGCCAAATTTCGGTCGTCGCCATTCAACAAACAACCACTGCTGGTGCTGGGTCGGCCAGTGATGTTAGTCAAAGAAGCCAAAGAGCTAGCTTCGCTGGTGGTGCAACCGTTACCGCTGGCTCTGCTAATGCTAGTCAAAAAGTTGATGCCTCTGGCGCCTCTGGCGCTACTGGTGCTACTGGTGCTACTGGTGCCACTGACGCTACTCAGGCTAATAACACCGCTGGCCAAGAAACTGGTACAAGTACTGCTGGTGGCGCAAAGACTGCTGAAGGTACGACTGGAGCTACCGAAAATTCGCCAACACCTGTTGCTGGTACGGCGACTGGCAATTATTTCCAAAGCTCTGGATCTATCGCAACTAAGCTCTCTACGAGCGGCACGAGCTCTCAATTTACGGTATCCACATACGAAGGCTATGCAAACAGCCTGAAGATTGGTGTTCTGTTAGCTTTGCCAATGGCATTGTTGTGATGAAAAATTCACCAAGTTGCTGTCTGCTATGTTCAGATGCGCCATATATTAGATACCCCCTATGACTCTGACACTTAAATCAAACCTAAGTAAGGTAAAATACCATTTATGTTTCCATTATACTGTTTCGAAGAGCCACAAAAGCTTTGTAATATTTGATTTGTTCGATTGCGTTATTGGACTTGTGTACTATCGCACTTGAACAAGCGCAAACCACTTAACGCTATGATAAAATGGCGCAAGATGATAGTTTCAATCAAAGCCCGGCAAAGTATCCTTCGAGGTACTATTCTCTAAAATCTCCTCTCACTCTCCACTTTCTTTTTTTCTGCAGGGTCTGCATTGCACCTTTACATAAGCATAAGCTATCACAGAACACGAACCCAACGGTTTTGCCTTGCTATCACGTGACTACATTGATGCCTATCTAAGGGTTTACCCCCATTACATAAGCGCACAGGACGCTGCGAACGTTGATATTCGAAGAAATCACAAATGCAGTATAACCCTAAGCAGAAGCGAGGTAAACGGGATTTGGTTCAGCTAATGAGTCAGGAAGTACATAAGGGCGGTATCTACCCGGGAGGCTAAGCTTTTGGTGGACGTAGTCTATCGCGTCTCATCCAAGGGACGATATAATTACATTTTGAAATTTGAATATGGCCTTTACACAAGAATAACGGGGAAAAGAAAAATCTTTATAGTCTGGTGGGTCCTTCTAGCATTAAGTCCTCTGATTCAGCAGCTAGTGTGCTAGAAACAGGAGTCTTAGTCAGGTTATCAATGATGGGTCAAAGGCTATCACATTGATAGTGATAGCACGATAGTAGTGTATTCAGGCTTGGAGATCAGATTATATTATGCTGAAGAATAGACATTGGCTGCGTAGAGCTGCATGCGAGGAGAACATGGGTGGAAAACCGGTGTAATTCATGAGAGGGAAGATGAGTGTGAGATTGAGAAAGCGACGAAACTATGAATGAGGCAGTGTTACGCTTGGGTATATGCTTGATGTAGCAAAAAATTTTCGCATCCAGATGTCACGCCTTAATCGTTGAATTCTAACTTTCATTAGAGGGTAGTATCTCATGTATGGAATCGTTGCGGAGTGCAAAGGAAATATATATGTTGGTGATTTCGCACCATTAAAAAAAGCCGACTTCTTCTAGCTATGAATATCTCCAATGGGCCCGCGGCAGCCTTGTTCGAAAAATGTCACTATATTAAGGAACTGGATACTATGCCTTAAATCGGACAACGCAGATGAACTCCTTATTAGCTTAGTAAAAAAGCTATATATCCTTCCTAGCTTCTAATCTTTCTAGAAACAGGTAAATGACGATTATAATACGCCGCAATTGCGCTCGTCATGAAGTAAATACAGCAAGTTTGACTTCCATTAGCCTTATTAAAAAGTGTTAGCAAATAATGCTTGAAATGTTGATATGCAGGAACCTGTACGAGCCTCTTACGCCCATATTCCTTTGTGGCCAAAATTTTGATCATAATACGTCCATCAGCAAACTTAACCGAAGCGAACTATCGAACCTTGGTTATTTGGTTAAGAATAATCTTTAACGTGATTTTATTAACTCCTAACCACTGGACGCTGTCATGAACATATTGATAAAACTCAAAATTTGAAGACACCTCACGGTATCGAGCTCTCAACAACTCTTGGAACAGCTTGCTAAAAAATATTCCGTATCTCTCGCGCAAGTTTGTGGTTAGTGAAGGCTTTATTTCGCTCGAAGAGCTCAGAAAACAGCGTCAGGAGATGCATGGCGTATTGCAAACAGGTCCTAGAGCCGAAGCCGCACCTCCCGAGAAATTCCTACAAAACGAGGCATATTTGAACAACTGCTATAACGAAACTTTCAAACCGCATAAAACCACCCTCCGTGGTCACTTAGTCAAGATTATAGCATGCTTGCAATTCGAGTACGCTATGTAATCACTAGTGCCACGACAAACTAATGAGAGTTTACGATGCCAAGAACGAGCATTTCATTATACAACTCAGTGCGCACGACGGAGCTGTGTGGGCACTCAAGTATTGTCAGGATGGAATCCTGGTCAGTGGGTCCAACGGTCGCAGTGTCCAAGTTTGGAACATCAAAAATGGCAATGCACACATGTTTTCAATGGCCATACTTCTACAGTGAGGTGTCTGAATATTGTCGAACATCACGGCGAAATATTCATAATAACAGGTTCGAGATACCACACGCTCCACGTGTGGAAACTGCCGAATTGTCATGCTCCTAACTACAACCCCGAGGTATGTGAAGTTTTCAGCACCACCTGCTCGAATCCTTATTTCGTGGGAATTTTACGCGGCCACACGGCAATCGTACGTACCGTTTCAGGCCATGAAAATATCGTGATTAGTGGATCCGACGATTACAACCTCATGGTATGGAACATTGCTCAAATGAAGTGCCTGTACGTTCTGACTGGACATACGGATCGTATTAACTCCGCGATATACGACTACGAGAGGTACCGGTGCATATATCGGCTGGAATGGACACCACCGTCAAAGTCTGGAACCTGGAAGATATTGAGAAAAACGAGCATTGCAGTACCTTAAGCTCCTCGAACAGTACTTGCATTAAGGTGACAGGTTCCATGCTTACGTTGCAGGGGCATACCGCGCTTGTTGATCTCCTAGATTTTTCTGACAAGTATCTAATGAGCGCTGGAGCTGACGGAGTGCTACGCGGCTGGGATTCAAATACGTATTCCCGCCAGTTTGAATACCAATCGGAGGATCTGAATACGATCACAACTTCTACGCAAACGACGATTTACTTGTGATCGGATCCGAGGTCCGATTTGACGTCTACAATATTTGAAGCGGCAAGCCTATAAATTCTGAACTGTTGAGTGATACCGATCAAGTGTGGTCGGTCAAGTTCAACAACAGAAAATTCGTCGCTGCCATTGAGAGAGATGGACACAGTTATGTCGAGTTTATAGACTTTGGGAGGCCAAACAATCAAACTTAAGCAATTCAGAATAGCGAAGTGTCACAACATCCTGCATCCGGGAGCAACCCCAGGACGCTTATGGGGCAAGAGCTGTGATAGTTGAGAAAACTGCTTTCAAGATATGATGCTGCAGATGACCAGTTACTAATGACTTTGAAGTAAACTTACAGTTTGTGTGTGTATTAAGGGCGCGGTATTGTTCATGGTTCCAAATACCATCGAAACTAAGCTTTGTCAATATTATCCAACCCAACAATTGATGTGTCGATAATCAAGCTTCTGAACAGCATTGTTCACAAAATGTGAAGTAGTTGTTTCATTAAGTAAAGTTAATTACCTTCAATGGTAAGGCTTAAACTAAAATGACGACATTCATCCTTGTTTCATTGGCTATAGTGCCCTCATGGTCTAAGCTATATAAAGCGAAACCATTTTAGCTGACATTCAGCTTTCCAGTACTGAGACAATCTTCTGGTCTCGGTGGAATTCCTTGACTGATCTCATTTATCCTTCCTAAGTAACATACAGCCTTTGAACAATTAAGTATTCTAATTAGTAGCTGGCTTTCTTACTGCATTTTTAGCTTCTGTCTCCGAACATTTGCGAGGTAATTACAGCTGTCGAGCACTAATCACTGAAATCAGTGGCGGAAGGATCTACTAGTTCGATAATTATTTACTCTTACAGTGTCAATGCTGCCATGCCCATCTTGCTTAAGCACTTCATCAACCTACTCACTATTCTGCGGTAGTTCACTGCTGCAGCACTTGAAAATGGGCAGGCGTTCCTCACAATCGATGCAAAGACGTTCTACAATGCTAAGTACGCGGTAAAAGCTATACATATGTTTACATCGGGCTTGCAAAGTGGTTGAATAAAATAAATATATTTCTGATGGATTTTAAGTACCAAAAATACTATTTGCATCCTGCTCACGACTAGTGACGGATTTGGAGGGCGTAGTATTTGACATACACCAATCTTATGTATCTTGACCACATATCTAATCGATGTGTCGTCTTATAAAGCTTGATATAGCTCTACCGCACGTGATCGACTTCCCTCGAGAAAATGAATCTGTCGGGCAATCTTACGGCCGTATAGTACGGCCGTAATTTTCATCTTGCCAAGACATTAATTCCTGTTGGCGGGTTAGATCCTATCGTATATAAAATCCTACAAAGGTTCACAAAGCATCACAGCCCAGTCCGTTTTGGCTTATGAAAGGGAACATCGATTTCCCTTCTGATGACTTCGCTTAGTGAATCTGACCAACAGGACTGCAAAGCCAAAAAAGACGTTGAGATTTCAAATCACAGCGCCGCTCCATATTCGAGATTTGGCACTAGTGAAAAATACTTTCTAGTGATTGTTTGTGCATCTTGTGGTATTTTTTCCTCAATTGCAGCGCGAATCTACTATCCAGCGCTGAACGTTATCCAGGAAGAGTTCAATGTCAGTCAAGAGCTTCTCAATATTTCGCTTGTAGTCTATTTCATTTTTCAAGCTATTACACCATCTGTAATAGGCGGGTTTGCCGACTCATGGGGTAGAAGACCTGTTATACTTTGGTCTTTAGCCATTTATGTGGCTGCTTGTATCGGGCTGGCTCGATCAAGTACCTACGGACAAATTTTGGGGCTAAGATGTCTTCAAAGTGCCGGAATATCTCCAGTGATAGCCATCAATAGCGGACTTTTGGGGGATGTGACACAACGACACGAGCGAGGCGGCTTTATAGGAATCGGATCTGGTATACAGCTAATAGGATCGGCATTTGGAGCTGTCATTGGCGCAGGTATTATATCAAGATGGGACTGGAGAGCGGTCTTTTGGTTTTTAGCAATAGGTTCTGGAGTAAGTTTGACGACGAGCGTATTTCTCATGCCAGAAACAAATCGCACTATAGTAGGAAACGGATCGATTATTCCACGGAATCCATTGAATCGAGCTCCCATATTACTTCTTCCTGCTGTAAAAAAGCGAATGCATATCAACAATCCAGATCTAGAAAGCTTAGCCCCAAGCAAAAAGCTAGATTTTTCAGGCCCATTTAAGATCTTGGCCACACCGAGTGTTATAGTTGTGCTATGTGTTGCGAGTATGCAATTTGCAATTTACCAATGTCAATTGACCGTTCTATCAAGTATTGTCCAAGACAATTATGATCTGAGCATTGCCCAAGTGGGTCTGTGTTATTTACCGAGCGGAATTTGCAGCCTGATAAGTGTTGTTACGAGTGGGAGGGTTTTGAATTGGAACTACAAACGAAGATTCGCACAGCATCAGTTAAAGCTGCAGACTTTGAAGAAAGAATTGTTAGAAACTTACGGTGGCGACGTCAAAATTGTGGAAGAAATGCTCAAGACTGAACGGCAATACAAATTCAATATATATCGAACAAGGCTGGAAGTTGGTTTCTTTCCCATGATTTTGAGTTTTGCAGGTTATATTGCATTTGCCTGGTGCATTGATGTAAGAACGAAACTCGCAGCAGTTTTATTCTGTAGTGGATTTGCGTCGTTGTTTTCGAATAGTATTGTATCGTGTACAAGTACGTTATTGGTCGACCTGTACCCTGAAAAGTCCTCTAGTGCGACTGCATGTCTAAACCTTTTTCGTTGTTCATTTGCTGCTATATTCGTTGCCGCCTTAAGCTCCATGGAGAAAAAAATGTCAGTTGGTGGAACTTTTACATTCATGGTTGCCATAGCTTTCCTGTTTGCAGTGATCATGGTATTTGTTGTAGGGTCGAAACTAGCAAAGGATACTGCTGAAGAATCCTTTGAATAATAATGCGGCTGTTCGCAGATATTGATTAAGTCTCGAAAAGAATAATCAAATGGATGTTTACAAGCAAGTGTTTTCTCCCTAAACGCCAGCACAGACACTAGACTACGGGTAAACAATAACTGGTTATCACTTCAAATCTGCGAAGCTAGTATTTCTTTGTTCATGATTGTGCATCCAATTAATTCAAGGTTCTACAAAATACCTTGCCGGCTTTGTCTTTAGCAATAATGTACAAAGCTTCCTAAACTGAATAACCAGTTTCCAGTCTCTCTAAGACGAAAAGTCTATACATTACAAGAGTTCTGATGGCATGATCTTTTGGTCCTGCCCGCAAGGTCAAAGTTTTACAAACATAAGCAAAACAAAGTTGTGGGTAAGAAAACTCACCAAGTATTGAAGTGACTTGGGAACTGTCTATGACAAACCCATATATAATTTTAACTACTACAAAAAGTCATATACCGCTCTACCAGCCGCCCAGTTTAATCACCACGATTGTGACGATCTGCCTCGCGAGCAATGGCAACTATGGTTTTCTCGATTACATCTCAATGGAAATGCAAGAATACCCCGATACCAAAGTCACAAAAGCACAGGGGCATTTTTCACCTACAAAATACACTCCAGTTCTGGGAATGTCAAGAACCACACCAGTATGTAAAATATCTACGATTGAGAGATTGTGGAGTTGTCCGATGATCGCAACTTCAATGCCGCTGAGATAGTCAAGCATATCACTCGCTTTCAAACAAGATGCATAGTATGTGTGGTGTGCACGGGGACTTACCTCCATGTTACGTCGGTGAAAAGCATATACCTCTATATTACTTAATGAGTAAAGTGCCTGGTTTACTATTCCAGGTTGTAGATATTTGATTAAGTTCAGGGTTGTACCACCACAACGTTATCACCGTTTTTGGAAGAAGATTCTAAAAATGCAGCGACACAAGCCAAGTGGTGGAATGCAACCCTTGGGGAGCTTTTAATAAGTCCCTTTTCCTTTTTCGCGACGGCCTCGTGAAAGTTTAAAAACTCTTGATGAACGCCAAACGAAGGTTCTTCTTCATATGGTATGGTCTGTACCTCAGATTTCGTTTCCGCAGATTCGCCAACAGTTTTTGTCATATATGGTTTTTTCTTGTCCGAGAGGTTCAATGTTACCGCTCCGTTTAAGCCGTAGATTTTAAAGTAAACCGATTTTTCGCAAAGACCAAAAGCTGAGCCATATGTGAAGGTACCTATCACATCAGAAGTCTTCATCTTCATGGTAGAAAAAACAACGTCGTCTGTGCCAGATTGCTTACGTACTTGTTTGGTGAATGCGCTCAAAGAGCTCACTTCGCCGAGCACCTCCGTCAAGAGCGCCAGCTGGTGTACCCCACCATCAGACAAGAACCCACCGATGTGTTCAGGCTTCTGTCTCCAGCTTGTAGCCAAGTATTTGTTCTCTTTCACAAAAGGACCGGTGGAATTGTAGGTAAAAGCAGTGATGGGGCCAATTTCTGCCAATTGCTCTTTCAAAACTTTTGCAGCATTCAAAAACAGCCAGTTTTCGGCAATGGCGACTGGTATAGGTGTCGACTCTGCCAATTTCACAACTTTTCTTGCTTGGTCGATAGTGGCAGCAATTGGCTTTTCCAAAATGATCGGTTTTCCGGCAGCTATACATTTCTCGACAGTATCGGCATTGAATTGCGCTGGCAGCAAAGCGTCGATGAACGAGATAGTTTTGTCCGCCAACATCTCGTCCAGGCTGTCGTAGACTTTGTCTTCAGCAATGCCAGCATGCTCGGCAAACTTCTCAGCCTTACTTTTGGTTCTGTTGAAGGCAGCTACGACTTTGAAATCTTGTGGCAGATGCTCATAAGCAGGAAGGTGTGTTTCCCTGGCGAAAATTCCTGTGCCGACAATGCCAACGTTCAATACGGGACTCATAGTGTTGAGTTGACTTTTAGGTTATTAATGTGAGAGTGTGGCAAACTTGGAGTTAAGTTGCCTTTTTTATAATTATATTGAATGAAAACCATGATTCTGCAAAATCGTAGATGCCAAACCCCGGCATCATCAATCCTTATATAACCTGTATTTTACAATAGCCCATCTACTTCTTCCGTACCTTTTAAATTCGGCAATTACCCTTTTTGTCATTGCCCTTGTGATCCATGAGATTCACGTGAGGCAACGGCAACGATGCCAGTGTCATTTTATGCTCGTTTGTCATATTAAACCAAATAATGGAATCACTGATATTTATCCCGCATCAGCAGCAACAACAGCACTGTGTCTCATAGATTTCTTCGACTCACGATAGCATTAAGTTCATTTCCCAATCTTTGTAGACGTCAAACCAATTATCACAGCGTTCACCGTTCAGGCGTCGTCTCCAGACTTCGAACATAATTTGTCTAGCACCCCAATACGAGCCCATACCAGAGTCCGCAAGCTTGGCAGCCCATTCTTTGAATTGCATCTGTAGATTAGTGTTAACAGCGGCACAGCCAGCCATAAAACCTTGCCAAATAAGCGGTACTATCTTGACGCCCTTGTTATGGATGAGATCTGTAAGTTTATTCAAATGCTCAAGCGCTTCCCGAACGTTGAACTGAACTGTTTCGTGCTCTTGGTCTTGAGCACGGGTGTGATAATAGATGATCAGACTATGGTAGAAGCTCATAGTGTGGTGGTAAACACCTTGCACTGTATCGTTGACAAACTCTTCAGTGTAAGGCTTGTAGAATTCCCATTCAGATTTCCATCTTAGCAACCTTCCCTCAAACTCGGTACACAGTTCTTGATAGCTCGCCGGCACTTCTGACGAGTGCATTCTGTAATACTCCCGATGTCTAGCAAGCCTCACGCAGTCCGAGAACAGTAAAATGATAGAGTTGGGAAGCCCGTAAAGTGCATCTAGAAAATTGTTTTCGCTAGTTGCGCTCTTGGGAAAGTAATACGTTTGACTAGCAATGTTCGTAAATATCGGCGTGCTTGCATTAGAACCTTGTTGCTGCACGTATTCGATGCGAATTTTGCCATTAACTTTGTCCAGCGACTCCTTAAATTCACCACCATCTTCATGGTTACTGGAATGACTCGACAAATCGTCTTCGTTTTCTGCGCCCTTCAGCACAATTTCCTTTTCGGTTACTTTGTCCAGAGCCGTACTATCCTGTATTAATTTTAGAAACGAGAAAATTCGATGCAGAGACCTTGCCTTCTGTGAAATTTTTGGCCTCGTTTTCATTCTCGCTTCGACCAGTTCCTCACACAGACTCAGGTGATACTGACAATCTGCCATGGTACCCCAAACGACGTCAATCGAATTCATCGACAAGATTGCTGTCAGAATATCCTTGTACCTTTCTTGTTTCACGCTCAGCTCGAGGCATGTTTTGAGAAACTCTGATGCTTGCCCTCTGAACTCGATGCCTAATTGCAAATAATATTTCATTTCTGGGGAATTCTTTGGAAATTTGCTTTGGAGATTGAAGCACGAAACGGCTAATATTGCGTTCAAAAGAGAGTTCCTTGAATGCGACGTATAACCTATACCAGCCAGATCACCAATAGCCTGCAAAGCGCGTGGAAAATAAATAGTTCGCCAAGGATTGGTCTGTAGGGCTACTACAGTCATTAGATCAACCACATTTTGCAGATAGTAATTTAGCAAAAACCTCGTTAGACCGTTGACTTTGAGACTCGTCGTTGGTACGCGTAGCAGCAGGTTGTTATTATCCGGTAAATTGAATATTGTGGGATCTGGTATGTCGGACTCGACAACTTCCAGGACCTCTTTCGGCATATGGCCTTCAGTGCCTGCAGAATCAATCAGAATGATATCTCCGAGAGGAACCACTGAAGATTTTGCATTCGGGTCGGTGACTTCAATTGCCGACGTATGTCTTCTAGATCGAGGCCGATCTTCGTGCCTGTGAAATAGAATTTTGTAAATTTGAGATAAATCCTTACCATCGTCGGTGTTGAAGTTCTCGAACTGATCCAACGGGTTTTCATGACTATTTCGGTGGGGTGTTTGTGCCTGCGGTTGTGTCCTATCTGGCTGTGAATGCGTTGGGGTATCGGCTGAAAAGCCCTGTATAGCGAAAGCCGAAAGTAAAGCGTCATCTCGGAGTTCATTCGAAATCCACTCATGACCCTTGAAGTTCACAGATGAGAAGTCGAAGTTGAAAAGATTGGCTATACCAGAAGCGCTAGGTATCTCGGAGTTCGTTTCATTACTTATTGTTGAACCGGCTTCCTCTGCAACGGATGATCCTGACAAAGCATTTGCGTCAGAATTATTCAAGCTGAAAATATTTTGGTCTGAGCCGGCTTTGATAGGCACCATACTCCGGCTGATTTTTTGCTGGGCACGCCTCTTGCGTCGTGGCACATGTTTAACTTTAACTTTCTCAGTGCCTCGAAATACGGCGAACTTCTTGATCATCCACGTCCTATCATCAGCAATCTGTTCGAGTGGTGGTGAATGTAGCAAAGAAAGCTCGTCGTCCATATCTTCATAGTACTCATATTCCTCTTTGTATTTCACAAATGCTATATCACGCCGTTGCGATGGGGGCTCATCTGCACCTGCGGGGTTGTTTCCTCCAGGTATTACTTGCCCATAACAATTGAACTGAATTGGTGAGGACCACTGTAGTTTTATATCGTAGCCGCCACACTGGAAACTGGACTTCTCACATCTTTGGCATGTCGGCTTACCAAGATCGCACTTGATTTTCCGTGCCCTACAAGTCCAACATCCAGTAAACGTCTTTGCCCGGCGCAAAAACTTGTTTTTACCTGGCGACGCCTCTTTCATGAAGCCTCTGAAGCTCAAACTTCTAGGTTTATCGACCTACCTGCTAGATTAAATTTTCAAGTTTTGGTAATGTACTGATCCAACCTTTAAAATTTTAGCTCATCGCTTAACTTAATAAATGATAAAATCCGCCTACTTACAAGAAAGAGCTTGATCAAGATGTCCAGAAGGCTAAAAAAGACCCATTTGTTCAGCAAAGATGTAGCTGCGTTGATGTATGCTTATGGTGACGTTTCACAACCACTTCCGGAATCTGTACAGTGTTTGGATGAACTGGTATCAGCATATTTAATAGATATCTGCATGTCAGCTTATAGAACGGCGCAAACAGTCCACAGGAACAAAATAAAAGTGGAGGATTTCAAGTTTGTGCTTCGCAATGACGAGGTAAAGCTGGGCAGGGCTGAGGAACTGATCAAATTGAGTAAAATTATTACGGACGCCAAGAAACTGTTCAATTCGTCAGAAGGCAAAACGGTAAAACGGGCCCGCGACATGGGCGAATTTCACGACGACGATGCTGAAGAGGACCTAGATGACGAGAGAGATCAAGATGGAGACAAAATTGGTGAAAGAATAGAGAGGAAAGAGCCGGGCAAGAAAAAGAGAAAGACGAAAAAGAAGGGACAGGACTCTTAAAATTCAGATGGCAAGTGGGTGCAATTTGAGTGAAGCGGAAAGTAAACGATTGCCTTCCAAAGTATTCACGACGGCCATGGGCTGAGCCACCAGCAGCAGTATGGAGCGCGAATCATATGTTTTCAACCTGCGTGGGGCATTTTCGATCTAATATGTGAACCCTTCTCTGTTAAAGAACCTGATGAGAATAAAAGACCTACACCGCTATATAAAGTTCGTTGTTATGCTGTAGCTAAAAATACTGCAACAAGAGAAAGCATCGGTTTTGGGGATTCTGGTTCTCTAAGCAATATATGCTTATTTGCATTTCCGCGATTTCACCTTGGTTCGGCTGTCATTGAATTCTTAAGTAATTTCACCGAATTTTCGAAGGTCGGTATCCTCTCTGCCATCAGAAAATGAAGGAAGCTAGAAGCTGCATGTGCTTTATCAGCGTTACCTCAAGAAAAACCAAGTTACAGATCAAATGACAATTTTATCTTTAACTCGACAGCGTGTGCTTTTGTTCTCAAACTCAATCGCTGACTCGTCATACCCTCAAGCAAATGCTCTTCAATATTGGCCTTGCCACTTTCTTGTTGAATGAAATGCTCTCTGCGCTCTATGCTACGAAAACAGTTCGATATTATTCAAAAACTAGGGAAAATAGCTTTTAAATTTTGCTTCCCTGAGACATTTATTATAGCTCTTTATATAGGACATCAAACGAATAAAAACTTTAAGCTCAAAAACAGGTTACCGATTTACTGGATGTTCAACTCATAAGTTGCTTGGTTTTGATCCTCGTCGTTCACATATTTTGGTACACCGACGAAAAAATTCCAGAAGGAGTTTAGCCTGTACAAAGCCATTCTCGCTATGTTTCTAGGCAAATCAAGATAACTATGGAAAATAAACCGCAGTGCCACATTTAAATTGTGAACTTCGGTGTTCCATGCTTTGATTATCGTGTTGTTGCTCTCGAGCTTCCTGAGAACATCTTTCTGGGGAGGCAATTTCACATCTTGAAATTTGACTTCGGTCTCTGGCTCAGCAGTTGTAGGTTCAGCCTCCTCTGGCTCAACAGTTGTGGGTTCATCCTCCTCTGGCTCAGCAGTTTTGGGTTCAGCATCCTCTGGCTCAGCAGTTGTAGGTTCAGCAACATTGGGCTCAGCTACCTCATTCTCAGTGGTCTTGGGCTCAACAACCTCATACTCATTAATTTCTGGCTTTTCAATTTCTGGCTTTTCAATTTCAGCCTCGGCCATCTTGTGTTCCGTAATTGCGGGTTCAGATATCTCAAGCTCAGATATTACTGAATCATCTGACCTATTTCTCAACGAGGAGCTAAAGCTCTTTCCAGCATTACCCAAGAGCTTGAAAAAGTTGTTACTCTTGAAGAGAGCTAGAATTCTGTCGCCGGCCGTCAAAAGTCTGTCAGTGTACAGTTTCTCAAAATTGTTAATTGATTCTATGCTTTTGGATAACCTGTCAAATGTGTTAAATAGCGCGATAAGCTCGTATTTGGTCAACTTGTCAACAACATTTTGCTTTGCTTTTTCGTCTTCTGAGTCGATCTCAAACAATATTTTCAAGCTTGTGGCATAACCAGTCGTCTGGACTTTGCCCCACATCCTGCATCTATCACAATGAACACAATCCATGATCTTGGTAACATTCTTAAACCGAGATCTGAAGTCGTCCTTCAAATTTGAACTGATGTCGTCGTTGAATAGTAGATTTTCGTTGAAAATCTTAGAATCTAGGTTAGAGACAACGCTGGTTATCATTGATTTGACGTCTTCGTGGTATGCATTGCAGAAGTTTAGATGGGCGAGATAAGGCTGAATTTTCCATAGCGCTTTGGCAACGACGGCGTAGTTGAAATATATGTTGGCGACTCTGTCTGGAAAATCGCCAACGCGAGCCATAAACAACTCTAGATTGGGTTCCCAACGACCAGTTTCGGTGTTCAAATGGTCGTTTGAAAGATGAGTTCCAATGGAAGCGTGCAAACCTGAAACGAGCCTGTAGAAAGCGTCTTTGGCCAGACATTGGCCTGTTTCATTCTGTGAGAAGCAGTTTTCGCGGTAAATGCTAGACCAAATCTGAGAAGATTGCTCACCACCGTAGCCCGTGAACCGCTCAGGATTGGCTGTTAGATCCACAAGTACGGACTGTTTGTTATGGAAGTCACCTGTGTCGCAGTAATCAATATCGGGGCCATTTTTGTTAATTCTAAGTTGCGAATTGTCACACAACTGGTCCAGGAATGAGCACTCATCATTGAGAGCTTCGTCATCGCTCAAACTTTCGTTCGCAAGACCGCCCAAAACTTCGGGCTGCCAATACTCGGGAAGCTGATCCCACTCCTCGACAACATCGACCGCGCATGCGCGGTTCACGCAGTACCCGTTGTTATCGTTCCAGAATGTGCACTGCTTGTATAGATCCAGCTTGAAGTACTTGAAGAAATCGCTGTGCACGAGGGACAGTAGCTCCGGCCGTATCTTGCTGTTGATCTCGTTGATTTCCTTGAAAGTCACATCGCAACTAGCTCCTACAAGAGAGTCCTTGTCCATCTTGCAAAAATTCGTTGTATCCTCCACCGAAGGCTGTGTAATTTCCGTTTGCGCCACTGCTTGGCTCGAAGCCAAGACAGTAGCAATCAGAAAACCTAGTCTCATGATCAAAATTGATTTCAGATTGCTTTCAAACTCTAATAGCTACTCCTCTACGCCAAAAGCACACCAATTCTTGTCTTTTATATCAAGACTCGTTTAAAATTGGCCTTCTGTTGGACAGGCTGGCTTGATCTTGGGATTTCGGTGTTCTTCTTGGTAAGCAGAGAATGAGCAGATCAGCAAAATAGAGACTGACAAATTGTATCACATGCGACGAAATGGTGATGCGATGGCATAAGCTCAAGATGACAGCGTCAGCAGAACATCTACGCACATTCCTATCCTATACTTTTTGGCCTCGCATACGTCGTGTATCAGGCCCTGGTCCATTTCCGGGAACATGTCATGAAGCTCCTCTAGGACACGTTGATTTTCTTGCTCCTGTAGTTGTTGGACCAGACGGGTTGAGTCCGGATCTAAATCGGTTTCCGCGCTGACTTCAGGACCACCTTCTTTGTCGCGCGGCTCCGTAGGGTTGGAAGAGAAAAGCTCAGAAACCTTAACTAATAGTGCAGACGTAGCCTCATCTAGCGGCCGGCGGATGTAGTGTGAAGGCGCTGGTCTGGGTGGTGTGGCGGAAGGAACCGCTGTTACAGAAGTAGAGCTTTCAGCGTGGCTCTCTTCTTGTTTTAAAATTTCTTGATTCGCCGTGTAGCGTTCCTCGAAAGTAGAGACATCGGATATATGAAGGGACTCCTGCTTCAGATGCGCAATGAAATTAGCAGCACCTTGAACACTGCTTAAGTAGTATGCGCTTTCGCCGCGAAGGAACTCGGTATACCTGAAGCGTTCGATGTAGTTGAGGTTCGACAGTAAGGATTCGACGTCACTTTTGAGCAGCGTGTACACCAGAACTGGCACAAACGCATCAGCTCCCCCATTTTCAAGTCCCGAGTGTTTTAAAAACCCAAACAAGACGCGACAAGCATTCAGAACACATACCATCTTATCTCTGGGCGCCTTATACTCAGTTATCCGCGCGAGCTCCTTGCCGGAGAGCTGTGTGAACTTTAGCAGCCGCCGTGAGAGCGATTCCGGAATTTCCAAGTGTCCAGGATCTATAAAGCAGAATTCAGCCCTCTTCCGTCTCAATCTTTCGTCTTGATCTAAATCTTCCTGGTGGCTTGCATCCAGCTTGTCCTGAAATCGTAATTCTAAACTTGGCGAGAAGCAATAGCCGTATAGTTTGCCCATGATCAGTTTCTCTATCCCCTCTTGAGCATTCTTGAACTTACCGGCGTTCAAAGATTGAAAGGGTTCATACAGCGGTAACTTTCCATATACAAACACTTTGAAATCATCTACAAGTTTGCGCTGCTCCTCACACGTCCAAAGCTCGCGCTTGGTAACGAAGTTGTTCAGGAACGACCTTGTATATCTTAGGATTGGGTCCGCTCTAGGATCCCTTAGTTGAGCAACAAACGCTTGGAAATCGTAAATTGCTCCTTCTTCCTCATTTTGACAAGGCAACCCCTCTTTGAGTTCATTACCACTTTCACTGAAGTCATCTGGTACTGGCGAAGATTTAGGTACTGGCTCCCGTGCCTTCTGAGGTTCGCTCATGTTGGTTCTTGTTGAAGGTTGATCGATTATGCTAATCATCAGCTCAAAATTTCACGACTATAAAGATGTTTGAACATTGAAACGAGAGACAGATAGAAACAAAGCAGATATACGTTGATGTGTGGAATTCTTTTCCATTATCATGGGGAATCTTTTGAAAATGATGACTTGATGAGCGAATTCGACGAAATGGGGCTCGCAAATCGAGCTTATGCACACTCTGCTGAAATCTTCGGCGATTTGAAAGCATTAGTGCCGCTGATTGTCGATAGGGGTCCCAATTATGCTTCATTAAGATACTCAAAAGACGACCGCATGTCGTGGTTTTCATCCGTTTTGTCATTGAGAGAACCGCTAACGAAGCAGTGTATTGAAATTGATGGTAGGTTTGTTTTGCAGTATAACGGTGAATGCTACAATTCAGAAATTCATCATAACGATACACAATGGATTGTGGATCAGTTACATATCTACCAAAATGCTCCAACCGCAATCAAACACCTTTCTGGCGAATTTGCCTATACAGTTTACGACAGACACACGAACCAAGTATTTTTTGGAAGAGACTCTATTGGGAAACGAAGCTTAAGCTACCGCTTGGACTCAACTAGTGGACAGCTTAGCATCGCCAGCGTGACAGGGAGGATGGAAGGATTTCAAAATTGCGTTGCTGGAGTTATTTACATATATGATGTAACATCGGGAAAATTAAGCGCGGACCTGAGGATTCGTCCCTACAATTTTCACGTCGCTGAGGAGAGTGACTTGAAGTACACCAAGCTAGAGGAGAGTATCGATTGTTTATTTGCAAGCCTTGACACTGCAGTTCGTAGAAGAATCAACACCATTCATCCATTGCATACTAAAAACAGCCCCATATCCATATTGTTCTCAGGAGGGCTGGATTGTTCTGTAATAGCTGCCTTGGTATGTCAGAGCATAGTCAGCTCCTGTGAAAAGACAGTTGTAGAATTGCTCAACGTCGGTTTCGAGAATCCAAGAACGGGCCTCATGCCTGAAAACGTACCCGATCGATTACTGGGACAGAAGTCCTTTCAGAAACTGCAAGCGCTTTTCCCAAAGATAGAAATTCGTTTTCTGGAGGTAGACGTCCCTTATGAAGAGTATTTAGAGCACAGAGCTCAGATCATGAATTTGATTTATCCCAAACAAACAGAAATGGATCTGTCAATAGCAACTGCTTTTTATTTCGCTGCTAGGGGTCAGGGTTTTGTGAGAAGTAGCACGGGAACTAGAGAACGATATGAAAGGAAGGGTATTGTACTCTTTAGTGGGCTTGGTGCAGATGAATTATATGGTGGGTATCACAAATTTGCCAATAAATCGAAGGAAGAACTCGTGTCCGAATTGGAAACGCAAATAAATAACATCCACGATAGAAATTTGAGTCGTGACGATAAAGTGATAGCAGCAAATGGCGTTGAAGTGCGCTATCCGTTCTTAGATGACGCAGTTGTCGAATTTTCCACACAGCTACCGATCAATTACAAAATTAACAAGATGATATTAAGGAGGTTAGCTCATGATAAACTGAAACTGACGGATATCAGTGAAGAACCCAAGCGAGCTATCCAATTTGGTGCGAAGAGTGCCAAAATGACAAAAAACGGCAATAAGCATGGGACTGATCTCGTAGAGGCATAAGCAAAGCAGGCACATTCTTCGCGTTGCTACTTGTTCATGAAGACGATGTATTTGGCTGCTTGCTCGAAGTTAAACGCCAGTAGCAGCGCAAATCCATTGAACATACAAGCTTTGTTGAGATCTTTCAGGATATTCTCAGAGCTTTCAACGTCAACAACACATATCATTACGTTGTTTTTAGACTTAATAAGTGGCTGAATTTTCTTAGAGATATACTCCGGATGCAGTTTATGGTATTTCAGCGACAAAAATACGACGTTGCGGCCTTGAACACAATAGTCATAGTGAACTTTATTGCCACCAGTTGGTGATATGTAGCGCCAACTTGTGTTAGTCATGCTACTCAGTAAAGGATTACCACGTTGTGATGCGCTAACAAGCACTGTTTTGCCGTGGACTGAGATCCCAGAAGGTCCTTTAGATACATCGCCCCACTTACGCTTACGCTCCTCAATCTGTGAAAGTTCTTTGCCTGCAGCTGCATCAGTTTTCTGTTGATTGAAAGCGTTGATTACCGGCACAGGTGTCACATTCGCAGAGCCAGAGAGCGGATCTGGACGTTTGGGCTCTGGCACCGGTTCCGGTGGCAAAGTAGCGCCTGAACTGGCATCGCCGGGACCATGAGACTCTCTAAGTCTCTGGACACCTGCAAGAATGCTCTTGAAAGAAGCAGGTTTATCGGTCATCTACAAAGACCATATGTACACGATCTACTCTGTTGGAATGGTGTTTTTTTCGCTCGATTAAAATTTCTATAATATTTACCAACTACTACGATTGTATGAAATAGAGACCATCAAACCAACGAGCAAGCAAGATGTCTGCCCAGAAAAGTATGACGGCGTTACTATCTTTATGATCTAAATATCAAATTCATTCACTAACAACTTCCATGGTCGACTTAACCAAACTAAACCCGGAGCAATTGAGCATGGTCAAGCAGCAGTTTGACCAGGAGCTGCAACACTTCTCGCAGTCTTTGCAGGCGCTAAACGTGGCAAGAAATAAGTTCAGAGAGTGCAAGGACGATATTGCGTCTGTCTCGAAGCTAGAAAACCAAAAGCAAGAACTTCTGGTGCCATTGTCTGGCTCTCTGTACGTAAAAGGCCACATGAAAGATACCCAAAAATTCATGGTTGACATTGGAACAGGCTACTACGTCGAGAAGTCTGATCTTGAAGCTACCGAATTCTACGATAAGAAGATTGCAAAGCTAAATCAGGAATCAGTTCAGATTCAGAACATTATTAAGGAGAAAAGCCAATCCTCAATGGCCATCGAGGGGCATATTCGCCAGGCCGCTATCAAGCTTCACGAAGAACAAGCAAATTCTGCTCCACAAGGAGCTCAACCAAAGGCAAACTGAAGGCCGTAGCACAGAGATTGACCATTCTATTCCAGCGCGCTTCAAGTTTACTTCCCGCGCTCATCATGGTATAGTGATCTCTAACGTTGATAATGATTGAATTGCAATTTTTTTTTTAACATTTTGAAAATTTTAGGCAGCGATGAGATGCGATGAGCTAGCCATAGTGTAGAGGAGATGAATAAAAGTTTGAAGGCTAACCAAATTTGGCTTTAGAACCACAATGAGTCGTAAAGTAAAGTCTAAGCCTTCGAGAGGAAGAGCCCAGAACGCTTTAGAAATTGCAGCTCGGGAACTGGACAGTTCCAGCGATCAAGAGAGCGGATTTTCACGGGATCCCCGTCGTAACGGAACAGTTATTAACCCACACAGAAAAGGATCCGACGATGAGGAGGAAGAGTTTGAAGATGATGATATTGACTCTGACGAAGCTTTAGGCTCGGGCGATGAGTTGGACGTAATGAACTCAAAATTCTCACAGACCATAAGAGATCGACAAAAAGCCGGAAAAAGTGCAAGCTTAAGCCTCGATGACGAGGATGATGGTGGCTACACGTCAATAGATGAGGACGATTTGATGCCCTTGTCAGCTGTTTGGGACATGGATGAGAAAACTACTGGAGCCCAGGATTCTTTGAATTTGGATGACAATGACCAAGTAGAAGAGGAGGAGCAGTCCGATGGGGATGATGATGAAAGCGAAGATGACGATGACGACGAAGAAGAGGAGGACCCTTTTGATGAGGTCTCGGAAGGAGAAGAAGATATCGAGCTCAACACTGTTACCGCTAATCTTCGTAAAGCATCCGAAAAAGCACAATACCGCAGACTCGACAACGCGGCAATTGGTGAAGAAAATGAATATGCTTTGCCCTCTTTCTCTAGCGACCGCAAGAAGCTCAATCTTGCTGATATGATGAGTGTCATTGAAGACAAAGAGGCGGTAGAAAAAGCAGGACTCATCAAAGGTAAAACACAAGCGCTAAGCGTGCCTCTTCCACAGCGTATTCAGCAAAGGCACGACCGTAGAGCAGCCTACGAAATCTCCAAAGACGAAGTCAGTAAATGGAGGGACGTTGTGCAGCAGAATAGACAAGCTGAACATCTTTCTTTTCCTTTAAACCCACAAACTCAGCATAACGATGGCTCTATGTTCACTCCGTCAGAAAAGTCTGTCGAAACCGAACTCGAGCAAAAAGTTGATTCCTTACTCGAGAGTAGTAATTTGGCGAATCCCGAAAAGGAATCCACTTTTGAAGAGATTGACACAGCTAAGATGTCTCCCGAAGAGATGAGAAAAAGAACGTCAGAACTTCGTCTCATGAGAGAACTCATGTTTAGAGAAGAAAGAAAAGCCAAGCGGATCAAAAAGATCAAGTCTAAAGCTTACCATCGCATTAAGAAAAAGGAACTACTCAAGAACAAGGAGTTGATAGAAGATTCGGAAGATGAAAGTGATACAGAGCGCGATGTTGCTAGAGCCCGTGAAAGAATGTCTTTGAAACACAAAACAACCTCAAAGTGGGCTAAAGACATGGTAAAGCATGGTATGACGAAGGACAAGCAAACTAGGGACGAAATGGAAGAGATGTTGAGACAAGGAGAGCGTTTGCGCGCCAAGGTGGTTGGTCATGATTCTGGAAGTGAGAGCGATAGTGACATCAGTGATGTTGAGAAAGATGACAATTCGAGATCTACTCAAGAAGAATCGAAACTGCGCGGAAACCTTGGTAAGACTGGCGTTATGAACATGGCTTTTATGAAGAATGCTGAGTCAAGGCGCGCCGAGGCAAACAAAGAAGCCATATCACAACTGAGAGCTTTAGAATCGGGTCAGGAACCCTCATCTTCAACCGAAGACAATGAAAGCAACGGTGCAAATATCAACATCAATGCTGGAAGAAGGGTGTATGCGCCAGGTACTGAAGAATCCATAAACGAACTAAACAGAATTGAAGAAAGTTTAAAGCAGGATGCTGAGGATGATAACTCCAAATCTTTGAGCACCAGGATGGCCAAGAGTGGCAACAAGAAGAATAAAAAACACAAGCAAGAGAAGGCCTCTGAGAAGAAGTCGAGCGCGGAAAAGGGTGAGGGAGAAAGCAATCCGTGGTTAGAAGGCAGTGATGATGAGCAGCATGTCAAAAGATCTAGCAAAGTCAAAATTGTGGATGAAAACAGTTCAAAGCTCTCAAAAAGTGCCAACAAAATAGCCAAGGAAAAGGCTAAGCAAACCTCCAAATCATCGGGGAAACGTAATAGAGACGAGGACCAACTTCTGGATGTTGATAGTGAAAATAAAATGCAACTTCTAGACCCATACGATCAAGGAGGTGAAGATGTTGATGGGTTTATGTTCAAGCAGCAAGATGTTATAGCGGAGGCATTCGCTGGTGATGACGTGGAAGACAAATTTCAGCAAGAAAAGAAAAGAGTGGCCATTGATGAAGATGACAAGGTTGAAGATGTCACGCTTCCTGGGTGGGGCGACTGGGCTGGGGCTGGTGCTGCACCCACTAAGAAACGTAAGTTTAAAAAGGTCAAGGGCACTGTGGAGAAAGACAAACGTAAAGACAAGAACTTGAAGAATGTGATTATCAATGAAAAAGTAAACAAAAAGAACCTAAAATACCAATCGTCAGCTGTTCCATTCCCATTCGAAAGTAGGGAACAATACGAAAGATCTCTGCGAATGCCTTTGGGTCAAGAATGGACGTCCAGAGCTTCTCACCAGCGCATGATCAAGCCTAGGATCTTGACAAAGCCGGGAATGGTTATTGACCCTCTCAAAGCGCCTTTCAAATGATGCAGTGTCGTTACGAGTAAAGTTAACACCATCCTTTGCAGCATGAGACCAGTAAGCATGTTTTGCTGTTCTTCCCATAGGTTTAAACAGACATCATATAATTCCTGTATTTTTATTTTGTTGAATCCTACACTTATATTATAGAGCCTCCAACCTATCGTTGATTTCTTGTGCTGTTAGCTTGCGGAACCTTGGACCCTTTACGGAGGGGTCCCCCGTGAACCCTAGTAGCTGTTGATTTTCTTCACCAACTACTGCAATCTCTATCGTATCGCCGTTAAACTCGCCCTCTACTGATTCTTTGAGGGTTAAAAGTGCAATATGAATGGCGTCTTCGAGTTCCAGTTCATCGTTCCATCTTTTCTCCAAAAATGTCTTCGCAGCTGTGGAGCCTTTGCCGATGGCAGTGGCCTTCCATGGGAAATAAGATCCAGAGGGATCCACTTGGTATAAAGTGTAGCCGTTATGTTCATCATGGCCTGCAACTAAAAGTGATACGCCGAATGGTCTTACACCACCGGACTGGGTGGCTTCCTGCATGATTTTGGCCACCTCTGCAACCAGCATTTTGGTCGGTGGGTACTCGTTGTAGATACGGTGATAATTGGTGTGGGCGACTTTTCTAGACCTGTCAATGAGCACCCTGAAGTCTGGACCCATGCCTGAGTACGCTGCACCAATGTCCGGGGTTATGTGCGCTATTTTGGACAGGCTATCTGACAATGCTAGAGAGGACGCGGCTTTCTTTTCAGTGGCAATAATTACACCATTGGTTGCCCTTATTCCCAGTGAGGTTACACCTTGTTTGACGGCGGTCAATGCATAGTCTATTTGGCCCAGTTTGCCGCTACAAAAAAATCAGGTAGGTTAGTAACCGTTCTTGTTAAGTCAGAAGTTACGCACTAATATACAATTGATAAACCTGCACATCAAGTCCATACACGGTAGCGTACAGATGTCATAACTGGTCATAATTGTGTATTAAGACGATATTCTCTTGAAACGAAATCAATGAATAAGACGTACCTTGGGGAAAATGTTGTAAGCGAAAACGAGTATCTGTCGGTCATTGCTCTTTCTTAAAGTCCTAAAGCTTGGGATATGTGATTGTAGCAAGCCAATACACCTCTTGGTCTTTGCAGTTACAGTGTAAAATCAAAGCATCAAAAGGGTTTGCCACCGAACGTGGACTTCGAAAGTTTGAAATTTTAAAGTCCGTTAGAAATGATGTTTGAATCAACGACAAGAGTCGAAAGACGATGAGCAAGCGCTAACATCGTTTCTCGTAGGCAACAAAGTGGTGACTTTAACTTGTAGACGTGGATAGTATTCTCAATGAATGAGCCATGCTGAATTGTGCTGTTTTTCTCGCTTTTCTTGACCCATTCCACATTCAACATCAATGGATACTGGAGGCAGGAAACTTTCAGATTATTGAATGGATAGGTTGAAATATGTGGGGTTTCAAAGTCTTTGAGGCCCTCCTTCTTTTTAATTCAGAACGTTGATAAGTTCTTCTTTGTAATTTATGACGTTCGTTACCTCGAGCAGATTCTAAAAATGTGGACAGCTGTAGGTATTGGGTGTTCGTCATAACTCAGATCTGTTAGCTAATATTGGTGCCTTGCATATGTTCCCGAATTATGGCACGTACAAGATTGAAAACTGCACTAATCAGTGATCCTAGTTCATTTGTTTCTGTCTCCATTGGGCACTTTCTAGGTCTTTAAGGAAGCCCTGGCTAGGCCGCTGTACATGCATGAAGTTACATTCATCACCTCTTTCGCAAGATTGCATATCGTGTTTCCGGCAGATTGCGTCCCGAAAATCGGATACGTGCGAAAACTCACAATACAGTGGCCTTTCGTTGTACCAGCGAGTGTTGAAGCTATCCTTAACGGCGTGTGCCTCTTTTGGCGTCGCAAATTTGAGATACACATTACCGTTCAAATGGTCATTTTTGTTTTCACACACCACCATTGCTTGAAGCTCGCCGAAACGAGCTCCTTCCATGTAGACGTCTTCGAAAAATGCATTAAAGTCCTCTTGTATCTCTTGTGGATCATCTGAAGTTGGTTTACGATACATGTTTGGTACCAAAACGGTGGCGGAAATAACAGGGCGAATGTGTTTCTTAGAACAACGATCTCCGTGACGGCAGGCACCAATCTTATAGTAGAAATGACTGCGTTAAGTTAGTACCAGGACAAAACGGGTATAAACAAAGGTTTCCAAAGAATCTTATAACATACCATTTATCTCTTTCATCGTAGTTAGACATCGGGCACGTAATTGGTGTGAGTTTTGATGATATGTTTTCACTGAACAAAGCTCATCGCATCGCTACATTTTCGTGAAAACTTCGCTTAGTGAAGAAGAATTAAATAGGCATATTATAATGGGAGTAAGTAGCTTGAAAAGCATTCTGTGACATTCAGTACAAACTAACATAGCAATCAGAATGATGGTAGCTCTATATCCAGAGTTAAATCACTGCAAATAGCAGTTAATTCATCAAGTAAGAAACTTCAGAATTCAGACTCTCGAAACTTCGATTCGGACTCCAAATGGGCTGTGGATAGACTTACGAGCTTGCCGCTCCGACTTCCCTTGGTCAGTGATTATCAAGGTAACCTGTTGAACAAAGAATCGGTCCTCGAGTGGCTCTTGACACCAGATAAAGAGGATTACACCGAAGAACAGGTTCGATTATTTGGCCATATCAAGACACTCAAAGACGTCGTAGAGCTGCACAACATAATATTTGATCAACCGAAGCACAGGTCACCATCTTTGAGGTGCGACGTAGGAGATGAAATACTGGGAAAAAGTTCAGGAAAACTTGCTTATCTAGCACAGTGTGGGCATGTGCTTCCGCGGCGTATGCTTGGGTTTGAGTGTCCTGTTTGTGGTATTGCGCACTCTGCCACTGATATTATTACCTTAAATCCAAGTTATGATGAGCTATCCATTCTCCAAGCACGCATGGACGAACTCGAGCACAAAGGCCTTACTCACAGCGGGAGAACCGCGAAGTCCAAGAAACGCAGAAGCAAGCAGCGAGAGTGTGGAAAGAACTCAAAACGGCGCGCCGCATGAGAAACGTGTCGTTATCAAATGATGTTTAAAAATTCACTATTTACAAGCCGTATAAATCTGTTGAAACCCCCGTCGCCTGGGAAGCCCAACTCCAGGGCTTCGTATCCGAGCAGCTTCACTGTAGGGTTTCTGTCTCAGAATCAGCAGCCTTCTGGGTCACTTGCTGCTCGTATTTGGTCCCATTCTTGTACATAGTGTATACCAGACCTCCGGCCATGTACATGGTGCCTCCTACTAGAGACAAGACGGTCAGACGGTGAGCAGCATCAGTCACTCTAGTGTACCACGCGTATTTGGACATGATAATATCGATGAAGAGTGGGCTGTTATGAGGTTGTAATTAGCTTAAAATGCAATATATGTATTATTTCTTTATATGAAGTTCAGTTAAATTCCTGAAAAAAATCTGGTTCAGCAGCATGCGGATATAAGTCCGAAAAGAAGGACCAAAAAGTAACCTTTCAACTTACTGTAGCAATAGTTTAACTAAATACGGTAGATCTAAGCTATACAAAATCATTGTTGTGTCCACTGATCTGATTTTTCTTTCCTTACCTGTGTTGGAAGCGTAGCTCCCTTTAAAAATTTCATAACATCATGGCATGAAGACATAACACTCGTTACACAGTATGATACAATCTTCCAGCTTACTCAATTTTTGAAAACGTACTGGTAACTGTTGGTCATCATGTTGCTAATCTTCTTGGGAACCCTCTTGTACATGGGGTCCTGGTAGTAGCCGAAGAACCATTGGGTGTTTTCCTTGACTTGTTCTACTAGTTTCTCTCTGGTTGTGGTAGGACCAGTTCTGATACCAAAAGACTTCGCGTAGTTCTTCAAATCTTCAGTGGACCAGGAGCTGAATAAGGTGGTCCAATCGTCGACTTTGTCGCTGGCGGCATCGTAAAATTTAGAGCCCGAAGCGCGCACAGCAGCTGCCGCTTCACCCGTTTTTTGTTGAGCGTAACCCATGGCGTCAGAGCCCTTGTCTTTAGCGTAATCAGCAGCATCTGAGCTCTTGTCCTTGGCGTAGGAAGCCGCGTCAGCACCCTTAGACTTTGCGTAAGACGCAGCATCGGTTCCCTTCTCAGAAGCATATTCGGAGGCAGCTTCAGCAGCTTCGGATCCCTTTTCTTGAGCATACCCAGCGGCTTCACTACCCTTCTTCTGTGCATACCCAGCGGCGTCACTACCCTTCTTTTGTGCGTATCCAGCAGCATCGTTGCCCTTTTGGTGAGCATACTCAGCGGCATCGCTACCCTTCTTTTGTGCATACCCAGCGGCGTCACTACCCTTCTTTTGTGCGTATCCAGCAGCATCGTTGCCCTTTTGGTGAGCATAAGAGCGGGTTCCGGCTAGAATTTCGCCAACCTTACTGCTGGCGGACTGGTAAATGTCGCTAGAGGTGATATCGTCATTCTTGTCCTTAACCCAATCCTTCAAGTTTTCTAGTGACCAGCCATCGAAGATATCGGCCACTGCAGGTGACGATGCTAAGTTGGTGAGAGGACGGTTGCTGTATTGCTTTACTAAGTCAAGCAAATCGGCGCGGGTACTGAAAATAGAGTAAGATACACCACGAGCGTCTAAGAACGAACGTAAGCGTTTCTTGGGCCAGGACTCCACGCCTAGGAGGAAGGTGTGGTTGACAATATTGTCACTTTGGTAGAGGTAGTCCTTTAAGCCCTTGAACTTGTTTAGAGTTTGACCCCACACGGAAGCAACCGCTTCTTCAGATTTGGCGAAAAAAGGGGAGGCTTTCTTTTTAGCGGCTTCCAAATACCAAGTAGCATCATCCTGGAGGTACTTCTTATTCTTGTTGGCCAAGTTCAGAACGTATTTGCGGTCGTGGGCAGCCTTGTCCTCGATTTTCACCTTGTGGCTGCGCAGCCAATCCTCGATTTCGCGCGTGGACCATGAGTTGAAAACGTCGTCTTTGATTTTTCCGGCTTTGTCCGCGACTTGCTGGTTAGCAAGATCGAGTTGTTCCAAAAGATTGAGACGCTCATCATCCACGTAACGAGACGCGGAGTATATGTTTTCACGCACCTTGGCTAGAAGATCGTCCTTCTTGGCCTTGGCCTTGTCGTAAGGAACATGGTACTCGTCTAGCCACGATTGCAAATCGTAGTCGTCCCATTGGGCAAAGTATTGCTGCGAGGGGTACAGCCCGGAAAGACCGGCCTTTTCCGAGATCTTGTCAAAGTTCTCCTTGGCTTTGGTCACGAGACCGTCACGCGAGAGGTCCGAATCGTACTTGACCTTGCCCTTGGAGAGCAATTTCCGGAGGTCTTTGGCGCTCCAGGTGTCGAAGATCCACTCGGAGACCGGGTCCTGGTTCGTAGCGAAGTCTGCGAGTCTTGTGCGCGACCCCCAGAACTTCCACCACGGCGTGGGCTGCGATTGCTTGTTCCACGCATCCTGCGCGTGTTTACGAAGCACATCCGCGTTTTCACGACCGGCTTTCTTGAGCGTATGTTTCTGGTCTTGTAGGTATTGCTCCAGGTCGTTGCTGGTCCACTTGTCGTAGAGTCCTGCCACGTCTGCGGCGGCGAGCGACGCCAGGACTAATGTGCTGAATGCGAGTCTCATCGTTGTAGAAAGTGAGCTGTAGTTTGATCTAGCTTGTTTCCAGCTGCTTATCTCTAGTCTCTAGCCGATTGTGCTGTTATACTTGGCTTCTGCTTCGCTTCTACTGTGACGATATTGCTGTAGCTTTCAGCATTCTGGCACATCCCTCAACCGCCCCTAACACTTGCTCTTATATACTAATTTACTTAGTAGCAGCAAACCCTGTAAAATGTTGTCTCAGCATTATGTCGTGCGCTGCGATAAACATCGGTTTTGCTATGGGGAAAAGTCACTGTGTGGCCGGCCTGTAGCACAGCGAGAAAAGCTGGCAAGATGCAAGAGATTGGGAAGAGTTTAGCAAATGGGATACGTGGCCTTTATTGGACTGTTTTGCCTGTGGTCCGAAGATGGCGCTGGCCTCGCGGTTTCAGAAGATCGTATCACTTGGTACGAGTGCCAGTGGCTGGGAACTGCGCGCTGAGTGGACGCGGGGCCAGGCCAAGGAGTAGGCAGTGTGAGCAAGCTGTGGTAGCAACTATTTACTATTAAGACAGTAACAGATTGCCCAAAAAGACTATGGTTTTGCGATATCATTGAAGATGTCCTGAGGCCGGCCGCCATTGTGGATTTGGGGCGTCAGTATCAGGTATCTATTGAGTTGTAGTTTGTTTATCTCATGTTGATGCAATAGTTGTTGAAAAGTTGCTTGCAGATACGTCAGGCTGATGCGACTCATGCGGGCTTGTGCGGGACGACACACTAGTACAAAGTGATGAGATAGGAGCTTGTGACAATGCCTTGTGTGGATCTTGGCAGGTCTGGCTAAAGGCTGAGAATTCCTGAAGATCGTGGTGGGTCCACTTGTGTACGCCTTTTCATATGGTGATCAGAGGTGTGCTCGTTGAGGCAGCGTGATATAGATTGATAGGTTGCGAAACCGGTGTTGCAGGTTGCTCGGCAGTTTCCCTCCCGTGAGCATCCAGGGCCATTTATACGTGGGCTTTCGGCATGGACGCCATGGTGATGTCTCAAGCGTTTGTTAAGCGATGCTTCACGCTACCTTTGGCGTGAAAGCGCAATACTATGCTATATGCGGTTCTTGTCTCTGTCGGCGTTAAAGAGCGACACGCTCGTATAAAGTGATACGTCCTGTACTTCTGAGACGCCGCCTAAAAAACCCTCCTATGTGACCTGGTCGACCGGGATAAGTTTGTAAGTACCGATGACTTGTTTCCTGCACCAATGCGTTGCTACCGCTCTGACCAAGCCCTTCGGTATCAAGACGGCCGCGATTTGCTTTTTTACATTTCTTGCTAATTTCGGCGCTTTCGGGCTAATACTCCATGATTATCGAGCCAAAAGCAGGACCTCGGGTTATAGAAGTTTTGAGAGATCGTGCTCATTACTGTGCGTAAGCTAGAATTTATCAGCTATTAAGGACAATTTACCATGTTGGCCGACGATACCACTGGCAGACTTCCAGACCTTAACCTAATCAGCAGAGCGCATGAATAACTGAGTAGATTCACACCAAACGTAATTTTGAAAAATGACAATTAACGAGCAGCTACCAATCTGATATTGAATTCAATACTTAAGGGTTTTGCTAAAGTTAACTAACTGACTAGTCTTAACGTCTTATTTACTTCATAAGACTCAGTAACATAATTGAGAGAAAGCAGGGGGGTCTCTCGTAATTCATACTCACCCCGATATCGCTTGCCCCCGTGCCCTAACCAACAGATGCTTGATTTCAACCCAAAATCAAAAACCGCCCATATGACTTCCTATGCTGTTTCGGACAGCGTTATAACACATCGAAACATTTGATAAAAAGCACACATGCTAAACTCGAATAGTAAGGAAGAAACAAGACGTAATCGATATAGTCATGTTACTTGCTCAAAATTAGTCAAATCATTGAGTGAAGTCAGTTTGCAAGTCTGGACCCTGCTATACGGAGTAATTGGTTACTGTGAAGACATTTTTAAATTTATCGAATACGGAAATTTTTGAAAGGCTCCTGTCTGCCCCACGTCACACATGGGAATCATCTTGTGATGAACGGTAACAGATCTTGAATGTCATCGGTTAGCAAGTATGCCCAAGTACAGAGTAAAACCAGAACCAAGTTTGCCAAGACATCGACTGAGTCCTTTTTTTATCACCCAACGACCACCTAGTTGGGGAAGAAGAAACTGATCTATAAAATCACACCAACTAAAGAACGAGAGCCCCAACCACAGAGCTGAAATTATTAATAACACTCGAATAATCTTTTGAGATAGACTTCTAACATCCAAGCTGAACGTTATGATTCTCTACAAAAAAATTCTATGCCTACTTGTAGAGCCCGGAAGTGTAACTATTTGACTCGCGAACTGGTCAAATCGGCTTTCTATTATGCAAACCGGGCCTTTCAGCTTTCCTAAGTTCTGATAATCTTTCATTTTATCACGTTATACTAAAAAAATCATATATTCACGAAAACAACGAATTGTTGAATCCCATTCAAAGAACTAATCTTGGGTGGTAAGCACATACGTTCCTTAGATTTCAGTGCATGCGCCAATGTCGGATCGGGTTATCAAGCAGAGCTCTCCGTCTACGACGCTACTTAGCGAATCTCCTTTGACTGCTGACCCTGTAGACTTGGCAAACCCAACTAATGCTTTGTCGTCAGTGGCTCCAGAACCCATCTATGTTTCTCGAGAGCAGTCCAGTGGTATGATGACGAAGAGTGGACTCAGCGCTTTGCAGCACACAATAAATAGCCTGAACGTCTTTCAACATCTACCAAGAGACTCTGCTCAAGGTGTAGAGGATTTAACCCGCATGAAAATGGCGATGCTCAGCGGTATCCCTACTGAAGTCAATTGGGCCTTGAAAAAATACCTAGCGTATAGCAATAAAGCACCATACATGATTAGTCTTAAGGAAAATCGGTATCTTTTGCCGCTATTCGCTAAACTTATAGTGGATACCAAACCTGTACTGAAAAGGTTCGACATGCCCTTGAACGCGGAAAATGATATTCCTACCTTGCAAAGATGCCTCAATACTATTTTAGTACTGCGAAACATGGCCCAGGATGCGGAATCTACCCAAATTTTAGCCGTGGACTCCACGGTCAAAGATTTCATCCTAACTGTGCTACAGATGTCTAATGCCGTTAATAAAGCTGCATTCTCGCTGTATTCCCAAAACTCTCCTTTTTTTAATGAACTGATACATTATATTATTGATCTTATGGAGGCAATTTCGTCGTATATTGCACCAGCTCGAAAGGACGATCCATTTTTCCAAAACATGGTATCTCTTTTGACTGACACCAACGATCGTTATATGGTTATTTCGATCTTGCGTTCGCTGTCTCGACTTCTAGTAAGATCAAAAGCGGATGAAGAAAGTGCAGCAGATAACCTCCATAACAATATACTGGACCAGATTGTTTCTTACCTGCTGGTAGACTGCGACAGCGAACTGGTAATGGCCTCTTTGGATTTCCTTTACCAGTACGTCTTACCTGGCAATGAAAGAATCAACACTCTTTTAAGAAGCGAACAAAGGTTTGCCATTCTATCGGCAGTTTTGCCTAAATTACTAACTTACGGCGTAACGCTTCCTGACTATGAGGTATTTGGGAGATGTGAAATAAAATTAAAACAAAGAGTGAGGCCCCCGGCCCCAACTGAGCCACCTAAACTCGACAAGAGCTCGTTCCATGAAGTTCTCGAACTTAATGAACCAATGAGGTCAACAGCATGGCTTAGATGTTGCTTCGAACCGGTTCAAGACTCGGAGGTGACACAAATAAGTCTTTGGAGGGGTTATGAGTCAGAATTTTCTCAAGCCGTAAAGGAATCTGGCAGAAAACTTCTTCCAGCAGTTGAATTCATAAAAAACGTTTCTAATGCGTTCAAAGATGCATCAGCTATGGTTATCACAGACCAGACGACCAGCAAGAAAAGATTCGTAATAAAAGGTATTCAGCCGAGATCTTTTCCTGTTTCAATTAGCGCAGGAGAGGTAGCCGCCAATACATCCGTTGACAAAGCCTCGTCGTCGCTAGAAACCAAAAATGGCACCCTCCGTGAAGCATCTCAAACTGCTCTACCTGGCATTAAGTTTCCGTCGAGGTTGACTGATGTCTCAAAAGCAAGTGCAACATTTCTATGCTTGATATCGAACGATGACAAGGGTCTCGGTTTCGACTTTTGCAGAAGTGTCCGGTCCGTGATACTATTCACGCTGGCACATGTTCCACCTTTGAACTCTGCTCTCGCTGAGTATGTTGATAACATTCCTGCTACTTAAGTGCTAGCTTCAGGGTTGAGAGTGCGAAGTCCCACGGCAGACACGCCGCGGTTGGCATAGTTCATAGTCGAATCCCCGCTGGGAAAACAAGGCCGGCTCCATCTTTGAAGCATCTAAATTTGATTTACTAGCCTCAAGCTCCCGTGTCATAAATTCATAAATTAAACAGTGCTGATATGTAAAAAACTATCTGGGATGTATCATAGTTGTGGTTTGGGTTCTGGAGGATTCTAAAGAAGTCCCCACATGCAGTAAAATTCGTTAGCTTCATTAAAAGCAGGATATCCCCTTAACTCGTGACGATGTGTCAAGTCCGGATATTTTGCGAGCTTAAAATTTGTAAAGCTTCTTCAAAACGGTGATGAAGCTCTTTGTCTTGTCTGCATCTTCTTGATTGTTTTCAAATTCATAAAATTCCTTGATCGAGTGCACAAGCCTCGCTAGCTGTTCAGGCTTGAACCTGAAAGTCATATCATTTTGCAGGTAAAGAGCTCTAGTTTTCGAGTTCAGATAAATTGTCTCAACAATATTATTGAAGAGTGAGTCGATTGCGGAAGGATTAACTTTAGAATAAATGTTCACGAGTTTTGTAACATCACTTTCCATAAGCTCTGGCAGCTTCAAAAACATTCTAAATCTGAAGTAATTAACCACCTTTAGTAGCATTATTTTCTTAACTTGCTCGTTTTCGATGTCGACAAACTGCAATGAGTCGTTCAAATTGTTCAGCATTTGCTCAGATATCTCACGAGAAACTGCTTGCTTCACGTTTGACCCTCTATTAGCATGCACATCTTGCATCAACGTCTGATAAAGAGCCACAGTGGAAGAGAAGGTTTCTTGGGCAGAGAGAACATTGGCCAACTGCAAGGTATTCTCCACTTTGTCAAGCTGAATGACTCGTTCCTTACAGCTCCTCAAAAACAAGGCAAAAGATAGCAGGTCATTTGTTTTGTGCTCTGTTCCATGATGTGACGCTTTTAGTAGCTTTATAGCCTCTTCTATCTTCTTGTTACTGATCAAATACTCGGCTTGAATGTTCAACGCTTCTTTTCCAATGCTGCTTTTAAACTTATTGAAAAGAAGCTTGTATTTAGCAACGTTACCGGAGCGTATGCAAGATTTAAGCAGAAGCGTCACATTCAAGACAGGACACTCACTGTTCAAATCAACAATCTCAGAGTATCTCTGCATGCGGAACAATTCGCCATAAACATATCGAATAGTTTCTTTATGTTCTGCTTGTTCTGCTATGCCTTTAAAACGATAAGGAAAATCGACATGCTCTATAAGAACCTGAATGTCAGAAACATTCTTCGCCAAGCGAATGAATGAGGCTTCCTTTAGATAAGGCAACACTTTGCTTTTGAAGAAAGGATGTTTCATTATTTTTTCCTCCAAATTTTTGCTAGAAGTTTTGACAACCAAACAATTAGCCAAGTATCTTCTTTCCTCCTCATCAGGACACAATTCTAATGACTTCGTTACTGTTTCGAGGTCATTGACCCTCTGCGTTATCAGCTGTTTGTAAGTGTCATAATCGAAACAAAAACCCTCATTGCGTAATCTCTCGTAGGTTTTGTAACCTGTACTAAATGAGTTTCGTAGCATGGAGCCTAAACACAATGGGTAAGTTTTGTCCCACTCACCTGGATGAGAGAAGTACTCTATCAATTCCTCGGGCATGCTTATCATTCTCGCAGCCTGTACTGACGTACCACTAATAGAATTAGGATTTAAACTCAACCTCTTGTAGTTTATCATTAATTTTTCAAATCTCGCAGTAAGTTGATCCTTGAATTGCAATAGAAATTCATTTTCCATTACAGCATAGTAACCATCTAAATCGTGAAGCTTGCAAATCATCGTACCATGAAGTTCGAGGTTATAGCTATACTTCTCAATTGTTTGAGGAGAGGCCCATAAGCTTTGAAAGCAAGCAATCAAGCCACTGTAATTGATGGAACGACTCTCTGATACATTGAAGGTACGACAACAATCCATAAAAAATTTGGTCTCCGCGGTTCTGCTCAATACAACTTGAGATTGATAAGCATCTATTAGCCCGTTCAGAAATTCAAATCTGTCTTTACTGTGGGCACATAGCTGGCCATGGCAATTGATAAATCTTAGCAAGTAATCATCAGGACAATGGATGCTTTTCAAAAATTGAAAAACATAAGGATATACGCCGGCTTCAAACCCCACATTTTTAACAACGGATTCCTCAAGTAACTTCATGACAACTTCCGTATCCTTTAGCTGTAAAGCATAATCCAGAAAAGAGCTTAAAATTGACTCTGTGCCAACCGGACGCAGTAAATGCTCGTTTAAGCTCGCTGACTTTTCTTTCAATGACCGCTTCATCGGGAACATGTAATCGTACAACTTTTTAGACAGTGACCAGTTTCCCAAAGCATTGGAGAGAAAACTCAAATAAAAGTCGTAAGAGAACTCGGGCACCCAGTAAAGCTTCTTAAATTCGTACCATAGCTCATAAGCTTTTTGGCAATCCATTTTACTCACCGATAACAAGAAATTCGTTAGCACCAAGGACACATTAGAAGCAAGACCAACCTTTTCCTTAGCGTCAGTCAAAACTTTGTCCAGCAATTTAATTGCCAAGGCCATGTCACCAGTTTCCACTAAGCCAGACAAAACTGAGCTATAGACTTCATATTGATGAATTTGAAGATTGGTATCTGATACACTAGCAGTCCTGAATTCTTCGTAAACACTCTTTAACGCAGCATTATTATTGATGTTTTTGGCGTATGTTGATAAAGCCACGTAATAAAAAGAATCTTTGAAATACAGCTTAGAGTTATGCAACACGTTCTTGACGTAATCGAATTCGACATAGCCTGGGTATAGATTCATGGCCAGGAGGGAACAATCTAGTAATTCCTTCGAAAATTCGTGAGATTTGTGGGCATTAGACGCCCTAAAAAGATCAACAGCAATTTTATAAAAATCGATGCCGTTTCCATTCCCTGCCTCATGAGCAAGTATTGATCCTTTGAATAGACTGCCTATCACAGCATTATAGATTTGCTCGGTAGGCTTCATTTTATTGTTTATCAAGGCTTGGTAGCAGTTGAGAAGCTGAAACATGCGGTTATCGACGTTATCATTGTCTAAGTTTCGTCTGCAGACGGACTCTATTATCAGAGCATATATTTCAACTGGTGGCACGATGTCGTTTCTGTGCAATGCCTGGTAATGGGCGTTTATGCTATTGTAATCGCCCCGCGCAAAGCAGTTCCTAATTTGTGTTATCTGAGTGTTTAGAAACGTTTGAGGATTGAGCGATTCCTCATGGTCTACCTCCCACGGTGAATTATGAGAGCTTGAGGTGGTGTCTTTGACAGTAGGTGACGTTTCCTTTGTCGCTGGTTCTGCTTGGGTAGTGTGTTTATCGACCATCAAGATTGCCACACCATCTGCATAATCTAGTTTTTCTGGTGAAGCGGTAACCTCCGTCACAGTCATAGGGACTAATGGAAGCCCGTCCTGTACGTGGTTACCAGAGCTTTCGACAGCGCTAGTTGAGAAATAGCTTCTGGAAAGTCTTTGGTTAATTTCTAAATGTCTGTGGTTTGGGTAGTGTGGGAAAGAGTCCTTATGTTGGCGGGAACGAAAGTGATCCAAAGATTGGGCTCCTGGAGCCGCTGCAGAAGTCGTTACTGCCCCGAAGCTCGCTCTACGCGAGCCCGTAGCACGCCAATGTTCTTCGCGTGGTAGATCGCTGTCTAATCTGCTTTGGACCATTTGATGGTCCTCTGAGGCTTCCGTGTCCAGCACGAGCTCGACGTTGTTATAATTTACATTAGCCACTACCACAGGATTTGGTCCTACGACCAAGCTATGTGACGACTGGATACAACCATCCTGGCTCACCACACCCTGGTTCCGGCGCAAATACTGATACGAACTCTCGAAGAAAGCCGTAGTTTGTTTCTGCGCCGAAGAGTGATAGCCTTTAGAGTAAAACTTGCACTTGAACGATTTGAATACCATTGCAGCTTTCGAAGTGTGGTAGCACTTGCTGACGCTAAAATAGAAGCCAAAATTGCAGCTCTTGCAGAGTGTATAACAATCCTTTTTGCCTTCCCGAGCTTTAAATCCCGGTAAAGCTATGGTATATGATATCAGAACTAAGCTCGATTGTCATTTTTTTTTTATTAGAGCGAATGAATCATAGTAATGATCGCTATATACGTCTTGAATCCAATAGGCCAATCTCAAGATCTGCACAGCGCCGACAGGAATTTATCGAAAACGTATTTTGTATCTCACTCACTAACGCGACACTTCCACATTTATGTAAGAATTCTTCGCATGAATATTTGCCAAACAACACTTAGAGTTTGCATCGTATATAATGGTGATAGAAGTTGCTTTGAGCTATGGTTTAAACTTGAAAACTTGCTAGATGGTGTTGACCATGTTACGGGGAAATTGATCTACCCCCCGCATGCACTTAAATACATAGCACCCGCTGGCGGCGAGAATCTTGCGGGAAATATGAATATCTCGCCCTCAAACCCACTTGCTTTTGTCTGCAGCGGCACTTTTACATCTTAAAAAATGTACAAGACTTACCGCTTTTATGGGGTCACGGCATATTCTCTTCTGAATCTGTCATCGACGTTGGTCAAGTAGTAAACACCGGACTGCAAGTGATCGATGGAACCCTTAGGCTGGAATCCTTTTTGGAGGTGAGCGTCTTCTCTTAGCTTAATTGCAGCCTCGTAGCCTTCGGGAGTCTCTGTGACTCTCGATTGTAGCTTCTTATCAATATTCAGCACATCTGTCATGTACTTAATGTCACCAACTACGCGACATGAGAAGATGGAGGCGGCCAAACCGGAACCGTAGGAGTATAGACCAACTCTCTTGTCTTGCAAGGCATCTGATCCGACAAAGAACAGCAAAGAGGCTAGAGCAGCATAAACGGACCCAGTGTACATGTTACCGGTATTGGTAGGGACTACCAAAGAGGGGTCTACTCTTTCCTTTTGCAAAGCCTTGGCAACACCAACAAAAGTCTTTTCGACGGTCTTGTCAGTCAAACTGGCATTGTAGTCCATTTGAGCAAGTGAAACGTCAACTTCTGGGTAAAGCGCTGGGTTCGCCCTAAAGTCGTTGTAGAGTAATCTGGCATAAGACTTGGTAACTAATTTACAAGTTGGGACGTGGAAAACGTTATAATCGAAAAACTTGGCTGCATTAACAGCTTCGGGGCCGGCAGGATCTTTAACAAGACCCTTGGCAATAGCTTTTTTGGAGTAAGACTTGTAACTTTTGTCCAAAGCGCTCACGTAACAGCTCAAAGAGAAATGGCCATCCACGTAAGGGTATTCACTTGTAAAATCAGGCTTGTAGAAATCGTAAACGTGTTCCATGTGGGTTCCTCTGACGGAGTCAAATACGATAGGAGCATCTGGGCCAATTAATAAGGCAACAGTACCAGCACCACCGGTTGGTCTAGCGGCGCCTTTGTCGTAGATAGCAATATCACCACAAACAACAATAGCATCGCGGCCGTCCCATGCAGAGGATTCGATCCAGGATAAACTGTTGAAAAGGGCGTTGGTTGCACCATAACAAGCGTTGACGGTGTCGATACCTTCCACGTCAGTGTTGTCACCGAAAAGTTGCATTAGCACCGATTTGACCGACTTAGATTTGTCGAGCAAGGTTTCAGTGCCAACTTCAACTCTTCCGATAGAATTGGTGTCAATGTTATAGTTTTTCAAGAGTCTGGACAAAGCAGTCAAACTCATAGAGTAAATGTCTTCTCTGTCGTTGACAAAAGACATATTGGTTTGGCCCAGACCAATGGTGTATTTGCCTTGCGAAACACCATCAAATTTCTCGAGATCGCCTTGGTTGACGCACTGTAGATAAAGTTAGTATTTGTGCTTGCAATGGAAATGGATGAGTTTTTCGTGAATATGGGGGAGTAAGAAGAACAAAACAAACCAGATGCTGTCACTAAACAGAAGGGCTCATCAATAAGCGACACAATTTCGTGCCTGTTGCAACGAACCCTAATTTCGCTTCGGCCTTCTGTGTTTCATTTTCCCCATAAGAAATAATCACGTTGATTTAGTTGTGCACTAGCTTCGTGCCACACATACCTGAGAGGGAATGTATACTTCGATACCCTTGATACCAATGTTTTGAGGTCTTGGCGGCTGGTCCATCGTTTTTTGTTTCTTAAGCTGGTTTTGTTCGGTCATTTCTGGAATATATGATTAACGCGTGTGCGAGGTAGAGGTATATGTCTTAGATTAAAGTTGTATTTCTATTTTGACCTTTTAAAGTGCTTTAGAATTCCACAGTTTATACTAAGCCGATTGTTTGCAAGTTCAATGATTTCGAAACGAATACTTCGTGGTGTGGTTATTTGTTTCTTGACTTGTCTTATAGACGAGAAATAGCGCCAGATTCACCTTTCAATGTTTTACGAAAAAAATACTAAACGAACGAAAAGGCGTAAACGAAATCACCAGCACCGAAATGGCCGAGTACATCAAAAAAACGTTCGTAAAACGGTAAGGTTCATTGTTGAAAGTGAACTGTGCCTTGACCATCATCGGACGAGCGAAAACGCAGGGTCAAAGCAGGTCTGATTAAAATTTATGTAGAAAGCCGATTTTTTCAAGCGACCTTCACGACGAAAGGCAGGGTTCTTTCCAAAGCTGGATATGACGCTAGTCGCAGCTTGATAAAGGGCAGTGCGAGCTTTAGGTCGTGGAAACGGCACATTAAACCATTACATACCTTTGTACGGGCATATTCGAGCTGCTTCCCTGTAGTAGTATCTGTTGACCAGCCTATTGAGAACTGCAGCCTCAATTTTGGATTAGTATCGTAAGAGCTTCGCTGCTCGCCGGTTCCTTTGGAACGCAATTGACTGAATGAAGGTTCCTCCTATAACGACAAGGAACGGTCGCTGGATACGATGACATAACCACTGCTCTCCTGCTTCCCATATAAAGATAGCTCAAGAAGCCGAAGCAGCATTGCGCACGCAAGTATTCCGGAGCCTCAACAAAAATTAAGCTCCCATCCAGCTCCCTTCTCATGCGCCCCATCAATCTCCCTTTTTTATTCGAATTTCAACACTAGACGCGAGTGTCTTGATGGTGTGTTTATTGCGTGAGCTCACATGGATTTTCCAAGAATGTGATCACATACGCAGCTACCTTATTTAGTGAATGGTGGCGCTCACTGGATATTACCCTTTGGTGGTCCGGTCAGTATTGCCTTTTCAAAACGTGTCTAGCCTCAAATGCTGCGCCAAATCACGACTTTATATTTTGCTGGCCTCTATGGCTTTTAGTGCTCTATACTACTAGGGGCTTCCCTTTTTTACTCAAGGGTTTTTCAAGATTGACAGTTTCGTGGATGGCGAAGCGCCTACTTTCGTCACCATTGCTAGACGTTTGACATTCCACACGCATCTAGTAGTATTTGCGTTCATGTTGGCCACTCCTTGCTGCTTGGTTGATCAAGTATGATCAAGTCTCATCTCACAAGGTGAGCAAGTGCGCGCTGTATGTGTGTGTGTGTGTGTGTGTGTGTGTGTGTGTGTGTGTGTGTGTGTGTGTGTGTGTGTGTGTGTGTGTGTGTGTGTGTACACTTTATGTAGTGTTGGGCTTCAACAAAAACCAGCTATAAGCTAGACATAAACGACGCCCTTGTTCGGTCATAAATCTAAGTTCACGGCACGCCCTCAACAAATTGGTCTCTTGGCCCAGTTGGTTAAGGCACCGTGCTAATAACGCGGGGATCAGCGGTTCGATCCCGCTAGAGACCATTTATTTTTTCTCTCAACAAAGAGGTAATACTAGTAATATTTTTTTATTATTACTTAAATATATATTACTATATTGTTCAGAATATGTCATTATCAAATATTATAAATAAAAATGAGAATATAATTACAATAAATAATGAATAAAAGCTTAATCCATGTTTAATAATTCAAAAATAGTAGCATCTAATCAAACAAAGGTACTTAGTGATACAACAAATTCTAACTGAGCAGATAATGTAAATGAATAAGTAATCATACTAATTGAATTAGCTTTTAAAATGAAAATAAAGAAAGTATAAACTAATGGGAAGTAATACCTCAATATTTACCTCCAATTTGTCCTTTAACCATATTTGAAATAGTATCATATACTGAAAATGAAATTATTCTAATACTACAAAAAATTGCTCAGTTGTGCCATAAGTGTTGTGGTACCGTTAATGATCGCTCTGTCATTGACTGCTAAGAGTGAATCGCACAAGAATCTATCTCTATGTCCAATTGAAAGAAATAGCTTCGAAGTGTGTACAGCTACCTAGGCTTTTCCACTATAAGCACGACAGGAACCTAGAATATGTCAGGAAGTCCTTCAAACTTGCGATCTTTTCTGACCTTCCAATATTTGTCGTTAAACTTCCAGTAATTCTTCTTTGTTATAGGATGCTGAGCAGCGACAAACCAGTTAGGGGTGTACTCGACGTTTTCCTTTTCTCTTCTCTTTCTTGCAGCTCTTTGTTTCTGTTCCACGCGGTTTTTCTCATCCGCAGCCGCATCATACCTTCCTTCCTCCATAGCCCTTTGATCAGGTCTCAGCCGGGTGTCGGTAGGAGGAATCCACTTCAAAAGCCTTGGCTGGGGAGCATTTAAAGAAACAGCATACTGCGTAAGATTGAACGGAAGTTCTGGTCTGTCGTGAACATGCCAAACCAAAAATTTAGAGCCATCCGTATTGGGCCCATCCTTCGAGCGTGGCAAGCTCTTCGACTTGTCTAGGGCCATTTCTTCTGATGAGTTGGGTTTCAAAACTTTCTTTGCATGCAAAGATTCATTCCAGTGGCCTCCGAAAATCCATTCTTTCCCTCCCTTCTTGTTGTAAACCTCACCTTTCACTTCATATGCGTTGGAAGATCTCCAGCCACGAGCCTTAAAGTGAATCGTACAACGATCGCCGGTAGTGTGGTTTACGATTTCAACATCGCCATGATTGTCAACTTGCGGATTGCCTACAAGTATACCAACAACCGTGTTATTGGGCTTCTTCCACGTGTACAACTCATCCTCGGCTTCCGAATCTGGTCTCATTCTTAAATACCACAGACCTAAGTGTTCGACCTCAAACGATCTACCGTTAAAGTTTGAGTCTACGTGAGATTCACCCCAGAAGTCCCACTTTGCAGACTCAGACCAAGTGGCGGAGATAGGGGGGTGGTGAGAGACTTGTTCTGTGAAAAATCGAAAGTGTTCATCAGGTCTGGAATACTCGTACGTTTCTCCCAAAATTGGATTGAAGGGTTTGGCTACTCTTTTGGTAGTCGAAGAGTACGACGAAACCGAGAAAATTGCAACATATAGCAGTCTCAACGTCGAATCCTCAAAAGCTGCAGCCTCTGTCAAAATGTTAGAGTACTCCAGATCTTCGGCTACCCTTTGAAGTAAAGACGTGGGTTCATTAAAAGTAACCGGAAGCGCCATTCTCGTCATGTCTTTACCAATCATAGATTTGAGTACCGACCATAAACTAATTTTGGGACGGTCATCTTGGCCTAGCCCAAGCTTACACCTAAGACCATCTTCATAACCTAAGTACGAGCCTTCGTGGTTAATTTGGTCCTCTTTTTTCTTCTGTGACTCGGTGAACGTATTATGAAGTGGTTTTGTCTGTTCTTTCGTTGATCCAGAGCTCTTAGTGGTGCTTGTTTCGCCAAAAGGTTGACTGGCTTTGGCCGTATCAGAGGTCGATTTGTCTGTAAGTCCTGTGTGCGTAACGCCTTTTTCGTAATTTGATGATACAGCGTCAGTTACGGTGGACTCCGTATCACCTTCAGCCACGACTTTGTCGATTTGCTGTTCTTTGTTTATATTTTGCGGTTTTACTCCCTCGGCGTCTTTATCAACCTTCTTCTCTTTAGAGGAATCATTGTCTTCGGCATCAAAAAACTCATCGATATCTGAGTCTTCGTCAGCTTCTTTGTTGGAGTTAATGAAGTTTGCAATCTCTTCCAACGGTCTAGCGGTTTCTGATTCAGGTATGGGAGCAGTATCGCTTTCTTGCTTACCACTTGAAATTTCACTAGCTGGTCCTGCTTCAGAGATTTCGAGCAACTTCTTCTGCAATAATTTCTTTAGGTTCTTTCTTTCTACGTCAAGAGAGGAGAGTCGTTCAGACTTTTCGATGAGTTCTAGCTCAAGCTCCTTAACAGACCTTACCCACAAATGGTTCACATCTTGCTGCTTCTGAAGCAGTTTGATCAGTTTCTTGTCCCTCACGGACGTCATGGAACTGTAAGAATTGAAGTTTTTCGAAAGCGATTGCAAAGATTTTCTCACCATCTCCAGCTCACTGGCATCTGGCGTTTTGGCTTCTAGTAGCTCGGTGAGCGATGCCAACTCTATTGTAATAGACCTTTGGATCATGGAAACTTCTTGGTGGTGGGGTCCGTATTCAGTTTTCAGATCGTTATTGTCATAGTCTTCAGTGTCATCATCTTTCAAGTAATCCTCGCTTGCCAAGTCGTCCGCATCATCCGAGTTTTGTCTCATTTCCCCAGTTTCTGACCTGTTATCTCCGGTATTAATGGAGGCGTCCATGGAAGTACGCCCAGACTTTACCTTCGTGACGTACTCCTTACCACGAGAGGTAAGGTTTTCGTTGAGCTCCGCATCACTAGAAGACATAGATGACATGGAGCTTATAGAATGCTGGGGCTGGTGTTGTCGTTGGCGGCGATTGACAGAGGGATGGAGGCTGTTGACACTGGAGGAGTTTGAGTGCTGAACTGCCTCTTTGGCCTTGGGGTTGGAAACTGTAGCACTTTGATCAACATTATTAGGCTGTCCGCCACTTTTTATTACTCTTTCGCGATCCTTGGCAAAACGAATAGCACCTTGGACAGCCCAAACCCATCTATTAGTCTCCACAGGGTGATTGCCTTTCAGATGCCATCTGACAGTACCATTGAACCCCCCGATGATCTCAAACTTTAGTTTCTCCGAGGAGTCTAAGTGTAAATAACAGGTCGACATATTCAGAGATCCACGACATGCATTTTTGGTATCGTCTTGGTCCTTATAGTAAGATAATGTACCGTCGGGGCTAAGGATAAACCAGCGTAAGCGGTAGCCCTGGGCAAAATTGGTCCACTTACGTAAATACCCTTTGTAGGTTGGTGGCTCGTTCAAATTGTTGGCCACCTCAATAACACTTTGCTCCCTTGCCGCTTTTTCTAGCATTCGCTTCAATTGCTGTTCGTGTGTAAGCTTAGTATTTGGGGTATCGGCTGCTGGTGGCACCTTGCCCAGCAAGTCGACGGGTAGTTTGCCTTTGCGATCTCTCTTAAAAGGATCTCCACCATGGCTCAAGATCCATCGACACATGACAAGGTCCTTTTTTTTCACAAATTCGTGCAGTACTGTATCTCCCGTCTGGGGATCAGTACCATTGATGTCGAGAAGCTCAGCATTCCGTGGTTTCGCCAAGATCGCTTCTAAGTGGTCACAATCGCGGTTCACGAATGCTCTTCTAAACTCTTGAGCAACGTCACCTAGGTACTCAGACCTTTTCATTTGCATCATTTGGGCTATATTGAGATTCTTGCACATTTCAATAGGCTGAAGATTCGAGTTGTTAAAGATGCAGTCGTTGATGTCTGGCAGATCCATGAGAATGTTGACAACGTCTCCCCGAGATTGGTATGCGGCCAAGTGAAGTGCGGTATTTCCTTCAGGGTCTTGATGGTTTACGTCCAGCTTAATCTCTTCATCCTTTAGCCAATGGGCTAAAATATCTTTGATAAGCTGCAAAGGAGCCACTTGAACAGCGTAATGCAAAATTAGCTGTGCGACCTCTCTGACGCTGGCGTCATCTTTCGGATTGAAGTATGTTTTCAAAAGTTGGTCGAGCGAGGAGAAATCACCCTCACGGAGAGACTCCAAAAGCTTGAGTTTCAGCAAAGGTTTACTAACTGGATGCTCAGCCATTATGAAGTAATCTCTATTATGAGTTATTCAGTTGTTAGTTAAGTCGCCAAATGCTCGCTTTCGAAAAGGATTAGGGTAATGTGTCGTCCTAATGTTCTCTTAGCGTTTTAATCCCCTTTACCGGAAATCTAAAATGTCTTCCCTTAGAAAGTTTAGGTGGTAGAAAATCTAATTCTTACCTCAACTTTTGACCCTCATTGCTCTTTCCTAAAATTCAACGTAATTAATACCTACAAACGAGCAGAACTGAAATCGAAAAAGTTTAAACTATCTATAGCGAAGCCTTGTACTCTAAGCCTTGTTATATTCTAAACAATTCAATGCTGGTCGGGTGCCATCTACCCAAGGATGGGCCTCATAAGAGTAGTGTTACTTGACGTCGAACTCTAGTCTTGAGAGATGTAGACACGCTCAATGTCGTGAAAAAACCGCTCGATGAGATGTACGAGCCTCGTGGTCTGTCTGTGTTTTGAAGATACTACGATAGAAATCGACTTGTCTCTCATAATGTAGCCGATGCCAAATCCGTTTGCGCATACGGGGCCAAATCCAAAGCTTTGGAGGCTCGGATTTCCACAATTAGATGTGCTGATGACACTTGTCTGCAACAAATTCCAACCGCCGTCTTCGAAAATTAACGGCTTGGGCATGGTGTCCCTGAAACTTTCTTTCCAAATGCAATATAGAGCGTACAGATGCCGATCCTGGCCCATTCCGGCAGCACATTCTTTCGTCACAAAAGAATGCCTTTCGCAAGCTTTAGATAAGTAGCTCTTTAGTAAGGTCTTGGAAGCTCCACTTCCGTTGAAGGACTCAACAAATCTTTTGGATTCATGCGAAACGCTTCTGACAGCCTCGGTGCGCCCGTTTTGAAATTGTTTTGTCATGGCTGGCTCGTAAGTTACTTCGAACTTTCCATACAGTGAATGATACGCGGCTTGCAGCCCCATTTGCACAAAAGCATCCGGGGAAACTTTGAAGACCGATTTGATCTTTAGGGAACCGTAACTAACAAAATCGAGTCTGGCAAATTCAAATTGCGATATCAGGTCTGAAACTCGAGTCTCCGCAAAGTGTAAGGATGCGAGAAGATAAGAGTCCATCTGCCATTCCAATTTTCGAGGTGTTTTAAGAATAAGGCTGCTATGCGCATTACCTGACGCTGAGGAATAAACAGACACCGGTTTGGTAATACTAAGCGCCAGTTGCAGTATACTGTCGGTGTATATATGAGTAGCGAGTCGCAGCACGGTGTGTCCATCCACACCAGTATGCTCGAAATTAATCCCAGCTTTGCCATTACGAGTGACAATCAATTGTAACTTGTCATACCATCTATTGAGGCAAGTGCCCCGCTGTACTCCTGTAGCTGATCCGAACCGGCTATCGTTATGTGACACCTCTAAGTCCACGTCAGAAGTACCGCAAAGCATTTCCTGGACTAAATCAACAGGGTCATCAATTACCACATTATCCAAACAAAGCACAAACAAAGCACTGTCAATAATTTGCAAGTTTCGGGAATTGATGGTAATTGGGCTTCTACTTATGTAATCTCGAATATTGGACCAAGTACTTCGATTCTCTGTGGTAAGGGCGCCCCACGGAAAACGAGGCTGCTGCTCAGTATTCGTGTCTGCATCTTTGATTATTGAGAATAAGGTGCATTCCAGCTCTTGCGCAGAGAACACGGGATTATGCTCGAAATCCAAAACATCAAACCAGTACAAAGTAGACTTGTACAGGACGACAATATGGGTGGAGTGTAAAGACGTTTGCAGACGACAGGAATTGCCTGCTGCATCAGGTGGTATACGAGCAGATCCGAAGAGTTTTTCGTATTGGTCCATTGAAAGCGGGGTTCCACGCGCCGTATCTGGCTTCAATGTTTTGCATCGTATTTCCTTGATAAACGAAAGAGTCGAGAGAACAAGCCTCGATGATCTTGTTACGAGCCTGGAAACTTCACCAAAAGGGTCAGAATCGCTCAACTGGCGTAGTGTAGGGTCGTCTTGAAGTTCAAAAAACGGATTTATATTGAGCACGACAGACTCGTCAAATTGTAGATATGCATCGTACCAGAATTGTTCAATATACGACGACGCTGGATCTGCACGCTGCAGCTCCTGGTCGTATTCAATCAGTTCTTGATTCAACTCGGACAGAAGACGTAGACTATCTTCGCTGAATACTGTGCTCTTAGTTTTGGCATGATTCTGAGGGCTTTGTAGGGGCTCCAGACGTTCGACGTATCGTCTCAGACTCTCCTTCAGGGGCGGTACTGGTAATCTAGGCAAAATTGAAGAGTATTCTTCCGTATTGGAAATATCAGGCATAATAAGGGTTTTTAACAAATAGATGAGTGCTTTAGTGCCACTAAGTCACAACAGCTTTATTGTGACACTCAATTGTTAAGTGGTATTCAATATCATTAAAAATGCTTCGTCCACTCTCATACCACCATCTGTGAACGTCTCTCTTAAGTGTTGCTCTTAATTTGCCGGTTCCTTTCAAGCCCTTTAAAACTCAATAGGTCATTACTTGATAGAATAAAAATGTGACGGGTGATCAAGTGTGGTTAATCTGAACAAAAGTTAGGAAGAAACGAGATCTCCGAAAGAACTTGCAAAAGACTCTGTCAGCTATTGACGAATCGGATACCTCTCCTTAACCTCAAACTATCAGCCCGACCTGTGGAGCATACGAATATATGTATTAAAGCTAGTTGTTATTCACAGGACCCTGAATGAATGTCTTAGTAACGTAAACACTTCTCGTGGTCTTGCGAATCACGTCTCATGTGGCCATAGGAGTGTCTTTTGTTATCGTTAGGACTATCGTGCGAGAGGTGAGGAAGAGTCTTGCACCTACCAAAGAACGGCTGTTCTTGGTCAAAACCTTCTCGCAGACTTCACATAAGTATTGGCATTCAATGCCGTCATGGAGTTTGAGGATTAAGTGAGACAACTATATGAAGCAGCACTGGTCATGGGACGCGCTTGATTTTTGTTACTGGTCTGGGAGCGCTTTTTAGTTTCCAAGAACTCCTAGGTATATGATGAGACAGCAGAAGATGGCGCGCATTCGTCTCCGGTTTCTAGCGATACGCCGATTCAAACAGGCCAGGACCCTTCGTAATCCACGGACTTTAAATGGAATCTACTGTGAGAAACCAATGAGAATAAACAATCACTAGTGGCTATAACTTCGCGACAGCACCATTTTGATACTGATACCAAGCGCTGCAGCTTCTTTTTTTTTTACCAATAGTCGTGTTTCGAGTATGAGAGTTTCAGCACTGCCTAGGTACTGAAGTCCTCTAGAGATATTTGCTATAAGCGGAACATCAAGTGTCCAATACTATTGTGAATATCGTGTTTAGATGCGCTTAAGTGTTCTGAGATGGGCCGCTCTTACTTGGGAAACGTACTCTGTAAAGGAAGGATAATCACAAGCGAACAGGAAATTTAGCAATCGGAACATGTTGGCATACTGGCAAGTTCAATTCATTCACAGTATGGTACAGTTGTTCAGCTAGAAGGATATTTCCTGGCGTTCGTTCATAGAAATGTTGTACGTTTAAGATGAGCAGATCTTCCAGACGCGTATGTGTATTGTTATTTTGTCACTGTAAGGACGTGATATTTTAATCGTACGTCAATAAGCCTTTGGAAAACGGAAGGAGCAAGATATGGCCACAAGAGTGAATCTAACGCCAGCTCAAAAACACCCGTCGGCTTCTGAGAATACCCATCACTATGCTTTAAAACAAGTGGTCGGAAAAGGCGCATATGGCATAGTATACAGAGCTATAAATCGGCAGACTGGCAAACAGGTGGCTATCAAAGTGATAGAATATGACGAAGAGGAGGAATTGAACGAACATATGCTAGAGATAGACTTGCTTAAGAATTTACGACACGAAAATATCGTGAAGTACCATGGTTTCATCCAAAAGTCGCACCAGCTGTTCATTCTTCTCGAGTACTGCTCTCAGGGCTCGCTGCGAGATTTGATTAAAAGGGGTCCCGTGGACGAGAACGAGTGCAAGACATACATCAAGCAGACGCTGCATGGCCTGCGATATTTGCACGAGCAAGGTGTTATCCATAGAGACATCAAGGCTGCGAATCTGCTGCTGGACGATCAGAATGTGGTCAAACTCGCAGATTTCGGCGTTTCCACCAGAGTCAACAGCATGGCTATGACTTATGCCGGATCCCCCAATTGGATGGCGCCCGAGGTTATGATAGGCCAGGGGGCTTCAACGGTGAGTGACGTATGGTCGCTAGGTGCCACCGTCGTGGAAATTCTAACCGGCAATCCACCTTTTCACAATCTAGTCAACGAAGCCGCATGCTATGCGATAGTTCATGACGTTTACTTACCGCCAAAATCACTTTCATCAAAGTGTCGAAAGTTCATACGCGCTTGCTTTCAGAAAAATGTGTTTCAGAGAGCCACTGCTCAAGACCTGTTAAACAATGAATGGATAAGTGAACCTCAGAAACCAGCCCTCGAGAAATTTAAGGAAGAGGAAGTTGATTTAGAAGACTGGCGACATGACTTTATAGAGGTTGAAGTCTCTCCATTCAAAGAACATGACGTGAGCGGCGGGAAACAAAGTTTGAATCGTCTGAGACAACCTGGCGGTCATTGCAATCCATATTTGATTTTCAATGAATGCGATTTGACCAGCATTGTGTCTTGCTTAATCGACCTGTGCAGGCGCGGTCAATTAAAGAATGTAGAAGACGTGTTGGCATACGATTCTCAGTACAAGGCTGACGAATGCAAGCAAATGTTCATAGCTCTCGGCGGCTTACCAGCGCTACTATGCCATGTTGGACCTGCTGAAAAAATTCTGTCACAGTTCTTCTTAGGCACTGTCAATGAGCTAATAAAATGCGGTATTTTACCACTATGTGGAGCTTTCACAGACTTCAATTTGATACTTACTATAGTGTCCTCTTACGGAGAGCTTGTAGATTTCAAGAGTTGGTGCAAATGGTGCTCCAACTTAGCAAACATAGATGAGTCGCTAATTAGGGGCCTTGAATTTGACAATAAGTTAGCACACGACATCTTACTTAGCCTCTCAGAATCAGAACTTTTTCCAATACGTGAGGAATTGATTGCCAGGCTCATGGCTTTACCTTTAAGGGAGAACAATCGTTTAAGTTACACAGTATTCAAAAGTCTCAACAACTATTTGGAGAGAAAAGGTGTGGCAGACACATCTTCGGACTATAGCGAGACAGAAGCTTCTTCAAGTTCTCAATTTACACCGCTGCCACTTAATCTTCAGTTTCCTAATATCCCCGTCTACCCAGAACGAACAAGCCTGCCGGAGGGATTTGTTGATTGGCTTCTCAAGCTCACTCCCACTGCATCAAGCGACCCTCATTTGATCAAGAATTTTATCGAGCTTTGCTTCAATTCTAGCCATCTTAACCGCACAGTGCTGGGAGAAATTCTAGAGCATGGTGGATTTTTACAGCTAACGCAACAACTCACAAAACAATCTGTAAAGGACTCTCGGACGAAATATACAAAATCAATGCTCTCGATTGCATTAAACCTATGCCTCGAGCTTTCACAGGAACTTATTCTGATTTATCTACCGCCCATGGTTGATGTTGCACTAAGATATCTTGAAATTCCCGATTTCATCACAGGAGGTACGGAAATACTTTTGAATTGTTTCCTCGTCGCAACGAGGGAGAACTGCGCAATCACCGAGGACTCGTCAAACATACTAATACATTGCAATTCGGAGGAAATACTGATTCCCCGACTAGCCCTGCTACAAACTTTCTACTCGGAAGAACCTAAATTTGGCAATTACATCACTAAATTTTCTCGACTCTGCTCCTTACCGCCATGCAAATCCTTGGCTTGTGAGATTGTCTCCCACCCACAATTTATGAAGAAGACGCAAGCACTGTTCGATGTCTACCGCAGCAGTTTAATCATTCAGATCGATTTTTTGAAATTCTTAAAATTGATTCTAACCCGCTACGCGGAATTCACACCTCGTCCAACAAGACGAGACATTCCTACTGATGTGTTAATATCTTCGGCGCTGAAGCAGCGTGTCGCGGTACAGCCCTCTGGTACTCTTTCCTGTGTTATTGATTTTCTACGCTCGAATTGGCTACCTGACAAGTTACGCCCAAACCAAGTTGGTGCTGATTCTGTTTTGATAAAACAACTTTGTCATGACATTGAACTCCTACAGAATGCCCGAGTAAGTTCGAAACCCAAGCGATTGGTCGGAAACGGGTTCATGGTTCCAGGTCCCGTGCAATCTTGACGATAAACGTCGTATGTGATCACTTTTTTTTAATTCATACCTGCCTGATATGGTTAATTGCAAACATCTACTAAGTAAGTTATATCAACTCGCTGGACCGACTTGCAATCTAAAGGATGATGTACGAAATTGATCTCATGAAATTGTTGTGCCCTGTTGTTTAGAATTTTTCCAGTCGAGGAACTCATGTACAACAAGAAAGTGGAAACTCGCGAGCACAGCGGCCCTCGAATTAGTGATTACCAAGTCCTAGAAGAAATCGGGCGGGGATCTTTCGGAAGCGTTCGGAAATTGGTACATTTGCCAACCAACAAGGTCTTGGTGCGCAAGGAAATTCAATATGGGCACATGAACTCCAAAGAACGGCAACAGTTGATTTCAGAATGTGCAATACTGAGTCAATTGAAACACGAAAACATTGTTGAGTTCTACGAGTGGGACTCTGACAAGAACGTGCTGTACTTCTACATGGAATACTGCAGTAATGGTGACCTCTCCCAGATGATTAGCCACTTCAAAAGAGAGCGCAAGTATATTCCTGAAAAGATCGTGTGGAGCATTATGGTTCAAATTCTTTCAGCCTTGTATCGGTGTCACTACGGCACAGATTTGGCCCCTCTTGACACGATACATGACAAAATGAAAGTTCCTGTTAAGGGCCCTAACGTAGTCATCCATAGGGATTTGAAGCCAGGAAACATATTTTTAAGCACAGAAAGAGTGCCTGATCCGGCAATGGCATCTCAGACTTTAGATTACAACAAAGTATCCGTTAAACTAGGCGATTTTGGCCTTGCTAAATCTCTCGGGTCCAGTGTGGAGTTTGCAACCACCTACGTAGGCACACCATACTATATGTCCCCCGAGGTATTGATGGATCAGCCCTACTCACCCTTAAGTGACATTTGGTCGTTCGGCTGCGTCATATACGAAATGTGTACTCTTCGTCCACCCTTTCAGGCAAAGACCTATACTGACCTACAAAGACGTATTCAGGCGGGTAAATTTGATCGAATTCCAGACTACTACTCAAACGAATTACAAATACTGATTGATTCTTGCATAAATCCAGATTTGCAATCCCGAGCATCCACCTATTCTTTGCTCCAGAATATTCAGTTACGAGTTGCTAGAAAGTCGCTGCAGTTGGAAAGATTTGAGGACAATCTTTTAGACTACGAAAAGGAGCTTATGAACATCGGCGACATACTAGAGCGGCAAGCGGGTGAGTATGAAGCCGAAATGGCGGTAATAAAATATCAGTATCGAAAAGAGTTTGATCTTGCTGTAGAGCAGCGAGTTCGAGAAATCATGAATGGCAAAAAAGTTAGCGGCACACCTGAACTAATGACGGGTAAAAATCACTTGCATAGGCCCGACTACCATTGGCGTGTCAAAGGGAGATGAAATTTAAATCAAAACTCACCACCCCCCCCCCCCCCCCCCCCAACGGACGAAATACTTGAGTCTGATCGGCGTAAATCATATTTTAACCATAGCATCATCGAACTACTTTAATATAGTTTGTACAAATTAGACACAGCTAACGCATTCTAGAACATGACTTAAAACTTCTGGCCTGTTAACGTCTCATATGCCTCGACGTATTTCTCTCTAGTTCTTTGCACAATATCATCAGTCATCTTGACACCGCTTACGCCGTCTAGCTTATTCGCAGTCAACCAATTTCTTAGAAATTGTTTATCGTACGAATCTTGGGACTTTCCAAGCTCGAAGTTTTTGCCATTCCAGAAACGAGATGAGTCAGGGGTGAGAACTTCATCAACCAAGATAATCTCATTGGTGGATTCATCTATTCCAAACTCGAATTTTGTATCCGCAATTATAATTCCTTTAGTTTTTGCGTAATCCTTACACTTGGAATATAGTTTTATGGCAAGATCAGCGACTCTATCGCATAGTTCTTGTCCTACCAGAGCAGCTGCCTGCTCTTTTGAAATGTTTTCATCGTGTTCGCCTTGTTCCGCTTTGGTTGAAGGTGTGAAGATAGGGTTGGGAAACTCTTGACATTCTTGAAGGCCCTCTGGAACGGCTAAACCATGGACGGTACCGTATTTTTTATATTCTTTCCAGGCAGAGCCGGTGATGAAGCCACGAACAATGACCTCCAATGGGATGAGTTTGAATTTATGGATGAGCAAGCATCTGCCATCGAGTTGAGCCTTGTACTTGGGCTGCGACAATTGTGCCGGAAGAAGGTCAAAGACGGTTTTGCCCTCCGGGATGTCAACCAGATGATTACGCACATCTGACTTTAGGTACGAAAACCAAAATTCGGAAAGCTTAGTCAAAAGAATCCCCTTCTCGGGCACTGGGTTTTCCATAATAACATCGTAAGCCGAAATGCGGTCTGTCGCAACAAATAGGAGAGTTTTAGAGTCGACTTCATAAATGTCTCTTACTTTTCCTCTCGCAAGCAGTGGTAGAATTCCGTCCAGATTAGTCAGTTGTAGCGCCATTATCAAATTTTTAGGTCGATGTTTTGGCTGCTAGAATCGAATTCAACTATAAGAAAGGTCCTTTCTCCAGCTTTCTCATTTATATATCTTCGTGCAACGCTTGCTCATCGAATTATAGAGATAGTAATTGTTAATTTAATGAGGACAGAGTCAGAGCTTCAAACGGCGGTTCGAACTATGAAAGAAGCACAATGGAGCAGATTAGAAACATTGACTACTAAGAGTTTGACATTAGATTGGGAAGAGCTTGGCGACTCGATTTCTTTAGCTTAGATTCTATGCTTGGATTGAAAGGTCCGGAGTGTGGACAAAAGATTTTTACGATGAATAACAAGTCACTTGTTCATGTGGTAATTTTATTTTGGCCCACCAGTCAAATGCACTCACTTGCCAGCGAAGTGGTGCGATACTAATTGTAATATATTATACTGTGTATGTCCAAGTGGGGCAAGTGAAATGCCACGTACCTCAAAGTCAGTGCCCAACCATGGGAAGTTGAAGTTAAATATGAACTAAGGCTGAGAAAGTAAAGGTGCAGTTATGCATAGCACAATAGGGCAGTACGGCATGTTCTTGCGCGCTGGACCTTTTCTGGCCCAAGTTCCTCAATGACATTCAAATGTCGTGGAAATCGAACCGTTGGTTCCTCGAAAATTTGGCTAGAATGCAGTCAGGGCACTTTTGTTAATAATGATGAAACAGAAACATTGAATAACTTTCATCTGTCAAACTACATCGAAGTCTACTGGATGGCACTTCAGGCAGAAATAGTTCTTTGTGCGCTATAGTTTCCACCACCGCTTGTGCTCAGCGGATTCTTGATCTTCAGCAACGCCGCGGTCTCTATCAGATATTATATGGGTCAAGAGGAGAAAGTAGCTCCGCCAACAGTGTGGTACAAAGCAGAGACCTAAATTTTGTGACACAGGATCTCATAAATGAAAATTGAGCGTAAAGGAATTTTAGCACACTTGTGAAACTAAATTAACATAGCTTCGACAGCTCGGTCTTATGACACTTGGTGATATAATAGGTTTCATGCCATCATTGTGCGTTGTTGTGAAAATGAAAATTGAGATAGGGCATAAGGGTTGTGGACACTACAGTATTCTGGACTCGCATGCTCTTCATTCAAGTTAGGACTTCCTAGTTACCTTTATCAAAATATTTATCAACGCAAACCGCAAGCTCGAGTGGGCGTGCCAAGTTTGAACTCAAAAGATCTCAGTAAATGGTTACAAATTCGACGAAGCGAATAAATCAGCGTGAGACGCTTGCTTGTCCGTTAAATTGTGTACTGTAGGTTTGCTTGTCACTCTTATTTCTCACGAGTACACATTTTCATTATCCATGAATACCCGAGTACCTCAAACATCAAAAATTCCTTCGCTGATACTCCCATATCAACGCGCCCATCTCATTAATAGGCTATTGATCACAGACCTTGACAGTATTTCTGGGCCCCTGGTCGATGCAGAACATTTTGGATAAGGCATACGACAAGTATGCTCAAACTAGTTCTGCTCCATCCAAAGCACATACGGAACTGCTATGTGATCCCAACCTGGTAGAAGACTACAGTGATATTCTCAAGACAATGCCTAAGAAATTGCGGCAAGACGAGGAGAACAATAGCGTGAATGGCAGTGTTGTGATGAACTCTGGGAGCGCACCGCCTTCGCCCGAGAAGCCTTCTAAGAGCGCCAAAGATGGGAGCGAGCTTGGGTCTCTATCTCCGTCGCAGCATATACAAACACAACAACAGCCAAATAAAGCGGAAGCAGACCCTGCTTCGGACACCGACTACGAGTATTCTGATTCCGAGTTCGAAGAAGATATGGAAAGTCGGCTTCAAGACTTGAAATCGGGAGCCAAACAGGGAGCTGCCATGAAATTTTTCGATGGCAACAACTCGGGCCGCAGTTCTCCCGATAATGGTTATCAAAGTAGTTCATCGGACGAAGATGATCTTACAACGTCTCGTAGTATTGTAAACAACGGTGAGCAATACATTAGCCCAGACGAGGAAGACGACGATGATGACGAAATGGATGACGACTTCCAACCCCTGGCTCCTCCGGAGGAAATAGACCCGAATAAACTATATGCTTTATATCCCTTTCAAGGCCCCGATCCATCGCATTGTCAGTTGTATCAAGACCAGGGTTGCGTACTCTTAAACGACCAAGACTCGTATTGGTGGTTAGTCAAGCGTTGCGATGATGGTAAAATTGGATTTGCCCCTGCAGAAATTTTAGAAACATTTCCAGAGCGACTAGCTAGGTTAAATTGCTGGAAAAATGAGAACATGTCTAGTCACTCTGTCACCAGCGCTCAATCTGAGAAGGAGCAGGTGTCAATACATTCTGAAGGGAAAGATGTCGCTTCAATTCCTTACGACAAAGGAAATAAGTCAGTGAGCTTTAATGATGTGGTAAGTTATGCAGAGAGGTACTCCGTGAAAGAAAAGGCCAGCATCAACATGTCAGACTCTGAAGAGTTTGATGACACGGAAAAGGAAGAATCAAACCGTGACAAAAGCACTGATACTGTCGGCGAAATATACGAAGCAGCGTTACAAGGTGATGATGATGATGCCAGTGTAGTAGTAAGCGACGTATCATTCACTACCGGAGGCACCTTACCATTGCACGTCAAGAAAGTGAGAAATGCTGAATTGGATAAAAATTGTAGCCTGCAATCCAAAACACAGATCTCAGATGCCCAAAATCAGGGTGCCAACAGCAAGAACCTATTGACGCCAATTGACGATGGTCTCCGCCAAATATTTCAAGCCCCTACCATACCCTTTGCAGGTCATAAAGAAATACCGAAGTCTAACTCTAACTACTCCATTTCTACAATCGGAGACTACTCCCCATCATCATCCGAATGGACCAATGACTCTCCTCAAGCTAACAATGGAAAATTCGATGTAGCTCCATCTGCCTCAGACAGTATACCTTCCACCAGAGCAATCAAAGACATATCCAAACTCGTAAATCTTGCGAAAAACGAAAACTACGAAAAAATCGATAAGCAAGAGATGAGTGTGGAAAATATGCTAGTGGTGAATAGAGAGAAAGATCAAGAGTCTGAGCAAAGTACAATTCACGAAACAAGCCAAGATCAAAAGCTCAAAGATGTCAAACCGCTAGCTGAACTGCGAAGTAAAAGCCATGACAAGGTAGAATCTCGGGCTCTGAAAGATAGTCCAACGGAAACCTCATTCATCGACTATTCGATGACTCAACAAAATTCGCATCGCGAAAGCACTTCAGCGTCCTCAGACGACTCTTGCATAGACGAGGGCCGCGGAACCTCGGCAACCACTATTAATAGCACAATATCATTTGGCGACTCTAAGCACAATCATCATCCTGTTGTCCACGAGCTCTACAACCCATTGTTTGGTCGGATAGATGATCTTCTACAAAAGCTAAACTGCGTCATGAATGAATGAAGGAAGCTTTGCTCCAAAACCTGCATTAAGAAATCAAAAATATGTATACTAAGCAACCTATTCTAGAGCAAAGTCATTTGGCATTATCATCTTAGAATTGATCCTTTCACATTTCTTAGGTCACCCTCTTCTTATAGTGTAGTAGCTTGCTTGGTTAGATTTTTAAATTTTTTAGCGAAGCTCATCTCGTAGCTTCACCAAAATAGTTAAAGTCTGGAAAGTACAGCTAGCAGGCCATTCTCCTTTGTTTCCAATGTCTATGTGGAGTCCGGACGAGACGTCCCTGCTACAAATTGTTTCCGTCATTATAGATTCTCTGTCGCCGCTGCAGGACAAAAGAAGCGATGCTATGAAGGCCTTAGAAACCTTCAAATTACAACCGGAGTTCTGGAACTATTTATGCTACCTTCTAACAGAGGCCGACTCTAATATGTCGCTGAGCTCACAGTTGCCGCTTCATGACGTCCAGAACTGTCGCGCGGCAGCTGGGATGATCTTGAAAAATTCGCTCCTGCAGGGCACCAAGGACTATGACCTCAGCTACGTGAAATTCAATATTGTCAAGGGGTTGCTCTCTGATAATTCGTTGATTTCCAATATTACAGGTATTGTCATCACTACTCTTTTTTCAAGTTACTATCGACAGAATCGCGAAGATCCAACCGGAGTTGAGATTCTATCGCAGCTTCTCGAATTGATGTCGAATGGCAAAGAGGCAAGTGCGAAAGCACTATCTAAAATAATGGAAGATAACGCTCAGTTTTTTCTACTCGAATGGTCTGGCTCTGTAAAACCGATGGATACGTTGGTCAGCAGCTTCCTTATGCTCATGGTATCCAATTCTAGCCCCATTGTAAGAGCTGAATCAATCAAATGTTTAAATCAAGTCATTCCCCTACAAACTCAAAGCTTCATTGTCAAGATAGATGAGTTCTTGCATAACATTTTTCAATTGGCTCAAAATGATAAATGCGATCTTGTCACCATTCAAATATGCGTGTCGTTGGTTGAGTTTCTCGAGTTTCGGCCTGATAAACTGATAGATCACTTGAACGGTATTTTAAACTTTGTGTTGCATGTAATTAGTACGGCACCAAATGAAACAGTGGCTCTTCAAGCTAGTGAATTTTTGCTAGCATTCGTATCAAATTCGCATATCCCTGAAAGCGCCGTGAACCCATTTGTGAATGAGATGGTGCCAATTCTTTTGTCCAAAATGGTCCATGATGAAGAGGAAATCCTCATGTTCGAGGCCTCCAATGAGGATGATGCTGACCTAGAAGATAAAGATGAGGATATTAGACCGGCGGCCGCCAAAATCAGTAAAAAAAGGGACGACATGGGCGGTGAAGACGATGAAACCTCAGAGGACGATGATGATTTTGACACACAATGGAATTTAAGGAAATGTTGTGCAGCTACTTTGGATATCATCACAAGCATTTTGCCAAGAGAAGTTTTATCTGTCGGCTTTCCGATTTTAAGAGCACATCTAGGGGCAGAGCAATGGTTTGTCCGTGAAGCTACAATTTTAGCTCTTGGTGCAATAGCCGATGGTGGTATAAGGTATTTTTCGGATCAGCTGCCCGCATTAATTCCCTTTCCGTTAGACAAACTAAATGACGAATGGGCCCCCGTACGCACAATTACGTGCTGGACGTTAAGCAGATTCTCGTCGTGGATTTTGGCAGATAACACCCAATTTCTGATGCCTGTCCTCGAATCAATCATGACTGTCTTGATGGATAAGAAAAAGATGGTACAAGAAGCTGCTATAAGTAGCGTCGCTGTCTTTATTGAGAACTGTGACGCCGAGTTGGTAGAAGCGCTACTTTACAGTGAGCTTCTCGCCAAGTTCCATCAGTGCTTTCAACTGTACAAAAAGAAAAACCTGATTATATTGTATGACGCTGTAGGTAGGCTCGCCGAAAAATGCGAGTTCGACGAGCTTGCTATGAACTCTATTTTGCCACACCTAATTGATAAATGGGGATTATTATCAGATAGCGATAAAGAACTGTGGCCGCTGTTGGAATGTTTGTCCTACGTCGCAGCTTCTCTGGGTGAAAAGTTTGCCCCTATGGCACCAGAAGTTTATCATAGGGCTTGGAGAATTCTTGTGCACTGTGTTGAGCTCGAAGCTAGGTCTCACTATGATCCAACGGTTGAAGTCCCCGCAAAAGACTTCACAGTAACGTCATTGGATCTCATCGACGGCCTAGTTCAAGGGCTAGGGCCGGGAAGCCAAGGCCTGATCTTTCCAGAGGGAGATAAGACTGCCTTTCAAGTATTGATCCAATGTTTACAGGATCAGGTACACGAAGTAAGGCAAAGCGCGTTTGCCTTGTTGGGTGACATCGTCTTCTTTTATGATGCTGCTCTTTTTGGGGACGTCCTAGTCGACTTTCTAAAATACATTAGTACCGAACTTATGCACAATGACGATTCCGAAGCCACGCCATCTGTGAACAACGCTGTTTGGGCCCTTGGATTGATCAGTGAACGCATAGACTTGGCAGAATATGTGATTGACTTGTCGCGCGTTGTTTTGGACAATTTCTGCGATACCACTCGGGTTATTCACAGCTCTGTCATTGAAAACTTGGCGGTGACAATCGGACGCATGGCTCGATTTCATCCAGAAGTTTTCACGAGCGGCCCCTTCGCTCATGATGTGAGCTGGGCTAGATGGTGCGCACATGCCATGAACCTGTCAGACCCAGAAGAAAAAACAGCAGCTTACTTAGGCTTTATCAAGATCTTGAACTTCACCGACACTGTGAACACGATGTCATCATCAACACTGCACGATTTTTTGAAAGGAATTTCTCAAGATGTGGACATCACTGACTTTGCCGAGGATTTATATGCATTTTTTACAATCCATTCAGAGACGCTGCAACTGCTTAAACTCTCGCAACATGAAATGGAGTTCCTGAATCAGTTCTCTTGAGAGGATGTTTTATTGCCAGCTTTAAGCAGCACTACCATGTGTGTGTATGTTTTCTCAGTCAGACGTGCTAGCTCTCTGAACTATCGTCTGTTTAGACGGAACTAACGAAAGTATCCCTAATATTCTGACCGCATTGCATCCCAAGCAGCACATTGTTGTCTGCTGGGATCTGCCCTTGGCGCTACAGTCGCATCGAGTACCCTCACTATTGCAAATATTCCGTGGATACTATTTTGATCGCTTGTAACGGGCGTCCTGAGCTCATATCTTCCTTTTCGGTGTTCTCCGATAACGAAATCCCGATAAGAAATCGATAAAGATATGGAGAAAAAAGTAGTGCACTTTTCGAGGCATAATTCATAAAATGGAAGGTCAAAAGCTCATCTTAACCATGACTAGTCAGGTTTCAACTATGAAGAACAGCTTTCAAACTCATATTCGCAATTGGGGGAGACTTCAGAAGCTTTTTGAATCAAGAACATTAGTATCCGAACATGCCATCTAAAGCGATCGCCTCTAACAAAGTGGTTATAAATGGGGATGTCATTCCGGCTACGATCATTTATTCCACACACTCGGGTAAAATATTAGCGGTTTACGAACATGAGGTGGTCTGCAGTATCAGAGATCCACGGCTTGAACGGTTGGACGTAGAAAGCTATGAGATCGTATCTCCTCACGTGATAATGCCAGGTTTAGTAGATTCTCATGTCCATCTGAATGAGCCGGGAAGAACCGAGTGGGAGGGCTTTGCCACTGGCACGAGGGCCGCGGCTAGTGGCGGTGTTACCACTGTAGTCGATATGCCCTTGAATGCAATCCCACCAACTACCACAGTCGAAAATCTTGACATCAAGTTGGCAGCTGCACAGGGCCAAATGTGGTGCGATGTAGCGTTCTGGGGTGGCTTGGTGCCGTCAAATTTGGACCAGCTTGTTCCACTTGTGAAAAGAGGCGTTCGCGGCTTCAAAGGATTTACTATGGAGTCGGGAGTAGATGAGTTTCCCGAAATCGACAATCACTATATTATGAAGGCCCTTGCTGCACTCAAAGACCAGAAAACAATGCTGCTGTTTCACGCAGAACAGAGACCGTCGGATGATCATCACGGCGTCATAGATATTATCGGCAGTGGTCTCGAATTGGACCAGTTCAAAACGCTAGACGGTGGTAAAGATCTCTCTGAAGTACAGGCCCACGCTTTGGCGGAATCGAAAATACTGGCCTCAGTAGAGCCCACGACTGGTCAACCAGCACATGCCGTGTACGATCACAACTCGACCGAAACACCTTTGAAATCGTTGGCAAGGACTAACGACCAAAATTTTGATAATATCGATCCTACCGCCTATGCTCCGTACTTGGCCTCTAGGCCCGATGTTTTTGAAACTAATGCAATCGGCATGATTATCTCGTGTTTATCTGAGTCTGCCAAGCGTTTCAACACTGTTCCTAATGTTCACATCGCACACTTAGCTACTCAAGAAGCGCTGCCCATGCTGCATTATGCTCAAACTAAGTTGGGGCTTCCAATTTCTGCTGAAACCTGCTTTCACTACCTGTCATTTGCCGCCGAATCGATTCCGGCCAAAGCCACATATTTTAAGTGCTGTCCGCCAATTCGCTCAGAGGCCAATAGATTAGGCCTCTGGAAATCTCTCCGCGATAATATAGTTGGAACAGTAGTCAGTGACCATTCTCCGTGCACTCCAGAGTTGAAAGACTTGGCCAAAGGTGATTTTTTGTCTGCTTGGGGCGGTATAGCATCTGTGGGGCTAGGTCTCTCTATCCTAATCACTGAAGGTGCTAAGATGTCACCGCCAGTGAGCATTACGGAGATTGTAACATGGTGCTGTGAAAACACTGCGAAACAGGTTGGGTTGCAACATAGCAAGGGTTACTTGCGTGCAGGTCATGATGCGGACTTCATTGTTCTTGACCAATACAGTAAACGGGTTATTTCCAACAGAGATCTGTTGTTCAAGAACAAATTGAGTGCTTATGCCGGACGTGAGTTGAGGGGCCAGGTGATATCCACATTTTTAAGAGGAAAACTTGCATATGAGATGGAATCGGGACCTTCGGCTAAGCCTCTAGGACAAACTCTTTTAGAGGAAAGAACTGTATGACTTCGAACGCTTTTATGGTAAAGCCGTAGATGTTTGAGCTAGGTGAAAAACAAATTATAGAATTGCCTCAAAAGCCAAACTTCCCTTCAGCTTACGCCGTTTACCTTCCAGGCATGCTCTGATTTTCGTCCCTTCTTCTCAATGAGTGATTTGAGATACAAAGCTTGAGTAACCACAACGCTAATCATGAGCATAATTCCACATAGTGCGAAAATCTTTGCTTTCGAACCCGTGGAAACAGCAGTGGCTCGGCTGCGCGACGTCCGAGATCTGTAACGCCACATGTTGGCTTCGAGTACCGTGAGCTGGCGCTCGATAATATCAAGCGAGCTGCCAAGTTTTTGCTGCGTAGGGTCGTACGATCCCTCCGACATTTCTTGCAGGTGGGTTTCCAAATATGCGGCATCTTTCTGCGCGGCGACGATCTCGACATCCACAATTCGGCTTGCTGTGTCTGGAGCGTAAAAGCAAAACCCGTATTCTCCTTTCTGTTGGGCAACGAACGACCAATCTCCTTGCATTTCGCTAAGACGCGTTACGGCGGGCTTTGTCAGGTCATTCGGAGTGTATATCTCATATTTCAAGTCCATCTTATGGTCAGAACCTTGCTGGACGGCAAAGTAGTAAGATATGACGCTGTCTCCAGACGAGTGGACATAAAGGCATTCATTTTGGCCTGCCTGCAGTTCGAAAGTAACCGGGAATGCGCTAGCCAAGAATGATTGTGAATAGAGAAGTACGTAAATTATAAGAAAATGAGCACCCATCTTTAAGGCTATAGCGGCTAGTTGGAGCTCAAGATCGCTGGTGTCAGAACTCAGATTGTCATCTCATGTTTTGTGCTCGATGCTTGATGAGCGGTAAACACCAAATAGCAAGTACTTTTGTACTTCCGAGTACAAACGTACTTTCGGTGAGTATCGAAGGAATGCACGCGCATCGCACGCGCGCGCATCGGAAAGATCTACAAAGAAGCTTCAGACACATCCATCTAACTCATTCGAAGATGCCAACAGAAACTGTCAGATAAGCGTCACGATGGGAGAAATCCCTCCAGATGTCGTGGAGGAGATGCAGGAACTAGCAGTGGCGGTTCCAGGCTTGAACTCGCGCTACAAGTTGTTGGACAAGATCGGAGAAGGAACTTTCTCTTCAGTTTATAAAGCAGAGGATTTAACAGGGTCTGTGACCAAAAGTTTTGCGCGTCATTTCTGGGTCCCTGGAGAGCGCCAGGAACGGCGCTTTGTAGCTTTGAAACGAATCTACGTCACGTCGTCGCCTACTAGAATCTACAACGAGCTGAATCTGCTGTACATGCTAGGTGGCTCTACACGCGTTGCCCCGCTGTGCGATGCGCTCCGACACCAGGATCAGGTTGTAGCAGTTTTACCCTGGTACCGGCATGAAGAGTTCCGAAATTTTCACCGTGATCTTCCCATAAAGGGCATCAAGAAGTATTTGTCTGAACTTCTGCAAGCGCTAAGCTTCGTGCATTCCAAGGGTATTATTCATCGCGATATTAAGCCGACAAACTTCCTTTACAACCCCGAGATTGGGCGTGGCGTACTGGTGGATTTCGGACTTGCAGAGATGGAAAACAGCGCCGTACGCGAAACCAAACATGCCAAGGATTTGAGGTCTTTGGAGAACTATTGTCCTTGCAACGTGAACGATTCAGTTCATCAGCAGGAAGACCTGCAGCATCATCATCAGCCAGGACAGTCTGGAGCATCTAAGGGAAAACCGTCTGTTGTTATACCTAGTGCTACCACACCTTCGCTCGTGGATCTCACTAAAGGTTACCCAAAATACGAAACACGTCGAAATAAACGAGCCAATCGAGCCGGTACTCGAGGGTTTCGCGCACCGGAAGTGCTAATGAAGTGTTCGAATCAATCCACAAAAATAGATATATGGTCAGTGGGAGTAATATTACTGAGCTTCCTAGCAAGAAGATTCCCAATGTTCCAGAGTCTCGACGACACAGATTCTTTACTAGAGTTGTGTTGTGTATTTGGCACCAAAAGGATGAAAAAATGCGCTGCTTTACATGGGTTGGGTTTCGACATAAGCGGGCTCGATGGGCTTAGCGCGGAAGGTCACAAAGGCGGTCTGGCTGGATTCATTCAGGAACTTCTGCACGCAGAAGTCGAGGCTGGAACTTTCCCCAGCTACTCAATTGCATTTGAAACCTATGAATATCTTGTCGACAAGTCCACGGGTGATAACATAGCTCCTTCGACTCGACATCATGGTATGGAGGATGTGGCTAATCAAAATCTCAAAAAGTATCACGACGAGGTTTGGAGTGATCATTATTGGTGTTTTGAGGTTTTAGATCAGTGTTTAACGCTAGATCCTCATAAGAGAAGTACTGCCGATGAGTTACTTTCTTCAACATTTTTTAACGAACTTGTGGATTCTGATTGCACAGAGGAAAACGACGACGAAGACGATGTCCTCATAATTGAGAAGTAAGAAGCGGTATACAAAAGCATTTATTAGCATAGCTATACAAGAAAATATCCCATTTGCATTCTAACGTGGCATAAATAATAGCATTAGCGAGTTTACGAGAGTCTTAAAAGATGTAGGGGATCAAAAACGCCCTCCTTGTACCATATTTCCGATTCTTTTTAGCAGCCCAAGCATAAAGCTGCACAGTAGAGACGGCTAAGAAAAAGACGGCGAACACATTGAGTTTGAAAATCAACGTGAAAGCCGTCCAAGCTAGCACTTCAAAAGTATAGTTAGGGGCCACGAATATTTTGAATATACCATCCTCCAACGGAACGCGCTGGGTGATGCCTTTGGCTTTTTGAGAATCTCCCCAACGACGCAGCTGGTAGTGAGTGTAAAAGTTCCAAAATTCAGCCACCATGAAAACGCTTAGCAAAAGGTTAAAGCTATTATCTAACTTGAAAGTGGAATAAAGCTTGAAAACGGTGGCATCCTTGAGTATAAATCCGTAACCGAAATAACCCAAAGAGATAGCTCCGTTAAGAATCCAGTAGTGAAAGGAATTCTTGAACAAGTTAAACAATGGCATTGTTGATTGTGCGAACTTGTGAAGGAACAAGGATTCCAACTCCCTCTTAACATAGTGAACCATTACAAGTAGGTAAGCAACTTTATTGACAAACGGATTATAGCCACGCGACTTGCAATGATATTTGGCCAGTGCCGGCCTCGTAGACAAATAGTACATGAGGGAATGCAGGATTATAGGACCCAAATATTCCATGCAGAAGACAAATCTCCATGAAATTTGGGGACCAATGTCCTTCGCAAACAGTTGGACTGTGCTCAAATCTTCGAAAGCATGATCGGACGTTATGGGAATCTGCTTATCTTCCTTTAGAATAGTCAATCTGATACGGTTCGTGTTGATATTCTTATTTTTAGCGGAAATCGAATCCAACGCAGAGCTTAAAGTCTTGGTTCCGGCTGGAATCTCGACATCCTTCAAGGATCTGGATCTGGATTTGACTAAGATACCCATTGTGACGACAAAAGCTCAAGTAGTGATGATATTTGTTTGCTGGAAAATCATGTTTGATGAAATGAAATGAAATATTAAGGTTGCTAAATTAAATTCGTCTTAAGAGAGAATGAGAAAGCGACGCGAAGTAGAGAGAGCTGTTTACAGCAACAATTGGTTAGCGAATAGGCCGTTTTCAAGGATGGAAGGTATTCCAGTAGCAAACAAATAGAGCTGCTTGCAAATACATTTCACTGGGAAGTGATACCTAGATCCGAAGACCGGTAAACATCAGATCTACATGAAGCTTCAAATCAAGGCCCAACTTTTAGGCATGCTCTTATAAGGCTCCTGCTATCGCTAACTATCAACCTTGGTTACATCAGTCTTGCAAATGACTAAACGTATATTAAAACTAATCGTAATTAAACTGGGACTCTTATAATAATGTTTTGACCGCACCTGGCCATATTCAGCTTTGGTGTGCAAAGAGTTAAAAAAAGAATTTATGAGCCAGGAAGGCTTGGAGCCGGTATTGGTATAGGTTGAAAAGAAGGTAGTGTTGGCTTTAGCAAGAGCTCAAAGTGATAAGCTGCTACCGCAAAGCGATAATACAAGTTTTTAGTATTTTTGCGCTCAAACAATGGGGTAATCAGTGCAAGAATACTGTGTAGCAGATTTTAGAGATATTTACGCACATAGAGGTCTACCTCGTGCTATCCTGGGGAAGGTTAAGCGTGGCACCAACTTAAACCTTGTGACTCCAGGTCGGAAATCCAGATCACTTTGTCACCCGATGGCACCGTCATTTTCAAACTGGTGTTCCACTAGGAGCAGCTCAGATGCAGTTTCATACGGGCCCTGCCCCTCACTAAACTATCCTAAAATGATTTCGTTCCATTCTTTAAACCCTACAAATATCTCATATTCGAGCATAGGGCCACCCAAGAGCTGTCTGAATTTCTCTGAGTCTACTAAAACCGTAAAAGCGTTTTCTTGCCCCTTCTGACTCAAGTTTAATCTGCTTTGCCGCCTACAATGTCACTATTTCTCAATGCTCGACTTTCCACGAGTGCTTGGGCTCTTTCCTTTTTATCGAGCATTTCGACTCTCTGAAAATAGTGAAAAATTTTTAGAGATGCTCATCTCATGGAAAAATAAAATATCTTGAATTAAAGCCTAGCACTTTTGATCACACAGATAGTCTTGAGACTAGTATTATTAGCATCGGTAGTGTTATATTTTCGATTGATAATTGCTGAGATATAATGGTTTTTGAAGCTGGAAGCAGAGGTGGCCGTGGAGGTATGTTATAAGTGGTGCTCGACGCTGCGATGAGGTATTAGGTATACAGCGATTTTAGACTTCGTGAGAGCAGGAAAAGTTTTTGGTTTACAGATAGTAGACCGGGATCATTGGAGCTGTATCATAGTCTCTTTGCTGTGGCCTTGTTGGTGTGTTAATGTCTTTTCAGTTATACTAACTTTTCACTCCAGGCTCTAGAGGAGGAAGAGGTGGCTTCGGCGGTGGCCGTGGTGGATCCAGAGGTGGTTCCAGAGGTGGTTTCGGCGGTGGCCGCGGTGGATCCAGAGGTGGCTTCGGCGATTCCAGAGGCGGCTCTAGAGGCGGTTTCGGTGGTGGTCGTGGAGGTCCTCGTGGCGGTTTCGGCGGTGGTCGTGGAGGTCCTCGCGGTGGTGCTAGAGGCGGTGCCAGAGGTGGTGCTAGAGGTGGCGCCAGAGGTGGTGCCAGAGTTGTCATCGAACCTCACAAGCACGCCGGTGTTTTCATTGCCAGAGGTAAGGAAGATCTATTGGTCACCAAGAACGTTGCTCCTGGTGAGTCCGTCTACGGCGAAAAGAGAGTCACTATTGAAGAGCCCGCTAAGGAAGAAGGTGTTCCCCCAACCAAGGTTGAATACCGTGTCTGGAACCCTTTCAGATCCAAGTTAGCTGCCGGTATCATGGGTGGTCTAGACGAGCTTTTCATCGCGCCTGGCAAGAAAGTACTATACTTGGGTGCCGCTTCCGGTACCTCTGTGTCGCACGTTGCTGACGTTGTTGGTCCAGAAGGTTTGGTTTATGCCGTTGAGTTTTCTCACAGACCTGGCAGAGAATTGATCTCCATGGCCAAGAAGAGACCTAACGTGATTCCAATCATCGAAGACGCTAGACATCCACAGAAATACAGAATGTTGATCGGTATGGTTGACGCTGTCTTTGCCGATGTGGCCCAACCGGATCAAGCACGTATCATTGCTTTGAACTCCCACATGTTCCTAAAGGACCAAGGTGGTGTTGTTATCTCCATTAAGGCCAACTGTATCGACTCTACTGTCGACGCCGAAACCGTTTTCGCCAGAGAAGTGCAGAAGTTGCGTGAGGAACGTATCAAGCCTATGGAGCAATTGACATTGGAACCTTACGAAAGAGACCATTGTATTGTCATTGGTAAATACATGAGAAGCGGGTTGTAAGCCAATTACCGTTAAGATACGGCGCTCATAACATCACTCGCCATGCTTGTAAATTAGTGAATCAAAACTCCAATCAATCCATTTCAAAACGGGTTACATATTATCTAGAGGTCTGTGTAACAGTATTTTAAGGACTTCACAAGTGAAGACAAAAGCAGGAGAGAGATCCACATGCATCGACTAGCTTTCCTTGCTACAAGGTATCATCACTTGATGATTTCTGGTTACGAGAAACTATTTGATTGTATGATATTCTAGTTCCGTCTCTCGTAATCTTCGTTACCTGGTGCCGCTACCGTAACTCACATGGTGATTGAGGCATGTCATTTACAATTATTCTCTCATTCATGTAGTATTCCACTATTGTTCTTTTATAACATCCATCAACATCTACGATCTGCAAAAAGGATTTCGGGTGACATTATAGCCTGAGAGCCATCCATAAGCTTCTAATAGCATTACTGGGATCCGGAGACTCTCTCCACTCCAGTGCTCAACAACGACAACTTCAATATGGATCCTAGCGAGTCTCATGAACTTGTAAGAACTTCGGAATATGAACTTCACGACGAAAATGACGATGTTATAGAGATTGAAAGCTGCGCTGAGGATGAAGCTGAGCTACAGAGAGCAGCCAGCATTCGCAGACGCGCATCTGGCAGAGCAGGAGGCCGTACAAACCGTTTTGCAAATCGGCAAAGGCATACGGCCATTAATTCACCTCACAACGCTGAAAGTGTTGAAGGCGATGACGAGGTTGAAGTGGTCGACGAGAGAATCCTCGACGATGGTGGGCCTTTGAACCCGCGCGCGGGCTATATTGATCTGGAAAGAGAAGGAGCTATAAGAGTGGCACAAATTAGACCACGGCAACCTCCCACCGAAAACACTGAAGAGGAAGAAGTTGTGTTTTTAGGGCAAAACACTGTTGATTCCAGCTTTGTTTTGAACCTCCCCGGTGGCGAGCGACTGACGATATCAGGAAGTCCGCTGGAACAACCCATGAGGCGGTCCTTTCAAAATCAGTCACCTCGCTCCTTTAACTCAAGTAATAGCAGGGCTAGATTACAGCGTCGCGCTACTAATAGAGCACAGCAGCTGTTCATCCATTCCCCCGAGGACTCAGAAGACCAGATACTTCGTAATGGGCACAGGATGAGGGACAGAATTCAGCAAAGAGAAAGTGCTCGTGAAACAAGATCAGAGCAGCATTTGAGAAGACAGCGAGCTTCACGAAGAAGTGTTCCCACAAACGATCCCGAATTCGCAAGAATACAAGACAGGATAGCTCGTCTTCCTCCCGGAGTCCTTGCTGCTTTCGATGAAGCGCAATCAATTCAAGAATTCCAATCAATTTTGCAAGAAGTAGACAGACGAATCTACGAGCAGCGTGAGCATGAACTGACTAATCTATACTCTAACTTTCGTGGCCATGTTACACAGTCTTGGGCTAACGAAAGAATGAGACGCTCAAACGTTAGAACAAATAACAATACACGGACGGGAAACCGTAGGCCAGAGTGGATGCAATCTTCAGGTGACTTAGCTAACCCTAACGCTCGACACCCCAGCTCTATGAGATCATGGATTCCGTCTGGTTATGGGTCTTACTTCGGTAGAGATATGGATGAAGCTCGAGAAACGCAAAGTCTCATCGAAATGATACAAGCTCGCGAGGAACAAGAGAACGACACCAGAAAACGCAAGTACATGGAGGCGTCTAAGACTCAACAGCATGAGTTTCTGGAGAAAGCGAACAGTCTACCGGAAAATTACAGCTCCTCATTCGACACTACACCTAAAATGAACATATCAATCACGAATAAGGGAAAAGACGAAACGATTAGCGTTGCAGATGACGATGCAGACTACACAGAAGTACCGGTATGTACACTATGTGGCGTCGAGCTTGGCGTTGGTATTCCAGACGATCACAAGGGTTCAAAATCTGAGGATAGAGGAGTCTCTTTCGAGGCTCTTGTTGCAAAGTACCAATTTCACTGTCCTTTTCAGACTCTTCAGAGCATAACTACCGCAGACAGAGACCTGTCACGACGAACTTACGTGGCTGTTTGTGGCCACATGTTCTGTGGACGTTGCTTCAAGCGACTCGATACTGCTAGCGCGCAAGGTAAAATGTCAAAGAAGAAACTGAAAGACTTGGGAGGGCCGTCGCATCCGGACAATTACGGCCCTAAGCAATGCCCAGCGGATAACTGCAGAGGTCAACTGAGAAGTAGGTTCAGAATGAAAGAAGCGTTTTTCTAACGCTTACCGCTCAAATATACACTCAAGTGTTACCCTGGCACTGTTTTCAATCTTATATTTACAAGGTTTGAAGTTCCGTTGAGTTTATGATCGAAACCCTTTTAAAGGGTATTCATGGCTACGAACTAAAAACATCCAGAGCAGTTGGTTGTGCGATAAACCCTTAGAAAATAGCAAGGATATTTTGAAAATGGGCCGGTTGTTCATCGTGTTTCTATGCGTAGGGCTCGTGATTACTGGTGGTATCAATTCATTGTTCACCAAGTACCAGGACAATCAGTGTGTAAGAGATTGTGATGGAAACTCTCCAGTTTTTTTCAACCAGCCGGTGTTACAAACGCTGCAAATGTTTATCGGAGAAATGACGGTGTTGATAGTGTTTTGGGGCCAAAAGAAGAATGCACCATTGCTCGACGCTGGCATTCCTGCGAAACCTGCGATAAAGGGCAGGCAATACGGGTTACTGGCTCTGCCAGCAATTTGTGATATTGTTGCAACGACCATGCTAAATTTGGCTCTGGTGATGATCCCAGTATCAATTTACCAGATGATAAGAGGTGGTATTGTGTTTTTCGTGGCGCTCTTTAGTGTGTTGTTTCTTGGCCGCAAAGTTAGTCGTCTTGAGTGGACCTCCCTTGCTGTTATAGTCCTTGGGGTAGGCGTTGTCGGGTACAGCGGTCAAGGTGTTACTGCAGCCGAGACATCCAAGTCCAAGCATGGAACAGAATCATTGTTTTTGGGTGTTTGTTTGATTGTACTGGCTTTAATATTCATGGCAACGCAGTTCATCGTTGAAGAGCATATTATGGCCCGTAGGCAAGTCATTCCGGTAAGCCTTGTTGGTTTCGAGGGTCTCTTTGGAACTCTGATTACATTTGGCATTCTACTATTTGGTGATATTCTTTCTGGTCATAACAAAGTTGACTCTAGTGTCAACATGAGTCAGGCTTTTGTGGACCTGTTCTCCAATAATAAGGTACTGTATTCTTCAGTGGCTATCATGGTGTCAATTGCTTGCTTCAACTATTTTGGAACGTCCATTACCAAAAATGTAAGCGCCACGTCAAGAAGCACTGTGGATACCTGTAGGACTATGTTGGTGTGGTTGGCGTCACTGGCGCTAGGCTGGGAGTCTTTTAGAAGCCTCCAACTTCTCGGGTTTACTTTATTGGTTTTTGGTACCTTGGTGTTTAATGGAGCTATTGAAATTCCCGACAAGTACTTGCCTCAAGTTTTGCTCGAGGATAAAGCTGGTGAATACGATCGACTAATCGACACCATTGACGAAGAAGTGGAAAGATTCTGAAAAATCCAAAATGCTTTAGTCTATAAATTGCTAAAATGAGTAATTTGTAGTGGGTGTGAAAGAGGGCTTCAAAGTGATTTTTATATAAAAGTTCCAGATAGCGATTATCTGAATACATGGTGAGTGCTTCAGCAGGTCATCTCGCATGTGACTTGGGACCCAACCTGCAATAGCGTACATATTTGATTCTCAAAGGACCCAAATTTTATTAGTATCACACCCTGATGATTAAACTTGGCATGATTAAAGGCTATCCTTCTGAGTGGCTTTGCGATGTCAAAAAGAGCTAGTAACTACTCAGAATAGTAGATCCAAGGTACAGCAGAGACACATACCAGCTAAACACGCTGTTAAGCAGTCCTGATTGTTGTTTGAAGGGCGTTGTTGCTGCACATACACCGGCTGTTGCTGATTATAATAGCCTGGCTGTTGTTGTTGCTGATAATGTTGCTGTTGATTGTAATTGGGAGGAGCATTGGCGTAGTACTGCTGTTGCTGTTGACCGTAGTAGGCTTGTTGTGGAGGCTGTTGGTGTGAGCTGAAAACACCTCTGTTGTCGTTTTGGAAATTTGGAGGAGGGCCCACAGGGGTTGCATACTATATGTAAGTTAGTAAGAGAATTTTCCCAGTGTTGCGAGGTTCAAACATACCTTTTGTTGTGGCACCGACGATCCTTTGTAGTATTCTGCGGCTGACATCTTTCGGGTTGAATGAGAGTTGATATGTGCGATGCAAACTAAAATAGAAAGCGTCCCACACAAGTGGCAATGATGGAAAGCTAATCAGGTTGATATCAGACAGTATCTATTTTCCATGAAATACAATAAGTTTCTATGCATTATAAATATCTTGAGTCACCAGGGCTTAGAAAAGTGTTGATAGCACTACCGACGAAAGAGGGTCTCAATTTCAAAGTTTCAACGACGGTGAACTTTAATAACGATTTCGAAGTGGAGTTTATTCTTGACGGGTTGATTGAGCTTGAGTCGTAATTGGGAAGTTCTGGTCGTTTGAATGCTACATGAGTATCTCGGGATGCCGCTTCATCTAAAACTTTGTATGAATAAATGACGCCAGGCTGTCTGAAGTATTGGTAGATGTTGGCATTGCCGTGAGAAAGCCCTTGTAAAATTTTATTATGAAATTAACAACGGAAGATATTAAAGCCAGGGCTTTAAATTGACGGCCAGGGCGGCTGGACATAGCACCGGCAACCTGCATCAATGTGTCGTGAATAGTTGCAAAGGATACTGGGGGGACTTCGGTCCCGATCAGGAAATCCGTAAATAGATAGATGTAAACATCACAGCTCACCTGCAACATTGGGAATTTCGATTCAGAAACTGACCATATTGCGCGTTATAGCTAGAGTTCACAGATTTCAGCTGCTGGTGAATCCTTGAAGTCGTGCGTCTTCGTTTGGCCCTCCATGGATAACGACGGCAAATCCACTTCGTCACTATCGTTTCTCTCTCAAGATAACTACAGCCCAATCCTGTTCGCTAACAAAAGCCATGCAGATACCTCTTATGGTCCAACGACTGGCGAGACACCCGTGAAGTGGCAAACAGGACACAAGGAATTTCATTTCAACAGCAACAGCACGCCTTCGAAACCCACAACTTCCAAAATTGCCGACGCACATGAAGACCCGGCTCGGAAGCTCCTACGCAAGCGACGGATGGTCAGAAACACCCTTAGTGGTGCCAAGCCGAGACTGCGGTCCAACCTCCACGAGTTCACTACCAAGCTCGATCTATTAGACGATCAAAAATTAACCAGCCTACCAATCCCCCCACCGATGGAGGAACTACATCGCAAAGTGCCCGCGAACCCAACAAATGAGGTACAAATTCGCATCCATGCCGACAACAGACGTTTCAGTGTAGATCCCCGACACCGGAATCGTGATATTGACGAAGACGATGACGGGTGTGGTCATCAGCCCATTGTGCTTGTAGAAGACTACATCCCAGAAGATCCTCGACGGCTCAAGTTTGCTAAGAATAAGGTTTCGATTTCTGATCTTAAAAGCAAAGTGATGAAGAACAAGTCATCCAGGCTTCCTATCAAGCTCAAAATGAACAGAACGCTCTCGACGACATCTTCTCTCACACTTAGTCCACACATCAAGGACGATGACTCTTTCGCTAACATGGCCATGATTGACGAAGATCCGGTATTCTCAGAAATTGACCACCATTCTACAAAAACCGACAAAACTATGGTTACCGATATCGAACATCTGCTGGGCGATGTCATCAAACAGAATGAGGAAGACGATCAATATCTACAAACGCTAAATCTCGGGCATAAGATCAAGGGATGTGTCATTTGTGAAAAGCCGCTCTATGAAATTAGTTCACTAATCGAGGGTCGTCATTTTACGGAAATAGTTTGCTCAAGCTGTACCTTCAAGTACGAGGAGACTGCAAAACTTTTGGAAGATTATGAGTTCGACACGTCTACGGACTCCATTAATGACTCCCACAACCTTAGCATAAAAAGTGACGATTTGCTTGAAGAACCAGAACAGATAGATGTGGTGTCAGTGGCACCCCAGAAACTTAAGACTAATCAGTTCTCGCCACATTTGATTAACAGATTGCATTTACAACTACAACAACACGCATACACGGATCATAACAATACCACCGTGGACTCAAAAACAATGATATGGTTTATCGAAGCTAAACGGAAGCTTAGATGGAAATGGAGAGTAAACGGGTTACTCCCACAATTTCTTGCTGGAAAGAGAAATATGTGATTATTTTCGTCAGGTTCTATTTATATGTCATAAGATTGAATTCTCAAACCCCTTTTTTAGTCTAAATCTAGTTCAGATTGGCCTAGTCTTTGCGCGAACTCTTTAATTCCTGTAATTGCGAAGACATGATCTTCTTCTTGCTTTAAACCGCTTACTGTCAAAATAGCTACCATCGAGTCGACTCCTTCGACGTGAATTGGAACCGACCCGCCGTGCACGGCATATTCCTTGGAATCAATGTAGAATGCGTCTTCCATCTTGGCAATTTTCTTAACCTTGAGCTTTTGGCCCATAAAATAGCTCGAGCATCCAAATCTGATAACAGTCCTCTTCTTCCTGGCTACCCAGATATCATTGTCTAATGCCGTTCCACTGTTAGTGGTCGTGTGAAATAGACATTGACCGTTAGCTAAAGAGATATCAATGACCATGGCCTTGGAAGGAAAAGCTTCAACACCCCATTGTCTTAGTTTGCACCCTAAATTGAAAGCGATCTCATAGTCGAATCTCGGTAGACAGCTGCGACTTTCAAAGGCTTTTAGGTCTTCCAAAGACTTCTTGGGAATGTTTTTGATCAAGTCCTGATCCAGAGCAAGCATCTTCTGCTATGAGGAGCTGTGGAATTTGAAATCTGAATATCGCACGTCCAGGTTTTAATGTCATCAAGCGCATCGTTTTTTTACCTTTGTGAGGAAAAGGCTCAGTCAAAATGCTAGTCATATATCTGAAGCTACAATCATCTGCTCAATAAAGTTTGCATATTATTGATATACTTTCGAGAGTTTCTAATGTAAGCTCGAACGTTTGTATGGAGATAAATCTCACTACTCTTATATCATTATTGAGTCGTGAGCCGAATGCTCACTGTAGGGCTTGCTGGTCGATTGAAGTCCAAATTTGAAATTTAAGACGCATAGTTAACTGAGAATGCTTCACACTTTAACAACGATTTCCTTGCTACTAGGGCAACCCAGACGGCCATCTTTGAATTTGACCCCCACACTGCGCTACAGGAACAAAAATCTGAGTTAAGACATTATCCCTAATCCATGCATGTTAAAGTAGAGACAATGTGGTGCGCCAGTCAAAAATGCTGTTACCAAATCAATCGATTAAGGGAAAATGTAAGAATATTAATGTATTTACTAAGTGAAAGTCTGTAAACTTGCACTTACGTCATGAGGCTGCCTACTTAATGTCGATAGTTCTTGGACTTTTTGAAAAATTGCGTAAGGTATCGTGAATAGACGTGCATCTTTTTGTTATCCCTTAAGGCAAATTTTGCATTTCGTTACCACTTAATCCACTCCAGTTTAGCCCTCAACGTCAAGTACGCTATGAGCCTATAGACAAACCAGACGCATATTGTAATCCCAAGGTACGTACTCGTATTATGCTCTAGCCCATAGCTTTCCAGCACCTGAGTGCCCGTCGAGAAAAGGCACGAACCGTCGGCGTTCCTTCCGCCGTCTGAGCAGGTGAGCCTGAGGTCACCTGGAAATGCATAATTGATCATGATCATTGCTGTGTAGTTGACGGGGCTCATGTAGTTAAAGCCTCGTAGCACTCGTGACATCTGCAACGACAGTAGGCCCGACATCACGCAACCAATTGTTAGTAAAATTGACACAACATTGACTACGAAACCGGGGGTGGTGAAAAGTGTATTCGTGATTATCCCGAGGGCCTCGCCACAAGTGGAAATAATCACGCTGCAATACATTGTCACAAAGAAATTGCTAGCAGAACGGTTCAATCCGCAGACCAACACCGTGAATACTGCATACAATGATGATGCAAGAGCTGCCATAGGTAATTCTATTGTCATATAGCCGAGGAAAAATGGTGTAACGCCATAAACACCATCGTCAAATTCTTGGTAGAAGTAATTCCTTTCCCCTGGATAGCAAGCCAGATTTGTTAGCATTCCGGTAAAATACAATGCAGTCGATTGTTGAACAAGCCCCAGTCTGTTTGAGACACTGGCATAGTTGTGTTTAACGGGAGCAAAGAATAGCGCCAATATGATACCAACGCCAGGAATTTGGGCAAGTCTAGCGCCCAATGATTCCATATTCCTTGTGATTGTTTTAAATTGACGCCGAACGCAAACTTGATAAGCAACACGAAACGATGCCTTGTGGCGAGTGTGTTCCTGGTGTATAAACCCGTTATACTTCAATGAATCATTCGAATCAATCGAAAACTCGCTGACCTCTTTCATTTGTTGGTCCCAACTACTTAACAGAGAAGAAACCCGCTCACGCGATTTTGCCTCATTGATATCATTTTGTGTGTTCACCGAAATTATATCTAGAAAATAGTCCGCAACATTTGTGAAAGGAGGACATTCGAATCCCAAATGACCGAAGTAAGCCACCATATCAAAAGGACAGCCATTGTATGCAACACGACCTCCTTTAGCAAGTAGAAGGATATTTCCTAACTGTTTGAACATCTCTGCTCTAGGTTGATGAATGGTGAGGATAACAGTTTTTCCCGGCTTTTGGCTTATATTTGCTAAAACCTCAAGAACCTTGAAAGAAGTGAAACTATCTAAACCCGATGTCGGCTCGTCGAGTAGCAGGATAGGTGGATCGGTGAGCAGATGTATGCCCATTGAAACTCTTCTTTTCTCGCCACCACTGATGCCCTTGATCAATTCATTACCTACTAGTGTATCTTCGCAGTGATTAAGACCAAGTTCGGAGATCAATTCGTCCACTCTCAGGTTTCGTGCGGCGGGGCTGATATGGTGCAATCTTAATTCTGCTGCGAAAGAAAGTGTTTCTTTGACCGTCAACTGGGCCAAGAGATGGTCATCATCTTGTGGGACGAAAGAGCACATATTTTTGAAGACATGTTGTGAAACCTGATTATCGTTAAAATGAATGTTGCCTTCTGTTTCAAAAAATTCAAGGAAGGTCGATTTCAATTTCCCTGACAGCAAATTCAACAGAGTAGACTTTCCTGACCCTGACGGGCCCATGATGGCGTTTATAGCATTAGGCTTGAATACGGCATTGATGTCATTTAAAATTGAAATACAATCTCTGCTACCACCTCTCTTGCTTTTGATGGACGGTAAACGTCTCTTGTGCACTTTTAGGCTGACGCCGCGTATTTTGATCGTAATCGCCTCTCTACAGGCAGCTGCTGCTTCCAGGGTATTTGCCTCCATGTCTGTTTCAAGACGATTGGTCTCAGTTCCAGTTTCAACTTTTTTAATGCCCCCTTGAGCATTCTTTTTAGTTTTCACACGTTTTGCCAGACTTACGTCCACCGTCTTCCAGTACAGTATTGTTATGGCACAAATATAAAAGGCCACTGACCAGCAGAAAACTATGATCACTGGTGTTGTTCTCCAGAAGCGTGGGTATCCTAAAGTTTCTAACACCATGTTGCCTGCACAGCTTTGTTGTCCTTCCGCCTCGCACGCAAAATCTGTAAACTGATTCGATATCAGAGCTCCGAAGCTATACCACAGATATGTGATATATTTAGTCCATCGAACGTAGACTGGCATAGTTTTGGCGTTTACAAAGAATCCGCATGCCATTGATTGCAAGGTATAGTTGAGATTACCCACCAACGATGCTTGGGAAAAGTCCCGTGAAATTGCCACCGATAGCAATGCAAATGACGCTGAGCATTGATGTACTAGCAATACAACCGAAAAATACACGAAAAAGCTCTTAGCGTTCACACTCAGGCCATACATGAAGAATGTGACGATTGAGAACAAGAACGGTATTGCTAAATCTTCGAAAACGAAGTTCGCTAGGCGCCGTGCCATGATAAAAGACCACGGTGTGACACAGCCCTCAGCACGCTCTCTGTCATAAATTTTGATATCCTGCTCACACAGCCTGTAAATCTCAAACAATAAAAATAAATATCCTTGTAAAGCAGCAGCAGAGTACAAAGCAGATGTGATCGTCCGCACTCCTTTCAGTGACGTGGCATCTGGTTTGAAGAATATCCAACCCGTGATGACACCAATCACGACTGGCTCGAATAACAACGCAACCATCGTGGTCGGATCTCTCATGTTCAATTTTATGGATCTCTCTGTCAAAACGCGAACCTGATTTAGAAAAGATACACTGGGCATGGTGGGTTTAACTTTAGCATTTTGTAGTGCAGGACAAGCCTCGGGAAGTCTCTGATGAGCTTTCCAGTTTTTAATAAGCTCATCGAGTCTATTTTGTGTTTGCTGCATAAGCTGCGGAGACCGAGAATCAACACTACAAATGTCAATAAAGTAATCCGCTGGGTTTGCATGAGGTGGTGCTTCAAAGCCCAACTCTCTGAAATAAGGAACCATATTATTGACATCGTCACAATAGACATTAAAGCCCCTTGATAAAATACAAACTTGATCAAGGAGGAATATTATATCGGACCTTGGTTGGTGTATGCTCATTATGAAAGTCCTGCCACCTTTGTGACTAAGCTTTCGAAGGGTCTTTACCACTAGATATGCAGAGTAAGCATCTAATCCAGTCGTGGGCTCGTCCAAAAACAGGAGCGATGGATTCGAGATCATTTGTACACCAATACTGAGTCTCCTTTTCTCACCACCTGAAAGTCCTGGATGACGCGAATCCCCTACGAGCGTATCTGCACAATCACGAAGTCCCAGCTCTGCAATTAATTCCTCTACTAGCTTTCTGCGTTCCGCCTTGCTCTCTCTGAGCTTCAACGCAGAAGCATACTGGAGTGTCTCGCGGCATGTTAGTCTGGCAGACAAGATATCCTGCTGAGTGAGATAAGCAGTGGTGATATCATCGCGTATGTGTTCTTTGTCGACAGACTCCGGGATGAAACTGAAGGACCCCGTCTGTCGTAGACTTTTGGACATTTTAGATGCAAGCACATTTAGCAGAGTTGTCTTTCCAGAACCTGAACCCCCTATAATTGCCATAATCGAACCACTATTTATCTTCATAGATATATCGCGTACAATGGGTACGTCCTTGGATGCTAGCACTGACAAATTAGAAACCTCTAATGAAACACGTCTGGCGGTGGCAAAGGAAAGCTCATTTTCGACTAGCTGAGTGTCCATGAGCCAGCTGAGAGATGCGCAGCTGTTTGAGGAATCATCGAAGTTGTTCAGTTATAAGCAATTTAATCTTGAACTGTATAAAGTTATTGTATTGAAAATTTAGTAAACCTCGTAAACTTTCTTCGTCTAAACCAATTGGCAACAACAATGGACTCGTTATTCAACTCAACTAATACTAACCCGCGTGGTATTCCGGAGGCTCCGTTTGTAGAGAAAGTGGAAGATTTCATCAAAGATCCCAATGACTTCGACCTGTGCTTCAACAAGTTCCAAGAGAGATTGTCGAAATACAAGTACATGCAAGAATCAAAGGTGGTGACGGTAAAACAATTGAAACAAAAGATTCCGGATATCGAGAACACTTTGAGTATGTGCCGTGCGTTGGAAACTAAGAAGGAAAATGGCTCAAACTTGGAGACCAATTATCAGCTTAACGAGACGCTCTACACTACAGCTGAGATAGATACGTCGAAGGCCCTGGAGGTTGGGCTATGGCTTGGGGCAGATGTTATGTTAGAGTATCCAATAGACGAAGCCATAGAGCTACTTAGCGGGAAACTGGGTGACGCAAAGAAAACACTAGAAACAAATCAGGAAGACGTGGAGTTTCTGAGAGAAAATATTACCACTATGGAGGTCAATTGCGCAAGGCTTTACAACTGGGACGTAGAGAAGCGTCAAGAACTCAAACGCGCACAGCAAGGAACTGAGAAATTGAAAATATAGGCCCGCGAAAACAGGTAAATAATAGTTTGTGTAAACTACATTCTAAACGTATTTAGAAATTGTACTCCTAGAGGGCGAGCCGGCTCGTCGTTGGGCTCTTCGTCCGCCCTATCTCCTGTAGCACTGCTTTGTTGGTCATCTGCAGCTTGTGCACCCGCTTCTGCTTCAATAGATGATGTTTGTCTGGGCCTCAGACTCGATTTCTGCTTAAAGAAAGGGACCCTAAACATTTCTGAGCCTGGCAAGAGGCCTTTATCAATGAAAACACCACACAGCCAACTCAAAAACCCTGTTGCTACACCCACGAATCCTTGGTTCAAAAGTAAAATAGCCACCAGTGCATTGATCACAAACTGGTCATTAAATGTCCACTTCAATTGTTTGGAGCGAGTCCCAAAAGGTTTTATGAGTTTAACATCGAACTGGTACATCTGAGGAGTGTACTCCTTGTAAAAATGAAGAACACTCATGATGGTTGGTAGGCCACCGCTCGTGAAGCGGTTCCAGTTGATTAACGGGTTCAGGTTGAATACTTGGGCTAATATCAAGACCGTAAGGGAGCTATAAAACCATGACAGTGTTATGATGCTCAGATACTTTCGACTCCCAAATAACCTTTCTAGATGTCTTAAATGATACCATATCAATGTTAAGAGAGCAACATCGGTTTCATTTACTGCAGAGACCTGAAATGATAGTAATCTATAGTACTGCTTGTATTCAGAAATGAATGGATCATTGTAGAGGAGAAACCAATGTTTTACGCCGGCAATGGAGGCAAATATCGGTATTCCTACTGTGAGTAACGAGCAGAATTTCGTTATCGGAAAGTTGTTGAGCCCTTGAGGAGTATCCGTCGACATTATTGCCACTGAAATCGGTATATTGAAGTCTGTCAGTTAAGGTATTTTTAAAATCAATTACAGGAAAATCAAATAAGCATGCGTGAGAAGTAGCAAACAAGTTACACAGATATGTCTTTGAATACCAGAAGGTCCCAGGCAGATAGCGATGTAGATTATATCATAAATGCTCTGCAAAGAGCTAATTTCAATGGCGGTGCTCAAGGAATCTCAAGCAATCTTCTGTACTATTTGCCAAGAATACGCAGAATGTCGAAGCTGGAGAACCTCGTAGAGTCGGTATTAGAATCCAAACTGTGGTCAACGGCTCTTAATGGTAACTTTTCGATCCTGCAAGAGATGACAGAGGCGATCTTCTCTTGGAAGCTAGAGATTTCCGAACCAGCAATTAGTATTAGTGAATTTTACGAAGTTTGGGACGTCGCCATAAAAAGGTGTCAAACGTGGACAATTGCTCAACTGGCCATTCTTTGTGGAGCATTGTGCACTAAATCAAAGTTCGAAAGTTTACAATCGAAGTTTTTTCTAGATGATGGCGGCTTGGTCGCTCAAAAGTATATTATGTGGAAAGAACGAATATTTATTCCCGTGTGGCGGCAACTATTTGTAAAGAGCTTGGACCACCCAGAGGAAGCTGAGCAGCTGGCGATATTTTTAACTCGAATTTTTGAACCTAATGATTTGAAGCGCGTTCCGGCCGATCCCTTAACAAATGTTTTGATGAAACTGTCGCTATCTTACGTTAGAAACCCTCAAGTCAGCACACCAACCGTGTCAAAGAGCCTAAGCCATATTGCTAAGACGCTTGAGGTTGTATTACCAATTGTGGGGCCCCAATTGGTAACGCAGGCTTTGGACTTGATCTGTGTGATATGCTTCGAGCTGTCGCAAAAGGAGTTACTCGCGCCTCAGGCAAATTATTCCTCACAAGTACACTCGAATCAGCTCCTAACTACGATTCTAATTTTCCGTGGCTGTATATCTCGTGGAAGAGTACCGCTTCAGTGGTATCGCCAGGTTGCCATTTCGCTTTTCTACCTCAACTACATTGTGCAAGATTTTGGAAAAGTGGGTTTCGATTCATACGAATACATTTACGACGTTTGCGCAACAGGAATTATGCAAGACTTCGCTCAGTATAGTGGATACCTTGAAGTTATGCGAGGTAATATATGGGATTCGCAAATAAACAACGCAGTAAACAGTAGCAGGATACTTTACTTACTAAACTTCATGGAATCTACGTTGACTCAAATTAAAGTAACGCCCGCTTTTCTAGAAAATTTTATCGTCCCGGTACTATCGCACTTCGGAAAATCCTCGAATACAGCAATCTGCGAGGCAGCGTACGCTGCACATTTATCGCTTTATTCCAATCACTTTTCTGGGAGGGCGCTTCAAGTTTGGAAAACAAGCCACTGTCGGGACTTTTTGAACGTGTCTACAACGCAATATCTTAACGGCATTCTTTCATCTACCCAACTAGTTCATATTTACTGTGCCATCGCGGAGGAGCTTCCAACGTTGCGTCAGATTAACAATGACATATCTCGCGAAGTAATGCAGTTCACATACCTACGTGTCGTGAACTCTGGCGGTGAATCACCACAGGTAGTTGCGACATTGATACAATGTTTAATTAAACAGTTGCCGCACATCGGAGAGCAATATCTTGTGGATTGGCTAGAAAACTGTGTGGAATTAATCCGTCTGTGTCCCTCAGAAAGAGACAGGATTTTGGATAGCATATGGGCGGAGGTCACGTCGGCGGGGATAAGCAACCGCGGCTTGACATGGTTCTTGAACATGCAATCAAAGCTTTGAAATAGGATGGTATGTTATGGCCCTATAGCTGAACAGGAGGCTAGCTTAACACATCAATTGGGAAACATGTAGTCTTTTCTCCGCTTTCGAGTAATATCAGCCACACACATAATTGGAGCCAAAGGACAGTTTGCGCCCTGCATTCAAAAGGCGCTATAGTGACGCCTTAGCTTTGAGTACTCATAAGCCACAAAATCAGCAAGGCACGGCTCACTGGAGGGTACGTTGCGGATCTTCTTGGACATGCAGGTAGCTTTGTGATCCAAACGGCAACTCTTTGATTTTTCGCAGAGGCAAATTCATTTACTTTGAATGAAAGATGTTCCAATGTCAATATGCATCAGCTTAGCTCAACACTGTCGCTCGCTTCGATCCCATCCCTAATATGTTTTCTTTATTTCTTTCTTCTAACTGCTCATCGCAGCTCAATAATCAATTTTAGAAAAATTTTCAAATTAGTTGTCAAGCTCATCACCACTTCCTGACACTAGAGACAACCCAACGTACAAACCGTACAAGTCTCCACTGTTGCAGCCTTATCACTGTCAAGATGAGCAAGACAAATGTTGGTGACTCGGCCACGGAGAAACAAGAACTGAATGAACATGAACAACATTACTTCACCTCTTATGACCATTATGGTATCCACGAAGAAATGCTTCAAGATTCCGTCCGGACGCTATCCTACAGAAACGCCATTGTCCAAAACAAAGACTTATTCAAGGATAAGATTGTGTTAGACGTTGGGTGCGGAACAGGTATTCTGTCGATGTTTGCTGCCAAAAGTGGAGCCAAGCATGTAATTGGTGTGGACATGTCCAGCATCATCGAGATGGCTCGTGAGATTGTGGAACTCAATGGCTTCTCGGACAAAATCACTTTACTTCGCGGTAAGTTGGAAGACGTCGAATTACCATACCCCAAAGTTGACATCATCATTTCAGAATGGATGGGTTATTTCTTGTTATACGAGTCCATGATGGACACCGTGCTGTTTGCTCGTGACCGCTACCTTGTTGAAGGCGGTTTGATCTTTCCTGATAAATGCTCTATTCACATTGCCGGTATTGAAGACTCTCAATATAAGGCTGAGAAATTGAATTACTGGCAAAACGTTTATGGATTTGATTACTCTCCTTTCATCCCATTAGTAAAAAGAGAACCTTTGGTGGACACCGTTCAGCACAGTTCTGTCAACACCACCAGAGTGAAATTAATTGAATTTGACTTGAACACAATCACAGTTGCCGATCTGGCTTTCAAAGCCAAGTTTAAGTTGCAGGCCAAGGGACAAGACTTTATTAATGGGCTCATTAGTTGGTTTGATGTTGAATTTCCTACCTCGAAAGGTAAGAAGCCTGTGACATTTTCGACTGGTGCTCACGCTCCTTACACTCATTGGAAGCAAACCGTATTCTATCTAGAGGACGATCTAGAGTGTGAAAAGGATGAAATCTTAGAGGGTGAGCTTACTTGCACGCCTAACAAGTCTAACAACAGAGACTTGGATGTGAAGATCGACTACAGCTTCAAAGCCAGAGGTGCCGAGGCTAATCAAAGGTCCAAAAAGAACCAAAACTTGTATTTGATGCATTGATGTTTTGTAAATAGGCTAATATTGTACATTAGGGCGAAGCATGATACGTATAAACGTAAGTGTAACCTGCCAGTGTGAAATATGAATAATCTTCAAATCAAAGTGAGACGCGGTTGGGGCCAGTACCACCTCAAGCAAGTGAAAAATAGTTTCGATTCTAGTGCAAGAGGGATCTTAGAGTTTAAGAATTAACAATTTTATCTACAAGTAGTGCTCTACCGGTGAGTAATACGAAGAATCTAAGACAGCTAAAAATAACAAAGATTTTGCCGATGAAATCCAACTCAGTCAAGTATTAGCACATAAAATGAGGCGAAAAGAGTCTTCTATCTAAACTAAACGTATTTAATCTAAACATCTGGATTCTTACCAATTATATTGTACGAAACATTTCAATGAAGAAATAACATTTCAAACAATTTAATCGTGCTTCAAAGTTTCGGAGAAAACCTTGGAGACAGCACCCTTCTTTTGCTCAATCTTCTTGGAACCCAACTTTTCAGCAGCGAACACCTTGGCGTAAGGGTTCAATCTCAACAAGACTTGCTTGTTCTTCAATGGGTTCTTCTTCAAGACGTGGGTACGCTTTTGGCTTGGTTGGCCAGCAGGTCTCACAACGGATTGAATTTCAGAGGAGTTGATAATTCTGGTAACATCAGTGTTGGAGATGATGTTGGTTGGCAAAGTGTAGTTAGACTTCACGGAAGAAGCAACAGTCTCAGAGCCCCAGACTTGGTCCAATTGTGCAAAGGCGGATTCAGTCCAGATGACGAATCTACCCAAGTGAGCACCAGGAGCCAATTGCAAGAGGTTCAAAGAAGCAACGTTGCAGGTTTCGACACCTGGCAAGTTTCTGAAAGCCTTGACAATACCGTTGTCGTTAGCGTAGACAACCAATGGGCCGAGTCTGTGGGTGAATCTTCTGTTTCTGTACTTACCCTTACCGGCTCTCATCTTCTTGGACTTGAGCACCTTGACAACATCGGAGTGGGCACCGACGGCCTTTAGGGCGGCAACGGCTTCCTTGGTCTTGGTGATGGCTTCTAGGTCGGAGGAGACGACTAGAGGGATCTCAGGGATCTTCTCGACACGGTGACCTCTGGCCAACACCAAAGAGGCAACGGCGGAAGCGGCGATCGCAGACGCAGTGGCGTATCTCTTTTCGTTGTGGTTGACCTTGACGTTCCACTTTCTCCAGGTCTTGGTTGGAGCGAACATACGACCACCACGACACATGTTACCGAAAGCAGCTTGACCGGATCTGTGGGTACCACCACCACCGACACGAGGAATACGGGCAACAGCACGACCAGTACCCCAGGACTCGGCAGAGGTCTGGTGACCAGCCTTGTCGGAGACGGCGTAAGCCTGTCTCTTGTTCTTGTTCACGCCGGTGAAAACAGCGTGGACAATGTCGGGACGGATTGGGGCCGCGAAGACGGCTGGCAAGGCTAGAGAGCTGCCAGAGGCTTCACCAGAGAGCTTTTGCACGGAGACTTGAGGACGAGACATGATATTATAAGAGTGCGATGAGGTTGGAAAGTTGAAAGGTCGTGGACATTAAGCAATTCGAGTTTTTCACTTTTTATATGATCGAACTCGTTACGCTGAAAAATTTTTGAAAAAAAATTTTCAGCGCGCGTCATCATAGTGTACGCATCGTCGACTCGTTAATTGGATAGAGAGATGAGTAGATGGCGTTATTAGAAAAATTATTTGGTGGTAAGGGAATATCGAGAAAAGTTCCGGAGAGTTGTTATATTGTGGAAGTTCATGGGGAGATTAGTGGTGAACGGAAGTTAAGTTGATACATGTTTTGGCAAGTCATATGCGCTTACAAACCGGAGACGTTAGGTTAAAGTTTATTAAGCCTTTGAACTAGTTCTCCCCAGGGTTTCTATTTGTTTCTCGTTTGTTTCTCACATTCTTTGTTTCCAAGAACGTTTGATCTTTGAATATTTGGCACATGCCTCACAACCTACGGTGTAATAGATGGGGGGATGCTTTGAGCAAACGAGCTATACCAAATCAACCCTGGTTGTACAGCCAATTTCGGGGGACCTCGGTGTTTGAGTAGCTTCCATGAGCGTGGTTGTTGGTGTGTTCAATGGCGGCAACTAAGGAGAGCGGGCTATGGTTACTTGCCCCGGGTGGCTTTGTTTTCTGGTCTTGAACTTGTGCTTCGGCTACGTAGTCGTGTTGGCCTAATTTTTGCAGGATTTTATGACTAGATGGCGCCAGTGGCATAATGAAGTAGATCAAAGTGGGGCGATTAGGACTAATATGACAGAATAGTACAAAGTGATGATGATTGTGAACCATTGCATCCTGCATGTCGCTGAGTAGTGAGTGGTACCTACATTCTCGGCTGGATAGTGCCTATATTCACACACCATCGCAGTGCCTGCATTTCAAAATCAACTCTTAAAATACTAAGTCCATACAACTATTACACATGAGCAAGCAGAATTGCTACCGCAAATATTACATGGCAGCTTTTTAGCTCATAAATACACCATCTCAAAGGAACAAACAAACAAACAAACAGAACGTCTTTTAATTTATTTTTATTTGGAGGGGGTGTTGTTTCTCCTCCGCTTAACACCAGAAATACCACGTTCTGTACCAGAAGGGCTTCGCGGCCATCATGGCTCTTTCTTCTGCGACTTCTTGTCTTAGAATATCGATGTCGACGACTCTTCTACCGGTGTCGATGTCAATGTCCTTGGCTCTGATCATGAATTTCCAGTTTCTCTTCCATAGCTTATGGAAGACGTAGAATGCAATAAGAACAGGGAAAGACAAGTAGGCTTCGAAGAAGTTGGCAGCACTGGATGAATCGCCCAAAGGCCACACGGCAATCCAGAATTGAGCAATTAGAACAATTACGATTAGACCAGCACCGTAAACGGATCCCCAGACACCTACGGTAGAGGTAAAGGCCAACTCATCTGTGGATCTGCCTTGGACAGTCAAGGCTCTTCTGAATCTCAAATGACAGACGCAAATGGCGAGCCATGAGTAGAAAGAGGACAGTCCCGATAGGGCTAATAGCCAGTTGAAAACTTCGCCTTCCTTTTCGGATTGAGCGAGGAAAGCCAATAGACCAAAAATGCAGGTAACGATAATACCAACCAGTGGTCTACCCTTTCTGTCGATGTAACCGAAAATCTGAGGCATGGAACCTTGTTCGGCCAAAGCAGCCATGGTTCTGGAGGAGGCAAAAACGGCACAGTTACCGACGGAAAGCACCGCGATCAAAATGACCACGTTGACCACACTTGGCAACCCTTTGATTCCGTGGGATGTAATGGCAATCACAAAAGGAGAAGCAGCAGCGTCTACAGAGGAAGCGCCAATCAAACGGGAATCGTTGTAAGGCACCAGGAGGCCAATGAGACACAGCGAAATGAGGTAAAATAGCGTGATTCTCCAGAATACTTGTTTGGCGGCACGGGGCAAGGATTTTCTAGGGTCCGCGGTTTCGGCAGACGCGAGCCCGACCAATTCGGAACCCGAGAACGAGAACGCCGCAGTGACAAACACGGTACACACACCTTTGAAACGCTGACCCGCAGTGTGACCGGTGAAGGCGCCCGGGCTGGTCCAGTTGGAGCCTCCGATGTAGCCTCCGACCGGCCCGCCGCCGCACACCAGCACAACCCCCAGGATGATGAAGCCAATGACAGTGACGACTTTGATGATGGAAAAGACAAACTCCGCTTCGCCGTAGCCCTTGACACCAAACATATTGATGGCCACGATGACCACGTAGAACAAAGCCACAAACCCGTCGCGATACTTGGCGGGCGTGCCCCAGTAGTTGACGGTGATGGACGCAGACACGATTTCCAAGGGCAGCACCACCAGCCACTGCAACATGTAGTTGTAGTTGGCGGCGAAACCCAGCGACTCGTCCAAGAAACGCGTCGCATACGTGGTGAACCCGCCGGAAACCGGGTACGCAACCGCCATTTCACCCACACTCATCACCACACAGTAGATCATGGTGCCGATCAAACCCCAGCCGATCAGAATCCCGGCAGGGCCTGCGGTTCTGAGCGCGGTTCCGGATCCCACAAACAGCCCGGTTCCGATGGCACCGCCAATGGCGATCATCTGCAAATGCCGTCCCTTCAAGTGGCGCTGCAGCGGGGAACGGGCCGTGGCGATGGCGATTTTCTGCGCGGTGGTGAGGCTGGGATCCATCTCCTCGAGCTTGACGCGCTTGAAGCCGTCTTTGAAGTTCTGCCATCCGGACGCGCTGCTGGCGCTGGACGCCTTGTGGGACTCGGACGAGGTTTCGAACGAGTGGGTGGTGCCGTCTCCCTGGAAGGGCTCTTCCTGGGCGTACACAAAGTTTTTCTTGTCTTCGGCCATTGGGAGGGGGGGGAGAAGAACTTAGCTAGAGAGAGAGGGAGAAGACCAGAACTGGGACCAAGACACGCCAGATCCACCCACCCCAACATTCGCTGGGCTCTTTATACCCCTTCCCCACTCACCCAGCGTACCTCTCTCTCGCCCGCTTCACCCCTCGATAACACAATTCCAAGTCACGGTAGCGATACCATTGGCCGAACCGCCACCTACACCAATCCACCTAGGCACCACGCCCACCTACGCCTATGCCAACCATCCACCATCGCCAATCATCACCCATGGCCTATCAGTCCCCCTGCCACACGAACAAAATGCCAAGACCACGCGATCTCCTCCACGATAACAGCGCCTGAGCGACGATAGCACGAAAATGCACCAACCCAGCGCGATAACACAGAGCGTGTGGGCCGGAGAACTATAAGCTTTGCTTGGCTTTCGCTTATCGCAGCAGACAAGTTTTTTGCTGTGCTGGCGATGGCGCATGTGTTTAGAGCCGTAAGGGATAGCTTTAATGGCAAAAAATAGAGAAAGGGCCATAGATAGAAGAATTAGGAGCCTTGTGCGGCAGCATTGCGTTTAGATAAGAAGGAGCCGTGAGGATGGTAAGTAGCACTATTGAACAGTGCGAGCCTAGCGAGTGGTGTGAAGAGTGAGAAAGAGGAGAGTAGCACCATTGAACAATGCGAGCCTAGCGAGTGGTGTGAATAACAAGACTTACGTGCTGTTGAACAATGCGAGCTTTAGCGAGTATTGTGAAGAGCGGGATTGTAGTATTCTCAACAATGCGAGCTTAGCGAGTGGTGTGAATAACAAGACTTACGTGCTGTTGAACAATGCGAGCTTTAGCGAGTATTGTGAAGAGCGGGATTGTAGTATTCTCAACAATGCGAGCCTTAGCGAGTAGTGTGAAGAAGGGGATCGTAGTATTCTGAAATGCGAGCTTAGCGAGTATGTGAAGAGCGGGATTGTAGTATTCTCAACAATGCGAGCCTTAGCGAGTATTGTGAAGGGTGAGAAAGAGGAGAGTAGCACCATCGAACAATGCGAGCCTTAGCGAGTAGTGTGAAGAGTGGGATCGTAGTATTCTCAACAATGCGAGCCTAGCGAGTATTGTGAAGAGTGGGATCGTAGTATTCTGAAATGCGAGCTTAGCGAGTATTGTGAAGAGTGGGATCGTAGTATTCTGAAATGCGAGCTTAGCGAGTATTGTGAAGAGTGGGATCGTAGTATTCTCAACAATGCGAGCCTAGCGAGTATTGTGAAGAGTGGGATCGTAGTATTCTGAAATGCGAGCCTTAGCGAGTATTGAGATTAACAAGACGTCCGTACTGATTAACAATGCGAGCCTCAGCGTGGGATTTTAGTATTCTAAACAATGCGAGCCTTAGCGACTATTGAGATTAACAAGACGTGTAGTATTCTCGACAATGCGAGATGAGAGTAATTATCGAACAATGAAGGTGAGGTTGTAGTACTAGAGTCATTGTAGTGGTGAGATTGTAGTACTTAGTCTCACTGTACTATGAACATGCTTGCAGTGCCACGAAAAGCAGCACTGGGGACGAATCACGAATCCACGTGACGGTCCCGTCCACAATGATTACATCTCTAAGAACCCGACACGAATCTGCAAGACTATGTTAAAGCAGAACCGGCAAAGCACACCGTTTCTCAATGATTCTAGTCTTCAGCCCGAGCATTTCTATCATCAGTGGACTCAGTTGTGCAGCATCCATTCCGGCTAAACAATGACTCCTTTAACAATCTACAACTACTCTTGAAGACCATCCGGAATCAGAAGGGCTTTCGAAGATAAATTCGGATTCGAATGAGAGTTTTCTATATATCCTTTTGCTAGCGGAAGCACACAGCAGATCGATATTAGCGATCAGGAAGGTTCTGGACTTGGCCAACTACAACTCCATGGCTATTGGCCAACTATGGCTCATTTGGCTAACTAAATCTCACTACATCTCCATGGCTATTTGGCTATTGGCCAACTATGGCTCATTTGGCTAACTACAACGCACTACAACTCCATGGCTATTTGGCTAACTACATCTCACTACAACTCCATGGCTAGGCCAACTACAACGCACAACTCCATGGCTATTGGCCAACTACAACGCACAATTCCATGGCTAGTTGACTCACTACATCCATGGCGTGTTTGGCTAACTACATCCATGGCTCATTTGGCTAACTACATCTAACTACATCCATGGCGTGTTTGGCTAACTACATCCATGGCTCATTTGGCTAACTACATCTAACTACATCCATGGCGTATTTGGCTAACTACATCCATGGCTATTTGACTAACTACATCTCACTACAACTCCATGGCGTGTTTGGCTAACTACAGCTCCATGGCTATTTGGCTAACTACATCTCACTACAACTCCATGGCGTATTTGGCTAACTACATCTCACTACAACTCCATGGCTATTTGGCTAACTACATCTCACTACATCCATGGCGTGTTTGACTAACTACATCTCACTACATCTCCATGGCGTGTTTGAATAACTACATCTCACTACATCTCTCATTTGGCTAACTACATCTAACTACATCCATGGCGTGTTTGGCCAACTACATCTCACTACAACTCCATGGCGTGTTTGAATAACTACATCTCACTACATCTCCATGGCGTATTTGGCTAACTACATCCATGGCTCATTTGGCTAACTACAACTCCATCGCGTGTTTGGCTAACTACAACTCCATGGCGTGTTTGAATAACTACATCTCACTACATCTCCATGGCGTATTTGGCTAACTACATACAGGGCTCATTTGGCTAACTACATCTAACTACATCCATGGCGTGTTTGGCCAACTACATCTCACTACAACTCCATGGCGTGTTTGAATAACTACATCTCACTACATCTCCATGGCGTATTTGGCTAACTACATACAGGGCTCATTTGGCTAACTACATCTAACTACATCCATGGCGTGTTTGGCCAACTACATCTCACTACAACTCCATGGCTCATTCGGCTAACTACCACTCCATGGCGTGTTTGGCTAACTACATCCATGGCGTATTTGGCCAACTACATCTCACTACATCTCCATGGCGTATTTGGCTAACTACATCCATGGCGTGTTTGGCCAACTACAACTCACTACATCTCCATGGCGTATTTGGCTAACTACATCTCACTACAACACCATGGCTATTTGGCCAACTACATCTCCATGGCGTATTTGGCTAACTACATCTCCATGGCGTATTTGGCTAACTACATCCATGGCGTGTTTGGCTAACTACATCCATGGCTCATTTGGCTAACTACATCTAACTACATCCATGGCGTATTTGGCTAACTACAACTCCATGGCTCATTCGGCTAACTACCACTCCATGGCTATTTGGCTAACTATGGCTCATTTGGCTAACTACATCCATGGCGTGTTTGACTAACTACATCTCACTACAACTCCATGGCTATTTGGCCAACTACATCTCACTACAACACCATGGCTATTTGGCCAACTACATCTCCATGGAACAAGTTTTGGTGTCTCATGCTCAGTTTCGGTCAACACACGGAACGGTTTGGACTGGATATCGCGTTGTGCGTTGAAACGAAAAAGAGCCAGTGTGCTCCATAGACATGAGTATCACGTCGAACCGAAATTCCTCGAGTAGTGTAAATGTCGTATGCGACTCTACGGTCTGCTTTTGTCAAACTCAAGTAAAGATGATGTGAATACGGGCAAGAGACCTCATACTCATATTCTCGATTTCATCGATTTGAGCAATCAGAGACACACGGGTGGTAACATAAAATCCGCTTTGTTTAGCTGCCTTACAGAGTATTCCATTAGTCGTAAAGTGAGCAGCATTTCATTAGACAATGGTTCAAACAACATCTCAATGCTTGAAGACTTGGATGAAGAAATTCAAAATGGCCTTGGATCAAAGGATTTTGGGAGTATTGTCAAGGTAAGATGCATGCATCTATCGAGTTTTTCTCGACTTAATGAAGGGCTTTGAAATGCACCACAAACAAGAATTGACAAACTAGCTTACTTCACCAAGAGTGATGTTTATATCAGGAGTAAGATTCAGACTTATATTCCGTGCACTATTCCAAAGCACAACACTACAAGGTTTATCTCGCGTTATCGTCAGCTAGACGCTTTTTTGAATGTTTCAAAAGGTGCCAAAGCGTTTTTTTTTCGACAATCGCTTCGATCCTGAATATCTGCTTACACAGGAAGACTGTTCTATATTTTTTTTATGAACAAGCAGAAATAGAATCCATTCTCTTTTTGCTGCGGCTCACTCGAATCTTTTATGAGTTCACGATGTTGTTACAAGATAATTCCATGAACTCTTTATATCATGGAATTGAGTATTACATGCAGCTAAACTAGTATTTTGATTCTTGTGAAAGCATTAAAAATGGTTCAATCGATAGCGATCATTTACAATCCGCGGTACTGAAGTCAACTCATTTTCGTGCACCCAAAGAAACACAGGATGAGATCCTAGGTGCAATTATAGCGGCGCGTCCCAAATTTGAAAAATACATAAAGGTCGCCTATGAAGAACCTGGCTATTGGGCTGCACATATCTTGCAACCGCACTGCAAATCGCATTTGTTAACTACTGTTTTTGATCAGCCGTTCTCAAACTATGTTTTAGAATTGGTTAGTCGGTATGTCACCCAGTATATGAAGAGGTTCAACGAAAATTCCGTTATTCATTTAAATGATGAGCATCTGATTCCAGCAAGACTCAGACCCGTCCAAGGCAAGAAGTTCAAAATCACGAGAAACCTGTTTAAATTTTGTGAACAGAACCTGGCAACCTGTAGCCGTGCAACAAAGAATGAATGGCAAATTTTTTTGGACTAGCCATTAGACACTGGAAATAGCTATTTGAATTAATGGCTCGCAAACAAAAACCGATTTCCAGCTCTCTGCTCTCTAGCGCTTTCTCTTTTTCACACAAAATTCTCGACCGCTGACGCTGTAAGGTGCTTTTCTATAAGCAAGAGGGTTCTGGAGAGTAGGTTTTCACTTGCGAGCGAGAATTTAAGACGGACCATGATTTTAAGAAACCGGATGAAAGGCTTCAAAATCTACTCAGAGATGCTAGTGGCTAAACATATTGCATGGGATGCTTGGACTGAGGATGAAGAAGCATTCGAATCGATCAGTGATTTAGCATCAAGTTCCAAAAGACCTTCAAAAAATAAATCAAAGCCAATTGTGATGGTCTCATCTAGTGACGAAAGCGATAATAACGAGCTAGAAAAAACGAGCGATCTATATAAGAGTGATTAGCAGAATAAGTAACAGAGTGAGGATGTTGAATGGCCTCTTCACCCAGAACGACTAAATCATATACGCTGTCCACGATAAGGACTTATATATTCGTACACAGTTCAAGATCCGTAAGTCTTCGCGAATACGGACGCAACAAGCTTCGATAGCAAGATCGTAGTAAGATCGTAGTAGTTTAAAAATGTTGACGGTGTTGACGTGATCATCGGTACCTCGAAGTTACTAAGGCGATACTCGCACAGCAACGACACGAACTACATGTCAAGTCTAATAGTCTTGAAATCAGATTCTCACCCAAAGATTCTTTCATTTCAGACCGTGTTGACCTGCTGAATATCTACAAGACTGTCAACCGTCGAAGTCAGCATTCCTTTCAACAACCCCATCACTGGGTTCTGTGCATTCACTCACAAGGCTGGTATCCATGCCGATGCCTTGGCTAACCCATCAACTTACGATTGACCCTCACGATTTCGGTTTGCCGAGACACATTCATTTCGCAAACAGATTGACGGGCTGGAACGCAATCAAGTCAAGAGTTGATCATTTGAGTTGAAACTGACCCATGATCAAGGAAGTCACCAACAAGATCAAACAAGTAGGTGACATTAGGCCACTATATCGATGACGTAGTTTCGATCATGAAGTATTTCCATGCCGAGTTCACTACCCCTCCGACCAGAAGCTTGAAAGGCGAACAAATAAAAGATGTCATCAACGGAAATTCCGCGGAGACTTCTTTTGATACGAATCCCACACTTAAACTGCGCTGTCATCAGCCACTGAGATAAATCTGTCCTGGGAAACGGTACGCAGCTGAGTTAGAGCTCTTTGATGGCCTGTGTGAACAGCGAGAGCAGTACTGTCGAACAATAAGATTTTGATACCCACGGAGATTGTAATACTACGGTTGGTAGTGCTACTATGAATATTAGCATTCTGGTGAATAGCAAGGCTCTAAACCTAAATCTCTATACTATTGAAAACTCACTGAAGCTCCTATTGTGAAGCGTTAAATTATCTCAAAGACTGAATGACAGGGTCCTAGAGATAAATTCTAGTGCTCTGAATGACACTTGTCGTCTTTTCGAGGTGATGCATCGAATATTTCATTCTATGTATTGCTGATATCACTTTGTACCATTCCGTCGAAATCTCTTGATTTCCATTCTGACCTACTTCATTCAGCAATTGAAGCTATCTGGCAATAGCTCAAAGTGCCACAACCTTAGTGCTTCGATCTGAGTGCTATATTTAATACCAAGCTTAGTACCACGATCTTTCCTATGACGCGTTTGGCAATAAAAGGCTCGCTGGTTCTTCTATGATCAAGCTTTTGTTGGTATCACTTTTTACTTTTCAGGCATTATGCAACTTAACACTATCATCACTCACATCCCATCGAATACTAAAATCTTACGCATCTACAATTACTCGCTAATTTTCGCAGTTTCTCTGACTCTTACCACTCGTAAGTGCTTGAAACTATAACGGTGCCTACTGCTTCCACTACTTATCTTATTTTTAAATGATCATCGTAATCTAAAAACATAAAAGTACGCTACATTTGAAAATTTAATATATTTGATACTACACACTGCACATTACAGTTCCACACGCTGGCTCCACAAACTCACTGTGTGCATCCCTCACTCTTCGCTTCTATTTCATGAGTTTTACTATAACACACCCAGCTTCTTGCCGCTCACTACGCGATATTTATTTTTTTGAACCTAAAATTGATCTTACTTTAGCATCCATTCACCAAGCGCTACTTCTTTACCGTACCAATGGTTAATCTCAATCAATATCCTCCTAAAAATGGCAGAAACTACTATCTGGCTCTCGGCCTCGAGGGCTCTGCTAACAAGCTTGGTGTTGGCATCGTGAAACATCCGCTTTTGCCAAAACATGCCGATAGCGATCTTTCACACCATTGTGAAATGGAGATCTTATCTAACGTCAGAGACACGTATGTAACGCCACCAGGGGAAGGTTTTTTGCCCCGCGATACTGCCCGACATCACAGAAACTGGGCGGTTAGACTGGTACGCTTGGCACTCAAAGAAGCAGGTATCTCTGATCCCAGCGAACTGGATACCATATGTTTCACGAAAGGGCCTGGAATGGGTGCCCCGCTACATTCAGTGGTGGTCATGGCCAGAACGCTCTCGGTTATGTGGGACGTGCCCTTAGTTGGTGTCAATCATTGCGTTGGTCACATCGAAATGGGAAGAGAGATAACGAAAGCCGAGAATCCGGTGGTCTTATATGTCAGCGGTGGCAACACGCAAGTCATTGCATATTCTGAAAACTGCTACCGTATCTTCGGGGAGACATTGGACATAGCCATCGGCAACTGTCTTGACAGATTTGCCAGAACTTTGAGGATTCCAAATGAACCGTCGCCAGGCTACAATATCGAACAACTGGCGTATAAATGCAAAAACAAAGACTGCCTTGTAGAGCTTCCGTATACCGTCAAAGGTATGGATTTGTCAATGAGTGGAATCTTGGGTTACGTGGACTCGTTGGCCAAAGATTTGTTCAACAAGAATACCAAGAACAAGCTTCTTTTTGACTCCCAAACAGGGCAGCAACTTGTCACAGTGGAAGATTTATGCTATTCGTTACAAGAGAACCTATTCGCAATGCTAGTAGAAATCACAGAGCGTGCTATGGCGCACGTAAACTCTAATCAAGTTCTTATCGTTGGCGGGGTAGGATGCAATGTCAGACTACAAGAAATGATGGCTTCGATGTGCCGTGACAGATCCAATGGACAAGTTCACGCTACTGATGAACGTTTCTGCATAGATAATGGTGTAATGATTGCCCAAGCAGGTCTCTTGCAATTTAGAATGGGTAATACCATCAATGATTTGGCCGAAACTGTTGTCACTCAAAAGTTCAGAACGGACGAAGTATATGTAGCATGGAGGGAGTAGAACAGTACGTAATCCAACAAGACAGAATACAATCCCTGCATCGCTAGCAAAGTCAATGACAGAGCTTACGAAGTACAGTGACTTTATCTCCTTTGATCTAGTATTTGGTTCTGTCCTTTTTGACTACGGCCTAACCGGCAAAAGGCTTTCATTTGTTGACATGTCTCTGAACCTAAAGTGCACTCTCGCTATCCTGAACACCGGAAGTGAATTGGCTACTCACTCTAGCAACTTGCTCACGTGTGTAAATACACCTTATTTCTCAATGATAGAAAACGCTGATATGATGATAGATATTTGTAAACAAGATCAATTGGGAAGTCCGTTCTTTTTATGCGCATGTCTGGGAGTCTTAATGATTGCTTAGACCAAATTAAGCAGTCCTGCGACTCAATATCTACATTGTACTTTAAACCTCCCGGCATATTTCACAATGCAATTGTTCCAGATCCATCAACCTCATACGCAGATATCATAACGAATATAATACGAGACGGGGACCCTCAGGAAGAAGCCTCGTTGTACAAAATAAACGAAAACAAACTTCCGCGTCGTAAAGACGATAAAGTTGGTGTTTTTGACTTTCTAACGGAGCATGAGGCAAATCTGAAACGCAGTCGCCGTTTAGGGAACGTTGAGCATACCCCCATCATCCACGTTCCAAAAGATTTCTACTTGAAGCAACACGAACAAGACGCTCTCCGAAGTCGCAAACAACAGCCGTATTTACTAGGTGGCTCGAAAACCGAAGGTATACTAAAGGTCTTGCTCAAGAACTTTGAGAATGATGAACAAGTTAAAAACCTGCTACATGCGTTGCAAAATGGCACCGTGATCACAGAGGATGAAACTGCAGATGTCCCTAATCGTAGAAAAACTCTTTTTGTCGAGGATTTCCCCGTGGAGCTTATATTTAAGGTGCACAACGAGATTGTCACGCAGTGGCCTGTTTCTGAATATCAAAAGAACTACTCCGAGCTTTTACAACACTACACTGAAATTGACTCTGATATACGCAAACTTCGCCAGCAAATCGGTGATCAAGAGGCTCAATTGCAAGATATGAACATGAGTTCAGGGGTCGCCAGGCTCATTCAAAAGGAACAACAGGAAGTTCTAGATCTACAACAAAAACTGCAAAAGCTAGAAAGGAGCAGATAGTCACGTTAGAAAGTTTTGGCTACATAAAGACCCGACTTTCAAGATTAGAACTTGTCGCTACGTTCACAAGGAGTAAGTCCTGGGCCCTAGTACTCATGGTGATCGTACGGTGTCCCAACTCGCGCATGCTAGTTGTGGCCCAAATTACTTTGCAAAATGCCTTGCTTATCTTATAATTGTACTGCAGGAGACAACCTGCGGCATGCATCAAATCTGACACTGGTATTTTCTCGGACCATTCAATTTGAAAAGAAAGGTTGATACTTGTTTCCTCGATCCTAAAAATCTTGAATGAGCACTTAGTATCGGTATCTTTACTCTATGCTCGTATTTTTCAACTATTCGCGTTCATATTCATGAGACAAATCGGGTTACTGGCTCCATATTTAGAGCTCATTTGGACGTAAAATCCTTTGAGGCCTAATCACAGAAAATTGGCACGAATTAAATACTCGAATTAACTCTCTATAAGTTCTGTAAATGCTATCTATGTGCAGTCTTCTAGTTTTACTTCCTACTTCACACGTCAGAATTTTACAGAGTGACAGGAGCAATTGGATCTTTAATTTCTTGACCGGCAACAAAAAAATTGGGCAAAATATCTCTGATCATCGCAAAGGCTTGTCTGAGCATCTCTGTAGGTCATTTGCAAGAGTATGGGATCCAATTCTAGTAATTCGGACCAACTGGCGCAAATAGGGAGGGCTGTTTCGACAACAGCTTCTGCGATTTTTGGATCGCAGTCCATGGAGGACACCATACTCTCCTATAGCAGCCCCTACAAGAAATTGTTGCACCAGACTATAACACACTCCGGTTCGAGCAGTGCACTTACCAAACTAAGGACTACTGGCAATCCATTTCGAAAGGATGACAACAAAGCATTTCAGGACATATATTCTGCTCCGAATGGAAGGTCTTTTTTCGAAAATCAGTTTAGCAACACAAAGACCAGTTTTAGGGTGCTGAGCTACCTCAGCGAAGATCTTTTGAACGATGTACCGAATAGCGGTAGCATACAAAATGGAGGAAGAACTCGAAACCTATTGAAGCAAAATGGGGACGCAAATCCAAGCATGAAACCGAAAAGCAAAAGCATGGAGAAAGAGCCATCTCTCTTTCAAGGATTTACTTCTTCCTTGCCCACCATTAATGAAACGATTAGCACAGGAGGCCCATCATCGGGTCCAGGGACCTTTAAGCACCCTGGTCTTCTGAGCAACGTGGAAAGCTCTGCTAACCCTCAACAAAACGATGAAGGATTCTCTTTACCCACAAGTTCGAGCTGGAATGAACTGAATGAAACGTACTCTTTGAAAAAGCTGAGATCAGCAAACCAGAGCATAATTGACAATCTAGACTTACTGGAGATACAGAAAAACCTAGCCGCTAGCGAAATCAAGGAAATTGATTTGAAGCTGGAGAAATTAAAAATGGTTCGTGATCTTGTCTTCAAACGAGTTGCCAGAGTAGAACAAAATGAAATCTTTCTGGAGAAGCATTTAGCAATAGTCAGAGATAGAATAGACTTGATCGAAGAGAACGGCTTAGACGATGACGAGTCCACGGAAGAATCACACGGAATAGAGAGTGAGAATCAAAAACCTGGAAGTGTTGGACTCGAAACAGCTGACACAGAAGATGGTTTTCAAGGGACAGAAAACGAAAGCGATGATGAAGAGACGTCTGCATTAATGAGCAAATCTATTTATCAAAAAATGAAAAAAAGTCCTCCAAACTCTAAGGCGCACTACATGAAAGCTTCTCAAGCCCAGAAGCGCTTGCAACAAAATTCTCAGAATAATCACAATAGAAGGCGCAAAACTTACCCAACATTGCAACAATTTTACGAACCTGGGAGTAAAATTGCATCGTTTCCCAAGGCTCATGACGACAGCATAACGTGTTTGGATTTTGACATGCCTTTTGGTACCATGTGTACCGCCGGCAAGCTAGATCACTCGGTGAAAATCTGGGACTTGAGTAAGAAAGTCCAAACGGCTAGTCTTCCAGGGCACCTGGCTTCCGTGAGCTGCATGCAAATGAATGAACCATATACATTAATCACTGGTGGGCGTGATGCTTTGTTAAAACTCTGGGATGTGGAGAAAGCTGAGGATATATTCCATGACAGCAGCGCCGAGAATGAGGATGAGCTGTGCTTAAACACATTTGATGCGCATGTTGATGAGATCACAGCATTGCACCTCGAAGGAAACTCGCTTGTTTCTGGCTCACAAGACCGCACTGTTCGTCAATGGGATCTCATGACGGGTAAATGCTTGCAAACCATTGACATTAATTTCACAAACAGGGGAACATCCGATGGCTTTTCAACGGTTATGTCGCACAATCCGCGCAGTAGTGTGCTTTTAACACACAACGATCCTCCAGTAATAGGTGCCTTACAGTGTTATGACGCCGCCATGGCCACAGGTACGAAGGACGGAGTGGTGAGGTTGTGGGATCTAAGGTCAGGGCAAGTAATACGGACGTTGGAGGGTCACACTGATGCGGTAACGGGTTTACAATTCGATTCGGTCAATTTAGTTTCAGGGTCACTTGATCGAAGCATAAGAATCTGGGATTTGAGGACCGGGTTGCTTGCAGATGCATTTGCATATGACAGCCCGGTGAGCTGCTTACAATTTGATTTGGACAAAATTGTCACTGCAAACAACGAGAGTTCGATAAAAGTCTACGACCGCAAAGACGCGCGCCAGTGGACGTGTGGAGGAGATTCCGCAGAAACGGAAAATGATGTTGTTGACTTCGTGCGCTACAAGCACGGCTATTTGGTCGAAGGCCGCACCAACGGTGATGTTAACACATGGGCTCTCTAACAGTAACATAGGCATACCATCTACACTATCTGTAAATACCATTCAACGCAAATATTCATCATTCATTGACGCGCAAGATTTTGCGTGAACGGTATCTACCCTTCTCCAACTAGTCAAGAGCCACTATATATCATCGTAGGTCTCAAGCACCTTTTCTTTCATCACTTTATTTTATCATCATATTTATGGACGAACTTGCTTGATTCAAAGACATTTATACTGCAGCCGAGAGTTCGCCCGATAAAAGTTATTTGACGGCTCATTCTCAAAGCTTGATCCGATCTCTACACATAGTTGTTGCTGAGTTTAACTGACTTATGATTACCAGACGCTATTCTTTCTTACCCACATGATTGGAAACATCTCTGGTAAAAAAAATCTGCAAGTGGCAATTCTATATTTCTGAAAAAATATCAATAGTTGCAGATATTCTCCGTATCAACGCTTCAACATCGAGATCGGAAACTCGCCAAGGGACTGTAACTAGTTAAGATACTCAATCATGAATTTTGGAAGCCAAACACCCACCATCGTGGTACTAAAAGAAGGAACGGACGCTTCTCAGGGTCGTGGCCAGATTATCTCCAATATCAACGCCTGCTTGGCTATTCAGGATTCTCTGAGGCCTACGCTAGGCCCATTGGGTTCAGACATTTTGATCGTGTCATCTAACGGAAGGACGACAATTTCTAACGATGGAGCTACAATTTTAAAGCTTTTGGACGTGGTGCATCCGGCTGCCAAAACTTTAGTGGACATTTCAAGAGCACAAGACGCAGAGGTTGGTGACGGTACAACCAGTGTGACCATTTTAGCTGGTGAATTCATGAAGGAGGCTAAACCGTTCCTAGAAGAAGGTATTTCGTCGCACGTCATCGTCAAAGGTTATAGAAAGGCCGCCAGCTTGGCAGTCAACAAGATCAACGAATTGGCTTTGTCAGTTTCCAATGACAATGGTAACAACCGAGAGCTGCTAGAGCGCTGTGCCAGAACCGCAATGTCCTCGAAGCTAATCAGCAGCAACTCCGACTTTTTCGTGAAAATGTGCGTGGATGCTGTTCTTTCTTTAAACCAAGACGAATTGGACGACAAACTCATTGGAATCAAAAAAATTCCTGGTGGCGCCATGGAGGATTCGCTTTTCGTAAATGGTGTCGCATTTCAAAAGACCTTTTCTTACGCTGGTTTTGAACAACAACCCAAGAGATTCGAGAATCCTAAAGTACTGAGTCTCAACGTAGAACTGGAATTGAAGGCTGAGAAGGACAATGCCGAAGTACGGGTCGAACATGTCGAGGATTACAATGCTGTCGTGGATGCAGAATGGCAAATCATATTAGACAAATTGCAACAAATCGAAGATTCCGGTGCCAACATTGTCTTATCTAAGCTACCAATTGGTGATCTAGCAACTCAATACTTCGCCGACAGAAACATTTTTTGTGCTGGTAGGGTTGCTGCCGAGGACCTGAACCGTGTGATTTTGGCTGTGGGTGGTGCCATTCAATCTACAACTTCCGACATAAAACCAGAACATTTGGGTACTTGCGATTTCTTCGAAGAAGTACAAGTGGGATCTGAACGTTACAACATTTTTAAAGGGTGTCCACAAGCGAAAACGTGCACCTTGCTGTTACGAGGAGGTGCCGAACAAGTCATTGCAGAGGTCGAGAGATCCTTACACGATGCTATAATGGTGGTGAAACGTGCTATCAAGAGCAAACTCGTTGTTGCAGGTGGTGGTGCTATTGAGATGGAAATTTCTAAATACTTGAGAGATGAATCGAAGAAGATTCCAGGTAAGCAACAACTAATAATCAGCGCCTTTGCCAAGGCCCTTGAGATTATTCCTAGACAACTATGTGAAAATGCTGGTCTCGATGCCACTGACATCTTGAATAGACTGAGAATGGCCCATAGTAGAGGTGAAAAATGGTTCGGTGTCGATTTTGAGGCCGAAAGTGTTGGTGACAATTTTGCCAAGTTCGTATGGGAACCAGCAATGGTGAAGATAAATGCCTTGAGCAGTGCAACTGAGGCCACGAATCTCATTTTGTCGGTTGACGAAACCATCAAAAATAAAGAAAGCCAGCCTGCCAATGCCGGTATGATGCCACCACAAGGCGGTGCCAGAGGCAGAGGAATGCCAATGCGTTAAGCCCTGTATACCATGTAGATATAAACTGGTTTTTACCATTACAGTCTACTAGCGTAAGTAACTCGTCGCTCTTTTTCTTCGCCGAGGCAGGCCGTTATAATGATAATCTCCTATTGCTATGAACATCTCAAGTGTGCGTATGTACCATTACTCCTATTAACCGCGCAATGCCTTGAGTCTTTGAGCTAGCTTCAATTCTTTTTCTTCCGAAGCGGCCTCTGCTGTTGCGGGTACGTCTGCGACGTCCTGTAAAGCGGCAGATTGTTTCAACTCAAGTCCGTTTTCATCGGCTACCTTATTCATGAGCTCGTCAACCCTGTCATTATCAATCACGACCGCATCAGAATTTGCGCCCATATCTTCGTAGACATTTACGCTTGTATCTAGATCTTCAAATTGCTGTTCAAACTTGTCCATGATCATCGTAATTTGCTGCAAGTTCATACTTTGTAAGGCTTTATCCATCCCACGACACACTTGTGCCATACTCCCAGAAACCTGACGCATAGTTACTGCAGTTTGAACCCTAGATGCAACGGAATCGACTCTGGAGGCCAGCTTCAGCAGCTGGAGGCGCTCGTTACGCTTGCGGACAGAGTTTGAGGCATAAAGTCTTGCAATTTCCTCGCTCTCGTTGAGAGCCTTTTTCAGTTTGTTAGCCTCCTGTTTTTCCTCTTTAGCGGCCTTCTGAGCCTGCTTGTTTATCTGCTTCGACGTGAACTTCAACTGGAATAGCGTGTTATCGAGGCCAGCAGAAGGATTACGAGACATCATTGTTAATCAAATGTTTTAATTCGATGCTGATTTGTTATACTTGGCAATTTTCTAAGTTAGATAACCTTTGCAATTAAAGGTCGTGAAGTAAATTCGTAAACTTTCATTTTAATCAAAGAAAGAGGCAAGATATTCAGAGTTGTAGATTGAGAATTCGCTCGGAGAGTCGATACATTCTAGGTCTAAGTTTTTATAAGGCGAGATTTTGCACAATCGGTTATTCGATGCTTCGTTTCAGAAAGTCCAGTGACTTGTTACGTACTGTATAATCAATAATAGAAGAGTTCTCATCAATCGTGACACCAATTTAAGATTGACCGATTGAGCCATCTATAGTTGACAAATACACTGCCATGTTACCGGCTATCCTTTTCCATTGCCCAAGGGCTTACGTATCTTGTTTGTGTTTTTCGTTATCCTATTCTGTAGTCCGTCCTAACACATGTTGCTATCCACATTTTCTTCCGTTACCGCTCTCTTTGCTCTAGCCTGTCTTCCAGGGAGCGACATTTAGAATCGAGTTCAAGTATGTGTCTCTTGTACAAGTCCGTCACCAGCTCCAACTCGCTGATGCGAGTTTTTAACTTTATTACTTCTTCTTGGCCCTGCAGCAGGCTAATGAGGGAAGCGCTAGGTGGAAGTGGTACTTCGTCTAGATTATTTCGACTGCCATGAGGCATGATTGTGCGAGTGTCGGCATGAGTCCCGTTAGGCTGTTTTTCCGACAGTTGCTGTTCCAAGTTTGTATCGGACTCCAAGTTTCTACGCTGCTCTGAGTCCGAACTGGATCGCTGGTCCTTGGACGACGCTTGCTGACTAACAGTAAATTGACCACTCATCGTGGAATTTACCGGCAAACTAGTCTGAAGGTCGATTGGTGGGGGAGAATCCGAGAATTGAGATTCCGTACGCAGCCTTGCTGCGCTTTCCGTTTCTGAGCTATTGCGAACATTTGAAACCGGCGGTATGGGCTTACTTTCTGGGGACTGACGTTGTGAGTTTCCACTTTGCGCGTGCTTTGATCCCGCGTACAAGGTAGGCGATTCGGACTTGGGTTTTTGATTGTTCAAGATTTCATTTATTGACGCCATGTGCATCTGAGGTATTTGATCGTGTTCTCGCGAAGTTCCTGTAGATGTGGTACGCCGTACACCCAGCGGCAGATGCATGTAAGGCAACTGTGCCTGACTTTCATGTCCATGATATAAATCAGATGTGCCTGGCGGTACAGGGCGCTTGAGCGTGGTCTGTTGATGTGAAAGCGATTGTCTCATTGGGAGTGACAAATTGAGAGATCCAGGTACTCCTGGCGACCCTGCAGAATGTTGTTGTTGTTGCTGCTGCTGTGCTTGGTCTCCCAAAATCTCCGGATCTAAGGACGAAGACGCCACCTCTTGGATTTTGTTTGATTGTTCTTGAGAGCGCTCCTCAGACTTGACAGATTCGAGAAGCAGAGATAGATGCGGCAGAGGCACATTATGATGCGAAGGAGGTGTGGCAGGAGGGGGGGATGTTTGGTTGGCAGGTACGATCTTGCGCCAGACGTGCATGTTACCCACTCCTGGCTCATTGCTGGATACGATCCCCGTGGTTTGGTTCTCCTGCTGCAACTTATTTGCAGGACGGGGCCCATTCTCAAATTGCAAGATAGTCTCAAGTGTTTCCGCGGCGCTGATCTCACGCGCGTCGTGCGTCTTTCGTTTCTTGTAGTCTTTCTTACGGGCCTCAGAGGGCGATGGGTGAAGCATCGCCGATGTCGGGTTTGCCGAGGAGTTTGATGTCGAGTGCGTGCTCTTGCGATTCCGTGACTTGATTACATCTGTTTTCAAGCTGATTGGGCGGGGGCGGCCGTGTAGTTTCAGAAACAACCCACACGCATTGCACAACACCGCACCATGCTCGTTTCTGCGCCACAGAGGCGTCGTTAGCGTGTGACAGTTCTTGCACATTGGCCCTCCACCGGGCCTCTGCGATTGATCCGGGCTGGAGATATTCTCCGCGGATGGCATTACCGCGACGCTTGTCTTGGTCATGGTTTTGGCTGGTGTCTGAGTCTCGCGAGTCACAATCGAACGCAGTTTTCTGGCGTCCTAAGCACGTCCAATACTATTATAGGTCTCTATAACCACTCAAAAACACGCTTTGGAGCTTGACCACGCTTGCGATCCAAGTTTGATGGTCCCTCAGAAAATTTTTTATCGCTCGTCGTTGCTATATGTGTCCCGAAGTCCTGTAACACACCCGGAAATCAGCCAAACGCTCCTGCTCTACGGTAGCCCAATCCCGTCGATTTAACTAGCGAAGATTCAAATCCTTATGCAAAACTTTCTTTGCTTGATTTTGGTCTTGAATTCTCTGTTCTTGTTCTTTAAATTTTGGAAATCTTGTTCAGATAATAATTTTCATTATTCCTAATCTTATCTTCTATGTTTTGAGCTTATCAGATACTAACTATCAAATGAAATCTGAAAGGAGTGAGTATGTGATCACAAGTGTCCAACGAGTTAGGAAAATTGATACCCAACCAGGTTGCAAAGGTGTCCAAGAGTGTGGCGGCTCGAAAAAGAATGTCGCAAGACACTGAAAAAGATCAGCAATCCATAATTTGGATTTATCTCCGTACGTACAGTGAAGGATGAGCAGTTTTGGCAAAACGTGCAGAAGCGGGGCGATAAGATTGGTTAATCAGAAGTGTTGGGGCTGATTGGATCTGATTGGAGCTGTGAGGGTACAGCGAGAACCGAAGTTCGGCAAGTATTCGATGCGGCCGGTTATGTGGCGGATTTGCCAAGCCGAAAATAGTAAAGATGAGAAGATCCCAGCGGACGGTTGTAGCTGGGCTTTGGTCTTAGAGATGGAGGCCCACTGTGTGAAAGAGAAAGAACTCGCGTTAGTGGTGATGAGCGGGCGAGTGCCCGAAGTAACCCATCGATTTACGAACACCGCAGCGGTGGTTAGCGGTTTCTGTGCCTAGTAAGTCGAAGCTTTGCAGGTGGGAAGGCATCTGTTGCGAAAGGCAAATGAAGAAGCCTGTTTTGGCATTTTTTAGTTTTCGCGAATATACAAGCCGGCCTTGTAATCTGGTTCTCATTCTATATAATCAACAAGACCAGGACGCTGCCTAGCAGCTATCCTACGCTCGGCTCGAACAATCGGAGGACGGTCAGGGAGTTTTACCAATATTCGGCTTAACAAGTATCAAGTCGAAGTTATTGCGGGTTGATTTGTTGTAATCAGCGTCTTGGCTTCGCCGTAGTGACAATTCCGCACGTAGCAATGAATGGGTCTAATAAAGCAGCCCGCGTCGCAGGAAAGGTGTGCGCAAACCAAAAAGACCGTTCTTGAATTACGACATTAAAAATTCGGGTCTCTTGACACATGAGGCCCCAGTGCTTTCCGGTAGCCCTACGAATGTATATACAAGATATATGACAGCTACAGTGACGCTTCTCCACAGCTTGCCGCCGGCGATTTTTCTGATTTTTTTTGTTTGACGTGGCTTTGCGTACCCATTGACGGATTTGTTCTTATACTTGACAAACATAATGCTCGAAATTCAGGTGTAAACCATAAAACTCTCCGCAGACATCGGTTAAAACAGCTCCAAGAAGGCCAATGCACTTGAAGGATGAGCAGTATCACGATGCATTCGAAGATCCGATAGATTCAACAGCAGGCAGCGGTTTAATTCCAGGTATATCGGACGCTAGAGAACTCAATGGCAATAATCAGCCGAATAGCGATTCCGAATCAGAAGAAGAGGGAGGAGAAGGCCCGCTGGCTACTAAACACCTGTCGCATGATGCTGAGGCTCATTTCAAGAATCTGGAATTCCAAGGAGTGCCAAACTCTACGCTCAGCGCCGCAGCAGACGAACCTACTGGTGACGAAGAAAGAGACGAGCAGTCGAACTGGCTTAAAAAAATGTACCCTCAAGATTCGTTCTACGGCTGGCGGAAGGAAATGGGTCAAGCGTTTCGTCGGTTTTCTAAGCTAACGGGAAGACGGAATACGCGTTCTGACATTGGGAAAAATGTGCGATCGTCAGTTTCTCACCATCAGAGTCCTGAAGATATGTTTACGCAAAGTTTAGCATCAGACCTGATCGATACATTGATTTCAGGCTGCCCTGCCGCACTTTTTGCTGGCTGTTCCTTTCTTCGTGATGAACACGGCGTTAGAAGAGCCCCAATCCTTTTGGCAATGCTGGGAGTAAAAGTCAAGCCTTCCAAACCGCATACCAGCTTCGATACTAATATGAACGATGCAGATAATGGTAATGGCGATGCTCATGAGTCCCAACGCCATGATGCCAAGTTTAAATTAGAATTGGAGTATGGTGTTGGATACAATCGGTTGAAATGGGCTGTGGTGAAATCCTACAAAGATCTGGCTTCTCTTCACACTAAATTGAAACTCATGTATTTTCAGCAAAATGCTATAAACAAACTCCACATCGATAACCACGGCCACAATCAATTGCATTTACCCCATTTCCCACGGTTTGACGACCTCACAAAAAAGGAACGCAATACCATGGCGAATGAATTAGCCGCAGAAACGAGTAGCACAGACACCAGAGACAGCGAGGTACCCGCGGGAGCTGAAAATCAAAACCATAACGACGCGGCTTCTTTAGCAACAGGTGGCACGACCCAATTCGAAATAAAAAAGTTCCGCATGAAACACTTGGAAGACCTCTTAAGTGAACAGGATGATTCATCCCATCCCATGCACCAAAGATTGGAACGCTACCTGAAACTTCTGAATTTAGCGCTCTGCCTCAGACCTCAGTCTAACCGGCTGTTCCAATTTTATGAACTTTCGCCAATCGGAAATTTACTCAGCTATGAAAATGGCTACCAAGGTAAACAAGGCTACATGGTCGTTAGGTCCACTGCTAGTGCCCAGGGCTGGAGAGTGTCGCACTTTAAATTTCGGGATTTTCGAGCAATGATCGAAAGACATACAAACAAATGGTTTTTGGTCAGACATTCATACATTCTCTATGTGTCAGATCTTCACTCCACCACTCCTTTGGATGTCTTCTTAGTCGATTCCAGCTTCAAAATTCGAGTTCCTGGTGAGTTCGAAGTCTCGGTAGATGACTACAAAGATTTTGATCCCATGGGCCATGATGCCAGAAAGATTTCCACTAAGCTGCAAATAACTTTGGAAAATAGTGAACGCAAGATACAGATGCTTGTGAAGTCCGAGTTCCAATTAAGGCTGTGGGTCGCTTCTCTCTCTAAAATGGTAAAGTCCACTATCTGGTCCCAAAAGAAAAGATTTGACAGTTTTGCGCCTGTGAGACGTAACTGTTTTTGCAAATATCTTGTCGACGGAAGGGACTACTTCTGGGCGTTAAGCGAAGCACTGTCGATGGCCCAGGACGTAATCTTCATACACGACTGGTGGCTCTCGCCTGAATTGTACATGCGGCGACCAGTCAAAGCCAATCAAGAGTACCGAATCGATAGAATCTTGAGAGAAAGAGCCGAAAAAGGCGTTAAGATTTTCATTGTTGTTTACAGAAACGTAGGCTCTACTGTTGGAACTGATTCCTCCTGGACGAAACATTCGATGCTCAACCTTCATCCAAATATTCACTTAATTCGGTCTCCTAATCAGTGGCTACAAAACACCTACTTTTGGGCTCATCACGAGAAAATGACTGTTATTGATCACAGTGTAGCTTTCATGGGGGGAATTGATTTGTGTTACGGTAGATTCGATACTCCTGAACATGTTTTGAAAGACGATGACCCAGACCTTCAAAATCAGAATTTCCCAGGTAAGGACTACTCTAACGCTCGCGTCTGTGACTTTTATGATCTTGACAAACCTTTTGAGTCAATGTACGACAGGAATGTGGTCCCCAGGATGCCATGGCACGACGTTCATATGATGACCGTAGGTGAGGCAGCGCGCGATATGTCTAGGCATTTTGTGCAGAGATGGAATTATGTGATTCGACAAAAACGCCCTAGTCGCCCTACCCCTTTGTTGACGCCTCCAAGTGATTTCACAGAAAGCGAAATGAAGAAATCTCCATTTTTTCAAGACATAGCTGATCGGTCAACTTGCGAGGTCCAGGTGTTGAGGAGTGCTGGTAACTGGTCATTGGGCCTCAAAAAGACCGAACACTCTATTCAAAATGCTTATCTGAAGTTGATAGAAACATCGAATCACTTTGTTTACATGGAGAACCAATTTTTCGTCACAAGCTCTAGCTGGGATGGTGTAGTTGTGGAAAACAAAATCGGTGATGCACTTGTAGACAGAATAATAAAAGCCAGCAGCGAAGGCAAGGCGTGGAAAGCCTTTATAGTCATTCCTCTAATGCCTGGCTTCGATTCACCTATCGACAAGGCCGAAGGTTCTAGCGTTCGTGTTATCATGCAATGTCAATTTCAATCGATTTCAAGGGGAGAGACGTCAATATTTGCTAGGCTCCGGAAACTAGACATTGATCCTTTGCAGCATATCCAATTCTTTTCTTTAAGAAAATGGTCAGCGTTAGGACCTAACGATCGATTAGTCACAGAGCAATTGTACGTGCATGGTAAAGTCCTTATAGCCGATGATCGAGCTTGCATTATTGGTAGTGCTAACATCAATGAGAGGTCAATGCTCGGTAACAGAGATAGTGAAGTAGCTGCTCTAGTTAGAGACACAGATCTCGTTGAATCGAAGATGGGTGACAAACCTTATCTTGCCGGAAGGTTCGCTTGGGAGCTAAGACAGAGACTCATGCGTGAGCATTTAGGGTGCGACGTAGATATTGTCGAAGTCGTAGAACGGAAATTTGGAAAGCTTGAAGAGCTTGCAAAACTGAATTACAAAACTTTACATTTATCAAACGACGAAAATAACAATAAGAAAGCCCAAATTGAATCCGCGCTCATAGAAATCGGCTATAGAGAGGTTATGCATACCGAAGCAAGTGAAGCCTGGAAGGAAAAGTATGGCTCTATCAAGAATTTCGGGCTGCAAATTGAACCCGGAAAGTCTGAAAATGAAGATTCAGGTTTTCAGCCGGTTGAAAACAATAACGTCAAATCGAACTTGACATCTACTAAGCAGAGGAAGGAAGATTCGAATTATAATTTGAATCACTATCACTCGTTCAACAACAGAGCAGGCGAGGCCAATCTAGGAATTCGTGACAAAAAGCCTATCAGTACTGACTCCAGATTGGTCAACAATGAGGTTCACACAGCCGACGTCGACGGTCTGGGTCTAGACGGATGGAAGAAGGTAAGCCACAAGTTGAAGCAGAACGTAACCGAAAAACTACGTTCGTGGGCCGAGAAAATGCTGGTGTCAACCGCTGATGACAAAGTCGGTGGTAAGCGTGCAGACAGCTTTTTGCCTCATCGTGAAGACGTGGAGATCTACTTGGATGACTTTGCAGTCACACCCACAGAGAAATGGGATATGCTCAAACGTATTTGCTATCTCCAATACCTGTCTCATAAAAACGACATGAAGATAAACTCTGAGCGTAGTGAGAATGAGTCTGACTCGTCAATTAGCAAATCTTCTCAGAATCCTGACACTACTGACGGGAACTCTCACAAAAATCACGTAGAGGCAGTAGAAGAACATGAGTTGGACGACGAAATTATCGACGACATGTTGATGCAGCTGTTGCCACCCGTTGGTAACAACGGTTCTCAACAAAAGGATTTCCTAAATTTGAAGTTCGTCGACCCCTACGCATTTGAGGATCCACTGTGTGATGCGTTTTATGAGGATATGTGGTTTGCTGTTGCATTGCGCAACACGATGCTATTCCGACTTGTTTTCCATTGCCAACCGGACAACTCGGTGCAAACTTGGCGTGATTACAAAGACTTTAACCGCATGCGTGAGGAATTCGACAGCAGCCAGGACACCGTGATTGATCTCGAGCGCTATCCCGAGAGTGAGCAAGAAAATGCAATGGCAGGAAAGAAATCACTACAGCCGCAAGCTTCCCGTAAAGAGGACGGATCTTCTTCGATGAAAACGGCACACAACAGCACTGCGGCCAAGACTAGCGTGGGCCATCAGGATTACAAAAGTCGATCGCGCGCATTGAAGATGAAATTGTCCAACAGCGTGCTGTACGGTGCCAACCAGCGCATCTTTGACAAGTACACGGCACGCAGAATTCTTGAACGGGTACACGGACACCTGGTCATATTCCCAACTGACTGGCTGGCACGCGAGGTTGAGTCCAACAATTGGTTTTACAGTGCAGACAGATTACCGCCCATCGACATTTACGACTGATCTAGGCCCTGTTAGCTCAATTACTCGTTATATTTACTTTACTAACGATATATCAAATCGATCAGAACGAAGAACACGTAATCTTATCTGTTCAACTGGCCAATAACAAAGCTAAAAGCGAGTGTCTCATTGATGCCTGTAAACGATCAATATTGCAGTGACACAATCAAAAGCCCTACCGTTCAATTACGCGGTGCTGAAGCTTTTCTTAATGAGGAAGATCTCAATCATCATAAATTTTTTTTTCCGGCACCTTATCAAACTTTAGGGCTTATCAAAAGATAAGATAGCTATAGCGGTGGAATCAAGAACGCTAGAATGAGTTTATAAACTGTTGCCAGTTTTAGCACCTAAAGCTTGCGAGCGTCTCGCTATAGATCGCACAGAGAGGAGCTGTCCAGGTCAATCTTGGCGTCAATTCTGAGGTGCTACCGTCTTTTAACAGTGTGACACTCTTCAGGGTTGACGGACAACTAGTTTGAGGTGAGGATACGCCCATTCCGGGAGACTCAATACATTGCTCAAACTTCGGGAAATTCAATACGTTGCTCAAACTCCGGAAAGTTCAATATACCGGTTGAACTGCGTTGACTCGCTAAGAAATTTGAAAAATGAGAGGACGTTCAGGCTATCGCAGTTCCAGAGAAAGCGAGGGCACGGTGGGAAATACTAGTGAACTATCCGCTATGCTTAATACAGGTCAAAAGCAGAAAAGAGCTCCTCTCCTGCGCACGACGTCGCTGAAGCTGCCGAACAAAAATCTATATACCCTCTCCGAAAACAGTCACGAAGAGCCAGCTCTACCAAACTCCAACGTGCACCATCATGCTTCGAAATTAATGGCCAATCGCCATCGTAGCTCCGCTGCTAGCTTACTGTTCCAAAACTTGAAAAACAAGCGCAACAGCAGCAACCTTTCATTGAAGGACATGCGTAACAATTCAGCTTCGTCGGGAACCCAAAGCGCTCACTCTACAAGCCAACGCCCGTCGCTGCACCTTCATGTTCATGACTCTAAAAATGAGGAGGCAGACTACTTTCAGCGTCCTAGCACCAACCCTATTAACCACTACCAATTTAGCAGGAACATGACTACGAGACCTAAAAGTTCGAGTACAACACACATACCAACACTTGCAAGTTTGAAGCGCACGGATTCTGCTGCTTCACTCAACGTTGAGCTCAGACCGCGAAAGTTTGATATCGGATCCGCAGATACGAGCCGGGAAGCTGATCGAAGTAATGCAGTTGACTACAAACACAGCGGCAAGTTCTTCCCACAAAGCAAAGTTGATCCTACTTTGAATGCCGTCGAGACTGATCAAAGCTCTATGCAAGAGGAGGACCACGATAACAAAATGCTTGAGACCCAAATTGAAACTGCAATTAACGAAGAACTGTTTCCTCGGGAGTACGCGTTTGATAATAAATTTGAAGACGTAATAGAATTTCCAAAAACAGTAGAGCTAGAAAAAGCACGAAGTATAACGAGCTCCAACCAATCGCCCCTGACTAAAGTCGCGGGACGGAAGCTTTCGAAAACAGATTCGTTGACCTTGGAAAACTTTCAAAATGATATTTCGAACAGATCAAGTACCTCCTCTCAATGCGTATCCCATACGTCTCGATTACAAATGAAAATGGATATCATGAAAAGTCGATTTGATAGTTTTGTAACAGGACATGACGTATCGAGCGGATCCGACAATTGCATTTCCATCTTGAGAGGTGAGCCTAGCTCTCATGATAGCGAAAATTCACTAATATTTACGCTACCAGTTGCGCGCAACTCTACACTTGAATTGGATCACGAAAGTATCAACGAGGCAGTCGCAGGCGACGCCCAAGTACAAATTTACAAGTTTTGGTTCCGGACTGACTTAAAGACGAAACTCTTGACCGAGAAACTTGCCAATCAACTCAAAAATATTGAACGGTTTCCATCTTCAGGGTTAGTGGGTGAGAAAATAGTGGTCTCCAGAATAAGAGATCTAGCTACAGAACAAGATCTTGTGGCCAAAGGCATCATGCAAAAAATACAACAGCGCACTGAGAATAAGGCAGTGACCGAGAGACCGGTACTTCAGATGACCAGTGATTCGAAAGATCAGGAATTTGAGCAATTGTTTGAGAACACCAAAAACTACGTAGCCACATCTAGTTCCAGAACTGAGGATGCGGAAATGCTGAACTTGAGAGACAAAATGAGCCTTGGGAAAACTATTTTCGAGGACCTGTGGCGCGACTCAGAGCAGAGCGAGCTTCTGTCATTAAGCACTTATGATCTTAGCAATAGCCCGGAAATTCTTCCTGATGCGCCCACGTTGAAAATTGCTTCACACAAAAGTTCCACGTCGTATTCCGATGATAGCATGACGTTTCCCGTCTCACCCGAGGACTACCGCCACTTGAAGTCGTCCGTCACCGAAGATCCGGTCATCTCGCACTGCTAAGTCCTTTTTTAGAAAGCATTATCACTTCCAATTCAAATTCAACATTTTCCATTGCATATAATAACATAACCGAAGTACTCACGACCGTTGCCAAAATTTATTTTAGCACTACTCTAGCCAAGAACCTATTATCTTGTATTCAAGTATCCTCGTATAGGATGTCCACAAGATTCAAGATCTTCGATTAAGTAGCTCCAAATCCGTAGGGCTAGAAGCGATCTCTAAGAAAAGTATACACCTTAACTCAGTACTTGATAGCCATTCCAGGTATTGACCCACTCAGTAGTATAGATGTTCTCAAGATCCTTGCATCATGTGATATCACTACTCGAGGATTAGACGATTGTCATACATATCTCAAGGCCAATCGTGCTTCTTCATAGTAGTCGACAAACGCTAACATCAGATCTTTTCTATTTCTATGGTACGAACAGAGAAGTATCACAGGTCCACGAACGCTTGTGTCGAGATAGAAAATGGGCCATTTGGCATATCGAGCATCAACTTCAAAGCAAACGAACCCGCTTTTGTAGGAATTGGATCTTGTACGTCTCGATTGAACGGTCGGTACTCGGGAGTTATACACTATAACAACGAGCTGGAACTCAGCAACAGAAAGTTCAAGTTGTACTGTGTGATTGATGAAAGCGCTTGTCTTAGAATAGACTTCATCGAGATCGCATTGGGAAGCTCGGACGAAAAAGTTGCAGCCTGGAAAGATGCTAAGCCAGAAGATGCCGACTATGAGGTCCCAGCTTTGGTATACCAAGGGTCTCGTCTGGGGAGTCCTGATAATCAGACCAAGCCTTTTGTCGGGGTTCTGGTTTTCGGGAATTAGTTAATAAGGATGTTGAGGTGCGGGAAACATATATTCCGCAAGGTTGTGGGATAGGGAAATCGCTATGGACCGGGTGGATGACGCTCCGTTTGTATTTATAGAATTATAGATGGCCACATGCGTGTTATGTGCAGGCTTCGATTTGTGAGCGGGGCAGTCTTTACCTTTGTCCACCATCAATAGGTGTGGAAACTAAACACCGTTGAAAGATCCAACCCAAACAAGCTAACCACGTAGATAGCGGCGAAAACCAAAGTAGGTAGTAAAATGAAATTGACGTTTTTCAAAATTGGCAGTTGACTATAGCCGTAAAATGAAAGCACGAAATACTGTCCAAATGCAGCGCAATAGAGCGTGTTGCCGATAAACAAACCAATCCACCGGTGTAAGTTTATTACTGGAAGTAGCAGAAACTGTAACAAATACAATAAACTCCAGACCACCAAAAAAGCGTTGCAATGGACGTCAAAACAGTAAGCCCACTCAACTTGCGAGTTTTGGACAGATTTGAACTTGAAGAAGCTTCTATTCAACAATGCCCAGAATAAAGTAGCCACTGCAAAGCCAAATGCAAAAAAATCAACCAAGATCATGTTGATCATCATCTTGATAAATCCTAGAAATGAATGTCCATAAACGATGGACCACACCATCGAGCTCGCAGAGAGAAGCCCAATTTGCAATATAAAAAAGGAAGGATCATCTCGAGACCACCTGTTTCGAGTTTGTCGTTGATAGTACAGCGATCGGTGCGCTTTCCGGGGCCTGAATATCAGGTTTACCATTTCCCAAATAGCAGATTCGAAATCCAGATTTTTGTGCGATTTGAACAGTCTTCTGAGCACCGTAGGCAATTCATGCTGTGAGTACCTCGATTTTAGGTCCTGAGAAGTTACCGGAAGCTCGGACATAGCTTCAACTTGACTATTTGATCACTAACCTACCGGTGTTTTCAGATAATGATTAAATAAACTTTATTTAACAGCTTTTTCTCAGGGCGGCAGCTAAACTAACGTATTATTCAAACACTTAAAAAATGACACAGTTGAGAAAAGAACAATCTCACATAACTCTTAAGCTGTTATTTTATATATTAGTGAAGTACGATTCCATTGCTTATTAAACAAATTATAATAATCTTTTTTGCTAGGGTAGCATCATTGGGCTTAGTCCAAGTATCTGTCAAAAGGTTCTCCCAAAACGTTTTCAACTACCTTTACCAAACCTGTCCGTACCTCGTATTCGACATTCTCATCATCGTCCTCGAGTAATTCTGCAATAATTGGTACAAGTTGTGGGAGAAGGGTGAGCCAACCTTCTCCGACCTTGGAGTAGATTGTTTTTATCGTTTTAACGGCCCACAGCTTTTCGGAGCTCGAGCAGCTAGATTTCATGTGCGAGATTAACATAGTGTTCATAGCTTTATTGTGATCATCGGCACCAGCGTTGTTCACAGCTAACGAACTGATTGCTTTGACCAAGTAACGACCCACCGAGTCTTCAATGTTGGAGAACTGTGCGATCAGTGACTCAGAGGCAACTTCAAAACGAGATGTAGATTTCCAGTATTCATCCCTGTCAAATTTGAAGCAAGATGTCAGAGAGTTTAGTACTAAGCGACGAAGATTGATGTTCGAAACTTCGCCGCTACTAAAGGACTTCAACAGCTCAATAGTAGGTTCCAACAAGTAAGTGAAATAAGTTGTAACAATAGCCTTCAAATTGTCTTGCAACCTGTTGAAGAACTTAAAGAAAGCAGTTAATCTTTCAATCCTTGTGATTTCATTGTTAACAACTCCTTCGCCGTCAAACGCCCATCTCACCAAAAGCGCGAATAGAGGTCTGAATACCTTGTCATTCAATTTCAAAACATACATGTTAGCAACTCCGTGCACTGAAGCCTCAATACGACTGATAGTGTTGTGGTCAAACTTACTCGTGGATCTGTACTCGAAGAGAGAGAGCAGAAGCCTGAAGAAGACAGGGGATTCTGATGTGGCCACTTTCTTGTCAATCGTTTCAACAGTGGATTCTAAGGCACTGAGAAACAAAGAGATGGCAACAGAATCATCAGTCCTACTCACATCAGAAAGCCAGATTTTACTTAAGGCTCTCATTACCTCTTTAAGGTCGATATGCTGAACAATTAACGAGATTACTGATAGCCGCACAGAATCCTGAACTTTGTTAGCAAAAAAGACAATTCTTAAGACGTCAACCAAATTCGACAATAAGAATGCAGGAATACGCTTGATCATTGAAGCAAAAACCAGTACAATGGCAAGCTGCAGTTGTTCTTTAATCTCTGATTCACTATTCTCCAAAGCTTTGAATATTTGGATTGATGGTCCAACAATCTTAGGATAGAAAGCAATCGATTTAACACCAAGGACCTGCACTGCACTAGTTAAGACCGCCAATGAAGAGATTTCGATTTCCATTTTTTGAGAAAGTAGCAACTGGCTTGCGACACTCATACTATTTGTAATCAATGAAGACTCTAGTTTATCACCGAATCTGGCAATCAAGGAACTCAACGTGTTCAGCGAAACCTGGACAATGCTGTCCGTCTTACTTTCTTTTTCAATCGTAACGAAGAGTGCTTCGATAACTTCGTTTGCGAAAGTCGCCGATTCACTAGGCTCCAAATCAAATTTCGATGACAGCACCAATATTAGATGATGCTTGATGGACTCATTATTATTATCTTTGGAAATAAGAGGTAGTGTAGCCGAAACAAAATCTTTGATTGGCAACAAATCCAAGACGTGACCAAGAAGCTGGAATAAGTTTTCACGAATGGAGTTTCGTAGGTCATCAAGTTCACTCCTAGAGAAAGACTCATCGCTATCAAATTGCAAATCAGCAAAAGAGTTGCAACTGTCTAGTGAATCCAAGGTACATTTTAGAACATCTCCAAATTTCGACTTTACCTCATCACGGAGCTGCTTGTTATTGGAACTATCCCACAAAGCTCCAATTATTCTCATTTTCAAGCTTCCAGATGCTCGATAATTGACACCGTCCTCTCCCACAATCTTGTCCAGGAAACCCAATCCATTCTTTTTTAGTGCTAGAGTTTCAAAGTCGGAGAAATTCAGGACGCCGTTCGAAAATAAGGTACGAGAGGATAATTGCGATTTTGCTTCTTCGGTGTAGTTTTCTGATAAAGTGTTCAATAAGTTGAAGTATCGATGTATTCCTGTCAATTGTTCCAATACGTTGAATTTGCTGAGGAAAGCTCCCGTGAATTCAAGTACACTTTTGCTTTCAACTATTTTAAACTTGTTCACCAGAGACGAATATTGTTGTGCTATCAAAAACAAGAAAGGCCCTAAGGCAGTATCTGGCCCGAGAGTTTGGACCAAAGTGGTAAAGAGTTTTACCCGTCTGTGTCTTGGGACGTGAGCAAAGGCAGTCCCAAAACTCATCAAGAGAAATTCAACTTCCTCCGTGATCTCCGCTGACTTCGATTGTACTAAAGCAGGTACGACTCTTTGAATTGTCTTTTCAACAACATAGCTTGAATATTCATCGTCCTGGCGAATGGTTTTGGCGCCCATAAATATGAAGATAGGCATCACGGAATGTAATATTGTTTCTGGGCTCAGTTTGGCCAGCTCGCCAATAACCAGCAAAAGTTTGTTTTGAACCTGAGGAGATTGAGACGCTGTTATGGCAGAGACCAGAATGTCAGTTCGTAGCAAACTTAGTTTGGATTTTGAGTCTACCGTCATAGAATCGATAGTTGAGATCATACAAGAGGATAGCGTTTCTTGAGCGTAAAGCACGGGCAATCCACCATCTTGATCGAGAGTCTCCAAATCAGAAAGGGCATTGAATAAAGAAGACAATAGAGGTTCAGTTCCTATAGGCTTTACGTGGTCAAGTGCTTCCAAGGTTATAGTGAGTTTACGCAAGTGAAGTTCAGCAATATGCGAGATTTCCTCTCTTTGAAGCACGGCCTTGTTGGCGGTCGATGACCGCCTTCTCCGCTTCTTTGCAAACTCACCTCGGTCATCATTGGGATTTATGCGGTAGTGAGAAAGTAGAGAGATGAATATATCAGAAGACAGCGGCAAAGACTGAAGGAAGCCGACAGAATCGTAATATAAATCGTTTTCTGCGGTTGAGTCCACCACGTTTTTCACAATTTGCTGTTGTTGTGCCAACTTTAACGAAGGAAAGAGCACTAATAGCCTATCTGAAACAAGTTGAGCTAATTGCTCATGATCACATCTTAAACAACTTTCGGCAAATTCTAAGACTGTATTATTCTTTTCTTTCGTCGAAATAATTGAGACAATAGAGTCTTCAAACTTTTCAAAGCTCGTCTTATTATTACTGCATCTTTTTTCCCACATTTCTCTCTGGCCAAGGTACTCTTTCACCACTTGCTCGAAGAGCGAGGAGTAGGATGAATTGTAAAGCTTGTGACCGGTCACAAATCTTATAAAAATAGATTTCGCATGCGGTAATGGCATGTAAATTGCTTGGTTTGCCCAAAAGATCATGAAGACTTTTTCCAATTTCTTTGGGATGACCAAGCTAGTAAAATCGTGATTTTCTACCATATATTCTTCCAAAAACTTCTTCAACCACATCTCCGCATCTTTTGGATTTACCATAGGAATTTCGACGTTACCATATAGCTTATTGGCCAAAAAGTAGTGCTTGATGAAGGGTCTTTTTGAAATCTGAGACAAAATCTTCTTTACAGCAAGTTTGACATTTTTAGATGTGTCGTACAGTGCCGCGATCAAAATAGGAACCAAACTAAACAAATTAGAGTCTTGGCCAATCTGGTTAATAGCTTTTGAGAAGTTTGAGAGAGATTCTAGGCGAAGAGCAGTTGGTGTAGCTGGTGAAATAATAACTCTAAGCAGAAAAGTTAGCCTACCTTCTACAGTTGTAAAAAATGACGACAGAAACATGCCGGCTTTGAATTTTTTAGCCACTGCTTCAACGTAAAGCGAAAGTAATTTGGCAAACTTTTCGTCGTCTTCAATCATCATCGATGTGATTTTTGTAATAATGTACTGAGAATTTTTGTTAAGAAAATCCTTGAAGGGTTCAACACTGGTATTAGCGCCCAAAACCTTGGAAGCGTCGACGTGGTTCAAGGTGGTGTTTGAATCTTCCTTAGCCGTGAAAAGAGAAGTTGTTAGTCTCAGTTCGAATAAATCTGGATCCAAATTCAATGAATTTAGGCACTTGATGACGCGATCTTCATCAATGGAGATAAAGTACTCGAAAATTTCGACAAGCAGAGTTTTCTCTTGGAACACTTCCGACAAGTGAATTGAATCGATGATAATAAGCCTCATTTCGAAACTCTCTAATTTGATTTTCTTGAGAAGAGAAACTAGAGAGCTGAGGTTTTTGTGATCATATCTCAAAACAGATCTAATGTAAGCAGTCAAAAACTTATCCACAACAATCTTGTCAGGACCGCTCAAATATTCAATCAGATACTGCAAGCTGAATTTAGAGTCAAACAACTGGTAGAGAGTAGCTGGAAGCTGGTCCACGTTGCCATGGCCTTTCAAAGTTTGAAATAGTTTACCAATAGAAATGAGAGCGGACCTCCTGGCTTTGTCGTCAGTTAAATTGGCTAAAATAGTTTCGGTAGCCGCAAGCACTATCTCTTTCTTCAGCGGTAACGCAGTTCCAAAGACTACCAGGATGGTATGAGCTGCAATCTGGCAGTCTGCCGAATCCGACCCTAATAATTTAGCTGAGATCTCCAATAGAATTGGTACTAAGCTGTTCAAGCCGTCCGTGTCATTTGACTTGTACGCGATGAGGTTAATAAATGAGCAGCTTGTGAAAAGCAACTGATTGGTGTAGGTGACCTTTTGTTGAATGACTCTACTCAAGTACTGTATGTAAAGCTTGAGAAAATCCATATCGTTGAACAATTTAATTATTGTGAGACTTGAAGGAGATTTCTCGGTCCTCACAAAATTGCTTAAAGCTTGAAACAAGGGTGGTAACTTAACAATGTTAAGAATGCGTTTGAAGACCGGGGTTTGGTAGTAATCAATGGTCGAAAGCAACAAGCACTCCGCATTGTGAACGTGTATTTGAAAGCGGCGCACCAGCCATTCAGTAGCGTGTAGAGTTGGGGTTAAGTGCCATTTCGAGGAAGCCAACATTAGATATAAATTCACAGCATTGTCCAGATCCGCAACCTGGTCTTTAGTTTGAATATTCCTATCGATAGTCACTGAGGAGGCACCGAAGAGAGATTTCTGGAAGACAGCAAACCTGGTGTCTATTTCTATCAGTTCCTCTAAAGAGCTCACAGCGTTTTCGTATATGAAATCGAAATCTTGAGTAGCTGCAGTCTTCGGATTGTAAATTAAAGAAGACGAGTGCAACTTCTGTCTCTTTTTCCGATCCAAGGCAACAGTCGCATTGCTGGCGGCGACCTGGGCTAATTGATCACTTAAGGACATGGTCAAAACTTGCTGAGTCGATAGTCTTGATCACTATTTGATATGATGGTGTATATAGTTAAGAAGCTCATCGCCTCTACAAAAAATTTTTTGTTAAAATTAGCGCTGTGAAATGGAAAAAGTTCGCTTAAGTAATATCATGCGACTGGAAAATGACAATTAAATTAAGTCAGTTTCACTCCAAGTAGCGACAGCTCGGTCATATTTGAAATCGGGACCTTCGCGAGTTGGACGAGAACTACTAAGAATGATGATTTGAATCATGGATTTAGCCACCAGTGATTAGTGAGTTAGCGCACTAAGGAAAATTATATGGGCAGCGCTCAGCGAAAATACAGACGCCATCGTCATTATGATCAAATCACCTCCAGAAAGATTGGTATACAGTGGCTATTCGACCTGTCGAACCATCTCTTTTTGTCAACGTTTTCAAACTCAAAAAAAATGACTCACTCCATCAACCGTATAAGACATATAGTAAAGATCATATACAGACATAGAAATTGCGCGTCCCACATCATCAGGAATTAATATTTGCCTATTTCTTTTGTAATTCAACCCTGTAATAGTGTGATTGTATACTCAGGGTATTCCACTCCCCCACTGAATTATTTAGTGCTCTAAAATGGATAACTTACATGAATAACGTCTTGGCAGACTCATGTTCTTCGAAGTTGTGAGTGATGCCTTGCAAACAGGTTGTACGTAAAACTCATACCTCAATAATCAATTTCAAAACTTGTCGCATTTCGGAGTATTTTCGAATGAAAGAGATCAAATGGTGAGCGGCTAATTCTTATGCGGCGGTGATTAATCAAAATGCCTCCCTTGCTTCCTTTGAAGTCTTCGGTTCGTGTGTCGAACGAGCTACTTGATTGAAGCGCTTCCGCTGCTTCTATCGCCGACCGCTTTAAGTTTTCCTTTCTGAAGCTTGATTTGAATGCTGATAACTTTTATAGCTATATATGTATATATATTTATACTGAGTGAATCAAGTTCTATAAAAGGTTTGATTCTAATTTATATCTTATGCAGGGAGAATTCAAGTCTGAATCTCAAATGAATATCGTTAATGAATGAAAAGTTTGAAAGCGGGGCTCTCAAAGAGTGAACAGAGAGGTCTTCTTCTTACCAAATGGATAAACAAAGATGGTAGAAGCAAAAAGTCCAACTGAAATGCCAATGGATACTTGAATCATAGTGACACCAAAACTCATGGAACCAGAAAGATCATTAGCTTCACTAGTAGAAGAAGAGTCAGATGAGTTCACGATTGCGTTAGCACTTTGAACGCCTGCCAACAATGAACTCTGAGAGGCAACACCTGAAGGCACCTGCACAAAAATACCCGGCAACATGGCTGAGACGGCAAGTCCCTTCCAGATTCTGGAATACAAGTTACCAAGAATTCCAATGACGAAAGCACTGATTGCCGACGTAAACTCGGTAGAATTTTTAAAATGCAGACCAGTACCATAGGTAACTGCATACCCGCAACACGAGATAAAAGTCATGACAGGAAGCTGTGACCATCTAGCTTGGTTAATCAAGGCCAACCCGATCGAAAATGCGGGAACAAATAGCAGCTTGTAGATGTCAGGAATAACCTTAACGCACGTTGTTTCGTTTGTAGCATCATGGTAAATCCAACCAAATAGAGCTGCACCTAGCGTGATACCGAAACCCAAAAACAAAGAATAAATGATGGCGTAAAACATTCTGACAGACCCAGCAACTAAGTTTCTGCTTTGCAGTTCCAAAGAACCACTGAGAATGATAAAGCCAGGCAAAATAAGGGCTAGGGAGCCTTGGACCGTGGCACCAAAGCAGATATCGCTATTCGGAATACTTCCTAGAGCTCTGCCACAGAAACTTACCACGATAGAAGCGGTGACCTCAAAAACGTTTGAATACAAACTAGATCTTTGGGAAACAATAAATTGCAAACAGCCAACACATAAGCCTATCACAAAAGACACTGCCACATTAATCCAAGTACCTCTAAAAGCAAAAGGTGTGACCATTGATGCACAGAAACCGTACAGTAAAACACAAACCCATGCAGGATATAGATTCTTTTCCTTCAAAATACGATCGATAGTCATATTAGCCTCTTCTGCACTCGTCAAGTCATGAATAACACGCTTGTAGACCGAGTGAACTTGATGCAGCTTCCATAAGTTCAAGCCTTGAGCACACCTCACTAGTTGCACCTCCGACGTTCTTGTTGTGGCGTCACCAAAAGATACTACCATACATCCAGGGACATACAGAAATTGTCCGTCAATCTCCAAAACGCGCGAGGTCATTACCATATACTCTTCCAAACGATGGGTAGGAGCTCCGTAAAGCATTAACGCTTTGCACAAACGTAGAATGAATCTTTGTCTCTGTAGTAAAGCTGCAATGTGGACTGTGATTCTAGCTTCGGCATTTTGTTTGCGGCGAAGCTTGTTGGCCTGTTTCGCAACACTTTTGACGTTCTTCATTTTGGGTCTCGTAGCCTTGAAATTGGGTAGTTTACCATTGTTGGGCAAGTGCTCCGAGCTCAGGAGTTGTGACGCTTTACCTTTCATTCCAGCGAAAGATGGAGTATTGAAGGATATTTTCTTAGACTTTTTGCCTGGCTGTGGCGCTATCGAACCAGTTTCTGTCATACCTGTGAGTGGCACAGACTCGGCATCATGATAGTCCACAGGCTCCGGAGTGGTTTCAAAAGATATTTGAGACTGAGTAGCCGCTTCATCTTGATTTTGATATAATTTTAGCAATGAACCTAAAACACCACCGCGAACCCTGTCAGGTGCAGCAATGAAAGACTCGTCCTCCATTAAGGGGTTGAATCCATCATCATTGTCAATATCATCATAGTGCCCGACTCTAGGGGCGAAGAAGGATTCGTGCCCAGAGTGAACCATTGTTTCGCCATCAGATGGATTATTGGCGGCAGCATCAAGATAAGAATCACGTAGCTCAGAACCGCCATTTCCGGTATTATTGTTGCCTAGGGTCCCATGAGCAGCTATATCGCGATCTTTGAGAGTGGTAGCACCATGCGATTGCAAAATTTGTTGGGCCGCATCAGTAATGTCCAATGTATCCACAGGCTCTTCTAAATTCTCCTGGCCCGAAATGTGTTCCTGGTCCGGCCGCGATTTTTGAGTACTGGACCTTTCAAGCCCAGGAGTCATCCCGCCTCCTGTATATTGTAGAAATTTATTGAAAAAACCCTGATCGTCATCTTCACCTTCCTCTTTCAACGAATGCATTCCAGCGCTGGGTCTTGAGTCATGGGAAGTACGGCGTGTCGTGGATCTTCTACGGAAAAACCGCTTAAAGTTATCAACTTTGTCTTCTCCATCCGATGAAGAATCTCCGTTGTTCTTTTCATCTTCTGGCGGCGTTTGATTGATAAAAGGGTTAGAATGTGCCTCGGATGTGTTGACATCTGTGGGAGAGTTTTTACCGGAAGCCTTGGGATCTGTTTTCTCATCATCTTCTGAAGATTGATACAAGGTGGCAGTGGCCTCCTGTTCTGCTCTCGGCGAAACAGAAGACCCAGCGGGAGAAGTCAAGCGTACGTCTGAACCTAGGTCAACTTCTTCTCCGTTGTGCATGTTGTAGTGGGCTGCGCCATCTTCATCTTCTTCGTCGTCGGAGCCGTCGTCAAAGTCTCCGAGGTCGTTGCCACTGTTGATTTGAATGGTGTCGATAGCGTCCTCCTCGATATCGTTTCGTCTGGAATGGTGGTGCGGATTGATCGAGCGTGAAAACGAGGGCAAGGCGTGAGTGGACGCAGAGGGCCGTTGGGACTGGCTGGCATCGTTATCTGGGTCGGAATCGGAATCAGAATCGGAGTGTGTTGACGAAGGGCGTGAAGCGGAGCGGTTGCGCGACGAAGAGCGTGGCTTGAGGAACTGGAAACGCTCGTTGGTGTTGCCTCTATTGGACTTTCTGGTGCCAACTTTTGGACGAGGGTCAGACATTTTGCTAGGCCAAATGTTTCAGGACCACAACGTCAAGATGGATAAAATATCGAGCGAAAATTCCTTTCTCAAAGCTGGATCGGGGCCTCTGACGTGTGAAACTGAAACCTGCTATTTTTTTAGCTTCTCGGTGAAAATCACTTCTATCTCACTGGTACAAACTGGGAAATACTCTGCGATTGCAGTTGCGAAGAGATGCGCTGTATTTAAATCTAGCTTCTCAAAAGAACCTAGCTTAGTGGCGAAAATTTGTCTGAAACGAATGTTTGAGGTTGAATTTTGCAAAAAACTGCGGATCACTAACCTGGAGATCCTCGTTTTTTATAAATAGTATTGTTCGATCAAGTTTGCAATAAGAAAGCTCAAGAGACGCGAAATTAATATGAGAGCAGAAAGTACGTCATTGCATTGTCGTTAAAGAGTATATAGACGGATAAGAAGAACGCAGCAATGGCACTGGGCGAAAAGAACGTGGCAAACGGACGGTGACAGGGGTATGTCCACGATCAAACAGGCACTAGCTTCCGTTCGTTTCCGATTGATTTCTGTCAACTTCGGTCAGTGTTCTACCGTGTCATTTTTAACAATATTGTGAACAATCTTGTGCGACGGCGATGGAGCTGCGGGGAAGGTCAATTGCACGACGCACTATTTAGTGTTTGTGTGCAACGAAATCATTGGATGTGAGGCGCTTCGACGCTGCCAGTTGGCGATTCATCGGTCTCGCTTGTATGCCGTACGAAGCTATAAAAAGCGGGTATATAGGGTCTGGCGCCTCGACTAGAAGAACGAGTAGTTATAAGACGAGATTTTTGGGTGGACAATCGACAACTAGATCGGCTTGTGCATCTACAAAATTTGCGGTGATCAGCGCATCAAAATACGTGTAATTGTAGCCGACGTGAATTTGCCTGGTCCATGCCGTTCTGCCTCGCAACTGCGGAGAATGCCATGCTTTCGCGTTACATCATAATTCGACAGAAACATGGCAGCGGTAGAGATGCGTAGCGTGTCAACACGCCGGACAGAGCACACACAAATGGGATTTCGCAGCGTGGCTGTCAACTTTCGGCTCTCGACTCTCGCATAATTGCACCTAAAGCCTTCCCTCTGTTCAGTTCACGTGCTCGATATTTGTCCTCACTCAACACGAAAAAGCAAAAAAAAGCACTCTACTTTTGAACGCACGATCTTTTTTTCGGTTGCCACGAGAGATTCCTTTTTCAACTGGTGATGAGCTAGAAAATAGAGAACTGGCTACCTAGGTGAATATATATCCATGCCATCAAGATTGTTGTTGAAATCAAGTTATTATTTTACAAGCCGACGCGCTAAGTGACCGGTAGTCCTCCTATTCCTTCTCAACTCCTCGCTCTAATGATTAACGAAACCGGTAAAGCCAAGGATATCTCGAAATCTCTGAAAACTACTCAAGTGGCATCGCCGGCCGCTTCGCGGCCTGCGACACCGCCCTTTGGCGTCTTGTCGAACCGCTTGGTGCAGTCCTGCAAAGACGAAGATACTCTTTACCGCTGCTCTTCGGTGGAATCTCTCGATTCACCCACCTATACTCCGGAACTAACGGCTCTGTCAAACTCCGATGACACCAAAAAATACATCACTCAGGACTATTCGCCTTACAATAGTCGAGCACCCTCGCCCGCGAACAGAAAAGTATCACGACCACACACTGGCTGTACTTCGTTCTTGAAACCTCGCATGGAATTTAGTGGATTTCAGATTTCAGGCTACAAAAAAAACCAAGTAAAAGTGGTGTTGCAAACGGTAGACCTTCCTATCCACGCATCCGACACTTCTATGGTACCGCACTTGACAGGTTTCTTCAGCATTCAGGGTCTCACGACACATCAACCTGAAATTACAACATTTTTCGAAGCTTATGCGGTTACTGAGAACTTGGGGTTTTTGTCGAGTGACATGCCTAGCCACCTCGATGATCTCAAAGCCAACGATAACATCGATCTCGAACACTGGCTCAATTTCCCTTGCTTCAAAGACATGTGTACGCATAAGAAGGTTTTACCCTCCATGGTATCTGGATCTCATGCACACACCGGTTATTTACACAAGAGGTTCATTTACATGCGTTGGAAGGAAAAATTCCTTGTTCCGGACGCAGATTTAGACTCGGTGGAAGGGGCATCTTACGATGGATACTATTACATCGTTCACGACCAACTCACAGGCAACATCGTTGGCCTTTACTATCATAAGGACGCAGAAAAATTTCAACAACTTGAGCTAGCTCCTGTAAGGGATCTTTGCTCTGGGAGTTGTGATTTTGAGTTCAACTAATCAGTCTGAAAAAGACGCTCAAACCATAATAGACGGCTGAAGCTAGCTTCCATCTCTACAGTGAGAATTTCAAACACGCAACAGGAGCAAATAATAATTAAATAGGTATAAAATTACGGGGATCAATTGGATTAATACGCTGCACATAACTTATTCCGCATTATTATGAGAGCAGCGCAAGAAGCAAAGCCCTTGCAGGTGGGTATTGCCCGCGCAGTGACGCGTCCTACTTTTCATCATAAAGCAACCACATAAATGCATTTTTTTTATTGCTAGCGAAACTTTCCGTTACAAGGAGTTAGCGATAACGACAGATCCATTTGGTATTAGACTTCTGTCGCCAAAAGCTATTATCTTTCTTAATTTCACAGTATGTAGGTTCTTCCAAGCTTTCGATGTCCTTCGAGTACTTGGGTACTCACTACTTTTGTAAGGTGTGTAGATTTTGTTTTCCTGATATCGAGAATTGGAAAACAGATAGATAGATAGTAGTTTGTGGCAGAACTACACCTAACTTAACCACTTACGCAGTTTTATCAACATGAACAACTGCAAACGTCCAGATCTAATTGTAGAGTATGTGAAATTCGCTGTTCAGCATTGAAATTTCGTGAAATATTAACGTTGTTAAGATTTAAATATAAGCCAGTACCAAAATCGTCAGTTGGGGCTGCTAGTCAAGGTATAATGGCACAATCGATGCCCATGGCGGCCATGTTCATGAAGAATAAGTTTTTGGCTTGGTTTTCTTTACTGCTTACCGTCCATTATTCTTTGAACGGGGAAGCCGACAAGAAAAGTGCAGACCAATCCCCCCTTCTAAAAATTCTCATGGCAGTGGTATCATTGGCAGTGTGCTACATGAATGTGGTGTTCCCTCAGCCAGGTCCTGCTCCTAAGAAAGCGTGAGGTGTGTAGCACTAGTCAGGTATACAAATTTTTTAGAAGTTTTGAAAAGTATTTGGGACATTGCTTGGGGTTATAGACACTTATAAGCCTCTTTATCGGCTGGGTGACATTAGAAGGTAGGAGCGCAGCAGTCACATTGAGGGCGAGATGCTGAAGCAAGATTTTCTTAGCAGCGTTGAAGTCGCTGATTGACGGGCCAACGCAGCGGCTTAGTTGCATTGTTTGCTAAGTAGGTTGTCATATTTATGAAGTTCAAGTGGGAGAAATGTATGTTTTGTAGTTTCGGCAGAGGTATTGAGTCGTCTTTAAAGTCGAGTTGTGACTAAGGGTAACGGTGTGTAAAGCTTTCCTTTCGGCGTCTGGACAGAATCAAACGGTTTAGCACGAAGTTCTCTCGAAGCGGCATTGCAAAGTACACTTGTTTGTTGAAAGTCCAGTAACCGCCTTGCTCTTAATCAAATCGAGCTGTAGCTAGAGTTGTAACTAGAGTTGTGGTACGCAAGCCAGGATCAAATACAATAAACACGTCGCGTAGCCCGCCTCCACAAGCGTGGATCTTGACTTCACGAAAAATACAGAGGTATCCTTCCGGGGTACGCAAGTTGAACTGAAGTCTTGAATCTTTTCCAGACACCTTAAGTACGTATTAGGCTTCTACTATTTTACCAGAAACGCCTACGCAGAAAAGCATATTTACCAGTAGCTGGAAATCACTCGACTGAGGATGCTTTATCATAAAAAGCTACAAAACCGGGAGATGCTTTTTGCTTTGAGACATTTAGCCGCCGACGCCCACTTATGGAGATGCAAGTTCAAATATGTTTTAGGAAACGTGAACAGATAGTGCCTTCAAATGCTTTTTCTTAGCTAGCTCAGAACAATTACAACAAAAGCTCATTGACTTCGTAGAAAGTCAGCTACGAGGTTCTTACTGTATCAATACTAAGACGACGATTCCAGGACAACAAGAAGTCAGCATTGCGCAATACACTGACTTGACTTCGATCGGTAAATTTTCAAGTCCGGTCTCCTGAACCAAGCGCTGATCCTCTGTATAACATGCATTGATTCCAGTGCGGTCTCTTGTAATTCACGTGAACCAAATAGCTATTGAACAAGTTCGCCAGGAAAGTTCCTAGCAAACGAATCTATTGCTCCCGCCACGAGTTCTTATTTTTAGCTAAAATCTGAATCAATTTGAATATTTTTATGTATTATTATCGTTGTTCCATTTTATTAGCATTTCCGATTTTACTTCATTTATGTTGTTTTTCTGATATCGGAGTTAAAAAAATAGAGATATGGCGGTGTAAAATTAGAGGACTCTCTTTCTTAGAAGCTAAGGAGTTAAAACTGCTCCTTAATAATCTACATTTGATTTCCAGCTCAGGTACTTCACGAAAGCAGCTCACCATCTCTTTTCTAAAACCTAGACTAGGCTTTGGCAAAACTTTTAATATTCCTTTCAACATATACTTGCTCATCTGGAGCATATATCGCACAAAACTTCAGTAAGCTATCATCGGACATGGTAAGTCGCGTGTGTAGAGCCCTGCCTGGCAAGAGCTGGCTCATGAGACGTTATGCAAGTCAGAGCTCTGGTCCTGATCCCATCCACGATCCTTCGTGGCCTAAGGGTAGCAACCCCTCACCATATGATGTGTTTGGATTTCCACAGGGGCAGGTTGAGACGAAGGCCTTGAAGAAGAAATATCATGCTATGGCTAAGCTGTATCATCCAGATATCGCCAGCGGCGTGACGATTTTGAAATATGGTTCAACAGGAACTCCTCATCATACATACCAAATTGACGAATCTGCGATTTTGTCGACTCAGGACAAGTTGAGTAGATTTCAAGTGATGAGTGAGGCCTACGAGCTGTTGAGTGACTCGCGTAAGAAAAGCACCTACGATAGGTTCCGTACAGGATGGACGTACGCACCCTCGACGGTAAGAAATGCTGCATATTCCTCTGCTGCTGCAACGGCTCACGGATATCACAACAACCATAATTACGAATATTGGAATGCCGGAACTTGGGAAGATGTGAACAAAATGCATTACACTGACCCAGACAAAAAACTATCGTTCTGGGTCGTTATGGCATGGATGTGCGGCCTGCTTGTATGCGTTCAGTGCACTGCTTTGCTAACTCGTATTGAGGAGTCACTAACAAAAGGCCACTTCACACATGATGAAACTGAAAAGGATTTGGTTTTAGCGTACGTTAACTACGGTCTCGACACCGATAAATGGTCAAGACTACGGCGGTTTTTGTGGTTCCGAACCTATGGGATGTACCGCTCCAAGACTGATTTGGACAGGGAAGCACAAAAGAATGAAAAAATCGTGCAAGAGCTCAAGGGTAAAGAAATGCAGGGGCGGTAAGCGACAAGAAACGCAGACGGGACAAGTAATAAAAATACGTAACTGAAACAGCTATATAACTCCCACAATTTGATGAAGATATGAACAACATTTCAAGAGAGACGTCACAGTAGCGGAATCGGTATCATTTTGCAAGTGCTTGCAGCGTGCTAAAAGCTAAACTTAAGTGACATACTGTCGCTGGTTCTTAAAGCTCACTTCGCACGTAAATGGATAACATTTGCATCTCTTCTTTATCTGATAATCTGGTAGACCTACTCCTCCATTCTTCACTTCCGTGAATTCGAGAGAGAACTTTAACGGGGAGGCATTCACGACTTGAGTTATAAGAATGGACTTTCTCAAACCTGGTACTGTTTTAGATTTGGGCAATATCCGCGATGAGCTGGTGAGAATGGAGGATACCATTATCTTCAAATTTATTGAAAGATCACACTTCCCAACCTGTCCTACCGTTTACAAAGAGAATGATCCCAATCTGCAACTACCAGATTTTCATGGTAGCTTTTTAGACTGGGCTTTGATGCAGTCTGAAATGACGCATTCGCAATTAAGGCGGTTCGAATCTCCAGATCAGACACCCTTCTTTCCCAGCAAAATCTTGAAACCTATTTTACCAAGCATACAGTATCCGAGGGTACTAGCTTCATACTCGCCTGAGATCAATTTAAACCAGGAAATCAAAGACGTCTACATTAACCAAATAACACCTTTAATTTCAAGGTTCGATGGCGAAAGTTGGGAGAATTTCGGTTCCGTAGCCACTATCGACATTGAGTGTCTGCAGAGTCTCAGTAGGAGAATACATTTTGGCAAGTTTGTGGCGGAGGCTAAGTTTCAGGCAGATCGTGCTTTGTACTCCAAAATGATTCTCGAACAAGACATTGATGGACTTTATCAAAGCATAACTAATAGCGCCGTAGAGGAGAAAATAATGGAAAGACTTTGTGTGAAGGCAGAGGTATATGGTGTTGACCCAACAAATAAAGAAGGCTACCGAAAGATTACACCAGCCTACTTGGTCAAAATTTACAAGGAGTTGGTGATTCCTTTGACCAAAAAAGTTGAGATCGACTACCTACTACGGAGATTGGAATGCGAGTAAGCGAGTGTGAATTGATTGAATATGGTAGAATTTCAATTAAGACTGCGATGATCCAAACTAACTAAGTAAGCTTTAGTACTACATCTTCTAACGACAGCATATCTTTTCTGGTTACTTGGTAGTATATTATTTATAATGAGTTTTTCCAGTTCGCTAACCCAAGGAACGCATCGCTAGTTCGAAAGTTGCAAAGGTTGCGCCATTCGCAGGGGCAGCTCTCAACATCGTGGGTCCAAATCCTTTGAAAAACGCCTTCCAACCGTACTTGGCATAGACTATCCTTGCTACTTGAACCATGTTCTTCCCGTGAGTGGGCTGGCCCAGCTTGTCTGTTTGCATGATTGATTTAATCACGTCTAATGGATAAACTGATAGCCAAAGTGCTGTCCCGGATACTGCTCCGAATAGACACAATTTCCAGGTTGGGATATCAGACCGCGCGATGCCTTTTTGTATTTGATTAGCGACCAATGCCTCGTAGGTCAAAAAATAGGCACCGCAGCCTTGGGCTTCTCTGATGATAGTGGGCGTCAATCCGCGCATCAAAGCTTTATTCTGGTTCAATTTCTTAATGCAATCTAGGGGACCCTTAAATTCAGCCATGGCGCCAGATCCAGTTTGAGTTTGTAGTCTTATCCTCACATGCTCAATAGGTGAGGCTAAGAAAGAATTGGCCACACCGCCTACCAAACCACAAGTATAATAGTGCGGGAGGGATAGGGTACTGTTCTCTTTAGAACCGGAGCCCATGAAAAACCGCTTCATAGCTTCATTGACCCCAAACTGGCATGAAACACAAGCGCCTACGCCAATTAGCGGTGTGAGTGTTCCTTTGTAAAAACCCCGAAGACCTTCATTCTTCTCCAAATTCTTGACAACTTCTACTGCCGATGTTGGCGCCGATGAAGTTTGCAACCGTACTTTTGTAGTGTCGAATGGTTGCCCCACTAAAACCTGAGCTATGCCGCCGGCAGTTCCGGCCACTAGATCCTTGATAACTCTACCTGGACTCTGAGGCTTCTCTATTTCATCGATGAGTTGCGTGGGTGTTAATTCGTCAGACATTTAGACTCTATCGTTTCCCCCAATTCGCAATTAGCTTGGCACACCAAAAGCACTGAATGCTGGTTTCGGTAGGATGGTATGTAAGTTTCCTGTGCGCTACAAGATTATATGTAGATTACATTTTTGACTTTTTGAAAGGCATCGACATTTCCAAACTGTTTAAGCGTATCTTAAAGAAAGCCAAGCCTAAATAAAGGTATAGCGATCCATGATAGCATTGTTATGGTCTGCACGATACCACTCGCACTCAACTCCTAAGTGTACCTCAGTGAACGATCTTTGCTCAATTATCATTATCGTCTAAAATTGAGAATTGCTTGTGTAGTTCAAAAACGGGCGTTGTTTGGTATACGCGTTTTGTACGTCCTGAAATCTCACAGTTTGAATATCGCTTAGATTCAAGACTTCTCGATAATGTCCCTGGCCCTTTAAAGACGTTCGACGCTAAGAGCGTCGCACAGTGGTCAATGGCACATTCAGCGCTCCTGAAAAACACGTTGCTCGAGCACCTATTTGAGAAATTTCTCAGGCTGTAGGCCGAACAAAGGAATCCTTTGACGTCTCATTCTTCAGCTCCCGGACCTGATCTCTCAAGTCGTATTATATCACGAAGCACTGTATACGGATTCGTACTTGTCACGAAAGTTTGAATAAAGTTAATGTGTAAATCATAGCCGGTAATTGAGTTAAAATACTGATTCAACCAAATAATGTTTTTGAGAAACGTTGCCAAACAATCTGTAAGAACTATGTCCAACTTGACACCAGTTTTCACCAAGCTATCACCACCAGCTGCGGCTTCGTACTCGCAAGCCATGAAGATGAACAACATGGTCTTTGTCTCTGGTCAAATTCCCTACACCGCTGAGAACAAGCCTGTTGAAGGCTCTATCAGCGACAAAGCTGAGCAAGTGATCCAGAACATCAGTAACATTTTGAAGGAAGCCAATTCAGGTTTGAACAAAATTGTCAAAGTTAACATTTTCTTGGCTGATATCAAAGACTTTGCCGAATTCAACGGTGTTTACGCTAAGTACTTCAACACGCACAAGCCTGCCAGATCATGTGTTGCCGTCAGTGCTTTGCCATTGAACGTTGACTTGGAGATGGAGGTCATTGCTGTCGAGAATGATTAAGCAAGAGTATATAATGTGTAGAGAAGTCGACGTGTGATCATAAAAAGAACTTGCGAATTATTGAGGATACGAGGTCGTCAAGTTGAATCTCGAAAAAGGCGATTTTGAATGCTGGGATGAAGCTGTAGCTAGCAAAAATGCGGGAAGTGGCGAGGTTGACGAGCCTGTTGTAATAGGGGGTGGGGTCGACCAATTCCATAAGCAATTTTGTTTATCCGAGCCTAATCTTTAACGCGTACTCATGAGAGCCCTTGTGGTAATGGCGATACATCAGGGAGTAAAAACAGTTTTCCACAAGTCATATAGAATCCACGGTCGATTTTATCAGGATAACTTTGACTATCCGCTTATCTTGTTCTCCTGCGCGTCGCATCATTAAGGTTTTGCACAGGACAAATTATTCCGTCCCCGCAGAAGAAAACGACAGATGACTACCCGCGCGGGATTACGCTATAGAAGCTAAGCGCTTACGCTAAATTTGCGAAATAGAAGCGTTGGCAACGACTGCTACGACATTCACACTCCTGGGTGGAAAATTAGCAAGCATGTTGAAAGATGCTTATCGGCACCTGCAATTTGAATCAACGACTCCCTTCAGCTACTTTAGCGGACTTTTGGTCGACGTATCGCAAGACGTTGTTTTGACCCATCTCAAAAGTCACACATGTACAAAGTGATAAAGCGAGCTTTCCTCATGCTCATCTAAATGCCCCTTGCTGCTCACTTAACGATGGTTCTGCATAGTTTCGCTGCGTATGCCTAACTAAACCCTTGTCCCTCTACAACCACGTACCCGAGATGCATCTCTCAAGCTCGAGAAGTCTTTCCTTCTTAATAGCCTGCAAGAGCATCCTGGGAGACGTTACAAAGTATTTTCTTCCTTCGTCCCAACTTGTGACTGCTATTTTCTAATGTGTGGGTCTCTGTCTTGATATTTTAAATATTCCTTCTGAAAAATTGAAAAATCGAAAAACAATTTCTTATTTTTTTTGCGTGGGTATAGCTTGAAGACTCTATCTGGTCGGGTCTGCATTATTCCGCCTTGCCAACGCGCTAGGCAGAGGCTCGTTGGCCGCTTCTCTCCCTAGCTAGGTGGGGCTAGGCGGGGTCCAGCCGGATCTTGCATTCTGTTCGCAGTGACCGCTCTGCCTAGCTCCCGCCTAGCTCCTGCCCAGAGCCTAGCGTCTCTCCAAACAGCGGTCGCAAACTGCCGGCTGTAGCTCAATGATCGTGAGTCGCTATTCACGAGGAGGGTGTGCTCAGGCTGTGTAGCTCTCGCTCTCTCTCGACGAGTCTTCCACTAACCACTGGTAGTTGAAAAAAATTTGAACATACTACTAAACTTGAGCTTTGTAGTAGTGTTATTGAAGCATTCAGCAGTAGGATACCAACCAAAGATGGCTCAACGTGTTACTTACAGAAGAAGAAATCCATGTATGTGCGAGATATGAGAACAAAAGTGAGGAGAACGAGCGTGTTTCCGGCAGGACGAGAACAAGTCGATTTGAGATGCCGATGGACCGTAAAGCAAGAAGAAGAAGCGGGACCCCGCCGTGTTTAGTCTGGCGAGGACATGGCTAGTAGACGGTATCGTCCGGCCCCAATCTGCGACCGTTGGGAATGTGCGAAGCGCTGAAAACAAATACAGAACCGACCTCCGGTCTGTAGGTTCCTGTCCATTCTTCCAGGCTCGTCTCGTTTTGAAGCCGTATTGTCTCCAAACCACTCTCAAGGCCTCCTCCAAGGGCGCCCTATGAACCCACAATTTACTAACATCGAATCATTACAGACAACACCCGTTCTAACAAGATCAAGGTCGTCAAGACCCCGGGTGGTGTTTTGCGTGCCCAACACATCAAGAAGTTGGCCACCAGACCCAAGTGTGGTGACACCGGTGTCCCATTGCAAGGTGTCTCCACCATGAGACCAAGACAATACGCTACTGTCTCCAAGACCCACAAGACCGTCTCCAGAGCCTACGGTGGTGTTCTTTGTGCCAACGCTGTCAAGGAAAGAATCGTCAGAGCTTTCTTGATCGAAGAGCAAAAGATCGTCAAGAAGGTTGTCAAGGAACAAGCCCAGTCTGCCAAGCAAACCGGTAACAAGAAGTCCAAGAACAACAAGAACTAAATATATAACTTGTAAGTGTTAAGTTTTAATATCTCCCACCTGGTTAGAAATTGAAGGCTGCGAGAGTCTGATTTTAGTTGACATCTTTCTCCAGCTGAGGCCAATTTAGCCAGTCTCATCAGTATCATGTGCACTTTATGTAGATTTTCAAAATCACACTGGCACATTTACAACAACCAAACCCAAGGTAAACACACACCTCGACCCATCCCCACAGCCATGAGTAGGGCTAGCAAAGTGACTTTGGCTTTTTCATGTGTTCTCACGGCTATCACAGTTGTTGGTGTTCATTATGTGCAAGAGCTGGAAAGAGATACGCTACACCAAGGTCCCATAAAGGACGCCAAGAGAATTGCTGATAGAAAAGCCAATCTCGACCCAGAGAAGGAGCGCAAAAAACTGTTCAATAAAAGTGAACATGAACTCCAACAAGAACTTCGCAAGAAGTATGAATCTGTTCAACCCTTATCGGGTGAGGTTTTGACCAAGAACGGTGAAAAAGTAGAGTGATGTGTTTTATATCATGTCAACAGTGCGTTACAGTGTCTGCCAGTGCTTGCAACTACCGAACAGATCATTCATGGCTGAAGCAAAGCCAGTCGGTGGGGAAAGATTGTAATAAAGGAATAGTAGTAAGATGACTGTAAATTGTAATGTGTGATATGAGGTTTTACCATTCATTTTGGAAAAGTTTACAGATACAAATTAAACGGGAAACTGATTGCCGTATATTCAACCTCCGAACTAGGTTGCTCGACTTATTTCTGCCTTTCTGATTCGTGATTCTCGCCCAGCAGAAATGATACTGTAACGATAGATGAGGAGCTACGCGTTAAGACTACTAATGAAATTATATCTTTTGACACTGCGGCGCATTTTTCACATTTCTTCATTTATCTCTAGGTAAATGTAAATCTTATGCGTGCGAAGGAATAAAGCTGAGTTGATCTGCGTCTCATGACAGAATTTTTCGTGATTGCGTGCTCCACGGTATCCAATTATTATCGCCCCTTACTACTGAACGGGCGGCAATTTTCCAATATCGCTCTCAAATTGCAATCGACCGTTAGGGCACTATGCTCTCGCTGTCATATTAACTTAACGATCACTCAGATCAGTTACTTTCTCCGCCCTTTCGAAAGGTTTACAACCCCTCTAGGACAACCCCTCTAGGACAACCCGGTTACTTTTAATAAGATAGAATCTATGGTAATTATTCCACGCACTTCTGTTGCTATTTCATCTGCAATATTTACCTTTCGAGCCCATATAACAAATTGCCGCTCTTTTCGTTTCAACCACGAGTGTCAACGATTCTTTCTGTAGTAGTAGGCAGAAATGCAATCAATCAAAATCTGACTTTAGCCAAAACAAACATCGGTGAAATTTGAGTTTCCCCAAATGTGGATCTTGAAGCTCCCTGAGATATTCTCACTGATTTTATATTTCATTCATGTTTTCAATTCATGGTCCATTAATATCACTCTGCACTAGGTGTTTTTTTCTGATTTCAATTTCTAATTTCCAAGGGAGAAGAAAGGCCGAGGTCTCACAGTAATCGAAGGTCAACAACAACAACAACAACTGACGTCAAACACTAAGACAAGCAACCCCTAGGATTGACGAAACTTAGTACTATTGACCAGAATATTCATGGCTCAAAGACCATCGTTTCTGGAGCACGCCTCAGACAACAACAATGCAAGCCAAAAAACGAGACCTATGCTAATTCCTCGACAGGTCTCTTCGGTTCACGTGGAAGGCCCTACAAGTGTCGTTGAAGAAACCTTCAGCAGCTCACACTCATCGGAATCGTATATTCCGACCGAAGAACACCCATTGTCGCGTCACGATGCATATCATCCAGAGAGAAGCGAAGAATCTGGGTTCAAAGTTGGATCAAACATTTCTCAACTTTCAGGAATTGTGGGTGGCCCTTCTCATAGCAATGCGCAACGCAAACGGCCGTCAGTCCAGAAAAGAACCAGCTCTTACTCTAGAGGCTCATTTGTTGGAAAGAACGGCAGTTTTATCTCCACGTCTTTGGGTGACGAATATGGAAACTCAACAGAATCCGGGTCAAACCCTGTCATGGAACGTGTAACTACCACTAAGTTACGACCTACTAACGAATCGGACAAGGATCTTGCGGGAGCGGATGCCATTATCAATGACGATGCCAACAATGGAGATAATAGTTTTACCACCTCTGATAAAGAAATGACGGTCTCCAATTCTGTACCGACAGTCACTTCGCAGCCCATTAAGATTTCGAATGCACAACCAATGGCCAAAACCCATTCTTCGAAATATTTTCACGAGTTTGCTCAAGAAGACGATTTTTTACAACAGTATACTCCATTCCACAACTCACCTACGTCCGTGTCGAATTCTTACGGCACGAACAACACTTTAAACGACATGATGATGAAGAAATGCCAAATGACGGAAGTCAAACCAGAACCAAATTTATCAGAAATTCCAGAACTAGTGGAAATTGCTAATTTCCCAACAGATCGTCTCTTAAATATGTTAACGGCCTTACTTGATAAGATTGTGCGATCAAATGATCAACTGCACCGAGATCGACCTCCTGATGACGAGCTCACTGTGAATGAATACGATGAAGGAACAAACGCTACAAGCTCTCATTCCAAACCTCAGCTCGCCCGAACGTATAGCATGGGAATGGGGGCGACCGCCGAAATTCTAAGTTTCCGCGGCAAACATGTGCCGGCTATCACCTTACAGCAGTACTTCCAGCGAATACAGAAGTATTGCCCTACTACAAATGATGTTTTTTTGTCGTTGCTCGTGTATTTTGATAGAATTGCCAAAGCATGCAATGATGGTAAAGATCAAGTGTTTGTGATGGACTCTTATAACATTCATCGATTGATCATATCCGCAGTGACCGTTAGCACTAAATTCTTCAGCGATTTTTTTTACAGCAATTCACGGTACGCTAGAGTTGGTGGGATTTCTTTAAAAGAACTGAATCATTTAGAGCTTCAGTTTTTAATACTTTGTGATTTTGAACTTATAATAAGCGTCGAGGAATTGCAAAAGTATGGGACTTTATTGCGCGATTTTTGGCAGCGAGAAATGGGTGATCCCGAAGGAGCACCTGGAGTTGTATTATAAACTTTTATCTATCGTGCAACTACGATTATTTAGCAACGATATCTGTGTTTTTATACTTACATTTTTGGCGAAAACCTGCTCCGAGGATATGTCTCGCAGTTGGCCGCGCGACGCATAATAATACCTGTGCTTATCTAATCAATATAATGGAACAGAAAAGTAAAGCCTAGCAACAAGAGTGTCAACGAAAACTCGGTGAGGACATAAAGCTGTCGTTGGCTCAAGAATGTTAATCAGATAAGAAGTGAAGAACTTCCTTCCATTTTATGGCAGGGAAGGAAGAACAAATATTGCTTGGGGTGTCCGAGAGCAATTTCTAATCTAGAATGTCAGAGCGCGGTTGATGGCACTCCTAACTGTGAAGTATAGGGAACAAGCATTATTCAAGGATATTGACGTTTTAGTGTGTTAGGGGGAATCTTGAGAGCCAACCATGGTGGGACAAACAAATAAAAGCAAGCTAGAGTTACAGCGTTAAATCGTTGGCCTGGATTTTGGTGTCAAAGTGCCGTGGTGTTGAGTACTACAAACAAACACGGGTTGCTCGGGCTATCATAGCATAGCGTTCGCGAAACTGCAAACATTTGGAACAGTTTGCAAGAATACTTGATTTTATTGGTCTCGGTCAAAATGAGTCTGATCCTCGAGGTTGCTAGTCATATTGGAGATGGTAAGTAGGTCTGTGTAGTACGTATACCTCACGGTCTTTTTTTGGATGAACATATAGTCCGGATATCTCCAAAATCATTGCGGGTATTCATTTTGGGACGGCCGATAGAGCGGATCTTATCAAACGAGCCGATTGCGGCACTCGTGAGAGGGCTTTTGGTTATTGCCGTAACAACGTGTGGCAGATAAAATTTTTGCCGTGTTCTGCATAATGAAACTTTGATTTATCCTGACGCAGTGTTAGTTCCAACCACCCTTTATCGTCAAAAAGGCAACACTTGACTGATAACACCCACGTTTCAAGCAAATTTCATTTTCGATACATAAACTTTATTTCCCCACGACAGGTTCTCGAGATTCTCAATAAATCGATGAGAAAGTAAGACAAATTATAGACCTCCTCTTTAGGACAACGATGTTGGCTTTTTTCCGCAACCACTGCTCGAGCGCTTAACTTGTCTTTCCATTCGGTGCTAGTCAACGAAGTCGAAGATCACATCAGAGTGGCCTTGGCGTCCAAATGTTCAGTGCCGAAGTTATTGTTTGGGTTTAGCCACTATTAATCATCTCAAGAATTAGTTGAAGCTGACACGCCTCGTTCACGCTATTACTTCTTAGTAGCATTTTTAGCTGCATCCAAGGATTCCCCCTGTCTTCGTAATTTAACTTTGGTAGCTACTGCACAAATCCAATCGTTTCCTGCCCGCTTTCAAATTGATTGCGCTGTTCTGTATTGTTTGGATATGCGGTTATTTTACGGAGTTCGGACAATGCGGGATACATCATCGAATTGGTATCAAAAAAAGGCAAAAGAAATCATATGATGTGGACATACGTTCTACTAGGCCTCTTGACTTCTTCAATGCCAGGCTCATAATTCTTGAAGAGACTCCGCCTGTGAAGAGATGTGTAGATTCAGTGAGAGCCCGCAGGCCCATAAATAAAGTATTGAGAATGTTTACATATTACGTTATCAACCAAGAATTAACTTCGCCGGTCCCAGCAATTGATTCAAAGATTGCAAATTAGGCAAGTGGAATCGAATTCATCGTCGAGTTCACTTCTATGCAAACGACTTCGCTCCGCGTGATACCATGAAGTCTTTAGACTTGATAAACCGAACAAGGAAAGAAGGTACCCTCCAGCCGAATAGAACGCCTACTCCGCCATTCCTTGATACAGGAACCAACCCTAACTCTGGGCTCTTTTTGAGGGGCTTCTTCTTCCCATTGTCCCCAAATATCACGGATTTGACAGTTGACTGGAACGTTGATACTTGAATTTGCTCAAGATCTACAATAGTGCATGGACGCCCCGAAACAATGTCACCAAAACCTAAAACATTAGGGTATTGCTTCACTGTCAAGTTTTCGTCCACGACCAAGTATCCCTGGCCGTCAAGGAACTTTACATCGATAAAGTCGGAATTCGGGATAACTCCAAAAGCTGGTATGGCCAAATCAACAATTTGGGATTCTCCGTTGTCAAAAATTACCTTGGTTTTCCCATCCTCAGCGTCTTCCATTGAAGAGTATTTAACATTGTTGACGACGGTAATATTAAGACTTTCTAATTGCTTAGTAGCGGCGTCAGAAACCTTGGGAAGCCAGCTCTTCAAGGGGCCGCTGGACCCTGCATAGAGCGAGATTTTCTTCTTAGTCCCATAGGTTTCGCCAAGCTCACCAGCGACTTCGACAGCGGTGGCACCGCCGCCAATAATAATGATGTTTTCAGCATTTTTGATCTTGGCGTGCAGATCTAGCACCGCATCTTTCGTCAAGTGATAATCACCCTCCAGCTTGAAAGCCGCAGAGTGGCTCTTGGTGCCAGACGCAACAACCAAGTAGTCGTAGGCAACTGAATGTTCAACTCCGGCGCTTTCTTCATAGACCACCGTATTGTCTTCAAATTTAATATCCTTAACAGTTCCTAAAATAAACGACGCTTTACCGGGAGCAAGCTTCTTCAATTTGTCTTTCACGGGATAAAAGAGCTGTTCAGCGATCTTGGGCTCTACTAGTGCGCGCGGGGCGGCGACGTTAAAGTATGCGTGGGAAGAAGCAGATATCATTGTGACCTGAACGTCTTTATTCGTGCTTAGAATAACTTCTGTGGCTTTTATGCCGGCAAATGAGCCGCCAATTACTACTACATGAGATTTCGTGTTCATTTTTCTTGTCTAGCTTACACTTGAGATCTGCGGTGGATCCAAGGGTCTAAAAACTGTAAATCCTTAATCTTACTTTGCATTTTATGCATTTCCTGCATTCTATGATTACGGCTCCCAGCCACCTTAGTAATTTTCTAACGGCTATCAGTAAGTTAATTACTCGAGTAAACGTAACTTATAACCGGGTAAGTATCAAAATTACTAAGAGGCATCGATGCTTAATCATCGTATATTATGCGAGTTAGTTGTAAGTATGTGGTAACTTTCGGATGAAGATACCTTTTCTGGACCTGCAACTCCGATGGACGGAAGCCCCTACAATGCGTACTTCATACATTGTGTAGAATTAATAATACTCCATTAATGTGAATGCTATATTATATGATTAATAAATTGTATAATTTTTATGAAACTCCGCCGCGATGAATCGTGGAACAGACGTTGATAATTATCAAGTACTGGTTTCTTAGTGAATACAACGTCAACTTAAAAGCTTCTTCATTCTCTGTTGTTCTGGATTGCGGGCAAGTCAATCCGTTTTCTTTTCGTAGCAAGCATCATCATAATCACTTAATGAAAAACTTTACGTTTCCCCAGGGTGTGTGAATCATGTAGAGTATTTGTTGAACGATCGAAGGACCATCAGAGCACCACATTAAGTATGCTTTAAATACATTCTGTCTATTTCCCATGGCTGGTGCTGAGCCTTTGAAACAGAGAAAAACGACCGAAAACATGAATTTCGAACGAGTTTTATGTGACACGCCATTTGCAAGGTAATTGCAGTCATCTTGTCGAAGCTTCCTCATGAGCGTTTTACTTGCCCACGCCTAGGTGGTGATTAAGCGCATTTCAAGAGTTACTGAAATGAGTCTTGTAACTATTGGCTAACTCCAAAGTTCTTTTTCCAAATGCTAAAAGCAATGAAGGCCATTGTGCGCCGAAATACTCTACCATTAGGCGTATCGAAGTGGCTATTATCAAATTGGGAGTCTTTCGGGATTTGCAGCAAGTGTCGTTCATATAAGTGGCGTGTAGCTTCAGTTTTTGTACAAAGCCGAATGGTAAAGTTGTTCGACGACCAACTTCGCGGTATCGAACACTGAGCATTGAATTGGCCCCGCTGTACAAAACCAAGTGGTAAAAATTGTTCTACGACTAAATTCGTAGTTTTGAACACTCCATGATTTCAATTTCGCTCGTCGATAATCAGTATGGGCTTTTTAGGTGGCTTTATGTTCCTCGAGTATATATCAGGCCTTTTACTTTCAATATTCTTCCTTTGGCAACTTGGGCAGCTCGGTTGACGTGGGACTCAAGTGGCGGCTTTAATTGTTCCACTATGGTGGTGTACTTTGTGGACTTATCGAGCAATTTAAAAATCGCCAGTTTTTCTGTGGTATTGAGATGGCTTCAACGGCAGAGGGTCGAAATGGCGATCATAACGGGAACCAAGAAACACGACAGAATAGTACAAAGTGACAAGTTTCGATACCATTTCAGATGTGTATAAGAATGCTGAGATCTATGCATTGATATTGGGCGGAGTCTGTGACATGAAGCCTGGTACATCTCGTATCGGTCTAGACTGCTCCTCGTCGCTCAATACCGATGGTTATTCTACTCGTCACATCTGGAAAGACCCCGGAGAGATGATTATGGCACCAATCAATCAAACAAGCCTTGGACATACACCAGGTCAGCAAGCTACACTACTGCCGTAGATGTGCCTCAATAACTTATTCCAATGATTCAGCGTGATCCTGTCATTCATTAGTTAATGGCATATTTTTTATACAATAGCACCACTCTCACTGGATAGCGTGTTCCTGTCATTCAATAGTTAATAAAGTGGCATTGAACAATAGCGCCACTCTCACTAGATAGCGTGTTCCTGTCGTTCATTAGTTAACGAAGTAGCATTAAACAAAAGCACCATACGCACTGCTACCATTCGGCATTCAATATAACTACTCTCACTTTCGACAATAATCGCAGAGGCTCTTATTGCTCGATAATGCTACAATTCCACCATTCACAATACTCTCCAAGGCTCGCGTTGTTCAGAAGCGCTACTCTCCTCTCACGATACTCGCTAATGCTCGCATTGTTCTTTAGTGCTACTTTCCTCTCACTGAGGCTCCATTGTTCACAAGTACCACTTTGTCTCTCGCTTTCCCATGTATGGAATTCTCACAATTGTTCCATCACGACTAACCGCCTGCCTTGACCGTTCTCCAACCGCCCTCCCAGATCTCCGCTCGGGTTTGCCGCGATCTCATATCTTATCAGCAGCTACACATCGATACCAGCGATTACACTGATAGCACCGCCAATCTGCGAAAAACGGACCTCCCGGCTGGAAAACCGGTTAGTAAAACGGGTCGAGGACGCTCGCTTCCGTTTTCGTTTTTGGTTTTTGTGGTTGATGCCACAAAACCGTTGCTACACCCACACCCCTCATTCGTTCTCTGGGCTCTTATCGTTTTTGTGGCCGACACGCGCGTTTTCTTTTTTTTCTTTGCCCTTCGTCGTTTCTTTTGACGCACCTCGACCTGCACCGAACGCGCGTGAATTTTTCACTCACAGGAAAAATACTCTCTCGGTGGTATGACGACGAAGACGACGGCGTTAGAACTGCGAAACTGTAATCGTCCCCATGCGAGAGAAAGACGCAAGTGCTGTGTAGTGGCAGGCTTCTTACTTGCCCTGCTGCGACTACTGCTGCTGCTTCCATCCAAGTGGCTCTCCCTCCCGGGTTTCTCCCCGGTATCGGTGCTTTCCCTCTCCCTCTGTCTCTGTCGCTCTATCAGAGCTGAGGCTATCGATTAGGCGACAAAATACGACCCCCATCCTCAGTGTACGATTAAAAGCTTATCACGCAGTTGGGCGCGAGGCACTAATTTTTCAATAATTTTTCACGCCAGCTCATCGGGATATAAAAGCATCGGTTGAGAAGCGTGTTGGATACGATTGTGACAGGGTTCTGTTGGTGTTCTTAGTAGATTGTGTAGTGTTCTAGCCTCAGCCTCAGCCTCAACCACAGCCTGTAGACTAGCTCCCGCCTGCCCGCTAGTTTAAGAGTCCTAGCTTTCTCGCTCTCTAGTCACAATGTCCAAAGAAGAATACGAAATCCAAGACCTCGAGAAGCGCGGCGGCTCGCGCTTCGAGGCGTCCGACGACGACTCCCAGCCTATAGTCGAGTCCACCGAGGTCACAAAGCTGTCGTTTTTCGACCGTCTTGCCCTCAAGCTGCGCGCAGAAACTAAGGGTATCGACCCCGTCGGCGACGATGAGAGAAACGCAGACGAGTCTATCTGGACCGCTGCGTCGATGTGGTTTTCCGCCAATATGGTGATTGCTGCGTTTGCCGTCGGCGCGCTTGGCCCTTTGATCTTCGGAATCAACTTCTGGGGTAGTGTCCTCGCCACACTCGTGTTTTCCTTCCTCGGGGTCATGCCCGTCGCTTTTTACTCCGTCTTTGGTGTTGAGCTTGGTCTCAGACAAATGGTTTTGTCCCGTTTCTTGCTCGGTAACATCACCGCCCGTGTTTTCGCGCTCATCAACGTTGTTGCATGTGTCGGATGGGGTGCCGTCAACACCATTGCTTCCGCTCAATTGCTCCACATGGTTAATCCAAATGGAAAGCAGTGTCCACCTTGGGCCGGTTGTCTTATTATTGTGCTCTCCACCATCTTTGTCACACTCTTTGGTTACCGTGTCATCCACGCATATGAAAAGTGGTCGTGGATTCCCAACTTTGCAGTCTTTTTCGTAATCATCGCGAGACTCAAGATCGATGGCTCCTTTACCGCCGGCCCTTGGGTCGATGGTCAGACCACCGCTGGTGGCATTTTGTCCCTCGGTGGTGTCGTTTTTGGTTTCGCCGCGGGTTGGACCACTTACGCGGCTGATTATACTGTCTACATGCCTCGCGACACGAACCGTGCCAAGATCTTCTTTGGTGTCATGGCCGGTCTTATGTTCCCGCTAACTTTCGCTATCATTTTGGGTGCCGCTGCCGGCGCTGCTGCCGTTAACAACGCGTTGTTTTATAAAAACTACTTTGATCATGGTATTGGTGGTCTAGTCTACGCTATTCTCGTTCCAAACTCACTAAACGGTTTTGGCCAATTCTGCTGTGTCTTGCTAGCCATGTCCACGGTTGCCAATAACATTCCAAACATGTACTCCATTGCTCTCGGTACGCAGGCCATGTGGGAGCCCTTGGCCAAGGTTCCAAGAGTCTTCTGGACTGTGGCTGGTAACTTGGTCACCTTGGCTATCGCCATCCCAGCTTACTACAACTTCATTCACTTCATGACTAATTTCATGGATGCTATTGCGTACTACTTGGCCATTTACATTGCTATTTCCTTAAGTGAGCATCTCTTTTACAGAAAGAACAATTTCAAAAACTACCACGTCAAGGATTGGGATAACTGGCATGCTTTGCCTATTGGCTACGCTGGCTGTTCCGCGCTAGTCGTGGGTGGTTTTGGTGTTGCCCTTGGAATGTCCCAAACCTACTGGGAAGGTGAAATCGGTCGTAAAATCGGCGCAGCTGGCGGTGATATCGGTTTCGAACTTGGGTTTCTTTTCGCTTTGGTTGCCTACAACGTTCTAAGACCATTAGAGTTGAAGTATGTAGGCCGTTAAAATCGACACATTCTCGACCACGTATGTAGACTAGAGATATTTAATAGTAATTGTTGACTTTGACATTTAACTCACTAAATGCAGTTTCATTCAAAACTTCAAAATCAAGTCTAGAAAGACAAACTGATTGGCCTTTAGCACTCCAGGATCCTTGGAATGATTTCATTTCCAGATCTCTTGTTCTACTCAACATTCCTTGCAGGTATAGGGTCTATCGTCGTTGCCAAATCGCATGCTCCTCTACTTCTCAAGTACGGTAAGACACTTCAAGGCGTAAAGATCCAGAGATCTGATATTTTTGGCCGCTTGCAACAATTAACAGTACCTAAAAAGTGGTTCCGACATTTCTATGTTTATTCGACATTTGTATCGGGTTTCAATCTGTTGCATTTGAGAACCTTCCTCGCGTTTCTCGTGTTTGTGCACTCCACGAGAAGACTTTATGAAACATTCTATATCAATAAATTTGGTCCTGCTTCCCGTATCCACATATCGCACTACCTGGTTGGGATATGGTTTTACTCTGCAGTCAATTTCACCACTTTCACTAACGAGAAACATGCCTCATCACTGCCGCTGAGACTTTTGGCGATATTTATCTTCGCGCTGGCGTCATGGGACCAATACAAAAACCATTCGCACCTGTCCGAGCTACGTAAGTACAACCTACCTACTTATGGGCTGTTTAAGATTGTGGCGAGCCCACATTATTTGGATGAAATATTCATATATTTTGCACTTACACTTTACGCCACGTCTTGCAAAATGCTATTTTGTATGTTATGGGTTGTGGTGAACCTCTCGATTTCCGCTTTGGAAACAAAAACCTGGTATCTGCAAAAATTTCCTCAAACTACTCCGAGGTTTGCAATCATTCCTTATGTTATTTGACAAAAGTCTCTCGTATACACTAGCTAACCCACTTTCTAAATAATAGCGATGAATTAATACCACCAAATCCAAAACTGTTACTCAGCGCATATTCAAGGTCATGACGCACCGGGGAGCCTGTCACAAAATCCAGCGCCTTCAAATCTCCAAAGTTGTCACCTTTAGCTTCACCGATCCTTTTTAAATTCAATGTATGAGGCACCAAACCTTCTTGTAAACTTTTTATCGTAAAGATGCTCTCTACCGCTCCAGCGGCTCCTAACAAATGACCCATAGCGCCCTTGTTACTTGATAGTTTCAGTGGGATGCTCCTGTTAGGAGCAAATATGTTGGAAATGGCATTCAATTCAGCTCTGTCGCCCAAGATAGTAGAGGTGGCATGCGCATTGACGTAGTCCACCTGGCGAGGATCATGGCCTTTGAGCGCCATCTCCATTGCTCTTCTTGCACCGTCTCCACTTTCTGAAGGCGATGTAATGTGGTGTGCATCGCTTGTGAGACCGTAGCCTTCGATTTCTGCATATATACGAGCACCTCGCTTCTGAGCGTGTTCCAGAGACTCTAGAACCATTAGACCGGCACCTTCTCCTAATACAAACCCGTTTCTTTCCTTGTCAAATGGTCTTGATATACCATCAGGTGTTATACTCTTGGCTCTCAGGAAACCTGACAATGATAGCGGGTGTACACTGGCTTCGCTGGCGCCTGCCAGGCATACATCGTTGTAACCGAGCCTTATAAAGTTGTAAGCATCCCCAATCGCGTTATTTCCAGTGGCACACGCTGTGGACACGCAATGGGATACGCCTCGGAGCTGGAATTTTATGGAAACATTACCGCAGGCCATGTTTGCGAGAATCTTGGGAACAAACGTGGGAGGGAGTTTTTTGCCGCGATCGAAATTCAGGATAGATTCGTACATATCTTGAATTGAGGCGATTCCAGAGCCGATAACGCATCCAAATCGTTCATTGTTGTATTCATCAACTGTGTTCAATAAATTTGCATCTTTTAAAGCCTCCTGGGCAGCAACCACTGCGAACTGAGTGAAGAGACTCATTCTTCTGAGATCTTGTGAAGTGAAAAGGTCCCCGTAGTCCATTGGATTGAACCCAGTAACATTGGCTACCCCTACACTAGCTGGACAATGTGATTCGTAATCTTTAGCATCGGGAAGTTCTGAAATGGGACGAATTCCAGACTTACCGCGCAGCAAATTAGACCATGACTCTGAAACTGTTTTTCCCAATGGAGTGAGCGCTCCTAATCCAGTGATAACGACTCTTGAGGTCATGTTTTTGGGAGTAAAATGTAGGATGGATATTGAATAAGAATGAGAACAGGTGTCGTGATAGACGGAGAAGCTGATAAAAGAATAAGCGCTAATAAACAAAACTACATTGAACGCATGGGCACATAAGAGTTGAATAGGAATTCAGAAGAGCAATGTGCGCGTTCGTTCGCTTGGTTTGTCTTGGAAGTGCTGTATGAAACATTCATTTGGTTAAACTTCACTTGAAACTTTGAGATAGTTATATGTATCGGCACTAAGAGCAGATAGTCGCGTCATGTCGTAGGAGAGAGGCTACTCTTGTAGATGCCGATTTCTTGTGGCAACTCAACCGCGATAATTTCTCGCTAAACGCGACGTAATATTATAGTAAGTAAATACTTTTTACTTAAATGAAGAGCTGTAAAATCAGCTCAGGGTCATTGAGATAATCTTTAGTTTCGTGGAGGTGCGTAAAATGCTAGTGTACAGTCGTTATTACCAGGTTCTGGAAAGTGAGGTTTGTTACTCCACGTTGAAACACCTTACCATTGCAACAAGTCGTCCTTGGCGTACAAGTAGTCGTCGAAGATGAACTCGACCTCGTCGGTCTTAGCGTTGTATTCACCTAGTCTGATGGATTCGTGGTTCTTGACGATGATGTCGCAACCCTTTTCCTTTAGGAAGTCAAGGTCGAAAGTGGTGGCAATACCGACAATCTTACAGCCGGCGGCCTTACCAGCAGCAATACCGGCTGGGGCGTCTTCGAAGACAATGACCTTGGACTTGGATGGGTCCTTCTCGTTGATTGGGAAACCTAGACCGTTTCTACCCTTGAGGTAAGGCTCTGGGAATGGCTTACCTTGTTTGACATCGTTGGCAGTAATGAAGTATTCTGGCTTGGCAATTCCCAAGAGTTCGAACCACTTGGAGGCCATTGGGCGAGTACCAGAGGTGGCAACGGCCCATTTCTCCTTTGGCAAAGCGTTTAGGTCCTTGCAAAGCTTGACGGCACCTGGAACCTCGATGGAGTGTTCACCGTATTTTTCTGGGATTTCAGCTTCGAGCTGGGTAGCGTAGTCCTCGTCGGCGAAGTCTGGAGCGAACTTGGCGATAGCATCGTAAGTTCTCCAGCCGTGCGACTCGTGGATGACATGCTCGGCGTCGAAGTATGGCTTGTCCTTACCGAAGTCTCTCCAGAAAGCAGCAATGGCTGGCTGGGAGATGATGATCGTTCCGTCGACGTCGAATAGAGCGGCGTTGACTTTGAGAGATAGAGGCTTACCTAGAGACATGATTGTGAGTGGTGATATAAGTGCAGTGACTTGATGGAGTGTGAGACTAAACAATCAAAAGATAACTACAAACATATCTAATTCCGCAACTTGGGCTACAGACCCTGCGCTTATATACCTCAACCACAGGCAGGCGTTCCCGCTGCTGTTAACCTGACAAAATCTGATGTTGTTTCTTATTGCTTGTGTTAACTACGCTACTATGCGGTGTTCTTGCTTCTGGCTCCGTACACCGTTTACTTAGAAGCTGATGAGATCAGATGCGATACCAGGTGGTGTGTACGTGCGTATGAATAATTTTGTATTAGCGTCGTTGGCGTGTGTTCTCATACCACGTCGTTTCCTTTGGTAATGTATGATGACGAGAAAAGCATTCATGGGCAGTGGAAAGGCGCTTTCAGGTTGAAGAAAATTGACCCACATTGGGTCAAATGGTGGGTCAAACTGTGGGTCAGGGCTTTTGGCCGTTTGAGGAGCCACGTTTGACCCAAAATGGGTCAAACATAGGTCAAATAAGAAAGGAAGTGGGCAGCCCCAGTGGGTCAAATATCACGTGGTGGAATTTGAAGAGGAAGCCGGGTGGAATGCAAGCGATCAGCGCATAGCCATGTGGTGTCGTAGACGATAGTAGTGAGCGATAGCGAGGTATTGTGAAACGTTGGAGGCCTAAGCGCGTGAGAGCGAGTGATGATTGAGCTCATGCTCGTACCAGGCAGGTGCTTCAGCTCACGGCAGCGATCACGACGCAAACGCGATTCCGTGCATAGTGACGGTAATATTTCTTGGTAGTTGTTACTTTTAGGTCTGGGCAATGCGGGTCGCTCCTCGCTCAGGGACATTTGGACATCTGTTGCTCCTCGCTAAAGAACATTTGACCTTCCGGGTTAGCCCATAGCTCTGCATTTAAACCTATTTTTGAATCCGCGTCTGGTACTCGGGAATTAGGTCACTCGATACGAGCATGTACAGGTTGGGCACTGTGTACGAGTTGGATGCTCTTGCAGGGCGGCAGCATGAATGGGCCCGTTGCCCTGGGTGAGCTGTGTCATCCCAGCATCAGCCTGGCAACTTGCCTCGATATTTCAGAACTGGATTGTGGCAGGCTGTATTACTGATAGCATTTCAAAGGCGACTATAGGCTGTGCGCGGCCCAGTCGCCAGGCTCTTCATAATCGATTTTTTACATCTTATTTTTGCGAGTTGAGGGCCGCGCAACTCGATTGTGTCCTTGACCGTGACATGCGTCAACCATCTTGCTGTTCCTCCTGCCGTACTTTTTTTTACGCTTCCCTCGGCAAGTTTACCTGTACTAATAATGTTGGCAAATTTCATAGAGAGCTGGTAATTACACCATTTAACAATCCGAGATGAAGGATCCTGTCAAGTAAAATCTTATGTTCGTTTCCGAAAACCGAACAGCCTTGCGCACGACCAGACAGCATTAAATCAGTCAAGTCTAATATATAGTGATACATGTTTTGGGTTTGGTGTCATCACAAAGAGCAACCAGCTTTGGCCCCAAATTCAAAATAGTGGCAGATGATGTGTCCTTCAAAAGGCTCGTACTTCAACTCTGTTTTTCAGTCACCTTGCGTTTGTTGGTGTAACGCTGTGAAGGGGCCAAGCTGTTTTGGTAGTCATTTCGACACATTGGTATAAAGTGATAATAGTCGTTATTCGCTGAACGTGCCACAATGGAGGGCCGCTTTAAACGGGGGGAGGGGGGACTGATATAACTAAATATGTAGATGATGTATCATTCAATAATCGCGTATCCAAAGCACTGCATCCAAAATGCGACTGATGTAGTTGAAATGCAACGTAGCCATAATTGACCCACTGAATTTGTTGTATTATATGAATACCGATGATTTTGTCCCTGTATCGAGGACCTACTCCGCACATGTGGGATGACCGCTGGGGCATTCACTTCACCTATTTGGCAGTTAACTATAAGCAAGTGAGACGATGTTTTTACTTACATACTTACCAACAGCCTCGCCTAACTCATCGAGAATCAGAAATCCAACATTTCACGTCAGCGAACAGGACTGCATATAACATTACTACCAATTCAGAACAACACCTGAGTCGCTCACTGGGTGAAAATTGTCTCCCATGCATCTTCGTGTACATTTTTTAATACTCGTAAATCTCAGGCCCCTGCGGTGTCAAAAAATATGGAATTTCAAATTATCAACTTGTCTCTAAAAAGGCCACATCAACAATGGCCGCTTACGCACAGAAAACAGTCAAACAGCTCCAAAAAGAGCTTGAATCGAGACAATTGGCCACCAATGGTATCAAGAAAGACCTTGTTGCTCGGTTAGAGACCGACGACGCCGAAAAGGGGGAAGAAAAGCCAGCAGGATCAAAAGAGGAGATCCCAGAGGTACAGGAGGAACCTGCCAAAGAAGAAGATAAAGAAGCTCCGGTACCCGAGGCCAAGCCAGAGTCTCCTGCTGTAGCGCCTGCCGAATCTGCTGCTGTCGCGGATACCGTAACGGACGTGAAACCAGCGGAACCTGAATCCAAACCATTTTCTCCGGAGGAGGCTAAAACCAAGGCTCTCGAGCACCTTCAGGTAAAGCTGCGCCGTGCCCAGAAGTTTGCCGATGATCAAACTACAATCGATTCTTTGCAGCGACAAATCGCACGTATCCAGAAGTTCGGACTTGACCAGACTACTCAATTGGCGCGTGAATTGGGCTTAGGCCAAGGTCCACAGAACACCATTGCCCGACACAATAAGAAAAAAACCTCTCATAAGGGAACCAAGAACAAAAGATAGAGAATTCCGCTGCCATAACGCGACGTAGTTCAAGTCCCTTCTTACAACCCAAAAAAAAATTACAGAAGTATACTACAAGAAATGTCAAACAAAACCTCATTCGCACATAGATCAGTACTAACCAATCATTCTGTATCGTTCAGGGAATCGTCTTTCCCATTATTAACTGCGATTTATGCTGAATCTTTCGAACAAAACCGGCTCGCTAGAGGCTCGAACTCGAAGCCTTAGATGTATCACGTGTGTCACGTGTGTCAAAAATGCGCCCCTTTGATTCAAAAGGCCTGGAATTGTTTGCTAGAACAGGCCCTCAAAGAGTTTGCGCATTCTATTAAGAAAGCTATATCTCACTACTGGAGTTCCATCACCTATCGATCACCATACTAGGTATAGTGGACAAGTGGTTGAAACGTTGTGCTTTTCCGATAAAGTTCCTAATTGTTTATTGGTGTTAAATTTGTTAATACCCTGATTACTTGAACACTTGACCTAATTTGTATTTCTTTGTCCTATTGCAACCTTAACATCTTCAGCAAAAACCACTACTAGAGCTTGTAAACTCTCCATACTGGTTCTTTAACTTGAGATCAATTCGTCAAAATAGAGACATATACAGCTTTCAGGCTATCTGGTCACTTTGGTTCCGATAGATGGCATTCTAAGAGCAGTCGCCTAATATTCAAATTTGTTAAATGGATCAGTCTAACGCCCGAGTAGCCTACGTGAGAGTTGACAACTTGCCTCCGGGCAAAAGCTGGCGCCAAGTCAAGTACATGGTTGGAGGGATGATTCATCACTCCGCTATTCTTCAGGTGAAAATGTTGCCTCCCGTGCAATCAATAGTTCCGCCGTTCATGCCTTTCCAGAGCTGTATAGTTTCCTTGAAACGGTCTGATACCCAGCTGAACCGTCTACTCATGGATCTGAACGGCTACACTTGGGAGTATTATCGACTAATGGCATATGCTGTGCCCCCGTTGCATGCGCCGAATGGCTCGGCCTTTATCCCAGGTTCTGGTTCTGCTTTGGACCCACTCAGCCCACCGGGCTCCATGCCCAATGCTGGTCCCGGTTCTGCACCCCCCTCGGGACATATGATGATGCCTTTTGCTCCCATGCCTCCAATGTATTTCCCTGGAACTTTACCACAATCATTACCGCACGATCCGTTTGTTCGGCAAAATCAACAGCATGGTAAAAAGATGCGTCAAGTTTTCAGTGAGGAAAGTTTCCGGAGGCAGATGAGCGCTAGACGCATGTATCAACTTCAATTAGATGGCTTTCCGCCTTGTCTACATTGGGATGTTAACGGTTTATACGGCATAAGTTCCCAGGAACTACTCCCGTCAACAGACGCATCGGCCATGACAATTACAACTGCCCATCCGGAACACTTTGGGAAGCTCAAATGGACCGTGCTCAAAGATTTCATTCAGCTGAAATGCCGAAAACTTCTGGAAATGGATATTACAGGTGCGGCTGCAAATACGCGAGAGTTTTACGTGGGTGTTTACGAGGATGCCGAAGTCAAAGTTAACGTTGAAGTGCTGAATGCGGAGCCTGTCATATCTGTACCGAAGTCGGAATCCGGATCGGAATCTCGATTGCCACGAGCAGAAGAAATCAATGAGGCCGAAGAGGGAAACAATGAGGCCGAAAAGGAAAACAATGAGGCCGAAAAGGAAACCGATGAGGCCAATGAAGAAAACCATGATGCCAAAGAAGAGCAACAGCAGCAGCTCGGTAGCGATGAGGCCGGCGTCGACGAAGCAGGCGAAGAGTTGGCTCAGCTCAACCTAGATTCAAAACAGAAGGTTGTTTCAGCAACAATTTACAAAGCTATAGTAGGCTTTCATTCTAGAGAGCTCTGCGATGTTTGTGTGGAGAGTCTACAAAATCAAGAGTATTCATTGGGCTACAAGCTTAACGTCACCGAACTGGAACCTCTGGAATGGTAAGGGAGGGTAGACTGGGTAATAAAACTGTACTCACTTTCATGGAGTGAATTGGAGTTAACGGAACTAAAAGGAATCAAAAGGTTTAGGTTAGTGGATAGGCAGTTGAAATTATCGTGGACACGACTTTTCAAACCACGTCGATCGTAGAGGGAAAAATACATAACTACTACTATTTAACCTCGGGACATTAAATAATTGAAAACATTTCTTAATAACTTAGATGGTCTATATGCATTTACAATAGAGGCTGAAAGACAAGTGGCGGTTTACCTCTCCCAGTTTCGCCGTTACCTTGTGTGTCTTCCTTCTTCTCGCGCACAATTCTCATTGGTAGCTCACTTGGTGATCTTCTATCTGAAGCGAGGTATGATTGTGTATTCTGGCTTTGCTCGCTATCTAGAGCGGGAATATCGTGAAGACTCGAAGCATGGTCTGTGAAGTGGTCTGAGAAGTGGTCCTGTGGAAAGAGTGTTACATTAGATGGGCCAGTCCATTTCCTTTCTGAGAAAGAAGGAATATCAGGTGGTTCGTGAATACTGGGCAGAGTAGATGTAGAGACACTACTCAACATCGCGAGCCCATCAAAAGACTCTGGTTTAATCTCCCGGATGTCGACAACGATTTCTTCAGAAGTGAATTGATTGAAAATTTTGGCCAACTCCATGTCATCCTTGATAAGCTCGCCATTGTGTATTAAATGTAAACTCTTGGCTTCAGACACAATCTGGAATAAATTACGAGAATTCGCCAAAACCTCTGCCACAGTAGGTGGGCCATTGCTTAAAAGGTGGAACGTAAATCTTTGTTCTTTATCTTTACATTTCAAAAGTACTTTTCGGTAGACATCTTTGTTGGCAGTAGCAGGCGCCATTGACAACGTAGACATAATTGCAGCCCGCTTGTAATCACCATTGGGATTGCTGGCCAATGGGTACTGTCGGAGAATCACATCATGCATAATCTCGCTTAATGGATAAACGCAGGGATCAAATCCGAAGTCTTTGATGATACTTCCCATGGTAAGATAGAACAATCTTAGTTGCGCTTCTTGAGACAGCTGCTCAAAATGGCGTTCTGTGGCAGGTTTAAAAATCTTTATGGCCACACTTGCCAGTTCTGGAGCTGAGCTGAGCTTTGAAGTGATGTATTCCATCGATGGCCCGGACAAGTTTGAGAAAAACCTCTCCATGACGAAAGCCACAGATGCCTTAATAGAAGCTTCTCCTAGAATTGCTAAATTCGTGTATAAATCAAGTGAGCCCTGAGCTGAGCTTACTTCCAAACATGCTCTTGATCGCTGAACGTGTAGTAAGATCTTTTCTCGCAGAAAGAACGGAATCTTGTCATTTTCAATGGTGGGCTTTGTCTTTGGGCACGCAGTAGTGTTAGAAGATCCGTGTATCGCTTGAGATTGGAATGCGAGATTCAAAAGATTGCCATCATTACTTGACAAAGCAAAATCGGTCAAATTGGGAGCGGATTCGTCCTGTCGCGATTGTTCATGTAACGAGACTCGATTGTGCACTGCATCAGCAATGATGGCTTTGATCAGTTCATCGTAATTTTGGGCTTGTACTGTAATTATGGGTGGCAGAGAACTTGTTCGGTTCGGTCTGCTGACCACAGGCTGCGGCTTGGGCTGGAGTGCTGGGTAATCTGCTTGTGCGAAGCTATGATATCGGGGGACATCGTGTTGTTGATTTGTTTGCGTGAATAAACTCGAGGGCTGAATTTTAGCCATGGAAGAGGTAACACCAGAGTCATGAGGTTGCGGAGTGGCCGATGGAGATGCTACCTTGCTATTGTGATCGTAAAATAAGTCGTTGGAGTGAGGCGAACCTACTACGTTTACTGGGCTGGTGGAAGCTGTAAACGCGGATTCGGTAGGCTTGTTCCTGGATGAACGTTTGCGGTTGCGTCTGACTGATTGTACTGCTGCCGTGACTAGTTTTTCGAAGTCGGCTGAGGCGCTCAGCGGATACCCAAACTCTGTTCTCAAAATCGTGGCGATTTGATGCACATTTTTGTCCTGCTCGCTTGCTTTGCGGTCACTAAGCTTGAACTTCTCGATAAGTTCCAGTCTTCGACCTGAAAACTGTTTCCACCGTCTTTCGTCGCTGAAGTTGAGCTGTTCACGTATCTTGCGGGTAGTTCCTGCGCCTCCCGATTTGTGTACTCTAGGGCTATTGATCATAACAGTAGGCCCTGATATTCTTCAAGAACCGGCGGCGGTTGTGGGACCGTTGGAGATTCTCGGGGCGGCTTATAGATAGCAGGCGTTGAACTTCAAAGAGAGTATGCAGATAACGAAAGCAGGTTGAAAGCTTTGAAAAGTTGATCAAGACGCAAACTCTCACAACTCTAAACAAGATCGGAAGATGCCAAAAGCTGGTCACACCAAGTCCAGAGCCTCAATTTTTAGAATAAGATAAATGGACAAAGATGCATCCCACATTACCAAGTTATATTTTGATCTCAAAAATATCGTTATTGCATCTACAATAGTCCAAAAAAAACAGCTTATACAAGTTTGCTGTGTTACATATCTCTAGTTTCAAGGCTATTGATTGTTACAAAGATCCAGTGCGATAGCTTGCCGTTAAAACCAACTAGATATCAACAACGACTCAACCTTTTTAGCATGTGCAACCTGCTTCGATTTGTTTATTTGAGCCATATCATGACTCACTAAAAAATCCTTCTTCAACGACACAAGCGTATGCTATGATGATATAACTAACAGTGAATGAAATGTTCGCTGGTCGGTGTCTCGATACTTCTCCGAGCTTTTTTCCATAGTATTGATTTGCGTATAGGTTGTGATCTACATAAACACTCTTTTTCTCTCCATAGATACCGGCTCCTATAGCTTGCCGTTCTCGCGGAATTGTTCCTCCGTCACTCCCATACCCATCGCCGCCGTAGCACTAACTCCACCCTGGGCGAGTTTCAGCAGACTATCAATATACTCAGCACCAGACCATTTCTGGTGCTTCACAATATCAACGCGTTGATTGATTTCTTCTTGCTGTACCGTTTCTGCGTAGGATAACATGCCGCGACGCGCAAAATCTTTGGCAAACGCATGCACTGCTAAGGCGCTGGTGTGAAGCCCTGCGAGAGTGATGAACTGCCAGCTGTAGCCGAGCTTGCCGAGCCTGTCGATAAAAGTGGCCAGGTTATCTGCATCCATGGCTTTGTTCCAATTGAAAGACGGTGATAGATTGTATGCGAGCCATTGATCTGGGTATTTGGCCTTGACGCCCTCGGCAAACGTTTTGGCTTGCTCGTAATCGGGGGAATTGCTTTCCATCCAGACCAAATCCGCAAAGGGTGCAAAGGCCCTGGCTCTCATGATACTGCTTTGGGTGCCGCCTTTGTAGCGGTACAAGCCTTCTCTTACACGCGGTAATTCCCAATCAAAGAAAATGGTGCTTCCCAAGAGCTTGTGGGCAATAGCTTGCATTTGACGCACCGAGACTCCCGAAAGAGGGCCAACTTTTTTGTTGAAACTTTTAATAATTTGTTCACAGTTGGAAGGATCTTGTTCACGCGCGGCATCTGCGAAAGCTTCGTGGAACAATTTGAGACCTGCTTTCTTGCACCAGCGAGACTCCAAATTCTCCAGTTCTTTACCCTCGTGTCCTTGCAAGACAGCTGCGTCTAAAGTTTCGGACAGAGAGTTTATAAGATCTGGGTTCGTGGCACCAACAATGAAATAATGGTCTCTGGGGTCAATTGTGGAGCTGATTAACGTGGCTTCCTCGGAATCGGTACGTGCCACCAAGACAAGGTCCGAATGCATAATATCGGCACACATGCGCACAGTGACCAGCCTATTGATATGTTCTTGCACCGGGATCACACACCGCCCGGCCATGTGCCCACATTTCTTGTTGGTGGAGGTTTGGTCTTCCATATGGATGCCGGCGGCGCCGCGCTCGATAAACATCTTGGTGAGCTTGAACACGGCGGTGATACCGCCGTGACCAGCGTCCGCGTCGGCTACAATGGGTCTGAGATAGTCGATGGCGGGTCCCAAATTGTCGAGTTCCTGTTGGGATTGGCAACGAGCGCGCTCCTCGTACTGCTTGCGGTCGTGGAAACATTGCGCTTTGAACAGGTGGTCCACTTTGTTCGGAACGGTGTCCATCGGGTAGTCTGCCAAATCCGGACCGGGCTCGTTGCTGGTGGAGGCAGTGGAGGAGCATTGCCAGCCGGAAACGTAGACCGAGTCCAAATAGGGCGCCATCTGGGTAACGTGGACCGGGTCCAAAGCTCCGAAAGTCTTGCTGACGGTTTTGCGTTCGTGGTGGACCGCTAGCAGCTGGTACAGCTTGCGTGCCATGACCGACGAGACGTTGTTTTTCTCGGGCGGCAAGGATCCGCGCCGGGCAGCGATTTCCCGCGCGCTGTAGATGCGCTTGGTATTGTTCCAGCGCGGCTGCGACCACCAGTCTTCGATTTCGCGCGTGTGGCGCTCCATCTGCGCGTGTAGCGAGTCAATTGAGTCCATTGCGAGTGCTGACATTGTTGACGTGGCGTGGCGATAAACAATACGATGTATGAATATATATATCTGTGTGTGTGTGTCTCCTGCTTCTGTCGCGGGGGGAAAAGACCAGACTGCGTATGGTGCAAATGGCTCTCGCGGGGAAGTTTGGTGGTGACTGAGATGATTTCTCGCCTAAACGTCTAAAACACTCTTTCCTTGCGTATACTCCAAAATCTGAAGGCTAACGATAAAATATCTGTCTAGTGACTGCTACCTAAGTTGTTGTTGGCATTGCTGATACTGCTGCTGTTGCTGGGTCGTTTATATATATATCGAAAACCTGGTCCTGGCCACGAATTCGTCATTCCAGGCCAAATGGGAGGCTGCCGGAAAGGCTTGAATGCGATTCGGGCTTTCCATTCATCAAATTAATTGTGACTGTAATAATGTAAATTAATTGTGTGACTCCAAGAAAAAACGGGCCGAGGCATTGTGTACGAGTGTGTCGCTCCTTATGTACGGCGCTGACGAAAGGAGGTTTTCCCCCTCCCCTTTTTTTTTCCCGGGTCCGGGCCTTTGGCCCAGGATGACGTATAGAGTGATGTGATGTGTCACGGGCGTATGACGTGATGTGGGAGGAGCAGAAGGCGTTCCCTGTGTGTGTGTGTGTTACGACATTTTGAGGCGGTTTTCCTCAGAGACTCTTGAGTGTTTCATTATTTGTGGCCTCTGTGTCATTTGGCAGCACTGAGGGTCTTTTTCCGTTCTTTGTTTGAACCTCTGGTCTATTTGCTGGTGGTTGAATGTTGTGTTACAAGATCCTAACAATTAAACTTGGGGGTACACAAAAACAAAAGTGTATGGAGAATGAATCTCGGGTCTACCACCGTTGCAACGACACGGGGGGGTAGTTGTAGCCGTGAAGACGTTATACGGGATTGGTGTGACGATATTGACAGAATAGTACGACGTGATATGAAGAAATTCGAGAGCGCTAAATGAGACATGGTAGGTCCTGTAGGAAGCTTCTGAAATGCGGCGCCGATGTTGCCGGCCCATTTTTTTCTATGGTAATACACTGCAACATCGCCGCTACAGCTGTGCCTATCGCTCACTGGCATCAAAAATGAAGTACAGATACTCTAAAAAAATATTCGTCAGCTGCCGGATTTGAACCGACGCGGGCAGAGCCCAATAGATATCTTAATCCCAAGGTCTTGGAGATTCAAGTCTATCGCCTTAACCACTCGGCCAAACTGACTTATTGCTCAGAGTCATGATCGGAACTCGGTTCGAACCGAAGACCCGCTCATTGCAAGTGACCACTGAACCATTTCTGGTATCTGATGCTTGAGATGTCTTCCGACAGCTAGGCCTATAAGGACATGGACGGGTAGTGTAAAAACAACGGTCTAATCGGGAACTTAGTGTTTGATCCTGCAAACGGACCAATCCGTGCTTTTCACAGCAAGCTTGATACGCGCCATCTACGTGTGAGATATCTCAACACAAGTAGAGGCAACTAGGCCAGAGTCGAGTGCCAATGTCTCAAAGGGGGCATATGCATGTCTTTCTTGGTCCTCATTGTACAAGCCAGACAATCGTGACTAGAAAGCCCAAGAAAAAGAAATCGTAGTCCCACCCGAATCGTTACATCATTCCCGGACGTGCCCTTTGTTACGTAGCCACACGCGACCACATCCACAGTTGCAAGGAACGCACCCGCACACATTTCCCATTTATAAACGTATCGTAATGGCCTTGCATTTGTTCTGTCTTCAGACAGCTAACATGCAGTAAAAAAAGAAAACGAATGTTGAGACAATCAAAACAGATTTTGTAGTCACTTACTTATCATCTAGGGTTTATTTAGACGCATTCTTTATCGTATTCAGGCTGTTGCATATACTCCTGTGACTATTCTGTATTATGGATATAATTTCCATATAGTGAAATTCTTAAATGGTCCATAGCGCACAACTTATAAAATGCTTAACGCAGTCGTCGAAATAAAAGTGAACCGGTTCAACGCAGCAACATCGCGATGCGAATGCAGTCTGTGCCGTGTATCGCGTTCGCGTTGTGTGTCACTTTCTACTATATTGACACTGTATGTATTTCAACACTTGTAGGAGTGACGGGCCGCCATTCATTATGAAATGTTGCATAAAAAAAAACCCTCTGATGACGTGTCTCAGAAACAAGACATCGAGGTCTACAGATGATTGCTCACTCACACAAGACCGATGATACTTTTGCACTTTCAACGGTCGTTATTAAATCGCCTATGATTTATGCATCTTCTCGCTATTTAGCGTATTCATTACAGTCCACAAGAATTTACGCTTTCCTCGGTAAGCGCGAAAAGCCTTTCCTTTTTCGTCTATTTGAGCGTAGTAATAAATGCTCAAGCTCGGGAACTCATTCACTAGTTAATCATTTCAAATTGTTGCTTGCAGCTTGTGCCACTAAAAAAAACTCCTCAGTGGGCCATTCATCTTGACAAAATAAGTAATAGTTCATTTTCTGGCACACGTCATTCCAAAAATATTCACCCTCAACAATGTTTTTGTTACTCCCCACTATTTCCGCAAATGCTGACTCATTTTCGATTATTGTCGTGCTCTTTAGATTGCTGAAGTTCCGAGCATATATTAGCGGAACTAGGCAAACCGTAATAATTACGAAAAGCTTAGAAGTCGATACCCCAAATAGCTGTTTTGCTGGTTCAAGTTTCGCTGTTGTCAATAGAATACATACCAATACGCTCAAGCGAGTGAAAGAGCTGTTGATGTAGAGTTCTTTGATTGCCCAGTGCAGCTTAGAACGGTATATTTGATAGGGCACCTTGCGAAGTTTGGGTAAATACTGCTCCTTTTCAGCGGGTATTTCGTTCTTATTAGTAAGTACATTACAGCTTTCTTTCAGTGATTGCCGATAGGTTTGATCTGCCCTCGATATGTCATCGGAGTCGTGATACTCGGAGTCCAACACGAGTTTCTTAAAAAATTTGTAGCAATGCTTACCATTGTAAAGACAACTTCGGGTTGACCAGACGCCTTCTTTATACATTGTGTTGTTCATAGATATGGCTATGATGTCCCATTTTTCCCAATCAATCCTTGGATCTTCACTAATAACTTTCTGAGATAGCAGAGTCAAATGACGAGAGATTTCTAATTCTCTCTTAGCGGAACTCTGTAGCAAGACCAAGGCTGTTAACACAACCAATATTGGTAGGCTATAACGAGGATCCATAAAGAACGAAGGGGAGAATATCCTTGATAGACCATATGTAAGAAGCGCTATCGAGACTTGGAAAGCAACCCACAAACCAATTATAATCCAGAAAAAGTGATACAGCACTAAAGAGGCCCAACAAAGAACCAACAAACGAAAGTAGTGAGTTTGTATGAGCTCAGAAAAAGCCCAAAAGACACGGGATTTAAAGGTGTTCTCTGGAGAACGAAGCCGCGAACACTTGGTGGACGTACTCATACTACCTAATGTTCTCACTACCAGGGTAGACAACCACCAAAAAAGACTGGTATCTTGTAGACACGTTACTTAACGATCTGTCGTTCCTTATACGGACTAATGTCCGGCTCATTTCATCACTGTTGACGACGAAGGAGGCAGGAGCGTTTAAGCCTGTAGTTGAATTCAAGTTGGCGAGCATAGAAGCTTTAAATTATCACTGGCCTCCCTTCTCAGCAAATCGAACTTGGTGTGATGGGGTTTTACTTCGAAGATATGGCGTCTCGCAGCAGATAATGGGCTTCAGGCAGTGAGACTGATAATACTGTCAAGGGACTACACCTAATTTCCCAATAGTAGAAGCATTTAATATGGGTACAAGCCTGGCCCCAAGCCTAGCCCCAAGCCTTACCTTTCTGTCGTCCTCAATTTCGCATTTGCTCAAATGTGCCCTCTCGTTTCAATTGGAAAATGGCTTATGCTCTAGTACATGTTTTGAAGAGAGCAGATTCTCACTCCTAGCAGCAAAAAACCATAACCTATCTTTCAAGATCTTTTTGAAGTGCGGATGGCACCGTGCCTCTTGAAGCGCATATTTACGCATGAACAAAGTAGTTTCCGAGTTGAGTACTCGCGGCTGGCCCTCTTTCAAATATATCAATATTCACATAGCTTTAGGCCAGTGAAATCAACTGTGACATTCGACTCGTTCCTTATGGTCACAACTCCCATTTCTGTGTTCGCAACGCGAAGGACTGTTCCCTTAAAGTCAAAAAAAGTGTCAGTTTCTATAAAATTTTATATCGATTATCCAAGTTTGAAAACTTCAAAATTCCGCCCATCATACTCAAGAGATGATGACTTAATAGTGGCAAAGGTCTACTTCCTATCATTCTTACAACTTCGCTGAAATATGAATCGATAACTTTTTTCATAGCATGGCGCAACGCGCCGCCCTCGTGTCGTCTTTCCTAATTTCAGGTCCCTGCGCCCGTACCCGCAATTCAACTGAGTATCCTCGGAGAAATGAAGAGATATCAAATCTATGAACTGAGTTCTTCACCGTGATGAATGAAATTCCAAATCCAGAGAACGAATCGCCCGGCTATGGCGTGTATTCCGACTACGAAAGTGATCATAAAGGCTGTTTTACTGTCACCGCTGGACTTGCCGTTACTGCTCCTAACGAGGTCTACAATATGATTGAGGTCAAATCCGGTGAGCACATGATTTTTGACATTTCTGGGCCGATGCCTGGTGCAATCATCGACGGTTGGCATAGAATTTGGCGCTTTTTCAAAGACAGTACTATTGAACGAACCTGTAAGACAGATTTTGAAGCCTACACTGGACCAGAAAGTGCCCAGATTTACATTGGAATCGAGAGCGAATTAGACAAATAATAAGTGCATCATTGAGGTGCCACTAAACCCAACTTTCGGCATAGCTAGTATTCTGGATGTTCAAAATCAAGGAACTAATTAGTATATCATTTCGCTGCAGTCAAGTTAGCTGGATAGGGTGGCATCTCGCTCATGAGGCATCTCAGATACACTTTTGTTTCGTCAGAAGTGCTCGACTTCATATATACTCTGGTCCGCCATTTCAACGAGTTTCTTGATCATCTCGCGCTAACATCTGGTTGAAAGCTAGTCTACACTGAATTACGCCAAGGTGGTGAAGAATATTCACGCTCCAACACTCTATGAGCTTGAACTTTCATTGGAAGTGCACTCGTGTGTAATGCTACGCAGTCAAGGGGATAAGGGTCCAACAAAATAATCTGGGGAGACTGATTTCCTCACACCCCAAGAAAGCTATATAATGAATGTCAAACGTTGCAACTCCCTGGTCCATTCTCTCGTCATGTCCTGATCATCCAAGTATTTTACATAATTTTTCTACATACGATTTGCAATGACCAAAAAGGACAAGAAGCCTAAGGTGAAGACAGTGGTGAGCAAAGAAGGCGAAAGTATCAAGGTCTTTGAAGACCTGGACACTTTTGAGCTTTTTATCAAAAACGAAACTGAGGATGAAGAGTTTGACCACGTCAGATGCCATCTGAAGTACTTCCCACCATTTGTACTACATGAGTCGCACGAGGATCCGGAAAAGATCAAGGAAACTGTGAACTCTCACAGTAAGAAATTTGTGCGCCATTTGCACCAACATGTGGAAAAACACTTACTGAAGGACATTCGTGAGAGGCTTCATCTACCTGAGCTGAAGTTCAAGGACAAGTCGAAAGTCGAGACCCCAGACCACATTGTATGGAAGTACAACGAAACGGCCTTGTACCACAGCCGTGAGTTCGAAATTCATGTCACGGTAGAGTGCCACCACGACAGTGCTGTGGTGGACGTGGACTATTTAACGCAGCCTGTGCAGCCTGCTGTGGCAGTGGCTTGAGGCATAACCAGAATTTTATAATTTTTATGACGGCGAAACGAAAGTGAGCCTTTACGTATGAGACCAATGAATAAGTAATGACTACGAATGTAATTAAAGGTAGGCGGGGCAGCTAGAACTTCATATCACACCGCACCTGAAGATTCTCAAGACCTAAAAGTTAGCTTCAAAGCGTCGTCTTGAACCGAGTCGACGAATACCTCCATTCTTGTGAATCGCTCTCGCACAATTCATACGCCAATCACCGCTCGATCTGGCTATTATTTTCAGTCCGTTCGGTGCTAAAATTGTTAAACTGCTGTGGACGTCTTTTCAGGAAATATAAAGGTGTCTGCCAAACTGTCACTTTCTCAAAGAGTCTCCAGTTTTTTTTAGCTTGAGCATCACGACAGGGCTTTCACAAACATTTATCGGAGACTTCAATTACCCACTTCTGCTTGAATTGAAAACTGCATTCAATGGCCAATACTGGCTCATTAAGATCGCGCTTCGACTTTGGTCCACTCGCAAGAAATTAGGTGTACGCTAATCAGCGTGAAATGGCGAAGTGGCCGCAATCATGCATGTGTTAATGCACATTAATCTAATAAGTACGATTGACGCCGTTTTTGGCTAGCAGGATACGCTACATGGGCGTGCCAAGAGTAACGGCTGGTTGTCGCGGACTAGCCGCCGTCAGCGAAAGATCTTGTACGAACGCCGGGATAAACCAAAGACATCAAGGTTTTATCACCACTAGTAGATAGTATTAGGGAAGACACGATAAAGTAAGGAATCCTAGTATCAGATGCGTGCTTCTCCAGAGCGTTGAATTCTTAAAAGGCCCTCCAGGCGTATAAAGTGATCCATAACGATTTTATGGTTCATTTAATATAACGAGAACTTTGAATATGAAATTTGAAGCCAGACTTGGTTAAAACACAATCCACAGAATTACGACGATAAAACACCTTCAAACCATGAACAAAACTACTACAACGGCCAACATGCATGCCATTCAAAATGCGTTGGCAAATTACGATACCTCCTTCCTTTCTGACGATGAGGAAGACTACTGTCCACTATGTATCGAAACGCTGGATATTACGGACAAAAACTTCAAACCCTGTCCCTGTGGCTACCAAATCTGCCAGTTCTGCTACAACAACATTCGCCAGAATCCAGAACTCAACGGAAGGTGTCCTGCGTGTCGTCGCAAATACGACGATGAAAGCGTAGAGTACATTGTTTTGACGCCAGATGAAATGAAGTTGGAGCAAGCCAAGCAAGCGCGCAAAGAGAAGGACCGTAAGTTGCGCGATAAGGAACGAAAGGAACACGAATTTGCAAACCGCAAACATCTAGCAGGTATGCGCGTGATCCAGAAGAACTTGGTTTACGTCGTGGGTCTGAACCCTCCCGTTGCATACGAGGATGTTGCTCCTTTGCTGAGAACCGATCGATACTTTGGGCAATACGGCAAAATCAACAAGATTGTGGTCAACAAGAAAACGACCCACAACGAGCATCACGCCGGACCTACTAGCCATAGCCACAGTCACCAGCACTCGGGTTATGGAATCTATGTCACATTTGCCAAGAAAGATGATGCAGCGCGGTGTATTGCCGCCGTGGATGGGACTTATATGGACGGGAGAATAGTGAAAGCTGCCTACGGCACTACCAAGTACTGCTCATCATATTTAAGAGGCCAAGGCTGTCCCAATCCCAACTGCATGTTTTTGCACGAGCCAGGCGAAGAAGCAGACTCTTTCAACAGACGCGAGCTCACAACTAAGCAGAATGACAATGTACTGCCATTCAAGCAGCTGGGTGGTGGTAGCACCAATCTCACTACCCAAATACCACTGAAGCCTGGCTCTCAAATCAATTCCCTGTCCTCTACATCCCCTGTACCTTCACCCTTGCCAATCAGGGCCCACTTAAACAATCATCAAGAAGATGTCAATCTATCTTCGTCGTCCTCAACATCTGCAGCTCAAACTCCTGTTCTGACCCCAGCTCCTATCCCAAGTGGCTCCAATCCTTGGGGCGTCAATCCTGTAACAGCTCCATTGTTCTCATCCACAGCTGCAAAGTCCACGACTTCTTCGGCATTTCCAACGTTGGGTGAGGCTACGTTGGCACAATCGATGGCTGCGTTATCTACCAGTCAACCGAGCAACAGCAGCAACAACAACAGTAGCAGCACCAACCAAAGCAAGGGGGGTAAGAAGAACAGCAGCAATAGTGAAAAGAAGTACGTCGATCCTTATGACCCATTGTCGAGTGCGGTAAGATTTATCGATGAGACCATCAAAGCATTATCCGAATATAAGAATTGTTACTTCAAACTGAGACCGGACGTTATCGACGACGAAACATACTATTCTTACCCTTCATTATTTTCATTTGAGAATATTCCCGTTTCTGAAACATCTGACAACGCACTAGGACGGAAGCTGGTGGATATGTTGGCGATAAAGCCTGTAGATCACATCGCATCGGTGTTGCCCTATTTACAAGCCACTCAACAAACTAACTCGTTAACAGTGCAACAACAGCAACAGCAACAGCAACAACAACAGCAGCATATCCTTATTGCCAAGCAACAACAATTCCAGCAGCAACAACAACAACTACAGCAGCAACAGCAACAACAACAGCAACAACAGCAACAGCAGCAACAACAGCAGCAAGCACCTCATTTACAGTCACAGCCCACTCCTCCTGGCATGACACCACAACTGCTACATTCTCAGCTACAACAGCAGAGAGCTGTCAACACTCCACCACCACCTGGTATTTTCTCTCCCACAAACCCACCAATGGGACAGAGTCAAATGCCTGCTTCTGGAAGTAACTCCTCGGACTTGTTGAACCAACTCATAAACGGAAAACGTATCTCCACCAATTAAGATCAACCGCTCAGAGATACACAAACTGCACGCACAGTATATACAAATTTAGTATATACAAAAACCTTTAGCATAAAGCGATGAGATTACCAGAGCTTCAAATACTCGGCAAGCTCGTCTCTCACTTGTTTATATATTACGAAATACTCAAAATGATATTATTGTCGTTTTTGTTAATGCAGCAGCGCTTCTCGAAATATCGAAAATTAAACCGTGAAGAGGGAAAATCAGAAAATTGGAAACAAAGAGCCTGAAAAGAGCTCAAACTGCCGATTGAACCTCTGAATACTTACACCTATAGCAGTAGCAACGCTTTGAGGGTGCCGAAATGTCTACGAAATACCCCAAGCACGTCTCTAAATTATTCCAGCCGGGGCCGCCATTGCAATACAAAAAGCCCGTTGACTACCCCATCGAGAGCCGAAAAACTATAAGTAATATCCAAGGAATTTCGGGCTACTTAGATCAACTCAAGGATTACACGTCTGAATACTCTCAAGGGTCAGAAAACCGGCATTTGGAGGTTTATGATGAGGCTGACCAGAAGCGGCAAATAAGTAACCAGAGGCTTCAAACTAAACTATTGCAGTGGAAACCTCACGAAGATGCAAATTTAGCCGACAGCGATCCTTACCGGACCATCTTTGTAGGGCGATTGCCCTACAGCGTCATGGAAGTGGAGCTACAAAAGCAGTTCATTCGGTTTGGCGAAATCGAGAAAGTGCGTGTAGTTAGAGACAAAGTTACGAACAAGAGCCGCGGTTATGGCTTCATAATGTTCAAAGAAGAACTCTCGGCGCGTGCTGCGTGCAGGGAAATTGGCGTTCACCGTGGTGTTGACATTGAAGGCCGTCCCGTCATTGTTGACATCGAGCGCGGCAGAACAGTCAAATATTTTACACCCAGGAGACTAGGTGGCGGCCTGGGAGGTCGTGGATACATGAAGAGAGATCGCATGGCCAAACTGGCATCTCCCAGCGCACCGCGAGACACTGGAGATCTCAGGGACGAGCCCCGAAAGACGTTTCCCCGAAATCCTACTCCACGAAGCAGATTCTCCGGCTACAACAGCACCGCAGGCAACGCTACTAATATTAATGCTGCCGCACCGGCTCCAGAAGAAAGGACTACCAGCTACAGATCTCGAAGCGCCCGGACTAGCAGGTTTAACCCAAGCTACAAGCCAGATTACTAGTATGTTGGCCGAGAAGCGATTATTCCACTTTTATGGGCTGCAACTATCACCACCAGCTTTTCGACATTTTCTACTGGTTGAGAGAAATACTACCAGCTATTGTTTCGAGATCAAGTGGTAAAGTATGACCAATCGGTCACACTTTGATCGACCTTGACGATAGTCATAAAAAACTTGGACGAGATATTTCAAATTTCAAGATTTTACTGAGTCACTATCGCTACTGATAAGGAAATATAAAAGCGGAAAGGTTAGGAAAATTCAAAATTCAAAGCGCAGGGAAGAATAGTCAAATTATTATTGGAATGTCCCCCAAACTACTAGTATCTTTGAAGAGCCTGAAGCCAACCAGGCTGCAAAATTTGACGTCGATTCTGAGCACCTGTGGCACTGCTCCAAGGGTATCTTTCAATGGTACGAAAAGAGTCGGCTACTCCAGAAGATGTATTGCTAGCGTTAGCGGAGTCGGTACTGAGGGTACCAGATCGACTGTCGTGCAGTTGCTTAACAACATTGGATCGAAGCGTGAGGTAGAGCAGTATTTGAAGTATTTCACGTCGGTCTCCCAGCAACAGTTTGCTGTTATTAAAGTTGGCGGAGCTATCATTAGCGACAACTTGCAAGAACTGGCTTCGTGCTTGGCGTTTTTGTACCACGTTGGGTTATATCCGATCATTCTGCATGGCACCGGCCCTCAGGTCAACGGCAGACTAGAAGCCCAGGGCGTCGAACCAGACTACATCGACGGAATCAGAATCACAGATGAACGCACCATGGCTGTAGTCAGACAGTGTTTCCTCGAACAGAACCTCAAGTTGGTCACAGCGTTGGAACAGCTTGGTGTGCGTGCCAGACCTATCACCTCCGGTGTTTTCACTGCTGAATACCTCGACAAAGATAAATATAAACTTGTCGGCAACATCAACGGTGTTTGCAAGGATCCCATCGAGGCCGCTATCAAGGCAGGCGCTTTGCCCATTTTAACTTCTTTAGCCGAGACTCCCTCTGGCCAAACTTTGAACGTCAATGCCGACATTGCTGCTGGTGAATTGGCACGTATTTTTGAACCCCTCAAGATCGTTTACTTGAACGAAAAAGGAGGTATTATCAACGGTGAGACGAAAGAAAAGGTCTCAATGATTAACTTAGACGAAGAGTACGAAGACCTAATGCAACAGAGTTGGGTCAAATACGGAACTAAACTGAAGATCAGAGAAATTAAGGATCTTTTAGACTACCTGCCACGTTCATCTTCAGTGGCTATCATTAATGTCCAGGACTTGCAAAAAGAATTGTTCACCGATTCCGGTGCCGGTACTATGATTAGAAGAGGTTACAAGCTTATGAAGAGATCTAGCCTAGGAGAGTTTCCTTCCTCAGACTCTTTGAGAAAAGCTCTTCAAAGAGACCTTGACATTTCTTCTGGTGTTCAATCAGCAGCGACTTACTTGCGCGACTTGGAATCCGCTGAATTTGTGTCTTACTCGGATGAGCCCTTGGAAGTCTTGGCAATCGTCAAAGAAAAAAAAGTGGTTCCTCAATTAGACAAGTTCCTGTGTTCCGAGACTGGCTGGTTGAACAACGTTGCCGACAATGTATTCAGTTCTTTGAAACGTGATTTCTCTGCACTACAATGGGTTGTTAGAGAAGACGATGAAAACATCGGTTGGCACTTCAGCAAATGCGAAGGTTCTTATTTGAAAAACGGAAAAGTCTTGTTTTGGTATGGTGTGAAAGACATTAACACTGTCTCTCAAATGATCAAAGATTTTGTGGGTTTTAGTTCCCCCGTCTCCTCTCAATCTGCCAACAAACCCAACGCTTTTGCTTCTAGCCAATCAACCAGAGCCTATTCGACAAGAACCCCACCAAAGGTTGAAGGTTCAAACAAGAGCAAGGCCCGCGTTGCGCTGATCGGAGCCAGAGGGTTTACAGGCCAAAACTTGATTTCTCTTATCGATAATCACCCATTCTTGGACCTTGCTCATGTTTCTTCTCGTGAATTGAAAGGCAAAAAACTACAAGGTTACAACAAGGCCGAAATCATCTACGAGAGTTTAGGATTCGAAGATTTGAAAAGTCTAGAAACCGAGGGTAACGTTGATATATGGGTTATGGCTCTTCCAAATGGAGTATGTAAACCATTTGTTGAGGCCATCGAAAGTGTGAATGGCAAATCTAAAATCATCGATTTAGGTGCAGACTTCAGATTTGTTCCGGAAAACGAGTGGGCTTATGGCTTACCAGAATTGAATGACAGAGAAAAAATTGCCTCAGCCAAAAAGATCGCCAACCCAGGTTGCTACGCGACTGGTGCTCAGGTGGCTATTGCCCCATTGCTTGACTTTGTCACTGGTTTGCCAACCGTTTTTGGTGTGTCAGGCTATTCTGGTGCTGGAACTAAACCATCTCCAAAGAACGACCCCGCCTTTTTGAGCAATAATTTAATCCCATATAGCTTGACCAACCACATTCATGAGCGCGAGATCTCAACTCGTTTGGGCCGCGAAGTGGCTTTCATTCCTCACGTTGCACAATGGTTCCAAGGTATCTCGCACACTATCTCAATTCCTATCAAGAGCGGCTCATTGTCCTCTCAAGAGATCAAGAAAATGTATGAGAAATTCTATGCCAACGAACGCTTGGTAAACGTTGCCGACGATGTTCCTCTAGTTAAGAACATCTCTGGAACTCACGGAGTTTTGATTGGTGGCTTCAAAGTAAACGACGCTAAAGATCGGGTCGTGGTGTGTGCGGCAATCGACAACTTACTCAAGGGCGCTGCTACGCAATGCTTGCAGAACATTAACCTAGCTCTGGGCTACGGAGAGTATGAAGGTATTCCAAGCGCCAAGATTGCACAGAAGTAAGCGACCGAAAAAAGTGGCGCTTAACGCCTCAAGACGTATACTGTGTTTTAACATCCTGATATAAACTTAGTTCAACCTCTAAGTTTTGAAGCATAGCACGATTCAGAAAGCTGTGAGCAGAAACTTGTAACATAATTGTAGCCCGAAGACGGCTTCCGCTCCGAGAGTTTACGTATTTTGATTGTCAGCCAACTCGATATCATTTACAAGTTCCATTGTTTAGAAGACCTAAGACATCTTTATAACATATCAAAACTCAAACAGCGATGACTGGGATTGCTGGTTGTAAAGCGTAAGATAGATAGAACTGTTTTCGTTCGTGGTAGCTACACTTTTATTTCTCGTGATGTGAAAAATCGAGCTGCTGGAAAGGGGCCCTACTACAGCATTTATAAAATATATCAACTATAAGAAATAAACTTGTAGATAGACACTCCACTCAGAGACGCCGTCATGGAAGATTGGAGAAGAATAGACATTGATGCTTTTGACCCAGATAGTGGTAGACTTAATGTTGAAGACTTGAAGCCACCATACGAGGCTACAATCAGCCTTGCCGAGCTTGAACCCAAAATATCACAGCTGCGTTCCGCTGCCACTAGCGGTGATTTTGCTACGGCTCTGCAATTACTGACGAGTGATCCACCTTATAGTGCTGATGAAACAGCTAAGGCTCGGTATTTTGAAGCCGTTTTGAGTGTCCTGACCCAAGTTCGCCAGGCGGAAATCGCGAGTTTGATCAAACAGCTATCTTCCACACAAATCGATGTGCTGATAAAGTATCTTTACAAAGGAATGAGCGTTCCAGACGGTCAAAAGCAGGGTGGCATACTTCTGTCGTGGTTTGAAAAGCTGACTCAAAACTCAGGCGTCGCACCTGTAGTGCGGTATTTGTCGGATAGAAACACAGTTTGAGGACTCATCCGCATTCAATTACTCAACGAGCTTGCCTGGCTACTTGCAGGCCTATCCATAACCTCAGTTCTGATTGTCCAGTGAGGCAATGACAGTAATCGTCCTAAGTGAGGTGTAATTGTATCGCACTTCCCTACATAGTATATCAAAAGTACTTACTCTCTCTAACCTTGTAATCCGGAAAAGCGATTAAGCCAAACGATGAGTGATAGCTCTGAGAACCAGAATAGCGAACCTAAGAACTCGGACATGCCATCCGGGGTCTCTGTGGAGAAAAAAAAACCAGAGACTAAACGGTCTAGAAGCCAGGATGATATAAGTGAGGAACAAGACATTAGCACCAAGAAGTCTAAGAGTGATGCCAAGGAACTTGAGAACTCAAAGGTAACGCTACAGAAACAGCCAAAGCAAATGCAGGAGACAAAGCCTGCGGTGAATGCTCATGTACAGAATCAAGAAACCACCGAGCAATCCAAAACCGTGTCTGAAAAGAACCGGGATGAGACTAAAACGAGCCAGCCCAAAAGTGACGAAAGAGAGACCACCAAGGCTAAAAGCGCTGAAAGCAAAGTTCAAAAAGCGCTCGAAAAACCAAAATTTGCATTTGGCGCTTCGTCCAACTTTAGCGCTGGTTTTGGCATTGCCAAAAATGATTCCGATGAGTCCAAAAGCTCTGACACTAGCAGTGCAGCTGCAAACAAGGCCGAGAAACCAGCTGCCTTTGGTTCTGGCTTTGCATTTGGTGCTGGCTTTCACGCCTTGAATAAAGATAAATCAACCTCCAGCACCAAAGTCTTTGAAAATGAAACTGAAAAGGCAGGTAAAGCAGAGAAAGCAAAAAGTGCGAGCTCGACGCCAACCAGCGCGAACTCTGATGATAAAAACAATGGTGCTGAGAGAGATGGTGTAGTAAAATTGACAAAACAAGACGTGAAATCCGGGGAAGAGTCTGAAGAGTCTGTTTATCAAGTCAACGCAAAGCTATATCAACTTACTGATCTCAAGGAGGGCTGGAAAGAACGAGGTGTGGGTGCGCTCCACGTGAACCTCAATCGGCACACAGGAAAAGGACGCCTTGTGATGAGATCGCGAGGTATTCTCAAGGTGATCATGAACGTCTCTCTCGTAAAAGGCGTGGCTGTGCACAAGGGATTTCCAGCTTCTTTAAATGGTGAGAAATTTATTCGTATTGTGACTGTCGATCACGAAAAGACGCCTGTTCAATACGCGGTGAAGACAGGCAAAGCAGAGACTGCCACTGAATTGCACGACAATATTGTCAAACTTATTCCCTCATAACAATTATATTCTTACGCTTTAAGTACCTGTGCATCAATTTTCTTGTAATATAATATCTCTCCCTGAATTACAATGTGAACGATTACCTCTTCACGAAAGCTACACTACAAATGGTAGAACCTTCATGTCCTCCAAATTTAAATCCAGGATATTTTATAGTTTCCCAAGCTACTAAAGAATCGGTTTCTATCATCTTTTTTAGCTCTGCTTCGGTGAAATTACAAGAGGTTATCAGGAATACGCTGTCTTTCTTCATCAATTTGTCGACAACTTTTGGGTAGGCTTCAACGATAGTTTCTCCATTAGATGATTTTAGACCACTCAAGGCAATGGCATCCAAAGTGCCTTTATCGAGAATAATATCATACTTTGGACTTTCCCATTTTGAGTCGAAAATGTCGGCTGCCAAAAACTCGAGATTACTCAAATCTGAGTAGTTGGCCCTCAAAATTTCGCGGGCAAATTCAACAGACTTTTCCGAATAATCCACACCGACCATTTTGCCTTCAAAACCTTCGTCGCACAACTGAAACAATAAGTGGCCGTTTCCTGTCCCCAAATCAATCATGGAAGCATCTTTGGCAACGAGGAGCTCACCCACATGATCTGTGAGAAACTCTATCATTTTGTCCTCTGCATTACTGTCGTCAAACCAGCATTCACCAGTATCTTCTGGATTTTCTTCGAAGTTTGATTTCTCTACGGCGTAAAAATCGTCCCAGTATTGCTTGGTTCCTAGCTTTGAGGTATTCAATTTTGTGGTGTCTTCCATGACTTTTGATATTATCGTTGAATGTAATTGTTTGCTTTATAAAATGTTGATAATTTCGATGACCAAGCGGTAAGGAACTGAGCAAATGTTAGCGATTTTTCAAAATTGCATCTTCGAATATTGAAAACCTCCGCTAATTTCAAAGAAATCACAAAAGGGGTAGGCACAATGACTAAGATTAGCTTTCTACCCACACTTGAAGACGCTTACGGTGCACTATCAGCTGAGCAGCTGAATGTGTTAAGACAACAGGTTCTATCCGAGGGGGGCGAACTTGCTTCTATACAATCGAGGTTCAATTATGCGTGGGGATTGATTAAATCAAAAGAGCAAGATGACCAAAGACTTGGAGTGAAGCTTCTCACTGATATCTATAAGGAGTCATCGATGAGAAGACGCGAGTGCTTATACTATCTGACCATTGGGTGCTATAAGCTGGGAGAATTCTCTACTGCCAAAAGATACTCCGACGCTTTGTGCTCCCACGAACCGGACAACAAGCAAGCCTTAGCTTTACAAACGATGGTAGAGAACAGGATTCAACGTGAAAGCCTCAAGGGAATCGCTATTGCTAGTGGTTGTGTGGCAGTGGCAGCCACTGTCGCAGGCATACTCTTTAGAAAGAAGCGTTAAAATCGAGGGAGGTTTGAGAAGAGCTATAATTGCCTTTACGTACAAGAGGCCCTCCAGGTGGTAATGCAAAGCCTGAGACTCCTTGCGAAGTTACTTGCTACGCACCACACCATTGAACGACCTGAAGTCACTAGAATTCTCGGGTAAGCTATTAGCTCAAACCAGGGCGTATCGAAGAAACTTACTCTGGCGAGACCAAGTGCTATGAACACCTGTGTCAAGGACGAGATCTCGTTTTACAATCTCGGTGCCCAACTACACCACATACCTGTATACGAACTAGTTAAATACATGAATTAATATTCTAACCTGGAAATTGCGACACTAACACAGAATCCCCGGAATATTTCAGCCATCAGACTGTGGATGGGCGGCGCCCAGTTCGATTTTCCAAAAATTCAGAAAGTGATGATCAAGTCCTCACTTTCGAGTATGAAAAATAGAAACGATTTCAAAAGAAGAATTAAGCGAGCCGCATAAGGCTGCGTTGCACACCACTTGATTAGAAGGTCACTAGGCTCAAGCGATAGTTTTACTTCCGTAGAGTAAGCAAGGTGTTCTTCAGCTACTTACTATGGCTGCTAATCAACGTAGGCAGTGACCAATTCTTTATTGCCTCAAATCAATAAGTAACGACCTCATCACCAGTGGGATCGTGCCGTCTGCGGCTTCTATTTCAACGACCTGTTCTTTGATTTGCCGCATCACGGTTGGCGACTTTCTGGTTCACGCACCGCGAATTCTTGGGTTTTCACGCGCGGGCGCTTCAAGCAGTGGCTCTCCTGACGCGTTTCGACTCTCACTGGGCAGCACAACGCGTAGTCAGCTATTTGATGCATGCAATTTGAGATGCTCTGAAGAAAATTGTAAATATTTACGCGTTTCGCGTCTTTTACTGATGACAAACGCGTAAACAGTAAAGATTTTTCAAGTATAAAAGGAAGCCAAAAATGAACAAATTTACGTGTCGGTCTTGCTCCAACTCCACTCTTTTTCATAATTTTTAAAAGAGCCAGAACTGATATTTTAACTAGCAGTACTCTCTTGAACTGGGACTCAAGCACTCGTCGCTGGATCAATCATATAGAAACTCCACACAAACCACCATGTTCGTGTATAAGAGAGACGGTCGTCAAGAACCGGTTAAGTTTGACAAAATCACGGCGCGTATCTCGCGTCTATGTTACGGTTTGGACCCTAGACATATCGATGCGGTGAAGATTACGCAGCGGATTATTTCGGGTGTGTACGAAGGTGTTACGACTGTGGAGCTGGACAATTTGGCCGCAGAAACCTGTGCATACATGACCACGATTCATCCAGACTACGCTACCCTAGCAGCTAGAATCGCCATCTCTAATCTGCACAAGCAGACCGTTAAGCAGTTTTCGCAGGTAGTAAGCGATTTGTTTCACTATGTGAATCCTAAGAACGGTTTGCATTCGCCTATGATATCACAGGAGGTATTTGACATAATCGAAGAGCACAAGGACGAGCTAAACTCAGCTATCGTGTACGACCGTGATTTCCAGTACAACTATTTCGGTTTCAAGACTCTGGAACGCTCCTACCTTTTAAGAATCAATGGCCAAGTTGCTGAAAGACCACAGCATTTGATCATGCGTGTGGCCGTCGGTATTCATGGCAGGAACATAAAAAATGTGCTCGAAACTTACAACTTGATGTCGTTGAGATACTTCACTCACGCTTCTCCTACTCTATTCAACGCCGGTACCCCACACCCACAAATGTCCTCGTGTTTCTTGATAGCCATGAAAGACGACTCTATTGAAGGTATTTACGATACTTTGAAAGAATCTGCTATGATTTCCAAAACTGCTGGCGGTATCGGATTGCATATTCACAACATTCGTTCCACAGGGTCGTACATTGCGGGAACCAACGGTACATCGAATGGGTTGATTCCTATGATTCGTGTTTTCAACAACACTGCTCGTTATGTCGATCAAGGGGGTAACAAGAGACCTGGTGCATTTGCGCTTTATTTGGAACCATGGCACTCAGACATTTTCGACTTTGTAGACATAAGAAAGAATCACGGTAAAGAAGAGATCCGTGCTAGAGATCTTTTCCCTGCTCTTTGGATTCCAGATTTGTTTATGCAGAGAGTTCAGGACAATGCCGATTGGACCTTGTTTTCTCCAAGCGAAGCTCCAGGACTAGCAGACGTATACGGGGACGAATTTGAGGCTCTTTACAATCGCTATGTCCAAGAAGGTCGTGGCAGAAAAACCATTAAGGCCCAAAAACTTTGGTACGCTATTCTTGAAGCCCAGACTGAAACTGGTACACCATTCATGCTTTACAAAGATGCTTGTAACAGAAAGTCCAATCAAAAGAACTTGGGTGTTATCAAATCTTCTAACTTGTGCTGTGAGATTGTTGAATACTCGGCCCCTGATGAGACCGCCGTTTGTAACTTAGCATCTGTCTCATTGCCTGCTTTCGTTGAAACATCACAGGATGGTAAGACTCAATGGTACAACTTCGACAAACTTCATGAAATATCAAAAGTGGTTACTCGCAATTTGAACCAAATTATTGACCGCAACTATTACCCAGTTGAAACTGCCAGAAACTCCAACATGAGGCACAGACCAATTGCTCTAGGGGTTCAGGGTTTGGCCGATGCCTTTATGATCCTACGTATACCATTCGATTCTCAAGAGGCAAAGGAGTTAAACATACAAATTTTTGAGACAATGTATCACGCTGCTTTGGAAGCATCTAATGAGTTAGCTAAGGAACATGGCACGTACCAATCATTCGCTGGATCACCTGCTTCCCAAGGTATTTTGCAATTCGACATGTGGAACAAGGAACCAACAGACTTATGGGATTGGAGCGCATTGAAGGCCAAAATTGCGAAGGATGGCTTAAGAAACTCTCTATTGTTGGCTCCAATGCCAACAGCATCCACTTCCCAAATTTTGGGTAACAATGAATGCTTCGAGCCGTACACTTCCAACATGTATTCGCGCCGTGTGCTCTCCGGTGAATTTCAAATCGTTAACCCATACCTGCTGCGCGATCTGGTCGATTTGGGTATTTGGGACGAGGCTATGAAATCTCACATTATTTCAGACAATGGCTCTGTACAAAACTTGCCAAACATTCCACAAGAGTTGAAAGACTTATATAAAACCGTCTGGGAACTGTCACAAAAGGCGATTATTGAGATGGCAGCTGACCGCGCTTGCTTCATCGATCAATCTCAATCGTTGAATATTCACATCCGTGCACCTACCATGGGTAAGCTCACAAGTATGCATTTCTACGGTTGGAAGCGGGGTTTGAAAACTGGTATGTACTACTTGAGAACTCAGGCCGCCTCTGCTGCTATTCAGTTCACCATTGACAAGTCTGTCGCCTCGCAAGCAGGTGACAAAATCGCAGATTTATCCAACTTAAACAGACCAGAATATGTTCCACGTAAAATGAATTTCAGCGAAGGCGCTGCTAAGGTAAAGGCAGTGGAAGCTCTAAGGGAAATGGCTGAATATTCTCCAACACCCTCTGCGGAATCTTCCCTGGTAAACAGTGTTGCGTCGCTCAAGATTGAAGAAAACGTTCCTGTCACACTTACCACCGACGGCTCAAGCGAGAACAAAACGGAAGATAGCACCAAACCTTCAAAGCCTGACGCGGAAGAATTCGATATTTTCAACTCGAAAGTCATTGCATGTGCCATTGACAACCCTGGCGCTTGTGAAATGTGCTCGGGTTAGCTTGAAGATGAATTATTTCTGTTCAATTTTTGCTTACGCTGGGTGTTTTACTGTTTTTTAATTTGGGTTTGTCATAAATACACTGGGGATTATCTCCATTCATTCTGAATATTACTTTTAGATCATTAATGTACACTTTTTTTCGGATTTTGACGTCATTTAAGTTTAATTAACTTAATTTCCTTTCTACTTTCTTTGACTTTAAAACTTCGCTGTTTATCTAACGCCCATAAAATGGTTCAAAAGAACGTAGGGGATCCGATTGATACAAACCTGCGTCCGGATAGAAAGGAAAGTGATGAAAGGTTAAATAGTGCAGGAACTGCAGTGGGTGGCTACTCGGCGGATGATTTCGAAATGGAGACTTTGGACCATTTTGGTGGAGATGAACGAAGCGTAAGACTCAATGACAGAGAGGAATGGCTGTATCTTAAAGAAGACAATGCTTTCAAGAGGTTTTTTCGGAGGCTGTGGTACGGGCCCGCTATTGTCGAAGATGCACCACCAGCTTTCCCGGAGAAGTGGTCATGGACACGAAAAGTTGACAAATTTCCCGAAACTGGGTACCAGCAGAGATTTCCTCTCTTAAGCGTTCGAATTTGCATATTAATTGTGTACTGTTGCTTCTGGAGTGTTATCTTTTACACATTCATTCATTACTATTACATAGTGCCGCCAACATTTTATCAAGAAGACGGAAGTCAAATTCCCATCAGGGCAATGGATTGCCGGACTACAGTATTCTGGAAAGGCAAAAACAACCAGTGTGGCATCGGGGCCACTCGCTGCTTACCGTTCTCCGACGAAGAAGTGTATATACGATGTCCAGCTCTGTGCGATCGTGAATCCTGGACGTATTCGGCAATTAATGTGGGCGACGAAAGAGTGAAGTATACCGGTTTCCAAATAGGAGGAGGAGAATTGCAAGAGAAAGACAAATTATCATACCCTTACAGAGGTGATTCTTTTGCATGCGGTGCAGCAGTCCATGCAGGAGTTGTTTCGCCGTTTGTAGGCGGTTGTGCCCGCATTAGCATGACTGGCGAGCAAGGATCCTTTCAATCGAGAAAAGGGCATTCCAATACAGGAATGTCGGTGAATTTTGACTCTTTTTTCCCTTCATCCTTTACTTTTAGGAAGTTGTTGAACGGATACAGCTCAAGATGTTATGATCCTCGAATTCCCGTCGTAGTTATCAACATTGTGATGAGTATGCCAGTGTTCTACCTTTACGAGGGAATTTATGGGTTCTGGATACTTACTATCGTTGCTTACCTGACTATTGTCTTGTTTCTAGATCCTCCATTCATAGTGGACCCCTATGTTGATGACAGTTTCTCTCAGCTGTTGAGCATCATCATTCAGCGTATGTTACCACTGGCGTTTGTTCTTTACGTTCTATGGAAATGCTGCGTACGAAGAACACTCACAAATGGATCATCATTGGCTAAGATTCTGTGTTGGTTCCCCACGTTTTGGCTTGGTGTCATGAACAATGTAACCTTCGATAGATTGCCTGTCGACAGGCTCACAGTTTCCGATTTCAAAGAACAAGCGGGAGCGCTCGTGGCTGTGGGTTCGATTATTGCCACGATTGTGTCTTGCGCAATAGTACAGGCGTACTCGCTTTGGAAGTCAGGAAGATTCAGAAAGTACCTGTGCATCTATGTGACACTGATTATGGGACTCTTCCTGCTTGGGATACTTCCGGGGCTTTCATTGAGAATACACCATTACATATTGGGTATTCTGCTAGTACCTGGTTGTGCCACGAGGGGTACATCTGCATATCTATTCCAAGGCATACTCATTGGTCTTGTCCTTTCTGGAGTTGGCAAGTGGGATTTCGCAAGTATAGTTGAGACGAAAAGCACCTTATCAAGAGGTGAAGCCGGAGACTCGTGGAAACCACCGATGTTGCAGTACACCCAAGAGCTACCTAATCTACTTTCTTGGGAATATGCTAATACAACGCAGGGTGTCACCGAGGAGTTAAATGCATACTCTTTACTTATTAATGACGTTGAGCATTTCTTGGGTGAGAATACTACGGTTGATATAGATACATTGATACAGAGCGACTTGAAACTCTCTCAATGGGTAAATTCTTCAGTTGCCTCAAATGGATCAGCAAAGCTGTATCTAAGAGTGGCAAGAGCCTCGAAGGACTCTCCAGAAGGCCCCACTGGTGATTATACAAATGCTGCCATCCTTGAATGGCCACTGGGAGTGTATCATGAGCCCAAACCAGGTGTGTCATGAGTTGTCAACTCCTGGCTCAGTATCGTCACGAACGAACTTTCAATTCAATAAACATTATGGTAAAACATACAAACCTTAACAAACACTTTGATCTCTAAATTTGTAAAACTCTAAAAATGTCTGCTTATGCGCTTCAACGAATATCTGAACTGTTAAGAGACGAATCGAGCTTTGAAAAGACCAAGGAGATCAGAAGTCAACTTCAAAAGGAAAAGTCTACAGTTGAATACCAACTAAACAAAGAATCGAAGAAGAGCCTGAACAATGTTATCTCAAACCTAGAGAAAATACAACTGGCTCGCAAGAATGTTCGCAGCTTGAGAGATAAGCTGGGTAAAGTCAACAGTCTAAGTCAGGAAAACAAATCATCCATCGATAGATATGAGATCATTAATGAAGCTACAACCATTCATGAGTTGATCGAGAAAACTGAGTCTATGTACGACAAAGTCGTTGGATTCAATGACTTGATCAAACGTATCGATGAACTAATTGACGAGGAAGTCTCTAATGATGCATTGGATAGCGGATTGCCTCATCTTTTGCAAATTCATTATATGCTCACGATGGCCCGAGACTTTCAAGACCAGTCTGTCGTTTTGGCCCAGACTTCAACAGACGATGTCCAGAGAACTATGCAGCGGGTATTCTTACGTCTCCCAGACCTGATCAAAAAATTCAATCAGCTTCTAGAATCCTTGATATATGATATTGTTGAGGCAGTAAGAACCGAAAACCGGTCGCTTCTCATACGGCTTTTCAAAATTATTGACCTCGAGGATAGAGAGGACATTAAGATAGTGGCGACCCGGAAAATAATTGAAACCAAAGAAAGAGAATCAGAAGCTCGAAAAATTAAAAAACTACCTAATTCCTTTAACAAAATGAATGACCTTATAGAAGATGCGCAGCACGTATACCCTTCACCGTTTGCATTGGCACGGGAAATAACCAACGGAATGATAAGCTCAAGACTGCTGCCTCGTGGCTACAAAAAACTTATGTTTGATACCATCAAAAGATCCATCAGTGAGATGTTCATTGAGGTAAGAAAAGAATATCAGGGTGAGAGAAGATTTGAAGTTCTCAATAATATGGATTGGGTTTTCAACGAATTGATGGTAGTGAAAGAACATGTCGAGAAGTTATGCCCGGCGCATTGGCAGTTATTTACTCACTTTTTTGACTTTTATTACACTGAACTTAATGACCTAATCACAGAGTTGGTCAACGCTGAACCAGAGACACTGATTATTCTTGACATTTTAAACTATGATAAGTCGTTTCAAAAGGCTTTAACAAAAGACTTCGGTTTCACAAAAGACACTGTTCGGAGCGTTATTGGAGAGAAGGAGAAGGAGACTTTGCTGAGCGACTATTTAAATCTGATTGTGACAAAGTCCAATGAGTGGTTCAAGAACTTGGGCGACGCGGAGACAAAAATATTCGTTGAAAGAACGACACCTCCGCACACCGATTCGGAAGGTTTATTATTCTTAGATGGCACCAAAACATGCTTTCAAATGTTCTCTCAGCAAGTCGAAGTTGCTGCGGGTTCGGGGCAAGCCAAAATTTTGGTGGGAGTTGTCGAGAAACTTTGTGAATTACTGGCCGTTAGACAAAAAAAATGGATGGCTGTTATATCTGCAGAGGTAAAAAAGTGCATCGAATACAACCACAAGGTAGAAAATTCGGATGAGGGTACAGCTCCTGAAGAAGAAAGTGCTGGGGGGTTGGTTGAATATCTTATCTCCTTGGCCAACGATCAAATGAAAGCCGCCGACTACGCGGTAGCCATTTCGCAAAAATATGGTTCTATGGTGTCCAAAATCCACGAGAAAGCTATAACGAACAACATTGAATATACACTTGATGGATTTGCAGAAGTTGCTAAGTGCAGTAGCACTGGCCTTATTAAACTGATTTTTGACGATTTGAGAAAGCCCTTCACGCAAGTATTCGGGAAGCACTGGTACTCAGGCAATCAGGCTCAGCAAATCTCAGATACATTGTACGAGTATTTGAGTGATATCAGAGGACAAATGAACCCGTTCGTTTATTCGACGTTGGTCGAGAGTATAGTCGAGGAGACCATCTTGGAATTTGTGGAATGTCTCAAATACGAACACTCTTTCAAGAACAAAAATAACAAATTCCTTGAATGCATGAAACGCGATTTTGAGGTTTTCTATAAGTTCTTCGTGCAATTTGTGCCTGAGGAAGAGAGGGAAATTATAGACGACAAATTCAAATTGATGGAGTTCTTCATGGATTTCGCATGTGGGCCTGTTAACGGAATTATCGAGGTCTGGACACAGTGTATAGAGTCATACTGGGATTGTCCAGTGGCATTCTTATCTGCCATCATGCGATGTCGCAAGGATGTGGACTCCTCGACATTGAAAAGTACCACAGCCACGGCTCACCGGATTATTTCGAACACACAGAGGAACAATCAACTCAGAGCCCAAGATCTGCAACCCACGTTTATTAGTCGATTCAGAATATCGCAGTGAAGGGCTTTTATAATCGATAGAGCAATGTACTATTTAGACACCCAAATGACCGTAACGAGGTAATGTATCCCTGGAGATGGCTCTACGGTATGCGAGACAACCCCATCCTTTGTTTTGTTCCAATATCCGCCAATGTGTGATTCAATGCCAAGGTCGAAATGGGACCCTTTCGAAGAGTCAACCCTTGTCACTGAAACCACGAACTTATGCACCGATGAAGATTTACTAAGTTCTGTGAGAATCAAATTTGTGTGAGTTTCTGGGCCTAGGGATGAGTCTGAAAGGCATGTTTCGATGATGGAAGTGAGCTTCTCAGCATTCACGGGGTATTCGTTGGAGGAAGGAGAGGAATTAACCTGTACAATCGACATTTGTTCACGAGGAAGTATCTATTGTTGTATATCTCGCACCATTACAAGATAGGAATTTTGTAAGTATAAAATAAGATCACGTGGTGGGCGAGATTCAGCGGGAGGTGTTTAAAATGAGAAAGACAGATGTCGATGAGAACTAAGCTCGAGGTCAACCGCACTTATCATTTGGCCTCCTGTAGACGATGTTTGAAGAATGGCACAATTTTGACTTTGGTCTATTTTTTTTATGTTTTGAGAGGTGGGAGTGATATTGGAAAATTGTTTACGATAAACTCACCGTGGTAAGGAAAACACCTCTGTTGGGACTCGAGAATGAATGTAGTCTACACAAATATTCAATAATTATTTAGGGTTGCGACATAGCCTTGTCTAAATCCCCCCGCTTTTCACGCTGTTAAAAACTTCGTTACATATATAAGGTGCGGCGCCAGCTTAATTGCAAGGTGGACGCTTTCCCGATCATTACTAGATATGAATCTTTTTTCCCACCAAGGGAACCTAATTCATCTCACGTACAACAGTTGAGGCCGTAACAGTGCTCGTAAGATGCCAAACAGAAGCTACAGACTTTCCGCGCGGACCTTTAAGGCTTGGTTGAAAGAATTGAAACCTTCCTCAGTTTTGGCACCAAGAGCCCACAAGAGAGGAGCCCGTAGAAACCCGCTAAAGTGCTCTTCTTGAACCACCTTGGTCTTGGTGCCAGCTTCGACCGCAATGAAGTTGAAGCTGTGAGCGCCAGTGAACACAAAGCCAAACCCCAGTACACCTTTCCAGCTGAACTTCGATTCCAAATTTTCCAAGACTGTGGGTTTCATCACAGTAGCACTGGAGCTTCCTGGCATAAGTAAACTAATTTCCAAGACGTCCCCGGGGTTGATTGGTTGGCCGTGTTGATCTCTAGGCTTGACGCTCGTGATGAAGGAAGACCAATCTGGGTACTTCGCGAAATCCAGAAAAGTCTGTCTAACTTTTTCTGGAGACGCGTTGATATCGATAGACGCTGTTATTTTAGACATAGTGGCAGGTATTTCTCAAGCTAGAATTATTCAATTGACCTGAACTCTGTCTCCTGCTGTTCTTATACCTGAGCTCTGTCCCCTGCTGTAGTTATATGTATACGTCCCATGACACGAGGCAGCTTCTCAAAGTATGTAGTCGATTGTACGCTGGCCTAGTGCTTACAAACCGCATTGTTCACCCTCTTCTCTAAGATAAGTCAAGAAAAACAAACCTATATGAAATTAAACAGGCCGGACTTCTATATGCTAGAAAACGGCTTCCATCCATTCTTCTCGTCTGCAACGAGAGATGAGTCTTGGCGAACTCGTTCAGAATGCTCAAATCTTGCACGGAGAATTAGATTTAGTCAACATCGGCGGCTATGTCACAAAACAACAGCCGCTGCTTGCTTGTAACATGCCCGTGTAAGATCTCAAATTGAGCACAGTGTTGCGGGGCATTTGAACATGTAGTTGTTTTAGATTTTGGTTATTTCGCTGCTACATGTCTATGCTTGGCAAACGCTACTAAGGTTTTGTGGATCTAGGGGTGACAGAATACCATCAAATTGCTTTCAAAAAAGGGAACAACGCAAAGGTATAAAAGGGCGGCTAGATTCTGCTGTTTTTTTGACACAATTATTTTTTCGTTTCGCCACTCGAAGTAACACTAAGATCAAATCCCAAAGATATGCCTGAGGAGACGCCAAGCACAACCTAGCCAGACAAGCACGCTTTGTAAATGTGAAGCGGTGGCCCACGATGGCAGTTTCAACGTTGCCAAGAAGCCAACGAGGAAGGCACGTGACATTCACGCGCGACGATGATAATAAAAACTCATACAGCCTGTGTAGAGATTAAGTAGATAGGTTGATTGCCTTCCACGTGGTGGAAAAAAGTGCGTTTTCATATAAAGGCAAGAAAATGGAATGGACTTACAACGTCTGTTCCCGATTCGACAAGTTCCCTCTTCCACGAACCACAGCGCACTCGCGGAACCTTGTATCCAACCACTATAAAACATGTCTTCCGCTCCTTTACTTCAAAAAGCTCCCGGCAAGAAAATCGCTTTGCCTACTAGGGTGGAACCTAAAGTGTTCTTCGCCAACGAGCGTACTTTCCTGTCGTGGTTGAACTTCACCGTGATGCTGGGCGGTTTGGGTATCGGTCTGCTAAATTTCGGTGATAAAGTTGGGCAAATCAGTGCGGGTTTGTTCACCCTCGTGGCCATGGCCACAATGGTATATGCGTTGGTAACATACCACTGGAGAGCTTCCGCCATCAGACGCAGAGGCTCCGGACCTTACGACGACCGTTTGGGACCCACCGTTTTGTGCTTCTTCCTGCTAATTTCCGTTGTAGTCAACTTCCTATTGAGACTGAAATACTCGTGAATGGGTAAGGCGACACACAAAGACAATCGACACCAAGGAATAGGTGCACAAAGTAAAATACATAATAATGAAAAATTCTGAGGTTTTGCAAATACCAGCGCCAAGCGCCAAGCGCCAATATGCCGTGTTCAGGACACAGCACCGTTCACTCTTTGGGTTCTACGTAAAAAATAAAAAGAGTAGGGTAGGAACCTACGTAACAAAAGAGATGTACTTTCTCTACGAACAAAGCACCTAACATGCCATAGTTCGGCTCGAGTCCGTACATTGACTAAGGGCTCGATGTTGGTGGTGCTGGCATAATATTGTGGTCTGCTGGCTCGTGCATGCGTATGTAGGTGTGCCATTGTCAATCAACTATAACGAAAATCCGATATAGTGTAGGGGCTATCACACCACGCTCTCACCGTGGAGACCCGGGTTCGATTCCCGGTATCGGAGTTGATCAATTTCAATTATTTTTGTCTTTGTCAAGATGAGAAGGGGTTCCAGGCATTGATAAGTTCATGAGATGGGCCATTGGGTCTTTCGAAAGCTACTTTTTTTAAACTTTTGATGTGTTTGCGCCAGACAACTTTACATACATTTTTTTGTTGCCGCAAGACTGGTTTGTCTAATTCCAAATAATCATCTGAGAAGGCCGCATGTGGGCACATCGCGAAGCCGAAGAATGCTTTGCGGCCGTTCTAAACTCCAGGTGACCTCATGAAGTTTCTCGCAAATTATCTTAGCGTGAATACCCAAACACAGGCTAATTAACTCTCCAAACAAGCCGCACGGGCCGCCGTAGCGATTACTGTGTGCCTACGGTTTCCCCTGCTGCGCATTTGTTACATCGCGCTGGCAACAGCAAAGCAAGATGTTTTGTGGCGACGTTGACCAAACGTTGGCCTTATCTCTACATATACACCGAACAGATCTTTTAACGCAGTGACGCCAGATCACTTTGTCCCAGACTGGCATCGGGAATTCAAATTACAGCCACGAGCATCACAATCGCAAACACACCTAAACAAATCAGGCCTCTAGTATGTAGCCATCTGCGCATTCCCGCAGCGTCGACCCGAAAGCTTCCCGACTACACGTTTTTTTTCCAAACCAAGGCTGGCGCCAAGCCCCGAGTTCTTGCTATACCACGTCCTACCATAATTATCCGTGCAGCAAGCAAGATGCTACATATTTTGAGGGGTTCGCAGGTACGCATTCATAAATCTCTATCTTTCTTTATCTTTAATTTTCAATCCATGTTTGCCTAGCATGTCTTATTGTTGCACAAGCCGTACAAGCCGTACAAGCTGCACACTCGTGTTGCTCGTGTTGCTAGCGCCGCTGCGAAAGGCTTGGAACCCCGGCCTTAGCGTCTCGGAAGGCGGAACGTCAAGTCTTTCTTCCCATTTTTCGAGCCTCGAACCCTAACTGAGCTCCCAACGAATTTTTCGCTCGACGCCCGCCATTCCCTCGATTCCCTCGAGGCGGGGCTTTTATTCTAACCCTCACAGAAGGCCCAAAAACTAGGGTTACCTGGGCTTCCAAGAGCAGTCGAAAGTGGGTGAAGAATTTTTTATCGCACACATACCCGTGATGTTTTTTCTCCCAAACGACAAATTACGTCTTCGATGTATTTTTCGATAATATTCCTAGGCCTCGAGACAGATAGAATCCCACAAGATAGAGGCAGGATAACCTCCCCGCTTTCGGTCTAAACGCCGCGGTCAGAAACTCAAGAAGTGCGAGCCTGCCTCGGAAATGTCTATCATTCCCTTCTTGCCCACGTAGCTAGCTAATGGATTGTAGCGGATTTTCTTTCATGCCCACGCAGGACAGCGACGACAGGTGCAGCGTGAGGGTTGATTGAGGAGCCAGATCACTAAAGCCCCTCTAGTCGAGGGGTCCTAATTGTTGGGCATTAAGCCACGTTGAATATGGATCCGGCTTCCATCTGCGGGTGTTACGTCCGTGCTCGCTTACAAAACAGCATTTCTACCTAGTGGTCTGCAGCGCTCGTGTCTTGGTGCAAAAACGTTGTAGCTCGAGCGGCCGCGGTTACGACAAGGGAGGGGCAAACTTAATGCAATTCGCTTCCGAGACTGTGTCTCCCCTCCTCTGCGGGTCGAGAAGGAAGAAGAACTACAACGGGCAGTGAAAAAAAGGTTAGGGATGGCATCGCGAGGGAGGGGTATTTAAAGCAGCGTCATATTGGGAGATTGTTCTTGGGTCGGCCTTTGGGATAAGAGCTTTATACTCAAGTAACTACACATCCGACTGACTCATCACCCATGCTGAAGTCAAGAACCTTTTCGAGAGCTCTGGTCTCGAAACTCACACTGCGTGCATATTCCAGCATCCCATTGAAAGTACCCATCACTCTACCATCAGGCGTCACATATGAGCAACCAACGGGTCTCTTCATCGGCGGACAGTTTGTGCCTTCTCGCCAACACAAGACTTTCGAAGTCATCAACCCTTCCACAGAAGAAGAAATCACACACGTTTACGAAGCTCGTGTAGACGATGTTGATGTCGCGGTCGCCGCGGCCAAACATGCTTTCGAAGATTCCTGGAGCACCGCCGATCCCGAATTCCGTGCGCGCTGTCTTTACAAACTCGCAGACCTCGTAGAGCAACATGCGGAAATCCTGGCGAGCATTGAATCGCTCGACAATGGTAAATCGCTACTCTGCTCGCGTGGCGATGTGGACCTAGTGTCAAAATACCTACGGTCTTGTGCTGGTTGGGCTGACAAAATGTTCGGTCGTACCATCGAAACAGGATCCACACACTTCTCATATACTCGTCGTGAGCCGCTAGGTGTATGCGCTCAGATTATTCCTTGGAATTTCCCATTATTAATGTGGTCCTGGAAGCTAGGTCCCGCCTTGGCTACCGGTAATACCGTGGTCTTGAAACCAGCAGAGGCTACTCCACTATCCGCTCTTTACGCTTCCCAACTTGTCCAAGAAGCCGGTATTCCAGCTGGTGTCGTGAACATTTTGCCAGGGTTTGGTAAACTCATAGGCGAAAGATTATGCACTCACAAGGACATCAAGAAGGTGGCATTCACTGGTTCAACCGCGACCGGTCGCCACATTATGCGCACTGCTGCTGATACTATTAAGAAAGTCACTTTGGAACTGGGAGGTAAGTCCCCAAACATTGTCTTTGCGGACGCTGACTTGGACAAAGCTGTGCGTACTATTGCATTTGGTATTTTCTTCAATTCTGGTGAAGTATGCTGCGCTGGTTCTCGTGTCTACGTTCAGGATACCGTTTACGAAGAAGTTCTACAGAAGTTTAAGGAATACGCCGAGTCATTGAAGGTTGGCGATCCCTTTGAAGAGGGAGTTTTCCAAGGTGCGCAAACTTCTCAAATGCAAATTGATAAGATTTTGGATTACGTCGAAATTGGCCAGGGCGAAGGTGCCCGCGTCGTCACCGGTGGTGAACGTTTGGGAGACAAAGGTTACTTCGTGAAACCAACAATTTTCGCTGACGTTACTGAAGATATGCGTGTTGTTAAAGAGGAGATTTTTGGTCCCGTAGTTACCGTCTCCAAGTTCTCGACTGTGAACGAGGTTATTGAAATGGCGAACGACAGCGAATACGGTCTTGCGGCTGGTATTCACACCAAGGATGTCAACAAAGCCATCGATGTTTCTAACCGTGTCAAAGCCGGTACTATCTGGATCAACACATACAACGACTTTCACCAAAGTGTGCCTTTCGGAGGATTTGGACAAAGTGGTATTGGCCGCGAAATGGGTGCCGAAGCCTTGGACAACTATACACAAGTCAAGGCTGTGAGAATGTCTATTGATCGTGCCGAACGTTGATCGAGAAGCACATATAGACAAATAAATAAGCACATATTCTGACATTAGACCGAGAAAAAAGCTAGAATTGCGGCTCGCAGACTTTTACGCGGGCTTGTATTTCGTTACTTGAGCTTTAGGTTATGTGTTAATTAAAAATAATCATCATTGGCATTTATACTTTAAAAGTTGTTACCGCGAGGATGGACATACTCGATGTAATCGTTCCCTTTTCAATTAAAAACGTGCATTTCGACCCAACGAGGTTTATTGGACTTGACACCGGAAGCTAGAGACCTGTGGTTCATACCCAAAGCATAACTCTCAAAAGCATTAATATTTGCTGACAAAAGCAGAGAAGCTATGGACCGCTACCATTAGCATATATTTGTGATCTCAGCCTCAAACAATACGCAAGCCTCCAGCGGGTCGATGACCCCAAAGCGGATTCAAAATACATACAACTACGCGAAATGAAGCAACATACGGTTTAAGAGGTTACGAAGGTATCTGTTTGAGTACAATTTCGGCGTTCCGCTGAGATACGCTGCCCTGGAGGAGCTAGTAGGTATTTCAGCACACGATCTAGATCGGTAAGCCACATTCAGCAACTGCTGCCATAATGTTTCTGGACAAAGAACTGGAGCCAAACGATAAAAAAAAACTTCTCATTGCTAGCACCAGGCCTGTGGGAGTTTATTTTCCATACCGTGGTTTGTTTGTAGTCGAAACAACGAACGTAGTCCACCTGGGGCGATGCGCAGTTGTTAGTATCAGGCACCCAATTACAATTATTTGAACGCCAATGACGCCAGTATATAGATCTGTTATGTTTGAAGTCAACTGTCGTAGTGTATGCACGTTGAAACTAAATGCAGGGGTGCTTTTTGAGCTAGAGCGTCCCGCTGTCTTAGAGTCGTTTTGTACTACTCTGTCACTATTATTGAAAACTGAGCAGTTACATAACACGCACGCTCACGAACAGCAGGCATATGCCTATACATATTGGTACACCGTTTGAGTAATATACGTGAATTATACTAGTATTGGCGTCAATAAAGAGCTCGTGGATATGCTCAAGAGGACATGCATCTATAATCGACGCCGTATCAAAGTATATAGTTTACATTGGACTGCTTTTTCTTAACCTCCATAAACCACCCCTCCCATTTTATTTACATTTTGAAAATCATCGTGAAAAGTTTCAAAATTAAGAGAACAAAAAGTTGCGTCGCTTGGGTGGAGGAGAATTTCAACTATCTTAACAGGACCGCAGCAACTCATACTGAGCCGGCTCCCCCAGGCGTTTGCCGAGCTTCCAGCCTAGCCTCTGCCGAGCTCTTGCTAGCGTTTCGCCAAATCCCGGCCAGTCTGAGCCTAGCGTTGGATCTGCCAGACAGAGCCCCCACTAACTGTTTCCCTGTAGCTCCTTTGGCGACTCTGCCTAGCTGCCACGGGACGAATCCCAGGCTCATTCTCTCCAGCGGGAGGTTTCACACAGTTTTTTCAATACTCGAATTGATCATTGTAGTTTAGAGGCCCATTTCGCCTGTTGAAGCTTCAAAGTAACTACAGAGGGTATACAGAATGGTATGTCTGAAAGCGACGTTTGCGCGAGCAAAGTGAGAGGGGCCAGCCGATGTGACATAGGGTTCGCAGGCCGCAAACAGCGGTCGAGAGACGTGGAAAGAGGATGAGAGAGAAATCGAATGAAACGAAACGAAGCGAAACGAAATGAAATGAGCAGAAACGAAATGAGATTCAGTGAACCGAGAAAACAGCGTTTACCAGACTGCGAAGAACACAGGATGAGATCACAAGACCAAGGCTCATGATAAGCTGCAGGGATAACATACCAAAGTCTGCCGCACCCGGCCAGAATATGAAAGCAACACAGATTCAACTTTTCGTACCAACGACAGGTAAATTTCATGTAAACAGTCAATGTGTCTGTTTGCCGATTTCACGTCTTGCGCTCTCCTTCGGGCCACCTGCCGCATTGCTCACCATTAATCACACTCCAATTTACTAACATTTTCTCAGTCTGACGCTATCACTATCCGCACCAGAAAGGTCATCTCCAACCCATTGTTGGCTAGAAAGCAATTTGTTGTCGACGTCTTGCACCCAAACAGAGCTAACGTCTCTAAGGATGAATTGCGTGAAAGAATCGCTGAGGCCTACAAGGCCGAGAAGGACTCTGTCTCTGTCTTTGGATTCAGAACCCAATTCGGTGGTGGCAAATCCATCGGTTTCGGTCTAATCTACAACTCCGTTGCCGACGCCAAGAAATTCGAACCAGCTTACAGATTGGTGAGATACGGTTTGGCCGACAAGGTCGAGAAGCCTTCCAGACAGCAAAGAAAGCAAAAGAAGAACAGAGACAAGAAGATCTTTGGTACTGGTAAGAGCTTGGCCAAGAAGGTTGCCCGTCGTAACGCTGATTAAAGTAATCATCACTAGCTGCATTACTTTAATAAAACTTAAATACTTTCTTTATTGTGTTTTAATATAACCAAAAATCATCCACATTGTTAGCACGGCAAAACAAGAACCCAAATTAGCCTTTTTGGTGACATTTCAAGATATGGGTTAACGACTTTGACGGTATTCAGAGCTGTGTTTGTTTAATTTCGTATTTTATGCTGGTTATTCTTACTTAATTCACAATGTTTTAAAGGTTCAGAAAGATATTCTCTCAAAGATCGCAGTGTAGATCTGAAGTTAAGAGGCACGTCTAAACCATACCATGATATTTGGATTAGGAAGACTATTTTACGTCATATTGCTCTTGATTAATTCAGTGGCAGTGTTGAGCGAAGAAAGGTTTTTGAGAAGAAGTATGATCGCTACAAACCCATAATTGATTTACAAAACCTTCCAATGTACTAACAGAAATCTAATTACGTAGTTGGACTCGGGTCTAACTCAAGCCAAGCCCCAGCATTTGGTCAACAGGAAAACAGCACGAAGTCCAAAGTCATACAGTTGATTAGTGCAATCCAAACACTACTAAGAAGTACGTACCGTCGTTGTTTGAGTGGCTCTCATCATAGATACTAACAACAAATTGCACAGTTCCTTTGATTGGTATAAACATACTGGTCATTGTATATGAACTTGTACTAGGGTAGAAACAGAAGGCGAGGCTTTCCGGTTACTCTAAAGCCTGTAATTCACGAAATCATTAGCATTTACAAATTAGTATTATATTATTAACATCGATCGACTACATAACGCAACAAGCGCACATGAAATACCTTACTTAACCCAATTACTCCATAAAATTTCCTTGATTAATTCTGACCGCCCCCAATTTTTGCTGCCTCGCCAATTTTAGTTTCCAGAAAGCTTTTAACAATTCCCAATCCATTATTAATGTGGGAAAATATGTTTGAATCCTTGTTATGCGTAGTATTAGCCTTCAAACACATTTCAAAGTGTGCCAGCAGACAATCATAAATGAATAGGTATTGATTCACATTTTGAACCATTGAAATTCGTTGCTTTCTGAACTTGTTGATAGTAATGATCACTGGATCGAAGAGCTTGCTATCTAGGCAGGTTGTAGGACGAGGCGACCACGGGTTCCTTTCGTTCGACAATCTCCTACCTACCCATTCTTCTTTCAAATTATCTAGCTTTGAAGCATTACTGAGAACTGTGTCGAGAGCACAAAGAGTGCCCGTACGTCCACAACCAGCTGAACAGTGGACTAAGATAGTTGGTAAGTAATCTGAAGAATAGACTTGCTTCTCAAATAACTGGCCAATAACCAGGTTTTTCAGACGAATGATGTCTAATATTGGACGAGGATTGACCATGACTCCTAAGTCTGGCCAGTTTTTGACTTGCGCTTGTAAAGTCTCGAAGATTTGACCACCGTCGTGATGAATCTGAATTCTTCTCAAAGTGACAGGGCCCACTTCAGGGTCGAGCTCAGGCGTCTCTATATGGTATTCATCCAACAACTTAATTTGAATCCCATCGTAATCACCTTCTGCCCAGAACTTATGGCATTTTTCAACTCCGTTCTCAAACTCGTCGGTCAAGGACAAAATGAGTGGTACGTTATTGTTTAGAATGCAAGTGTAAAAATCATAAATTGTTGCAGCCAACGGGGCCTGCGTAGCAATATAACGAACGTTCATACAGCTGTTACCAGCGGAATTTTGAAGCTTGACAAATGGATTAACCAAATAGTTGGCGTTGATGTAAGTGTCCCAAATTTCGTTTGAGTAACGGAATTGGAAATGAGGGGTTTCCTTTTTCAGCACCACCCTAGTATGCTCGTAAGGGAATATGTCTTTGTACCTATTTTTGGCACCTAGCTCAACACCAGAGGAAATGCAAATGTTTTGGTCCTCTTCATCAGAGTTATACTCATCAAACCACGTTGCCGCGCACTGATTTGTATGAATAAATGTATTATTTCCTGCACAGGCAGCAGACGATGTATGGGATTTTAAAGATTGGCCAGAGTTAGACAAACAATAACTCAATCTCTTTTTCTCTAACAAGTCGATTTTTTGGAATTGTGCTACCATATCTATTTTCGATTCATTAGCAAGATCTTGAAACCACTTCGGTACCACTGAATCAATCGTGTCGCGCACATAAAGATCTTTCAGACCTAGAAAGGACTTCTGAAAGTTCAATTTATTATCAAAAGCTGCAAAATCACGACCATTAATAGGAGTAATATCAACGGATGGCTCGGTAGGAAACTTAAATGTAGTGTTTCGTGACTGAGAGGATGGATCTATTTCACCGAAAGGAGACGTCAAAGAAGCTTTGGCATTGCGTTGTTTTTCGCCGATGTTTACAGCGCTTAGGTACGACTCCAAGTTCGAAACTTCCTCATTTCTAGCTATTTTGAAAGTTGGAACCGTTCCAGTTGAGACTGGCAGCTGAAACTTCAAAAGACCGGAGACAGGCGAAGAGGAAGAAACAGGTGATTCTGGTATAGAACATGGCGACAACGTGGAGATGGAATGGCTGGAAAACCTAGATTTGGGACCCACATGAGATGTGGAATCTAGTCTCTTAGGTGATTCTATTAAACTGGAAGGCGAAGGAGAAGAGGAAGAAGGGGTTATTAGAGGTGAGATTATCATGGTTGGTTCAAACTCTTCGAAGGCTGGAAATCCTGGATTCAAGACATGAATGGTAGGGCCTGTAGTTCCAGGATTCCACTTGTCATTATTCGCAAACTTGGAGGCCATGCCGTGACAGCTCGCGCTTACTGAATTGTCTGACTGGGTCTGAGGTGTATTATCAAAGACCACAACCTTCACGTTTGAACAATCACCAGGATCCAGAACTTTAGCCTTCAAGGTGGAACGCACATCTTCGGGCAAGTTTTCGATGAGGCGTTCTAGCGTAAAGGTCTTACGTCGAAGCAAAGTGGAGGGAAGACAGACATGTTGCGCAGTCTGGATGGTTGAGCGGGAAAACTCCACGAAAGGCCGAACATCCAGGATCAGCAGGTTTTCAGCAGGCTCATACAGCAGCAAAGAGCGAAGCTCGTCAACTGAGATGGCGTGAGTGCCCTCAGGACGCGGTAAGCGACTTTCCTTCGCTTTGAACGACGGAAGAGATGGGTTGCTGTTCGAACGCATCAAAAACGGCATGCCCGATACCGGAGACGTTACGGCGGTGTTGGCAATCATGGGCAGGATTTGAGAGCTTTGCGAGGTTGCCAGGACTGGCGCGTTGCGTCCAAGAGCAAGCGCAGAGATGGCTCTTCTGTGAGGCCGCGCGGGCTGGAAAGACGCCAGTTTCGGAGCCACTTCGCCTATGAGAGTTGACGACGACGACACCACAGAGCTGGCGTCCGAGGTCGTTTGTGGGGTCTCACCCGGGCCGTGGTTCCACTCAGTTGCCATTACAGGACTTGTAGAAGGTGAGCTTCAGACTTTGCAGAACAGATCAGTTTGGCCCACAAGCCGAAAACACCCAGATTCCGCTGAATTTTGGAATGTGGAAACGAACACAGCTTTTTGTCACACTACCTCGAGCACTTGATGTTCAACGCGGTTCACGATATCGATGATGGCAAGGACAACTAATGGACGTGGACGTTTATTCTTTACCAAAGTTATTCAAAAACCATGTGATGGGTCCAATTTTCGATAAACAATAATTTTTCACGTTGCTTTTGGAGCCCTCGAAGACAAAGTGAAAAGCCAAACGCTACAGTTAGGGTATTGCGATCGAGCACAACTTCTTAGTAGTACTACTTGTCTTCCCGATGACGAAGCGAGTTGAATTAGCTGTGGAAGTGTGATTCGTAGTATTAGTCGGCCCCGATAAGCGAGTATTGAGATCAATTCTTGGCTTTTCCGCTTGAGCCCACTTCCATTATTACCACACTGTACCAAATGCACCACCAACTGTAAAGATCGAGTAGTGTGTCAACGTAATCGCGAACAAGGTTTGTGTATTGCTGCGAGGCCGCTTCACATGTGGCATAGCTCGGAGCGGGCCCAGAACCCTTTCGTAGGTATTTTTTTCCCGCTGGTCTGTAGGTAGACATGGGATCCCGCCTCACCGCAAGGCACGAAGCTGATATTGCAGGGCGTCAGGGTGAGGTCATAAAGGATAGGCCACACGCCAGCAGAGGTCACGGAGTTCTGAACAGCAGAATGCCGTTTTCAGCACGGGACTTGAAATGGGGTGCTAGACATGATTGAGAGAGCTTGCGCGATGCCGAGGAGGAGTTTCAGCCGTTGCAGGGTGCAACAATTTCGGCGCAGCTCGATAATACGCGACGCTTACGAGAACACGCTCAAAAGCTGGAATGTGTCTGAAACTTCTGTGCATTCGGAGACGTCTCAAGCCGGCGAGCTAGCTGCGGAATCGCGTAAATCGCAGGTGTCGCTTGAAAGAGGCTCATGGCTGGAAATAAATGTTGGAGAGCAGCTTTCTGCATTAGAAACCCCCCGATCTTGTGGAGGGCACGGTACTGGTGCTGGTGGCGACGGCCTGGCCCACTTCTTGCGGGCACTGATGTTACTTTCTCCCGATTTTGACATATAAATAAGTATTTCGGACTTTAGATGAAGTGCCGTTATTGAAAAAGATATTTTAAAAAGCTCACCGGTAAAGTTTGACTAATCTCAAGGCTGGAAAACTTTGAGGCCGAAAGAGGACCTGCACCTTGTCCGAACGTTCGATGGACGGATATTTGAGTGGCTAGCCACATATGGTGCGCTTTTGCCATACTACGATCGAGAATTGACCAAAATAGCACCCGTAGGGCCTTAACAGTGAAGCCACAGCAAAGCAAACCCCAGAGTTCGTGCAACCAGACGCCGAAAGCTTCGAAGGTAGCTCGGCGGGCGCGGTTTCAGAATTCCGAAGGTTGTCCTCGGCATGATCTTGTTGAGGGATCCCTGCATGAGGACTGTAGCGCTTGAACTTTAGTGTAGAACCTTTGTCGGTTGGTAAAGGACGATAGCCATCGTTGTCTCGAGCTGGATGAAGTTCGCTGGATGGGATGTAGGAGGCAGTTTCAATAAATGCTACTTGGAAAATTGACTGACACTGAATGATGAGGAAAGAATCCATGTTAACTCCAAGATCAACAACTAGGACAAAGATGCTGTTCCCAGCTACCCACTTCTCTTCAAGAATTGCGACACATGCTGAAACTCGACAATAAAGGCAAATCAAGTGTATCATGCAGTAATATTAGCTGTATAGATGGTTTCATCACAAGCCATACCTCGAAAGAACAAAATCATTGGCCAACCGAAGCTTATCGGAACCTCCGGCACTCTATCAACGGTTGGAACACCCAGCGATATAATTCCGGGAGATATTGCAAACAATGTGCTAGGTGAGTTCACCATATCGGCTTTATGTCTGGTCAAACTCCGCTAAAGAGATGTGGCCGACTTCAACAGGAGCACTGTTATGAAAGTGTGGTAAGTTGACGTTGCCTGTGAAGCATATCACATCAAAAGCTATGAATTCGACTAGTGTAGTTAAAATTGAGGCCGGAGAATCTCAAGCTACTGAAACTGCGCGACTACGACAATCGTGCAAACGACGGATATGCTTTTCTCTGGTATGAAGGCTTCTAGAGCACAGACATTATACCGCAGGGCTTGTAATTAGGAATAATCATGTTTGCGATCCAAGATGTTTACAGATGCAGTACAAATAACGCAACCATTTTCGCCAAATACTTAATCTTGAGATTTGAGCAGAGCAACTGGAGGCCGCATCTCGGATAATATAACACTCAGCAATGATCAGGAGCCCACCTCTCTTAGATCCTCCGTTCTGTCCGCCAAGTATACTACCATAGAACATTATAATTCAAGATTTTGAAACTGAAAGGATGTCAGGAGACTCATAATAGGTATGAGAAGTAAGAGAGCTGCTAGGCTCAACTGGTGGAAACGAGAGCTTTATCGCTTCTAATTCAGTTTTCTCATGATGATCTGAAAGTCACGCTTTTCTTGTTCTCTCTAATTAAATAATTCAGCATCTCTAACTCATCTCTTTTTCACTTCACGGCAGAAATCAAATCATCACAACAATCATCAATGTTTTCCCGTCTTTTTGTTCGTTCTGCTTCCGTAGCTGCCCGTGCTTCTCGTCAAGCTCGCTATACACCCACTTTGCTCAGAGCTCCGCTCTCTAAGAGCGCCATCAGACCGCTGCACGTTTCTGCTGTGACTTTCAACAAGAACTGTCAAAAAGTGGCCCAAGTTCTTGATGGCGAAGTGGCTCTAGAGCTAGAAGAAGACACCGCTAATTTGCCAGAGTCAGTGCAAGCTTTTTTCGACAAAACTGGTTACTCAGCCGTGAGCTCTCCAGGAAAGAACATGGCGGAAATCGTCAACAAGTCCGCCAGAGGTGAGACGGTCCATGTTTTCTTCGACGTTGCTCAAGTGTCCAACTTACCCCTGGAGACTGCAGGTCTGGATAACGAGATGGCCGCACCATCTGAAGAAGAAGATTTCGAGGGTATGGCCGATAATTTCGCCAACGTCAACGTCATCATCGTCAAAGACGCAGACCAGTCCGCAGTGTCTTTTGAATTGCTCATGAATCTGCAAGAGGGCACTTTCTTTGTCGACAGCGCTACTCCTTATCATGACGCTAAGGCTGCCTTGGATGAATCTGCTGAGTCAGAGGTTAGCCGTGAACTTGTGTACCACGGCCCTCCTTTCTCCAACTTGGATGAAGAACTACAAGAATCTTTAGAGGTGTATTTGGAAAGCAGAGGCATCAACGAAGAACTGGCCACTTTTATTGGCACTTACTCCGAATTCAAAGAAAACAAAGAGTATATTAGCTGGTTACAAAACATGAAAAAATTCTTCAATTAATTGAGTGCTCCGATATTAGTTTGCTTGTACATAGTCCTATTATAACATCATTTCATTCTTTATACAGTAGGCTGCGCTTGCTGGGTGCTAGCCTTGACTGGTGATTCACACTTCAGATTTGACGGCATTTTGGTAAGTTGCAACTTTTGCGCTGTTTGTCTGAGTGCTTCTTCCACGCTTTGAGCGTTGTCTGATTTGCCTTCTATGAGATCTACTTGATCCAGGATTCTATCTTTCAACCTCAGTAAAAGTCTGCGGTACAAAAAGTTGTCACGCTCTGGCCCATCAATTGCCTCATTTATTTCAGCTGGGCTCTTGAACATTTCCGCAAAGGAACTTAAAAAACGAACGCTCTCAATATTTACATGCTTCATTCCTGCGTAGTCTTGGCGTTCAAGATTTTGTAACTTCGTTTGCCCAGTAACAATAGTCATGATAAACTGATCCAAAACCCATTTGCTCCTGACTGCATTTATTCCGTGCCTTTCGTTACATTTATTGATAACATTCCAACAAAACATCCATGCTTTCCAATTCAAAATCTTTGTTTTTGAATCTTTCCAGTGCTTACTCTCCAAAGAAGTGGCGAATTCGAACAGTTGGTCCAACAATTCATCAATATTCGCAGAAGTTGCGTTTGTGAATTTTTTACCTGCTTGTCTCTCAAAGGATTTGTACACTAAGAGCATACTGTTTTTGTTTATTTTGTGGTGTGCATCCATATCCTTGAATACACACACAGCCATCTGTGCGCACCTCGTTGGATACCCAGACGTAACCATTTTGATCATTCTTTCATAGACTGAAATACGCATCAATTTTGGCTGAGTAGCAGTCAATTCCTTATATGTCTCTGACGCTAGGTCGAAGTTTCTATTCTTCTCATAGTTTTCGAACAAAAGGTCAATTAAAAAACTATCTGGCCTGTAAGGCTGTTTGATATCCCAATATTGCAAATCTGGTAGTCTCACTCCTTCCGGTAACTGTAATTCACTTGATGATGCTTTAATTCCGAAGTATTTTTCAATTGCTATGGCTGCTACCATCGACAATTTACTGTCTCTACGGTGGTGCCATACTCGACAATACTCATACATTATTCTCGCGTCCATGAATCTTTTGGGTATACGGGCCATTATATCGTCAACCCTAGTCATACACAACATATCATCCTTGATTTTTGCGGCACCGCGAAGTAAAAGCGTGTAGGTTATAGCATCCCCAATAACATTTTTGGGTTTGGCATCGAATAACTTGAAGACGAGCTCGTCATTTTCACTGTTTACCAACGCACTCAGGGCCGCGTTAAGTCCCATCTGGTTGAGACCATCTTTTTCTATAAGCTGGGTAGCAATTTTGAGGACTCTTTGAGCATGTTTTTCACTAAGTGGACTTGGTAAGTTCGCAAGCCCATCAAACAATAGTGTGTGGGTCAGTTCATTTGGCGGTATCCCCCACTTTTTTCTCCAGCTGTATAAATCTATTGCAGATTTTGCGTCTTGCTGTTCCCGACAGAAGTGCTCCATGATCTTGTTCATACCTACGATCCCACGACTTTTAGCAAGCCTGGCCAGGAAAACCGCCTTTTCCAACTGATTTCGAGCTAGGAACTTAGCCACGTCACCCGCAACTAGTTTCGAATCCCTTAATTGCTCTCCAGTGACACCAAGGATCGTGTACATCATCCTTTTGTCATGGGTCAGTTTCAAAAATCGCAGATCGGACCCACTTGTAGGTCCAAGTTCTGTTGAACTTAGTGATTCATTGCTAACTTCGTATCTATTTTTCAATACATGCCGGGCATGTTGTTTGGTGTATGAGGTCTTATTGAGTTTTTTAAGCTGCACACGCCGCTTTTCGGCTTGTCTTTCCTGTTCCTTTCGTGAGCGTTTCAGTACCTCGTTGTTTCTCTCTAGATGGGTCAATTTCTCTTTGACCTGTGATTTATTTAAAGAGTGCTGGACGTGCAGTTGTCGAGCTAGGAACCGTATCCCATTTTTAATCATTCTTCGGTTTCCGGATCTTGGAGTTTTGCTCAAGCTTTATGCGATGAGCTCGGTTATTCATTTGAGAATTTGACAGAAATATATACGCGAGTAAAACAACAAACATAGAACCTAAGTTTTGGTATTTATGCTTAGACTGAGCGATTAGTCGATTCTCGATAAAAGCAGAACGTTCATTCACTTGGACATCGCTGAAGATGGGGTTTTCTTATTGGGGACCTCTTTTAGTGGAGCGCGCAGCCTTTAATCGCAGAGACCATCAACTGGTTCAGAAAGCAGTAGAGTACCTGGCCTCCATACATTCGAGCGACTCTCCACACTTGCATCTACTCCTCCAGTCAGGCTACAAACCCTCTCAAGACGTTGCAGAGGATTTGTTTGCAAGGCCTAATGTGGCTACTACCGAAAGCATCGCAATTCACAAAATAATAGCACATGAATACTCTAATGCCATTGGACTTCTTGAAAATGATAATAGCATTCAGTATCTGCAAAGAATTGAGACCATAACACAAGTCTTGATTTTAAGCCGAAAGTGGAAATCAATTGATGAGCTTGATTCACGGCTTAGTTCTTATGCCAAGTCTAAGGGCGACAAACTAGAGCCAAATGACAGACTTCTCAGCACAAAAATCAAACTTTTGTTTACAGCAGCCAATTACTTACAAGGCAGATATCTGGATTGTCTCCGGTGTTTTTTGACGGTGCTGGAAGAGGATGCCACAGTAATTGATGTGCTAACGAGAGAAAGTGTTTGCACATTTTGCACCAATGACGAGCTAGTCATGATGATTTCGATTTCTGCAATAGTTGCACTTTCATTAGATCACTATGAAGATTTTTTACAATTGGAAGATTTGGCACCTTTCTACAATATTGCGCAGCCGTTTTCGAAGTGGCTTTCGTTATTGATACAAACAAGTTACCGTGATTTTTTACAGGAATGGGACAAGATTGACTCCAAGTGTTTGTCAAGCTTATTTCTTTCACAAAAATGGAGGGAGGCTCGAAAGTCAATGAGAGACAAGATATATGTTTTCTATTTGCGAATCTCAAATTACGTCGAAATACCTTACTTGTCCAAAACATTACAAATTGATTTAAAAACTGTTTGTGATGATCTTCACGAGCTTATAGAGGGCCTGAAGCTGAACTTTATAATCAAAGACCTTGTGGTGTGCTATAAGAACAGGTACGATATTTCAAATTTGGCCGATGGCTTAATTTCATCCAATCAGTTATTGCTAGAAAGGTCAGAAGCTATTAGAATGCAAAATGATGTTCTGAGATCTAAGGTCCAGGAATCAATCATTACGAATAATTCTCGAGAAGAAGATAGGAACTGTAATAGGCGCTCAGTAAACAACGTGTTTGATGAGGGTCATGAAGAGTGTAATTCGATGTTTGAGACAGACTAAGGATCTCATCGGTAACAAGCATGTCTTATTATGAAAGTGCGTTTAATCGAACACTGTACTTACTGTATTTCAACTTGAAAAAGGACTGCTAATCCGCATTAGCTGGAATACTTAAGTGGAGCCACGACATCATCCTCAAACTTGCTGGTGACCCCATTCTGTGCTATGTTTTCAATATCTACTATCTCCTTCGCTGCTTCTACGGTTAGGTTAGTATAGCCATCTGCTCCGACGGCAATGTCATCTTCGATTCTGATTCCAATGTTTCTGAAGTACGGCGGATACTTGGGGTCATCTGGGATGTAAATACCAGGCTCAATGGTGATGACCTGACCTTCTTGAAGTGGAGCATATCGGGAAATTTGGGGAACATCGTGCACATCAAGCCCCAGATTATGACCAATATAATGAGGGTATATTTTTGAAACATCCGAATTCTGAGATGCTGGAAGACCAACATTTTTCAACTCCTCTTTGAAAAACGCAATGCTTTTTTCGTGAATGTCATGGAGTGAGTATAGGCCGGAAGCCTTACAAAGTTCGATGCATTTTCTTTGGACGTTCAAAACGGCTTCGTAAAGGTCTCTCTGTGCTGGCGAAAATGTCCCATTTACTGGCCATGTTCTCGAGATATCCGTGCAGTAACCTCCCAGAGAACCGGACGCATCGACAAGAACCATTTCATCATCGTACATAACATCGTCGTTTCTGGTATAGTGTATACAGAGCGAATTCGAGCCACTAGCAACCACTGGTATGTAAGCAGACTTGTCGCAACCACCGGACACAAACTTGTAGTCCAAGAAAGAATGCAATGTTCTTTCATTACGAAATCTGCGGGCATATGCCTGATTGTACGCTCTACCCGAAATTTGCCCAGCTCGCCTCATCACTCTGATCTCAGCGGGTGATTTGATGGACCTCATGTCTGCAATAATGGACTTTAATTTTCGCACATACTTTTTGCCTGAGTTCTTGATAGCGTCGGTAATAGTATCAGCAGAAGCCGGAGAATGGGAGACAGAGAAGAAGGACCTAAAGAAGGCTTCTGCGCTAGAATCGATCTTATCTTGTGGCCTGTCGAAATAGATATGGTCATTTCTGTTGATGATTTTGGATATGTAAACCGACGATTGGCGAGTGTCCGTTGATTCATCCGCATTAAAAATTTCGCAAGCTCCTTCTGTTCCAGTGCGTTCGCCCTCCCACTGTTCCGAGAAGGCGTCCTTGGGAGGCACAACGAGGTGAAATATCACATCGTCAATGTTGTCCGAGGGTTTCTCCAGAATCATCACGGAATCCGGTTCATTCCACCCGGTCAAGTAAAATAAATCGTTGTTTTGCTGAAACGCGTAAAAGACAGGACCCGAAGCATACTTCACTTGGGCTCCAGCAATGATGGCACAACTTTTTGCCGGCAGCCGAGTAGCCAACTTGACTCTTCTATTGAAGTATTCCAAGGCAGTTATTCCTGGGGTTAACTCACCGGGCTTCAATAGTTCGGGTCTCGTTTCGAAAAGAGGCTGCCCTGCACTAAAGCTTGAGCGTTTCCGGTTGAGATACTGGTTGTTGATTTCCGAAGGGTTGTTGGTGTTCAAACAGCGCTTGAACGACCTCCAGCCTACCGACCCTATCACACGACGATGGCCCGCTATCTTTATAGCATTCAGCATGTCAGAATACTTTTAGCGCTTTATAGAGAGAAAGAAGGTTTTTTGGTCTTCTGGTCATTTTAGTTTAAGAAGTGCAGCAATATTAATACATAATTGAAAGTACTCATCACAGGATATGACTATAATTTTTAGGAAACACTGTCCACTTGCGCTTGACAAGGAGGGACTGATTGTGTGAAGAAGCAATAAATTCTAAGCGCCTAAAAATGCTTCTTACCAGTTGCTTCGTAGTGTTTTCTTGGAAGCGCTGATCTTTCTTATTTTTTTTGGCTTCAAGCTTTGCACTTTTAAGGTGTCTTCCAAGTGAGAATCATTGTCGTCGTCGAGATAATCTCTCAAATTTGGGTGCTTTCTCTTGCCGAGCTCTAATGTGTTTGACGTGTCCTCGTCGATACACAAGGAATAAAAATTTAAAGATGAGCCCGGCGATTTTTCGATAACAGTCTCCGATGGCGAGTTTGGCTCTACTTCAAATACCTTGGAAATGGACTTTTCCACTTGCATAAGAGCATCTTCTAAAGCTTGGCGAGTTTCGAAAGTCACAGATGTGTAACCTATTTGTGCATTAAAAGAATTGAGGACGAAAGTCCAAACAGCCCTAGTATTGACAGAGAGTTCTCCGAAGCCTTTGACTATTACACCGCTATGATCAATGTCAATGTAATTGGAGGATCTCAAAAACTGAGATCTATTAGATTGTGTTCTCCTTTCCTTTTCGAGCACTATAGTTCCATCTGTAAACATTATGGTTAAGGCTAAATTAATGTTATCAACAGTCTTGGAGTCAGCTTGAGGTCCTACCAAAATTTCGTATAACCCCGATAATTTAGTTGGGACCTCTGGTTTCTTGATCATGAATCTAAAGATTCTTCTGAGCATCATCAAAACCTGGAAAGAAGTGCTGGAATAATCAATATCTGTATCATTTGTGAGACAAGAAACGCACCTGGAAAGGTTGGAGTGACTGTGGTTTCCGTAGCAAATTTTGTGCAACCTCCTCCTACAGCCACTACAGTTGATTACCTTTGAAGTGGATGGAGGACACGGCGTTAGACATTGACAATCGTACGCGCTACTTTTCTCCAGATGCTGCGTTTGGGTAAAACTGTTTGTGGGCGAGGAAAGGATATTTTGCAAATAATTAGTAGTTTGGCTTGTGACATTCTTCTGTGTCTCCTGAGTTTCTTGAGTGATGATTGTCTCACTCGATTTTTCTGACCCATCGATGAGGCTGAAAGGATCAATATCCCTGGTTGGGCCTTCTTTAATATCGGTCGTTTCCACAACCGACAAAACTTTTAGAGCCACGCTTAGGCGATTGTTAGTATGGTTTGAACCCTCAATATTCAAAAATCAGATTGTGGGGACTTACTTGTGGAATTTAGTATCCAGCGACCCCACAGAATACGTTTCAAGATCTGTGGATTCTGGTACTTTGACTGTAGCCGGCCTATCGTGGCTGACATCTTTGAAAAGCAGGGGTTGGTACTCAGGTGGTGCACTATCATTGAAAAGTAAACGCATAGAAAGGTACCTCTTTTCTGGCAGAGGCTCGAGCGACTGGGTAATTATAATAAATCTGCGCATGAGTTGCTGTACATCTTTCCTGGAATCCAAGAGTGATACTGCCTCCTTTTCGCCATTGACACTGATAGACACTTCACCTTGATTGTTGTAGTTGAATCCGAAAACGTAGTCCTCGAGAAGATCTGTCGGTGTGTTCTCGTTAGTAAACACTCCCAGACTTAATGCTTTCAAATACTTGAGCTTGATAGACTGAAAGACTCCCTTCTCTAGCCAATCAAGAAAAAGGTCAGCTTCTGGACTTTTGCCACGAACAAGGGTCTTAATCTTAATAGAATTCGACTGGGCCCCGTTTGTGTCCTTATTGTAGTCTTTACTAACCTTTTCAGGAACAAAGCGCTGGTCCACGAAGTTATCATCTGGAAAGAGGCCTCTGAGGAAAGAGAGACATCCAAAAGACATGGTCAACATCGTTTGCACGAGCTTTTGAGACTGCTCACAGGTAATGCCTGTGGTCGTGTTGGTGACAGTCTTAGGCTTCGTTTGCTGGGTCGTAGACATCTTGTGTTATGTTGCTATGTTGCTGTTTTCGATATGGAATCGAGAATAGGATCAATTGCGGAGAGCTCTTTTCATTAAGAAATGTCCTCCTCTTATACCTGGTTTTTTTCATTTCACGGACAGGAGAGTCGGATTCGAATAGCCGCCGAGCACCCTCCGTATACAGGTATATAGACTCTTAAGGTTTTGAACTATCCAAATTCTCATGATAGTAGCAAGAGGCCAACCACTATCTGAATTATTGAGACTTAACCACTTCTGAGAATGGACTAGTTACGATGTTAGATGTTGGTAATGATGAATCTTCGCTCTCTAAAGGATTGGCCAGGTATATCCTACAATTAGGAAGGTTTGAAGAAGCCTCAAAAGGTGAAGAGTTTAATTCGCGGTTCAATTCGCGGAACTCTTCATTCAGAATGGTGGCTTGGAGGTGCAAGATCAATTTTGCGTGATGCTTTTCTTGCACATAATAAGCTTTATCCTCCCCAATGATCAACTTATACACACATAGCGCACAATCTAGCTGAAATCCAAGAACGAGACATAGTGCACAAGACTTAAGAATATCGATCCCATACACGAGTCTGGGTCACACTAGACTTTTGACAGTTTTCCAGCACTAATTCTCGAATTTACAACATTGACACAGTCGTACTCGGGTACTTTGGAAAAGGCACCCTGCCCTTTAAATAAAGCGAATTCCAAATAAGCAGATTGTTCCCCAGATTTCAGCAGGTCAGACGAGATTCCGATTTTATCTCTTCTCTCGATCATAAACTGCCGTCGAGACAGGTTTTGATGGAAGACTCCTCCATTTTCTCACAAAGTTCCCAGGACGTGTCATCAACTATATCGCTCTACAACATGTCGACAGCAGAAGATGCATCTGTGAAAGCCATAGTAGACTACGACCTCAGTGAAGAAGCGCAAGGCTCCGGAATTTCTCGTCCTCTCTCAAGATCTTCAGCTACGTCGTCACTTTCGATGGTCGCGACCAAAGATGGAATTGAGGGCAGAAGAGTGCACCGTTACGGGATCCCTCAGTATTCTTTGAACTTACTCAACTCCATGTCGTCGCCTGGCACAACAAAGAGCAAAGTCCATTCCAAGCAGCAGCACCTTCCAAACCATATCCCCTACCATAAATCATTACACGCTGAAGAACTAGGGGCGATTGCTCATTCAGATCTCTCAAGCGGTCCTGTTATGACGCTCCAGGATAAGATGCGATTGCTCAATTATAAGTCGGGCTCCGTGCAGTACAGTTCCTCTGTGGAGTCGTTGCAAGACCGCAACGACGAATTTCAGGCCGATGGCTTTGAGAGTGACAGCGATGCTAAGGGGGGCTCCCTCTCCCTTTTAGGAGCGAACGGCAACGAAGCTGGTAGTAATCGGAGCACCACGGGAGACGATTACTCGTATCTGCACGATACAAAAAGTCTGCCTCCGGTCTCAATACCAATTGAGAGCGAGCGCGAATGAATTTAAGGGTCAGGGACTACTGAACGGATCGAAATTAGCATAATCAATAAGTACATACAATACTAGATTTGGTTAGAATGAGCACTATTTGCGAGACTGCAAGACGCAATGCAGGAATTTGTTCTTCGAGTCTAGTTACTTCTAAATGGTAGTCTATTCAAGAGTGCTGAGCCAAGGCCAAGACTCATCGGATTTTGCCTTTACTTAACAATGTAACTCCTTAACTCATTTCACAAGATGTGTCTACAGCTCGTCTAGTTGATTTCCAAATTACTCAATTGCGTGGATTCGAGAATCCAAAAACTTATCTTGGTTTCTCAAGAAATTCCGAAATTGCTTGCTCACTGAAACTAGAGCCAGTGAATTGCTACAATGCTTCAATTCAGGTTTAGATTGCCACTTCAAGCAAGTAGGCCAGCTCTTGCCTTTTGCGGATCTCGCACTCCTAGAGTCTCCACGGCTCGGTTCATCTCGGATAAACCCAACGAAGTGTTCACCAGACTCTCTGATGACAATGACCCTCAGAGAGACGCCTTCTTCAAATATTCGTGGGGATCATGGCTGAAGAATGACCGTGTAGAGAAAGAAAAGAGAACTACCAAGTTTTCAATCGAAGGATTAACTGATGTTATTGGTGATTTGTACGTTCAAGCGAAAGTCCAGGCTAAGACTGATTCCAGCAAAGACCAAGTGGCCGCACCCTCTTACAATCCCAACTTGACCGTTTCACTACCTCATAACCTATCTGCCGATAATATAAAGTCTTTGAGCCCCAATGAAACTCTTAAAATCACGGCTATGGCGAGCATCCACGAAGGCAAACATCACAGAATCTACAAAGTTGATACAAATGCTGGAAAGTCGTTTGTCCTGAGAATCCCTTATGCAACAAATAGTGAGGCAACCATTTCTTACAGATTGAAGAGTGAGGTGGCTACGATGGACTTCGCCGATTTGAAACTGGGACTAAAAGTTCCCAAGGTGTATTGTTTCGGTGCCAACGCTTTGAACCCAATTAGACAACCTTTCATTTTACAGGAATTCATTGAGGGCAGACTCTTGATGCGTGACTGGACCCCTCTCGAGGACGATGCGAAAGACAAAAAATCTCATTTGATCAAATTGAATAAAGTCATAGAACCTCTCTCGCAATTCCAAGCCAAGCTACTGAGCGTACCATTCAATCAGTTTGGTAGCTTATATTTTGCCAAGGACGTTCCAGAAAGTCAGGAACCTGCTTATAACGGCGAAACGAATCCGTCGCTAGCAAACAGATGGAGAATTGGGATCTCTGTGGAAAGATGTTTTTGGAGACAAAAATCTGCCATGACTTTGGAAAACGTTAAGAAGTTTACCGGCCCCTGGTCCAAGGACAAACCTCTGGACGTTGTCAAAGATCTCGGCCTCTTGGAGGCAGAAAACGCCAAGGCCAGACTGGCGCTTCAACAAGCCGATGCTTCGCCTGCTCCAGTGGATGAAACAATGCTGAGAGAACAGGCGCGCACTTTCGAAAACGTGGCGAAGATCTCAACCATGCTGTTCAACACCAAATCGACGGTGATTCCAAACATGGACGAGCTTTTGAAGCCACGCTTGCACCACCCGGATTTGGACCCTATGAATGTTTTGACCAACGAAAAGGACGGCGATGCCACCTACCTGCTGGACTTTGAAAACACCACCATCAAGCCGTTCATTTTGCAGAACTCGCCGCAATTTGTCGCATACGATGGACCTAAGATCTACAACCTGGAGGAAGACGTCGAAGGCTACAAAGATCTATCCGAGGCCGAGCAGGTGCAATACCAATTCATGTACAAACGCACCCGGAACCAGCACTTGTGGGAGTCTGCTTTGAACAGAACCTACAGCAGCTTGATCTCCGCCGTGGCGCCTCCGGTAAAGCTACTGAGAAGTCCATATGTCGCGTGCGTGGAGCGCAAGAACGACGCCGAGTATTTGTTGGTCGACGAAAGTCTGATTCAGCTACGCGAGGTGTGGGAGGTTTTTGCCAAGAACAAGCTTGTCGACAGCACCAAATTCCCGCTGGAGTACACTCAAGAACAGCTACAGAAACACGCCGATGATCTGAATGCGTTCCACGAGAAATTGATCAAGAGCCCATTTGCCGCCACACAGGGTTGGATTCCGCAAGATATGTTTGAGAATCTGGTGAATGCCGGCATCCTGGTGAAAGAAGCCAATGGCAACTACGCCATCAAGCAGTGATAATAAGTAATAGTATTCAGAATTATGAGTAAAGAAAGGAGCCCGGATCTTTGCCAACCGGAGAGACAGTTTGTGACATTTGAGCCATAGCGGGCCTGTAATTCTCGTTGCTGACTACTCCTGGAACACCGAGTAAAAGACTCGCCCCGAGTCAGTATCACTGCGAACGAGAATGACTTTACATGTCCACCACGCGGACATACATGTCCACCTGGCGCCTAGCGTAAGCCGTGCGTTAACTACGAGCGCGGGGCGGAGGTGTATGTCCACCTCTTCTGGAAGCACTCTCCAGAGAAAGAGCTACGCTTGCTGCCTGTGCTGGCGGCTACTTTGGCGGTACCCTGGTGCCACCAAATGCTGGAAATTAATTCAGACAGATGGACGAAATTTGGAAAGCTTCTAGCGCGACAGAAAACTGTCTTGAAAGACTAGCACACTCCGATTTCAGCACGCTAATGGTCGTCGCTCGGTTAATACTCAACAGCTGGAGCACTAGATGCCATATCACATGTGTGTGAAAATTTTTCAAGGTTTGGACTCACACAGCTCCCCACAGCATGACTATTTGCAGGCTTACTTGGTGCGCATGCTGAAAAATTAAGCGTAAATTGTCAATTTCTAGAGCTGAGTATTTTGAATTATAGGATATTTATAAGAGTAACGAAATTCAGCGGAGTGGTAGGCCTAGCATATCCAAAAACCGTCGAAGCGAAATTGAGCAATCAGTTACAGGATCCTATAAATTCGTGCGCTTTTCCAAAAACTATCATGGCGTCTCCACAGCAGATCAACAACCTACAAAATTCATTCCAAACAGCCGTGAATTTGGGCGGGTCGCCCGGCCAGGTGTCGACTTCGCCCACACAGTCGTTCATGAGCTCAATCCCTCGTCGCATGAGCGTTTCGAAGCAGACCAAGGCACTCAAGCCTTTTTCCACAGGTGACATTAAAATCCTACTGCTGGAAAACGTCAACGAAACCGCCGTGGAAATTTTCAACGGCCAGGGCTACCAAGTCGAATACCAAAAGGCTTCGCTGCCGGAAGACGAGCTGATCGAGAAGATCAAAGACGTGCACGCCGTCGGGATCAGATCCAAGACCAGACTAACCGAGAAAGTGTTGAAGCACGCCAAGAACTTGGTCGTCATCGGCTGTTTCTGCATCGGAACCAACCAAGTTGATCTCGATTACGCTGCCAAGATGGGTGTTGCCGTCTTCAACTCCCCTTTCTCCAACTCCAGATCCGTCGCTGAGCTTATTATCGCCGAAATTGTCTCTTTGGCCAGACAACTTGGTGACAGATCTATTGAGCTACATACCGGTACCTGGAACAAGGTCTCTAACAAGTGTTGGGAAGTCAGAGGCAAGACTTTGGGAATCATCGGTTACGGCCACATTGGCGCTCAATTGTCCGTCTTGGCAGAGGCCTTCGGTATGCACGTTCTATACTACGACGTGATCACCATCATGGCATTGGGTACCGCCAAGCAAGTTTCCACCTTGGACGAACTTCTAAGCAAATCCGACTTTGTCACTTGCCATGTCCCAGCCACCGGGGAAACCAAAAACTTGTTGTCTGCTCCTCAATTTGCGGCCATGAAAGACGGTTCTTATGTGCTCAACGCCTCGAGAGGTACCGTCATCGACATTCCAGCTTTGGTGCAAGCCATCAAGTCTGGAAAGATCGCTGGTACTGCGCTGGACGTTTACCCCAACGAACCCGCCAAGAATGGTGCCGGCGCCTTTAACGACGAACTGAACGGCTGGGTTTCCGAGTTGGTCTCGTTGCCAAATGTTATCTTGACACCACACATTGGTGGTTCCACTGAGGAAGCTCAAAGTGCTATCGGTATTGAAGTGGCTACGGGCTTGACAAAGTACATCAACGAAGGTTGCTCCGTTGGATCAGTAAATTTCCCCGAAGTTGCGCTAAGAGGCCTAGATCTGGACCAAGAGAATGTGGTGCGTGTTTTGTATACTCATCACAACGTTCCAGGTGTTTTGAAGACGGTCAACAACATTTTGTCGAATCACAACATTGAGAAACAATTCTCAGATTCGCAAGGCGAAATTGCCTATTTGATGACCGACATTTCGTCTGTCAACCAGAGTGATATCAAAGACATTTACGACCAATTGAACGCTACTGAGTACAAGATTTCGATCAGATTGTTGTATTAGGTAAACTTACTTAGTTTTAGACACGCATTATAGGCTTTTTAAACCGTTAGAACGTGGGATAGGCCCACGCGTGCACTAAAGGTGTCGCAGTTGTTGTTTGAGTAATGATTAATGACCATTGATCACGATGCCAATCGCTACGGAAGCTGAAGATTTGCCTGGTTTTTGCAAAATATTCCTATAGGAATGTTCGAATCCTTATAATAGCCTCGTAGCTGCGTCCGAGTATATTGCTGCTTGAATAGTAGTAAGCACGCTTCTTTGGCTAACAAAACATAAGCTCAACGCGTTGCTTGTATATTTGAATGCTTGTTTATTGGCTTTGCAAGGGACATAATTATGTTAGTTTCTAGACATACAAAAAAATATACCGAGCATTAAGACATATCAGCGAGATGGCCGAAATCCACCAAATTAACAACCCGTTTAACGCTATGCATCAGTATTACTAATTGGGAACCTCGCAGGGATTTGTTACGTGCGACAGTTGTTTTCTTAACATAGCCACCCGCCTATGTATAAGCAAAGGCTAATCCTAGAGGCAGTTGAATATCAGTGACAGTCTGAAGCTAAGAGTTGTTTGCTAACTGAATTAAAGTGGATTTCAATCAGCTATGGGCATATAATTGCGCTAAATTCTATTAATCATGTGGATCTCTATCATTGCATTAGTTCGTTCAGGGCATGTGTAATACCTTCGATAGCCATGTCTGTTAGTATTTGATATTTATTTGTGAGCTCAATAATATATGCACTTCCGCGATTTCTCTAGGTGTGACAAGTGGAACCTAGACAGAGGGCACAAGTCATCACTATTTATACGATCATTTCAGTCGATCAGTACTTGGTTACATGAGATATTCTAGACATAATTTTGAACTGCACCATTTTCAGAAGCAGTGGAACTAAAAAAGGTATATCTATAGTTTGAATCTTTGTCAACGTCAAGACTTCCAACATTTCATCTGCATCGATATTTTTGGTATAACATATGGATTATATCACTTTATACCAGCGTGTCACAGAAAAAAGTCGACTGCGAGTAGATTTTACGCTTTCAGTGAGCAACATCATAGTAAGAGATATGCCACCCTCAACTTTATTCCGCTTATTCTAAATACTTTCGCGAATCACAGCTTCTTTACTTCAAGCTTGGAGTTAAAAGTCGGAAAAAGTATGTCGCCGGTGAAAGAACCATGAAAACGGCCCTCAACTACCTTGATTGCATGATAATCCACCTCTTTTCCATTTAATGTTGGCTGCTTACATCACGTCCCATTTTGAAACCACAAACAAAAAACAGCAAGTGACATTTATGGTTTACAGGATATTGACATTTATGCAAGATATCAAGGCATCAGGATAAGTTTACTTCGTTGTCAGATGTCTTTCAGCAAGAGCTACTAAATTTTGTTACTGAGAAAATTGCCGGACATACATACGGTCAATATTATTACGTATACTGACCTGCAACAAAAGCTTCAAGATAAATTAAAGCATATTTAAATTACTCAGAAGATAAAAAGGAGATAAAATCATCTTATTACGATCATCATTTTCTTCTCCTATCATTATTACTCGGTGTTCGTGCACTGCCCAACTATTCTCCAAATTTATTATAATTTGAATATCACTTCTTAGTTTCCAGGAGAAGTTGTCAAATCCCACAATCAGAAATAGCTATCTAGAGAGGGAAACAATTTGTGGCATAGAGACTATACTGTTTACATCGAAACACACCGAACAGAACCTTAAACTTGTTACTCCTTCTCCTATGTCTCATATGATGAGCAGTTGACTTGTCGATAGGGTGAGCTGAATGGCCAAAATTTTCAAAAATGTTCGAAGAATCTGACAAATGTTACTGGGATCCAAGTTATCAGTAGTGACTTCAACGTAATTGGTTATTATATTTGCTTTCTGTCACCATTCGTGTGACAACCAAAATAATGTCATACGAAAATTTGGTTTTGGCCTCTGAATTTAAAAGACGGTGGCAAAATACTAGGGTATATCTTCGAAAGTCATATATCTATCCCAGGTTGTTTCGAACAAAACAGCTATAGAAAGGCCTGATTGGAATTTAAGAGAACTAATGTCAGTGGTGACAGCTGCCCCGCTATTGGCGCTACTCAAAGAGAAAGACCAAGTTGCTCAGACGTACGCTCTAGAGTCAATTAATGGAATTGTGGACCAACTTTGGTCTGAAGTCTCAAATGAAATATCACAGATAGAGGCACTCTATGACGACAATTCGTTTCAGAGCCGCAAACTTGCTGCTCTAGTGGCGTCCAAAGTTTACTACAACCTTGGTGAGTACGAATCGGCTGTCAAATTTGCGCTTGCCGCTGACGAACATTTCGATGTGAGCGAGAAGTCCCAGTTTGTGGAAACGATAGTATCTCAGAGTATTGACATGTACATGCGCGCTTCATCGCACAATTTCGAACATCCAGATGACCAACACCCTATCGAATTGCAGCTGACCTCAGTTTTCGAAAGAATGCTGCAGAAGTGTGTAGACTTCGGGGAGTACAGACTTGCTCTGGGAATTGCTCTGGAAAGCTACAGGCTTGACGTTGTGGAGAAAGTCCTGAAAACACGCGTGTCAGAAGACTCCGACCAAAATGCGCTCAAACTTATTACTTATGTGTTGACCGCCGCGTCTACTACTGTGACAAGTACTCCTTTCAGAACAGGAATTCTGCATAAGCTTTTCGAAATACTGCTGTCTATGAAGACTCCTGACTATTTCACTATTTCTAAGATTATTGTCACTCTCAATGATTTGAAGCTTGGACGCGTCCTGTTTTCGAAGCTTGCACAAGAGGAGACACCCGAAACTTCTTATCAAATTGCCTTTGACTTGGTCTCTTCAGCATCGCAAGGATTGCTTGATGGATTAGTTTCTTCAATGGGAGAGGAGAAATACGACCCGAAGCTTTTGGAAATCCTTTCCGGTATACCAACTTGCGACTATTATAACACGTTTTTGTTCAGAAACAAAAACATCGACCTAAGTTTACTTAACAAGACTAAGTCTTCCATGGATGGCAAGTTTTCTTTATTTCATACTGCGGTTAGTGTCTCGAATGGGTTCATGCATGCGGGTACCACCGACGACTCATTTATTAGATCTAACCTTCCATGGCTAGGAAAAGCTCAGAACTGGGCCAAATTCACAGCTACTGCATCTCTTGGTGTAATTCACAAAGGAAATTTATCGGACGGTAAAAAAATCATGGAACCTTATCTTCCCGGCAGTAGAGCAGCTTCTCGCTACATCAAAGGTGGTTCCTTATACGGCTTGGGTCTAATATATGCTGGGTATGGAAGGGAAATCATAGACTACCTCAAGTCTCACGTTATTGAAAATAGTTCATCTGTGGGCGACGAAGATGTCGACGTCTTATTGCATGGTGCTTCTTTGGGTGTCGGTCTGGCAGGCATGGGGTCGTCCAACACCGAACTATATGAGGCCCTAAAGGAAGTCTTATACAACGACTCCGCCAATTCTGGTGAGGCTTCTGCTCTGGGCATGGGTCTTATTATGCTTGGTAGCGGTAATGCTAATGCCATTCAAGATATGTTTACCTACGCTCAAGAGACTCAGCATGGAAACATCTCGCGTGGTTTGGCCATGGGACTAGCCGTTATTAGTTACGGCAGAAAGGAGCTGGCAGATGGCCTCATAAATGACCTGTTGGAACACGAAAATAATTTGCTGCGTTATGGTGGTGCTTATACGATAGCTCTCGCATACGCAGGAACCGGTAACAATAAAGCGGTCAAGAAACTACTACATGTTGCCGTTTCGGATTCAAATGATGATGTTAGGAGAGCTGCTGTTATTGCGCTGGGGTTCGTCTTGATTCGCGATTACACCACTGTTCCAAGACTTGTGGAACTACTAGCCGAATCACATAATGCTCACGTTCGTTGCGGTACAGCATTTGCTCTCGGTATCTCGTGCGTTGGAAGAGGATTACAAGCTGCTGTTGATTTGCTGTTACCCTTGACTAAGGACCCCGTCGACTTTGTTCGTCAAGCTGCTATGATCTCTTTGTCACTGGTTCTCATTCAACAAACGGAAAAGACCAATAGTAAAGTCAAAGAAATCAACGATCTCTTTTTAAATGTCATCTCCAATAAGCACCAAGAAGGCCTTGCCAAATTCGGTGCTTGTGTTGCTCAAGGCATAATGAATGCAGGTGGCCGGAACGCAACTATACAGTTGGAAAATGTCGAGATGGGAACTTTGGATACAAAGGCAGTTATTGGGTTGGCCATGTTTGCGCAATTTTGGTACTGGTTCCCAATGGCGCATTTTTTGTCACTCTCATTCACCCCTACTAGCATCATTGGTGTGCGTGGGGAAGATCTAAGCATTCCAACCTTTCAATTTAATTGCCACACAAGACCCGACGTTTTTGACTATCCTCCAATGTATGAGGAAAATACTGATAAGAACGTTGAGAAGGTAGCCACCGCTGTCCTGTCGACTACTGCCAAAGCAAAAGCGAGAGCCAAGAAATCTAAAAAAGATGGCAAAGAGGTTCCGGAGGAAAAGATGAAAAAGGAATCTAAAGCTGAAATAAAGCCAGAGTCGAAGGAATTGAGCAAAAAACCAGAGGCCGATACAAAGGACGAGGCACCTTACAAGATCAAGTATGTCAACAAACCTTATCAAGTTGAAAATGCTTCCCGTATTGTTCCTCAACAATTGAAGTACATCGCATTTTCGAAAGATGATAGGTTTGTACCTGTACGGAAATTCAAAGGTAATAACGGCGTTATTGTACTGATTGATAAGAACCCTGAGGAACCGGTCGAATTAATAAGGACTACAAAACAGAAAAAGGATGTTGACGTGCCATTGCCAACACCATTCAAAGTAGAAGAAGAACTTGAGTTCTCAAAGATCTAGGGCAGCATGTATCTCAGGAATTAAGTAAGCAAAGACTGAATACAAACAACATGAAATGTCCCAAATAAAATTTATAAAATGCTTTTATATTTACAAATGCCGTGTTCTTGAATGATTCGCGCTCGAGGATGTAGAACTTTGTCCCTGCTGTAAAAGATTAAGATTCGGTTTCAGCCGAACCTGTTAAGTGCTTCGCTAACATAATCTTTATGCCCTTCTTCAATTTTCCCACTCTTGACCATTTCATTGTGCTGGCGCGCAGCTTTTTCCTTAGACAATTGGGAATTTACTCTAAGCTTTCTTTCGTCGATAACATTCTTCGTCTTTTTACGCAAAAACGACCGGAGCCCTGAATTCTTACCTTTTACAGCTGGCATAACCTGAGGAATGTCGTTATTGTTCTTTGACTCATTAGCCTTTCCATTGGTGATCTCCGCCAAATCTTTGGCGTTTAATCTGGTAGTAGAGGCACGTTTGTCCACAGTACCAATGACATTTGGATCTAGAGCAATAGAATCCGCAGGCAACTTGTTCAGTAAGGTTCTCACTTCTTGTTCTTGTCTCTGCTTCGCTGTCTCGAATGGATTGACTTCGAGAGCATCGTAGTTAGCTTCACCAGCACCTGGTATAATTAAGTTGCGCACACCCTCTTGGTGACCCACCCCAAGAAGATCTTCGAAAGGTACGAATTGCATATTGTTGACTTTATTACCTGGGAATATACTGGTCATGTATGGTGTATTGCGCTCTGTAAGTCCACTTGAACCAAAGTACGGTCTTCCTGCTTTACTTGATCTAAAAGCGTCCTTCCAAAGTGTGACATGAGGTCCTCTTGACAGTGCAAGCAAACCAGAATCAGATATGGCAACATTTGAGCCAGGTGTAGGTAAATTCTCGATTGTATGTAATTCACGAAAATTTCTCACGTCCCAGATTTTCATAGATTTGTCTGCACCTGTGGTAACCATATAATGGCCTTGTCTATCCACAGCAACACTTGTGATAGGCGCGCGAGCAGATAAAAGTCTCGCTAGAGGAGATGGCATGTTTGGAGCCCAAAGCGTTACTGTACCATTACTGTGGCCTAAATGAATGACTGCATTCCATGGGTTTTGGGTCATGGCGGTTGTGGGACCTAATTTCGTCCTGATTTCAGCTTGAAGTTGGCCCGTCGTAACGTCCTGATATTTGAGCCATCCAGTTTGTCCAGCGGTGGCCAGCAGATAGTGATAAGGCAGAAATTCCATGTGATTGACCTCAATGTGTTGTTTGAGTCTATGCAGTTCGACACCTTCGTGGTCATATATAAAGGTGTATTTTTTCTGTGCCACGGCAAAATACTGTTCATTCTGCAAGTATGTCGCTGCTTGGCAGGTTTCATTTAAATTCAGTTCCGCGCGAAGTTGACCTTTACGCCAATCCATAGAGGCTACATGACCTTTGCGACCACAGACCAACAAATGAGTTCCATTGCGGGAATAGTTAATCGAATATGGACCAAACTCTCGTAGTTTCAAATCGAGTGCTTTGTTGGAGGTACTGACATCAACAGCACTGACAATTTCGTCCTGCTTAACTCTGAATGTTTTCTCCATTTCCGACTCGGCTTCCAAGAAGCCTGCAGACTCCGGTAAAAGATATTCTGTCGCCGCGGCCGCTGACACGGCATCTTTGTATTGATCGTCTATTCTTTTGAGTCCAGCTTTCAGCTTTTTGTCTCTGGTCTTATTTTGACCATTTTGCCTCTTGGGCCCCACTTTATTGCGCTCAAACTTATCCATGTTGTCTCCACTTCAATAAATCCTATATTGCTCAACGACTGGTTCAGGTACGGCGGAAGAAGGTCAAACGATGCTCTACCTCTTGAAGATTAAGCTCATCGCATCTCATCGCATCGAAAATTTTTAGTCGCTAGCCCATCTTTAAAGTTGTCACTGTATACGCATGATGTCTTAGCGAATCGACATAGTATCCATCCATCTTGTATCTATTGAGAGTACTCCACAAAACATTCCAGTATTCTCGCACGTACAGAGAAAGATTATCATCTATCAGTGACACTTTGGACTGAGCGGGGGCTAATTGTTCCAAAATCAAAACAAAACGAAATTATGGAAATCTATCATGACAGTATTCAAGATTGAACCCACTATGGATCGCGTATTACCCACAACAAAATCACAGTTATTATTGGCGAGGTACGGCTCAGTAATCAACAATCATGCCAAACTTTCAATTGATTACAAAAAATAAAAGCACATTGACCGGAGCATAGCAGACTACTGATGGTACTACCCATTGTCAAATGCCCTTGTTTAATGATGCTACTAGGCTCATTAAAATCCAACCGGGAGCTCTGTAGGAAACTAATGCGACCTTGGTTGAAGTTGACGGTTTTAATGAACGCTGTCACTAGACACCATGTGGAGTGGACTTGACTGGCACAGACGTCATAGACTAATTATTCACACTTGTGTTACAACATTATACGCAATGATCGAGTTCCGGGATTAAATTCCGCACAATTTCAGGAAATTACAAAGAAGCATGAAATGAAATTGATCATGTTGTCTAACAATTATCCACTGTGAGACAGACAATCACAGAGACACATAGAAGTATTGAATCGATTATGAAGCACATAAACCAGATACCAGCATCCCGATTGGAACAAATCGAAAGTTTACTTGCAATACGACCGTAAAAAGAATCCCCGTCGAAATAACCCCAATCCGCCATTTTTGGATTATCAAGATGATTGAATGCTCCGAGCTACAGCATGGTCATTCTAACAGAAAAATTAGGGTCGTCACACATTCAAATGTGAGATTTGTTGAAGAGGAACCAGTCGCGCATGGTGAGTTCGAAAGGGAAGAAAGTTCTTTTCGAGGTAAGAGAGGAATATTTGGTTCATAGGCATGCTGACTTTGGAGGGCACTATAGTTTACTTTCACTCTTTTGCCCGTATCTGTTCAGGATTGTTAAATGAATTAACTAGAAAGCGTGTGAGTTATATTTTCCATCATCAAGCATGAGACACCAATTTATTAACATACGGTGTTTGAATACTTAAAAACAAGACCAGAACAGTTGACCAAATATATGCCAGGATTCTTTACAAAAAAGCAGCGCAGTAGCAGCAATGCTAAGTCGTTAAAAATTCGAGAAGGAGCTTGGCGGACTGCCTACTCGACAGATTATAGTGTTTTTCAACAGTTTCACTCTTTAATTTGATCCGCAACAGAACTTGTAGTATTCTGGTAGTTATATTGAATGTAATTAGCTAGTAATAGTTTCTTGGCTACTTCGATTACGCATCTGAGATCAGTATATAACAATTGGTGGTGTCGCCGCAATGCCAAAAATTAAAGCAAGTTTAACCAAGCGCATCCTCGAACGTTGCTTGAAGCAACCAAATTTGCTGCTGCAAAGGTGGGATACAAACAAGAATGACACACCAGGAAGTTGATTCTTTTAACTTTGTTGAAACCTTAGTAGTGTAAGGTTGAAATCTATGTGTATATTTCAATTTTTGCTCTATTAACTAAATTGACATACTCTGCACTTGAATGGCCTTCTCAAATTTTGCCTCACGTACCCCATCCTCTTACAGCTTCACACTGTATGTCTCTCATGGATACACCACTCTTGTATCTGACGTATTTAACGTAAGCCACTGTGTCGCCTGAATGATAGACTGTTACACACCTCCCAATCTGTTTTTTGACAGATCTAATAGCTACGGCGTTCGTTAAAGCTGCCTTGAGGTCGCTCGTATAGTCCATGCAACACTCTTGGTCACCTTTGGTGTACTTATAGACACAGAAGTAATAAGCCTTTCCGTTTCTAGCCCATTCGCCGCAAATTAAATCGCAAGCTCTTTCAGAGCCGCTAGCAGGGCCAGGGCTGGTTGTAATAATTGTCATTAGCTTATTTACGAAGTCTGTCGAAGTTAGTAATATTTGTACGAATTGCTTCGCGGCCTTTCTGTGTTCATTATACGTGTCCACTACAAACGTGTTCGCGTTACTATAAGTGTCTCTCAAACCAGAGCGTGTTCTTAAAGCATGAGAGTCACTATAATACAGAGTCGACAACTGTGAGTATATGTCAAAATTAATTCGCACTGACTGGTCTTTATGCGTTTTAGCCATGTTACCACTTACAGGCACTGGGCATGCAATATGCGCTACTGTGAAGTTGTCGTCGCTTAGTGGCTCGATGTCCTTCCCGAATTCAGTGGTCGCTGCGAAAAGCTCAATTGAATGAAACAAAAGATGTGGCTTAGACAGTATATCATCTGGTGCATAACGTCTACTACCAGGATGCATGGACCAGTTATTTGCTAAATTTGTGTCACCAAATAATCTGCAACAAGTGGTAGTGATCAATGTAGCTGTCAAAAGTGGGAAAATAGTCATACCGGGTTGGCGACTATCACAATTTTTTTACGAAGCTGTACGTGGCTCTATTGACAAATGACTTACAAACGCAAATACAGTACTCACAAGAACATCTGGCTCTAATTCTTGGTTTTTCACCAGTTTAGAGTAGTCTTCGGAGTGTATCTGACTGCTGGATCTATAAGTCCATGTTAATTAATTTGAGATCAAAATTTCCGTGCATAATGCTAATTAGACTTTTATGTAAAAAAAATATCAAATATATATGAATTCGAAGCGCTGTCGTGCCATATCCATTGATTAACAATCAACGCACAATCATGGCTTCTCGTGTATCAATGCAACGGTTCTCGAGAATGCCCAATTTTTTCCTAAGAAATGGCTGCCATCCATTGAGATCGGGATTTAATGGTGGAAAATTCATTCTGTACACAGCTGGAGTTATTGGCGGTGGCTTTGCCGGTTTGTACCTTATGAACTCAAGATCTGCTATTCACGAATACTTGCTATGCCCACTTGTCAGAATGATGACTCCGGATGCGGAAAAGGGCCATAGGTTTGGAATTTTCTGCTTGAAATGGGGACTGGCTCCTAAACTTTTGTTTGACAAAGACGATGAGGTCTTGAGGGTCGATGTTTTCGGGACCACTATGACCAATCCAGTTGGCTGTGCTGCGGGTCTCGACAAGGATGGTGAGGCCATTGATGGGATTTTGCAAAGCGGGTTTGGCTATCATGAGCTTGGATCCATCACTCCATTGCCACAACCCGGCAACCCCACACCAAGATTCTTCAGACTACCCCAGGACGATGCCGTTATCAATAGATATGGCTTCAATTCCACTGGTCACGATAATGTTTACGCAACAGTCGCGAAGCGCGTGTCTAATTATCTAAACTCATATTTCTCGAAGGATGTTGACTCTGATAAACTGTCTCTTTACAAGAACAAGCTGCTAGCCATCAATCTGGGCAAAAATAAAAATGGTGACGAAGTCAAGGACTATCTTAGAGGTGTGGAGAAATTTCAGCGTCTAGCTGATGTGTTGGTCATCAATGTCTCTTCTCCCAACACTCCTGGTCTCAGAGATTTGCAAAGTGAGTCTAAATTAACGGACCTGTTGAGTCAAGTAGTTTCGAAAAGAAATTCGCTAATTGAGACCGGCAACTCATTGGGTTCCAAGTCTCACAGACCCCCTATTCTGGTGAAGATCGCACCCGACTTAACGGAACCAGAGCTACAGTCCATTGCGGAAGCCGCCAAGAAATCAAAAGTTGATGGTATCATTGTTTCTAACACAACCATCCAGAGACCTGAATCCTTAATAACTAGAGATGAAAGTTTGAAAAATCAGGTTGGTGGCTTGTCTGGTAAGCCTGTGAAAGAATTTTCGTTGAAAGCCTTGAAGACCATTTATAAATATACTAAGGATTCCGATTTGATACTAGTCGGTTGTGGTGGTATCTCATCAGCACAGGATGCGCTTGATTTCGGTAGAGCAGGTGCTACCTTCGTGCAACTCTACACATCTTACGCATATAAGGGTCCTGGCGTGGTGGCCAAGATAAAGGACGACCTTACGGAGGTATTGAAGAGAGAAGGCAAAACCTGGATGCAAATTGTTGGCGAGGACAGCAAGTAAGGTAGTATTAATATTCTGAACTTTGTGTATATCATATCACATATGTTGCAAACTAAAAAAAGGCAATATAGACATTACATGGCGTGGTAATATTGGAAAATACCAGTGAGCAAAATGGCAAACGCCATATCTGTCAGATACATGGACAGGACATCCCAGTATTGTAATGCCTGTGAGATTTTGCCCCTGAGATTAGGTATAGGCACTAGGCCTGGAGGAACCATCGAAACCAGTTTCAATATCTTGCTGTTGCTATTCAAAGTGTTGATATTGTGGGATTTTTCAGCAGACATTAGAAGTTGATAGTAAACTGACAGGGTGACTACTTCAAAAGAAGTGAAAATGGTAAAAAAATTAGACCTGTTCATGACGAAGTCAACTGTAGTTAATTGGAATGCTTCGCGACCAGTGTGAGAGATGTAGTAGACGTAAGGCAAGATGAAAAAGAACCATTTGACCACGATTGTATAGGCCTTAAGCTTGTTGACAGCAACATTGTGAGCTTCCAAGACAGCAGCATCAATCGGCTGGTTTCCAAAGACAGATTCAATACCTTGCTGGGGTTGTTGATCCATTTGAACAGATTTTAGTAGTTGGGCAAAAATGTCTGGTGTTTCTGAAGTAGCTGTAGGAGCCGATGCATCTCCTTGTTGCATTTTAGCCAATTGAGCAAACAGGTCCAGTTCAGGATTTTTGGCAGCTCCTCCCTGATCAGTCTTTTTTGGCTGTTGCTGATGGATCTGCGCCAAGAGCTCATCCATTTGCTTTGTAGAGTCTTCGTTGCTATTTCTGCCCGATGGCTCAGGCGTGGAACTTTTCGAGTCTATGGGCGATTCTGTTGACAAGAAACTGTTCTCAGTTTGACCAGTGATTTTCGCCAATCTGGAAGTTGCTCCTCCCTTCCCAAACTTTTGTTGTCTTCTCTCGCGCAGCAGACGCCGTTTCTCTGTTTCCGAAATCTCTGACATGGTTTTAATGTAACTGGCAATTCCTCAGATTATTGATGTTGGGCAACGAATGTCTATTATTTAATTTCATGGTTTAGGTTTTATAATGGGCTTTTTTTCAAAGACAATTGCATGCACTATACATATAAAATAAAGTAGGAGATAGATCTCTGGCTCAATTGTTTAAGCAACTAAGCGTATTTAGCCACGATTTCATCGAACTTGGCATTGTTGGCTGTATATTTTTGGCACAATTGGTGTTTTGGATTGCTGCGCAGAAGCTGGTCTCTGAGCTCGCTGACATGTTCGCCTTGCATGGCCGCGAGTGTAATCTTGTTGGCAATCAATTCAGGCGTGTAAAGTTTGGCAGACTGGTTTTGATCTTGATAAAAGTCGGACTCTAACAGGTCCACAATAGCTTGAGCCTCTGGAATGTTTTTCTGCTGCAAATGCAAACTTAAAAGCCCGAGTTGCGACTTCCAACATGGCAGAGTCTGGCAAAGCTCTTCGTAGAAGTAGAAATTGGAGCCGGAAATTTCGCGGCCTAGCGCGAAGTTCGCGTAGGACTCAGCGAGATTCACGATAATTTCATCCTCGTTCGGGTACTCTTCATGAGCAGCCAGGAAGTTTTGTAAAATCATGGAAGCGCTCGACGCTCTTTGCGGCTCCAGAACCGAGATTTGAACAGCCAAAAGCACCAGTTCCGTGGCACCCATGCCAAGGTCTCCTATGGAAGCAAGTGCATCGATACACGTTTGTAGGGCGGATTCCAGTTCACCTTGTGTAGCTTGTGCTGTGGCCCATAGGTTTAAAGCAAACAAAGACTTATGCTTGTCGACTAATTCCTCGAGCTTTCCCAGATCTCCGCCTTCTAAAGTTGCACTGTACGCCTGAAATACCAAACCCAATGGCGTCTGACTCTTATACGACTCGGATGGGTTCAACGCCTGCAGACATTTAGCTTTGTAAAACTCCACAGCTGCGGAATCGCTAGATCCTAGCTTCTCCACATTTGAAAGCGCTTCCTTGAAGTTTCCTGTGTAGTACTGCTGTTTAACGCTAAACAGATCCATATTTCTCGCTCTTTTGGGTTCTCAAACGTTTGCCTGTTGTGTATCAAATCAGATGTTTTGAACACTTTAACTATTATATTTCAAAGATGTAAAAACGGACTTCATGATACACATCTGAAAAATAGGAAACAAAGAATTAAACCAGTCGAACCCCAAATAGATCAGTTAGGACTTGATCAATTACTCTAGCTGACAAACTCTTTCTTTCAACTGTAGATGTCGGACGCCGAACTTTCAGATGGAAAAGTGCCACAAGGCCAAAAACTGCCTATTGATAAACCGTGGTTTAAGGAGGCTTACGAATCTGCTCTGAAGTTCTACGCCAAAGACGACATATTAGATACTCGGGATAGACTCGAACTCTCGAAGACATATGTTTCAATCGCGAGAGCTCAACTCTGGGGCGGATGGACTGCTTTTACTCTCGTTTTCGGGACTCCTTTCGCTCTTCAACTATACAAGACAAAGGCGATTAAGGGCGTGAAAGTGCCTCGAAATTTTGTTTTTGGGCTGATTGCTATGGGATTGACAGCTCAAACATGCGGAAAATACATGTACAATTTCCAGCTCTCAAAACTTGACCCTAATAACACCCTGGAAGCTAGCGACAGTTCAGATCATTATGGTGACTCCAAGACCGCGGACTTTTCTCAACCAATCTCTAATACACCAAGTCGAGAACTGCGACAATACGAGATGCTCAAACTGTTGGGCTACGGAATGGCTCCCAAATGGGGCCAATATTTCTATTCGACATACACAAACCCAGATCGAAGATTACCAGACCCCAAAGCCAAGCTGCAAGAAATGCAAAATAACCAAGGCCCTCGGGTTTCCCCCTTTTTGAACCAACGCGATCCCCTAGGATTGTACTCTGGACCAAAGTTTGACAAGAAAGAAGGAATTCCTCAAATGAAAGAAAGGCTATCGGACCAAGAAACTCCAATTGATGATGATGATCCCTTGGGACACCTAACAAACGAGGCCCGTGAACCGTCGCTCTCCTCCTGGCAAAAAGTGCGTCATGAAAGTGGTGTTGTTGAAGGGCCCACTGGAGATAGATGGACCCAGATAAGATCATCACCATCTGATCAACGACAGCCCATTTCACCCAGTAGTCACGAAGAACATAACGACTTTGAAACACTACTGGAGAAAGAAAGACGTGGTGAGGATTCTGTATAAAACGAAAAGAACTTCATGCATTACGTTTCTCTAACGTATGATATTCTATATGACGAAGACACAAGTATTAATTATCACCCAACACATTTTCTAAACTCTTGCTCTTTTTCAGTTGTTGTAATTGTTGTAGTACGGTGTCAAGTTTGATGGTTTCATTCTTACCTTGCTTCTCCATTACGTCTCTGTTTCTGATATTCACAGACTTTTCCGTCATCTCTTGTTCTCCGACGATGGAAATGAAGTTGTATTTCAACATTTGACCGTTTCTGACTTTCTTCTGTAGAGTGTTACCAGTCAAGTCAACATCAGCATAAATATCTTGAGAGACCAATTTGTCACGCACTTCTTGAGCGTACTCTTGGTATTTAACACCCACTGGGACGACAAGAACTTGACGTGGAGATAGCCAGAAAGGCCATTTACCAGCAAAATGTTCTGTTAGAATGGCGGTCATTCTTTCCACAGAGCCCAGCACAGCACGATGAATCATTACAGGTCTTTCGTAGCCATCACCTTCTTGAGACTTAAATTCAAGTTCGAATCTGTTTGGCAATTGGAAATCAAGCTGGATGGTAGCACATTGATGCCATCTTCTTAACGCATCCGAAATCATGATGTCGATCTTAGGACCGTAGAAAGCACCATCGCCTGGGTTCATTTCCCATGCACCACCCCACTTCCTCAAAGCAGCCTCTAACTTAGATTCAGCGTTGTTCCAAGTTTCTAGTTCACCTAAGTATTTTTCAGGACGAGTAGAGAGTTCCATTTTGAATTCAAAGCCAAAAACACCGTAAGCGTATTTCAAGAAATCGAAAACGTTTTCTATTTCTTGTTCTATCTGGTTTTGGGCACAGAAGATATGAGCATCATCCTGTTGGAATCTTCTAACACGCGTCAAACCAGATAAAGCACCCGAAAATTCATTTCTGTGAATGACACCAAAGTCAGCAACTCTCCATGGCAATTCTCTGTAAGAACGCTCCCTAGATTTGAACATAATACAATGGCCAGGACAGTTCATTGGTTTTAGACCAAAGGTTTCTTTCTCTACGTCGAAGGTGAACATGTTTTCCTTGTAATTGCCCCAGTGGCCCGACGTTTTCCATAGCTTGGAGTTGTACATGTTTGGGGTAATTACCTCATCGTACCCTCTCTTACGGTATTCAGCTCTCAACAATTCGACTAGATTATTGTAAATTCTTGTACCATGAGGAAGCCAGAAACAAGATCCTGGTGACATTTCATTGAAATAGAATAGTTCCTGTTCTCTACCAATTTTTCTGTGGTCACGCATAGAGGCTTCAGCCAGAAATTTCAAGTGAGCATCCATCAATTTCTTGTCAGGGAAAGAAATACCATAAACTCTTTGCAAAGAATCATTGGTAGCTTCGCCCAAGAAATAACAAGAGGAGTTTTTCAACAATTTGAAGGCCTTAATACGGCCCGTGTGAGGAATATGAGGACCGACACACAAGTCAATCAGCTTACCGCACCGGTACACGGTAGTGGAGGTACCGTCTGGAACTTTGGTCTGAATCAAATAAGTTTTGTACTTAGAATAGTGGAACATCTTGAGCAAGTCCTCCTTAGACATGACCAGTCTCTCGAACTTTTGTTTCTCTTTGATAACATTCTTTGCGACGCTTTCGAGATTAGGGAAATCGGCTTGTGAAACGGTTCTTTCTGGAGTGTCTGCTGGAGCATCGGCGCCGTTTTTGATGGCAAACTCGTAGAAGAACCCGTCATCTGTTGGAGGCCCGAGACAAATGTGAGCACCGAGATTACACTCACAAGCTTCACCCAAGACATGAGCGGACGAGTGCCAAAATACTTTTTTGCCTACTTCGGACTCAAAGTCAAAGAACTCCAATTTGACAACCTCGTCTTTTTCACCCTCTAAAGGTCTTTCCAGGTCCCAAAGTTGGCCATTAACTTTGGAAATGCATTGCTTGTCTGGGAAAGACTTTGCAATCTCTTTGGCAATGTCCATTGGGGTAGTTTCCCAGGCGGTAGCTTCCTTTTCTGAACCATCTTTTAACACTACTTTTAAAGGAACCCGAGGCATCTTAGCCACCTTTTCGTTGTAAGCTTGGGTCAATTGGTTGAAAAGGACATTTCTCTCTTCAACGAACTCCGGTTCTGGATCTAAGTAGAGCGCAGATTGTTTACCATTAGACTTGTTTTTGTTCTTTCCCTCGTCCTTTTTGTTCTTTCCCTCATCCTTCTTGTTCAAGGCCAAGTCCTTGACCTTGTCTTCGACTTTATTCAAGGCCTCTGTGACACCCATTGTTGTAGCCTAATGAAAGCTTCCAAAGATTGTCTCGATTGAAGTGAAGGTCAAAGATTCTTGAATGATCTAGTATCAAGTGTCATTTTGAGATTAATTACTCGAAAAAATTTTATGGTCTTTTTATACGACTATTATATGAAGACGAAGATGAAGACGAAGATGACTCAAACGAGTACTTGCAGGGGACTTATTATTACGCATTATGCTAACGTCTTTATCAAACTTAATAAGTGTAGCATTAATGTTCGCCACGCTCATCTACTACCAGAGTACGGAGAAATATATTCGTGGATAATGACACTATCTTATATGACAGTTCAAACTGTCTTGTTGTTTGTGAGGACTGATCTATTTGATATACCTCTTTCTTCAGCTTGCGATTAATTGCTTGCTGCTTTCTTACTTAGAGAAAATCGATTCGGGCACTATGTGTCATCCTAAATATTTGGATGACGAATTACAAATGAGCCATTTGAAGCTGGGAAACACGCTTGCTAGCATCACCTATCACCATTAATATTCAAACATCGCATCTGACACTTCTATGTCAGGACCCTGTGCTAATGACAGAAAGTGTGAATCTCATAATCAAACGGGTCAGAAAAGAAAGGTAACGGAAGCTAAGAACTATGACATAATAGTACAAAGTGATATCGACAAATTAAAGTCGGTCGATGGATTATAAGATACCTCATCTTGAGCAGAAGACAAGTACCAGGCGATACCCTAAAGTGGTCTGATAACAGACCGATGATCCATTGAAAAGTACCTGATGTAACACACGATATGCTTTAGAGTGGTTCTAGTCAATTAGACTGAGTATGAATTCACGCTCAGTTTGTTTTTAAATAAATACACACTACTTGTTTCACTCGATTGATCAACCTCGCATCCAGAAAGACCACGGAGAGATGATAAGAGTCTCTAGGTTTTAATAGAATGAATTAGTCACACCATGAGCGAATTAAATAACCAGTTCAGCAAGCTAACTACTACTGGGATAGATATATGCCACAATAATGGATTTCCATGACACAGAATCAATGAGGCCAGTTATCGCTTGTCTAAGATCACTGAGAAAAAAAAGTTATACAAATCAGTTTTATTAGGTAGGAATAAATAATCATCTGCATTGCAATTATATTCCACCAGGTTCGTACACTGACTTTGGCCTGTTTCTCCTGTCATAGTAAATGTGGCATGGGAACTATCTGATACAGTCTTATCATCTTAGGTTCGTTGAATCTGAGAAAGTTATTTTTCCAATGGCAGGTACCAGTATGTATATATCCATAGCCATCATTTGCGAACTTCACCGCACTCCAACTATACCGCATTAAAAGCTACAATTGGGAAAAACTGTATTTTATGGCAACAGACTAGTTGATTGGGCCGCAACCTCCAATCAAAGGAAAGTAAGAGAGTGAGCATTCTTAAGCTTTAACAGAAGAGGATATCACTTTAGACTATTCTCATATGCTATTATTTCTGAATACTTAATTATGAAAGGTATTCCATTTTTGAAAGCCACTGACTAGCTATTGCAAATTAATTGAGCATATTCTACACGTATTTACGTGGATATCGGCAGGACTATGCGAAGCCGAATCTCTCGTTTTGACTACACTAACGACTATTATTATTACTTAATATCATGAAAAAAAATATAACGATCACATCGGAACAACTACATATGACAGATTTTAATAAAAATCAGCTTATTATGACCTCCCTGCTCACTGAAACAGAGCCTCAAGATGCTTTACCCTTCATCAAAGATGCTACACCGTCTTTTGAGTCAAATGAGCGCATTCTAGCACCTTCGATTGACGAAGTTGATTCTAACCCAGATGAGTTACGCAGCATACGAGGAAAAGGCCGATATTTTGGTGTGACAGACCCATCAGACTCTAATCTAGATGCTGAACCTAAATGCAATAACTGTTCACAACGCGGCCACTTCAAGAGAAACTGTCCGCATGTGATATGCTCCTACTGCGGACTTATGGACGATCATTATTCTCAACATTGTCCCAGGGCTATCAGATGTGCCAACTGCAATGGAGAAGGTCACTACCGCAGTCAATGTCCCCATAAATGGAGGCGTGTATTTTGCACGCTATGCAATAGTAAGAAACATGCGCGAGATCGCTGTCCCAGTATTTGGAGAAGCTACTTTCTCTTGGACGGCAATAAACGGAGGGTTCTGCCAATACACAGGATTTTTTGCTACAATTGTGGCAGCAAAGGTCACTTTGGTGACGATTGTTTCGACGAGCGCTCTTCGAGAGTTCCTAACGAAGACGGAAGTGCTTTTTCAGGCGAAAATTTGCCTCAACAAGTCAAAGAAAACTACTTTACACATTTAGAAAGATATCGCGATGATTTTTCTGAGGATATGTCTTACCATTCCCGTGACATTAGACAACTACAAGCACCTAAGCACCCTAAAGGGAAAGCTGATGATTCGATGTACGAGGACGACTCTTCTTCTAGTTCTCGCTCTAGGAAGTCGAAGAAAAGAAGCCGAAATGGTGAAGAGTACGGCGATCATTCTCAAAGCCGTTATAGAAATAACGCAAGTAAGTCTAATTTTTTTCCTCCTCCATACCAAAAATCCAAGCCTGCCCCTAGACCATCGTCGAGAGGAAATCTTCTTCCCCCAACACAGAACAGGAAACACCCGCTAGATTTCCCTCGCTCGTCGAAGTCTCAGCACCAACGGTTTGATTATTAAACGTTTGACTTTATAGAAAAAAATCAATCAGCTACCTTCTCCGCCCCTGAGACAGCTTTTGCCCCAAGTCCTAGTAGCTAAAAGGCAATCTATCATCATTGAAAATCTGTCGCATGGGAGAACTACTATCAGTGTTAAAACACCATCTTTCTTTTGAATGGTCCAAACTTAATTGTCAAGTAATGATGAGTTATACGCGAGGGCCTTAAAGAAAACAGGTTCACGAGGGTTCGTGTTTCCAGCAGACCAATAATTCAATGTTTGGCATTATGAAGCCACTCGCACGTTATGGATACGTTGTGTGGAGATTCCGTCCTGAATTAAGCCTAGCAGAAGAGCGCCCTTTCAAGATTGATGTCGGCATAAGACATCGCTTGCACATTGAAACCTAATGCTAATATAAAGCTAATGTACGTTTTGAGAGTCAAAAGTTTAGCAACCTGTTTGAAACGCCTAGCTATGATAAAATCATAAAATTATGAATGGTAATAGCGAGTGTACACTTTTAGCTGTTACTATTTCTGCGGTGGTCGGCCCTCCTAGCCCTTTTGATCAAAGCAGTATCCTCTTTGGATTCGGTATGCCTTTTCCTTGTAGGGGCATCTAATTGTCCCATCAAACACAATTTGCCCAATTTCCTTTTTGGCAACGTTAGAAATAAGCAATCCAATACCTGAAGTCTACCGAGCCTGCTGTGCATATAAAATTCTGCGCCCAGTAGTAAAATATGACCTGTCTCACAAGTAGCGACAATCTCAACACTTAGTGAAACGTCTCCTTGACATTTACCGCACCCTTGGCAAGCGCGACATTCTTTTATCAATATCGTCGCATCCTTAACCAGCCCCAAGTAGAAATCTATAACTTTGATGAACTCAAAGCTGTTTTGTGTGTCAATATCCAAGTTTCTTAACCTAATTCGATCCACTAACACCAAACCATCGGCGTTTAGAAAGAGACATAATGATTCATCAATTACGAACACGCGTTGAAATGGAAAAGAGTTTTGTGAGATGTTGTGGGAAACACCCATGTTTTCTATTTGCGGTTCTGTGGTCGCAAGCGACTCTGCATCGCGAAAACGTATGATTTCCAAGTAAGGGTTTGCTCCAAATTTGGGACGATGTGCTGTAAACGTGAGACATTTGTTGACTGCCAAAATCTCGAAATTGTGGTATGCAACTGTTAGAAATGAATTCGAAGAAGCTTTTTCTTCTCTACTAATCGCAGATTCTTCAGTAGCATCCCCGTAGGTTCCATCTTCGGGATTTGAATTGGCAAACTCGAAAGCTGTCGGAAAGAAATTCGCATCTAAACGCTTTTGATCAATGCACGAATCGCAGGAGAATCGAGATTTTCTATTTCTCGGCGCGGCTGCGTCATCATTTTTCAAAAACGTCCTCCAAGAGCGTTGATTGCGACAGATTTTCCTCCCAGGCTGCACTAACGCGTTTCTTAAGATTTTACAACCACTGGATGCACCGCTTATGTCGTCCCCTGGGCACTTCACGACGTCGTTATTGTCTCTGTAGTGAGATGAAGATTTTTGTTTCCAGCAGGTATAATATTTTAGCTCCGGTACTCCACCCCTTGCCCTCAGATTTGAGTTAAATACTTCTTCTTGTTCAAATATGCTGCAGTTAGACAACTGTGCTTTGAAGATCGTGCGCAATAGATCCCACTCAATAGAGGGGTCAGTCTCTTCGTTGCCACAATCTGTTAGGCCACACATTTTCCAATAATCTGCCTGGGCTGATCCAGAAGCGTTTTCAATGGAACACTTCAAGTAATTTAAGTATATGAGGTACGCATTTGTGATAATTATCTTGTGAATTTTTAGCCCGATACTTGGTCCAGTCGCTATGAAGCTCAAAACGTTGATCGGATTAATACGAAAGTAAGTGATACCTGAACCTAATTCAAACGAAAAAGAAGGTTGAAAGCATGGAACGTCGGCGTATATTTCCGCTTGATAATCCCGGTACTTGCCATGAGCAGGTGCTAAAAAGTTGAAGATGTGTTTATGTTGCGTTCTGCCCGAGAACTCGATTTCCTTCAAAAACTTAGCGTCTTCGACAGGCTGTCCTTCACTGTTTGGTGTTGAAAATGGTTTAGGGCAGTGCTTGTCATCAAGATCTTTAGCGTTTATAACACATTCCGTTTTGATGTAATTTCTGGGCAAATTCAAGATGAAAACACTCACTAGCCCACTTTCCGCGACGCAGTACAGTAGTCCGCAACTATATTCAATTGTCAAAACTGGCGATTGGCCATCCGTCTCAAAATTCTCTGGCGCAACGCCACATGTCAAAACCCAACTCGGTTCAAGGACGGAATTTTTTGTTGATTTGGCCTGTACATCTGTGAAGACTTCGATAAAACCGTCACCACGACCCACAAGTAAATAGTCGGAAGTATCATTTTGGTCTGTGCTCTGAATGCTGGTATCAAAATCCCAATTTTGCCCAGGTTTTAGGTAACATAATGCCGTGATTTCTTCGATAGAGTCTCGCGACTGCCTAAGGTACATTTGTTTAGTTTTGAGTACCCCATTCTCGTAATCCATTATTCGGAAGTCGCACGGACCATCGGATGTGTTGTTGATAGACACAATGAACCGAAGCATTGTACCTGCCAGATTTTAGATCAGTCTTGTCACTTAATTGCCCTCTCTTGCGTTTTATTTTCTCTCGTTATAAAACAAGTGTGCTACCTCACCATACCCTAAATTTAGCTCTCAACAGTCGATGATACTGTCAAAAACACTTAAACTAAGAACTATGGCAACCATGAGGACGTGGAATGAGTCTGTGGTGATTATGGACAAAAAATCTAAGTTCCAGGGAAGGTGTTGCAGTATAAAAAGTCAAGACGAAATTCCTAAGATTCTACAAACTTTGGTAGATTCTAACAAATCGGTGAGCAAAGCAAGCCACCAGCATATGTATGCATGGAGAACGGGTGAAACCGCAGTAGTACAAGTTCTGGGCTCAAAAAGAGGTAAAAAGGGTGCAAAAGTAGAGACTCAAATACGGAACTTGGAACAAGGCTTTAGTGATTGTGGGGAAGCTGGGGCAGGACAAAGATTACTCGTACTACTTGAAAGAAGCGGTGTAGTGAATGTTTTAGTTGTGGTTACGCGTTGGTACGGAGGAACCCCACTAGGTAGTGCACGGTTTAGACACATCGCGGCTGCCGGTGTTGAAAGCCTTAAGAAGTCTGGTTGGATTTCGTGAATCCAGCCTTTTGGTCATTTTATAGATAGAAGATGGAGTAAAATTTCTACTGGCATGCGCGACATTAGAATCATTGTACTATACTGGGTGGTGGTAGATAAACTGGATGTTTACTATATGAGCTTCCTCCTGCACGAGATTGAACACCGAATTGAAAAGCTGCCAGCTACGAGCAACACTTAATATGTGAGACGTGTTAATCAATGGCTGGCCTTTTCACTGTAGGTCGTTTCACAGCAATATGAGCCTTCTTGCCTCTCTTACTATTTGCTAATGCTCGGATCTTATGCCATCTAGCGCAGCACAAATAAAAGCATCATACATATGTAGAGTATATATGTCCAGTCTTCAATTAACGACACCATTCTCTAACGCTTGCAACTAGTTTCAAACATCGAATATACTCCATGTTTGTACTTTGAAGGCAGTTATACTGTTTTTCTCAAATATATCATTTAGGATACTCTTAGGAGTACCAATTAAACCTTTCTTGATGACTCATTAACATCTCTTCCCTGAGTCGCAAGAACATATCTCTATTTCATTATTTAAGAAAGCCGTATGTGCCTTCTTTCGTAGTGCTGTTTACGTCGCGATTGATTGCTGAAATTACAAGATTAGGTCAGGTTCAGTTACCTATAATCACTGCTAGGATGTTTTTATTTGACCTCAGCACGATTTACCTTGACAGCATTCATCAAATATTTATCATTAATTTCTACTCTAGGGTTGTAAGTGAATATATACAAAAGTACAGGTGTTGGATAGCGCAGTAATCTAACTTTTAGTAACTCAAACGTATTTGTAAGGGTTCAAAATAGCGTTAGGGTCGTAAAGGCTCTTCAATTGTTTTATCATCTTGATCTCTTGATCGTTCTTAGAATATCCAATATAGTTCTTCTTTTGAAAGCCTAGACCGTGTTCAGCACTAATTGAGCCGTTCTTCGAGGAAACATACTCGTAAACAAAGGGTTCGAGAGCTTTTTCAACATCCTTCGTGTATTCTCTGACGGCTACATTCAAATGTAGGTTACCGTCGCCAACATGGCCGTAACCGACAGCGCTGATAACTGGTTTTGAAGAATCTGTTTCGCTCAGAAGATCTTTTTCGGCCAATCTGTCGTTTGCGGCCTCGACAAGAGAGTATAAATCTTTGAGTGGCAACGAGACGTCATACTTGTAGACTCCGCCCCCAGCTTGACTAGACTCTGGAATCATCTCTCTCCACTGCCACAAATTACGCAACTCAGTTTCGTCCTGCGCCACAACACCGTCGAGAACGGTGCCATCTTCCATTGCCTTCTCTAAAAAGGTTTCGAGTTTGACGTCGTCGTGTTCTTTATTAGAGCCCGAGGTTTCAATCAAGACATAAAATGGGTATTCATCTTCAAGAGGGTGAATTACATCCTTTAAGTGATGTTTCGCCAACTTCTGGGAGTTGAGGTCCATAAACTCGAAAGCAGATAAAATTTCGGAAAGCTCTTGTTTAGCTTTCACAAACACTTTTTGCACTGCCTCATAACTATCGACACCAAGAAAGCTGACGTTGATAGCTTTTGGACGTGGAGGAGTCAAAATCGAGACACCGGTAATAATACCAATGGTGCCTTCGGAACCTATGAACATCTGCTTTAAGTCATACCCAGTGTTGTCTTTTCTAAGAGCGTGCATGGAGTTCATACTTTCACCATTTGGCATAACAACTTCCAAACCCAAAACGGTTCCGTGCAATGAGCCATAACGCAATAGCCTCAGACCTCCGGCGTTGGTAGCTACGACACCGCCAACATGGCAAGAACCCTTGGCGCCCAAATCCAGTGGGAAAATATACCCATTTTCCGCTAGGTAAGAGTCTGCATTCTCTAAAATGACACCGGCATCACATTTTAAGACACCACTTACAGGATCGAAGTCACGAATTTTGTTGAGCTGGTTCAAACTCAGAACGATTTCGTCGAAGACTGGTACAGATCCACCGACCAAACCCGTGTTACCACCTTGTGGAACAACCGCCAATTTCTGGTCATTGCAGTATCTGAGAATTTGAGAGATTTGTTCCACAGTTTTGGGTCTCAACACTAGCTTCGATTGACCTTTATATTTGCGCATCCAGTCCTCATTAAACAGGGCCAGGTCTTCATCTGCGGTAGCCTGCAGAATTTCACTTTCAGACATGATCGATTGGAAAAATGACAAATCCTCCTGTGTTAGCTTTTTGTATTGTGGAAGGCGCTCAATATTGGGATAGGATTCCGCGGTTAATTTGGGTGGAATTTTAGTGGAATATTTGAAAGCACTCACCATACAAGCCGGACTTGAGCGCAACGCTGCGAGATTACTGGAAACTAGAACAGCTCCAGAACCTACCTTAGCTCTAGACGCAAGTCTGACAGTTCTTTGAATAGTCGATCTCAACATTGGAAAGGTAGTATTTGCTTTCTTGAGAAGCCTTACAGCTTTCGAACTAAAGTTTAACAAGTAGATCGTTCGTAATTGCTAAATTTTTCAATTAACGGAACTGATCAAAGTTAGTGCATTTCACATGATAGGTAAAGAATAGTCCATCCAAAACTCATGTGAATACCGGCGCTTGGCGGCTCACCGTGCAAATTCTTAGGAGGTAATGTAAATTAGTCAGTTATACTCATCGTTGAGTCTACATTAATGTCATGCTGCATCTGAGGGAAATCTAATGCGGCAGTTGTAGCTGACATAAAGAAGTAAAGTAGGTTACGCTATGGAATACAGCCACGACATATTAAAACATTTGTGAACAGACCTTGACTCCACGTCACGTCTTTGCATTTCGTAAATTTTAGACAACGTAGGCGCCAGACAGCTATTGTGGGGTCGAAGTCGAAATGCGGCAGCGGAGTGGACTAAACTGATCTGAACTGAATTGGGGTCTTCAATACACAAGAATGCTTCCTTAAAGCTACGTGCACTTTACTCCTTTGCAGCTTAAATAATGACACATTTGCACATGTCATTTCAGCTAAGAACCTGATATGTTAATAAAGATTAGGGAGTCCACCTTGGTGATAAATACAACTGATGCGCAATATGGAACTCGCAACTCATTTCTCACACCTGGGAAATTAAACAACTTTTTGAAAAGCCATTTACATGTTTTAAACATGAATTGTCAGGTGTTGGTATTGGGTGATTAAATATTTCAACCGCACAGCTCTGAAATTCAGTTTACCTTAAACCTAAAAACAGAAGAGAAGAAAGAATCCATCGCCATAATGTCTACTCCAGCCGCCGTCGATGCCGCCTGCATTTTCTGTAAAATCATCAAGGGTATGTCTTTGAGAAAGAAAATGGCTTAGCTTATAAACCTAGTCAAAACTGCATCACTAACAACTCACAGGTGAAATTCCATCTTTCAAGCTGATCGAAACTAAGCACACCTTCTCATTCTTGGATATCCAACCTACAGCAGAGGCGCATGTTCTCGTCATTCCTAAGTATCATGGTGCTAAATTGCATAACGTTCCAGACGAAAACTTGGCAGACATCTTGCCGGTCACCAAGAAATTAGCCATCGCGCTGGATTTGGCGATTGACTCTCCAGAAGGCGTTGGCTACAACATCTTGCAGAACAACGGAAGAATTGCCCATCAGATAGTTGATCATGTACACTTTCATTTGATCCCAAAGAGAAACGAGCAAACCGGGTTGCAAGTTGGTTGGCCCGCCATCGATACTGATTTTGAAAAATTGGGAAAGCTACACAAGGAGCTGCTAGCAAAGTTGGAAAAGTCAGCGTAAAAGTGGACTCGCGTGTTTAGTTTGTTTTTACGTTGATATTATGTAACAGAGATGAGGAGAGGTTAACTGCGAATAGCAGTCCTGTCTGCGTGCCCATGAAGAAAATCTATTAATCGAGGAATAGTTGAAGTAAATGTTCAGCAGTGTCTTAAGTCGAGCTTGAACGAAAATGACAGAATTTCAAAGACGCTGGATCAAAAACCTAAAAATATCGCGCTAGGTAGTGATTTACATAAGCTTCGGTGCCACCAAGCGTAACAAGAACATGGTCGAAAATGAAGCAGTCAGGCCCCTGCGAATCGTCTCGAAGATTTTGCTTATTCTGACCACCCTTAGACATTTTAAAACTTTGGTCGCAGTCGCTGGATACACGGATGGCCCGATCTTTTGTAAAACCAATCTCCCAAACTTGGCGGTAGTGAATTGGCTCTCGAGATCCTAGATGCGCTAATTACTGAAATCGTGCCGTTTGGAACAACTCGAGTCCAATTCGCATTCTACTAAGTTCTTTGATTACAAGACACCATTCCTACACCGAAAAGCCCTTGGCGATCCGTCGCTGAGTGCTCTGGAGATTAATATACACCCACAACAATCTGAAAAGCTTGAGGGACCTTGACTTGAGCTCACATAATTCCGGTGGCTCTGAAAGTTTCCTTGATGTTGACCAAAATAAAATCCGAGACTTTTCAGAGGCCAGTTAAATGTTAATAATATTCGATTTCCATTTCACAATCTAGAAACCGGGCTATCACTTGCCAAATTGCAGATATGTTTAAAGTGTCTTCTCGTCCGAGCGTATCTAATGATATTGTTTATAAAGGAAAGTACCCGGTGGCAAAAGGATATTAACCCTAACCCACTACCACTTACAAGAAGATCTGTAATCCAAACTCCCGAGAGAATTGGTTTCAGCAAACTTATACTAGCCACTTAAACTCTATCCATAATGGTTGACGAGAAAAAGCCTCTTTTGGACAGCTCTGGCCGTGAAGCCCGCGAGGACGACGCTACAGCAACAGCTATTCTAAGAAGAAAGAAGAAGGACAACATGTTGATGGTGGACGATGCAGTAAACGACGATAACTCTGTGATCGCGATTAATTCCAACACAATGGACCTACTGCAGCTATTTCGCGGTGACACCGTCCTGGTAAAGGGCAAGAAGCGCAAAGATACAGTTTTGATTGTGCTGATCGATGACGAGCTTGAAAATGGAGTTTGCAGAGTAAACCGTGTAGTCAGAAACAATCTGCGTATCCGCTTAGGCGATCTCGTCACGATCCATGCGTGCCCCGACATTAAGTATGCCTCGCGCATCTCTGTTTTGCCTATCGCTGATAGTGTTGAAGGACTAACTGGAAGTCTATTCGATGTGTATTTGAAACCATACTTCGTCGAGGCGTACCGTCCTGTGCGCAAGGGAGACCATTTCGTTGTAAGAGGTGGTATGCGCCAAGTCGAGTTCAAAGTCGTTGACGTTGAACCTGAGGAATATGCGGTGGTAGCTCAGGACACTGTGATCCACTCCGATGGCGAGCCTATCAACCGTGAAGATGAAGAGAACAACATGAACGAAGTCGGGTACGATGACATTGGTGGATGCCGTAAACAAATGGCGCAGATTCGTGAATTGGTCGAATTGCCGCTCAGACACCCCCAGCTATTCAAAGCTATCGGTATAAAGCCCCCAAGAGGCATTTTAATGTACGGGCCTCCAGGTACTGGTAAGACATTGATGGCGAGAGCAGTAGCGAATGAAACTGGTGCTTTCTTCTTTTTGATCAATGGTCCTGAGGTCATGTCTAAGATGGCTGGTGAATCTGAATCTAATTTGAGAAAGGCCTTCGAGGAAGCCGAAAAGAACGCCCCTGCTATTATTTTCATTGACGAGATAGATTCCATTGCACCAAAGCGTGACAAGACCAACGGTGAAGTGGAAAGGAGAGTCGTCTCGCAACTATTGACGCTGATGGACGGTATGAAAGCTAGATCAAATGTTGTTGTCATCGCTGCTACAAATAGACCAAACTCTATCGACCCAGCTTTGAGAAGATTCGGTAGATTTGACCGTGAAGTTGATATTGGTATTCCAGACGCTACCGGCAGATTAGAAGTTCTACGCATCCACACTAAGAACATGAAGCTGGCTGACGATGTAGACTTGGAATCCCTTGCAGCCGAGACTCACGGTTACGTTGGTGCTGACATTGCTTCCCTGTGTTCTGAAGCAGCCATGCAACAAATCCGTGAGAAGATGGATTTGATTGACTTGGACGAAGAGGAAATTGCTGCCGAAGTTCTAGATTCTTTAGGGGTTACTATGGACAACTTCAGGTTCTCTCTAGGTAACTCGAATCCATCTGCATTGCGCGAAACTGTTGTGGAAAGTGTCAACGTTACATGGAACGACATCGGTGGCTTAGACGAAATTAAACAAGAATTGAAGGAAACCGTAGAATACCCAGTTCTACACCCAGATCAATACACAAAGTTTGGGTTGGCTCCTTCTAAGGGTGTGTTGTTCTACGGTCCACCAGGTACCGGTAAGACTTTGCTTGCCAAGGCTGTGGCCACTGAAGTTTCCGCGAATTTCATCTCTGTTAAAGGACCAGAGCTTTTGAGCATGTGGTATGGTGAATCCGAATCCAACATCCGTGATATTTTCGATAAAGCTAGAGCTGCTGCTCCAACAGTGGTTTTCTTGGATGAATTGGATTCTATCGCGAAAGCCAGAGGTGGTTCAGTGGGTGATGCAGGCGGTGCCTCCGATAGAGTCGTAAACCAGTTGTTAACCGAAATGGATGGTATGAACGCCAAGAAGAACGTGTTCGTCATCGGTGCGACTAACAGACCAGATCAGATCGATCCTGCCATCTTGAGACCTGGTAGATTAGATCAGCTAATATATGTCCCACTACCAGACGAAATGGCCAGATTATCTATCTTGAACGCTCAGCTAAGAAAGACTCCACTGGAACCTGGTTTGGAATTGACAACAATTGCAAAGGCTACACAAGGCTTTTCCGGTGCTGATTTGTCGTACATTGTCCAAAGAGCTGCCAAGTTCGCCATCAAGGACTCTATTGAAGCTCAAAAGAGTGCCGAGGCTGAACGTCAAAGCAAAGTTAAGACTGAAGATGTGGAAATGGGTGACGGCGCCGAAGCAAGTGCTCCAGCAGCCGAAGAAGAAGAGATCGAAGATACAGTACCATACATCACTAGGGAACACTTCTCAGAAGCTATGAAGACAGCCAAGCGTTCCGTCTCAGATGCTGAGCTGCGTCGTTACGAAGCATACTCTCAGCAGATGAAATCCTCAAGAGGCCAATATACCAACTTCAGCTTTGAAGATGCTCCAAGCACTAACCAGCCCGCTGGAAACTCTGAAAATTCGGGCGCCGCTTTCGGTGAAGGGGCCGAGGAAGACGATTTGTATAGTTAAGGGAGACGCCCAAGTACATGATTGATTGTGTGTAATGAAATAAATATCAAAGTTACTATTGTTACTACGAAACCAGTCCCATAGAAATGAAGCCACTTGATGTATATATATATTAAACGCCTTGCTTGCGCTTTGGTGACATCGCAACTGCTAATGTATATCAGCCAAACAACAGCAGAGTCATGCTACTTCACCCTCATCTGAACGCAATTTTTTTATCCAATTGTCCTGCAATAAACTCTTCCAGTGAGTTTAAGATACCCTTCCCATGCGATCGTCTTACCTGAACATTGAAACCAAGTCCGATCTCATGCCAAACCGCTTTGACGAATGTTCAACTGGCGTAGGCAGCCCACTCTTGATTATGATCGGCCTAGCCACCCGAATCTTTTCAGATCTTGAGGTTGACAACTTCGGCTGGTGGTAGTTATAGCTCTCTTCTTCAATGCGATGCATGTGTGCAGACCGTGAGCTCGAAAGTAGTGGTGTTCTCCCCGATTCACGCGAATCTTTCGTAGACATTGTGGAAATGGTAGCGCTGGAGAACAACGACGGGATTGACTTGCTACTCGAAGAACGGGACTGCACGTCGCTCTGATAAGCGGCTTTGGACTGGTGTAGTGTCGGGAGATTGAAATACAATAGATCTTGTCGTTGGGCCAGAATTTGAGCTTTGATGGGAGCCAGAAATGGCGCAAGACAGGTGAGTAAGTCTTGCATGGTGATCCGAATATTCCAATCAAAATACTCAAGCAGCTCGCGTTCCAGAGTATTAACCTCTCGGGCATCTAATAGACCGTTGGTGTACGATGCCCAATGACGGTTCAACGGACTGGAATCATTGAGATTCTTGGCAGCCACTATCAGACAGCCTAAAAAAATCCGATGACGCGTGGTTTCGATGCCGTGAACGGTTGCTGGGATAATGGCTCTAAGTTTGGCCAGGTAAACGGCAGTTGACATCAAAGTTGGTGTTTGCACATTCGAGTGGATTACCAGACCACGGATGAATTCTGTAAGTGATACGAGTGGGTGGTCTCCTCCCGGACTGCGATCTTGGCTTTGAACGTGGATCACCGAGTTTGTAGTCGCAGCTAGAAAGTCTATCATCTCGTTAGAGACTCGCTTCCTGTTAAATTGCAAAAGCGCCTCTAGGTCTGCCATGGTCGATTATTATTGCGTCTCTCAACTATGTTAGATCTCTGTGCTAAGCTAACAGACACCGGCCTCGGCTATAAAGTTTATATATACCGTTCTATCCTGCCTCGCACTTCAACCTCAGAATAGGTAGGTTACCAAGTCTTCACAATAATCTCGCTCCACCCGCCAAAGGTGCCAATCTAGATCCACCAGCATACCTCAGCGGCGAATTTTCGCGAAACCCAGCCAATCTCTAAATAGGTTCAAGCCGCTCGTGAGTTGTCATCTTTTCGTGGAAGCTCATTTTTCGTTGTTCTGCCAACAATTTTCCAACTTTCATGAGTGAATATTTTCGCGACTATTAGCCAGCCATTCCTATAAAGGTGATAGAATGCGAAAACCAAGACAGGCGCGTGAATCAAGAGAGGTTTTCAGAAGGAATGAGTGGTGATATGTGGATACTGCTGGCAAAGTAAAATTGGCAATGCTAGCAACATCACTTTGGATGGACTACGCGCCAGCGAGAAAAGAAATCTCTTTACCTTTTTTCTTCTAGTCGAGGAGCTCTGAAGGGTAGAAAAATGGGTAGCTGGCCGTTTCAAAAGCGGTTTGAAAACCTCCAGAGCTACTCTTCATCCAAGCGTTTACGTTGGTTTAAGGCACGGTTCTTTGGCCCGCAGAATCGGAATCATCAAACTGCTTTGGTCCAACTTTCAATGATATGCTCTCATCACGCAAATTGCTAAAGAAAATGTTTAATAAGAACGATATGATGTTAGAAATCAGTCTACAGATTACAAATTTGCCTTTCGATCGTGTAACCCCATTCCACATACAAGAGCAGATCATTGAAACAGAGAAATTTTTGCATGATTTTTGTCTCTGCCAACTTTGATAGCATTTTTCACTAAGAAATGCGTCAACATACCTTGCAAAATCGTTTGCGTTTAGCTGGCTACTAATAATGTCTAGTGGCGCACAATAGCTGGCTATTGTTTGGATTGAGAGATATTTTCAAAACTTGATACATTTTGCGGCACAAAGGAAATGCACTTTTTGAAGTCGCGCATGGCGACGACGTGGGAATTTGAATACTACGAATTTTCACAAGCTTCGAATTCGAGTGAAATTTTGATCTTGTGGACATGGCAGATCTGGAGTCGACAGAAAAGCTCTGACAAGCAAAAGTTTGTGGACATGATGAGGTAAAGTTCAAAATAAGGAACTTTCTTGAGGTTTCAAAAAAACTATATACAGATTATAGGACATGTCTTAAAAGTTACTTAAGAATTTTGGAGTATCTCTAGCAATCATATTAAGCAAGCACATTGATTTAACAGCGCGGCAGTATTTTGGCACATGAATCCTCGGACAGTAAAGATTATCCGGTTCCGTCATCTTGCAAGCAAGCCCATCTTTTTGGAGCGCCAGCTGGGGCTCAACCAAAATCAAAGTTCAAATCGTCCACTCCAAGAAGAAAAATATTATCTCTGGCATCAGTGGTCTCAATGCTTAAAAGAAGAGATCGACTTAAAGTTGGGACTTAGTATGAATGTCTCTGATAGTAAATTCCATAACTTAACCTGAATAAATGGCTGAGTTTAGCTGTAAAATGAAAATCAGCGGGGGAGTTATTTCCGTTTTAAGCGCCGCGACCTCCTTTTGAATTGCGATCAACTCTTGTTACTTATTCTTCCAACGAAGTTGTTATTAGTCGCAACGGTCCGTCGAAAACCATAAGCGGTTGACTTCTTGCTTTGGAGCTGTCAAGTTTACCATTCTTCTACAATCAAATGCTTTACTCACGCAGTCTGACCTTACTAATAGATTAATTCTCCAGTGAACTCCACAATCTTGTAAATAAAAGAGTCGAACATATAAGACTAACATCAATGTCTGGTATTTTAGGAATATAAAAGGAATACGTAATTTCACTCATGTGGAAAGCGAAGAGAGGGCTTCCTGATCGGGATAGTAGAAAAATGCAAGAGCAATCAGAACGTACATCGCAATGGACATGATTCCCTCTAGATAATTGGATAAACCATCCAAAATCAAGTAGTTGGAAAGGAACACCGAAATGAACAAGGTAGCAGTCTCAAAAGTTGAGAAGTTCAATGTCATGGGAACACCAATTGCCCACCCTATTAAAACCATAGTCGGAGTAACGAAAAGAGCAATCTGAAGTGAAGAGCCAATTGCCACACTCAACGCGAGATCCATTTTGTTTTTAGTAGCCACAACAACCGACGTAACGTGCTCAGCTGCATTCCCTACAATAGGGATGACTATCAAACCAATAAAAGTCTTGGACAAACCTGAGGTCTCAACAACATGATCGATACTGCCAACGAGGAAGTCAGCGCAAATAGATACTAGAATTGTAGTAACCACGAGGACAATGATCGAGGACTTTACCGACAACGTGTGCCTCTTGGGGTGTTGCTCCAAGACCTCATCAGCTTCTTCCTCCTGCTGTTCAAATAATGTGTGGTGAGACCCGAGTTGGAAGTAGAGAAAGCAAACGTAAACGACAAGAAGAACGATCGAAGTTGACCTGGACAAACTCAAGATCTTGGCATTGATCAATAAGTCTTGCTTCTTGTTGTCATCTGGAAGAGAGGCACGGAACGCGGCTGGAATCAACAACGAGGCGCACGAAATGGCCAACAGGGACGACATGGTTTGAGCTGCCGTCTGATTGAAGTTCTGTTCCACCCTGTTGTAACCACCGGCTAGGAAACAGAAGCCAAGCACCAGCAGCAGGTTCGACAATATGCTTCCTAGCATAGATGCTTGGACAATAGTAACCTGGCCACTGCGGAGGGCTATAATCGAAACAATAAGTTCCACAGCATTACCCAGGGTGGCATTTAGCAATCCTCCCAGAGTAGAGCCAGCTTTGTCGGCCAGCTCTTCCGTCGCGAAAGCCAAAATTGCTGCCAATGGGATGATAGCCACGAAGTTCAGGATGAAGTTCCAGGTCACAGACAGCTTCCCGTACCCGAACATCAATCCCAGTGGTACAAAGGCAATCAAGTAATTGATCGGAGAGGACTTGAAAACAACAACAATATCGCGCCACATCGCCTGCAACATTGGGGTTTTCTTGTTCCTCAAGCCCTGTGATAAAAGAGGGGTGTTGGACTCCATTTTGAGTCTTTAGCTGTTGAAGGTGCTAGATGATAAGGTCAAAAGAAAATAGTCAAGAACTGGATCAAAGATCTTCTCAAGTATTGTCCGGAAAATGAAGAATGTTAAGGGAGATGAAAGGCCACTAAATAAAGATATAGATGCAGTGCTGCTCCAGGCTAATGGTAACTGAGTTCCAGTGCTTCTTCTGATTGATTGCTGGAATAAAGGTGGTATAAGAGAAAGGGTCCTTTGTCTCAAGTTACATTTTTTCATCAAACTGCGAGACAATAATTTGCAATAAAAAAACCGCTCAGCGTCACTAAATTAATAAAGTTTAGAATTTCTGAGAGGAGCCAGCAGACGCTTTAACAACTTTAACGAAACGCGCGCAATCTTAGAGAAACACGACAACTTCTTAGAGAAATGCAACAATTTTTTGAGTGGTTTTAAGCTTTCAAATCGACGTTGTTTTCGAGTAATTAGTGTAGGATGAAGATTATTGCTGAATGGCACCAAAAGTGCCAAGTGAGAACATGATAGTTGACCATATTGTGAGCCCAACAATGGGAAAGCTGCGATGGTTTGAAACTGAACGCCAGAAGGACATAATTTTGCGGAAAACACGCAGAATTAGAATTTCGTTATCGTCATCCGTCGTCAGCAAATCTTGCGTGTAGATCGAGTTCATGACGAAAAGCTGATCGGAGGAAATATATTGCAGACTCTGCGGCTGCGAAGAGTGGATATGTAAATCAGAGTTGGCTTTGTGGAGGGAATCTGAGGAATCAGTGCCAGTGTCATTCCATACAAATAGGAACACGCTCATCACGAAGCTGAGCGTTGAAAGCGGCAGGATTGCTCTTAGAATGAAAAATCCGAAGGTGCGAGACCCAAAATACCTAACTGCGGGTGAAAACAGCCAATCATGGCCTGGAACGTAGATGAAATACATCGAGATGATGAAAGCGTTTCCAACCAATAACAGGATGCTGTCAATTACCAGCAAGTTGAACACCAGCAACTCTTTGATAAAAACGCGTTTCGACACGATTTCTGGAAAGTATATGACACTACCGTTAAAGAGGCCGGGATGTCTATCACGGGACCGAGGGCGGGAGCCTGTGTTACCTTGCTCCGAGTCTCTTAACAGCGAGATAGAGCTGTCGTTGAAGCTTACAAAAACAGTGTCTGTCGATTCCTCATCTGGATTTGAAGTGGTCATTTGTGAATGCGGTGGGTCCTCATGGGAGTATACGTTCTCGGAAATGAGGGACGCTTTCCGTTTAACGTCGATGCATTTAGATAGTGTAATATTATTTCTTACCAATCCTTGCTCTTCTTGGAGCACCTGTGTTTCCATGTTGCGCTTAGCAGATTCAGGAGACGGAACCTCTTCGTACCTGTGCAAGTTCTGAACTAGACATATCAGTAACTCGCATAGTGACCATGATATCCCAAAAACCGCAGATTGCTTTGGTATTATATGCCAGATTGTTTCATCTATTGTGCCCGTAATACGGGCAGCCTGCAGTTGGGGATACGCTAGGCAGAAAATGATCAATAGACAAAACCAGTCGTTAAATGGGAAGTCCACAAAAAGGTTGATCAAAATGGCTCGAGGGCTTAACATGAGCAAAAAGTCTCGCAGGAAGTATAGCGCAAATGGCGAAAAGAAGCCAAGCAGGGATGCTCGGAAATAGTCTTGTCCGTTGGGCTTGAACATAGACTGGTCGTCATATTGAGAAATCAACAGTTGATGAGCAAGGCCATATGCAAGCCCGAAAAGTCCCAGTACATTCACAAAAAGAATGATCTTGATCCATGGTTTGCTTGAGCACATCAGCGGCATAAAATAAGGTGCAACATAGCCGATCCTAGCCATCCTGTCAGGATTGGAATAGGAATGTGCACTTAACTTAGTTTGCGCTTGAAATTGTCTTTCAGGTTTAAATGTGTGTTAAAAATCAAATGTGTCTCAAATTTTGAACGTTACTAAAATAATAGTACCTGTGCTTGAGTCATCCCAGGGTTCGTGCGTACACTTTGTACTCGACTAGTTACGCAAGAGGGATGTGGAGTAGGGTCATTTTCGCCCCTTGACAGAGTGTTTAATATTCCATTTCTACCGTACATATGCTAAAAACAAACCACACCTGTGGTTGATGATAGACGGGGGTATATAGACCCGTCGTGTTATTAATCCCAGTAATGTTACAATAAGCTTCGCATTGCGAAGCACAGTCCTTTTTCAGATTCGTTCCAGATGGAAGACCCGCACGAAATTGCTGGCAGATGGATTATCACTGCTTCTGCGCATTCGTGGATGTGGCTTATGGTTTTCGACCAGTCGCAGGAGTGATGTGCTTGGCTCTTGTCGCGAAGACTGTTTTCTAGAAGTAGCTTTGCCTGGTTTCGAGACCCGCCTCGGAGACGCCAAAGGTGGCAATTGATGTTGTAAAGAGGGCTTTGGTGGGAGCGGGTCAATAAGCGGGCTTTGCAATTGATTTAGGCAACGATTGCGAAAGAACTCCACTTCTTTTTTGATGAGATTGTTTTCAACCGCAAGTCGAGAATCCCAGGCAGAACGGTTTTCCAGTTGCGACAGCTGCGCCTGCAAAGACCAGTGAGAAATGGCCGTGAGCGACTGATTCAAAACCGATACCAGTTTTGGTACGTTTGGAGGGGACTCTTGTTGCTGCAAGTCCTGCAGGGTTTCGACTATGGTCATTTCCAGATCCCGTGTATTTTGCACCGATGGAGCCTCCAAGGGTGACCGATCTCCGAAATCGCCAGATTCCTCTACGCCTGTGGGCGACTCCAGCAGCTGTTTGCGGGCCTTCGGTTCTTCTGGAGTGATCGTTTGGACACAACTTTTCTTGCGTGCCATTTTTGCTAGTGCGATGCGATGAGCTCGTGCGAGGGTCTTTCCGGTAGTAACGGAGACAAAAACGGAATCTAGCAGCCGGTCGTGGTATCCACTAACGAAAATAACACTGGAAACGTCGATCAGAGAAGGCTGTGCCCAAGTGTGTGTGACTGGCAAATCGTTGTTGGTCGTGGTGACAAAAGATCGATTAATTTTAATTTGAAAAACCGAGATGAGTATCGAATACCAACCGAAAATGCAAGCAAGGTTCTGCGCTTGTGGTACGAGGATTTGTCAAACAGCGCTAATATCGTGGATGTAGCGGTTTATGAAGCTGTATCCCGTCTAAACAATGCACTTTTTAATTTTCCAGGCTAGCAACGACAGAATCTTTTGCCAAACGTTATTTTCAACCGAAAGAAAAAAAAATTGGTGGTGTCTATGGAAGAAATAGCAGCCGTTTCGCTGTATATAACGGTAAAGTTTATATGGACACTCAAGAGCCGTTTGATACGTTCGTTGTCATTTGCAAAGCCTCTTGCTAGTAGCCACATATATGTAATTATATAGCTCATCGTCGTAAGGCTCCCGTAGTTCAAGATTTACTAAGTATTGCTGAGTACGCGCATAATGCCTGCTAAGTGCGTCAAGATGCATGCGTAAACGGTTTAAACAAGCGTGAGGCCAGACGTGGGCTTCTGGAAAAGACAAATTAATGTGGACGATCGCAGAAGCGATGCAGGGAGGTACGGTGCATGGAAGGATTTTCGCGAGTAAAAGTACGGGAGCTGCAAGCGTGGTGGGAGAGCTGCGAACGGAGCGAGACTACAAGTGCCAAAGTCAGAGTGATTTACACTCCTGAAAGGTGAGAGTTTTTCAGGAGTCCTCGAGTACACTAGGTGAGAGTTTTTACAAGAGTCTTGAGTACACTGGGCGATATTTTTCGAGAGACTCTGAGCACACTAGGTGGAGTTACAGGATGAGAGTTTTTTAGAGGTTGTGAGTACACTTGGTGAAAGTTTCGAAGTACACTACCGAAAGGTATGCGTGTATTTGAGAAATACGATAGTTATTCAGCTTAAAAACAGCCGAATAGCGAGTTTTTGGCTCGTCTTTTAGCTTAGTATTGAGCAGTAAAAAAGTCGATTTCTTGAATTCTAAAAGTTGATATATTATAACAAAACTGTTTAGTCGAATAGACCGAATCCCATGTCGTCGTCGGATTCTTCCTTCTCTTCTTCTGGGGCCTCTTCCTCAGCGGCGGCGTCACCAGCGGCAGCGGCACCAGCGGAAGCACCACCAGCAGAGGCGGAACCAGAGCCAGCGGCGTGGAAACCAGACAAGACTTGCTTTAGGTCCTTGCCTTCCAAAGCCTTGGCGAAAGTTTCAGCCCAGACCTAATTGTGAGAGTTAGTAAATGAGAGTAGAGTAGCGAGATTAGAGAGTGAGGGCAGACACCGCAGGCGAAACAGAGCACGACCAAAAACGGAGGTTGAAAGCCCGGATTTCAGCGCACCCAGAGCCAATTGAGTCGCCGTCTCTCGAGCTAGCTAAACGTGGCACATACGTTGTCGATGGAGGCACCGGCAGCCTTGGTCAAAGTGGTCAAGCTGTCGGCGGTGATGTCCAAACCGGCATCGGAAAGGATCAAAGTAGCGTAGGAGATAACAGCGTCAGACATTTTCTTTCGTTGATTTGGGTGAGAGGAAAGCAAGGGCAGAAAGGAGAGGTATATTACGGTCAAGTCAAATCAAGAGTGTCCAGTGAGTTAGTGAGTGAGTGAGAGAGAGAGAGAGAGGAAGCGTGGACTGGTGGACGAACAGGGACGAACCTGGAAAAAAAAATCAGATTCGTCGCTGGTGATCCAACTTGAAAAAACAAAAAAATTTTTTTTTCACGCACTTGCGATCGCGTATAGAGTGATCGTCCAAAAGAAGAAATGCGCATCTGCAAGAGGGAAAAAAAAAGGGGCCCAAAAAAAAATTATTTCAAAATCGAACACAAAAACAAAAATAGAGAGGTATCACATGCTACGAGAGCAAATCGGGGCCGATTCGGTGAAGGATCGGGAGATCGTGGATCACAAGCGACGAATCGGTGTCTGTCACCGTTAACGAAACGTTTATGATGTTTTCAGACTAGTCACATGATAACCGCGTGACCTGCTTTCTCCTTCACTCATACGCATACAATATGGTCGGTATACCCCCCCCCCAAATATACTGGCAGTGGCCTAATTCAGCAGCAACGTCTTTGTGTTGCGCGACTATATTCGATTGAGGGCACTGTGCTTTCTGGATGCCAATGGCCGAAGTGCAGAGTCGTTGCGTTCAAGTGCTTGAGCGGTTCTTCGAGAGATTTGATCAAAGTAGTGTTTGGTACATTCGTATTGTGAACCTCGTGATTTCGCAGATTCAAAGAGTAGATAGAGCCTTGATGATGATATGTATATACTGTCTACTGAGGCGAGTCTGGCTCAAGAATGAACAGTGCGACGACGACCAGTAATTTAACGACCATGCCTCGTCTTTGAAGCTAATCGACGAAGGTCCGTTATGTACCATGCACCTTGTCACTCTTGGTTTTTGCATCCCAGCCATTTCGTTTTGAACATAAGTTGTCTAGACCACCTGTTTAGCCTTTCTGGCGAGATATGTTGAGCTACCAGATATCATTTAGCGCTTTTGTTCATATCACTATCTACTACTCAGTCACTATGCAACTTGCCGCCATCACCGTTCACAACCGAACAACCGATTATAAAGCTTGAACCTCAGCAGAGAAGTCAGTAAGCACATGTCGAAACGACTCCAAACTATTCATATTTTTCCACACATGTTTAAATCTGCAGACCGAGACATGAGACAATTGACAACTACCATCCCACCCAGTGAGAATGACCCCCACGCTTGGAATTCTCAAATACATGTGTACTACTCCGTGCTAATCGCTATCTTCCCTAAACGTTAAACGTTGAAATGAAATGACATTTTCTAGGTCAAAATTCGAACCAAAGAAAGGCTTCGACCAGGCCCTCGATAAGCAAAGATATACAGGGTAGAAACAAATTGTTGATTTGCGAATACTGGGAAAATCGCCAGGTGATCCCATTTGCATTGACTGGACCAAATACAAAATTCGTATATAGTGCTATAAAACTTGTATTGACTTCAATATCTAGGATATATGATGTCAAGTTCAAAATTATCCACATTTTGATCAAAGAATATCCCTATCTTCAGCGTACTACAATGACCGAAGAGGCCCAAGAGGAAGTGCCCAGAGATGTAAGACTACTGCATTTACTGTTGGCGTCGCAGGCTATACAACAATACGAAGATCAAGTCCCATTGCAATTGATGGATTTCGCACATCGTTACACGCGTGGAGTGTTGAAAGACGCTATGGTTTACGGAGACTACGCATCAAACGATACAAATACAGAGCTTTCTGTTGAAGACATACGGCTGGCAATTGCCGCAAGAACTCAATATCAATTTAAACCCACTGCTCCAAAAGAGTTGCTGCTACAGCTGGCTGCGGAACGTAACAAGAAAGCACTCCCACAGGTGGTCAATATGTGGGGCACCCGTCTGCCTCCTGAGAAGTACTGCCTGACTGGTAAGGAGTGGCGTTTGAACGAGGAAGTTGATGAGGATGAAAATAAGATAGGCTCCTAAAATTTCACAGGAAAGATATCGATGCGTTTGTTAACGACATTCTGCATTTTGGAACGCACCTGCCACACCTACTTGGTGATCCAACTTGAAGTCCTAACTTTTCATAAACTGGTTTTTTGCGAAATTTAATAGAGTTTTCTTGTCCAGGAACACCACAATTGCCATGGGCTCGAGGAAAGAGGCTCTCAAGATAGTACTGAGGTCATGGTAGAGCTCAGCAATATGCTTCGGTTCAATTAGTTAAACTTCGAAGGCATCGCCTTTTACGACTTATGTACAATTAGCGCTCTCAACTCCTAAAAAAAGGCAAATGGATTAAGCTCTTCGAACTACTCTTGAATCGTAGCATCAACAAACTAAACGCCTTCCAAAGATGATGTCTCAGGCATCAATCCCAGAGTATGCATTCTGATAATGCCCTATTGGCTCAAGCTATGCTGTTGCATTTCTAGTTCTCGTCCCCATACTAACATTCACGTCTAGGGTTCAAGAAGATGGTATCGGGATGGCCCTCGAAGAACGTAAGGCCAAGTTTTTCCAATTTCAAGATTTGGGCCCCCCTGATCTAATCTCAATCGTCAAATACTCCCCCTCGTCGTCGAATTCCAACTCACAAAGCTCCAAAAGTCGATCAATGCAATTGGAACCAAGTTCCTCCAATATCAATACTCATGATTTACACTCAAAGGACAAGCTTAAAGGTGAAATCGGGACTTTCCTGTACTGTGTTGGTGTGGATACCTCTGATCCTACGTCAATTGCGGTTTCCTTGAAGAACTTGGCAGATTTGATTTCTGAAAAGCCTCAAAACTGGTTTGGGAAGCAGAAACATTACAAAGTAGCGCGTATTACTTATGCCACATGGAATGCGTTCCGCAAATGTGATGTCGAAGTAGTGGTTCATATTCCAGGAGCGGTACAATCTTATATTTTGGATGCTCGCGGGGAGATTCTCCAAGTCCCACAGCAAGACCGTGAAGTGCTCTGGGCCGAGACTTTTGTATGTGGTGTGGTTCGTGCAATTACTGTGATGTCCGATAATGCTGACGAAGGTGAGGTTAATAATGTGGTTGAAACGCGAATTTTGAATCCATTGACATCCGGAGAGCTGGGCGATGTGTCAGATCGATTCATTGACGTTTTTCCTATAGTATACGCTCAAGGTTCAAAGCTGGGTGCTCCCTGTGATGTAGCCTCACCATCTCGCACCAACAATTACTTGTGCGAAACGTTATTGCATGTTACCAAACTTACAAAAAACTTTGATAGATGTCGAGAGATGCTTGTGGCGTTGATGGAAAAACATCCAGAGTGCATCGTGCTATTAGCTAAAGTACTATTGGATGCTGATCTCAAAATTGATGCAATCGCTTTGCTGCACAAAGAGTTGCGCGAGCAAGGGACATCCGTAAAGGAGTACCGCTCGGAATTGCTGTGCATTCAGGCCAAATTCTTGCTCGAGGAAAAAAAGGATTTTTCTGCTGCTCAAAAGCTGTCGCAGGCAGCTGCAGATTGCGCACCCAGTGAATTCAGACCTTGGCATCTCTTAGTGAGATCATACATTGGCCTAAACGATATTGAAAATGCTCTCCTGGCATTGAATGGGTGTCCAGTAACACCGCATCGAGAATCATATGGTTTCAAACGCGTGGTGAGCCTGGGTCAAGACTCGTCCAATTTACATTTACCATTGCCTATAGACGTTATTTTGGAGGACGTTACCAGTTTGAGCTCGACAGATGTTACCAGTGAGCACAAGGCCTTAAACTCTTCGCTCTTGAACCTACCCGCAGCTACGTTGAAAGCTAATTCTAGGACTAGATACAAATATCTTACCGAGATTGCGCTGAAAACAGGATGGGAGGCTTTACTAAAGTACAGATCAAAGCTGTTTGTGATGGAGGAAGAATATCTGGTTTCGGCTACCCCACCTGCCGAATCTGACTCCGGGTCCCAAGACACAATCCGTAGCAAGAGGTTGTGCGAACGTTGGCTCGACAGTTTGTTTATGGTACTTTACGAAGATCTCAAGACATATACCTTATGGCAGGCCGAGCAACTACACTTCGAAGCGCAAAATACTCGGTATCAAAAATCAACGGCGGAATGGGAATTACTGGGACTATGCGCACTGCGTTTGGGTCATATCGACGAGGCCGCTCGAGCTTTCCAGATCGGATTGGAGCAACGTTTCTCTGCGGAATCTTGTCGACGCTTGCTGCAAATAAGTCTTCTAGAACACAGCAAAGTGAAAACGGATCGAGATGCGTCCTCATCACAGACCATGGCTGCAGTTTTGGAGGTGGACAATAAACTCATCGACTTGTGCGTGAAGCTCTGCTGCTGGAATCACCGCTGGTACTGTGAGTTTTCTGTGCTGCAGCTTGAAACACTTGGGCATGTTGTCCATGATATCGGAATCATCAAACTATCCAACGAAATTCGTGCGCGATTCCCAGAGTCAGTTATGCAGCTGGTTCAAGATAACCTCCTCGACTTTTTCGCCAACTACACGCATGACGGCTATGACAAGTAATCTCATCAAATGAGTTTGATTCTGCCGACCTCTCACGATACTGTCTTGTGCAAAGCGAACTAGATCTACTAATGGTAAGGAAAGTGAGCATCCCCGGTAAATCCAAGGGTTTGGATTGTACGCACAATGTTGCGATTAAATCGAGGTATAGCATTATATAAACATTTTGCACTTCTCAAATGGGTTTTGCCCCGTCAAATGTTGGTGATAACTGAGATGCGCTTGCCGATAACAACACTCTGCAGAAAAGTGCCCCTGCTTATTTATGAGTCAAGTCCATGAATAACTCTCTATTACTTCAAAGTGAAGCCTCTCACAATATCTGACGTTGCTTGAGTGGTTTCCTGGCTAACGCGTAGTGAAATATCTCCGCTCATGGTGTCTTCCCAGGCGTTAAGCTTATGCCGGCGACCTCTAGCCAATCCTGTATCCGATCATCTTGTCGACCTTTGTACATAATGATTCAAAAATGAATGAAGTAATCTTAATATCGAAGAGTTTCAAAGCCATCGTTATAATTAGACTAATAAATATTGATCGAATATTTGAAAAGGGCTGAAATAGCGGTCCTCGTCTCTCTGCTAATTGTTTCAAGACGCTTTTTGGCACCACTCGGATACTTCATTCGATAAATAATCAAAATGGGGCTCCAATTTATTGCTCGCGGGGCTTTTGTTGCCCTCTGGTTGCTGGGATGCACAGTAAAAGCCATAGATTTAGATACGTCTTCCAAGGAGTCGATTTGCAACGCTACAGTATTGATTCAAGCGGGTATCATGGACTACTATGAGGGTTCTAGATATGGTGGTACTGTAGGGATGTTCCAGGCCCCCTACTACTGGTGGGAAGCCGGCGAAGTCTTTGGAGGCATGCTGGAAAATTGGTTCTTGTGCGAGAACACCAGTTATGAAAGTGTGATTTATGATGCTATGCTGGCACAGGCCGGTCCTGACTACGATTACATGCCCTCAAATCAGTCCATGGTCGAAGGTAACGATGATCAAGGCGTATGGGGTATCACCGTAATGGACGCCGTGGAAAGGAACTTCACTAACCCCACCGAAAAAGGTGCGCCCGGCTGGCTAGCCATGGTTCAGGGTGTATTCAACACAATGTATTCACGTTGGGATGACCAAAGCTGCGGTGGTGGTCTCAGATGGCAGATCTTTACATGGAATTCAGGTTACAATTACAAGAATACTATAGCAAATGGATGTTTGTTTCAGTTAGCCGCAAGGTTGGGCCGTTACACAGGTAACGACACGTACTTGGAAGTTGCTGATAAGGTCTTCGACTGGATGGTTGATGTCGGATATATTAAGCTATCCGATAAAGCCAATGTTTACGACGGTGCAACGACCGACAAGAACTGTACTGATATTACAACAATAGAATGGACTTACAACCAAGGCGTTGTTTTAGGAGGTGCTGCCTACATGTATAATGCGACCAATGGGTCCTCAATATGGGAGACACGACTCACTCAACTCCTGGGTGGATCTACCGATTTTTTCTTCAAAGATCAAATCATGTATGAAGCCACTTGTCAAGATTCTAAGACTTGTAACAACGACCAAAGATCATTTAAAAGTATCTTCTCGCGGATGTTAGCACTAACGAGCACAATAGCTCCTTTTACCGCCGAGACAATTGACCCTTTAATGGAAGCTTCGGCTCTAGGAGCTGCTAAATCCTGTACAGGAGGTAGTGACGGTCACACCTGCGGCACTAATTGGCAGCTAGGCTCAAACGATGGACAGTATGGTTTAGGTGAGCAAGCCTGTGCTTTAGAGGTTATGCAAAGTTTATTGATCCACCAGAGGCCCGCTCCTTATAGCGCGAATGACGGTGGGTCCTCTGTCGGTGATTCTAATGCCGGCTTAAACAAGAGTACTACTAATGTTCTGCATAGTGACCTGACAATAACCCACAAAGATAAAGTAGGCGCAGCAATCATAACAGCAGTGGTAATTGCTGTGATTGTTGGTGGTGCGGTATGGATGATGTTCTAGTATGTGTAAAATAATAAAATATTCAAAATTCACTTTAAAGAGATACTACATCAGCTTGATTTTTTGATCTCGAGAGATTCGGCTGTGCTAGCTTCTGTATATAACGTATTCTTCTCAATTTTCTCCAAGGCCTGTTTCAACGCTCTATCGAACGATGTGATATCTTTGTCTGAGAAAAAAAGCTCCACTTCGTGTTTCAATGCGAATCCCGTCATGTTGGTCAAAGTGAATCTGACAAATCTCTCTAACACCGTCGAATTGGCACCTATTTGATCAACAATTCGGTCATAATTTTCCTTGATAAATTTCCACAAGTCATCGCGGATGTAAGGATTGGAGCCCCAAGCTTCGGCTAAAAATTGAACATCCATCGTCTGTATCCGAAATAGCAGCTCAAAAGATTTGGTGAAAAGACGAGAATTTCGAACTTTACCTAGTGCAGATAGTAAACATTCTTTATGAGCTAATGTCGCAGTATTCAACTCAGAAGCTACGGTATCGAACGTCGCAGCAGGAGTATCAGGTTGCGTCAAGACAGTGACCAAAATAATTTGTCTAGTTGCTGCTTTTACCGTTCCTGACTCGAAAAGCGACTGACATTGTTCAACGACTCTCCAGTGAGAACCTTTCCCCGCAGCTAAAAGTACTTCTTCGTAAAACTGTGATTTCAAAGCGCGACGGTTATCAGCCAAGTCTTGCAATATCACAGAGGGATTGCACAAAAATGAAAGAGCATTGTTTATTTGAGGTTCCACCACCGAAGCCACAAAGGATATAACCTTTTTATAGATTCTGAGCGAGTTCGATCTGAAAAATAACAACTGTAACCTCGAACACGCTTCAAAAACAACCGCCCAAACGTAGTAGTCGTATGGGTTTTGAACTTTGGCAAAATAAGAAAGAACTTCAAGTAGGTCTTCGGCGCTGGCAGTTGTTTGAATGTCTGAGATCAAGCCTATTTTACCTCGCGACGAGAGGAGGTTTAAATTTAGGCAAATTTTCTGCAGAAGGACTCTATCTTCGTATTTGACGCGGTAGAAGCCGAGGCCGTTGGTGTTAAAGTGTAAAAGTTTGTCCTGGGGAAAATTGAATGTGGCCGATTTATCCCAGAGTTCAAGCATCTGGTCTGTTGCGGCATTGTTAAGCATGAGTGGTAACCACCAGCTAGATAAAGTAGCATCTGCTCTGCTAGTTGATAAAAACCTTTTTTGGCTCAATGCAAATTCTCCTGGGCCTGCGGTTCGAACTTCTAACAATGGATAGCCAATATTTAATATCCAGTCTTGAAGACGAGAATTAACATCGAGAGAACAAACCTCGCTTACACTTCCCAATAAGTCTCCCATTGTAGCATTGGAAAACTCGTTACGTTTCAGATACAGTGCCACACCTTTTATGAATTCTTCCGGTCCAACGTACTCGCTAATCATCTCAAGTATTGAACAACCTTTCAGATAAGATATAGTATCAAATACTTGATCAATATCTTTTGCGTTTTTTATATCCACTCTTACAGGATGAGACTCTTTCAGTGAATCTAACTCTAGGGCAACCTCGTGAGACTTCCACATAACTAGCGAAGGAACATCCCATTCAGGGAACATCCAATTGACAGCATAGTACCCTATCCAAGTTGCGAATCCCTCATTCAGCCAAAGTTCATCCCACCACTTCATCGTAACCAAGTTTCCAAACCACTGATGCGCAATTTCATGAGAGACAACGTAAGCTATCTTCTGCAGCGAGAGGGTATTACTAGTCTCTACTTCGCCATCCAACAATAGGGCCGTGGGTCTAAATGTTATAAGTGAGAAGTTTTCCATTGCATTGTGTGAGTATGCTTCAACACACAACAAATCTAATTTAGGCAGTGGGTATGGTATTTTAAAAAGGCTCGAATAATAGTCAATGACTTTGCTAGCAACATCTAAGGCAAATTCACCTTGCATAGCTTTGCCTTTCGCAGCGTAGACTCGGACAGGAAGCTTTTGCATTTCTGTTGAATCTTGGCCAACAACAGGGTAGATACATTTCTCAGTGCGCTTTTCGATGTATTCAAAATCCCCCAGAGCCCAGGCGAGTAAATAAGTGGACATCTTGGGGGTTGTATAGAATCTATGCATTGCTGTCCCATCGCGACTCAATTGTTCTACTGATTTGTTTGGCATATTTGAAAGAACAATTAAATTCGTAGGTGCTGTAATTGTGACATCGAAAGTCGCTTTCAGTAGAGGCTCGTCTAAGCAAGGAAACGCTCGCCTAGCATCGGTAGCTTCAAATTGTGTTGAAAACATTGCTTTCGTTTCCTCAGTTGCTGGATCTGTGTATTGAGATTTGTAAAATCCAGTCATGTTGGTTTGAATCGTGCCTCTGTACTGAATATCCAAAGTGAATTCTTCATCAAGCTCCTCAACAAACGTTAAGATAAGAACGTCAGTCACTTCATCATAGCTTTGCGATTCTAGGCTGATTTTTTTATCTGCTTTCGTGGTAACCACAGCTTGAAGGATATCGATATCCCTTATGTTCAAAAAGACATGCTTCGACGGCAATTCCGGCTTGAAATCAATCTTAACTATCCCTGAAAACAATCCATCTTGTATTTCTAAGCAATTGAGCTCAAGCGCATAATGTAATGGCTTGAAATGAGTTGGTAATGTCTTATTACCTGGTAACATTTTCCACTTAGGCGTTTTGCATTTTTTTGATGGTGAATTTAAAGAGCTCTTGAATTTATAGTAGCATCGCTAAAAAAGAGACACCGACAAAAACTGAGAAAACTGTTCATTTGTGAACAACGAGCGACTCCTCAAGAGGAAGATTCTGGGAGTTTCGTTTGGAAGTGTTAATTCTTGTAATTTCAAAAATATTAAAACTATTACACCGCTGCGTGTTGATGTTCAGAAACAGAAAAATTTTAGGCGTAAGTCCGCAGTGCTACATTTGATACAAAAACGTTTTTCGCGTTCAATACCAGACTCTAAGGCTAGAGCTCACGTACTATGTATGGCTACAAATGTGGCAATAAAACTTTACCAAAATTGATCGAAATCTAGCATTAATTTTTTTTTGTACTTGTCTCTTTCCGTACCCCACTCATATGTGATAGCATAGACCTGTAGGCCCTTAAAATTAGCACCTAGAGTACAATATAGACACTAGCTTAGCTTTGGCCCGAAGCCAACTTCAAATCACTCTGTACTATAATGTCATATCCACGAAGTAATACTTTTCGGTTGCTGTTGTAGACTTTTTGCTGTACCAAAATGCCAATTGAATAACTCACACAGCTAGCCGCTCTACAGACTTATAATAGCTTCACCAACTAAGCTCTTGGCCTGGTTTCCTTCAGTCTTGCTTCACGTTACCCGCGTTGCGCGTGTGTAGTGATATATAACTAGATTCGAAAACTCTTTAATAGTGATCAAGAGATTCGAGACTATAGAGTATAGAATAAATAGACGCCGTAAAGCTTTAGACATGCTCCGCAGATCGTTCCACACCTCTGTAACCAAGAAAAGTGGTGCCAAGGTCTGGTCTGACTTTTCTGCAAGGCCAATAGCGCTATCAATTCCAAGTGAAAAGGTGAAGAGCTGTGTTTTGAATGGTACATCAGCACAAGGCCCGCCTTCTTTGAAAAAACGATCAAGCAGGATCAAATACCAATCACCAGAAAAGATTGATGAGGTATTTAAGACATGCTACGACTTTTTAGAATCAAGAGGGGCTTCTAAATATGCTAAACTGAAAGATGAGCAAAACATAAAAAAACGCACACAACTGGCCGCCGAAGCCGAGATCAACAATCCTGAAGTTTTATACAACTTTCAATACAATGAAAAGATTGAAAATGATCCAAGAATTATCGATTACAACGTTCCCGTTTACAGATACCTTGGACGTAAACATTGGGAATCGTATGGACAAATGCTGTTGATGCAAAGACTAGAGACTCTAGCGGTGATTCCGGATACGATGCCAACATTAGTGCCCAGAGCTGACATTAACATCAAGTTCCCATTCTCAACAGGATTGAACAAATGGGTCGAACCAGGTGAAGTCTTGTCATCCAACGCAACGAGCTTGGCTCCCGCGATCAAGATCCAAGAATATGAGGATGTGGATCCTACGGAACAGCTTTACACAGCGCTCATAGTGAACCCTGATGAGCCAGACTTGACAACAGATTCCTTCAAAACCACATTGCAATACGGACTGGTCAACCTCAAGATATCCTACAATGATAATATCCTTGACGCCCGCAAATTTACTGATGACAATGTTGTTGCTGAATATCTGCCACCAGTTCCAGAAAAAAATGCTGGAACTCAGAGATTTGCTGTTTGGGTCTTTAGACAATCCGGTCCATTGAAAATCTCGCAGAAGAGACTCAACAGAGACAGTTTTGATCTGCGCCGATTTGTGCACGACCAAGCCCTGACGCCTATCGGTGCGCATGTGTGGAGAAGTCAATGGGATAGTAATGTGAATAACGTCAGAGCTAAATATGGCATGCCAGAGGGCCGCGTGTTCCACCGCGTCAGAAAAAGCTAGTTAGTGCCAGGTAGAACTGGGGATCCAAAATATTGGTTGCCTCGGGCTAATACTGCAGCTCACAACGCCTTCCTGCAACTATCTAAACTTGTATATAGAATAAAGGATTATCGCGTATATTTTCATGTATTTGTATGCTGCAAAGCGAGCGAAGCCCTATTTACGTGCGTAATGGTAGGAATATAGAATTGTCAGAGTTTCAGTTCGAAAAAACAGGCAGTATTCACTGAAGCACATCTATTGCTTCAAGGATTCAACAGCACCCATGATGACTTTGCTGTAGTCCAAGTTAGGATCTTCGAGATCGAGTTTGATCGAAGAGCCTTGCTTTTCCAGTGTCTTTGGTGCGTGAAGCTTAGTGTATTCAGCCTTGGCCTGCTCGATGAGCTGAATCTTGTCTGCGTAGGCTTTTTGCTCAGACTTTTTAGACGCTTCGGACTTCAAGCCAAAATCGGTCTTCAAGCCAACTGCAATTCCCAAAGCAACTGCTGAGTATCTCAAAATGTTTATGGTTGACATTATTACAATTAAAAACGTAAAGGCAATTCAAGTTTCTTGCTAGATTCGGTGCACGGTGACAGGCTCAGAGAATAGTCAACTGAACAGCTCTGTTGGCAAAAACTTTATGATTTCGTTAACCTATAAAATTGGTTTCTTTCATCTTTTCAATAACTTTGGTCAAATTTTTTTTGAAATCATTTTCAAGATCGTAATAATATCAGTTTTAACCGATGAGACCTCAAGAAAGATAGTATCTGGAGAACAAGAAAAGCTCAATTGAGTTTCTTGCCGATTCTATAGACTCTGTTTAGAATTCTGTATGTTTGTGGCTAGTAGTAGAGGCGGATTGCGTGGGCTGAGCCGCAGCAGAAGTATGTGTATATGTGTTGTATTGGCACTAGTACTGGCACAGCTACTAACGGGACCAGACGTTTATAATTGGCGCTCTTGGGGCTCCCGGGGTTTTTTCTCGGGCTCCGGTAGCGCGCAGAGCGGTTCCTCGGGGTTCAGCTACAAGCACGCAGTTGCGTATCAGGCTAAGGACCGCACAGACGGCGTCTACGCCGGGACACAGCTAGACTCGCCGACAGGGGAAGATAACTACTTCGTCGGGATGAGAAGCCCACACGACGTGTTTGCTGGTGTCGCGGATGGAGTTGGTGGTTGGGCAGAGCACGGATTTGACTCCAGCGCTATCAGCCGCGAGTTGTGCGCTGCCATACAGGATTTCTCCACACTAGGCAAAATACTGTCGCCCAAACAATTGATTGATTTGGCCTACGCCAAAGTCAAGAATGATGGCGAAGTGCAAGTAGGCGGGACGACTGCTATTGTTGCGCATTTCCCACCTAATGGGACCATGAAAGTGGCCAATCTGGGCGATTCCTGGTGCGGGGTTTTTCGGGGCACCAAATTAGTGTTTCAAACCAAATTTCAAACTGTAGGGTTTAATGCGCCGTATCAGCTAGCAATTATTCCCCCACAAATGCTCAAAGAAGCTGCAAAAAGAGGTGGATCATATATTCAAAACAAGCCGAGTGACGCAGATGAATATCAATTTCAGTTGCAGAAAAACGACATAATTCTTTTGGCTACAGATGGTGTTACCGACAACATTGCCACAGGCGATATGGAGCTGTTTCTAAGCAACAACGCTAATGAAGTGGACCTTCAAAAAGTTTCCCAAAAATTTGTGGACCAAGTAGTCAAGCTCAGCAAAGACACTAATTTTCCCAGTGTTTTCGCTCAAGAAATGTCAAGGCTCTCAGGGAAACGTTATACTGGGGGAAAAGAGGATGACATTACCGTGGTCGTTGTCAAAGTTGAATAAAAAATGTAGAAAAAACAATAATACGCATCTCATTTAACATGTTTTATTTACTCAAATTTTTGGTTCAGAACAATGTTTTTGATCTTTTCTCGCTCCGCCTTCAATTTTCGCTCCTCTTCAAGCACTCCGGACACGAACTTCACATTCCTGGGAAGTCCTAGAGTCCGAGCTTGAGTTTTTTTACCAGACTTGCTCAAAAAAGTAAAGGCCACCTTCTTTGACCTCCCATCTTGATTTCCGCTAGATATTGTCGGCGTTGGATTAGCGCTTACTCTGTCAAAGTCCATGCTATAACCAGATGAGATCATGGGTATACTGTTCGATATGATTTTTTCATTCTTTCGGCTATCCAAAGAGTCCTGGACTAGTTGTTGAAACTGCTTTTCCAATTCATCCTCTGCCCGCAGCTCTTCCTCGGACCTCAACTTTGACATATGTGCCTCTTGAAGGCGTCTTCGTTCCAGCTCCCCATCGGAATCGTCGTCATCCTCGTCTTCGTCATCCTCATCGTCGCCATCATCGTCTTCTTCTTCACTATCACTACCAGTGGCACTATCTTCATCAATAGATCCATCAGAAAGGTCACTTCCACTATCTTCGTTGCTGTCGGATCCATTTTCGCTCTCCCTGCCATTTCCCTTCTCGGTCTCTTGCATCAAGATTTCGTCATCTTCATCCTCGTCCAAATCCTCGCCGTCTTCGTCTTCGTCCTCTTCGACTTCTAATCCACCACCTTTGCCTCCAGCAGCGTTAGTATGTGAGGCGCGGAAACACTCAGACAATATTTTAGCACTTTTTATTATTTCAGAGCATCTTTCGAAGTTTTTCTCGTTAGTTAGCTTGTCAAAAGATCTGGAGACTTTGATTTGAGCTTCTTTAGGCAGCGGCTGCTCCTTGGTAAGGGTATAAAATTCAAATAATCTCATGAAGTTCAAGAGCTTCTTATTCTTGCTTGAAGATACATCTTCAATACTCAGCAACGCAGTGGTGATTAAATGGACTCGGAAATAGTTATCCGGCAAATCACTGTCATTTATTATAAACGGATTTGGCCTTCCACGGGGATATCCAAACGTCAGAATTTTGTAGAAAACTTCCAGAAGGACTTCAATCCGAACCAAATTGTTGTTGTATAATGAAGTCAAATACTTGACTTCTGCGATCCTGACCATGTTAAGACTGAACTCATTAATCTCCAGCCCGCGCTCTATTTTTTCCACAATACCGTCAATCACCTGAACGACGAAATTACGATAGTACGGGAATAAACCACTTAAGATTCCTGCCAGTACATCTAGCGACTGGTAACTTACCTTTCCCGGTTTGGTAAATAGAGATATCATTGTTTTATAAATACTCTCGTCTTTCCAATGGGCACGCCGTAGAAGCTTCACTACTCTTTCGGGTGGTATAGTGTGAAGCTCTCTTCGTAAGAGGATGCGATAGAACTTCTGTTCTGGAGTTAGCTCTTTGGAAACGGAATTCAATTTGCTCAATGATGGAGGATAAATCAGGACAACTAGATTATCCAGCGCACACTTATTGCTAACGGTAAGATCATGCTCCTTTCTCTTTTGCTGAATAAGGTCCACCATTTTCTCCATCTGAGCTTTGTAGTTAGCACTGTTAATGAGAAACTTACCAAAGTTTTCAAAAAGAACGGTCAAGATCTCAATATTATTGGGGATTTGAATGTTCATGACCAAAGTTCTGATCTTATGAAAAATGAGATAAGATGGAACTAGCATGAATTTAACCATCTCACTGAAAAAAATGATGTTTTTGACGTTGATCTTATTCGATCGCAACTGACTTCGGAAGCCATTATCCAGGTATTGTATTAACTCATCTCTCACATCACCTAGATACTCTGCGTTCGAAGCAACAAAGCGAGCATAAATTCTCAACTTGCTCCAATCTACTGTTTCGATTAAAAATTTCAAAAGCCTTCTTCTGGTTGCTTTCTTGTTCAAGGAGTCCTTCCAAAACTTCAAGGAAAGCTCATCGATTGCTTCTTTCGTATCGGCAATCTCTAATCCAGCAAAGAAATCATTGAGTTTCAGTGGGTCGGCAGGTTGCTTCTCTTCATCATCTCTAACAACTCCAGATAGATCAGGAAGATTTTCGTAAAACTTCCGGATCTCCTCATTTTCCCAAATTTTTTCGGAGCTAGCTTTCTGTTGGTTAGTGATCATTGAGCTTGCATTAGATAGCTCTTCTTCAGAAGACTTCTCCAGTTTTGGAGCTTGTAAGTTCAAGACGGGTGCTAAAATTTCTACAGCGCTTTCGAACCTTTCAAAAACAGGCCGGAGTATGTCGTGCTCTTCAATGTATTCATCAGAGCTCTTTCCAGTCCTTATCTGTGCCTTTTGATGCTCCCGTTTGAGTTTATGGAGAGATTTATTGATCTCTATTGTTTGAGTAATAGACGCCTCAGTAAATATTTTGAAGAGAGAATGCAAAAGCTTGCTGACCTCGGAATCAATAAATCTAGACTCTACTGGGAGGTCGTTGGAAAAGACATAAGGAAATTTGGTCACAAATGAAGTGGCCACAGTGGTGGTCAGCCCAGTCTTGAAACGGTAGTTCAGAACTTCCTTCAGTATTATTAAAAGGATAGGTTCTCTTCTCGCAAGTTTCTTGGAGACAAAAGGTGGTAAGTTGTCTTTTGACAGGTAGTCCAAATTTTGGAAGAGCCCTACTAAGTAAAGTTCAGTGAATATTCTAACGTGCGTTCGTAGTCTAGAAACTTTGAAAAGTTCTTCTTTTTCTGTCTCGCATTCCGTTTGCAGACTCGTGAAATTATGTAGAAACAATTCCATCAATGGAGGAGTGAACTGATGGTCAAAGCGTTGATGCAGTGCACTAATAACCTCAACACACGCCTCAACATCTTCTGCTCTACCAGAAAATTTGCTGAGCCCCTCATTGGCTGTTACGACCAACTCTGATAAGTATTTTTCTAACGAAAGCTCAGCAATATCCTTTAACAAATTAGGTTTGGAGTCCTTTGAAATACCCACTTTCAATTTTTTAATAAAGCCAGTGTTCTTCTTTATACTCGAGTCAAGCTTCTTACCAGCTTGTGTAAAGATATGTTCTCCGTTCCACGCTTTATCATTCAGCTCCAACAACTGTAAACGCCTGTCATCCTGATTAACATCATAAAAATTTAGTATTACGAAAGTCGTCGACTTGGTCTCCATACTCAGACCGAGAAACACACAACACCACTTACATTCATGCTCTAGTATGCGATACAACGTAAATCCTTGAATTCAGATATCACTAACTATCTCTGCAGTTACTACGACCTGGCGATGGCTATTGAAGTTCAAAATTGATATTCAAGAAATAGAGCGCAGGCAGAGGAAAATATCCATTTCGTCTATGATGATATATATATATATATTGTACTCATTTGAAGCCTTCTTCTCCAAGTAGTTCAGCCAATCCATCTGCTTGCATCTTCAGCTCCTCTAGGTTCTTAGCTAGAGTTGTCGCTTCGTCAAATTTTCGCTGCTTTGTTGCGGTTGCTATCATGTCTTCTACCAAGAACCTTTGTTCTTTTATCACCATGAGTTGATTGCGGTAGTCTTTTACTTCTTTAATGCTGAGATTATTAAAACACAATGCAGTGGACATCGGGGATGTCTCGGGTGTAGATTCCTGTGACAAAGAACCAGATGTCAAGGCTGAAGTCAAATGTTTCAGTGGCAGCATGTTCCTCTGAATAAAAGCCGACGCCTGTGAGATAATCGCCGATTGTATCCTTGCTTCAGAAGAATTATTCGGTTGGGAGCTCACTAGATGTTTTGTGAGCCGGTCGTAGGCAGAAAAAGTATTTAGCAATTGACGCCGAGTCTTGGACAGCTTGGCTACATCAGAAACGCTCAGTGAATTTGTTTGAGAGCCTTCCTGTACTCCCCCAGCTGCAGCTTGAAGGCCCGATATGGTCGCCAAAATTATACTAGCATTACTGTACATGCTTTCGTAGATCTGAAATATGACAGGCAGGGGCATTGACATTTCCTTTTCAAATTTACGTTTCTTGAAAATAGAACGAGTGCATATGGAGCAAGCTCGAATTTGCGTGCTAACCTCAGAAGCATCAAGCGAAGCGGGAAGCTTAATTGGAAGATCCGATGCTGCATTCACCAAACTTAGCACTGGAATTTGATTAGAGCAATTAGTATTGACATCGTCACATACAATTTTCCCACAAAGCCTGCAGTGATGCTTGCGCAATGTCAAACCGAAGGATTTGAGGCAAATGCAACAGGTCAAGACAAAATGATCAGGAGTCCAAGGAACAACACTTTTTTCAAATCTCCAAATTTCGGTGGACTTTCTAACAGATGCGAGCAGGCTATCTTGGTGATTCCTATTGATTTGGAGTATTCCATTTATTAGTCTGACGAATCTATCTTCGAGCTGCAATAGCTGAAGCTGTTTATCTTCATTTTTCGAAGTTCGCAGCTTGACGAATTCCTCTGTTCTGTTTTCTAGGATTCCAAACTCGTTGTACCCTGGCCTATTGTTAAAACAAGAACGACAGCATCTGCACCACTCCCCATTTTGGGCATCATACTCCGCGTTTTTATTCAGCCTCATGACGCTCTGACAATGCCGAACGCAAAAGATCTGACCACAGCGCCTACAATTCAAAACGCCTGTGGAACGGCTGACTTTTATATTACACTCATTACATCGACTTTGGCCATAATTAGACTTGGCCCAATGTGATCTCTTCAAATCAAATTTCGCCTTTGTACCAACTTCTGCACCTTTCTCTTGCTTCTTCGACAATGCATCAATACTTTTATTGCCGTTGCTTACCGCCTCTGCAAACCCGTGAGCGCTATCCAAATGATTATTCAATTGCAGAAGATCTGAAGTATCTTTTTCGCATACAGGACACACAAACTCTCCTTTAGTCAGTTCAGCTACGTTCTCATGCTCGTTCAATAATTTGGAGACTTCATGCACATTCATAGCAAGCCTTCGAGGCCTTGACTAAGGTTGAATAAGGTTTTCTAGTTCCTATCCTGAATTTCGGAGAAGGCCAAGTCTAGTGGCTAACCAATATGGCACTTCACACGATTATAGACAAAAGTGTGTACCCAGGTCGGGCTCAGCGATACCGAAACGACATTCGCCTGTAAAACCTAACAAAGGTCATTTAATGTCTTCAATTTATTATTATAACACGCACAGATTGAGTATTTAGCCCAGTGGGCAATTTTTTTTTCGAAGGTCTCTCATTAATTCAGGTTTTGATAAGCAAAATTATTGGCATGGGAACATTTCAAGGTGAGGAAGTTTAATAAGACGATCCTTGACTATTTTCGAAGCTCTAATTGGCAAATATTCAAGACTTGCAACTTTCTCGGAGCGGATTTCAAGCACATAAATCCAGTGTTTTGCGTAGAGGACATATGCGGTTAGTTCCCCCACGCTTTAGAACCATTTACATATACTGTGCAGCTGCAACATGAACTTCGCGTCATCCCTGTAGTGATTGATTATTGAACAATATAATAAGCTATTAACAGAAAGCCCTTCTCTAAGCTCTGCAGTACATACTCATCAGAGCTAAATTTGAAAAATTATCTCTTTTAAGGGTCAATCATATGAAAAGTTCTGTGGTATAATCCTTTTCACGCTTATACTATGAAAGAAAGAACGTATATTTTATAGCTCATTGGTGCGGATCTCCCGCATCTGACAATTGTTGCGTTTCAAAGACTTGGTCGTCGATGGCTATTGAAACTATTCATATTAGTCTACTTAAGCTTTGAATTTTACTTGCAGCGCTAGCGCATCTATTTAAGGGAAGTCATTCACATTGGCTGCCGCAAGAAATCTCACTTGGGAAAGACTTTGCCAAAGCCTGCACAACAACAAATCTATTTGCTTGATTCTCTGAAAGAGCAGACCAAACCCAAACCGTTGTTCCTCTTTTACCGAATCAAAAGAGATTGAGAGAATGCTGCTTTTCTTAAAAGCGAAACTATGGAACGCTATCACCTTTGGTCCACCTATGTGTAATGCCACTCATCAAAATCTCGGTAACAACAGAATCCAAATCATCCATGAAGGTTATAGTATATCTGAATATGGTTCTCGACATTCTTAATAACCCTTTTGTACAGGTATGCCATGTTCAGTCTATATTTGTCACTTTGTACTAATGAGTCGTTCATACAAGCCGACTGTTGTTAATATTTTGAATTTCAGGTGTACTTCATATACTATTTTCAATCCTCTAAGCTAGCCGCTGAGATATTCGAAAAACAAGTACAGAAGATAAGCTCTCATTAGCTGATCTGCCGTCTATTCAACTTTTTGGTAGCTTATATCAAGCCTCCATCTTTTGAGCCCTGGCATGAAAATCGCGGCCAAACGTCTAACGTCATTATGGCTGCTCGTGACTACAACAGTGAAATGGATGCCTACTTTTTGTACATATATGCGGTTCATCACTTAAAGACGGGTCAGGGACTATTTTACTTTTCCAAGTTCATTGATAATATCATAAAGATGGAGAATTTAGGATTTCTATCCAAGGTATCCTTAACAAACTCGCTCGAGGTGAAGGCCATCAGAGAAGTTGATGAAACAACACATGGAAGAACATCAATTTTGCTGCTAGCGTTATTCGCAGCAATCGAGTCAACTTCATTTCGTTTTTCGGAATGAGGAGAATCTGATAAGTTTGCATTTCTTGCGTTGCTACGAATTTCGCGCCCGTGAGTGTGTTTCACAGAAAAAGTCTAAAGCGTGCTATGGTCCAATACATATTTCACGAGGAGCTCTGAAACTACTTGCATAGGCCAGCGGTAGTTTCCGCTCAAACTCAAGGCTCAGTTCTATAAGTATTGTCCCTGCATACTATTGTTTGCAAGGGCAAAATCATCTTTGATCCAGCTCCAAAAGTAAGGCAGGCGTTCAACCGCGAGTTTCGTAGCTTCCAGCCATATCCTTAGGAGCAAAATGGGTAGCTGTAGTCAATTGATCGCAAAGAGGGGCATTGCGAAGTTGACCAAATCCAACAAAAGTTCAGTGGTGCCAAGAGATATAATCATTTCACAATCAAGTCTGAAGTTCATTTTCAAGCGCGTGCTAGCGAATTAATAGAGCACACCAAACGCCAGTTTTGTCTAACCAGTCACTGGGCGTACAGCACCGGGCGCATCAGATCATCATGACCATTAAAGGTTTTGTGTTTTTGGATTTTATTGCCGTATAGAAGTAGGGCGTAAAGATTTCATTGAAGTTTACTTTACATGAAGGTAGGCGGGAACTAATGCTTGATTGAGAATGCTTGCAAATGATTTGACGCTCCTTGTGATACTCAGTGCATCTTCTATAGCCACATTCAAGCTTTGTAATGAGATTTTGTGGTACAAAGCTCAACATGTGTTTGACTTAGGTGGGTCCACTTCAAAAAATGAGATAATGGATCTTAATGTGTTTAAAGAGCACGAATTCGGATTCCTGGTCAAGTTTTGCTCCCAATTTTCACTCTCATCGCAACGAGTTACTAGATTCTTTCGAATACTGTTTGCCTCGACATTCTCGCTCTGTTTGGTAGCTGTGGAACTAACGCTATGGCAGATTGTCACGGCCGGAAATAACTCCCAGGAAGAGCCTGGGTTCGTTGCAATGGCCTGGCTAGTTGTTTCAGTGACACTTGCGTTAAATTTGATTTTAGTCCAGCCGTTTTTGATATTACTGTCGATACTCAACAAATTCTATGGGGACAAATTGGGGATCGAATATTTGACTATGATCTCAAGCGCCCTGATCTTGGCTTGGATTCTTGCATTGAGCACACTCAACTGGGGCCCTTTTCATTACTCTTCCAGTCTCCTTACTAAACTTTCCATGATCGGTGTCAGCATCATGGCTATACTCTCTGGAATTGCCTCCATGTCTACACCTTATTACGTATTTCAGTTTTTGTGGCATAAGCACGATAAAGAAAGCGTGCAATACATTTCTAGCAGTATCCCAGTACTATTACTTGACGAAGTGGTTTTGCTCGAAAAGAAGCATGAATGCGAGATGAAAATTCAAGAGAGCTTGGTGATTTTGAGAAAATTGGATCAACAGCCTGGTGGTTCTGATTCTATCCTGAGACAACAACTCATTGATCAAATAAGTAAATATCAACTGGAGCTGGCAAAGTTGGAACCAGTGACTCGAGACCCCAAAAACATTCGATTATTGAAGCGCGGATTTCAGCTTGTCTTTTTGATATATTGCATGTACAAGCTGATCGTCACATTTGTTAGCAGAATTCCGGCTATAATCAATCACTCTATAAAATATCCCGCAGACTACACTTACCAGTTCTTTGAGGCTTCGAATGGCAGTGGCAGTGCCTCCGGTGATCCTCTCGCCGTGACTCTCTCAAAAGTAACAAATTTCTTATTCTTCCGGTTCCAGGACCAACTAGAAAAAGATTCTCTGACCAAACAAGTCTCGCTGCTACTATCGTTATCACTGTTTGGCTGCTCCGTTTCCACTGTGATTACCACGGTTTCTTTTTTGACGACACTTCTACCACTGCGACTTCAAATATTGGCTTTGAAGACCATACAAGAGAACACATCCAGCGACATTCTCCCTACTTCTAACAAACAAAAATATAGAAATCACAAGAACCCTTCTGTCATAAAAAATCTTCTGATATCTGAACTCACAGGTGTTTACGTTACTGCAACAATCTTAATGGTTCGCTCAAATTTGCCCACAGGAGTTGCTCAGCAGTTGAATGAAATGTTAGGAGAGAAATTTGGGGTCTCGGATATAACCCTACAAGTTTGGTTTGACAAGGTGTTTGCCGTGAGCGCTCTTTTATCATTGATAGGAATTAAAGTTGCTGAGAGAACAGCCGCGCCATAGCCCAAAAAATATACTTTTGTACAATATGCATTATGTTACATAGTAAATGCCGAAATGACGCTATCCGAGTAGACTAAAGTATTATTTTAGGCAAATCAAAAGCCGCCAATGAAAATGTTTTTGAAGCAAATGGGTTCTCTACTACTATAATCTCATGATCCGACAAATCTTCAGCCATGAGTATGGATTTGTATTTCTCGGTGATGAAAAAAGCCTTGCCGTCTTTGCTAGTACGGTTTGTCGTATCATCGCTGGTTAACCTGTCTCTCATAAATGACTGCGCATCTGCTAGTTCTTCTTCGTCGTCGTCGTCGTCTTCTTCGCCCGCGTCTATAAAATTGTTCCCATCCGTGACAGTATTCCCGTCAATTCTGTGCTTCTTTGGCCTTTTTCTGGTATTTACAGGCAAGTCCTGCGACATATCAAAAGTCGCCAGATAGTTGAATCCCCAGAACCACATTCTATCATCGGCAGCACTTCCGCTGAAAATTCCCAAGCACTTTCCTTTCATATGCTCGAAGTCCTTTGGAAGGACATCTTTGTTTTTCTTGCACCAGTCGGACATGGTCCCTATGCTAGCTTCTTCGGTTTCTTTGATTGAAAATTCGAGTATCTTATTATCTGCTGTTGTGAGCACGACAGTATCTCTCTTACTGATGTGTATGGCAGTGATGAGATTCATCAAACGAGCGATGGGAATCACAGAATTGTCAATTAGATTGATCAAGTCTACAGCCCCACATAGGCGAGTTATTACGACAAACGAGCCACTAACGTCGAGGTGATTAATAGAGGTGGTATGAGGGAGCTTGGCAGCCGACTTATTTTCCGTTAGTTCTGGAAGTTGAATTTCTGTGGGCTTTTCATCTGCATCGTCATCTTCAAGGTCAAAGAGGAGTACTTCATTTTTGGCGGAAACAATAATTACATGCGAGTTATCGCTAAACCGAACGTGTTTGGTTCCAGTTTTTAGCAAAAAATCGTTATCCAATTTCGTCACCTTGAGTTTACCATTTGTGGGTTGTAAATGGAACAGTTTGGTAGCATTTGGTCTTGCAACTACCAGGACTTGTCCATCAGGGGACAGAGCGCAGGTGGTTATGTTTTGCTCATCTTTCAATGACAATTTGCAAACCAGTCTATAGTTCGTGTCACTATTTGTTTCCCCTCCAATAGTCCAAATCTTGACTGTGGAATGCTGCCACATGATACACAAGCGCTGTTCCTTGTTGATAAGAACATTTTTGTGGAATGGCATTGCGTAAGAGATCTTCGTGTAATTACCGTCCGAAAATGTAGATACGGAGCTTATGATTAAGTTTTTTTCAACACCGCCTGAGACTAGAAAGTCGGCGCCTTTCGATTGGTATGAAGTCATTGTTCTTACATCATTGGAGTGGAGCAACCTATTTGAAGCCACGGCCCATTTGAAACTTTTCTTTGGTGATGTCACGGGTGATAAGGTGTATTGATAGATTTTACGATCTACACCAGCACTGAAAACTTTAGTGTTGGTTTCATCAGTTGTCAAACACAACACATCTGCTTCATGTGTTTTGAAAGTCTGGGTGAGGGTAGCGTACTGAAGATCCCAAACCTTGACAGATCCAGTGGAGTCACCAGACACAATCTGATTGAGTTTAGGTAAATAAATGATACTCCAGACCAGTGTGGATTCCTTTTTTGATTTATCAACCTTCATTGTTTGTATGATGCGGCTTCTCATTTCATCATTCTTTGATGCACTCCAAACTCTGATTCTACCGTCAGCACAGCCACCAATGACGAACTCATCTTCCTTCCAAGATACTGATAGAACTCTGGAGTCTTGTCTTTGCAAAACGGCTTCATGTTCCATGACTCCAGAACCGCCCGAAATGTCGATGACAACAACGCAGCCGTTGTCGCAACCTACAGCTAGTTTCGTTTGAGAGCTGCTCAATGCCAAAGACCAGATCACGCCCGCATTACAATCGTAATTTTTCAAAGCAAGTCCCGTCTTCAAGTCCCATTCCGTGACCACTGTAGAGCCACCTATAGAGAAGAGCCTTAGCGACTCACCAGGCACGTTACTCCAAACTAGACCTTCAATCGTGCGGTCTTTGCCGCCTTGTATGACGAGCTCTTGGCACCAACCGTTGCGAGGATTCCAAATTTCCAAGTCACCATTAGATCTACCTAATGCCAATCTCAAATCCGAAGGTGTTCTTTTGTCTAGCTTCGAGACGTGCGAAAATGCCAGCGCCGTTATGTTAGCACCATTGAGCTCCATAAATCGAGCTCGATGTACGAGCATATTTTTGGCGCTTTGAGTCATTCTTTAGCACTGGAAAGCTCTTCTATTATGAACTGCGATGAGCTTGAGATGAGATGCACTTAGCAGATTCTATATTGAAAATTTTTTTAATACTTGAGGATAAAGTGATAGGCATAAAACCTTGAAGCTCAAAAAGATAAAACGTGCCGCAGCATGAAAGTAGGAACAGTCATGTTGGTTGTGTAATTGCCCTGATTTAAATCCCCAGAACTCCTAACCTGTTGAAATGTTTTTTATCCGGAGTCTTTGAACCGGCGTCTGATCTAATTTATGTAGTGACAAAACTGGTGGTGATTCATTTACTTACCTGGACATTATCTGTTATTTCAATTTGACAGCAACACAATAGCCGACTTTGAATGACGTCTCATATTCCAATCTTTTGAACGACAGCCTGACGTTTGTATAATATTAAACGTGTAGCAGTAGACTGTTTATTTGAATGGGCGAAGTGCTTCAAACTTGCTTGAAGTACAAAGCACTCGACAATCAGCAAGAAGACTGGGGAATCACCATTAAGGCTTGTTCTCTGGTATACTCAATATGTGCAGCTGTACAGCTGAATAAACGTATATGGTAGAATATAATGTCAGCAAAAAGAATAAGTATTTTAATTTACAAAACGACAAGTTAATATAAAGTGACAATAAATGGATCATATGCCATATGGTTGCTGCGTGTCTTCGCAATATAGGTGAAAACATGTCAATATTCTTGTTCTGGTGCTGGATCGTGTCCATCTCGTAAGAAGTAGGACAAAATAAGATCTCAACGGAGACTAAGAAGTGCGACAAAATAGTACAAGGTGATGTAGGCAAAGCATAGTCGTTCAATGGACTAATAGATACATCACCTCGAACTAAAGACAAGTATCAGGCGATACTCTTAAGTGGCAACATAACCGACTGCTGATTCATTGGGTGCTGCTTGATGTAACATACGATGTATCGTACGACTATTCAAGACTGCGTAATAACTTTTACGCTCAGTCAGTTTTTCGGCAGAAATACTGGCTAGTCCTTGCACTCGAGGGATCAAACTTATAGCTGAGAGAGCTATGGAGAGATAAAGAGAATCCCAGTAACTAATGTGAATTAATTACACAACCATAAACTAGCACATCTTGTCTTAATAAAACAAATGAGATTTTTCTTTTGATCTATCACATGCATGTGGTGAGAACAAGCGGGTTCCTTTTCTTGGACTTTATATCATGTGTATATGTTCGAGACTTTGGTTTACACGTATCACCGTCCCTTCAGCTCAATGATAGAACACCATCTGCAGACACACTCCTGAAATTAGTTAAATCACTTCAACCGGAAGGAGGAAAATGGAGTGTTCCGCAAAACAACCAAAAAGATATATTTTAACTTAAGGCTAGGCTGTTAGCTGTCAAAACGTCAAGACAAAATTAATTGATACGCGACCCTCAAACAACCAGCGGACTCCTGGCACACAACTCCACAATACACAAAGCCGTTTTGGGAGAGTATGTATTGCATTACTTTGTTATCCTCATGAGTATCACTTCTAATGTCCTTGAATCCCATATCAACACACGCTTTAATCAAGGCAGACATCAAAGTCCTTGATAAGTGTTTCCCACGGAACTTCTCTGATATAGCCGTACGATGCAAAGAGGCATAATTTTTACTATTTTTGTCTTCAACCCAACTGCCTTCTATAGCGGTGTAGTCAGGATCGACGCCAGTTGTAATGGTTCCTATTGCAACTACTTCAGACTCATAAACGAGAACATAACTTTGACCACAGTAAATATCGGCAACTACGTGTTCCTCATTAGGGTAGTTGTTTTGCCACTGATCAACCTTTTGCGATTTTAGAAAATCTTTGGCAGTTTGCAGAATCGAGACAATTTGGTCCTTATCTTCTAACGTCGCCTTCCTGAGATAATGCATTTTATAGTATGTTTTCCCTCAAAATATCAAGCCGGTATGGGAGCTTTTCCACATTATAAGGACCACAATCCAAATACTGAAAAGAAGAAAAAAATCAGTCATAACGTAGTTTACTATCAGCGATAAGAGCGTTCTTTTAGATTTTTGCTCTCTAAGCAGATTCCAAGCATACTTTGATCTGGCTCTAGCAATGTACAGATTTGAATAGAGAGAATAGTAACAAGTATGAACCTAACTCTTATTGAAAACTTAGATGATCGTCACTAATCCTCCACATAATTAACCATTTGCCAGATGAGCATTCAAAGCAGAAACCACCTCAAAAGACCCTATCGCAAATCACTTCTGGCCAGCGTCCATGTCTGGTAAAATTGTGTTGTAAGTAGTGACACGATTGCTCTTTAAATAGAGCGACCTAACAAAGAGAAAAGTACCGCACACATTGTTTGGCTATTATAAATTCATGAATGCCAAGACAAAGATCAACGCTGGCAAATCCTTGAAAGACTTAACGAATAGGACCCGCAAGTAATGAAGAATAACCAATTGAAGCGGCTTAACTATTAGCTTTCAATGGTGAAAATATGAAGGATTGATGTCGCTTCGATTGAAGAGGAGACTCAGAAATTCACTGAGATTCAACAAGGAATCTGGCCAGACCAAACCCGGCCCAAGCCTTACGTAAAGATGCCGAAAGTCGAAGAGTGGTCCAAATGCAATCACGCCAAACAACCTTGTAGTGAAATCCGTTTCATTCAGTATCGCTATGTACGAAATATACAACATATTTATGTTTACTCCAGTGCATCGCGTAGCGACCTTCTAACAATGATTTATCAATAAACGCCCATTTTGGCTTCAAGATATGTCAGACACGTCTGAAAATAGTGTTATTGGATCTGAAGATCCAGATTCCACTAACACCAAGATCCTTAGGGCAATAGCTGATGTTTTTCAGAGCGCTCAATCGACGTACGCGGGCCATAGAAGGCATATTGCTGTCTTGAAGAGAATCCAAGCGAAAGCAGCTGAACAAGGCTATGAGGAAGTCTTCAATTATTGGTTTAATAAGATGGTCACATTGGTGCTACCTCTAAAGAGAACTGAGGTAGTAGGTGATAGGATCGTAAGACTGGTTGCAGGATTCGTCTCAAGTATTGAACACGGTTTGGAACCTCAGGACACAAAACAACCCGAGCACAATGGTAACGAAGAGATTTTTTCAAGGTTTGTCAACCAGTTCATCAGACACATTTTGCGAGGGGTAGAATCAAGGGATAAAAACGTTCGCTACAGAGTTGCGCAATTCTTAGCAGTAATTATGGACAACATCGGGGAGATTGATGAAGATTTGTATAACCTGATTATGTGGTCATTTCAGAAAAGGGTTTACGACAAAGAGCCGTTTGTCAGAATCCAGTCCATATTTTGCCTCACTAAATTCCAGGACGAAGAAAACACATCAGAAACTGAGGACGAAGCTACAAAAAACCTGATGCTGGCAATTCAAAATGATCCTAGTGCTGAGGTACGAAGGGCCGCCATGCTTAACCTCATTAGTACCAAGAAAACAAAGGATATTATTATGGAGCGTGCTCGAGATGTGAATCCAATAAACCGTCGAATCGTATACACCCGGGTCTTGAAAAATATGGGCGCGGCAGTGTTTCGGGAGTTAGATGGTGTTACCATAGGAAATTTAATTACATGGGGCCTTGAAGATCGCGAAGAAGCAGTACGAAATGCTTGTGCGCGTTTGGTCGCCTTTGAATGGTTAAATCTAATGGAAGGGGACATTATTAAGCTTTTGACAGAATTGAATGTCACCTCAAATAAGGTTTGCGAAAAAGTAATGGAAGCAATTTTCAGTTATAGAGATGATACAATCGCGAAGATAAAACTGCCAGACGACATTTGGGATAATCTCACTGCAGAAATTTCATTTTTAATAAAGGCTTTTCACTTTCATTGCACACAGCAAAAATTAGAAGATGTGATTGACGCCAACTTTCCAGAGGCTTCAAAACTTTCAGAAATTCTCCAAAAATACTTTGACATTAGATTTACCCACTCGAACTTGTCAGAAACAGACGTGATTTGCCTTGAATTTGTTTTAGAACAACTGCTATCAGTAGCTTTCAGATTTGATTACAGTGACGAAATTGGTAGGCGTGCGATGCTTATCGTAATACGTAACGCGTTGGCGAACTACAAGTTAGCCCCTACCTTAGTGCGAATTGCCTTAAAGGTTTTAGAGGTTCTATCGATCAATGAACGCGACTTCATCACAATGACTGTCGAAATCATAACAGATATTCGCGACGAAGATATTGAAAGGCAAGAAGCTGAGGAAGCAGATAAAAAATCCCCCTCTGACGAGAATGAAGATCAGCAAGATGAAGAAGTTCTTGACTCTTTTCATTCTGCAGTTGATGGCTTGATTAACGGGAATATTACTCCAGAAAAATATTTGAAAGAAGATGTCCCAGATAAAGAAGCTGGCTCGCAAGCTCTTCTGGCATGTCTCAGCATGTCTCAGTACATGCTAGAACTAGTCGTCTCGCCAATAGAAGACAATATTATGATATCGTCTTTGATTGAAACCTTAATCACGCCAGCCGTCAGGAATACACAATCTGATGTTAGAGAACTCGGTGTGCGCAACTTGGGGCTATGCTGTCTACTAGATGTTAATCTGGCTACTGAGAGCTTGTATCTTTTCGGCATGTGTGTATCCAAGGGTGATGCCAACCTAAAAACAACCGCACTTAAGGTGATAGTTGATATTTTCTCAGTCCATGGGACCAAGGTAGTAGATGGTGAAGGTAAAGTTGATTCTATCTCTTTACACAAAATTTTCTACAAGACTTTAAAAAATTGCGAGCAGCCAGAATGTCAAGCAACAGTTGCGGAGGGGCTATGTAAACTTTTTCTTGGGGATGTATTCACGGATGATGATCTTTTCGAAACGTTGGTCCTTTCGTACTTCTCGCCTGCTAACTCTCAAAATGAAGCGTTGGTACAAGCTTTCGCATTCTGTCTTCCCGTTTATTGCTTCTCTCATGTTCGACACCAAAAACGAATGGTGCGCGTCGCAGGCGACGTGCTACTACGTCTCTCTGTTCTTTGGGATGAATTGCAGTCCAGCGACGACAGTTCAATGCCACACAATTCTATGCTGAAACCAAGTGTCATCTTTCAGGCACTTATAGAATGGACAGATTCAAACAAAGTGGTCAATCAGGTTGCGGAAATAAGTGATGGCGAAGATACTCAACTTGATTTTTTACTAAACGTTCTCAAAATGTATTACAGGTTCGAACGTAAGGAAGTAAAGAAGATGATTCTCATAAACATCAACAAGTTTAGTTTCAATGATGACAATAGGAAGAAATGGAAAGAAGCCCGTGAAACACTTGAAGACATCTTGGATAATGACGACATTGATGCTGCTTGTAGAAACTCTGTTAACAAATTTTTGAACTCAATAAATGAATTCGTGGTTAGCAAACAAGATATCGAGGAGGATTTAACGAAAAACGAAGAAGGTGAAGATGAAGAATCAATTTTAACCCCTGCTGGCAGAGAAGGAGATGAGATATTAGACAACAATGAAGCTGATGGAGGCCAGTCGTCAATCGCAGACGAGTCCAAGGCCCCTCAACAGCCAGACAATTCTCTAACGGGCGCAAATATCTCCGAAATTTCTGACGCGCCCTCGGCGCACGCTACTCTACCTGATGGGCCTGAGCTGCCTCGTACAAGAAAGAGAAAGAGAATTGAAGCCGTGGAAAATGGATATACTTCCGACCAAGAAAAAAGCAGTAGAATGGTCAGCTTTGTTCTTCCTGAAGACAACGACGAACGGGAATACGAATCATCAGTTGATTCTGAAAATAATGATGGCGACTACAATGCAAACGACGAAGATGATTAACACAGTTGGCCTAAAAGTGTTAGCCTTGAATGAGACAAGATAGGACGGTGAAGCTAATATAGAGTGATGTAATGCTGTAATGTTTATATGCTAATGCTAATGCTATGTTGTTTATATGCTGCGCGCTCTAAAAATAGGCACTCAATATTTGATCATCCTTCAAATGCTTTTGGACCACGAAGTATATTTCTATCAGCAGACGAGGAAATCTTCTGGCAAAGTATAAATAGAAGCCGTCAGGAATGGGGCCCATAACCTCTGCAAGCTCGGGTGGAAGATCCATGAAATGGTGATACTTGTTGCGGAAAGCTCTAAGTAGATCCATAAGCTTTTCTCCACTATACTTTCTATATTTTCCGAGGTTTTCCATAAAGACGGTATCAAACTTGACGGTCCAATCACGGTTAGGGATGACGCGTTCAGAAGCTTCTTCTAGCTTAAGTAGAAGGCTACTTGGAGGAACTCGCCTCTCGATTTCAAATCGGTCACTGACCTTGAGTAAAAACTCTAGCTTTTTTGAATGCGACCAAAACAATGGGTGCTTCAGTACTCGTGCTGCCGTTGGCCTTTTGTCAGGCTGGCTTGATATCATTTGAGTAATCAGGTCTGTGGCCTCGATGATAGCGTACCTGTCTCGGAGGGACTTGTTTATTCCATCCAAGCAGTATTCGGCTTTTAATATACCACCGTCTCTGGAATATCTATCGCCAAATGGATGGTCACCTTTAGAAAGCACGTAGTAAAAAACACAGCCCATAGAAAAAATGTCAATGGCCCTTGTCAAACGCTTGGGACCTGAAGAATCACGAATAAATGATTCACTACTTATGGCGCCGCCTTCACTGCTGGTACATTCGTCGTTTTCAAAATCTTGCCGATGGTATCCGTCCAAAAGCTCCGGCGCTTTCCAGCCGCTTGTACCGGAAGCATTTCCCTGATTTGTGTGGAATGATGATTGATCTGGTTCCAGTCTTTTACAAAGCCCAAAATCCGAAATCAAAATACGCATTGGTGCTAAACTGGAGTCCAAATGTTGCATGTATTTGCGAGTTGGAGCTACCAGAATGTTTTGAGGTTTCAAGTCCCTGTGAACAATTTTCATAGAATGCAAATGAGCTACCCCCTGAGCTATCTGGAACAAGACATTTACAGAATTAAGCTTTTTCCGAGCGTCCGATACTAGAGAGCTTGTCCCTTTACCTTCTACAACATCTTCTAGACTCGATGTGCACAACTCTAGAGCGATGTAAAGAAACCTTCCCGAAGACTCCGAACAATAGTACCTGACAACATTAGGGTGGTGATCGCTTTCGGTTAACAGCTTGATTTCTTGAGTTCCAATGTCATAAAAGTCAATTAGCATCCTTTTGATTGCGACTGGCCTTTGCTGAAATGTGCCCTGAAATACAACTGTTCCTGATGAACCGTACCCTAAAACCTTTTTCGAGACAGTCAGATGTTTAAGGTCACTTTCATTCTCGTAATCTTGGGCTCTATGATCTTCCTTTGATAGTAAGTTGTCCAATCCTTTTTTAGGTTTCTTCCCCCCTCTTGATCCCCTTTTGCGTCTTTTACGATCAGTTGATGAACTTTCGCTATGCTGTTTGTTGCCGTCTTCCTCTGGTTCGACAATCTTAACGTGTTTACTGGCGGCTTCCATCCCTGAGCCATTATTTTTTTGACCTCTTGATGACTCTTCGATCTCGATAGAGCCCGCTTTGATTTCATTGCTCTTTGTGAACCCATTGCGCTCCAGCAATACGTGTAGTGGTGCTATGATTTTGAACCTTGACAGCATTCCCAAAACAAAAAAAGAAAAAACTAACATCAATCCCCCCTCGACTATTCGATAGACAAAATTGGCGAGCCGGTACGCAAATGACTTTTGGTGATTAGAAAGCAGTTTCAATGCTATCTGCTCTTGTGCCTCTAGCCTGAGGGCCAGGAGCTCTTCTTTGGAAATGTATCTATCTAAAGCTTTTGGCGGATTTTCTTCAACAATAAGTCCACTACTTTCGCTTAGAGGCCGCTTCGGACCATCGATGAGTAGCCTTGAACTCCCAGGTAGAGACTTTGGAACAGAATGAGGCTCATCGTTGAAAACCTGCTCAAATTGGAGACTCGACAATTCATGAACGCCAAGCATAGCATCTCGAATGGCATTTCTATCATGAAAGGCAGAAATGTTTTTTCTGTTCCTCATTTGGTCGCCTCCGATAATAGAAGCGGAATCTACCAAGGAAGGATAAAATACGTCTGACATGGCAAACCAGCAGTCGTCTGAAGTCAACCCTAAAAAAACCTTTTCACCGCTACGACCCTCTGATTTTGAGCTGATGGGATGAGGCATAAGAATCCTTTCATTTGTACTTTTATCAACAAATACATCAAAGATATTGTTGATGGTACTCTGAAACGGCGGTGAGATCCACTTGGCATACCTTAAATCAGAATGCACGGCAAGTAGAGATCTTTCGTTGAATGTAGCAACAAAAACACCGTCAGAGAAACGCTCGTATGTTGATGCTAAACTCGCATCTGCCGAATTTTGTTGCCATGTGCCGTATGACACGTTATAAACAATTCCATGTTTGTTGTGAATACTCAATTGGTAAGTTGTCTTACCAATAACAAAGGTACCGTCGTAATCTGGCTTGGTTGTATGGTCATCTTTTCCATTTGATTCCAGGTCGCTAAAGCATTTGTTTCCAGTTCCTGGCCCATATGCGGAAACGATCTGACCTGTCTCCATATTGATTTTATAGACCGCAGATTGCCGTGAGCCCGTATATATCTTTTCGTCCTCTATGGTAGTGCCCTCTCCATCTATAACAATCTTGGTTTTTAGATCCAGTGGCGAGACATTAACGAGTTGCTTAATGGATATAGGCAACTTCTGCAGTCCTTGAAAAATGTTGTAATAGTATATGTTACCATCGCCATAGGGTTCTACAATAAGGGTCTCGTTATTCGGCGCTGCTGGTTCTGTCACCGATATCGCTGGCGCGCTGGCATTGTTTATTGACCAATAAATTTCGCCGGTTTTCCTGCTTAAAGCATGAATCCCTCCTTCTAAGTCTGTCGCTATCAAAACATTCGTCAGCTCAAAAGCCTCAGGATCTCTTTCATTAAAGACCAAAGAGACTCCGGTTTTTGACGAGGTATCTTCAGCCACGCCATGCGCATCACGCAGCTGTCTGTATGAGCTGTGTCTGAGGTCGCCACGAGGTTCGGCACTTTTGTTAACAGTGCGTGTTTCGACTTTTTTAGGATTGTCGCTTCTCTTACTTTTCCGAAATATTGTGGGTTTGGCAGTGTGCACCTCCGCATGAAGTGTATCCACAGCTAATGTTCTTGTCCCCGTAGTGAGGGTATTCTCTTTGTTACCCCATCGAAGCCAGTCTCCTGAAACTAATGTATTGAGGAAGCAAGATATCATTAAAGACATGAACAGCAACATAATGCCTTTCGGCTGCTTCATCCTCGAGGAAATTGATACGAAAGAAATCTAGCAAAGCAATTATTTTCAATATTTTCTTAACAGCCACTTCTAAGACGTTCGAACTACTCAAAGATCATGCAACCGGGTATGCATCAAAATTCAGTTAGCAGTGATAAGCTTTCTTATGGTTTAAATTGTAATTTCGGAGAATTAAATTTGAGCTACTAGCGTCGCCGTGGACGATGAGGATCTTCTGAGCCACCAATTTGAACTTTACATAGATCAAATCACAGGCTTCACAAGCGATCTTGCATTTCATATCCCATCTCTTCAAACACTTCGCTTAGCTTGCAACTTTTCTCGTCTGCGATCATCTGTGCGAGTCCCAAGCCAGTATCCCTAAGTTCGTTGTATTTCTTCAAATTAGCGATGTGTTCCTTCATGATCTCTTCAGCTGATTTGTCTCTAGAAATTGAATTAGTAGAGGCTCTACTTTATATCGTTACCGATTATTGACATGCATACATTTTGTGTAGACCAGTTAGTGTCTGATATTTGTTAAGTAAGGAAGTGTTTTGGGTCTGCAGCAGCGCTAGATCCGACTTTTGTTTGTCAATTCGAGCTTTGGAAGTCGCTGGTGGCATTATTAATCTTGCTTGTGTTTAGATTTGACCACAGGAGAATATTCTTGAAATCTAACTTTATGGATTGTGCTTTGTAGTTTAGCCGCCATCAAAATATTGAGAAATCAGGGGAACATCAATTCGTTATGGATGACTATAAATTGTGCCCTCCATTTGCACTATCGAGGAATTGCATCATGACTTTCTCTTGATTCGCTAGTAACTATTTAGATTCGTTTAGAAGAGTCTTTAACTCTTCGAGTTTATCCTCTGCTAGCCGTATTGCTTCTTCTAAATCTTGACGTTTATGAGTCGTCATCCACTTTTTAGAGTTGTCCTGGGAGTGGGTGTCTTGTAAGATATTACCGCGATCTTTTATCCACTCCCATAGCTCACCCTCTGAACTAGTTGCAATATTGGGGGCTTTCGGGGATCTCTGTGTTACTCGAATTTCCTGTTCGTAAACTCCATATAGCGTATTGAGCGTTGGTGCGTAGTTGTAAGTATTCCCGCCTATGGCCATACGGCCCGGTTTCACAATTTTGAATGAGCTTTCGCTTTTTCCCATGGAAAAGGTAAATATTGTAACGATCCCCACTACCAATAAAATGAAGCTTAAAATTTGATACGTGAACGGCAGAGTAGTCACTAAATTCAAGACTGTATCAAATGCGCCAGTGGGACCCGGATCTTGTGTCTTGCCAGCTTTCGAAGCTTTGTTCGAAGTTTTTGACTTCTTGACCCTAGCTCTGACATTTTTCTTAGCATGCGGTTTTTTATTCTTGCCAGCGTTGGCGACGATGTCTAGAAGTTCTTGCTCCAGGATTTTAATGGACGACTTCTGACCTTCAAGAGATCCTTTTTCCACCGCACCCTTGATCCAGCTTTTCGCAGTCCAGATCACGCTGGATACGACCAAGATCTGTGTGGTATTACTGGAGCCCCAGTACAGGTAGAATTTAGTGTTTACGGAGAAAGAAGTTCCTGACGGCACGTCTGGTGTTTTGGTAACCTGACAAACCACAACGCGATCCTCCAGATTGTTATGTTCAATTCTTTCTTCAATGAGACATTTCGTTTTTTTCGGGCCGACAGGACCCGTGAGAGGTTTTGTGTACTGATATTCTCTCGTTTCACTTTTGAATTTTGGGATAGGAGAAAGATCATAGTTACCTTGCTTCTCAAGAATTCGCTGAATGTACGAAGTATCATCACCAAAAAGCAACTGATAAACGGTTCCCAATGGCGCCGGAATGGATAATGAGTCTGCTATGATAATGTCCCCATCTTCTTTGACGTATTCTGGGTTGGTCTTTGGGTGCTCACTAGGACCTGCGGTAGGTAGATTCAACGTCTCTTCTTCGTCGCTTACAGCACCTTTTGACTCCCTTACTTCCTTTTTATGAATGATTTTGTTGATCTCTTCAATCATAGTCTTCGTAGTAACTGTGACACCGTCAAAAGTTCCCTTTTCGATCGCTGCTTTGAGCCAGCTTTTGCCCGTCCATTCAACAGAGACACCAACAATCAACTTTGTGCAGTTTCGAGGTGCCCAAGATAAGTAGAATGATGTCTTCACAATGAAGGAGTTACCGGATGGTACGTCGGGTGTCTTCGATGCCTGAATGGCTTTCACGTAATCTTCTAAGTCGTAGTGGTCTAAAGTTTCTGTGATCTCACATTTAGTTTTGCTCGGTCCAATAGAGCCAGTTAGTGGTTTCGTATAGCTGAATTTTCGTTCTCTGGACGTTATTATTGGCGGAATTTTCGATAGATTGTAGTTCTTTTGAGCCTCTAAGATTTTTCTGGCGTATGACACATCATCGCCATATAGGATGCTAACGATTTGACCCAGCGGGGCCTCAAACACGGTTTCTGCAACGATTCTGTCATCAGCGGTAGTTGACAAATCATCTGAAGTTGGTGGATGCTTTGAAGGGCCTAAAGTGGGTACTTTTGGTTTTTTTCCAATCCGAAGCTCGGCATTACCAATCGCCGAAGAATCTTCAGCATCGTTCATTTGACTGTTTTCAGAACTCAATTCTTCATCCTCGTTTTCTTCATCTAAAGTCTCATCTTCGCTTGAATAACCATCTGAACTACTTCGGCCTTGCCTTTCAGAATCAGAATCGTCATCGGAACTTAAGCTGCTCCTACTAGACTTCGGAGGGGTACTCTCGAGTTCACTGTATGCGAGGTCTTCATCTGAGTTCAGAATGATTCGATTCCAAATCTTGGTGATATAGTCGAACGCCGAATCGCGTGATATGAATGAAGCAAAGATGTATCTTGAATGCAATGTCTGAAGTACGATACCATTGGGAAATATGCCTGCAGTAGATTTTTTCTCAATCTGAACAATCTCCTTGAAAGGAATCACGACAGAGGTGATCCATCCTAAGATACTCGAATTAAAACATACATGCTCTTTCGAAATGTACATTCTGCCCTGCAACAAAATGTCACGAGAAAGCGCACAAGCATAATCGGCAAGTAATTTTTCGTCCGCTGCAATTCCTGATTCTTTGAAGACGGTGTGAAACTCACTGTTTTTTTTCTCCGAGATATGTGCTGAAGCACGTTGACTTTTGTTGCCGCTTTTGCCATTGGTCTCTGATAATGCATGTGCATCTTCTTCGTCGGATGAAATGCTTGAAGTTTGATTCTGGCCGTTATCGCCGTGGCTTGGTGACCTCATTCTGTGCAATGAGTTCCTAATGCTTTTCGTAGGAATAGTCTTGAGTGACAACTGATTAGGCGACAAAGGTCTGATACTGCAAGATTTGACAGTGCTTGCCCTCTTTCGTGTTTTGACATTGTTTTGTGATTGATCTTTGCTCGTTTCATTCAAGCCGCGCGTCACGTCCTCGAGTGAAGAGTTAGCATTGGCACCTGGATCACTTCTGGCAGGTGAAAGTGACAAATCGTAATCTCTAGACTTTGCATAATCGGTTTCCCTATTGATGTCATGTACCGTTTTACCTCTGCGTCTGTTAGCATTGATCGCTTTACTTTGTCGTGGAGCGGTTGATTCCTCTTCCGCGTGTAGAGATCCTTCGTCCAGCGGAGAATCGTTTGAATATGTCTTGGCCAGCGCGTCAAGCGTTAGATTACCTCTTCCTAGGCTTGCGATGTGAGACTCCCCATTACGAGAGCGAAAATGAATTTTGTCGGTCATCGACATTAAATCTGTTTCCGCAGCGGATGTATTGTCATCAAAATCACCAATAATATAATCGGGAGTTCCTGACACGTCAGAATTATGTCTCCCCAAGGAAGAGCCCACGGATTGCTTATTTTGAGCATTCAGATTGTAATCTGGTGACAACAAGTTATTTGAGGTAGTAGTAGGAGGCAATGCCCCAGGAGGGGCGAGTAAAAAGTCCAAATGTTTCAAAAAACTTGAATTTTGTTCATGTCCCTGGTGTTCTGACTGGTTAAGCGCTATCACATCTTCATTTTGAGATGGAGCTGGTTTCTCGTTAGCCCTGGGCATAAGATGATTTGCGGCATTGTGGGCCGCCGAAAAAATAGACGATATGATACCACCGGGCTCTTTTACTTCCTCTTTTCCAGCTGTTCCATCAGGGTCATCATGAAGAATGCTCGTATTATTACTCACTCTTAGAGAGGACGGACTAGTCTTTGTTGCATTCGGATCCTGAGAACTATCCTTCGACAGCCGGTTTTTAGAGGTGTCATCACAGCTATGACTGTTGTTTTTGCTGCTATTAAAATGACCGAGTTTAAGTTTGACAATATCGGATGGCTTGCCTTTCACCTTATCTGGTGAAGAGCTCCGTCGTCTTTTTGTGGATTGTGGCTGTGCATTAGAGGGTTCGGGCACAGCCTTGATAGAACTGCTCAAATCTTGTTCTGGCAGCAGATTCGATAATGAGCGATCACGAACCGTTCTGCGGGCAATCGCATGCCGTCCTCCATTCTCGGGAGATCCTGCAACTTTTTGATTCCCATTCTCTTTTTTCTTGTCAGTTTTGCTCTTCTTTGTTTTATGAAGAAATCCCATTCCTGGCGTTTCGGTCTTCAAGCGATAGGTGCTATTAGTCCCGGAATCAAGGCTCATAAGCCAATGCCTAGAGAGCAGTAGAAGCTGACCGATTATTCTTTGAAAGCAGATGGAAAAAACGGGGAAACCACGAAATTACCGTTCACTTAATATTCGACCTTAGCGTGTTATACAATCGCCTAGTCACAAAAGTGTCGAGTAAATTACCTTCACCAATTTCCAACAGCAGAGCGTCGATCTCCAGGATCTAAAATCGCCAACAACCTGTGAAGCTTCTACTTCAAGATGTTTTGGGTAGTTTTTGTACTTGGCTCCTAATTTGATTTATGTATATATATAAATGTAATGTGATATCTTACCAAAAATGGTGCAAGCAATAAGCCCGGTATCATAATTCACGAAAAGACTAGAATTATCATTTACTTGATAAAGAAATTCCTTAGCTAATCTCGACCAGTTAGACCCTTCACTTGATAATCTGTTCACACTATCAGTATGTTTATTTGGTTTGCTAACATTCTGATTTATCTCTCTTTCAATAAATTCTCGCTTCTTCCACGTAGTTAGCGCGGGTTGAGGACAGTGCTTTCTCAGATGTGTAGGAAGTCAAACGACATTGATATATAATCTCTTGCTATACTTAATATTTTGGCTTATGACTGCCAATGTTCTTATCGATTTATCAGTTGATCAATTATCTATGAGGACGATGCCACACGCTTCTAATTCATCAAATGGGTATTTATCGGCTAGAGTTTGATGCTCGGTGGTAACTGTTGGCTTGCTCCAAGCGCAATGGACTAGTTAATGAGGCGGAAGGGTATTAAACTACTTCTACTACGTACCGTCGTAAACGAAGGGCATCATCAACGAGTGCAACCGATCGTACGGAAGTTAAAGAGCATTCTAAATTGTCAGCCAAGCAATCTTTTGCCGTGCCCTCCCTTTCGCTTTGTTTTTTCTTGTTTCTTTACAAATGTATCGCTCAACCTCAGCGATCTTCTGCCCACTCGTTTTCACGTCTAATGGCAGCCTCCTCCTCAGGCGTAAAATCGTTGACGATGTTGAAGGTGCGTCTAATTTCCTCAGGAGTTCTGCCGCGAATCATTTCAGCAACGACTTTGCAACCGGCATCCAGCAGAGGCTTTATGTTGAGGTAGTTAGCAGCCTGCATTATTTCATAAAGCATTTCCTGGTCGACTTTAAGGAATTCTCTGTCCCAGGGATCTGCAGGTGCGGTTTTGCGTGCATCGTCGTCATTTTCGTCAGGGAAATTTGAGTCCTTGTGATGCTCGGCCCATTCGATCACTTTCTGCAAAACCGACGATCTCACATTTGGCACTGGCATCACTATCTCATCTTCTTCATCTGCTTCATATTCATCCTCCTCGGAGTCGCTGCCGTCGCTTTGCAGGCCATTATCTTGCATATCATTCAAGTAGTTCTTCAAAAGTAGTGACCTCTCCGCAATTTTCCGTTCCACGGTGAATCTTTCACCCTCTACGGAAACGAGAACCACACTCTGCTTCTTATCTTTGGCCATTATGTACGTTGATAGGTTAGAGTCGCGAATACTCAATAGTCAGCTCTTAAAATGTACCATATATCTTGTGTAATGATTATATTTGAATACTCAAGAAAGTCGCGAATAATGATACCTCTGAACGGGACAAAACTTATTGAATAATGAACACTGCAAATGAACAAGAGTGTTAGCTATTTAGAACCCGAAATTACTGTAAACACTTGCGCTAAGATCGTCAAGTTCGGGAATGGAATCTAGTCTCTGCAAAAACATGTTATTCATCGACACTACTCCGCTCTTAAGCATTTCATCGCAACAATTTTTACATGTTACTGAGAATAACGCCATTTGGAACTTGGAGTCTTCTGCTTGGGTGGCACCAGCCGATGATGAAGTATCGTCAATTTCCTTAGGAGTCTTACGTTTACTTTTTTTAGAGACGCTTTCCTCAACTTGCAACATGGTAAATTGGAAAGCATCGTTTACCAGGCTTTCCAGTACAATTAGAGACGCCGTGGACTGAGCGCATTTGCTAGTTTCGTTCAGCAATTGACGCAAAACAGTACTGTCTTCGTACAGCAGCTTTAAAGCGTCAGAATCCAAAGTTTGCTGAAGCACGAACTGCTCGAGATTGAGATCCGGAAGCAAAATTTGTTGCAGTGAAGGCTGCTTAACGGCTTCTGATTGAGACTGCGAGAAGAGTTCTTGATTGATCGAATGCAATACATTGGACAATCGCTCGCTAAACTCCTCGACTGAGAGAGTATCACGCGGCTTCAACTGGCCGAACTCACGCAAAATCAGCGTTTCGGCCAAAGATTTGAATTGAAGCCACCCGCGATTCAATAACCACCATGAAAACGATAAGAATGCCTGTTCGTTGATGTAATTAGACTTCCGCGCTTGTCTTGCTTCTTCCGACATGTTAGGACTCTCGGGTTCCTGGTCCTGAGGACGGTGGAGCGGTCTTGGAGAAGCTTGCCAGAAGCTGGTGATCCAAGATGTGAGCGAGGTCTGGGTTGACGATTCCTTTTCGACCGCCACCTTAACTGCCGTTTCGAGGTATTCTCTTCTTGCCAGTATATTGAGTTGAAGCCGTGTCAAAAGCAACAACGAGGAGACACTGTAGATTACTGTACACAGTTTGGTGAGCGATTTGAGCTTCAAGTCATCCCACAGTTCTGCTTTTGTTTTAGCGTCCTCAGCGTGGGCGCGTCCTGTGTTCGTATTCTGGGCCTCTGTAATGCTAGTACTCATACCGGATGAGAGCCCATCGTGGTCTGCAGGCTTATTTTCACGAGAGAGTCTTCTCGATAGCTTTTTGCCTTTCAGTGACTCCACGATTTCATCCACGTCCAGGTCTTTGGCCAAGACTAGCGAAAGTACTGGAACAAGTTCGTAGATCGTATAAAGCGCATCCTGTTGAGTCTGTGTGAACCTTCGCTTGATTTGCTCTTTGACGAATTGTTGTTCTGTAATTTTTAGTTGTTGTCGCCATAGCCATTTTTTGATCAAATACAGTGAGACTGCCCCAGTACTGAAGAGAAACGCTACTGTAGCCGATGAAAACAGTACTTTGTTTTTGTGTCTCTGCCAAAGCGATCTGCTAGACATGCTGACTGTTTATGCGTGCGTGTGTGATGGAAGCCTTAGTTTACGATACCGGTCGAAAATACAAGTACAGTTCACGATTTTTTCGTAAAAATTAGAGGTACTCCACAAGCACGTTAATTAAGTTTCGGTGTTATGACTGGACGACACCGTAGTAGCCTTTGAACTAGCTGGCTTTATCTTTACCTTGTACCTTGGAGTTGTTTTATGACACTGACCTGTTTTAACGTGGGAGTTTTTTTGAAGGAGAAATATGATAAAAACGATGTACCAAAAAGGCAACATTTCCAAATTAAGTAGCTCATCGCCTCAAAATTACTCGATCGGGAAAGGGATCTATTAGCTGGACGATTTATGAGCTAAACGGTTAAGGTTTCGAAGGTTATCGAGTACTGCGAGGTTCTGGATTAGATAGTTTGCATGGATTTGTTGTGGTGACTGGCATTTCTCTTTGCTTTGTTGTGGGCGTTGGACATCTCGATGATCTGGAATTGGTGGGGCGATGCGGAAGGAGCCGCTCTTGTCGCGCATATGTGCATAAGGAGAGTCTAGGCTGTAAAAATAGGTACGTTTAAAGCGGCGCGATTTAATGGCAGCTTTTTTGTCTCCAGCGGCCTTCGCGCTGTTAGAAGTGGGCTCATGGGCGTTTAGATTTGCAGTGTCTGACTGGACCTGATTGGGTACCAGAATGCGTTCCATGGACCGTACAGCTTCTGATACAAGACCTGAAAACTTTTCAAGCTCTTGCGATTGATGAATATCTAATTCCGGCCTTCTTTCTTTCAATAAGTGTGCGATCCGCGCCAAATCCTGCAAGTTTCTTTCGATTCCCTCCATTCACAACAGAAACTTCTTGGCAATTGAGAAAAACTCCGTAAGAAAAAAATCAAATTAGCAAAACGCGTTGCTGGAACTGCTGGTTCGTAACCGCTCAGCGAGCTCTGTTTTATCGCTGTTTTTTTTCAGCTCATCTCGAACTCGTTAAGTATTTCACTTTTTCAGACTCTTCTATGTTGAAAGTAAAAATTAAAAAATCGCCCAGTACAGTGATCGAGGTTCAGTTCAAACAAAGAAGGATATATCTCACTTAACGCTTAGCATGGACGACAGTAGCAAGATCAGGCCTTACATAGCTCACCTGGATGCTCAGCTGGCAAAGCTGGGTCCTGAAATCGACAAGTTTACTCAGAAATCGCTTAATGAACAGATACTGCTGCAGAACGATAAACGGGCTCAACTAGAACTCTCGAACCGGTACGCTTACGTGCTATCATCACTGATATTTGCTTACATGAAGCTGCAAAATGTCAAAGATCTCACCCCGATAAAGCAAGAGCTGGGGCGTGTGAAGCGCTACATGGACTTGGCTCGCCAGTTGGACCAAAAAGATGAAAAGAAGGAACAGCAACAACAACAAGACCAGGAACGCGCAAAGCGTATCATCAATTCGGCCCTCGACGGCAGGTCATCTAGTCCAGCTATCAGCAAAGTCAACTTTCAAGGCAAGCATACCAAATTTACCGACGAGGCCAAAGAGCACAATACTTCAGCGCTGAAAAAGACTAAGGCGAAGGGGAAAGTAAGTAAGAAAGGCAAGAATTAATCAACGTGTGTCTAGGTATGTAACCACTGTATAATAAATGTATAAGTCTATTTGGGAGAATTTACGGCGTAAGTTGAATCACATTTTCGTGATGTGTTACCTGGCACCCTGCAAGGAATATATATGACGCTCTTAAGAGAAAGGTTGACACTTTTCTTATTCAAAAGCGCCACCCACGAATAACAGATCTACTTGTCTTTGACTGGTTATTGTTCACTTATTTTAACTACACCGCGTTCAAATCAAGGGTCTCCCTATACACCGATATGTCGCAGGAAACCATTGATACTTTCATGGCCATTACCAGTGCTGAGAACAGCGATTTGGCAAAGCATTTTGTGGAAATGGCCGGTGGGAACTTGGAAACAGCAATCTCCCTATTTTTCGAGCATGGTGGTAATGCTCAATTGAATAATCGCAACCCTTCTTCAAATCCTGAAGAATTGGCGGAGCAGACTCAACTATTTCAACAGCAGGAAGAGGACAACTACAGGGCACCAGATGAAGCTCGACACGAGACGCTGGTTGATACTCATGTCTTTCCTTCTACTTTCGGTGGCATTGGAGGACGGTTTGAGCCTTTGCGTAACATTAGAGGTATGTTTGACGACTCCAGACCCCAAGGCGTGTTCAATCAACGAATTGGTGATAATAATGAAGAAGACTCAGAATTCTCAGAAGAAGAAAACTATAGGCAAGACTATGAATATACCGAGGAGACTGTCATGGAATTGGATGATGACGGAAATGTTCGAGAGTACACCAAGCTAGTACGGAAACCCCGGGAAATGACCAAAGAACAGAAGCTCGCAATGCTTTTCAGACCGCCTTTTGATATGATGGCAAAGATTGGTTTAGATGACGCTAAGCTTCGAGGTCGCGAAAAGCAGAAATGGATTATGATCAACATCCAGACTGTGGATATTTTCCAATGTCAAGCTTTAAATCGCGATGTTTGGGCCAATAAAGACGTAAAAAAGCTGGTGAGAGACAACTTTGTATTTTTACAATACCAGTTCGATTCCCAAAATGCACAACCTTACATTCAATTTTATGGGCCGAAGGACAAGGAAGAGTTGCCACACGTAGCCATTCTCGATCCAATCACCGGTGAACGAGTCAAGCAATGGAACCGTGACGTTCCCAACCCGTTGCACTTTATTCAAGAGGTCGAGGATTTTCTGTCTCAGTTCTCCTTGCAACCGGGATCAACTAATCCAACAGTTAAGGAAAGCACTCCAAAATTAGACCCCACATTACTTTCAGAGGAGCAGCAGATGGAGCTGGCGATTCAAGAGTCCCTAAATCGGGAATCGAGTGTAGGGAGCGATACACGATCAGTGACGGAGGCTGTTCCCCAAACGCATGAAACGGAAATCCAAAGTGGTGACCCTCATATGACGCTTTTTGATTCTATCGCCGCGCAAAAGCACCAGGAACCGGCAAACCAACCGGGTATCACAACCAGAATTCAAATCAGAACTGGTGATGGTCGAAGACTGGTGAGACGGTTTAATGCAATGGAGGACACGGTGCGCACAATTTTTGAAGTGGTAAAAGGCGAGGTCGACGGTTTTGAGTCCCAATATTTTACACTGAGTGACCATGCCCGAGAAAATTTACTTAATAAGCTGGACGAAACCATCAGCGATGCTGGTCTGAAGAATAGCTCTTTGCTACTAGAGTTGGTCCAAGATTGAAGCAAATTGAGGGGAAACATGTAGCATCAATCAATACAGATGGATCGAATTATAAATCGCTATGTTGGATTTCATGCACTTAATAAAGCGATATAGTCGTTGAATACCCTAGTGGGTATAACTCTTATCGACATAGGTGGACCCCCCCCCCCATTGACTTTGATGTTTTTTTAGATGCTCAGAGATAGCGCATTTCGTGACTAAATTAATGAGCAGTATCAAGTTAAGTAGACTGGCTTCTATACTAATGCCCAAACAGATAATAATAAGCTTTTATCGTGCCAGGTCTTGGCATTTCGACTATTTGGACACTTGGCGTTGAATACTTTTGGACTCGGTCTACTATCTGCGTCATGAAAAATAACTAAGATGCACTTCTCAATAGAGCTCAGTTGCCTATTTACAAAAACAAGTTGAAAAAGAGTGTTCATCGAAGCATCAATGAGGCTTCCTGGTTATCTGTCTATCATAGTGGCTTTTCTTACGATTCATGTAGTGAATGCCAACCCGGGACATACGAACAATTGGGCCGTCTTAGTATGCACCTCCCGATTCTGGTTCAACTATAGACACATGGCCAATGTACTGAGCATGTACAGAACAGTTAAAAGACTGGGAATACCAGACTCGCAGATTATTTTAATGCTAAGTGATGATGTGGCTTGTAATTCCAGAAATTTATTTCCCGGCAGCGTGTTCAATAATGCTGACAGGGCACTAGATTTGTATGGAGAGTCAGTAGAGGTAGATTACAAGGGGTACGAGGTAACCGTTGAGAACTTCATCCGCCTGTTGACAGATCGATGGAGTGACGAGCAACCAAAGTCCAAGAGACTACTGACGGACGAGAACTCGAATATTTTTATTTACATGACAGGCCACGGTGGCGCCGACTTTTTGAAGTTTCAAGATGCTGAAGAGATCTCTTCGCATGATATTGCTGACGCTTTCGCTCAGATGCACGAAAAAAAGCGTTACAATGAGATTTTTTTCATGGTCGATACATGCCAAGCCAACACAATGTATTCAAAATTCTACTCGCCCAATGTATTAGCCGTGGGGTCCAGTAAGTTGGACGAGAGCTCGTACTCGCATCATTCCGATGTTGAAGTCGGTGTCGCGGTCATTGATCGGTTCACGTATTACACGTTAGAGTTCATGGAGAAAATCGAGAAAAACTCGTCACTTAGTTTGCAAGATCTATTTGATTCTTATACATTTGAAAAAGTGCACTCGCATGTAGGAGTGAAAACTGATTTGTTTGAGAGGATTCCTTCGCAAGTGCTGGTCACAGATTTCTTCGGAAGCGTCAAACACATTTTCAAAGATGAGCATGATCAATCTGAAGATTTTAATGCCGTCATCAAAGATGGCCATGAACAAGAAGACTACGTGGATCATATTGTGAATCTAGCAATTGAGAAGAAACGAAAATCAGTGGCACGAAGCTCAAATGCAACATCGGTAGAGCAAGCTCCACTGATAAATTCAAGAGAAAGTTTGGTGAGTTTCGACAAGTCTAAGACAGAATTTAAGTGGTCAGTGACTGTTCCACGTGTAATATTCTTCAGTCTTCTCATTTTCATATTCTACTTACAAGTACAGGATAAGACCCAATCTCAATCGACCTTAAGATGTTAGCCTACTTCGTCTCTTACACGTATAAGGTTTTTGGCCGGGAAGGATAGGTCCCCGCGTATACTTCACTTGCAGCAATTGTTGTAAAGCCATAAGCAAGATGTTCTAAGCGGCATTACAGTTTTGATCTAAGCGAACTCCATAAAACATATTAAGGTTTTGGGGCTGGAGAATAAGGGTAAAGAATTCCCAATGTGGAAATATTACAAGAGCCTCCGGCTACTAATGGGGTAACTAACAATCCATAACGTCTGGTAAACTCGTGTAGTGATCAGCAAAAACGATTATTATATCATGTCTGTCTGCATAAACACAAATTATCATTAGATGAAGTTAGACAATTAATAAATAGGACCACTATTGTACTATCATATAAATCGGAAACATAGAAATAGCCGGGAACCATCGTCTAAGTCTATAGTAACCATAACCAGACAATTACAAACGAAGAATGTAATAGAGAATGGTACCATGGATCTTGTAATACTGCTGTTGAGAGACAATTACCATGTAATATATGATAGGTTTTCGTGGAACTTTATGGCAACTACTTGCAAGATCGAGGAATTAATATTTAAACATAACAGTGGCTCTATTGAGCAACAACAAGCGCTGTTCATCATATCAAAGGGTTTTGTCGTAAAAAAAACACTGAGTAATGCCCAAATCGTGGAGTTGATCATATCCAAAGTGCACTAGTTTAACGCTCCTCGATGTAGCACCCCTTTTTAGTCCTATAGTCCTGTTATTGTTATACACACTATATTTAAACAATGCGCCGTCCATTGCGTTTGTGGTTATTCAACTTTATGGGTAAATGAACTTTAAACAATTCATGCCACGGCAAGTTTCGGATTCTGGTGGTGTAGGTCTAAGGGTTCTTGGATATCTTAGATGGTTGATGAAATATTAAATAGTGCAGGTACCGCAGAGGACGGCCACCTGGCAGATGATTTTGAAATGCAGACTTTGACCTATTTTGGTGATGAATAAAGATGACGAAGGAGGGAAAAAAAACGAAATAAAACTAAATTGCACCAAAACTGACTATCTTGGTGGATGCACTATCTCTTAATCTTGTTGCTGTTGTTGTAACATCAGCCAGTTATTCTTATACTGTTCAAGAGATCCTATCAATTCATCTTGAATTGAGCTGGATTTTCTACCAGTTCTTGTGCTCTTGAAAGAGTTGTAGCTGGTAGGTTGAAAACTATTGCTAGGTGCGAAAGGTGATGAATCTACCTCGTCGTCCTCAAAAAGCAAAGCATTAGAATCGGCGAAAATATCATTGTCTTGAATCTCAGTGGTAGCCTGCCCATGATTGCGAGCCAAAAAAGGTTTCCCGTTCCCAGCTGGTTCGCCCGCACGCGAAATACTGGAGCTTTTGCGCCTTGTGTTGAAGCCTCCATAACTAACAGAGTTGTGATTAACAGATAGAGTAGCTTCTACCCCATGAGGTGACATCTGTCGGTTTCCAACCCCATCGGCATTCATGCTTTTCCTGTGGTGGGGTGGGATATAAACGCCTGGTTTAGGCTTGAATGCGGGGCCCGCAGCAAACTCTTGTTGCTGAATTTGCTCAAGAAATGAAGTTCTACCGACATCGTTGAGCTTGGCGCTTTCTAATACAGGTGATTTGAGTAATTCGGGCAGATCTCCAGTCCTTACTGAATCGTTGATAACACCAACGGTATTTGGCGACTTCTTTAATGTTTCGTCGTTTATGGACAAGCCATCCACGTCATTTGTAAAGCTGTCAATATCGTTTTCCTCTAAGGTAAACAAGACATCATCTAAATCGTTTTCGTTGTTGTCGCTGGCGATCGCATGCTGTTCATGGTAGGTGTTCGCAGTTAGTGTCGTCGGGCTATCGTAAACCCCATCCAGAACAGAGCAAATTGTCGGAATATTGGGAGATCCATTATGCAAGGAGCTAGGACGCGAATGAGGTGGAATATATTTACCAGACGGAGAATTTTGAGAGGGATTGGAACCCCGCCGTCCGTAGGATGTCGATAGGTGGTTTCCATTGGCTTTAGGCGTCAGTCTTTGGGCCCCGTTAGAACTCGGTCTTCTGTTTCTGTGTCCACGGTGTTTATTAGACTTGTTGTTAAAAATTCCCTCCATGTACCTGTTGTGTACACTAGGTGGAGTGAAAAAGTCTCTCGTGTTAAAACTCTCCTGTTCTTTCTCGTGATAATCATGAAAGAAATTGTTGATATGCGTATTGGGAGTAGGAATAGCTAAAGGTTTCCGGCTATTCTTCAGAATCTTAGAATCGTCGATCTTGATAGGCACGATGTTTTTATGATTGGCTTCGTCACGCTGAGGATGGCTGCGCTTTCTAAACCTAAACCGAGGTACAGGATCCTTTTCTTTAGACTCATGTTTAATAGAAGCAGCGGGTGTAATCTCCTCGACAGAGATTTGAGGAACTTTACCTACAGTAATCTCATCTGGAACAGTAGGGGTTGTAGAAGTCGACATCGGGGTTGCGCTATCTTCAATAGTCTTAGATGACGAATACCCGTCCTCCGTCAAAGAGTTATAGTACTCGTCATCTAAAGTATACTCACCCAATTGTGCAAGCTCCCGTTTCATGCTTGCTAGATCTCGATTTGAAGGATCCATTGTCAAACTATGTCTTAAAACTTGAAAAAAATCAAAGGACATTGTTGAAAAGATGTCAAAGAGCGCCTCTCTATTGGCAGCAAAATAGCAAAACGACTTATCGCTCTGGTTAGCCACGCTAAAAGGATTTTTGTGGAATACCACATTAAGTAAAACAATCCCAATAGCCCATAAGTCGACCTTACTACAATCGTAAGGTTCAGACCGCTCATCGCGATCAAGATTTTCTTCGAACAACTCAGGAGACATGTACCTTTCGCTTCCCACGCTTCTGTCCATAGAGGTTTTCTCCTTGGTAGCTAGTCCCCAGTCCGTAAGCTTGATAGTCCAATCGGATCCTGCAATCAAAATGTTTTCCGGCTTGACATCTCTGTGGTATATACCCTTTGCATGTACGAATTCTATGGCCTCCATTAGTTGCGATGCGATATGTGTGATAAGTCTTGTTTTCTTGGGGACTAAATCGGCTCTAATCGCTTCGTACATGTCACCGCCGGAACAGTATTCCATGATTATGAATGAGTCGAAGTAGTCATAAAGCTCGGTGATATTTTTGTGCTTCCCGACCTTTGTATGAATTTCGACTTCGTAAAGCGCCTCGAAGCAGATGTTCTTCGACAACCTGGAACGAACTTTATCAGAGATCAATGACTTTTGATGCTTTTGAAGCTCTTCGTGTTTCTGACCCGACGAGGAACGCCGTGAGTGCAAAGATCCGTGGTTCGAGCTGTCATTGGATTTGCTGTCGCTTTTGAAGATGTACTTGACTGCTACTAGTTTCTTGGTCTGAGTGTCGTTTGCGAGGGACACGTAGCCATATGAACCTTCGCTAATGTCGTCCAATTTCTTATAACGCCCACGAAGTAGGCTGCCCTCTTTGTATACCTCGTAATCCTCAGTCATTCTCAAAACGAGGCGATGATGTTAAGCAGGTGGGAAAACGCAAACGAACAGCTTCTAGAAAAGCGAAAAAACACTCCGCGAAGTCGCGCCGTTACCAGCGTTTTTTTGATTTGTATTCCGAACTTCAAGCTTCGGAAGACTGATATGGCTTTTTGTTTGATAGGTTTCTACAGTTTTCTACACTGCTACTACCAATGCTTGGCTCCGTCCAATGGGTTGTTCCAATACCACGAAAATGCTCTCTGTCTTGATTTATCCCGTTCCCACTAACTTCACGGAAGTATGCGCGTTAGTTAATAGTCAATGTTGATCTTGTATTAGCTTTAGTGTTCGAATGGATGAAAAAGCTCAGACGTGTTCAAGACTAAGTACGTTTCCACACTAATCAACGTTTCAGGGACTCAAAGAAGGATCTTAATCGACTGTTGGGAAGCTTCCGGAGTCTTGAAGGGGTCTTGATACCTAAATCGATCGTTTATGAATAGCTTATCAGAGGAAGCTACGACGTTTGAATTCTTCGCGAATCTTAATTTACGACGTTCGATGAAATTCTATCTAAGCTAGTGACGACGACTCACAAATTTGTTACAACGAAAGGTAGTAGATGTGTGTAACCCGCAGTGGTTTAAAGGTTTGATAAGTCGCTAATGAATGTGAATAATTGAGTTTTTCATGAGTGGCAGTAGCGAAAAAATTCGGTACTGAAATGTAGATTTGGTCTTGTAGTTACAGCCGACATTTTGTGAACGAACTAGACCTCTTTACACTCCTCAGCTTTTTGTCTCGTAGCTATGTGGAAGATTAACTAGCAGTACTAAACGGCAACGAAGTATGGCCAACATTTTCTAAACTCTCCTAGGGCTTCTCAATGATCTGTGGATACGATGGTTCAAAGTCAATTTGGGTTCAGTAATGGTATTAACCGCCCCATTATGCCTCTCAACAGATCTGCAACGAACCAGGGAGTCTTTTCTTCAACGAGTTGAACTAGATTCCAGGTACAAGTTGAGAGAAGCACTTCAAGTTGATCAGGGATAAGCCTGGATACTCTTTCAAACGTGCAGGGGTTTGTAGCACTGTCAGCCAGTTGCGAGCGGTTGCTGCTAGATCAATAATCATTTGTCCAAGTAAAACAAAAGCGTCAGAAAATGTCAGTCCTACAGCTCCAAGCGAAAGAAGAACTCAACGGCACAAACACAAAATCCACTCTCCTTCCTCCCAGTTGGGGCCTTTTGAGGGCTCAATTACCGCAGCAAGTCAGTTATTAATGTGCTCGGCCTCAAAACGTATAGCGCACCGCGGTATTTGAAGGGGTCTTCGAGAAACCCTGTAGACCAATTAGATAGTGAAAACAAGTATACGAGAACGCATTGGAAGTCCATCTGAACCTTGGGGAAGGTGACGCGAAGGAGACCCTTGAGAATTTTTCTGAGTTGTAAATTGTGCGCAATAAGGCCCTCACCTGAGAGAATGTTCCTTGACAGCATTCATACCAGACTCTTCATATGGGTTAGCGCTTGACCACAATGAGACTCATCTCTTCGTCTATATAGCGTGATTCGCTGTACATACGCACGCTTTTTTCAAGCAAGACTATATACGAACTGGCGTTATTCTCATTATACATTCTGAGGCAGCAGGCACAATGGTAGGGGGCACGGCAAAATTAATCGTCAGCTCTCCGTTCACTAGAGTTTGTTGAAGTCAAATTAGGATGATACCGGAATTAGAACCTGAATTATACATTGGGACTCGAAAAAATATTCTCGTAATTGTACTAATGTTATTGCCGATGCGCTGGAATTGAATGTTGAATATCTAGTGTTTGCTCGTACAGATTCAATTAACCAATTTCTAATATAAATCACCCCTTGAATTTTCCAGATAAAGCCTGTAAATAGTCATCTTTGATTGTACTGTTTTTTAGACAATATTTTGCACATCGAAAGAAGATTCGACACTGTTATATTCACTAGATATTTCCTAGGATGTTCCAATTATTTACAGTTTTAGGAGAGTCAATGTCATAATAACATCGTCTATGCTCTCATGCGGGCACGTGTAATACACGTGGATGCGATCTTTGTTGATATAGCCCATTAGTCTACAGGACAAAGAACATAGAAGTTTCCAGTCCACTATGGCCGAACCCAGGGCTCGCTGAATGTGTCCCATCAAGGCGCTTCGCCCACTATCAGTAGCGTTGAAGTCGTGCAGCAACTCTTTTCTTCGACCATATCAACAGGAATGTATTGATAAGTGCATTCAATCCATAACGCATGGCACGAAGCGGATCGGAGTATCAATAGCTACTGGCGGTGGCAAAACGGTTATATTTTCGCACTTAATTGATCGCCTCCGCAGCCTTTCTGGCCGAGACACTTTCAGGACTTTAATCTTAGTACACAGACGAGAGTTGGCTCAGCAGGCAAGTAATGTGCTAGCTACCTTTTTCCCTCAATATGACGTTCAGATTGAGATGGGCAAACTGAAATGTGAGATTGACACTGCAGATGTGATCGTAGCGTCTGTACAAACTTTAGTACGAAGGCTAGATCGGTTTGACCCCAAAACTATTGATCTCATTATTATAGATGAGGCTCACCATGCGGCCGCGAAATCCTACTTGCAAATTCTCAAACACTTCAATGCTGATCATAGCAGTACTTTGATACCGGTCGTCGGCTTCAGTGCTACTTTTGAGAGGGCCGACAACAAAGCATTATCCGCAGTGATGGATGATATCGTATTTCATAGAGGAATCATAGAAATGATAGACAACAAATGGCTCTGTGAAAGCCGCTTTACTACAGTGGACGTTAAGCTGAACCTGTCAGCTGTTTCGATATCAGGTTCAGACTTCCAAATCGATGGCCTTTCACAAGTGGTCAATACTCGAGAGGTAAATAACGTAGTTCTCGAGACCTACCTGCGAAAGAAGCAACAATATAATCTTCGATCTACGCTATTATTTGGGTGCGATGTCGAACACGTCCAAACTCTACAAGCGCTGTTCCAGAAATCCGACATTAACGCACAATTCGTAACCGCGAAAACGCGACAGAGCGAAAGGGACTCGATTGTTGAGGATTTCAAAAACGGCAAGGTTGAGGTACTTATGAACTGCGGTATTTTCACGGAGGGGACAGATCTGCCCAGCATTGATAGTATTTTGCTCTGCCGACCTACTCGTTCCCGGTCATTGCTGGTGCAGATGATAGGGCGCGGGTTGAGATTGCACCGCTCTAAAGATCGTTGCCATATCTTTGATTTTGTTGATGCTGCGAATGTAGGAGTTGTATCATTCCCCACTCTTGTAGGAATCGAAGATGTGGATCTTGATCTCACCGATGCGACGATACAGGAATTGCAGGTGATCAAAGAAGAGCTAGTCCTCAAGCAACAAGAAGCGGACATGGAGAAGGGTAGAGACCGAGAAAATGAGAGGTTAGCGCATCAAAAATTCAGAGATCTTTTGAAGAATTCTCAAGCATTCGATCTGACACTCACTACGTTTGAAGATTTCTTGTCATTCCACAAACAAACCGCAGCCATGACGGATCCAGAAGATCCAATTTGGGATTCTGATCTGGGGAAAGAAATAAAACTTATACGCGAATCGTCGTACCCATGGGTGCGATTTGCGAAAAACGCATGGGCCATGTCAATAGATTCACACCATCATTTACGAATTTACAAAGAGTGTAACAAAGCATCGAAGAAGCTTGGCGCCACGTATGTGTTGAAACTTTACACATTGTTTCCTGATAGAGTTCGCGCCGACGCGGGGGCTCGCTACAAAACGCATGAGGTGAAAACAGATAAGAATTTGGCTGTTGTGGTAGCGGCAGTTGAGAAGCTGGTTAAAGAATTTTTGACACAGCCTGGTTCAAAGGTAAAGAACTTCACAAAATATTCACCTTGGAGACTCACTGCCGCTTCTACAAAACAAAAATCATTGCTTCAAAGTAAAATCACGAAATTGATTTCGAAAGAAGACTCTAAATTTTCTGAGAAACTTGATGCATCCATTGTGAAAAAGTACGTCGATAACCTCACGAAAGGCGAGGCATCAAATATACTGTTTGCAACAAGCGTGGCACCCGTATACCCGCTTAAATCTCTTTGTAAAGTATTAAATTATAGGTCATAATTCTAGCCGTAGGTTCGATCTACCTAGATATGCCTCCCTGTAGGCTACAATAACAAGCAATCAGCAGTAAAAGGATATCTCAAATGAACCCACGGGACGGGCATGTAAAGCATTGGGAGCAATAAACAAAAGAGTGGCGCATTACTTGGCAATTATGATTTTAGCACTGGGAAAGGTAAGTGGTCATTTCAGTTCTAAAGTAGGTCTGGTAAAGACACTGGAGATATGTCTACCACACTGTTCTACTATCACAGATCTGCAGTGCCCGTTTTTTCGTGTGTAATGCCACTTTGTAAAGCATAACAGAATTCAAAGTGTACGCACACATTACCTCTTGCAAGGAGCCGCTAAAGACCCTGCGAATTTAGTCACAATGCTAAACATCCTCCAGATACCCGCTCCTGTAAAGAGTTTTTTTGATAAGTTTCCAATAGAAACTTATGGTCCCGTTGAGAAGAGAGATGACGCGTTAGCGCATGAGATAAATTCCCGAATTTATAACTTTGAAGGAAGCAATGCCTTGCAGAAGTCTGCAAATGATACTTTCAAACTAGGCGTTTATCGTGTAATGCAAGATTCGCGTAGCGGACGCTTCTTAGCCTCTGATCCATGGTGCTTGTACGCGCAACTATCATTGTGCAAGAAAAGCGGTCTCAAATTGAGCTCTAAATGCAAAGTCCAGGAAATTAAAGACTCGAATCCAAATTCAAAGCATTCGGTGTATGAGATATCATCTCTAGCTGCCAACGAACGTGTTCTTCCTGTGCTCATCGAAGGCAGCTCAAAACGGCATGTGCGCTCCGCCGCTGGGATATACGAAATCTTGAACTCGCGACTCACAACCGCTGAAGAGCTGATGTACTCGTTACTTTTAGACTCTGTGGTCTACGACTGCTATACGTCAAAAGTTTTATATCAATTGAACTTTTCAGAGTTTTTGAACCTCTACGGCGATCGGTCCTCAACGGCTGTTGACAGATTAGTCTGCCATACTCTGCGCGAAGATTTGAGTAAGCGTAATAATTTCGCGCTCCGTCATCGCGAACTGGTTGCGCGGGGCCGCTATTCTCAGCTTTTCAAACGCTCGGATAATATGCTGCAGCTGATTGCCCGTGTCGAAGAGAACTGTCGTCAGACTTTGACACAATTTCAAGCGCTGCTGGGAACTACGACCGGCTTTTATCAGGATAATTCTGAACCTTCTTACCTGGACTTGAAACTCGCAAGCTACATCTATTGTTTACTAACCCTTCCCGAATCTGCATCCATGGCCGAATTTTTGCGTCAAGAGTGCTCTGTTTTGGTGGTACATTCTCAAAAGGTGATTTCATACTACCAATAGTGTCAAGATTCATTAAGCTCCGGCTAAACAGCAGCCCTTAAGGGTGTTACCTAGTGGTGGTGGCAGTGCATGTCAAGCACTCCTATTGTCACAAGTTTTTCTTTGAACATCCGCCTCCTCAATTTATTATCAAAATGACTTGGGCAACAGCATGAAATTGCCCACACAGGTTTCAAACACCCCAGAAGGAATTGCTAATAGGTGCTACTTTAGCTCGAACAGGCATCATGTTATAGTTGTTTCGTCAAATGTGACTCCGCGTCTTGATTTCTGATTTAGCTAAAACCTCAAACGTGAAAAACCCTTTACAATAACGGATCTTGAGAGGTTCGGTTGTCCGAGAGCATAAAAGTCCGATTGTTTCAGACTAAAACACTTTCGAACACTACAGAAGTGTTTCACACATTGAGGGAAGTTTTATAAAAGTGTGGAAGTGTCGGAAACTGGTTAGAAACGTCCTTGGAGGAAGTTTGGAAAGAAAGAGCCATCTGCGACTCAAGCACGCGGAGAAAAGCCAATTAAGTGTGAAGGCCGACAGCTATACGCTGGTTGCAACAAGAAGACTCAGGTGTTAGAGCGCATCTTCATCAAAGCTTAGGATTCATCTTTTTGGAGACGAACCGCCTATCGGCAAAAAAAGTAGATTCACCTAAGATCTGCAATAACCTAGATATTGGGTATCTTCAAGAGTCCGGTTTATGAGATGTCGCAAAGTCAGAACAGTGGACAGGAGGTTATCAAAACCAAAGTGGATGGTCAGATCCAAAAATGCACTTCCGAAGAAATCGAAGAGTCCCTCAGGCTTATTGAAGATGTCAAGTTTTTCCTCGCGACCGCGCCAGCTAATTGGCAAGAAAACCAGATCATTCGCAGGTATTATCTGAATAACGACCAAGGATTCGTCTCGTGCGTTTTTTGGAATAACCTTTACTACATTACAGGAACCGATATCGTTAAATGCTGCGTCTATCGAATGCAGAAGTTTGGTCGGGAAGTACTAGATCGTAAGAAATTCGAAGAAGGTATCTTCTCGGATCTTCGACATCTGAAATGCGGAGTGGATGCTACATTGGAGACACCCAAATCTGAGTTTCTCTCATTTCTGTTCAAGAATATGTGTCTTAAAACTCAAAAGAAGCAAAAAGTTTTCTTCTGGTTCAGTGTTCCTCACGATAAACTCTTTGCGGATGCGTTGGAGAGAGACATGAAAAGGCATGCCGCGAGCCAATTACCAACAACCAGGTCCGTAAGCGAGCCGGCGCTTTCCTTCACTTACGACGATCGATCAGGCTTGTCGCTATATGATCAATTATTACAGCATATGGACTTGCAACGTATTAAACGAAGTAATGCATCAACGGTTGAGTCAACTACTGAAACACAACCCACTACGAACTTTGTGCAGGTCCAAACAAGCACTGGTGCTGAGGAATCGAGCCCTGTGCATATCAAAAATGAAGCTCTCGATTTGGAAGATACGCCCGATGAATTAACATCCAAATATGCCCCGCAAGAGCTGATAATTAATCCACCGGCAGGCTCACCTGATGAACTTGATTTAGATTCTGCTGCTGAGGTTCCTGGCCTTTCAAAAGATCCGGGAGAAGAGGATGATTTTCCTCTCGATTACTTCCCAGTGGAAGTTGAATATCCCAACCAGCAATCACTTAAGCCTGGAATCGGATCGATGTATTACGATAACGAATTCGAAACCAGTTATATCCCACTTTCGGCTGTTCCTCCTGTCTCTGCAGGGTTTTATGAGAACTCGCATTTTCCCGAAGAAGTCACATTTGGTCCTCCTCCTGTAACATCGGCAGCTAGACTTGCATTTCAAATACCTCCACCTCCAATGTCTGCTGCTCGCTCACAATTCATGACTAATGGTGAATATTACGCTTCATACGTTAAAGGTCAAGAGGATCGCATCGGCGATAGGCTTTCTCAAGAGCTTGATCAGGACAAAGAATATCAAGAAGAAGTGGTAGACAATTCTCGTGATTTTGACCGGAACCCGAAACAATATATTTCATACCAAAAGCCTGGTGCCGACTCCAGAAGTATCAATGGTGTTCTTCCTCCTGGTAGTATTTATCCTAACAGATATGCATATCCTTCGATGGACATCCAACAAGGCACACAGGGGATCCTCATATGACCAGAAGCTACGCCATGGAAGACTATCTTTGTGACAACTCCGCACTGTACGACGCATTTCCTGGAGGTGCTTATGTACCGCCTTCATCCAAACCTTATACCCCGGGCTACCGCTTGACGCCGATGGCACCATCCACTCCTTTCGTAGGAGTTACGCAATACGGCAATAGGCAAGTTCTTACCACCACTGCTAAAAATTATCCAATCAACCCGTACTATCAGTCATCACCAAGTTTTCAGCGCTGGGGCAACGTTCACGGCTACTTAAGAGGGTTCCCTTCCATACAGGCCACGTCAGCTCCCCAGGGTCCATCCATGCCAATGCAACACCCTCATTCTGCCAGCAAGCTCTATTTCAATAAACCTAACATCGTTCACAAACCATCCCCCAGGGCTCCAAAGCAGAGAACTCGTGCCAAAAAGCCTCCTTCTTTATCGCGGTCCGTAAGGTCCCACCATCGTACCAATTGTAAAAACGATTTAGAACAAGGCTCTGCTACTTTCTCTATGCCAACCCCTGAATCGAATTCAACCACGCTCAACGATGCTAGAAATAAAAGACCACAAGGGCAGAAGCAGTACGAAGCCGATAGCGATAACTACAAAGACAGCTTCGCGAAGGATCAGGATCAGAAAGTCTTTTACAAATAGAAAGCAGTCATAAGCTATGCATTGTGCATTGGTATATGCACAATTGGTATGATATAGAATTTTAGAGGTTGCTTGTTTTAGCATATGTATCATTAAATCTTTTTCGTTTCATTCGTCAATGCCAGCGTTGGGATTCTCTTCTAAAAACTGCTCGAGTGACATTTGTGTGATTTGGCTCAAAAGGTTTTCGTCCTGCATCATTTCCATCTGAGTCATGGTTAGGTCACTTTCGCTAACGAAATTCTTGACGGACTCAACTAGATCTTCTGTACTGCGATCGTAAGGTTGTGGAGGTAGGACGTCAAATTCGTAGACATCCCTTTGGGACCAAATCGTTTCCGGGATACAAGCCATAAGAGGGGACTCTTGCGATAAGACCGCGAACCGTAACAGATTGACAGGTATTCCCTCGATAAAGAAAGGATTATCCGCCGGTGTGGCTTCTGTAAAGTCTAAAGCTAATTTGTTGTCCTTACAGTCATCAATGACAGTTTTCAGCTCGTCATGCAAAAACTTCAACTCAACCCCTCCCCAGAGCGCTTTCATTCTTATCAGATATGCCTTAGTCTCAACCGCACAAGCTGTGCTTCTAGCAGGAAGGTGCAGGCCTTTCAGCGAGGCATTGTCTCCTAGAAGCCCTTCGACAAAAATGGAAGACAAGGCACATGGATGATGCATGAAAGCCTTTCTAAGCTCTGACTTTGCATCTTCCACCAAGTCCCTTTTTAAATACGACAAAACAAATCCCAGTGAGAGCCCTAAGGTGTACCATTCACTATAGGTGTTAGCCATTGGTGAGTGGGCCAATCTGAGCATGTATTCGTACTCCTTATTCATCAACAAATAATGGTCGATAAAGTATCTGCAACCAAGAGGATCTTCCAGTGGAGATAAAGACCACAAGACTTTACACCACTCACTAGCAGTCGAGACGGCTCCTCTCTGCGAAAGAATTTGCATGTATCGAAAAATTGCAATGTAAAACTGTCTGTTGAAGAAATAAATGTAGGGAAGTTGGCAAGATACACCATTGAAGGTGATGTGAGATCTCAATGCACGATCGAAAACGAAGAGTGCCCTTTCAACTAAACCATTGCTGTTAGCCTTGTCGCCCTGTCTTACCAAGATTAAAGCAACTTGAAGCAATGCTGGTACATGATAAGGAAACCTTGAAGATATGAGACTTATCAGAGCTTCATGATCGGGACGCAAAACAACACTCATGTAAAATTCCGTCATTGCCTTGCGATTTAATTCTAAGTTCGACGGTTCGAACTTGAAGAAATTGATTCCTGCTTTTTCCCACATTTTGATGGAGCGCTCAATTTCGTCAACCCAGTCTTGAGGTCTTTGCCAACTATTCCAGTCTATTAATTCTTTTTGAGATAGTTGCGTGATCACAAATTCTCCTCGCGGTGTCGGAATCCAATCATCTCTAATTTTAGTAAATGCTAAACGTCTTGAAGTAGAACCGTTGGGTACACTCTTGTGATCCTTGCCACCCCAATTGCGAACCCTCTGCTTGAGTATTTCAATTTGCTTCATCACTTGGGGAGAGACATGGGTAGATGTCATGGAATCCACGTCTGCCAAAGACTCGGGGGATAAATCGTCAAATAATAACTTATACTCGTTGTCGGGGTTCAACTTTTTCATGTCTATAAGCCCAAAAATGCGTTCAAACTCAGAAAAGTTCTTGAAGTGCGTAAATCCTGGGTCAGTGGTTAAGTGTGAGAGCTTTTGATTGCCGCTGATTTCTTCATCCTCATTGGCGGTATCATAGTCATAAAGAGAATCGTCTGAATTGTCGATGTCCGGTCCCAAAGAGCTTTTTTTATATTCTAGGTCCCGTTTCTGGAATTGTTGAATTATGCGGTCTAGCTCCTCGTCATCATTCTCATTATTTTCCTGCTCAGCGGGTTCCTCGGATTCTCTCTCGGATTTCTTGCTAGCTTTTTTGTTCTTGTTTTTCCGGTTCTTCTTCTTTTTCGATTTCGTAGCTACTTGGATAGGCTTTGCAGCCTCTGCTTCAATTGAGGACCCTTGATAACTGTTGTTATCTGACTTTGTCACTTCCTCTTCTTCCTCATCCTCGTCCTCATCCTCGTCCCCCATCAAAGCAAATGGATTCACCGGTCTTGATCTTTGCGTTCTATGCTCACTTGTAGGCTCATTTTCCGCGGACTCAGGGGTCAGGTTTGCCAGAGTTTGCTCCAGACTATTCGCTTGAAGCCTTCTTAGTGCTCTGGAACTCATTTACTACAATATGAAGTACGCTCGAAACTTGATCAGAAAACTTGAGCAAAATGCAATTCTAAACTTAAATTTCTTGATTCTTGAGAAAAGATATTTCTTAATGAGCGAAAAATTTAAGCTCATCGCATCAAATTTCAGCGTTTAACTAGACTTAAACTCTGGTGAAAAGTAAAGTATCGAAGCATCTCCATCGAGCTATCATCTGAACTCAACCTGAACCACAGCCATGGCTAAAAAGAAGACTTTGAAACAACAGGATTTCCAAAAGAAGAAACTCAAAGTTGGCAAGGCTAAGCAGCCAGCGAGCAATGTAACGGACACCTCGTTCACGGCGCGAATGATCTCGCTTCCGAACCAAGCAAAAATCAGGTCGGCTGGAGACGGAATTAGTTCGAATCACCGGAACCTCGAGCTGGATGTAATCAAACGACTTTCGCTTTGCAAGCATCACAGTGCCGTTACGAGAAAAGAAACCTTGATATATTTCAAGCAAATAACTCCGAAGATCATATATACCAAATGCGTCACACCGATGCTTAGCAGTTGTCTGCCTCTTATCTGCGATGATGACTCGCAGGTCAGGTCTGCGTTGCTGGAGCTATTCGAAGAGATCGGTCAGCATGATGAGAACGTGCTGCGATTACACAGCAGAGCTTTAGTGCTATTTATCAACAGTGGCATGACACATATAGCCCCTGCAATTCAACGCGATTCTGGAAAGTTTTTGAAATGCGCTTTACGCTACTGTGGAGATGAACTGGTACGCAATTCGTGGGTGAAGATGCTCAAGGGTATGTTCGGTGTTTTGGGATGGTCCACTGAAGCTTCCAAAGGCCCGAAGGGTGCGAAGAGTGTCAGTATGGGTATGAAGACCTCTAGTGTTGTCAGCATGAACAGCGCTAAGTTTAAGAAAGCTCAACAAGTTAATCTCGAGACTCTATTGGATTTCGTGAAGTGTGGGTGCATAGAGCCTGCAATGGATCCAGTTCAAGCCGCGCAACAAGGTTCTACAGCATATAACAAGTACCTGATTCCGGCCGTTCCGCAGCCATACCAGCACTTGAAGCTGTTTGTGAAAGAACTAAAAAATGACAAGGACACAAAAGGCTCGAAGCTCGAGGAGCTTAACAATGCTACGTTCCAGGACTTTTCGGCGAGGCGCGAAGCCCTGGTTGAGCATTTCTATGATCCCATGCTACTAAATGTTACAAATTTAATTGCCGACGGCGGAGAGTGCGGCAGGACTGCAAACTCTTTGAAAGATACTTTGGAGTCCATAATGCAGCTTCAAGAGGCTTGAACAGAGAGAAATTACAACCCTTCGGAATCTACTGCTGGCGAGTATAGGGGTGTATGACGCGATGATGAACACTGCCACTATACCTAAGTCCGTATGTTGCCTATATGACTTCCCGTTACCTCTGTGCGTTCGTGCTAGCCGAACTTTTGGTCAGTTACTATATGGACTTCTACAGCTTCTACAGCTTCTACAGCTTCTATCGCAGCTGCCCGAAACACTACTACAATTAGATAGACAACAAATGCAAACGAGAAGAAGTGTCGCTCGCGCTAGCTTATCAAAGGAAACCTTTTTACAAGTTCTGGTATCGTTCAAAAGCCAGTTCGGCATCATTTTTACTCTTACTCTTGCTTCTTGAAGTTCGGATCTTGTATTTTATTCCCTTTATATACTCCTTGTTGATTTTCATTGCGAGCTCGTGTACTAAAAAATAAATTGGATGTTCGTCCCCCTGATAAACAACAACTCTAATATTGACAGAAATTTGTATATCAATACAGTTTCCATTTAAGTTGGCCGACTTGGCGATTGGCAAGCTCTACTTTCTGATTGACATATTAGATTTTGCGAGCGAAAAGCGCTTTTCCGCTACCGATCCTGAAGTTCGAAGTGGCCAGATTGCAGAGAGCGGACCAATAATATAAAATATAGCTCAAGTCACAGACATTGACTGCCGTGCTAGCTATAAAAATTCATAGCTCCTGATTGAGAACCGCGGCGGATACGCTTATTTATATCCAGTGCGTTGAAGATACTCGCTAGCCCGCTCGTCTTGCGCCATTGTTGATTCAGTGTTTGAGTTTGATATTTTGAAGTTTTCGGGCGTTTCATTTAATTCCTCCTTTTTTTCCTCTGTTTCTCCGATTTTCCATTCGGGTAGTTGAAGAGATCCCTATCAGCTTAACTAACTGTGTTTTTGTTTCATTTTTCACTTTCCCTCTTTCTACCGTCTCTCAGTTAGCATTTGCAGGTTCAAATGTCATTCAGTTCTTCCCCCAATTCATTTCACTATCCAAAAGTTCACCCTAGCAATAATAGTGGGAGTGATTACACGCATCAGCTTCCTACGCACCAAATGCAACCTCTCGCAGAGCAGGGTACTTCGAGATCCAATTCCCTATACATGGGAGATCTGGACCCCAACTGGGACGAAAACTCCATCCGCACAGTTTGGGCTTCTCTAGGTGAGCCCAATGTTCAAGTCAAATTGATTCGGAATGCAGGCCCTATCGCGGGTAATTCCGGTTACTGTTTTGTCGAGTTCCCTTCACATCTGAACGCATCCAACGCGTTGCTGAAAAATGGTCTTTTGATTCCTAATACTGCTAACAGACTTTTGAAACTCAACTGGGCTACCTTTGCCACCACTCCTGGCAACGAGCACTCCATTTTCGTGGGTGATCTCGCCCCGAACGTAAGTGAAGCCCAGCTGTTTGAGCTTTTTATCTCGAGATACGCCTCGACGCTAAATGCTAAAATTGTCTTCGATCAAATGACTGGCGTCTCTAAGGGATACGGGTTTGTGAAATTTGGTCAAGAATCAGAACAGCAGAGGGCGCTTGTGGAAATGCAAGGTGTTTTTCTAAACGGGAGAGCCATAAGAGTTAGTACCACGTCAAAAAACAGACTCAAGTATCCACCACAGCAGCAGCAGCAACAGCAGCAGCAACAGCAGCAGCAACAGCAACAGCAGCAGCAACAAGGTTATTCGCAGCAGTATCAAATCTCTCAAGTTAGTGGTGGCCAGTTGCAGTCTCAATTCACATATCCTGTTCAACAGCAGCCAACTCTCAATCAATACACAGATCCCAATAACACAACGGTATTCATTGGCGGGCTATCATCCTTAGTTACGGAAGATGAATTACGCGCCTATTTTCAACCTTTCGGTTCAATTGTCTATGTCAAGATTCCAGTCGGGAAGGGATGTGGGTTTGTTCAATATGTTGATAGGCTCTCCGCAGAGACAGCCATCTCTAAAATGCAAGGGTATCCAATCGGAAACTCAAGGATACGACTTTCATGGGGAAGAAGCGCGAAACAAGCCGTGATAATGCAACAAGCTTTTACGTCAGCCGCACAGCAACGTCAGCACCCGCAATTGCAGCAACCACAGCAACCACAGAGCCAGCCTCAGCAACTGCAGCTATCTTCGGCCAATTTACCGTACGAACGTCAGCCCGCTATGCCATCTTCGTACGGTTACTCAAGTACATGGGATTCTCTAAATGGAAGCTATTTGCCTTTTTCTCAAACTTCTTATTCCAATTCTAGTAACGACACGGGCACAAGCTCATCAAGTTCGTTGCTTGCCGGTCTGAGTAATTTAGAGTATTCTGGTGCTCCTACAGATACAACATCGATGAGTAGCGTGTTCAGTTATTCACCTACATACTCAACACCTCAGTCTGCGGTGCTAGGAGCTCCTTCTCGGACTGCTGATCAATCTGCTACTTCACTGGCACACGGAATGTCGTCACACCCACAATTTTTAGTGCAAGGCAACGACGTTTATGTCAAGAGTAAGTCCGAAACAATTGACAGATTAGAGAAGGGGAGCAATGGCTTCATTTTTGCCTGATAAACCCAACTCTTTTATATTATTACCCGACTTGGTGGGCTTGTATCCTTGTTCGTTTTATTACGTTCGTTATGTTATCCCCGTTGTTTTTGAATGCTCTTCCTCATAAACCCTGTCATATTAATACTCAAATCCATAACCGCTTGTTGCCCGCGGTTCTCCACGATTGAACTTTGATGAGCTTGTGAACATTGCTCAATTTCTTATGACATGTGCGAAGGTGAGCTATTTTCAAAAGTCTTTATAATTTTGATTGTCTACAGTTTGTCTTTTAAACCATTGAATGGTATGTATACTTTTACTGTTATCAAATAAATGCACAATGCTCTTAAGAAGATGCCATAGCTAGATCTATCAGTGGGAGTTACTACAAATTTTACAAAAAGAACTCCGCGACGGGGAATTGAACCCCGGTCCCGGGCGCGACAAGCCCGAATTCTAGCCACTAAACTATCGCGGATTTTATGAGATAACTAAAGCAACGTCTGATACATATCTATAGTTTTAGTCATGCTTGAAGCTTGGATAGGACGCCAGATGATAGTCTGCAATTCTTTCAAGAACACGGCGGTAGTAGTCTAGCCCAGCTGCTGTCCTCTCATTACCCCCTTCTATCGGAAAGAGCCCTATCAGATTAGAGTTTTAATCAATGTTTACTTACTCCGCGTACATTGCACGCGGTGTTGAGCCTTTTTTTCCATCCACGTCTCCAATGTTAGAACCAAACATAAACACTTAAAAATTAAACAAGGTCAAATCCCTCTTCATTTGAAGGTCATTACCGTTAAACCCTGGATATTGTTGAACGCGCTCAGTGGCTACAAAGTAATTCTTAGAGAAGTAATGTTTTGGTTTCGTTAAAAACCAGAAAATTAAAGCTGCAGCGCAAAGAAAGATTAGCGTCTTTCAGGTTTCTGCTACTGCCCAGTAAGTCAGGTAAAAAGAAGAGTGGGAGTATTAAATGAATGCCTTAGCTGGAAGCACAAGTCCAAATTTATCAACATTTGGCGCCGTTTTGAAGGCACTCCGAAGTTAGTATCACCATACACGAAATCAAATGGAACGTAAAATTTTTTGGTAGCACCGAACTCTCATCCGCCACCTTGAAATTCGAACTCCTCAATCACAGAGTAACATCTACAAATCTGGGACAAAAGTGGCATTGAAAAGAGTGTTAGCCGCGTGAAAACTTCAAGAACCGTCAATTTACACCTGAAAGTTTTGCCCAGTGTAATCTCATTAATCCAGAACTGTTCTAAATGCTCCAAAATCGCCGTTTTGTGTTTTGTTTTCATTGAAGTTTGAACTATTTATCATTTAACATAGCATCAGCATGACAAGTACTGACGATACTGACGAACAGATTGCGGAACTGAAGTTCAATTACGACGTTCTGATCAACGAACTGTATCATTTGAAAGAATATACGTCATTGGTAGAATTTGACCCATGTTTAAGGAACTCGTCGGAGAGTTTTGAACATTTTGTAAAATCTGGCAATTTGGACATTTCGAAAGCCAATTCCAACGATGAAGATGACGCAAATGCGTCGCGCAGAGTACGAAGGCGCCAGGCTAGAGGTGAGGTATCGATACCAACTGACAGCGGCTTGGGGCCCGATGTTGAGTTTTTAGTAGGGGAAAGGTACAATGAGCTCGAATGCCGGATGGAGCAAAAACCTTATAAGCGTCAAAAGTTAGTGAAGAACGAACCATTTGTCAAAAAGCAAAAAGTTGAAGTCAAATCGCAGCCAACTGGCAGAATATCCGTAAAAGAGGAAGAAAATAATCTCACGGGCGGTCCTATAAATACGGTCAGCACTCTTTCGAAACTTAATGGTATCGATGATCGGGCGTGTGATAGTACGTATTATACAAGTTCCTCTTCTGATGAGGAATGGGACTCAAAGAGAAAGAGCAAGAGATCTCCTCGCATCAGGATCACTGTAGATGCCCCGAAACAAACAGTGACGAACCCATTGCATGTTTTGAAGCCTGAATTCAAGTCATTGAACGAATTCTTAAAATCATACAAAGCCCTAGATGAGGACATGTCCATAAATGAATATAACAGGTATGTTCAGGATCAAAAATCGCTATTTTCTAAGATTTCGAAAGGTCTGGAAACGGGAGTGCTTCATTATGATTATGAGACAGATTCGATTCAGGCGATCACTTTAAAAGATGCCACTGCTACACAATCACACAGGCCAGAGCCCATAAAGTACCTTTACAAGGAACAACAGCAGTATACGTTTCGTGACCATTTGGTCAATCAAGGCATATTCATGAGCAGACTATTTCAAGAAACCAAAAAAGCTCGCGCTTCCAATGTAAGGAAGATAACGCAAATGGTGGAACAACATTTCAGACATGTCGCAGGCGCCGAAGACCGCAAACAGAAGGAGGAAGATAAAAGACTCAAAACTTTAGCTCGGACTGCCGTACAGGCTGTTAAGAGGAGATGGATGGTTGCTGAGAAGGCTTACAAAGTATTGAAAAAGGACGAGGAAGATCAACTGAAGAAAATTCAGGGAAAAGAACACCTGAGCAAAATGTTAGAACAAAGTACTCAACTTTTGGGCGCGCAACTCAAGCACTTTACCAATGATGATGATGACAAGGGCGTTAATACTTCAGCAAGTCATAGTGACATGGAACATAGTAACAACGACAGTGATAGCGCTTCGTTTACATCATCTGATGATGCAGATTCTTGGAATGATAGCGAGGATGATGCCAGGCTTTCGGTTGAACAACTTCAAGCAAAATATGCCAGTTTGAAGAGCGAAAAAGATGAGGCTGCTGAAGTTCATGAATCCGAGACCGTTCTTTCTGGTGAAGAAGATGAACCGGTTAAAGACGATGGATCTAACACAGCTCTTTTAAGTGAAGAAGATGAGCACGTTAAAGTCGATGAATCTAACAAACTTCTTTCAAGTGAAGAAAAAGAACACGTTAAAGCCGATGAATTTGAAGCAGTTCTTTCAGATGAGGAAGACAACGAGTCCCCGTCGCCGGCTTTAAAGTTGACAGAGAAGGAAAAGATCGAATGGCAAAAAAACCAGGACGATGAAAAGCTTGCAGTCCTCGATGACGAGACAAGTGATGCATCCGAATCTGATGCCGAACAGTCCTCCTTTTTGAACTCTGATGGAGAAAACGAGGAGGAAGACAATACAGGTATAAAAGAAGATCAACCAGAAGGGCTTATGTCTTTATTTGAAGAAATAGCAGAAGACCAATCAGAAGACGAATCTGATTATGCGTCTTCGTCTGCAAATGATATTGCTTTGTCAGAGGAACAGGAAAGCTCAGACTCGGAAATGGATGAAGCAATTACCCCTGAACCCGCTTTCGACAAGAAATCGCAAATTGAGGTACACGGTGGCTCAAAAGAAGAGATTGAAAAGGATCCACTGGCTGTCGTTGACGTACCAATCCCATCGCTTTTACGTGGAAGTTTGAGAATTTATCAAAAACAAGGGCTTAACTGGTTGGCGTCCTTGTATAACAACAAAACCAATGGAATCTTGGCAGACGAGATGGGTCTCGGAAAAACAATTCAGACCATCTCACTCCTAGCATACTTAGCTTGCGAAAAGGAAAACTGGGGCCCTCATTTGATTGTGGTTCCCACATCTGTCCTGCTTAATTGGGAAATGGAATTGAAGAGATTTGCACCTGGGTTCAAAGTAATGACCTACTACGGTTCTCCACAGCAGCGTAAGGAGAAAAGAAAAGGATGGAATAGACCTGATGCATTCCATATCTGCATTACTTCCTACCAATTGGTCGTGCACGACCAGCATTCGTTCAAGAGGAAGAAGTGGCAATACATGATCTTGGACGAAGCACATAACATCAAAAACTTCAGGTCAACTCGTTGGCAAGCCCTTTTAAATTTCAACACTGAAAGAAGACTACTTCTAACAGGAACGCCGCTACAAAATAATCTGGCTGAACTTTGGTCTTTACTATATTTCTTAATGCCTCAAACAGCGGTTGGCAATAACGGTGGCATACAGGGATTCGCAGACTTAGAGGCGTTTCAACAATGGTTTGGAAGACCCGTGGACAAAATAATACAAACTGGTGAAGGATATCAGCAAGATTCGGAGACGAGGAAGACTGTTGACAAATTGCATCAAGTTTTGCGCCCTTACCTTTTGAGGCGGCTGAAGGCAGACGTTGAAAAGCAAATGCCTGCAAAACACGAGCATGTTGTTTATTGCCGGTTATCCAAAAGGCAAAGATTTTTGTATGATGATTTCATGTCGAGGGCGCAAACAAAAGAGACTTTATCCAGCGGAAACTTCATGTCTATTATCAACTGCTTGATGCAGTTAAGAAAAGTTTGCAACCATCCAGATTTATTCGAAGTGAGACCGATTTTGACCTCGCTATGTTTGGAGATGAGCGTTCCTCACGATTACGTTACAGTGAGTAATTTCATTACGAAAAAGCTTCATTCCAAGGATAGCGAAACGTTGATAGATCTTAACACACTAAATCTTAAGTTCTCATCAAACGATTCGGTGTTATCGTCACATCACGCTAAAAGCATTGAAGGGAGCCAGTGCATCCGGCAATTCACCGAAGAGGTATCAAAGCTGCGAAAGAAATCCCAGGAGCAAGACACATTAGATGCAGGGGAATCTCTATTCAATTTCCAAGATATTAATCAATTTTATCAGAGTTTTGCGGCTAAGAAGACCGGGGATATGGTGAGCCGTCTACAATACCTGCAATATGTCAATGACTTGAGGTGCGCAAAAAAACCGGTTTATGGCAGTAACTTGCTCAAGCTCTTAAGCGTGACAGAACCTTGCCTTGAGGACTCCGTAGAGGAACTGTACAGACCACTACAGTCCAAAATACTGGATAACAACGCTATAATAGAAAAGTTTGCTGTCATCACTCCCAAGGTTGTGACGCTGGACGCTCGCGATTTAACACTGGGATTGAACGAGGACAGTATTTTCCATTCGAGTGCAAAATCGACAATGCGACAGGAGCTCAGACACACTAGAAACCCATTGCACAAGTTGCAAACGAAACTGGCAATTGCTTTCCCCGATAAGTCTTTACTGCAATATGACTGTGGTAAATTGCAAAAACTGGCTACGTTGCTACGAGATTTGAAAGATGGGGGCCATAGAGCGCTTATCTTTACACAAATGACGAAAGTCTTGGATATCTTAGAACAATTTTTGAACTACCACGGGTATTTGTACATGCGACTGGACGGTGCAACTAAGATCGAGGATCGTCAAATATTAACGGAGCGATTCAATACTGATAACAGGATCACTGCTTTTATTTTATCGAGCAGATCTGGTGGACTGGGAATTAACTTGACCGGTGCAGACACCGTGATCTTTTATGACTCGGACTGGAATCCTGCTATGGATAAACAATGTCAGGATAGGTGCCATAGAATTGGACAAACACGAGACGTGCATATTTACCGATTCGTTAGCGATCACACTATCGAAAGTAACATTTTGAAGAAAGCAAATCAAAAGAGGCATCTGGACAATTTAGTGATTCAGCGTGGTGATTTCACCACCGACTACTTCACAAAACTGTCCGTGAAAGACCTAGTAGGCGCGGAAATGAACGAAGTGGCAGTCAGTGATAAGCCGTTGTTAATGGACGAAGACGCAGCCACTAAAGATCCGCGGAAGTTGGAAAAGTTGTTAGCTCAAGCCGAAGACGCGGATGATGTGAAGGCGGCCAAATTGGCAATGAGAGAGGTCGAGGTGGATAATGAAGATTTCCAGGAGATGAAGTCTCGTGCCGAGGAAGATGGTGGCGACGGCTTGGAAGACGAATACGAAGGCACTAACCATGTTGAAGAGTACATGATTCGGTTCATAGCGAATGGTTGCTATTATGATTGAACGACAAAAGGTATTAGGACAAGTAAAGTATACGACAATTATGTAATTAATTCTTCGGAGTTGATGCAGAGGTGCAGAGATGTGAGTATGATGTATTACTGTCACTCTTATTGAATAACAAAAGGTATTGGCAAAATTGGAGTGGACGGTGAAGTGTACGACAAGTGTTTTGATAATTTTTTGGATTTAATGCAGAAATACAGAGACGTAAGTATGATGAATCACAGGGACCGCATTTGGCAGGGAGATAATATACAAGGACAGTATAAGAACCCTGTACTACTCACAAAACGTACCACATTGGTGAAATCCGTGGTTGCAATAGCTGATACACGGTGTTGTCAAGACGTACAACGTGATTCTACGAGCTACGGCTCCACGACTTACAAGGACAGAGTGATACGACCCGATATTTTTAACCGCCTGAATTCAAAAGCGTTGCAAGCCACCACACCTGGTGATTCAAAGTTTATTTCATACATGTATTGGTAATGATTATATATCTCAACGTTTTCAGTGTTATATAGAGATCTCTCTGAGCCTTTTATTGCAATCCTTATCACTATTGCACATTTCTGAAAGATTTTTATTGCAACTGTGCTAAGGTCTTTCCCATTCATCTGCGTTAGGGCTTCTGTCAGAATAACTACCTTATGATCATTCATGAAAATGGATTCTGGATGGTCTCTAAAAAAATCTGTCCAATTCATGGTTGTTTCCAAAAGTCATAAAAATCTTTCGAGTATTCAACTTTGCATGGCGATATATTTTGTATGCAGAATTGTTTTTAACTAGACTTTTAGCAGTGTTTACCAAGTTTTGCTTTTCTACATTGTTGTCAATATATATATTTATGGCTACTAATTTTATTTTATCTTGTTCTGGTGTTCCTTTTGAATTTATAGTATTTACAACGGTAACATAAAAGACTCAATACGCTTTCATAAAGTGTCAGGACTCCTGTCCTATTGCCGGAGGCGCTATTTGCACAATGAAGTAGACCAGAATAGGGCCATAACGGTTACCAAGAAGGATGACACACTAGTATAAAGTGATATTACCAAAACATGGGAAGCCGAGGGACTATGCGATGTATCTTCTCGAACTAAAGACAAATATCAGGCGGTACCCTTAAGTGATCTGGTAATTGACCAATGACTTTTTGGGCATTATGATGTAGCAAGACTGCGCAAGAACTTTTACGCTCAGCTAGATTTTTCATAAAAATACCGACTTATCGTTCCCCGCGTTAAATCAAATCTATAGCTGAGGGAGCTTTAGAGATAAGTAGAATTTCAGGTCCTAATAAGAATAGATTAGACACACCATGAACGGCTTAAATGACCAGTTCAACAAGCCAACTGTTACTGCCGCAGACACGCCTCATTACCTTTTGTATATTCATTGAACCCTGTCTAAGGGATACTGTGAGGATTTACTTTGCTTATGAATTGTGGTAAAGTGATTTGATAAAAGCCTGGCTTTCGTGTCATCCTACCTATCCACATATATCCATTTATATTGCCAGGTCTAGAGGCAATATTGGCATTGTTTAACCCTCTTGAAAGAGCAGTATATCTGTTCCCATCTATCTTCTCTTCTCCGAATTCGCAAATGAAACTTGAATCAGCTTCATCAGCGCCGCTGCATTTAGATGCTCATCCAGTGCATGTATCAAAAGCGGCATTGGCAAGATTGAATATGAAAATTACTAAAATTCAACTAAAATAACAAACAAGATTTAAAAGAAATTGTTTTAACTTGCTGTATTTCGAAGCTCTAAAACTCCACGTAAGACAGGTAGTATAGGTGTAACGTAGCATACATACTACAATTTCGTGAAGTTTTGATAACTTAATATTTACAAAAATGAATTCAGATCAAACGAGAGACTTTTTTTTTCATGCATTTTTTTTTCTTGGGCCTTTTGCTATAATTCCACTAGCAACATTTCATCATAGTCAAAAAATTGACATGAATATCACCAACTGCGTTTTCGAACGACTTCCCTAACACGTCAGCGACCAAAAGAGCCACAACTTCAGTCAGTCAGCCAGTAGTAGAGTGGTAGGGTAGCAGTACGTGATGCCCAGTAGCACAACAGCATACGTAGCGATCCATGTAGGCTTCTGTACCCCTTAGCGTAAGGCTCGGGATTGCCATGTACCTGTAGCTTCTTGCACCTTCGTCAAAGTTCCATTCCATAAAGCAAAAAGCTGTTACAGCAAAGCTTCCGAAAAAAAGGAGTATATAAACCGACGAGGGCGTGGAGGTTCCTTGAATTGTGAATTGATTTCATATCCACATCGAACAACAACTACAACAATAGCTGTTATTCATATCAACACACTACAATCAACACTACATTCACACATCTAAAATGGCTCCAGTTAAGTACTTCTACAAAGGTCAACAAACCGACCTAGTGGTCTTCGTCGAATCTCAGGAATTGGCCAACGAATATCTACAAGACCCAACTGTCGGCAAATTGACCGAAGCCGTGGGCGTTTTCAAGATCTTCACCAACCCCCAGGGCGAAGGTGCCGAGGGTGAGCTAGGTGAGGCTTCCAAGGCCCAAGTCGAGAACGAGTTCGGCAAGAAAATCAAGGTTGAGGAAGCCATCGCCAAGATCTTGAAGGAGGGCTCTCCTAACGCCAGTGGCGACATCCAGTCCAAAGACGATCGTTAAACGGCGTCCCCTCACTCCCATAGCATTTTAAATATATTGCATAATTTAACGTTTTAATGTAAGAAGAATTAGTATACAGTCCAAGGAACGGAAGTGCCAGCCTAACGTGTCCGGAGTTTTGAGCCATTCCCATTATGGCGGCTGGAGGTACATCTATGTGCCGACTTTCCGGGGTAGATGCTTATTTTGAGGACAAGAGGTATCATGAGCAAAATGAGGTTATGGTATCTCGCCTCCAGAGTCTGCACGTTTGTTGCTCCCTTTTGTGATTCAACTGCATCTATTTGCAACCTTTCAATCGCAGTTCATACCACAGGCTTTACAGGGTGCATGGCTAACATCTCATAATGTCCCAGCTATGCATTCACGCTTCAATACTCAATAAAGATTACGCGATGATGAACATTTTACAAGTCACCAGTAACCCATCCACTACACCTTTTTGCCCCTGCGACGGGAAAATACTCTTTTTATCGACCACCGAGTACTGCGAAATGTCGAGGCTCTAACTGGTGAGCTCCCCCCATTGGTGGTTATCACGTTCTCCGACGATGCTCTGACCAGCGCTTCCGTCCGTGGTGTGTCAACGGTCGATGTATATGGGCCCATATTGTCTTGGCTCAAAGCCATTTCGTCATCGAATCCACTTAGCTTCTCCAGATGTGAGCTCCATACATCCCACATACCTCTTTCTACCTGCACACGTTTCCACTTTGTGAAAACAACGTTAAAAGCCCAAGAATCAGTTTCAATTCCGGAACATGTTCGTGGAGGAGTGCGGTCTTCGGTTTTACCGAACGTTGCAACTGGCCCCATAAGGCTACTTCTACTAGTTTCAGGTCTTAAATCTACTCGGCTTGATGAACCTCTCAAAAACCACGTAGAGGCCGGCGAGATCTCCATGAGCGAATTTCGAAAATCAACCTCCACTTTCGCAATTTCTCCATTGTAGCATTGCCCTGCCCAATTATTGACCCGCCTCTTAAACGACCTGGTTCGATCAAACCGACCAGATAAGCTTTCATTGTAGCTGATAAACGGAACCATTTGATCCGGAAATGTTGTAGAGTCACTGAAATGTAAAGTGCTCTCTAATGTGGACTGAGACACACTTTCGTGTCTAGAGGGTTCTTTCGAATCATCGCCAATAGCGTGCACATTGTTAATAAAGAGGTCAAGTTCCTTGCGCCAATTGTGAAATTCTTCAGCGTCTCTACAAAATAGTAATATTTCCCATAGCTTAAAATCATAGTCAAACTGGATCTTTATTGTGTTGTCGTAATTCGAAAACATTCCAATGTCTTCCGTTTTAGAGCCCATCTGAGAATTCATGTCGTCTATTAATCGACAGTTAGACAATCTCAGGGCAAACTTTATTGGCCACTCATTGATTGATGTTTTTTCCCTGTAGCTTGGAATCTCAGCCAAGACCAAATATGATTTGAATAGAAAGACTCCTAGCTGATCGCTTTCAATCTTAAGAGATCTCTTAGTCTTGTAAAAGTTGTTAAAGTAACGAGTTCTCCTGTAGGACCCTATGGTATAAGATGTTTCTTCTGCCGAAGGCCACGCTACCGCCAAACAACCCTTCGAATAACAGGGTCCCATTGCCTCTATCGGTATTCGCTCCTCGGGCAAATCAAATGCTAGCCGGCTTTGAATCAGCGTGAGCGCCGAATCTTTTGAACTCTCAACATGCGCTTCATTGATTTGCTGCAAAAACTCGAATATGTCGTGCAGATAATCTTTGATATTTTGGGTTAATTTATCACACTCTGTATGATCGAGGCGCCGCACGTCAGTAATGGATGGATTTTCTGTCAAATACACCAAGGACTCCAAAAACAACCTGTACTTGGCGATTCTATTTATCGGCATTTGAATCATGGCGCGGAATGAAAAATCGCGTTTATACCCTTGTTGAGAGGTCCGAGAGTAATACTTCGGTAAGCATAGCTCGATGCGAAACAGTATGGCAAATAGGAGTCGGTCTTGGCTTTCTTGGCCCATGCGAGTCAACAAATGGCTTACCTGGTTGTAGGATTGGACGTAAGAACGGTATTCATCTTTTTGCAATGCTTGGTTTGCCAATAGTCGACCAACATTTTCACATAAGTCTAGGTGATCCCAAGATGTAAGCGAAAGATCGGACCAGTTTAATTCAGTGGACTCATCAAATCTTTTAACACTCCCTTCAACAAGGCTGTTAAGAGCAGCAGAAAAAGACTCGTGTTGTGGCAGTATCTTGGTGACGACTTTGTTAAGTGCCTCCATTGGAATGTAATCATTTATAGTCAAAACGTCCAGAAAACAATTCTGGAGTATTTTGAGCATTTGAACGTATTCTATTTCCGACTCAACGATTTCCTCAATCAAACGCTGCCGCTTATAGTGTTCTGCAGCCACACTTATGGGGAATCCTGGCGGAGTATTAAGTGTCTTTTCAATGTACTCTTTGATAAACTGAACTGGGCTAGCCATGTTGGAGCTTTGAGATTCATGTTCGGCACTCGGTATCGGGATTAGTACTGGCGACTCTAGCATCTTGCGGGGGTTAATTTAATTGAGGGAATGCTTGGTATTCTTCAGAAGCTTGAGTTGTGCGTTTTGTGCTAAGGTGTCAGAACAGCGATGGCACGATATATCACTTTACACATCTGTGACGTAGAATTATCAGAAACATGATTTTAGGTAACTGGAAACGGCGTTGTCTAAGAGCCTAATCTCACGAACTGAATTTTGACGGTCGTCACATATAAACGTTATGAGAGCTAAGCGCACAAACTAAATTAATTATGCCTTGAAACTAGGCGTTAATAATCTAGCACAAACCGATACGGAACTAGACTTCAGGTCGTTATGGTGAACGCTAACAACCCCGTGTCAGTGGTCTTTTTCTGGCCGCGATAATAGCTTAATACGCTATCAGCGGCGATCATCCGGGGAGCATAAGACCGCTGCCGAAGCATAAAACGCACAAAAAGCTTGTAATTCTTTTGAGAAGTGCATTTGGACAAGTAAAAAATAGCAATAATCGGGAGATATGCCTCGCATACTCGTTGCTCGCGCCTTCGCCTGATCTATTTGGTTAACCTATTGTTTTGTTCTGATCTTGTATATGTGCCCATTTATGAAGGCATCGTGGGTTTGATAAACAGCATCTTGAGGGATGCTGTACACGACAGTTACTGGCCTTGAGAGCAAGTGACTTATAATTCACCAGGTAAGTAAAAATTGGCTGCGTATGATTGCACAGGATGTATCGCTTTCTCGTTCCAAAAGCGACAGTGGTTAACTTGTAAAATCACAAAGGCCTCCAAACAATTCAAGATTTACGACATCCTCCTTTAAAATGACACGAGTTGAAAGAAGGCTGACAAATAGAATTGCCCAGTTGCGCGAACATATCTTCGTACTAAAAAGATGATGCTCTGGCTGTGAACCGGAAACGAAGCCCTATACGTGGATATTTGGTCTTCAAATGTAATTTGGTAAAAGTAAAACAACCAATCGGAAACCAGCTGCAATGAGAGACTGTCGTTACTGTGTAATGATGAGAGCAAACATTGACACTTTTGTCCAAAAAAGCGTTTTATATCTCAAGGCTCTTGTATATCAAACAAAGTTACAAGCTATTGCTCGATTTCTCAATAGAAGCCTTCCTAAAAGCACTCCAAGGAAGATGAAGGTAGGCATGTCAACTGATGACTCAAGTAAATCATTGGATAATCCACTGCAGATTTCATAACATGAGCTTATGTCATGCTCGCACTTGATTGTTGTGTATTGCTGGATAAGGATCGGTTTCATAGCATCGAGCGGCTTCACAGGTGTACCATCAATGAGTTTAACAAACTGCTGTTGTGAGGTAAATTCGAGGATTCAGGTTCAAAGAATGAAGGCCCACTTATCTAATACGCATTTTTTTTACCCAGCAGTGTCAATGAAGCCCCCAGATATGCTACTAACTGGTACGATCGGATTGAAAATTGACTTCATTGGTATCGGCTTGAATTTCATGGACATTGCGCTTCTCAGTCTCACAATGAAGATGACCAACGATTCGTAAATATCTTACGCATCTTGGCAATGAGGTCCAGTGGGAATCGCGGAATGCAGTAGCTTTTCTGAGGTCACCGGTATGCCTTGGCTCATATTTCTTGCCTCTGTGAGCTACATCGCATTCTCTTGTCTCACGTTCCTGTTAATCCTGAGCTTATTTACGAATTCCCATGCCAAGATATGGATACAAATTCCTTTTCTTATTTGTGCTCATGCGCTTGCACACAATCATCTGTTTTGACTTACAAGAAGTAAAGTGCGCCACTTCACTATTCACACTGCCTGTGTCATCCTGAAACAGTCCCAAATCTACCAATTCATCATGCTTATTTCAGGAACATGATTTTGGAGGAATATTGAGATACCTTATCGAAGGACATCGCAATGAGTTGGTTCACAACACCTGTGACGATACAAATATAGTTTGCAGAGGCTCTTCAACGATAAGTATCTTGATAATCTCCGGAAGGACCAAAGGCGTCACCGAAATTGTTGGCTTCACTGCTCGCCACGTCTGGACTCTTTTCAATGTTGTCACCTCATCGTCAATAGAACGAGCCATTGATGCTACGGCTGCAGAAATAGAATATTTGACAGTGCCGCAAGCGCAAGGGCTATACAGGGACATGGATCAACTAGGGACACTAAGAATTTTCGCCAATACCACGCTTATGCTTCATCCTGCTTACACAATCCTGTTGATTTTTTATTAGTGCATATCTGGCAGGCACGAAGGGAAAGAAAAAAATTAATTTAAACCTCAGGGTCCTATGTCGTTCAAGCAGGACGTACAAAACGACATTCTCATTTAGCGACAGCCCTTCTTCGCTTGCCCGAATCTTCCCGGCTCCCAGGCTAGCACTCACAAGCGCTTGGTAGTGCTTACTACTATCTACACTCGCTAACGGTAATAACTACTCGAGGCTTTACTGCTGAGTGTCGCTTTCACTCTGTAAAAATTAAAGAATGCTGTCCATCGACACTGCTGTCCCCACCACTTCCCATAGTCATTTCGCCAGATGTCGCTGTTGACTAATCAATTGGAAAACTGCTAGTACGGCACAGCTCGAGGCGCTTTTCTGAAAACCGAGATATATGACAGAATAGCGGGATACCCCGCTGTAGGTTCCATGGGGGCTCAGCCGGATTCTTTAAACGAAATTGGCGTCGTAACAACGTAAGAGCGCCTACGGCTTCTCTTAATCACGGCTAGAATTTGGGTGCTCCGCAGAAAATGGCAGCTGGGGGGGTCGCCTTAACGTTTTACTTTTATAATGAGAGCTTACAAACGCTTTCAAACGCTTACAAACGCTTCCAAGCGATTACAAAGAAAAACTTACAAGCGCTTACAAAGAAAAGCTTACAAGCGTTTATAAGCCGTGGAATTATAAGCCGTGGAGGAGCGGTTAAGCAACTCTCGAGCACTAATGATGATATGCAGGGTCCAGCTGGAAGTCCGAGGCTTCGTATAAAAACGAGAAGGCATTCACTCCAGAACAGCAGTGAAAGCATTTTAGCAGTGGAGTATCTGAGAAATTGAGCACTTGAGAGCATTCGAGCATTTGTTGCGTTGTTATAAAGAATAATCAACCGAGAGCGACAAAGAATCGGAAGTTGGAGAATCCACAGAAAGAAGTTTGAAAATACCACGACGTCGCGGGTTCAACCATCACTACAAGAGTGCCGATATAGATTGCAGAAAAGAAGCTTTCCCGCAGAGGTGGTGCCTATACTCATAATATGAAAGCAAATAAGAGCAACATGGCTGGAGATCCCCATGGAAGCTGTGATTCTGCTGTGCTCACCCGCAACACGTCTCCTGAGTTGCCGGAATACGATGGGCTTGATTGTAGCGCGAGAGCATCCGTACGCGAACTAGCCAGGACTTTCACGAATGGCAGTGTTGCGTCAAACAGCAAAGCTGCCGCAGTAGGTGTTCATGCTACCACTGCCCTCCCTGCTAGCCGTACTACTACAGAATATGGCGATGTGAATACCACTAATCCGGTCTTTAGTTCATCGGAATTGCCTTCCTACAATTCAAGACTCGATCCCAACTCTGACGAGTTTTCCTCCGCGCTGTGGGTCAAAAATCTCAGCCAGCTCATCGCCAGCGACCCAGACCACTACAAACCCTATTCGCTCGGGTGCACCTGGAAAAACCTCCGCGCCTACGGCAACGCCACCGATGTAGCCTACCAGTCCACTTTTGCCAATCTGCCCTTGCAACTGCTCGAATCCGGCTATCGTGCCGCCCGTAAAGCTCGCCCAGAGGATTCTTTTGATATTTTGAAGCCCATGGACGGTATCGTCAAGCCCAGCGAGCTTTTGGTCGTCCTAGGAAGACCGGGCTCCGGATGTTCCACTTTGTTGAAATCCATCTCTGCCAATACCCACGGTTTCCACATCGATAGCGACTCCGAGATTTTTTACGATGGCATGGACCCTAAGGAGATCGCCAAACACTACAGAGGCGAAGTCGTGTACAACGCCGAGTCCGATGTTCATTTCCCACATTTGACTGTTTTCGACACCTTGAAGACCGTTGCCAGACTCTCATGCCCCTCGAACCGTTTTCATGGTGTAGATCGTGAAACTTTTGCAACCCACATTACCGAAGTGGCGATGGCCACTTATGGTCTTTCCCACACCAGGAACACCAAAGTCGGTAGCGAATTAGTTAGAGGTGTCTCTGGTGGTGAACGTAAGAGAGTTTCCATTGCCGAAGTTTCCATTTGCGGGTCCAAATTCCAATGTTGGGATAATGCTACTCGTGGTTTGGACTCCGCCACGGCTTTGGAGTTCATTCGCGCTTTGCGTACCACTGCTAAATTGAACAACAGCGCTGGTGTCATTGCTATCTACCAATGTTCCCAAGATGCCTACGACCTGTTTGATAAAGTTTGCGTTCTGCATGAAGGTTACCAAATATACTTCGGCCCTGCTAACGAGGCCAAACAGTATTTCCTAGACATGGGATATGTTTCCCCCGATAGACAAACCACTGCCGATTTCCTGACCGCTGTGACCAACCCCGCTGAAAGAATTGTCAATCAAGAGATGGTTCAAGCAGGCAAGGTAGTGCCCTCTAGCGCTAGCGAGATGGAAGCGCATTGGAAACAATCCGAAAACTACAAACGTTTAATCAATGAAATTGATCATTACACTACCCACGATCAAACCGGTAACCGTGAGCAACTACGGAATGCCCATATTGCCAAACAATCCAAAAGAGCCAGACACAGTTCTTCGTACACGGTCAGTTATGGACTGCAAGTAAAGTATTTGCTTATCAGAAATATGCAAAGAATCCGGAGTAGTATGGGAGTTACTCTTTTCCAGGTTATTGGTAATGGCGGTATGGCATTTATACTGGGTTCCATGTTTTACAAGATTTTGAAACATGACACCACTGCAGGCTTTTATTCCAGAGCCGGTGCTCTATTTTTTGCAGTTCTGTTCAACGCTTTCTCGTGTCTATTGGAGATTCTTGCACTTTACGAGGCTAGACCTATCTCCGAAAAGCACAAGCGATACTCACTTTATCACCCTTCTGCCGATGCCCTGGCTTCTGTTATCTCTGAAATTCCATCCAAACTTGTCACCTCTGTTGTCTTCAACCTTGCGCTCTACTTTCTCTGCAATTTCAAGAGGGAAGCTGGTGCTTTCTTCTTTTATTTCTTGATGACTATAGTTGCCACTTTCCTCATGTCTCATATTTTCAGATGCTTAGGTGCCGCCACAAAGACATACGCTGAATCTATGGTTTCAGCTTCGCTTTTGTTGTTAGCTCAGGCAATTTATACCGGTTTCGCGATTCCAAAAACAAATATTCTGGGATGGTCCAAATGGATTTGGTATATCAATCCGCTATCGTACATCTTTGAATCTCTAATGGTGAATGAATTTCACGGTCGTAACTTTTCATGCTCACAATACATTCCAGCAGGGTCTGGATATGAGATTCTAAGTGGCACGGAAAGAGTTTGTTCAGCTGTTGGTGCCGTGCCCGGACAGGACTTTGTTAGTGGAGAAACGTACATCAATGTTGCCTACGGCTACTACCATGCGCACAAATGGCGTGGTTTGGGTATTGGGTTGGCATATGCCATTGTATTTCTCGCCGTGTACTTGGCTGTCACTGAGTTCAATGAAAGTGCCAAACAACGTGGTGAGATCTTAGTGTTTCCACAATCGGTGATGAGACGTATGAAGAAAGAAAGGAAACTGAGGAACAGTTCCGATTATTCTGGCACTGACGTTGAAAACTCCGCTGGTTCAGCTCCTCTCAATGAGAAGAAAATGCTGGACGAAAGTAGTGTCTCGGCGGGCTCTACGTCGTCTATGGGAGATGCGAAGCTTTCGAAATCGGAAGCTATCTACCACTGGAGAAACGTATGCTTTGAGGTCAACATCAAAAAGGAAACGAGAAGAATTTTGAATAATGTTGACGGGTGGGTTAAACCGGGCACTTTGACGGCACTAATGGGAGCGTCAGGTGCAGGTAAAACTACACTATTGGACTGTTTAGCCTCGAGAGTCACAACCGGTACAATCACGGGAGACATGTTTATCAACGGGTTTTTACGTGATGCGTCATTTGCCAGATCTATCGGTTACTGTCAGCAACAAGATTTACACTTGGAATCCGCTACTGTGAGAGAATCCCTAAGATTTGCGGCGTACTTGCGTCAGCCAGCTACCGTTTCAGAAGATGAGAAAAACAAGTATGTGGAGGATGTTATCAAGATCTTGGAGATGGAAACTTACGCGAACGCTGTTGTTGGAGTTGCAGGTGAAGGTTTGAATGTTGAACAACGTAAAAGATTAACAATTGGTGTAGAGTTGGCAGCCAAGCCCAAACTTTTATTGTTTTTGGACGAGCCTACGTCTGGGTTGGATTCGCAGACAGCATGGTCGATCTGTCAGTTGATGAGAAAACTGGCCAACCACGGTCAGGCAATCTTGTGCACTATCCATCAGCCATCTGCGTTATTGATGCAAGAATTTGACCGTTTGTTATTTCTACAGCGCGGTGGGCAAACAGTTTATTTTGGAGAGTTGGGCAAGGGATGCCACAAGATGATTGACTATTTCGAAAGCAACGGCGCACCTCGTTGTCCCGATGGTGCGAATCCTGCGGAGTGGATGTTAGCCGTTATTGGTGCTGCACCTGGAACTCACGCTAACCAAGACTATCATGAAGTCTGGAGGAATTCGCCAGAATACCGCGCGGTCCAGGAAGAACTGGAGTGGATGGAGCAGGAACTGCCCAAGAAGCCTATTGACACGAGTAATGAACAAACCGAATTTGCCGCATCGCTACTTTACCAATATTATTTGGTAACCAAACGTCTGGCTGAACAGTATTGGAGAACACCTTCGTATTTGTGGTCCAAGCTTATTTTATCGGTTATTTCTCAAATTTTCATTGGGTTTACTTTCTTCAAGGCCGACAGTTCTTTGCAAGGTCTGCAAAATCAAATGTTGTCCATTTTCATGTTCACGCTTGTATTCAATCCCACCTTACAACAATATTTACCAACCTTCGTTTCCCAAAGAGGCTTGTATGAGGCTCGGGAGCGTCCTTCTAAAACGTTTTCCTGGGTTTCCTTCATGTTGTCACAGATTACCGTTGAGATTCCCTGGAACATTCTAGCAGGCACTATTGGTTTCATCATTTATTACTACCCTGTTGGGTTTTACAACAATGCTTCGAAAGCCGGTCAACTCCACGAGAGAGGCGCTTTGTTTTGGCTCTACTGTACTGCGTTCTATGTGTTCACTGGATCGATGGCCCAAGTTTGTATTGCAGGTTTAGACGTAGCTGAAGCTGCTGGCGAACTGGGCTCATTATTGTATACTCTGGCTCTTTCGTTCTGCGGTGTTATGGTAACTCCATCCAATATGCCAAGATTCTGGCTTTTCATGTACCGGGTTTCACCAATAACATACTTTATAGATGGTGTGTTATCCACTGGTGTTGCAAATGCCGACGTCCATTGCGCAGACTATGAAATGGTTAGGTTTACTCCTCCTGCTGGACAAACGTGTGGTCAGTACATGTCTCGATATATTGAGACGACAGGAACCGGGTATTTGGACGACCCTAGTGCTATGGATGAGTGTAAATTTTGCTCCGTGTCTGATACTAATGAATTTTTGAAAGCGGTAACATCCAGCTACGATCACAGGTGGAGAAACTATGGTATCTTTTTGGTCTTCATTTTCGTTAACTTCGCATTGGCAAGCTTTTTGTACTGGTTGATGCGGGTTCCAAAGAAGAGAAACAGAGTTGTGGATGAGAGGAAGCCAGAGGCTCAAAAGCTTGCAAGTAAATGAGAGAGACATGGTGTGTTACAAAACGCGGGGTACTTGTTGCATGGCTCCAGTTATTTTCATAGTCAGTATCTTCACGTAACTTTAGGTGGTTAAGCTTGCCGCGCATTTTGTAATCAGAAGAGCACGAATTGAGGTAAAAAAACAAAACAGTGTTAGTGGAAGGAGATTGGGACAATTTTGACACTGGCTGACAAGTTTCTGTGACGCATATAGTGGCCATAATTGGTGACTCGAATTTTTCAATTTGAAGAAAAGCTCTAGGGGCAGTCCTATTTTTGATCGGATTGTGTCACTAGTGGCACTCGAGCCGCTCAAATCAAGAGAATTTCAACGCCTGATTAACCGACATTCACTTGAGTTCGCAAATGGCCAAACTCCATCTCCTCGTAAAGTTAGCGACCGTTTAAGTTGTACAAATAAAAAAGTGGTCGATAAATTAAAGAACGCTCTGTGGCAGTCAAGTTTAGTCATAAAACCACGCCTTCAGTGGCACCAATATTGTCAGATTGAAGGAAGCTCTCCTGGGTGAAGAATGCCTGCTTGTTAGTTGGTCGAGCTGCTCGAATGTCGTATGACTTCTTCAAAGTATGCCTAGGTTATCACTCCCTCTAGTTATCACTCCCTCTAGCCGCTGAAGTCAGACTTTTTCTCGAGCCTCCAGCAAAAAGCAAACACCCTGTGGCCGTCAACTTCAGTTATAAAACCATGCCTTCAGCTGAGAAATCTCTAGTGGCACTCGAGCTGTTCAATTGAAGCTCTCTGTGGAGTAAACAACACCCTGTGGCCGTCAACTTCAGTTATAAAACCACGCCTTCAAACGGTCATGATTCGTCCCAGCTGAGAAAGCTTCAACTAACAGGTTTCTGATACCACTTGTTCAATTGACGCTCTCTGTGACAAAAAGTAAACAACACCCTGTGGCAGTTGCATTTAGTTGTAAACTCCAGTGGCACCAATATCAAATTGATGAAAGCTCTTTCCTGGGTGAAGAATGCCTGCTTGTTAGTAGTTCGAGCTGCTCAAATGTCGTATGACTTTTTCAAAGTATGCCTAGGTTACCACTCCCTCTAGCCGCTGAGATCGAACTCTTTCTCGAGCCTTCAAGTCGACTGCAAAAAGTAAACAACACCTTGTGGCCGTCAAATTCAGTTATAAAACAACGCCTCCAGACGGTCATGATTTGTCCCAGCTGAGAAAGCTTCAACTGATAGCTTTCTGATACCACTTGTTCAATTGAAGCTCTCTGTGGAGTAAACAACACCCTGTGGCCGTCAACTTCAGTTATAAAACCACGCCTTCAAACGGTCATGATTCGTCCCAGCTGAGAAAGCTCCAAGCGACAGCACTTGCCCCACATTCTCAACAACACTCACACTACTTCTCAAAACCACGCCTGGAGATCACACCCCTCCAACCCTTTTCCGAAAGCCTGTTTTCAAAAATACCCCTAGTCGCCATATCGCTTTCTCAACGCTCTAGCCCCCTACCACAACTCATCAATTGACCAAACCACCCCTCGCTGGCTCTCCAATGACACTCCCGCCCTCCTGCTTCTCCCTCGCTCGAGCCTTTCCACATCCCGCGGGGATCTCTCTTTGTTCCCCGGAACGCCACATCGCCATGGAACATGTTCCACGGCCATCCCGTCCCATCCCGCGGATCCCCTCCGGCGCTCCTCCGCGGAACCCTTCCCACGGAACCAACTCGCACGACAACAAAAAAAAATCACATAGTCACAGCTGTCTAACGCGCATCCCACGCACATAACGCACATAACTCACAGCGCGACAACTGCGCCTGCGCTGCACTTGCCGCTCACACACTGGCTAACTACTACCACCACTACTACTACTACTACTACTACAGCAGCAGCAGCAGCGATTATTCTTTTGTTCCGGTGTGAGATTTCGCAAGATTAATAATAGTCAGGGCGCTCGCTTGCAGCACCCGAGATTAGTTTGTTATAAGAAGACCCAGGATGCGGGAAGCGAGGAGAGGAAAGATTGGACAGCCAGCCAGCAGCAGCAGCAGCAGGAGTAGTAGTTCGAGAATTGAACGAGCAGCACAGCAAACAGTGCACGAGCCGTCTCGACCAGTACAGCGCTCGCTCGCAGACATGGAAAACCACAACCACGACGCGGCAACAGCAGCGAACGGCGCCGCTTCAGCGGCGCCACGTGACTCGCACGTGACGGAGCCCGGCGCGTACGAGGGCTACGCGGGGTTCGACGACGCCGCCAAGGACTCCGTGCGCGACCTCGCCCGCTCCTTCACCAGCCACAGCGTCGCCTCCTACTCCGGGCCCGCCCACGGCAAGCTCCCGGCCGCCACCCCAGACGTGGCCCACAGCCTGGCCACCCGCACCAGCACCGCCAGGACCGCCACCACCGACTACGGCGACGTCAACACCATCAACCCGGTCTTCACCACGCCCGAGTCGCCCGCCTACAACCCCAGCCTCGATCCCAACTCCGACCAGTTTTCCTCCGCGCTGTGGGTCAAAAATCTCAGCCAGCTCATCGCCAGCGACCCAGACCACTACAAACCCTATTCGCTCGGGTGCACCTGGAAAAACCTCCGCGCCTACGGCAACGCCACCGACGTAGCCTACCAGTCCACGTTCGCCAACTTGCCCTTGCAACTGCTCGAATTCGGCTATCGTGCCGCCCGTAAAGCGCGCCCCGAGGATTCTTTTGATATTTTGAAGCCCATGGACGGTATCGTCAAGCCCAGCGAGCTTTTGGTCGTCCTAGGAAGACCGGGCTCCGGATGTTCCACTTTGTTGTAGTCCATCTCTGCCAATACCCACGGTTTCCACATCGACAGCAACTCCGAGATCTCCTACGATGGCATCGATCCCAAAGAGATCGCCAAACACTACAGAGGCGAAGTCGTGTACAACGCCGAGTCCGATGTTCATTTCCCACATTTGACCGTTTTCGACACCTTGAAGACCGTTGCCAGACTCTCATGCCCCTCGAACCGTATTCACGGCGTTGATCGTGAAACTTTCGCAACCCACATCACCGAAGTGGCCATGGCCACGTACGGTCTTTCCCACACCAGGAACACCAAAGTCGGTAATGAACTGGTTAGAGGTGTCTCCGGTGGTGAACGTAAGAGAGTTTCCATTGCCGAAGTTTCCATTTGCGGCTCCAAGTTCCAATGTTGGGACAATGCTACTCGTGGTTTGGACTCCGCCACGGCTTTGGAATTTATCCGCGCTTTGCGTACCACTGCTAAATTGAACAACAGCGCTGGTGTCATTGCTATCTACCAATGTTCCCAAGACGCCTACGACCTGTTTGATAAAGTTTGCGTTTTGCACGAAGGTTACCAAATATACTTTGGCCCTGCTAACGAGGCCAAACAGTATTTCCTAGACATGGGATATGTTTCCCCCGATAGACAAACCACTGCCGATTTCCTAACCGCTGTGACCAACCCCGCTGAAAGAATTGTCAATCAAGAGATGGTTCAAGCAGGCAAGGTAGTGCCCTCTAGCGCTAGCGAGATGGAAGCGCATTGGAAACAATCCGAAAACTACAAACGTTTAATCAATGACATTGATCATTACGCTACCCACGATCAAGCCGGTAACCGTGAGCAACTACGGAATGCCCATATTGCCAAACAATCCAAAAGAGCCAGACAAAGTTCTTCGTACACGGTCAGTTATGGACTGCAAGTAAAGTATTTGCTTATCAGAAATATGCAAAGAATCCGAAGCAATATGGGGATTACTCTTTTCCAGATTATTGGTAATGGTGGTATGGCATTTATACTGGGTTCCATGTTTTACAAGATTTTGAAACAAGACACCACTGCAGGCTTTTATTCCAGAGCCGGTGCTCTATTTTTTGCGGTTCTGTTTAACGCTTTCTCGTGTCTATTGGAGATTCTTGCACTTTACGAGGCTAGACCTATCTCCGAAAAGCACAAGCGATACTCACTTTATCACCCTTCTGCCGATGCCCTGGCTTCTGTTATCTCTGAAATTCCAACTAAACTTGTCACCTCCGTTGTTTTCAATGTTGCGCTCTACTTTCTCTGCAATTTCAAAAGAGAAGCCGGTGCTTTCTTCTTTTACTTCTTGATGACTATTGTGGCCACTTTCCTCATGTCTCATATTTTCAGATGCTTAGGTGCCTCCACAAAGACATACGCTGAATCCATGGTTCCAGCTTCGGTTTTACTGTTGGCTTTGGCAATTTATACCGGTTTCGCGATTCCAAAGACCAAGATTTTGGGATGGTCAAAATGGATTTGGTATATCAATCCGCTGTCGTATGTTTTCGAATCTCTGATGGTCAATGAATTTCACGGTCGTGACTTTTCATGCTCGCAATACATCCCAGCAGGATCTGGATATGATAATCTAAGTGGCACGGAAAGAGTTTGTTCAGCTGTTGGTGCCGTGCCTGGCCAGGACTTTGTTAGTGGAGAAACGTACATCAATGTTGCCTACGGCTACTACCATGCGCACAAATGGCGTGGTTTGGGTATTGGGTTGGCATATGCCATTGTATTTCTCGCCGTGTACTTGGCTGTCACTGAATTCAATGAAAGTGCCAAACAACGTGGTGAGATCTTAGTGTTTCCACAATCGGTGATGAGACGTATGAAGAAAGAAAGAAAACTGAGACACAGTTACGATTACTCTGGCACTGACGTTGAAAACTCCGCTGGTTCAGCTCCTCTCAATGAGAAGAAAATGCTGGACGAAAGTAGTGTCTCGGCGGGCTCTACGTCGTCTATGGGAGATGCGAAGCTTTCGAAATCGGAAGCTATCTACCACTGGAGAAACGTATGCTTTGAGGTCAACATCAAAAAGGAACGAGAAGAATTTTGAATAATGTTGACGGGTGGGTTAAACCGGGCACTTTGACGGCACTAATGGGAGCGTCAGGTGCAGGTAAAACTACACTATTGGACTGTTTAGCCTCGAGAGTCACAACCGGTACAATCACGGGAGACATGTTTATCAACGGGTTTTTACGTGATGCGTCATTTGCTAGATCTATCGGGTACTGTCAGCAACAAGATTTACACTTGGAAACCGCTACTGTGAGAGAATCCCTAAGATTTGCGGCGTACTTGCGTCAGCCAGCTACCGTTTCAAAGGATGAGAAGAACAAGTATGTGGAGGATGTTATCAAGATCTTGGAGATGGAAGCTTACGCGGACGCTGTTGTTGGAGTTGCAGGTGAAGGTTTGAATGTTGAACAACGTAAAAGATTAACAATTGGTGTAGAGTTGGCAGCCAAGCCCAAACTATTATTGTTTTTGGACGAGCCTACGTCTGGGTTGGATTCGCAAACAGCATGGTCTATCTGTCAGTTGATGAGAAAACTGGCCAACCACGGTCAGGCAATCTTGTGCACTATCCATCAGCCATCTGCGTTGTTGATGCAAGAATTTGACCGTTTGTTATTCCTACAGCGTGGTGGGCAAACAGTTTATTTTGGAGAGTTAGGCAACGGGTGCCACAAGATGATTGACTATTTCGAAAGCAACGGTGCGCCTCGTTGTCCCGATGGTGCGAACCCTGCGGAGTGGATGTTAGCCGTTATTGGTGCTGCACCCGGAACTCACGCTAACCAAGACTATCATGAAGTCTGGAGAAACTCGCCAGAATACCGCGCAGTACAGGAAGAACTAGAGTGGATGGAGCAGGAACTGCCCAAGAAGCCTATTGACACGAGTAACGAGCAAACCGAATTTGCCGCATCGCTACCTTACCAATATTATTTGGTAACCAAACGTCTGGTCGAACAGTACTGGAGAACACCTTCATATTTGTGGTCCAAGATTGGTTTGACTATCATTTCTCAGATTTTCATTGGGTTTACTTTCTTCAAGGCCGACAGTTCTTTGCAAGGTCTGCAAAATCAAATGTTGTCCATTTTCATGTTCACGGTTGCGTTCAATCCAACCTTACAACAATACTTGCCCACATTTGTTGCTCAAAGAGATTTGTACGAGGCTAGAGAACGCCCTTCTAAAACGTTTTCTTGGATTTCTTTCATTCTATCCCAGATTACCGTTGAGATTCCCTGGAACATTCTAGCAGGTACTGTCGGTTTCTTCGTTTACTACTACCCCGTCGGGTTTTACAACAACGCCTCAGGAGCCGGTCAGCTTCACGAGAGAGGCGCTCTATTCTGGCTCTACTGTACTGCGTTCTACGTGTTCACTGGCTCCATGGCCCAATTATGTGTCGCTGGTCAAGAAGTAGCACAAGCTGCTGGCCAGTTCGCTTCCCTATTGTTTACTTTGTGTCTTTCTTTCTGTGGTGTTATGGTAACCCCATACAACATGCCGCGTTTCTGGATTTTCATGTACCGCGTTTCTCCTCTAACGTACTTTATCGATGGTGTGTTATCTACTGGTGTTGCTAATGCTGACGTCCATTGCGCAGACTACGAAATGGTTTCGTTCACCCCTCCCTCTGGACAAACGTGTGGCCAATACATGGCCTCATACATCCAGACTGCAGGGACCGGGTATTTGAGTGACGCCAGCGCCACGGACGAGTGTAAGTTTTGCTCAGTGTCCACCACTAACGCATATTTGAACGCAGTGAACTCCACTTACCATCACAGATGGAGAAATTATGGTATCTTCTTGGCCTTTATTTTCTTCAACTTCGCAATGGCTGTCTTCCTTTACTGGCTTGCAAGAGTTCCAAAGAAGAGAAATAGAGTAGCAGATGAAAGAAAGCCCGATGCACAGAAACTCGTTGAGAAATGAGCAAAGACTGCTTTCTCATTGCTCTAAGCATTTTACCCCTGTAGACTTCACATAATGTACATAAGAAAACTTCAAAATATGACCCATGAGGCTCGTTGTCGAGTTATAAAGCAACAATCGGCAACATCAGAGACGCTCGCCACAGCAACTTTCAAGACTTATAGCCGAGATATGGATATTAGCTAATAAGTAACCTTTGAACTACTAGCCTTCAAATATGACACTACATTCCTTGTGGTAGGAGTATGCTTAGTTAGTATTAGAAGACGCAGCCCTTAGCATTCTAGAAACATATGATCATTCGTAAATAGTGCTAATTAGGTAAAAATAATTTACAGCAGCTCATCGCATATCAATGTCAAGACTTCATATCGATAACCAGGATCATAGACTTTATCAGGCACTAACAAAAATGGCTCCAGATGAACTGAGGGTACGCAACAAGATGAAACGGCAACAGCTGTTTGCTGACATCAAAGATCAGAAGAATAAAGAGCGTCATAACATGCGCAAGAGCAGAGCCAAAGAAGAAAGAGAAGCGCCCGAAATGAAGGACAAGAGACTGAAAGAAAATGTTACCAACACTATCGATAGTCTTCGTGTTTACGACGAAACTATTGAACAAGGTGCCGAAGGCGAAGAAAGTGACTTTTCGCAGTTTTTTAATAACGGCAGCGAACCACCTAAAATTCTCTTGACAACGAACGTTAATGCCAAGAAGAACGCTTACGAGTTTGCAAACGTTTTGATCGAAGTCCTACCTAATGTCACTTTTGTGAAGCGCAAATTTGGCTACAAACTGAAGGAGATTGTAGAATTTTGCGGTAATAGGAATTATACTGACTTGGTGATTATCAATGAAGACAAGAAGAAAGTCACCGGCCTCACATTCATTCACTTGCCTGAGGGCCCCACCTTCTACTTCAAAATTAGCTCCTATGTGGACGTGCAAAAAATCGTGGGTCATGGCAGAGCTACCAGCCATATTCCAGAACTAATTTTAAACAACTTCAGCACCAGCCTCGGTAAGACAGTAGGGAAACTTTTTCAATCGATTTTCCCACAGAACCCTGACTTTGAAGGCAGACAAGTGATTACTTTGCATAATCAAAGAGACTACATCTTTTTCCGCAGGCATCGATACGTGTTTCGTAACGAGGAAAAAATCGGACTCCAGGAACTTGGACCCCAGTTCACCATGAAGCTGCAGCGTTTGCAACATGGTATAAAGGAAGAAACAGAATGGGAACACTCAACAGACATGGACAAGGAGAAGAAGAAATTCTACTTGTGAGTTGGACTTTGGTTCTATTGTTTGTGTTCGTAAAACTATGTTCAGGGTTTTCAAATACTTTTTAATGAGCACATATAAAGCTGTATATTATCAATACTGAACCTGGCATCGAGACGCCAATTAGGTCTCCAAATTGTGAAATCATGAGGTATCCTCTGTTCGATGTACTACAATGAGATTCGCGCCCATGTTTTCTAGAACTACCACTCGGAAACAATCACCTGGCCATTGCAGTTGGTGCTTCTACACAAATCAATGCCTTGAATATTAGCATCTCGTATATCGCAGGGTTCGTGAATTGAAAGTTCTGAAGCAGACAGTTACCATTCAACAAAACATACCACGGAAGATAAGCTTAGAATGCTATCTACATTTTTGAAAAGTTTGAGGAACTTGGTGTTATTTTAACCTGAAATTCTACCGCTTTTCAAATTACCTAGCGAGAAGCTGTATAGCATTTCGCTCATAAGCCAGAGTAATCATATCATGTTTGCTTGATCTAATTGAACTCTAGAAGTAGAAATTCACCCCTCGGTCATTAGCAGTGAGCTTGCTGAGCTGGTCATTTAAGTCGATCGTGATGTGCCTGCTTATTTGTATTTGAATATGGTATTACTGTTTATCTCCCCGTGGCCTTTCGAGGTGCGGAGAGGGTAAGCAACACAGAGAATAGAATCTAGGCAGTGCATAGGCCTTCGATATTTGTACAGTTATTCAGATGACAATTTTTGATAACAAGAAGCGTTCTAAGCCAGATTAATTAATGCATCAGCCTCCATTATCGAACTCATTGATACTTGAACAATGTGACTATCTGCACTACTCACCGTCAGCGTCTAAGTTCGGCGATCCTATTCACTATCTGAATCGATATGTTGGATTCAGGCTTAGTAACTTTGTTCTATGCTGTCATAGTTCTTGTTTCTCGTAATGAAACTGTTCTTATCTATTTCATTATGCATTTGAGGTTAAATAGCAGTAGCACATGGATCCTGACAACAGGATGAAGTCATATAATGTCTATCCTGGTCTGCTTTTGATTTTACTACAACCTACCATCACTTTCTATTATGTTGTCGTTGACCAAGCGTTCATGGTTATCCACTTATCACGTTCTCTCATGGTAAGCAGAATTTGTCTTTTGCCTCCAAAATGTTACGTTACTAAGAGAAGCTTCTGTGTCCCATTATCGTTTTGGAAACTTGGTAACATGTAAAGTCACTTCTCACGCTTGTGACACCCCGCACAATGGCTAATCTTTAAAGCTTATTCATACAGCAAGATTTGAAGCTATTAAAAAAAAAGCAGCAACTCGATCTAACCCAGGTAATATTCATCACAGTGGTGATGCTATTTTTCAGTATAGAGCGTTGAAATCACTATGGCCACATCTCATTTCGCTCATTTAGTTCTTTTCAACATCGCTTCAACTAATCAAGGACCATCACGGTTCGTTCCATTTCAAAACTAAGATCTTAGGATAGTCTCAATGGTGAATAAGCTAAAACGAAAACTACTCCAGGTCGTGTATTGTCGCCGTTTCGTTTTGAAAAATCAGATTGTCATCTCAGACTATTATTGACTAGCAGTAAATTTTGAGTCTTTGCAATCCCATCAGTGAATGCAAGTCTATAACCACCAACGTTTCCCTCGACGCCGCCAGTTTACTGATGAATGCCATATTCAGCATGCTTTGTAGTACATCGCGACATACGTATTTGACGCCCCATACGGCCCCTTTCTACAAAAAATTAAACTTCTGATGAGTTTGAAGCAAGTGGCGCTTTCAAAAAGCACATCGATCGTCAGCGCTTTAGGTTCAAGAGCAGTTTGTTGGCTTAATTGCAATTACAAGCGTCGAGAGAAAAAACGCTTCTGATAAAACTAAAGCGTTTATTACTTGTTTTTTTTGTTGCTGATTTACTGCACTGCACTAAACAATGGATGAGAATGGCGCTTCTCAGATTATAGGGGCCCTGGAAGTTATTTATTCAGCGAAATCGGACAATGCCAGACGGTTGGAAGCCCAGAAGTTTCTGGATGAGGTAAAAGTGCGGGAGGAATCGCCTCTTTGGGGCTACGAAATCGCCTTAAATAACCCTGGAAACTCTATACTGAAACACTTCGGTCTCGGTTTACTCGCGTATGCAATACAGCGGAAATGGGGTGATTACACACCAGACAAAAAAGTTGCGCTGCGCAAATGGGTGGTAGAACTGAATTGTTGTGTCCAGAACAGTGACCCTCGCTACATCAAGGAAAAGCTCGCGTTTCTATGGGTAGAAATAGCCAAGCGTGTATGGGGTGAAGCGCTCAAGGAAGACAATCCAACTGATGAGACTTTACAGGAATCATGGGCCGATATGGACAACAACTTGTCGGAATTGTGGCACCTTAACGAGTCCGCTAGAGAATTGACCCTCATTATCTTTAGAACATTGTTCGAAGACGTTTTTTTACTAGAGGACCTGACTGTGCTTAAAAGAATATCAGTCATCCAACCCTTATGCGTCATGGTAATAAGTCCCATGGATGTCTTTGCCGCCAGATACAGATTCACTGACAAATGGACTCTTTTCAAGAGCAACGGGGACGGCTGGTTCGAACTTTGGGTTTCAGAACTTCGAGGAGCACTAACGTCCGGTAATACTGTGTACGTTGTAAGGCTCTTGGAAACTCTAAAGACGTGTTTAAACTGGCCATTGAGTGAAATTATGATCCGTAACGACGTTTGTGGGCTATTACTGGAATGCCTTTTGAGTAACATACCCAAAGCCCAATCAATGGCTTTAGACTCTTTGCATATTTTGTTGACCCGTCCATATAACGATGATTCGCATTATCAAACCGTGATCAACAAAGTCTTTAGCAGTATGGACCTGCTAGATAAAGTTTACGATAATTTGCTATTTGATCCCAATGATATTGACGAATCAAAGTACCCGATTGTCAAGAAATTCGTTGACATGGTAAGCTGTCTATACACCTGTGTTTTCAAAATTGATGAAGACGAGGTTATCATACAGAAGTATTTGAGGCTTGTCCTCAGGACGACTTTTAATCCAAGTCTAATTGTTAGCGGATTGACTTTGGATTTATGGTGTTCTTGTCTGCGAAACGACGACTTCTTGCCCGCATTAGAAAAAACTATAATACCCGAACTTTTGCAATTTTCAGCAGACGCTTTAATCTACTATGAGCAAATTGAGGGCCATGTTTCCAAAAAATTCGCTGACATAGATTTTCAATCTACTTCCGAATTTCAATCTTTTTGTTCTACTTATAGAAAAAGGATTAGAGATATAATTCGACTAATTTCTTGCGTTCAGTTAGACTTCGCGTATGATTGGCTGAACGCAAGGCTAAATGCATTTTTCAGTTCTCCATTTGGGCAGCAGGTTCTGAACTCGCAATTCTTAGACCACAAAACTGAACCATATCTTAGCGCATTATCCCAGCTAATGGTGGTTGAATGTTTCATTAATGGTTGCATACGATGGAAAATCTGGTACCCCGACAGTCCTGCCTACAACGATAAACTAAACGACATTTTAACTAAGATTGAGACTCTTTCGGATCAACTGATTGCTCTAACCTTGAGGGAGCCTTTGCTGCTTAAGAAACAAATTCAGAATTTTGCACTGTTTTTAACAATGCTTAAAGATAATGTTCTTCTTAAGCTGCTTGAAAAAATTATAACCAGTGCTACCTTAGAGTACCCTAATGTAGACTTGGATGAAAAAAACGAACAATCCGATGCTGTTAGGGATCTGAGATATGCCTGTGGTATTGAGCTAAACAGGATGGCTATTTTAATGCCGGACTCTCTCAGCAAAATTTTCAACGAATTACAAAATGTTGTTGCAGGTATAATGCCAAGACTCTCATATCACGAAAAGATTTCATTCAAGTCTTTTCTATTGACGATTGTATTAAAATCTTCACTGGGTGAGAAAGAGGAGAGATTCACCTCTATCGTCGATCCCGAATTGACAGCTTGGTCTGACAAGGAAACCGTAGTTGGATTGACTGATTTGCCATGGTTCATGGAAAGACTAGGAATTGTCCAAATATCTGAGTATTTTCAAAAGAGGGGTTTCAACGGAAACGACGATCTTTTGTCCATTCCAATCGACGAAGAAGGCAAACAATTAAAGACTCATCTATCAAAGCGGTGGCAAACTTTGTTCCCCGTGCGAGCGACCAGAATGTTCGTACATTACTCGATGCAAAGCATAAAAAACGACGCAGAGTTCGAAGTACTTCAATCCCTTTGGAAACCCCGCGTTGTACCCATTTTACCTTACATCATGCGATTATTGTATCAATTGCAATCGTATCACGATCCTGAGAATTGGAAAGAGCTGCCAATCGTAGTCCAGTCGTTTGTCAAATGTTCCACAGTCGAACGCTTCTGGGAAGCAGGCGCTTCCAACAAGTCGAAAGATGAATTTATTGATGAGCACATGAAGGCGATGCAGACTTTGCGAGACTTTGCAGATTCGGTTGGCCATATTGTAAGGTACACGAGAGAATACGTATTGTTGGTGATAAGCGCTATGTCAAGTTTTGGGAGTATATTTTACGACATTGATGAGTTGCCTCAAATGCTGATGGATTCCATCGCAATATACAAACCTTCTCGTAGAGAAATAAGTCCAGGAGTATCGACTCATGGCTGGAAGCATATTATAAATGTAGCAATTCGACCATTGCTGAAGAACTGTCCACCTCAATGCTCCAAAAAATTCATGACTGCATTCTTACCCAAGCTTTTTGATACTTTGGACGTGCTTTTGTGCCAAAAGTGGTCTGTTTACATGAACGATATTGATGTAAATCCTCCACCGAGGGATGATGACGAGATGACAGAAGAGATTCTTGAGGAGAATCTTCTTAGACAACTTACCACAGTGGTTGTCAGGCTTTTGATCGATTGCGTGGGCCAAGTCGGCACCAACTCCCAGGCTTCAAAAATGAAGCTCAACTCGCATCAGATAGAAATGAGAAAGATCATATTTGGCAACACAGAAGTAATGAACTCTTTTCTTCGACTTTTGAACCACTTGATGTCTTTCAGAGACAGCAAATGCTCCTTTAACTCGATATTGGTGATGAAGAGCTGTCTGGTAGATACTTTGATCAAAACTGAAGCCACTGACCAGTTTTTCACGATGGAAATAATGCCAAATCTTTTGCTGAACGTATTGACTCAAAACGCATTCAAGGACTCACTTTATGAGGGACTTTACGTCTTTACTGTTATCTTCTTAACTCTTTGCAAGGAATACAAAAGTTCAAGAGACTTTCTGTGTCAGTTGTCGCAGGGTTTTGATGTGGAAGCGCTATATGAGAATGTGAGAAGTGTAGAAAACTACAAGAATCAAAGAGCTCTGATGGTGGAGTTCATCGACTGGATTAAAACCGTTAACGGTCAAGGTACCGAAGAACAGGATGAGGATGACAAGAAAAGGCAAGAGAAAAGACAGGCGATCTTGGAGCGTGCTAACGAGAGACTTATCAAGCAAAACAAGGAGCAGAAGGATTTGCTGGATGATCCCAATACAGAAGATGGGGCTTTTGGTTCATTGTTTCAATAAAGAGTTGACAATATTTTTATAGTCAAGCCAAGCCCTCAATATTGAATTCTATTGAGTAAAGGCCCTTGGAATTTTATCATGTATTTAGTTAGAATAGTAATTTGCCGCAGCCAATGTTGCAAGAATCTGATCTCAGCTTAGGTATTTTGACATTTTCTTCAGTTACTAAATAATTTCGTTATGTGCTCAAATTTATGAAAATTCAATTCTTTGGTGGACGCAAATGCTAGCCTTCAGAGAGCAGGGAATAAGGCTAATTGTACGAGGATACAACACAAAGCTGACGACGGTAGAAGCCGGTAAACTTGTTACAAATACCCAAAAAGCAGACCGCAATGACGTTCTAAACTCATTAAGGAACGAGCTTAACATAAATAAATCTTTAGCCAAGGATCGAGTATCCAGCGCCAATAAAACTGATTTGGCTTCGCAGCTATTCGAAAAATATAATCCAGGTTACATAAATGTACCGAGATCAAAGCTAGGCTCTGTAAATCACTTCTTCAATACGGCGAGAGTTACTTATGAATGGAGTGCATCTGAATTCATGGAGATACCTGGCGAAAGGCTCAAAAAAGATTATGAAACGCGCGCGCTGGCCGAAACAACAGAATTTCCTAACAGCATAAGTGCACCCCCAGAGTGCAAGAAGAGGTTTCCTGGAAAAACTGATGGCATACCATTTGAGTTATTGAACGGGTTACCTGAAGTGGTATTCTTGGGCCGATGCAATGCTGGAAAGTCCACGCTCCTTAATAACATCACGACCGAGTACTCAACTGTGAAACTTCAGGAATCTGCTAAAACTTCCAAAAAAGCGGGCTTTACAAAAACCATTAATTGCTACAACGTCGGTAGACGATTCAGATTAGTGGACACCCCAGGCTACGGAGTAAAAGGCACGTATGATCAAGGTGAATTGATTATGCAGTATTTGCGGGAAAGGCGAGAACTAAGAAGAACATATTTGCTGATCTCGGCCGAGCAAGGTTTTTCGACGTCGGACTGTCAGATTGTCGATTTTTTAACTAAATTTGGTATCCCATTTGAGATTATCTTCACCAAGTTAGACAAGGTCAGGGATCTTGATAAACTTCATCTGGTTGTCCAGGAAAGTGGAGTATTGGAGTTACCAACCTTACCACAGATGCTCTTTTTGAATTCTACAACAAACTCAAAATTTCCGAAGCGTCTTGGGATAGACAGACTTCGCAGCTCCATTTTAGAAGGTTGCGGACTGCAATCTGATGTCAAACCAATGAAAGTAAAATAATTACAGATGAAGTTGCTTCGTTTCTTAGTTTCTCCTCTATTACATAGAGCGTATATTATACAGTTAATTCAACTTGGAATGGAGAAGATGCAGTACAGTTTATTCTTTCAAAATCTTCCTCCGCGACCACCGCCACGACTGAAGCCACCGCGGGAGCCACCACGGCCACCGCCAAAACCGCCACGACTACCGCCACGACCGCCATCGAAACCACCACGTCCACCGCCGAAACCACCACGGGAGCCACCACGTCCACCGCCGAAACCTCCACGGGAGCCACCACGGTCACCCCCGAAACCTCCACGGGAACCACCACGTCCACCGCCGAAGCCACCGCGACTACCACCACGACCACCGAATCCACCACGGCCACCTGGGGCACCTGGTGCTCTCTTCTTCTTTGGTTTTGGTGGGCCAGCAACCTTTGGCTTTGGCAAAAACCTTTCGATGGGCAGCAGCTTGTCTGGAGCAATGTAGAACTTGTCACCATCTTTGAAGCTCGAGGCTTGAACACCTTCAGAACATTTGATTGTGAAAAACACTTCGTTTAAAGGCCCCAGAATCTCGTCTACCTTACCAACTTGGGTCTTATTTTCCAAATAGATTGGTGCGTTGAAATATGGAATTTTGGTATTGATCGAGCGACATACGATTTCGTCTTCACAAGGATGCATGAAACTTCCCATCTCCAAAACCTGATCTGGTGGTCCTTGCTGGACTGGTCTTCCAAATCCGCCACGACCACCTCCGAATCCACCACGACCGCCGCCGAATCCACCACGGCCACCTCTATTACCACCTCTGAAACTCATGAAAAGCTGTCTTTCGGGAAATTTAAAAAGGCAGAGTCCTACTCAATTTCACCAAAACGAACTATAACGTAGTGATGAGAATGTCAAGGGTTTCTATTAATTCAATTAAATCGAAATAGCGCTTTACTTTTAAGCTCATCGAGAGTTAGAAGAGATGAGCTGAAAATTTTTTTAATGCTATATTTTTCAAAAAAGTAAAAAATATGATCAAATGTTGTGAGAGAACCACCAGAAAATTGTAACTGAAGCAAGCACTTAATACAATAGAATCAAGTATAGGTACGAAACTAATGTTGGGTTCTTTCGTAATTCGTAAGAATGCTCAAATAATGTTGCTGGAAACTTTTATATAACGAAAGTGTAATAAGCGCGACGGAGACGTGTACAGTGATTGTTGTGTTTTTGGTAAGTTGGAAACCCCGTCATCAATTGCAGGAAAGAGCGTAGGCTGCGTAGCTTAGCTTGACAAAGGTTTTTATAGCCGTATTTTTATCGAAGACACAGCATTTGCAAACTCAAGATCAATGATTGTGAAAATTACCTGTACTGAACTAAGCAAAGGACGTTTCAACAGGACGCTCGAGCCATAAGCTTATGGAGTTCAAGTAAGCTTGGCCCTCGCTATCAGTTATATTCTTAGGTACCAGGTTTGGTACAAGCTAGACGCTTCAATATTCTTGACTCGTTATAAACGACTACATCAAATTAGTTGGACAACTTGTGAGTCAACCCTAAAAGGTTTCCGATGAGCTAAAACATGTTCGGCATTACCTACTTATATAACTCACTCTCTGGTGCCTCTCATGGATATATCTGAACTTACCCAAAGCTACAAAGGTAGAAAAGATGATCCCAAACTTTACGGCGAGCTTTGGTCGCGCTTGAAGCTCGACCAAAGTTTTATTCATGTAATTTTGAGTAATCAGCTTGTGCACCAACACTTGCAAGATCTGAACTCTTGTTTGGCCACTGACTGCATTGAAAGACGTTTAGTTACATTTACTGCTATAAATTGCGAGCCTTCCCTCGTGTTTGGAAGAAGTATAACATCTGAAGTCTTTCAAGCAATAATAACGACCATTGAACACTATGAAACAGATCCCTACGATAGAGGCGTTTGTCTTTGCCTTTTCAATACAATTCTTAGAATCTCAGAATGCGACCAAGACATAACGTTTCTGGTTCAAAATATGAACTTCATCGAAAAACTCGCGGCATCGAAAGCTAATGCAGTAGATCTCATGGAGTTCATATATTTGACAGCTACCCACCCGTGTATTCCTGAGGGTGATGCGATGTTGTGGATAAAGGAACTATATCTCTCAGGAATACTATGGTGGCTGCGAACAAACTTGATCCAACCCAAGAAGCTTGATCTCTTAGAGATGATATTCGAGTCAACGATCAAATCGGTCTTTCACACTTTGATTCAAAATTTACAGGTTGCTTTGCGCTCTCAGAATATCCTTAAACCACTCCAATTTTGCAGCGTTTATGAATTCACAAAACTCCTCAAGGATTTTAATCTTAGCGCCCATTGTAATGTTGTTGATATCCTTGCTCTGAAATTAAAAGCTCAAAAAGATAAGGCAAACCTGCAGATATTGAAGTATTTCACAAGACCTCCACAAAGTTACGATGAAATGGGGCCACGTTTGTTCTCGGAAGATTTGAGTGGCACAGGTGTGTGGATTAGTCCTTCTCGTAATATGTTCATCCATGCGCTCAAATCACACATGCATGAGTTTGTACAATTCCAGTACGACGTCAAGAATTTTTTGAGTGCCGTTAACTCAAGGTTTTCTGAAGCCGAGGCTGGTTTACAAGGAACTAGTAAATACGCTACAAGTCATTTTACATTAGACTTGGATGAAAAGCTTCAATTCACTCAATTGAAAATTGATAGAAATGAAATTACCAAAAATAATCACCTAACACCAGAATGGTGCGATTTGCCAGGCAGGCTACTAATTTTATCGAAGAAGAACCGTGAATATACTGATGTTCATGTCAGAGAGGTCATAGAGGAGGGGAACGTCCTATATCTTCAGATATCTTCTAGAGTACCTTCCGATTTCTGTGACTCTAAGCTTGCGTGCGTACTAAACCGAGAGTTGAACTTTCAATATAGCAATTTGAAACATGCACGGAACAATGCGTTGAAGCATAGGAAAAAGTGGTCGGCTACAGACATGAGCAGACTACTTACAACGAACGAGCTCTCAAAGTCGCTACTAATTTCAAACGTTTTTAGAAACTCTACAGAAATCGATGACGTTATGAATAATAGCTTAGATGGTGAGAAACAAAAGGAGAAAAAAAGGCGCGTGCAGAATATGACAACCGCCGTAAGCATTGATGCCAAAGAGGGAACGTGGTCGAATATTGAATCAATAAGAAGCCAATTGAAACTAGAACTAACTAGCGAGCAGATCAAAACCATTGTTCGAGGGTTGCAACAGAATATCTGCTTGGTTAACGGTAATGTCGGGACAGGAAAAAGCACCGTCCTTGCATCGATATTAGATAATGTATTTTTGAATGCTTACTATCACAGCTTCAAGTGCAGAACTATTGTTATCTGTGATACTGACGAAACCTGTCAGAAGATCAATGGCTTACTGCAATTTGTACCAAGCTCGTCGGTCATTTGCTGGTCGAAGGACTTGGAACCTCTTCTGAACGCAAAATTGGATGAAGTGAAGTCACTGCTATTGCGAGTACAAGAGATTGCCATTACCCTTGGTATTCCTGGCGATCACTCTACTACCATTGAGGCCGCACAATATTTTTTCCAGCACTTCCTAAAACCTGTTTTACAAGAGTATAGCGCGGTAACATCTTTGCAAGCTGACCTTTCAAAATTTCCGCTTCTAGAGCTTCAATCTTCTTCTGCTGCTAGTAGAGAACAATCTATCGCTGACGTAAGTTGCGAAATTGCCACTATATTCGAGCAGTTAGAAAAGTGGCAATCACTTTTCCTCCCAGGAAGTTCTGCGAAAGCAGCTTGGGAAAGTTGTGATCTCCTTATACTCACCAAGGCTCAGTTTGGAGATGTTCTCTTGAAGAAGGATTTGAATATGGCATCTTTTCAAAACTTGGTAATTTGCAACGCCAGTTACTTTCAACCCTTAGAAATCTGGCAAGCCTTAAGCGTTTCTACCGAATGGCAAAAGATTATCATCACTGGCGACTTTGTCAATGGACCGATACCCTTTGTCGTTCAGCAATTTGTGAACGCAGATATGTTACAACTACAGCTAACGTGGGCCTTTGACACGACTGCGGAGATTCTGAGTGCTCGTTCCCCTCATATTCAAGGCTGCGATCCGGTACCGGGTCTTTGGAAATCACTTCAACTGATAAAGTCTCCCGGGGAAGTCTTGAAGAACGTAAATTGGGATGAGGCCGAATATTGTGTGTTTTTATATGCGTATCTTCGCCTTGTGGGATATCCCTGGCACAGCATCAGTATTGTGACTCTTTCCATGTACCAAAAACACGCTGTTGAGACTGAATTCCAAAATTGGCAACAAAATCCGCTGACCAAGAATCTGTTAAAGCCGAAGTTCATCAACTCTTTAGATCGAAACTTTTCCCATAGAAACGAGATAATCATTGTTTCTACGGCTGGGAGTGTTCCCAATGTGAGCTACTTGTCACGGTTAGCCAAGAGAGGTCTTCTCATCCTCACCTGCCACAGCTCTGAGTCTCTACAGGTCACCAAAGCGGAAAGATATCCTAACGTTAATGCTCGGGAGCTGCGCAACATGCAAGAAATTCTTGGTTTGAAGGAACTCAAATCTATGACCAACAAGCTACTCAAAAACCGCTGAGAGGACCTAAAAGTTTAGTTTCATCATGTTCAAATACTTTTCTGCATCACTTCGTCATTATATGACTTCCAATCGTGGTTTTTTGAAATCTGAAAAATTTTAGAATTCAAATTATGGTATCGCGGTAAGAAAGGGAAACAATTTCGAGCTCTGTAAACTTCAATGAGACTGCTAACTGCCGGGCTACATGGCCGATTGGCAATTCTGCAATTGGCACAGTTTAGACAACTTTCTAGTACTAGTCCCTGTAATGGTCCTAAAGCTGTAAAGTTTCTAAAAGCACAAAGAAAAAGACAACTCAATCAAGCCAAACAATTGAAACTAAAAACTGCCTTAGATACGGTAGACCCTGTGTTTGGACGTAATAATACGCCGTTTATAGTTCGCACGCTCGCGGAATTGAAAGAGCCTAAAGTTTTGGCGCAGGGTTTTGAAGGTCAAGATGTTGAAAAGTTGTTGGCCTCCGTCGAAGCGGCAAAAAAGGAACAAATGGACCTAGCTGGATTCAACAACGCATCTTTAATATCAGAAAGTGCTGAAACTGCTCTAGAAAACGCAGAACTGAAAAGAGAGTCAATACTGAGAATACTAAGCATGAGGAACGCTTCCAATAAAGACGCCATGAAATTAGTTGTGCGCCAAGCTAGAGAAGAATTTCAGAGGTTTGACGGCGACACCGGATCGAGTGAAGTACAAGCTGCAATTATGACTGTGCGTATCCAAAATATGGCTAAGCATGTCCAGGAAAATAAAAACGATAACAAAAATACCAGAATATTAAGGATGCTTGTACAACAAAGGCAGAATATTCTGAGGTATTTGAAGCGGGATAAGCCAGAAAGATATTTCTGGACAATACAGAAGCTAGGTCTAAGCGACAACGCTATCGCAAGCGAATTTAACATGGACAGGCGATACATGCAAGACTACAAATTTTTCGGTGATCGTATTCTAATCAAGGATTCCAAAAAAGTGGCAGACCAAAAACGTAGGGATTTGCGGAAACAGAGAAGGTCTGCCAAAAGAGCACAGACTTAATCACATACACAGCATAAATTTCCCGTAAAAGTAGTTATACTTGTAAATAATTCGGTTCAACCTACTTAGTTCCATACCTACAACTTTTCCCTCAGGAACCTTCCTATACTCCCACCTATATGCTCTACGTCTAGTAAGAAAGTGTCATGTCCAAAGAGAGACTGAGATTCGTCCAGTTCAACATGCTTGATTTCTCGACCACTTCCTAGTAAATCTACAATTTCCCTCTGTTGCCAGTAAGGAAAAAGACCGTCTGATTTGACACCGATAACTAATAATTCTTTCCCTTTGATAGGATCCATACCATTCCTTAAGTCCTCACGAGCCTCTTCAACCGTAGTAGTCCTATTTTTTTTGATGGGTTCATATGGCACGTCACAAAGCCTCGTTGGTTCGTCGTTTATGTCCTGTGTTTCATACTGCTGTCTAGCCTCAGCTCTTCTCCGCTTGCTCCTGTCTTGATGACTCTTTGACAAGTCAAACAAGTCCATAGTCTTCGAAAGATACAAAAAAGAATTGGCGTCGTACTCTAAAGAAAACTTCTCGCCTTGATGGTCCAGATAGGTTTCAATCAAGAAGTCAGGACACAGTACTGGAGGCCTTTCATCATTGAGTCGCTCAGTTCCAAATCTTGACTCCCACTCTGGCCCCGATCTGTAGGTTACCGTAGCTATTTCTCGTGCCAATTTCATACCAACATGTGGCAGGATTTTGTTGGGCTCTGCAGCTGTGGGATAGTAAAAACCTCGCGACCAGTGCTGGTCCGCCATTAAGACCTGCCTTTGCGCGTGTCTCATAGCAATGCTCGAGGGGTGTGATCTGGCACAAGCAGAGACTGTCACAACTTTTTCTACGCTTTCCGGAAATTGTTGTGCATATGCCAATGACTGCATTCCACCCATAGAGCAGCCTATTGAGGCGTACAGCTTCTGGATTCCCATAAGTTCTGTCACCAACCGCTCCTGACCTCTGATAATGTCCTGAACACTTAACATTGGAAATCTGGTAGCGTAAGGGGAGTTGTCGGCCGGGTCTGGGGAAGATGGACCTGTAGATCCATAGCAGCCACCTAGGGTATTGGTACAAATGACAAAGAACTTGTTGGTATCCAACATAGAATTCCCAGGCCCAATGAACTTCTCCCACCATCCTGGATGAGGATTGTCAACGGACGATTTGGCATGTGAGGAGGCACTCAGTCCCGTATGTATCAGCACAGCATTTGACTTGGCTTTATTGAGACTGCCCCATGTCTCATATGCTATCTCAAATTTAGGCAAAACTCCCCCGTAATCTAGGAAGAGCGGTTTGTCAGACTGAAAAACTTTGAACCCCGATCGTACCCGTTCATAAACTGGCTCATTGTGCGGAGACGATGTTGCATCTAAACTGCAACTAGAAGGTCTTTTCTTCAACTGCGCTGATAGTTCCTCCATTTTGTCGAGGCATGGGAACTGCATTGCTGGATTTGAAGATCTCGAGCGGATGACGGATGATTGATGGAAACCACGGCAAAAGACCTGCGTTGTCCTTATTCTCAAGTTACATTTCATCATCGCAAAAGACCCCGGATTCTATAACCAGCTTCAAAGTGACTGAAGGGAGCTTTACATCTTACATTACTCGACTTTATATTTATGTCAAGCGCTGCATGGTAACCATCTCTAAAGCCACACATGGAGTATGAGTAAAATACGTCACGTGATACTGGGGGGATCGGATTTAGTACCGTGGAATGAAGCATTCGACGCATGCTCTGCGCTTACAATCCAGTCTCTCCTATTAGCTCGATCTAATTTTCAATTACGTAGTAATCTAGTTTCTTCGTCAGGCTCCTCGTCAGAATCGGTAGAACTATAGTCATCTTCGGAGTCTAATTCGTCAGCTTCTTCGGCCTCTCTGCGCATCTCTGCCCTTCTTAATATCTTTTCCCAGTTCGGGAAAAGTACAAGATAACCCTCAATTGTACCAATTAAGAACATGCCTGTCCCGATACCTATCCATAAGCCAAATAATTTCATGTCAAATGTCCAGCCCAATACAATTGCCAAAGGAATGGCCAACAAATAGTAGACGACCAGGTTAATTACACCACCGATGGCTTGCATTCCTTGGCCACGCAGGCAGGAGCCAGCTATCGCATTGAGTGAATCGAAAATTTCGGCCACCCCGGCCAGAGGCATCAATTCAGTGATTAACTTAACCACTTCAGGGTCATTTGAGTAAATATGGGCGATAAAGTTCCTGCAGCTAATGAGCAAGATACAATTGAAGAGCCCCACAAAGAGAGAACATGAGATACCAAGCTGTGAAGCAATTTTGGCACAATCGGCCCGTTTCGCACCCACGAAATTAGCGATTCTTGTAGATGATGAAATTCCAACTGCGAAGGGGATCATGTAGGTTAGCGTAACGGTTGTGGATATAGCCGATTGAGCAGCCAAATAACTTGTCCCGAAATATGAGCTAAAGAGTGTCAGAATCTCGTAGGAGAGGTCCTCGGCTTCAAGCATGACAATACCTGGTATCGCTAATTCCGAAAGTGCTTTCCAATGCGTGAAAGCCTTTTTGTTGAATCCTCCCCAGCAGCGGCTGCCATCCACATATACGATGTATGCTAATAGAAGGGCAAGCATGAGCCAAAAATTAAGAACCATGGCGATCGGTGCTCCGGCGTATCCAATGCCAATTTTAGAGTTCCACACCAGTGTGTAACTAGTTAAAACATTTAAGGGAGCACATACGAGTAACACGTAGATGCCAGCATCAAAGATTCCCTGTGCTTGTAGAAACCTTTTCAAATTTTCGAACATGATGTAAGCTGGGGCGCCCAGGATGGCAATTCTCAAAAACTTAGCAGTAAGACTAACCAGTTCCTTTTCTTTGATAACTAAACCCAAGAAAAACTCCGAGAAAAACCAAAAAAACGCAAATGGAACATAGACGACCATTGAGAAAGCAATGCACCGTTGTAAATGAATCCCCACACCGCGGTAATTTCCAGATCCAAACGCTTGTGGACATAAAGTATCTAAGCTTGTGGAAATTCCTTCGAAAACGGCCAAAGTAATATTCGTAGTCATAGAAGCTAGTGAAACGGCTGCTAGTTCGTTTTTGCCCAGATGCCCCACTGTGAGAGAACATACTAAGGGGAATATTTGCTCCAAAAGAAAAGTTAAGATCAACGGTATAGAGTAAGAAGCCAAAACCTTGGCCTCGCTCTTTAATGTCACGGTTCCATGCTTACACTCTTCTTCACTCTCCAAGGACTCGTAGACATTGGGTACAGAACCACGGCTGGTTACCGATATGAACGAGGGCCTGTGCTGTCGTCTATTAACATCAAAGAGCAATTGTTGTCTCACCCGTTTCATAAAGTCGTCATATTCTAGGACTTCTTGTTGTTCCTCGTCGTAATTTAATGACGAGCGCCGAGGTTGAGTATCTTCCTCCTCGTTCTGGAATTCTTCATCGCTATGTTGTGCTGAAGAATACCTTCTTTCATGTTCTTCCAGTATCCAATCGACCTCTGAGTGCACGTCTGGAGTTTCGCTAACCCTCGAGGGTAAAGACACAGTTCTGCTGAGCTCACCGCCATCCTCAGACCCAGCAGCGTCGAGCTCTTCGTCAATGGCATCGATCATGGGATCTTCGCGTGCAATTGTGCTTCCAAAATCTTCGCCCAGGGATCTGAAACTCTGTTGATCTGTACCATAACGCCGCCTGCGCTTATATTTTCGAACCAGTGGGTTCCTTTTACTAGGTTGGAGAAACCCTAAGGATATTTTCCTGTGATTGTTTCCGATTCCGATACCATTGGTACGTAATTTTGGATGTACTTGAGCCAAGCTCTTTGTAAGAATATTAGCCATTGTGGTGCTTCCGAAGGGTAAGAAAGTCCGTAGTTTAATTGAGTCCTGAGACTCTCAATTGGTGAAGAGTTTTTAACAAATTCTCAAATTTGTGATACAATAAGTTTAAGGACCCTCTAAAATAAAAGATAGAAGATTAAACATCATCCACAACGTGGTTAAAAAAAATCCTAAGAATCCCTGTCGTTAGTCATTAAATATATCTATAGAGCGCTATCACATCGATGAGTTACATTTTGCGTTTTTTGAGCCTGCTGTTGGCTAGCTCTTGCCTACAATCGGGGCAATACCACGACCCCTTCGGAGGCTCTTTCAGGTTTACGCAAGTATAGTGGAACCACTCAAACTTGCAGTGAGGTCCATCACACGCGACCATCTCGCCATATGAGACACTTTGGCAGAAGCAGTAGAGTTGTTTGTCGTCTTCTTCTGCCTGGTTGTAACCCGAGAACAAATCGTCATTGTAGTCTTGGAGGTCGAAATTGGGATCCGCGGAGCCTACGGGCGTGGAGTCTTTGTTGCGAGCACTTGGAGGTCCTTCGCTTTTCCGTTTTCGTTTCGTAGCCGCTGCTGTTGGTCCCGGGGTTGCATTCTTCTTGCGACGCGCTTCTCCACTTCCTGAAAAAACGGAGCTCTCTCTTGAGTTATCCCCGCCACTTTCTGCTTCTTTTTCATCATTTTCTGCCGGCGCCAAGGAGTTGTCTTCCTCGAGAATTTTGATCGTGTCTTGAAGTTTAGTTAAGTGTTTGGTTACTAAAAACAATGCTGTGTTGGAAAGCACACATTTGTCATTTTGTAAATCCCGACACAGTTGCAGATCTCGCAGTACTTTCTCAGACAGTTCAGACTCCCGCGGGTTCTCTGTCAATGAGCCGTGTTGTTTGTAGAATTTCTGTATCTGCAAGTCCCTCTGTAAGCACTTCTTGCGAGAATCATATATCTTTAAGTCTGCATTTCCAATTTCATCAAGTATGTACTTAAACTCTGATTGTAGATTCGACACATCTAGAGTCGTCTGTTCAAGAGCAGAACTCGGATCCATCAAATAACTGGGCTCTATAGAAAAACGTAGGGTGCTCTGTTGTCCCGGGGAATCGTTAAAGCTCGTACTTCATCTAGATGTCAAAAGATGCATTTTTTAAAGTTGTCACTTTATGTCAGGTGATTTGAGCGCTACGAATTTTGACCGAAAAGCTTCCTATTTCTATGACATGGAGTAGCTAAAGGCCAGTAGCTAGTACAATGGCCTAATCTGATTGACTAGCGAAAACTACCTTACAGAGACCGAGCAACTTTGTTTCCTCTACTTTATTTAGCTTTGTGATAATATGTGGTTATGTCTTCTACCACAAGGTATTTTCGTCGCGGACCGTATACTCATAGAGTGATGATAGATTAATGGTCAAGCAACAGTCTCTTAAGCACGTTGGGACCTGTTAGATGTTACATTTCCATGGTTGTTTGGCAGCTGCACATTTTGGTTTAGGCGTGCGCAATATATATAGCTGCGACAATGGATAATGAAATAGGTATTTGTTGAGTAGGTTCAACCCTCTGAATGCTACTGGTGTTTTGAATGAGGACAGTATTTGATATCAAAAAAACATACCGCTCAGGGGTTGAGCCTGCTTATCGGGCCGCTCGCTGAGATTGGCCTCAATTCAAATTGGCATAAGAGCCTCGTCTAATTTCTCATGATAAGTAAATGTGGTTGAAGGATCCAGGATGGAGAACTAGAGACCAACCTCGATAAATAGGAAAGAGAATATAAACTACCAGTGAACGTCATAAGGGAGATTGAGGCTCAATGAAAACTATTAGTGATAGAACTATGATGAGGCTAGCCATTGACAAAATACTATAGTATTTCTTGTAAAGAAGCTAACTAGAATATTATCTAAAACAAGATGACATTTCCCTCAGGTCACTGGTAGCCTCGATTTCGACAAATGCGCACATACTACCTGTTTACATTGAGATAATGAGTTCAATCGTTGACACGAATGTTTCTAGGAAGCACAACGCTCATTAAATCTTGTTGCTGAAAACGCGCTGAAGGATACATATGGTTTGAAGTGAACAGTATCACTACAGTGACAGCTTTAGTGCCCTTTCTTCAACTTAAAATGCACGCCGACTTTGATCAATAAGATTTTCTTAAAGGCCCTTGTATTCTAAGGTCCTAAACCCGACAATTCTAATCACCATGGCCATAGAGACTGCACGACGTGCTTCAATCGCTGGCCATTAGCCGGAGGTGGATTAAGCTGTATTTCAACCTATCCGTTTTCTCTTTCATCTCTCATAGCCCACCATGAACAAACTTTCTTGCGAATAGCGAATAACGCTGATTGTTATCGAGTGTATGTTCTTGGATTCGGGGTAGACACTTATTCTGACCTTGTCAAAAAACCTCGCGGACTTAGTTGTCTCTTAGCTCAAATGCGAGTAGCGTCTATTGCTCTCTTACTAAATTTTGGACTTTTCATCTGCTTCGGCAAAAGTCGGTGGTGACCAGTATAGTACCAAGCACAATCTCGATGGAGAGTAGGCCTGCAAATACTAGGTTTGTGGAGCTGTCACTGACCGTGGCCTCATCGACGCATTAATAGCTGTAACAAGTGAATTTCACGTGGGGCGTACCCAATTGGTGAAAAAGCTTACTATGTATAAGAAGGCTAAGTAGTTCAGATAGCAAATAAATCGGTTAGCAAAAGGCATTGCCAATAAATTTCTCTAAATCCGAATATATAAAGACCCTGCTGTCACAAAATATGGTGGTATGAATAGGGGCCCAAACAGTTGATTTTAGGGTCATTAAAACAAAAGACATGGGATTGTTAACATTCCCTCTCAAATACATTGCAAAGAAAGTCTTTGGTGAAGTGGAAATTGGCTCCGCATTCGAAGATCCATTTTTTGAAGAAGTAGAGTTTGAAAAGCGCTCCTTCTGGTCCGGAAGTACCAAGATCGTTAAGAAACGTCGTGACAAGAGTATCCCAGAAAGAGTTCCCGAAATCGATGGTAAAATTCTGCGCCGTGTGCGCAAGAGAGCGTACCGTTTGGATATGGCTTTCCACATCGGCGGCGTCAGGTTTGGTTGGTTAGGTGTGATTGGTATTCTCCCCGTAGTCGGTGATTTGATGATCTTATGGCTATCGCTACAGGTTTACAGAGAAGCGATGAAAGTGACAGGTGGTCTACCTCCCGCTGTATCAGCGCAAATGTTGACCAATATTGCGCTGGATTTCGGCCTTGGTTTGATACCCATTGTGGGTGACTTCGTTAGTGTATGTTACAAGGCTAATTCCCGGAATGTCTTAGTACTCGAAAAGTTCTTGAAGAACAAATATCACAGAGTAGCGGCGCCGGTCGCAGCGCCTCGACGCGTGCCGATAACACAATAGTCATTCACCAAAATTTTAAGTAATTAACGTATATAAACCAACAAATGACCCTTAAAAGACGTCCGGCAGCTTTTCGACCACATACGCATGACCGCCCACGCTCATGAGCGGGATACCGGGCACTTTACGGACTCTCTGTTTCAAACCAGCATCATTTGTGGCAACAATGTAACACTTGTGTTGAAGCACACGGTTCACAATACAGTCATCGGCATAAGTGCCCTTGTGACTACAATTTAGTCTTTGAATACGTGGATCACGTGCCAGCTTCAAGGCAATTCTGTACTTTGGCCCCAGTTTCTCCAGTTCCGCCATCACGCAGTCTGTGACAAGCGGTATGCATTTCGCCAGCAGCGCATCCATCATACCTCTTACCAAGTCTATTTTCTTTTGTATCGAGAAGTTGATAAAATTGGTATCTATCAGGACTTGGTAGGGCGGCTTGATAGCTTGATTATACTGGAAGAATAACGCACTAGAAACCTGCGGAACGTGTTTGGTAAGTTCTGGGTCGTCTCTTCCAGTTACTTTGGCTTGGTTAGCCTTGAGCCTCACATCTTTTTTGGCATTCAACGTCCGCTTGACAAGTCCAAATCTTCTCGTCTTCTTGGCTTTTCCCATAGTTTTCTATCGGGCTAAGTAAATGCGATATTGAGTATTGTAACGCTCTATAACGTACACTTCTTTCGCTTAAGGTGTAGTCGCTTAGAGCTCATCTCATCGCATTTTCATACCCACAGAGTACATTTTTCTTATGATTGAAAAATTTCAAGATCCCGATATACGGTGAGGAAGGGCACGCTACCATCTTTATATTAAGACGCTATAGCGCAGCTCTCAGGAAACATATCAAGTAATCTAGTAGTGTGCCACTTTATAACCGGATCTTAGCTGGAGGTGGGTAGCCTTTGTAGCGTTTAAAAAAAACTGGGCTTTAAATTCGGCAAAAAATAACGTCACAGACAGGATTCGAACCTGCGCAGGTAAAACCCAATGCCTAACTCGCTTTCGAAGTGTCGAATAGCAGGGCATCGCCTTAACCACTCGGCCACTGGGACGCTTTGATGAAAGATTACTTTTTTAGCTGTATATATAATTAGTATGGTTTTGTGTTACGTTAGTCAAGTCTTGATGCGATCCATGGCGCATTCAGTAGGCGTTACTTTTCAAGTTCTGTTTCGAGTTCTGTTTCGATCCTGATCCTTAGGTTGGTTTCGACCTTTGTAACTTTATTCGAACATTTCATTTGACTTGAAGCCGTCATTGTCCAGCCAACATTATAGTTGCGGTTACGATAAATTGTAGCATCTGAAGTGTATTACATTTGTACTTAATCATATCTCATTTAGAATGCCTATCTCGGAGAGCCCTCAGCTTCTCTGGTCGTTCAATGGTGGCTACTTTTGTTAGTTAAAGTCATTGCATAAACTAAATATTTACCCAAAACATGTAAGGAACTTTTAACAAGGACGAGCCGTTTTTGATCTCTGTGCGATTATTCTCAATAAGTTGCTAGTTAAGAACCACTTATTCGCGACTTGAGAAACTAACTATTTTTGTCGTTCTCAAGAGAACTTCGTAATACGTTTGCTATGCGTTACTTCTTGCCTACAAGCTTTTACTCAATTTCTTTGCTCTTTATTACATTTACACTTTGTTTATAAAACTCTACACGCTTAAGCACATGTGCCATTCTTTACTTCACATTCTGTCCACAGGAGTCAAACCCAACAAAGTCATACCGTTGTACAGCACTTGTCTCGCAGAAGCGTACAAGGCCAGACGAGCAGCAGCTAGCTCTGGGGTTTGACCAGCGACCCACAATACATCGTAGCACGACGAAACTTGGTGTGTTAGCTTGAACAGGTATGTCACGACAGTGGCAGGTTCGTGGGTCTTTGCGGCGTTTCTCAATACATCAGGGTATTGACCCAGCAGACGAACCAAAGTCTCAGCGACAGGCTCTTTCAACAAAGAGAAATCAGCATTCATGCACATTTCTTCAGTGATTTCAGATGCATTTCTACCCACTGATCTCAATCTAGAGTGCGCATATTGCAAATAAGGACCAGTGTCACCTTCGAAAGAAGTCATTCTTTCCCATTTGAATTCGTAGTTATTAATACGTTTGGCTTGCATATCCTGGATCATGACAGCAGAAATACCTACCAAGTCGGCAACTTCGTCAGGCTTTTCAATTTGAGCATACTTGACCTCATTGGTTTTCATAACATCGTGCATCTTGTCTTTAGTTTCTTCTAGAATATTATCCAAAAACACGACAGTACCTCTTCTAGTAGACATACCTTGAACCATACCAAAGTTGATATGCAACAAGTCCTTTGCCCATTCGTAGCCTAGTTGCTTCAGAACTTCGAATAATTGCGCGGTGTATAAATCCTGTTGAGAAGCAATGACGTAAATCATCTTGTCGAAATGATATTTTTCATAACGGTCAATAGCAGTGCCTACATCTCTGGTCATGTACAAAGTTGTACCATCCGACTTTTGAACAATGGTCTTGCCCAACTTCTTATTGAATTTAGTCAAATCAATCAATAGCGCACCTTTGTCCTCGTGAGTTAGGCCCTTTTCGGCGAACATTTCAAGAGCTTTATTCATTGACTCTCTCGATGCTTGTGATTCGCCAGAGTAAGAGTCATAGTGAATGTTCAAGCGAGCATAAGTCTCAATGTATTTGTCAATGGACAATTCACGGAAACGTCTCCAGATCTTCAACGCGGCTTCGTCTCCATCTTCCATTTTTTTGAAATAAGCACGAGCCAACCCATGAGTAGACTCCTGTTCTGGTAGAGAATCACCTTCAGCTTCAATATCTTTGTTGACACGAACGTAGACGTCGTACAAGTGTTTGATAGGGTCGTTTTCTAGCGCTTCCTCAGATCCGTATCTCTCGAAACCAACAGCCAAAACACCAAATTGTTTTCCCCAGTCACCCAAGTAGTTCAGTCTGACAACTTCCCAACCCAACTTTTCGTATAGATTGGACAAAAACCCACCAATAATTGTGGATCTCAAATGACCGGCGTGGAAAGGTTTGGCAATATTTGGAGACGAGAATTCGATGACCACCTTCTTGTTTTCAACCAAAGGAGCGGAACCATATTGTTCCTTTCTGGCCAAGATATCTGGAAGCACCACTTTGAACAATAAGTCAGGTCTAAAGAAGAACTGCACAAATGGTCCATTGGCTTCAACTTTAGACAAGAAATCGCCAAGCGGAAATTTTTCGGACCATTCAATAGCGAGATCCTTTGGGTTGGCACCCTTGATACGCAATCTGGGTACTGGGATCAAAAGGTCACCTCTATCTAGAGTGTTGGTCCATTCCAAAGCTGGGTAGATCAATTTGGCGTCCACGCCGGAAATCTTAGATAGCTCGACAGTGATGTAGTTTCTCATGAGGTCAACGACATTGACTTGTGGAAAAGAGCCCTCAGAGACTGGAGGCTCCTGGATGGACATTTTTTCCAACTGAGATGCAATGGAACTAGTAGACATTGTTCGCAAGTGTGAATCAGAGCGTTGGGCTAATTGAAAACTTTTGATCGAAACAAACGGCTGTTGCTTGAGATGGTGTGAATAATTGCAAGTTCGAGTCACGCAAGACAATACTCTTCTTAGCATAAAATGCTGAAAGTTAACTGGAACTCACGAAATCGTGAAAACTTCCATTTCCCAATTTTTCAACTTTGGTAAAAAAATTTTAAAGAGAGTCGAGAGCGGAGACATGAGAGTCATGCAAGGAGCAGGCGTAAGTAGTTTGTATCTCAAGTGTCCCTATCTAATTCACGCCAATATACTTGAGCGGAACGACTCCAATTCTTAGTCTCGCTTTTGGCCCAAGACATTACGTGAGTTGAAGTTGTCAAGAAATCAGCGTCACATTCGTGTATTATGACTTAAATCTGGTTCTCAGAGCGAGTCGAACGTTTTGTGCAATGCCAGCTGCGTGGATAGTGATCTTAACTTTCAATAGAATAGAGTTGATTGCGAATGCGAAAGGGACGCGGCAGTAGTTGATTGATTACTCAAAATTGACTCTTCGTAATCAGAACTATCGCTAACAGTTTAGCTCTTGATGTGTGACGTCTTGACGTTTAATTATTTGCCTCGGATGAAGCCCGTCACAAAAAATAGAAAATGATCTGACATTATATTTAGTGTGATAGTTATCTAGAACTTGTGCCGGGGAAACTCAAAGCTTTGATGTTTGGTTTTACATTGTATCAAGAGCTTTTTTATAGGTCTGGACATCATTATGGGAGCGAAAACCGGTCTTTTTCATTCTCATGGGCTATTGAACAAAATAGCTTTTACTTGGAATCATCTGAGCCCAGAAAAGCCTAGCGATGACGTTTGGACGGATGAAAACACTGGTGTCGAAAATTCAACTTTGATGGGAGCACCATCACTTATGCTTCCGAACTCGCTCAATAGAAGTGGGAAATTCAAACGATCTTTGAAGAAAGCGAAAAGATTGCTTAACAACGGACTTGGATCTCCCCCTGCGCGCAAGACCTCCGCTACAATTCGCTCAAACGGTAGTAATGATCCAGTTCGGTTTTTGTCGGTCTTTGGCAGGAGCCATTTGAATTCTGAGCTCTGGCTTTCGAAGCAAGATGGGGTTGCTACGTTAGAACAAGAGAAAGAGAATAGTCAACCGTTGATCAAAAAAATTGAACCCAAGGATTCTACGACAAAGCGCGATCCATTAAAAGACCTGCCCATTGAGGTCAGCGAATATCTGACAGCAGAAGAAATTGAGAACAGAGATACACACATCAATGTGGGAGAGCCAAAATCCAAGCGCATCAGCGGTGAACTGAAATTGGTCTTTGCCATGGCAATTACTGAATTTGTACAAGAAAATGACAGATGGATTCAGAAGCTTAGGATGGCGCAGACATCGTGGGACAAGTCGGACGCAGCGCGAAGCGAGCATCTGAGGTTCCTTGAGAATTTACAAAACCTGCTAAAGTACGAATCTGGCTTCTTGGAGGAAATGAGTGCAAAATTTGAGGCAGTGTGTGAAGAGAATGAGGTATTGCGAGGGCTGGAGTAAGAGAACCGCTGCGGGGATCTGATTGCAAAGTCTATAGATTAAGGTCAATGTTGAAAATCTTTGTTATAGTATTGTATCGTTCGAATTATAGAGTATTCTAATAAGTCATATCATCGTTAGTTAATTAAGGCAAAAACCGGCAAACAGATGGAAGCGGAATTTGAATTAGAGTTTTGAAAAGAAAAAGAATAAAGCATTGGGCAGCTTTAGTTTTGAAAGGACGTTTACATCATTTTCTTGTACCATGGCTTGTCGTCGTGCATCAACTCATCGTTGTTGTAGTCGGCACCTCTTCTGGAAGGAGGCAACCATGAAGCGGATTTCCAAGGCAAGACACCTTCTTCCCATAATTCCTGAACTTCTTCCAAAGTCAAACCCTTGGTCTCAGGGACAAAGAAGAACACGTAGAAGAACGCAAATACCAAACATCCCATGAAAACGTAACCATAGTAGAAGTGAATGGCGGTGGTAATGAATGGCGTGAAGAAAGCAATTAGGAAACCCCATAGCCAGTTCGATGCGGTGGCAACGGCCATACACTTGGACTTGACTCTCAATGGGTAGGACTCGGCAACAACAATGTAGGCCATTGGAGCCCATGTGGTTGCGAAGCAGAAGATGTAGAAACACGTGAAGACAATCATACAGTTACCGGCACCTTTAGACGAAATCTGCGAGTTGTCAGCACCTTCGGGCCATAGTCTGGTAACACCAACGGATGCATAGACCACGAAACAGGCGACCATGGAGGCGGCACCCCATAGCAAACACTTACGACGACCGAATTTCTCGACGGTGTAGATCCCGACAAAAGTGGAGGCGAAATTCACAATACCGATGACGATCGAGGTCTGGAACGAATCAGTCAAACCCACGGCCTTGAAAATAGTAGTACCGTAGTAGAAGAAGTAGTTGTCACCTGTCAATTGTTGCAAAGATTGGATCATGATACCCATGATTAAACGTTGGAAAACCTTGGTCTTGGTAGAGAAAATCTCACCCCAGGAAGCAGAACCAGCCAATTTTTCGGCTTCGACACCAGCCGAGATCAAATCGATTTCTAGTTGAATTGCAGGGTCTTCCATGCTGATCTTGTTGGATCTGGCGATCGACCGTCTGGCTTCTTCGATTAGTCCCTTTTCCACCAGGTAACGAGGCGATTCTGGCACAAATGTCATACCCGCGATCATGAATAGCGCCCAGGCGAAACAAAGCCCTAGAGGCACACGCCATTGGACAGAGTTGGTGTAGGTCTTGACACCGTAATTGGTGCAGTAACCCAAAAAGATACCGAAAGTGATCATCAGTTGGAAACACGCAATCAGAGTACCACGCAAATGTTTTGGAGCCACTTCCGAAATTAGCATGGGCGACAAAACCGCGATTCCGCCGATTCCGAGACCCGAGATAATTCTGCCGATGAAATATTGGTACCATTTGTTGATAGAGGCGATCTGGATGATGATGCCAATCACGTACACAACGACCACGGTCATAAGCCCGATTCTGCGGCCATACATGTCACCGACTTTGGAAAGAATGATACCACCGAAAGCGCACCCGATGTTCAAAATAGCCACGATAAGTCCAGTTCTGACGTTGGACAAGTATGGCACGCCATCCTTGTTGATCTGGCCGAAACGACGCTTGAAGTCCGACTGCTGCACAAACCCGGAGATGGTACCGGTGTCCCAGCCGAACACAAATCCACCAAACGCTACACATAGGCACAGCAGCACGACGGTGATGTAAGCGGACGCTGGCTTCTTGGGAATTTCGACTTCCTTCTCGAGGTCGCCGTCTGGGAAACGAGTGTCCTTGAGGTCGTCACGTGAGGCTTTGTTCGAGGGCGTTGAGAGTTGGGAGCCATGACTGACGCTGGAGTGCAGGTCCACGGGAGTAGCCGTGGCCGCCGTACCAGGATATTCAGACATAGAGATTGGAGTTTGAAGTTGAAGTTGGAGTTGGTTGTTGATGGGAAAGGAAGAAGAGAAAAGAGAAGAAAGATGTGGAGAAAAGCTACAAGGTGTGTGTTCGGGCTCCTTATATACACTTTTTTTTTGGGCTTGGCTGGTCGACACCAAACACTTGGCTTCTTGGCTATAATTTTTCGTCCGTTCGTTCCGCACCCGTTGCGTGTGTGTCGTCTGTGCGTGTTTGTCTCTCTGGATGTGCCGTGCGTCGCTTAATTCTCGCTATTTCCCTCTCGGCGTATCTCCAGATTTAATTTTTCCGGATGCGCAGCGCGTGCTCCCGGAGAAACCTGGAGATCCCGGATTGTACGGTGTGTTCTGTGTTTGCTCTCGAAAATTTTTCTCCTTTGGCCGGCTGCATCATTCCGGAGAGAAAGGGAGTGAGAAAAAAAAAGTGTTCCCCGTGTGCTTTTTTTCCCGTTCGGGTGCGGAGAAACTACAGATGATAATTTTTCCGGGGGAAGAGGTGGGATTTTGTGGCAGTGCGGTGCGGGTGCGGGTGCGGTGTTAAGAAAGTGGTGTGAGTTGAACAAGTACGGGCGCCAGCGAGAAATTGTGAATAGCACGAGAAGTAGCCTTGAACAATTATGAGCTAGCAATTATGAGCGCAAGCGAGTAGTTGTGAATAGCGAGGAGTACCATTGTACAATTGTGAGAGAAGTGCCCTTGAGCAATTATGAGCGCTCGCGAGTAATGGTAAATAGCGAGAAGTACCTTTGACAATTGCGAGGGAAGTACCCTTAAACAACTATGAGCGCCAGCTGATAGCGAGAGGTACCGTTAAACAATTATGAGCGCCAGCTGATGGCGAGAAGTACCATCGTATATTAGCTAGAAGCACCATTGTATAATAGCGAGTAGTACCATTGTATAATTGCGAGAGAAGTGCTATTATAAAATAGAGCGCTATCGAGTGATTGCGAGAGAAGCACTGGTGTACAATTGTGAGCGCTAGCGAGTAATTGTGAAGACTTTAGAGAAACGCTAGAGAACCATGAGTGCTTATACTATCGCAATGAGCTAGAGACCATGAGTGTCTGCATTATTGTAAAGAGCTGAATAACCAGCACTACTGACCAATTGTAAGTATTTCATTAAACCTTACAGCATGGTTTCTGACTATCGATTGAGAGCTAGAGTTTCTGCTATGTTAACAGATGGTGATATCATTGATGGGATGGTAAGAACTTACTGCCCTGTTGATCATTCCAGCAGATGCTGACGTGACTGGGGGAACAAGAAACAAGCACCTCGCTGATCATTCCAGCAGATGCTGACACCAGTGACCACGAGAACAAGAAACAAGCACCTCGCTGATCATTCCAGCAGATGCTGACACCAGTGACCACGAGAACAAGAAACGAGCACCTCGCTGATCATTCCAGCAGATGCTGACACCAGTGACCTCGAGAACATGAAACAAGCACCTCGCTGATCATTCCAGCAGATGCTGACACCAGTGACCACGAGAACATGAAACAAGCACCTCGCTGATCATTCCAGCAGATGCTGACACCAGTGACCTCGAGAACATGAAATAACTGTCATCAGCACACCCTGACTAGCGATTCAAAGAACTCGAGTTTCCAGCTGTGTGGGCAAGATCCTCAGTCATATCGAACCACCCAACAATAGACTCTGACTAGTGAACAAACAGCAAGTATTGCTATCGTATTACAATTTCGATCCTGAGGTCGCAGCCCTACAACTACTCCAGAATTGAAAAGCCACCAACCTACTGCCGCTTGCATCTTGAGCAAAGCAGAGACTGCAACTTTACTCCAGATCCGCATTGCGACATTCCTCAGCTCAGGAATCAGGGCAGACGAATCTGTAAGCCTGTGCGTCGACAACGATGCGCTAGATACACAGCAATGCTGCCATCTTCTTTGCCGGCCTTTCAATCTAGTGCCAAGAGTGATATCCAAGCAACTATACACTTGAGAAATGGATACGTAGTCATTACTGATAAAATATTGAGCGGTTTGTCCTGCATCAATATGGAGACTTGTTGCTAGCTCTGTCCCGCCAATCCAAGACCACATTGCAGTTATCCGCAAAGGGCTCAACAACCGAATGAGATATTCATGATTTCCTTCATGTCACTTCGTACTATCGTGACGCCGTATGGAGTCCGACGAATTTGGATGATAAGCTTAGTCATCCATATGTAGTTGAACATCAGCTTTGCAGCTTTAATTGGAAATCAAGATAGCCACTGGGACTAGGACTCGATCTTGACAATCCATGAAAAATGATTTGGTGATGATAAGTTGATGTTTACTAAATATACAGTAACTTTGGCAAGTTGGTTTGCATGTGGGTGCCTATATCTTCATAAACTACTTAAGACCCCACATTCAGGATTGATATGCGTGGTGCGGCTGATGTCAAAACAAACAAGTAAAAAGATGATCATTATACATATTGAGATTGCTGTTAGAAGGTAAATAACGTGCGGATCCTCGTGCGGTTTTTTATCCGGATCTTCGCTTTCCGTATTTATATGCCAAGGGTTCAAAGTTCGAATAACACTGAAGTAGCTATTGAATCTTATGTGTCTGCTTATGATGGACCTTGTTGAACTGCCAAGTCTCAAGAGAACAGGGTTTTATCATACGTTCGGGAAAATGCCAAGCACCTTAAATGAAAATCTTTATTTTCAACGGGCTGATACTCCGGAGATTGTTCCACGCTGCATGGCTTCGGAGTTAAAAACTCCCCGATGTTAAATCCGGCAGAGTTGATTAATGCCCAAAGGGTTATTTTCAATCAACTAACTTGTTTGTATTACTGTGATTGCTCCTTAGAAGTTGTGCCGTGTTGTTCAAACTCCTTGGGCTCACTGTCGTCATCATCCACACCTTCTTGCGGCATCACATTTGAACATGATTACACCGCATGTGGGTCACAGCTTGGTAGAAATGTTCATCTTTCATTCTGCACCTATGAAGTGCTGCCGGGCTGAGCGCTCAAATTGATAACGGTGTTCCAAGTAAACAAGATCGTAGCACTAGGAAGGTTTTTATATACAGTATTTTATTGAACAATTGCCAGCTTCGGCAAGTTATTACGAGCTGTAAGATTTCTATCGAGCATATAAACACTTTTATGCGCCTCTTAGGTTCACCATATGTTGAGAGTAATTAACATTTGGCGAAGTCAGTGTGAATCCTTGACTATTCATGGTTTCAAGGGTTCTTTGGTGATAAGTTTGCTTATAGTATGTAAGAAACAATGACATGTGAACAGAAATGAGTTAATAGAATTCGTAACAGCTGCCTCTTCACCGTAGAGTATCAGAATACTGCGATTAGAATTCCCATTAACAATGTCCAAGATTGCGTCTGGTCCCCATAGAGCGCTTGGTGAACCAGTTGCAGAATTCATTCACAAATTAAACCAGCAAACTCTAGCGGTGCGTAATGGTATTGATACTCCATTCCCTCAAATTCAGTGCGTTGTTACTACATAACAATGTATACTTGTTATTTACAAAATGATTGATTATTCCAGCTATGCATGTTCAGTAGTAACTAGTAGCAATTTTGGCTACGCATGATGTGCGAGCCAAGATTTTCTCCACCTATGACGCTATCTCGAGACTTTTCTCAAGTTAACTTCTGAGCCTGGGACGTCTAATCTGAGCTCTGGGCAGCAAAAGTAAAACATTTCATATTTTAGGTTCTGGCGGAGTCTCGTAGACCTAATTTTTTCCGGAGCTGCTAGTCTGTTTACCGGGCAATTAGATTTGCATAACAATTGTACTTCCGCCGTGTTTTGCAAGCCGGCTACAATTGCCATAGTCTGGGCGCTCATCGTAAGTAGCTTAATCCACTTGCTTCAACGCATTTTCCCCGAATTTTTCGATCATCATATCGCGCAACTCAGTAGTGCGCTCGATTTTCATACAAAGAAGTGTGAACATGGTCATCATACATAACGCGATCAATACTATAAATTGCTTGGCTTGCGAATCCCCAGATGCCATGTTGATGTACCAAGGACTTAAAGATCGATATACACTACAGTGGCTGCTAGACGTTAAATGCCTGCTTCAAATAGGCCTTGTTGACTTATAAAATTTCGAAGAAATAAGCTTTGTCCTTCTCTTCGGGAAAATGCCAAGACGATTTGTATCATCAGATCTTTATTTTTTTAGGGCTGATATTCTTTATATCGAGCGGCACGTGTGATTTCAGACTTTTGAGGACCTCCATGCCAGTTTAAATCGGTCAGAGGTAATCGGCGGCTGGAAGATGCAAATCTCAACTCATCGGCATTTTTTTATATCATGTTGATTGCTCCTTGGAATTTGTAAGCTGTACCCATGAGACAATTAGGGCCCGCTATCGTCTAAATTAGAGTCAAAATCATCGTCGTGATCCTCACCTTCTTCGGCATCATATTCAAGTTCGATGACAACGCCTTTGAACCAGTTCGAACCTCGAAAATTCGTCCTCTGAGCTATTCGCCAAAGGCGTAATTCCTTGCCGAATTAGCGATTAATGGTGTCCTAAGTTTTCAGCTGGATAGCAGGATATGGTCGGGATCCCCCAACGACGAATGGCATTGTTTTGAATGTCTCGCGTTTCCTCATCTTTTATTGGATTAGGTATCGTCAAAGCACTTTTCTGTTTACAGAATTGCAAGGACTCTCGCTTTCCTCACTTTTATCACAGGTCGACAAAGGCTGGCAGGTTTAAAGTGTCAACGTGCTTCGAAAGACTTGCCCTCGATTCGCCTCAGGTTATACCAATATAGGCATCTGGAAAATGCCTTATCATTGAACATCTGAAGCTCAAGGAATGGATGAAGCGATCTCCTTAGCATCCAGGCTGTTGGCTCTAGACTCTGAAGACTCCGCTGAAGCTCCATAAGATTTTAGCCGAGATCCTTCATTTCCGGCAAATGACACAGACCGACTGCTTCAAGCGTACCTAGTCCTGCGCACATATCACCTTTCCCTACCAATTAGGAGAGCGGTGTAAGTCCCCTGTGCACTTCATTTGTATTGTATATTGTATTTCTTGATATTCTCGATTTGAATTAAGACTTGGATGATAACGCTTTTCCGAATTGTTGCAATGAGAGAGTAACATTACTATTCATTCTTTATTTCATCTAACTTGAAAGATTGGATAAACTGTGTTTGTTTAAACTAAAGTAATAAATTACTTGTTGATATGAAGAGTTCTGTGAGCTCAAACTGTTCGATGCTCTGTCAATGGCCAAAGGCGTTTACACCATTGTCACATTGATATGCCTCAACACTCTTCTCTGCCTTAATCCTTCGAAGAAGTTCCATTAATATATGTGGTTAGGCCGGCGACAAAACACTTGGCAAATAAGTAGGTACAGTGGGGAATTGGCGTCTTGGTCTTTATCTCGCAACAAACAGGGCAAGATAAGTAAACACTGTTTTTAATCTTCAATTAATGGAGTTGTATTTCAGGTTTCTCGAAGACTTGAAAAAGTATAGTTTCTATAACTTGTGAATTAAAGATGTGAATTATACATCTGTATATAAGGGGTAAATACCAATAATGCCAAAAAATAAGTGTTGAAAACGTTGCATTCATAAAACGTTTTAATCATTTCAACACAATGCCTAGGTTTAATTGTTAGTTTTCACACATGAAATCTAACAAAGCTCCTAATGAAATTAGAAGTATCTCTTGTACCATGGCAAGTTCATGTCGTCATCCAAATCTTCGGCGTGGTAGTCAGCACCTCTTCTAGAGGCTGGCACCCAAGCGGAAGATCTCCATGGCGAGATACCTTCTTGGTACATCTCGTTGACTTCTTCCAAAGTTAGACCCTTGGTTTCTGGGATAAAGAAGAAAACGTAAAAGACGGCAAACACCATGCAGCCCATAAAGACGTAACCGTAGTAGAAGTTAATGGCGGATGTGATGAATGGAGTGAAGAATGAGATCAAGAAACCCCATAGCCAGTTGGAAGCAGAAGCAATCGACATGGCCTTACCCTTGACTCTCAATGGGTAAGTTTCAGAGATCAGCACGTAGGCAATTGGAGCCCAGGTGGTAGCGAAACAGAAAATGTAGAAACAGGCGAAAACAATCAAACAGTTACCAGCGCCCTGGGAGGTAACATCCGTGTTCTTAGCACCTTCGGGATACAGTCTTGTGACACCGACTGAGGCATATACGACGTAACAAGCAACCATACCAATGGCACCGTAAATCAAACAGTTACGACGACCGTATTTGTCGACAGTGTACAGAGAAAGGGATGTGCAAAAGAAATTAACGACACCGAAGACAATAGCAGTCTGGAAAGAGTCAGTCAAACCGACAGCCTTGAAAATAGTAGTACCATAGTAGAAGAAGTAGTTGTCACCAGTTAATTGTTGCAAAGACATGATAACAATACCGTTAATGGTACGCTTCAACATCTGTGGCTTACCGGTGACCAATTCGCCCCAGCCAGCCTTACCAGCCATTTTTTCGGCTTCAACACTAGCTTCGATGTTTTCCAATTCCAATGTAACAACAGCGTCTTCCAATTGAGCCTTGTTGACACGTGCCAAAGAACGTCTTGCTTCCTCGAGCTTGCCGACTTCGACCAAGTAACGAGGAGACTCAGGAACCAAAGTCATACCGCCAATCATGAAAAGAGCCCATGCGAAACATAGACCCAATGGAACTCTCCATTGAACGGAGTTGGTGTAGTTCTTAGTACCGTAGTTAGTACAGTAACCCAAGAAAATACCACCTGTGACCATAAATTGGTAACAAGAAACTAGAGTACCTCTCAAGTGCTTTGGAGCCACTTCGGAAATCAACATAGGTGACAAAATGGTGATGGCACCAACACCAAGACCGGAAATAATTCTACCAATGAAATATTGGTACCATTTGTCAATAGTAGCAATTTGAATGATGATACCGACAGCGTAGATAACAACGACAATGGACAAACCGAGACGACGGCCGTAAACTTCACCAAGCTTACCTAGAACGATACCACCGATGGCGCAACCAATGTTGAAGATAGAAACCATAAGACCGGTTCTGACGTTGGACAAATAATGTTCGCCTTTGGAGTTGATTTGACCAAATCTGCGCACGAAATCAGTCTGTTGAACGAAACCGGAAATGGTACCGGTATCCCAACCGAAAACGAAACCACCGAACGCAACCATGACACAGCACATAGACACGAAGAAGAAATCCTTCTGACTTTTGCTGGCGAGTTGTTCCTCGGCGTCTTTCTTCAATTCGTCGATCTCGTCGTGAGAGTCGACTCTGTTGGCCTTGGGCTCTGGGGCGTTCATGACGTTAGAGTTGTGAGAACCTTGGTCCTCGGACACACTCTTGGACGTAAAAATGTCCTGCGAGGGTCCCACATCAGGAGATGCACTGCTCATCTGTAAAGAGATTAGTGTAGAGGGGGTTTTTGGAATGAACTAGGTTAAGGCTAGCTTTACCGAGATCTTGTCGAGAGAAGAACAACAAAACAGACTGAACAACTAGAGCGGGGACAATCACCAACAATCCTCTCCGCTTATATACAAATTTTCTGGAGCGGCCCTCCCGCAATTTTTTTCACAGCCAAAACACTCATCCCATTACGAGTGGGTGGGAAAGCATGTACCCCGGTGCTTTTTCGAATAATTCTCAGTCCCGTCCGTTGCTGTCTTGCTCTCTTGCGTCTTCGTAGCTTTTCCCCTCAGACCACTAGTAAACTCCCGGTGCCGTTGCCGTTGCTGCTGTGCTGGCTGACATACGGCCGCCTCTTCCACCTCATTCCACCCCACTGTGAGTCCAAGTCTCATGGTTTCGCTGGCTGTCTGTGTCGGATTTTGCCAAAAGTTTGCTTACTAGTGCTTGCTCATACTCATAGCTGGCTTCCTGTAGTGGCTTCTTGGACGTCATATCTCGGAATCGCAATGGCAGCAAGTTTTTCCGGATCGGCTTAGATGGGCCAGGACGGATGGTCTGTCCGGCAACGGGTCGGAAAAAAGTTTTTCCGGCGCGCAGCATTTTGGTGCCCAGTGAAATGGGAAAAAAAAACAATGATGCCCAACATTGACAAACCAAAACACGGAAAGCAGATGAAGAAGAAGAATTCAACTATTCTCACGGCGCTATGGCTATGGAAACAGTGCACTAGGAGAGAAGTCAAAACAAGCGCGCTTAGTTTTGTTGAAAACTCGTACAAGTCGTTCATTTCCTCCCGATTGGAATGAAGTTTGAATTTGCAGCAGATTGGCTGACCGTCAGAGAGGGTTTTCCATTAGGTCCATGCATCACGTATTGTGAGGGCGTTTTGCTTTTGGCTGCTCTGCAAGTCTTGGCTAATTCGTCATTTCTTTCTAGAACGTGCTGTTTTTTTCTTCTCATTCATTGGTTTCTTTCGCAAGGGACCCTGGCTAGCACACTACGTTTCTTGTGCTGTGAGTAGTTTTTCCGAGCGGTGCTCAGAATAGGGCGCGTGCGGGAGAAACCTGAGGAAGAAGTAATATAATCCGGGAACTGATCCTCGGACTTGGTTCATTAGGCGGACGTGGAACCATTATCTTGTAGTGTGCGGGTAATGGCGCTAGAAGGGCGTGAGAACGGTGGACGTCGTGGACTGGCGTCTGGAATTATTCTGGGGTGGGTATCTGTGGAGAGTCATCCTGGACTAGAGGATGGAGTTTCAAGATCGCTGTTGATCGTAGCTGTTCGTTGAAATCAATATTCGCGTGTGTGGTTCAGCAAGCGCATTGTTTCGCGGTTCCCACTCTTAGTAAATGGTATTGCCTGGGCACTGTCTTGTAAGTTGTCGCTGTCACATTATGGCTATCGAAGCTGGCGCAGTCTTGTGACTTTCCATTAGCCATTGCTATTTCTATTCATTGAATGTTACTTAGCGGACTTGTCACTTGTATTTCCCATTGTTGTTGACGCCGTTGCTTAGCCTTGTCACTTGTAGTTCCTATTGTTGTTGACGCCGTTGCTTAGCCTTGTCACTTGTAGTTCCCATGGTTAGTTGACGTTGTATTTTTATCTGTACTTCCCATTGACATTGTTGTTTGGTGGTCTTGTTACTTGTATTTCCTAGTTGACGCCGTTGCTTAGCAGTCTGTTTATTTGTAGTTCCCTTTGTTTGTTGACGTTGTTACTAAGCAGCCGTATCACTTCTCGTTCCCTTTGTTAGTTAATGGCGTTAGTTGTTTGAGTTTTATATCGTTTCCCATTGTTACTTATAATCTTCACCTGTCGGAGTATTCTCTTACTTGTCGTACCCCACTGTTATTCCTGTTCGTTCACGCTCAATCATTGCCTGACGCAGTCTTTACGTCCTTCCAAACTCAATGTTCTAACGCCTCAACCCTCTATACCAACGGATCTAATACTAGTGGATTTGAATGCACCTGTCTCTCTAACTGCAGGAGCAAACTGGCCGTTATATGAAACAAGGCCCAGAAGCTACTGTTTCAAACCACAACCACTACCACTACCACTAAGCCCTTAAAAAGCCTTCAGATACTCCCAATTTTTGCATAAAAACGACCGGTCTCCTTTATAGTAGTCCAGAAGATCTACTTCTAGTGACACGTAAGGTCTATACTGGATCATATTGTTGTAAGGTGTGACTGGGAGGCGCGAACAGAGCAGCATTAATGAGTGCAGTCGCACAATTTCTGTCATTCTTTTTCCAAGAATTTCTATCATGTCAAGACTTTAAACAGTAGTAGCTAACGATAGAGTCGTTCCTCCAAAATCCCATTCTACATTGCATTACTACTTGGCGGCTAATTTATACGCGCCGTTGATGGTGACTATGGTGTTGCTTGCTAAGACGAAGTATTATTCACGTCCAATCTCTTCGTTTCCATCCTATTCTGTTCTCTCAATAACCAGCAGCTTTTTCTAAGGCTTTAAATACAACTTACATGTCCAGATCTGCCAATTCATCTGACATCATTAAAATCAGCTCGATTTGAGGATTTCTCCCAGGCCTAAAGAATCGTGCTCATACAGTCTCCTTTACCTTCCATACCTACAGATTGTTTGATCCATCTTCGTGGCGTCTAAAAAATTGTGTTTATCTCATGGGACCTTTTTAGCAATTTTCATGTTTAGAAATTATCGACTGTCATTCGGTTCGCATTGACCCTTGTAAACAACCTCAATTACAATATCGTTATTTGTTGCAATATCTATTAGTATAAAATTAGCCATCATTATGCTCGGCGAAAAAACTATTGAAAAGCTTGCTCTCGCGTATATTAGTTTTCACTGTATGATTCCTCCGTTACTTCGTCAGCCTCAGAGATAAATGTGATTTCGCACCATCCAAGACCGTTTACAGGGGCTTCTTCACCAACCTTCAACTTAAAATCGTTAGCGTACTGGTAAATATAAGGCTTGGTACCGGCAACTCCAGAAACAATATTCTTAACAAAGCTAGGAATCTCTTTCATGACATCCACTCTCTCAACCAATTGGGTAAGAGGTCCCTCTACAGAAGCTGTAATAGGCGTAGCGGTTGCCACTTCATCATCAGCAACTTTAGAACTGACACCCTTGAAGGAGATAACAAGGCTTTGTGGGATTGACCAACCAACGGAGTCAATTATTGGGTCCAGATGTGTCACTTTGTTATTTATGGTAACTGCAATGACATCGTCTTTACTACACAATATTCCGACGGATATTTCGGTATTGCCGTATGATCTTGGAGTAGTAAATTCCATGAGCACTGCACTATGAGTGTCCGATTGAAAATTCAAGAAATTCCAGGACTTTGCAGCGTGATGTGGTTTCATGCCTTGGATAGCCATGACAAACATCGAATAGACTGGCACATCCTTTGAGAAGGAAACGGTTCTGTAGGAAGCTGCCTCGGTACCAATGCTCACATCAAATTTTAAGGAACCATGACACAAGTTCCTGGGCCAGAAAATATGTCTCATAGTGCCCCAAGGCTGTTCAACATTGTCACCGTAATACGTGGTCGAGTTTTCACCAACTTTGACACCAGGAACAACGCGATCGAAAGTTAAATCGATGGTGGTGTCTGGTGAGACTGATGATTTGAATTGGACTTGAGACCCCGCTGCATCCATTTCGATAGAAAGCCCATCGGCATAGAAGTTGGGGCCGTCGATCTGAAAGTTTTCTAGCTTTGTCGAGGTCCACACGTTGAGTTCGGGTGTTTGCACGTTGTAAATTCTGAACGTCAATTGAGCCTTGGTGTGCAGCCCAACGATATTAGAATGGATCACTTGCACAAACCCTGTATAGCCTTGCTTAAGATCCGAAAAGTAGAAAGTAGCAGTCTCAACGTTGGTGTGACTGGGGCTTTGCCAATTGAAATCCTCTCTTGTGGTCTGATGGAATGGTTGTTTGCCCTCGACTTTTTCGGTGAGCGGATGTATAAACTCCCTACCGTACTCCGGCTCTGCGATACCAGTAACTGCGGATATTCCGCCTTGAATCCACTTCAGCATTTTTCAGAAGCTAGTGGTATAAGTTTGACCTAAAAGTAGTTGATCGAATCGATTTTCTTATGAATAAATCGAAAACTTGACAATGAAATACTTGGGCAGCAAGAACACTAAACCTTAGCTTTCTCTGTTCAAACGATGTCTTCAAGTACTATTCGCTCTTGAGATTATTCGTTGGTGAATAAGTCGCAGTTTTGTAACAATCGTAACAAGGATAGATGAGGTGGAGGCATTTGTTTGTTTTATTTTTTTCTAGCTTCGTTTAAGCTTATATGCGGAAACGTACATAATGCTTCCATCACGAACATAGAAGAGAGTTACAACTCATATCCACTCCCACCTATTACACAACCTCGATGTGTAAATGAGGAAGGAGATGTAATGCGAACGACTTTCTTGGAACTTAAAAACAGCCAGAGAACTGTTGTTTGACTTTTTAAAAATTAAGAGAGCTTGTTAAAAAAGAACTCCGCGACGGGGAATTGAACCCCGGTCCCGGGCGCGACAAGCCCGAATTCTAGCCACTAAACTATCGCGGATATGTTTTTGTTATGATAGGGAAAGCGGACAGTAACATATGTAGGGATGTTATAGAGACGTGAATTGTTAGTTAATCAGCGGTCTCGCTACACTGCCTCTGTTCAGGGAATGATAACTCCGAGTTAAGCCAATCTGCAGTATTGTGAAGTTTCAAGCTCAGCGAGACCAGCATATATGAAAGAGATCTGCAGATTTTGTTGTTGACTAGATAGCACGTTGCCATATCAGAAGCTGTCACCTTCGGCGTCAGAACATTCTGATCGTAACCGATGTAAGCAATACAAAGATGAAGAGATCTTGGGAAGGTCAAGCAAAAAAAGCTGGTATTTTAGGCTCGACAGTTCCAATTTCTTCTATCAGGCACAATGGGGACTAAACCATGCTTCTTTTAAGTGATGCAACACAAATATTTCAAAATGACGTTTTCATAAAGGCATCCAGTATCTAATGCACCAATTCTTTTGTTCAGTATTTTCAAAATAATAACCCCCGGAAAGCGATTTTCAAACTTATCAGGCAAACGAACTGTACACTTCTCAAGTAGCATCAAAGCGTTTCCAGTATTATTGTCCTAAGGCAGGAGAAATTAAAGCACAATCGCTGATACATGGGCTTTTACTAGATACAGAAAATACTTAGGTCTTCATGGTTTCTATGCTTTCTTTGTGTTCTCATGCTATAAATTCTTTGCTCTACCTGTATTCAGTGCGTAATTATCTGTTTGCCTCAACGCACTGATTTACTTTATTATCTAATGGCATCTCGACGAAAACAATAGAGTTTGATCTTCTCGATCATTGAAATTGACTGAGCTTATACATCCAATACATGCTTCCCCGTATCCCCATGAGTGAGAAGCTTATGTGTATGGAAGTGTAAGCGCGTTGAGAGTATTGTATGGCACTACTCACGAAACGTCAACTTTCAAATTTTAAACGCCATTAGCGAAAAATGTCGATGAACTCATTGCGCCAAAATGAGAAGTCGAATCGAGCGGTTTTTGCATCATGTTCAGGACGACATTGACTCCTAGGACTCTCGCCAGGTCATACATCACACCCTCTTTAGAACATCTAAAGAAAGGGGCTGGTTTGAAGGGTCTGTTCTCAGAAAAAGGGCTTCAAACGGCTTGGTTTGATAGAGCTGAGTTCTACACGGAAAAGTTGAACAAGAACTTAAGCCAAAGCGAGGAAAAACCTCTTGAAAGTATCGTCCATGAAAGTGCTAAATCTGCTGCAAAGCGCGACATTTTCAATCAGGCCTCCCAACTGTACAACCTAAGATTTGCAATGTCCTGTCTACACGGCAATGATCAACCTACGATCACACAACGACCAGGCCCGGAGGCGATCTTGGAAACTCCCAAACTTGAGCTAAATTTCAAAAACGACCCTAAAGAGACGGGCAACGAAAGATTGAGTTCAGCTGTTGCCTCGTCCTTCGGTTCATTGATAGAATTCAGATCTCTGTTACTTAACTCAAATAAGGCAATTTCCGGCGATGGATACACCTGGCTTGTGGCTAGGAAAGTTACCGCCTCGCAAAGGGAATCTTTGGTGTCTGGGAATGTGGAATTTGATTGGCTATACGTTTTAAACACCTACAATGCTGGTTCCCCTTTCAATTTCAACAAAGTAGGACATATCAACGACTTGAAGAAACAGTTATCGAAGCTAAAACCAGTTGAAGAAGAAGAAGAAGAAGGTGAAACAAACCCACTTCAAATTAAATCAGTTCAAGAGGCAAGAGATTCGGAATCTTATAAATCCACCACATACGTGCCCCTTTTAGCTATAGATGCCTCCCCCAAGGCATGGCTAACAGACTATGGTGTATTCGGTAAAGACTTGTACTTGGAAAGGGTATGGGAGTCCATTGAATGGAATCTGGTGGAACAGCGCCTACCTGCCAGAGCACCAAATTACCAGCTGACATAGTCATTTTCACAAATATCCTTCATTTCCTGTATATAAACTAGACATCTCCCAATAAAGATCCATTTCGAATTGACGCGTAACTTTGGGGTAGTATAGAGCAGCCCGTACATTGGTAGATCCGCAATTATTGCGTCATTAACACACACAGACGACGTAAACGCTCCGTGAGATTTTTGGGTGCTAACTCGATGTTCTTTAATGCTAATGACAGATGTCAACTTATGGTTTTCTACCAACTTTTAAACTTTTCACCCTTCTCATAAATTTGTTTCCGGAGCTGGATTTCTTGGCTGTGGGGTCAAGACGGCCGACTAAATAGACGTCCTCGTCCGGTTCCGCGTTATCGTATTCCAAATGTCCTGAATGCGTTTTAGTGAGCTGTATAGGTTCTTGCCTGTAAGGGTCATTGTTATAATTTGGATGTAGACGATTGTGATTGTGAGTTATTTTGGCGCCCGTAGCAGGCGCGCCGTCCAGAAATGTAGTGGAACCCAACCCGTCTGTCGTGGGCCCATGCACCAGTTCTGTCTTGGCCTTGGCGTCAAACTGCGTCACGGTACGCGCGTTGGGCTTGATAGCATCCAAGGTGTTGGTGGACGAGTTATTGACCTTGTTGAAAACTTTATTGCGGTACAAGTAGGCGTCATCGTCGTCAACCGATTCTTGTCCAAATACTTCCTTCATAGGGGACTTACTGTTAGCAGCACCCGCAATCGAAGAGTTAGGCCCGTCTGCTGGGAACGCCATTACAGGCGCGACTTTGGTGTTTCGATTGCGGTGTGGAGTACAGGCATCGAAGGGACCATCGTGGTGGAATGCACCCCCGAAGAGCCCCGTGACGTCGAGTTTATCAATGGTATCGACATTTTTGGCCAAAGGCTTGGATGAAGATGATTGTTTTTTGTCTTTGGAAGACTTGCGATGACTAGAGGAGTGATGTTGATTGCTGCCAGTCTCGCGGCTGCTACGCCGTGTCGAGCGTTCTGAAGGTTCACGATGACGGTGCCTGTGAGAACGGGATGTGGAGGACTCCTTGTAGCGCGAAGATGTCGAAGTCGACGACGATTTTTCGCGGGGACGGGCGCTGTCTTTCTTGGGGCCCGCTACTTCGTCGTACGACGGTGGCAGGTCGTTTGCTGGAGGGGGATCTGCAACGTTAGTCTGCTCTAGATAGCGCCGTCTCAAACGCTCTTTTTCTTCCTGTGCCGTTGGGTGTCCAATCGTCGAGGTCTGAGCGGACGACGAGTCGTCATCAGTCTCCGATTGCGGGGTGAGGTCCTCGAGAAATGGGTTCTTCGAGGCTGGACGTTGTGGTGGTGTCATACTGAGGTGGAGATAGTTAGTATTAAAGCTTTCGGCAGAAGCAAGTCTTGCTGGCTTTCAAGACACAGGTAAGGGTTAATTTTTCAAATTTTCCCACTTCGAAGGAACCACTCTTGGTTGACAAAGTTACTCGTTAGGTTCTCGATTGCCTTTTCCCTATCCACATTCTATCAATTCTGCTACAACCCCTTTGAGTTCTTGTCAAGTTGAGACAGACGCTCCCGGGTAACGCAGTAACACGAAATTGCTGTTTTGTCGTTACACCGAGCCCGCCGTTGCCAGCGAAAAATAGCTAAAATAGCATGCCAAGAACCTGTGGCCTTAGCAAATCTAGAACAGTTTGTAAAAACCGTCTTGATTCCCCGGGAAAAACCTAATCGTGACTTAACCATTATTCCAAAACTGTTTGTCATTCACACATACCTTCTGTTGATCGCACGGTCCTGAGCCGCAGGATTGCGCGGCGAGTTCAATGCCTCCTCATGGGGCTCTTCTTCAATACTGTCCGTAAAACTCAGCAGCGACGTGCTGTGATGGGGCCGTGACCCATACGGACTGTGCATCGCGTTCGACGACACCCACTCTTGGAACTCTTTATCGCTCTGGTACACTTGTTGCTGCTGGGCAGCGGCTTCAACGCGGAACGGATTGTTCGAAGACAGCCGACGGCTCTGAAGTTGGCTCTGGCTCTGTTCACTACTCGTCCTGCGCATCATCGTGAGTTATAGTAGCCTGTTGTAATATTTCCGTACGTAGTGCTCTGCTGTGATCGTGCGAGTTTACCCTGACTTGCCTTTCTATGGGCGCTTAAGCCTCTGGAACAAGTGGCGAAAAGAGAACTGCGTTAGGGGCTGAGAGCTGGATCTTCCAGTATTCGGAATTGTCAGAGCTGCTGCCGTTGGCCTTGAGAGGGTAGATAACTCTTTGAACGCGTGCTTTATGTCCAAAAAATAGCGATTTAAGGTTAGGTTAGTCAGTGACTTTAGAAGCGTACTCGAAAATTTTCTATTTCGAAGATGTGTCGTTGCGTACGAGCGGAAGTGATGATAGGACGAAGCCAGCCGGTAGAGCATAGTGATGAATACCTTGGAAATCTATATATGGTTTGATTTGTGTTGTTTCAAAATTGCGATGTATCCAGGCTACAGCGTGTGGGTGGAACTGTGGCAACGTTTTCCAAAAAGATCTAAGTTTCATATACCGTCGGGTAGTTTATCAAATTTGGAACTTTTTGAAGATTCAGTGTTCCGAGCGTGCATAACAGCAGGACCGCTTAATTGGTACGTGTTAGATGGTTTGAACTTTACCATCTACTCTGCAACTTATAAGGCCATAGTCGAAATTGCTTACTAGTCGTTTCTCATCCCACAGCCTTGCCACATAAAAAAAATTTACCCAACGGTCGCCGTATCTCCTGGGTCGTTTTGTAATTGACCATGGCGTCCTTGACAAGCTATGTTGACGAGTTCGCGCAACGCTCGAAACGTGCAAAAGATCGTGGAATGAGTGTCAGTAGTAAATGTTGTTGGGATGTGAGTGATTACAGTGCCTAATTGAATCAATGTCAGGATAGTACAAAGTGATATGTTTACGATAAGATCGCTCAGTGACATGTCAGTGATCAAAGAAAATAAGAAGTGGTTTAGGCCTTACTCATTAGTTATATATGCTCGAAGGAACAAAATGGCTGACACAGCTGCAGACCATATGCACTCTTCTCATTTCGAATTTACATCCCAGAATTGTAATAAGGCCATCTGCATGTTCCAGCGACCTAGTCTTACAAAAACCATGGAGAGATGTTGCAACCTTCAATCACGAATTAATTTACTCAATCAATGATGGAAGTACTAAACAATGATAATCGCAGAATTTTTATTGCTGAGACAGACTCGAAGACAAGAGAACGGAGTATAACCTTGGTTCTTTAATTCTGGAAAGTAAAGGATAATAACAAACAGGTCGTTTGATTAGCTCTTTGGGACATTTGATGCCACACGCTCCCCCCAGTCGAGTTAATTATTTATCATAAAGATAAGTTAGAGACCTCCACGTGTTCCTAGTGGTAACGGTAAAGCTCATTCCAAGGGCTCTTATATACAAGACCTTTAGTCCTAGCCCGGGTCCTCTTCATTAAAATTGAATAAACTTCTGGCTCAAGTTATCATGGTCCTTTGCATGTGGTGGTTTTGTAAAGTCATCTTTTTTCAGTTTTTCTTGAATGCGCTTGTGTAGAGACACGAGATAATTATCAAAATTCTCGATCATTTCGATTGACTTATCCTCGCAAAGCAATGAAGCCATTGTATGCGCATAATAGCCGTCAACGTGTGGCCTCAGGGAAATCAATGGGACGTAAGAGCGCCCCACTATTTGACGCCAATTTTGTAATACATTGCGAGCCTTCACATTAATAATGGTGTCTAGAATTGGTAAAGTATTTCCGAAAAGATTGATCTCATGATGCTTTGTTGAGACGTCTGCGTTCAACAGATCTTCCAGCAGATTACTGTTGGTATTTTCGTTGAACCATAGAAACGCCGTTGTTCCGTCGAAAATCAAATAACACCCACCGTCAATAAGCTCACGGCGAGCCGTACGCACGCTCATAGTCTCAGACGCCGTCGCCTGGAGGAGAATTTCATTTTCGTCATAAAAGGTGAAGTCTGTTTCCTGTAATAGCTCATGAAGGGGCAGAATTTGTGGGTATAGCTTGTATAACATTTGAGGCAGATGGCTAGTATGCCACTGGAATAAGTCATAAACCCGCGAGTTGCCGTTTGCTGACTTATTGTTGTTCTTCATAAGCTCTGACTTTTCAAAGGACAACATGTATGCCGCCAAAGTCTTCAAAGATTCCGGTAGGACAAGCTGGCTTGAACTAGAACCTGAGACTAAGCCTCGGTATTGCGTCAATATATCCACCACCTTTTGGTCAATGGTATTGCGCTTTTGCGTGAAGTCACAATCAGCTAAAGTCGTTAACATGTCATGGACCATTATGCTCACAACAGCATCTTGATTAACGAATTTGAATACCTCATGAATGTCTTCGCTAGCAGCGGCAGCGGCATTCAAAATGCGCACTTTCCTCACCCCATTCAAGTCGGTATACAAAACCGCGCATTGGAAGTGTACATCCGCAGAGGACGCAAGTTGGCCATCAAATTTGAAAAGTACGTTCAACGTAGTGTCTCCATGAAGTACAGGTATTTTAGGTTCACGATCAGTGTTATCCACAGATTCTGAGTAATAATTGAAAATGGAAAGACCAGATGAACACCTGACTTTTAGTTGTGCATTATAGCCAACAGTATTGGCAACACTGTGTAGTATGTCATTGACAAAAGAGAACTCATCCCGTTCCAATTGAAAATTGGGATAGTATTTAAGGAAGCCCGAAGTAGCCTTAACAGGCTGAGCAACTGAGACTAAGTCCATGAACGCAGATCCCGTGCAAAAGAGATCGAGAGATACATTGGATTTAAGAAGATCTTCACCGAGTTTGATATATGTGTTGTTTTCGCATTTAAGGGTCTTTTTCAAAGCATCTTCATTCCTCAATCTCAGGTTACCAATTCCGTGTGCTGGCTTAGTGCTTAAACTGGCCAAAATTTTACCACCCTGACCCTCAGTGACCGTGTCAATGGCTAGTTTTGCAGCTTGTAAAGCAGATCCGTAGCAAGCCTCGAAACGATGCGAGAATTTGCTGTCTTCAATGTATGCAGTGATTTTAGAGAGAGTATCTTGAATCACATGCATGGAATCCTCTGGTCTCACGAAAAGGCCGTTGTACAGTGGCAGGAAAACATCTTGTAAGTCTGTTATGATGTATTCCTGAGCCTGGTTGAGCTCTTTTCTCAAGTTGAAAAATCGTAACTGTTTGTCAAATGCCATTATTGCAATTTTACACTTCGGCTGTTTGGCGGATATATGTTCAATGCAAGTCCTAACCCCTTCGACCATAGCCAAAGAGCTTCTATTTTCATTGGAAATAGTCGAAATGTCAATGAGGAAAACGTAATGCAAGGGCACGTTGTCTTTGCCGGGGGTACTGTTGTATACTTCTGGAACTAGAAAATCGACAGTCCCTTTCATAAGCTCCGGTCTTTCGTACAAATCAGACCTCACCCCATTGGGATTTAAAGGTGCACAATAATTCTCATCAAGCTGCGTGCTGACTTTGCAGAAGTTACAAACGGCCCTTGAATCGAATGTGAAGGAAAATGAGGGGTTCACGTAAGCTTTGCACCTTCTGCATCTCAAGGGACCACCTGAAATAGCAGTGGACACTTGAGGCACATCATCATTGGGACTGGACTTTGCAAACGGCTGGATGACGGCACCTACTGGTAGTTTTACGGCCGATCGTATTTGTTCATTTTTTGGTATGTTGTACATGGTGAGACCGATCTTGCGCGGATCACTCGAATTCTGGTCAACACAATAAAACGGAGTAGTAGCACAAGGTGGAACAGAGTCCTGAGATGTCACAAATGTCCGCGTAATAAAAGATTCTTGACTATCGAGCCTTTGTTTAGGAACGTAGTGCGATGTGACCAAGGTTGGCGAGTCTCTGACTGAGAACTGACCGCTTGCTGCAGGAGTGGGTGTTGCCAAGTTAGAGTTTGACAATTGACTCACTGAAGACTTCATGTAGGGGTCAACACTCTGCACATCTGCACGACCAGCATTCGAATTCGGAGATCCATGATGACTTGTGTCAAAGGTGTGATAAGCGCGATTGGGTCTCCGACCCTTTTTAGTCACAGGCGCCGTTTGAAGCTGATCTAGCGACAAATTAGATAGACTATGATCGATCCCTTGCATCTGTTGGTAGCACTCCTATGCTTCCACTATTGGTGAGCGCTCTGATGAAATTAGAGCCTGGATCGCGAATTTGAAAAAGATTCTGTAATCACCCAAGACGTTATCACATCAAGAGCATTCCGCAACAACATAAAAAACAAAGCTGCTCCTTCGATTGAATATCTATAAACTAAGTAATATTTTAAAATGCACTAAATTTTTTCGGGGACCGTAACGAATTGCCTATACGCCGTGCGATCTTCGCAAACATGATTATATGTTAGTCCGGTTCTTGCGCCTGAGGTACCGTATGAGTGGTTTGCTTGGCCTCATATGACAATTGTCATAGTTAAAACCAATGGCAGCAAGAATAGAAGAATGTAAGTCCGAAGACTCGTCGTCGCAGACCCCTTGATAAATGTGTTTCTTTCCGCACTATTTGACTGCTTTTTACTGCTTGCACTAGTTGAAGACGGCGACGAGGAGTAGCTTGTATTGTAAAAAGATCGTCCAGTGAAAATGACACCATCGGATGAGATGGTCGCCGTGAACTGATTCATTATTTTTGAATCGGACATTAAGGCTACGGAAGCCGTAGCATACAAGATCAAGGTCTCGTATGAAGAGTAGTTGTTAGTTGTGGCAAACGGAATGATTCCGGATCTGATGGCTGAAGGGTTGTCTTTGACATCGAATTCTGGAACTTTAGTAGCAAACCGTAATTTGTAGTTAGTCGAGTTATCATCGGCTGTGGATGCAGTGGAGTGGCTAAGAGTAGATGATGATGATGATGCCTTTGTTGTACTCAAGCTTGTGGACCTTGATAGTGTCGATGCTTGTGCCAAGGCTATTTGATGACTTTCAAGTTCTGCTGCCAGATATACATTCTTGATGAAAGGACCTCCTAGAATGCTGAAGCCAGCATTCGTATTCGGCAAAACTCTCAGCTCGCATGCCGGTTGGGAGTTGGAAAAGTGGAGAGTATCGTTGGTCGCAGAGTCAAATGTGGGACCCATCATATCACTTAATGGAACACTTATAACTAAGTTGCCAAATTCGAAAAGTATAGAGGCTCCCATTGACCCCACTTCGCAACTCAATAGCCAGCGGTCTAAAGAGTCCACGTAGTAGGCATTCGCTTGCATGGCTATTTGAACAATCAAATTTAGTGGTAGGTAATTGTACCGATAACGAGAATCGAGCAAAACAGGTTCCAGAAAGTATTCAGATGTTAAATTCAAAATTTGTCCTGATTTGGATTGTACGTCCACCTTACTCAGCGGTATTATGGGGTATCCACGCGAGGTTTGCTGGGTTCGGGGGTCGTAAAAGGGCAAGGTGTCAAATTTGACAAAATCTCCAGTATATAATGATTGATCAACTCCTCCTAAAATGATGGAACCACATTGGTTCAGCAGGTTTGAAGCCACTAATGGATCGCTGGTATCACCACCGAGCCAGAGGGAATATGATGAGGAATTTATGAGTCCTTGACCAACCATTTGATCTAGGAAGAAAAATGATTCATTGTAGTTCGAACTATCAGACGCATCGCCTTGGTAGTGAATCTTACCACCTAGACCCAAAGCTCCTTGTTGCAAAAAAAGCGCAACGCTATCAGCGTTGAAAAAGGAAGTTTTTTGAAATTGTAAAGTGCTGGAATTTCCACTCCAACTTATTGTGTTACCGGAATCGTTGGTCGTTGCTTGAGCCTGACTTTCGTTGATTTGACTGGAGTCGTACAGAAACTCAACAGTGTCCATATACGTGGACGCATTGTAGCTAATGTGGTCCATGAACTGTATTTCAAAAACCTCATTATTGAATATGTTTTGAGAGGTGGTACTCTTCGATGGATCGTAAAAAGTCGAATCGCTTACGTCCTCATTGTCTTCTTCACGACTCTCTTCCAGTTTATTTGAAAAGATCCATAGGTAAGGCTGGACCACGTCGACTCGAAGCATCTGTAGCTGGCCGGGGCTTCCCACGGATGCGTTTACGAAATACAGGCCAGTAGTGTCTCTGTTTACTGTAAGCCAAGGAAAGGAGCTCTGGGAGTTGCCAGCTATGCTAAAACACCCTGCTCGCAGCGCGAGAATGGCTAGTATGAGCAGCTGGATCGCTGGCATGGAATGTGGGGGTGAGTGGGAGGGAATATTGGCGCGGTGACGAAATTTTTCTATCGTATGTGTAGACGAGGTGATGAGACTAATTATTTTAGAATGCTTGATATAAAAATAAACTAAAGTGGTGCTAGAGAGGAAGTAACTGGATTTGAAGAATCGGACGTAGACCATTCCCAGCACACACCACCAAAGCTGGAGGCTATAGGTCAGACGCAACTCTCTGAACACGGTGCAACGGGTGCACGGCTTTGCATGTGCCCCTCAAAACCATATTTGTTCGAAGTGAATCTCATATCATTGCTTCAGTAGCTCAGTTGGAAGAGCGTCAGTCTCATAATCTGAAGGTCGAGAGTTCGAACCTCCCCTGGAGCATATATTTTTTGTCTGGCCTTTTCTCAGAAATACCAATGGAGGAACTTCACCCAAGTCAAGAGCCGCCCAACGGTTGAATAACGGCTTTCTCTTGTTCCATCACTTCGCCATCTACTCAGTCCTGCATCCGTTTATCTACCCGACCGCGCAAAAATCCCACCTTCACTATTCACGAAACTTATCTCTCGCATCACAATAGACACCAGGGCTCGAGGTATTTGGCTATGTAGCATTCTCCACGTTTTAATTGCATATGCACCAACTAATCAAAACGTGCCACGTTCGTTCACTACACATACTTCGCCCGTACTTGTGGTAACTCCAAGCATAGTGCGAAAAAATAAACGACATGCTCAGAGCCACGCATTCCAATTAAAGAGAAACTAAACTAGACGTTGGCCTAACACCACTTTCGCCTTTATCGCCGTGCGCGTACTTCGAACAGGCACCGTATTTAATTTCTCCTCGTATACCATGAGAATAGTGAAATATATTGATGTGTCAACCACGTTGGTTAGTGAAACATCGAAAAATGGACATCATATGGTGATCATGATAGGGTTTGTTGCAGCATTGAGCCTTAGCCCGATGAGGCCAAGCTTGCTCTATAGACCAAGTGCCAGATAATGTTCATATTGGCATACGTGATTTGGGACCCGTGGCCCAGGCCCATGCATAAAGTGGTAATTGACTTGGCGCTTGGCGGCACAATATTATTGAGTTCTCCTGTATATAAGGCAGTGGTTATCAGGATCAAATAGCAAGATGATTGAGATCAGATTTATCATCTTAGAAAAGACACCAGAGTTCGATAAATCAACAACACTTAGTTTGAAAAAATGAGCGGTGAAGCGAAGTTGCTGAGCTACGACGCAGATTTGCGCAGACAGCGCGTCAATGTTTCGCGCGAAAAAAGGCTGATGAACATATTCATGATCGTGGCCGCTGGGTTCGCTTTGATCTCAGACGGGTACCAGAACAATGTGATGTCGATGCTAAACAAAGTGTTTCCTATAGAGTACGGCAGTAAAGTTTACAGTGGCACGATAGCGACGCGGGTATCGAACGCATCGTTGGTAGGCACAATTTTGGGCCAGGTGATAGTAGGCGTGGCTTGCGACTACATGGGCCGCAAATGGTCCATCCTTGTCGCGACCGTGATGCTTGTGGGCGGATCTGCACTGTGTGCAGCGTCGCATGGAACCACCGTCCAGGGCATGTTCTGGATGCTTACTGTGATGCGCGGTGTCACCGGTTTCGGTATTGGCGCCGAGTATCCATGTTGCTCCGTCAGCGCCAACGAGGCTGCGAACGAACACAGCGAAAAAAGAAGAGGCGGCATAATGGTGCTGGTTACCAACCTTCCGCTGTCGCTGGGTGGACCGTTTGCCAACATTATCTTCCTGATTGTTTACTCTATCTGTGGTAAAAACCATTTGGATGCTTTGTGGAGAACCATGTTCGCATTGGGATGCTTGTGGCCTCTCAGTGTGTTCTACTTCCGCTGGAAAACCAGCACTAACACTCTGTATAAGAAGGGTCAATTCAAATCCAAGATTCCATACTGGCTTATCGCCAAATACAGCTGGTCGAGATTGTTGGGCACCTGTTTCGTTTGGTTCTGTTACGATTTCGTGGCATTCAGTAACGGGTTGTTCAGCGCTACAATTATTAGTTCGGTGATCAAGGACGGAAGCAATATTAAGACGATCGCAGAATGGAACTTATTACTTGGGATCATCGCGGTTCCTGGGTGCTTCGTCGGTGCCTATTTGTGCGATCGTATCGGACGTAAGTACACTTTGATGTTCGGGTTTGGTGGGTATCTCGTGTTTGGTTTGATCATCGGGTGCGCCTGGGACAAGATTCACAAGATTACAGGGTTGTTCATTGTCTTTTACGGTTTAATGAATGCTCTCGCTAATGCAGGGCCCGGAGACATGTTGGGTTTGACCTCTAGTGAGAGCTTCCCAACTGCGATTCGGGGAACTTGCTACGGACTTTCGGCTGCTATCGGAAAAGTTGGCGCTGTGGTTGGTGTTTACTGTTTTAACCCCGTCAAAGATCATCTTGGAATCCGCTGGGTGTTCATCATTGCCGCTATTTGCGGTCTAGCAGGTATCTTGGCAACTTGGCTTCTAATCCCCCACTCAAGAGAAGACGACCTCATGGAACAAGACATAAAGTTCCACAACTTTCTAATAAACCACGGCTGGACTGGCACAATGGGCATGGATGTTGACGATTCGGATCTCGAGAGAAAATCTACAAAGGTGAGCATTGCGGAATCCATTGGAAAGGAACCCGCTTTAGATGTTGTGACACGCGAGGTCACCGCCTAGGCAAAGTAAATAGCACCCATAATTACAAATCCGATCTTATTCGAGAAGTTTATAATTTTACAACATACCAAACAGTGATTGTTTTTTTGGGTCAGGCTTCAAAAGCTGCACAAATGAAGAAAAGTAGCACCTGTAATTTTGTCATCGTTTCGAAAATATAGTTTGAAGTTTTGTAACGGATTTGTATCCACTGTATGAGGAAAGCAGTCCAGGTTAATGCAGCAGCGGCTAATTGGTTCTATTTTCAACTAGGAACAAGTCATAAACATAGGATTATAATACACTACAAGCTGCGTACGAGAAACTTCAAATTAAGCTCTGCAACAATGCTAACCTTTGAAGTTGCGTCTGCTCAAAGTTGCTTGTAAACGAAGCTTGGTGAAACTTTTTATTGGAGACGATAGAGGCATAATATCAAAGTATATGCTTATACGTCGAGTTCTGGCCAATTATTTTTTGATTAATTCGCTGCAAGATTTGATCAAAGTATCATCATGTTAAACTTTAGTTTCGAAGCAGCGTCGCAGTGTAGAGTTGAAACTTTTAAAAGATCCACTACTCTGAGCATTTTCGAGTTGGTTTCATAATAATTGGGACAAATTTCGCGCAGTCAAAGCTGCAAATACTATCCGCTGGTACACATTCCCAAAGAAGTGAAAGAACTTATCAACATTGCGCCTAGTAGAAATTTTTTTACTTGTTTGCAGTGCCTCTACTTAGCTCTTTCAAACCTTAAGAATTTGAAGCTACTGGGCCATAACAGGCCTCAAAGTTCTTATTCAAATATATGCAGTTCATGTCTTAACACTCATCTAATAGGCAGAGATATCTTTATATCGCTTGAAGAGCGCTGACACCGCTTTCCCAATTAGGTATTGAGTCATGTGACTATCAAAAGTTCCTAGACTATGGACTCTGGAGATCGAAAAAAAATGGATTCCTACATTAACTTAATACAGTTTCCAAAGCAAGACCGAAGAACCAGCGCATTCAATTCATCAATTGACGAGCTTACAACTGCCCTCGCACGGTGTTTCTTACTTTTCTGGATCTATTGTCTGCATAATCAATCGCGACTTAGCTCTCGAGTTAAGATGACCCACTTGGAACGCATTGATGGATTGGCGTCAAGATTGAAAAATGACGACGATTGCGCAAACTCCTTGTCGACAGTATCGGAAATATGCGACATCGTCGAGCCCATAGGCTCTTCAACAGACTACGAACAATTTTTGAAAGCGGTTATGCCAATCTTGCTGGAGCGCTTGGAATCCACGCCCATTTCACTGGACGGTGGTTCTCCGATGCATAAACTCAGAAATTCGATTTTAGAAGTTTTGAACAGATGTAACATGAATGAAGTATTCGAACCGTATGCATTGGATAATTTAACAGGCATGCTTGCGGTCTTGCAAGAAGACAACGAGGAAAACGGAGTTTTGGCAATGAGAATAATTACTGGCTACTTCAAAGCATACAAACCAGCCCTTCAAGATCGCGTCACTGCTTTTATTGACGTGATAATGAATATATATAAACATATGCCAGAGCTCGTGCGCCAGACTTTTAATGATGAGCTGCACAGAGATGAGTCGGTGGCATCCATGGACTCTACGAACAATACTCTTGATGAAAGGGCTTTAGATGCCAACGAAGAAGACAATCGCGCCAGCGAGAGTTTGACAGCTGTCTATAAACCACTCAAGCAATCCATGTTCTCATTTAAAGTGCTATCGGAATGCCCAATCACCATGGTTACGTTATACTCGTCTTACAAGCAACTTACAACGGCATCCCTCCCGCAATTCATGCCCCTAATAATCGAGCTTCTCACTATGGAAGCGGACGCTCAGAAGAGGACGCGTGAAGAGGCCGAGTCGCGCGGTGATAGATGGATTAACGTCAGTCCTGAGATCAAAAACCGTGTTGCTTATTGTGATTTCATTCTATCCCAAATAAAAGCGACATCGTTTCTCGCTTATGTTTTCATCCGTGGCTACGCTGCGGAATATTTGCAAAACTACGTTGGGTTTGTGCCCGACTTGATTCTAAGACTACTACAAGATTGCCCGGCTGAATTATCTGCTGCCAGGAAAGAGTTGCTGCACGCTACAAGGCATATTTTGTCTACGAACTACAAAAAGTTGTTCCTGTCAAAGATCAATCTTCTGTTCGACGAAAGAGTTCTTATAGGTAACGGGTTTACGGCTCACGAAACACTGCGGCCTTTGGCTTACAGTACAGTCGCCGATTTTGTGCATAATGTGAGGGGTGATTTACAACTGGACGACATCGAAAAAACAATTAAAATGTACACTAATTTCCTTTTGGATGAAAGTTTGGCTTTGACTGTCCAAATAATGAGCGCTAAACTGTTACTGAATCTAGTGGAACGGATTTTGAAGCTAGGAAAAGAAAACCCAAATGATTCAGTAAGATCAAAAAAACTGCTAATAGTAATCATAGATGCCTATACGGTGCGTTTTAGAAATCTTAATCGCCAATATGATAACTTAATGCAGCATCACGAAGAATATGAGAGAGAAAAGCTATCGAAAACGGAGTCTTTTAGAGAAGAGTTGGAGAAGAGCAACAAGGATACTGAAAGCTTCATCGATTCGATGCTAAAGGTCAAGCAACAACCTGCAGAGAACAAAGACTCTGAGGGCGATGTGAAGATGGAAAATGCAATGGAGGATGAACCTGAATTTAAGATATCCAGGGTCAAGGGTGAAACTGATGATCGAGTCTCAATGGAAGACAACATTGACGTTTTTGATATCAAGTTCAAAAGCCCGATTTTACTGTCTCCCCCACCAAACAGCGATCCCTTGAAAGACGCTTTTTACCTATACCGAACACTAATGTCCTTTTTAAAAACAATTATTCACGATTTGAAGGTGTTTAATCCTCCATCAACTGAATACACAACAATGAATCCCAAGGTCTGGACCTCACTTTCGAGAATTTTTTCTCATGAAGAGGTTATAGTGTTCAAAAACTTATTTCATGAGTGCATACTTGGATTACAGTTTTTTTCCAGTCCTGAACGTAAGGCAATCGTCGAGAAGAAGCATTTCGATATTGCCGCTCCTAGTCTGCCGGTGTCTGCCACTAAAGATGGCCGAGAGCTGATGGATTATTTTGCAATTATGTTTATGCAAATCGACAGCCCTACGTTTAATGACATTGTCGAGTCCAAAATAGACTTTCTCTACGAAGCGATGTTACGGGACTCAGCTCTATTACACGTGGCTCAATCGTTTCTTACAAGTGAAATAACATCTCCTAAATTTACCGGAATCTTGCTTAGATTTCTAAAACAAAAATTCAGTTCCCTCGGAAATGTTGATGGCAACAAGTCCAACATTCTTATTCGTCTTTTCAAGCTGTCTTTCATGTCAGTAAACCTCTTTCCTATCACAAACGAAATTGTCCTGCTTCCTCATCTGAATAAACTTATTTTGGATTCTCTGAAATACTCAACTACGGCAGAGGAACCTTTGGTTTATCTTTACTTAATCAGGACGCTGTTCAGAAGCATTGGTGGTGGAAGATTTGAGAATTTGTATCGATCGATTAAGCCTATTCTACAAGTTCTCCTTCAGTCACTTAATCGAATGATTTTAACCGCGCGCCGTCCACACGAGAGAGATCTCTATGTCGAACTATGCCTGACTGTACCAGTCCGCCTTAGTGTGCTCGCCCCATATTTGAGCTATCTAATGAAGCCACTAGTGTACGCTTTACAAGGATTTCCCGAACTGGTTACTCAAGGGCTTCGAACTCTAGAGCTTTGCATAGACAATTTAACCGCTGAGTATTTTGATCCGATTATTGAACCTGTTGTCGAGGATGTAATTCGCTCGCTATTCAAACTCTTGAAACCGCAGCCATTTAATCACCAAATCAGTCATACTGCTGTTAGAATTTTGGGGAAGCTCGGTGGTAGAAATAGAAGATTTTTGAAACAGCACTCAGATCTGAGGATTGCTGCAGAGTTAGATACCCCAGTCAATGCGCTTTTCAAGATTCAAGGCATTAATGAAGAAGTTCCACTCTCTATCACTCCTGGTGTTCGCTCAGCGTTGGAGATTCTTGAAGATTATCGCTCAGATTTGTTTTACAAGAAAAGTGCTTTCAATTACCTAAAATCGATTTTACAGCTTTTTCTTAAGTCGTCACTCATATTTCCTGACAATTATGATAAGTGGATAAAAAGTGCTCTACATGTCCTGGCAGAAGAAAACGTTTCTGCCATTGATTCTACAGATGTTGGTGAGGGGAAAATAAAAGATCGGCGTCTTCTACAAAGCCAAGAACTACTTCTGATGAAACTTCTCGAATCATTGATTTTTTCTGCATCAATCGAAGATCTGCGAGAAGACGCAGAGAGCATTCTCAAAAACGTAATAAATCACTTTTGCTTTTTACAACTGAACAATTCGCTGCGCAGGAAACGAGGAGAGACCTCAGGTTTCAGTGTCAATGTCAAACTTTTTAAGGTCACAATTGATGTCGATATTATTTTGGACGCTATTTTGACAGGACTTGGTTCTTATTTGGAGGAATCTAGACGGATGGCGGTAGCGGCTGTTAAACAAATTTTTGACACGAGCAATAGAATATATGGTGCGGAGCTGGCTCTAAAGTACTCTTTCATTTCGACTCTCACTAAGAAATTTATTCATAAATGCTATGATGAAGCATATTTCGAAAAGAGTAGTGGGGTACTAGGTATCAAGACATTGGTAGAAGAGCACAGGATACCCGTTGAATATCTCAAAGAATGCCAATTTGACCTCATTGCAGGCCTGCTGTTTGTGTTAATAGATACACCCATGGAGGCCCCAGGTGTTATTCGTGAACGTGCTGAAAAATTGATAACCAGCATTTTAGCAAGCACATGCAAAAACATACGAGAAGAAGATCTTCATGAAAAAGGTTTACAGAACACCTTGATCGACATTGTGTGTGAGTTGAGTAATGCTAAGGAGGTTGTAAGAAGCGCTTGCCAAAATGCTCTTGCTACAATATCAGAGGTCTCGGATATTCCCATTGTGAAGTTGATGGAACATTCGAAGAGCTTTTTGCTGTCACCTATTTTTGCGAAACCTTTGAGGGCACTGCCTTTTCCAATGCAAATAGGTAATGTGGACGCCATAATCTACTGTCTGCAACTGCCTAACACATTCTTGGAATTTAATGAAGAGCTTTATAGGCTGCTTCATGAAGCAATCGCCTTAGTTGACGCCGAGGACGAGTCCCTTGCTAGCGCACAACGAGTAACTGAATATCAAACAGCAGAGCAACTTGTGCAGTTACGAGTTGTGTGCATCAAGCTCCTGTCGCTTGCTTTAAAGAATGGCGACTTTGCCTCTGCTCAACAAGGAGCTACGCGCATAAGAGTTCTGGCGGTTTTTTTCAAAACGATGCTGAAAACTTCACCTGAAATCATTGAGGCAACTTACCAAGGTCTGAAAAGCGTTCTAGCAGAGAACTCTAAGTTACCCAAAGAACTCTTGCAGAATGGCCTTAAACCCATGTTGATGAATCTTTCTGATCACCAAAAACTAACGGTTTCTGGTCTCGAAGCCTTAGCTAAACTCTTGGAGTTACTAATTGCTTATTTTAAAGTCGAAATTGGAAAAAAGCTCCTAGATCACTTGGACGCGTGGTGCAGAGTAGAGGTGCTGGACATGATTTTCGGGAAAGATCTCAAGGAACAAACACCAACAAAGATAATCTACGGAATTATCAACATTTTCCATCTTTTGCCCCCCCAGGCAGATATCTTTCTAAATGACCTTCTATTGAAAGTCATGTTAGTTGAAAAGAAATTGAGGCTGCAACTTGATTCTCCTTTTCGGGAGCCAATGGCCAAATATTTGAACAGATTCCACTCTTCTGTTATTGCCTACTTCAATAACAATTTGGGATCCAGAGATTTGGTGTTACTGATGTGTTCCATCATCAAAAGAAAGGAGGCCGTAGATCTCAAGAATGACTTTAAGCAAGAATTTCACAACTTTTGCGATTATTACATGACAGGAATCTCCTCCAACAAAGTCAGGGTTGTCAGTTTTTTCGCGAACGTAGTCGATATCTTTGACTCGCTAGTCCACGTCGAGAGCGACGATTGGTTGGCTGATAGTGGCCCGACACTGATAAAGGTTAGAGGTATGCTCAAACTAGCAGTTGATACAGTTGATGAGGGCGATTTTCACTTTGACTCTCTCCAGCTATCTCAAGCTTCCGACAAAATCCAAACGCTATATGCCAAATTCCTGGAGTTGAACGTAAATGATCCAACGTTGTTATTTGAATACCTAGAGTTTGCCTTTACAGCGAAGATAAACCTGTCACAGTCTATACTTGCTTTTATTGAGAAATGTGTGATAACAACAGATGACGTCGAAAATAAAAAAATCTTCCTTCAACAAGCACTGCTATTTTGCACAAGAGACAAGCCTTTAGCGGCAAGTGTTTTTGTTTTGAAGCACGTTATTAATAGCACACTAGTCTACGAGGGCTCGTCTAAGGGTTCCCTGAAAAGACTTACTGGAACAGAGGAGCATGGGCTTCCTGAATGGCTGAACTTGATGTATGCTAAAATTTGGAAAGGGTCCAACGAAGTTTTGGAAAGCTATGCCGCTGGTGAATACGATGCGTTTAGGTTTGAGCTCCTTCAATTGTCATCAATTTTTACCGAGTACGACCCAGACCTAAATCCCGACATCAGAAAAGATATAATTCGATTTTGTTGGAATTTCATAAAGCTTGAGGATCCTCTATTGAAGCAAGGTGCCTATATGGTCACAGCTTATTTCATAGCAAAATACGAATTCCCCGTTAAGATCGTCACCCAGGTGTTTGTTGCGCTCCTTAGAACGACCCAAATCGAATCTCGTTATATGGTCAAACACTCACTTGACCTGCTTGCTCCTGTAATGCATGACCGAATGGCTTCTGCTGAAGCGCCCAATTCTTGGATCAATTGGGTCAGAAGAGTACTTTCTGAGAACAACGCAAGTCAGAACGGCACGCTATACCAGCTTTTAATCAGCCACCCTCACGTATTTTTTGATTCCCGTGATTTATTCATCCCCAGTATTATAAACTACATCGGAAAATTGACACTGTTAGCTAATCCAAGCATAGAAAACCAATCTTTGGCAATTGACCTAGCCGACCTTATTTTAACGTGGGAAAAGAAGGCCAGAAACCCAAAGCCTAGCGACGCTAGTGTGAAAGAGGACATAGAGGAAATCGATGAAACTGAGAGACAGAACATCACAACCGCTCAAAAAGAAGCGTTTGTTACATGTCTTATAAGATACGTTTGCGTCAGTAATCACCGCGCTTCCGAGACAGAATTAGGATCAAGGTCGCTTAAAATTTTGTCTGAGATACCATCTGAGAGGTCATGGCCTGAAGTGAACATTAAACTCAGCTACTTCGAAAAATTTTTGGTCCAACAAGACTTGTCTTCATCGAACATCTCCTTCTATTGTATGAATGCGTTAGATGTGCTTGGAATAATCCTCCGCAACAAAAGTCCCTCTTGGATCATTGCAAACCTCACCGTTCTTCAGGGACTTTTAGACAAGTGTTTGCGGACGGACCATCATGATATACAGGATGTCTTACAGAAGGTATTAGGAATTATACTGGCTTCTATCAAGTCCGAAGAAGACCTCGCCATGGAAAGCGATGTTGAGACGCCTAGTAAACAAATGCTCAACACTTTGAGCTCCATTATAACAGAAGATCTCCAAGGAACATCATCTGTAGCAGCTGGTGTTATGCTGGCATGGACTCTATTCATGTACTTTCCTCAATACATTGACCCTCTTTTGCCATCCATAATGAAGACATTCAGCAAGTTGTGCAAGGATCATCTTGCAACATCTCAGCCCAAAGATCCTGCTACGTTGGAGGAAGCCAGGATCACCACAAAGCTCTTAGAGAAGGTTTTGTATCTTTTGTCAATGAAAGTAGCTTCCCTAGGGGATGCACGCAGGCCCTTTCTGTCAACTGTTGCTCTACTGATAGATCGTTCAATGAACCAGCAATTCTTGAAAAAAGTTATCACAATTGCTAGAACTTGGGTTTTCACTAACGAGATCTTTCCCACCGTCAAAGAGAAAGCTGCCATATTGACTAAAATGCTTGCTTTCGAGGTGAGAGGGGAACCTAAACTTTCGAGGCAGTTTTACGAGATCATTCTTGAACTTTTCGAAAACAAAAACTTCAATAACAGTGAAATCACGGTCAGAATGGAACAACCGTTCTTAGTCGGAACCCGCGTAGAAGATATCTACATTCGGAAAAGACTGATGTCAATTCTAGATGACAGTCTGGAACGAGACATAAGAGAGAGATTGTATTACGTCATTCGAGACCAAAATTGGGAATTTATTGCCGATTATCCATGGTTAAATCAAGCTCTACAGCTTCTATATGGTGCTTTCGACAAAGAATACTCTCTTAAATTATGTGACGCATATCAGCTTGACTCTTTAGAAGCGATTGTGGACGATTTAACTATTGAAGGCATTGATGAATATCAGGAAAGCTCATTGACAGGTCTCATTGAGCAGCATAAGGAATTTGCCAAGCACTTCGGGCATATTTCCTGCAACGATATACTTGAGCCTCTTGTTGATATTTTCTATCAGAGCCCGCAAGCTATCCACTCAACCTGGATCAATGTGTTTGGGGCGGCCTACAGGTCAATTCCTAAAAACGAGAAATTTGGTTTTGTTCGTTCATTAGTGACTTTGCTATCGAAGGACTATCATGCAAGACAATTGAATGTCAGGTCGAATGTCGTTAGCACCTTATTGGATTCGATAAGTGAGATTGATTCTCTCGAGTTGCCTCCTCATCTAATCAAATACGTCGCCAGCTCTTACAATTCATGGTACCAATCGATAAAAATTTTGGAGTCATTGGAGGAAAGAGCGACGCTTGAAAACGCTAACATTATAGAAACAAACGAAGATGCCTTGCTCGAACTGTATGTCAACCTACAAGAGGAGGACATGTTCTATGGCCTCTGGAGACGTCGAGCGAAGTACACCGAAACTAGTATTGCCCTCTCCTTTGAACAATTAGGCATATGGGACAAAGCTCAACAGCTTTACGAAGCTGCACAGGTCAAAGCAAGGAGTGGTGCTCTGCCTTACTCTGACTCCGAGTATTCTGCTTGGGAGGACAACTGGATCATGTGTGCTGAGAAATTACAGCATTGGGATGTTTTAACTGAGCTAGCAAAACACGAAGGATTCACTGACTTACTTTTGGAGTGCGGCTGGAGAGTTGCTGATTGGAGCGCAGACCGCGAGGCTCTAGAACAGTCTGTGAAGAGTGTCATGGACGTTCCTACACCCAGAAGACAGATCTTCGAAACATTTTTAGCGCTGCAAAACTTTGCCGAAACTAAAAAGGGGGATCAAGAAGTAAGAAGACTCTGTGATGAGGGTATCCAGTTATCATTGCATAAATGGGCCTCAATGCCTGAACGTTTTACACCAGCTCACAAGTTTTTGTTGCATGGATTCCAACAATATATGGAGTTTCTCGAAGCGACTCAGGTTTACGCAAATCTTGCATCTACAACGGTACAGAATCTGGATACCAAGGCACAGGAAGTCAAACGTGTTTTGCAGACATGGAGAGACCGTCTTCCCAATATTTGGGATGATATCAACATGTGGAATGATTTAATAACGTGGCGTCAGCATGCCTTCCAAGTAATCAATAATGCTTATTTACCGTTGGTTCCAGCCTTGCAACAAGCAAGTGGGAACAATAACGTAAATACACACGCGTACCGGGGTTATCACGAAATTGCGTGGGTCATCAACAGGTTTGCCCATGTTGCGAGAAAGCACAACATGCCAGACGTTTGCATCAGCCAATTGGCACGTATTTATACTTTACCGAACATTGAAATTCAGGAGGCTTTCTTAAAGTTGAGAGAGCAGGCAAAATGTCATTACCAAAACATGAATGAGCTAACAACAGGTTTGGATGTTATTAGTAACACGAACTTAGTTTACTTCGGAACAGTTCAAAAAGCAGAATTTTTCACCCTGAAAGGGATGTTCCTTTCCAAATTGCGGGCTCACGATGAAGCCAACCAAGCGTTTGCCACCGCAGTGCAAATTGATTTAAATTTGGCTAAAGCCTGGGCCCAGTGGGGGTTTTTCAACGACCGTAGGCTTTCAGAAGAGCCTCAAAATATTAGCTTCGCTAATAACGCGATCAGCTGTTATCTGCAAGCTGCCGGACTCTACAATAATTCGAAGACGAGAAAACTACTTTGCAGGATTCTCTGGCTCATCGGGATAGATGATAGCACTGGGACGCTAGCAAGTGCTTTCGAATCGTTTAGAGGAGAGATTCCAGTTTGGTACTGGATCACTTTCATTCCACAATTGCTAACTTCCCTATCTCATAAAGAGGCGAATATGGTCCGTCAAATTTTGATAAGGATTGCAAAAAGCTATCCTCAAGCCTTACACTTCCAGCTAAGAACTACTAAGGAAGACTTTTCTGTGATCCAACGCCAGACAATGGTCGCAATGAATAACGCCCGACCACCTAATAGCAAGGCACCAACTTCTACAAATGGTACTCGCCAACCCTGGGAGTACCTCGACGAATTGAACGGTATATTAAAAACCGCTTACCCGTTGTTAGCGCTTTCGTTAGAGTCCCTAGTGGACCAGATCAACCAGAAGTTCAAGACTACATCAGACGAAGATCTCTTCAGATTAATCAACGTTTTACTCATTGACGGAACTTATAACTTCAACCGTTTGCCCTTACCTAGGGAAAACTTATTGTTGCCCGCTAGCACCGAAACTAACCTAGTTCGGTTTTCAGAGAACTTGCTACCCCCTCATATCAGAGTCAAATTCAATGCTGATTTCATCGACAGCAAGCCTAACTTTGAAGAATACATCAAGAGATTGAGGTATTGGAGGAATCGTTTAGAGAATAAGCTCGATCGGGCTCCGAAAGTAGAAAATATGGAAAAATGGTGTCCCCATCTAAGCAACTTTCATCATCAGAAATTTGAAGATATCGAGATTCCTGGCCAATATCTTCTCAACAAGGATAGCAACGCCCATTTCGTTAAAATAGCTCGTTTCTTGCCTCATGTGGATTTCGTTCGTGGGACTCACTCGTCGTATAGGCGCTTGACCATAAGAGGTCACGACGGTAGTCTCCACTCTTTCGCTGTCCAGTACCCAGCGGTGCGCCATTCACGTCGGGAAGAGAGAATGTTTCAGCTGTTCCGGCTGTTCAATGAGACTCTTTCCAAGAATGTTCAAACCCGTCGCAGGAACATTCAGTTTTCACTTCCGATAGCAGTTCCACTTTCGCCACAAGTTCGCATCATGAATGACAGTTCCACAATTACTACTATGCATAATCTCTATGATAATTATTGTGATAAAAACGAGATGGATAGAGGAGCAATTCAAGATTTTGTTTGCCAGCAGCTAGATGCAGCATATGATAAAATTCTCCCCCCACCTGACATAACTGCCGTTAAAGTTGAGATTTTCAGTTCCGTGCAGTCAATGTATTTGCCAACGACGGTGATGAAAGACTATTTCACTGATCTCTTCACTCAATTTGAAGATTTCTGGTTATTCCGCAAACAGTTTTCGTCTCAATATGCTCTTTTCATTTTCATGACATACATGCTAGCAATCAACAACCGCTCACCTCACAAAATATCAATTGACCAAGTATCTGGTGACGTTTTCACCTTGGAAATGTTGCCGGCAAGATATCCATATGAAAGAGTAAAACAAACGGCCAAAAACTTCGAAGCCAATATCCCACCTGACTCGCCAGTATTCCACAATAATGAAGCTGTTCCTTTCCGTCTAACACCTAATATTCAAAAACTTATAGGAGACTCTGCTCTCGAAGGCATATTATCAGTCAATGTTTTCGCTGTTGCTCGAGCCCTACTTGAACCCGATAACGAGCTGAATACATATCTCTCCTTGTTCATCCGTGACGAAGTTATTTCGTGGTACAGCAACTTGCATCGCTCTATTGTCGGGGATCCTCAGTTACGCGAAATCGTGCGCACGAATGTAGATCTCATCACGAGAAAAACGGCGCAACTGGGACATTTGAGCTCGAAGCCCTCTGTTGCTACTCAGTACGTCTTGGATGCCATAAGTGCTGCAGTGAGTCCTAGGAATCTGGCTAAAATGGATCAAAGCTTCATGCCATATTTTTAGATAATAACACGCTACCTACTTGGGTCTATAAAAACCGTATGTATTATTTATCTAAAGTAAAAGCTACTTTACTGTAAAGTTTCATTATGAACAGCGTTTTTATAGGTTGGCGGCCGTCCATGAATGGCTTCAAGCATCTTGTAGTCGCTTAATTGATGCGTTGACACTTTTTGTGTCTTTTCGTCGATCTGATCTCCTACCAGGCTGGAGAACCAAGCAATGGAGAACAAAAACGACAAAATCCAACTAAAGAACAAAATGAAAGAAGCCAAAACAATCCGATTGGTCACCGAATAGTGCTCATTTTTCCCGTGATGTAGTAAGGTGAATGTACCGCCAGTGTATACAGTTTTTAATACCAGCAGCAACGAGAACGAAGAAAATAGCGAGCCTAGGAGTGTCACAATAAACAAAACGCCTAGGCCTAATTTCGTCCAAGGCTGGCAGTAGTCCCTAATTGAAATGCACAAAACAGAGCAGAGGAAAAATGCAAAGATATCGTAAAGAGAGCGATAAAAAAACAGGGAGGATCTGTTTGTGACATTTTCGAAAGGAGCAGTGTAAATGGTAAGTATATAAATTACCAGTAAATCGCAGGTAATCGCCACGGGATACCTCGTATTCATGTTGATTACACCAGTTCTGTCCCATTTGCAGCTAGGTGAAGACAAACGATCTGAGCTTGTAACAAATTGTACACATGTCATATGGCGAGCACGACGTAAAACGTCGCACCCTAATTTTTATGGAACTCAAAAATTTGCTCCTCCGCCAAATAGACGTATCATGAGAATGTCAAATCTGATAGTTTCACTTGCCAGGGTTTAACCAATCGTGCAGTCTTTTCTCCAAAAAACTTACTGGACTTTTGGAAGGTTTCACGCCGTCTCTAACCCAAATACCCTGACTACCCATTAAATTCGCCATAAGAATGTCAGTGAATAGCCGATCTCCAACGACTGCAATTTCCTTTGGGTCTTGAGTAATGTTGTGCGAGGCAAAATACTCCATGATCTCGTCGCGGCACCCCGGTTTCTTTACTGCGTGCCGGAGGACCGATACTCCAACTTTTGATTCTAACAAATTGGCCTGCTTACCATCAGGATCGTCGCTACTACCTGCGCTATTGCTCACAATAAGCAATGAAGCGTTAGGGTACGCTTGCTTCAATTTGAGCCAGGTTTTCTGGTGTACGTTAGTATCATCTGGCGCTTGATAATCTCGCATTCGAGTAAATTCTGTCTCTCAACATACTTCATATTCTGGCCACACCTCGTTCTCATGTGGATATGCAAAACAGTTGTCCTTGTCAAGCACAACAGCCTTTACAGAGGGCCCAATCGGTACTGGAAGTTGACTGAAATTTGCTACCTCGGCCTGTGGAATACATAGTTTTGGGTTCAAGAATAGACGCAAGACATTCAAAGTAGCGCTGATGTTCATTTAAAAGCCGTCAAAGGTTTCCGATCTCAGATAAATGATCGAAACCTTGCTTCTCATAACTTTCAAACAAATACTCTAGCATTGTTTTCAAAAGTGTCGATAACACTTCACACGAATAGCTAAAATTTGATTCAATTTATTGCATTCTAAAAGAGCTTGCGACACGACTTAACAATTTGATATTGTTCTGATTCGGACTTTTATTGATTGCCAGACGTAGCTCTAAAACTTTTGCTAAGTTGCTCGGTGCCCTGAAGAAATGACTGACGTAGCTAAACCTCCTCAAAAACGCAACTTTAGGAGAACTCAAGGCGCACAGAACAGATCCGAAAGTGGGCCAAAAAATAACAGCGGGCAGCGCTGGAAACTCGGGAGTTCTGAGTCACAATCTGGCCTAGGGGATGCTTCTGAAGCCAACGATGATCAAGATTGTATCGTCTGTGCTGAACATATCGTTTATGCAGCAGTTTCGCCATGTAACCACGTTGTATGCCATAAATGTGCCTTTAGACAGCGTGCTTTATACGCAAAAAAGTCATGTTTAGTGTGCAGAACCGAAGTGGATAATGTGATTTTTTGCAAAGACAAAGATGCCGCTTACGAAACGTTTTCGGACAACGACATCACTGAGTTCAATGAAAAATATGGTGCATCATTTGTCTCCAAAGAAATTGCCCTTGCGACTCTCGGACTACTTCACTACAACTGTCCTTTCGGTGACACAAGCGATCTCGATTTTGGTAGCTTCAAGAAATACAATGCTCATTTGAAAAACGATCATAACAAAACTCTCTGCATGATTTGCGCTTCGCACAAGAAAGCTTTCCCGCGTGAGCTCAAAATTTATACTCCAAATCAATTAAGGGTCCATCAATCTAAGGGGGACGTTGAGGGCTTCACTGGTCATCCCATGTGCGATTTCTGCTCGGGGCAAAGGTTCTACTCAGAAGACGAATTGAACATTCACTTGCGAGATAAGCACGAAAGGTGTCATATTTGCGACCGAATTGATTCCACAAAACCTCAATACTTGAAGGATTACGACCAATTGTTTGAGCATTTCAAGGCCACACATTACGTTTGTACAGTTCAATCATGTCTTGACAACAAATTCGTGGTTTTTCAAGATGAGATAGACTTGCAAGCTCATATTCTCAAAGAGCATGGCAATATTCTTCGAAACGGAAACAACAGTAACCCTTCGGGCGGAGCTAGAAAATATCAATCTCGCTTGTCAACATTCAGTCAACCAAACTCGAGAAACTCAAGTTCACAACGGTTAGATAAGCATAGCGAGCCTGGCAATACCGAGGATTCACTAGAAATGAAAACAAAAAGGATGCAAGAAAGAGCAAGACATTACCTCAATTACTCACACACCGATTACGAACAATTTCTAGCAATAAACGAAGGCTTCAAAAACAGAATGATAACAGCTGAGGATTTATACGGAGCGTACCAAAGTTTGTTTAAATCCCCCGAGGCAAATACAGCCTTATTATTGTATGATTTTTCAGAGTTGTTTTTCAAAAATTCCCAATATTACAAAGACCTTCGCTCCATTTACGATAGCGAGCAAAAAAAGCAAGACCGTGAAACCAACTTCCCATCACTAAGTGCATCAAGCCCGTCACTTTTGGCTGGTAATGTAGTTAGTGGGTCGTGGGGCAGAACTGCTGGGAGTGCGAAACCAGCTGCTCGTCAGTACAACTTCCCTGCCCTCAAGAAACCTGTTCACCCGCAGCCCATTTTGAAGCCCAAGCCTGTGTCTTACGGCAAAGTAAACAATGCTTCATCTGTGAAAAACCCAATGGCAGCAGTTCGGAAGTCACCATCGGCAGAACCGGGTGACTATAAACCCACATATCTAGACAGCAAGAGTTCTGGGTCTAGTTCCAGTCCTTCACTAGATAAAAAAATGTTCCCCCCTCTGCCTCAATCGCAGGGTAAGAAATTCAGAGCTCCATTGGTTAACGGATCCAAAATCGTCGATCCTTCTCAGTGGGGTAAAATTTCTCAGAGCCCTCAAGGTATTGTTGACGCGCCTAGTGGCAATTCTTTCATCAACGAAACGGCCACAGGCAGTAGAAAAAAGAATAAACAAAAACAACTACTATTCCATATTGGCATTTGATAATTAGATAGAACCGATAAACATCGCGTAAGCGATCTAATGCATTGAGTGCACCTATCTTATTGGCAAAATGCTTTGCATCTGACAGGCCTGCCTGCACAAAGGACATTCTGGCCTTTCCTTGCACCAGTTAAGTATACACGACCAGCAGAAAATATGGCCACATGGACCACAACTGGGATCAGTCATCCATTCGAGACATAAAATGCATTTTCTTGATTCTGCTTCTATAAATTGAAGCTCGCTCGAATCTTTCAGGTATATATGCTCGACTTGGGAAAAAGAAGGTACCCCGGTAATAAGAAGCGTAGTGCGGTCATCAGCGGATAGGCTCAACATATCATTCTTTGCTGTCTTCCCCATATACTGGGTGAACCAACGTACTACTGGCGGGAGATCTCTTGATAATGTCTGAATGAGAAAGATGACCCCCAAAATTCTATATGTTTTTGAGCTCGATTCACTGAATCTGTTCTCTGACTCATTCACTTTATGAGCAACGGAGTATCGCAAACCAAAAACACGTTTAGAAATATGATAAAATGAACCTTTGAAATAGAAAAGTATGAGATTGATGTCTGTAAATGCATTAAGCAGTTTCTGAAGAATCCCATTCTCCAAAATAAAACGAAAGAAGGACCCAGGCGGTCCCCTAACGGACTCCACGACTTCTCCGTCTCCATTGTAGTGCCTCGAAAATAACCCAACTACCTTCGATAGGGCATACGGCACCAAAGTGTACGAAAGTATGAACAGCAAACGCCGACTGCGGTTTGCGGCTAGATTTCCCTGTCTATTAACGTGAATTAAATCAACGTATTCTTCCCCCAGTGTTCTTTTTCCGCGCAGAGTAGTCAATGCTAGATAAAGAACTTTGGCGCCAATCGAAATCTCCCTAGAGTAAGCGTTGGCGATATATTGACTTTTAAACCTCTTTATCAGATCCTCTAGTTTAGATGTCAGCAGTTCTTCGATCTGCTGGTCTTTCTGGTGAGCTTGTACTGGGTAGAACAATCTTATGTTAGAATCAAAAGCTTATTTCAGAGCCACTACATAGTAGTTTACAAGCAGGTTCCGAACATACCAATAGCTGCTGCATCCGCAAATTTGAGTTTATGAATGTTCGTCATTTTCCATTCTGGTCTCAATAAGATATCGATGTAGGGTTTATAATTTTGATTTTAATTAAAAGTTAGAAATTAATGAAAGTGTTTAAACTGTTAAAATGGATGCCATAGATACTTCTGACATTTCACAATTCAAGCATACCCCCGAGGAAGAGACTGGAAGCGGAACTGACCGCCTGGCCCCAAAGCGTAACAAGAATCCAAGAGTACCTCAAAAAAAACTTGACGAATCCATTACTGCTGAGCTTCAAAATGCCGTTGATGAGCTTTTTGACGACAATACACGCAAAATAGATGATTCAGAAAATATTCTGGTTCGGGCTTTCCGTGAGAATATTGAGTCGCGCCATTATCTGATTGCCAAGGTGCATCATAATGTTGAGAAAAGTTTAAAGGTATTTGGGGAATATGGGTCTGGGGCTACTGATGTCTTGGTGGAGTGCTTTGGCGCTCGACAAGAATCAATTGCTCTTTTGCTCGCGACTAAACATCATCTAACCGCTTTAGATCAGCTTTCGAACAACATGGGTGATGGAATTGATACAACCAACTCAAAGAAAATTGAGAACTTCACTTCATTCAACTTTAACCTTGAGGTGGCGGTAAAACTATTGAAAAAATTTGACTACGATTTTGAAGATGTTGAATTTCTAGTCAAGCCGTCAGTTTTTAGATGCCGTCCACAGTACGTAACCTCGACTGTGCTGGAAGTGTTCACCGTAATTCATAAAAAAGACAAAGAGCAACTGGAAAGCCATCTCCAAAGTATTATCAATAGTATTCTGGTAGTGGCAGGTACTGATGTCGATGCTGCTGCTGCTGAGAAACACCTCTTTGTCGTAATAGATGTTTTGCGTATCCTTTACCTTGTTTTGACGACATTTTGCACAAATGTATTCTTGAGTAAAGAATTCCAACAAAGTGCGAAAAAGCATATATCCGACAATGACAACATGGTTTTTGCACTCTTAGGTCTCATGTCTACCGCTTGCGTTGATGAAGCAGCGAGAAATTACATCGCTGAAAACTACGCCGATACCCTCAATAATTGCATTAAAATTGACAAGTTCAAAGTCGCAGCGACGTTACTTTTGCTCAAAACATGGAGCTTCACCAAGTTGAAGGGAAATGCGATTGTAGACATGGCTGCTACTCTAGTAGAAGAGATCGAAAGAGCTCGCGGTTCTGAGTTTGAAGAAATGGCTGTCGAAGGACTTGCCTACTTGAGTTTGAAGCTTTCTGTCAAATCACTGTTGATAAAAAAAGAACGTCTCCGTCCTGTGTTTTTAGATTATCTCAAGTCTGAAAAGACTTCCTTCCCAATGTACTATGGTATTTTGGTTATCTTAGGCAATTTATCAAGCCCCTTAGAGCCAGAAACTCAAGAACAAAAAACTGTAGAAAGCTTGAAGGCTTATGCGAGTTCCAAAAGCGTGGAGACAGAGCCGGAAATGATTGCGTTAAAAGAGAGTGATGTTAGTAGGTTTGTTTCACATTTTATCTTACATCAAAACGTCATCGGATTAGTTAAAGCACAAATCAGGAAACGGAACAGACAGAGCAGTGGGCCCCGAGCTCAACTATTGAGGATAGTGTACAATGCTGCTAGGAGCAAAACACTTATTACGGAAAGTGTAAAGCAAGGCAGCGTCACTTTCCTTTTGGAATCGCTAGCTTCAAATACAGTTACGGAAGAAAGCAGGCTGTTAGCTTTGAAATCTCTAGCTAGGACTTTGACATTGGTTAATCCTCAGCTAGTGTTTAAGGACTATTCTGCGCTCAATGCGCTGCCATTCTTGTTTGAGTTGATTCCGGACCCAACAAAACCGACGTTTGATGGAAATATAAAATCTAAGGACACTTATGAGTCTTTGTTAGCACTGACAAACTTAGCTACGTTACAAGATAGCAGCGTGGTTTGTGAAAAGATTGTAACGGTTCCAATATTTTGGAATAAGATAGAGAACCTGATGCTAGATACCACTGTAGAGATTCAAAGATCCACTCTCGAGCTGCTGTCCAATTTGATGGCAGGCTCTTTACATCTGGCGGTCAAGTTTTTCAATTTTGACAATCCAACCAGTTTGCGCAACTTCAAGGTACTGGTAAAGCTTTTGAACCTGAAAGACGTTCAGTCACAGCTAGCGGTTGCTGCGATATTTTCCAACATCTCATGCTCTGTCCCGTTTATTGCTCAGGAACTCGCTCAGCAACCCGAACTAATCAATACCGCTTTGCAAATTCTGCAAGATCAATGCCACGAAGCAGAGATGCGCCATCGATTGATCATTTTTTTCGACGCCATTGCAAGTGTCGAGCCCCATTCCCAAATTCTACTGGCTCAAAATCCGAAAGTTGAACAGGTTCTCAAAAACGTGCGAGAGTTAGAAGCTGAATCCTCATCGAACTATCTCACGGCCATTGATGCCATACTCAAGAAACTACAGCAGCGTCAGGTGGCTACTTCACTTCACGCAACAGAAGCCCGGTGATTCCGAAGCCTGTGTACATAAGGCTGCATCCCGTGGATTCAAGAATGAAACCTGTGTTAGACCGGGTCTCAAATTGCACATAATTGTTGTATAAAACAGATAAACCAAATTTGAGACAATTGAAGAAGCTGTTCGGTATCGTTGATTTAAGTTTAATACAACGAGCATGTCCGGCGTTGAAATTAGCCGCGCATGTCCTTAAGTCTTTTTTCAAATTTACACAAACTGGGTGCCAGCAGACAAAAGCTGGATACCTTTTGATAGGTAAAAGGATGCCCAAATCTCATCACTTCTGTATTAGCTAAATGAGCACTTGTTCGTTAGGGAGAGGATTAATAGTCAGCTCTAAGTCCTAACGTGAAAAATGATTCGATGAGGCTGGATCATATTATCTGTAAGCGAGGCTGCGAGAGATGAGAAGGTCAGTTCGATCAATCAATAGGTCTTGAGAGCTATAGAAGGCTTGTGTGTGGCTTCATAATCTGAGCGTCGTATTAATGAGCTCTAGAGACAATTTAAACGATGCTGGGAAAGTCTCCGAAAGCGAAAATGAGAGGACGTCCTTGTCATCTATTGAGTCAATCGCACCAATAGTGGGAAGTGAGCATTCTCTTGAGGAAGTTCCACTCACCGAAGCCGATGAAGGCGGTGAATCATCAAATCCTATTTTGCGAAAGTATAGGGAAGCATGCCAGAGTGGAGATTTGAGCACGGTTAAAGCTCTGGTAGAGTCCGAAGCTATTGATCTAAAACACGATTACGACGAAGATATGGTATCGGGATTGCATTGGGCAAGTATCAACAATCGCCTTGGAGTTGTCAAGTACTTGGCCCAGAATGGTGCTGACGTCAACTTCCAGGGCGGAAAACTAGTCGCTACGCCGTTACACTGGGCCGCAAGATACGGATACGTCTACATCGTTGATTTTTTATTAGAGAAGGGTGCTGATCCTACTTTAGTAGACCAACAGGGGTTCAACCTACTACATTTGTCAATCAACTCGTCGAACATAATGCTTGTATTATACGTGCTGTTTTTTGTAGTTGGCGATAAGTTGAACATTGATTCACTAGATCCAAATAACCGGACTTCGCTTTTGTGGGCCGCATACCAGGGCGATTCACTATCGGTCAAAGCTCTTTTGGACTTCAACGCCAATGCCACCATTGTTGACTCAGGCGGATTTTCACCTTTGCATTGGGCCACAGTGAAGGGTCAACCTCAAGTTTTAAAAGCTTTGATTGCATACGGTTGTGATTTCTTTCAAAAGACAAAAGACAAGAAGGATTGTTTCGTGATAGCAAAAGAAATGAACACTGAAGACAGTTTGTCTAATGCTTTGATGGAAAATGGGTTAAATACCGATGGAACGCCCATTAAGAAATACTTTTCCAGCCCTCAACAGGGTAAATTGGTAACGTTCGTAACCCCATGGATCTTAGTTGCAAGCACCCTAAAATTGTTTGCAAGTATCAATTTCTTCATTGCTATAGTGTTTACAGCAGCACTATGGTTGAGCTCACTCCAAGGGTTGAAGAACTTTGTTATTCCTTCTTATTCCTTGAGCCGAACTGGCAATACATTTCTCAAAACTCCGTTTCTAGCGGGCATTCTCTTAGGGAGCGTGGCCTGCGTCATTTACGTATGGTTCACCAGGGTTATGCTTACAACGATTGTCGAGGAGCCAGTATTCAACCTCTTGTTTGTAACGCTTGCTACCATATGCGTTACCTCATTTTGTCATCTGGTTTTATCAGATGCTGGCAAAATTTCGAAGGAGGATGATTACGAACAAACCAAGGGAACCATTAAAGAGCTTCTAAGAATCGGTAAATTTGACACTAGAAACTTTTGCACCGAAATATATGTGAGGCGTCCTTTAAGGTCTAAATATTCCAGATTCAACGACGCATTGATAACGCGATTCGACCATTTTTGCCCTTGGATCTACAACGACGTGGGACTGAAAAATCATAAGCTATTTCAATATTTTTTATTGTCGCTACTTTTGGGCGTGATCTTCTTCACAAAGACATGTCTAGAATATTTCGACGTCTTAGAAGATGAATCTGATATTGACTTCAAGTGCGGAATTTTCGAAGACGAGATTTGTGCTGGTTTGAAATTGGACCCCTATGCATTCCTAGTAATGGTGTGGGCCATACTGCAAGCCGTTTGGGTGTCACCTCTACTTGTAACGCAGCTTTTTCAAACCTTCAAAGGCATCACTACGCAAGAGCTTACTGAGGGATCTCGTAAACGTCATGGGCACGACACTACTAATGAGTTTTTTGTCACGACGCCTACTGATCTTATGAACGAAGAGGAGTTGAATGCGTTAAATCAAGGATCAGTCAACCATAATGATAGAAGTTTATTGAGGTCGCGGGGTTGTTTTAGCGTATGTTGTAGCCTTATTGGTTTGGACCAATTTGTCATAGTAGTACGTGACATTCTCGGCTTGACTAGAGACTCACAAACAACGAGGCGTACTGCCACACTTGGCAAATTCGCAACTGACTACGGCTGGAAAACAAATTTAAAAGATTTCTGGCTTCTTAGCGATCACACAGCTCCGTTCTGGCAAAGGCTCCTTTATTCTCCGCCCGAATACAAAGCAAACTTGAATAATATTGAAGTGGACTACAGGACGTTATATACCCTCCCAGAGCGCACGATTCCACAAGAACAAATGGTATAATTTCGGGATTGACCGAAAGCTGCGAAGCAGTCCTGTATAAAAAAAGTAAATATTGTTCAAACCCAAAATTGAATCATTCAAGATACACCAACTACCAACTACTTCCACTTGCAGGGCACAATTTATAGGTGAGTTGTCAAAATCAGAACTTCGACGAAGACGCGTTAATCAAACGCGTAAATCGAAGTATTTTTCAAGAAAAACTATTAACCGTCTCGCGGAACAAAATACAAGGTACGTAAGTTCCAAAGAACAGAAGAAGACTTCTCGCTTTACAACTGTTGCAAGATTGCTTCAAGACCCGGTCTAAATACTCAGAGGCTCCAGAATAATGGGAGTTCAAGGACTACTTCCACAATTGAAACCCATTCAGCAGCCCATCACTTTGGCTAGATACCAAGGCCAAACTTTGGCAATTGATGGGTATGCTTGGCTTCACAGGGCCGCTCATTCGTGTGCTGAAGACCTGGCTTTAGATCTCCCGTCTACGAGGTATCTTGAGTTTTTCGTGAAACGTCTTGACATGCTACGAAATCGCTTTCATATCAATCCTTACTTAGTATTTGATGGAGATGCAATTACAGTGAAGAAGGACACAGAAGTAAAAAGACGACAAAAAAGAGTTGAGAATCGTGAAAAGGCGCTGGCACTTTGGAAGTCTGGGGATAAGAGACAAGCATACGAATATTTTCAGAAAAGTGTCGATGTAACGCCCGAAATGGCTAAGTGCATCATCGAGTACTGCCAAACACAAAGTATACAGTATGTGGTAGCTCCCTTCGAAGCCGATGCGCAAATGGTTTATCTCGAAAATAAGGGAATGGCACATGGCATCATTTCAGAAGACTCCGATCTCCTCATTTTCGGGTGCCGCAAATTGATAACCAAATTGAATGATCACGGTGAAGCTGTGGAAATATGCCGAGATGATTTCACACACCTACCTAGTAAGTTTCCGCTTTTCCAGCTTAGCCCAGAGCAAACAAGAGCCATGGTTTGCCTCTCCGGGTGCGATTATACCGCAGGTATTCCCAAAGTAGGGCTCCTGACTGCAATAAAATTAGTCAAGAAATTCAAAACTATCGACAAAATCATCCTTAACATACAACGCGAGGGCAGGTTTACTGTTCCTAAAGATTTTGCTGACGAATACCAACTAGCAACTTTTGCATTTCAATTCCAGAGAGTTTATTGTCCTGAGCGCAGAGAAGTCACTACATTAAACGAGATTCCGCTTGAGCTTAAAGATTGCCAAGCTCTGTTCAGTTGCATAGGTAAAGTGGTCCATAAGACGGAGCGTGTTAAAAGAATAATCATCAACAATGAAGACATCGATCATGAACTACACGGTAAAATTGCAGCAGGAGAAATTTGCCCTTATAATTTTGAAAAAGCACTAATAAACCGTGAAAGGAAATTACAATTGACCGCGAAATCAGAACCTATAATTTCAATTCCGGCGACAAGCAATACCAAGTCAATTGATTCTTTTTTCTCAAAATCCGCTTCGGTTAGTGTGTCAGCAACTCCTCAGGGAGGAAGCGCTCAAATCCGAGCCGCAACTAGAATTCAAGAGCAGAAATTATTGGAAAGTAAAAGAAAATTGCAGTCCACAGTCGAACGCCGTAAATTGTCAAGACACGACATGCCAACGTCTAACAGTGCCTCTAGCAAATTTTTCAATCAATCGAATAGACCTTCCGAGCGCTCAATGAGCACAAAAGCTATTAGTATGTCGGTGAATACCCCAATAGCAGAACGTCTATCTTCTCAGCTAGAAGAACAATTATTGGAAAGTGACGTAAATTTGGTAGGCAAAGGCTTAACGTCACAAAGCAGTGACGCTGTTATTTCTCAGGAAGACATACCCACTGACATCCCTAGCTCATTGGCATCTACTGAAATACCTAGTTCAATGCTTCCCACTCAAATTGACCAAGATTCTGTACCTTTCAGTGAAGAAGAGTCTGAAAGCCTTAGTGAGGTGGAGGAGCCCGCCAAAACTGACGACATTCGCGCCAATCAAAAGAAAAGGCACTGTGCTTCCTTGGCAGGCCTCCGCGAAAGTTTTAGCTATGGCAGAGCTCCTTTGAGAGAGAGAGACCCTAACACTGTTGTTCCCTCTACTAAAAGTAAGCATCCTGACTCTAAAGTTCAGAGACCAAGTTTGAAGAGATCAAATCACTATGTGGCATCCCCATCCTCTACAGGATTACAAAGAAATGTTACTCGGACCTTGAGTTTATCAGACTTCATTTACAGGGGCCAGTAGTCAAACTTGGATAGAAAACGTAACAATGGATGCCGGTTGTATCATAGACACATAAAAGTTAAGTATTCAGCATCTTATAGAACAGATAACACATAGAAGCGTGGCAAAAGCTGGTACAATATTTTGCTACGTCACAAGTCGTTCGATCTACAGGATAACGACACGCAGGCTACGCCTTTTGAGAAAACATCGGCGGTTAAATGATGAACAAATTTAGTACTGAATGAAGAACGAGAGATAAGCTATCAGAAATTACCGAAAGAAACAATGGACGCCAGTGGGCGCGAATTAAGTTTCGAGGTAATCTTCAAGACATTTGTGAGGCTTGCAATAGAGAAAACAGGGCAAAAAAGAGCTTTTCGACACGCAGTGCCGAAACACCTAATGCAGTAGCTACAGTGACCGCGTCGTATCTCTTGGGATGTGGAGTTGTTTCCACAGCCAAAAATGAATGAGCAGACAAACTGATGTGTCTTGATCGAATTCGGAAGGTTTTATGCTCACAACAAACGTATGCTTCCAAGATTTCAAAGCTGTCAAACCAACATGTTATGCAATGCCATGAGCATACGTCAACAGATTTATACTGTGATATTACAAGAAAGGAAATTGGGAGGATCTGGCGCAGGGCGCAAAGAGTAGTAGAGGACACAAGGTGTTCATAAATTCCCTGATTTCTGGAGAAAGTTCAAAAATTGGTATGACTTAAGATAATGTAACAGCGTCAATGTGTAGCATGCTCTCGCAAAGAATTCAAAGAAATTGCGATGACGAGAACCTTTTCTCTAGCAATATGAAGGGCAGAGGTGAAGATTAAGGCGCCAAGAAAAGGCCAGTAATACTGACACCATTTTGGTATGAGCCCTAAGTATAGAAATACTGCCGTGAACTTCGCCTCAGGGGTCTATCAAAGCTCTGTCTATGTGTGATGTTTGAAGAGAGATGATGCGAAAGAAATGGACTTAGAGCATGCGCTCCTCGAACACAAATCTACATCAGCATCCCTCCTCTGAGTCCGTTCACAGCTAATAGAGGAAGCTCTTGGAAATATCGGCAGAGAAGTTCACAAGCTGCGGAAACGAGCCCTTCTCTAGCTTAACTAATGTGCGAGCAGCTCGAAAGTCCGCGATTATCAGTAACGAGTGCTGTGTATTTCGACTGCTAATACACATAAGCAATCACATATCGTGATCTGCATTTACCACCTAGCTGCTGCTGCTAACATCCTTGTCAATTATACGAGCGTGCAAATCCTGACAGAAAAAGAAGAATTCCCTTCAATGTCTACAAAAAGGCTTCGAAGCTCAAGCATACTACAGAAGGGTCAGTCTACTCATTTCTGGAGTGCTACAGCTCGCGCGCTTCCAACACTCTTGATTCACCTTCAACATTTGGAAATTTCCATATCACTTGAGACCTTTACCGTCGCGCAACTGGCGCTCGTTCGAAGTTACATTTGGTCAGATTATTATCAGCCCATTTTTGATATCATGCTCGTTCCAGAGACAGAGTTTTTATCGAATCAAAGGAACATCATACTTTTGAATGCGAAAAACTTTGAGTTCATGAGCTGAGCACCTTCGTCTTCGTTCTAGTTCGTTTGTTTTTCGTTTGGTAAATCCTCAAGTTTATTCTGCTGAGTGGAGAGAGACTATCGTCGTCAGTACGAGAGAATTTGCATATTCAAAGAGATATATCGAATCGAGTAAGCTGGTAAGGTTTTAAGTAATGGCGTCTTCGCTAGCATTCAACCCAGGGTTCAGTGAAGCCGAGATGTTCTTGGCGTCGCTACAATCGTCGGATAGTAGTGACGGAGACAAGAGTGACTACTACAGCCTGAGCAACAACGATCGTTCGCCTGGCTATTCGGCAAACGGTTACGGATACAACAACGGCAACAGTACCAGCACCGGTAATGGTGTTTGGGCAGACCGCAGCAGCAGTAGCGGCGGCGTGAATCTGACGCCAGAGTCGTTTCATGAGCTGCCTTTGTCGAGTCAGCCGAGTCAACAACAGATGCAACTAGCTCCACAACAACAACAACATCAACAACAACAACAACAACAACAACAACAGCCAGAGTCCGGTGCCCTCACTGTGGGCTCCGACTTTTCCGGACCCATAAAGATAAAAACGGACGAGTCTCCCGGGCTTTCTTTCGAGGCGGACGAATTGCGGGACCTACTCGCACCGGAAGGCACGAGAGACTCTCTGGACTCTTTAGAGCCCTATCACGAGTCTTCGCACTCGAAAGTCTTCAAGCCAAAGCGTGAAAGAACTTCCCATAATGTCATCGAAAAGAAATACAGGACCAACATTAACGACAAGATTTTGCAACTGAGGGATATTGTTCCATCGCTGCGCTGCGCTGCAAAGCGCGAAATGGGACAGGTCGTCGCTTTGGAAGATCAAGAAGAACTTGACGGTTTGGAACCGGCCCGCAAGCTCAACAAGGCTTCGGTTCTTATCAAAACCATCGAGTACATCCGTCATTTGGAAAATAAATGTGACACTTATAAGTTTGAAAACACAAAGCTCAAAGCAGGGCAAGGATTTACCACTCCGGAGAGTGAACGTAATGTGTCGACGGGAAACAACGACTTCATGCTAAACTTGTCTGCCGACCAGCCGCAGAGTAGTCCATATGCACAGGCCTACCCAACAAGGCCAAAAGATGCTTCTAGTAAATACCTGATGGCGGGGCTTGCTGCAACCATGGGTGCATCTTGTTTCGGAGACACTAGCGACTTCAAGAATGCCAAGAGCCTCATGTCGATGCCTGTGATTCATTACTCTCAAGCGGGCGGTTTCACGTTTTCCAACGCAAACGGCGTTATTAACATGCCCACTGTTTTTTTGTCGCTTCTTAGAATTACTTTATTGTTTGCCACTGCTATTCACTTTCTCAGACTATTGACTTACCGTGGAGAGGACAAAAAGGATAAGACTCATGACTTGACGGTCGTTCAATTTGCTGACACCGTTTGCTTTCGCGATCCGTCTCAGATATTGGATACTTTGAAAAAGACCATGATTTTAAATCGGTTGAAATACCCCATAAACTCTATTGAGAGGATCGAGTCTGAGATCGCTAACTGTTTTGCTTTAAAATTCTATCAATTCTCATTTCCATTGAACATTTGGACCAAGAGGCACACTGACGCTACTTGGCTACGAATCAGAAAACAGGTCGAATTAGCTAATGCTAAAACCGGCGGTGCCTTGAAGAACGGGTTCGAGTGGGAGATGATTATCAACGTCTTGGCGAGCTCAAGAAAAGACACCTTGGACAGTGCCGAGCTCAAGGATGCCATCATCAATCAAGGCGTTTTTACTTTGAAAGAATTAGTTGAGTTTGTCAACGGGTTCATGGTCAAATACAGAAGTGAAACTGTTGTTATCAACTTACTCGAAGAGGTAAGCTGTGCGGAAAGCAAAGTTAATGACGTGATTGAAAAAGTCTATGAGGCCGAAGTATTCAACAATTCAGCCCTACAATTATCTTCCGAAATCTCCACCACTCTATGCTCATTATTCGAGACGACTGAGAACAACATTGATGCGCTGTTAAAACTTGTCAAAAACAGAAGTGCGAGTCAAGATTCAAATAAACAATTGGACAACGATCAGATTCTTGTTCTGTACTCCAGTATAGTGAGAAACTTGATATCCAGTGGCCAGTACAAAAGTGCGTACCACTGGGCATCTAAAATTCCACCAAATCTGGTTATTTCGCAAGAAGTCTCTGTTATTGGCGTTGCTGCTGTGATATTGATGCTCAAGTGCTTATTTGAGAAAGAAAATCACGAGGATCTTCAAGTAATATTCCCCAGACTCGAATCTCTGAGCGGAAAAGTTAGAGTGTGGCTGGGAAATGCTGCAAACTCTAGCTTGGGCTTTGAACTACGAGGCAAGCTGATTGACTTTTGCGTAGACACGGCTGTTATATGTGGTTCTGTTACAATGAAGCAGTTAGAGGAAGATACCGAGGTAGAAAGTCAATCCGAGGAGCTAAGTGATGATGACGGAAGTAGTTGAGGATATGGGACTAAACTTGATATCAAAGGCTTATTTTAAGTACCCACCAGGAAGGGCACAATTGTACATTAGATGTTTAGATCAATAATACGATATTGGATAATAAGGGAGATGATTAAAAAATCACATGTGGCAGTAAGAAAGTTACACAAGAAAGTTACAAGTGAACGATGGTGCTCAAGCGAAGTCTACAAATAAAATGTTGTTTTAAACTATTAAAAGTTGACAACCCATATTATACCCTCATAAAAAGAACAGGCCGACACCGTTGCCAGCGTTAATCCGTTTTCAAGGCGAAAATTCCTAAGCAGAAATTAACGCCTTGTTAATAACTAATACAACTCCATTTTGTGCATGTTCGACTCTTCGAACTTTTTGAAATTCATGATCGGTAGAAGATGCTACATAAAATTCTCCCTTCGACTTCTTGAGCATTATGTCTCCCGAGTTTTCGTCTCCTTCGAATTCAAAGCTCCGTAATACCAGAGAATCATGCATGCAGTCCTTCATAGCCCTAGCCTTGTTAATACTAGCGCCTGTGGCGATATGGGATTTGACAAAATGCATTATGTTATTGTTAACAGCTTGGTCGATAGTCGCGTCGTCAGAACTTTTGGCTTCCAGAGCTTCGATATCTGTTGGAAACTGCCATGGTTTTAAGGGTAAAGACTCTACAGCTCTGTCGGAAGGTGCAAACACTATAATGTTTTCGAAAGGATCGCCCATGATCTTGGAAATGGTCAAATCATCTCTCAGGTAACTTGAAAAAATACTGATTTCATTTAAGGAGGGCAATCTGGAATCCAGGCAGATGGGATTGATAACTTCTTTTGGACTACCGCCTTCTTCGCTACCCTGAAAAACCTTTTGCTTTGCAGGGTCTTCTTCTTTAGTCAACTGTTTGTCTTCAAACAAATCGTAGATGTTTAAGGGTTGCACGGTTCTCGCACTCCTAACCTTCAAAAACCCGTCGTCCATTCCTGCTGAATACCCAGTACTTGGTAACTGGCGTTTGAATTTCCCACTTTCAATGTCGAACAGAATGTCTAATTGAGCCACGTTCTTAGCGTCAACCACAAATGCTGAGAGTCCAATTATCCAACAGAAGGCTGAAAAACTTGATTTCAAACCTGACAGTCTCATATTGTGATACCACCAAAAATAAATATCCCAACTCTAGATCGATTGCTCACGATATCCACTGGTAGTAGTTTTTATTGATGGTTTTCATCAAAGACAGAAAATGTAATTCAATTATTAACAAGACCTTAAAAAGAGTAGGGGAGTAGTTTTAAGTTTATCGTGATCCAAAAAAATTGCGCAAGCCCGGAATCGAACCGGGGGCCCAACGATGGCAACGTTGGATTTTACCACTAAACCACTTGCGCTTTTTGATATTATAAGGTAAAAGCGTATCCCATATAAGCTACAGGTAAGGTCATAACATTTGTTTAATATAGGTTTGTCGCTCCCTTTGTAGTTTTGATAAGATAAGTTCGCATCTGACTCCGCAAAGTGTGCTACTTATGAATTCTTATGAAAGCACTGATTATCAGCGCTGTATGCATTTTATATTACAACTGTTTCCTCTATAAACTATCGTCAATTTAACATTGAACTACTTTTATATCGCAATGAAAGATGATAAGTATAAGTAGGTTATCCGTCATGATTGAAGATGTAGTTCCTAGTGAGCAAAGTCTCGGTAGACTCATTGTCATGAACCCTCTCACAGTCCTGCGGATCGTTGTGAAATTGTGTAGAGCCCCGGCCTCCATCGGCGTCGCTCATAAAGCTTTGATGATCAGCCACCGCTTCATCTTTGCGTTTAGATGTAAGGAGTTTTGATTTTAAAGCTCTGGCTGGCTTTTTGATTATGTTTAGCCTCTTATTGCCATGTCTACGAAGCTTGCTTTTCGGCTTCAGAGAAACGTCCCGCGCTCCTGTTGAGTCCTCTCCTAAACAAAAGTTATCATCGGTCCCATAATTGATATTTGGATCTACGAAAAATCGGTCCTTGTTGTTGATTTTTCTTCCCAAAACTGTCTCTTTACTGAAAGTCCTTTCACGGCGTTCCAGAACTCCTATCAGTCCCCAAGTGTTGACCGTGACGAGAACATTCAAAAACGCCAACAGGCTTCCCATCCAGTTGGAAACTTCAAGAGTCATTGTCATTAAAATGATGGTGCATGAATAAAGTATAGCAATCACAACCGCATTATAGGCCAGCAACAATAAGGTCTCGTGGTAATCGTTCCAAAAAAATAGGAACAAAGCTCGCCACGAAAGTCTTTGTCCTCTCCTCCGCGGGACAAGGGTAAACCGAAAATTTCGCCATACGTAGCACATAAGGGACAAAGTGAACAGAGTGTAGATGATGAAGTCGATTGTTCTTAACAGAATGGCGATTGTTTTGTTGGCGCGGTGAGCTGACCAGAGTTTAAAACCCATTAATAAAGTTTGGGCGCATGTGAGCGATAAACCTACCGTCAAAATTTGTCGATTCTTATTATTGAGTAGTCTGGGTACCCAGTTATTTTTCGTCTTTCGATAGTTGTGAAACATGTAATAAACAATGTCAAGCCAATTCAAGTTACTGATGATAGATCCAAAAAATAGCATGACGTTGTACAGCGTGGAGTTAAGCATCCGATCATTATATTCCTTGGAACTTTGATAGTTTTTGGCGTACTGTTTTTCAAAGATCGAGCTCATTGATATGCTAATGATCACGGTATGAAAGATAGCGGAGTACGCTACGCCCAGGTAAACCATCTTCTTGCGACTATTATGGTTATTTGCCGGGAGTAGCAGCAGTACTAATAAAAGCATCCACGAACCTACACTTACAGCACAGAGCACAAACGCCACAACCAGGTTTCCATCGATAAATTGATTATTCTTTCCCAAAATTCGAGGGATCGTGTTCCCAAGCAAGCTTGTGGCGTTATGATTCAGGATATCAACCAAAGCGGTGTATCCATCACTAGAGTTGTTCGGACATTTAATGAAATATGTTGCAGAGTGGCTGTAATATTGTTGGTGTGGAGAACCTGCGCTTTCCTGAAGGCTCAAGTTGCCAGCATTCAACATTCTAATTTTGCAGTCGGACCATAGACCAGCATCCATTTGTGTTCCCAGGATCCCCAGTAAAGCTTCTAAATGCAGACCTTGATGACGCAGTAGGTTTTCCTGCCCCTGCATTTGGGCAAAAAATCCTTTAAGCTTCAAGAATAGTGGATTGGATCTTTAGAGATGACATGGTAAGTGAAAAACGAATATATGAAAGGATGGGTCACGTGACGTGTTTTCATTTTGGATAAGAGACAAGTTGAGTAGACGGCAGCGTCTACTTCAGTGGCATTGCACGAGCAAGGTGTTTGAGGTGATCAAGCTGACGCATAGATGCTGCTCGTTCTCGCACCATTGGTTTTTTGAGCGTTTTCTGCTATGATTCCTCAAGATGCTAGCTGAAAAAAAAAAGTGTGTCCACCGAGACCCTGGCCTTTGTATTTCGACAACACAATTGGATGCGTTACGTTTGTTTGAATTCGTCTAAACCGGCATCGCGCCATACCCCTAGCTCTGTCCTTCTCGGGGCGAAAATCGATCCCAACGCCATGGGACTTTCAACCAGTGGTGGCATGGCGGTCAATTGACCGTTACAATCCACTTGCAGTGGGTGGAATCGGTCCCAATCGTCGTCATCGTGAAAATAATCCCAGAACGGGTTGATCGGTAAAGATGCGTTCTCAGTACGCAAACCATTTGTAGCAGTATGGTCTGGAGACATGAAGATGTCATGATTCCAGTCCAAGTAGAGTGCGTGGTGCATTTCGTGCATATGGTGACCTTGAAAATAGGAGTCCCGGTACATTGCTGTGGTCGTGAGTATAGAAATTTTCGATCTAAATCTGTGGTGACCAAGTTGTGATGATATTAGGAGGGACTGCTGCTTATGGGCACGAGTACACAGAAAATGCCACCGTGTATAGTGATCACATGGCGATTCGTGGATACGTGCCACGGGCAACTGGAGGCCCAGGGACTACGTTTTCGAGCTTGGTTCGCAATGCTTGGAGTCAAAGTATTAGCGCTTTCCAACGTAGTCGCTGGCTTTATTTTGCCCGAGTTCATCTCTGATATTAGTGTATCTGTCTACATGACAGGATAGTCGTGACTAGTTATGTCAACCCAACCGAGTCGATGCGTCAACGGTCGCCTCTCCGCTTGACTCATAAACATGCTGACATTTCGGTTCTCGAGGCTAAAACGTCAAATATTCGGCTCATCTCTTGCCTGCCTTGAGGTTGCGTAGCCTTGTTCACCCCATTGCGGCTCCTATTCTTGTACAGCGTCTCACATTAACTATCATGGGTTAATGGCGCAGTTGGTAGCGCGCTCCCTTCGCATGGGAGAGGTCATCGGTTCGACTCCGGTTTAATCCATGTTTTTTTTTGGATTTTTTTTGACCGGGGTATGTGTCCACATCTTTGAAGCGAGTTGAGCATTTGCAATGCCAGCCTGTTTCTAGTTTCATTCCTCTTCGGACAGTCGCATACATGGTGCGATAAAAACATCTCAAGAAGTCCTCCAGTCATTCTGTTCATCATCTCTCTCGTCAAGACGCCAGGATCAACTCGAAGATTTCATGTGATCGCTATTTTGTTTCCATTATCACTGGATACGGGCCACTTCTGCACATCTGCTTACACATTAGCTTACGTGAAAAGTATATAAAGATGAGATAGTAGAGTAAGCATGCTGACGTGTGAAGACGTGTGAAGACACATTACCAGGAAAATCATCTCTTTGTTTATAACAGCTGAGAGAAGCGCTGAACATAGCTAGGGTTGAAAGACGACTAATTCAAGCGCCACAGACGATCAGAATCCTTATAGCCTGCAGATAACAGTCGGTTTAGGAGAGTCAGGTCTATTCTGTTGTAACAAGTACGAAATTTGGACGAAAGATAGTCGCAAGAAAAAGCAGCCACTGCTCAACAGAGGCCAAACCAAGCAAGACCGTGGTCGAAGGAAAGCCAGGCAAAGCAACAAGACCGCTAGGATAGATTTGATTACCAGCTATCTGGAACAGAGTTTCGAGCAGTTAGCACATTACCAAGGTCCGTCGATAGTGATAATAGGGTAGATAACCGGGTAGTCGTGCAACTAACGGGAAATCGCCTTGAAAACCCTCGGATAGAGCGCGAGCGAGCGAAAACACGTTTAAACTAGCCGTCCGCCTCGATAAAATGCAACAGGCCATGCCAATGGTGCCGCCAAGAAACACTGGACTCACAGGTTTGGCGGTGAACAAGGATGGACACCCGATTGGAATAGCGGAAAATGGCTCCATGGATAACGGCCAGAAAACCGCTGCGTCTTCGTCACATATCGCCCCCACTGGCGTCCCCGTTAACGTGCCGCTTTCCTTGGCACACACCAACGCTGACACCGGTGGTGGAAACCCGGGACCTGCGCCGTCAGTGGTGATACAGCCGAGAAAGTCACCATCTACGAGCGCCGATACTGCTCTGCCCATGGGTGCCCATCATTCTCAGCTCCAGAACACTGCGAATTGGGCTGAGGGCAACCCAGCTTCTGCGGTTGGCACTGGTGGTCACAATGCTCAAATTCCAACTTCTTTCCCACCTCACACCGCGCTACCGCTGCCGCACCAGGCAGTACCTGCAGGATCCATTTCAATGCCATCATATATTACCCAAATGGCACCCCAAATGCCACCGCATTTGGCCCAGCAAATGGCTTCACAACTTAACGCACAGTTCCCAATGCCAAATCTCATATCCATGCCCCAAAACGGGTCGCCCTCCTCCCATTCTAACGAAGGTGAGCACGTCGATACAGTTGGGCAGCTAATTGGAAAGTCCGGCAAACCTTTACGCAATACTAAGCGGGCAGCTCAAAATCGTAGCGCCCAGAAAGCGTTTCGACAGAGGCGCGAACGTTATATCAAGGATCTTGAGACCAAAGCAAAGGAATTTGACCGACTGGACGCGCAAGTCGCAGCATTATCTCAGGAAAATGACTCTCTGAAAAGATACGTTTTGGATCTAGAGCAACGTTTAGGAATGAGGCGGGCCCCTTCCTGAACAGTACGGTAGAGAAACGAGTTAGCAAAAAAAAAGGATGCTGGGAAAACTAACCGTACGCAGCTTGTGTCAAGCTCTTTACCATACTCTCGAGGGAAACTACCTCTCTACGCAAGGGGAAGACGATCCATGTCTTGCGTGCCACCGTTACCGGTTGGTTTCCACCGGAATTTCCCATTTATAGTCTCGGGTTTGATGCTGCCTTACGCTTGGTAGCTAAAAAGTGCCTATGACTTCACAAAGTGCGTCGTTTGTCACCTACATCGAAGTCGGACTTGTAATACGTACTCATATATAAAGAAAAGAACAGTCCATGTTATATGAACCATGCTTTAGTTCAATGGAAGAAAAGGTTACGAGAAGAACTTCAACTCCGTCAAGACTTTCCGAATACAACGATCGTACTTTTGAGGTCTTTATGACCATTTCCAGAACCCGTGATAATCAATTCCAGATACCAAGTAGCATGGCTGCTTTTCTTCAACCTACACCAGCTTTTATTTGCCAAGGAGTTGGTCCTGTTAACTGAGCTTTATACCGTTTATATAATCTTGATCGCATAGTTGCAGCTTCTTACATCGGATTGGGTACATATTAGAGAGCAAAGAAGCACGATCCTGGCCTACTTTCAAGAACTGTGCCTCTAATGAAGGAAACTTCGAAAAGTACGTAAACTTGTCGCCGAAAATTTATGATTACAAGCCTTATCTAAAATCTCACCAAGAAGAACCTAAACTACGTGCACTTAAACATCCTCTAATAATGGCAAATAAGCCTGAAACGTATTATCCTGATGCTCTTTTCCACTGCTGATTTGTTCTTTCCATAGATTTATCCTGAATTTTTTTAATTTGACACGATGAGCTAGGCGGCTAAAAAGCGTTAATAGTGATTGAATACGTCACATGACGCTCTTATTCCGAGATTTTCCAGAAACCACTAGGGGAATCTATGGTGTATACAGAAATTGGCATATATAACAAGCGTGAACTGCAACAAATATATTGAACTTCGTGCGATAACTTCCGGACTTTATAAACTTAACCTAATATGTTGAGACTTGCTAGAAACTCAAGCTTACGAAGAGGTTTAACTCGGAATATGGCTCTTAGCGCGGGCACTAAATTAGCGCTAACGTCAACTCCGAAATTTGAAATAACATCCGTGTATAATAAAGTTGGTAGTATGAAAGTGGCCAGATATGGAATGCCAACACTACAAATGAGGTCCTATGTTTCTCTTCATGCTAACAATGCTGACGACAAACCTGCCTTGGAACAGTTCGGTACCAACTTGACCCAGCTTGCTCAGGAGGGAAAACTTGATCCGGTGATAGGCCGTGACGAAGAAATCGCGCGCTCTATTCAAATATTGTCCAGACGAACCAAGAATAACCCGATCTTGATTGGACGAGCTGGTGTTGGTAAAACTTCGCTCATTGACGGGCTAGCTCAAAGAATTGTGAGCGGGCAGGTACCAGACTCCTTGAAAAATAAGCAGTTGATCGCACTGGACCTTGGAGCGCTTGTGGCGGGTGCCAAATACCGCGGTGATTTTGAAGAAAGGTTGAAAAATGTTCTAGAAGAAATTGACAAAGCCAATGGTGACGTTATAGTTTTTATTGACGAAGTACACATGCTTCTGGGCTTAGGCAAAACCGATGGAAGCATGGATGCATCCAACATCTTGAAGCCTCGCTTGGCCAAAGGGTTAAGGTGCATATCTGCTACTACCATTGACGAATTCAAAATCATCGAAAAGGATCCCGCTCTAACCAGAAGACTACAACCAATTATGCTTAATGAACCCAATGTTGCCGACACTATTTCCATATTAAGAGGGTTGAAAGAAAAGTACGAAGTTCATCACGGTGTGAGAATTACTGACACCGCTTTGGTTTCTGCGGCGACTTTGTCGAACCGATACATTAACGACAGATTTTTGCCTGATAAGGCTATTGATTTAGTGGATGAGGCTTGTGCGGGGCTACGTTTGCAACATGAATCGAAGCCAGATGCCATTCAAAGCTTAGATCGCGCCATTACAAGGATTCAAATCGAATTAGAATCTTTGAAGAAAGAAACGGACCCATTGTCCCTAGAAAGGAAGGAAGCACTAGACAAAGAATTGGAAGATAAACAGCAAGAACATACTAGATTAACTGAAATCTGGGAAAAAGAGAAAGCTGAGATAGATTCCATCAAGACTGCAAAAGCCGATTTAGAGCAAGCTAGAATTGATTTAGAGATAGCTCAGAGAGAAAATAACTTTGCGAAAGCATCGGAGCTCAGATATGCTAAGATTCCAGAACTTGAGAGGAAAGTTGCACTCAATGAGAAGAAGGACACGGAAAACAATTTGCTACATGATTCAGTCACTTCAGATGATATCTCTAAAGTAATTGCCAAAATGACGGGAATTCCAGTACAGACTGTCTTGAAAGGTGACAAGGATCGTTTACTTTACATGGAAAACTCTTTACGGCAAAGAGTTGTTGGTCAAGATGAAGCTATTGACGCAATTTCCGATGCCGTTAGGTTGCAAAGGGCTGGTCTAACAAGCGAAAAGAGACCTATCGCGAGTTTTATGTTTTTGGGACCAACAGGTACCGGTAAGACTGAACTTACGAAAGCAGTTGCAGAGTTTTTGTTTGACGACGAGTCAAACGTAATAAGATTTGATATGTCCGAGTTTCAAGAAAAACACACCGTTTCTCGTTTGATCGGAGCACCACCTGGCTATGTCTTGAGTGAGTCTGGTGGCCAACTTACTGAAGCTGTGAGGCGTAAACCTTACGCAGTTGTTTTGTTCGACGAATTTGAGAAAGCACATCCTGACGTTTGCAAGATTTTACTGCAAGTTCTGGACGAAGGTAAGCTTACAGACTCTCAAGGGCATCAAGTTGATTTCCGGAACACCATTATCGTAATGACTTCGAACATTGGCCAGGATATTTTACTGTCAGACACAGAGCTAGCAAACGATGGTAAAGTCAGCAAGAAGACACAAACAAAGGTTATCGATGTTATGAAAAAATCATATCCACCAGAATTCATTAATCGTATTGATGATGTCTTGGTATTCAATAGACTATCGAAGGAAGTTTTACGGTCAATTGTCGACATAAGGCTCGAAGAAATCCAAGAGAGAATTGCGGATAAGAGAATGAAATTAGAACTCACCGATGCAGCTAAAGAATGGCTAACAGATAATGGATACGATCCACTTTACGGTGCTAGACCTCTTAACAGATTAATTCACAAGAGGATATTAAATCCTATGGCAATGTACTTGTTGAAGGGTCAAATAAGACCTGAAGAAACGGTTTATGTGGATGTCAAGGATGGTAAGTTAACCGTGAAGGCGAACCACGTAGAGGGTGAGGAAGTGCCATCTGAAACTGAGACGTAGATTATGTTAGGATAAAACTGTAAATACATGGAGCAAACAAAGGTTGAAAATAAATATAAAGACAAACGGAAATATAAGCACCTCTTTTAGATAACTTTAAAAAGGACGGCAAAAAGTCGTGAATTTCGAATTAAAATAGGGAATACAGTAATTTGTTATATCTACTAGATATTAGTCTACCTAGTGCGGATAATACCAGCGGCGATCAGTGTTTGAATTTTGCTGAAAACATCTGGGTTTTTCATGTGTTCTTGCAAAGCAGCTGGGTTTTGTTGTGCCTGAGACAAGATGCTTTGCATAACTGGATCTTGCATGATGGCAGCAACTTCTGGGTCTTTGACGGCTCTCGCATAAGCTTGTTCGGGAGTTTCATTAGGATCTTCGGGTTTGAATCTTTGTTGAGAAGCTTTTACGTAAAGTTGATCAATTTCTCTGGCATTGGCACCATTGTTGACTTCCGTGTCCTTCGAGCGGGCAGCATCCAAAGTTTCTATGGCACCAGCGAATTCCTTGATAGCAATCTGTGCAGTGGCTTTGCGGATGTATGCTCTTATAAAGTTTGGATCTTTGCTGATCGCCTTTTCGCAGTCTTTAATAGCGTCAGGGAACGACATTAATTTGGATAGAGCAGCGGCTCTGTTAGAGTAACCACGAGCATCTTCTGGTGCTCTTTTGACCATCTCGGTGTATGCTTCAACTGCACCAGGCCAATCACACTTAGTGAAGCATTCTTTACCTTGTATACGAGCTTCCTCCGCTTTCTCAGGATCAATATACGCCTGGGCCTCATGGATCTTAAGATCTTTTTCACAGTTTCTTAGTTTAGTTAGAACCTCTGGGGTACGATGCTCAGTCAGCGATTTCTGGTAAAATTCAATAGCTTTTTTCCAGTCGTCCAATTTTAGATAGGCATTACCTATACGGGCAAAAGATTTGGCGATGATTTTGTAGTCTGCTCTCATATCTCTTCCCTCGTCAACTGCTTCTGTAAGAGTTTTGATTACTTGTTCGTAATCGCCCTTCTCGAACTCAGCCGCACTACGGTTGTTCAGGTAGGTGATATCTTTGTGCAATTTCCAGGCCTCATCATATTTTGCAATTGCTTGATCAAATTGACGGGACTTGTAGTATTTATTTCCTTCCGCTTTAGCGGCATCTGCAGCAGCTTTGGAGTCCTGTTCAGGTTCATCAACCTCCATAGGCTCGGATTTGGCGGGTGTAGAGGTCGCTGGCTGTTCAACAGGCACCGACTTGGTGGTTTCTGGTTTAGCAGTCTCTGATTTAGCGGTCTCAGAGGTGGCATTCGCTGGCTTTGGGACCTCTGAGTTGCTAGCAGCCGCTTCCTTTTGATCATCCCCTCCCATGCTGAGGTCAATTCCCAAGAGTGCAGCCATAATGGTCATCATACGAGGATCTTGCAAAAATTCAGCGCCCATTGCTTGAGGGTTAGATTTGAATTGCAAGACTTTGGCAACCAATTGTGGATCTTTCATAAGTTCTGCAGTCTTTGGATTTTGTTTGAGCTTTTCAATCATGTTAGGGTCGTTGAAAAGCTGGCCAAATCCCAAATCAGGCTGTTGTTGTCTGGCTTGCTGAGTCTTTTGTACTTGATCAAGGCCATCTTGTGCCGCTTTGTTCGATGGGTCAATCTCTAGCGCCTTCTTGTAGCCTTGCTCAGCCTCATCCAAGTCACCAAGACCGAAGTGCGCCGCACCAACACGGTTGTAACCCTTGGACCACGCAGAATTGATACTAACACACTGCTTAGCGTCCTCAAGAGCTTCTCTAAACTTTCTCAACGACGTGTAGCATGCAGATCTGTTGGAGTAGAGCACATGGTTAGGTGTTTCAGACGCATCGATAGCTTGTGAAAAAAACTCGGCAGCTTTTGCGTAGTCTTTGGCCACAAATGCAGCATTTCCTTGTTTCTTGTAATCTTCAGCAGACATCGTAATACAATCTGGGTGTTTAAGTATTGATTTCGTGTAGCAAGTTTTTGCTTATTCGATATCGTTGGCTTTTAACAGTAGGACCAGAATTTTGCAGATATATACAAGGTCAGATTCGTCTGAATTGAATCTTGTCCCGAGTTCTGGAAAGTTCTTAATTTATTGGTGATAGCACTATTAACGATAAATCTCTTGAAAAACTGGCATGGTTAAACTTTAAGAAGCTCATCGCACAAGTTGAAAAACAAGCGGTTGTATTAAGCTATCAAACTTTTCTGTAGCTCCGAAAGCAGCTATGACGAACCTTGAAGAAGATGTAGGTACATCAAAATTCTTGGATTGGGCCCAAACAGCCGGAAAACTATGGATTTCTGATAAAATAAGACTCGGAAGGCACAGATCTGATGAACAGCAAGGAAGATGTATCATGGCAGTAGAGAGTATACCCAAAGGCGAAAAATTATTTGAAATACCCCGTGAAAGCGTTTTGAATGTGACCACTACCAAATTGTGTGAACAAAATGACGAAATGGGTGAGATCTTAGTTCTAAAGCTGGGACACTGGGAAGGCTTGATTATAGCTATTCTGTATGAGCTCAAAGTGGTCAAGGATGAGAGCCATTGGTGGGCGTATTTCCAGGTCTGGCCACAGCCTTCTGCGATCAATTCTTTAATGTATTGGTCGGAGGACGAGATTTCGCATCTAACGCCCTCTACAGTGAGCAGCAGAATTGGTCGCGAAGGTGCCGAGGCGATGTATATGCGCGTGATGGCTCACATCAAAGAGTTAGGCCTCTCACAACTTGAAACAGTCACTTGGGATGAGTTCGTACATGTGGCTTCGATCATCATGTCTTATTCATTTGATATGGAGCGGGCCGATTATGAAAGCGACGACGAAGAACTTGACGAAGATATGACAGATAGTGCCAGTGGCGAGGCTGTGACACACTCTACAGTTTGGTCCGACGGGTTTTTAAAATCGATGGTCCCTATGGCAGATATGTTAAATGCCGATACTCATAAGTGCAATGCGAACCTAACTTATTCTCCCGAATCTCTCATAATGGTTGCTGTCAAGGATATAGCCGCGGGAGAGCAAGTGTACAACATCTACGGAGAGTTTTCAAATTCTGAAATTCTGCGTCGCTACGGCTACGTGGAGTGGGCAGGTTCCAAGCACGATTGTGGCGAAATTTCCCTTGAAACTATTGTTGCTGCTACTCAGATTTGCATGGGTTCTTCTCGTGCCGTAATTGACAAGGTTTTAGATTTCATCATGAACCAAGCTGACATCAGAGATGAAGTGCTGGAAGGCGAGACATTGATCATGGACTCGTATGACTGTTATGTGGACGGCCAATTTTCACCCGAGTTGGTTTCGGTCTTACAGATTTTATCATGCATCTTACAAGTACCTGGAGTAGAACAGTTGAATGATAAAGTTCTTTTAAGTTATCTGCAAAACCTTGTGAAAAGATCAATTCAAAATGTAAACGCAAACGAAATCACTAGATCGTGTGCTCATTTGTGCGAATGTGCCGTCGACTTAAGATTGCGCGCTTACCCCAGTTTTAGCTTTAGAGAGCCTTCGCCGAATGCCGAGCCGCAAAGCGTAAAGGAATTGAAAATAAAAATGGCCGAGTGTGTCCTGAGAAGCGAAGTTAAATCATTTCAAAACTGTTTACTGCTGTTAGAAAACGAATACCAACTCGTTGATGACAACTCTCTACTAGACAAGATAATAGTTCCAAAGAGGAAGATTGGACATAAAAAGAACAAAACGACACCCGCGAAAAGAATGAAAAAGTAATCCTGAGAGGTCCTTCCTCGCACATAGAAGCATTCTCATAATTTTGTAAAATATATTTGACCGCTCTGAGTTTCAGCATCTTGAATAGTAGCCAAGGTCTTGAAGGAATCATCTGCGGTTGCAACGCACAGCACCTTACTACTTATGGCCAGCCTTACGACACTCTCATCAAGTTTCGGCAGTTCTTCGGATTTTTTGCGAGTATTCAAATTCCAAGCAAACACTTTACCGTCGGAGCCGCCAGTGTACAGGTGGCCATTTGTCGGGCTAAAAGCCAGTGCATTCACGGGAAATACAAATTGTGTGTCTGGGAGGTTCATACGATGGCACCTAAATGCAAACCTTAAAGATTCGTCATTTAAATACTCCACTGCGACTCGACCATCCAGTGAGCTCTGTACGTAGCCATTGCCTTGAGGCATTAGTTTGATATCTCGGGTCTGAAATTTTAGTCCCGAATCCCTTATAACCGGGGTATTCATATTACGTTGATCATAGGTTACAACTTTTCCACCTGCGTAGGACACTACCACCGTCTCGTCGTTTGAATCGAGTGCTAGTATTTTTCCGTTTCCGAGCTTTTCATTGTGCCAAATACTTCCCGTCCTCATGTCCAGCATCTGCAAGCTGCCATCCCACGAACCCGCTACGAGGTTACTGCTGTTACTGCTCATTGCACAGATTCCTAAAGTGGCTTCCTCCGAGACCAGCTCGAATCTTTCGGATTCCAAATCCACTTCTAAAATATCCCCCTGCACAGAGCCCACATACTTTTTACCGCAAGCACTCCAGACACTTGACAAAAGTCCATTTTCGTGCTTCATTCGCAACAGGAGCTCATTGGCCTCGTAGTCATACAAAGAAAGGGTCCCATCCCAAGCTGTAGCAACTACATGTGGGGCCTTCTCCAAGACAAGGAGGCTTGAAATGTAGTCCTTTGGACTATCTTGCAAGCACTCGAAGTGCATTACCTATTGTTGAATTTTGAGCCTTGGTGAGCTTTTTTCCTACTCAACGTACTTTCATCTCTTCGTAATGACAAGCATCGAAATTTCAATAATGATCTTCTTTACAAATATCGAAATTCCAACGAACTTTAGTTCGACCCGATTGTAAGTACACCTAAGTCCAATCTTTCAAGTTCAAATTGCAAAGAAGAAGTATTGAGTCTAGCAGTGCAATGGATTCAGTCGCTGGTTTTTTTTGGGACGATGGCTTCCCCAAGAAACCTAAAAGTAGTGCCAGTGAGACATTAGAAGGTAACAGTAAGCCATTGAACCATGGGGAACGCAAGAGTAGCGTGGGGTCCATTAATGGGGCTACTAATGCGGGGAGCACGACTCAACAATATCTGGCGGACAAACTCGTTGAGAAATTGATCTACATGGCCTTGCCCCCATCGTCAGAATTAGCAAGAACAACCATAGAACACAGGGTAGAGTCTAGTCGAAATCGGCCGGGGCTTTCAGTACCTATCATGAGTCGCAATTTTATTCAAATGAACTCAAGATTGGGCCCTCCCTTTTTAGTCATCGACGAAATTATTAAGATCCTTAGTTGGTCTAATACAGCGTACACCCTTTCTATTTTGTCACTATTCACCTACATTGTTATGAAACCTCTGCCGACCCTCACTAGCATTCCTGTCTTCTACATCGTTTTTGGCATCATGGTTCCGCAGTACCTCAGAATACACAAGCCAGACTCAAACACAGTTTTTATGTCCAACCCAGTTCCTGCAGGAGGTCCGCCCCTTATTCAGCCCGAAATTCCAAAGCCCGTCCCAGAATTTAGCAAGGAGTTCTTGCTCAATCTTACCGATTTGCAAAACCACATGTTACTGTATGTCGCTGCATTCGATTTTGTTAACAACATTTTGGCGCGATTTGCTTTCTTTACCGATGAAAGTGTCTCGAGCGCGGCTTTTCTCGTTTTGCTGATGCTAGCGTGGTTTAACGCATTATTCATAGACTCCCTGTCAAGCTTCATTCCTGTGAAGCCTATTCTCATTCTTTTTGGATGGGCATCGGTTTTAGCTCTACATCCTAACAACAGAGAACGCGTTTTGGATAAGATATACTCCGAGGAGACTAGGCTTCGTGTCCTCATGCTTTCCAGTAAAGTTGAGCAAAAGGTTCATAAATACTTTGAATATCATGAGTCAAGTGAAATGCGCCAGGCCTCGATATTCGAGGTGCAAAAATTTCAAGAGCATGGTAAAACCTGGGAACTTGTGGGTTACTCAACAGATCACTACACATTGTTTTCCGATTACCGAATATCAGAGAAGGTACTTGAAGACGCCGCTCACCACTTGGACGACGTGAAAGCACCAGTAGAATGGGAATGGACCAAACATTCGAAGTGGGAGCAAGATTTGGACCCGGTGTTGTGGGTTGAACTTGAGTTTGTGGAGTACGTTGACGTAGACGTGGAGACCAAATGGGTTTACGATATATGCTTAGATGGTTCTAGAGGCGAGTTCAGACGAAGAAGATGGATCAGGGAGTGTATTAGGGTTGCAGAGGACGTGAAACCTGAGAAGCACCCACTTGAGGCATCGGCGTCTCAAGTGGAAAAAGCAGGAAATAGCAGCGATACTATTGCGACGCGGAGTCGCAAAGATTACTCAGATCTTACAGGTGCCATACCAAAATCTACATCAGTTGGCTCAGTCTCCAGCTTGACCAGCAAGCATAGCGTTTCAGGGCCTGAAAGCCCAGGAGGTACTTCTCGAGCAAAGAAAAGTTTGGCAGATTTTCTCAACATTCCATAGCAGCATGATGTAGATCGTTGCCTTAGTTTGGCTGATTTATATGGTCGTTCTACATTCAAATGGACAGTTTAGGCATAATATTGGGATTCATTCATTTTTGTAAAAAGTCGTCCAGACTCAGAGACATTGATTTCTTGTTTGCTTCTTGCTCTTTCTTCTTACTTAGCATATTGGCTAGTGAGTTCATCTTACGCTTTTTAGCTCTTTCTTTACCCGATGACTTCTTTACTTTTGAGCTGTCTGAGTGAGCATTTTCTTTCTTGCTGTTTTGAGGGCCAGGCCAAGTAGCCACAAAGGACTCGGGAGCTTTCTGTGGTTCTTCAAATTCTCTTCTCTCGACTGGAAAGTGTTTTACTTCCCCGCACTTCGAACACTTGTATTCAAGAGTTTTAGTCTTGAGATCATTCCCGTATGGGTTGTCCACAATCTTCATGTCAAGGTTGACACCCGCGATATGAACCAATCCACAATTCTCACAGAACTTTGTTCCATCAGTGACCTGTTCTGGTAGTTGCAATCTGTTTCTCTTTACGCCATTGTAGAAACTCTTCAAATACAATCCAGATAGTTGAGATTGTCCAATACTCGGAAGAAGATGCACAAGATTGTACTTGTGAGAAATATGAGAGGCTGTAAATTTCTCTCTCTGCTGCCGATTCAATGACATAGCAAATTTACCAGGAACACTCAGCCGCCGCACTATATATTTAATGGGAGAAGATGGTTTACGATGATCACTGCAATCTTTTTCGAGAAATTTATTTCACATATGATTAAAGCTATATTAAGTAGTTATATCAAAAGGTAATCCCAGCACTTGTGATAATTCCATCAAGCACAAAATTTCAATGGCAATGCCTCGCTCTGTCGTTCCTCTAGAGTCGAATCCTGAAGTTTTCTCTAAATTTGCACAAAGATTGGGTCTTTCAAAGCAATATGCATTCAGTGACATATATTCGCTTACAGACCCGGACTTGTTAGCATTTATGCCTCGTCCCATGAAAGCCATTATACTCCTGTTTCCACTAAATGAGTTTTTTGAAAGCTCCAAAAGTTCAGATATAAAAGAAGACTCTGACACCAACAAGCCAGCATGGTTCAAGCAAAGTGTTAGAAATGCCTGTGGACTATACGCTCTAATACATGCTATGTCAAACAATCGAGAGCTTTTAGAAGAAGGTTCAAAACTAGGTCAGTTCCTAGAAACTCATCCAAGAAGCGACAGTAAGTATGCTGATGATCAAACCGACGACTTTATTGTGTCCATCAGTGAGCTTTACAATGAGACTTCTGCACTAGGCCAAACAGTGGCACCACCAGCAGATGAAGAAGTAGATCTCCACTTTATTACGTACATTGAGAAGAATGGTCAAGTATATGAGATGGATGGCAGAAGACCAAATGGTGCCAAATTCCTAGGTAAATCCTTATCTGAAGACCTGCTGGATGAACCACTTGTCAAAAACAGAATTCAGTGGTACATGAAGCACGCGACTGAAGATATGAAGCTGAACTTTACCCTGCTGGGTCTGGCACCTAGTTGGGATTAAGTATTATAATGCAGTATGTCTGTAAACAGGATTATAAGAGACTTCTATATTTGGCCCTTTATATCGACTCTTTTTGCCTTTTCGTACTGCTGTATGATGGAAAATCTACAACTCTTGGTATTAAGGAGGGCATACTCATCGTGCTGACCCTTGTTTTTGATTATGATGTGTTCTTCAAGACCGAGCTGGCTTAGAAAACTCAAACCCGTCTCACAGTTCCCAAGCTGGAACTCTGGGAATAAGAAAGACAGGGGGACCTGGTTATAGCTTTTTGAAATTGTGTCGAGAGCTCGAAGCCTTTCGCGATTTATGAAGGTGTTTACCAGACACTTCGAAGGCCCAGACGTCATTGAATAAAGCTTGAAGAAGCTGTGGTAATCACCCACCAAGAGTGACCTGGCCATTTCGAGAGCGTGTCGCACTACCGGGTGCCTGTACACAGCAAGATTTTCAGCGGCTAAGTATTTTAGTTTTAGCTCGTTGACAGAATTGTGGTTGTTCATCATGAGATAATAAAGAATCCGGTAATTAACAAATTCCTCCAAGTTGGATTTCGTAATATTTGGAAGCTCAAAAAGCTGCCCAAGCCGGCTCTGGCACTGATTGAACTCTCCAATATCATTGTTCTCCAAAGCAAGTCTGGCATGTGTTTGATAAACTTTAAGAGTGAATTGATTCTCTATAATTTGAATTCGTAAATCTTGTCGTAAAGATTTGAACTGGTCACACAAATACGAATATGACGCTTCTTTGTTCTTGTGCTTCCGCATAATTAGTTCAAAGGCCTTTTTTAGTACATTCAAAGGTCGTACAAGATCAGGTTTGGGCTCGGAAGTTAGCCTCAAATATTTCTTTTCAAGAGTTTGGCATCGGCCAACTACCGGCTTGTTTTTGTCAAACTTGTAGAAATTAGTGGAAATTGCGTTCAAATTCGCAAAATTTTCATCGGAATCATTCCTGTTCTTCTTAGTATTATTAGACGTGTCAGAAAACCTTTCCATACGCTTTTTCCTTCTTTCGGCTTCTTTTGAATCTTTCATTTTTGTTAACGTTGACGATAAAACTTTCTTTGGCTGAACCGGCTTAGACACTTTGCCCTTCATCTTTGGTGGTAAAGGCGTCTTTTCGGGGAGGGATGCTGGAGGTGGTGGCGGCGGAGGTGGAAGCGGCCGATGACCCACTGGCGGTGGATTAACTCTGTCGCAGACAAGCCGCAGCTCAAGGTGATTTTTTGTCAGACAAGGCAAGGTCTGTGACCACCAGTCATTGACATATTCTTTTTTTTCCACATATGCTTTACCGACCAGGTCCTTGAGTTGTTGAACCAAAACCACATTTGACCTTTGGTCGAAATTGTTGTGTTCTGCAAGCTGAAAACACCCAAGAATAAACTCTCTCATCCCTGAGGGGTGTGATTGTCCACTATCCTCTATTATTCGTTGCAAAAGCTCTGTCTTTTCTTTATCTGTCATTGATGTTTTAACTTCACCAGCCCCATTTGAAGTACTATGCCGTTGTTGGCCTAAGGATATTGGTTGTACTTGGTTATAATTTTTAGCACGAGGCTGTGCTTTGACTCTTCGGTTCTTCCCGCTCGGTAGGTCGAAAACCCTCGATAATTGATGTTGATCTCCCATGATTAGGTTCTTGATGTTCATTCTTTAACTTCCAGAAAGTGATGAGCTTCGATAATTCTATATGAAGGAATTGAGATTCTGAGTGACAGAGCACTCAACACGAAGACCTGGGGAAAGAGCATCACCACCTTCGTTTGCCTGAAACCTTCCCTCCCTACCAGTTCTCCTGTGGTGCTCTAACTATAATTTGCTCTATGGCTTGTAGCGCTTGAGCCGCATTTTTTATAGCAAATCTTCTGCCCATTTTTAAAATCTACACAACATTATATCCTTCTTGATGATATTTATTCGAGCATTCCTCCTTAGAATGCCCGGCGATTTAAAAAATTAGTATGAACAGCGGGCAAACCGACTCAAAATGTCCCCAAGCAAAATCTTTTCTTGCAAATTAGCCTTGGTCACCAACATTGTATCTGTTACTCCTTTAGGATCTGAAGGTTTAGCACGATAAGCCAATTATATTTGTCACTAACGCATAGTGAAGCTACAAAAACTCAAGCATCGTTAAACTCCTCAACAACTAGTAAAACGGCGTTTCACTTGCAGTGACAGCAGTAACTTGTCGGGTTGTGTGACGAAGGGTTTGAAACATATAAGTGACACCAATAATGGATGGTCAATGATTCGTAAGTATTGAACTAGGCCCGACAACTTTGACTAAAGCTTACCTCCATGGAGACCCGATAAAGGTTCTTTGCTTTGATATGCCATTTGAGTCTGTCCAGCTCAACTGCGACCTTGATAATTAGCCAATCGCTCCTGAGTGGTCTTTTGAGCCTCGGAAACCCGCTCAGAAAATTCCTGGTTAGTCATTGATCCACTCACCTGTTTCATAAGCTCAAAAACTAAACCATACAAATTTTGTCTTCTGAGGGAGATTTCTTTGCTCCACGCATCTCTTTTGTTCAGCTCTTGTGCGTGCCCTATTTCGTAATCATAATCAGTAATCGCTCCTTCTTCCTTTAAATCATGCAAATAGTCTAAAGTATCTCTGTGTATGGCGATCACAGAAAACTTGCCATTGGAGTTTAGCATCGAGCCCATACGATTTTGTAGTAACTCTATGACGTTCTCAGCAAATTGAGATTTGTCACGCGAATCGTTATTGAATTCACGATGGACGATGGGGACAGGACGAAGCCCATCTAGTTCATACAGGACACCTTCATGCTCAATGAAGCTCACAAAATGGAAAATTTCGCCTGACTCGCGATCCGGACGTTGTGGCTTTTCGTCCATCACAAATGGGTCAGGGCTCGAAAACGAGTTATGGACATTTCTGATCTGATCCGAGTTCGAAATACTTTCGCCACGAAGCTCTGAATCTTTAAAAGCCGAAGTGAAGCTCAGGAATTCCGAGAGAGTGCTTCCCAGCTTTATTTCCTCCGGATAATCACTAGATAGTGATAAAAGCGTGTTTATCACTGCTAGAGTTCCGCAAGCATTCTGGATGGTCTGATTGGCGAAAAAGAGGGAGTCTGGATAATTGTGATCGTAAGCTCCTTGCATAGGCTCGCTTTTAGAATAATCGGAAGCATCGTACTTGAATAAGAATATGGCCCCATACAAGACACCTGCTAGATCTTTTAATGAGTCCAGCACCGATATTTCTGAAAATTGAACTCCTGAGACGCCTAGGTCTTGCACAAGATGCGTAAATATACCGGCATCCGATTCAATTGTGTTCCAAGACATGGCAGTGATGCTTGAATGCGTTTGAGTTGCTAATTCTATTACGCATTACGTTTATAAATGACTTTTGGTCGTTTTAATATAACGTGCACATGACAGAAAGCAAACCAGAGTTAGAAGAGCCGAAGTAATGCTTCTTAGACATTTATTTACTCGAAATATGTAACCTTCTCGACAAAAATAGGCAAACACTGTCAGTGTATTAATTGGAGGTTATTTTGCTCATTGTGATCAATGAAAGCGCCAAATTTTACGACTCATAAAGAATTCGTGAAATTTCCAAGGCGTTTCGACGAAGACTCCGGTTCTTGCGCCCAAGACCTTTGCAACTGGCTTGAACATAAGTAAAATTGTATGAATGATTTCTTTCGCAAAATTTGCAAAACTATGTACAATTCGCTTGATTTTTCAAGCGGGCTTGCGCGTTTCGGTTGAAGTGTAGCTTGTGAATAATCTTAGATATCAAACATCTGGCGACTATTCCCCATAGTCTCCAAACCCAATTAAGCCACCGCCATGGCGAGAGTGTCTCGAAAAGTAGTCAAAATCAATCGACACCGCATTGGCCAGAAGTACGGCCCTTTGATCAAAGTTCAATACTTGGTCACTCAAAGTTTCTGGTGGATATACACCTTGGAAACTCTGCGTAGAATCCATTCGCACTATGTAGACACCAGTATCGGTAAAAAGTTCTCTTCCTAATCCTACCCAATTTCTGTCCACTCCGGCCATGATTTTGCCGCTCTCATCCGATAAGGGGAACTCAAAACTTAAGAACGGCGCATCTATCTCTGCGAACTGTGCAAAAGATTCACCTGTGGAATTATCGCGTTGGAAAAGCTCATAACGACGACGCCAGAGGTGCCAATTTTGAACACTTTCCCCGACTAAGGTCCCTGCCTCACCTGAAGTTGACGTGGACTGGGGAACTGGTACGGACCCAAATGGCAAAATGCTTTCAGGTTTTGAAGAAGTCTCTAAGGAAATTTGATCAGGTAAAATGGCTTTAATGTGAGAGTTGATCCAGGAGAATGGCCTCTTGATTGTGAGTAGGACATTTCCCCAGTTATCAAATACATCGACCACAAATGGGCGATGAAGTTTATAAAATTGCCGCATAACAGCTTTGACCAATCCAAAGTCCCTTTCCTGCATGTATCCAATGCGATTCCCTAGAGCGTCCATTATTACGTATTTGTTGGCCTGTTCAAACCCTAGAAACACATTCATCATTTCCATTTGTCGCTCAACAACAATTGTAGGCTCGTTCAGAATTGTACTGGCTATGGGATGGTGGGACTGAATGATTGTATCACTTGGAAAAGCTTTGAGATCCCGAGCAGTGGTACTGTTGTCTACGACAGAGTTCCTGTAGCCGGTCTGACGGACAGCTTTGTGTCTAATAGCGCGGGGCAGTGGTGAATACCATCTTCTAGTAATAGCAGATTTAAACATAGTAGTATCAATTTAATACCTTAGAGCATGAAGTTTAATTTTCGAGCAAGTATTTTGAATATCTTTACAACAGTATGCTTTTTATATATTTAGCTGCCATTATAAACCAAACCATTTATGAAATACTCTCAAAAACACGCAAGAGAACATGTCCTGCGGAAACTCATTCTACCTGATGAACAGCTCCTCACCACGTAATTAGTCTATAATGATTAAAACTTTCAGCGATCACTCTTGCGGTGTGGTTTCCCTTGAAGCTGTAGCTGACCAGAACCTCGAATAAGGATCTCGCTATTTTCTGTACACAAGTTGTGACCCACGGTTGAATAAAAGCGCTTCTTAAATCAAACGATGTGTTGAGTCCAGCTAAATCAAATTGTCCTCTTACTACTTATTAGGAGAACCATGCGGAGCTCAAATAAGTTCTTTCATAAGCACGTATACAAAAATTAAGTGAACAAAACTACCATGATCTATTGGCGAAGAAATAGATCGCTACGGTACGTTGTATCATAGCGCAGACGATATACTAAACTTGGGCCAATGTTCAAATCATTCAGAAAAATGTACGCAGAGAAGAGTAAAAGTTGAAATAATAACCTCATGATAACGCTCAGGCGACCATTTGATAAAACTTTTGAATCTTGTGCTTCCTGGGGGCCTAGCCGCCTGCTGGAAGTCAAAGTTGTTAACAATGCCAGCTTACGAGGTTTTTCCAATTTTTCAAAAAATTTTAAAACTTGAAGATCAGTTCTTAAGTAAAACCAAATAGTTTAAGGCCTAAATTTTCATCAGCAGCGCCCTGAAATGTTCCGCTCTGTACCCTGCAGGAGCATCCACACTGTACCCAAGCTGAAAAACGCGAATCTTCTTGCCGAACAGGGAATTCGCAATGTCTTAAGTGCCTCTGGGTTCAAGATTGCTTGGAATGAACATCAGAAAAATTTGTGCGACAAATTGACGTTAGCAACAGCAGGGACGTCCCTGGAAGGATATTTGCCGTTTCATTTGATTTTGAACACAGCTAAGAAACCATTTCAAACGAACATTTTCAACCTGGCTTCTGCTGCCCATAATAACCATTTGTTCGTCGAAAATATAGTGCCGGGGCCTGCCAGCACCTCGCCTTCGAGACTATTCAGAACTCGCATAGAGGAGCAATATAATTGCACATGGGAGGAGTTCAAAGACGAGATGGTGCGTCGTGCAGAATCAGAGGTTTTGGGTCAAGGTTGGCTCTTCTTAGTGGAAAACAGTGAAAAAGAATTGCATATACTTACAGTTCAAAACAACGGGACCCCTTATTACTTTCCGCGCAATCAATCATTTGATTTGAACTCTGCCTTGAAGCTAGAAGAATATTCTCAGCTTGATGCCGTTCAAGCACTTGTGAAAAAAGGAGATAAGATTCAGGATTGGACCATGCCTCTAATCTCAGTGAGTCTCTGGGATCATGCCTACCTGCACAATTACGGCATTAAAGGAAGGTCTGAGTACGTAAAGAACGTATTAGACAACTTGAATTGGTCTGTCGTTAATAATAGACTCTACACAGGGTTGTCGTAAAGTCTCCAAACCCAACATCTGCAAGCATAACAAGTCACACTCATAGCATGTACATAGAACCCCAATAACAAACCTCACCATGTGAACACTTGTCTGCTCACAGAACTTTAATACCCATAACTTTGTTTTGTTCTTTCAGGAGCGTGGCCCTGCCTCTATCGCATAACCTTTGCAAGCACTCCTCGCAAAGGGATTGATGCATTCCGTGAAATTCCCAGTTTAAAGACTCGTCACCTTCAAGCAGCTCATACAACGTTACCACCTGGTTTAACTTTCCACAAGTCTCAAACCATTGCAACATTAATGAACTCCAGTAGTCGATAGTTCTCCACAGCATAAAATAGACCCCACTACTGGATTTCACAACTTTTTGACTTTGAAGCATTTTTCTCCAAATTTGGTCAATAAATGGAGCTGGTGCAGCTCTCTGAATTGATTCATTTTTGAATATAGTGTTATTATTGGATTCCGAAGTCCCCATTATAAAACCCTCCTGGTTTATGCACCATGCATTGTTGTTCTTAGCATACTCTAATAATAGATCGCACCAAGTATTCAGTTGTTGCTCCCTAATCAAAACGTTGGGCTGACATGTATAGAGCGGTGGAAAGTTGTATATTGGTGGGAGGTTTTCTGTCATTTTGATGCGATTTTAAGATGTAAATGTAACATCGAAGAAAGTCAAATGGATTCGAATAATTAATATTTCAGAGTATAAAAATGGAAAGAAGAGTTCATGAGCTTGAAGACCGGTATGTTCGTGTATATCGGGAGCTTCTGAAAGCATTAGACGAACTGTATTTATATAGGCAACGAATTGTACCCAAGGATGAATCTGTGTTGGCTGTAAGGCGCCAATTACAGTCCTCTATGACTATGACTGCGCCTATGATTCAAGCTATGGGAAACGACGGAGAGTTAGAGTTGAGACTAAGGGAACTCATGCGTGAGAACTATGAAATGGATGAGACTTTTGCAGAACATCAAAACGAGCACATACGACTGTTGAACAGGCTCAGTGAAAAGCGCTCCCAATATGAAAAGTTAGTAGCAACTGCTCGACCTATAGCTGCTGAGATCAGGAAGTTAGCTCCTCGTTCACACCCTGGAATTGATGGCGTAGACAAAGACGTTAAGGACGAGAATGAAGTGTTGAAAGAGCTTATCGTCGGCATGATAATTCAGAGCGGGTACCAAGGTACCAATCGACTTATAAGTGAGTGGTTAGAGTACTTGGGAAACGCTTGATAGTTTTCAGAATGAACAATATTTATTGACACACCATTCTCGGCGCGGTGCATCAATTCATTTCCAGCGCTAATACCTAAAGTCCTGTGAAGATATCTCAAACATTGAAGTTGGCGTCCTCCCTGTGAGGGAGATATGAGTGCCTACATCCTTTGCATCTTTTATGGGGCGGTCAAGCACATTACATGGGAGCTAACAAGAGCGATATCTCGGTGTGATAGCGAAAGGTCTCGACACTTATTTATTTTTAGATAAGGTTGAAAGGGGTCTTGAACTTGATCGCTTAATCTTAAGACACCCATGGACTTGCATTTTACCGGTCAAAAAGAAGCAATAGCAATCAATTGCTCCTATGGCGCTACAATAAAGTTTATGAAGTTTAGAAGTTTGTCAATTGCAAAAGGTGGGCCTCGGAGCGCACTCGAAGCCGGCGAAGTATAAAGTACCTGGCAACAACAGAGGACAGAAGATGTGTAAACGGCTAAACGTATTCAGGAAATGCGTCGAGCTCGATGGTAGAAGTGCATAAGAGCTCTGGAGATGATTGGGTTAACGTAATGCCGATCATTGTCAATGACAGCTCTATCCAGTTTTCAAAGTTAAACTCTTAGGCAATACGAACTTCAACGCTGAAAACTCCTTGTCGTATTTTTTTTTGAGCCTGATAATCTTTGGGTGGTATTTTGCCGCTGGCGCGCTTTTGAAAGTTTGAAACAAGGCCAAATTGCAATCTACAAAGCCTTAATTAATATACCTGGGCCGTCAGGCAACGGTAACTTGACACATACAGAACCTCTTCAAGTACTTCTTGAAAGCAACGGACTAAAGTCATAAACCAGGCTGAGAGGTAAAACACTCTCAGCCGTAACGGCCTGGGGAAAACAAGTCAGTAGAATATAGTGACAGATACTATCTGACAATCCGCAGCAACAAAGCACTAAAAGACGAGCATGTAGCATTAAAGCGATATGATTTCCTGATCTAATAGCATCACGCCAGACTAAAGCATATGAAGTAAGATGTATCAGTGTGACAATAACATGACTGCACGAAATGTGATGAGGCTAGTCGTCATATCTGCAAGTATAGTGATATCCTTAGAGCCGTCGAGTGTGGTGCTCAGTAAGATGTTTAGTGAGATGCACAGCATATTCGATGACTGCCAGATATCTATTTCTGTCAGGATGTGACCGATGATAGTGTCAAGTTTTGTGATGACATAATTGTACAAAGTGATAGAAAGACAATAGAGCGCTAGATTATATCCGGGAGTTCCAGACACTGACCAAAGAAACTTCTTGTGGTCTGGATGTCAATGATAGCCTATAATTGCTTAGTGAACGGAATGGCTGATACACCAGCAGCCGACTTGCACTCTTTTTGTTCGTATTCGCATCTCAGAATCATATAAACACCACTCGTTGGTTTATTCCGTTAACAAAACATTCATAAGTACTTGAAAAACCACGAAGAGATATTTGCAAGGCTTCATGTTTGAATTGACCAACTTAAATAATTATGGAAGAGCTAAATAAACACATTAGCAAGCTTTCCATCGCTGAATCAGACTCATTTGATAACATCTAAACTATGTAATTCTACAGGGGTTCTTCTTGGCTCGCATTATCCGAAACTGGTTCCTGTCCCAATCTTTGCCACTGCTCGCTGGCGCTTCCTCCCGTATCCCAGCTCCTCATCGCATTGAAACCGTTGCGATGAGGTTACCCGGCCCTTGAGCTTCTCTGGTTTCTTTTCCTGAAAAATTTTCTATCTCATCGCCAATGCGATGGCCTCGCATCGGGCATCGCAGCTAGGTATATAAATCTTAGTGAAAGACTGATGGAATTCGAGATTTACTAAGAGTTTACTTGTAATGATACTTAAAACACCCCTTGCATTTGTCTTGATCTTGTTTTTTAAAGTTTTATCTTTTTGTCTTTAGTTTTGAGTGTCTACCACCTCTGTCTATCTCTCTCCTCACGTCGTTGTGAACACTGTTGACAGAGCCGTACTTTACTGACTGAACTGAACTGAACACTACTCTTGGGCATCGCACTACACTATGAAATACGTTATCGTCTCTGGAGGTGTCATCTCTGGAATCGGGAAAGGTGTGCTGGCGTCGTCGACCGGTATGCTACTCAAGACCCTGGGGTTGCGCGTCACGTCGATCAAGATCGACCCTTACATGAATATCGACGCGGGCACTATGTCGCCGCTGGAACACGGTGAGTGCTTTGTCTTGAACGACGGTGGGGAAACAGACCTGGACCTGGGAAACTACGAGCGTTACTTGGGTGTGACGTTGACCAAAGACCACAATATCACCACCGGGAAAGTGTACTCGCACGTCATCTCGCGCGAGCGTAAAGGTGATTATCTCGGAAAGACCGTTCAGGTTGTGCCTCACTTGACAGATGCTATACAAGACTGGATCGAGAGAGTTGCCCGTATCCCAGTGGACAACTCTGGCATCGAGCCCGAGGTTTGTATCATCGAGCTAGGTGGTACCGTTGGTGACATTGAGAGCGCACCCTTTGTTGAGGCGCTCAGACAGTTCCAGTTCCGCGTCGGAAAGGAGAACTTTTCGTTGATTCACGTTTCTTTGGTCCCAGTTATTCACGGCGAACAAAAGACCAAACCTACTCAAGCGGCCATCAAAGACCTACGTTCGTTGGGGTTGACCCCAGACATGATCGCATGTCGTTGTACCGAAAAATTGGACGAACCAACAATCAATAAGATTGCCATGTTTTGTCACGTCGGACCAGAGCAAGTCGTTAACGTTCACGATGTCAATTCCACTTACCATGTTCCACTATTGTTGCTAGAGCAGAAGATGATTGACTATTTGTGTGGACGTCTAAAGTTGACCGACCTCACCTTGAACACCGAGGACAAGAAACGTGGTGAAAACTTGTTGAATAGATGGAAATACCTAACTACTTCTATTGATGAGTCCTTTGAAACCGTCAAGATCGCCTTGGTCGGTAAATACACCAATTTGAAGGATTCGTACCTGTCCGTGATCAAATCTTTGGAACACTCGAGCATGAGATGTCGTCGTAAGCTAGAGATCGTGTGGGTTGAAGCCTCTGATTTGGAACCTGAAACCAATGAAAGTGAAAAGAACAAATTCCATGAAGCTTGGAAGAAGCTAAGCACAGCCGATGGTGTCTTAGTCCCTGGTGGGTTTGGTCTAAGAGGTACCGAAGGTATGATTTTGGCTGCTAAATGGGCTCGTGAAAACAGCATCCCATACTTGGGTGTTTGTCTAGGTTTGCAAGTTGCTACTCTGGAATTTGCTCGTAACGTACTTGGCATGAAGAATATCACTTCTGCTGAATTTGAACCCGAGGCTTCGGAAGAAGACCAAGGTGTTGTATATATGCCCGAAATTGACAAAGAAAACATGGGCGGTACCATGCGTTTGGGTATAAGACCAACGATTTTCCAAGCTGACACTGAATGGTCCAAGATTCGCAAGTTATACGGCGGCGCACATGAAGTCCACGAAAGACATCGTCACCGTTACGAAGTCAACCCTAAATTGGTTCCAAAATTGGAGGAGCATGGTTTAATGTTTGTTGGTAGAGACGATACTGGTGAAAGATGTGAAATTTTGGAATTGCGTAACCATCCATATTTTGTGGCCACTCAATACCATCCAGAATACATGTCTAAAGTATTGGATCCATCACAACCATTCTTGGGTTTGGTGGCGGCCTCCGGAGGTGTTCTAGAGAATGTGATGGCCGAGGTAAACAACTCTACCGAACATGCGGATTTCTAAAATGTCCATCCGCTATCTTATAAAGTGTACATACAACAAAATATACAAATGCATATAGAAAAAGGGTCGAAACAACACTGATCCTTGTTAATTCATAGGGCTCTTGACCATTTCTAAGCTAACTGCATAATCATGAATATAAATGTGTGCATAAAATGGCAAATTTACCAGGTTGCAAAAGACCTAGTTACAAATACCAATGACACCACAAGCAGGCCTCGTACCAGCGTTACCGGTCTTTAGAGACTCTTCGTTGTCACCTTTTCCCAAATCGTCTTTGCCCGAGTGAACCACAACCGTGCGGCCGACAACAGAGGTAGGACCGAACAACTTGATCAAAGAGTCCGTCAAGGTGCCCTTGGCAACACCGTTGGAATCGGTTGGAATGTTACCCATGTCACCAACGTGTCTGACCTCGTCTTTTGGAGAACCGTGAGTTTTCTTGAAAGGGTTGAAGTGAGGACCAGCGGAGGTACAGCCGTTGGTGTTGTCACCAAATTCGTGGATGTGGAACCCCTGCTCGGCGTTGGACTTGAAACCGGCAATCTCGTAAGAGATGGTTGTAGGTTCCTTTTCGGAGGCCTGTTCCAAGTGAACAATACCGGAAACACCGGCGTCTCCTCTCAATACAGCGACTGCAATGCAAAAGTTAGTAACGACGTTTTGGAGCCAGTGATTGGGCCGGCTAGATGGCTGGGAAGCTGCTAGTTTGTATCTGGTCCATCCACAGATCTTCGAAGAAACACCCACGTCCCGTGACAAGTTCTCATTATTAATGGTCGTTCAGAGATTATCTTCTTTAGGATAAACATCCACCAGAGACCAAGAAATTCGCAACCCAAATCCCAAATTCCTTGAACCTCTTAGGGCTATTCTCCAATGTACTTCGATTTTCTTCGAGAAGATTCTCCCTTTAGCCACAATTCCGTCTCTAGCCTCATCAAGATAAACCCTAACGCAAGCTTCTGCACCGAGAACGCTGCGAAACCTCACATTTACAACCACCTATTCAATGACATACCTGCTTTGACCATTGTGAACTGATTCTAATTCTGTGAGTTATATCTTTAACCTTGATGGTTTTGATAGAAGTAAGGTGGCACCCATTAAGCTAACTTCGGAATACTGAAAACTCTATAAAGCCATTGTGAAAAAAGGGATGGGTCGGGTAAACCGTTGGACGTAGGTAGTGATGTATTGGGATTAGATGTTTGACTAGATAATAGAGTCGAGAATGGTGGAAGCGATGGGAGTAACGATGCTACGAATTGATCTTACAGTTTCAGATTGAGTTGGACCGTGTGTTTGACGGACCGGGACTCGAAACGCGTGAAAAGCTTTTGATTTCTGTCACGACTTCCAGCTCCTTGGTCTTGGTAGTGGATCTTCTCTTCCTGGTCTGGCATCTGAAATCTGCTTCTCCTCTGCCTGGTATGGGAGCAGACATCTAGCTCTCCTTTTCGTGGTATTTAACACCTTGAACTTGTGTGCGTGCGAATGTAAATAGATCGGCCGAGCAGCGGAGGTATATTCGTGACGTTGCTCTAAGTCAATTTTAGAGAAGCAAGGTTTCTCTTCAAGCTTCGATAGATACTCTCTGTTATCAATGAGGGTTGCTCTGGCACCAACCATAGGATAGCAGGTTCTGCACGCTAAACATATGCATTCGTGGACGGTGAAAACAGGGTTTCAGAGTTACGCTTTGCGATTTGCGAGTTTCATGGTATACAGGGCAAACAACGACTGGCCAAGAGCGCAGTGCATGCAGGACAGGCTGTTTTTCAGATAAGTTCTAACTTCTTTCGATGTTTTTGATGCCCTCATAGCTGAATACTCCCCGATACAAACGATACAAACGATAAAGGGCAGACCCGCTCGTATACTAAACCCCGCATTCAAATTTTTGGTGCAGCACTTCGGTGGAACCGAATGCCACAACTAACTTAATGAACGATTCAACTAGCACAAATATTATCAACCTAGCCCCGTGGTAGCAACGTCACTTCACAAGGCCCTTCCTTCAAGGGGCGCTGTCCTCACAGTAAGAGGACCTGTTCTACAAGTCTCGGTACCAACGACTACCGTCTTGCTTTTTTAGATTTCGGTCCCATCCCCAGCATCGTGTAAAAAGTACCCACTACTATCATGCCGGTGAAGAGCCACATAGCAGCATCGGAAGGTCTCCTGAAAATCCTCTGAATAGTCATTATAATACTATTGTCGTTGAAAAACCCCATCTCTTTCCGATAAATGTTTGTTGATTGTACAGCTCTTGTCTGTTAATAATTCTTGGCAAATATCGCTTATGAGCTCATTTCAAGGATTTTCAAAATATTCAAGATTCAGGGTTCAATTGCGGAGGTGGAGCGAAAACGATGCTGCATATATACTTTGGGAGACTAAGTTCTGTGCTAGGCTTGATACTCTCCATCTTGGTTCATTCAAATTTGGTTGAGAGCTTTCGCGACTTAAATACCAGCTCAGGCGTCCACGATGTGCTTCGAACCAGTGACGTGCCTGTTTTAGTGATGCTATACATGCACGGCTGTCGATTTTGCCAAGAACTAGACCCTACTTTCCAGTACCTAGAGCAGGTATTTCCAGATGAATTGTCGCTATTGAAGGTCGATGGGAAACGGGCTACATCCTTCGTTCGGGAGATGGGCGTGCGAAGTTTTCCGGATTTGGTCCTTTTCGATAAAAGCCAGCACCGAGGCGAGAACATATCTTCATACCAGCAGTATTTGGGCCGATTGCACGGTTCTCGGGAACTGGGATCCCTGGCATCATTTGTGAGTAAAACTACTGGCCTCATGGCTCATTGGCCCAAATCCTCTGTTCACGATCTGAATGATTTTTCAAGCCAGAACCTGGAGCTATTACGAGCTCACTCAAACGCCACTCATCCTTCCCTTCTAGTCTTTGTGAGTCCATGGATGGACCCCGAATCTTTGGAATTGTTTAACGGCGAACAAGCCACAAGCATCCTGGATAAAATTGCCACATCAGCGATTGCACAATCTTTAAAAATCCAAGTTTACAGAATAGACGCATCCAGCAGTGCGGCAGCAGCTTGGACAAACGAGTTCCGGATTCGGGTCTCGCCCACGGTTGTTTTCCTTATTCCTAACGATTCTCAAAGCCTCACGGAAATTCGTATAGAATGGCGACGGGACGAATTGGAGTTGAGAGAGCGTGCGCAAGAAGTTATAGAATCAGTTCTTACCTTATGCGCTGGTCATGCTTCCTCCGAAAGCCATAAATGTCTCGATTTTATCCAATCTCTTCCTGGTGCAACCATCACTGAGGCGAATACAGCGCTCACTTCGCATAACCAAACTGAGCTTGGCCCATATTTGGCTCAATTCACGTACGATGAAGACGATGAAGAGGAAGAGTGGTTATTTGACTCTTTGCGAGAAGTTTGAGGCTTGCAACTGAAGGCCGCTTGTTTTATCATTGACGACGATATATCAGATTCGAATATATTTTCTTAGTTGACCTGGCATCTATTATGAACTGGCTAACTTCCTTCATCAAAGGGTTCTTAGCAATTGAAAGAAATTCCAAGAATGTTCAACATCTTCAGAATTCTTGCAGACTTGTCACATTTGGCAAGTATCGTTATCCTGCTGGAAACCATTCGAAAAGCCCGCCAAATCGATGGTATTTCTCTAAAAACACAAATACTCTACGTGTTGGTTTTTTGCACAAGATATCTGGACCTGCTGACATTCAGATGGACTTCTCTTTATAACACGCTGATGAAGTTTTTCTTCATTGGTACATCGGTTTACGTGGTGAAACTGATGCAAGACTGTAAACTAACAAATCCTGTGTCATACAAGGACATGATGTTTCGCGATACATTCCAAATTAAATACTTGCTGGGTCCCTGTGCTCTTTTAGCACTTGTTTTCAATTACAAATTCACAGTGCTGGAGCTATGTTGGAGTTTCTCCATCTGGTTAGAAAGTGTGGCCATTCTACCACAGCTGTTCATGCTTTCACGTTCTGGCAAAGCAAGTACTTTGACCACACACTACATTTTTGCTTTAGGTCTCTACCGTGCTCTTTACATCCCCAATTGGATCTGGAGATATTACAGCGAAAACAGATTGGAGAAACTATCGATCTTCACGGGACTGCTACAAACAGCCTTGTACTCTGACTTTTTTTACATTTATTACCGGAAGGTGATGAAGGGAAGAGGTTTTGAGTTGCCGCATTAAGGGATGGAAGCCATCAAAGCATTGTCCTCTGTCGAAGTTGACCTGAAAATTGATATATGCATTTATATATATCTGTGTGTAAAATCACGATGCGCACTCTATTTCAATCTCTCTTCAGCTCGAAAAACTCTGTGCGCACACCTTCCTTCGTGACTATAAGAATCTCCACTCCGTCACCAACATGGATGTGTCTCTCAGTAGCCGACGAAAACGCATCTCTTACCAGCTGTACCACTTCTTCGACCGAAAGAAATTTCAAGGGCCTGCGCTTGGTACCGTTGCTGTCGGGTTCGTATTGATTTTTGAAGTTCACCTGGTTGTCCAAGAAGGGCATGATTAGCGAGGCAGCAGCACCTCCGGCGCGGCATTGTTCTCTCTCGTAAGAACCCACGGGATCGAACGAATACACCGCACCCTTGCCTTCCTCGTCCAGTCCCGCGATGATGGTGTGTACGTAGTACGGAAAGAATCGCTTGCCGTATAGAAGATGCTGTATATTTCTAGCAGCAGATTTCATAGACAGTTTCTTGTCATTGTGATCGAAGTGATACCATTTCAGACTGTTTTGGAACCTTTTCACCAAGGCTGTTCCGTCTGCGGCAAACCCATTCGCAGAAATAAGGATGTTGTCGCCACAGTCGAAAACCTTGGGTTCGTATCTCGAGTTGATTGAGTAGTCCGTGGTATGTCTTGTATCACCCGCTAGAACTGCGAAGTCTTCGCCCGCAATCCCTAGAATCGTACCTCCATTGTCTGAATATGGGTTAAACTGGTGTTCAATGGGTACATTTTTTACTTCGTTAGAGTATTCAGATGCTATTGTGGTGGACATAGTGTGACTTAAAGCCTATACTGTAGATATGGTCCTGTTAAGTTGATTTCGGTAGCTACAGTTTTAATACAGTTTGCCACTCTTAGCTGTGATATTCAATAAATAATGATAGACTAGCTAGACAATTTTGGGCATGTGATAATCACGTGTAATTGAGATATACGCTATAAAGTCTTCAAGATCTTTATGATCCGGAAGCATTGACCTTCATTCGTGTTTTGTCTGAGCGCCTATATTTGAGCTGTGTTGACCGCGTGGATGTACCCGTACATGAACGCGACGACGTGCATTACTGTATCGAAATTTATGTGTTCGTCGACAGAATGAATCGTCGAAAGTGTGTCCTCCATGGCAAATCCGGGCTGGTAACGGTAGATGTTCCGAGTCAAGTTCCAATAGTGAGCAGTATCAGTATTCGCGGTCATAATACTGGGTGCCACGACGAGCTCCTTAGGCTCCGCAAAGGCAGTTGGGAAAATTACATCTTCGTAGAAAGTCTTGATGGACCCCGCGAAAAGGCTCCATACTTCGTTATCTGGCGACACAGGGGCGGGTTCCAAGGGATGGCTGTGCTCAAGCTTGAAGTTTCCGTTGGGTGTCGCAGGACGTAGTTCTTTGCCCTCTGAGGTAACTCCAAGGTCGTATTTTTCTGCTACTTTCATGATTTTGGCCAATAAAGTTTCTGAAACCTCCGCGACGCTGGACTCTATGGCGATTCTGGAGTCCACAAAGAACGAGACTGTTTCTGGAAGCGCGTTGGCTTTTATTCCACCCTGTATTAAGTCAAACGCATGCGTGCTGCGGAACAGATACTCGGTTTTCTTACCACCCGTGTCAATCAAGTACTTGAGAACCCTACTATTAGCACCGGGGCTCTGCATTGCGCGCGCAAAATCGTTCTTCACGCGGGGCGATATCGAGTCTGAATTCTTCGCAATACAACGATAGTATTGCGACTCTGGGTTTTGTTCAGTAAATAGAGCGGGAAACTTCTCGCTTTCAATTTCAGAAATCACTTTTGCTGCAATCCCAATCGAAGTATGATCCGGGGGCACCGACGAGTGACCGCCGGGGGTGTTGAGATGGATCCACAAGTCGAAGCGCCCCTTTTCACCAGTTCCAGGAGCGGCAATCATGACGTTTTCAATCTCTTTAACGCCCACTACACCTTCATCAATGATGCTTAAGATACCGTCCTTACCATATCTTTCTTCCAGAATTGGGGCAATGTATGCCGCACCGAAATGGCCGCCAATTTCTTCGTCAAATCCTGAGGCCACCACGATGCCACGTTCGGGTTTAAATTCAGGCTCCTCGGTCAACATGTATTCAATAGCTTGCAGAATACCAATGAGCTGGTTTTTATCGTCGAAAGATCCACGGCCCCATAGCAGCGTTCCCCACTCAGGGTCTTCTGTGAGATCACCGGAGAAAGGTTCATGCTGCCACTTGTTCCAGGTTTTGCGTTCTACAGGGACCACATCTTGATGAGCAGCGAGCATGACAGGTTTCAACGTAGAATTGGAACCCGCCCAAGTGATGATGAGCCCGTAATGATTGACAATCTCGATATCCAGTTGCGACCAGACAGCGGGAAAATCCTTGGCTAATTGTTGGTGTAGTATTTTGAAAGAAGCCCATGCTTTGTCCTGGGCATCTATTTCCGGGTTGACGGCGGTATCGTAGATTTCAGTTGGTACGCGCACAGCGTTCTGCAACTTTGCCAAAGTCTGGTTATACAGGGCCTTATCGTCCAGCAGCTTGCGAATCTTGTGCACAGGCAATTCTTCAACGGTATGAACAGAATCGCAAATCAGAGGTGGTCCATGAACCGCAGGCGGCCTGTGCGCAAGACGAGAAGCCTGGTACACGCAAACAACCAGAAAAGTAGCGAATGCAGATAAAATCCAATTTCGTTTAGCCCGCAAGAACGGAACCGGGCGGTCAATTGGTATATAGTCACTAGACATGTTGAGAACCAATTATCGACTGGGTTGTTTGACTGCAGAGTTCAAAGAGCCTAGAGCTCTCAAATGTCAAGAACCAGTACAGGATTTAAACTGGCGCTTCAATGAAATAAATACTTTATCTAATAACCTGTCTATCTATTTTTCATCATATCCGGCCCAGAGTCTCCATGTTGAGCATAAGGGACCGAGGTGATAAGCGAAAGAGCAGGATTGTTGGGCCAGCATTCACAACCATACTTAAGTCTATGGTGGTGGGAAGACAAATTCAAGTTCCGTGGTAGAATGTCTTCAAAGCGCTATTTTTGACCAAAATAGCATCTTAAAACGCTGACAGAAAAGTACAAAGTGATGAGCCGCGGTATGGTCGTCAGCAAGCCCCGCTGCTTGTTTGGGCTTGTGATGCGGTAGTTGTCCCAGTAAAACTTTTATGCGATTATTACTTATACAAGGTTCGTGACCTGTGTGTTACAGGCAGATATATTAAATTGTTCGTTTCGGTCGTTAAATGGTACTGAATATGGCCGGGGTCGTGAGTCGTTAACGTGTGTGCAAGTGCGCGCGTATTTAGCACGTTGCAACCACGGTAGAAGCTTCCCGGAAAATCGGACTGGCCGGGAAACGGTTGTAGAAACTGTCTTCGTCTTCGTCCGAGCCGTCGTAGATCTCGTTGTCATCCTCGTCGTCGTCCTTCTCGGCGATCGAAACCAAGGTGGTCGAGATGCAGCGAACTTCGGCCCCACACCCGTGGCGATACGCCTGGAAAGGCTTCGCAACCTCGTAGCACGTGACCGCGCTTCCCGTCTCGTCCCACAGGGGATCTGAGTCGTCGAACTCGCCGTCTGAGTTACTATCGGAGTCGCCGTCCGAGCCGAAATCGTCGGAATCCGAGCATGAGCCCGAATCCGAGTCCGAGTCCGAGTAGTACTCGCCCGTGACAGAGCAGTTGTAGGTATCGACTTCCCTCTCGTCGTTTTCCAGTTCCTTGCTAGACTCCAACGCCAATCGGTCCAGCAGATTGGCGTGTCCCACCAAAACTCGCAGGTCGAGGTCTGTGTTTTTTTACTGTGTGCGCACCGTATCAGCTTACTCCGGGCTTTTTGGGCCAAAAGACATCGTTCTGACACTGATGACAAGAGTGGTAATGGGGACATAGCAAAAGCGGTGGTTTTTTAATTATTTGTTCCCTTCCGAAGCCCTTTACTACGCGCTGGTTTGGCTTTTTACTTTCAAGAGCGTTTATATATATATATACATACAAACCTACATCTCCATCTTTAGTCTGTTTCCGAGCCATTTGACGCCTATGAATTACCACTCGGATATACAAAAAAGCTTCTTAGGATTTTCAAGAGTAGCCGTGAAAAAAAATTTGTACCAGCCGAGCACGAATCGCGCGTAGCTTGGGAAAACAGCGCAATAGCAGTAGTAGCCGCGTTAGTGTTTAAGCTGGGAGTTGCCGGAGCGAATTAGGAAAACGGAACGGATGCGAGCTGCAGAAAATTGCGAGGGAAGAAAGGCCGGCTACTGTACTACAAGCGCTGGCGTCGCGCTAGAAAATAGTGATCTCGGAAGCTTGCGGCTAGGCGCATCGTGAGTGAATTATCGGCGTAGTGCAGGTAGCAATGTGATTGCCTTAGCGATTGGTCTTTGCGATTGCCGAGCACGGTAATAAAGAGCGGGGACGAAAACATCGGGAACGAGACGCAGAAGAATGCTCACAGCGAAGGACCCAAGTTTGCGAGTTGCGGAGCGCAACAAAGCTTACAGGAGCGGACCCGGGTTCTTCCAGGCAATGGAATGTGTAGGTCACAGGGAAATAAATGGCGCTGAACTACGGCACGGTGCGGGTCGATAATTGTTTTCGAGCCCTTGGGAGATGAATTTTTTTTCTTTTCTTGCTAGCACCCACTCGCAGTCTTATAATCTCTCAGGACGGAGTGTAGTGGGCGACAGTGGTGTTGAAAATGTGAGAGCGCGTGTAGGCCATCGAGGTGTTCAGGAAGCCTGGCTCGAGAGATACGGATAATTTAGCACGTCGTAACGCCTGCCAGAGCCTGCGTCACTGGTCACAAGATCACACAATTGCCGAGAGGAGACTCCTAGAAGCATGAGCAAATATTGGTGTGGCTGGGCGATTTGGCATTGGAGCTTGTTTTCGTAACTGATGGGCCATCTGGGTGTCAGTGTCAGAATGAAGTGGGTGTTGAGTGCTATTCACGGGTCTCAATGCTGGACTTGGACTAAGCTTGGATGGTTGGGCTATCAACGTAGGGTTTCGGCGGTGAAGCATCATGTGTAATTAAAGTAGTGCTTGTCAAAATCACCAGATACTTATAAACAATAGGATGCTAAAGGTGCTCATCGCTTTGGGTTGATGAGGTCAATTTGTCGGGTCTGGCCTGCAGCCAATGGATGTCTACAAATACCATGGGGTCTATCGCTGGGATAAAAGCGGTAAGTTTAAGGCAATGACATAATTGTACGAAGTGATATGGGCTGGACAGTAACGCTAAACGAGTTCTTTTAGTTCCAAACATTGCGAAAGCGACTTACAAGTGTTCCAGCCCTTGCTGATAGCTTGCCGGTGCTTGGGGCGATGCAATAACTGATACATTGTGGGCCCCGCCATTCAATATTTGTTAAGGCACATTTGCGCCAGTAGCGGTTAACTTGCTGAAGTGGTCATTTAAGTCGTTCATGATGTATTAAACAATTTTTATTGGAACCTAGAATTTGACTTATCTCTCCGTGATTCTCTCGAGTCTGAGGATAATTCGTCGAGTGGAGTAACTGGTCGGTATTTATATAAAAATCGGCTGAGCATGAAAGCTATTACTCAACTTATAATAATCATACGATGTATCGTAATATCCAATAAGTCATCAGTCAATTATCAGACCACTAGAGGGTATTTCTGGTACCTGTCTTCATTTTAAGTTTGAGAAGATGTATCGGTTAGTTCATCGACTGATCAACGTTTGATGATATCACTTTGTACTATTATGGCATGGCTCTTCACAGTGCAATTGACGCTATCTTAGCAGTAGCACATAGATCCTGACTATATTCTTATTTCACTTCATTTCACTTCACGTTCTTCAATTATGGAATTCTGATCAGAAGCTTTAACAAGCTTTCTACGGCAGGATCAGACTCGCTTCGATAACTGTATGAGCGCTAAGCATAAGCGTCCACGAGCTTGCTGGTCAGACTCACCTCGAACACTCTCAAAGCCATAGATCTGGAGTTTCATCAGGTTTTCCCATTGGGACTTCTAAAACGCGCCCGCTATTCGATATCACTCTGTACTAAAATGTCGCAGCCCTGATCTTCGCATATTCGCAACTCAATTCTCTTCCTGCTATTTCAAATGCACCCAATCCCATTACGACAATCCAACTCTATGTGTTAAATGCATCGACCTGTGTTCCATCCCCCGTTTAACTCTCGTTCCCCACGTCGTCATTTTTAACAGGATTATCACGTAAATTTCAAGTTGCTCATTATAGCAAGCACAATAAAATCCCAACACTGCCCGTCTCCACATAGCAGTACTGTAGACTCTCCCAGGATATCCACTAGTTCTTCTCACTGCTCACAATTCGTGGTCCCTCTCCACGAACCAATCAGTTCCCGCCATTTTGTTCAAAGTCACGAGACCTTCAAATTTTGGGAAAAACACCGATACAATGAAATATTGGAAAAAAGTTTTTGGATAATAGCACTGGAAGAAGAGCTCACAGTAGCTGATCGCATTCGTTGAACATTTGATCGACTTCAAACAGGCCAAGGACAATTGAATCTGTAGTAGTTTTGCAACAGGAGAGATTGACTAGACAGCTTATTTTTCTGTGTTTACTTTTCCGGGGCGAAATAAAACAGGAGATATAGATATATCTGCCAATTGACATATAAAGAAAATCTTGAGCGCTTGCTACCGGGTACTTACGTTTTGCATCCTCGTTTTCACTCTGCATTAGTTTTCCACAACCTCACAACCAAAACCTTATCTTCGAAATGCTAAGAATCGCTCCGAGATCCGCCTTCAAGAGAACCCTCGCGTCACACGCCAAGCCTCAGGTCACCGAGTTGTCCAATGGCCTGAGAGTCGCCACCCACTCCAACGACCAAGCCAGCTCCGCTACTGTGGGTGTGGTTTTTGGTTCGGGCTCCACCGCCGAAAACCCTTACAACAACGGTGTATCTAGCATCGTGGCCAACCTGGTCAAGTCCGAGGGTGCTCTACCAGCCGCCAAAGCCGGTGTCCAGCTTTCGACTCTTGTCGGCAGGGACTCTCAGTCGTTTTTGGCCTCCTACGCCAGCGGCTCGGGTCTAAACAAAACTCTTGACGTTCTACAATCCCAGATCGCCAACGCTTTGGGAACCGCCTCCGACAGTGCTTTCACTCAAGCAGCACAGCAAACTCTCAAGGAGTCTGAACTTTTTGAGCTCAACAACCACGCCGGCCGTGTTTCGGAACACTTGCACGCCACTGCTTTCCAAAACACTCCATTGGCTTTGCCCATGAGAGGTACTGCCGAGGCTATTCAAGGTTTGGAGAAGGGCGACATTCAGTCGTTCGCACTAAACCACTTCCGTAACTCCAACGCTGTTATTGTCGGTTCCGGTAACTTGGCCCACGACGAACTAGTCAAGGCTGTGGAATCGCAACTGTCTTTGGAATCTGGCGAAAAGCCCGTGCAAAAGAAAACATCCACATTCTTGGGTTCTGAAGTCAGATTAAGAGACGACACTTTGCCAAAGGCCTGGATTTCCATCGCTGTCGAAGGTGAATCAGTCACTTCCCCAGACTACTACGTCGCTCAAGTCGCCGCGGAAGTTTTTGGTTCTTTCAACGCTGCCGAACCTGCCTCTAGACTACAAGGTATCAAGTTGCTTGACCAAATTCAGGACTACCACCTATGTGACTCTTACAACCATTTTTCCCTATCTTACAAGGACTCTGGTCTGTGGGGTTTTGCCGCGGAAATTTCCAACACCCACCAAATCGACGATCTAACCCATTTCACCTTGAAACAATGGAACAGGTTGACTATCTCCGTCACTGGACAAGAAGTCGCCCGTGCCAAATCTTTGTTGAAATTGAAATTGGGTGGTGCTGCCATGGATAATGTTTCTATTGCCAACACTCTAGGTACCAAGACGTTAGCTCTAGGTGCTGCTCCAGACCTCACTCAAGTTTTCGAGAAGATTGACGCTATCACCGTCAAGGACGTAAAGTCTTGGGCCTCTAGCAGATTGTGGGATCAAGACATCGCCATCTCTGGTACCGGTCAAATCGAAAGTTTGCTTGACTACATGAGACTCAGAAACGACATGAGCATGATGAGATGGTAGTTAGCGGACATATAGTCCCAAAGCTATAAACGATCTACTGGCAACGTAATTGGTCATAAATTCATTATGAAGTTCATGAAAAATAGACAGAATCTCCTTGATTTGTTGGGTTCAGATCTCGATATCTAACTTTTCATATTCCCCTCCACGACTTAGATATTATTTATCAATACTTGAAATACAAGAATTAAAACTTAGCACTTCATTCTTGAATTTAGCAAGACATGTCCATTATCTACTGTTGATGACATCAGTTGAGGAATTTTGCAGGACCCATAGTATAGTACCATTAGTTCAAAATTAAAAAAATTATGGTCAACGCTGACAGCATATAGTTGCTTATACGAAATCGTTGAAACTCACGCCCCTTGAAGGCTTCGGCCATCAGTGCCACCCTCAAAGCGTCCGCCCAATCGAAACTAAGCTCCTGTGAATGAATCTTCGATTGAAGCCGGTGGGATTTGTCCATGCCACATGCAACTCAGTTTTACGACAATATAGGGCTACTGAGTGTTTTTCTCTGGAATTCTCAACAATGTTTCCTAGCTCCTTTCACCTTTCTTTCCCAATGGACTGTTTCCCTCCAATTGCGCGTAATTTATCGCTTTGATTTTTTTAGAGTCCGCTGGTGTTATTGGATTGGGCGAAACCAACATTGAGATTTGTTGTTCCAAGCTGGTATTTTGGATTGCAGAACCTTGCATAAACAATGGGGAATTTGCCAGAGTAGCCGATGATGTGTTAGTGCCTTTTTGTTTTTTGGGAGTTGTAGTACTAGTAGTCCCGCTTTCTCCGTAATCAAAATCGTCGATCTCTGTAGGCTTGCGCTTACGCATTGCATCGTTGGCATCGAGGTCTTCGTCTTCACTCGTGGTTTCTTCCTCTTCGAGGGTGCCAGCACCTTCTGTTATGTTTTCACGGTTTTGACCGGTTACCGCTTTTGTCGAATCAGCATTTTTCTCTTCAACTTCCTTTTGTTGTTTTACTTCGTCGGGTGCTGCTTTTTTTGCGTTTTCTTCCTCCCTCTTTTCCTCTTCTTCTTCTTCTTCTTCTTCTTCTTCATCTTCCTCTTCCTCGTCTTCTTCTTCTTCTTCTTCTTCTTCTTCTTCTTCTTCAGCTACGTAATCGCCATCTTCTTCATCATCATCGCCATTGGCATATGCACGCTCTAGGTCAACATCACCGGATTGGTTCATATCATCGTCGTCGTCGTCATTATCGTACCCGAAGTTAGCACTCACAGTAGCTTCTATTTCTCGAAGAAAGACGACGAGGTTCTTTTCATCGTCCTGACTTATCCATGGAATTTTCGCTAAAGAAACGTCTCCTGTATCCCCAATATTTTCGCAGGGAGACAATTCATCATTTCCTAGAGTGCTGCTGACTAGACAGCATCTTTCGAGCGCATTTACGAATTTCTTAAGCTCATGAGTCTTGAAGTATTTGAGAGGATGGTAACATATTTCGCAAATACGTTGTATCGTGAAGGGGTAGCTGTCTTTCTTCGTAAAGTTAGTGTTCAGATGTTGTGCAAGTCTATGGAGGCGTTTGACAAGACCTAAAGTTTCGTCATCAGTGGTGAAGATCTCATTAGGAATTGTTTCTGTCATATGAATCAGCAACTCTGGTATAAGCGTTTTTGGACTGAGTTTTTCGAACACTGATTGATCTTTCTCGACTACAATAGCGGTAAGAGTTTGATCCAGTAGTGCGGATCTGATCCCCATCATATTGTTGTCCGTAGATACGTCAATGACACCAACTAATGTTCACTTGAAATTCTCGAGATTATTTGTTTTATATTTTTAAGAAATGGATTTTTTTAAGGACTGGGGAACTTTTAATGTGAAGTGAACCACCCATATAGGCAACGGGCCCTCATTTACTTCCCCATTTACACTAAACTTACTTACTGGAACTTCCATGCTTCTATAGTTTGTCTCTCATGGTAAATGACTGGCTTTTACGAAGCAATGAGACCTGCTCACAAAGAAGCTATGTTAGCACTTGTGATTGATAAGTACTAGTACAAGATTCTAACAGGCAAACGCCTCTGGATGCAAAGAACTGGTAATTTACAACAGCAACAAACTTCTACAAGCCTTAGCATACAGTAAAGTGAAGGCCAGATTTTCAAACGATTACAAAACCGGCCGTTAACGACACCGATCAGTAATAGTTGAATAGACCAGTTAGGAATCATGAGCGTATGTCTAAGAAATCAGGTTACTGCTGGTATTATCATGTCACCAAACGTCCGAGAAACAGGAGCAATCAAGAATGAGCGCGAATAATAAAGGCTCAAGCGACACTCGAAATAAAGGCTCGACATTCGAAATCATCATATCACGCTGCCTGTGATGAACATCTTGTGAGTCTATGGGAAAGTTGAAAAGTGGTTTCCCCAATTCAAAGTCGATCAAGCATCTCAATCGACATCAGCGGCTATTCGCAAGAGAAAGTGATTGCGGATGATCTGAAGTAGAGGGATAAAATCCTGCGTTTGTGTTTCACTCCGATCTTGCCATGCGGAAGGGGACATGTGCCTTTTGATACAAGACAAACAGTTTGAAAAGTTCTCGGAAGTCACAGCTGCGAGGGAAAGAATAGCGTAAACCATTCTTTAGACCACTGATCAATAAAATGGCTTACATTTTGGGCATGGCACTGTCGTCTGCTTCTCGAGACCACATATTTCTTGAAGTTTATCAAGAGACCAGGCTCAATTATCACGCGTCTACGAACGTCTCTCACATAATTGCACCAAGCACGCGCATTTCTCTGCAAAGGCCCCAGTTATTGCTGATATATGAACAGCGAAAAAGCGAAAGGCATCCTTCAAGTGTTGTTGATGAGCTCTGAAATAATGTCTTCAGTTTGTCAAAGATGTTCAAACGTGAAAAAAGCACTATAGCCTACGATGGTGTTTGATCTAACTTAGCGAATTCTTCCACACGCCAGCGTCTATCCTGCCAAGTGAAAGTGGGTTAAAAGGTATTGTACTTACCTCTGTACAACTAGACTATTAAGTGGCCAGGCGTCTAATCTAAGATCACCCATCACCCGTCACGAACGGTTTTCTCACAATATACCGAAAATTTTAAAATCATAAATGCCATGATAGGTTGAAAACAGCATCAAAAAGTGTGCAATTCTGCTAATATAGAACTCAATGTTCGCTTTAAGGAGGCAACTACAGGCTCCCACCATCCAAAGGGCCATTGCTTCTCAGACAAGCGGCTTGGCTGCGAGGAAATTCGGATATGCGCAAAGCGTTAGACTTCAAAGCACAATTAATCACGATGAAGCTACTAACACTGGCGTTTCAACAATAAACGAAGAATTATCAGACCAGGAAGTCGATTCATGGCTAGAGACTATCGAATCCCTAAGAGCGGAATTCACAGAGCAGCAGTACATGCCAGAAACATCGCTGGCAGGACCCGGCCAAACGAAGATCAATCTTTTGGAAGAAGCACTCAACGCGAAGAAGACATTTGAACCATCCGAGGAGCAAGTAGCAGAATGGGAAGCTCTTAAATCAGTGCCACTGCCTTTGCGGAAAGACGAGACTGTGCAGCACGTAACAAACATGATCATGCGCCACGGCAAGAAACAACGTGCGGAGAAGACTTTATCAAGAGCGTTATATCTGGTGTACTGCAACACTCGTCAAGACCCGGTACAGGTACTGAAAAAAGCTTTGGATGACCTTGCGCCTCTCATGGTGGTAAAAACCTTCAAGACCGGCGTTGCCAAAGCTGCCGTCATTCCCGTGCCTTTGAACAGCAGGCAGAGAAATAGAACGGCCTGGAAATGGGTTTCGGAAGGCGCTAACAAGAGATCCTCGAGCGAACTTTCCGTGAGAATCGCTGAAGAACTGATATCCGTGTTCAAGGGCAACAGTTCTGGCTTCGACAAGCGGGATCAAATGCACAAGACCGCAATCGCACACAGAGCTTACATTAAGCTGAAATGAACAGGACAGACACAGTAGCACAGCATTTTTCATTCTTGTACATAGCTTTCTAGTAAAATCCGACCTTTCAAATACACAAGTTCATCACAAATCTAAGTAGTAAGCCACTGAGATCCCGGCTAGCGAACCACAAACGTTGCATGCAATGTCCCAAACGTCGAAACTACGTTGCCCTCGAGAAAGCACGGACTGTGCGAATTCACTTCCGATCCCAGCAAAGCCTGTACAAACTATCAAGGCCAGAAAATACTTGTCTATAGCGAGCGGCACTAGTGCAAAGCGGGACCGACTCTCAAATTTGATTACCCTTACACCTATTGACTTCGTGAATAGCCAAGATTCCAGGCTAAAGACTATAAAGTGTGCTAATTTATCATGCTTTGAGGTAAGGAGAGAGAATCTGGAATCAGTAGTGAGGCCTAAGTATGCCAGCCAATATGGAAGCTGCTAAGAGGATACTGAAGTATCGTTTGTGGATGATAGGCATTGTTTGGATCGCATCAAAAAGAATAAATTTATGGAAGTCAGGCATAAAGGAATATTTAGTGTGTAATTCGATGCTCAATGGCCAACTGCAAAAACTCTTCAAAAAATAACGACAACTGCAGGATTTGAACCTGCGCGGGCAGAGCCCAAAAGATTTCTAATCTTTCGCCTTAACCACTCGGCCAAGTTGCCTTGTTAATGAAAATAGAAAACAAAATGTACAATATACCTAAAGGCACATGTCACGATGGTGTCATTATACTACACTGGAATACCACTCCGTGTTGTAAAGTGCAGAGATAATTGCATCAATGGGGACAAGCTGCTTAGTAGTTCAACCTGTGATAACTTCATGCTCGCGTATTTCACCGTTTAATTCTGCTGTTTTAACTAATGACATCAAACAACTTAAAAACATAAAAACCCGAAAAATTCAGCACTTTAAATGTTCAAATAATGTGAACGTTGCAAAATTGACTCAATTCAACTGCGAGAATAGCCAGCTCCCGTTGGCGACGGATTTCTGTATTAAGTACAAGACTAGGAAGCGATTGTTTTCCTGTGAACATCACTTTATACTAAACGATTACCACCCCTTTTCTCCCACAACTTTCGTCTATCTATAACGTCTACTACCGGATACATCAAAGATTAGCCGATTTTAAAGCTTTGATAAGTGAGCCAGCTTCAAACGCCTTTAAATATGCCCTCAGTTACATTCCGAACTCCACTGTCACCCCAGGAACAAGATCAGTTTCAAAAGGAGTTCAAAAGACTAGACCCCGAAGACTTAGGTATTGTCACTGGCGAAGCCGTCAAACCTCTTTTCAATCAGTCGGGGCTCAGCGCTCAGCTTTTATCGCAAATATGGGATCTTTGCGACACCGACAACCAAGGCTTTTTGAATGTTTCGCAATTTAATGCTGCAATGAGAATCATTGGCCATTTGCAGGCCAACCCCACGCTTGCCGTAACTTCTGAACTGTACCAAGACCCAGCATCAAATACGCCTGCCACGCCTACTGCTCAAATGAACCTAGCCGCAACAGACACGGGATCATCAAATACCAATTTGATTCCTGCCATCTCCCCATATGATGTCTCAAAATTTTCTCAGCTTTTCGACCGAACAACGAATGGGTCTCCAACTTTAGCTGGTGACAAAGCGAGGGACATCTTTCTGAAGGCTAAACTACCAACTCCTACATTAGGGTCCGTTTGGAATATTTGTGACAGAAAGAACTCAGGCGCTTTAGATAAGCAGGAGTTTATCATGGCAATGCATCTGATTCAACTAGCAATGGCAAACAACCCGGCATTAGCATCGCTACCCGAAGTTCTTCCAAACTATTTGTGGGACTCTGTGAGTGCCGCTATGCTCTCTAAACCCGCTCTCAGCGCCAATTCAACCGGCTTCTCATTAAATTCACCGGTCTCTCATCAACCGTCACTTAACCGAGTTCCATCGAGTGCATTTTCTAATGCGGCGTCCGATTGGACACTGTCTCACGAGAAAAAACAACAATTCGATGCCATCTTTGACTCTCTAGATAAAACAAAAGGTGGAACATTGAGCTCGCAAGTTCTTGTACCATTTTTTCTTTCTTCGAGATTAAACCAGGATACCTTGGCCACCGTCTGGGATTTGGCTGATATCCATAACAATGCCGAGTTCTCCAACCTCGAGTTCGCAATTGCAATGTTTTTGATTCAAAAGAAAAAAAGTGGCCTGGAGTTACCTGATGTGGTTCCTGAGCAACTGCTAAGGTCGCCTGCCCTAGGTCTCTATGCTCCGGACCCTCAGCAAGCAAGAAATTCCCAGAATCTTTCGGGTCAACTGCCATCGATACCATCTAGGGACACAAAACCTTCCTTCAGCGAATCACCGCAACTTGTACAAAGGAATCAAAGTGCATTAGGTGACTTACTTACTCTGAATGAGTCTTTTTCATCACCAAAGCCAGAGCAAGCTCGTATGTCTTCCACCACGACGGCAAGCTCGATGAATTCCGCTCAATCTCCAGTCTTATCAGGCTCTACTGTGGGAATGAGAAGATTTCAACCTTCGTCTACCTTTGGACAGAGCATTATAAGGGAAGAACCAGTTACAGCAACACCTGACGGTAGACCGGCTCCTCAGGACCAGACTACGTATTTTCAAGCTCAACCCTCTTTTCAACAGACACAGGCTGAACAGCAAAATCAACAAGCACAGCATCCAACATACCAACAGTCCTCTCAACAATTGCCTTCTCAAGAAAAGCAAAACTATTTTGACACAAACTCTGCCTCGAACTCTTATCAAGGTGCATCTCAATCTAATGCGCAACCAGTGTCCCGAGACATTCCCCCCACTGCACAGCAGTCCTCACATTTCTCTCCTCTGCCTAATGTTCCCAACTTTTCGTCACCGTCGTTACAACAAGGTTCTAGATATGCGAGCTCCTCGATGGATGGTGAGCCATCCATGCAATTATCTCAGGCCACAACAGAGCTTGCCAATCTTTCCAACCAAGTTAGCTCTTTGACTAATCAAGCTACTTTGGTTAATGAAAGAAAAACAAAAGCTCAACAAGAGTTGAAACGCATCACTACTTTGAAGTCTTCCATTGAATCAAAAATGATAACTTTGCGAAACTCTTACGAACAAGAACTGAAACAAACGGAACAAACAGAGTCTCAGTTACTTCAATCTCGACAGGAGAATGAAGAGCTACAGAGGCAACTATCGGTTGCTGAGGCGAATCTCCATGCAGTCCAAGGCTCATTATCAGAATTGCAACAAAAGCTTCAGGAATCCCAGATGAACAATGCTCAGTTGAAAGAAAATATTGCAAACTTGAATTCAACGGCTTCCTCGCTTCAAGCTGAGCTTGCTGAAAAACAACAGAAGGTCAAACAGGAAAGATCCATGGTTGACGTAAACAGCAAACAAATGGAATTGAGTGGTTTCACGGTTGCAAATTTGAAAAGTGAGATTGAAGGTTTAGAGCAGCACCTGGGCGTTTTCTTGCAAAAGCATAAAGAGCTTGATGATTACCGCACAACACTAGAAAACCAACACGGGGAATTGAATAACAGACACCAGCAGCTGGAAGGCCAACACACGGATATTAGCCGTCGCGAGAAAGAACTACAAGAAAGGAATAAGGAAATTGAAACTCAGGAACAATTATATCATCAAGAAATCGCAAAGCTTCAGTCCATGTTCAAAGATCTTAACTCACAACGGGAATCATTTGCGAACGCCGACGATGAACTACAGAGCCAGCAGCTACAGTATGCTCAGAAAGTTCAAGAACTTTCGGAAAGACAAATGAAACTTGCCATGGGTGAGTTGCCTGAAGATGCCGAGGACGTGATTAAAAGCCAACGAGGATTTTCTTCTAGCAACGATCATGTTGCAAAATTTGTGGAAGATAGCGTCACTAACTCCCAATTGGGAACTCAAGAGGATGACGAAAACAAACAAGAATCTGATGTGTTCGACAAAGATGTTCCAACTGTGGGTTCTCAAACAGAAGTGGAAGAGGAAGATGCTAGGACGCATGACGACGAAACGGCGGCACAAGTTCTCGCAGATAGATTCGATGGCGATTTAAATGAATATCGAATTCCTAGAACTGAATCGGTCACTTCGTCCGTCCTTAACAACCCCCCACAGTCTGTCTGTGACTATCCAGAGGGTGATATAATCACTGGGGCAGCTACAGGAGATAACGAACAGTTGGCTAAGTCCGCTGATGTTGAGAAAACTATGCCGGGCGGTTGGGCTGACGCGAGGAACGTGCAAAATGGAGAGCGATCTGCTAATGGAGAGCACCGCAGGCCAATTGACCCAGAGTCTGAAATTGAAACCCTAAAGAAGTCTCCAGATCAGACACTCGACGAATCGTCAACAGTCGCCGAGCAAACAATCGAAGATGAATTTCCTCCAATTCAAGAACTCGACATTGAAGAAAGTGACAGCTCTGATGACAACGAGGATGAAGAATTCAAGGGCTCAAAATACGTTGCCAGAGACGAAAACTCTGGAACAAAAGACAAATCTGTGACAATGGCAAACACGTCAGTAGCTGCGACCCCTGCTGTTCTGGTCTCGGAAAGCCAAACGAACTCCAAAACACTAAAGCCTGACAGCGGGATAACTCCATTGCAGAACAAGGAAGTTAGCGAATTTGAAGACGCATTTGACGGCTTGGAACAAGCCGCCCCTGAAGAGGATACTGGTCTTGAAGTGAATGATCACGAATTTCCAGAGGACTTCGAGCAAATTGAGCACAAAGATTTAGATGACGAACTCAATCAAGGTGGTTTCACGGGAGCTTCAGGGCCTGTCCAAGGTGCACAAGCAGTCGATTTTGATCCCGCAGCCGTGGGCGCTGATGAGTGGGATGAGATATTTGCCGGATTCGGCAACTCGAAACAAGGATCAGCGCCAGTTGCTCAGCCCGAGCCGATGCCCATAAAACAGCCTGTTCCTACCAAGTCAAGCGAAAAGATTGGAACTGCACCTATTAACCGCGGAATTGCCACGACTCCGAAGTCATTGGCTGTTGAGGAACTTGGAAGCATGGGCTTTTCCGCAGCCGAAGCAACAAAAGCGTTGGAACAGTGTAATTGGGACCTTGGCGCTGCCACAAACCATTTACTTGACAGCTCATAACTGATCTTCGCACAATATTATATAGATACTTTTCATTCTTGTACATGCCTAAACCCTAAAAACGGATCAAACCCTTATTCTATTTCCTCCTCTCGCAGCTCCACCAACATATCCCGCAAGCCCTGTTGCAATACTTCGTCCATCGAGTCGGATTCTTGACCCATGGATCTATCGTAAATTTCGTTCAACTCCTTGGTCTCACTACTAATCTGGGATCTTAGGTGCTCAAGTTCGAGCTCCAACGCTTTGTTCATATCTGCAACCGTGCCTAGCCTGTCATCCAGCTGTCCAAGTAAGCTTACACGCGAGTCGTGCATGTTGCCGTTAATCAATTGCTCCGGCGAAAGCTCATCGATACAAGCCATTGCCGGATGGTCTTGATTTAGGGTTTTCTGCACGTCTTTTGAATGAGAGATCAAGTCGTCCAAATCATTCAACTTATTTTCAATATCCCTTTCTTTGAAGATCTCTTCAAACTCTCTCTTGGACAGTTCCATCCAGAACTCTATTACCTGACGCTGGCATGTGCTCAAATTCTTGGCGCCTGCATCTGTTGCTGTATACTGAGGGAAGCAAGATGACAATTTCTCCCAGTTCTGGATTTTGTTAACCGATTGCTGCAACGCTTTCCTGCAAACTTGATTCAGTCTTTTATATCGTATTCTGACCCCTTCTGGCATCGCGTAATCTGCTTAACCCACTTAGTCTTAAACGCGTAAAAGCTTTGCACACATTGGGTAAGTCTACACCAATATTATCACGTATCGCACTCGTTCTCAGCGGCGTTGGAGTTGTGATCCTAGATAACTTCTCAGTAGTTGATGAACACTTGTTGAGAATTGTATCATATCAAGATCCAGGATTGTATATACGCTAGACTATATTCATAAGTCGATATAACTATTCACGAGTACAGTGTAAAGATATCCTGGTTCTAAAGAGGACAGCTCGTAAAGACATCAAGTTCCTACTCTAGGAGCTCTAAAAATTTGAAAGAACAGGGCAATAGCTCTAGCAGTGCAAGGGCCTGCTTATATATTGAATTAACGTAGCTTTGTTGTTCCCTAAGATAATCATAGAGTATCACCAAACACGGATGTATTCACCAGAAGGATTCGCGACTCGACAATCATCTGTAAGACTAGGTAGGTTCATGACTCTAAATTTATATCTATAACACTTTCACGATTTTATCAAGAACGCAGTGTTTACCTTGATCTGTGGCTTACTTGTGCGCGTCCGGAAGCCAGTTTTACTACCTGTAGTTTATTGCTAAATATCGGGTAATTGTGCAAACGACCCAGATGCCGTTTACGCCCCCTCCGGGATCAAATAAAGAGCCAAAACCGCAATCGTACCGTCACAACAGCTTTGACTTACTCGACACTCAGTTTGAAGACTCTCTGGACGCTGCTTTAGAGTCCTTGCAACTAAATACCACAGGCAGCGTCAACGGTGAAGACATTGAGATGAAAAGCATACGCGGAATTGATGAGCTCAATAGTCACGCCCGTCTAAATTCAGACACTGAGCCACTTATGAATGCGGGTCAGAATCTCCCTGGGTCATGGTCACGAAGCCCACACAATCGTCACAGGGCTACTAATGGGTCTTCTTTCTGGTCTAGACTTTCTGGGCTTGTGCGGTCGACAAACGAGAGTAATTCGCCCAAATACACCAACAGCCCTATAGAACTAAAAGACCAGCAGCTTGAGCGAGAGATTCACCCAGGGACAACTCCGATCTATGATAGAAACAAATACGTCCCTAATGCCATTTCCAATGCAAAATATAACCCGGTTACTTTCATCCCCATTATATTGTATGAACAGTTCAAGTTCTTTTTCAACCTTTATTTCCTGGTAGTGGCGCTTTCGCAAGCTATCCCGCAACTGCGAATTGGGTATCTATCTTCATACATTGTACCCCTTGCGTTTGTTCTGACCGTTACTATGAGCAAAGAAGCACTCGATGATATTCAAAGGAGACGCAGAGATAATGAGTCCAACAATGAAATGTACGAAGTACTGAGTAAATCCCAGCTGGTGCCCAGCAAGGATTTGAAAGTTGGAGACCTCATCAAAATAGGCAAAGGAGCCAGAGCTCCTGCCGATCTCGTTCTATTACAATCCAGTGAGCCCTCTGGCGAAATATTCATTAAGACAGATCAGTTAGATGGCGAAACCGATTGGAAATTAAGAATTGCATGTCCCTTGACCCAGCATCTATCTCAAGACGACCTTCTCAATAAAATCAATCTAACTGCATCGGTGCCCGAAACTTCTATTGCTAATTTCTTAGGGAAGCTTACTTATAACAACTCACAGTCCCAGCCCTTATCAGTTGATAACACCATGTGGGCGAACACGGTATTTGCTTCTGCTGGAACCTCAATTGCATGCGTTGTTTACACTGGAACAGACACACGCCAAGCTATGAACACAACAACTTCAAGTGTCAAAACCGGTCTCCTCGAGCTTGAGATCAACAGCTTATCTAAAATTTTATGCGTGTGCGTTTTTGTACTATCCGTCACACTCGTCGCATTTTCTGGTTTTGATAACAAAGATTGGTACGTTGATATAATGAGATACTTGATCTTGTTTTCGACAATCATTCCCGTCTCCTTGAGAGTTAATTTGGATCTTGGAAAGTCGGTTTATGCTCATCAGATTGAGCATGACAAAACGATACCCGACACAATCGTGAGAACTAGTACTATACCTGAAGATTTAGGACGAATTGAATATTTGTTAACTGACAAGACAGGAACGTTGACACAAAATGATATGGAGCTCAAAAAACTGCAGCTAGACACCGTCTCCTACACATTGGAAACGATGGATATCGTTACTGATTATGTGAGTGCACTTCCAGACCAATCCGATCTATCTGTTCTTCCAAGTGCTGCAAAAAGAGATATGTCCACCAGAGTTAGGGACTTGGTATCGGCGCTTGCGATCTGTCACCAAGTCACCCCAACCTTTGAAGATGGAGAGTTGACTTATCAAGCAGCGTCTCCCGACGAGATTGCTATTGTAAAATTCTCAGAGTCAGTGGGACTTACACTGTTCAAAAGGGATCGCCATTCGATGACTTTGCTGCATGATAAATCCGGGACTTACCTTGAATATGATATTTTAAAGGTATTCCCATTCAACTCTGACAACAAACGAATGGGTATTATTATATTCGACAAGCAGAAACAAGAGTATTGGTTTTTACAAAAGGGTGCGGACGTTGTAATGATCAAAATTGTGCAAAGTAATGACTGGCTTGAAGAAGAAACTGGAAATTTAGCTCGCGAAGGGTTGAGAACTTTGGTCGTTGGCCGTAAGAAACTTTCTAAAAAGGCGTATGAAAGCTTCGAGAAAGAATATAAGGACGCTTCTTTGATGATGCTCAACCGTGAGGTATCTATGAATAATGCTGTAAGCAAGCATTTGGAACATGACCTAGAGATTTTAGGGGTCACAGGTGTTGAAGACAAGTTGCAAGACGATGTCAAGTCCTCGATTGAACTTTTGCGAAATGCAGGAATTAAAATCTGGATGTTAACTGGTGACAAAGTGGAGACCGCTCGCTGTGTTTCTATAAGTGCCAAGCTGGTATCACGCGGACAGTACGTGCACACAGTAACAAAAGTTAATAGAATAGAGGGTGCCCTTGGCCAGTTGGAGCTCTTGAAGGTCAATCAAAACTCTTGCCTCTTGATAGATGGTGAGTCCTTAGGGTTTTATCTGGACAACTTTAGACAGGAGTTTTTTGATATAGTGGTACACTTGCCGGCGGTTATTGCATGTCGCTGCACGCCGCAACAAAAAGCGGATGTGGCTACTTTTATTCGGGAGGTGACAGGTAGGAGGGTCTGCTGCATAGGTGATGGTGGCAACGATGTGAGCATGATCAGATCTGCCGATGTTGGAGTTGGAATTGTAGGCAAAGAAGGAAAGCAAGCTTCTTTGGCTGCTGACTTTTCCATCACACAATTCAGCCATTTATCCACGCTTTTACTATGGCATGGTCGAAACTCTTATAAAAGGTCAGCTAAGCTGGCTCAATTCGTTATCCACAGAGGCCTTCTTATTTCAGTCTGCCAAGCTGTGTACTCGATCAGCTCAGAATTTGAACCAATTGCGCTTTATCAAGGTTGGCTTATGGTTGGATATGCTACATGCTACACAATGGCTCCTGTTTTTTCGCTGACGCTGGATCGCGATATTGATCAATCACTCACCAAAACATACCCAGAACTGTACAAAGAATTAACAGCTGGTGTAAGTCTTTCTTACAAAACATTTTTCGTGTGGGTGGCTCTTTCTCTATTTCAAGGTTGCATCATCCAAGGGTTTTCGCAAGGGCTCACGAGTCTAAATGAGCTTGATTTCAAGCGATTAGTTGCCCTGAGCTTTACGGCACTCATTTTGAATGAGCTGATCATGGTGGCAATTGAAATTTACACCTGGAACAAGACGATGGTCATTTCAGAAGTACTTACATTTTTCATTTTCGTTGCTTCAGTCCCCTTCCTCAACGAGTACTTTGATTTGTCCGAAATGGTTCAACCTTGGTTTTACGGCAAGGTTGCATTGATTTTAGGCATGTCTATTTTACCAGTATGGGCTGCCAAAGCCTTGCATAGAAAGTTGAATCCTCCCAGTTATGCCAAAGTTCAACAATTTTATTTTAGTGCATAGATGAGATAACACACATTTTACTTAGTACCATGGATTTAGCTCGGATTCGCGTTTTAATTAATCTTGCATTTACATAGCACTCTCAGCCTCGCTTTCGCTCGCATCACTATCCTGAGGTTTGTCTTCTTCCGTGCAGCTTTCTGGTCTCTGGAAATCTCTTGCATGAGCCCAAGGAATTGATTTGCTGAAAGTTTTGAAGAGACCGCTCGATTTCGATCTTTGGGGTCCTTCACCTCTGTAGACCGCACTTGGCAACTGAGGATTATTAACATCCGATAAAGAATAGTGCCCACTACTGATAGATGCTTCTGTATCAGTATCCACGCTGACAGTACTAGGGAACGGGAGAGAGACTTCGCCTGATACTTTGAACAGATGAACATTGGCAACATGCTCGTTTTCCACACGGAATACGACCCATACGAAACGGCGAGAAACCTCAAGGGCTGCCAAAATAAATGTTGTGACAGCGCTCTGTTGCATGGTTGCAGGTGCTACAGCATACACAACCCATTGGAATCTCATAAGCACATCCCAAACCATGGCCGCATAGTAAATTACTTTACGTCTCCTTGAGTAGACCCCAGTCTTCCAGTTTTTCCGTCCTGCCAAATAAAGGTCATCTCTCAAGAGCCAATTCCGTGAATTAATTTGTAAGAGCGACCAGTCCATAATAATATCCCATACAGACGTGATAGTAGCATTGAGAGCTGCGAAAACGATGAAAACGTCCCTCCTTTCGCGGGTACGCGATAATCGGTACGCGCAAAGAGAAGCATAATAGCAGATACCTAAGATATATTTCAATCCGTTCAATAAATGCGGGAACCAATCTCCAGAATCTGAAAATCTTCTTATGCATTGCATAAATCTCCAAAAATTTGGCAAGCAGGTTAAAGCACCCATAGATTTTGAGTGCGATGAGCCACACAGCCCGTTTGGTGTTCCAGAGTATACGCAAAAAAACAGCGCAATGTCACCCATCGAATAAGTTAATGAAGAAAAGATATCACCCAAGAAGAAATCCCCAAACTGGACTGGGAAGAAACCAGAAAACACCAATCTGATAAAAGTCACAATGAGCCATATTACAGAAGTCTTGAGTTTGTTCCAGTAAGGAATTCCTACATATGGAGTTTTGCCGAGAGAAGGTAAAAGAAACAGAATCACAGCAAGGACAATCCATATAATCGAATATGGGGTTAATTTCTCACTGTGGAAACTGAGTGCACTCAGAATGGCCATTGGTAAGACCAGAACACTTGAGAAATAAAATATAAGTGGAATTTTGGTCACCGAAAAATCATTATTGAAAAGCACAGCTCCATGACGAGAATGCATTTCCCCAAACATGATAAATCTATAATTGATATTGTTCTTATGCCAAATGAAGCAATCCAATAAGAAAAGATAACACATGAGGAAAACCATGTACCAACCGCCCCATAAAGGAAGGTTGAGCGTGTGTATGTTAGATACCGTTGAAGCTGTGAAACCCACATATAACGTGTAACCGATCAGCGTTAAAGCCGCACCCACACAAAACCCACCCACAAACATTTGAAGAATGGACCGATTGAAGCGGTGTACCTTTCTTTCGCTCAAGGAATATTCTAAAGAGATATTCTTTAATCTTGCTATTTTTCCCTTACGGTCTTTTGACGAAATGGAAAGAACGTCAGTATACCAAGTGGTGATTTTTTGCTCCCATGCTAAAAGTGGATCAGACACTTCAGTGCTGGAGGTTATTTTGGCAGGTTGACGGAGCATCACGGAATCTCTAATATTGTGAGCGAGAATTTTGGCATTAGCATCTGCATCCTGAAAGAGAGGGAATGACTTCTTGGCATAATCCATAAAGTGTGGTAACTCACTAGTGCCGCAAGTTTTGTCGAATTTCTTGACAATTTTGCGAAAACCGGTGACGTTTACCTCTCTATAGTTCTTGATGAGCTGAATCAAGAGATATTCTTCAATCAAAGCATCCGAAAGACGCTGTCGAATTTGATTACCGCTCAAGGCCACAGGGGTAAAAGTCTCTCCATGCCCTATGGCCGATGGGCCTTTGAGCTCGGGCCCTTTTCCTATAAGGCGTTTGAAAGGTACAAAATTTGGCAAAGAAGGCATGAGCTCAATTTCTTGTAAGTAGCTCGAAATATGGCGTATCCAAGTATTTTTTGGGATGACTGGCGATGATTTATTTTGGTCCAAGGAGTTTACTGACCCGTAGGATTTGTAGGTAGACATGAATCGACCTGCTTCTTCATGCTGCAACTGTTCTTTGTGAAGTTCGTAGCGATTTATTTGCTCTTGTAATACAGCAAATCGCTTGCCGCAGCGACTTACTTCCCATAGGTAGAAATCGTTGCACTTCTCTAACTCTTGGTCAATGACCCATTTTTCCACAAAATCAATCACAAAATGTTTTTGGGCCGCGGTGTACGCGTTTTGAGTCAGATATCTGGCATTCTTGTTGCCTGGTACGGCCACACCCGTTGGTTGCGAAATCGAGACGTTGTTGATGAGCACCTGGCTTGCATCGATTGAATGCCTGCAAGACTTGAGTTTTTTTTTACCCGCCTTGTAATCGATGTACTTGTCGATCCATTCTGGTACTGCGGATTCTCGCAAATGCTCTGCAAATTTCATGAAGAGTGCGGATGGAGAAGCCAGAGTCTAACACCACGGTAAGGGCGATCCTTGTCACGGACTAAACAGAAATACTCTCGGAATCAAGATGCAAAACAGCGGCGCTGCACACAGTCTAGATCAAATCTCTGGTTTTCGCTAGGTGTCGAATTTTTACCCGCTGAACTTAGCTTGGCAAATACTCCCGACTAGCAATCAGCTACTGTACCGATCCTCGCTTATTATACTTCACGTCTGAGTTCGACGATCAAAGATGAAAATTTCCTAGCCACCACCAGATGTCTTTTGCCTTTCAAACAGTCTTTGCCCGCGCAAATGCTTTAATTACCCGAAGATCTCGGACCTCGATCTCTGGACGATCGACCCGGCTCTCAACCTGTTCAAAATCTTCCGAGACGCGATAAGCTCTGCTAACGAGCTGGAGTACACGATGATATCGAAATTCTTATACAAGATCTTATGTTATTTTTCAGAAGCCTTGCAATGAGCGATGAGCAAACATCGGTTTAAGTGCTTTCGCGTGGGGGGTTTAATTAAAATTGTACATTTTCAACGCGTCGATAGTGATATCACGAACATTTAAATCGGCGAGAAACCGAGTAGTTAAGCTTCTGGCCTGTTAGCATGTAAGATGTGTCGTGCTTTCCCTCGAACGATGCGCTCACGAGGCGCCGGGAGAGATCTAGTGGCACAGGTGAAAACCGTACAGAGTGATTGATGTCTTTCAGATGACTATAGCGAGCTGTGGTGGCCAGGATGAGCACTACGAGGGAGCGTTGCAGACCGTGCTGTTTGCTTGTTTGCCTCTGCAGTTCGAGGCGGATCTTTATTTCCGATCCCAAACTACGTATTTTGCAGTAGCTCAGAGGACAAATAACGACAAATCGCGATATGCCAAACAGAGATCGCAGCGCGTGCACACTCAAAAGCTAGACGGGTTTGCGTGGCCTGCAAAACCATAGGCTGGGATCTACCGAGGAATTTGGGAACCTGCTGTAATTTAGCAACATCACGGTACACGAAAAGGCATTTATAAACACATCATTGATGCGAGTTACCAGCCCGCTAGCTTCACTCACAGGGGTATGCACGAGGTGCAAGCGAGCACTATTGACTGGAGCTCAGGCTTTACTGAGCGATGATGGGGCTAATTTCAAACACGATTTGAGAAAGCTACTCGTTTCTCTACTCGTTTCACTGATCACTACGAACGCGGACAATCTAGTGAGTCAGTTCAATCGACCATGTCGTTGAAAAAAGACAACTTTTCACATCGACGCACGATCGATAAATCTCAAATCCGTAGAAATCCCATCCTTCAACACGTCTAGTCAAACATGGATTTAGTCAACCACCTGACCGATAGATTACTATTTGCCATCCCGAAGAGTACGTACCTGTTGCTCCAGGATCACCAGTATCCGGGGTTTTCTGTTCATATGAAGATGACGAACAAAATACTAACCGCAGCTACGCAGAGGGACGTCTCTATGAGAAAGCCGTGTCTATTTTGAAAGGCTCGGACATCAGATTCCACCGCTCCCAGCGCTTGGACATAGCGCTGTCGACCAACATGCCTGTCGCCTTGATCTTCTTGCCAGCTGCTGACATCCCAATGTTCGTGGGTGAAGGTAAGTGTGACCTCGGTATCACCGGTGTCGACCAGGTAAAAGAATCACAAGTGGATGTCTTGCTGCCCATGGACTTGCAGTTTGGCTCCTGCAAGCTTCAAGTACAAGTGCCCGAAAACGGACCTTATACCAAGCCTGAACAACTGATTGGGAAAACCATTGTCTCCAGTTTCACTACTTTGACCAAACAATATTTCGCCGAACTCGAAGGCGTGCCTGTCGACCAGATCTCGACTAAGGTCAGATTCGTGGGTGGCTCTGTGGAAGCCTCGTGCGCGCTAGGAATCGCCGATGCCATTGTGGATCTTGTCGAGTCCGGCGAGACCATGCGTGCGGCTGGCTTGATAGACATCGCCACTGTTCTAGAGACCAGTGCCCACTTGATAGAGTCCAAAAACCCCAAGGGCGACACAGAACTGCTGCAGACCATCAAATCCAGAATCGAGGGTGTCATGACCGCGGCAAAATACGTTTCCTGTAATTACAATGCGCCTTTGTCAAGCCTACCAGATGTGCTGAAGATCACCCCGGGCAGAAGAGCCCCTACGATCTCCCAAATCGACGACGAAGGTTGGGTTGCCGTGTCTGCCATGATTGACAGAAAGCAAAAGGGTACCATCATGGACGACCTGAAGAAAAAGGGAGCTGCCGATATCATGGTCTTTGAGATCTCCAACTGCCGTGTTTAGCCAGGTATTGATAGAAATATAGCCTTTTTTAGACTAGAATAAGTTTTTAACGTTGAACAAAATTGTACTATCTACGTTTACTAGCTCTTGCGAAAAGCCATTTCAAGACGCCCCCCAAACATCCAATCTCAAATAATATAGCCGTATGTCTCTCAGCTGCTCGTGTAACCAAATGTTCTGTCGTTGTCGTTCAGTACACGGGAAAGACACAGAATAAAACAGAAAAAAAGTACGCCCGCAATCTGCCCTCTCTTGTTCTTGGAAACTCTTCTTATCTATTGCGACACCCACAGGATTTACATCTTTACTTCCTGGTCTCAAGTTCTACCCAAAAGGCTTAATACCGGTATTGAGAGCCACATCTCTATTGTCTCACGTGGAATTTAGATCTTTTACCGAAATATCACTAAAACATCGCCAGCGCATCGAAGTCATCAGTTTGAATATTATTGATACCAGTAGACGTTACCATTTCATTGCAACGCCAGTAAAGGGGAATATTGATCAGAGTTAAAGTTACAGGGCACTTTGAAAGATAGCTATTTGCCTGTATCAAGCGTTTTTGACAGCTAACAGCACATACAAGAAGAAAAATAAGATCGAAAACAGCAGAACAATCGCATAAGACTTTCCCTTTTGAAATGTTGTCTCCACCACAGGCTAGGAGCTCAGGAGTGCCCGAAGGGTCCAACAGAAAACGAGGATTCGAGAACGTGGAAGACGTTTCCGACAGTGGTGAAAGAAGCAGTGATGCTGTTGACCCGGAGCCAGTACCGAAAGCTAGCTTGGAAATCTCAGCGTCCAATAAGCGTCTTTGCAAACTGCCGCAGTACAATTTCCTGCGATTCTGCTACCGCCACAACCCAGATATCCAACAGTCTCCGACGCACACGGCGCGTTTCGAACAGGACAAGCAACGGCACTCCAAGCTGCACAACAAGATTAGCAAGCTAATACCGGACGAACAGCGGCAGGTTAACGATCTTCTGTCCAACTTCATGGGCTGCAATGACAAGATGCGGAAACTGGTGCTGGAAGGCATTTTAACCAACTGTTGCTTCCCGCAACTGTCGTTCTTGGCATCCGAGATCCAAAGTTTGATCAAGATCGATTTCATCAGCACCCTACCAGAGGAAGTATCTCTGAAAATTCTGAGCTATTTGGATTGCGAGAGTTTGTGTAACGCTACCCAGGTATGTCGACGCTGGAAACAGCTGGCTGACGACGATAAAGTATGGTACCATATGTGTCAGCAACACATAGATCGCAAATGCCCCAACTGTGGGTGGGGGCTGCCGTTACTACACATGAAGCGCGCTCGTTTTATCGAGTCGGAGGGCAGTCAAAAGCCATGTCCGGAAGAGGTCAATGGTACTGCTTCTGCACCATGCAAGAATGCTAGAAAGACGAGGCCTTGGAAAGTCATATACCGGGAGCGTTTCAAAGTGGAATCTAACTGGAGGAAAGGACTAGCACATATTCAAGAATTCAAGGGCCACATGGATGGCGTTTTAACTTTACAATTTAACTACCGCTTGCTATTTACCGGATCATACGATTCCACGGTTGCCATTTGGGATTTGGCTACGGGCAAGCTTGTAAGGAGACTCACGGGTCATCGTGATGGTGTCAAAACGCTGTATTTTGATGATCAAAAACTCATAACAGGATCGTTGGATCGAACAGTTCGGGTTTGGAATTACGTTACAGGTGCGTGTGTTTCTACATACCGAGGCCATTCCGATAGCGTCTTGAGTGTTGACTCCTACAAGAAGATAATCGTGTCTGGGTCCGCCGACAAGACGGTTAAAGTATGGCACGTCGAGTCGCGCACATGCTACACACTGCGAGGCCATTCGGAATGGGTTGGGTGCGTTAAGCTGCACCCCAAGAGCTTTACGTGCTTCAGTGGCAGTGACGATACGACAATTCGAATGTGGGATATCCGGTCCAATACGTGCGTCAAAGTGTTCCGCGGCCATGTGGGACAAGTACAGAAAGTGTTGCCGTTGAACATCCTGGACACGGAAAACTTGGTTGTCGATCAGCCGACCGATGTGGGCGGGACTACGGCAAACAGCGGACTAACCCCAGACGCAGCGACTACAGCTGAAAACGGCGAGAACGCGCAATTCACGACCATGGACGACTCGATGCCGTACCCGTCTCACCTGCTGTCGTGCTCGCTGGACAACACGATCAAACTGTGGGACGTGCGCACGGGCAAATGTGTGCGCACGCATTTTGGTCATTTGGAAGGCATTTGGGACATAGCAGCGGACAATTTCCGCATCATAAGCGGCAGTCACGACAAGACCGTCAAAGTGTGGGACTTGCAGAGTGGCAAGTGTATCCACACGTTCGACAGCCATCAGGGGCCCATAACCTGTGTTGGTATAGGTGATTCCGAGTTCGTGAGTGGGGATGAGCTGGGGTGTGTGAAGCTGTACCGCTTCGACTAGCGGTAGCAACAGCACACCGAGGCGACTGGGTGACCAGGCCGACCCGACAGTGTTTCTAGCACCAGGACAGCGCGCGCTTGACCACCCGACCACACAGGCGCGTGACAATCACGCAACTGTCGCGTGACACCTACCATGTGATAATCACGCGATAATCACGTGATGTGGCCCCCTTTTTTCCTCTCCATTTCTCCACCTCGTTCGAAATGCTCTTGGTCTCATGATTGCGTAATCCACATGTAACCACTTCACCGCCAACAAAGGGTATTTATCATCTTGTCACTGTACCCAGGTTATAATTATTGTCAAGATGAGTTGTTCAAGGCTTGAAAACTCTTGATTAAAATGTCATCGAGCCACTAAAGAGCTGATAAGCACAGGAAAGGCCCGGGAATCACAGTGGGAAGACAGCGGCAAGCGTGAAGAACAAGGTTGTGGTTCGAGCGAAAAGTGTCAAAAAAACGAGGAGCATTGCCCAGTTGTAAGGGTGGTTTTATCTCGAAAACAGCAAATAGCGTTTAGACGAGAGCTTTCCGAACAGGATCGCACGGTGGAAACAGCGAAGGGTTGTCAGTACACAGGCGATCGTTTTTCCGTTTCGCATTACCGTATTTTTTTTTTTGGTTGGAGCCCCAAGCTCTTGCATCGCATCGGTTGGAACCCATGTACATCAGACGTCCACCGTCAACCAGCACGCACAACGCAGCGGGATCGTGCCAGTCCAAGTCTCTGGCTTTTCTGCACAAACCGCAGCGGGTGTCGCAGGCCAAACCGGCGTATGCGGACGACTCGCTGCGACGGAACACAGACCTCAACCGCGGGTCGATTTGCGTGGTGGACGACCAGGAAGCGGACGACTATTTCTCTCGACAGCTACAGCAGCTGCAGCAGCATCAGGAACAAGAATATCAGCAACCAGGGCCTGCTGCCAGCAGCGATTCCAGCTCGTCGGCGTTAAAACCGGACGATCCGTCGTGGGATGTGGCATCGCCGCTTCGAGTCAATCCGTACTTTCCTTTGGAACGGGACGAGAGCCAGGAGCACTTTCTCAATAGTGAGAACGGTGCGCCACCGCTGGTACGCAAGAAGTCCGGCGAGGTGGTGCGTTCCAATTTGAAACTCGCCCAAAGATCACGGTCTTTGCCTGCCACACCTAGCGGTCGAGAGCCAGACAAGCGAGTAGGTTTTGCAGCACAGTTCTGCCCCCAGCGTAGCAAGAGTGTTCATTTTGACCGCCGCGACGTGGTATCCTACAAATATTTCCGTCAGGAGGACTCACCTTTGGACGTGGCAGCCCAGGACGTCTTGGAGGGCCCTTTGGACGACACTAACCAGAAACAATTATCGATGTCGGATGCAAGCGAGTCTTTGACAGGACCCAATGGCGAACCACTGGACCTGACCATGACAATGTCTAATTTACGGCTCGAGAAAAAGGCCTCTAACGGATTTGGTCTTAGGCGCAGCAACCGGTACCAAAAATTAAAGGCAAACGCACCTGGAATAAGAAACGGCCTTAAGGGGAATAATCAAACACGCATAACCCAACCGGGCTTGCACAATGAAAACTTTCCCACATTAAACGTGGGCGATCGAACCAGTCTTAAACTTAACATTTTTTTGAACATTGCGCATAACAGTCAATGTTTCTTGCAAGAATTATCTCTGGTCAGCGACCAACACTACCTGATAGGTCATATTTTGGTCAAAAACATTTTCTTTGACAAAAAAGTCGTTGTCAGATACACTCGGGATCGCTGGCGCACCACAAACGAAGTAGAATGTGTTTGGGTCAGTAGCGGTAACGATGATTTGCCCGGTAGGGGAATGGACAGGTTTAAGTTGGTAATCGATTTGGCCACACTAACCAACGATACGAACTGGGGCGGACCTGCCAGAGGTTCACCTGTGAAAAAGGCAAATGATGCCACAGATGAGTACGCTAGTATAAACCTCGAGTTTTGCATTCAATACACCACGCGTTGCTCTGAACAACGCCTTGAATTTTGGGATAATAACGGGGGCCGCAATTATGTGGTAGAAGTGGTAACTCCAAAACCGCGTATGGGATTTACAGATCCCTTCAGTGGAGGATAAAATTGAACGTTTACTATTTTTTTTTATTCTCTCTCAATAGAGTTGATGCGAAACGAACGACATGGGCGTATTTGCCCCGAAGCATGGAAAATAAGCTATTACATTCACACACATAAATATACATGAACTCCCTGGAAGGCCATTGCAGGTTCAAAGGTCGCGGGCGTAATTAGCTAGATACACTTTAAAAAAGAAGTTACAAACTTTAAACGAGGAACGCCCTTTAGCAGAGCGATTTGCTACTTGCAAACCGCTAGAAGAGGTTTGACCCGGAACAGATGGAGGCGATGATCAGCGACCAACCGCTTTTCGAAGTCACATCTGTGGTTGTCAAGCCCAGCCACTGGCCAGGTGAGTAGTAGCTTGGAAACTTCCAGCTTTGAAGTACTATAATCGCGCATGAAACGATCTCATGAACAATAAAACCATTGGCCAAAGACTACGATTTTTCTGAAGCGGTGTTTTTCATCCAGGGATTACGCATTCGTGATCTTTACACACCGTCACATTCGAGAACAAAAGCTTCACGCCCGTGCTCTAAATACCTTTCTGATTAAGCTCACCGTTGAGCAGATGTGTCTAGATTGTGTCAGACGCAGTTTTGTGTCTTAAGCTTTTACCAAACGTTTTTCCAAACCGCAGAGTTCCTGCTCATTCCTCCGACAAGCACTTGCTGATACACGCGCATCCTGCATCATTATATTGCCGAAGAGACTAGTAATCTCAAGAGCCACTACCTCTACGAAAAAAAAAAATCTGTGCGGATCAAGATGCCATCCACTTCTCTTTCCCGCGGCTAAAAACATTACGATAGTGGCGAAATATTCCTAAGTCTTGCTTTCATCGCAATTCAAGCAGATGTTGTTGCCTCTTTACTTACCGTGTGTACAATGTTAGAACACATATGCCGCGGTCTGCAAAGTATTTCATGAAGTTCTGCTCTATCCTCTGAATGCCCGTGAGCAATCCGGAACGTCCGAAAATTCCTTGGGAGCCATATGATTAATGTAAGCAGTGCCAGAAATGTATGAGTGCAAGTGCGGGTACGCCGCGCGTTTTTTTGGCTCCAAATTGCCCCATTCTATTGCAAATTGGCTAACTGTCTTCCAGTAGTCTCCAGTTTGCCCGTTGTCGTAGCCATTAAGCTTGAGCAGTTGGGAAATATGATTTGGTGAGATTGCTTCACCGGCACATTAGTCAACCCGCTCAAAGACGGCCGACGACAGTACAACGAAATCGTATAAAAACGAAGCAGGGCGTGAGAGAGAAGCAGTACATCGCTGTTCCTCTAAACGTCCCAACAACAATCTAAAATCACATTAAATCATGTTCATGCAGAACTTGGAAGTCTACTTTTCGCTACTTGCTGTTATCCTGATGTTCTACATTCCGGCCCACAAGGCTACCATGGCCCGGTACCGGACCCAGGTGCCGCTGTTGTGACAGATGCTATGAATCTCAATTTACAAGGCCTTTGATGCGACTTTGTGATAGATGAGACATGATGGTTTGGTTATGAACAAAGTTTTTAGATGCGGATGAGGAGCGTGCACAGTGCAACGATACTTTATTTTTTAATACATAATGCTCTATAATGGTTTAATTTGATGAAAGGACGAAAAGATAAAGAGAGAGCAAAGAGATGACAGTGTTGGACTTTCCATATAGCCGGAAGAAGGAAGAGGCCGCTGGAGGGAGACCAGTTTGCCTCACACTTCACTGAAAATTTTTGGTTTTTTTCGTTTTATACAAAAAGTCCGAAGTGACCTCGGCGGCATAGAGAAAAATATATATATGATACAATGGAGCTTTTGAAATATCTCGAGCACACAGAGAAGAAACTCCCAAAAGAAGGCCAGAGTTCAATCTGGTTAATTAAAGGCTTGTTTTGGACCTACTGCGATGCTTATCAGGACGCCGTTTGGTGAGAAGCAAAAGGGCTGAAGTGAAACTATCAGTGAACTTTATAATATTAGTTCTCCCGTAATTAATTTAGTAGACTAACTTGTAGAGAAGGCTGTTAGTGTTGTTCCGTGGCTTACTCAGTACAACGTTAACCCCTTGTTAAAAACAGATCGGTGGTATATACTCAACTTTGAGACGTAAATAGGAGATCAGAGGGGCGCGGATAAAGTACAGATACTTTTAGCAGCCGTGACACATTTATGTCCCTGTCGCTAATTGCGCAATGCTCATTGACTGAATTACGACGTTTTCGCGATGTATACTACGGATTGAAAGTCGTGTTAGGCCCCACAATCATGAAGTGCGCTTTCTTTTATGTCATTATGTACTATACTGACACGACGTGCATCCGCTACCATGGTCTAGTTACTTGGTTAAAGCAACGTTTAAATTCCCATAAATGTGTATATACTAACACATATGTAGTCACGCATTTCGTTCTCCTTAATGGGCCATTCATACCGATTAACCTCAAATACCGCCTTCGCCATTTTATCGACGTATCGTTGTTGAAAGTCGACAAAATTCCCGAATAACAAACAACCAATGTTTCCCATAGTTTTTCATCGCTTGTCGCCTCGCGCTCCATTGATCATTGCACTCTGTCGCATAGTGTTTCTTCCCGGGCAGCTTTCAAGAGATGTAACTTCGAAAGGCCACGAAAAATAGTACCAATCCATACGCAAAATCATTCCACCACACGATTCCACAAGAATTCCCAAATACAGCTCTCGAACAATGCTAAATGCACTGCACTTTCTTGCCGGGAATTACTACTTGTAGGCTCTGTCATTTGTCCATTACGTACGTTACGACCCTTGCGGGAATTAAGGCATCTGACACTCGATAGCAAGTAACCCTTTACTTTAAAAGTATAAAAGCCGGCCCGTTCGAGAGCAGCCCTAAAATCTACAATTGATCTATTTAACAACAAAGGCTACTGTTGCAATTAATTTCAAATCTTGAATCTAATTTCAGCCCGATCTCGATATGACAGAGAAATCGTCGATTTTCAATTCTCCCAAACTCTACTCTTTCGATTATTATGCGGCTTGTACCATCGGAGGTCTCGTAGCTTGTGGACCTACCCATTCAGCAGTGACACCACTCGATTTGGTCAAATGTCGGAGACAAGTTGACGCTTCTCTATACAAATCTAATATCGAGGGATGGCGCCAGATTGTCAAGACCGAGGGTGGATTGAGCAAAGTTTTCACTGGGTTCGGTGCCACAGCAATTGGATACTCTTTCCAAGGAGCTTTCAAATATGGTGGCTACGAATATTTCAAACACCAGTACTCCGTGATGGTCTCCCCTGAAACAGCCCACAAGTATAGAACCGGTATTTTCTTAGCGGCGTCTGCATCGGCTGAATTCATCGCCGATCTTTTCCTATGCCCTTGGGAAGCCATAAAAGTTCGTCAACAGACAGCAATGCCACCTCCTTTTGCGCGCAATGTTTTTGACGCCTATTCCAAAATGGTTGGTGCCGAAGGGTTCGCAAGTTTGTATAAGGGCATTACTCCTCTATGGTGTCGTCAAATCCCTTACACCATGTGTAAGTTCACTTCTTTTGAACGTATTGTAGAAATGATTTATGCCCGTTTGCCCAGGCCAAAGAGTGAAATGTCGCAGTGGGGACAAATTGGGGTTTCGTTCACTGGTGGTTATTTGGCTGGTATTTTATGCGCTGTTGTGTCGCATCCAGCTGACGTGATGGTTTCCAAGATTAACAACGAACGTCAAAAAGGTGAGTCTATGGGCAACGCCATGTCGCGTATCTACGGCAAAATAGGCTTTGGTGGTTTATGGAATGGTTTGGCGGTAAGAATCGTAATGATTGGTACTTTGACCAGTTTCCAATGGTTAATATACGATTCGTTCAAGGCAACGGTTGGATTGCCAACTACCGGGTAGAGTGCCTCGTGTTATAGATTGCGCACCGTATCATATATATTCTAAGAGTTTAAAGAGCGAAAAGAGATTTACATGACATTTTAGGATTCACAATGACGTTCACCGTTTATTAGTATTACTTAATGCATGTATTTATCTTAATTAAGCTTTTTTATGACCAAACGTTACGAAATAACTCGTTGTCCTCTAAAGATGCTGAAGGTGTTGCGTTGGAGGCTACGCTGGAAGCTTCGGTAGAGCTTAACGAATTGACACTACTATGTCCACTTGCTACACTAGCAGTAGAATTTCTTGGTTTAGAGTACAGCGATAGTATCGATTTTTTCAAATCTGGCCTGCCATTAACTTCTCGAGGACCGTTTCTGGAGGAAGGGCGTGGTGTAGCTAAATTGAGATCGACTTGCGATGATGTTCCAGACCAGCTCGAAACATTTTTACTAGGTAACGAAGCCTGGGAGGAAGTCTGCTGTAATGGTTGAGCAGGTGTGGTGGACACGGAGCGTGGATTTCCTTGTTCCTGGGACGTGGAAAGATCTGACTTCTCGACGTTCTCGCAGGATGCCCCTGTTCCCTCCCACCGCTTTAATTCGTACTTACTTCTGATAAAATCGGCAAGTTTCGAAGGATTGGGCGTCTTATCTTGAAGCTTGGCCTCATAATACGCGTTTGCCCTTCCATTGTTGCCGAACTCCACGACTTTGCGCAAATGTTCTTCTTGCCACGTATCCAAGTCCACAGATTTCACTTTTGAGATGTGCGTACCCAAGGACCGATGAATCCCAGCGCAGCGTATGCATATAAAGACTCCGAGGGACCAAGAAGCCCATCTTGGATGCGTGGCCGTCTTACAATCTGCACAGTTTCCGTTAGCTGGATCCCGCAGTAGAGAAGCCAGAGCCTTCCGTACTGTTGGGGAGCTCATTTTTTATAGGTCAATGGAAAGTGAACAAGTAGCCTTGGATTAACTCGATAACTCCGAGAAGAAATCTTTCGAACTCGTTTTTGATCTGTTTTTGTTTAATCAAAATTTGATAATTTTGTTAAATAATCTTGAAATCAAAATGCATTCCTAACTAATTAATATAATTAACTCCATTACGAAAAGTGCAAAAAGATTGTTCTCAAAGCACACAAACCCTGTGCTAGGTTCTGATCAGAACCATCAACCCCAACAAGAGTCAGAAAGTCTATTGCGCTGCCAAAAGTCTCATACTGGCCACTTGGTGTTTCTCATAGACATGGTCTGCGCACAATTAAAAAAAGTGCGATTTTGCCTTGAGCAAGAAGACTCTGACATCTGTGACGATGAGCGAGCACTGCCGCTGATGTCCAAGGCGGACCTGGCAACTCATAGTACAAAAGAGGATTGCTGGATTGCTATCCATGGCAAAGTTTATAATGTGAGTGGATACCTTAGCAAACATCCGGGAGGATCCCAAGTCATCCTGAAACTGGCTGGAAGAGATGCCACGGTGCAGTTCGACGATGTGGGCCACTCGCTTGAGTCCTTGATGTTTGACCTGGGACCCCAGGCGTGTGTTGGCGTGCTCAAACCACCAGTAGCGAAGCTCAAACCTGCTCGTAACTCCGGTAGCGGCGAAAACACAGATAACAAGGCCAAGAAGGCACCCGAAACCTTTGAAAACGAGAAAGGTGCTAATGGGGACAAGTCCCGCTGGGAGCAGCTATGGAAATGGGAGAAACCACAGTCCGTAAATGTCAATACCACTTCCAACAATACGGCTTTATCAGACCCTTTCCATAATTTGAAAAGCTCCGTAGCGGCCTTTCGGCTGCGATCGGGCCAGTTGATTGACTCCAAAGCTGATGTAGAAGTGCATCGTTTGTTCAACACGGTTGTGATTGCGGTCGTGATGGGCATATGCGTCGTAATATTAATCTACGTCAAGCTGCGATGCCCGAGCATGATCGAACATGTGGTTTCTCATGCTTTTCCGGAAGAGTCTTCAAGCAGAAACTACGAAATACCGACATGGTCACTTTGAGCATAATACCCATAGCATACGACCCACAGCATAAAACCCACAGCATGAACCACTTTCTCGAGGGGTTTTGATCCCTCGGCTGGATCTTACAAGCTAGAAGTCCACCGAGGGATGAGGATAGAAAATCAAGAGTGCTACAACTCAATTCAAGCAAATGCCAAACTTCATAAGAAGATGGGGATATAGGCATTAGAGCGACGCTCGTTCACTTCAAGTTTTTACGTTTCTTCTTGCGGTTAATGGATTGCGCTAATCTGGTGGAAGTTGGAAAGAACTTCGTCAGCCAACCTTAGCTTCTTGACTTGAGACTAGCAACTACTACAAGCAAGCTTTCAGTCATAAGAGTGTCACTAGATCATTTATGATGTCTTTTCCTTCCTTATTATTTCCTGGTCTCATGACTCGAAGCTATGTTAATGAAAAATTTTTTTCTTCGAAAGCTATAAGAAACTGTGGTATTATTTAGAGATGACTCCATGGCGAGAAAAGGTATAAACGCAGTACTGTGATCATACAAAAAGCCTCTTGATTCTAGCTGAGCCTGAAAAATTAGGTAGCAACTGAGAGCTTTTCATCTAACTACAAAAAAATGACTTCTCAAAGTAATTGGATAGTTCAAAAATTCGGCGGTACCAGCGTTGGTAAGTTTCCAGAGCAGATCGTGGATAAAATTGTTAAAGTCTACACCAACCAGTACCATAACAATGTGGCCGTAGTGTGCTCTGCTAGATCGAGTGATACTAAGATTGAGGGAACCACTTCGAGACTTCTTAAAGCGTGTGATATGGTTTGCAATAGCGAAGAGAGCTTTCTGGAGGTTTTGCAGAAAGTAAGAGAGGACCACGTTCACAACGCCGAACAACGCATCAGCGACGTGAAGCTACGCCAAAACCTGATCAAGGATAGTTTGGCGCAGCTGGATACCGTGGAGAAGTTTTTGGACGCTTCCTTAGTTCTGAGCGAGGTTTCTTCCAGAACGATGGATCTCGTTATGTCGTGTGGTGAAAAACTGAGTTGTCTATTCATGACTGCTTTGTGTAATGACCATGGTGTTCCCGCGCAGTATGTGGATCTATCGTCTGTAATCCCACAAAACTACGATTGCCCGCAGGGTACTTTGGATGCCAGTTTCTACACATTCTTGGTCAAAGCCTTCAAGGAGAAACTTCAACCGATCGTGAACTCGAATGCCCAAGGAAAACCTGTGGTTCCAGTCATTACCGGGTTTTTTGGTCTGGTACCTATGGGGTTGCTTAACGGTGTTGGTCGTGGGTACACCGATTTGTGTGCCGCATTAATTGCAGTGGGGCTAAATGCAGACGAGCTACAGGTCTGGAAAGAAGTAGATGGTATTTTCACTGCCGATCCTCGCAAAGTTCCTCAGGCTAGACTTTTAAGCAGCGTCACACCAGAAGAAGCATCCGAATTGACATATTACGGTTCTGAAGTCATTCATCCATTCACTATGGAACAAGTTATCAAAGCTAAAATTCCAATCAGAATCAAAAACGTTCAAAACCCAACAGGCGACGGTACCGTTATTTATCCCGACAACGTCGCAAAGAAGGGTGAAGCAACCCCACCTCATCCACCTGTCACACTCACCAGCTCTTTCTTTGAGCTCAAGAAAAGAGGTGCGACCGCCATCACTAGCAAAAGTGACATTGTTGTTGTCAATATTCATTCCAATAAGAAAACTCTGTCACATGGGTTTTTGGCACAGATTTTCACGACTCTGGATAAACATAAGCTAGTTGTTGATTTGATCTCTACATCTGAAGTTCATGTTTCAATGGCTTTACCAGTGCCGGACAATGATTCGTCGTTAGCATTAAAGAAAGCTGTCGAAGAATTGAAAAAGATTGGTAGCGTGGACGTGACCAAAAAATTAGTCATTGTTTCACTTGTGGGTAAACAAATGAAGCAGTTCATCGGTATCGCAGGTACAATGTTCACCACGTTGGCAGAGCAAGGTATTAATATCGAGATGATTTCTCAAGGTGCCAACGAGATCAACATTTCTTGTGTCATTGATCAATGTGATGCAATCAAAGGCCTGCAATCCATTCACAGCAAACTTTTAGATATCGAAGCTACTGAAAATAGCTTAGGGAAAGCTGTCAATGAAAAGCTGGAACAAATCAAAAGACTAGAAATATAAAATTATAGAGTCGACGATAATATAATGGGAAACCATATAATAAATTGAACGAGGCGTTAATGTACATATAGAATGATGCTAATCAGTAGAGATGTATAGGTAGGACAAACAAAAAAATTGTTTACATTATAGGTTATGAACGAGATGATATAAGGTCTGGTAGTAAATGTTCTGGACATCATGCAGCTCTCTAGAATACAAACACTTGATCTCCCATCTTGGAAACAGGCTTGGCCTTCTCGAAGCCTAGAGCAACTGCATTTTTCTTCACGGCGGACACCATACCAGGAGGACCACATACTAATATTTGAGAGCCTTCGTTTGGAGTGGGCAGATGCTCTTTCATGACATCTGCAGTCACGTAGCCCACACCGCCATTCCAAGTATCTCTGGCAGGTTTATCCAAAAGGTAATGGACTTTGAATTGGTCAGGATGAGATTCGACAATCGCATCGAGTTCTTTCTTCAACAGAATGTCGTCTTCTGTTTGACTACCGTAAACGATAGAGACCTTGGTTTGATCCTTTGGATCGGCATGAATCGATTTGATTATTTGATACATTGGCGCAATACCAGTGCCGCCCGCGATCATCCCGATTTCGGAATTCATGTTAGGGGTGTAGGTGTAGAAACCTTTTGGACCACGAACTTTGATCTTGTCGCCAATTTCTAGCTCACCTACCATCTTTGAAACATTACCAAGTTCATAGGATTTTAGCAAAAGCTCGAAAAACCCGACAGAGTCTGAATCGAGAGAAGTGGGTGTGTATGAACGCATGATCTCCTTCCCATCTTTCATGAACCCTTGAATTGAGATGTGTTGCCCAATGGGTAATCCCAAAACATCAGTGTGCTTAGGAAGGCCAAATCTATATACAGCCGTGTTGTGAGTAAGCACGGTCTTGGCAACTAATGGAAATTCCCTGAACTCATCTTTAGCCAAAACCGGAACGTTCTTGGTGGTGTTTAGGAACCGCGCAATCAGTACAATCACTACAAGAGCAACGAATCCGCCCAAGAGCACTAGGTTAGAATCCATTGTCACTGTTAGATGCCTTTGAGACTTGGTAAAAAAAACCTAAGTCTCCTAACTTTTACCAGCTTCATCAGATTGTTGGATTTGTTAAACGCTAAAAGTTTTACCACCGCTCCAAACGAAGTTAAGATCACGTGAACGACAACAGGACTTCGGAAAGTTGGCTCAAAGCGTGTTTCTAGAAAATGTAATCGTAGTATATCAAAGCTTAGGATTCGCCATTGGAAGAGATAGTACTCTAACAAAATCTAGTTCGTATCAGCTTTCAATTTAGTAACTTCATTTTGAAGTTGTTTTACAAGGTCTTTCTTGGATAAGAAATTCACCGGCTTGTATTTGGCTTTGGAATCCTTCAAAAACGCAATTAGGGTTTCGAGCTGCCGCTGTTTACTATTATTGTCAATCAATTCTGGATGCAAAAGCATCCACTCGGAAGTTTTACCCATCACTGCGTCAAATTTCGGAAATGTGAATTTCTTGGGCACCTTCGTACGCTGTTCGATCTTTACTATCTGTAGTTGGGTTTCGAGGTCTCGCAGCGTTAGAAAGTTGCCACCTATTATAAGTGAGTCTTTGGGTGTGTAAACTGCGTGGATATATCCGCAAGGAATCATAAAAAGATCACCCGCGCCTAATTCCATGGCCACGCCATGTTCGAGCTCATCTCCCAAGAATATAAGATTTTGGTGATCGCTGTCGCACCATGCGGTATATGAATCCAAATTATGGGCAGTAGGTGGAAATAAAATGAATTTCTTGGCTCCAGAGACAACTTTGTAGTACACAGAAGTCCCAGCAAAATCTAAGTGGAAGTCAGTATATGCGTTTTCAACCGACATCAAGATATATTTTGTAACTTTAGGTCTCTCGGTGTCGTTAGGGATGGCATCCCAGACTAGATTCACTAAATCCTTCGATTCTACCACTCGCGGCCGGCGCAACTCTTTCTTAAACTTGTCAACGTGTGATACCTCCAAAGAAATTACGTTTCGGACACGATCTCGAGTTTCGGGAGAGCTGTCTGTAAAGTAATTGTTCCACTGCGCCATGGTCCAATTGGAATTCTGCTGCGATTGAACATCCATAACATCCACACGACTTTCGTCTCCCAGAAATTTCGTAATTGCATCGACAGTAAGGGTTTGTCCATCAGGTCCAGTAGGCAATTGCATTCCTGAGTTTTCAGGGTCCTCAACCTTTAGCGGTATGTTGATGGTTTCAAATTGCCGTTCCACATCTGAGCTTTTCATAACGTTGGACTTATTCTCCCACCGAGCAAAACAAGCCAGAAACGAAGGTATATGTGGATGTTCATTTTTCAGCCGCTTGGCTTCGCCCTCATTCAAAGAGATGTAATCAACTTGTTTCTTCCTGCGCAATCCATGTCTTTTGGGAACGACATCTGCATGCTCTTGGTTCTCAACTTTTCGTTTCTTTCCAACTTGCCGTACCTCCAATAGCGGATCTCCGTGTCTTGTACAGGTGTAGCGTTTGATCTCCTTTGAGTTTTTGGGATATGATGCCATAGTATCTCCAACCTCGCTTGTCAAATATTTTATCGGAATGCAAGTAACATGTACCCATTGGTCGCACAACTCGCATTGAACCCAAAGATATTTGTTTGGATCATCTTTCAAGCAGAATGTACAGGTATCGGATGGCATTTAAGCACTTCTTGTCCTGGCGAAACACGATTGCAGGTAAAACAGCCGCCGAGAAATGAATATAGATAAAATGCCTAATTCCTTAAATGATGTATTTATACTACTTACACACACGTGAACCATCGAACAGAAAAGACAGTAAGAATATCCTGTCCCAAACTTGGATAGTGTAATACTAACATCTTATAAATTCCCGGTCGACCGTTATCTAATACGAGTTTGGCTTTTAACGTAAGGGTACACCTTCCTTTCGCAAAGACATCTTCGACGAGAATTTTGGTGGGTTGGTGTGTCACTGACATTTAAGACAAAAACCTGAATCTACAGCTTGCAGCCTACGACTATACAAATATGTGCCTATCAAGTGGATAGTGTTTCATAGTCAGCTCGACACCTTGGTTGCTAGTGAGTGCGTTTGCTAGTTTGTAATTAGTGATTAAGAAGTCCTAATTGCGTGGACCAAAGTGCAGGTGAAAACCCGCAAATTTTTTATAGTTCTGTAGGATTTACCGGACTGTAAGGAAGCGCAATCATGGATATTTCCTAGTCCATTGTCAGCCTCACGTCTCATCTTTAGCTTTTAGGTTTATTGTTCGTGAATCTCGTGGCAGGCAAGGAAATGCTGAAAAATTTTGTTGATGCCAGTTAAAGGTTGATAGTTAAATTTGGAAGAAAAGGCTAATCAAGCTCTCCCCGAGTTCCACTCTACCAGCTCTTCATGCTACCCGCGAAAAGCTCACTGCTGAATGCAGTTTCGAAGAGGTCTTTCAGCACCCGCTTACCACTGCTGAACTTGTCATTTAAGATCAAACTCACTCCCAATGAGAAATCCCAGATCAACTTGAAAACGAGTAATTCGAGCTCGAACGGCACCCAAACTAAGAGAATTGACCCCAGACTAGTCAAAAAATTTCAAAGTGGGACTACATACGATCCTTTCGACTTTTCTTTAGCGAGGATCCATCTCGACAAGAAGTTTGCGTCTAGAAACTCCTCTAACGATCTGTTCGACAAAAACGGCGTGGACCCACTGGACCTTTACACAAACCCGGAGTTTCTGTCGCAGTTCGTTACATCCTCCGGCAAAATTCTGCATAGGGACGTGACTGGGCTCTCAGCCAAAAACCAACGTCGTTTGAGTAAAGCCATCAGGAGATGCCAAGCGATTGGTCTCATGTCCAAGACGCATAGGGATGTTTCCTATCTACCATCAAGAATAATGGGTAAAATATGAGAACGATTCCAAACTGTAAATAATTTTGAACTAATATAACAATAACATGCATAAACTGCCCGATCAGCTTATTTTAAATACCTTGCATCTGGTCCTTTCAACTTAATGTAAGCATCTGTACCCCATCCCCAAAGGCTCTGTATGTCCAATGACCCGTTGAACAGTTCCATATATGCTTTGCACATAGGCAGACCGAAACCCATTCCTGAAACGTTGCACACATCCGCCCCTGGCAGTACATATGCGCTCATACCCGAGTCTTTAGCATCTGTATTCACTGTGGTATAAGAGTAGTCGAACATACAGTCCTCTACGCCTGGTGGTATACCGCCCCCAAAATCACGAATTCTGATCTCCAATTCATTATCATTACGCACAATGGTAATCTGAATTGGTTTTTCCGCAACATTGTTGTCGGGTGTGGAGTTCTCAATGTGTGCTCTGCTGGAGTTTTTCAATAGTTCTGTTAGAACGTATTCCAGGTCTGTCGCGATGCAAGGAAACGTTACTTCTTCGCCCTCTAAAATCTCAATAGGTGTTTGATGATCGTATTTCACATAGCAAAGGTCACCGACGAATTCTTCCACTCGCCTCACAAGTTCCGAAATTTTCATCTCCTTGTGCAGAACTCCAATTACAGGAAGATTGTCGGACTCTTGGGACACAAGAGACAGGTAATGTGTTGCCAAAAGTTTCATTGCAATACGATCCCGTAAATGTGAGTTTAAAAATTGGAAAACGGACTCCTTGGGGTAATATTCCATAATCTCTTGAAATCCGCGCGACAGCGTTACCAAGGTATCTTGATGGTCGTCAAGAAATTCCGTAAGCTTTTGAGCCATCACGTCCTGATCGTGCAGGCCGTAAGGATAATTAATAGACAACAGACTTTCCAAAGTCTGCAAGTAGAGCCTGTTGGTTTCCTCAATATTTGGATTCAGAACAGCAATGTAAGGCAGTTTCTGAATTGCCGCTAACCGCCTGCAAGTGTAGGTCAACAGCAAATTCACAGTCTTAATTGCAAGCATGTATTTCTCGTTCGCAGTCATCGGTGTCTTATACTGTGTAAGATACTCATATGATATGGGCGGAATAGGTTTTTTCGAGAAGTCCTGGATCAATAGCTCAATGTTGGAGCGTATTCGGTATAATTCTTCGAATCCTACGCCTCGCAGTAAGGATTGCAGAGACCACATGTTTTTGTGCTGATGGCGCGCTAATCCGTTGAAATTATGGAAACTGCATCTCGGCAGCCTTGTCCTGACCCTTGTGGATTTCAAGAGCGTTATTTGCGACCCATAATGGCTTCTAAATAATATCATGGGGAAGTTATTTGACGGTCTCTAATACGTTTCGCGCGAATATCGGACCTGATACGTTTGCTTGGCGCAGTTCAACAGTTTGACTCCAAGCACTCCAGTATAATACCACCTGTTCTTTTAAGGGACACTTGAATATTTATGCTTATTCTTTTAAATATGTTTTCACTCAGCACGAGATGAGTTTTTCAGAATCACTACCAAATCAGGGAGATATCGTTAATTCTTGACCTAAAGTTAGAATTTGCTAAATTCATCAATCAACAATAATCTTTATCTCTTCAGGAGCGATATCTAACTGGTCACCATGTCATTTAACACCTTCGCTGATTCTCTCAACAAGCGTTTCCAAGAACTATCGACTCAGGTTTCTCAAAGGGCACAAGATGCTCAGTTAGACAAGAAATTAAGAGACATTTCTTCCGCCGTTTCTCAAAGAACACAGGACTTCACGACTCAGCTACCTTCTCTGGCGCAATCCACGCAACGCATGGTTCAAGAAAGGCTAGGGCAAGTTACCGATATCTCTCAATTACCTCAGGAATATATTGAACTGGAGCACCGCATTGACCGCATCAAATTGGTGTACGAGAATTTCCTCAAAGTGACCCAGGTGTACGAAAATGAAAGCTACGACTATCCAAACAACGTTAGAGATTCGGTTAACGAGTTTTCAGCGGTGGTTGGCGGGAAATTGCACGATTTGTCGCGCGCCACGTCCACTGGGGAGGCTCAATCGGTATTGATTTCCCCAGGCCCCCACAGAGATCCCAAGACTTTGAATTACGCGCTTAGCAAGGCTGCTTTGACCTCTAGTGAGTATCTAAGCAAGTCGGGTGGTTCCGAGGAACCTGATGTGTCATCCACTTTGCTCAAATACAGCGATGTTCAAGCTAAGATTGCCCAAGCCAGGTTACAACAAGACACTTTGATTCAAACCAAGTTCAACAAGAAATTGAGAGACACTCTTGCCAATGAACTCAACGACGCACACTTGGCTCGCAAGAATGTCGAGCAAAAAAGATTGCAATATGACATCGCCCGTGCTAACTTGGCTAGTGCCAAGCCTGAAAAGGAGGCCTCGTTCAGAGTACAGATGGAATCTCTGGAAGACGAGTTTGCTCAGGCTACTGATGACGCCGTGGTTAAAATGCAAAAAGTGACCGAATCGTCTGAGCTCTTGAAAGATCTCCGTGAACTGGTTTCAGCTCAAGCCGAATACTACAAACAATCTTCAGAACTTCTTTCTGAATTCTTGCCCCAACTTGAAACTGTTTAAACGTCTATTTTATCTATCGTATATTTCTTAAAGTAATCGAACTTCTTATTCATTATTGTCATTTTCATCGTGGTCATCTTCGTCGACAGTCTTGACATCCCATTGAACGGTAACATCCCACCTGCTAGATTTTGCAGACCAGCTAATGTACTTGATGAATTGTAGCACACTTTCATCCCTCAAAACTAAGTTGAACGAATTCCAGCTTGGCGGTTTGTTGATCAAGACAGAGTCGCCAGCATCGTCGCTCTTGTACACTGCCGCGTCCTCAATGTCTTTGTTAGCATTCTCATCCTCATCCTGATTATCCATGTAAAGCTCGTAGCCGCCAACTTCACCAGACTCCCAACCATCACTTGGAGTTAGGCATAGCGTGCCTTCTAAGACAGCATCAACAAACCCTTCGACTTGTTTAAGAAGGTCGTTCTTGTGAATCTGAGTAGCTAAAGTGAAATCCTTCCCCGGTCTGAATCTTCTGATCAATACCTGCTCACTCAAAGGAGACAACAAAGTGAGTAGCGCCAGATACTTCTTGAAAGCGGAGCTTTGGAAAAAGTTGGCTAACGCAATCAACTGGGTTTCAGTTTGGTACTTTTTGTCTTCCAGAGTTTGCGACAGAAGAGTGTAGTTTGGCATTTCTTCGTTATTCAATTTGTTCAAAATATCTTGCTCGTTTTGGAAGTTCTCGTGGGATTTGCCATCGATATAGAGATATCTCCACTTGTGTGGAGGCATGGCAGTTTTCCAAGGAGCCTTAACATTTACGCTCTCATAAGGGCAGTCTTTTTCCATTTCATCTTTTTTGATAAGTTGTTTCAAGAATTCTGCTCTGTCGTCATTGAGGAAGTCTTCAATCTGCAGTTGCGACTTTTCAACGAAATGTGATTGAAGTTTGTTAATGCCTTCTTGAGTCAAGTGATGTGGCGAAATGAAGTCTGATAAAAAGTCCATTTCCTTAGCACTTAACAATCTTAAATCTGGTAAACTTTGTGAGTCACCTTCTTTACAGGATTGTGCAGCCAGTAATTCATCAACATGTCTTATTTGATGGTATGGTAAAATGTCTCGTTCACCCTTGGGAAACTCGTAGTCCTGAAGAACTTTGGATTCCAACTGCGCCAAAGTACTGGTGTTGGTTTTGACCCATGCTTCCTCCTCGCCCGCAATAAACCCCTTTTCCTCTTTTTGTGGGATATGATACCATCCTTGGATCGAGAGACGATGTTTATTGACACGGACTTCTTCGACGTCGTGGAAGGAAAACCCAGGCTGAACTTGAAAGAAAGCAATTTGATTGAACTGCGGAACTAGCTTGGCGCTATGATCGCTCTGGGGGACATTGGCGACAATGCTTGGAAATAAACGCAAACCACCCCCGTAGTGATCCTTCCAGCGTTTGTCGGGGTCCGGCAAATAGAGGATAAAACTTACTCTTCTTGACCCAATGACATCGTCATGCGTGAGTAAATGACAACCCTTGGTGTAGGTGTTGATGGACATATCCATCTTAGAGCCCGAAAGCTTTCCCGCACCTGTGACATGGGAAATCACATCCCGGTAAACTTCTGAGTACAGGATCTCCCGCAACCGACAGAGACTGGGGAGGCGCGACAAGTCGTTCCAGTCGAGTCCTGATAAGTTGGCCAAATCACCACTCTGGTTGACTTTGTAGATATCGGTTTCTTTACTGGTGAAATGAATTTCTGTTTCTATTTCCTTTCTCACTTTACGCAGAAGCTCATCGTCCACCAAATCCCGGATCGTACCCCAGTTGTAAGGTTGCGAATCATGAATTTCTTGTTTGAGGTCTTCCTGAAACGTCGGATCCCAAATCTTGTCATTGAACAATGACTTTACCTTATCTACTTGCATAGTTGGCTGTTTCTGCTGTTCCTGAGCAACCTGCTTCGCTGAAACTCGCTTCATAGCTCTTTAAGACGTCGTAAGCTTAGGTAGAACTGGCTAGTTCTCTCGAATTAGTTAATGTAGCCCCAGTTATCAATTTTCGACTATGCGTTATATACACATCTCGTTTGACCTCAAACGATAACTTGCGCGATGAGTTCGTCAATCATGGCCTGATCCGACCTAGTCAGTCGTTCGTGTATTTGAAAAAAATTTTATTTACAGTGTTGATGGCACTTTTCACGAAGGGTCGTTAGCTTTGGCAACTTGACTCCCAAGTACTGGAAAAGGCCATTTACTTGGCTAGATACGAATATGTAAAGCTATGAGCATGCTGGTACAGGCGTATAGTACGCAAGTGCGCACTGGGAGTAGAAAAGTGCGAATCAACTTCTAATGTGATGCTTCTGTTCTAGGGGCTCAACAACTTGCTTGTCGAAGGTGTACATTTGTGAAATCACTGATTGTCGCTTTAGCACGCCTAGCTCTTGCTTAGCGGTATTCCAGGCCTCCTCGATGGCGACAGGGTCTTTCAAGTCACTGGCGTTCCGGAAACTGGTCTTGGCTTTCCGCAGAAAATAATTCCTGAAATTGTAATTATTGAAGCCGTTGGCATTCTTGATAATTTGCTTGTATAGCGAGAGAACCTGACTTCGAGAGGGAGCAGACATCTTTAACCAAAAGCCTGGGTATTGTGAGGAATACGGCGTGGGTATCTAAGTATCTTAAAGATGATTCATAGCTGCTTATTCACCTCTGTGAAATAAGTGAAGGGCGTCACACGGTACGGCAAGCTGCGAATCGTGATTCGAAAGGCTCCATAATCAAAAATATACAGAGAAGTGCTAAGTACAAGGCAAGAGAAACTTCTCTTGCCGTTGTGATCAGTCCAATAATGACACAGTCTTGCTTTCATCCACGTACCTTGAGCGTTCTGCAAAAAAATTAGGTCCTACCCGGATTCGAACCGGGGTCGTCCGGATCAAAACCGAAAGTGATAACCACTACACTATAGGACCTTTAATTAGTGATGCTGACTTTAGGAAGTTTAGGAGATATATCAAGCAGTGTAAGTCATGATCAATGTATATCCAAGTTCATCTCATCCTTGAGTCTCTCTTCACCTCTCATTAGAAGACATCAAGACTTGAGCTAGAAACCGCGGTCAGAACAACACTATGGACGCTTTTTTTGATTCAGCACAATATGCTTTGGGCCAATCTGCAAGTTATCTTTTCCGCGTTCTAAGCTGGCTCATCCCTATTATCTTTCGCTTTGCACAAACCCACAGTACAACAACTAATATCCTTGGCTACATTTTGGCGGCCTACATTTCGTGGAAACTGTTGTGTCACTTATGGACAATAATCAAAAGAATTTTGATAGTGGCTGTAGTGGTCCTGGTGGTGCTGTTGTGGAAAAGAGGTCTACATCAATTTATTTCGGTAGACTTGCCGGTTTTGGTTCAATATTTTGAGCACAACTCTAGCCTTCAAGATTTATGGAACCAGTTTCTATACTATGCGCATCCCAGATCCTACAGTAAATACTACTCGATGGTTCTGCAGTATCAGTTGGACGATATTCGCGACCGTTCGATGCAGTTTCTGGCAAGCTTATCCAATCAATAAGAGTATGACAATAGCGATTGGAGTGAGGCGAATTTGATTACAGCAAATGTTGCATCCTTGTGCAGAGGTATTGAACACTACAGAGCAAGGCCGTGGTATTTTATGTCGCGAAAGGTGAGCCAGAGTAGTACATATAGCGACAAGAGATGGCTAAGATTGCATTTCCAGCGAGAATCACATCTCTAATGCTCCTTGTCCAAAAAAATCTAATCCAAAAGTTTGCAACCCAACCTGGAACCTCTCATTTCTAATCATTTCTTTACGATTTTACATTTGGACTTAACTTTAGTCTTAAAAGCCTCCCAGGGGAAATTTCAAAAAAAACTACCAGTAATATTAAGAACTCATCATCAAAATAAAGGACAGCACCAATGGTGAAAGACACAGAGTATTACGACCTACTTGGTCTACAGCCTGATGCATCAGCTACGGAGATCAAGAAAGCGTACCGTAAAAAGGCCATGCTGACGCATCCGGATAAACATCCAGATGACCCTGAGGCTCAGACAAAGTTTCAAGCTATAGGCGAAGCATATCAAGTTCTAAGTGATCCAGGGCTACGTACCAGATACGATCAGTTTGGTAAGGACGAAGCCATTCCTCAACAAGGATTTGAAGATGCTGCCGAATTTTTCACAACGATATTTGGCGGCGATGCCTTCCAGGAATGGATTGGAGACTTCTCATTCCTTAAGAACCTCACCAAGGGCGCAGAGATAATGGGAGAAAACGACGAAAACGGTGAGAAAACCGCAGCTGTGGAAACTGATGTGAATGGGGCCACAGAGGTAGTGCAACACGACGGGAAGTCCACAAGCACGAAAAACTCCGACAAATTGACTAAAGAGCAACGCGCTAAGCTAGTTGAGATGGAAAACGAGAGACGGGTCGAAAAGAAGAAGCAGGTCGAGGAATTGGCACGAAAACTTGAAAATAAGATCCAGCAGTACGTATCCGCGGTGGAGAATAAACATCTGGATGAGTTCAACAACAAGCTGAATCAGGAGGTTGAGGATCTTAAGCTAGAAAGTTTCGGATTGGAGCTGCTGCATTTAATTGCCAAAGTTTACAAAACAAAAGCCAGTAATTTCATGATGTCTCAAAAGACCCATGGTTTTAGCAAACTGTTCACGGGTGTACGGGACAAGACAAAAACCGCGAAGTCCGCGTGGGGTATTTTATCGTCTGCCATGGACGCTCATACGGCAATGACAGAGCTCGAAAAGCTAGATTTAGACGCCATGGACGATTATGAGCGTGCAGAAGTAGAGAAAGTAATCACCGGCAAAGTTTTAGGTACTGCGTGGGTAATGTCTAAGTTCGAAGCTCAGGGCAAACTACGGGACGTTTGCGACAAGATTTTAAGCGACAAAAATGTGCCCACGAAGACACGTTTATTGAAAGCCAAAGCTCTAATTTACATAGCAGACAAGTTTGCCGCCGCTGTGAGATCTCCAGATGAGGCCGAAGACGCTCGTGTTTTCGAAGAAATTATTTTCGATGCTCAGGGCAAGAAGAAGAAGGCTAATTTTAAGAAAAAGGAGCCCACTGTGAAAGCTTAAATCAGTGCCATATTTTATAAATACGTAATACACAGCTTTTTGGCTCTGACGCTTAAGTCTATCAAAATTGTTGCAATATTTTAATTACGGTAAAGAAAACTTCAATCCGAAAACCAGACACAGAACCAAAGAATCGAAATGCTGAAGCACTGGCTCAAACGGTTCGCATACTTCACCACAGTCTTGGCTATTGTTGCTAACGTCTATATTTTCACTTACCCGTCGTTGTTTCCCGAAAGATGTTCTTGGAGATGCGCTGCTCAACGGAGTTCGATCGATGCTACTGAATCATTGTCCGTTTTTGAAAGAGCCCAATTCTATGGCCAGAGATATCTCAGGGACGTTAAAGACCAATTGCTTAGAGGCTCAGTAGATAGCAAAGCCGAAGAGAACGAGCCGTCAGATGTTCACCTCTTGGCCCTTGGCGACCCACAAATCAAAGGAATTTGGCACAACACGCCTTATTTGAGCAGACTAGACATCTTCGGTAATGACTATTATCTGGGGCATATTTTCTCAATGATGAAGAAAAGATTGAATCCCACTCACGTCGCTGTTATGGGAGATCTGTTCTCCTCGCAATGGATCGGCGACTCTGAGTTCTACAACAGAACTATGAGGTACACAAGTCGTATCTTTAAGCGAAACACATCACAGCTGGAGAATAAACGGAAGGAAAGCCACGACTCTGACGGCCAGTATATAATAAAGTGGTACGATTTTGCCGATGACTTAAATGCCCGATTGCAAAAGGAACCCAAAGATTTTGATTTCGGTTACGAAGACGTGCATTCATGGGAACCTGCTAACGAGGATTATCTTTTCATTAATTTGACCGGTAACCATGACATTGGGTACTCGGGAGACGCTACATTTCAACACATGGCTCGTTTTGAGCATCTTTTCGGAAAAGACAATTACTGGGTCGAATACGACCGCGATACGGATCATCCGTGGAGAATTGTGGTGCTGAACTCTATGTTGTTGGAAGGACCACCTTTGCAACAGCAGCTCGTGGACAGAACCTGGGAATTTCTGTACCGATTATTCGAGCAAAGATTTGAAGGTAGCACTGTGTTGTTAACACATGTGCCATTCTATAAAAAACCAGGACTGTGTGCTGATAGCGAATTGTTTCGGTACTACCCTCACGATTTCGAACGCGAGCCGTACAAGAAAAACTTGCTTCGCTCTCAAAACCACCTGAGTCAGGAAACGACAAGACGAGTTTTGAACCTGATATTCGACAACAATAAACCCGGAATCATACTCACGGGCCACGATCACGAAGGATGCGAAACGATCTACAATAAAAATGAAAAGGCTGGTGACTGGACTGCTGCGAAAGCTGTCAACTCGACAGATTTTTACGTTCGCGAGATCACTGTCAGATCTATGATGGGCGAGTTTGACGGTAATGCCGGTCTTGTAACGGGGCATTTCAATATCAAAACAAAGCTTTGGGAATGGTCCTTTACGCTGTGTCCGTTCTCAGTTCAACACATTTGGTGGTTCACCAAAGTGACCACTATTTTAAGTGGGTTTTTGCTGTCGGTACTGGTGTTTATGTAAACGTTGGAAAATTCTCAAAGCTAGTGAAAGATATACAATAGCTTCAAGTGTATTCGAAACCCAATCTTAATGTCCGGAAGGAGCCCAAGATATGCTTAGTGTACTCGTTAACTCCGTATCGGTCACGAGTACATTAGTACTCAAGTACTTGGGTGATTCTTCGATGTTTCCCATCAACATACTGCTGATATGAAAAATACGATCTCTACCAAAATATGGCTTGGACTCTTCGGGCTGAACGGAGACGTTAATAGATAATAGACTGGCAGGTGGCTTGTCTAAATCTTGAGAGACATTAAGAATCAGAGGTCATGGATACTGTCAAAGAGAACAGTCTTTTGACGAGGTTTACAAGGATACGCAAGAAACCACAGCAGCCTTTGACAGACTTAACAGAACTGTACAGTCGCTTAGCTAACGAGTCTATCTATTATCTAAAGCTAGAGGAGAAGCAAGAGTATCGCAAGGCGGTTTTAGGCTGGAAAGCACTGAACACGCATGTACTATATGAGCTTACGCAAATCGAGCATCAATATCCAAACTCACAGAATTACACGAAAGATGAACTCAGCATCCAGAACGGTGTACGAGACCTGTTTCATAGAAGCTTGCAGCATCTGGAGCGGGCTTCCAAACTACTACAAGACAGCGAATCAGGCACCGATGCAATAATGAAACAGGAAACGACATTCGCAAGAAGGCCGGTTCCCCCAGCAGGAAACTCAAGGTCTATGCTCAAGACACTGAGGGATCCTAAGTTGCAGTACAACAGAAACCATACGGCGTCAGCGCCCAGTATTACTACCAACTCCAGCAGGAGTAATAGCAACAATGAGAAAATAAATTTCACCACTTCAAAACCGTTAAAACACAATAATGCATTTCAGGGATTTGACGAAGTGCAAAATCTTATAGATTTCTCCGATAATGATGGCGAAAGTGTCGAAAGCGCTCCTCGGCTTGAAGAGGATGCTAAAAGTGATCAAACTTTCGAGTTTGACGTCCAAGACTATTTTGACGATTACCTAGACATGGATCAAGAAGAACTCAAACGACTAGAAGCTTTCAACAGTTTGGAGGGTGTCCAAAAGAATATGCATACCTTGTCAATGAACACAGAATCTCTAAACCCGAAAGGAAAAGAGCCCCATTTGAAAATAACACAATCTACGCCTGCATTAAGCCAAGAAAATCCCACTTTGAGATATGCTAAACCATCTACACCGAAACCTTCACCGAAGATAATTTCAAAGGCGACGCCGAGAATGGCTGCCAAACCGACAACACAGCCGATCGCGCCCAGAAAACTTCAAAAGAAACCAGTTTCAGAACCTACAACCAAGTCTCGTCCCATAGGACGCCCATCTCAATCTGCTTCGGAGATTCGTAGTAGGGTCGCATCACCACCTTCTAAAGAACCCCCAATCGTTAACAAAAGGGTGATAAGAACCACTAAACCTATCGTAAGAACGAAAACGCCTGAAAGCAAAGTCAATAATGGCGAAGGAAAAAAACCTCAATTACCTAGAGTTAACGGTTCTAGTAAATCTTCAAAGCAAGCGGGAACTGCTGATGTGCCACGAAAGAAAGTATTGAAGCCCACAGTACCTTCCAGTGACAAACCTGAAGAAGATAACTCGGTTGAGGAAACCAAGCCTATTGATGAGAAGTCTCTTAAGGAAGCTCTTGAAGATGACATAATCGATCAACTCCGAGGAGTAGACAAGACCGCTGCCAAACAGATTTTTTCTGAGATCGTGGTTCGCGGTGATCAAGTGCACTGGGAAGATATCGCTGGCCTTGAGGCGGCTAAGAATTCACTGAAAGAGGCAGTAGTATATCCGTTTTTGAGACCTGACTTGTTTAGGGGTCTCCGGGAACCAGTGAGAGGTATGTTGCTCTTTGGGCCACCAGGCACTGGTAAGACGATGCTTGCGAGAGCGGTTGCTACAGAATCTAACTCTACTTTTTTTTCGATTAGTGCGTCGAGTTTAACGTCGAAATATTTGGGTGAAAGTGAAAAATTGGTGAGAGCATTGTTTGCTATTGCCAAAAAGCTTTCTCCATCAATAATTTTCGTAGACGAGATTGACTCTCTTATGGGAAGCAGGAATAATGACGGAGAGAACGAATCGAGCCGTAGAATCAAAAACGAGTTTTTGGTACAGTGGTCATCTCTGTCAAGTGCAGCGGCGGGAAATAAGAGCAGCTCTGGGGAGAACGGAACTGACGATGACAACGAGGAAGACGAACGTGTTTTAGTACTGGCTGCCACGAATCTTCCGTGGAGTATCGACGAGGCTGCCCGCAGACGGTTCGTGCGAAGACAATACATCCCACTCCCGGAAACCGAGACTCGCAGAAAACAGCTCACCAAGCTGCTGGCACACCAGACCCACACCCTGACCGAGGAAGATTTTTCGGCGCTACTGGATCTTACGAACGGGTATTCTGGAAGTGACATCACGTCGCTGGCGAAAGACGCAGCTATGGGACCGCTTCGAGAACTGGGCGATAAGCTGCTATTCACACCGCGGGACCAGATACGCGCCATCACGCTACAAGATGTGAAAAACAGTTTGAGCTACATCAAGCCCTCCGTTTCCAGCGAAGGTCTCGAACAGTACGAAGACTGGGCCAACAAATTCGGGTCCTCCGGGGTGTAGACGAATACAAACGCCCCATTTGCATTTTAATAGTTGTACATAACTTAAAACAGCGACCAAATATCTACCGCGACCATGAACATGGCCAACGCTTGCGCTGTCAGTCTGTGACAAAGTGATCTGTAGTCATTGCTTCGCAAAATCCTGCTTACAACTTCTAATCAGATGCAAGGATTGTCTTCATCATGCTCGGCCGCTTCACTTCCGTCGCTCAGTTATCAGACGATGTATTGCCATGGTTTTTCAAAATTATATCACCCGTCATTTTTCTATAGTGAGTTTTCCTATGTTCAAGATATCGCTTTTCTCCAGCTTTATTTGCCCGGCCGGCAACACCGACGATAAGAATGACAGCTTGATAAGATTTATGAATATTTAAGGATAGATCAATGGCAGAACTCAATACTCATTGTACAGCTGAGTTGTATTACTATTTCGTTAATCAACTGGATTGGCAGGCTACTGATCTACATTAAGCAAGCTTTCCACTGATATCGTCAATACAGTATACTATCATAAGAATTGCCTGTCGGAACATCCCACATTTGCACAAAACAGTTAACAAAGAAGATATTCAAGAATGCCCGTTCAGGTCACTAAATTAGCTGGCCAGCCTTTGGGAGCCAAGATCACATTACCCGAGGGATGCACAGATCCCAGCAAACTGTCCAAGGAGGACTTCGACACCCTTTATAGGGCTCTTCACGAGCACTTGGTGGTGGTCATTCCTGGAATGGAGGATTTGTCACCCGAATCCCAATGGAGACTGACTACGATGTTTGATCCGACGTGCGACCAATCCGGCAAATCGTACGGCCACGGCAAGGAGTTTCGTCACGACAAGTCTGTTTTGAGAAAAGACGGTACTTCCATCCCAGACCAGCCTCAAGTGCAGGTTTTGGGTCAGGGACACTGGCCTGCTGGCCACCATGGTATGGGTGAAATCGATTTGAGACATCCAACTCATTTTGACTTCCACAAAAGTGTGCTCACTGACGAACAGGCTTTTGAGCAGGACATGACCCGTTTCTACCGCTGGCACATCGACTCCGCATTGTACGGCTTGTCGCCTCCAGTAGCGACTACATTACTCGGAATACACGTTCCCCCACATTCCAAGAAGCAAAAAGTGGTTTACGAGGACGACAACTCGGTTTTGGAGCTTACACAAGGTGCCACTGCTTTCGTTTCTGGTGCCAATGCCTTCGAACTTATGTCTCCCGAAGATCAAGAACGTGCGTTAAAGACTACTGTCGAATACGCTCCTCACCCATATATCTTCATTTCACCAGCTCGTGCTACCTCAGACGGCCTAACGATGGTCTCCGAAGGCAAAGAGATGCCGCTCGATGAATTGCCTCCTTGGGAAGAATCTAAGATCAAAAGGCTACCTTTGGTATGGACAAACCCTATTACCAAGAAACATCACTTGCAGGTTCATGGATGTTGTATCAACAAGCTGTTACTGCCTGACGGCACTACTCTCGAACTCGAAGATGCCCGTAAAGAGGTTCACCGTTTGATGAGACCCGCTATCGCCCCAGAAAACGTCTATACACATGATTGGAACAAAGGTGATTTGGCCATTTTCTTCAACAGAGGTGTCTGGCACTCCGTCACCGGTCAGTTCTCCCCCGGTGAGAAAAGATTGATGCATCAATGTAACATTGCGTCTGGACAAGATCCCAAAACAATGACTGGACAAGCTGCTTGATTTAGGAAAAATTAATGGCTAATAACGACACATACATAGTCAGATAGGGGTTTGAAAAGTTTTATGCGCTAGCTTGTGAATACTTTCACTATAGCATTCCTAACATGATAGTTGATTTATTTTATTCATAAATACTAAAAAATACATTCCCGCCATTCCTGTTTGCGTTATACAAACTTTGTTTGATACTTGTTGGCCATCACACGGCTACTGAATTTGTGACTTGGGCGTCGCTTTGAAATTGCTCGGCTTGAGCTTGACTGCTGTCAAAGTCAGGAGCTGCTGGCTCTCTCAAATTAGCATAATTCAACTTGTAGTTCAACTTGTCAATAACGGCCCAATCATCCAGGCTGAAGATCTTGAAGTCAGCAACCTCATACACCTCATTGGTAAACTTGGGCAATCCATGTCGACAGTACCAGTTTTCCCCGGACTGAGATATTTTCCAGCTACGCTCAGTGAGCAAGGCATACGCAATCTTTTGCTCCAGAGGTGTAATTGAATAATAGTAACAATAGAATAGTGAAAATGTTTCCAAACCCCGAAATTTGTCCAAAATTAGACTGAAATCTAAAACCCCATCTTTCCTCAAGTTTTGCAACTCCTTTCGAAGCCCACACCGAGTAACGTCCCAGAAGTTAGTCGAGCGATACGCATCTAGAGGAGAAGGGGGACTTGCAGTAGCGGGTATATCGTTGAGTCTCGATATGTGGCAAGAGTCGCATATTGTCCGCTGTTGACCGGAGTTTACTTTATATTCGTACACGCCATTTTGCGACATAGCAGAACTCAAAATAAAATCTTGTATCCCACTTGGAAGAACAAGCAATTCCAGATCCTCGCTTACGATTTTTTTGAGAAGGCTAACCTCCTTACTTTTACTGTCTAGCTCTTCTGCGGTGAAAAGTTTTTGGTCCGCGATGTCTTCAAAGTCTTCAACAGAGTAATCAGACTCATAATCGTCTTCAATTAATCCTGATTGTGAAGCTTGTAGAGGCACGGATTGACCCTTCGATGTAGCCTCTTCTTGCATTAATGTATAAGCGGAATTGCCATTGATCATTGGTATTTGTGGTGTAATTTGAGGTATGAGTCCAGGTGATACTACGGAAGTTAATATGTTCGAAGATGAAGTGGATTTCTTCTGAACTGCTGGAACTAGTGGTAACGTTGGGATCACAGGAGTGTTTGAGGCACTTGGTACTGTGCTATTTGTAGTTGATGAAGTATTTGATGTTGCTGCAGCTTGGAAAAAGCTTAATGTCTCTAGCTTTTTTTCCTTCTCCACTGCCTGTGAGGCAGCAGCGGCCCACCTTAGGTCACCAGCTGGTCTTATTGGTATCGTTGCCGGTTTTAAAGTGCTCGCTGTTGTTATACCATTAAGAGATTGATGAATATGAGTATGGCCTTGAGATTCTGGCGAAAACTCCCTTGATAGACTGCGTAATTTTGGCTGGATTGTAGTAGATCCTGTTGAAGACGGGAGAGTAGCCGGCAGCTTGGCATGGGCAGTGGCTGGTATACTTGTACCTGCTGAAGAAACATCAGGGGACGGTGATCGTGATGGGCTGACCGATGCTGGTTCGCTTTGAATTTCATTATGTCTCGTTTCGCTTCGCTGGGGTATTACGATCCCAGTGGGCGCAGGAATGTGCTCAACATGAGGGGACCCACTTTTCGTAGATGATTTGGCTGCTTTTTTGGCTTCTCTTTCCACTTTTCGTTGCTCTTTTTTGGATAATTTAGAATTTTCCTTTGCAGCGTCTTCCTCAAGTTCCTCATTATGCTGAGCTGCAAATGCGGCAGCAACCTCGTGCGCTATAGCTTCATTTGAAGTTAAGTTCAGGTTATCGTAAATGGTTTCGTCCTCCACAAAATCGGGTTCCATGTTCGACTCGACGTAATAGTTGATATCGTCTCTTATACTCTTAACATCCTCTGGGTCCAGTTCTTGATTTTCCACAAGCCGCAGTGCCAGCTCCATTTGCTGTAAATGCCACCTGAATCTGCCTTGTAGGTCTTTGAGTTGGTTTTTGCGTTCCTCGTTGGCGGCAGTAGCTGTCTTTTTCTTCTTGTTGAGAAGTATCAGCCTGTCAACCTCAACTTGAACAGAGTCGTACTGTCGTTCTAGTTCCTCTATCGACAGTGATAGGTATTCAGAAACATCGCGTCGTTCTTTCTCTTGTGGATCCAAGTTGTCGGACCGTTTCAGACTGTTGTTTGAATACGCCTTTTCTTTGGACGCCTTTTCGACTGCCTTGTATTTTTCCATTGCAACTTCCACAGATCGCCTATTGTCTAACAGTGAGTCTTTGTCTTTGATCTCGGGCGCACTTTGCCAGGACTTGATCTGTTCCCGCAGTCGCTGCAGTTTTTTCACTTCTCGCTTCAAATCACACTCCAACTTGTCCTTTTGCGAAGGGTTGTTCGTACAGTTCTCATGTCTCTCATAGTATGCGTCAAATATCTCCAGCCCTTCGCTGATCTTCTTGAACACTCGGTCCACTTCCTGCTGCAATTTTCGGTGTGCCATGGTTCCAAAAATTTACAGTTGGCAATCGACTGAATTCGGCACTCAACTGCACTCAATTGCTTGGATTCGAATTAGTCTTGCGACGCTTCCAGTTTCCCAACTTTCAACTCTTCGGGGAGCTCTTCACAGTTGGAAAATTTTTTATGCACTGGAGGTCTTTCAGGTTTCCCGATGTTAAAGCTGAAACCCGGACCTTACTGAAGCGTTTATCACGTGAAATTAAAGTTTACAATGAAGCAAACGACTCATTTGGTGACCACTTTCAAGACTTTCGAGAGCTCTGATGGGTTGCCCAAATGTTCTTTTACCAGCATGGTCAAGTTTCTGTACAATATTTAACTTTTGTAAGAGTGATGACAGGGTTTTTCTCGATGTTAAAAGAACGCAAGAAGCAATCCACAACCATGGTGAAATACAATGGTAAATATGAGAACCAAGCAGATTTGGTGATAAACAGTTTTTACTGCTTTATAATTTACTCCGGATATAGTTTCTAGATCTCGCTTGTGAATCTTTTTATTTGTTGAATAAGTCGTCGCGATATTGGAATCGAGGAAACTAGACGCAAGCATGGATGAGAAATTCGTGAAAGTAAGGTCTTGGTTATCACGCAGTACAGAAATTTCGGCTGCTTGAAATGGGAAAGACTGACTGGTTTCGTTTAGCTGCTTTATAATTTCATCGTAAACTGAAGAGATTGTTCCATTCTGACCGTTCCAAAGGACTTGCTGGGCCGTAGCATTTAGTTTGTAGTTTACAACAGCTTCAAATGCACTGCAGAATGGTTCAGCACGCTCAAAGCTGGTCTTGTTGTTAATAGTAGAAGTTTCACGTTTGAATACCTGTTTTGAATCAACCGTAGTATTGATAAATCTTGACACAACTTGGCCTTCGACTACAAAGGTCAAAAGAAGAACCCAGAGCATCAACCCATGCGTTGCTAACCACCAGTTGAAAAATTTCGTAATTCTTCCACACGATGCCCTAGCTTTTGGTGGCATAATACGTTGCGCTAGACCCTTTTGAATTTCCCCCAAACTGCTTACGACAGGATGTTTTGCAAAATAATCGAACGCTCTCAATATCTCCTGGAGATTTTCGTGAGCTTGCAAGCGAGTTATTATCGGGTCGATATCTTGCTGCTTTTCTTCGACGAATACCACTTGTTTCTCCACAGTCTGTTGAAATTGTACAATTTCGATTCGATATGATAAGTACTCCAAGCACCAAAAAAGTAACACGGTACTCAAATAAGTGCCAGCAAAGATACCGCTTAACTCAAGACCCTTGTGTCTATAATCTGTTGTGTTTTTGCTAATTTGATCTCTCTTTTTCATGCTCCTGTTAGTTTGATTTAAGGTACTTTCTAAATTGTTGATGAGCTGACTTGTTGAAGTTTGAATGTCTTGGTCATTTTTGATCCAGTTTTGTACATCAGCAGGAAAGAAAGTTTGGAAGCTAACACTTGGGAGACTGTACCGGTGGATGCTTTCCAGGGCGTTCAAACTTGAAGAAATGTTTCCAAAGACGTTTTGGAGAAAAGTGATGTTTAGACTCAACCCTGCCAATACATCAGGATTAGAACCAGAGGTCACTACTAGACCATTAGTGGTGAGATATTCAACAGACGAATTTATTACCTGAGCTTGATCAACCAGATTCAAAAATATGGTTTGATTATATTGTTGCAATGATTTATAATGCTGTGCTTCCAGCTGCAATTGAGTCTGGATTGAGTTGTTCCAGCCCAGAATACTAGCTTCTAAATTACTTGAATAGCTCTGAAGATGGGCGTTGATTACTTGAGCAGTATCGTTCGCCTTCAAAGAGAGATAGTCTTTGACTTGTAACTCAAAATCTGGCGTTTGTGTTGGAAATTGAGTGGTAATTATGGTGGTGGTGAGAGTTGTAGGTGTAGCAATAACAGTTGTAGTAGCAGTAACAACCGACGGACTCGTATTTGTTGAAATGCTCACATCCGTCTGTTGAATCGTGACCAGCACCCAAGTGGTAATAAGGAATACAGAGTGCGGAAGTAAAATATACGGATTGAATATGCAGTTGAGAAGCCTGAACTTTAGCGCGGGAAACAGTTGGAGTGGGCCACGCATCTTCGGGATGATTTTTTGATGTCAGCAGAATTTTTCCTGCCCGTTATTGTGATATCGGTCCTTTTAAAAGGTGACGGGACCTTGCGGTTTCAGCCTGAGACGAAATTTATAACCAGTTTCATACTATGCCGCGAATTTGAACATCAACAAGTTTCCTTCGGCTTTCGTCAAACTGAAACCGCTCGAGGATTTGTCTCAACGCCGAGGAATTGGGCTCCAGAAATTCTTGTCTGTTGGAGGACGGCAGTTGAGATATATAAAGGAGCACCCGATCAGCTTTCTGGCGATCCAGACTGGGTTTCGAGAGCTCTTGGAGCAGTAGGGAGAAGCTTGACTGGCTATGAATTGAGCTATGCTCGGATTCAGCAGTTGTGGAGCCTTCATCTACGTGTGGGTTGGTCCCACACTCGAGATCGGAAAGTTCGGGCTCGGCAGGAGTTAGCTCTCGGGTTCTTTCTCTCAGGCGGACCCAGAACCGCTTCCTCACAAACCCGTTACTGGCTTTCCAGCGTTTGCTTCGAAACCGCCAGCCGTAGCTCCAGCCTTGGTCGTCAGTCTCGTACCTGTTTGCATGGTCCATTGACACAAACCACTTGAAATCGCCGGACCGAGAATTCAGATCCAGCGGCCACATTCCAGCACCGGCCTTGATCTCACCCTTCTCTACTGATTCTCCATCAGGGCCTATCAGCTGGAACTGCGGAGGGTCCACTCCTCTAATAAGCAAGTTGGGCGAGAAAACGGGATAACCAAGAACCGTCATGCCTCGTTGATGCTCTACAAGTATGTCGCGCGTGCCGAAAAGCATGCTTGGACGCGTTTCATCCATTGGCGAAGGACTCAGCAAGATCTGGTTACTGCTATTTCTGTCTTATCAGTGTCTTTTCACAAGTGAACAAGATCGGCGATGAGCTACCACACCGACGTCTAAATTCGTAATTTCGACCCCGAAGCGCAAGAAAAAACAAAAGACAGCAGGAAGAAAGGCAAGAATTTTCCACACTGAAGCGTTCCGTCCAACGTCAAAACTCGCTCTTTTAAGGTCTCTATCGGTGTCCTCACATCTTTGGATAACTTTCGTTCCGGACTTCAGCTCAAGGTATATTGCATCACCTCGTACGAAACTGTCGATAAGCAGGATTTTGGCTTGATTTTAATTCTCCCCCCCCCCCCCCCCCCCCAAGGCTTCGTTGCGACGTTTTTGAGATCTCCCGTTACGTTTGATTCTATTAGCGTGCAACCTTGGGCCCATTTTCCTTCGAGACTTATTTTTCTACGAATTATTCGTCACTTTTCTGAAAATATTGGTACTCCGGCGCTACAACTCGTTGCGCCGTTCACTATCGTGCCCACTTCGAGTGAAAAAATTCCGTATACGTCGAGATCTGCTTGGAATGTGTGTGCACATCGTTTTCAAATCTCAGGTGTTTTCTTCTCTATCTGTTTCAACACGGCAAGGCTGAACGCTTACCTGCACTGAAAAATTTGGCTGGGCAGATGCGCTAGTAATAGTAAGCACCGGTAAAATAGTTGAAAAATCGGACTTGAGTGTTTTGTAGCACAGAGGGAAACAACTCGAAGGATTAGGAACGCTTTGGGTGGTTTAACGGTCGTGCTGAAAATGAATAGAGTATTGGTCAAGAGCGAGGACTCCAGGAATGTGCTTCCCCCAGAAACTGATAGCAGCCAGATGGTGATGATGCCTGGAGCAGTGGTGCCACAGCCGGGATTCGGGGTCGTTGGAGGCGGTAGCGGGGCCCATGGTATACCTGTACTTCCAGAAAACCTGGGAAACATTCCGCTGCAACATCCAGCGGTGGCAGCTGGTCCCCCTATGGCTCCAGACTCGCTCCCGGTTCTGCCACCTCATGCAACGTACCATGCTAACAACGGCATGTCGGATCCTTCGCTACAGGAGTATTTGTCGCCGTTCTTCCAGCCCTACGGTGTGGATGTCTCGCATTTCCCACTCACAAACCCTCCTATTTTCCAGAGTAGTCTAACGAATTTCTCGGACCATCCCCGGAGACGCAGAATCTCCATCTCCAACGGGCAAATTAGCCAGCTGGGCGATGCGACGCACACCTTCGACGACTTGTACTACAGTCAACCTCCTCCAATGCCTCTGAGACACGATCATAAAAGCGGACCAGGTTCGAAAGGCTACATATACGCTCAACAACCAATAGCGCAGATACCTCCACAGTCGCACCCACGACCACTTCCACAAACACATTCGCGACCACCACCTCAACCTCAGTCCCAACTTCATTCGCAACCCCAGTCGCACCCCCCATCACAGTCCCAATCCCAACCACAAGCTGAAGTCCAGGCTGAGCCTCGGCCACCACAGCTGCTCCAGCACCAGCAATCAGCGGGCACTCCACTGCAGTCACCACCGTCAAATGATTATCCATCACGTCCTTTGTCGTCCGACTTGGATGATGACCTCGATTCCAAGGATTCTGGGCCGGGCGGGCTATACAACCACAATCTCAATTCCAAAGAAGACCACGCTCACAGTATGTTTAGTGAGCATACGTTGCACCCGTCTTATAGGCAGCACGGAGTGGTGCCTGGTACACCCGTCTGGAAAAGAGAAAGACTTCTCGAAAGAAATCGGATTGCGGCGTCCAAGTGTAGACAGCGGAAGAAGATGGCTCAACAACAACTACAAAAAGATGTCAGCCTGCTAGCTCACGAGAATACCGAAATGCGAAAGCGACTTCAGTACTTCGAAAAGCTGGTCTACAAGTTCAAGAAGTTTACTGAAATGCACATGGCCTCTTGTGGAGGCTCCGAACAACTCAGCATGATCGAAGAGCTGCTCAAGATAGATCATAACATGATAGAAGATAGTCGCGAAGCATCTCTCGAGTTCGAGGATGGGAAGCCCCAATGATGGAATTATTCTCAACAAAAATTACGAAAGCGGCTTGACGTCGATATGGTATCCATCCTGCCAGGTGCAATGTATATTACTGGTGATTGAGCATTACCTCGGCTCAGAACTGAGCCCAACTGAGGTTGTAAACAATTAACTCTTTCCAACGGGACTTATAGAATCAAGGAAGTCTAAACGCAACTCACTTTTTATCAATTGCAGCCGTAGAAACTATTATTTTGTCAGAAATATGGAATAGTATTTACATATGAACTAATGCATTAAGCACAATATTTTGTTCGTTTTCAATTCCTGGTCAAATTGAAATACAGAATCAGGATCAAGAGGTATTGATAAAAGAGTTGAGGAGAACAACATCAGCGTTCTTTTCTACATATGAATGCAATGCAAGAGATACTGACTTCACAGGGAAAATTATTAGATCCATCTGAACTAGCAATTGTAAGTTAGACACCTTTATTTTGGCTCCTCTATGTATTACTAACTTTTACCTGGCTAAAGGCTTTCGCAATAATCAAGCATAGGGCCCCTTCTCTTTGGAAAAGGCTCACTTTAATTTTTGATGGACTGGGAGAGACCTCGTTCCTATCTGGTAAATCTGTGCTATCCCAAAGTGTTGAACGCTCGGCGGCTAAGAAGCGCACCAGAAAAAACATATCGTTAGCCTCCGTGGACCGATATCTGTACAGGTACATCATGAACGGAAACCATTACCATTTAGAGCCTGTTTCAACGTTTCTAAATGTGAATCGCTATAAGCTTGAGCATTTGTCAAATAATATTGAGATTATAAAAGCTTTGGGCGCCGACTTGCAGGAGGCTGAAGTTACTAGGTGGCTTCTGCCCAACTATCGCATTCTGAAATGGCTATTTTCAATAAATTCAGATGACCGAAATAGGCGCCGCACGGCAAATCATGTTGCCAACACTTTTCAGCTTATTTTGGTGTCCTATTATTCCTTTACTGCCGATGATAAGAAATCGGTACAGGGGATATGCCAAGGGCTAATCTACAAGTTTATTAGAGATGAATTGATTGGTTTTGACACTTCAAATGTTAGAGTTGTGAAGCTTTTACGCGATTACACAGAATCTGAATCAGTTGAGGTCAATATTGTGTCGTTAACATCCCTGTGCAGAGGACACCTCAAGTTACTAGCATTCACCATTAGGCTGATGCTCCAGAATGAAAGATTCGAGGTAGTTACAGGTATTATTGGATTTATCTTGAAGCTCTTAGAGACTTTGGTTATTTGCCTTGTAAAATTAAGAGATCCTTCTGTTATAGTCCAAGACAGGGGTAAGGCATACCAGGATATGTACAAGGAGCGGTCAACAAAAATAAGCTACAAGATGGTCTTAGAAGTTCTAGAAGCATCACATTCACTCGGGATACAGAAAGCCACTCAAAGGATTGAAATCGCCTTGAGCTTTTTGATGGACCTGGTAGTCACTTTGAACTTAGATCCGCAAACTGACGACACTCAGAATTTTGTTGATACATTTCGAGAGTTTAGGCCATACCTTGTCAGCGAGTTTTTAATGCTCAATGATTCAAGACTCACGGCTAAATTTCTCCGAATTTCATGGCCTGACCACAACGATCAAAGAGTCTATACCTCCAGATGATAAAAAAATCAATTATCGTATATAATCCAAACTTCTATTTTGCACTATACTCACCATTTCTAATGGGAGCAAACCAAGGATGTTGCATAGCTTCCTTAGCGGTAAGTCTTTCTTGATGATCGTAGCGAAGTAAATTGTCAATCAAATCTATTATCTCGTCGTTCCCCGACAAATGTTTATTTGAATCATTGACAAACCTATGCCAAGGTCTGCGAATATATTGGTCAATGTCGTGAAATTCACTGGGTAATGTAATTTGGTATTTCTGCAAATAAGCCTCAAAATCGTCGGAGCCCAAAACCCGAACAATTTTGACCAATTGATCCGTGTTACTGGTACCGTGAAAAAACGGCTCTTTTTGGAAAATCATGGACGCAAGCATGGTGCCGAAGGACCACAAATCCAAGGAATAGTCATACATTCTGTAATCGACCAGAAGTTCGGGACCTTTGAAAAAGCGTGATGCTACGCGTACGTTGTATTCCATATTTGGATGGTAAAACTCGGCAAGACCCCAATCTATCAGTCTAAGTTTATGTTTGGAATGGTCGATCATAACATTGTGAGGCTTGACATCTCGGTGCATGATACCCATCGAGTGGCAAAAGTCCAGGGCCTTTAGCAGCTCAAACATGTAGAAACGAATGTCGAGGTCGGTGAATGTAGGGTACAGCGTCCGGAAGTCTACGTTTTCGACGTGCTCGAAAATCAACGCGGGAGTTCTCGATACCTGATCGCGTACAACGTCCAAGAGTTGTATGATGTTCTTATGGCCGTCATGAGGTAGTTCATAGATTTCAGGGCGCCTGAACTTAAGTACCTCGTGTTTTTCGCTTTCGTAGTACACGTCACGGTCAAAAGGCAGGGCCGTCGGGGGCTTTGTTTGATTTGACAAGTTGGTCAGGATGCTGATCTCACGTTTGATCTTCTTTTTCTTCACAGGCTTCAACATTTTTATGACGATTTTAGATTTCGTTGCCAGTTGTACGCCCTGAAATACCTCGGAGTATTTTCCACGCCCAACCTTTTTTTCGATTTCATATGCCCCGTTATTTGGTATCCAGTCTATAAGAGTATTTTCGTAATCCCAGTACTCAGGTCCCCGTTTGACGTTGGCCGTGGTGTAGACTCTTGCTTCGCTATAAGTTCGACTTTTCATGATAAAAGCGGTTCAGTCGAAAAAGTGAATTATCCGAAACTCGTATCGTACACTTTGGAAATACCTCTAACAGTAAATACCAAAAAGCACGCAACGATGACCAGCAAGTCCCCCGTAACACTCTCTCGAGAAAATTGTCAGTGTATACTCTCTTGCCATAGGTTTATTGTTGAAAAAAAATACCAGTGTATAATTCGTTGATCATGATATTCAGAGATCGTATCAATTGGCGAAGACCCTTTAAGCTCTACATAGCAGACCTCTGAAACGTCTCATAGGATGTTCTAGCAATTCTTAAACTGGCCTACATGCCTTGAAGACCTTTTACGACATCTTCATGTGCCGAGCGGGTGTTGGAGCTTGACACTTGGGTCTGATCCCTAAGCTCGCGATAAATGTCTCTAGACTTGTCAAAGTAGACCACTTCCAATTGGTTACGCATCTGAGACTCGACGTCTTCAACGAGAGAGCCGAGATTCGATATGTGCCACACTTTGTAAGCGTCAGAACCTTCTGCTACCGAAACTGGTTTGGCCACACTCTTTTCGGTTTGTCTAGTCAAATTACCCGAGAGGCGCATCTCAGAGCCCGAATCTAGGTGAAGGATGATTGTTGTAGTAACTCGGTAGTCCCATTGGCGTGTATCATCGTTTTGACCTGCTTCGAAAACGTGAATAGCGTCCCACGAGCTGTGACTTTGACCGCCCTTTTTCAACAGCACTGCGCCGGCAAAATCCTCAGTATCGTCGCCCAGATCCCACATGTACACGGACGACACTCCCCCCTCGTAGTACAGGTCGCGATATATGTCGAAAGAGTCGTTAGCGAGTTCCTCCATGCGTCTTACGGAGTCCGTTGGAAAAGGCGATTCCTCCAAATCAGCGGCCGACAACGCTGGCACGTACTTGTTCGACCACGGAGAGCGGTGTGAATCGATGTCTCTATTGTAATCACAGGCCAAGAACTCTTTTTGCGCTGCATTGGGATCTTTCTTCACTTGCAAGGGAGTGTCGACGGAAGCCAACAAATCTTCCGCTAGTGATGGGTCTAGTTGGATCAATTGACCCAGATGTTCTTCAATCTTGATAGGGTCAAGTCTTCTGAGTAGATCTAAGGCAGCATCAAATGATGACATTGTGGGAGGAAATTTGTTTTGGGTGAGTTTTATCTCTTTTTTTTATCTTGGAGCGTCCAGTTTAAGGTTATGGACTTTATGTAGAAACAGTTGAAATCAAGGTTTTGTTTTAGTTTTCCAAACGGGAAACAGAAGAGTAGGGTGTGCGCAAAAGGTGAATGCACCAGTGAGGAGTTATGGGACTGACAAGTATGGTTATTAGCCTAGACTATGCGCCGCACACATAAAGTCGAAGTTTGAGTCTGACGCGCTGTAGCGTCTCGCTACGTGTATTCTGGATTTATTCCATAAAGTTAGGTGTTACGCGTTGCCATCAGTATTCTAGGAGGTCGTTTACACTGCGATGCTCGAAGGTTTTCTTTGCAAAACCTGCAAAGCACTGCCTCGCCACTCACCATAGCTGACACATTCTGAACCCAGCAGCTTGCAGAAGCCTTCAAAAGGTAGATTACATGTCTACAACTACCCCCGAGACTGGCAACTCGAGAGCTAGAAGTGCGTCGAAGAAACTGGCATAACGCAGCCTCTGCTACAGAAACCACGAAACAAAGGCACGCCTACAACTCTATATTCGTACATGCCTCGAACTTCAGCTGCTAGCAATGCACATGCCATGCACCATCTTCGGTCCAGTACCCGTCCTCGAGACATCATGACAAAGCTTTTACGCTACGGCAAGCCATTATTTGCCCGCAATACACGCAGCAGTATTTCATACGGCGCAAGTCTCTCTTCCACCATGGAAAGCAAAAATCAAAGACTCCTCTGAGGTTGATCGCCGACTGACAGCAAAGTTCATGAGCGTGGCAAGAACCGTTGCGAGACTTGACATATTTTTTTATGTCAAAAAGAAAAATGAGGGAAAATCACATCTTGCCAACAGCATTTGCTGGAACAATTCCAATCAACTAGCACCCGCTATCATTGCTCCCGTTGGAGGGACGGAATACTGTTGCCAATCTATCTCAAGCCTCAAGTCTCTCATTCTAACCCATGCTGTGCCCTGGGTCACTTAATACGCGCATTCCGGAAGTCCAATTTAAAGTATGGCTTTCTCTATAATGGTGTAACCTAGGTGAAAAAGTGATCACCAACGGCCAAAGGAACTTATGACAACAGGTGCTATCCCTTAACAGCCCGTTCTCAAATCTTGATAATGTTGCTCTCAAGCAGCACATGTTCTTATTACCTTCACCACTTGATTTCCACTCTGTTCTTAGTTTGCTAAATCGTGTTGCGCGCAATTAACGATGGCTGTCTTTGGCAGTAGTCAGACTTGGGCAACGCTCGGGATTCTTTATGATCTTCCGGTATCTGGACGCATCATCGTGCATCGAGTTTGGCATGTTGAGGAAGTGTCAGCTTTGCTTAGGAGCAAACAATACACTTTTTGCTCTCAGCAATGGCCCACCAGAGCTGTATATAACAGGACAGGTATCGGGTCCCAGAAGATTGTGAAAAAGAGTTGTTAGAGACCAATCACAACTACTACTGATTCTCTCACTAGTTCTATTCACTAACTAATCATAAATGTCCGCTAAAAACTGCACAGCTACTGCCAAATTGAACACGGGAGCCACCATCCCACGGTTGGGGTTCGGAACCTGGCGTTCAACTGAAGCCGATGGCTACAACGCCGTTTTGTCGGCAATCAAAGATGGTTACCGCCACATCGACTCTGCTGCAGTGTACGGCAACGAGGCCGCGGTGGGAAGAGCCATCCGCGACTCGAAGGTGCCTAGAGAAGAGCTGTTCGTCACAACCAAGTTGTGGAACACCCAGCACCGTGAGCCTGCCAAGGCCTTGGACCAATCCCTCGCGAGATTGGGTTTGGACTACGTTGACTTGTTCCTCATCCACTGGCCTTTGCCAATGAGAACTGAGCGCATCAAAGACGACAACTTGTTCACCGTCCCTGAGAAGGAGAACGGCGAGCCTGACGTCGACAACGACTGGGACTACATCAAGACCTGGGCGCTCATGCAAGAACTGCCTGCCTCGGGCAAGACCAAGGCTGTTGGTGTCTCCAACTGCTCCGTCTCCCAACTACAGAGACTGATCAACACCAAGAACAACAAGATCGTCCCAGCCACAAGTCAAGTCGAAACTCATCCTCTGTTCCCACAACAAGAAATGCTCGACTTCTGTAAGCAGAACAACATTTTGTTAGAAGCATATTCGCCTCTTGGCTCCGAGGGCTCTCCATTGGTTGATGAACCTGCCGTCAAGGAAATCGCCAAGAAATACAATATCGACCCCGCTCAAGTCCTGATAAGCTGGGGTATCCACAGAGGTTACGCTATCTTGCCAAAGTCTATTACTCCAAGCAGAATAAAGTCTAACTTGCAAACTGTCGAATTGACCATCGACGATGTTGCTAAGATCAACAACATTCACAAGGAAAAGGGAGAGAAAAGAATCAACGACCCAGAATGGTTTACTTTTGAGTAAACGTGGAAAGTTACCTATACGTAATTTGCCATTTAGGCTAACACCTTTACGAACTCCATGAATACAGAACATATACGAATATAACCATTTTTTTGAAAATCTCCATTTCACAGATATAGCACTTATACTTTTACTCGCCACATCTGTCACACCTGTACATATATCTACTCATCATGCTCTCATTCCAACAGGTTGTGAACTTCACTCAAAACACTTTGAGCTCTATGCCCCCGGGCTACTTGCCCAAATGGCTGCTTTTCATTTCCGTTGTGTCAGTATTCAACTCAATCCAGACATATGTGTCAGGTTTGGAGCTAACTCGTAGAGTTTATGAACGTAAGCCTTTGGAAACCACAAAGCTCAGCGCGAGAACTTTTGGAACTTGGACTTTTATCAGTTGCGTGATACGCTTCTACGGAGCAATGTTTCTCTATGAAGAGCACATCTTCCAATTGGTGTGTATCTCGTACCTAGTTGCTTTATTCCATTTCGGAAGCGAACTGTTGGTGTTCCGCACTTGCAAGCTTGGAAAGGGGTTCATGGGACCTTTGGTTGTGTCGACCACGTCTCTACTCTGGATGTACAATCAAAAGGAGTTTTATACCGGAAAGCCATGGTAAACAGCATGTTTGGCACCCGCTGCTACTTTTTCGTTACATACAGCTAAGTTTTGTGCATTTTTTTTAACAAACAATGAGTACGATTGATTAACTTGAATCTAGGAGGTATACACGATCCATCCACGTAAAATGGCTTACTAAATTACATCACAACTCTCTGATGGTCTAACGAGCTCAGAATGGACAACTAGGCCACATTATCTTCTAATGGTCTACTCGGGTCGGATCGTTGAGTTTCAAAACCTCCACGGCTGGACCCAGCAGTCTTTGAAACCCACTCTTACCTAACGTGGCTACCTTTGTCTTCTTGATGGCCTTCACTGTAGCCTGGCGGGGAAGATCGTTGAGTAATGCGATTTCACCAAAGTAGTCACCTTGTTTCAGATGGGCAATGATTCCTTGACCTTCTTTAGAAACTTCAGCTTCACCAAACTCGATGAAGTAAAAATTGTCACCGCTATCACCTTCACGAATAATTATTTGTCCTGGCTGATATATCTCTGTGTCTAAAGCGTCAGCCAGCTTGGCACGGTCATATGTCGTCAAAGAATGTAGAACAGGCATGGACTTTAAAAATTCGTCATATAGTATTCTCTTCTTGAAAGAACCTCCCAACAAGATCCTCCTGAAGGTCAATCTATCAAGTGCCCATAGTACACAGTCTGTGGCGGCTAGAACAGTGGCAGCTCTGGGGCTGTTGTACATGAGCGCAAGTTCACCAAAACTGGAACAAGGTCCTGAGCTGTTCACCTTTTGATCTCCCACATAAAAGTCCACAGTACCCTTCTCCACGATGTAGAAGTAATCTCCTTCATCGCCTTGCTTGATGATTTCTTGGCCCTGTTTTACAGCTTTCTCTTCCAAAGAGTCAATGACTAATCTCTTCGACTCGCTATCAAGTTTGTTGAAAAGGAAATTGCGACCAATGGCTTTCTCCAGCCTATCTAACTGTGGACCACTTTTCTCACAGAAATTTTCGGGAGTCCAGTTGTCGAGATTATCAGGTTGCATAGTTTCTCCGCTTACGGAGGTACGTCTTTGGGCATTAAAGTTCATGGGCAGGTGTTGAGGCGTTACAACAGACTTTCTGGGAATTTTCGATGGTTGTGGTGATGAGCCTGAAGCACGGTCGCTCGGAGCCATGGGATCCACTGGTTTTCTAATGTTCTTCTCGGAGCTTTGATTTACGCGGAAATCGTTTTTGAAAATACCAGAGCCGAAATCACTGCTACTAGGAGTGCTCATTTTGTCACCACCAGTGGTAGCAGCAGGTGCATTGGGGCCTTGTGTCGTGTGATGTGGGTCCGTAGTTTCTGAAAAAGATGCTTTGAATAGCTGATCTTGCGATTGCGATTGCGATTCCAGACCTGCCGCACCAGTGCGACCTGAAGCTACCACGGAATCGTTCCTTGTAGCCGAGGGGAATAGGACGATGCCCTTCGATAATGCCAGAGATTCCTGGTTCCTTGCGAAAAATCGTTGCTGCTCCAGTCTCCTGTTGAAATAGTTTGCGGCGAACTGCAATAAGTCTTTGGGCTCATCTTCGTGCACTTTCCGCTGAAACAAGTTCAGCTCTTCCAATTGACCTTCTGATAATGGCATTGATGCTATTTACAGTGGGCGCAGAGCTCTTTATAGTTGTCTCTACCAACAATTTGGCTGTGTTCAGAGAAGTCTTTGCAGAGAGGAAGCTAAGGGGCCTAAGGTCAAATTTATGAAAACAAGAATATATCTTCGTACGGACGTGGCAATAGTTGATCCCTTCAGCATAGATAGTCAAGCAACTAAAAGCATGAGTTATTTACTAAAAATGAATGCTGGTCAACTGCATTGGCGTGATATATCGATTGGCAAGTATTTGATGCTTTGACATGACTTAGGTTAGCTATTTGGCAGAGATTCATAATTATATACGTGTTAGCATGATTGAGACATTGACAAAACATTATTGAAAGCATTTATTCCTCCGCGCTGGTGGTCTCAAAAAGTTTAATATGGTCCCATTCTTTTTCAGCCCTTTTGGGTTTGAACGCGGCAGCTGAGCGGTCGAAAAGTTCTTTAAGTTCGTCACCCGTCAGTGCACCACCGTCGAGGCCTCTGGCAAAACCGATGCTTGATTCTCCACTCAGCAGAAGTTGTGACAGTTCTTGCATGAGCTCCTTATTCGAAGGGGAGGAATGTTGGTGTGTGCGTCCCGCGCTCATGCCACTAAACGATTGTTCACTTCCCGCAAGACGTTTTAAATTGCTGAATTTGCCCATCTGAATCACCATCTTCTCAAGTCTGCGCTTGCTAGCGGCGCGCGTCATTATAACGTGTTCAATGGTATTGTCGCAACACAGTCTGTAGACAACCACAGGCTTAGTCTGTCCGATTCGGTGAGTTCGGTCCATAGCTTGCAAATCAACCTGAGGATTCCAATCGCTATCGAAAAGAACCACTGAGTCAGCAGCCGTAAGGTTTATCCCTAGTCCACCGGCCCGTGTTGATATCAAGAACGCTTTATATTGGCCTTTTGGAGAATTGAAGCGATTAATATGTTCTTGACGAGTGTCATTATCCATCGATCCATCGATACGACATACCGAAATTTGATTCAATTCGCACCAATCCTCCAAAAAGTCCAGCATTGTCACAAACTGCGTGAATATTAACACTTTGTGTCCATCATGAATTAGAGGTGGAACCAATTGCTGCAGGATTTGGAGTTTTCCGGAAGATTGCAGTAAAAAATCGAGCTTCAACTGTTCTGGGTCCATGAAAGGGAAGAAAAATAATAAGGTGGAGTCCACTATTTGTCTCAATTGAATCATGGTATTTTGAAGCTTCTTGTTCAAAAGTTCTCGACGAATATGCTCGTTATAAAGTTTGTCCATTTCCAGAATAACTTTATCTGCTGGTTTTTCTTGTTCTTCACTCATTTTCCAGTTCATGAAGTTCCGTATGGTCTTATTACTAACCTGGCCAATGTGGTCTTGGTTCAACGAAAAGAATTTTTTAATAGCTTGTTTGAAAACAGTTTGTTTCAATTTCCCGTTCAAAGCAGCTTTATAGAACTTAATCTGAAGCGGGGTAAGCGGGCAATTAACAATGTACTCACGTTTCGGCGGTAAACTTTTGGCCAATACTACTTTTTTCAACCTTCTAAGTAGAAAGGGCTTGAGAATAGTGTGTAGGTTAGAGATCAAGCTTTTTTCAAGTTCATCATTTATCAGTTTATTCAATCCTTCGGACGAACTTTGCAATTCTAAGTCAGTGAAGTCGAACCATTTGTTGAAAATCTCAAAATCAGCAAAAATATCAGGTAAGATAAAATTCAAAAGCGACCACAATTCTCCTAAATTATTCTGCAAAGGTGTACCAGTGAGTAATAGACGATTTGAGGTATTAATGCGTTTGAGCTCCTGAATTAACTTGCAGTTAATATTCTTAATACGATGACCTTCGTCCACGATTAGGAATTTCCAATGGTAAGATAAAATCAAGTCGATATCTCTAATGATCATCTCATAGGATGTTATAACGACTCCGCTTCCCTTGGTTTGTTTGAAGAAGTTCTTAATTTTCGAAGCTCGTTTTTGTTGTCCTTGAGAATCATAGTACTTTAAAACGCTGATGTCTGGTGCAAATCTAGCAAATTCACTCATCCAAGTATCGACTGTGCTCAGGGGAGCTGCTATCAGGAAAGGGCCCTTGGTGTCCATCTCAGTAATGAAGGCAAACAACGCTATGCTCTGAAGCGTCTTGCCTAAGCCCATTTCATCTGCGAGAATACCGTTCAAGCCATTTTCGTACAGAGTGATGAGCCAATTGACGCCTTCTAGTTGATATGGTTTTAGCTCGCAATTATGGAGGAGGGATGGTTGTTGATGAGTAAATTTTTCTGACTGAGGTTCGGTACTTTCAATAGCTCTAGAACTTTTCCCAAAAAAATCGGTTATTTTTTTCCGCTTTTTAGCAGGTTGTTCTGTATCATCACTTTTAACTTGTCGATCTTGCGACTTATTTAACAGCGTGTCTGCTATTATGCCAGAATATACTTGACTCTGCTTAACGAACTCCTGAAGTTTGTTGATCTTTAGTGAAATAGTGGCATCATCGATTACGGCCTCTTCCGCGTTCTCTTCTCGTTCTTTGAGATCGCTTTTCTTGACAAAATTCGCGTCTATCAATTGATTAAGCTGGTCGTCATTTTCCTCTTCGTCAGAGCTAAGAGCTACATCCTGGTCCTCGGCAATGTTTTCATCCTGAAGCCAAATTGGTTCAGCATCTTTAGAATTATCATTATCGTCCTCGGAAGTATCCGAATCCCCATTGTCTGGCCTTAAATCTGATTCTTGTTTTTCTCGGTAATTAATTTGTGCACCGTTGGCTTGCGAGCGTGTAGATCGCGTAGCAACCATACTTGTAAAATTAAAAAGGGGCTATTATGATCGGTATTGGAACTAGCGACGAGCTTTTCGAATCTTGGCACCAGAAAATATAATAAATATATTTCCACGATAATGAATTGAGCCGAATGAAGGGTCTCCAGCGAGATTAGCAATTCTAAGGTCGAATTTCCCTATGTGAACCTGGGACTTCGTCTTTATCTGATGATTAACTTCGGATTGAAATACAGGGGCCAGATTACAGTTAAATGACAAGATCAATGAGAACGCCTAGGCTTCCTGAAGAGCACTGATCCAGATCTTTTTTCACGTTTACCCCTTTTGAACTTCTTCTGTAGCCTTTTCAGCACAACTAGGACCGCTAATAACGTATCCAGTGGTTCTCTGCCTCGCCGTGTATTAGCGCGGCTCTCAAATGCACCTCGAGGTCGAAATTCTTCGTTCTTACTCTTTCATTTTGATGATCTCTCTGCAGCGTGTAATTTTATAAAATCTAAATTTTGTTAATCTACAAACATCTTTCATATACAATTTTAAGCTAAAGGTCAACAAAAAACAGCAACATGGCCGAGTCCCAGGAGACTCCTCAAGCGTTTGAACATAGCACAAGTGCGCCTTTGTTGCCGCACTTGCAACAGCAACAACAGTTACAGCAGGAGCACTCGAAAATAGACTATGAACAAGAGGCGAAAAAACTAGAAGACAAAGCGATTCGTTTCCTTGCTAAACAAGCTCATCCAGTTATAATTCCATCTTTCTCGTCCTGGTTCTCGTTCAGTGACGTGCACGAAATCGAACGCCGGATGCTCCCTGACTTTTTTGACGATTCGTCGAGGTTCAAGACCGAAAAGGCGTACTGCGACGTGCGGAATTTCATGGTCAACACTTACAGATTGTCACCTTACGAATACTTGACCGTGACCGCGGTAAGACGTAACGTTGCAATGGACGTCGCTTCAATTGTCAGGATTCACGCATTTCTGGAACAATGGGGGCTCGTCAATTACCAGGTAGATCCAAGATCTAAACCCTCGTTGCTTGGCCCTAGCTTCACAGGGCATTTTCAGATCGTACTCGACACACCACAAGGCTTGAAGCCATTTGTTCCTAGTCAAGTGATTAAGTCAGGAGAGCAGAATGACCAGCAAGAGCAGAATGAACAATCAGTTGATAAAAACGACCTTTCAGCGCAAGAGGAGGTTAAAACCGACTTTGAACAGCCTTCAGACGAAATGGAAACGGCTCCCGATCTACCTTTTCACGCTTCTGAAACGGTCGTAGAGGCGACGCCTTCAGACGCTACGATCAAGCAAGAACCCAAGCCCGAGGTTGAATTTATACAGCCAGAAAAGTTCCCTGTCAACCTCTCGCTTCGCAAGAATATCTATTGCAACGCACAAAACTTCAATTCGTTGCAAACTGATTCTCAACAATCGAAGCAAATTAACAGAACTTATATTTGTCACACCTGCAGTAACGATTGTGTTGGAATACGCTACCACAACTTGAGGTCCAGAGACACGAACATATGCTCTCGCTGTTTTCAAGAAGGTCACTTCAGTGCTCATTTCTCCTCTTCAGACTTTCTGCGCCTCGAAAATCAGTCTCAGACGAAGAGACAGTGGTCCGATCAAGAAGTCCTGTTGCTACTTGAGGGTATAGAAATGTACGAAGACCAGTGGGATCGCATTGTGGACCATATTGGAGGCTCTAAAACTCTTGAGGCCTGTGTAGAAAAATTTCTAACGCTGCCGATCGAAGACAAATACATTGATGAAGTTACGCCGGCACCAAAGACGTACACCTCAGAGAGAACTTCACCGGAAGTGACGGAAACTGTGGACGCTGCGGTTCAAATTTTGTTAAAAGGTTTGGATAATAAATTGCTCAATGAAGCTGTACCAAAGTCTGCGCAACAAATTTCAGAAAAATACCTGCATGAAGCCCAATTAATTGTCCAAGACCTTGTCAAGCTTACACTAGAGAAAGTTGATCTTAAGTTTCAAAAGCTCAACTCTGTCGAATCTACCCTTATTGAGGAGAAAGAAAAATTTATAAAGGAATCGGAGAGGCTCTTAAGCGAGCGCCAATCTTTGAGCAAGCAGGTCACCGAATTGAATGAAGAGTTGGCCAAACTCAACGTTTCCAAAAAACTCATAATGTTGTCAGAACAAGCTGACTCTGGTATCAAGCTGGTCGAAAAAGACGAAGAAGCTCAAAACAAAAATAGGCTAGTCGCGGGTCTTGACGAGCTTCATAGTGTCTCTCACGTCGAACCCCAGCAGTATAAATCTTGGTCATTGGCCTAAAATGTACGAAATTGTAATTTTTCATATCCTGAAACTGGAATGCGATTTGCAGAGGAAGATCCCTGCCCATCTTCCAATCGGTATGTATCTGTATTATTGGCTAAAATCCATCTTGAGTTGTGGCGATGTTGCGAGGCTGCATCGTATGTGTGACATGGCCCAATTTTCTGGTTGAGCCGTCATCATTAAAACTTGAAAAGTACCATGGTGCATGTTCCAACAGTAACATTTATCATTGATTTTTTAACTTCGATCATGCTGACGGTGGCACAAGACCAGACGTATCAACGCTTCCTCGGGGCTTCTAAAGGTTTCAGAGGCTATCTTAGTTTCAGCTTTCATACGCTTGGTCGACTTGCTCGAGTTGCTTCATTTCCCCCATCAGTCTTTGCTATGGCCTCTTACTGGAAGAGCCCGTTATTCTATTGCCAAAGTGGGATACAGATGTGAATCTCATGACGTTTAGATCGATTGATTTTAGAAAAGGATTGATAGAAACGTTATTAAAAGTTATGCCTTGAACTTGGCCGTGTCAGCCCTTCTCCTTGGCCACAGATTGATCAATTCGAGTTAGTAAGTATTCCAAACATTATACTGCTGTCTTAAGCTTACCAGCACATTGCAGTGAACAATTTAGATCCTAGAAGTAAACTATTCAACGTCATACGCAGCATAACGCGGTCAGGGCTCGACCGCTTATGTGTTAAGAAACCAGCACAGCTTTGAATGTCTCGTGGCTCATCAACACTGCATCTTTTGCTGCACCCGTAGTAACATCAGTCATGTTTCATGTCATTATTTGACACAGTTTCAGAGTTGTTTGACATGGCTAAGCATAACCTGAAACGGCGGTGGCAAACCAAATAGAACTTTCAACGTGAATGCATTACGCAATTGTGATTCAAAACCTCAAGGTTGAGTATCTCGCATGTCTGCAAAATGTTGGGATCTGTCCTAGAGTCTTGAAATAGCATATAGAGGTGGTAAGGTCGTTGAAATCATAAGCATTCCGCCATTATAGTCTGATACCATTGCTTCATTAAGATAAACCGAGCTCCTGTGGAGCATAGAAGCACGACCAAAGCAGAGCGCATTCGTAGAGATGCCAAAAGTACCTCAAGTTCTCCTGCCGCTGTCTTCAAAATTGATGATCTCAAAATCATTTCAAGACATTCCCTAACAATAACGCTGTGAAAGATGAATGGCAGCTAACGCATGGATTAGCTGGATTGCCGTGCTGATGATTTGAGGAACAAACGTTTCCTCAAAAATGATAGTTTTTTTTGATCTTACGGCCTAATGAGGAGGAGCTCTACCAAAAAACCATCTCTTGTTGTTTTTGTTGAATACACAACCTCCGAACGACTTTTAGTTATCCAAGTCGCCAAGCATAAGATCTCTAGCGGCCCATGCTTACAGGATGCCCAATATGCTGATTTCGCTTGCGCATTTTTGCGACAAGCATGGTCCTAGAGTTCTTTTGGGCACTCAATTCGCGCAAGATGGTGACGCCTTGCTTCTGCCAGACTACCCAACCGAAACATTCTGTGATTCATGTTCAATGCATTTTCCAAGCGAAGATACGAGCTCTCGGTCGATGCGAACTCACTTAAATTCCATGTACTACGTTTCCACGAACTACCCATCAGTACGGTACCAGTTGACCTCATCTGTGATACGACACATGTTTTCAGAAGAGACTATGAGCTATGATAGTACTCCTTTTACATTTTTCGATCAAGCCAAAGGCTTAAATTTAGTAATGGGATTCAAGCTTCCGGATACTGATGCCCGCGGGGACGAAAGACGATATGCGCTTCTACTTACTATAGACAGCTCGGACCATGCTTCTAGTATGAAGATTTTGGCCAAGCACTGGGAGTTCATAACTTCCGGTTTCAAAAAGATCATTGACTATATCAAGCAAAGACGTGAAACTGAAGTACGACGCAATTTCGCCAAGAATTCGTCGGGGGACTTTACTCCGATGGGTGGAGGTTACTTGAAAGGCAATAAATACAAAGTCCCGAGGAACTTATCATACCTCACTAATGATGACTTACTATTTGTGCGGCTTCACAAGTGGAATACGTTCATGTTAGACGTGTTAAATACGAATGAATAACTATTATACAGAGCTCAGAACACAATTGTGGAATTGCAATTCTAAACGCTCAACTTGACTTGTTCATCGGTGATTTTGTCCTGAAATGGAGCCAATGCATCTGCGACGTCGACGCTAACGAACTTAACAACCTGTTGTGGAGCTCTGCCGACAAAAGTAGATGGTTCAAGTAAAGAGTCCAACTCGTCCCAGATTGGTTGGAAAAAATCATCTTTCTTGACGCGCTCTATCAAATCATTGTCGCCACCTTCTTCCTTAACGACAGCGGCGGCTTGGTGTGATAAGACACGGATGGACTCATGGACTTCTTGTCTCGATGCGCCCTTGCCAACCATGGCCATGATGATATTTTCAGTGGCCATGAATGGAAGCTCACTTTTGATTCTTCTTTCAATAACCTTTGGGTACACAACTAGACCCGAGGAAATGTTAAGCAAAGTAGATAGCAAAATATCGGCGGTCAAGAAAGCACTTGGCAATGAAATTCGTCTAATGGCAGAGTCGTCCAGAGTTCTTTCGAACCATTGAACGGACGCGGTCTGGACTGCATCGCTGAATAACGAGCCCAAGTGTCTGGCCAAAGAGCACACACGCTCACAACGCATGGGGTTTCTCTTGTAAGCCATAGCGGAGGATCCGATTTGAGACTTTTCGAAAGGCTCTTCGATTTCTTTCAAGTTGGCTAATAGTCTGATGTCGGTGGCCATCTTGTGAGCAGTGGCAGCGAAAGACGACAAAGGCGACAAGACGTCAATGTCGATTTTTCTGGAATAGGTTTGGCCTGTAACTGGGTAAACGGTGTCGAATCCTAGCAATTCAGTCACTCTCTTGTCGAGGGCCTCGACTCTGTCGTGGTCTCCGTGGAACAACGCCAAGAAGGAAGCCTGGGTACCAGTAGTACCCTTGACACCGCGCAAACCAAGATCGTTTCTGGCTCTGACAAAGTTTCTTAGATCCCACAACAACTCCTGGACCCAAAGGGTCACTCTCTTACCCAAAGTAGTTAGTTGAGCTGGCTGAAAGTGAGTCCATCCCAACACAGGCAGGTCCTTCCACTCGACGGCGAACTTGGCAAGTCTGTCGATCACATTGACAAGCTTTGGAATCAACAAGTCGTAGGCGTCTCTCAAAAAGATCAGGTCAGCGTTGTCGGTGACGAAACAGGAAGTCGCACCCAAGTGAATAATACCAGCGGCAGAAGGACAAGTCTGGCCAAAAGCGTGCACGTGTGCCATGACGTCGTGTCTGACAATGGCTTCTTGTTTAGAGGCCTCGGCGATTTCCTCGTCCGTGATCCTCAAATGTTGTCCCATCTCAGAGATGGCGTCGTCTGTGATAACGGAAAGACCTAATTCCTTCTCGGCAATCGCCAAGTTCAACCAAAGTTTTCTCCAGGTCGAAAAACGGTTTCTCAGCGAGAAGATTGAGGACATCTCCTCGGAGGCATAACGGGACGACAAAGGCGTAGTGTACTTGTCGAATTCAGACATTTTGCAATTGTGTTGTATTTGTAAGGAATTAAAAGCCAAACACTGATTAAAGAAAAGCTGTATAGTTCCTCAGTTCTGTGTGAACAACTCAGTGGCTTTTAAATCAAACGATGCATCAATATATTTTTCAATATTGGAACTTTTTGAATTTATCCATTAATATCAGAATTAATTTTTCATTTGCATAACAAGATGACTTCTGCATAGAAAAATATAATGCTTCTAGAGAAGTCAAATAAGCCAAGAACATGTCGAATCCATTCGAATGCGAGTGTTCAGCGACTGTTCGAGATCATCAGAGGTCTTTGATTCTTTGAACATGGATCGATTGCCACGATGGAGCTCTTGACGCTATGTCCAAAACACGACTTTCCGGTTAGCTGCTTACTCACAATGTCAATCTGTTAAGGATTGTAACTACAGTAATATTACAGTTTTCTAGCGTAATAACTTCACGATAATACACATAATACGGTCTATTGCCAACTTCTTCCTTGAAATCAGACTTGTCTTCCTATGGTCCGTTCTGCTGCTGTGCAATCTTGTGAGCCATGTAAGCCGCAGATGGCCGCAGTCCGAGTGGAAAGGTTCCTGGCAACGTCGAGTCCTCGTCCTCCGAATCGTCGTCACCGGGGTTGTCGTCCTGTTCTTCGTTCATGTAGTCGTTGTCCTCGGCATCGACCTCTTCGTACTCCATTCTCCGCTTCTTGAACCACCGATTGAGAGGCACGTCCGTAATTTCGTTTTTAGAATTCAACAAACGCTCTGTAATCGCCACGCTCGGTCCTCTGAACCACAGTACTTCGCCTTTACTGCGTTTGCGCTTTGGCATTAATTGATCCTTACCTAAACGTCTCAATTGCGAGCTGTAATCCGCGCGCTGCAGAAGTTCCACATTTTTTGAGATTTGCAATGGTAGTACGTATGCCAGCGGCGTATCAGTTGAAATGGTTCCAAGTACTGCGTTGTTGGTGCGGGCCTGGGCGGCCAAACTGTTGATGATTGTTGGGGGTCGGTATGCCGGTTGTTTACTGGACTGTGAGCCTAGCTTTATCGTCTGCGAAGGTACTGTAGCGTTTGCCGTAGAAGTAAGGGGCGTCTGCTGCATAGACAGAGGTCCCGGGCTCGTGGAAGATGTAGGACCGGGTGGGAAGTACTGCGTTGACTTCATCGCAGGTGGATTGTAAACTGCGGTATTAGATTGCCGCAAGCTAGCCAGGCCGGTCCCGCTTCTGCTCTTAGTTAAGGACGCCAGCCTCGTAGTGGAGGGGCCACCTTTGGGAAGAGCCGTGGTTGTTTGCATGTTTGTGACAACTGTCCCAGTCTCGACATCCAATTTTCCATGTTCCACAGGGTCTCCAGGTCTCATGATGTACCGAGGGCAATCGTCAGAAGTTGAGTATTCACCCAAATCATCCTTCTTCACTTTGGGCCTCAAGTAAACAGCTCCTACAAGTGGAGGCGCGTTCACAGCTCCTTCGGTGGGCATAGGAATGGGGTCATTTACTGTTGCATTTGGCGGCAGTAGGTGTTTGATGGGCGAGTCATATTTGAAGAACTTACGACCTAATACTGGTATAGTAGCCTCTTCGACGTCACGAATTTCTTCGGGTAGACAGCCTTTCCACGTACGAATTTTGTTAAAGACCTTTTCACTCTCGTTGTATCTGAACTCGCACACAAAAAGTGGTCCTTCAATCTCCAAATCTGGATCACCGCGCTGAAACCTGGTGAAATGACACACGTAACATTTACCAACAATTTCATCGACAAGATGGTCTCGGTATTGGCCAGATTTAACAACCTCGTTTTTATAAAACAACCGATCTACACGGTGTACAGTTTGTTCAGGTCTTAGATACCAACAGGCATTGAGCCAGCGCCTGCCGTCGGACGTGTGCCAGAGTCTGAAGATTTGTGCAATCGTAGGTTTTGTTGCATCATTTGAATTATTGATCAAGATCCAGTCACCAATTTTGTACGTTGTTCCATTATGATCAACTTGGTTCAATGGGTATTTGAGTTCTCCATCGGTCATATACTGTTCGTCGGATCTAGAGAGCTCATGCTGGGCCAATTCACTAAACCGTCTCTCGAGCTCCGCGGCTCGCCTTAGATCAGCCGGTTGTGACCTATGGTACAGCTGATAATTAGTGATCGCAAGCTTGAAATCTTGCTGAAATGCCTGAAAAGTTTTGTATTTTCTTTGCTTGACTTTTTTCCGAATATCGTCGATGGAAATGGGGTTGGAGATTAACGTGTAGTACTGAGGCTCGCGTTCTTCGTCGGGAAGTCTGTCCAAAGCTGCCGTTATATTTTCACCGCGCTCATTTGTATCCTTCTTGAGAACTTTCAATACGTTTTTAATACGTTGTTCGTAGGGTAAATCAATCACAGGCGGCCTACCGCGTCTCATATGTGTCTTTTGTTGCTGGTGTCTTTGATACAGCGGCGTGGGCGTCATAGAGTGTGATGGGGGCTGAAGGGAAGAAGGTGCAGGGGACTGAGCGACTGGAGGGATTCTAATCTTGGGAAGAGGCTTCTTGCGTTCTGTGTATTCGTCGTCCAAATCGTCGTCTTCGTCGTCATTTGTGGCGTTGTGCGTTTCCGAGTCACTGTTATTGTTAGTGTTGTTGTCACCCTGGTCGTTGCCTAGGAATTCACTGCTGACTGGAATATCAGCCACGTTTTGATCTTTATGCTCACGCGCCATAGCTTCAATTTCGTCAGGCAAAGGACCTAAGTTGGGATAGTGCACGTCCACATGCTGTTTTTGCAATTCGGGGACAATCCTTTCTCTAATGAAAGTGTCCATTATCGAAGCGTAGGTGTAAATGTCAGATTGCTTGGTATTGTAGGTACGCGCGTTCCACGTTATTTGGGCCAAGTCGCTAACAAACTCTTGTGGGTGATTGTAATGGTTGTTGAGCCTCTTCTTCACAGTGCTCAAAGACATTGGGTGCTGAATTAGCTTGTAATAGTCAGGATAATCTTTTCTAGGAGGTAAAATCTGGAAAATCGGGTATATCTCGAGGCCGTTGGGTTCTTTCAGTGCCATGATTTCATCGTATAGCGGCTTCAGCCGCTTTTGAACAGCTTTTTTCTCTTCAGTCATAGCCTATGAAATATTGAGAGAAATTACAGCACCTGAAAATCGTAGTGCCTCTGTTGGTTTTGACTTGTGTGGAGAACTTAGGCGTGGGTAAGTTGTACCATTTGATATTCCGAAAAGTTAAAATTGAAGATTAGAACTTTTCGTGACAGGTGACGTCGATTTGTCAAAATGGTGGCATTAACGACAACGAACAGCAGGTAGAGCGAATTTGAACTCACTTAATTAGTGCACCAAGGTTGTTGCTTTATACAAAGAGATGAGAGCCTCCTGCGTCACGTCTGCAATTTCCAACGCAGATTGATATTCTGTAATATACAAATTGCTAGATGAATAGTCTGGATGATATTATGAAAAAGCTGATGCTACCCAAGCTGCAAAAGTATAATTTTTTGGCTGATTCTGTTCCATTCGAAGTATACCATTCTACTATTCCTTCAGCTTTCTTTTAAGAGAAGGTGCGGTATCCTTCAGTGAATTCTACTTACTACTCAAAAAGTAGTACAAAAATGATTTCGCCCAGGATCGAACTGGGGACGTTCTGCGTGTTAAGCAGATGCCATAACCGACTAGACCACGGAACCATTTATAGTTTAAAACAGTATTAATATAAGCTTATAACTACATTAACAATCACATGCAAAAATCCTATAGCTAAACCCACGTACTTAGTTCAGAGCCAAGAAGCTCTACAGTCCAGTGTTTATAGAATGTCTTTTTGGTATGAAGTGATCCGTTCTACGAACAGATATGGTGTGCCCGCATTAGCTTTCTTACAATAATTCAAAAAGAGTCAAGTAACAACATTTTGAAGACATCAAAATAAGCTGTATGGTCAAATGCACTACCAGAAGCATTGGCTGTGATCGTTGGTCTGTTGTTGCTTTGTTACTTTGGAATTGCTTCATTCTGCCACTTCCCTCATATCTTCAAATCACTTTATACTAAATTAGTAAGTTTTACAATCGCTCAAGATCCGATGAGTTGAAACTCTAAAAGATAAGATTAACTTTGCTCCGGATTTCTCGCACGCGCCCTGGCTATTTATGTACTGCAAGCTATGGGAATCGATGAGCAACAGTTGCTGAGTTTCCAACGCTATCTTTCCAATGCCAAAAAAGTGCTATGTATCGTAGGAGCTGGAATGTCTGCTAGTTCAGGCATTCCCACATATCAATGGCAGCGAGGTTCATGGAATGGTTACACATCTTTGGATTTGGCCACTCCAGAAGCATTTCATAACGACCCGGGGCTTGTGTGGCTTTTTTACTCTAGCAGAAGAGCCGAAGCGCTTCGCGCCAAACCAAATAATGGACACTTCGCCTTGGCAGAGTTCTGTCGTCGTTTCCCTAGTGGAGTTGCGCGCAAAAGAGGCAGCAGCGCCGAAAAACCAGCAGAAAGTAATCTTGCAAACAAACAGGTGCTTGTGGTATCTCAGAACGTCGATGGGCTTCATCAAAGAGCGGGACATCCATCAGAGTCGCTGGTGGAACTGCATGGAAGTGTTTTTGGGCTCAAATGCACTCAATTCTTCTGCAACTATAGGTCTAGAAATGACAAAGACAGGTTTTTGACGCCTGCCCTCCATAAGAATACTCCCAGAGATACGCCAACAACTGCTAAGAAGAGAAGGCGTGAATCGTTCAGACATGATGAAGTGAAAAACGTCAAAAAACAACATATTTCAGAAGAAGCGGAAGGTCAAAAATCAAGGGAAATTTCCATGACGCCGGATAGCCCTTCTGGATTAAAAACTGTAACCCCGTTTCCTACACTTGAGACAAGCGAGCTGCCGATGTGTCCCGACTGCCATAGCGGTCTTCTTCGACCGGCAGTAGTGTGGTTTGGTGAATCCTTGCCTCTCACACAAATGGATGAAGTCGATCGATTTTTCAACGTGGGAAATCCTGTAGATTTAGTTCTCGTCATTGGTTCGTCGGGCAAAGTCTGGCCGGCCATGGGATACGTCGAGCGCGCTAAAAAGTCGGGTAGTAAAGTAGCTATCTTTAATACAGTTATTGAAGACCTGGATCAGGTCCGCAAGAGTAAAGACATTTGGGGATTTGAAGGGGATGCAGCTCAAATCCTCCCCGGAGCTCTCAAACCACTGATAGGCGACCTATATAAACCCAGAAACTGGCAAAACCGTTAATATTTAATCATAGCATTTATAATGAACTTCTTTTCTAATGACAATAACGATACAAATTGAACTACAAACTATTAAAATCCCTGATCCGAATGAGTCTTATTACCAGACGCGAATTTCCCTAAAGAAAGAGAGTCAGACGCGGAATCCAGATCGCCCAGCTGCTTTTTTATAATCTTCTTTCTCCAAAACCCATCGTCGCCGAGTAACTCAATATCAACTAACTCATAATTACCAATCTTAGGTAAAATATGAGCCCATGTTAGCCAGTAAAGGGCGCCAATGGCGAATATTCCCCACGTTACAACACAATGAGTCCAATACGGTAGAGATTTGTACACCGTTTCGCCACCTGTCGTTGGAGGGATGTATGGAGCCACAACGAGGTAAACATTCGAAAGCATAAAGAAAGTGGTCACCACAACGCCTGCCTTGATCGGAGGATTCCACGTTATTTTGCCTTGGCGACGTTGCCAGTAGAGCCACAGTAGGCCAGCGCTAACTGCTAGATTGATCACATTCATAGGGTAGGAGATCAAGTTCAATATAAAATTGTAAGCATCACCTGGAGGTGGTGCGATTATAGTAACCACGCACACGATAAAATGCTGTAGAAGCCCTACTAGAGGAGAATCAAAAGGCTTCGACGAGGCGAAGAAATTTGAGAATGGAAGGACACCTTCACGGCCCAATTGTTGTATGATTCTTCCTTGTGAAAAGATCACAGACATAACATTACCAACGGCACTGAGTCCTACAATGACGGAGGCAGCTTTCTTAGCCTGCCCACCAAATACGATGTCAAAAAAATCGGCAGCCAAAATAAGCTTGGAGGATATCAGTTTCTCCTTAGGGACGACTGCGAAATAGGCGATATTCACAAAAATGTAGATGATGGCCAAGAATATCATCGATGTAGGTCCTGCGATCTTCAAAGTTTTAATTGGGTTCTTCACTTCTCCTAGAGCGTAGTTGACATTAGAATAGCCGACGAAAGACCAAATGACATTGTAAAGAGCGTTGACCACACCGTAAGCCGTTGCGTTTTCGGTTCCCTCGAATGCGTTGTGAAAATTATCGGTCTTGTACGACTTGTTTGATCCGAGCACAACCCATCCAGTGATGCTAATGAATATCACGATACCGATCTTGAAAATTCCGAGTAGGTTTTGAATGTAAAGCCCGATCTTGACGTTCACAGCATTGATGAGGAAACAGAATGATAGAATTCCAAGCGCTACGCCTCTTTGTTTCCAAGTGGTGATTTCCGCATCCGCTGCTGTCAGGAACATGACTGCTGCGTTCACGGAGTTGCTAGCAGCCCAACCGAGGAAAAATACGTACGATGCGTACATGGAGATGACGAAAAACCGCGGTTTCTTGAAAATATGCTCGAGGTAATTCTTTTCACCACCGTTACGTGGAATCGCACTTCCAAACTCCAGATACACGTACAGACCAGAAATGGCGATGATTGCGCCCACAGCCCACATAATCAGTGCCAGCCCTATTGACCCGCTTAATGTGTAGATAGTCGATGAGACGGCGAAAACCCCGGTCCCCAGCATCCGGTTGCAGATGAGGCCGATGCACGAGAGAACCCCCAGCCTTTTGGAGCCCTGGTCTGGCTCCGTCGTGTACTGATTCTCCTCCTGCAACGAGTCCTCTTTGTCTTCCTGCTGCACGGAGTGCGTGGAAACATTTCCACCCAGCTTCAGTTGCGAAACGTACTTGAACATTGGTTTCCGAAAGCGTCAAGACTCACGACAAATCGATCCACTCTAAAAACACCCCAGCTTACCGACCCGATACACCTTTTAGGGCCCCTGCTTAAGTACCACTCTTGAAAAGAATAATGAATGTCCACTTGAAGGTGTTCTCATAGACAGCTTTCACATCCACACTTACTGTGGCATCTGTAATGTAGCTGTGAAGCCCCGCACCAAGCGTCAAGATACCAAGACTAGTAGTCGCCAGTGGCTCGCAGTGCTTTTTCGCCCAGCAACGATGCGTCTGTCTCGCAACTGAGCCATCTCTATTTTGGCTCATGCACCATTTGTCTTTGTAGCCGCATAGCTGATACCACACTTCGACAGCTTCGTCTCAAAATCCTGCTGTTCTGAGTTGTAGGGCTCAAGTTTCCCATTCTTTAAGGCACTAAATTCAAATTCGATGCCCACCAGTGATGGATATGATGCCTTGAATATGCAGGTGTGGCTCGAAATGTAAATTTCAGCTCAGCCGCATACAGGTACTCGTAATGTACTCATGGAAAAAGTGCAAAGCGATGGGATAGACAATGGAAATGGTCACAAGAACGCAATTTGAGGGCGTGTACGGTATGTCTTGGTCAGTCAGTAGTAGAGCTGTTTGTCTGCCAGACGATTATTGGATTTAGTGCTTGAATATCAAGGTCATGGGCGCTTACGATTCTCTCGTAATAATTAATTGATATATTTTCTTTTATTTCAGCTCTCCTGTGAAAAAGTATGAACCGGTTAGATTTGCAAACAACAATTTTGGCTGTTGATGATTTTGCACATGCATCTTCGTGTTTTGGTATTTGAGCCGATGTTGGTAATATGAATGGAATAGAAGGTTATCTACTAAACACAATTCTACGTTATTATTGAATCTGTTTACAGCTGTTTTGGTAAACGCTCTTGTCTTGAATGCTGTGCTATTGCTAGAAAGCGCCAAAGTACATCAGAATAGGGTCATAACGAAAACTAAAAAGTGTGACAGAATAGTACAAAGTGACAACGCTAAATATTCAACCGAGCATATCCATCCAGGCACTGTTCAGAATATGCTGAGGTCTAGACATTGATGTTGAGTAGTGCCTCCAGTGACAGCCGAGCAGTGTCATTGCCTCCAAGCAACGGAGGCTGATAAATTCAATACCAGTCCAGAACACTTCTCGTTATCAACACCCGACATGCAAATACCTTACAATATCGGTGATCAACTTTCCATGTCGAGATCATAGATCTTAACATCTAGAAAGACTACAGAGAGATAAGTGGAGTAGGAGATCCTAAACTGAATTAATTAGACGCACCATGAACGACTAGAATGGTCAGCTCAGCAAGCTAACTACTACTGACGCAGATATGCTACAATAACTTTATCGATTCAAACTCCGCTCATCTTACCGTCGAGAAACCCGCAGAATAATTGCCACCTACTTTCGGATTTTTCCCACTCATTGATATCACCCTTCTTCTCTCAATCATGCCGCCTGCTTATGTTGAACTACAAAGTCGGGTTTGGCTTTGAGCCAGCTGTACACTCTCCCAGCTTGAGTTTGTGAACTGGTTTCGAGCAGGACTGTAAGTTTCGACAGTACACTGAGCGGCCAGACACCATGATGTACAGCTTTTTGGATGAGCGACCCTTATGTGCTTTTGAACCCTTTACCATGATGTACAGCTTTTTGGATGAGCGATCTTCATGTACTTTTGAACCCTTTGAATTATTGTACGATCATGCGGGCATCGGTCATCAGACGTATAAACGTGCTGTGTGTTGACTTCAATCAGCTGCACCACCTGCTTCTTTTTAATTTTGTAGCAGGTGGCTGACGAGCCCAGGTATCGAAGCGTTCCATTGTCAAAGAGAATGTGGTCGACGAACAGGGGATGTAGATGAAGACTACCCCCCCCCCCCCACCATTTGCGTACATGCAGGAAAATTTCGAGAAGGAAAGCTCTCATTATAAGACATAAAAGGTGAGCGTTTACTGATTTATATAGCTGGCATTGCGATTTTGAAAGAACCACGATTTACTTGGAATGCGCGCAACCAAGGTAGCCCCTTCTATTCGAAAGTCTCTCAATATAATCGGACCATTATTAGATGCTTTCATGAATAATAAATAAGGGAACCGCAGCTAATTGTAGTTTCATCGCTCTCCCTCCGATTTAATTCGCTAGACACATAAAATTCGTGGCTTGAGCTACTACTACGGTCTCCGAAAGTTTAAATGAGATTCTGTTTGCGAAGACGCTAACGAGACCATGACGATGGGCAACTCGAGTGTATCTCAATTAACTGCCACTTACAAAAGCGCTTGCTGGGTTCCTTTTCGGCTTTCAGTTGCGTGAACTGTTTTGACGATTCGCAAGTCCGTCACTTCTTTAAGCTTCATGAGCCTTGGAAGAGTAAAATACAGTTTTACGTTGGGATTGCAATAGTCCAGCTCATGGTTTCTCAAAACCTGCTTACTCAAAGATGTGAAACCAGAACAATGAAAAGCACTGAAGTCCAAGATACATTGCTAGCCATCACAAAAGAGTATGCTAAACTGAGTGACAAGTCGGACATGTTTTGTGAGAATTTTTTTTAGCGTACTCTATTTCTCATCGCTAATAAAACCATCCTGTTCACCTTGCGAAAACGATTAACTAAAGCTTGTTCGAGCAAGGACACAGAGCCTTTGAGTACCCAAAAAAAATCGATACAGGTCCGCTCGGCTGGTTTGTGTTGAAGTTCATTATCGATGGCCCTGCTTCATTATTACACCCCTTATTGAATTAAGCTACCTCTTCTTGATTTGTGAAACTACTGTGCTAAAATGCGCGCTGCTATCAGCTTTCGCCCCCTTACTGGCACTTCACACTACTAATTATTCCAAACATGGCCGATATAGACCCCAACCCTCATTATAAAATGGTTTCTAATGCTCTTCCTCAACTTCACCATTGACCTTTCCAGAAAAGGTAATCCGCGATGATCATAGATTTCTTTGAGCTGTACCTGTATACAGTTACAGCTGAGCTGAAACCTCATTACAGTCATTATACTATATTTATGAGAGCTCCAGAAAGCCTATAAGTATTCGCTACTCTGCCACATCAAAACCCTATGGCGTTTAAGTTAGGATCTCTCACAAGATAAGGTTGAATTCAAATAATAATAAAACACATGTCGTCTTCCCAGTGGAATCCAGAAGACATCCTGGTCACATTCCAAAATTTGTCTGGTGCTCAGGCTCAGGTTGACGCCCAACAACTGCAAGATGTTGTCAACAGGAGAATAGCCCTCGGGATCTTGTACGGTACGCGGATTGGTGCAGCGGTAATTACTATTGTCATACTGCTCATGGTCTCAAAAAACCGCAAGACGCCTATTTTTATCAGCAATCAGATATCCTTATTACTTATTGTTATACAGTCTGGTGTGTACTTGGGCTATTTATTCAGTCCCTTTGCATCAGTCAGTTTCACGATAGCATCACTTCCTGACACAATTCCAAACTCTAATTTACGGCTTTTCTCAGCCGCTAACATATTTCAGGTCTTGTTGGTCGCAGCCGTAGAGGCATCTTTGATACTCCAGGTTCGTATTATTTTCAAGAGTGATACTTTTAAGACTGTCGGCAGGGTACTTGTTGCAATTTCTACGGCACTCGCCATAGCTACCATCGCAATGTTCCTCGTTTCAGCTGTAAAATCCATTACTGCGATCTACAGCGACGTTCAAGCGGCCGCGGACACGATTTATTTCAATATTGCTGTCATTTTGCAATCCACCTCCATCAACTTCATGACCCTGTTGCTCACCGTTAAGTTAGTTTTGGCTGTTAGATCCAGAAGGTTTCTCGGTCTCAAGCAATTCGACAGTTTCCACATCCTGGCAATCATGTCATTCCAAACCCTAATCTTTCCCAGTTTGCTTTTCATTTTGGCCTACGCTTTGTCGGGCAACCAAGGTACTAGTTCACTCAACAGTATCGCTGTATTGCTAGTCACTCTTTCCTTACCACTGTCGTCGATGTGGGCAACTTCGGCCAATAATGCATGCAGGCCATCTTCACTCAACACCTACTTTGCTCCTTCAATCTACGATGGTACGTCGACCAAGACGGACGATCGCAGCATCTTCTCTCAACCAGCGAGATCCTCTGGTTATCAGCGAAGCTACGAGCAAGCTTACGACTTGTATCCGGTTGTTAAAGCAGATCCTACACAGCACGAATACAACTACGATGTACAAGGTATGGATAAAGCTAATTTCCAAACTCTGGCCGTTTCTATTAATACGGCTGGTAACAGTTCCACATCCAGCAAATTTAATCAGGATAAGCAGCCAGAACTTGGTCATCTCGAGCGCGCAATAGAATCTGGCGTTTACACACCAAATACTCTTGATGATGAAGATGCTCGCAACTTCTGGTCGGGCACAAAGTCTTGAGGCAGTTAGCAAACGTAAATGTTTTGCCTCTACTACACCAGTTCATGTTGAAAACTTTCGATAATTTTCCATTTTGTTATAATGATTTCTAAATTCTAAGCTGTTGTTTTGTTATAATTTGAAACCGTTCTGCTCTCTATATCATTGAAAAGCGCTCTATAAGTAGAGAAGCGAAAAGTATGTAGACTGTAATGGCTTTTCATATCATTCAAATTGGAAGTCCTAGAGACTGTTAAGCGAATGTCTTCAAGAAGAGCATAGCACACAAAGAATTGAACAGATGATGTAGCCAGTACAAGTTTCTAGTTCCAAAAATGAAACTGTACAATGACATATGCAATAGCCATACCAAAATAGCGACACTTATAAGGTCCCTACTGGATGTTTTCAATGGCATTCTATACCTCGCGTTGCTTTCTATAAGCAAAATAATGGGAAGCACAGCGAGGAAATTATGATGGGACCTGAACGGTGTTTCCCACCTTATGGCGAAGTTACGCATAAACACCATGACGATAGGTGCATTGATTGGAACAAGAAAAATCATCAGCATAAGGATTGTATTGTTAAAGTTCTGTAGGTTTTGAACTTCTTTTCTTGTGCAACTTACGGCCAGCTTCACGCAGAATAGTGCCTGCAAAACAGTGAGAACAATAAATGCAAATTGATAGGGAATGTAAAAGATTACCGCAATAATAATGATGAGAGCTCCAGCGAGTTGTCGAGCATTTTGGAAATGGCCATCAATTATTCTAGAACCAAATTGATCGTTCCGACTCATTTCACGGACTGATCTCGATTTCGTAGCTGTCCAACCAGCTACCGCTTCTAAAAGCGCAATTAACCGGTAAACAACGTATACTGATGCGATAGTCATTAGAAGAAAAAAAGGGCCAAGCCACCACATAAACAGCTCGCTGACACCCAAGAAAAAGGTGCCAACAGACGAAGAATTTGATGTAGGCATCACCCACTGCTTCAAGTTTGCGAAGTAAGCTATGCTTGAGTAATTAATCAGGCTTGACAGCGGAATTAATAAACCAATCAATGTGAACATCGCTATCCAATGTCTATTCAGTACTCGATCCATTGCAGTATCAAAAGCCACAAACTGACCGGTTGTGCTATAGTTGCGAAATTGATATGCAGCAATTAATGCAACAAATCCTATGGTAAACGCAGCAATAGAAAGACGAAACCGAATGAACAACATTTTGATTGTAAGAGGCCAGTTAACCTCAAGAATAATGCTCAAATCAATCCCAGGCGGATTGATGAAGGTAAGTTTAAGTGACTTGAAATCCGAGGAATTTAGAGTAACAAAAGGGGCCACGCTATGAAAATTGATATCTTGAGGACCTTGCTTCAGGTTGACGTGCCACTTGGTCTCGAAAGGCTTATCGATTGACTGTTTGAAAAAAGGCTCAAAAAGAGGGCTACCTTCCGAGACTAAACTTTTGACACGGTAAGAGACAATCGATGAATACAATCCTGTCATATCAAATGTTGAAACAAGTAGTGAGGAGTCGACTATTTTTCGCATACTTAATAGTCCGGTGAAGAAAATTTTGAAAGGATTGTCATCAATCAAGCGTTTTGTCTTCCTGTTGGTTAGTTCAGCGATGACAAAGTTGTTGTTTTCGTATATTTCTTCCGAACTCTCCACTACTATGAAATCGTACGAGGACAGAAGTGTCTCATTGACTAGTAAAAGATGAAAGGGTTCTTCCTGTTCTCCACTAGAGGAATCTGATGGATATTGGCTGTCAGACGCAGATCTTGGCACCTTGACGAAGTCACTAGTGGCTGAAAAGCACTTCGCTTTCCAACCTTGAGATGAGCCCTTTTTGTCTAGCTTCACCAAGTTTCTCTGGCAAAATTGGACATTCAGCGACGGAACAGTTGTTAAAATTGCGAATTGGAGATCTTCAGTGGATTCTGGTACTGTAAAAAGATTGAATCTCGAACGAGAATGCACATAAGGATCCGTCAAAACAAGTTTCTCATTGATCTTTACCTCACTAAAGTCCTCCAACGAATCAAAAAAGCTGCCCTTAGCGCTAGGCATTGAATTTATACTCATATCCTGAGCTGCGTAGTCTTCCAGCCCTGAAAGGAGATTTTTCCGATACAAACGTAATCTATCCTCTAAGGGTATACTTTTCGAAGGCGATTGTACGTCGACCGATTCCAATAAAATGTGCGCGAGGACTCTTCTCAATTGGTCACACCATACTATTGCCAAATGATCTATTGGAGTCCATACGTCCGGAATAGTCGTTGTATAGGTTGTAAAACCATTGCTGTAAGGCACAATCTCTTCAATAATTGTGAAATCAGAAGGCAAAATGCTGTCCAGGACGCCGCCTGTTATTGAAATAAGCGAGACGTTCCGAGCGAAGAAACTTGACCTGTCTTTAAATTCAGACTCCCAAAAATTAGTGATACGCTTGTAAATCTTGAGCATGTCGCCATCAAAGGTAACTGGCGACACTGCATGAGGAGCAGAAAGTGTAATATAAGTATTAATCGATTCCGGGATGTAGTTCTTGAGGGTAGGCATTACCCTCGCCACAACACCACCCATTGAATGACCTATTACAAGTACTGCCTGAGGACTGGGACCTGTTTGGTCTTGGGTAGAGCGATACAGAGAGAGGATGTACCCAACAGCGTCATTCAAGTACTCTGCCTGGTCCAACATAGTTCTTCCGTGGAATGCTGTAAAATCCTCATTGAAATCGGCAGTGAAAACGTCCAAGTTCTTGGTATTAGGATTTTCGATCGACTCGGCCTCATCGAAATATAGAGTTGCGCTGGCGGCAGCAATCGAGCGAGCTTGTCTGAAACTTCCAGCGTTTCCGGGTATGAATAAGACTGGGATTCCGTCTAATTGTAGCTCCCCATTTTCTAGCGGGTCGCGATCTTTGCTCTGTTCGCGATACAAGTACAAGTGGTATTTTTTGGCCAATGTAGTATATCTTTCATCAAGACCATCAATTCGAGCGTAAGACGGATACATATATACAGGTCGACATTGCGGGGAGTCTGCACCTGAAAATTGTTTCGACAAGCTTGTTAACACTGCTACAAGGATGAACAAAAGCCCAAGCGCTATTACACGCAATGAGACGGTTTGGGGCTTCGTTGTGAAACTTATGATGCTTGCGTCTGGATCACGACTCATCTCAGAAAATTCTTGCGTGTATTCAGCTCTCTTGGGCTCAATAACCGTCATCTTTTCGGTTTTGGGGTCTCTCATGTCCATAAATTTGCCCGCTATTCTCAATCCTTTCTGAGCTAGAGCTCTTGTCCCCCTTCGTAAGCCTATCAACGGCTTGAAAATTGCCAGGATGATTTAGTCAGGTCTTATAACAACGGACTGTGAAGAGCGCTGGGTAAAAGTTCTCAGACCCTTATTCTGCTTTCTCAGTTGTACATGTCTTCAGTTAGTGAATTTTTGTATAAAGCGTGAAAATGAAGACTGTTTGACAATGAGATATACAGAACCGGCAGGTTAAGAAGAGAGCTAATCGATACGAAGCCAGTACACTAGTCTATGAATATCACTTCAGGTCGTTAAAGTCATTAGTATGTACATAAATGCTAAATTTGGAAGCCATTTTTGAAAATGATGCGGGCTATTTCTTAGTGTCTTCGCATGGTGTACTTGGCACAACCAAATTTTAAGTGTTACAATTTGTGAAGCTTGCGAACTTCTAGACGGCATTGAATGAATGCATTTTGATTCTAGTTCACAGAGGTAAGGTGTTGCTGTTTCGCGCTTGCGTTTTTCTTGAGTGAGGACGTAGAAGGGGTCCTCGCAGGAGTCGAGGACATGCCATTTGATGATGTGGGCGAAGACCCATTTATTTTTGGGAGTTTTTGAGATACCGACGTTTTTTGCACTCTGCGTTGGTTGTAAATCTCTTGCCGATGTTTGAACGTGGCATCGCGCAATTGCTCGTAAGATTTAGTACCCAGCATAGTGCCAAAGCGAATGGTCTGAGTTTCGTTTGATATTTGGTTTAGGCGCGCTGGTTCTTCAGAGAACTTAGCACCGTAATTGTTGTACTCGGAGTTGTGTTTCCATCTTCCGTGCAACCGCGTTAGCTCATCAAGTTTTGAATCGTAAACGTCAATTACTTCGTTACTCTGTTCCTGTCTTTCGACTTCGGAAAGATCTATTAATTCGGACAACGGTGTAAAACTTTGGCGGGGTCTCTGTATATCGATAAACTCGAGTCCCAATCGACCCATCCGTCTCCTAATTTTGAAAGGCAGTTCGCGCGTGTATACTTCACCGTGTTCTTGAAATGGATTATAGTGTTCAATCTTGCGGTACTTTGGGTTATCGATGCGATCACCGTCTTTGCTAAAGACAGCAACGTCGTCGGAGTTACCATCTAGGTAGTCCTCGAGTCGTGGAACATAATAGGATCTTTGAGCCTCAAATTTAGAAGAAGCAATGGACGAAAAAGGTGCATCGGTTGCAGAAATGTCAGCCGGGACAGAAATATCAAACACTGGATTATAGGGATCATCCGTTAGGTTGAAAAAGGTGTCTCCGTCCTCAAGTTTCCGTTTGCGCATTCTTTCTTCAACATAATTCCGTGCACTCTTCTCTTTGGTAAGCAAGATATTATCCACGTCCTCCAACAAAATATCGGGGATCTTAGAACTGGGCAGTTTGACATAAACGTGAGCGGAAACGGAGCTGCCCTGTTGCTTTTGTTGCTGTGCCAGTTGCTGCGCTTGCTGTTGAGCCAATTGTTGTTGCTGCTGAGCAAGCTGTAGCTGTTGTTGTTGTAGTTGCTGTTGAGCCAATTGTTGCTGCGCCTGTTGGCTTTGAGCGTGGCTTTGTTTGTTCCCTTTGGAGGTGGGATGTTTAGAAGAAGCCGAGTCCGTATGCGATTTTTTGAGTTTCGTTCTAATTTTCTTGGCGTTGGTTTCCTGTGGGCTGTGCATAACGACATTACTGACCAATTTACGTCTCCTGGCATCAACCAGCAAAGAATCGTCCTCGCCTTTGATTCCTAACGATTGTTTCACAGGTTTGATATCGCGTCTCAACTCAAAAATTCTAATGTCATTATTCAGTGAGTCCAGAGACAACTTCTCACGTTTGGCCACTAGAAGAGCTAGTTTCTTGGTGTATTGAAGTTGTTGATGTAACAGTCGCAGTTTGTGACTATTTTGATAATCGATTCTCCGGGTTTTCCGAGCTTGGCGAACTTCACGTCTGCGGAAACAGACGTAAGGATCGTTATCATCACGGTCACCACCGTGCCTTTCGAATTTTAGTTGCGGACTAATTTCTCCACCGTGGGATTCAACTTTACGGGCTTTCCAGTGAGCGTAAACTCGGTCGCCAAATTTCTCTACAAGTGTGGCGAGCGGGCGCGTATTTTGGCTGCTTGCGGTGTCGAACTGGGTGATGAAAGTTTGCGGGGATCGAAGGCCAATTTCCTGAGCCAGACGATGTTTGATGCCAGCATCGCCCAGGTCTCGCTTGAGAATTGTAGGTTTGATTTCCTCGAGCGACAGGATGTTCTCCGGGTCAATGCTAAGAAACGGCTGACGCTCGTGGATAGCGGTCTCGAAACTGCTGCACAGAAGCTCGAATTCGTCCTCGGAGAGCCCGCCAGGACCGCCGGTCTCGGCAGAGAGCGCAGACGACGCCAGAAACTGCTCGTCGCTCTCGTCCATGTTGTAGCGCGAGCCACAGCAGTCCTCTACCGTTGCGGAAAACCTTATGTAGCTCTGGGGCTCCACGAACTTGCCCTGGTAAAATTGCGTGTACTCAGGCCAGGTGCGCGACGCATCGGGTGTGGGGATGTACAGCTCCTTTCGCGCCAACTGGTTTTTCTGCAAAATCTGGTGCAGATGCTCTTCCTTCTCCTCATTCTTGTCCACACCGGTTTCGATCTCGACCAGCTCGCGCTGCTGCAGCTCATCCTTGTCGAGTTTTCGCAGGTCTGCGGCCTTGAAGACTTGCAAGCGCTGTCTGACCGAGATCTTGCGGTGCCGAAACCTGGTGTTGGCCGCGTCGGCAGCGCTGCCGGACGGCACGGCGCTGGTAGCGTTGTTCGAAGCCATCGGGACGTCTTTATGCTGTGTGCGCTAAGTGCGCTATGTGGTGTGTGGGTGGGATTCCAGTTTTCCCTCGATCACGTGTTGTTCCCTCTGGCTGGAAAATTCGTACAGGGGGATTTGTGCACGTGTATGTTTTTGTCCTGTCAGACGAAAGATCTAGCCAGCCGAATAGCCGGGCCGAAAAATGTACGCGTGGGGAGGGAAAAAAACAAAAAGGACACAGGACCTGTAGCCGTGAAGTGGAAGTAGAAGCAGGGGAAAGTGAGAGGGTGAGTGGGCGGCGAAGATACTGGAAAGACCGGCTTTCTGTGTCTTGTGTGTAGTTGAAGTGTAGCGCTTGCGTGGCTGTGGCTAACGCTTCCAACTCGTAGCGCCTGGTTTTTTTTTAGGAGTGGTAAGTAAGTCCTTGTTTATTGTTCCCCCGTCGTCGTCGTCGCAATAATAGTGTGGTAGGAAAAAAAAATTTTCCGGCAGCGGAATGCGGAAAATCCGTGGAAAGAGAGATGTTGGGTCGCGAAGTACGGGGCACGTGATGGGGCGGCTGGTTGGAAAAGGCAGGGCGTGAAGCAGGAATTGGAACGGTGGTGTGCATGGTTGCTGCTGGACGATATAGCGGCCGCTTTGCCCTTGGTGGCCTGGGTATATGGAACTAGATAAAAGGACGGGCGAGAGTGTGTAGCACGTGACCCGATGTTGATTGGGTCACTTTGTACGCGGAGCTCCATCAAGTGGTATCCACTCTTCTCTGTGTCTAGAGATCCTGCCGGTGTCGCTGTTAGCTCTATTCACTGTGTGCTGTATACCTTGCCCGACTCGTCATTCCCGTTCTTTCTTGCCTCTTTTGCTCTTTGCCGGTTCAAGAATCTGTCCCCCGAACGGCGGAATCTCACAAACCTCGGGCTTTTTCCTTACTGTAGTCGTGCACATACGGCACTCACTGCGGCGCTCAAAAGTCGTTAATCTCCACTCAAACGCCTCCCAGATCAAAAACTTTCCAAGCCAAGCCCTTGTGGTGCGCTGTAAATTTTAATGGCACCATGGGCTCTTCCCACTCCCCTGCACATAATTATAAGTATGTTCTAGCTCACTTCACACACGATTCTTGTGGTGCGCTATTCGTCAAGATGTGTGTTTTAGCCGCCGAGATATAAAATGCATCTCATTTCCGTGGTTCGTGACCCTTTTCGGTCCGCGCCGATGTATATTATACAAGTTGAAAAGCGATGAGCTAGTCGATTGATGGCTTCTGGTCGAAGACACGCCAGAAACAGCTTTAGGGAACCATGGATTCGCTCATAGAGATCGTCACCAGGACCATAACCAACCTGGGCAATAAGCAATCTTTCCTAGAAGATCAAAGAAAGCACTACTCTACGTTAAAATCTCATTTGGTCACTTACAAGCCAAGTGCATCTCAAGACGAATCCCAGGAAAAAGGTTTGGTGCTAGGGGAAATAATAATTTCCTCGAAGATCTATTTGAATATTGGGTACGAGTACTACGTCGAGAAAAGTCAACAGGAGGCTCTTCAGTTTGTGACGGACAAAATACGTCTCATTGAAGAGGCCACTTTGCAGTTCAAAGCCAAGACCATCGAGGCGAATGAGACACTGAAAAACCTGAAGCAGGCCCAACAACTCGAGCAGAAGGAGGATATACAAAGTGAAGCCAAGGATCCCATACCCACGGCTGAAAATGACGAGGGCTTGCCATTTATGGAGATTCGAGAAGATTTGGACGATGATGGCAATATCGTCACAAGCACAGTCAATCCAACTTCGGCTCGCGAGGAGCTGCTTGCTAAACCACAGTACTCAAACGCAATCAAAGACTCGAGCGTCGGAACAGAGCCCCAGCAACGCTTTGAAGAAATCAACGACGATGCAAACTTACAACCCAAATTAGCCGCACCAGTGTCTCCTCAAAATCATATCAACGGAGACGTCGCAAATAACGCTCGCGAGAAAGAGGACCTCAAAGCCACTGAAGTCACGCAATTGTCGCCTGCGCAAGATTCAGCTACTATACCCGCGATCAAAGAAGTAGACGCGCGCAATTTGCAAGTGGGCAACAACGTAAGACATGCTATCGACCCGAACGACATATACACGTTTGATGATATTGTTCAGCAACTAGAGGAGCAAGACGATATTGAGGATGGCGATCTCGATGATGAGAATATCCAGTACGACTTTGACTCGTACCAATCGAAAGGCCACAGCGACGATGACGAAGGTGAGAATGCTACTGACTATTACGAAAGCGACGACTACGAAGAATACGAAGACTCTTCCGTATCTTCAATAGTTCCTGATGTAGCCAGGAGCCAATTCTTGAGTCAGATCAATGCATTGCGCTCCAAAAAACTGGAACAGTTGGGTCCAGTCGAGCGTACGAAGCCCATCTTAAAGGCCAACAAGAAAACCGATGAGCCTACCAAAAAGAAAGTTGGCTTTGCCTCGGAACTTGACGTTTGGGAGGTGGAAAACGTAAAACAAGAAACTAAAGCTAACACCTACACCGGTGCGTCACATCCTGAAGCCTTGGCTCCCATCTCTGCGCTCGATAATGAGGAATTTGACCCTGATTTATTTGCTAAACTTATAGGCGCTAAGGACTCGGATGAAATCCACGAGAAGTATGAGCAAGAGAAAGTTGAAGAACCTGTCAAAAGAAAACCTAAAGTGTCTCGCTTCAAGAAAGATGTAACAACGTCGAGAGGCAGTGCAGTGACTGTCGAAGATAAACTTGACGAGGGACCTAGGACAGGAGAGAAAAGCAACACAGTAACCAGTGATGTGCTTGAGAGAAATCCCACTGTGACAGGCAACGTTCACGAGAAACCCCACGAAGTTACGAGCAATATTCCCGGGAGAGACTCTAATACCACTATTGACATACAAGAGAGAGAGTCTGGTTTTCCAACAGATATCCAGGAGAGAAAATCTGCTTCGATCAGCCCCATACATGAGGTGACTGAGAGACTAGCTGCATCTAGCCTTCACGACAATGACGCCACAAGAGAACTCGGAGGCAAGATGAAAAAGGAACAGTCACTTTTTAAGAAGAATCTTCGGTCTTTGAAAAGGCCTTCTTCGGCACCGGCCCGCAAAACCCCCACTATTTTTCCAGAGGCTCCAAACCCAGAAGCTGACCCAGTGGAATCCGAGTCTTCTCGTCCTGCACAGTTTCAAAAACCTCAGTTTGACAAATCTGACGCGAAGGCTTTCCCTGCAGAAATAGCTGCGATTGTTAGCCAAAGTGGCGCGGAGGTTGTTCAAAATCCCAACGTCGACTTTCAGGGCCTTGGCGAAAACATGGACGACATGGTCCGCGCATATATTCTAGGCTTGTACAACGGCGACGTCGACGATCCCGGCACTGTCTTGGAAAACTTGGAGGACTTCAAAAAATACAACAAAGAGGCTGAAGACCTGCAAGGCGAGATTTCTACTTTTTTGAGCGAGAACCCTGGCGCAACGTCTCAGGGTGATGTATCTACAACCGCCGCATCTGACCCAGCAGGACCTATAACTACCGACGTGGTAGAAAAAGAAGTGCCGACGCCCATGGACTACGATGGAGAGGAAATGATGCTAGACAGCGAAGCTCTGCACTACGACATCGCGGTTGAGTATCAACGGCTCAGACAAAAGATGATATCTGCACAGGGAAACATCGAAAAGTCGCCAGAAGAATTGCAACTAGAGCCTATCGACGAGTACGGCAACCCTATCAAGACGAGCCGGTTCAAATCAGCCAAGCTACAATTTGCGAAACCCTGATCGGACCTGTGATGCATGCTTCCAGATGTAAGAGATGAGCTGCACATTCACAATATCCGAAAATAAGCGTTCAAGGAGCCAGGTGTGAAACTGCGATTCAATGTTGCGTTTCAATCTCTTAGCTTCGAGAGTCGCCAGCGAAAGGTGCTGACCGTCGATATGCCAAGCATGTACTGTAATCGCACGACAAAGCGTCAAGCACGTGAGCTGGCCTCATCTGTCTCATCTCACGTGTGCACTTGTTTTAAAATACTTGCACCTGTGTAACCACCAACAAAGAAGAGAGTTTGCATATCTAATGACTTTCTGCCACCACTTTCGGCATGCCTCGGATAGCTTGATAATTGCCGACGCCCAACGTTTTCAAGGGTATCCCAGCAACATTATATGCCTTGTGTGGCTTTTTGGGGCATCTAGGTTGGGATTCGCCCATATGTACAGGAACTAACGGGACTATTTAGTCTGGGAACCTACGAATGTGTAAGTTCGGGGAATTGAAAAAGTCTTGGAACTCTGGGAAACTTTGTCGAAGCGTTTGCAACCTGTCTTTGACACGCCATAAAAGTGGTTCCTTTCCTAGAACTGAATAGTCCTTCAGCATTTGTGAACGTCGGACACCAGAGTTTATTAGCATTCCGCTTCAGCTAGAGTAGGGCACAATGGAGACTGACAAAGTGCCAAGCATCAGCGAAAGATTACAGCTCCTCATGGACGAAAACCATGATCAGGTCGAGAGGCCAGCAGGTTCTCTTCTGGAGTGTTTAATCAAATCGCTAGAAAAGGAAAGACTGACAGAGGAAGCGTCCGTACCGCGGGCGCAAGAGGAAGAAGTAAAAACGGACGTTGCGGGAGAGTCCGGCACGGCAGGATCCTACTACACCTCTTTCGTTCCGCCTCGACCATACGCAGATTATTTTGATTTCGACGGTGGACAAATCGAAGTCGACCAGAACTACGAGTCCGAGAATGAACACAACGGGGTTCTAAATGCAAGCGCCGTGTTTGACACAGACAAAAATGATCCATACCTCAGCGACGACAACGACGAGAGTAAGGGATTGACAACGAGCGTGCTTCCCGTGTTTCAGGCCGAAGAGTCCCTAGATGACACTGATCAAGCGACTCAGCTGGTTATAGACAAACTCAATACTTTCAAAAATGAATTTAGGACCCTTATCCAAAGAATCGACGAAGCGTCTCTCGTTTCTCACATGTCTACTTCTGTCACAGCACTTGATCCTGGCAGCCACATGGGGCCTATGAATTCGATGGTTGGTGGTATTCTAGACACTCTACAATCACTTCAGCCCCCATCTAGCCGAAAACGGTTTAGGCGAGACTCTGAAATTGACAGAGCAAGCTTCAAATCTCCTACCATCAATGTTTCCTCCAGGGAAGCGTCTGTGGAAAATATTGAAGAGGACGCCTGCTTCGGGTTGCCGAACTTCGGAGTAGTGCTTATCAAATCGCCCGCCACGGTTGCCCAGCTGTGGAACGAATATACTAAACTGCCGAGCGAATGGGCTCTCCCCGACTGGTTCGATGTGGTATCCCAGCAACATTCGATAGAGTCGAGTGGGATCCAAAGTCCTGTCCAGCTAATGAAACGACGTACCTCCATAAGAGATCTTGAAAAGAAGTACGGCTCCTCGTGGCGTAATAACGATAAGAACTTCTCGCGCCAAGTCAACCGTCGCAAGAAGATATGGCTGGCAATAGAGGAAGGTTTGGAGGACGATATTCCGTTGCAAGAGTGCTTTCAATTACTGGAATCTTATGTAAAAGAAAGAGGGAAAGGCCTGAGCTGGTATTATAATGGCGTTCCTTTTAAGTTGATAGATTTGAAGTTGTTACACTGAGTACTGCATAGTTAAAAAAGTAACATTATAATACAAAGCATCTTTCATTTCTTGGTTTTTGGTTTCCCCATCAACTAATGTGACCGTGGTGAGCTTATTGGCAATTTCGGTAATACACATGCTGTATATCGCTCGATTGGCTTTTACTTACATAAATATTGGTTTTCTGGATCTTCATCTCTTAAGGTGAGTTCCGTGAGGTTTCCTATAATAGCGTCAGTGGATATATTACAGTCACTTGATTGGCTACTACTGGTTGTTGACTCGGTAATGTGAAGAGTGAAATCTCGACATACGGAATAAACTACCTGTATTTAATTATTACCTTTATTGGCGAATACTGGCAACATGAATTGTTCCAGAAATAAATTGGCAACTGCATGCCTCGTTCCTGGGCGTAGCGCGAAACAGTAATTAATGACTGTATCACCTACCTATGTGTCAATAAGAATGCTCTAGGCGGTAAAATCGAACGAGGTTGCCCATATTGGCATGTTCAGTCAATAGTAAAGCTGTTATCACTTTATACAGATGTGACATCGTCAAAGTCGACACTATTTAAGCTTTTGAAACTTTTATCAACTTTCTGACGTCAGCTTTTTTTTTGTGTCATGGATCTCGAAATAAAATGTGGAAACTGTTTCTATCCTTTTATCAAGCTGCTAAATATTTCATTTCTCCATGGAACCACAAGTACAATAGGCTTGATAAATATGAGAGGCTCGCTGACATGCCTAATAAGTACGTAACGATGATTGATGATATTCACAGAACTCAAATGCGCTAACTAACACTTTCTCAATATAGTTGGTGAGACACCTGCTACTCAGTTTTTGGCTTGGAGACTCAGTCTATCGAATGCATTTATTATCCTGGTGTCCTCCAATATTTCCAGTGATGGTCTTGTATCTTGGAAATCCTCTAAATTGGGCTCCAATTTTTATAGGCCAAATGAATTTGCCAAGGAGTTCGATGATCTGGAGTCTAAGCTCACCGATGCAGATGGAAACCCAAGGTATAAAATTGATATAATGGTTTTGTCGTGCTTGTCGTTCACTTCGTTGGATCGCTACTGTGATTTGCTTTCCAAATACAGTGACCAAAACACAATAGTTTTAATGAACGCAAATTTCGGAGTGCAATTGGAAAAATTGGTGCTTGACAGGTTTTTCAACTCCAGTTCTTGTATCTTGTCACTTCTATGTGACGTTGAAGGGCGACAACTTTCGTCGGGGTCCTACGCATTGGTAAACGATAGCTGCAGTTTCTACTTCGGTCTCACATACGCTGGCAAGGACTTTACGAAAAACACAAACAAAAATGACAGATTAATGGTCAACCTCGAAAGCGTCAAAGCAACTTTCGCTGACGATAACTCAATTTTAAATGCTATGATTTCCCAATTACAACGAACAAATGTCGATGAGGTTGTAAAGATCTGTCCTAGCCATTCTTTTGAAATGGCACTTAAAGTGTGGGAACACATCATTCCTCGTATTTCACTAAACATACTTTCAGTCGTCTTCGAGCAATTCGATTATGATAAGCTCTTAACGAATACATCTTCGAAACGAATTTTTCAAGATTTGGTGAAAGAACTAGTGGAAATCTGTTTCACTCAGTGCGGCAGTGTCGTCGCCAAATATATGGTACCTGCGTTTGATTTGAACAAGTGCACTGATAATTTAAGTTCTCAAATTGATTTTAGTAGAGTGGTTGAGGAGACCAAAAGTCGAAAACGACAAATGGACAGGTCTACCATCAACGAGTATCCTGAGTTTTTGACGTTGTCATTTGAGGCGTATTGCTTTTATCATAGATTAGAGTTTCCAGCCCACATCCTGTTACATCAACCTATACTCATGGCTAGTAACTTCGGAATCAATTATTCAAGCTTGAATTTCCTGTTCGGATTCTATTCACAACTACTGTCAATTAGCGGGTTCAGTATTGAAGGCGGGCCAAATAAAGTGGGGCCATCGTCGTTATTCTTCGGCGTGAGGACACAGCTTGCTAATCAAAGTGAACAGACACTTATATCTACGGATAACAGCCCCCTAGTGGGAGGCCGTATTACGCGTTTACGTGCAAAACTCAAGCGAAGGGGAAATCATGATCACAGCCGAGGAACATCCTGCGACGAAACTGAGGACTCCATGCTCAATTACGCTGCTGCAGAAATCGAGGATATAAACATTGACGCAGGCAATAAGAACAGCAAGGAGTTAGATGACCACGACGATGGGATAGAGGAATCTGGGTCACTAAAGAACTCCCGGTTCGCGTTTTTTTGTGACGGCGGAATTGTGGATTCTGGACCCGAAGACAATGATAGTAGCTCTATAGTAGACGACTTGATTCAACTGCCTAACTTCCAAAGACGAGAGTTTCGGGGTGGAAAATCAGAAGGAACTTTTGAAAAGAATGATGCGAGTGCTACATTTGAGCACGAAGTCCGAAACAATCCTTTCACGATGTCTTCAAGGTACTACTTTGATGCATACCGGCTTGGAGACCAAGACAACTTTATGTCTTTGAAGGAAAAACGAGCTGGGAATTGGAGCCGGCCAAAACTATGGAAGCTGCAGCGCCAGTACCTGGTTGAGACCGGTCAAATGTGCGGCTCTGGTGTGACGTCCTCCACGGTGCCCGACCGATTTTTGTGGGATCACGTAAATCTACTGAGACGAGTCAATATGGGAGGTATTTTAAGCGTGACCACGAGCCGTTATGGCCATGTCGACTCTTCGCAGAGGCTATTTGACGATTGGAACAGAGGTGTCGGCCCACTAAAAAGACTCACTTTAACAGCGCCCACTTCGGCTACCCATAGGACTTCTAAAGATCGTCGATTACCGGCACATGCCAAACCCTTCATATCGGACGCGGAATAGGTAGAGCAGGATAGCGAAAGACTTACCTGGCGAGCATGGTTTCCATCTATTTTACTTATTGTCTAATATGCATAGAAAAGCTTCCACGCGCCGCCCGGAACGAATACTTCATGCATGGAAAAAACATTTTTTTAAGTAATAGCATCCAAATAAATCAAAGCTTGGCAATTAGTCGAATCTTCTCATCAATCAACTAGCCACGAAGAGTCAATCAGTCAGTGACATGCGTAAAACTCTATCTGCTCCTTGGCATTAAGGTTTGCAGTTCCCAGGTCTACGGACAGAATACGACGTCCCAAGAATGCTTGAAGACTCCCCGCGCCAAAAAAAAAATACAGATTCCAATAAGTCCAGAGGCGATGTAGAGCTGGCATGCGGCTCGTGAAAGTTTTGCCATATATGGTATGGAGAGCCAGGACAATTGGCGATCAATACCCAATTGAGAAGGTAAAAATTCATGCGAGCTACGAAAATCTTCGAAATATGCGAAAATATGCATAGTGAGCGAAAGTCAACGAAAATCAACGAAAATCTTCAGGATGCCAAAAACAAACTTTTGAATGATGCCGTGACTTCTTCAATATTGCGAGTATCTAACAAGGTTTGGTGTAGGCAGCTAACTGTGCTGCTTTTCGGTCTAGTGTCGGGAGTCAAAATGCGTAGGCGTAGATCCTTGGCCTCGGAAAGGCGGCATGGGGTTACGGCAGGATGGTGGCATAATTTGGCGTCTTGTGTGTCGCTGTTGTAAGTGATACTTATGTAAAAAAATGGAGGTACCCTGAGCTCCACGTCTAATCTGAATTACCACATGTCGTAGTGGTGATGGTTATGAGTTGTTATTATCGGTTGCCATATGTGGATTGATTTTCGCCGAGAGATAGGTGGTCCCTTCAGATATGAGGTGGTTCGTGCTGCGGTGAAGTAAAAGGTGCGCATGTATATATAAGTGTCAGGTAGACCTGGCAATTTTGCTTCAAATATCGTAAAAGTGGTTTCATCGCAAAGATATAAGTGAATTCACCGCAAAGAAGATTATAAGCGCTGGAATGCGTAGAAGGTGAACAACTAAGATGATATTTCACTCCACGGATTTCGACCTTCATACCAATATGTCGAGCCCCACCCACATACTAAGCTCGGGTGTAATCGCAGCAACACAATCTCTGGAGCTACAGGACAGCACAAATTATCATGAGGATGAGAGCTCAGTAGATCTTTTCGGTCTCATATCAACAGGTTCGAGCTTCGAGGCGCCTCTACCTGACTTCGAGCCCGACTTCCGTCCCGCAAATCTGGAATCGCAGGGATCCGAACTGCGAGAGCAGCTATTCAGCTTCGCCACAGACAATGGAAACGAATATGAAAACGAAAACGAAAACAGAAACGACAATATCAATGAAAATGACAACGACAACAACAGCATGGACCTCCCAATGTCTGAGTTTCTTCAGGATCGAAATGATTCGTTAGAATCATTTGATGAAGAGTTTCCAATGTACCTGGAAACCATGGAATTGAACGCATCTCGCACAAGTTCCTCTAGCTGTGCGGCGGTTAGGCCGCAGCTGGGACGACGAAAGAGCAATCCCTTCTATTTGCCCTCAAGACATATCAAGAATATGATCTCCAAAGACAAGCAGCGCAAAAGTTGCCGCAAGATCCAAACAAATGTGAGCGGGACCGCTTGTAAAGGTGATGACGATGTGTCAACATACCCGCAAAACAGCAAGCCCTTCCTGGAGAGGCGGCAGACTGTTAGTTGAAGCCATTCTATCGATTGGATATGGGCAAACAAAAAATTTGTATTTTTAAGGCAATCTAGCGGTATGCAAGTTCTTCATATATGATTTATAGATACAATCGGACTGTTGGGTTATTAATTGTTGTGCTGTTGGTTCGGAAGACATGCTTGTGCGAAATAGTGTTTATCAAATTGTTAGGAAGCTCATTATTTACTCGTACAGATCTTCATCTAATCTGGCAGCTGGATTGGTCTCGATGAAATCAAGAGACACCTTATGACCCAGTAGTTCTCTGATGTTTTGCACACCATACTTAATCATAGTAGGTCTCTCTAGTGATAAACCCCAGCCCAATACTCTCATGTTAGGTGGGAGACCCATAGGTTCCAGCATTTCGGGTCTGAACATACCAGAGTTACCAATTTCAACCCACTTGCCCAAACCTTCGTGCCACGAGAAAATCTCCATCGATGGCTCAGTGTACGGATTATAAGTGGGTTTGAAACGTAGACCGGTAACACCCATCTTTTCGAAAAAACCTTCCATGAACTGGATCAAGTCGCCCAGAGTGATGTTGTAGTCGGCCAGAACACCTTCAACTTGATGGAACTCGGCCAAATGAGTAGCGTCGACAGCTTCGTTACGAAAAACTCTGTCGATCGAAAACAATCTTGTGGGTTTAGGATCTTCTGCTAATTTCTTCAGCATGTTAGCAGAGATAGCTGTTGTATGGGTCCTTAAAACTAGTTTCTGAGACTCTTCAGGTTTCCAATTATAACGGTACCCAATAGAGTCGTACTTGCCTTCTTCGTGAACTGCTTTGATGTTTTCCATGTAGGTCTTATCATCTGGTAAGTCACTCTTGATGGGATCCTTCAGGTAGAATGTGTCCTGCAAGTCACGAGCTGGATGTTGTTGAGGGACGTAAAGGGCATCAAAGTTCCAGAATCCGGTTTCGACGTATTGATTCGAAGGCATTTCTGTGAAACCCATCGAAAAGAAAATCTGTCTGAATTCCTCCCGTACTTTACTTAAAGGATGCAGGGCACCTGATTCAGGCAAAATACCTTCGGCGTTGAAGTTGTAAGGCTTAAATTTGAGGTCTTTGTAGGTACCACTGGCCACCATATCAGCGGTCAGATCAGTTTCGAGCTTGGTGAGTTCGGTGGAGAAATCGGCGCCCTTCACCACTTTGAAGCTGGTATCTTTTTTGGCGGCGATGAGCTTCCGCTTTTTGAGGTCATTCAGGGTTTTCTCGTTGATACACTCGTACTTGCCATCTTGAATTTGTAACAGGATATCCTTGGTCTCGTCAACAACGTCATCCACAGATGAAACCTTCTCGCTGACAGTCAGCTCATTATCTTTGTTCTTAGAGAGCCAGCCATTCTTAAATGCTTTGGCTTGTCCGACTTTCCCGTCAGCACCCATGTGAGTTGCCACATCTTTAATTTGCAATTTTGTCAGTTTAGCCACCAATTGTAGTAGTCTGATCTCATGAGATCCTTTCGCCACAATATCGTCACCCTCTTTCGTTAAAGTGAAGTAAGTTTTATCTTGCTTTGTGTATTCAAGTTTCCCATGGGCCTTTAGCGAATTGAGTGACGAGAGAATCACTTGGGGATCTATGTTTGAGAACACATCGAGCGTTGACTCGATAGTTCCCAGTTCATTCAACTTCTGTAAAATATCTAGCTGTAAGTCAGACATTGTATAGATTGAAAATTTTCCAACGCTTTGTGAGCTTATTCCAAGCCTTTTGAAAACCCCCGAGACTGAGCGAGCAATGAGCTTCTAATTGGCCAATACCTACAATCTCATTCAATATCAATGATCAAGCTCATCTTGAAAATTTTTATAAAATCTCAAAACTAAATATTTACGGATTACCCGGCCTATTATTCGTGCTTTGATCGATGCTATAGACAAGTTCGACAATCATGAGCCATGTGTAGAGCCGTACTGATTGGTGAGATGTGCCGAAGCTCCTTGTTCCTGCGCTAAGAAGTGTAGCCTTCAGAGACTCAACTTTCAGCGGTTTTTGTTGGTTTTTGCAGTTAGAACATTTCATCAATTTCAAATAGGTCGCGGTAATTTTCGCCATAGCTTTTCATTTAAACCAATATGTTATAACCGGCGATGAGTATCGTTCGTTTCCTCCATTTTGCCAATTTCCAAGGCACTATTCTCGAAACGCCTCGAAGGAAAAGAACGCAGTATATAACGCCCTCAGTACAAAGGCTTCTGATGTTTCAGAAGCACGTAAATGCCATTTGATGAGTGTATTTATTTCTGAATGCCATTTCTGCGTCAAACAAGTTGACATCCTGACATGGTAGAGATTTTGCCAACCTCGCTATCTTCCGGGACCCAACCCGAGAACACACGCACGTTCACGATTCCGGTCAATGCCCGTTGCTTGCATATGGGCCAAATACAGCAGCTTCACGACGTTCTAATTAACGTTGTGCCTTTTGAGTTTATTTTTGATGACACCAAGCTCTATACAGGAAATGAGCACATCTCACTACTTTCTCTATTCCCCAGTTGCAACCCGCCGTTTTCATCGTCGCGAGTCGCGTAGAGATCCAGCTTTACATTCGCGTCTAACATCACTTCTTTCTTTAAAAACCATTTTTTCTCTTCCTGTAGCAAATAACGGTATTGCTCCATTAACTCGGTGTGCATTTCGCTGAGCCACTCTAATTGCTGCTCAAAGGACGCGCCTTCGACTTCAGGAGACCAATTGAGGCCTTCAGAAACACTGGGGCTGTTGGAGCTGCTCGTCGCGCTACCGGACTGGTCAGGAGTACCGTGTTCGGCCAAAAACTGCTCATTCATATTATAAAGCCTTTTCTTATAGTAATTAGTCTTCATCTTGGCGACCCTGCCTGCTTTTTCTTTAACGGCCTTGTTTTTCGTTGCGGAAACGCTGCTTTCTATAAACGTTCCTGGCGCAGTTTTAACCATTTCGTAATTGATTTTCAAGTTATCATCAACCGTAATGATGTTTCGCTTGTGCCGGCTTTTGCGTTCATCGTCAACATCCGTGTAGTCGCTGGTCTTATACCTCTTTATAGCATTTACAGAATACTTGATCTGCGCATCTTTTTCAGCTAAGTCTTTGAAATCCTTTAGTAACTCTTCCAGTTTATCCATGGCTAAACGCGAGTGACAGGTGTGATTGGAATGCTCTGTCCCCTCTAGCTTCTAAAAGAATTGGTCCAAGTTTTCTTTATCCTTGATCATTTAATCCTTTTGTAATTCTCATCATGTACTTTTCAAAAAAATTTTAGAGGGCTAAAGTTTAGAAGTAAGCGATGAGCTATTAAAGATTACAAGAATCTTCAAGCATACACGATGGAATCCGGGAGTATACAGGATCTGTTCGCAGCACTCAAGCAAGCTGGAAAGCCTAATGGTGCAGGCTCCGCTGAGAAGACGACCTTTGGAGTGAGAAATGGAGAAACCGACTTTGATCAGGACAAACTAGAATTTGACGAAGATCCTAAGATGGCGCAACAGAAAACGTTTTATGAAATCGAACAGCACCTGCGTAGTCTGCCGCGTATGCAAACCGGATTCGATGCGCTCTCCAAGAGCGAGAGCTCTCCTAAGGCTGTACAAAAACTGGACGACCCGGTATCGATCCTACACTTGCGGAAAAAGGATGCTACCACGAAAAAACCATCCACTACAGAGCAGTGGTTCACAATTCCTAAACCAGAGCTTACTAGAGAGCTCAAGCGTGACTTGCTAGTGCTGAAGCATCGTGCGGCTTTGGACCCAAAGAGACACTATAAGAAAGACAAATGGCAATTGCCGGAACGATTTTCCGTTGGAACTATCGTGGAGGACAAGAGTGAATTTTTCAGCAGTCGTATGAAGAACAAGGAGCGCAAGAGCACCATGCTAGGGACCCTGATGGGCAGCGACGATACCAACAAATATTTCAAGCGCAAGTACACCGAGGTGCAGGCCAAAAAGACCAGCGGCGCGAAGGGATACTACAAGAAAGTCAAAGACAAGCGCAAAAAAATGTAGAAAGGCGTAAACACACACATCCAGGTTAAATAACTCATAGGCACCGAGATAATATATGTATACTACGAAGAATGGATCGGAGACCAGACAATTCGGACGAGGATGAGACTTTTTCGATGAACGCTGCATAAGACCTTTATCGCAGTTCTGTTGGCACAAGATGCATAGAAACTTATCACTTAAGAAGTTGCATGCCGTCTAGCTCGCAATTGAGGGTATTAAAAGCCCTGAAGAACCGGAGCAAGCCCCAAGATTCGTTCAATTTTACGTCACTAGGAACTTCAAGTATCGCGCTGCCGTCATTTTTACTACTTATTTCCACACACATACCAGCCCCGGACTCTTAGCCGCTGAGCTCCTCAATTAATTTTTCTTGAAACTCAAGGGGGTGTATATAAAGGAGCTAGAAATGGGAAATCAACATGCGCATGCTTTCTGTCAAGAACTACAAAGACGTCGAAAAAAGCTGGGGAAGTGGCACATAGAGCTGGCAAATTGCAAGACAGAGAAGGTGACGAAAGGTGACTCAAGAGTGGAGAAGTGGGGCAACAACTACAAAGAACAGAGGCGACCACATGAAGAATAGGATGATACACACTCAGTAGCAGTGTTGTTTTGAGGCCAAGTCCCGGCACTTCCACTATTCTGAGCTATCCACCCCAACTTCCCCACAGAGGTTACGCCACAAAGTGGCCCCCGTGACTACGACAGCCAAAACGGGCGATGTCGTCGTAGCATGTGATACTACTTGAGCATGTGACAGCCGATCCTGGTAATTTTCGGAGTATCATGTTACACGAAACAAATATACGCCGTTTTGCATCTGCGCAACGACGTTGCTTTATTCCGGCGTAATTTTCTAATTGCGCCGGAATTTTGGTGCTGTATGTCTCCTCTCCCGCCGAGTGACTCAGCTCAAACTTCCGTAAAAAATCTGCTCTTTCGCGCTGATTCGCTGCACGTTTACCAGCAACCCGCTTGAATTTTTCTTATCAGTGTTGTGTGCGCGATCCCGTTCCTATTAGCATCAGTTTCAGGGTTGACTTCACTCATGGATAACTCGCTAGCCTAAGCAAAAAAGGAAACTCCAGAGGCAGAGTCCACTGGACAGGTGCCGTGCGACAACTTCTCACGTTCTCTGTGCAATTTCCACAGTCCACCCACAGCTTAGAAGGTGGCTCCCATTTGGTCGCTTATGCCCGAACGACGACTGCAAGAGGGAGGTAATGGTAGGGCTAAGTCGGCACTGCCTAGCACATCGTTGCAAAGCCGAAATTGAAAACTTCAGAGGGAGAAGGCAGAAAATGCTAGCCAGGGACGGCAGAGAGATGACAGAGAACAACACATGCAACGTACAACTGTCGTTGACCTCTTTCAATTGTGTTCACGGCCATCTGCGCCAGCTTAGCCCCTAGCTGGGCTTCGCGGACGGCCCCCGCCGGGCTTTCCGCACTCTTACCAAAAAAACTGTGCGTTACCCGTTTTATCTGCTGGTCTTCACGATAAGATCACAGAATATGCGCATTTCGCATGTTTTTGTTTTTTGCATGACAGTAAATGCAGTTAACGTCAGCAGAGCCTGGGCAGGCGGTCAGTAGTAGCCGCCTCCCAGTTAGAATGAAGCAACCCACACTGCGCATTCTACCCTACTTGCCCATTGCGTTGCGGAGCTCGACATTGTCCACGAATTTAATTTTGAGATTTTAGACGTTGGCCGATTTCTAGAACAACCAAACTTGACCATCTAACACTCGAACTCGGCAAAAGACTGTACTAAGTAGGCCTGAAGTTAACGAAGTGTTGAGTGCGTCCGACTCGTCGTCTATTACACCAGTTTGCTAGCGTTTTGAAAAAAAGCGAGTGACAACGCTACTGTGTTTTTTTGACTCCACAACTTCATCATATTTTCGTCCAAGCAGGCCTCTTGGACTCACCGACTAGCTGTCCATGAAAGACTTCAAAGATGACACCGGAAAGAGGGACGATAGCAGGCGTAAGCTGCTGGAAGCGGTGGCCGACCCTTCCACCGACGCTCTGTGGCGCATGTATTCCGGTGCCAAGGCATCGCTACCATACCGCGATCGAATGACCAACCTGACATGGAGGATGCTGGGACTTCGGGTGAAGAATCTGCATGTGTCCAAACACCAGCAAGCCGCAATATCACCCACGTTCTCTGCCACTTTTGGCAGTAAAGCTGGAAAAGAACAAGACCAAGACAATAACGTTGATACCGATGGTTTCGATTATATAGCCGAACTAAGGGTACTCAAAGATCAAACTTTGCCCACAACAAGTCACTCGGGCTCCGTAGACCCCATGGAGACTGAGGTTCTCAATGACTCACAACTTCGGCACACCGATAATCACGTGAATCTTGTTCGAAGCCATCGTCATCCACAAGCACACCATCGCGACCACGATTTGTCTCATAACCAAAGCTCTAAGTTCGGCGAGCCGAACGATTCGTCTGCAATGGTAAGCTCATTCTCCTCTAATTCGCACCAAATGAAACATTTCTCACAGAGCCATGGGGGTGCTCCCAGCTTTGGGTTTGAAGACCACGGCCAGTATGGCTCGTTTTCTAACCTGGAGCAACATGTCGGTTTCATGGGCGACATGGACGTTGAAAGCTTCAACGTTCTGGGCGGCCATGACGCGGCTTCACAACAGGACCTCAGTCAAGATGACGAGGATGATGATGTGATATTACGCGGAACCGCTGCTTATTCGTCGCCAGCGCTCATCAGTGATAGCGGTGTGTCTTCCGCAGGGGGAAACGGTTCTTTGATTCCTCCTTCCAACTCTACAATGTTCAATACCATGGATCCTTCTTCCTCGGCTTTCAGCAACTCCGTTACTATCGGTGGTCTAAATTCTACCGTTTTGGGCGGTCAAACGTTTTTCGATGAGCATGATTTTTTACAATCCGTAAATGAAGGCCATGGAGAGGATGACCCTAAACTCCCGGCGCTGCACGCAACCAACTCCCAAGTCTCATTGCCGGACTTATACGATAGAACTTCGAACGTAACGCCAATATCGATTCGGAGGCCAAGTACAGCATGGCAAAGTAATCCGATACAATCCTCACCAAGTTCAGCGATTATCGCTCCCAGCTCACTGCCGAATTCTCAAAATTCACGGCGAGCTGTCAACATCAATTTTGTGCGGAAAAAACAAATCAAATCCTCCAATTCAAGAAGAGGCAGTTCAAGTTTTGCAACCATAAATGGCGGTTCTGGCATTCTTGTAAACAATATTACGCAAGATAATGCGTTTGTTGACGCAGCAAACCGTAGACCAGTATCCGCAGGGGCAGGCTCCACCGTTGGCAACTCAGCAAACAAAACAGAAACTAAGTGTACAAATTGTCATACTAAGACTACACCCCTGTGGAGAAGAGATCCGGAGGGGAATCCGTTGTGCAATGCGTGTGGTCTTTTTCTAAAACTCCATGGAGTTGTAAGACCACTTTCCCTGAAAACTGACGTGATCAAGAAACGTCAACGGTCTTCCAACAAAGTGTCTGGTCAGAACTCCTCGTCAAGTGTAAAGAAAGAGCTCTCGGTTGAAGATACATTACCAAGTACAAAAGCCCGGAGACCAACTAACAAGAAAAAGCTGTCGTCGACGAGCGTATTGAATGGATCGCAAGCCAAATCCCAATCGTCCATGGCGAGAAGGAAGTCAAAACCTGGACGCGACGCTGACAATGCGAGTAGCGAAAGCGGGTCAGGAACCCCCACCCCTGGACCGACGCTCTCTATGGAAGCGCAGGTGAGTGATCGAACGTCGCAGCAAGCGATCTCCTCAGAAATGGAAATCGATCGCACGTCCAGCGCAGACACTGGTATATCCGGATTAGCGAATCCTAACCCCAATTCTCATGGTCTGGATGTTTTTTTAGATCAGTGGTCTAATTCGCCATCAGGAGACCAACAAACATCTGAAGCCACGGCGTTTCTTGAAGATCAACCCGAACTCAAATCAAAAGCTAACGACCAGCAACATTTTAATCTTAGCGCTGGACCTAGAGCTGCTGAGCAATCCGAACCTATGAATGAGGTTTCGGGCGTACCTGCTACGTCTGCTAAGAAGAATGCTGGTGATAACGCCAACTGGGACTGGCTAACTTTGAGTCTTTAACTGTCAAATTACAATCATCCTTTCCTAATTATAACTAACAATTGACTATCGTTTACTGTTTTTGAACTTCCTGTTTTTGCGCATCATTTCTAACCATTCTATATCTAGTTTATAATCACCTAATTTAATATGTTTGGACTATCACTATGAAGCAAGGCATTATAATGTTAAAATCTAGATTTTAACTATCAGTTTGTTTTTTATACGCCTTGTGTAAGGACCAAGTTACTACGTGCTTATAATTAACAAACTTAATGTAAACGAAGGATTCAAAACAATAATATTCTTGAAGTTTATTAATACGTAGAACTAAATATTAAATGCAAGTACGTAGTACTTGCCGTAGTACTTGGCCAAATTCGAACTTGCGAGAGTGGACTTAACGGTTGTAATAATCTTGATACAAGAGATGCTTACAGGGTTTTACAAGATGACTAAAAATGATCATACCTTTCCAATATATATGCTTCCGCGTCACTTATCATCATCAACACGGGCGTGTGGCGTAGTTGGTAGCGCGCTCCCTTAGCATGGGAGAGGTCATCGGTTCGACTCCGGTCTCGTCCAATTTTTTGTTGCAGGTGCTCGGCGTCAGTTGTTAAGAATTGTACATCAATGGCAGCACTGGCGAAGCTCATGATAATGAACTCATACTTTCTGCAAGTGACAACTTGTGCACATAATTGATAATTTTTTAGTTAATAATATTGATACGTTGAGTTATGGTGTGTATATTTACTAGAGATTCTGTTAAGAATAAATAACAAATTCTTTCAAATTAGAAATTGATGGACTTGGAGAAAGCAGCCAAATTAGCCTCTTTGAAAGCTTCCGACAAAGTTGGGTGAGCGTGACAGACACGTGCGATGTCTTCGGCAGAAGCACCATACTCTAAAGCAATACCAGCTTCGGCAATCATTTCACCAGCATTTGGACCAACGATATGGGCACCTAATAGGCGTTCGGTTTCAGCATCGATTAGAACCTTGACAAAACCTTCCGTGTCCATGTTCGTCTTCGCTCTGGAATTGGCCATGAATGGGAATTTACCCATCTTGTAAGTGATGCCGGCTTCCTTCAATTGTTCTTCAGTCTTTCCGACCCAAGCAACTTCTGGGTGGGAGTACATGACCGATGGAATATTGGCGTAATTAACATGGCCGTGACCATGCTTCAAGTATTCCACAGCTGCGATACCTTCTTCTTCGGCCTTGTGAGCCAACATGGGTCCAAAAGTGACGTCACCAATGACCTTGATGTGTGGGAATTTGGTGTTGAAATGCTCATCAATGACCAAGCGGCCTTTGTTGTCGACCTCTAGACCCAAAGATTCGGCGTTCAACCCTTGAATGTAAGGTCTTCTGCCAACGGCAACCAACAAGACGTCAGCTTCTAGAGATTCTTTCTTGCCGCTCTTGGCATTTTCCACTTCAATATTGACTACTTCGCCGTTTCTTTCGGCTGAAACAACCTTGGTGCCCAACTTGAAGTCGAAACCCTGCTTCTTCAAAAACTTCTGAGTTGTGGTGGCAACTTCGTTGTCCATAGTGGCACCGATCTTGGGTTGAAATTCTAAAACAGTAACCTTTGAGCCCAACCTCGCGTAAACAGAACCCATTTCAAGGCCAATGATACCACCACCGATGATGGCTAGTCTCTTGGGGACTTCTTTGAGATCCAAGGCGCCTGTAGAGGAGACGATTCTTTCCTCGTCAATCTTGATGCCGGGGAAAGGTGTTACCTCGGAACCAGTAGCGACAATAATATTTTTGGTCTCCAAGATAGTCTCTTCAGTGACACTTCCTTCGATACCTTCCACGGGGGTCACTTTGATGCTGTTTTCATTTTCGAAAGATCCTAGCCCCTTATAGTAAGTTACACCGTTTTTCTTGAATAGCATTTCGATACCGCCCGTCAATTGCTTGACACAGGTGTCCTTGGCCTTTTGGAATTGTGCCATGTTGATTGCTACGTCACCGTTGATGTCGATACCCCTTTGTTTTGAGTCGTGCTTCATCTGATGATATAGGTGTGAGTTGTTCAGCAACGCCTTCGATGGAATGCATCCCACATTCAAACAGGTACCACCAGCTCTGCCACGCTTCTCCACACAAGCAACATCAAACCCGAGCTGCGCAGCCTTGATGGCGGCCACGTAACCGCCAGGACCGGCTCCCAGGATCACAAGATCATGCTGCTTCTTTGCGGCTAGCAGATTGGACGTCTGGCTCAAAAACCTTCTGGAGGCTCCGCTCTGGAGTCTAAATCTCAACATATCTCAAATCAGCAAAATTAGTAAAACACAAATTCTACCCTTGAAACAAATTTGCACTTGTCGAACGTTTACTATGAACGCTGTTTACCGACAAAATGTTTGAATAGGCACTTAAAGCACTAAGATCCGTATTCGATTTAGTTGTGAATTGCCCCTTCTTAACGTATAACTGGGATTTTTCTATTGGATGGACGGCTTACGCATATTTTTTTATATCTTGAAATTAAGCTTTAGTACAAAGAGACAAATTAGACAAAGCGCGGAGAGCGATCCCTTGGGATTGGGAAACAGAGCATTGAAGCCCCACGAGGGTCGGGTTTGACTAAATCGAATGGATGTCCTTGAGATACCTGTCGATCGTTTTTTTGCGTGATTTTTCTGCGATGCTAGAGATGAATTCCTGGCGATTTCGGGTATATATTAGTATAGCAAGCTCGGGTCCGAGACCGAAATAACGCTACTGCCATCATATACCGAGCAACCGATTTTTTCTGGTGCTAGTAATCAAAGGGCCCTATTAGCTTTGAGCGAATAGACCTGTAGTGGGCACACCCTCATGATAGAATTCCAAAGGGACGCGATGAGCCGTACTTAGCGAGCTGGAACAAAGAGCAAGACTACTACTGACTTTTGATTGATGGAAAAGTGCTATCATTTAGTATCGCGGTAATCTCACTACTTTGTAAGATCCTCATACGTTTGCATTATTTGATTGTCCCGTTAGAAAAACTCCACATGAACTGCTTTCCAATCTCCTGATGCTTTAGAACTGAGTTCAAGCTCTGACATCCATACTGTGATTCTCATTTTTCCTGGTAAGTCGGAATGACAGTTGGCTTCAAAGCATACATGGATGGTTTCAGACACCAACTATCGAGCTGGCGGTCGTTAAAATTATCACCAATCACGAAGATTATCGTTAAGTCAGTCTCAACGCTTTGAAGCCAAAAACTCATCTCCTCCAAGTTAAGTAGCCAAGAACTAGTATAACACGTTTCAGAGCTTCCGACAATAATGGTATCGACTCCAGAACTCAAGAAAGTATGTTCTAAACCCTTTGAAACGCCCTTTATGGTTCTTAAATCTTTACTAACTCCTCTGTCAGTATATGGACAAGACAGTATACCTGCAACTCAATGGTTCAAGGAAACTCGTAGGTGTCCTGAGAGGCTACGATATTTTCCTGAATCTGGTCCTAGACGATGCTGTTGAGATTCGCAAAGACGGTAGTAAAACACCCATGGGCTCTCAATCCGTGGTCCGTGGCAACTCTATAGTGTCGGTAGAGGCACTCGACGCATTTGCATAGCGAGACTACCTGCCAAAAAAGCATTACATGTGTATAATAGATATTTAAGCTCAAAACTTTTAGACGTACGGACTCATAACCTGTGATCCATCTCCACACCACATCTGCGATATCCACATTTTTCGTAGAACCCCACATTCTTTTGGTCGCAATCTAGGATTACCTTGTAGCAACCTCTATCGTGTGCTAGCTTTGTCAAATGCTGAATTAAGAGCAATCCCAACTGTGTGCCTTGTTGATCTTCTGCCACTGCGATATCCTCAACATGGCCCACCAAACCGCAACCGCGGATGATTTTACGCTCGATGAAAACGGTTCCTGTGGCTACAACTCGACCAGTCTCATCTACAACCACGTGCGGATTGTATACTGGTAGTGAGTGTACGCCGATGTGGAGCGTGGTGTCATTCCAATACTTCACAAGCTCTTCGAATTGAGACTTGGTGACATCGCCAACTACCGTCAAAACCTTTAAGGTTTCCACCACCCCTTCATAGTCTTTGGCTTCCAATCTTCTGATTGAGTAACCAGGTGGCAAAGCAGGCATAATAGGGACGTACTGTGCTTATAATTCGATAGACTCTTATGTGGGGCGAATTATTTAAGTTGGATTTCACGAGTCCGGATCTCATTGTCACACATTACAGGTTACGAAGAAATTGACGAATCCTAGAGATAATTATTTGGCGTAAAACTTAGCGCACAAGATCAAGCTGCTCTATCGCGCTAAGCCTTAAGAAAGCTCTTGATTTAATTAAAGTGTAGAATAACGAGACCTCAAAAGTCGATATATAACATTAGTTTTTTGGGGATTTTCGTTAGTCCAGATGCAACTAACTCGAGGGTAGAATGACCATAAGACCTTGCGGCTGGATACGCATTCAAAGTAACTTCGGTTTTCATGTTTGTAGGATATGAGTGTCACTCGCTGAATTAATGCCAGCATATGTTCTTCGCGTAGATTGTGCGTTTTTGGCACAGCTTCCGATGCTAGTGCTGAGTAAGAGTCTGCACAGGAAGTGGCACCTACTCAACGGCACACCTGTGTCGGGCAGCAAGTTTTGTCCGGTAATCTTTCTTCATGTCAGGCGAAGCAGATCTTTAGACCGCATATCTGGCATTTTGCATATTCATGATAGAGTGCCGCGGTGAATACGTTTTCTTGTAATTACATATTTAAAAGAGTTCAACTGAGCTAGTTGGCCTTCGTCGTCAAATTGCGAATGCTTGATATGTGATCATTTTTCATAGTATACCAAAAACGGTGATGATTTTCTGTTGTTCTCTCTTTTGCTTGAATATTGCTTGCACGTCTTGTATTTGGTGAGTGAGAGCATTCTAGTAGATAGTCAATCCAAACTTTGGCTGACTCTCCGTTGCGTGCTATAAAAAAAGACTTCGCCAATGAGTCTCGTCCTCGAAATCGCATCCGTCTATCAACAATTTCATCATATCGTGCCATCGAGTACTGCCTGCTCAAATAAAACACAGCCTTAAGGGTATGAGCAGATATGGGACATAAACGGCCATTAATTTAAGCTTGTCGGACACCAGCATTGGTAATAAATCTCCATCTGGGTAATAACCCCGTGTCCACACCGTATACAGACAGATAAAAGTTGTTGACGCAGCATTCCATCCATATAGTCTCAACCACCACGACAAGGACCGTTCACAAGTGGCCAATTGCATTTTGATATGCTTATCCTCACCTGAGATTGTTTTTAAAGCCCACAGTTGTCTGATTTTGTAGGCGAACCAAAAAAATCCTGGTAGTTGACCGACACATTCTATGAGAATGAACCACCAAAGCCAGCTAGGCTTTTCATACAGTAAGAAATCATTGTTAAATGCAATATGGTAATCCACAAGCGGCTTTGTTACTTGAAATCTTTCTGGAAGAACTACTATTGAATCTACCAGGATAGTGGTAAAGATGTGAGCAATGAAGTAATAATAGTAAAACTTTTGCTGACCAGTTGATAACATAGAACGCGGAATATATGTGATGAAACCTTACAGCTATTTTATATTCTTACGAACTCAATTTTCGAAAAGTGTAATTTGAAATTAAATAAATCTATTTACACGAGGAATTAAGAATTTCGATGACTGTACCTATTTACAGGGCGTGATTTCCAAGAGTGGATATGTGTATGATCGTGTGCACCTGGCAAAAAGTGGCCTTTCAGCTCTTGCCACCTCTGATTTTTTTGAAAGTATTGGATATAAAGTCCTCCAACTTTTTCAAGGCGCTTGGCGCATCTGGATTGCCGCCATCGCTTTGCGTCTGACTGTCACCTTGAGGTTTGCCCAGTACTTCGCTTTGAAAGTTCGAAGAAAGCACAGATCTTTTGGCTAAAGAATCGCCAGTCACATCTGCCAGTGCTTCCCATAGGCATTTTTCGGCCTGGGATTGAGGCTTCTTTATCACCACGCGGTATTCTATCTTCATGTCACCACGCGATCCGAATGAACCTCTTGGAACCCCCTTTTGTGGAATCGATACTACGTCTTTATGTTGAGTCCCTGGTGAAACTTTGAGTCTTATGTCTTCGCCATCCACCGATGGGATTGTTACCACACCGCCAAGGGCAGCTGTTGTGATAGCGATATCCTGGGTAAACCAAATATCGTATTTATTTTTGATCTGGTAGCGAGGATCTTTATCTACGCGGACGCGTAGTAATAAATCACCTCTTACTAAACGAATGGTATCTTTCATTGCGGGATCCACTTGCATATTTGGATAAGAACCTTTACCAGTGATACGAATGACGTCCCCATCCTCGAGCCCAGAAGGTAGGTCAACTTTCAACTCATTCTGTTTATTCATCGTGGCACCTTCACCATGGCAAGTGCCACAGGTATCGGAATCCTTCACGACGGAGCCTTCTCCACCACAACTATCACAGGTAGAGGCCATTTGGAAACCGGCGCGAACATGAACCCGAGTACCGGTTCCGGAACACGTAGAACATGTAGATCTAGAGGCTCCTGGTTTCAAGCCAGAACCGTCACACGTCTTGCAAGGGTCGTATGCGCTATATTTCAATTGAACATTTTTGACGCCAAATACGGCATCCTTGAATGACATGCGTTGCACGACCTCAATGGGGCTTCCTTGATATTCACGGTACATGGAGCGACCACGCGAGCCACCCCCACGCGTAGATCCACCGGGGCCTCCACCGAAAGCCGCGCCGAATAAATCTTCGAAATTTATACCGCCGAATCCTCCACCGAATCCCTGGGCACCACCAAATCCGCCAGCGCCTCCAAAACCACCATAACCGCCAAATCCTTCAGCTCCTCCAGCGCCCCCAGGACCTCCCGGTCCGCCTTGAGAAAAGGCAGCCGGTCCGTATTGATCCCATTGCTGTCTTTTCGAGTCGTCCGATAGAATCTCGTAGGCGTTTTGCAAGTCGTGAAATCTCTGTTGGGCATCGGTAGCTTTGTTGATATCAGGGTGATATTTCTTGGCTAGTTTGTAGTAAGCTTTTTTAATATCGGAAGCACTCGCTGTCTTGGAGACCCCCAGGGTGGAGTAAGGGTCCCTCAGTTCGTTCCAAAGTGTGGTACTTGCATGGAACAGTCTCGCAGGTCTCGCAAACCGAGCTGCTCTGGTGCTACTGCTCCAAACTCTTGGTTTACTAATTTCTTTCAATAGCATATGGCGATACATTTGCAGTGATCGGGAAAAAATGTGGAATCCTTGTAAAAATGATAGCAGTAGTGTGCAAAGTTCTGCCAGACAATGAGCGCGAGGATTCGTTAATTGTAAGTCAATGTGATTGTATAAGTTTTATTCGATATATTTCTGGATTTTCCAAGAATTTCGAGAATCTAATGAAAAAAAAGATCAAATTAGACGGCGATGGCGGCTAGCCCAGAGCTAAGTAAAGTGAAAAGGATTTTGAGGAAGAGGGCACTGGTGTTGATACGCTGTGTGAAAACTGAGGTGAGTCTCAATCTTTATTAGAAAGTCCTCAAATCGTTATTGAGGCGAAACTAATTCAAAATTAGGTAACCTGCCAAAAGCTTGCTAACATGCTTATTCATATCTTCCGTGTATTATTGGGTAAAATCTTTTGTATAATAAACTTCTCCATGGCCTTTCTAGTACAAGACCAATAATTTGTTGCCGGAATAAACCAAGTTGACATCATTATGAGATGCAAATGATAAAAGTGCAAGTACAAATTACAAACAAAGGTATCAGGCAATTCGTTTCTTAGTATTGGTAAGCGATCAGTAATTTCTAGACCACTCGTTGATTCTCTTCGGTCACCAACTGTAGCTCTCTAAAATACCAGATACCAATTAGCGGTAGTTTATTCATATCACTTTGTACCGCTATGTCATTATTTAAAAGTATTACCAGCATACCAACATATTACTTAGAACGTCGGTTCCTAATCACATCACGAATGATTTAATAAGACTCCGGAATTTTAAAACTGTTAGTGATTTGCAGTAAGTCAGCTGTGTTGATTTCGGTATTAAAGTATTTACCCAGAAATTTCCTAGCATCAAGCCTCTGGGGTTTATTGCCCAAAAACGCATCTTGAGGCTGACATTGTAATTGACGATGGCTATTGGTGATGTTGTGGCTTGTGATTAGAGAACACCAGAGATTCTGTGCTGCAAATTTTGTTAGCTTTGGCAGAATAATTTTAGCAAAGTATGCGAGTTGAATAAATCTCTATCTCAATTGCTAGCACACAGCTAAATATTGACCGAGTGAATTCTGCAAATATAAAGTGCCCATTAAGTTTGCATGAATATCCGAGTTGAGATTAATACTTTTATCAAATTATATGCCAAGCATCAACGATCGCAATGTTAAGGTTGCTTCGATCTTTTGATGCGTGTTGAGTTTTTGTGTTATTTCTTCCATTAATTTTGGACGCATTCTCTCGCCAACTCAAAAACCCTACAAGATGTGCTGGGCTAGAATGCTCACACAGTATGACATCTCAAATATGCACTTCTAAATTTATAAAAGGTAACAGTCTAACAAGTCTGAGCATGCTTGAATTTGCTATCCAACACTATTTTGGATATAGAGTTGTTTGTCAAATGTTTAGTATTCGACTTTATTGACCAGGTGAAAGTATGTCTTTCTTACCTTCTAATTGGAGATCTCGATTTGGTAGTTTCTCGATTTTAATCCTGCTTAAGACTTGGAAATAGTTCTGTGATGGCATGCAACCTTGATTGCCTCTAACCACAGATGCTGCGGCGTTCGACAACCGTACGACATTGTTATGCAGTAATTTTGTGGCGTTGAGTTCAATCTTTTAGGGTTTCCATTTGGTGCAGAATCACCGATTGAAAGGTACTAAAAATATTTCTGTCTTGGCAGGTGAATTTGCATCCTTCATCCATTTGTAAATCATTGACTGTTATTACATTTGAAGTGAGTGTATGAGAGACGAGATTGTCGAAAAAACCGAGAATGGATTCTTGGCTGAATTTGCAACTTGGTTATGCCATTTACTCTCACCTGCCATGTTATTCCAATGGATATCTAGTAAACCGCTTGTGTTTTGATTAACAACAATTTAAGAGCAGGATACATATAATATCACAAAAAATATCCGAAAGTAGGTGTCAAGTTCTACTAAGATCTACTTCCTCAAGTTCCTTTCATATAAGGGCATTTTTTTTGACGAGCGTTGTATTTATGAGAGACGATTTGTAAATTGATCATGTGTAGCATCTTAGTTGGTGAATCTTATGATGTGCCTAGTGGTATTTTCTGAAATTCGCCATGATGCGTTTTAGAGCGCCTTTCACGTTCTTCACGACGCTGATGACCCGAATGAGAAGATTCTTGATTGGACTATATCTTATAAGCTGCTAAATTTGAAGACCGCAAAATGAAGTGTTTGAGGAACCGCGTAGCCCATGCTGTGAAGAGAAATGGATTGTGAATAGTGACAGTGCCAAGTAACTTGGATGACATAATAGTACAGAGTGACAAAGCTCGATATAGGGCCCCGCATCGAATCAGATGCAGAAACCTGGACGTGGTTTGTTGAGTGGCGTTTATAGCGGCGTTGTTCCGGTACCACTTTGTTTGCGGCTAGCGAGTCTAGACTATCAGAACTCGTCCGCCAAACACTGATGATTTATTCTCCGAACGGAGGCTGCTGCACTGCAATAGGTCTAGTTACCAATATCCATCATGCAAATATTGATGTAGTTTTCTATGTTGAGAACCTAGATCTGGAAACACTACGGAGAGGTAAGTAGAATCCAGATCTGGAAAGACTACGGAGAGGTAAGTAGAATCCAGATCTGGAAAGACTACGGAGAGGTAAGTAGAATCCAGATCTGGAAAGACTACGGGGAGATGTTTGCAACGTCGATGACACAAAGATGGCAAGTATTATGTTCTTGTGTGCAAGTAGAAGACCTCGGAGATGCTTGCAACTTTCAACTGCTAAGCAACTATGGGTAGCGCCAAAAACGTTTGCTATATTCAATTGACAAATGCTTGATTCACAGGATCTTTTGATTTTTCCTCGATTCTCGCACATCTGGTGTGCGTTCCAAATCAGGCCTTTTGCAGATTGTCCAGTAGATCATGACAAATAAAAGAGTAGTTCCTCGTAGCTGGATCAGTATAATGGCAATTCGGCAAATAGAGAATTTAGTTCATTGTAGCTGGATCAGTATAATGGCAATTCCTCAAAAAAAGACTGTTCACCCTGGCTCCAGTAGATCATGGCAATTCGACAAATAGAGACTGTTCATCCTGGCTGGATCAGTAGCTTATGACAAATAAAAAAGTAGTTCATCGCAGCTGGATCAGTAGATCATGGCAAATAAAAGAGCAGTACCTCGTAACTGGATCAGTATAAGGACAAGTCGAGTAATCGAAAAGTTGTTCACCCTAGCTGGATGAGTAGATAATGACAATTCAACAAATATAAAGGTTGTTCACCCTGGCTTGTCTAATAGAGCATGGCAATTCGACAGATAAAGATTGTTCACCCTAGCTGGATCAGTAGATCATGGCAATTCGACAAACTAAGACTGATCATGGCAATTCCTCCAAAAAAGACTGTTCACCCGGCCTGGATCATTACAATCGCTTCCCCCCCCCCCGGTATCCAGCGCTGCTCGACACACAAAAAACACACTTATTCCTCGCCAATCACAGCTTGCCATGCACGCCACCACATCCTCCCGCTTCTCTCCCAACCAGCCACTCTTGGCCCTCCACCTTCTGGCCTACCATCTCGTCACACCAGCCACAGAGTTCCAGACGATTCTTCCGCTCGAGACATGCGCGCATTGACATCACTAAGCGCGTTCTAGATCGCGAGGGACCCGCGCCCGCCCTTTATTGCTATTTGGAGAACGACACAAAAAATACTCGTGCATAGTGCCGTCGATGGTTTGACGCAAAAAAGCGGCATGCGAGCCGGAACAATAGCCAGCGCATTCCGAAGACGGTGGGTAGCAGCATTAGCAGTGGGCCGCCACTACGTTTGCCTCAGCATTCGGGCACGTGACCGTGCTTTGCGTTCGGCTAGCGCGCAAATGTGCTACGTACGACCTTGTCACCACGACGATCCTACGATGTGGTTACTTTGCTCTGTCACTCGTAGTTGACACAGTGTTCTCTCTCGCTCCCGCTCTCGCACTATACCACTACCACTACTCTGTCTCTCTCTGTCTCCTCCCCCCTTCACCCACCGCAATAGCAATACAAGCCCAAAATAGTCGCATCCGTTTTGCCACTTCTCCGAAACTGTCTCTTTCTGTGTCTCAAAACACACACTCGGTAGCAATAAATCAAGGGATCAAGGCGTCACACAGCAAAAAAAAAATACTTGGCCACAAGTACACAAAGTTGTTGTCCACCCCCTTCCCCCCCTCCTGCAAAGTTATAAAAGGGCAGCGATTTGGAGTTAGGGATCTTGTTGGATACTACTATTCTCTTCTCTTCTTGTTCTTCTTCTCTCAGCAGCCAGTTGATTTAACACTTCATCCAGCACTACCACTTCCAACCAACAGTATATTCACAATGTCCGACTCATACAGAAAAGATTTCTCCGACAAAGCCGCTGAGACCGTCAAGCCAAACTCCCAAAAGTCCACTTTCGAGCAGGGCAAGGAATTCGTCACCGACAAGGCCGACCAAGCCGCCGGTAAGGTGCAGCCAAACAGCGAGAAGGGTGTCTTCCAAGGCGCCACCGACTCGGCCCACGAGGGTAAGAACGATGCCACCGGCAAGAGCGTTTCTGAAACCGCCGGCGAGTACGTTGACGCTGCCAAGTCGCGTTTGAATGACGCTGCTGAGTACGTTAGCAAGTCCATCCACGGTGGCGAGGAGAAATAAGCCTGGCCAGGAGCCTGAGATTTCCACTCACCATTGCAGAAGGGTTTTACGTCTACATATTTTAGCTTACGCATTAAAATAACGATTTCAGAAATTTGAAGCACCCGCGAGTTTAATGAACCACATCAGCACGACCGCCGGGCTGCCGGTACGTGGCGACTTGCAGCATCCCAAGCCACTCTTCACAACTCGCTGTTCTTGTGACACGCTGGTGTAAAGTGATAGAATATCCTACTGGCCGAACATGCCAGCAGATCTGCGCACTGGTAAGTGATACAGTCGCGGTTCAGACATACCTGCGCTTAGAATAATGTTACTAACATGAACATTTCATGTCAATAGACCTCGCGTCGACCAATAATTGTATTTTCTCGATACAATTGGAACGGCATCTACCAGTGGACACAACTTTTTTTTGAGAGCATCTGCACAACGCACTCAAAGGGTGCGGAAAAGCTCAACCTTCAAACCGCTATTCGTCTAATTTTTACATACGTAACAGTATCTAAAAGCACCGTCTCTCATGTCACAGCACTGAATTCTGCAGGGATTATGTGTAACCCAGATCATGGTATTTCGCCTGCCAAAGAAACACAGACGCTAACATGCAAAAATTAATTACCAATGGTGAAAGAAACTCGTTGAATCTCTACAACAGCTTGTCCTTTGCGTATAATCAAAGTGCTTTATTTTTTGGCAATGGTTTCATCCAGGTGTAAAATTCTAAATTGCGCTTTTCCGCTCTCCCCAAAAACTCAGGTTACTGTTGGAATCGACTGCATTTCTCAACTGCCACTGTGAACTAGAGCAACGATGTTTTAATACCCGTACTTATCGATTTCTCACTCGAAATAGCAAGATTTGAATGATGCTTTCAAAAAAATACTTCAGTAAACATTCATTTGCTCTAAGGTACACCGCCACTGCTTCAATGGGAATTCATTTACGTACCAGGCACTTTTTAAACTCCCAATAAACTTTATGTACTGAGGTCACCTATCATCACTGTGCTTCATTTCGAGGTTGCTCAGTCATGTGCTAATATTTTGATTCTTAATTCTCGTAAACACTATCAACAGCTCACTAACACATATGGTCTCATGAGTACTCCTTCTCAGCACTTACTGATTGCAGAACGAGATGCCCTCTTATCCGAGCGCAATGAATTGCGAAACCATGTTCAGCGACTCGAGTCTCAAGAACTTGTGGACAAATATGATGCACTGCCCTTACTGAATCGGGGCACTAGATTGAAATTCTTGCAAGATTTCTATCCGCTACTCAAAATTCATACAATTGATTATCGCAATAGCGATGAACTGGATGTCACCTCAACGGATGCTTCGAATGCACAGACCTCACCATTCGGAAGCTTGTCAGATTCACCGTTGAAACCAGCTAGAGATTTTCAAAATATAAATACTGTACATGTTACCTTTTCCATAGACTGTATATCAGTCTCCCTTCAATACTCCACTGAAAACTCGCAAATGACACAATTGAAAATATTACGAATATCCCCATTACATTTGTCGATGGAGGCCTTGATTCGACATTGTGAGAAAACACTGAACTTGTCATATTTTCTCTCGGGCTGTTATGAGTTCATTCGTATAAACAACTTCAGGGCAGGTCTTTGGAGTGGGCTTATTGACTCTCAAAGCTATTTACAACCCCAATTGAAGTCCCCGGAATGCATGCAGCTGACATCACAAAAGACAAAGCTAGCACTTCAAATATCGTATTGCATTGAGTTTGACAGCTTGCCCTTCCCTGATTCAATCGTAAGTGTCAAGCTTTACTCTGAAATGGAGGAAGTTCCGCACGCAAACGATATCTGCTCTTCTTTAATTAAAGAGTATGGTCTTGAGTACGGTCTTCGAGAGTTCATACGGGCCGTGTTATCCTAAAAAAGATGAGGTATATTAACTCCGTGCTCCAAGCGGTCACTAAGTAAATACGTTATAGGTTGACTTCCTTGACTCTAGTTTTAGATATTCGTTGATCACGTAAACCGGTAGATGCTGTCGTCTTGATCTTTGCGATTTAAGAGTAATGCTCTTTTTGCGCCATTGATCGTACGAATGAAATCAGTTTCAAATCCTAAAAGCCCATCTTTGAACTTCTTGCGTTTTTTGCCACGAACGCCGATCACTGTGGCCATCGTCACGTCTTCAAATTCGTGAAACATTTTTATCAGCCCCAACTCCTCTCGCTTGCGACGTGCAAGGGCTTGAGATCGCTCCAGCTCTTGCATGACTGCATCTTGAGTTCGATGATCTGCAATCTTTTCACTTTTATCGAATTTTATCAGCTCCTCCATTTCGTCCTTCTTCTTTTCATCCAAAAGATCACTTCGTATTTCCTGCGTTGCTGGCGATGCTGAGACAGTCTTTTTCTTCTGTCTTTTTCTTGGCGGTTGCGTTATTGGTACATTATCCGGTTTAGGGTCGCTTTTAGCTTCGGTCTTGACTTCGGTTTCTTCTAGTGCTGAAGGCTTCTGAAGTTCTTCTTTGACTGGCGGCTCGGTATCGTTATCTTCTGCTTGCTCTAAAGGTCTTTTGACTTGCTTGCGGTAAGCCCTTTTCGCTACCGGTGGCTTAACAACTGATTTTGAACTTTCGGGCTCACTTTCCTTAGAGCTTTTTGAACTACTTCTTAGATTGGTCTTCGATGTTGTTCTTGAAGCTCCTCTTGTACCTAGTTTCGATCCTCTCCTCTTCACCGAAGGACTCTCCTCTTCCGCAGCATCCGCGCCTTCTGCTAAGCTTTTTTCCAATTTTGTTTGTTCCATTAGTGACTTATTGTCATCTTGACTTCCGTAGGCATTGTGCGGCAGTCTATTGTTCTTTATTAGAAACTCCCTTCGCTTTTTTTTTTGTAGTTCACCGAACTCAATCTCCGCGCTGGTATCAATGTCAACGTCATCTGTGGACGAGTTCAATTCAAACTTGCCCTCAATCCCAAACAGTTCCAGAGATGCTACAATGGCACTTTCTGTCATGTCCGTCTCCAAGTGAACGTAAATTAACCACAATGTAAATTGCGCTCTTTGCTTGGGGTCCAAATCTGGATTCTCCAAAATGTCGAAAAATGTTAGATTCGCAGAGTCGGCAACGTATTCTTGCACAAACTTTAGGTTTACGAGAACCGAATTATCGCATAAATGAAATATAAGGTTTACCGGATTGGAGTCAAGCTTCTTACCCACTTCTGGCGATTCATAAAAATCTGTAAGGGCCAAGTTGCCATTGCCTTTGGGTAGGTTTTTGAGAATCGATTTTAGCCGAGGAGTGTCCTGCAAAGATTTTGGGTCGCGCGCGTCTCGTTGAAGACATGGTATAGAGTGAAAAGTACGCAGCTGAGAAGTCATTTCGAGGAAAAAGTTGATCGTCGTATTCAGACGGCCTGTATTGACAAGAAGCGATAATGCACACGTCGAGAATGCTATGTTGTGGTCGAATAAAAGTTTGTCCCGTAGAATTTTGGAGCATTTGGTGGATGATGCGACGGTCAATAAATAGTTCTCGGAAAAGGTCAATTTATCGTTTTTGATGAATTTGCGAGCGACGTAAGTGTCGTCGGTCACATTTGAATGCTCAGATTCCTCTGTTGGAGCAATCGCAAAGAAATTTTGATACCGGTTGGTAAATAGGGGTCTTCTGTCTGAACAAAGCTCGTGCAGAAACTCGTACTGAATCTCTCTGCGCGTAAAATACTCTCCATCGGCTTTCTTCAAATGCCGCGTGTATTTGCTCGGCTCTCTTGGTTTTCTCCTCAGCAGATCAGCACCATTAGCGGGTGTTGCATTGTCATCACTTTGCGTTGAATCTCCTCCATCTTCATCGTCTGAACCTGGATGCAGTGAGCTTGCTACCTCGCTAGCCGAATTAGTATCTTCTTGGTCTTCGCGGCTTTGAAAGACATCATGTATCGGATCGTAAACGCGACTACCCATCGTAGCTGCTGCTGAGATAACAGGTACTACTACCATTCTGTTCTATTTTCAAATTGTATGATTGATTAAACAAAAATCGACAGGTACATGACATTCTATACGATATTAAATGTATGATACTCTGATTGAGCTGACCAACAGCGCATCGTAGAATGACAAACTATAGCTTAAAGTGACAGGGCACCCCCGAATACTGCTAGTACATAAAGTAGTCATTTGAAGAAGAAAGGTAGCGTATATTTGACTTCAAATGCAACCTACTTTTCAAAAACTTAGAAATCCCCTCCACCGAAATCACCACCACCGAAATCACCACCGCCGTAGTCGCCGCCACCACCGTAGTCGTTGTTGTCGTTATTATTGTTGTCATCGTTATAGTAATTGTTCTCGATAACATTTTCGTGTGGCATCATCGCCGACGTAAGCAGAGACCCCGCTAGAAGGCCTCCACCTACACCCATTAAACCACCCATCATGGCTCCACCATTATTTTTACGGGCTTGCTGTGGTTGCTGTTGATAGTAGCCTTGTTGAGGTGGATAACCTTGCTGAGGGTAGTAGCCTTGTTGTGGTGCGTAACCTTGCTGCGGATAATAACCTTGCTGCGGAAAGCCCTGTTGCGGGTAGCCTTGCTGTTGATAGCCCTGTTGCTGTTGATATCTTTGCTGTTGGAAACCCTGTCTTGAAGAACCATCCCTGATTTGACCTTGCGAGCTTGCTGCGGAGGTTTGCCCATTTACACCACTGGGGGCCCCAGAGGGTCTCGATTCATTGTAAGGAGGAGGCATTTCGGTGTTCCAAGTGGTGCCCTTAGGCTCCTCCCACTGTGATTGTCCAGTCTTTAAATCTACAAAGAAGTAGGTTTGATACTCGTCGTCAAAAACTGCTTTCCAGCCTTTTGAAACGCTTGGCGGATTGCTCTTCGAGTGGGCCATCCCGATCGATATGTATCAACGATATCAATTGGTTCTTAGCTTGACAGATGATTGAATAATTCAATTCTCGAACATAGACACTCAAACCTACTTAATCTTATCTCACGTATAGGCTTTTTATCAATGTGGTCTTCCGCGTGAGGTTCACGTGCCGTAGTTGTATCTAACATCGTCAAAGACGCAATCCTAAAGCTAGCCTTAACAAGCAAAGAGAATTGAATACTATAGCATGAGAGTTAAGATCGAGAGTCCTATCGACTTGGAGGATACGGCCACAGAAAAGGATGTAACCACCTGTGGTTTTAGACGGGAACAACCGTCATTCCCTAAAGAATTAAAAACTCACGGTATGATTTACATTGACAATTGATTCGTCATGTCTGTTTGACAGATTATCCGAGTGCTCATGTTGAGTGAATAGAGGCTGAATAAGTGGTACTTATTGCTACATTATCAAAACACGGAAGGGGAACAGACGACCATCATCACCCCGCCTCTGCGTAAGCCAAATTCAGATAGTCAAGAAGCGCACTATTGAGACCCGTTAACCTCGAGTGCCTACGGTGATTTCCAATTACTTCTAATTCTTGCTAACGCTCAAACGTCTACTGAAGTAGCCGCTCTGCTTCATTTTCGCGAAGGAGAATCAACGTGAAATCTATACACTATCTACATCCAGCAACGAAGTCACGCCAGCCAATTAGTTTTGGCTTGCTTGAACGCTCTCAGAATAGATAACAAACTCAGGGCAAGAACAGCTAAGGGAAGTGAGAGAATTAGTGATGTTCAATTTGCATTATTTGAAGCTTGATCGTCTACCGCTTCGAAAGCTTGCACCTCGAGCTTGAGCTTGAGCGTCGATATTTTTGTGTTATGAAGTGATGCAAATATGCCTTCCATCTAATACTCTCTTTGCACATCACAATTTGGCCCGGCCAATGAATTCTCGGTACAATCTTAAAGAATGGGCAGCAACACCCAAGGAAGTCTCAAAGCCCATGCCACCAAACCCGTACGAATGTATCACTGGTCCATGAATTGAGCGCTCGAGTTCCACTCTGCTGCCACCTTTTCTCGCGGGTCTGAAGCCAACGTTTACAAGGGCTACGGAAAATTCGTTACCTTTCATTAATTCTGGATATAAAATGCGGCCTCTCTTTAGTATTGCACGCGAATCTGCATCGCGTGGGATCACGCTATTGTCATTGGCTTGCTTTGTACCACCCAGTATGTATTGTTCGTTTTGTCCATCTTTGGTGGGCCTTTTGATAACGAAAGTCCAGTTACCATTTTTATCCTGAGTAGTAACCGTAAGCGAGGCATACTTAGTGTTTTGAGGCGCATTCAAAAGCAGAGTTTGACCTCGGATTGCGTAGCACATAGGGTCATAGCTTCCATCAAACTGAAGACCTTTACCGGAGCAATTAAATAACACCGAAAATCCTATACAAATATCGTGAACTTGCGATAAACTCCGTAAAGTCATTCTTCTAAGGAATAACCTGACGCCTCGTGATTCACATAGCTGTTTTACTTGGTCTTGTAGAAAACCCAAATATTCTGGAGCGTTTAAGCAGTATGTGTTGTACTTGAACCCAGCTCTGACACCTCGAGGTAAAGCCGCCTGAGGCAATTTTTGAAAACCATCCAAGCTCGTGCTATTGAAACCTGGGCTATCGCCGTCGTATTCTTGTGGCGGATCCTCTAGAAAATCAATTCCTTGCATGAGTCGAACTGTAGACTCCGGGAAGCGAGCAGCTATGTCTTTCATCCACTTGTAAGTGACTCGCGTGTAGCGCGATTCTCTGGCATCACTTTCATATGTCTCGGGACGGTGGGGAAAAGGTCTGAAATGAGCACCTGCCCAAGCTGAAGTATATTCGTGACTGGTTGGGTGTTCTCCAGGAAAATGCTGCGCAATGATGTGGAGCTCTTTGGGGCACAGATCTTGTGATAACAAAAGTTCATACGCTGTACTTAAGCCAATGACCCCGCTCCCCAAAATTGCCACGATAGACATCTCCGATAACCTTGTCGGAGTTGCAGTCCGCTTGGTAATCTATCAAGTCTCTTCACCGTAAGATCTTCTATCAGTTTGGACGTCCAAGAGGTCCCCCGTGCACATCACGTGGTAAAGCCGTTGTTATCATGAGGAAGATGCTTGACTGAGATGTTCTTAAAGACGTTGAATTCCCGATATTTTACACTGGACCGTTGTTCAGAAACTTTCAAGTCTTTTACTAACTGAGGTCTTACTCGACGTTCGCTTAATTGGAATATATCCTGGAGAAATAATCTTCGTGTCATTTTCATAGATGGATACCCGAATTTGGAGTTTTGAAATAGATGTTATGAGACTTGCCCTCTATTAGCTAGATTCGAGTTTTTGAGGTTGCTAGTTACGTTTTGATAGGCATGATGAGGGTTTTAGTAATTGCTGAGTGTTTGCTAGACATCTTTATAACCTATCTGGGTTGGTTTTCAGCCTGAGTACGCTGAAAAATCAGTTATATTTCGAAATTTCTTGGACAGGCAAAACACTTCTTTCTATCACATATTATAAACAAACTAAGCGTGACTTACAGGGCCTGTCTTGTACCTTAACAATGCGTCGCGCAGTAAATTTGTGCCGTCTACCCATTACAAGTACCTTGCATTATGTCACGTTTTACTATACTGACGGACGTGAATTTCTGACATTATGTTCTGTGACCAGTGCGCATGGCCACAACTGATTTGTAAAAATCTACGCTTACTCGTGAGAGATTATTTACTTGTTTCAGACCGGTCTGCTTTAATATCCTTAAGATTCTGTCTCATTTGAATACCGTATTCTCTACCTTTAAGAACGAAATGTTTTGGTATGCATCTCTGTTCAACGGGGTTTCCAACGGCTGGTAGGTTAGATAGATCCAGTTAATTTAAAACCATTTTTTATCTAAGCTAATCGATAAAGACGTCATTAGGGCTTTATGAGGCACGATTTATGTTTGAAGTTATAACCCAAAAATTCTAATGCGTGTCGATCTCCTCTCGCCGTGCACCTGTATTTTTTATGACTTTCTTTTTGGTGTGGAATATGGATACAGGATCGAAGGTTTTATTTCTCGATGAAACCTGAGATGTAGACAACAATGTCACCGCCCCAGCTCTTGTGTTTTATAAGCCAACCGAAATCTTTACCATATGATTTTTTGTACTCTGATGTTTTAGCCGTGCCCTTATTCCGTGTATTTGCTTGCCCGTATTGAATTGACTTGTCATATGGAACATATGGACCAAGATTAATAGGTTTGACTCACACATTTTTAACAATGTGTTATTGAAACGTTTCATTTTCGTTCAGGTCATTGTTTCTGAACTGACGTTTTCAAGTGAATTTAATTTTGTCATTAAAATCCAGTTACGAAGGCGGCATGTCCTCTTCGCTTTTTGACCAACTTACTATCCTCGCTCTCACCATCACGCATGATTTGTTATTCGCCGTGAATACCACCTCTAGTGTTCCGGTGGCTATGGCGCCAACTTTTATATTGGCACCGCGGTTGGTCCTATAATCTTGTCCAAGAACTAGTGAACCATGCTGCTCAAAATTGTCAATTTTGCAATTTCGGCGCTCCATACTCTCTTGGATGAGGACATGATCCTTTAAGAAGGGGTTGCTTAGCTCAAAATGCGTGGCACAGCAGATAATAGCAGGCACTTCTCATGCCAAGGAGCTTAAAGTCACGAATAATATCTTCTTTACTCTCCAATTACATTATTTTACATCATCTTTCATCCAAAGCTTTGTTCATATACCCGAATACGTTGCATTCATAGCCAAACCACGTTCTTAGAGGTACGCGAAATGCATACAACTTTCAAAACCTCAAAAACGCACTTCTGTAACTTGAGCCTGTAGACACGCGACAGACTACAACAAACTCAAGAATAACTTGGTTACTGGACTTTTACGTAGAAATCAGACCGCATCAAAAAAGATATACTTTGCCCTCAGCAGCTTGTGAACCACTGATAAAGACGCTCATTATATTTCATCCTCCACTTCTTCATTTTAATTGTTTTATTGTTCGTGTAAAGAAATTGAATATCTTAAGCATTTATACTATTCACACCTCATCAGCTTCAAGACCTACGAAAAGAGATACAAAAGGTCTCAAGAAGTGTAGCGGTGAACTCGTATTGAACAGATATTTTCTGGCGATGACTTTAGATGCTGCCGAGCATCCACTGCAGGACATCCCTGTTCCTTTTCAGTACCAACTACGAGAATCTAACAATGAGTTAGTGGCAGACAAGGACATGGACCTTCTACTAAGTAACGAGGTAAATCAGAGCAACAAGAAACGAAAAGGTGACAGTGAGAGAGACATTTGTTTTGGCCATAAGCGATTTAGAAACAACGGGAAGACTTGCCCGGATGAAGAGTTAGTAAGAACTCCAAGCGTGGAACCGTCGCTAAAATTCAGTCTGGGCGAAGAAGACAACGTTGCTCGAGACCCCAACTCACAACTGCCTTCACAAAGTCTTGGCGGTAATGCGACAGATGTTTCCCCGGTTTCGGTAGCGCCTGCCACGATCAATAATAATAGCACTCTTGCCGCTGCTCAAAGTGAGGATGGTCTTCCTCTGTCGCCTGTGGCGTCACCTAGTAATACGTCTTCTGCAGAAGACCTCTACACTTTGCACAAGACTATGTCAAAACAAGAATATTTGAACACGGTGGCTGCTACGGCTCACGCACAACTGTCGCCACCTGCGTATCGAAATTTAGTATTTCAACTCATCAGTAAACTTAACCGAAGCGAACTATCAGACCTTGGCACTCTGGTGAAGGATAATCTTAAAAGAGATTTTATTAGCTCCTTACCCCTGGAGGTTGCCATGAACATATTGACGAACTTGAAATTTGAAGACATCTCACGGTGCTTAGCGGTCAACAAGACTTGGAATAGCTTGATAAAAAATACCCCGTATCTGTGGCGCAAGCTTATGGTTAGTGAAGGGTTTTTGTCGCTTGAAGAGTTCAGAAAACAGTGTCAGGAGATGCCTAGCGTATTACAAACAGATCCTAGAGCCGAAGACGCAGTTCGCGAAAAGTTCCTACTAAACCAAGCATATTTGAACAACTGCTATAGCGGAACTTTCAAACCGCATAGAACCACCCTTCGGGGTCATTCAGTCAAGATTGTAACATGCTTGCAATTTGAGGACGACTATGTAATCACTGGTGCCGACGACAAAGTAATAAGAGTTTACGATGCCAAGAACGAACGTTTCATTACACAGCTCAGTGGGCACGATGGGGGTGTTTGGGCACTCAAGTATGGCCAGGATGGGATCCTGGTTAGTGGGTCCACCGATCGCAGTGTCCGAGTTTGGAACATCAAAAATGGCAAATGCACACATGTTTTCAAGGGCCATACTTCTACAGTGAGGTGTCTGGACATTGTCGAGCATAACGGCGAGAAATTCATAATAACAGGTTCGAGAGACCACACGCTTCACGTGTGGAAACTGCCGAATTGTCATGGCCCCAACTACAACCCCGAGGTGTGTGAAGTTTTCAGCACCACTGATTCAAATCCTTATTTCGTGGGCATTTTACGTGGCCACATGGCAGCCGTACGCACCGTTTCAGGCCACGGAAATATCGTAATTAGCGGGTCCTACGATTTTAACCTCATGGTATGGGACATTGCTCAAATGAAGTGCCTGTATGTTCTGACTGGACATACGGATCGTATTTACTCCACGATTTACGACTACGAGAGGCACCGGTGCATATCTGCTGGAATGGACTCCACCGTGAAAGTCTGGAACCTGGAAGATGTTCAGAAAAACGGTCACTGTAGCACCATAAGCTCCTCGAACAGTGCTTGCATAAAGGTGACTGGTTCAATGCTTACGCTGCAGGGGCATACAGCCCTTGTTGGTCTCCTAGGTCTTTCTGACAAGTACCTAGTGAGCGCTGGAGCTGACGGAGTGCTACGCGGTTGGGATTCAAAAACATATTCCCGCCAGTTTGCGTACCAATCCAAGGATCTGAGTGCCATCACGACTTTCTACGCTAACGATAATTTACTTGTGAGCGGATCTGAGGGTCAATTTAACGTCTACAACCTCAGAAGCGGCAAGCCTATACATTCTGACCTGCTGAGTGATGCAGATCAAGTGTGGTCAGTCAAATTCAACAACAGAAAGTTTGTCGCTGCCATTGAGAGAGATGGCCACAGCTATGTCGAGTTTTTAGACTTTGGGAGGCCAAAAAAGCAAACTGAAGCAATTCAGAACAGCGAAGTGTCACAAAATTCTGCATCCGGAAGCAACCCCGCAAGGTTCATGGGGGAGGAGCTGTAGGAAATTGGTTTGATCAACTACCAGGCGCGCCGATTGGCACCTGAATCTCGGTCATGTGCTCATGAAAAAATTATTTGGGTGCAGTAAAGGAGCTCATCTCATCATCTTTAGAATTTATGTGCAATAATAAAAAGGCACTGGTTGATAGACTTTATTGTTTAAAATTTGCCGCCATAAAGCACACAGCTTGTTAAGAAAACCGAAACTGAGGACAGAACCCAGCGATATTTCTGATATGGCATCTTTAGAGACATCATCCTCATCTCCATTTCTTCGGAAAAGAGAATATGGAAATAAGCAGCCTAGCGCGAGCGCTGAAGAGCGAGTATTTGGCCCCCGAATTGAATCGCGCTTTATGAGTACCAAAGAGAGACAGATTTCGCTAGCGGGTGTTTTGTTGAGCGCTTGTGCTGTGGTTGTTACCGCAGGACTGATGTTCTTGTTAGGCGTCAATATAGTCATTCAGTACCGTACAATGGTACCCGAAGACCGCTCCGGACTCCTGCGCAAAGCTTGCTATATTGTACTAAGTGCTACTGGCATTTTCTTTATGAACAAATTTAATCAATGGTTCTATCAGAAAATGATGACATATTTTTCGGACTCAAAATATCAACGACTACCAGCAGAGGAAAGCTTCGAAATGAGATCGCGTGCATAGCCGCTTTATATGTGTATAATAATGCAGAAATGGATACTTACGGAAGATATAAGACGATATCTAGGGCGTCAGGTTGCCTGTCATCGCGAAACTTTTAAATCTCAATTACCATGTGCATGTCAGTATTGGGAAAAAGTGATCTCTTCTATAGTGGAAGACGCGTAAAAAGTTGAAAATTGAAACACGGAGGGTTTTAGACTGACGCGACGTACTAACCTCCTGTCAAGCGCTTCGGAAAAGAGAACCGAAACCGTGTCGTTATTGAATTAGTAGTTGAGCTCTTTCTGATTGCTTGTAATGGGTCGTTTATTGGGTCTAGAACTCAACAATTTCAAGTCTTACAAGGGAACAGTGAGCATTGGATTCGGAGATTCAAATTTTACAAGTATCATAGGGCCCAATGGTTCCGGCAAGTCCAACCTCATGGACGCCATATCGTTTGTCTTGGGTGTGAAAAGCCTCCATCTGCGATCTCATATGCTTGTTGATCTAATCTACCGAGGCACGCTATCAGAGGAAGAGTCTGCCACGCCTGAATCTGAACTCCCGGACTCTGAAGATCACCCAACCTCTGCGTACGTAAAAGCCTTCTACAGCCCCAGCAATCAAGCTACCGACTGCGTGGAGCTAACCAGAACCATAACAAGATCCCAGGATAGTGCTTATAAGATTGATGGCAAGATTGTGAGCTACAAGAAATACAGTGATTTCCTCGAGAGTCAAAACATTCTCATCAAAGCGCGAAATTTCCTTGTTTTTCAAGGTGACGTTGAACAAGTAGCATCACAAAAGCCTCAAGATCTTACAACGTTATTCGAACAAGTTTCGGGTTCACTACAGCACAAACAGCAGTACGACAAACTGAGAGAAGAGCTAGAAAAAGCCAGATCTGCTACGTCAGAGCTGCTTCAGTCTAGAAAAAGGGCCCATGCTGGCCTCAGAAGCTTCAAAGAAGGTGCCAACAGAGATGAAGAGTATCGAAAATATCTTGAAGAACGCAGCAGTGCCCAACAACAATTTATTGTGTGGCAACTCTATCATCTACAAGCCCGAAAAGAAGCAATGTGCGAGGAATTGGAGCAGTCTCAAGTGGAGATACGAGAACTCGAAGCCCGGTTGAATGCAGAAGAAGGACTGTTGAAAAAACACCAAACCTCTCTTGCAAAAACACAAACCATTATCGCTAAACAAAAATCGAGACTTTCTGCAAGAGTGAAGATTAAGGAGTCACTGGCATCATCGCTTTTACCAATTAAAAGCTCCAAAGAGGGTGTTCTGAGGCGAATCCAAGCATCTGAATCCAAGATCGATACTCTGCAAAAAGATGTCGACAGACAAGAAGCTCTTGTGAAACAGTATAACCATCAGCTCAAGGTGGTAAGTAAAGCGAAGGCAGCTTTTGAAACTGAAATTGTGGAAGCTTCCCGGAAAAGCGGCGATTACAAGCTAAGTGAAGCAGATCTAAAAATATATGAAGAACTAAGGGAAGAGTTTCTGAGCTCTGGTGGCTCGTCGCTAGAAGATAAACTGCTACTAGAAAAGAATAATCGAGAAGAGCTTGTCGACGAAATCGGGCTATACAGCCAGAAATTGAATGAATCAGTAATAAAAATTAGTGAAGAGCTGGGCATTCAAAAAGAGAGTCTGGAATCAGAGCTTGCGCAACTAACTGTCGAACTTAACGAAAAGAATTCAGAGGTAACCAGTCTAGTTAAAAAACTCAAAGAATTGCAATCGCGAGCCGAGTCCAACAGCAATAAAGAGTACGAAATGAACTACAAATTAAAAGAGACGTTAACCAAGCTGGATGATATGAATGCCACTCAAAAGGAAACTGTGAAAGAGCGGAAGCTCAGGGAAAACGTCTCAACTTTGAGAAGGTTATTTCCTGGGGTAAAGGGCCTGGTTCATGATTTGTGTCACCCAAAAAAGGAGAGATATGCTGTAGCAGTTTCTACTGTTCTTGGCATGAACTTTGATTCAGTGATCGTCGAAAACCTCTCAGTTGCCCAGCAGTGCGTTTCGTTCTTGAAAAAACAGCGGTCAGGTATAGTCTCATTCATTCCTCTTGACACCATTTCTGTTAACAAGGTTTCTATGATTTCTGCAGACATCAAGGGCTGCACGCTTGCAATAGATGCTATTGATTATGAGCCCCAGCTGGAAAGAGCTTTTCAATACGTTTGCTCCGATGCTATCATTTGCGACTCCCTGGGAATAGCTAAGAATCTAAAATGGAATCAAGGCATAAAGTCTAAACTGGTGAGTTTGGAAGGCGCTGTCGTGCACAAAGCCGGTCTCATGACTGGTGGCGCGTCAAGCACTTCAGAGAACAGATGGAATAAGGAAGAGTACCAAAATTTAATGTCCCTGAAAGACATGTTACTAAATGAAATTTCCGCATTATCCACTTCGAGTCGCTTGGACCTTGAAAAGATAAGAAGTTATGAGAACGCTCTTTCTTTGTTGAGTGCTGATGTCACCGACCTCAAAACGAGAGTGACACACTCAAAAAGAATGCTTCACGAGAAGCAGGTTGAGATAGACTACCAAAGGGAACTTGCAGAGGAGGAGTTTAAGCCCAAAATAAAGTCTCTGGAAGGCAAAGTGTCTACTCATGACGAAAAAATCACTCAACTTGACAGCCAGAAAGCAGAGCTACAAAATTCAATTTATGCCGAATTCTCGAAGCGTGTAGGGTTTACGCCTGCCGAGTATGAATCGCATTCTGGGAAAGTAATACGAAAGCAATCAGAAGATTTAAGGAAGCTTCAGATGCAAATAGCTAGCATTGAGAAAAAACTGGAATTCGAAAACGAGAGGCTCAAGGCGACACAGGAACGTCAACAAAAAGCTCAAGTAGATGTAGAGAAGGCCAAAATTAAGATGGAAACAATAACAACAGAGGAGAGTAACGTCCTTCAGGAAATCACCGAAGAGGAATCTTCCATAAAGAAAGAGGAAGAGCGCTTAGAACAGTCCCAAGTGGAAGTCGATAAAAATTCTTTGGGTCTTAACTCTATCGAGGAAGCTATTCAGGAGCTTACTGAAGCTTTGAACTTGTGCAAGAGTAAAAATACAGCAGTATCAGAGAATATAGAAAAGGCAATGTTGGAGAAAACTAACATTCTAAAGAATTGTAAGATGCTTAATATCAAGCTGCCCCAAGGATCATCTTCACTAGACGTTATTTCACTAGATAAAGTCGACGATGAAGCATTGAATGCCGCTGATGAAGTGGTTGTTGACTATTCAGGTTTGAGTCGCAAATTGCGCCAGAATGGTGATGATGCAACTGGCGAAGAATTCAAAAGGTCTATCGAGGAACTGGACGAGCTTCTCGCGGTGCTACAACCCAACTCCAAGGCAGCCGGAAGATATGAGGATGCGAAAATCAAATACGACGAGATTTTTAAGGAAACTGAGAAATGTAAGGCGACCGAGAAAAGATTGAATGATGAGTTTTCGAGTGTAAGAAAGCTCAGAAAAGAGGCCTTTGACCAAGCATTCGATCACGTCAGCGAAACGATCGAAGGGGTCTACCGAGAGCTCACCAGAGATCCACACTCAACAGCGGCGCTTGCAGGCGGAAATGCAAGCCTGACCTTGGAAGACGAAGACGAGCCATACTTAGCTGGAATCCGATACCATGCTACTCCTCCTACGAAAAGATTCAAGGATATGGAGTATTTATCTGGTGGCGAAAAAACTATTGCGGCGCTTGCGCTTTTGTTTGCCATAAATTCATATCAACCCAGCCCATTTTTCATTTTAGACGAGGTGGATGCGGCACTTGATATCACAAATGTCGAGAGAATCGCTACTTACATCCGAAGACAGGCGCGAGCTGATCTACAATTTATTGTCATCTCGCTGATCAATACCATGTTTGAGAAATCACAATCGCTTGTAGGTGTTTTCAGGCAGCAAAGCCAAAATTCGTCTAAAGCTCTCACACTGAACTTGGAAAACTACGCCGATTAGCTCATGGGATCAACTCCATACAGGAATGCTTCCGTAATATGGTAGGTGTAGCAGCAGCTTCATGTGTGGTTGTTAAGGGTACCTTGTCACCTGATGGGAAGACCAAGTCAAAACTGGCAGCACTGGATAAGATAATTCATACCGTTACGTCTGGAAATCCGCCACCTCAACTGAAGTACACTATCAATTCTAAAATTTAGTTAGACAAAATAGATTTCGCTCATTGACGAAGTTTAGATATCTGTATTGACTGTACTCATCCTCAAGCTAATAATTTTTTTGAAAATATGGACTCCTACAAGATTGTAGCTCCATCACCCCGCAAACTCCATCACAGACCCAGCTCCGGCGCCAGGGACATGAAAACGACCAGATCAAACTCTGGAACCGATTTCTCCAAGTCCAAGAAAGCCAAGTTTCCCCAAAATGCATTGAAAATGGCTAACTTGTCACCTTTGAGACGTCCACGATCTGCGACGCCACTGAACTCACAGAAAACTTTAGACGAGAACAGTTCGTCCGAGCAGTTGGAAAAGCGATTGCGGCACTACAACCTCGACTATGTGGAGGACAAGGAAGAACATCTAAAACAGATCTATGATCCTAGCTCCAAGTGGTTTTGCAGAGATGTAAAACCAGACTTCGTTGTGGAAGACTGTCTTCCATATCATGTTGAAAGCCACACAGAACAAGCGAAGTACCTATGTCACATTCTCGTCAATCTCTACATAGCAATCTGTTCTTTGGACATACAGGGACTCATATCAATCTCCAGCAAAGATCTGGCAGACCTCAAGTCCGAAATCGATGACCTAGCCATGAACACTGACATGTTTCGGCTTTCAAGCGACGAAGATACCTCGTACAATGACATTCACAATTTTGACGAAGATGAAGACGAGGAGTCTGATGAAATGATTGAGTTTGATGGTCCTAGCTTTAGCGCCACCGGGAAGATAACAGCCAAATCTGCTACAATAGTAAACGTTAATCATTGGGCTAACGAGCTCAAAAACTGTCTACATTTCGAATTTCCAGTAAGCTTGCGAAAGACTTTAGCTTCAACTTTTTACAGTCTCTCACTTGTGCAAGGACAAAAAGTCTACAGACTAATGCACGTGGATCTGTTCGAGGCATTGGTTAGCACGAATGATGAGGAGACTAACTTCACCGAGTTACTTCTCAGCGCTGGCTTGCAACTAGACTACAAGCCCATGAAGAGTTTTCTTGACGAGTTCTTGCCATGCCCCGATGCCGAGTACACACGTTATGACATTTCGAGCAAGGCTGATAATCAACTTTTCAGGTTGCTTTTGAAGCTTGCACATATGGCCAAGCCATTTTACGATTTTGGAGATGGCGAGATTCTCAAAAAAACGATGGATCATTTCATTTCAAGCCTATCCCCTTCTACTGCTTTCGGTGTTTTTCCCATCATTACTTCATTTGTTCCATATCATTATGACGAGGATTCAAATATCACTGATTACTTTCCTTTTCTCTTTACACTTTGGACTACGACTACGCCATCGGTTGGTTTCGACACTCATTTCTATGATTTTATTGGGTGCGTTGCCGAAGACGCCTATCAAAAACTCTTAAAGCAAGAGAATCCTGGTCTGGAGCATTTGAGTAAACTCTCATTTGGAAAGTTTGGTCTATTGACGGAAGATCAGATAAGTTTTATCTTCAACAGAGTTCAAAATCATTTAAGAAATGATTTCCAGATCATTTCCTTCAGCCGAACCGTAAGGCCACTAGTTTTCTCAATCAAAGGTTCAGATGCTGACATGTTCTTTGACAAACTACAAGAGCTGCTTAAATCAGTTGAAACGTTTGCTCATCCATCTAACAATGGGCCGTGGACAAAGGCCATTGCCAAGTTCGTTCACGGCTTTATCAAAATGTATCATCAAAGAGTAAAGTTTGAATTGAGTCCAAAGGCAAAATACAGATCAAGTCTGAAGTTGAATGCCAAATGCCACACACGTCTTGTTGAAATTTTTCATAATGTCATCTTTTGGGGCGCCCAAAATAAAAATTCTGATATGGCCAATTACTATATCTCGTGTCTGGCTTATATGTTAGACATGGACTGCGATAACAAATGCATTTTGTTCGACAGAGTGCTATTGGACCTTTACGACTCACTTGGTGACTTGTATATCCACTCTGTCCACCGTCTTGTTTCGTCTTTGAAACAGTTCACAAAAGCTGTCAGATTCATGATTCAGGATCGATTGTATCGCGTACACGTCACTAACCTTTTATCCATGCTAATTTCTAAAATTGATTTCAACGATTTGCCGCTTACTAGCAACATTATTAATTGTATCGTTTCCATCGCCTCATTTGTTCCTCTGGAAAACATGGTCTCCGATGAAGAATACCTCAGTTTTGAATCGCATACGTTGCCATTCATTCAAGAGCACGTTTTTTTCCTTAAGGAAAACAACACCTCTGCAGACTTCAAGTACGAAGAGGCAGCCCTCCTTGCAGCATTCAAAGCATCTACAATTATTTTTGAAAATGTACTAAAAGTGTACCTCAATAAGGTCGTACAATTAGTCGACTGTGATCTGGAGGAAGGCTTCATCAGCAAGCTAAACCAAACCACGATGATCATGATAGAATCGATGTCTGACCCTATGTTCAAGTACTTCGCAGATGTGTTGGAAAGAGTATTTTGGGAAAATGATTACTTCAAGGAAAAGGAACCAAACTATGAACTAATAACTATACCATTAGGGGCAGCAGTCAGAAGAGACTCTAAGTTGGGCAGAAAAATGTTTACAAACCTAGCTTTCAACATTAAAGATCAAATCCAAAGGGGAGCAGGTTCCGTGCGAAGTTCCTCTGAAATTCAACACCGGGACGTAAAATTATTGACATTTTTGACCGCTCTGAGTGACACTATCAGACAATCTCGAGCTTCAATGCTGGATTATAGGGAAGAGCTGAAGGAGTTGCTGTTCTTCATTTTCGACAACATTTCAAATCCTCCACTTGATGTTCACACATCCTTAGTTCTGCACAACGTATTGACAAGTTTATCCTCGACAGAGGTGGTGGACTACAGGCTTTTCACGGAGGATACCGGAATTTCTGGGGACGAAAAGTGGGGGGGTTTGCAATTTGACTCTAGAAGATTTGCGAAAGAAAGAACCAATTTTGAATGGCACATCCCAACCGAAGAAGAAATAAACTTTGCCACCGAACTGTTGGAACTGTTTACCAACTATTGTTCAGAAAAAGTCTCCGATATGCTATTATCTCCAAAAAAAGATTCTGCTTACAGCGACAAATTGAAGAAGTACATCTTGATTATTACCCATACTTTATCAGGCTCAAGTTTGCTCTTTGATGCAGACTATAATAGACACAAGACGGAGCTTCTGCCTGTCGACTCTTACCGGAGTAAGCTAATGCTGTTGAAAACTATCAGAGACAAGAGGTGCGACGCTCAAGAGCTGAACATTGACCTAGAACACGTCAAGAGCGATAATGGAGAGGATTCGGAACTTGATACTTCTGTGGAATTGTCTGAAGACGTATTAGACGAAATACACATGACTGAGAACGGAGATAGCGGCGGCGGGGAAGGTTTTGTTTTTGATGAAGCTTCATCAAGTATTCCATCAGGAATAGCAACCCCGGAACCAGGATGTCACCATGGTGGATTTAATGTTGAGTCTGCTATTAGCGGCACTTTAGCCTTCAGGGATCTGGATATCTTCAGCTGCAACTACTTTTTTGGTTCTGATCCTCACAAAAAGATGAGCAATCAGACTTATTTGAAAATTCAGTCCATCCGATCACAAATTGGGTCTCTGTTCCATAAACTTTTCAAGTTCTTTTCCAGTCACTTCGAAGACAACACGATATTGTTCAAAATTCTTCTACATGGAATAAAGGTCTGGTTTACCGATGTGGGACAAGAAACAGTTTTTAACGATGAACCTACATCAATCCTGGATATGGACTTTTTGGAAAATATTCAAAATCTGTCGCACGTCACCGAACCCTACACAAGAACATGTCTGGCAGCCAAAGCACATTCCTTACACGAGGCCAGGGTTATGCTTCATTCGACTAATAGAGCTGCTTCCAAGCTTGAAAAAGTTTTGTTGAGAGACGTCTTGAAGCTTTCTATGTCTCTGTATCCCAACATCTTCAAGCCAGCGCAAGGCTGCTTGGTGCAGGCTATGAAACAGCTGGTAGGTTCTTATCCAATTGTCATGAAGCATCTATTGGAAGCGCTCAAAAATGGGCTAAAAAATGGGGAGCACAAGAGGGTTGAAGTAATGCTAGAAGTTTTGCTCATCAAAAAGATACATCGGAAAATCATGTCAGATTATAAGAATCTCGAAGAAGTCATAGATTTGCTGTTTAAAGCTTGTCGCGTAAAAGATTTCAACGTATCGAAATATGCTGACAAAATCTTAACTGATATTGCATTGTCGTTGAAGATCCCATCTAGCGTATGTCTTATTGACATGGAAAAGGTCGAAGGTCTGAACCCCGCGGATGCGTCAATCACTCAACAAGTGAGTGCAGTTCAAAAAGCTAAAGACACGAAGCGACAATTTTTCATTTCACTTTTAGATCACCTACAAGGCTACTTAATGGGCGTTTTGGCGTCAGACGAAGAATTGGGATGGAAAATTCCGCTTATCGTAATGAAATTGACGTCCAAACTGCAATCAAGTCTCGAGCTAACTACTGATAAGGGAGTATTGCCTTTAATCTTTAAGTCAACTGAGACAAAGCATCCTAGCATGATTCACTTGGCGATCAAAAATTTTCTGAATATATGCAATAAAATCACGTCACTTGGGGACTGTGAGTATGACTTGAGGAATGCTTTTGATTTCAAGTTTGTTAAAAACGATTTCAGAATTATTGAAACCAGTGACAAGAAGTTTGGCGAGACATTTGAGCTGGAGATGAAGAATTTTCAGGACCCCAAATTCTATATCGATTCCAAGGCCTATGTTGGCTATGTTGCATGGGGCCGGCACATGAAGGTGGTAGATAATTGCTACGGCGTGCCTTTTAAACTCCGGGGCAATGAAATGGACTGTTTGAGAGAGTTCGGCCAACTTGTGAGTAAGGAATGGATTTTGGAAATTTCTGAAGTCTTAATCCAAGACAACGAGAGCAAGGGTGTATTCAGCAGTTGCAACATCGAGTTTTTTGGACTTCTCGTAGCTCTAATCACTAACGATTGCACGAACTTACGCTACGATGATTTGTTAGAAGTGTGTCAGTCCCTGTATGATAAGAGCGATAAAGCTTCGATGATCTTGTCTGTTGAGGTGATGGCTGGTTTAATTGTGGCTTCAAAGATGACATCAAAAGAAAATTTGGAGAGAAGAGATGCTTTCTTGACGGCATTTCTGGATGATTGCCTCGACCACGAGTTAAACCAAGATGCTGTGGACATATGGTCTATCCTGTGTTGGTGGCTTCCAACTTCGGTAGATTTGAGAAGATGCGCACCGCTGCACAAAAAGATTTTTGATATCAAAGATGTTATGGACACCAGCTCAGATTCATTTGCTAATCAGGCCTCGAAGATATCTTTTCTGAGAAATTTGTTGTTGAGTCTCGATTTTAGAACCCCTGACGCTGGCCAGATTCTGTCGCTCTTGGTTGTGGATCATCCTTACGATCAAGTACGGCAGTCGATCTCCAAACTCTTATCTACTCTTCTGCAAAGCCAACTTTCCCCATCTTTCCCCTCTGTCCGTGACGTCGTTGAATATACCTCTGGTGAAACGGGCTTGGGAAGAATGATTCGAAAGATTCCGCCTCACTTTGATGAAAAACTGAAGGACACGTTCACTACAATTGAAAGCGAAAGATTGACAGTAGTCGATTTGCCAGCCCATGAAATTTTGAAGACTCGATACTACTACATGGCGGCCACAATGCTCAATTGGGTACTGGAGCTTATGAAGGGTCAAAACAGTGTGGTTTTGGTGATTTACCTGGAAAAGTACTTGGCACCCTTTTTGATGAATTTGATAAAGATGAAGGATGTTTGCAATCTAGCCAATTTGGAGCCCACTGCGTGCTATATTGCGATTTCATTCTGGTCGCTTAGAAAAGAGTACATGCCACTGGTTATGAGACTCATTGAAAATATGAACTTGACCACGTCGCATGAGCTTCGCGTGCAGCTGGTGTTCGTAGAGAACTTTTATTCCAAGAATATGCTGCAGCTTTCAGAGGCCCAAAAAGAATCCATCCTACAATTCGTAGTCAAACACATCTACAACGAGAATTTTGTGGAGGTGCGTTTGCGCGCAGCAGAGGTTTTGTCCGGCATCATACATACGCTGAGCGACACTAACAAGCCTACAGAGCTCATTGCAGAATTCGCACAAGGTTTAGGGGCGCACGCCTTTGCTACAAAAAAAAAATTGTCGAAGAACGACTCGAGGATTCATAGCTCGGTAGTAGGACTCGGGGCTGTTGTATCTGCGTTCCCTTACTCTTTCCCGCTACCAAAATGGATCCCGCGTCAACTAAGTGAGCTGTCTTCGTGGGCCCGAACCAGTGGAATGTCTGGAACCGCCGCCAAGGAGATTATCAGCGATTTTAAGAAAGTGCGAGCTGACACCTGGCATCTAGACAGGGCCGCTTTTACGCCTGAAGAACTCGAAGATCTCGAAGGTGTCCTATGGAGAAGCTACTATGCATAAGAATGAGAATTTTCAATGCCAAAAGTTTTCAAACTTAGTTAGCGTTACGTACAATCAAGTAAACACAAGCTATCGAGAAGCTCAATAAGATATCTGTGTATATCACTCAGGTCCCATTCTTGTGTTTCTCCACTTGTCATGTTTTGAGGACATAATGTCATATTATACGAGTATCTTATGAACTCAAGCAAGACATCCTGTTGGGCTTTCACCCTTCTAAATGAGTAGTTATATACAAAGAACCCAGGATTTATCACTGCTCCCAAAGCATTACCAAGGCTTATCTATATTCGGGACGCGCTGCAATTAACATCGAAGCGTGTGTTGTTGACATACAAAAACATTGGTAAATCTAGAAGTAGGCAATGTCCGGAATAAGAACAATCTCGTCGTCTTCGGGAAATGTTAAGAGCTACGACTCGATCATGAAGATTCTACTGGTGGGTGACTCCGGTGTGGGAAAGTCTTGTTTGCTGGTGCGTTTCGTGGAAGACAAGTTCAGCCCTTCCTTCATCACCACCATCGGGATCGATTTCAAAATCAAGACCGTCGACATAAACGGAAAGAAGGTGAAGTTGCAGCTGTGGGACACCGCGGGTCAAGAACGGTTCCGGACCATCACCACGGCATATTACCGTGGTGCCATGGGTATAATACTTGTCTACGACGTGACCGACGAGCGTACATTTGCTAATATCAAGCAATGGTTTAGTACCGTGAACCAGCACGCTAATGATGAAGCGCAGCTGTTATTGGTCGGTAACAAGAGCGATATGGACACCCGTGCCGTCTCCACCGACCAGGGTGAAACGCTCGCTAAGGAATTGGGTATCCCGTTCGTCGAAGCCAGTGCAAAAGACGACACCAACGTGAACGACATCTTCTTCCTCCTGGCCAAATTGATCCAAGAGAAAATTGACAGTGAGAAACTAGTGGGCAACGCGGGCCGCGACGGCAACGTCAATGTCGGTGGTGCTGGTCAGGGATCCAAGTCCAACTGTTGTTAAATCTACGAAACTAGCGTATGTGTATATATATTGTCTAACTACCGACAGAGTGCGTCGGAGCTTACAGGCTCTCAAATCATAGCTGTGCATTGAAGGAGCATATGAGCGTCTATCTCTTGTATCAAACGTTGTTGCCTACATCAGAATCTTGGCTTCTTTAAATGTTACCGGTTGCGCCGTCTACTCACGCTTGACTGTAATTTTTACCACACGTGGGAGAGAACTGGTATGAACTTATATAAATGTGAATATAAAGACAGCACAATGAGAGGAAAAATCATTGTTGAAGATTTAACAAACACATTCTTCGGCTTGTCCATTGTCTCTACACCATTCCTCTTTGTGTGGTAAAGTAAAGTTTCAGCCTAGGCATATCGATTGATTTGGGCCAACTTTGATTTTTGCCAAGAAATAAGTCAGAAACAGGAATCGCCCGCCACAATGTTGTTCGGAGTTAGACTAGCAAACCAGATGTATTCGCCATGGAAGAACTCTTACATGGACTACGAAAGGTTGAAGAAACTCTTGAAAGAGTCGATTATCGATGAAATCAAGTTCACCGGCAGAAAATCACACCGCAACCAAAACATCTGGTCCGATAAGGACGAGTCTGAATTTGTCGCGGTGCTAGACGCAGAGCTAGAAAAGGTTTACAGTTTCCAGAGCTCTAAGTACAACTCAATAATGGAAAAACTCGTGCAGTTGGAACGCAAAACCGACGACGAAGAGGCAATCCGTTCGCTCGATTTCAAGAACTTTCAGCGCGTGCTAGAAGACGCTTTGAGCGAAGCCCAAGAGCTGGACAACTTCTGCAGAGTCAACTTCACTGGGTTCATCAAGATCGTCAAAAAGCACGACAAAATCCACCCCCAGTATCCGTCAGTCAAGTCGCTTCTTCAAGTAAGGTTGAAAGAGTTGCCTTTCAATTCTGAAGAGTACTCCCCACTGCTCTACAAGATTTCCTTTCTTTACAACATATTGAGAACTAACTCGCCAACCGTTTCAACATCGTTGGCAACTTCTGCAAAACTTTCCAGTGTCAATAATCATGAAGAAAGCTCCTTCCAAAGCTATACGTTTTGGATTCATCCAGACAATTTGATGGAGGTGAAAACTAGAATCTTGAGACATTTGCCCGTTCTGGTTTACGCTTCTCCACCCAGCGAGAGCAGTGACTTAATCGACAGATTGGAGTCATCTGTCATGAACTCCGATGTTTCTTTCCAACCTCCTTCTAGCAGCAGTAGCACGTCTGAGGCAGATCATATCAGTGCCAAAGGTTACGATCCTGTGGTGAGAACCATTTACTTTGATAACGATTCGTTTGAACTCTACAACAATAAGCTTCTAAAATCAAGTTCCAACCCAACTCTCAGATTGAGATGGACCGGAAAGTTGGCAGATAAACCTGACATCTTTTTAGAAAAAAGAACATTGATTGAAGACCGCAGCTCAGGAGTCTCAGATTTTGAAGAAACTAGGCTGAAATTGAAACCAAAATTCATAAACGGCTTTATCTTCAACGGCGACCAGGAATACAAAGAGAAGAGTTTGAAGAAACTAAAAGATCGCGGTTCTGCAGAAGGTGAGGCAGATAAATTAAGCAACAATTTTGACACCATACAGAAATTTGTGCTTGAAAACGAGCTACAACCGGTATTGAGAGCCATGTACTCGAGAACTGCCTTCCAAATTCCAGGTGACGACCGTGTCAGAATCAGCATTGATTCTGACCTGATGTACATAAGGGAAGATTCCTTCGACGAGGACAAACCTATTCGTAACCCTAAAAGCTGGCACAGATCTGACATTGATACCAATATTCCCAACCCGCTAAAATTTTTGAGATCTGGTGAATACGCCAAGTTCCCTTACGCCATCTTAGATATCAGGATCAGAAACCCGGTGACTGAATCGACCAACAAAAACAGGGACAATTTACAAGCACAATTACCAGGCAAACATGCCAAGTGGGTCGAAGAGTTAACAAACTCTCATTTAGTCAAAGAGGTTGCCAATTTTTCCAAGTATGCTCAAGGTGTTGCATCGCTATTCGGAGATGATGAGAACTTAGATATGCTTCCTTTCTGGCTGCCCGATATAGAGGCTGACATTAGAAAAGATCCGAAGCAAGCTTATGAAGAGGAAAAGAAAAAGCTTGAAGAGCAGAAGGTCAATAAAGCCCGACTTGCCAAACTCAAGCGTTTATCTGTTGTTCAAGGTCCAAGCGATGAATCTGGCAAGCCTTCCGCCGTAAATGGCTCACCAGAAATTGAAGAAAGAGAACCAGACTTAGAAGATCCGGAATCATCCGACGACGAGACCTCATCGCCTGCCATGAGGAAGCGCAAGCGCCATGCCAACTTCTTGGATGTCTTGGTTGGCAGACACGGCAAGCTCACTAACTTTGATTCCGAAGATGAAGAATTTGAGCTACCTCCTGGTGTAAAAAAGCCAACGTCTTATATCAAAAACGCGGGCCCCTTGAAAGTCGAAGCAAAAGTTTGGCTGGCCAACGAAAGAACTTTTAACAGGTGGTTATCTCTAACCACTTTGATGAGTGTGTTGACTTTCTCTATTTACAGCTCAGTTAGAAAAGCAGAGCACCCTAAGTTAGCCACCTTCGTTGCCTACACTTATTTTGGGATAACCATTTTCACTGGTTTGTGGTCGTACTACACTTACACCAATAGAGTGAAGGTAATCCGAGCCAGAAGTGGAAAGCATCTAGATGCGCCTTTGGGGCCTTTGCTGGTCGCTGTTGTCGTCGTATTCACCCTGGTTGTCAATTTTGTTATTGCTTTCAGAGATGTAGCTCAGAGAAGAAAAAACGAGTCCAGCATCTCTTCTGTTGCCGGAGAAGAACCATTGCCTGTCCTTGCTCAGTACGTTCAAAACTTTGTGTTTTCATTGGTCGGCGCCAACGAGTCGTGATTGTGCGAACTCGTTAACAATAATTGGGTGAGAGCTTGACAGACCTCACAATTTTTATTTGACGTTTAATTACAAGTAAAGTATACCTAAAGAAAGTACCTAATTTATCAGCGTCTATGTAAAGCGTCTTGACTTGTTTGTTTGAGCTGACCAGCACCGTCGTGGAGTTTTTTTTGCTCTCTAGTTTCCTCATCGGCTAAATTATTGATGCATTTATGTGAAGCACGACTACTAAAGAAAATAGTATGAAACTTTATAACATTATTTAAAATGCCCTCGATAATTCGGGATTTTCTCTCGATAATATGAGGTTGTAGAACCTCTATATTAAATCCTGGGAATCTCCATTTGTGTCATCACAAATCGTTTATGATCCCGACCTCAACATTGTTTTATGAACAACAGCAGCACGTGATAGGCATGTACTGGCTCAATAGATAAAAAAGCCTATTCGTGCATAAGACTAAGTAAGTTAAGATAATAGAGGCAAATAAAAGGTGACGAGGGCATTGTGATCGATGCTTGATCTCGATTCTAAAGATAGTTATAAGAGACGGAAACCTACTAATTATCACGTATCGACGTATTCGGGCATAGCAACATTTAGCTTTGCAAATGGACCCACAGTTTTCAGTCCGCGCAGGAAGATGAGCTTTAGGGATGGTGATGTCTCTGATTTAGGCAATAACCTTGAAGAAGTTCACAGTAATGAGAGCTCCGATGCAAAAGAACCTCCTGGCTTTTACCAAGACATGAGAGACGCTTTTTTCCACGCTGGTAGGGCAATCATGACAGTAGTGGGTCTTTATAATGCAGCTCCGCATCATTCAGAACTAGATGAGACGAAAAGCAGTGAAAATAAATCAAACTCTCTAGACACGGATCATGGCGAAAACGATGTTATTCACAATCCGTTTGTACCGAGCAAAAAACGTCGATCAATTAACGAGTCAGAGATTTTTATCAACATGACACCACTAAAACAGATTCAGAATATGAGGGTGCTCGATGAGAAGCTGAGCCATTCGATCACTCCTGAGAAGCAAGGGAACATCATGTTCTCGACCGAGAAGGATCCGTTCAGATGGGGTTCTCAAGAGCCTCATTCAACTCCAACTCCAACTTCTGCTCTGCAATCACCTTACGGAAGCGCATTCATTCGCAAAAGGACCAACAACGCACCCACGCGAGGGGGATCGGGACAATCGTCAACTAGGACTGCCGTCGAGGAGATCACATTTCTCAGAATGGTATACAATGGACAATATAAGGCGCCGGCTCTTATTGAAAGTCAAAAGAATGAGCAGCTGCTACTACGGGAGCAAGAGCTGAAGCAATACAAAGCTACATCTTCATCCCCATGGCTTGGCTTAACTGAAAAGATCAAAGCCATCATGCAAAAGAGTATGAAGTCTGATAATTACGACGACGACTTGATCATAATCAAGGAGCGCAAAATTCCACCGAAAGAACTTGAAAACGAGCTCTATGGTGACCAGCCATTTAGGTTCAACACGTCAATTCTGACTTTCAAGGAGGAGTTTGAGAGCTACAAGAAGCTAAAAGAAGAGCGACAAAGAATACAATTGGAAGTGAGAGAGAAACGACAGAAGCTAAAAGTTCTAGTACCGCAACTCACGGATGAGAATCTTCGAGATGTGAAAGACACACTTCGCCGCTCGGATAACGGTATGGTGATGAATAAACACAGCATTGAATTGAAAGTCCATGATTTCAAGACTCTTGCGCCAAAGAGATGGCTCAATGATATAATAATTGAGTTTTTCATGAAGCACATTGAGCTTACGACAGCGCGCTCAGTTGCATTTAACTCATATTTCTACACCTCTCTTTCACGAAATGGTTATCAGGGTGTCAGAAGATGGATGAAGCGAAAGAAGGTTGAAGTTCAAGATTTGGATAAAATCTTTGTTCCAATAAATTTAAATCAATCTCATTGGGCGCTTGGTGTTATTGACATCGGCAAACGTAAGATCGGTTACGTTGATTCATTGTCAAATGGACCGACATCTATGAGTTTTGCCATTTTGAAGGATCTCCAGAATTATTTAAGTCAAGAGAGCAAAGGGGCTTTAGGCCATGACTTTGAGCTAGTTCACAAGGAATGTCCTCAACAGCCCAATGGCTTTGATTGCGGTGTCTATGTCTGCACGAATGCTTTGTATTTGAGCAAAGAGTTGCCTCTCACCTTCGATTACAAGGATGTACAAAGAATGCGACCATATATTGGACACCTAGTTCTCTCAGGTGATTAAGCTATAGGCTTAGTCTTATAGACGTGAAACTCTTTTCATCCGTTGGGACATGCGGGAGGAACATCACAATTGCTGTATAAATGTGAACCATTCGCATACGCAAAATGTTCTCAGCAGCTTTTTGATCATCATACAGTAGTCGACAATTCCTGCATTTGTTGATTTTGCCCCGGCTGCGGTCGCGCTGACTTTGCCGCATTTGGAACAGGCTCTAAAGGTACAATCTTAGCAGAGGTCGAGTGGCAACAAATAATTCAAGCCAGACAGCGAAACCAAGCCCCATTCCATACCTTTTTCCTTCTGATAACTATTCGGTCGTTTTTTTACTTCTTCCCCATATCGTACCGAAATCCATTAGATCATCGATGAAAGGCGTCGAGCATAGACATATAACAGCGGGAGGTTGAGAGTCAGCAAAAATAACCTCATACTCATACAGTAAAATAACCTCATACTCATACAGTTTGCAACAGAATGATGAATCTGAGACCTTACACGGATGTACTAAAGGCTGTGACTGTCATTTTGTTCATACAGACACTGGTGGTGATGTAAATACGAATACGACATATTTCAATATTTCTACGATTTTTCTGGTGACCTAAACTTAACGCGAAATGGCCTTATTATCAGTTTGATTTTTTTCTAGTTCGCGCTCGCGCTCCTGCTTCTGTTCCTGCTTCTGTTCCTGCTTCTGTTCCTGCTCCTGCTTCTTTTCCTGCTCCTACTTCTTCTCCTGCTCCTGCTCGCTTACTCCATTGTGATTTTCGTTGTGCTTTTCCTTTTGCTCCTTTTTCCCCAGCAGTGTATCTCTCTCATTCTCCCTTAAATTGAGCTTCTCCAATTCGTGAAGAACGTTGTCGAGTTGTTTACGGTCGTCCTTGGATGCGATAGAAGTACCTTGTTCCTTCGCTAGGCGAGTCCGTCTTGTCGCGGAATCCACCAAAGTTACCAACTCCTCCGACCAACCCAACTCCTTTGCTAACTCCTCAGCTGCAACTTCTGAAGAGCCCTTGAATATGATATCTGACTTTCTCGGCTTGGTCTTGAAATCACCGACCTTCTGTAAATTGATCAAAGCGCGATTGACTTTTCTCGGTACTTCGGCGGGTAGAGAAGCGAAAGGGTAGACAGCTAGAGAAGTTCCTACAACTATGACGATGTTGTCCTCGTTAAGAGTTTTAACGTCATTGTCCCACATGGAGAAAAACCGCGACGGCAGATTTTCACCAAAAAATACAATCTGGGGCTTGATAAGTCCCTTACAAACCGCACACCTAGCAAATTCCTTTCCCTCCGCCATCGAATCTTTGAAATATTCCTGTGGGTATTCCTTGCGGCAATCGATGCAATGATTACGGGCAAACGAGCCGTGGGCCTCTACCAGTCGGTCTCCTAGGATTCCCGCACACCTTTCCAATGTGTCTATATTTTGCGTGTAAACCCTGTGCAGTCGATTCTTGTCTTGGAAGACCCGCATAAGATGATGGAATTTGGAAGGTTCGTAATTGCCAGGATACAATTCTTTAGCCAGTGTATAAAATGGTTGCGGGTTCCCCTGGAAAAAGTCAATGTCAAAAACGGCTTCTGCATAAGGCAGATTCAGCTTGGCAAGGTTATCATACAGCCCCGTGCCTGGAGATCTAAAGTCTGGTATCCCACACGGAGTTGAGATTCCCGCTCCGACTAGGAATATGACTTTCGCCTTGGAGTTACTTTTAATGAGTTTCGCGATCTGACCGATCGAGACAGCTTGCTCTTCATTCATTGTTCAGTCGCCAATGGTAAGATTATGGCGCTGTCGGTCTGGCAAGATATGAGGAAATGGGTTATCCTGATTGTCTCATTCAAAAATACTAAATCAGGAGGAAAACTAAAAAATTAACGACCTCGGTGAGGATTGAACTCACGATCTTGCGATTAACAGTCGCACGCCTTAACCAGCTTGGCCACGAAGTCAATTTCATGCTGAATAAGGCTTGCTCAAGAGATATGTGCTTAGTGCAAAATCATGGGCATAAAAACATCACAAGAATGCAAGAACTTACAAAGGTGCACTAAAGCAATCTTATCTGGAATAGTTAAGCTGCGATGTGAACCTTGAGGTCCGATCAAGGCGATTGGGGCACAACTTACACAACTTTTTTCGAACCTAAAGAGTCGAAAATGGCGGTAATTGAAATTTCGTCGAAACTATAAAAAGCCGAAGCAATTTGATGTGTAGAGAACTATGAAAAACAAGGTTCCGTTACAACACCAGTATTGAGGCCAGTGAGCAAATACATTATACTCTGACTTATCGTTCACAGCTAGTTCCTGTTGTTCTTGTTGTTCCTGTTGTTCTTGTTGTTGTTAAAGCATACTGAATAGAGGCTGTCAGCATTATCTTTTCCGTCCCCCGAGCACTGGACATCCCCCTCCATTAAGTTGAGGCCCACATTCGTATCTCTCTTGGCTATGCTAGTGGAACTGGTGAGCTTCGCATTTTAGTTTACGTCGTAATATCTGTATGTTATGCCGCTTCACAAGTCAACGAAGGCATGCGTGTTTCTGTACTTCATAGCCAGCGTTCATGAACCTCATGTCTTTCCCGCCTTGATAGTTTGAAGCAAGTGTGAATTACATTCTGTCTTATCAAAAAACCTGCGCTTGCTGGCGAAAACCACAACCTGTCAATTACCTCAAGTAATTATGTGACGCAAATAGAGCAGTAATATGCCGTGGTTACATCGATTGTGTAGCCATATTGATTATGTAGAGCTATTACATTATCTACAAAATAATTTGCTGTTAGTGAGTCAATTGCTCTTGATGTTGTATGCAATAAAAAATAGTTCGATCTATTCGTAACTTTCAACAACTTGGCAGTTTACTGTAAGTCTTATAAACCTGACCTAATAATTGTGCGGGTAGCAGCTGTCGCTTGAATTTTTCGAATAACTAAATCGAATATTATTACGAGTACTTAGACATTCTAAAGTTACCACTCGAACCCGCTGCTGAACTTTTTAGAAGCATCAAACTCGCTCTAACTCTGTACCATGAAACAGAGAATTAGCTCTCTAGATCTACAGCTCCTATATGCGGAGTTGAAGGCACAATTGGAAGGCTACAGGCTCTCTAATATTTACAACATTGCAGACTCTAGCCGTCAGTTCTTGTTAAAGTTCAACAAACCAGACTCAAAGCTCAATGCTATCATCGACTGCGGACTCAGAATTCATTTGACTGATTTCAATAGGCCCATTCCTCCCACGCCATCCGGCTTCGTCGTTAAGTTGCGGAAACATTTGAAATCTAAGCGCTTGACCACAGTAAAAAGAGTCGCAAACGACCGAATTCTCGTCCTTTCATTCGCCGATGGCCAGTTCTATTTGGTGTTAGAATTTTTCAGCGCTGGTAACGTTATTCTTCTCGATTCCGAACGCAAGATTATAGTGCTTCAGAGAGTCGTGCACGAACACGAAAATAAAGTCGGCCAAACATACGACATGTTTGATGAAACTTTCCTGCAAGACACGACGATCGAATTGCCACAGCCCAATACCCACAGCTCAGATCAGGTGGCGACTTGGTTGAAGGACGCTAAAGACCTTGCTCAATCGACAGTGAAATCTAAAAACGGCAAGACACCGAAGGTTCCCTCCATCCAGAAACTTCTTTTTCTCCATGAGCCTCACTTGTCTTCTGATTTGATTTCAAGAAATCTAAAAGCTCAAGGCATAACTCCAAATTCCTCGTGCTTGGACTTTGAAGACAAGGTCGACTCGATCACTGATCTTTTGAATGCTACTGAAAGTGAGGTAAGTGACTTGCTCATGGCTGGATGTAAGACAGGCTATATAGTTGCCAAAAAAAATCCGAATCATGATGCCGAAAAAGGAGACGCCAGTCTCGAATTCGTTTATGAGCAATTCCATCCTTTCCCACCATATACAAACCAAGAAATTGACAAAGAGACTAAGGTCATGGAGGTGACTGGGGAATACAATAAAACGGTGGACGAGTTCTTTTCTACCATTGAATCCACGAAGTATGCTTTGCGTATACAAAACCAAGAGTTTCAAGCCAAGAAGAGGTTAGATGATGCGAAGTTAGACAACGCAAAAAGAATACAAGCTCTTGTTGATGTCCAAGAAAAAAACGAAGCTAGGGGGCATGCCATCATTGCCCACGCAGATCTTGTCGAAGAGGCTCAAAATGCAGTGAAGACTTTGGTCAACCAGCAAATGGACTGGAAAACGATTGAAATGCTTATTTCCAATGAGCAAAAGAAAAACAACGAAATAGCTCAATTGATCAGGTTGCCTTTGGATCTTGAGAACAACAAAATTACATTAACCTTGGTCATCGATGATAGTGAAGCCAGCAGAACCTCCGAGTCAGATTACGAGAATGAGACATCTTCGGATTCCGAGTTTTCTAGCAATGATAGCAGCGACGGGAGTGACACTTCGTTATCTGACTTCGAAGCAGACGAGGAAAACCGTAACTCATCTAAGAATGTAAAGGGACACCGCAAGTCTTCAAGCACAAAAGGACGTACATCAACCATCGATGCGACCGTTGACCTTACACTTTCAGCTTACGCCAATGCTTCGAACTACTTCAATATCAAAAAGTCAGCACTAGAAAAACAGAAAAAGGGAGAACAGAATTCTAGCAAGGCTTTGAAGAACATTGAGCAAAGAATCGAAAGAGATCTTAAAAAAAAACTGAAGACTACTCATGACGTACTAAATAGAACCAGAACGCCCTATTTTTTTGAAAAGTACAACTGGTTCATTTCCAGCGAAGGATTTCTAGTGCTGATGGGAAAGAGTGGGCAAGAAACTGATCAGATTTTTAGCAAATATGCTAATGATAGCGACATTTTTGTCTCAAATAGTTTTGATACCCACGTATGGATTAAAAATCCAGACGAAACTGAGGTTCCCCCAAACACGTTGATGCAGGCAGGTATCATGTGCATGTCAGCATCTCCCGCTTGGTCTAAAAAGATACAATCCTCTGCGTGGTGGTGCTTTGTGAAGAATCTGAGTAAATTCGACAGCTACGGAGGTGAAGTTTTGCCTCCCGGTACGTTCCTATTGAAAGATGAAAAGAAAAAATCATATCTACCTCCATCTCAATTGGTGATGGGATTTGGCTTTTTGTGGAAGGTCAAAGGAACTGAAGATGAAGATGAAGATGAAATGGAGTTAGAGAAGCTAGAAGAAGACTTGCTTCAAAGAGGTGTCGAGAACCTTAAAGATATAGATTTGGAAGAGGAGGACGCAGAGATTGAATATGATCAAGTTCAAGATGCTCGTGTTGAAGAAGATCAACGTGGAGATGCTCGTGTTGACAATGATCGAGTAAGAGACACCCTTTTCGAGGATGATCAAGTCGAAAACAGTGACTTGGAAGCCACCCTCGATAATTTGCAGAAGTTGGATGTGGAGCCTGTTCGCGGCAGCGGCGCGCACGTTAAAGAATCTGTTACACAGGAAGATATCGCAGGATCCCAAGGCCAAGCTAAAAACGTGCGCGGCAAGAAGGGCAAATTAAAAAAGATGCAAAGAAAGTATGCAGATCAAGATGAAGAAGAACGCCAAATGAGACTAGAAGTTCTAGGTACCTTGAAAGGCGTTGAAAGAGAAAGAAGCAAGATGGAAGAGGAACTCCTCAAACAGCAAGATAGAGAGCAGAAAAAGGCTAGGCGGGAGAAACAGAAGCAGCAACAGTCGCTAAAATTCAGTTCGAAGGAGAAGGTCGTCGTTGATTACCATAAAATCATGGATGAATTGAGCCCTATGGTAACTGATAAGGTAGTGAAAGAAGTCATCCCGATATTTGCCCCATGGGCTGCCCTCAACAAGTACAAATACAAGGTCAAAGTGCAACCAGGAAACGCTAAGAAGACCAAGACTTTAAATGAAATTTTGCATTATTTTTCAAGCCGGAAAGTTGACGAGTCGAGCGCAGACAAGGAACTAGATTGGCCCCGCGAGCATGAGCTCATCAAGGGCTTAAAAGATATAGAGCTAGTATCGCTCCTCTACACTGATAAGTTGAAGGTTACCATACCAGGGCAAAACGAATCAAAAGGCAAGTCAAAGGGAAGCGCAAACAATAAGAGCAAAAAGAAAGGCAAAAAATGACTATAGCGTCGTAGCTTTCATAGCAAAAGTTTTTACTTAACTTATAGGAACTATTAGAGTGCCTCTAATCAAAATTCGGTACTTAGTCGTTTTACCTCTGTATATCCTTATTTTGTTACGTTTTATTTGATATTTAAATTGTGGTAAGAAGGAATCTCCTGAAGGCTTCATTTACAAACCTTGTTGCAACCTCTCGGCTAATCTACTCTTCGCAAAGCCCCATGCGCTTAGTAGACCCTTTTCGCTGAGTTCAATGTTGATTGGTGCATCTTTAGAAGGTGGCTTCGTGACCCGCGACGCGATTGTAGCTGGATCCGTCTCCAGAATGATCCCATCGTCGATGGTTTCATCGATGGCCAATGCCACCATGTCATAATGTTCTAGAATATTCTTCTTGTCAATTCCGGTCGCTAGCACCAAGTCTAGTGAGTCTTTAACAGCAGTGAACGCCTGTTGCAGTACTAACTCGTTTTCGTCGGCAGATCCAACTAAATACAGCGAAACATCAACATATTCTTTGTAAAGCACCAGACTGTCTTCGAACAGTAAGATCTCAGCATTCTGCTTGTGTGTTTTCTTGAAAAGCCTGCTTTCAAACTCTGTCTGCTGTTTCACAGAGGTCTTGTGTTGCTGCGATGATTGTTCTGGTTTCTCATGTGGGCTCCGATAGTATTTTGTGTATATCCGCTTACCTTCGCCGTCTAGAACCAAAAGCGCTTCTATAGCGTATAGTGAGAGGTCTACCATCCCAAACTTAATGTCCAGGTCGTCAATTGGAGCTCTAGACTCGCCTCTTCCAATGGTCTCGGTGTTTTTTAAGGCTAGTTTACTTTGTTTTACGTGGTGAACTTATTCTGAAAATTCCAAAGAGCGGGTAACTTTTTACGGCATCTTCAAATAACGGAATAACTGAATTTGATGTTTAACAAAAAATCCTACATGGCAGCGGTAAATAAATTCGAGACGCTTTCAGGCCTCTCAGGAAGTATTTCGTGAAATTGAAGACGAACAGTGGATACGAGGCTGATTTCATCTGCGTTCAGTTCTATTGCTACCACAATAGTAATGACGACCTCTAACAAAGACTTTCATTTTGGTCTTTTGCGTGTCTCCATGATCCAGTTGCTAAAGAGCCAGGGTTTTGATAGGGCACCAGTGACTACTGTCGATGCTTTCACAGACTTATATGTCCGCTTTTTTCAGCTGCTGACGCTAGAGGTGATGAAATTGTCACGCAGCAGGATGGACGAATACGAAGACATTGCTCTGCAAGATGTCTCACAGGCGCTTATGAACGTAGGGCTGTTGAAGCCGATGAATACTCTTGATATTTATGACGAAAACCCGGACCTTGTGGGTGACCTGGGAATGCAAAAATTCAAAAAATGGTGTCTGCACAATGCGATGCCGCGAGAAGCACGCGCAGTGGCGACCCCTACGGCAGATTTGTTGCGGCCGAAAGACAAATCATCTAAACCCTTATCAATGATTCCTGAGTACATCAACCAACTCGATAAAGCTACCAAAAAAGGCGCATCTCATAATGAATCACACGAAAACGACTTGGTAGATCAAATGATCAACAATGGTGACATGGACGATTGGGTGCATTTTTCAATTCGCAAACAACAATTGAACCTTGCGAAAAGGATCTCCGGAAGAGATGTCAAAGATATAAACAACTTACCAGCGCTTCCTGGTCTGAAACATTCCACACTCGCGGCGGCTTCAGCACAAGATGCTAGCGAAGTGACGCCACCAGAACCTGTAATAACTGATGGTGACGAAAGAGCACTGAAGGAGAAAGCTGCGCTAATGAAAATGACAGCATTTCAAAAAGAAAACAGATTAGAAAATATACGATTATCCTTCGAAGACGAAGAACTTACGGGCAGTGATTCGGAGGTAAACATAAATGACGTTGGATTCGTGGACGAAGAGATGAATCAAGATTTAGAAGCTTTCGAGCGGCTTGAGAACACCATGGGTCTTACTTTAGAGAGCGACAGTAATTTGCAACTGGCAGAAGCAGAAAATCTGAACGATACATTTCAACGGAGAGACTCCTTCGATTTTGGTGATGAGGCTTTTCACAATCATGAGTTTGATTCTGATAATTACTGAAACTACAACTAGAACTAAAACCTTATATCAAGGCGCTTTTGTTAACGCAAACTATCTTGGCATTCCTAGTCAAAATGCTGGTCATTTTTAGATTGCATTGCCGTAACTTTCTTCGCCATACCTTAATTTGAGAATCTCATCGTCAGTGGTTGCGGTTTAATTTTTGTTATCGGGGTTTGAATTTAATGTACATATATCTATTTTTAATCGAATGTCTCCGAAGTAATGCCCCGCTTATAGCTTTCTCCTAGACTTGAACTTTGGCCCTCCCTTTTTCTTTAGGATCTTTTTGTTCTTAGCTTCAAGTTTACGAGGAGGTAGTTCGCTGGCCTCTCCATCGCTCATGTCATTGTCATTGGCTCTAGCTCCTTTTTTGAACTTTAACTTATTCTTTTGACCTCTAACAGGACCATTTTTGACTGCATCCAAGTAAGCGTTGATGCCACTAGTTGCCGAACCTAGCAGCTCTTCATCTCCAGTGGAGTTCTTGTCAGATTTCATTTTGAGTTTACCGTCAGCATCGAAGCTAAAAACATCATCTTCGGCAGCATTTTTCTTTGTTTTGCCGTCGTATTTTTTGGGTCTGGTTGATGAAATGTGAGCAAGAGTTTGTGAGTCAAGTAAATCCAAAGGATTTTCTTTAGACTCCACGATGAAGCGATTAGCTTTACCATTCCGATTAGAAGATTCTTCTTTCGCGCTCTCCTCACCATTTGAAGATTCATACAGAGCCTCGTCCAAGGCAGACATAAATCTTGACCCCTTGGTGTTAGATTCTGCAAGCTTGGGTACAGCAGTTTGTAAATCTTCTGCCTTTCTTTTAGATCTATCACGAGTTTTTCTAATGTTCACGAGTAGTCTCTTATCTTCTTCGGGGAAATGCTGATCAATGTATTCGTATCCATACTTTCTTATCAACCGTTCGATGATGTGCTTAACCTTAGCCTTAAAGTGGCCTGTATGTTCATGCGACCAACGCAAAAGCTTAGGGAGCAGGGAAGGTATTTTCGGCTTCATTAATTCTTCCGGTAGTGCCAAACAGCAGACTTTAGCAAATCCTATAGCACTTTTTACAATCTCTCTCGAATTTGAAGTCAAGTAAAGCTCGATTGTATCGTAAATTTCCATGAGTACATCAGGGGGGACTTGAACTTTGAACTCAAAAATCAAGCACGAGTAAGCAGTGACAGTGGCGCTTACCATATGCTGCGATTCTCCAATTAAACCAGCTGATGTGATCTTGAAAAATTCAGCAACACTTGCTGGTTGATCTGGAGTGGCAGCGTCATAACCTGGCACTTTAGAAAGCCTCATGACGCATCCTTCTTGACTCATTTTATTGGCCATGGAAATTAAAGTGTTAAAAGCTGCTTCCCTCGATTTTTCATTGTTATCCTTTGTTGCCAAGATAACTTCTGGTACGACTTGAATAATGAACTCTCCGTGGTCTAGCGGTAAAACGTCGACTAGTAGCTTGATGGCACTAAGACGCATAGCTTTTGCTGACGTGTGGACCTTCTTACTACTTTGAATGATTACATTTTCAATGTCATCAATATACTGCATGACCGATCTTGAACTTTGTTCTGATTCCGAAAGTTTGGTAATAATTCTATAGGCTCGCTTCTGTGTTAGAGCATCGTCTGAATTGACGGTGGTGTTGAAAATTGAAAACAAAGCAGAGTAGGAGGATTCATCAACATACGCGGCCATTGCTATGATTAGATCCAGTAACGTTGCACTCATTTTCATTGATGATGGACCGCCTTGACCTTTGGTAGGTTCTTCGTCAAACGCTTTTTTCAACAATCCACATACGTTGTTGAAAGTCTTCGTGAGTTCCTCAGACGATGCAATTTGTAGCACCGCGTCAATCGTTTCCAAAATATAACCTCTAGCGTTAGGAGCTGTTTGAGTGTAAACATTGAACAACACGGCCAATAAGTTTGGTGCCTTCGCTGCCAAATAATCCACATTCTTTTGGCCCTCACTGACAGGGAATTGTTGCTCTAGAAGTCCGTCTGCCTTTGAAATACCAGTAGCGTATTCGTAGTTGCTCTTAACAAGCTTTTTCAGGGCATGGCATATTACAGGTCTGAGTTCAACTTTGCTGTAGAGCATAGAGGAGAGATCAGCAGCAAATTCATCCGTGAATGATTCGGTCAAATCAACGGGGAGATCGCAGAAATTCGTCAAGGTCGACCAGAGCTGGCTTATCACCGTTTCAAATACTTTGCTTTGAACGGACTCACTCGACAAGGTAGCAATTTTGTCCTCGAAGTATTGAATTAAAGGCATGAAGTCTTTGGTAAACAACGCAAGGTGGCTATTTTTGGTGTTATCTCTGATCAGAGGAATCAACCAAGCGCGACCAGGGTTTTCATCTGATGCATTGGTCAAATTCAAGGGTAGACAGCCCAAAATCACATCAGGGCCCATCGCGGCAATTCCAGCACCCAGTACACTTTCAATTTCACCTCTTAGTTCCAAAAAATTATCCTCATTGGTTCTCCAACCGCCAACAATTTCCAGAGGAGCCAAAAAGTCAGGGTTGGATCTAAATCTGAACTTTCTCAATGCAGCAGCCAGAGCTCCAAGAACCTCTCGAGCACAATGCGCGTATTTGATCGACAAAAAATCGACATATGTCTGAGCGAACAAAGAAATAGTATCATCTACTTTCTCGTAAACTTCTCTCTCCACAAGTGGTGGCGACAAAAGAATTTCGTCTGGGATTGCTTCAACCATAATAGCTTCAATACATTGAGAAGCACTGATGAAAATCTCAGGGACTTCGCTCTGGAGATACCCGCTTAGCACTTTGATCAGTTCCGGTAGGCTGTCCAAACATGCTACTGGGTTATGAAAGCCAAAAGTCGTAACTCCCTTGGCAACTACAGCGATCCAGGCACCTGCGAGATGGGCATCCGTGTTTGAAGGTTTCAGGGAATAAATAATGTTGAGAATTTTGGTAAATTTGTGATCCGCAAGTCCAGAGGAAGCAGCAGATTCGGCGATGGCTTGGAAAAGGGCTTCAAAACATTCGAAGGCACTTGATACCATATATTGGTCGGCAGATCTCGAGATCTCAAGAAGAAGATCGCATAGGGTGTCGAACCTTGTGGTTGGCCATTGTTTACTGTAAAGCACTGACTTTATCAGCTTCAAAATATGAATGGACTTGGCATTATTTTCTTTAGCCCCGCCCTGAGCGCGAATTTTTTTATTTGAGGCCGAAGAGGCCTCCTCTACAGCAGAAGCTAACGCATTGATCGCAAATTCGGCGACTAGAGGGGCGGCTACATGCTCTGCAGATGGAGACACAGGAGGATTCGCCATAATACGGCCCACAGCATCTTGGGCCCTCTTGCGTACCTTGGGTCTAGGGTCTAACGATAACTCTAAAAGACCGCTGAGACCTCTGCTAGGCGCGATACTTAGATTTTGGGTATTGTTCCATGACTGGGCATCCTGAGCTACCAGCAAAGTCTCTAGACACCCGATAGCAGGTCTAACCAGAGGCGCACCGGCTTTTTCGTCTGTGATACAGGGCGCGAGCTTAGTCAAAATCTCGGCAAACTTTGATCTCAGCATTTGTTTTGGCACATAACGAAACATAATGTCAAGCAGATACGTTACTGAGGTCGCAATCTGCACTTCGCGAATCTCATGCGTCTCGGTGCTGACAGCTTGGTCCAGCAGTGACATCAATGAAACTAGGTAGTTCACCACGTTTTCGCCAGCGACCTGCTGCTGTTCTTCCATGTTTTCCTCGACAGCTGATAGAATAATGGCTACATGTTTCTGGTTTTCTAACTTTGAGTGTATTTGTTGTCTGATCTGGGCTAGTTTATCTTCCAGCTCAAGCAAATGAGCTACCTCATCTTGATCCATGGTGTGTATTGTAGTACTGTATCAATCACAACACTAGTCCTAGACCTCACCTTATACTTTATTATGGTAAAGGTGTAGCTGTCGTGATGAGATGAGATAAAATGAGAGGCGATGAGCTTAAAATTTTTTTATAGAAATTTGACAAAATCGTTGGCAGCGAGTACGAAAATTTTAAGAATTGGAACTTCACAGCTCAGGCAGATACATGCTACAAAGGTAGGGAGTAATTTGTGAGATGTCCAAAGGTCTGGTGAGGATCAGATTGGCCAGGTTTGGTCGTAAACATGCTCCTGTATACAACATAGTGGTTGCGAATGCGCATAAGGCTCGTGATAAAACGCCTATCGAAGTGTTGGGCACCTACAATCCTATTGCCACGCCGTTGACAAAACGTGAACTTCAGAACGGAGCGGTACCTACAAAAGATGTGAAACTGGATTTCGGAAGAACAAAGTACTGGATCGGTGTTGGAGCGCAGCCTAGTGATACAGTTACAAAGCTACTGATCAAAAGTGGCGTCTTGGGCTCCGAGTGGAGCAAGACATGTAGCGCGAGCCGACCAGTGGTTCTACCTCAAAGGGAGGTCTTGGAATGAGCCTGCTGAAACTTGAAATAAGTATGGACCGCCAACCACTTTGTAAATATGTTTTAAGAATAACGAGAAATAAAAAAATGAGAATCAGTTAACCCACGTCCTATAGACATCCGCTGATTACTAGGTGCTATATAATATTTTACTTCGTGCAACTATAGTTACAATTTTGCATGCCAAGGCCATTTGATCATGCTAATGTCTTGATAAATCCGTTGTGTAAAGTTTCTAGCCTGCCGTCAAATGCTTACAATTGCTCCTACATGTCAAATGCAGAAGAATCGTTACTCTTTTGTCTTGATATTGTGGGCCGTTGTATATCTCCCAGATATGAGTTTGTAGGAGTCAATGCAAAATATCCGTTACTTCCTGACCTTGACCTAGCAAGTCCAGGTTCTAAGGATGAAGGTGCTTGTAATTGTGGAAAAGGGAATACTTGATTGGACCCACTGCGGCTTCTGCCAGCAGCACTTATGAAACTGTCGTTCCTTGAGCGCTGTAACGTTTTTGGAATCGAAGTTCGGTGTTCGAATGGCGTTTGCAGGGGTTGTTGTTGTTGTTGCTGTTGTGGTTGTCCTGAACTATAGTTTGAGATTTGGAATGGTGTAGATAGCGGTTGCTGAGGCGTAATATCTGAATGTATACCAAAGTAGTCCTGATTCATTGGAGGGCCCATATCAGAAGAATTGAAAAGTGGCATAGCTGGTAACGACACCATCGAGCTGTTGCGTGATAGATATCCATCTAGGCGTACCTCCTGCTGTAGCCTCTTTCTCACTGATGCTATCAGCAATGCGCTTCTCTCGCGGCCATAATCGACCGATTTTTCTTCTGCCCTGGCAATTGCGACTTTGGCCGCTCTATTTAGTATGCCGGGAGGGGGATTAGTAGTGTCAAATGGAGTGGCCGTTGGGTCGGAACATATGTCCTGATAGACATCCATCAGCAGGCGAACAAACTGTGTCGAGAACGAGGAAACGGAGGAAGCATTATTTTTGTTAGGTCCCGGTTGCGAATAAGACATATCGGAAATTGTGCTGGCAAAGGATGCAACGCTGTCTTGTCGTTTCTGATTCATGTACATGTATGGCATGATCGGCTGAGTGGACGGTGTCGACACGGGGGTAGAGACGCCATTTTGCGAGATGAAATTACGGAAACTGCACATCTGGGTGTTGATGCGAAGTTCGTTTGCTTCGGGATTGGGTCCCGCGCCCTGCATTTCGCTGTCGCCGTCCACGGACATGCTATCTTGATCTTCAAGAGACTGTTCAGTATCGCGATTGGGCGTAGCGTCTAACTTGGGGGAGGAATCCGCATGCTTGGCATGCTTGGCATGCTTGGATCCGTGTAGTCTGTTGTGGAATCTTTCAAGCAGCATCGTTGTTGTTGGCCTTCTGGTTGAGCCCAAGCGCGTCAAAAGGGGGTATACTATATACGTCAGGGGCACGTGAAAGCACGAGCGTTCTGAAGTTGAAGTGTCTGGTCAGTGAGTGGGTCGTAGCAAGCAGCGTGTGGGAAGCGTGTAGTTGCAGTGGTTTGCGAGTTTTACTTGATCAACAGAAGCACTTCTATCCGGGTTTGCCGTGATGTGCGATGGTCGATCTTATGATGTCGCACGCTGGTATTTGCACTGTCTTAGTGAGCGCTTATAAGCTGTAGCACGGTACTGTAGGCAAGGTCGGTGCTTCGAAAACCGGCTGTTATCTGGTTCTGGGTATCAAAGATGCAAAAACTTGGCTGTTGCTGCTAAACACAGAAAAATGAACCGTTAGAAGACAGTGAATGGTTTTGAACGCGTTTCGTGGATAGTGAACGAGAAACGGCTAGAAAAAAGACTGCTGTTGTTGTGAAGCACAGTTCAATGGAACTTTTAATAACAAAGCCAATCCGAAATGCGTATCGTCTAAACGACTCCGGGTGTTAAGTTAATTACCTTAGATTCCTCTTCTTTATAACCATTATTAACTCAAAGGGGGTTATACGAAAAGCAGAAAAAATTAAAAGGTTGAGTCGGGGTAAATGCCGCTGAGTTTACGCGTCTTTTTATTTTATTTACGCGGTGACGATCTTTGACGCGTTCTGTCAGACAACGCGTTAATCTTGAAAAAAGAAAAGGCTCGAGGATTGCTCGAGCATCTTATTTTCTTTGCGTGCAGAGGCACACTCCGAAGTCTGGGAGGAAAATCGTTGACGGTAAACGTTCGAGTAAAAAAGGCAACGGCGGGTCGAGGAAGGGTTAGCCATGCATGTGCATGCGAATGGGGGGGCAACCCTCGAACGAAAGTGGCTATTTGTTTATTCCTCGAGAGATGGCAGGCGGTTCAGCCAAAGCAGCTGGCGAGCGCACCATGCAGAGTGAGCCTTGGCTCCGAGAGAGATGCCTGTTGGCACCGGCTCTGCTATCTCGGCCATAAAGCAAGCAAATGGAAACACCAGCAGGTACATGAGCACGGGAGAAACAAGACGCCCAGAGGATGACACTAGAACGTAGACGAGAGCCATGAACCCACAGATGACGCCGCCGCGAGCTTTTACCCACATCGAATATTCTGTGGCAGTGAACTGGGCGACGCTCACGTAAGGAACAAGCAGAAAATGCATCAGAAGATGCAGCTCGTAGAACTGCATGATCAGCACCAAGTTTAGCTGCAGGCTCAAGCAGGTTGTCATGATGGCTCCGACCGCAATGGACACGAAAGAGCCCAATGCGGACTTGAGCGTCGAATCCCACAAAGCTAGCAGTATGAGCATCTTAGTGGCAGTGAGCTCTCTGCTCTTCAACCCAGCAGCGTGTACTTGTGAGACCTCGATCATCAGTGTCCCTAGCAGAAGCAGAAATACGATGTACCACGGGAAACGCTTTGTCGCAGACAAGGAAGATTTGCGAACGCGATCAGCATTGGATCTACACATCGCTTCCCGGCTTTTGGCAAACGGCTGGAAGTTTCTCCAAAACGCCCAAGAAAAATCTGGATATGCAAAAGTCAACAAGTAAAAGCACGATAGCCACATCTCGAGAGCTTGTAAGGTCTGTGTCAAGAGAAGGAAGGGCTGTGCCGTTTTGTATAGCGGCAACGTAACGACACGCCATGTTACCGATACAAGCGAGAGCTTCAGTAAAACTCTCCAATCTCCTCTACAGATGTCCACGAAGCGTATAGCAAATCGCCAAAACTCCCATAGCGCGAGCTTTGCTCCGTTCTCAAAGGCCTGGGCTGAAAATCCAGGATGTGGTTTTGACAAGAATATTGGTGATGCCATCAGCCTTAAAGTCCTTTAATCTGAGGAAAGGTCTTGAAAAATGGCCTTGGGCCTTCTTAAAAGCTTCCTGAAAGTCAAGTTATTCAACTCTGGGCTTTTTCTCGAGTCTCAGTTGGCTTTTAAAAACTTACTGGGGCAGCCAGTAGGACATTATCGGGATCTGTGTTATAAAGCGGTTATTCTCGAAAAAAACTAAAGCAACTTGAAAAATATTTTTAAACGACTTTTCTTCCACCATTGACATTGAGTAAAAGACAACCTTCCCTGGTCATAATCTTCTACTCATGAGATGCCGACATTGATTTGAACTAGCACAGCTTTTTTCTTTCACCCCGGTTTATTGGCCTCACATCGCGAGGTTTAATATTAATTGTTGTGGAGTTCTGTTTCACATATGTACGATGGCCCTAAGCGGAGACTTTAACCACCCTTTCAAACCATATGACATCCAGCTTCAACTCATGGGTCAAGTTTACAGCTTGCTTGAAAAGAACAAAAAGATCGGCATTTTCGAGAGCCCAACTGGCACTGGGAAAACACTGTCGCTCATCTGTCCTACGGTAACATGGCTAAGGCAAAACAAAGTGCATCTGCTAGATAAGAAAAATAAAACCGTCAAGACACTTCAGAAAACCACAAACGGGCTGAGTGGCACGATAGGTGATGACGGTGATGATGATGATGATGATAGTGACGACGAGCCAGCTTGGGTGAAAGAAGCGTTCGTTGAATCTATTCTAAAGGAAAGGGTACGAGCAATTCAAGAGTATGAAGAACATTTGGATTCACAGTCATTTAGCTTGGACGCTGCTTCTGTTTTATCAGCTCAAAAACAGCCTGCCAGCAAGAAATCTCGAACTGTAGCGCACACCCCTGTTGTTTTTGAGGACTCAGAGTTTCTACCCGAGGAAGACTCCTCTACTGATCTGCTCAAAGAGCAAGGAGATACAGATGATAAGACCAAGCTTAACAATGAGGTACAGGCTCTGCTTGGTAAGCTCAATGAATCACAAAAAGTGGAGAAACCCAAAGAATCAAACTTGCCTTCCCCAATAAAGATTTTTTTTGCCTCAAGAACTCACTCGCAATTATCTCAGTTCGCGGCACAATTGAGGCTTCCAAATTTCCCATCCTCAATTGAACACATAGACCATGAACGAATCAAATTCGTGCCGCTCGCATCGCGTAAACAATTGTGCATCAACCAGAAGGTTTCGCAAGCCGCGAGCAACGCAATTAACGATTGTTGTGCCGATGCAATAAACAAGAAAGACTGTACACCTTACTCAAGAAGTAAGGATCCTGCTAACTTGCGTAACTTTAGAGACTACACTTTTCATGCTGTTCACGACATAGAAGATATGGTTGCCATTGGCCAAGCCACGAATACCTGTCCTTATTACGCCTTGAGGGAAGTGATCCATGATGGAGTTGAAGTCGTCACTATGCCTTACCAACATTTGCTCATGGATAGTACACGCGACGCGTTAGGGATCGATCTTAAGGATTCTATCGTTATCATTGACGAGGCGCATAATGTTATTGATACTATAAACATGATGAATTCAGCGGAAATAAGTTTGAGTGACTTGGAAAGTAGCAAAACAGGGATAGCTACATACACGAGAAAGTTTGTTACACGATTAAACCCCGAGAATCGTGTAAACTTAAGGCGCCTTTTAACTCTGATTGATGTTTTAATCGATTTCATCAAGAAGCGATATAAAAACGGTCGCGAGTTCGAAAGCTTCGATGTTTTCGACGGAACAAATGCTGATGTTTTGAACATTCACAATTTGGAGCGATATATGAAAACTACTAAAATCGCTTTTAAAGTCGACAGTTATATCGAGCACCAACAACTTGAGACAAATCTCAGTACCTTGGGAAGACAGCCTGTGCTATTCAAGGTCGCGGCATTTCTGAGGACATTGAGCAACCCTTCAGCAGAGGGCAGGTTTTTCTTCGAGAAAAATCATAGCATGAAGTACATGTTGCTCGAACCCAGTCATAGCTTTGAAAGAATTGTTGAATTATCCAAATGCGTTATATTAGCCGGTGGCACAATGGAACCTATTTCTGAGTTTACTGCTAACCTAATTCCCTTTGTGGATGAGAGCCAAATTTGTAAGTTCTCATGCAACCATGTTATACCAGATGACAACTTAAACACTTTTGTTGTTGGAGAAAACTTCGAATTTACTTTTGACAGGCGAGAAGATCCAAAAATGTTGACCGAGCTGTACAATTTCTTCTCCCAACTTGCCCTCATTGTTCCGGACGGCATTGTGGTATTTATGCCAAGTTATAAATACCTTGAGTCGGTACTGAGCTTTTGGAGGTCGAACTTGAAGATGAATGACAAAATTAGTAACAAGAAAGTATTCCACGAAGCAGCAGAAAGCTCTGAGATATTTGGTCAATACAGTGCCGAAATAGACTTGCTTAACGGGGGTGCTATTCTTTTCGCAGTGGTCGGTGGACGATTGTCGGAAGGCATAAATTTTCAAGATGGACTAGCTCGGGCGGTCGTAATGGTTGGTTTGCCGTTTCCGAACGTCTTCAGTGGTGAATTGATTATAAAAAGAAAGCACTTAGAGCAAAAAGTGATCAGCAACGGGGGTTCGATACAGGATGCAAAACTTGCTGCTCGTGAATTTTATGAGAATATGTGCATGAAGGCCGTTAATCAGAGTATTGGAAGAGCTATAAGGCATGCTAGTGATTATGCCAATATATATTTACTTGATAAGAGGTATGGATCCTCGCAAACTCAAGGTAAATTATCAAAATGGGTACGAAAAAGGATATGCAAGGCCGCGTCACTCCAAGAAGTCTACGATCTGAGTGCAGCTTGGTTCTCGGCCAAGAAAAAAAAGTAATTTTTCTTTGTAGCTATAAAAATTAAGGTGCTTCAAGGTTCTCGGCTGTCGATCCGTTGTCAAGTCTTACTTCAGATCATTGTTGTACCACTATAAATACTTTGATTATTGAAAAACTCTAATAAAGTTCTTGTGAGCCAGCCGAAATCATTAAAGTGATCCTTCTTTATATCAATTATTCGATAGCCGCTCACAGGGCAAACCTTGACGTCGGGTGTTAAAAGCGGAAGAAACGTGGCTGCGCATCGTTTCCACATATGTCCCTCTTCTGAGCGTACAAAATTAACCTCTTCTTTCTCTGACGTGATGAAACTTTCCTCGATGAAATTACCTTTCATCACATAACGACCCAAAGCCACTGGGCTCTGTTTTAAGAAACTTGCTATTGATTGAAAGCACGCCTTGTCTAATTCATTAACAATTTCATCTGTATGAGCAATTGCATAGTCGTAGACAGCCTTCTTATAGAGGTGATTGTCTTTTTTGTCACTAACGAAATTAGAAAACCGTAGACGATTCATCTCGTCATTACTCATTAGCATTCTAAGATAGGTCTTGAAATCTGAGCCCGTATCCAAGCTGATGTTTGGCACTTGCGCGTCAAATAGCGGCGGTAGCTGCTTGTTGTAAATTTGATAGTTCTGATACCAAGCTAACCCCGTAGACTCTCTTTTGATTTCCCAAGTGCCACAGAGCGGCAAAAAGCATATTCTGTACACCTGTTCGGAAACGATCCTGTATCTTATTGACAAGCGGTCAATGCTGTAAAGTATAGCCAATGACGCTCCATCTTGGGAAGTCGAGATCCCATGTATAAGCAAGCTCGTCTCGTAATTGTTCAGCTCGTTGAAGTAGCTATTCCATCTTTTGAACTTGTTCTCGAGGTGAGGTGCCAATATCGTATCCTCAGACAAGTGCATATTCTGATCTAAATTTACGAGACAACTTGTCTTGTTAGATATCACAATGGCAACATTTTGGTCAGGAATATCTACTATGTGAAGAATATCACACCCTTTCCAATCTACAGTCGTCGCCTTTCCTCCACTCAAGTCATACCTATAGATAGACCCTACGCTCGTAACAAGCACGCTCGAGCCTATTCCACATATATCTGAGATGCTGAATCTAGATGGCTCTTTGATCTGGAAAAAAGTAGAATCGCTTTCAACAAGATACACAGAATTATCGCTTAATGACGCGATCAGCTTATTGCCAAACCACCTGAGCTTCAAAACCCAGCTTGTGGAATTTCTTTTGAGTTCAATAGAGCTGTGATGTTGATATTCGGCGTCCCGAGAATTGTGATTGATCGAAAATATGATTACTTCTCCACATTCGTTCCCAACGGCGATCAACGTTCCACAAGGACTCCAAGCAACCGAATGATAGGTACGCTCCCAAATAGCTCTTTGTGGCTCATCTAGCTGATAGATCAGCTTAGCGTCTTGGTAAATACACACGTTTCCGTTGTTGGTCAAGACCGCTAGCTGATTGCTTACCGGGGAAATTTGGCACTGTTTTACAAAACTTTCGGGAACGGTATTTAGCATGGCATTTTCCTGAGCAAGGTCGAATTCGAACTTGTTTTCTAGAGACAGAGGATAATCTTTGGTGTGAAATAGGTCCTTACTGTTGCTCATCATGCTTTTGTTGTAGACAGGTTGACAGACCGTGATATCCGGCACGGTAGTAATGTACAAAGTTCCATCTGGAGCCCAAACTAAGTTGTCAGTCCAATCCTGTAGGTCCTTTCTTGACACTTTCAGGTCCCGCAGTAATTTCATTGATCTTTTCGTTGGCAAGGGAAATAAATGTAGATATAACTTGCTTATGTTTTTGAAGGATGAAAAGCACTTGCGAACAACCCTTTAAAAACAGACAGGGCGAGCAAAAGAACAAATGAGGCGCCTTATTGTCCCACTTCTAGTGGTCTTGTATGCTTTCGATGCTGTGGCTGCGATTTTCACCGTTCATGAAAGTGAACAGCCCGCGGTGTGCTCGATTTACGGAAATTGTGGTAAAAAGAGCTTATTTGGGAGCCCACTTCCGTGTCCTGTGTCTGAGGATTTCAAGCCCGAAAAGCTCCCAAAGAGAGACCAGGATTTCTTGGTTGCGGTATGTGGCGATGAATGGCAAGGGAACAGCAATACGTGTTGCACTAGAGAACAAATTTCAAATCTTCAAAGTAATTTGAAAAAGGCCGAAGGACTGATTATGTCTTGTCCCGCATGTCACGAAAACTTCAAGCGTTTATTCTGCCATTTCACATGTTCTCCTGAACAGCGCACGTTTACTGAGGTTACAAGTACGCAAAAATCCACTGATGGAAGGGACATTGTTGCTGTTATGGATGTTTTCATCGAGCCTCACTGGGCCTCGGAATTCTTTGAGTCCTGCAGGAACGTTAAGTTCGCAGCTACTAATGGTTATGCGATGGATCTCATCGGTGGTGGTGCAGTGAATTACGAGCAGTTTCTAAAGTTCCTAGGAGATGAGAAGCCCATGCTAGGAGGTTCACCATTCCAAATAAATTACAAGTATGAAAATGATGACCCCACTTTCAAACTCTTCAACAAGACTGTCTACGCCTGTGATGACGAAAACTTCAAATGTGCCTGCACTGATTGTGGTGCCTCGTGTCCCCAATTGAAACCCCTGAAGTCAAGCTCTGGTAGAATAGTAGGATTGCCTTACTTCTCTTTCGCAATTTTGGTCACATACTCTTCTTTGTTTGTTCTCATTGTTGCTTGGCATGTTTACTATTTTAGAACCAAGAAAGATCCCATCATTTTTGAGCACGATGTGGAGCAGAATGCAGACACTGGCAGCAATGACAGGATATTTCAAGAGCACACTTACAAAATATATGCAATGGACAAAAAGGTCGCTGATATTCTAGGTGTCGTATCGGGTCTCTCCTGTAAAAAGCCGGTTCTTACCCTTGTACTTACATCTATTGTAGTGACACTGTTGACAGCATGCGCTTGGAGGTATGGAGAGCTTGAGACGAATCCAGTTAATTTATGGGTTAGCAAGAGCTCGATTAAGTACCGAGAGAAGCAGTATTACGACGAGCATTTCGGGCCCTTCTTTAGAACAGAGCAGATATTTGTGGTTAACGAGACAGGGCCAGTTCTAACCTACGATAATTTAAGATGGTGGTTTTCTGTTGAACAAAATATAACGGAACATATTCAATCGGATGAAAACTTAGGCTATCAGGATCTATGCTTCAGACCCACGGAAGACTCTACATGTGTCACAGAGTCATTTACTCAATATTTTGGAGGCCAGCTTCCCGCTGAGCGTGATTGGAAAGATAAGATCAAAATGTGCACAGATTCTCCGGTCAATTGTCTGCCTTCATTCCAGCAACCGCTGAAACCTAATCTTCTATTTAGTAGCGAAGAAGTGTTGGCATCCGAAGCATTCGTAGTCACTTTATTGATCAGTGATCACTCCAAAGCAGCTTCGCTTTGGGAACAGGAACTTGAGAGCTACCTGTTGACTCTCGACCTTCCCGAAGGATTGAGGCTAAGCTTCAACACAGAAATGTCCCTGGAAAAGGAACTCAACAAAAACAATGATGTCCTTATCATTTGTCTATCGTATTTGCTCATGTTCGCCTACGCCTCGTGGGCCTTGGGGACTAAAGGTGGCCAAAGTCGTTTTCTGTTGGGGTGTTCGGGAATTTTGATTGTATTGGGATCGGTCACATCTGCTGCTGGCGTTTTGAGCATAATGGGCCTAAAGTCAACCCTTATCATCGCAGAAGTGATACCTTTTCTCATTCTAGCAATTGGAGTTGACAACATATACTTAATCACTCATGAGTTTGACAGAGTAGCTAGCGGTTCAGAAACAGTCGAAGTACAGCAAAGAATGGAAAAGGCAATGCGGAAAATTTCACCATCAATCCTCATGTCTCTGCTTTGTCAACTCTGCTGTTTTCTAACAGCTACATTCGTGCAAATGCCAGCTGTTCGCAATTTTGCCATTTATTCAGCAGTGTCACTTGTCTTCAACGTGTTCCTCCAGCTCACTGCTTATGTTTCGATTTTGGCTTTGTACGAAGAGAAATACCCTAGAAAGGTGACTCAAGAGGAAATCGATACAGGTCTGAACTCCAAGCTGAAAAAGCTTTATCGAAATCTATTGATCAAACGGCGGAAGATAATAGGATTTTTTGTTTCCTGTACTCTTTTATCGTTAATATTTCTTCCATTCATTGAACTAGGGCTAGATCAAACGCTTGCTGTACCCCAAGATTCTTATTTGGTCAATTATTTTAATGACGTCTACGAATATCTGAACGTTGGACCACCTGTTTACTTTGTTGTCAAAGATTTGGATCTGACCCGCAAGAAGAATCAGAAGAAAATCTGCGGAAAGTTTACTACATGCAACGAGTTTTCTCTCGCTAATGTTCTCGAGCAAGAACGTCAAAGATCTACAATTATTGAGCCAGTTGCCAATTGGTATGACGATTTCATGATGTTTCTGAATCCTCAACTTGATACCTGCTGTAGGTTCAAAAAAGGCACAGAGGAAATTTGCCCTCCATTTTATCCCAGCAGAAGATGTCAAACTTGCTATGGTGAAAATGAATGGTCTTATGATATGGACGGTTTTCCTGAAGGTCCAAGTTTTATGAGCTTTTTCGACATCTGGATTAACTCGCCCAGTGACGCATGTCCCCTAGCAGGAAAGGCGCCATATTCTTCGGCAGTCGCGTACAATGAAAGTGGCATCACAGCATCCACCTTCAGAAGCGCGCACAGACCACTGAGATCGCAGCACGATTTTATCGAAGCCTACAAAGACGCTGATAGGATAAGTGAGTCCTTTGATGATTTGGACGTTTTCGCCTACTCGCCCTTCTATATCTTTTTCGAGCAGTACGGAACATTGATTTCCTTGTCGCTGAAACTTCTTCTCTTTTCAGGATTAAGTGTTTTTCTGATTTCATGCTTATTTTTGGGGTCTTTGACAACTGCCGCCCTTCTTGTACTTACGGTTGCAATGATTTTGATTGATGTTGGAGCACTGATGTTTCTCTCAGGGATAACACTGAACGCTGTCAGCTTAGTGAATCTCGTTATATGCGTGGGCATTGCGGTTGAGTTCTGTGTACACATCGCGCGCGGCTTCACCATTGTTCCCTCTCAAGTCAAAACAGACCGCGATGCGCGAGCGACACACGCTATAAACACGGTTGGTGGATCTGTCTTCAGTGGCATCACTATGACCAAATTGATAGGGGTGTCAATTCTAGTACTTACGCGCTCCAAAATATTTCACGTGTTTTACTTTCGCATGTGGCTAATCCTCATTGTAGTTTCATGCCTTCACGCTTTATTATTTTTGCCTACCATTCTCTCCCTAGTAGGCGGTAACAGCTTTGCGGACTCGGAACTTGAAACAGCTGATTGAACAAACTTACATTAGTTGGGAGACAAAGATAGGAACTTGAGACCTCAGTTTGCCTTTGCCAGAAATGGGCTATTTGAGGTTAGGCTCCAAGTTTATTTAGATTTTAAATAACAGCTTGTGAAGACTACGAGTTCTATGACAGTTATGGTTATTAGTTAATGTCAAAATGCAATATAATTTTTCGGAAAAACTCATTTCTCGACACAATACTGAAAGATCAAGAAAGCAGAACGTTGTGATTCAAAAAATAAAGTACCAATGTTGGTCTGAAATGAACCCTCTCATTACCCTACGAAGCGGAATAGCCAAGTATGGGATCAGAGAATCCGCTATAATTGCTGAGAATGGACTTTACAAGGCAAGAAAGTCGGATACTTCTTGTAAAGAAAATCAAACTGCGACACGACAAAACACCAAACCTATCCTACCAAAAAGTGAAAACTCACATTCAAAAATACATTTAGTCGGCAAGGGCTCTCGATTTGAAAGACTTGCGGTTCAAGAATATTTAGGGCCCTTTTCTAATCATCGTTTCGCCAGACACAAGTTGGACTCTTCATACGACGTATTGCATGCGAAGACTAACTACATTGCATTAGAAAAGCTCAAAAGATCAGATTCTTCTGCCCCACTGTTGTTCAACAAATCTCAACAATATGTGGAGGAAATGATTCCGCTGCTGGTGACATTGACTCCTCTTGAGGTCTCAGTGGGGCACTCAAAAAGATCATTCCCAAACGAAGTTTTTACAGAGATTCCTCCTATAGCTGATTTTGGCCAGCACCCTAAACTCTTTAGCCCGTATGTCAGTTCTCTGGCGCACTCAACGTTCTATTACCAAAAATCATCCATGCTCAACGGCGTTATACCCAAGATTCTTCGAAATCTTATGCATCCTTCCAATATCAAGTGTGTGCAGCTCCGAACCGTTGATGTTTACAATGACGTGATTTTCTTCTTCAGTCAGCGAAATGATTACGCAACCTGTCGGGAACTGTTTTCGCAAATGAAATTAGAAGGTATAACACCGAGTACTAAGACCTTCAATCTTATGCTTCGCAACGTTTTGAAAAACTCGCATATAAGAAAACTGAGACTTCCAATTATTGATGCTCTCTACTATCTAAGGCAAATGAAGCATCATGGAGCAGAAGCTGACTCCACCACTTGGGTTACCTGCTATAGTTTGTTATTGGAGGATTTATCTCGCGATGTATTTCTTGAAAAGCTGATAGAGTGTAAAGTTCCCATTACGCCTCAGTTAGTACTGGCAGCTTTAAGCTCAAGCTCGCAGAGCTCTTCCCAGGTTTTGCAATTCCTATCCACTAACTCTGTTCCGTTGAATACCAAATTGTTCAACTTCTGTCTGAAAAAGCTATTGGACGAAAAAAAGTATGATGTAGCATGGGCTTTCATGGAGCATGCTCATAAAAATGCTAGCTTCAAGATAAATCACGAAAGCTTGAACATCTTCCTGAGATGTTTTGCAGAGTCAGCAAGGCTTGATCTGACGCTATTAACATTTAACTCAGCCATTCAAATATACAAAGTGAAGGCCAATCTTCAGTCTTTCGACATGCTTTTCAAAGCGCTAGTTAGAAATGGATACACGGAGAACTTCTCCTTGATAATGAAGTATCTGGAAAACCTTCGTCAACAACATACTAACGGGGTCCAAGTGTTCAGTTATTGGATTCATAAAGCTCGAGCAATGGCAATATTCAATATTAGAAAGAAAGTGAGCGAGGGGAGCGTCGAAAAGGCTAAAGGCCTCTTGAATAATGCCGTTTGGGATTCAAAGGGAATGAAATGGGAGTGTTGGAATAACTGTAACTCTTCTCAGCGAAAAGTTTTCAGATTCTTAGGATGCGTACCGAAAAGTGTGAAAGCGGAGCCTAAGAAGGTACGTTTCATTACGGGTTCTGTTGCATCTGCCAAGAAGGATAGGTATAGGCATAGAATAAGATCAGTGGCAGTTAAAAATGCCATGCTGAAAAGGCTACCTTACGCAGAGGATCGATATTCAGCACTTAAGGCCGAGTTGCAGGGTAGAGGTATTCTAGAGTAACAAGATATGAGGAATCACAATTCTTTTGGTTAGGATCTGCGAGATCCATATTTACAATCAGTAGCCCTCCGCGACGACCATTATTAATAAAAACAATCATCAACTAAAATCGATGATTTATACGCTTTACACTTATTGTAGAGGCGGCCAGAGTTTATGTTGGTTGTTATTAAACTGGTGAGTCCGTCGAGGTTTTCACTTTTAAAATCATAACTTGGTAATACTGACACTAAAAACAAAAACATTAAATAATAAAATATTCTTCAAGTGAGATAGTTATTATCTGCGTGAGACTGTTAATGCACATAACGAAAGAACTTACCAGTTACAACTTTATACATTTGCAAACAATGTAGAAGTTATGGTTGACAAAAGCCAGATCCAATGCTAAACGCACTCAGCCAACTCGAATATACAAGAAACATACCGATACAGGGATGTATGAGTAGTTGAAGGGCGTATATGTTGTATTCCTTCTCATCATGACAACGTAGTGATGAAATGTCAAAAGATTTCAATGTCATCGTATTGTTTCGACTTGAATTTTTTTAAAGGAACTAATAATGGGTTATCCGTCAATGTTGGTGCAAGTAAATAGTAATTGATATGTACATTCTCTGCTTCCAAACTTACACTACTTCATATGTGGAAGGCTTACTGGGATTGTATTATCATGGAGGTTCAAAAGACAAAAGGTGTATGTTTTGATTAGTGCTGTGCAGTTGTTAAAGTCGATACTCGACCTACGGAACAGAAATCAGCTTTGCTAATTATGTTAGGGAAAGTGAACACTTGAAATCGCGTAAAGATGCAATAATATTTTGACATCTGTTTACAATCCTAGACTTAGATGCAACTTAAGTAGTATCTCCAATTATGCAGTACACAAAAGTTGCATCTATTCTTGAACCGAACAAAGATAACACGGTCGGACTTCGGACTCATCTAACGTATCATCGTAATTGATGTTATGCTTTTGATCTCAGCCGTCCTAAATACTATTCTGTCTTGAATCATAAACCAGTCCTGCTAAAAGTACAGCGTGGTGGCCTAGCTGTGACTCCAGTTGGTAGTTACTTTGCTGGCCTCACCTTGAAGTTGTCAGCGCTTAGGCCGCATGAAAATTGACGGCTGGTGAAAATGAATTTGCCTTCGCTACCTCACTCATCACACCACGTTAAACGGATTTACTTCAGGTACCAACTGTTGTGTAAAGAATTGCCCACATGCTTCTTAGAGATCGTGCGTGCTAATTGCAGGATATTGATTAACAATTCACCCAGTCTTGACGAATTAAAGTGACTCGAAGTGCAGTGATAATATATGAGTTAAAGTTACAAATGAACGCTGCAGTTGCATGTCTGTTTTAGTCCTTAATCAGTTACAAAAGGAAGCTCATAGCTGGAGTAGTGATCCATGGTCAAAAGATTAATTATAAGAATGTGTGGAAGGAATCGGAAATGGTGCTTGCTGCATTGCAAAAACAAAGAAATACAGCACTTTAGGGTCAGCTCAAACTCTTGGAGCAGCCTCAACTTCTTCTTCTTCACCACCGTCGTGTTCGGCTGCCCATTCTTGTTCAGCGGCCGCAGCTTCATCTTCTTCTTCAACGTCGTCATCGTAAACGTCTTCAACGGTTTGGTGGAAAGACAAGCTTGGCTTAACGGCAGCAGCTTCCAAAGTCCAGCCCTCTAAAGCGGTCTCAGCGTCCATGATAATCTGTCTCGAAGCATCGTAACCGTCGTAGGCCAATCTGGTCTCACCAGGAGTGACTGGAGAATCGTCGAGCAATTCCAAGAGAGCCTTACCGTATCCAGCGATGAGGGCAAACTTCTCGGCCAACTCGCGAATGGAGTCGAATTGGTAGTTGAAAGCAGCCTTTAGCTTTTCACGAGTGATGTTGGAGAGTTGGGCTTCGGCCACTAGCGACTCGGCTTCGGCACGCACTAGTTCCTGTTCCAAGACAGGAATCTTGGGGGAGGTGGGTTCCTTGTACTTAAGACGTGCGATCTCGTCGGTGATCTTTTGCTTGCGGTCTCTGGAAGGCTGCACAGAAGCTTCAATGTTTCTGACGCCCTTTAGGGTCAAACGGTACTGGTCGTACTTGTCGATGAACTGGTCCTGCAATTCACCTAGCTCGTAGATAAGAACACCTAGTTTATCGGTAACATCGGAGACATCGTCGTCGTTGTCCAAACCCCATAGCGACAATTGCTTCGCGGCGGCACGACGCTCAATGGCCACCACTTCCAAAGCTCTCAAAACACCTTTTTCGGTCTTTACAAGTTGCGACAATTTTCTCGCCAAGTCTGGTCCAAAATTCCCAGCCGCATTCTTACGGAAAGACGTAGCCATAGAAGCCTTACCGAAAAACTTGGATCTGGTCGAGGAAGGAGGAGGAGCGGGACTCGCCAATTGTGACGCAGTAGGAGCTCTTTGAGCTCTCAAGGAATAAGTTCTGTGCATGGTAATAGGTATAAGTTATGAATACGATTCTCTGTTGACAGACGGGATTTCAAAACTGAACTAAATATCCTCTCTTAAACAAAAATATTTTAACTCCTATTTCTTCAGTTGGAGCTGTCCCCTTTACCCTATTTATACTCCTTTCACGAAAAGGGCCCCGTTACCGCATTTTGTTGCTGGCTTCTGCATCGTTTTGCTTTAAAAGGTTATGACGAGATAGAGGAAAGCCGGGTAGCTCACAAATGACGACTAGATAGTTGACTGCAGAATATCAAATAGAGGCCGGATAAAGAGAAGACAAGATAAATGGGTGGAGTTTTGGGAAGGGTTTTCCTGAGAAAAATGGGTAGAGATACGGATGAAGGAAAAGTATGGTCATGCTAAGTTAAAGAACTCGGAAAGTGTAATATGCTAGCAAATTCGCTGGTGTTTTGGAGATCTACTGCCGGTTATTTGAAGTTGACTCTCGCTTTTTAGCAAGAGAAACATCTCAAGTTTTCTCTGCCTTCACATGAGAGGGAATTCTTCCCAGAGGTAAGCGAACTGCAAAAAATTCTTCTGTGCAGCTAAAATTCACGAGGAGTTCTACGACTAAAGCTGTGACGTGTACCAGATTAATTTGTGACCTCGTAGTGATAGGTGCTAATAAACGTGTAGCCCAGCTCCTCTTTGAACATTTCGGTAACCGTCCAAGGCATACTGGAAGTAAGCTTTCTCGTAAATATTTCTAGTGAAACCCTGCTAAATATTCGATTACGCTTACCAGGATTTCTGTACAGAAAGTCGTGAAAAGAGAAGCACTTTCTATCGCATTGATTCGAGCTGATCGAGTTTTTCTCGCAGCTTACATAGCTCCATTCGGCATTGCATGAGAAGCGCTAGAAACCGACCTCAAAATACCTAGAATGGGTCATTGATTCGCATTGTAATATGAAAACTGATTAACCTTTTAGGAACTAAAGCTCGCAACCGTTTTATTGCAACTACTCCATTGCTTCGTCACTGGGCTGCCGCTTTACCACGAAATTTGAATGACAAACAGGGTTTAGGCTGACAGCTGATATAATTGTCGTACTCGAGTACCTGTAACCGAACGTTGTGATATCCCCGTTATAACCCTCAGGCCAGCATTTTAATACTTCACATACACAGCAGTGAAGATCAAGAAAAGCTTGAAGCGGCAATGTCCTGTAAAATGGCTAGCAGATACTTAGCTTGTCCTCATACGACATGAATACTATCCCAATATATTTCGTGAATTAGAATAATGATTCTGTTGTATCACAGTGGAAGCAATAGAATTCCCAACGGGGGAATCAGGAAGTTGATACCCCCCCCCTAGTTACGTTTTAGTGATGGAGGGTGAAAAGCAGATGAGCATGCGTTAAAACAACACGCTCCAGAAGAGTTCACCTTCTCATATATACTTGCTCCTTGATTCTTGGTAGAAAGCTGTCTTCACACCCCTAAATCTTGACTTTAGTTCGTAAGTTCAGTGCTGTTAATTGAATAATGACTCACTATCATCTTCTGTCCACAGCGTATCCGCTTTCCTGTCGAATGACAACTTTATAAAAACATGTCACGTTTATCGATTTACAACTTCCCATCTAAACACCTAGCAATGAACAGATTCGACAGACAATTGCGATTGTGGGGGACGCATGGGCAACAAAGAGTTGAGGCAGGACGCGTGTGTGTAGTGGGATCATCTGCACTGTCTACAGAAATTTTGAAGAATTTGATGTTGCCGGGAGTAAGAGATTTAACGTTAATAGGTCTGAAATCTGAAAGCTACATTCAAGATCAATTTTGGGACTTTGCCTCGTGGAACATCGTCCAGATGGATTGGGATGCTAATCGCATGAAATGTAGCAAATTTTGGGAGTGCTACGCACTTGTAATTATCACCACGGGAAATGCTGAGGTAAGGGACATCCTGCGACGAGTGCGTATGCCTCCCACGCTTCTATGTCGTGTTTCCAAATTCCACGGCTTCCTAACGTTTGTTTCGTCGGAGCCACATTTTGTCATAGAGGCTCATCGGCAACATCAGACGGCTGATCTTCGCCTCGACCGTCCGCGGGATCAACTATCGAGCTTCTACTGCAATCTGCCGCGCGATCCGCTGTCATTTTCTGAGTGGCCATTTGCCGCCGTGCTATACCAAGCTCGTAAGTTGGCTTTACAGGAAAAAGCGTCTCTAAAACCCTTGAATCGTGAGGTACTGCGTCACCATATTAGCTTAATGCAGGATGAATTGTCAAAAAATGGCCAAAGTCCGAATCTTTCAGAAGCCTACCGATTCGCATATCTCGCATTGCAAAACTCACAACACATACCAGAAAACGTACGGGAGTGTCTTCTACTTAAAGATAAGCCTTGTACATTGCCATATAACCAGAATTTCCAGAATTTATTACGAGCGTTATGCAAGTATATGTCGCTTCCTCATAGCGACGGTCAACTTCCTGTTTCTGGAGCTATTCCAGATATGGAATCCAGCTCCAAGATTTATAATGCCCTACGCCGGACTTATATGGAAGTTGCTGCAACCGACGCTTCGATCTTTGGCAGTTTGATTCTTCCAATAGCACCACAATTCCCTCTTGATCAAATCAACCTTTTTTGCAAAAACTCTCGACATATTAGGGTTGTTAGTCCGGTGAAGAATATCTCGACCCTTTATGACTTCCAGGGGCCGAAAAGTAATGACACTCCTCCCGTTTTGGTGTTCAGGAGTTTGCTAGATATGCCAAACGATGAAACGCTTGATAAAGAACACAGGTGGAAATACTATCCAGTCATTTCAGCGATGGCTGGCTTTGTGGCTCAGGAAACTACAAAAATTCTTACTCATCAATTCGTTCCAATAGATAATACTATGGTTTACAATGGCATGTCTAATGAGGTAAGTGTATTCAGAATATGACTATGAACTATAATTTTTATTTGTTAAAGATCAGAAAAATTTCCTTGAAGTTGAGAGGAGGTCTTCTGTTTCTTGTTACGCCTTACCATGTCTTTCCAATCTTCTTCCGCTTCACTCTCGTCGTCGCTTTCTTCCTGAGCAATCTTTTCTTCAATGGCCTTCCTTCTCTGTGCAGACTTCACCTTTCTTTCGCCTTTCGATTCCTTTGAGGACGTCTTATTAGACCAAGCAGCATTCTTTTTCTTGAGCTCGCTCTTCAATTTATTTTTGTCCTTTATGGCCTTCGTTTTCTTCAGCTCTTCCAGCCTGGAGCTTTCCATCTGTGGATTGACGAACGAAAATGAATCCAAGTCCACTGCTGGTTCTATAAGCCATCCATCCTGGGGCATCTCATCATTGTCAAGGTGTTGGGTAATTTCTGGCATGCGTGGTAGACGTATCAAACCATACAACTTGGCAATACCTACATAGTCAAGTGACTGGAGTCTGAATATGGACGAGGCTGAATGCTTGGAATAATACCGAATGAATCCAACATAAGCTCTAACACTATTTTCGAACCTCGCCCTGTCAGCCAAAATCCATTCTTTAAAAATGCTGGAGAATTCATCACTGGGATTGAACTTCAACTTCATCTCCTCGAGGTCGATGTTCTTTACCTCCAGAAAGTTAACGTAATCTTCTTCGCGTCCACGGTTTAGAAACGTTATTGCTTTTCCGGCACGATTTGCTCTTCCAGTTCTCCCGCACCTATGAAGAAACATTTCGGCACTGGTGGGAGGATCTAGCTGAAGAACAAGATCGACTTCTGGGATGTCAATACCCCTTGCGGCCACATCAGTGGTTAAAAGTACCGAATTATTCAAACTAACGGAAAACTTTTCCAATGTACCGAGTCTTGAGCTGGTTTGCAGTTTACCATGAAGAGAGTAGACTTCCAAGGTTTCATTCATGATACCCAATTTGAAGAGGTGTTTAAAGAATGAGTAGAAATAGGTAACAGATATGCATGTGGGGAAATAAACAATGCACTTCCTATACCGAACGTGATTGAGAATGTAAAGCAGATATTGCAGTTTGTCCTCCGGCTTTACCACAACGTAGCTGATTTTCAACGATTCTGGGGCTTGTACTTTCGATTTGACTGCTATCTTTACTGGGTTCCGCATTCCCGTCCTGAAAATTTGATCCCCAGCACTGCTGATAGTTGCCGAAAACAAACCCGTCCGCCTCTGCTTTGGAAGCATACTTAAGATAGCTTCCACGTCTTTCTCGAAACTGACGTCCAGAAGTTTGTCAGCTTCATCCAGCACGATGATACCACAAGATGCAGTTTTGACAGCTTTCGTTTTGAGAAAATCCAGTAGTCTTCCCGGCGTGCCTACCAAGACCTGAGGTTTATTTTCCATGAATGTATTTGCATCGTCTCTGACAGTAGATGAGCTGCTACCAACAAGCAGCTGAGATTGAATAGGGCACGGCTCATCAGGATAATAGGCCAAGAATTTGTCGATGACACTTTGTATCTGGCTCGCAAGCTCTCGAGTTGGTGAAATGACAAGCGAATAAAAGTTTCCCTTTTTTAGAGGAGCGCCATTCAACACTTCCTTCACGATTTTTTCAAGGATCGGTATCACAAATGCTACTGTCTTGCCAGATCCAGTCACAGATTCTACGACTACGTCTTTATTACCCGAAAACATAGGAATAGTTGACGCCTGCACTGGGGTCATAGTCTCAAATCCCATACTGTCGACAGCTGTTCGTATCCATGGCTGCATATCGTACTTCAGGTCATCCCACGATAAAGATCTTGCCATGTCGCTTGAGTTTCCAATGTACTATGTAGTATGGTTGGCGATGACTTATGAAAGCTAACACGATTTTAACTCTAAATTTTTCATATCAGCATTTGGCCTTGAAAAATGTTTTTAGTATTGTGACAATGGAAGGCATCGCAAGCAGTTCCAGACAACTCGGACAGCCAACCGATGGGACTAATTTCGAGAATATTTAGGCTTGGGAAAGGTGCTTCCAAGTCTTTACCCGACCAGTGCGAATATGCTAAATGGAATAAGGACCAGTTAATCAATAAGATCATCGAATTAGAGGGAATGAATAAACGTAAGGCAGAAGATGGTGATGAGCGTGAGGGCCAAGTCTCTAAGAAACAGAAGCATAGTAAGAACGAAGTCAAGAAGCGAAAGAAGAAAGACAGGACTTTTGATTTCTCGAAATACAACACCCGGTTTGTTGCTCTGAGATTCGCGTACCTAGGATGGAATTACAATGGACTCGCAATCCAAAAAGAGCCAACACCACTCCCTACAGTCGAAGGCACTATCCTAGAGGCAATGAATGCGTGCAAATTGGTGCCCTCGATGACACCTCAGGAGTACAACTTCAGTAGGTGCGGCAGGACTGACAAAGGCGTCAGTGCGATGAATCAAGTGATATCTCTGCGGGTCAGATCTAATTTGACTGACCAAGAGCAGCAAGACAAGAGCAATGATGATAAGGAAATTAATTATGTTCACATACTTAATCAGATTTTGCCTGACGACATCAGGGTATCTGCCGTTTGTCTCCGTCCTCCAAAAAATTTTGATGCCCGATTCAGCTGCGAGTATCGCCATTATAGATATCTCTTCCACAGTAGTGGTCTAAACATTGAAAGAATGCAAGAAGCAGCACAGCTTTATTTGGGCGAACATGACTTCCGGAACTTTTGTAAGCTCGATGGGTCGAAACAGATCACAAATTACAAAAGAACAATAAAGCAGTCGTGTATTATAAAGCTTAACGAAGAAGTTTTCTGTCTAGATCTCATTGGGTCGGCATTCTTGTGGCACCAGGTTCGCTGCATGATGGCAAATTTATTTCTTGTTGGCCAAGAACTGGAAAAGCCCTCAGTGATTAGTGAGATGCTGAACGTGGAGAAAGTTAGGCAAAAACCAATTTACGACATGGCTAGCGATGTACCTTTGATTCTTTACGACTGCAGTTTCCCTGATATGGAATGGTCACATGTGATGCCAAATGAGTTCAAATCTTTGCAATCAAACCGGAGAATATACTCACTTGCTCTAGATTATAAGCTAAAATCAACAATTTCTGATATTTTTGCAAATGTCCTCTCGGTCTCTCATAATGATTTGTGCGGTAAAGTCAGAATCAACCTTGGTGATGGTAAAGGAAAGGTTGTGACGGTCTACGAGGAGATGCTCAAGCGAAATGTAATGGATTCTGTGGATACTGTTAATCAAAAATTTCAAAGGAGGAAGACCCAAAAAAAGAAAAACAATGCGAATACCAACGACACGCACTTACAAGGACATCCTGAAGAAATCTGAGCGAGCGATCCATGCAGGGTCCCAGTAAAGTGTTTCACCTGGAGCCTGAATATCGACCCACAATATTCCATTCGCGACCATTTCTTTAAGTACGGCGTCGCTTCTTACCGGTTTCCAGTCAAGGTTCAGCTTTAACAGAGATGTGCTAGCATATCCAAGGATCGAGCAGACCTCCAAAATCTTAGTTTGATCATTAGTCAATTCATTGGGCACGCTTCTAAGATACTTTTTATCTTTTATAGTAAATACCTCGAATCCACCATCCAATACCTCTAACATTTCAACTGCTCTCTGTAAATCGTTCATTTCAACTTTGAATTTCTCAAAGTAACCCTTATGCAGTTCATCAAACGATATTACACCTCCATTCAAGTCCTTTGTTTTCCGGCATAACTCAATTACTTTCACACAAATTTCATAGAAAAAGTCGTTCACGTCGAACAAATGCCGTTCCTTGTCAAACAAGCATATGGGGTCAATACCTATAGATGTGCACATTTTGATGAATTTCATTCTGAAGTCAGGGTTTTCCTTGAGCTCGGCATTATGGTCTTTTGCGAATTCGATGAGCCTGTCCTGGAAAATACTGAGCTGGTCGTCTAACTCTTTATTTTGTTTGCTCAGTAAGCTAGCAGTGATCTCATAGCGCTCTGATCGGTCGACATTGAATGCTGCCAATCCGTGTTTCATCACCCACCACCAAGAAATCTTCCTAGAAGTTGATTTCCTTTAAATAATTTTTAACTCAAATTATTTTGTTCGACTTCCTGTTCCGCTTTGCCCAAGAGAAACATTTCCAAATACCGTCTCAAAATGGAAGCTGCTAGCCAGATGAAGCCAGAGGCCTGGACTGTATCTTCTAATGAAGCATTAAAGCTTTCATTGGTAGATGATGATGGCGCGGTTCAATTCTCACCCACCTTCACGTATCCAATTTACGGCGATTCAGAACAAATCTTTGGATATCAGGACCTACAAATCTTTTTAGTTTTCGATTCTGTGACATTCAAGCCATTCACTAACGTCAAATACGGTGCCAAGCTAATGGATACTGTCGATGATGTACAAACAAAGCTCTTGAACTATCTGCCAAAAGACGATGTGATTATTAGGGACGAGATGAAATGGGTCGATACTTTTAGCAAAGAGCGAGAAGAATTCGAGCTACCCGATGACAGATTCAAGGTCAAAAGCTACAATGTCGATGAGAATAATTATACTATCTACAAGGTAAAGTTACAAGAAGCAGCCATCAAAGCATTACACCGTAGAATGCAGATATTTACGTTGCTCTTCATTGAGTCTGCTTCATATATTGATGAAGATGACGAAGGATGGGAAATTTTTTTGACTTTCAATGCCAAGACCAAGCAGTGCGTTGGTTATAGCACAACCTACCAATACTGGAAATATACCGGAGGCCCTAATTTTGATAATAACGAAAATTCGTTTACAACAGGGAAGATTTCTCAATTTATGGTTTTCCCCCCTTATCAGGGAAATGGGCATGGATCTTACCTCTATAACGCTATTGTTGACGTCTACCAAAGCGATCCTCAGGTTCTCGAAATTACAGTGGAAGACCCAAACGAAAGTTTTGATTCACTAAGAGACCGAAACGATTATCTTCGACTTAAAAACAGCGGAATTGCGGCAGCAATACCAGATGAGCTTCCTATCAGCGAGGAATGGATAGAAAAGGAGAAAGGTAATTGCAAAATAGAAAAAAGGCAGTTTATGCGTTTGATCGAGATAAACTTACTGAGCAAGTCTTCTCCTAATTTTAGACTGCAAGTGAAGAAACGACTTTACGAAAAGAACTTTGATCTGTTAAGTGATCTTGATGCTGCGACGAGGAATGACAAGTTGCAAACAGCTTTTCTTTTGGTCAAAGAAGAGTATGAGGCAATGCTTTCAAGCATATCGTCAAGAAAGCGCACGTTATCAAACAACTCCGGCAGTAGTTCCAAGAAAATAAAATTAAATAATAATTAAAAGAAAATACCTGTGCATTACATAAAAATTTGTCTCAGCTGATCAGTCTGTATACTTTATGTAACTCTATTTTCCATAAATGTTAAAAAATAATATGCTCATGTTTTTATAAAAAATATAAACGGTTAAAATGTTGTTTATGGCTTCCGAACTTTTAATAGCAATTCACTTTGTATATTTTAGTTGCTATCAAATCTTAACAAGGAGGCATTTATTTTTCAGAGTTATACTTCTCGGGAACCGCAGCTTAGAAACAGTGAAGAGAACGCGATTCGCCGACTTGTATGTCCTGTGAAATCAGATTTTATTGAACGCTCAATTATCAGCTGTATGTCATATCAACTAACTTGTCACGAGGCGTAAAGTATTTTTCAATTAAAGCTGGGTAACCTCATCGCTCTAATTGAAGAAAAGTTTTACAAGAGCATCTCATCGCCTTAGTATGAATCCAGAGATGAGCTATCTCAAAAGCATCATTCCGAAATAAATGGCTGGCAAACAATCCCAAACTGCCAAACGTGCTAACAAGCAGAATGGCCAACGAGGCATCTCCTCTGAGGTCTTTCAGGACTCTCACGCTAGAAATCAGTTGATAAGCGCACCTAAGTTAACTGAAAAGTCGAAGACCAAGAAACCTAGTAAACTTAAAGTAGGCAAAGAGCAAGCTCTTGCAAGACTTTATGGTTCTAAGAACAACAAAAAGAAGACTTACTCAGAAAAGGAATTAAATCTACCGACTTTGAACCGTGCTATCGTTCCTGGGGTAAAGATAAAGCGAGGCAAGAAAGGCAAAAAGTTTGTAGGTGACCACGATTCATTACTTTACAATAGGTTAATAAGCACGATCGGCGATAAAGATGAAGAGCTGACCGAGAGTAAACTGGAGAAGGCCCGCAGGCTCGAAGATATCAGGGAGTTGAAAAGACAAGAAATCGAAAGAAAAGAAGAGGCTAAGAAGGACAAGCTGGACAGTAAAAAAGGCGAACTCAAGAAGAAAGCATCCGTCGCCAGAACGCTACGTAGAAAGACTAAGAGAGATCAAGAACTTGGAGGGGAACAAGTAGCAAGCAAGGATGAAATCAGAAGGCCAAAGAAATCTGTCAGCTTTGCATAATTCGAGGCTTTAGCGGCGAAACGAAAGCATTTGTACATGAGTTTTATGTTACGGGATTCCCTGGATGAGGCGCATGTCGAAGACTGCGACAAGGTGCCTTAGATTTCTAGACATATAGAACCGAAGCTCATCCTTTGTAACACGCGAGACTTGCTTTGAGTTTAAGCTAGAATCACCAGGTCAACATTAGCCGAATAATGAGCAGAAGGTAATCAAGGTCTCTCTTCAACGAGCTTCAACCTATTGCGCTGATGCCCGTCCTGGCTGTTTTGTATATTATTATAAATATTAATGACGTGGGAATTCAAATGCCAAGTATTTTCAATCAGAAACAAAACGTCAAGCGGGCTTGATAATCAATTGTCTACCAATAGATGATCAAATGTGATTGGTCTCACCATCGGTGGAATTCAATATATTATATTTGTTGTACTTTGCATAGTTTGAGGATAAAGAAAAAATTTTAAGAATTAAAGACTACGCTATGTAATAAACAATCTGTCAAGTTACAGGCAATTGAGCAATGAATAGGGACAAGGCGGTTGCCATTAAGAGTCTCGGCATACAAGATGGTGGCTCGAAGGATTCAGCTAAAATATTTAGTAATCTACTCGAGACATCAAAAAACTTGCCAACAACCTCGTCTGAATTAGGAACGATCTTGTTGAGTGTTAATGAGATAAAAAAGAGGGCCCGCGAGCTGAGGCAAAAGACCAAGCCAAAAAGCGATCACACAAGAGCACACTATCTATTAGCTGGAAGTGGCCTTGCCATTCAAGATGTTGAATCATCGCTCAATACTCTTAAGTCAAGACAATTGATCGAACAAAACGTTCCAAACAGAGAAGCAGAAGGTGATCTTGACACGTACTTGAGAACTAAGAAAGACGAAAACATTTTGTCCTCTATCGAACAGTCGCTGGCTTCGGCTGCCAAGGATTTTGACAACTTTGTAAATCAAAACTTCAATTTGGATTGGGAGCAGAGGAAAGAGGAGGTGAGAGAAAACTTTGGTATCATCTTGAAAAAAAGAAGAGGTAATGAAACGACTGTAAACTCTTCATTTGAAGCCTCCCCACCGACATGGGGTAGAACAGGACGCGGTATTCTCGATGGCGATTCGAGACTTAATGTTAACGAAAATTTCGCAACTAGGGCCAAGTTTGAGAAGTACGCTAAAATTATCAATAGCTTCAACAATGCCAGACAGAACGGGTCCAACTTTTCGATGGAAAAAGAGATTTTAGAAAGCTTTAACAGCTCAACGGAAGCAAATGACAGACAACTTCCAGGAGCATGGAAAATTTTGGATCACGCACGCAACTCTAAAGACGTTATTGCATCATCCAAGTCCTTTTTGGAGCTGCAGTTTTTGGAGTATGTTGAAAACCTATACAAGAAGAACTCCAACGAGGGTCTTCCTACGAACGTAAATAAGGTGAAATCCTTCATTGATCAAAAATTGAAAAACTCAAATAACGCATGGAAATACGGGAATTTAACAGTCGTTAACGGTGTGCCGATTTGGGCTTTCATTTTTTATCTTTTAAGAGCTGGGCTGACCCAAGATGCCCTTGAGGTTGCCGTAGCAAACAAATTAAGCTTTAAAAAAGTTGAGCAATCTTTCTTGACCTACTTTAAAGCATATGTGAATTCAAAAGACCGAAAACTTCCCAATGAATATGTTTCCCGACTTCATACGGAATACAACCAACATATCAAGAACGCCTTAGACGGAGACCCATTCAGACTCGCAGTTTACAAAATAATTGGAAGATGCGATTTGACAAGGAAAAATGTCTCATCAATCACTTTGAGCATCGAAGACTGGATTTGGATTCATATCATGTTAATAAAACAAGATGTCTCGGACGACGACCCCGTTTACGAGAAGTATGATCTGACAGATTTCCAAACAGTTGTAACATCCTATGGCGTGTCCACGTTCGACGGCTCGTACCTTCATGTTCTCATGTTGACTGGGCTTTACGAATTAGCTGTTCAGCATGCCATGTCCATCAACGAGATCGACGCCGTTCATCTCTCCATCGCATTAGCTAATCACAAGAAATTAGGCATATCCGATTACAAGAGCGACAACTGCTCGGACCTTGTTACGGTTAGCGACGGCAAAATGAAGTTAAACTTGGCTAAGCTTCTTGGGAATTACACAAAGTCGTTCAAGTTTTCTGACCCTAGAATTGCAATGGAGTATCTCACTCTAATAAATTTAGGAGGGACTAAGGAAGGTGCTGAAGTATGTCACGAAGCTTTGAGAGAGTTGGTTCTGGAAACCAAAGAATTCACAATTCTTCTAGGAAAGGTGAACAGAGACGGTACTAGAATTCCAGGTGTCATTGAAGAAAGGCAGCCCCTTTTGTCATTAAGTGATGAACAAGACTTTTTGCATAAGATCACTGAGCAGGCCGCCAGACGTGCTGATGAAGATGGGAGAGTATACGACAGTTTGCTCTTATATCAGTTAGCTGATGAATATGACATCGTGATCCGCATTGTTAACAAGCTCTTAAGCGACCTCATGAGCAACACAGATCTATCACAGTCTTTGTTGAATCTTGATGATAACAGTGAGACCAATCCAGTTCTAATTGCAAAGAAAGTGATAAATGTTTATGTGAATAACTTGGAAATCGCACAGAAAATCAATTCGAAAAACAAGGAGACATGCATATTACTGTTGAAGGTAGTCGACATTAGAAAATCCTATTACTCACAAAATTGGCAGCAAACGCTCGAAAAGGTGGAGGAAATCGACCTAATACCATTTGTGGATGAGGCCTCTTCTCGAAGAAAAGCGCAAGAGTTTTCGAGCTTGAGTCCTGAAATTACAAAAAGCATTCCCAATTTGCTAATTATTACGATGACTTGCGTTTCCAAAATAGTAGAGTCGCTGAATCATAGCGAGTACCAGTCTCTGGCTAAAACTCAACAAGTCGAAGCCTTAAAGCGACTGGCTAAAAACTGCATGATTTACGCTGGCATGATACAGTATAGAATGCCCCGCGAGACGTACAGCATACTGATTAACCTTGAGGTGGGACTTTAAGCCTAAGTCGATGCGCGACGGCTACGGCAAGCGCAACCGTTATATCTCGTAATATAGTGTGTAGTCGGCATGATGAAACTCATAAATCGTAAGTAAAATTGAGGCGCATGCGATAGAGCTGCACTAATTCGGAACATTGTTTTCGCCTGCACCGGTGTATCTATCTCTAAGTTGGCTATAATCTGGTTGAACCTCATAGGCGTTGGGACTTGAAGAACGCTTCTGTTGCAGTTTGAGATGCCGTCTTTCCTTTCTGGCTTTTCTCCTGCTTTCCATGTCCATGCCCTTGGAACTTTCAGATTCAGACTCCGACGACGAACTCGACGAACTCGACGAGTCATCGTGACAGTCATGTTCGCAACTTTCACCATCCATGTCTTCAAAGTTCTGTTGTGGATGGAAAATACAGCAAACCTTCGATTTTTTCTTGTTCATATGTTCATTGTCTACTACGTCCTCCTTCCAACGCACTTTGCTGCGCTGCCTCTGCGCGCTAGTTTTCGATTCACGAGTATGTGCTTGCAGTTGGTCCTCCACAGCTCCCCGAAGTTGTAGCATAGGCACTGCCGCGGGAATTGTCACTGTCGCAGCTCCACTTTGTGTTCCCACAGCACCATTGTCCTGTACCTGATTTTGAGGCATGTTGCGATTTCTAACGGCTTCTAAAGCACACGTCTGTGTGTATAAAATTGAAAAGTCTTGTATCTTTCTGCTTTAGAGGTACCGTTCCATTCGTACAAAAAACATTTTGGCTACTTTCTTAGAAAAGGGAACTTTGTCCATTATTTAACAAATCCAACTTTCGGTGGCAAAATAACAAATCAGCTACGAAAGCACTTGTATATCTCGAATTTGCGACACGAATAGCTTGGGATAAAATGGAGAGACTTCAGAGATTAATGATGAACCAGAGAGCTGGAATTATGGGTGGTGCAGCGGCGGCTGAAACCCCTATGGACGATACTAAAGAGACGGTATATATCTCGTCGCTGGCGCTACTGAAGATGCTCAAGCATGGTCGTATGGGTGTTCCAATGGAAGTGATGGGTCTTATGCTCGGTGAGTTTGTAGACGATTATACCGTCAATGTGGTGGATGTGTTCGCAATGCCTCAGTCCGGGACAGGTGTTTCTGTAGAGGCTGTGGACGACGTTTTTCAAGCAAAGATGATGGACATGCTGAAGCAAACTGGCAGAGATCAAATGGTTGTTGGCTGGTACCACTCGCATCCTGGTTTCGGGTGCTGGCTCTCGTCGGTCGATGTAAACACACAAAAGTCGTTCGAACAACTCAATAGCCGAGCCGTAGCAGTTGTTGTGGATCCTATACAGTCGGTAAAAGGAAAGGTCGTGGTTGATGCGTTCAGACTGATCGACACGAACATGATAATGAGAAACCAAGAACCCAGACAGACTACTTCCAATGCCGGGTTATTAAACAAGGCCAACATTCAAGCATTGATTCACGGGCTGAACAGGCACTATTACTCTTTGAATATTGACTATAATAAGACAAGCGCAGAAACCAATATGCTTTTGAATCTGCACAAAGAGCAGTGGCAATCAGGACTCAAGATGCACGATTACCAGGAAAAGGAGCACCACAACTTGCAAGCGACCCAGAAAATGTTGAAGATTGCGGAACTGTACTCTAAGAGAATAGAAGAAGAAAAAGATTTAACTGAAGAGGAGTTAAAAACTCGTTACGTTGGTAAGCAAGATCCAAAGAAACATCTTTCGGAAACTGCAGAGGCTGTCGTTGAGGAAAATATTGTGTCGGTTCTAACGGCAGGTGTCAACTCTGTAGCTATAAAATAAAATCCTCACTTCGTAAGCATTTAAATTAAAATTTAAAACTTGTACATTAATCAACCACCCACTCCCAAACTGGAGTTTTTCTCGAGGAGGGGCTCACTCAAGGGCCTCCCAGACCTGTAAGTAACTTTCATCTAGAAATAACAACTCCTTCTCTTTCGGTGTCACGGACTTACCATTGATTTCAAACCATCGTCCCCCTTTTCTTTCTAGCACCTGAAGTTTCCATTCGCTTTCTTGGTCTACTTCAGCCTCATCGCTGTAGTTGCCTTTAATAGCATTGTGTGCTATGCTGGTGATCAGTTGATAAGCACGACCTTTCAAGACTAATGTATCTGGGAACTTTACCAATGTCTGATTTCGATTTTTGATCGGATATTCATCTTTTCTATTAAATCTGTCGATGTGTAATATTAAAAATTTGGGGAGCCTTGAAGTTTCGTAGCTTGTAGTACCATCGTTCGTGTGAACAACTTGCGTGCCATTGAATTTATTCATTAGTGTCTCCATCTTGACTTGCGGTATGCTATTAGTGTCGAAACCATCTTTGAATAATGGCATGGGCGGAAGGTCAAGACTAAGAATCCAGAACTTTCTCTTTCGAAGTGAACTACTGCTTTCGTCTTTGACGAATGTCAAGCTCCCTTCGCCTTTCATGCTTACTTCCTTTACAGTAGTTGTCTTCGCTATAATTTCGCCTCTCATATTCTGAGTCAAGACTTTCTTTAACTCTGGGTTGGATGTGCAGATATAATTGATTAGCCACAGCAAGAAACTTTTAGGGTCAGTTTCTTCCGCAGTTGTGGTCTTCACCAAAGTGAGTTGATGGAGAAATTCATGAGGCGACAAATGAGACCTGAATAAATATGGAGACCAGATTTTCTTAACCAAAACTGACAGTCTCTTTAAAAGTTCATCCTTAAAATCTTCGGAGTCCATTAGAAGAAGAATGTCTCGAAGTGGCGAGATTTGAGCCACTAGTTGCAAAATGACAGTGACATGCAATGTGTGATTTGGATCATCAAGTCCAACAAGTCCATTCAAATACGGATTATTTGACATGTCGAAACATTTTACAGGGTAGCTGGCGATGTCCTTTTGGGTATACGATGGACAGATGGCAAATTTTATTTTTTCTAGAAACTGTATGGCCGGGATCTCGTAGTTTTCGGGCAAAATATATGCCCTTCTGGTCTTCAAATTCATGAATACATGATGGTCCTCATGAATTGAATGCAGGAACGCAACGCTCTTTTCTCCGCGGCCTTGCAAAAACTTACCACAAGTCAGACAACAATATACATTGAGAGGAGATAGAGTCACTGAGCATATCTGTTCTCGATCAAAATCCAGCTTTTTAATATCAATTGACTCTAGGTAGAAAGGAAGCTGTTTCGCTGGCGTTCTTGACTTCTTTAAAGTACGCGGATCATATTTATTATCCGACAGCCGTCTCACTCGGCTCATGAATGCTTTTTTTGATGATTCTAAGACAGGCGTCTTTGTTTAGGTCCATACATTAATTATTGTTTGTTGAATATATGTGCATTTTCAATTTTTGAAATACTGATAGCATACACCCGCATGCAAATACGGATAGATATATCTATATATAAAGGGTTAGGGTAGTTGGAGCGTAAGATAGCGTTCCCCAAAAACAATTTTGCACAACTTATGTCTATCTCACTTGTAGGCCTAATACTATCCACAGCAGCCTTGATGTTCAGCGCCATGAGACATATGAGATGGGTGTTTGGCAGGCCAGCTAGGTCATCATTGAACGCACCAGTCAAGAAGATGAGTAGTACGCTTGCGACCCTGGAAGGTCATAAATACCCTGCAAAGCCGCATGCTTCTAAGGTTAAAGAGTTCTTTTTGGCGAAGAAGACAAATGCGCAACCAAGCAATACTGCTATTTTCATTGCTGGTGAACAGCTAGAAGCGATCAAATACTGTGACCAAACCAAACCATTCCGGCAGAACCGCTATTTCTTTTACCTAACTGGAGTAAACATTCCAGGAGCATCGGTTCTATTTGATTTCGCTACGGACAAGCTGACCCTCTTTCTGCCCAATATAGATCAGGACGATGTAATGTGGAGTGGTCTTCCAATGAGTTTGGAAGAAGCGCAAAAAAGCTTTGATGTAGACGAGGTTCTATTCGTGAAGGATTTGAGTGAGCAGTTAAAGAAGAAGCCCCACTATGAAATATACACCACAGACCTTGACCGTGTCCCTGATCTGCGGTTATTTGACAACTTGATCTCCTCAGATGAAGACTTATTTTATGCTCTAGATGAAGCAAGGCTAACGAAGGATTGGTATGAAATTCAGCTTTTGCGCCAAGCAGCGGAAATCACAGATAATTGTCACTTAGCAGTTATGTCTGCATTGCCAATTGAGCAAAATGAAGGCCATATGCACGCGGAGTTTACGTACCATGCTATCCGTCAGGGATCGAAACATCAGGGTTACGATCCTATTTGTTGTTCTGGCCCTAGCTGCAGTACTCTTCATTATGTCAAGAATGATGAAAATCTCGAACATAAACATTCTGTTCTAATTGATGCTGGAGCCGAGTGGCAAAATTATACAGCAGACGTGACGCGATGCTTTCCCATCAATGGTAAATTCACAAAAGAGCATCGCGAAATTTATGAAGCTGTATTAGACATGCAAACTCAAGTTATGAGTGAGATAAAGCCCGGCGTCTCATGGGAAAAACTACATCTTTTGGCGCACCGTGTGCTTATCAAAAGGTTTGTCAAGCTGGGAATTTTCAAGAGCAAGTTTTCCGAAGATGAGATTATGAGTAGAAAAGCGTCTCTTTCTTTCTTTCCTCATGGATTAGGTCACTTGTTGGGCTTAGATACCCATGACGTTGGCGGGCATGCTAACTACAACGATCCTGATCCATTACTTCAATATCTGAGATTACGTAGACCATTGCAAGAAGGCATGATAGTCACAAATGAGCCCGGAATTTACTTCAACCCCTTTTTGATTAAAGAGTACCTAGAGAAGCATCCGGAAAGACTGGAAGTCGTAAATCAAAACACAATGCAGAAATACATGTATGTGGGCGGTGTTCGTATTGAAGATGACATTCTGGTTACCAATGAAGGCTTTGATAATCTAACTGGCATAACCAGTGATCCTGATGAAATAGAAAAAATTGTATCAGAAGGCCTATCCAAGGGAAGATCCCACTTTCACGTAGTCGCTTAGCAACAACATAGACAAAAAGTTAAATTTCAGTTTTGAAAATAGTTGACGTTTTAATTTTAGCTGGCAGTGCAAGCTCGTTAGTGATCGTCGCTGCAGTACACCAGAAGGTGATCTGATAGTGAGATATCAAAAAAATAAATGCGAATTCTGTGGATCGAACACAGGACCTCCAGATTTCAAAGTGACCGAAGTTTTCTTCAGTCTGGCGCTCTCCCAACTGAGCTAAATCCGCTTTTTCATGATACACGTGGATGCACAGGGTGTCATGTTCTCGATTGACCGGTTGCAATTCGGTCTCGACTTCAATTTCAACATCGAGGACTTCTCCCAGTATCAAACTTTGACGTTTAAGTACCGCCTTGTTCCGTGGCTTGAAGAATTTTTTTTAAGGCCACGGTTCGACGTTCTTCAATAGAAAATGAGCACAGACAACTAACGCAACGACTCTTACGGCTTGCTAATATTTTCGAAAAATTTCTAGTCTCACATCGTAGTTTCTTCAATTTCTCTAGGTGATGAGTATGCTAACTTGTGTGGCGACCAGATTACGACTCTTATCACATATTTGAAAGGTTTCTTTTAGGCTGGCAATGTTTGGCTCATCATCCATTTCGCAACTACTCGATCGCCATAGCAGCATGTGTGCGTTATACTGTTAGGTGCGACTATCTAGATCATGTTTGAAAATCGAGCAGGTTTGTGAGTATTTGTTCTCGACGGTTGGATACTCATCAACTACTTCAAATTTTAATATCCATCAATATTAATCAACGATCTAGCAATAGCTACAATCGTCAGGCAACATGCGAGCAAGTGGTGATTGAAGCAACTTTGTAGTATTTGAAGTTTTTTGTATATTTTTCTGGTAGCGTAACCTGATATAACACCCAGCTACGAAAAGGCCACAATTGCTGAATTTTCTAGTGTTCTTTGGTGGGTTCTACAAATCAGTGACGCTATGAGAGGACGGCCTATGATCTGGCGTGCGGAAGTTGATGGCAGGCAAAATAAAAAAGTTCTCCTGTACCTTGGGGGGAACAAGTTCTTGTAATATTTTCCTTTGAGGATGTGAATGAAGATAGTTGAAGCACCTGGAAAGGGTGGAAGAGATGAAATTTGCCAAGATCTTCTTGCCGTGTTTCGCCCGAAATTTATGGGACGCGGGATCTCCGTTTTGAGAATAGGGTAGCGTTTCATCACCTCAAATCAAAAAGTCATCCTACTGTAATAGAGAACAATTTTTTCAGCCATAAATTAGTATGCAGCTTCGAAGAGGATCAGGTTTCGTATATCGTTAAAGCAGCGGTCTCCATAGTTTCGAGCTAGGTCGCTATGTTTATGATTCTGGAACATGTAAAATAGATCCATTTTGTTTTGGGGAAGCTGCTCCACGAGTTAGGCGTCAACGAGATCAACTGAGAAAGGAAGTGGATCTCAATCTCTTCGAATATGGCTACGGAAATAGTACAGTTGGGTGCTGCAGTGATTGTCCTTCAAAGACTTTGTCGTGCTGCAGTGATTGTTCTTCAAAGACTTTGTCGTGCAACTTTGCCAGTTCCGCTAAATGCATAAATTGCGTTCTGCGATGACAGCATACGCGATTTACGACAACGCAATATACTCAAATGGAGGATGTGTTGTGATTAAATTAGCATCGAGATTCGGTTCTAACGTTCACTTGCAAGTCAACAGACTTGCAAGCAGTTCGCATAAGCAGCTGGACTTATCTCTCCATGAGAACGTAATCTCATACATCTCGCATGTCATTTTGTACCGTCCTGACACGGTGTGAAAATCGACAAGTAACAGTAAGGAACGAGAAGGGTGCAAGTTGGGCGCAAGTGGGGTGCAACTGTGTCAGCCATTCTGTTATTCGATCATCGGCAGGTAACCAGTAGTGTCTAGACGACTTGTTTAGCGGCTATACCATATGAGCGCTCTTCTTCCATCAATGTCACGTTGTACTATTCTGTCATCGTCCAACTCGGCGCTGTCAACCCTCGCAGCGCAGCAATGTTTAAATAGGGGATAGAAGATTTCAAGAGAACACCGTTCGCATACGACTGCTGTCCCAGTCTTGTGCTGCTTGAGGCCGCCAAAAGAAAATCTTGAATCAAGGGGATTTTCCGAGACTTGTGCCTGAGTTCGCAGAAGAAAATCTCGATCCTGGAGCAAAGGTTTTTTTGCAGTATTGAAAAAGGCGCCCCACCCTATCGCATTGGGCTAAGACCATGCATCCCTCGGTGGGATTGGCCATCCTCCAACCGCACATAGAAATCGCAAGACACATAATATTTTAAGCACAGGAATCTCTCCCAAATTACCCGAACCACCCTCTCGACACGCTCATGAGAAACCCACCACACGTAAATCCACCTGGCGCGGCCTCTGCTCTGTCGTTTGCGGTCAAACTTGTCACGACAGCTGGGTGCGGTCCATTTCTTCGATGACAGACGGAGATTTGCGGGTATTGTAATGCGTACATAGTGATACAATGAACCCTGAGAAACCGTAGCTTGGACCTTCGCAACCGTCGCTGAGGCGCAAAAGTCCAAAAAAAAGTCAGATCATCACTTCCAGTAGTCGCAACGGAAATTATACTGTGCTAAAAAAAACCAAGGACTATCTCCTTCTTGCCGCCGTGGCGAAAACCTTCGGAGTTCGAGGGTTTACCATCATGAGTTTTTTGACCATAAATATTTGATATCAATCTGTTAGTTGGGCGTCCATCTGGGCCTCAGCATCCGCAACCGAATTGTCAAAAATCACTACGCTCTTCTAGAATTGTTGTGTCTTACTCTTTCTTTTACATCTTCGCTCACGGAAATTCTGGCACCAGCCTCAATTTCGGCTTCTTAAACTGAGCCGTCTGCACATCGTCACCTAACTTCTTTATTACAAACATATTTGGAATTATTTAGTATAGCGCCAGTGTTGTTAGTTCTACCGTTCCCGCTATTAGTCAAGTCGGAAATATTGAAGACGGCAGCGGATGCACAAATTTTCTTCAAGAAATATTTAGCCCGTTAATGGCCATCATGAAAATAAAGATGGACATGAGCGAAGGGCAGCTGCAGATAAATATATGTGTGTATATATATCAAGGCACATTCGACAAGAAGGAGAAAGATAGAAGTGGTTTGAAAGTAGTCAAGACTTTGTGAAGACCGAGTTATTGCCAAAGATCTAACGCTGGAAGCTGTGGTACGAAAGGAAAGAATAGTACGAAGTGACACGTACCCACTATTCAGCTGCAAAAGCAATAGAAAAATAATCGCAGGGTTATGAAATCAGACTCACAAAGCGGCTCAAGCGACAAGTCGCTGGCGCACGAACCCTCTTCGTTCGGCGCTGAACACCAAACAGAGGTGTTTCAAGACGCACCAGCCGGCGATGGCCAGTCGTCACGTGGCCACGTGACGCGGCTGATGATGCGCAGGACTAATTCCGGGACCGGCAACGAGGAGCTGGAACTGGACACAGACGTGCTCTCGCGGGTGGAAACGCTGGCACGCACACTCTCGAGCCATCGCATGCGCGACGGCCCCTTCCAGGTCGATCCAGACAACTTCGACGCCAAACAGATCATCGGTAGTTTCGTACGGAGCAGCGAAGAGCAAGGCATTCACCTCAGAAAGGCCGGTGTGGTGGCCGAGGATTTCACCGTGGTGGGCAAGGACTGCTCGTCTGCGGAGGGCCAGACATTCGAAGACATTTTGCTTCTTCCCAGAACCATTATCCGCGGAATTCGCGAGGCCAAGAACGGCAAGACCAGAGACATTGTAAGAAACGGCAATCTGCTTGCGAGGCCAGGTGAGATGATCCTGGTGCTTGGTAGACCCGGTGCCGGTTGTTCCTCGCTTCTCAAGACCATTTGCGGTGAGACCTCCAAGTTCGAAGAGGTTCGCGGCTCCATAACATATGACGGAATTCCTCAGAAAGAGATGATGAAGAAATACAAATTTGACGTTGTCTACAATGGTGAAATTGACGTGCATTTCCCGCATTTAACCGTGCAGCAAACTTTAGACTTCGCGCTTTCGTGTACCACTCCAAAAGTTAGAGTCGATGGCATGTCCAGATCTGAATACATCACCGCCATGCGGGAATTGTACGGTACAATCTTTGGGTTGAGACACACTTACAACACCAAAGTCGGAAATGACTTCGTGAGAGGTGTCTCTGGTGGTGAACGTAAACGTGTGTCCATTGCCGAAGCACTTGCCGCTCGTGGTTCGATTTACTGTTGGGATAACGCAACCAGAGGTCTGGATGCCTCAACTGCACTAGAGTTTGCGCAAGCCATTAGGCTAATGACCAACTTGCAAAAGTCTGTGGCCATGGTAACCATTTATCAAGCCAGTGAAAATATATACTGTTGTTTCGACAAAGTGACTATCCTCTACGAGGGTAGACAGATTTACTTTGGTGAAACCGAAGATGCCAAGACTTATTTTGAAAAGTTAGGTTACAGGTGCCCCGCCAGACAATCTACACCTGAATTTTTGACTGCTCTCACTGACCCAAGGGGTCTTCATGAGTATGTTCCAGGTTTCGAAAATAAAGTTCCTAGAAGTGCTGACGAGTTCGAAAAATGCTGGATCGAGTCTCCAGAATTTCAACAAATGAAGAAAGACATTCAAACTTACAAACAAGAGACCGAAGGTGAGAAAACCCAAGAGCTTTTTGACAAATCACTTGCACAAGAGAAATCAAAGTTCTCACGTTCCAAGTCTGCTTATACTATTTCTTTCATGGAACAAGTAAAGCTTTGTACCCGCCGTGGTTTTCAGAGAATTTATGGTGATAAGGCATTTACGGTCACAAATGTTATCGCCTCTACTATTCAAGGTCTGGTGACTGGTTCTTTATACTACAACACTCCCTCCGGTGTCTCAGGCGCGTTCTCAAGAGGTGGTATTTATTACTTTTCCATCTTGTATGCCTCTTTAATGGGGCTTGCGAAGATCAGTTTGGAGAGCAGGTCAATTATGGAGAAACACAAGACCTATTCCCTATACCATCCGGCCGCAGAAGCGTTTGCGAGTTCGGCATCAGAATTTCCTTTCAGATTTCTCAGTCAAACAGTATTCTACATTCTCCTGTTTTTCCTCTCTGGTTTAACTAGAAATGCAGGTAGATTCTTTACCTCTTTTCTTTTCCTTATCGTTTGTGCCGAAGCTATCAATGCTTTGTTTGATATGATTACTGCCTTTAGTGCTTCTGTTTCACAAGCAAATTCGATTTGCGGTGTTACTCTAATGGCCTTGATCTTGTATTCTACCTATATGATTCAGCTGAAAGCCATGCACCCCTGGTTTAAGTGGATATCCTATGTGATGCCCATCAGATACAGTTTTGAGAGTATGTTAAACTCTGAATTTCACGGTAGAGAGATGGATTGTTCTGGAAATGTCATTCCTTCAGGGCCCTCTTATGCCAGTACTTCTACCAGTAATCAAGTTTGTGCATTTATCGGTTCACGTCCAGGCCAATCATATGTTCTGGGTGATGACTATCTCGAAGGAAAGTTCCAATATAAATACAGTCACACCTGGAGAAATCTGGGTTTCGTCTTTGCATTTTTGGCTTTCTATCTGTTTGCTAAATGTGTCATTACTGAGCTCAGACCACCATCCTCAGGTGGGGGTGATACCCTAGTGTTCAAAAAAGGTGCAAGAAGATCAACACATAAATCAGACGAAGAAAACACAGAAAGCTCAGTAACTATGTCTGAGGCCAAAAAGAATCTAGATTCTGGCAGCGGGGCTTCTTCGGATGGTTCTGATATTTTCGATACCTTGAAAAGTGAAGGTGTTTTTCTATGGAAGGATGTTTCTTACATTATCCCATACAAAGGTACCACCCGTAAACTACTTGACGACGTCAGTGGTTACTGTGCTCCGGGTTCACTCACTGCTTTGATGGGGGAATCCGGTGCAGGTAAGACCACGCTGTTGAACACTTTGGCTCAGAGAAATGTGGGAATAATAACTGGTGATATGCTTGTGAACGGGCATCCAATTGACGCTAGTTTTGAAAGACGCACAGGCTACGTTCAACAACAAGATGTCCATGTCAAAGAAATGACTGTAAGAGAGAGCTTCCAATTTGCTGCTAGATTGCGCAGACCTCAGTCTGTTTCAGAGGCTGAAAAACTAGAATACGTTGAAAAAATCATTGAAATCTTGGGTATGGGAGACTATGCAGATGCTCTTGTCGGTGATGTAGGTTACGGACTAAATGTTGAACAAAGGAAAAAAGTTTCGATTGGTGTTGAATTGGCTGCCAAACCGGATCTCTTGTTGTTTTTGGATGAGCCTACTTCTGGTTTAGATTCTCAATCGTCTTGGGCAATTGTTCAAATGCTAAGAAGATTAGCAGAGGCAGGGCAGTCGATTTTGTGTACTATTCACCAGCCTTCAGCAACCTTGTTCGAGCAATTTGATAGACTATTGCTACTAAAGAAGGGTGGCCAGACAGTGTATTTTGGTCCAGTTGGAAAAAACTCGCAGGATCTGCTGGAATACTTCGAAGAAAATGGCGCCAGGAAATGTGAAAGATCTGAAAACCCTGCTGAATATATCTTAGAGGCCATTGGTGCTGGTGCTACGGCGTCTGTAAAAGAAGACTGGCACGACATTTGGAATAGATCGCGCCACTTTAAAAAAGCTAACGAAGAAATTGAGGGCTACTTGAATGAGTTCAAAGAAGGAGGCACCTCAAATGACCATGATAGGACGATTTCCAAATATGCTACCTCTTACTCTTATCAATTCAAGGTGGTCTATGCTAGAACCTCAGCCATCATGTGGAGAGACGTGGAGTATTTGATGGCCAAAATGATGTTGCACTTCGGCGCTGGTCTGTTTATTGGTTTCACCTTCTGGAACGTGGGGACCAGCTACACTGGGTTGCAGAATACCATGTTTGCCGCATTTTTAGCCTTGATTATTTCAGCACCAGCTATGAACCAGATTCAAGCTCGTGCCATCGCATCTCGTGAACTATTCGAAGTAAGGGAATCTAAATCAAATACTTTCCATTGGATCTTCCTCTTAATCACGCAATATTTGTGCGAACTGCCCTTCCAATTAGTGTTTTCGACAATTTTCTTCGTTGGGTTTTACTTTCCTTTGAAGGTTCATTACGAGGCTAAATTTGCTGGAAACTTCTATTTGAATTATTGTATCATGTTCCAAATGTATTTTGTTGGTTTAGGTTTGATGCTTCTTTATGCCGCTCCTAATCTGGCATCGGCCGGTGTTATGTTAAGTTTGTCTTTGTCATTCTTGATCTCCTTCTGTGGTGTCGTTCAGCCAGCTAGTCTCATGCCCGGATTCTGGACATTTATGTGGAAAGTTTCTCCCTACACTTACTTTGTACAGAATACTGTTGGCATAGTTCTCCATGACAAACCTGTCATCTGCTCGTCGGATGAAATGTCTTACCTCAATCCACCAGCGGGACAGACTTGTGGAGAATACATGAAAGATTTCCTATCTACGGCTTCGGGCTATATTTACAACCCTGATGCCACCGAAAATTGTGGCTACTGCGTTTTCAAAGTCGGTGACGACTATTTGAGCCAAATTGGTGCCAGTTACAGCAACATCTGGAGGAACTTCGGGTTTTACTGGGTTTACATCATCTTCAACATATTCGGCATGATCACACTTTACTACATCTTCCATGTCAGCTCTTTCTCTCTGAAGGAGACAAAACTGGGCAAAGCCATTATGGGAAGATTAAAGAAAGAATAGCTTCCGTCAATTAATAGACTAGATACCCAATTTAATTAGACATTTAAAGTCCTTACTTAAGCATGCATATTGAGACGTAGTCTTTGCCCTCCACTTTATGTTGGTTTGCAGTTAACAAAGTCTAAGTCTTAAGCTCGTTGGAATTCCTACGAACACATGAACAAAATTAAGGAAATAATTGGTCTTCTTGCGTACTAAAAACAAAAATACAAAGACCATCAAGAATATGGTTGCTGGCAATGTCAAATACGTGCGAGGCAATTGCCTTGCAGCATCTATTTCTCACCAACGCATTTTGATACATTCTTGTAATTGTAATGGCTCATGGGGTGGAGGAATTGCATATCAATTGGGCGTTAAGTACCCTCAAGCTGAAAGCGATTACATTGAAATTTGTGAGAGGTATGGCTCAAGACTTTTGGGCAAGTTTGTATTACTTCCTAGCTACACAGATTCTACATTGCTAATTGGCTGTCTCTTCACTGCGTCGTTTGGAGGACCTAATCAAGGTTCCAGCGAGAGCATCCTAAATTACACCAGACGTGCCTTAGAGGACATGAGAGTTAAGCTGGCAACAGAAGAAAAGCCCAGTGATGAAATTGACGTATTTTCTGGCGAGTATATCAATAAATTCAAAAATAAATTGCGAAGCGCAGTGTCTGATTACTCACTTGAGATGCCGCAGATTAATAGCGGGATATTTGGGGTTCCATGGCCGAAGACAGAAACCTTGTTAAAGGACCAGAGTACTCTTTCTTTCTCCGTCTATGTAATTTGAGAAGGGCACTCGTAGCTGATGGGCAGCCGCAATCCATTTTTAATAATATATATATACATAATGCAAGTCTCGAAACAACCTTTGTTGAATCCTCATTTATCAATGCCGTTGCTCAATCAAAACTACGTTTTCATTGCTCAAAAAGAGCGGTGATCGTCTCTGTCAGAATTGCTTACCTCGGGCATGAGATCTAAATTTAAGATCGAGCCTAATCTCGAATGTTGACCTTGACCTTTGGCTTTCATGCGCTCTTCTTTCTCAAACTCTCTCCAGGTGCGCATCCTAATCTTTGAATGATCAAACTCCCCTACCTCTTCATCATGCGCGGCTGATTTGTTACCACCAGCAATCGTTCTAGTATCACCCCAACTGAAGTCGTCGAATTTCCAATAGGCATAAACAGGAAGCACGAAATTCCAGATAGGGAGAGCAATAATGTAAATAATCATCCAGCCTAGGTATGACCATCTGCTTGCCGTGACCACAATGAGAAGACCAGGGAGACCTAGAATGACACCCAATAAGACCAATGTGATAATAGGCACAGGGCGGGACACAATTGCAAAAATAATCACGTAAATGGTGAAACAGATAGCTAATGGCAATACCAGGGTACCAACCAATTCCATGCCGATGACAAACTGCATCGAAAAGCAAAAGCTCCCACACAAATCTTTGATCAACACAAGTTCCATCAAATTATGGACAGTTGAGTTAATCCATCTTCTCCGCTGCGACAAAAGAACGCTGAAGCTATTAGGGACAATCGTTTTACAGGCAGCTTTAGGTAGAAAAACCTGTTTGCGCTTAGGAAATGTTCTCAACATGAGAGAAGACAAAAATCTGTCTTCACCCAGCAAAAGCAAATTTTTCTTATGCAGAGTGCCAGTATCATTGTCCGAGTATCTTTCCACAATATCAGGATTGGCCAAGATAGGCACCCAGTATCCATCTGCACCCTTTGGAGCTTTGATCCTGTAAATAGAGAAACATCCCGGCAAACAGGTCACACTTCCAAAAACGGACTCGAAAGCCTTTGCCTGGTGATGAGAAATGTAATATTCAAATACCTGAATCCAAGAAACCCACGATTCACCTTTATTAGCGATTTTTGTCTCACCACACAGGCCCATAATTTCTGGGTCTTTTACCATTTCAGCAGCCATGTGAGTCAGGGAATCGGGGAATACTTTAGTGTCAGCGTCGACCATGAGTACCAACTCGTAAAAATCAGCCATAAGTCCAGTTATCTGCCAGATATTCTTCAGCAATTGATACTCGAATACTGTCATTCTTTCTTCGAAAGTTAGTCTCTGTAAGAAAGACATCAAGATCACTTGAGAATCACGCTTACCTCTGTTACCAGGTTTCATGGAACCCTGCTCATCAGGCGTACCGCACTTGACAATTACTATCATAGGAACCCGTTGCTGGAGCTCAGGCTCAATGGAAGAGTTATCATACCTGTAAAAGCCAGCGTAGATTTTGGCCATATTGTGTCTTTTAGACCCAGAAGCTACGGCCACGTACGAATGAGGCTCTACCTCTTCTGGGGGAACGACGAAGTCGTCAACCATGCTTAAAGCTATTTCAGGAGTGGTCAAATCGTTACCAGAACCCTTGATAAGACCATCACAAACAACCATGATAAGTTTATGCGAGTTTGGGTAATCAGTGGTAGCCAAAGAATCTAGAGTTGTTCTCAGACCTTGTTCGTCTTCAGAGTAACACGTCACAAAACATATGGTGTGGATCAGCGGATAGGTAGTGGGCATAAAATCAACTGGAGGTTGCGCGACAACATCTGGATGAATAATTGTGGCATCCAAGGTTTCCAGATTATTACTCGAGGAAATCAAGTCATTTGTAAAAGGAGACTGAAATGCAGAAGTGCCTTGAATCGGGTCGGCAGGGTTTGGCTTCAAATAGGATTGTGTTGTCATAGTAGTCATACCGCGAAACTTATCATTGGGATCATCTGTTTTGTCATTGAGAAGCATCATAGAGTTACGCCTAATGAGATCAAATGCAGAAACCCTTCGTTGGCCACCCGACCTCATGCTTGGGTCAATTTTTTTGATCGGTCCTCTAGCGTTTATGTTCTCGGACCAATCCTCGATATCTTTAGCATGCTGATTCATGGTCTTGTTGCTTACAGTGTAAGCTCCTTGTTTTCTAGCCACGACCCAGCGGAAGTAACAGGAAATAAAGAACTTGATGAAAACCACTGACAGAATGAAAACTAAGGAAATGTACAGTACAACTTGAGATGCGAGACAACCGATAGTTGACGAATCAATCTCACCAACTCTTATGATTTCTGATAGACACCGAGCGGCACTTCTTTCGAAAGAGTCCGATAAAACCAGGGAAATATCATAGCCTTGCAGTTTCGCATCTCTTAGTTGATCGAATAGGGATGGATAGTCAAGATCATCAGTTTGAAGCCAATTCAATAAGTCCAAATCTAGGACATGACCATTATAAACTACTAGGTTTCGAGTTGAGTTTTTTATGTCATCCCAAGTGTAGTATACTTCAGCCGCAGCATCAAGCGAGTAGTATGCATCACGAGCATCCTGCGAGGTATGACAGGCCCAACCGTCATAATACTCACTTACTGTGAAATTTGGCTTCGTCGAGCCGTCTTGAGCAGTCAGTTTACAGGGAAAATACCAAGCCAAATCTTCGTCATTGTCGTAGGGGATACTGCAGTTGTCTTTTGGTGTGATGAGACCCTTACAGTTACCATTGACATTTTGAAACAAAAAGGAAGCGTCCATTCCGCCAGCATTGATGGGAGGGTACAAAACGTTGGTGCCACTTTCAATGCCAGCCGCAGCTGGATGCGACGACGAATCAAGATCGTAGGACTTACCATTGATGATCAAATAGCTGCCGGAAACTTCATTGTTCCGAAGACGTAGCACTTGACTGCCGCAAACAGTCTTCGTAAAGCCGAAGGTCAAATAGGCAACAATGGTGCCGGCATAGAATATCACCGACAACAACGCGATTTTTTCTCTCCAGGCAAATTGACGTTCCTTCTTAGCCATTCCAAAAAGCGACAAAAGAGGCGCAGGCGCCCAGAAGGTAATAATGTAGCAGTACACCTGCCAAATCGACAGAGATGTGGGGGGTTCCTTTGTAGGCGCGCTCTTTTTTTTACCGCGACCCATGTCTTCGAGCGGAATTGACTCTTGGACCTGAACCTGGCCATTTTCACGCTGCTGTTGTGCTTTTTGCGCGTAGTAGTGGTGCGGATTTGCCGGGTTTGTGAAATCATTCCTGTCCCGTCTCACCAGAGATTCTCCCCTCTGAAGATTCCCATTGGCACTGTTCCTTGATCGCAGCAACGATTCGTTATCGAAAGCATAATATTCGTCGTCTGCTGCCATTGTGGAATGCTTCAGCGGCTGAGAACTAGAACGCTTCGAGTGTCAGGAAAGCTTCGAACTGTCTGTAACTTTTTTTCAGGTTCCTGTTTTTAGAAGTTGATCCAAAGAATTTTTTCTACGCGCCGATTCGGCTACTTTGGTGTCAGTGCGGGAAAAAGTGATAGCGGAGTTCAATCTATCCAGACACGCGTCGTAGAAGGCGCCTGAGAAGCAAATGGAATACGCAAACTACTGGCGCAAGTCTGGAATGTTCTGAAGTTTAGTGGAAGCCGTTTGTCGGCGAGAGACCGAAAATAGCGTTTCCTACGAAATCTCGCTTTTAAATTAATCATTAATTCCGAGGCGAACTTGCAGTTGTTATTCGAAATTAAGTCGAGAAACGACTAGATAAAACGTCCGATTCACAGCTTCCACAACTCGACCGAACTCTAGGCAGAGAGTTGCGGTATCGATGCCGCGAAGCTACGTAGTCAGCTCTTTGGTGCTGAAGAAGCTTTCATCTTCATTTATTCAGTGTTTTATGTAAGCGTAACCAAAGACTATCACTATCGAGCTAGCACTCCGAACTAGATAACGGGGACCAGCAACACTCTGACGCTCAGCTGTGAAGCTAGTGCACCGCAGGTTGTGCTCAAAGCATGCCGTGAACCCGTAGCCAAAGAATAGTTTTAACAGACTCGAACGACCTGGTCGTGGTGCTCTTCAAATGCGGGTACCATGGCAAGCGGATTGAATATGCAGGAAGATCGGCTATTTAGGAAGCCTGTCCCGATCTGCACTTCTTGCTCGTTATCCTCATGCCCGCCGTCCCCCATCCTGTCTTTTTTTTGGATTTAAGATTTCGATAAAGCAGTTAACAGGCACCGCCAATTATTTTATCGGGCTGTACTTGCGTACAGCTTTTGTTCCCCCCCCCGGAAGGTTTGGTTTCCCGCTTTCATTGCTCGTCCTGAATTGCCAATCTGAAGTATTTTTACTATCTTCTTATCATTCCCGACCGGAAAAAAAACCATCGTTTTCGTTTATCTTATCAAACATTGGCATTGTAAGTGAACTGGATCGTAATATACTTAAATAGTGGCTTCTCTAGCGATTGTGTAGTTTTCTCTAGATCTCCACGCAAGTAACTCATAGCTCAGCTAGATTTTCTCCTCCCAAACATGTCTCAAGATAACTCTATCACCACAGCAACAAAAACCACCGCTTCTGGCACCTTGAACATCCCAGCAGCGGCTCCATTGAGCATTGTGCCAGGCAGACTAAATCAAACCATCTTGGAAACTGGATCGACCCACGGGGGAGTAGCCAGATGGGGCGATTCTCCACACGAATTTGGAATGCGTAGGCTAGCAGGCAGCCAAGAAGACGGCGCGATGAGAGATTGGTTTATCGGAGAGTGTAAATCTTTAGGTTGTAGAATCAAGATCGACCAAATTGGCAATATATTTGCGGTTTTCCCAGGAAAAAATGGGGGCAAGCCCACCGCCACGGGTTCCCACTTGGACACTCAGCCTGAGGCCGGCAAATATGATGGAATCCTGGGTGTCTTGGCCGGCCTGGAAGTGTTGAGAACCTTCAAAGAAAACAATTACGTTCCCAACTACGACGTTTGTGTTGTGGTTTGGTTCAATGAAGAAGGTGCGCGTTTCGCAAGATCCTGTACGGGATCCAGCGTTTGGTCTCACGATCTGTCACTGAAAGAAGCCTACGAGCTAATTTCTATAGGTGAGACTGAACCAGAATCGGTGCACACGTCCTTGAGTAAGATTGGATATATCGGTGACACCCCTGCCTCATACCAAGAAAACGAGATCGATGCGCACTTCGAACTGCACATCGAGCAGGGCCCTGTTTTGGAGGACGAACAAAAGTCTATCGGTATAGTGACAGGCGTGCAAGCATACGAATGGGAAAAAATTAGTGTCTTTGGTGTGGGCGCCCATGCAGGAACCACGCCTTGGAGGTGCAGAAAAGATGCGTTGTTGGCATCAGCTAAGATGATAGTCGCTGCGGCCGAAATCGCCAAAAAACATCAAGGCCTCTTCACTTGCGGTATTATTGACGCTAAGCCTTATTCTGTGAATATTGTTCCTGGCGAAGTTACCTTTACGCTTGATATGAGGCACCCTTCTGATGAAATTTTGGCAAAGGCCCTATCTGAAACACACGCTGAATTTAATCGTATTGTTAAGGATAATGTCGCTGGCGCTCTATCTTACTCGAAAGAAATATTACAAGTTTCACCTGCGGTGAATTTCAATGAAACGTGCATTGAGTGTGTATCGCGATCCGCCTTTGCTCAATTCCCTAAAGACAAAGTTCGCCAAATTTGGTCTGGCGCCGGACATGACTCTTGTCAAACTGCACCTCATGTGCCTACTTCTATGATTTTCATTCCTTCGAAAGATGGGCTTTCTCACAACTACTATGAATATTCATCACCTGAAGAGGTAGAAAATGGTTTCAAGGTTTTGATGCAGGCCATTATTAACTATGATAATTTTAGAGCTATCAGAGGTCATTGATTCTAGACTGGTATCTTTGTTTATTAATATATTCTAGTCCGTTAACTATTCTACACTTTACTAGGTTTGCGGAACCATGTTTTGACGCTTGGAATATTCAGAGATCCACTATCTTCTGCTTTGTGCTTGAAGCTTACCATTGCTCGCAAATATTTCATAAACAAGAACAAAATCGAGCCTATGGCTCTGAAAGCTGCCAATACGGCGACTGACCACAGGATGAAAGTCAGGTATTTGTTTTTAGCTGTATCCTCTGGACCATAAATTTGTGTGATAACCATCATGAGAACCAAGTTCGACAGCATCCAAAGCATTACAATACGAGTCCTGATATCGCGATAGTAGTCATTATTTCTTTGGGCCTCGTCCACCTTAGGTTCAATGATTTCTTGTTCTTTAAGCCTGTTTTTGATTTCGGCAAACTTCTTGTCCACTTCTTGAGGCCATTCTGTACCTTCGACAATTTGCTGTCCGTTAGGACCTTGTTTCACTGTGGCTTCAGATTTGGGTTTGGAATCTTGGGTGGAACCTTTGGTACCCCAAGAAACGTCATGAGTATTACAGAATGCGAAAATCTGCAACGTGCAAATGAATGACGGAAGCATCAACAAATATTGTATGAATGATGTGATCAAATGCCAAGGGTCAAGATATAGGATCGAAGTGAACGCGTAAAGGCCGTAGGTGGATAACAGAGATACCACGATATTGACAAATACCATACTGCTTGAACTAGGATCTTTGAGAGTTTTGATGGAGAAGACGAATCCACAAATCAGAGCGTAGGTAGAACATATCGACAAAATTACCATAGAAATGATAAACAAGTGATTGGCGCCTTGTGGTCGATTGCCCATAGAGATAATGAAAAGTGCTGCCAAGTCGCATATAACCAGATACTTGAAGAATATGAACAAGATATCCCCATGCTTCATCAGGTTGTTCATCGAACCAGCTAAAAAGTAGAAGGTCAAGAAAAAGTTGGAAATCGAAAACCATGAGAATAACATTTGGACAAATTGATAAAAGAACTCCAAATGGAGAAATGCTTTTCTTGTCGCTGAATGTTTAGTTTTCCATATTTGTGTAAAATGCAACTGTGCATAAAGAGCCGCAAACATCGCACCGTTCAACCAACGTCTTCTCTGAGAAATGAACTCTGGAGGTTCCTCAGGGACATCTGTCTCACCTGTTGCTTCCTTGACGTATTTTAATATCCATTTGGCATTCCTTTTCGCCACTAATTCCCAACATAATATCCTGTCCTCCGCCAGGTACATATTTGCAGTGAAAACATCATGCTGGCGACCTTGCTGAGTTTCACCGAGAAAATATGAATTCAAAGGACCTGTTCCATCCTCATGATTTTTCAAAGCACGATAGCGATAGGCTGATAAGGCACCAGGTAGCACAGATATGTACCCAAACACACTTTCAAGTGGCTTATCCAAAATGTTCGACATCTTGTATTCGAAGTTTTGAGAGGCAACTAGTGGATTCAAAAGCTTCACACCCCATTTACCTTTCATCGTCTTAATCTGACCAGCAGCACCAGCGACATTTGAGTCTCTATCAAAGGCTTTCCATAGATGATAAATTGCAGTATCATTCAACTTCGTGCCCACGTCAACTAAGACGACGACTGTTGGGTCTAAAATGGGACAGAAGGCATTGAATAACCAACGATGAGAATTGATCTTTTTTTGATTTTCTTCTTTCAGACAAAAGACAATTTGCACTGGCACAACGTCCTTACTAACATAGTCCAAGTCGCCGTCGATTGATACCTGGGTCGTAAGTTCAAAAATATGCGACTTGACGGGCTCACCATTAACTGAGGATTTGGCCATATCTTCTTGGTAAACACCTAGAGCACTCAAATAGTCTAAAGAGCCTTTATTGATGTTGTTCCTACCATCACTAACGATAATGACCTGTATTTTCTTCCACCCATTTGGACCCCACACATGAGACTTTTTACGCTTACACATATGTGCGACATTCCTCATAATGGAGTGCAAGGTCCTGGATAGCGCAAATTTGTCCTCGTTGTACATAGTAATGCAAATTGCGATTTGGCATTCCCGACTCATTTCTGCAAACCTGAGTGAATAGCCTTCATCGACATAGCTATCAGGCTCAGAAGTACACGCCGTATATCTCATCTCTGTGTACTCAGGGGAATCGCGTCTGGGCAAGACCTCCAACAAGCCTCTAGGAATTGGATTGTCCAATTTCAAAATGTTCTTTTTGATAGTAACAGGAGGCGGTTTTCTAATCTCTGATTTTCCGCGTCTGATGTAATTACGCTGTGGGTGGTTGACTTGAAATTGCGTTTGTTCAAAAGTATCACCCGAATAAACAGTGCTACCATCGTCTAAAGACTTGCGGTAGCTTTCGAAAGAATAGTTAGATCTTTCACCATTAGAGGTATTTCTGGAAGGAGAGCCCATATCTTTCTGTGCATAAACATCGTACAAATCATCCACTTCTTCATCGGAACATTGGTCAATCTCGATAACTGCGCGACCATTGCGCTTAGGGGACTCTTGCATATTAGTAGCGTAGCGATCCTGGCGTAAAGGGGTATTTGGAGTGCTATCGCGCGCAAACATGTTTCTGCGCTGCGGAGAGTATTTGGCTGCGGCTTTGGAGGGAGAAGGAGGCTGAACCGCGGCAGCTGCTGGGAACCCTTGGAAAGCGGTAGACAGATCGTTTTCATTGGCCGAGTAGTCGGAATACTGGGCTCTCCAAGGAGAATGCTGTCGTCTAGCGGCAGGCTGAGGTGATCTTACCGGTGATCTTACCGGTGATCTTACAGGTGATCCATTTTGGGGATCGACCATGAAAGGATTGTAGTCCATTGCGTACAGATCCCGAAATAATTCGTTCTCTAGCTACTAGGAGAGACTATATCAACTGAAGTAGAGAGAGAGAGAGGGAGCCCTGGAAGAATTGCCGTCTTTTTTCCATTTTTATTGACCAAATATTTGGCAATTCCCGAAATGGCAATCCATAAATATGGAATTATCAAGCCGCATGCGAAAACACGTCAATCACCGCCTTGGAATGCTGAGCACATCCAACCAGGGCCCAGATTTGCAGCGTTAAACGCAAATTGACTTTGTGATGGTAACGAAACCGAACTTCCCTAGGAGACGATATACTAAAAAAGTGAGAACCTATGTGATGAGGAGTATACCGGTTGCGCAGGTTAAGAACTATTGTTATTCCTGATTCCACGAACTTGAAGAATCTAGGTATCAGTCATTGTAAGCGATGAAGTGCTTCGTGACTAGAGAAGCCTTTTTTTCAAATTCAGACAACAGAAAGAGATATCGAGGAACACCTCCTTCAATTAATTAAACCGGGGTTCGTTATGTTTTTCAAGTCGTTGAATATGATATTGGAGGCTGTCTTGACAACTTAGCCGCCGTGTTTTACAGAGATTTCGAGAAAATGTGAAGAAATGATCGATAGTTTGAGGTAGATGATAGAAGCTGGAGAGGATCAGAGACCAAATCAACTGGAAGGCAACGATTCGATCTTGCTTGACAAAAAAACTGGAAGTCTGGAGCTTAGCTCACTTACCATGATATTTCGAAGAAGTATTTAGGGAATTGTATCTTATCTGTGTGCTCTCGTCACCAAAAAAGACGGCAAAAGTGGTCAGTGGGTAGCATGAGGTTCTTGTTAATATAGTTATAGTCCGTCATGGTTTTATTGGAGGCTGTCCAGGAGGCTGATAGACAATGAGCAGACCAAGCCTCTGTAATTTCCATTATTTAGCTTTCGCTTGCTCTCCAAAAGGCTTGAGAGCTAATTAAAACCAGTATTCTCTACGGAAAGCAATGCCCAAATTGTCGCTTCTTTGCGTGTGAGCAGTGATAGTGCTGAGATGGATACTGACACAGTAGTACAAAATGATATGAATAAAATAAGAGCGCTAAGCCTTTGGCCAAAGGCGATAAACAGGTGGTATAGACTTCACTGATAACTTGAAGATGCTGGCGGATTTTTAATGGCGCTTAGATTGCCAATATTAATTTACGAAATGGCGGCTTCGAGCGCATCCCCTCCCCCCACCAACATTCTTCTCACTTCTTATTTACATCTCACAGAGTTATGAATTACCGTCGCTCTCTTCCGTGACGAAACCTCGATGTTGTACCCAAGGACTGGCGGAGATATATTTGCGATGTTCATTTCTTACAAGGTTGGCTCGTTCAATCAAGTAGGGAGGAACTAAGCGACGGTGTTAGCAATCTCTTCATTGCTGAAACAGGATCGCTTCATAGCTTAAGGCATGCATCCCCGAAGTTAGTCAAGAGGCCTGCAGATATACTTATGTATACGCAATGAAAATCCAACAGCGCCGCTGCTAAGTGATTTGACATGGCAATTGATGCCGCTATCATCGGCAAATATTTTTCGTAGCCTCACAGAACACTCAATCAAGACTGCACTGGAAAGTATAGCTTGAAGATATCTAAAGATTTCAAGACGTTTTTCTGGCCCTCACACTTCATACTGAGAAAGGGTACCTTCGTCTAACGTGATTTACAAATCCATTTTGAGCAGGGAATTTACAGACGGACATCCTGATGAGCAGATTAAGTTAAGTTCTTTGGAGCACTTAAATATTCAGACAGACCACAGCTATCAACTACGCTTCTCATCCTGCCATGCTCTCTAGGATAGGTGTATTCACGGCTTTGAAAAGGTCAAGCCAGATTCCAAGGGTTGGAAGCAGAGCACTATCAGTGTCTCAGGGCTTATACAACAAAACAAATGATAAAATCGTACAAACTCCAAGCACCACTCAAACAGATGACGCTCCCAGACGCAAGCCCTTGAGCAGGATAGCGATAGGTGGAACTTCCAACCAATCCCAAAGGAATAGCAGTGGGTCTATTGAGTTCGCAACATGGAAAGCAGCAGCATTGGTGTTGACCATAGGTGGAACTCTGTATTATTTCTTCGCCAAGGAAAAGAGAAGACTAGAAATTGAGAAAGAAGCAGAGGCCAACAGAGGCTACGGTAAGCCTTTGGTGGGCGGACCTTTCAAGCTTACGGACTTTAACGGCAATGAGTTTACGGAACAGAACCTCTTGGGAAAGTTTTCGATACTTTACTTTGGGTTTTCTCATTGTCCCGACATCTGTCCCGACGAACTTGACAAATTAAGCTTGTGGCTTGATGAGCTCAAGAAGAAGGGCATTGAAATCCAGCCCATTTTTATTACTTGTGATCCAGCGAGAGACCCTCCACACGTTCTTAAAGAATACTTGGCCGAATTCCATCCAGACCTTATCGGCCTCACGGGTGATTACAACGCTGTCAAACATGCTTGCAAACAGTACCGAGTATACTTCTCAACGCCGGCCACTTTAAAACCTGGCCAGGATTATCTAGTTGATCACTCCATTTTCTTCTACCTAATGGATCCTGAGGGACAATTCATCGATGCCCTCGGAAGACAGTACGACGAAAAGACAGGTGTGGCAAAAATACAAGAACACGTTAACGCCTACGTGCCTAAGGACCAGCGTGAAAAACGCAAGGACAAATGGTATTCGTTTTTGTTCAACTAGAAGCTCGATACCCATATAATTCCTTGCGCGTTTCGTTGTCGCCTCTTGTAAATACTCTGAACGAATTAGACGTGAATAAAAAGTACACATAAGCTTAATATTATGAACCCTTTATAAAATTACGAGGGATTTGCCTAGTTCTTACCAGCACCAGATCTGAAGTAAATAACATCACCATCTTCTACAACATATTCTTTACCCTTTTGTTGCATCTTACCAGCTGCCTTGATAGCAACTTCGTCCTTGTATTCAACAACGTCTTCGTATTTCATCACTTGTGCAAGAATGAAAGTGTTCATCAAATCATTATGAATGACACCAGCGGCTTGTGGAGCTTTGGTGCCTCTTCTGATAGTCCATTCACGAACTTCATCAGGACCACATGTGAAGAAAGAGATCAGATCCAACTTTTGTCTCATGGTTGTGACAATCTTTGGTAGCGAAGAGTCAACACCCAAGCTCTTTAGTTCTTCGTCGGCTTCTTCCAAGCTCATGTGAGATAGTCTTTCTTCCAAACAAACGGAGAATGGAATGACCAAATCACCTGGAGAGTAGGTGTCAATCCACTCCTTGATTCTCATGAGATGCTTGTTTTTCTTTCTAATGAAGTCCTTTTCGGACAAGTTGATCAAGTAGATAGAAGGCTTGGCTGTCAACAAAAACATGCTGTTAATGATTTCGACCTCCTTAGTAGACCAAGAGTGGTTGGCGACTCTTTGACCGGTCTTCAAAAGCTCGATGATTTTTTCCACCAAGGCAGCTTCTTCCTTCTTTTGCTTGACCTCTAAAGATTGACCACCTCTTCTGGTGATTTTGAAAATACCTTCCAAATGCTTCTCAGAAAACTCGATATCCTTGAGCCTCAATTCGGTGTTGATAATGTCCAAATCACGTACTGGATCCACGTCACCTTCGATGTGAATGATCTCGGCGTCGTCAAAACAACGCACAACCTGGTAGATAGAATCCACGGATCTGATGTGTGACAAAAACGCATTACCTAGACCTTCACCGGCAGAAGCACCTTTGGTCAACCCGGCAATATCGTAAACAGTCAAATGAGCAGGGACTTTCGACGCTGGCTTGTAGATTTCACTAAGCTTGTCGAATCTTGGCGATGGCACGGTCACACGGGCTTCTTCAGGATCAATCGTGGCGAATGGATAGTTGGCTGGGTTTCCCAATGGACATCTTGTGATAGCCTGGAAGAAAGTGGACTTACCAACGTTAGCAAGACCCACAATACCGGCCTTCAAGTTGTTACCTGGACGGCCTAAAAGCAGTTTTTTTTCTTCAACTTGTTTCTTTGGAGGCATGGTTTACTGAGTGAGTGTAGCTTCGAAAGGTTGCTTGCTCGAATTTGTTACGATACAAAGCCTTCAACAAGTTTCTGAAGTAAAAGAGTTAAGAAGAGGCCGTTACGAAAATGAATATATTTTAGACTGAAAAGTCTTGAAAATTTTTTCCTTCTGCGACAACAGGGTTCGAAGTTGGAGCTTGCTAGAACTTCAAAACGTCATATGACTGAGAGACGAGAAGCTGAATAAAGACAGCTTTTGGTCGGCCTGCAAAGCACCTGAAGTTTGCCTAGCAAGGGATTTGTTCATGATTGATATTAAGTCTTACGAGCTGCGTTGGAATAAAATGCGCAATCTAAGATTGCGACTTTTTTTTCAATGCTCTTGCCCAATAAAGTTTGATCTAGAGTAGCAGCGAACAGCCGTTGCGATGAAACGAATGGAAATCCATTGTTCTCCAGAGAGTGTATGTGAGTAAATCTTGCTTTTCTGATCCAAGTAGAATGCTATTTTCTCGTTCGTAGTCGCGCGCTAGCTTACGATTGAAAGAAACCTCGGTGACTTATGAGAAGACCTACGATTCTACATAGTAACTGCGGAAAGGGCTGCCGTACGGTGAAGAGTACCAGCGGCTAGTATAACGTCATCTGGCGACCGGCCCGCCAAGAATGGTATCTAAATCCACCCTCGGGATATTTTCTAATAATTGGTTCCGTGGTCTAGTCGGTTATGGCATCTGCTTAACACGCAGAACGTCCCCAGTTCGATCCTGGGCGAAATCAATTTTTTACCAATTTAAACATCACACGTCACTTAATGCCCTTAACCCTCTTGGAGGTTAGGGAAACTCTGAACTTATCGAAGGGGCTACAGCACAAAGAAGATATCTTTGTCACAAGTGTTCTATTCTAGAAAACAGTCAGGATTATTTTTTGGCTAAATTCTGATAATTATATTCTCCCATTACATAGGTTTTACGATTTTCTCTACAGACTTGAAAACAAAACTCACTTGCCAGGTTTGAGAAGCGGAACCTTGGCTTCTTTCGTCACTAGTCGAAAACTAAGTGTCATTGTTCTATACTCTTCTTTAACCGCGTAAACTTCAAAACGTGCCCGTTAAAAAGAAAGTTCTCTTTCAGTTGTTGGTATGGAAAAAAAATTTTTAGACTATAGAAGAGCGATGAGCATCTCATCTCATCAACCTATCTAATTTTGAAGAGAACAAAATACAACAGATAACAACGAGCGCAATGCCTGAACTTTTGCCACTAGCCACTTACAACTTGAAGGTTGAACCATACACTCCAACTCCAGCTATCGATGTCACTGTCCCAGTCACTGTTAGAATCACTTTGGCTGCAGTTGACCCAGAGGCTGTCGACGAAGAAGGCAAGCCATCTACTTTGAGAATCATCAAGAGAAACCCAGACTTCGACGACGACGAAGATGACATCTTGGGTGGTGACTTCAACGAAGACGAGCTCGACGATGAATCCGAAGAGGAGCCAGAGCCAGTGCAAGAGAAGCCAGCCAAGAAGGGCAAAAAGGGCAAGAAACAGGTAGAAGAGAAGCCTGAAAGTGAGGAAGAGGAAGAGGAAGAGGACGAGGAGGAAGAGTTTGACGACGAGTTCCAAGAGTTCGTGGTCTTGACCTTGTCTCCAAAGGTTCAGTTCCAACAAACTCTAGACTTGGTCATTGCACCAGAGGAAGAAGTTCAATTCGTACTCACTGGTTCGTACCCAATCCATCTAACAGGTAACTACGTTAAGCACCCATTCGACCAACCACAATACGGCGACGATGACGAGGACTCCGAATGCGACTCCGACTGCGACAGCGAAGAGTATGACTTGACCCCAGACGAGGATGAGGTTCTAGAGAACCTGGAAGACGCCAGCGACATCGAAAGCCGTATCGAAGAGCTTGTGCAACAAGAAGAAGAACAGAAGACTAAGAACAAGAACAAGAAGAGAAAGTCCCAGGAGCAAGACGAGACCGAGAAGGTTGAGGAAGCACCAAAGGAGACCAAGAAGGCCAAGAAGGAAGAGCCCAAGAAGGACAAAAAGGAGAAAAAGGTCGAGTTCAAGAAGAACCTAGAAGAAGGCCCTTCTAAGAAGGCTGCCAAAGAAGAAAAGCCAAAGACCCAGGCCCTAGAAGGTGGCATCGTCGTTGAGGACCGTGTCGTCGGCAAAGGTAAGACTGCCAAGAAGGGTTCCAAGGTCGGCATGAGATACATCGGTAAACTGAAGAACGGCAAGGTTTTCGACAAGAACACCAGCGGAAAGCCATTCAACTTTAACTTGGGTCGTGGTGAGGTCATTAAAGGCTGGGACATCGGTGTCTCCGGCATGGCTGTTGGTGGTGAGCGTAGAATCGTCATCCCAGCTCCTTACGCTTACGGCAAACAGGCCCTACCAGGCCTACCAGCCAACTCCGAGTTGACTTTCGACGTCAAATTGGTGTCCATGAAATAGGTAGTCATTAGGTATGTGTAATAGCTAAATCATAATAGAATTCTAGCATGAAGGAGAAATCAAATAAGCAAGCAAACAGCTGCCAAATTGCGTATCATTATGGATGGGATAAATCCATGTCACACTATACGCAAGCCCTAATTTAATTTGACTTTATTCTGAAGCCTACTCTCTGTCTCTCAGTTATGATATAAAGACAGAAAACAAGAGCATTAACAAGCACCGCCGTCTTCAGATCCTTATTTTACCTGAAAAATTCGGATAACTGCTCTTGGTGAAGTTGAATCTACTTTTTGACGCCTCACGCATACCCAGCCCCCTCTACCAAGAAGCTAGCCGCCGAGGTTAGAAGCGGCACAAAACCCAAATCTCACCAAATTCAACCGAGACCAGCATACCCGCATCATAACAGTGTTTGAGAACCTATCAAGCTAAAGACTAAACCTACTTCAAGCAGACCAAGCGCTTTCTGCTTGATCGGACTATATCACAAAGAGCACCCTTAATAATCACTTTAGACGTCGACACCAGACAGTCGGTTTTCTCAGATTCAGATTTCTTTCGCGTGTCGTGGTTGTGCTCGTTCCAGCGAGTTAAAAGTTTTAGGTCGCAACTGGTTCGATAGGGAACGACAAGTCAGCACGACATTTTTTTTTCATTCAACTACACAAGATTGAAGAAGTACCCAAACGCATCCACTTCCTGAATTTAGTGGTTAGTGGGGATTTGTAGAACTCAGACTTCTACTCTGTGTTTGCATATTTACATTGGTTACGTGCGCCATGCCTTTGATCCTGAAGCAGTTCCAATCGTTGGCGAAACCGTTCGCTTACGTATCGAGGCTTTCTGCGAAACACCCGGTTCATGTTATACTGATCACAGTATTTGTGTCTGCGCTTGCGTATCTGTCAGTAATCCACAGCTACTTTAACGGGTGGCAATTAGACTCCAAAAGCATTTTCGCTGGGAACAGCGATGCGGTGCAATTGCAGGACGAGTGTGTTCACTACTACCACGCCGGAAATGCCGGGCTGTGGAACGAACTCTCGAGTGAAGAATTCGCGTCCACTGCTTTCTCAGAGCACTACTATCTCATGCAATTGGACTTCAAGACCCAGAATCACACACAGGAACTACCAGATTTGGCCAACGTTGTGGTGGCAGACCAGGACACTCGCTATGTGCTACAGGAAGACTTAGTACTTCCCAAGATTCTCCAGGCCGATGACGGGACCACTTGGAGATTGAGGCCTCACAGGTTCAGACTGTACGATATGAAAAATGTCGTGCTCTCAAACATTGACACACTTGTTACTAAAATCCAGGGCGCTGAAACATTTGACGTGCTCATAATTGGAACCGCGTATATTGCAATGTTTTACACAATCGTGCGCCTCTTTCTTGCTATGAAGAAGCGCACAGAGTCCAAATTCTGGATTGCGCTCTCCGCAGTAGTTTCCTCTACCAGCGCTTTCTTTTTAGCCCTATACACAAGTCAAGTGCTTCTCAACAAAACGGTAACTGCGCTAAGTTTAATTGAAGGAATCCCGTTCATTGTAGTGATTGTCGGTTTCAATCATAAGATCAGACTAGCTTCCTTTTTGCTCAATTACTTCAGAAAGCACGGCTTCTCTCAACAATGCGACGCCTCGGAGCTTGTTTACTTAGCCATGAAAGAAGAAGGTGGTCGCCTACTTCAAGATCACCTCCTTTGCTTGGTCGGATTTGTCGGCGGAGCCTTATACGCTCATAATTTGGAGGTTTTGAGAAATTTCTGCATCCTAGCATCCTTGGTGTTAATCTATGATTTGGTTTTGACCTGCACTTATTTCGCGTCTGTTCTAGCGCTCAAGCTGGAAATAAACATCATCCACCGTTCTACGATAATTAAAGAAACTTTGGAGGAAGATGGCGTAATCAAAAGTACCGCAGAATCGGTGTCTGTTGCCGAAAGTCAACCAAAAACTTCCATTCTCACTTCAAACACTAGTGTTACTCTGCTAAAACTATTTGTCGTTGTAGCATTCGTTGGTTTCAACTTCTGCAGTTTCGGCGCCAGATGGACTTACCAGACCTTTTCTGCCTTATACACAAAGCCTTCGAGTCCCGTGCTGCCAGATTTTATCTCTTCTAGCGTGGCTGAAAACTACGCCAATGGGGTGGTGATCTCCATGGTACCACCCCAATACTACAAACCGATGAAGGTGTATTTTCAAGTCGAGGATTTGATTCTTTCGTCATTGCGTTATATCAGCGTTTCCATCCGTGATAGATTTATCAGCAAACTGGTACTTTTCGCTTTAGTTACAAGCGCTTCCATCAACATTTATCTATTGAATGCCGGAAGAATCCATACTGAATTTACTGCCAAGCAATGGCAAAGACATAAGGCCAAGAAAGCTGTCTCTACTCCAAAATTGAAGCAGACAAGCGAACTGGCTAATGGTAGCTCCAAGATATCCACATCATTGTCCGCCACTTCTACTGAAAGCAATACCGCCATTGAGGATGATAGCGAAAGTGATAGCGACGACGGAATCGCTCGTCCCTTGGAAACTCTTGTAGATGTTATGAAATCAGACGGCGTAAAAACCATGAATAACAAAGAAGTTGTATCTTTAGTCGTCGGTGGTAAATTGCCATTATATGCATTGGAAAAACAACTGGGTGATACTCTACGTGCTGTTGCGGTCCGCCGTAAGGCGTTGGCACTACTTGCGGACGCGCCAGTTCTCGAAACAAGCCGCCTGCCATACAAGCACTATGATTACGATCGCGTACTGGGTGCTTGTTGTGAAAATGTGATCGGATATATGCCGCTACCCGTTGGTGTCATCGGTCCATTGGTCATAGATGGCGTTTCTTATCATATTCCAATGGCCACTACTGAAGGTTGCTTAGTTGCCTCCGCTATGCGTGGTTGTAAAGCCATCAATGCCGGTGGTGGTGTCACTACTGTGTTGACTAAAGATGGTATGACAAGAGGGCCATGTGTCAGATTCCCTACTTTGACCAGATCCGGTGCATGTAAGATTTGGATCGACTCAGAGGAAGGTCAAAACAAAGTTAAGAAGGCTTTCAACTCTACTTCGCGTTTTGCTCGTTTGCAGCATTGTCAAACTGCTTTGGCAGGTGACTTACTATTTATTCGTTTCAGAACAACTACTGGTGACGCCATGGGGATGAATATGATCTCTAAAGGTGTGGAACACTCTTTGAAACTGATGGTGGAAGAGTTTGGTTGGGGAGATATGGAGATTGTCTCTGTATCTGGTAACTACTGTACCGACAAGAAACCCGCGGCCATTAATTGGATCGAGGGCCGCGGTAAGAGTGTGGTCGCAGAGGCCATTATCCCTGGCGACGTTGTTCGCAAAGTACTCAAGAGTGACGTCCATGCTTTGGTGGAGCTCAACATAGCCAAAAATCTGATTGGTTCTGCAATGGCAGGCTCTGTTGGTGGTTTCAACGCCCACGCCGCCAATTTGGTGACAGCGGTCTACCTAGCACTGGGCCAAGATCCTGCTCAAAACGTGGAAAGTTCCAACTGTATAACGTTGATGAACGCGGTCAACGGCGACCTGCGAATTTCGGTATCAATGCCTTCGATCGAGGTTGGAACAATTGGTGGTGGTACTATCTTAGAGCCACAATCGGCCATGTTGGATTTGCTTGGCGTTCGTGGTCCACACCCAACCTCTCCTGGCGATAATGCCCGCCAATTAGCTAAGATTGTTGCATCTGCAGTACTAGCAGGCGAACTGTCGTTGTGTTCCGCCTTAGCTGCCGGCCATTTGGTGCAGAGCCACATGATCCACAATCGTGGTAAAGGTACGACACCAGCCGCTGGATCCACGGCTCCTCCCGAGAATGACGTAAAGCGTTTGAAAGAAGGTTCAGTTACTTGTATCAAGTCCTAATTCTAAAAAATTATTTGCATCGATCGATCCCACGAAAACACCACGAAATGGAAACAAAAAGTATGTACTAATATCTGCATTTAGACTAAAAACTTCTATCTTGATGCTAATTGTTGAACACAAGCGGACTACGGCCTTGGCATTGTTTTTAGACATTTATTTTTTATTTTTCAAGATTTTGACAGATCTCGCACCTGTGATGAGCGAGCGGCACAGTGACATCATAAAGCACGTTATCGAAGCTATTAGATTGAAGCTAAAAAGGTGGTATTTATTGTATACATATATGTGAATTGAATGGGTCGTCTAGGTCTTTATCTCATTATTTCTTGCTGGGGCTCCAAGACATGATACTTGTCTCTTCCTCCTGTATTAGCTCTTCTGCTTGAGCTGTGATGGCAACTTTAGAGTCCCAAGGAATGTTTTGAACAAATGTATTATCGAAATCCTCTAGAAGAGCCAAAGTGTTGTTAGGAAATAGACGAATCCAGGTGTTACTGGTGGCTAGTAGATCGGCAGCATCGACGTCGAGGTTGTAAGGAGGACCCCCTTTGGTCAATTCGGGGTTAAACCAGGCGGCGTTAGCGACGGTCAAGATAGCAGTGGATACTAAAAGAGAAAGCTTCATTTGAAGGAGATGTGTGTAGGAAGGGTATGATCAGTGGGGATGGGTGTGGATGAGGACAAAAGAAGAGGAAAAAGATCGAAACATTTAGGCTTGAGCGCCTTTATTTATACACATTTTATTCGATGGCTAAAGAACGAGGACAATGCTCGAGGATTTCAGGGCCCTTGCCGAGGCTGAACGCCGAGCGTTGATTGATTTAGATTGAGATACTCAACAAGATTGTCGAGCGTAACGTGTATGTTTCACAATGTCGGACGAAAATCATTAGAGTTGCATGGCACGCGCAGTGCGAAAACAAGATTTTTATGCATCACGATGCATGAGATTTGCAAACCAGGGCCGAACTAGTGAAGATTGATATACCGAATGAGGAAAGGGTCTAAGGAGATAGTCCTCGACCATCCGGTTAGGACTCGTAACTCTCGCGTTTGGGATGTTAGTCTTTTTCCTTGCAAAGGAGATAGTGTGCGTTTCCGAGGGAGATACGAGAGCCGAATCGTTCAAGAATGGAATTTGGCAAGTGGAGTGAGCGCGAGTGGGAAGGTCCTTGAGTAGAAGGGCACCCGAAGCTGAATAGTAGGCATGTGATACTGTGCAGATCAATCCAACGAAGACAAACGCATGCAGCGCAGAGGAACGACTACGATTGAAGCTATCGACAGCGGCTTTACAATGATCAACGGCGATTGGCGCATACGAACCACTAAGATACACAGATCGAGCTGTTGGCAAGGATGCGATACCAACGACTCCACTCATTAACAAGGAATATCAGCGTCGCACGAAAACGTTGCAGACTACTAAAAAGCAGGCAAGATCGAAGCTGCATTGATCACCGAACCCGAACAAAGAGGCACATTCAATGCTACACTGATGAATCAGTTTTGACAAATAGGCGCTCTACTCTACTCCAACAGGCAAGTTCAACGCTACACTGATAATCAGTTTTGACAAATAGGCGCTCTACTCTACTCCAACAGGCAAATTCAACGCTACACTGATGAATCAGTTTTGACAAATAGGCGCTCTACTCTACTCCAACAGGCAAATTCAACGCTACACTGATAAATCAGTTTTGACAGACACTTTACAATGTCCACCATCTCGAACGAACAGGCATTCTACTCTACTCCACCAACTACTCTACAACCTTTCGCTTCGCGAAAACTACGCACCTACACCAGCAACCTGTTGAAAGACATCCATCTTGATGGGAAACCCATCAAAACAAATGCCTACGACCAACATCACGTTGTGGCTACTGCCGCACTGCGACAATGTACATCCAAACCCATGTTCTACTCAAGAGGAAGCCAGCCGAGCAATTGCCGGTACCGGTTTTCCCGCCTTCCGTATATTCGCGGAGTTAAGCGCCCCGGTTCTTTCCGACCCGCCTGGCTTTTCCGAACAAACTTCCCTGACAACCAAGTTTTTCCGAGACGCGCGCGATCCCTTGCGGGAAGTTCTTCCGCCGGAGTAGCGGCGTTCGGAACAACAAAAAGCGGAGCTCAAAACGGTTGTCGGAGAAACTCATGCATTGTGCATGCAGTAACCCTGTGTTATGGTTGTATGCGTTAAATTGTGGATCAATTGCTGGTATTCTTACGTACGCAGCGCAGACACTAAACAATACTCTGGTTGTGGAGCGTACGGGTTATGAAATAGTGTGAACCGAGAACACACACGAGTATTGCACAGTGATAACGAGATAGGTAACTTTCGCACGGGTTCTGTGCTTAATGATAGGTCTGGAAGCTTACCAAATTAAATTTGGAAGTCGATAGAGAAAAAAAAAAAAAGCGATGAAAAAAATTAGATATTGACGGACGTTACATTCAGACATCTTTGTTTTATTATTACTGGCTTGGTGACTGGCAGACAGGCGTGCTTGGATCTTACACTCACATACATACACATCCTCTCTCCTACTGCAATTGGCAAGAACCGCGCGCATTAGGCGTTTTTCTTTTTACCTATCGGCCAATCCAATATAGCAGACTTCCCGAGCTAGTGCTTCCTCCATCAGTGACGTCTTTGTCCTTTCGCTTTGCCCTTCTTCGCAGGAAGCAGTATAATGGTCTAATCTCCTCCACACGAGGTAGTAGGAGCAGCAGGACCCGAGCAGCAGGATCGGTGGCATCAGAAAGCAAGCATACTTTTCAACGTCAAATACAGAGAAACGTTCCAATTGAGAAAAGGATCCAAAAATTCCACCACTACAGGCTTCATCGACAAGAAGGAAGTACCCCAGCATCAGCAGAAGCGCACCGAATCCATACAAACCTCTGGATACTGCAACGTCGGCTATTTTGTCCTGTGACCAGTATTTTTTTCAACGTTCATTTTTCCTGCCCAGTATTGAGGTAGGACGTGACAGTGAAGCGGTTAACCCAAAGGGCTATTGTTCCAAATTGCCCAGAGGCGAGCCTTCAGCGCTAGAAATTGACCGAGTCCCATCGGTCTGCCCCCAGTCGAGCACTCTTGGTTTCGAAAATAACCAACATCTAGCAAAACAACGCTTTGGGGCTCTCGGGAAAATACCGAATCTTTTTACTCTGGGGTCGCGGCTTTTGTTTATTTAAAACTCTTCAGCACAACTTTCGTCACTCTTGACCAATTTTACGTTGGCTGAATGAGTATGTCTGGCCATGGAACACTCTCACAGTCGTCGTCTTCCCCCAGCCGTCAAGATTCCAATCCAGATCTGCCAGACCCACGCACCACGCCGTGCACAGCCGTTATCGTAGGCGTCCAACCGGACGATCCACGCTTAACGCATCCAACGGCACTAGAAGGTATTCAGGGCAAAACCAAGCGTAATACATTTGCATGCACCAACTGCCACTCCCAAAAATCTAAATGCGTGCCCTCCGACGTCAGCGACATATATGGTAAACCTTGCCGTCGTTGCGCCAAGCGTCACAAGGCTTGTACGTTTGATTTGTCTCGCAGGACCAGACGTCGAAGGCGCGAGAGCGACACCGCGACACCAGCAGAACTTACAAGAGCTCTCAACATTCCATTATATTCTCCACAAAATATGGAACTTCCACCACCCAGAAACTCTCCACCTTTTAATCAATCTGCTCTCCCAACAATGCCAGCCATGAGTGCGGCAAGTGTTACCAATGTTACCAATGTTCCCAATGTTTCTTTCAATGCATCTAATACTTTCTCTTCTAACCTGAACACCACGGGATTCATCCCTACACCTGATTGGCCCCCAACTACTACCCGCTTGTCAATCATGCCCAAATCCCCGATGACCACATCACGACCATCAAAAGTTTCTGAACTTCTAGCTGAACCTGTGGGGCCACGCCGGTCCTTTCACACTTTGCAAAAAGAATTACAAGTTTTACTATCCTCTCAGCGACAAAATCTTGATGAAGTTTCGGAAAGGCTTACCGGTTTATCCGAAAAATGGAACGAAGTCATAGAGAATAGTGTTGGAATTCCGCTAGCTTTAGACCCCATTAGTTTGGGTATTATAAGTAAAGATCAAGCCCAATACAGGCTTGATCTATATCGGTCCGAAATATCGAGCAAGTTCAGATTACCATTTGTTAAGATACCTGCAAATCAAACCTTGGACGAACTGCGACAAGAAGAGCCTATATTATTCGTCACTATTATGTCCACTGTTTCGGCCATGCTGCACATTGATCAATCTAACGACGACCAAAATATGAAACTAGACAACTTCACATTAGGCTTGATTTCACACCATATGACGCGGTTAGGAAACAAGTCATTGGAATTACTGAAATCTTTACTAACTTTGTGCTTATGGTATAATTTTCCAGAGTGGTCTAATAAGACGAGGTTTTACTTTTTCAATTACATTTGCTGTTGTCTCATCAAAGACCTGGTTCCCGCGAGAAGGCCCCGCTTGTTTGCTATGATAAACAGTAAGAACGCTCCTTCCGAGGACGAGACTGCCGCCATTGACGAATTTTTACTGGAAAATGAAAGTTACTCTAGGTTGGTTATTCTCGTTTACGTGTCGGCGCTAAACATAAACATATTTCTCCGCCAGCCCATTCAAAACAGATGGGGTATTCTGCAAGAACGAGCAACCAAAACTATGGCGCTTTTCGACGCAGGGCCGGTTTCCAGTTTCGAACTAGAAGAAAACGAAATTTTGTTAACCTTTGCCAAATTGAATCGTATCCTGGAAATGATCCACGTAAAATTGCATGAAGGTGAAGAAGACCCAAACGAAGTACAGGAAGGCCTCGCTCCCCCTTCTCAACTGTTGTTGGTACACAGATTACAATGCGAACTTCAAGAGATATACAAGATAATACCCCAGGAGCGTTCGCGAGCTCTAGCCTTTTACCACTCCGTCGAAGCCTATTTACACGAGTGGCTGTTTTCAAAATACATGTCGAAACTTCCAGATCATTGGATCGTCACCGAGTTACCCACAATTGTTTCGGAATCTTTTTGCAAGTTTACTCAATCTTGCATAAGCGCTATGCATGAGTTTCTCAAACTGTCGCCAGAGTTGATCGCATCTCTGCCGCTTTTCCACATCTCTAGAGTTATCTATACTGTTGGAATGTTACTCCTACGAGTGAGATACACTACTGTTACAGTTCCATCGTTTGCATTTTTGAGGCCGATCACTCAGCCCGCTGTTTCACTTATTAAGGAAATCTCACTGTCTTTAGACAAAAGCGCGGCTTTGTACCCGTACAACAATTTCTTGTCAAAATTGAGATATGTGGTGGCCTTATTCGTACAGATATATGCTAACAAGGTCAAAGCTTTTGTTGAAACCAATAAAGATGATCTCGATGGCTTAAACTCTGCATACCCATATAGCCAAGCTGATACAATACCTGTTCCACACCAGAATTCAGTTCCTATGCTATTGAATCCAGTGTCACCACCAAGGGCAAACTCCTCCCTCAATACTATATCCATTCCACCCTTAGACGGCACATATTTTAGTGCCGATGATCCTGATAAACTAATCGAAGACCTGTCGTACCAGCTGGCAGACATGACTTCACTGGAACAAGGGTTCAGCGCTGTAAGCGGTGAATTTTGGACAGATGTTTTCTTCGATAATATGTAATGTAACACTGTAAAATAAAAAATCAAAAGCTCTATAATTAATTAACCATGGGCCCCAGAAACTGTTCAACTCGTAGTAGAAAGTTGCGGTTTCGTATTTTACGGAAACCTTGGCCTCGTTTCTCAGCCTCGGATTCCGCGAAATCAATAGGTGAAAGCCAATTATGTGCCACTGTTTTCACGTAGATTTCGCCGTACAGGTATCGAAGAACATGAGAAAGGTCTTCTTGTTTAAGATCGCTCAGTAAAATGAACCAGAGCCCCGAAGCTGTACACAGAATATGAGCTCTGTATTTACCTGTTGCAATCGTTCTTATTTCGTTGTGGGCCTCATTGCCCGCCAGTTTCTGCGAGATAGATCGCAGCGAATAGACCATACCATACAAAAGTTTGGCAGTGTCTTCATTGAGTTTAGAATTGGTGGTTCCACTAGACTGATTTGACTTCAAGGTCCATTCCCTGTCGAATATGCAATTGCCTAATAATAAATCAAAGGTTAGAGATAGGAATGCATAAGGCGTTTTACGTCGGAACTATACATACAGTGTCTGTCGAAGACCCAAAATGAGTAAATGGCCATAATTTTCGGTATATCTGATGTCTCGAGATGATGATCTCTGGAGGCTAAGACGTTATATTTGATAAATCAAGCTTTCGCCGTAATGAAAGGGCGCGTGAATAGTGACCAAAACTCCTAAAAGCTTAGAAGGTCGACTTCTTGACCATTCGAAGCTGGTTTCATGGTCGAAGCAGCAGGCATTGCTGCTGACATTTCACCAAACCCGTCATCATCTTCTTGCTCGTGATTTGGTTCCTTAACATGTTGTTCAGTAGTTTGTGGGCTGGATGGGGTGGGTTTAACTGGATGAGATGGCTTGGACGTTTCTGTCGTGTGCTTGGCATTGGCAAACAGCGAGCCGAATGGATCGCTTTTTTTCTGTGCTACAGCTGGAGTTGGCCCAGTGGCCACAGGTTGCGACACTGTCGAAAACAGGTTTAATTCTTCATAGTTAGGTTTGTTTCCTTCCAATGGTGTCCTCGAATAAGCATCGAAGATAGCCTGGGAGTTTGATGTGATGGGTTGCGTCACGGGTGCAGCGCTTTGAAAATCCGCAAACTCATCATCCTCATCATTATTGAATTCATCACCGCCGTGGTTGTTGTTGTCGTTTTCGTTGTTATCATTGTGAGCATTCGAAAGTGCTGCTGGGGAGTTATCTTTGAAACCTCCTCTCGCATCATTTTCCTGGAGGTCTTCTTCATCACTGTCAAAATCAGCACTCACGGAAATACCACGATTTGTGGACCTGCCAAAGCCAGCAGTCCTATTGGCTGCAGAAGGAGGTAGATAGGACGATGGTGCTCCTCCTGCGACGCCTTTATATTTCTTGGCCGTTTCCCGGGCCTTCTTACGCTCAGACCGGATTTTAGAGTCGTCTTCCAACAATTTTACAAGTTCTAAGGCTCTGTTTCTGACATTTATGCCCTGGTCGCGACCCTGAGAGTCAATGTAGTGAAAAGATTCCAGCATCTTAACCAGAGACAAGTTTGCTCTGATATCATCAATAAAGCGCTCCGAGCCGTGCCGAATAAGATACTCTAAAAGTTGCAGCGCCTTGTAAATCTGTCGCCATTCGCTAGCAGTCTTTTCCGTAAAGCGACGAAATATCATGCCCAAGACCTCTTCCCGTTCGCGGTAATTATACGTTCCCTGAGCAACTTGCTCCATTAGCGTCGAGGACGCTCCCCAGGGCTCATTGTTCGTAGCTTCCCGTACCTTAGCCTCCATTTCGGTGTAATTGAAAACAACATTCTGGGCCCTTCTGAAGTACTTCTTGGCATCGTAGAGAGTCAAGTTACTTAAACCTTGATCTGCACTCATTCCTTATATCGAGAAGAAAAACCGTAGTGAAATTCGAAGTATAGTAAACGAGCTTGGCAATACAGGTGCACTTGAGAAGATACCACGGCTTGCAAATCGCAATCTACACTTGAATATTTGCTCCTTCAAGTCAAAACTTAGCCGTTGTAATATAATTGAAGCATTTATATCCCTTCTAGTACGTAATGATATAGACAGAGATAAAACTACTTAGCCTTTTGAGGAGTCTGCCGCTGGCCTCTTCGCCAAGATATCCGAGATCCTCCTTCAACAAGGTTCTCTCTAGTTCTGTTTCCAAAGTTTTCGAAGAAATATGGGGAAATTGTAAGTTCTTCATGATGCTTACAATTCCCCAGCTTCTTCAATCACAATCTTGGCGCGGGGTTTGCCGGACATGGTACCGTAGGATTCAATAAGCTTGACAACTTCCATACCCTTGGACACTTCACCGAACACAACATGTTTTCCGTCTAACCATGAACATGGGACAGTCGTGACAAAAAACTGGGAACCGTTAGTGTTTGGTCCCGAGTTGGCCATCGACAGAAGACCCGGCTTTGTGTGTTTCCTAGTAAAGTTCTCGTCCTGGAACTTAGTACCATAGATCGACTTTCCGCCGTATCCATTAGTCAAGTCAGTGTCACCGCCTTGCAGCATAAAGTTGGGAATCACTCTGTGGAAAGGGACTCCTTTGTAGCCGAAGCCTTTTTCACCGGTGCATAGTGCTCTGAAGTTTTCGGCAGTCTTTGGAACAACGTCGTCATACAATTCGAACTCAATTCTGCTCTGTTTAGTGCCGTTGATGGAAGTGTCGAAAAACACTTTTGAGCCTAGTTGGACATTAGAAGTGGAAAACAGGCGCGATTGGCGCAAAAGAGTACGATTGACAGTGGAGAACATTGCTTGGGAATGGAAGTTAGCTCAAGGTTAGTAGTGGGGGTTTAAAGGTCTTGAGTTCGTTGTTAAACATCGCGGATTTTTGACAAATTTCATAGATCATATTCACGTGATATATCAGACACCAGCGCCATTCACGATTTGCTGTTCTTGTATGGGAATATTCACCATCCGAAGCATTTGAAGATGACTTTGCTTTACGTCTCAAGTAGCTCCTGTACCAATTTCATTTGCTTGGTTAGAATATGTAGCCATTCCAGGGTTTCTTGAACATTCCCATCCGAAACAGCCTCGTGCAACCCTGGTAAGACGTCCCCAAGATAGCCCAGCTGCTTGTCCGGCCCGAAAATTGAATGTTTCATCCAACCACGGTCTTTTAGACCTCTATCCGTGACAAACAAACGATCGAGTTGTTTCAATTTAGAGTTGGTGGCCGACAACTTGAAGTAGATGGCTATTTTCTTAGGAAATTTGTACCACGGGTAGTCTCTGGTCACTAGCTTGCGAAGTGCGGCGGTCTCCGAATCGAACTTGGGACTTACTTTGCCTTCAACGTGGGCAATGAGCTGAGAAAGATCTTGAGCCTTTTCTTGAATGTATGAATCACGAAGGTAAACTCCAGCCCTGAAGGTTTGATTCAACAGCCCGTGCCACTTGGCATAGTTGTACTGTATTTGTTTAACATAATCATGGGATTGGAAAGCTACCAATTCGTTTTCACTCAATGTCAATGCAGACATTCCCGTGAAAATAGCCATAGTGTTGTGTAAATGATAATCGGGGTCCACGAATTTCTCCATCCAGGTGTAAGTATCGTAGTTAGTATGATATTGATAGACCGCATCGTGTTTCCTGTCAGCAACGAACTTGAAGTTCGCCGACGGAATTCCTAAATGATTTTGGAAAACAGCAAAATCCGTACCAGATCCTAAGATACCAATCTGTGCATTTGACTGATCATTCCAAACATCCAGCAGTGATTGCCCCGGGTTGCCAGCAAACCGGGTCAAAGAGGCGGATTCTATTAGAAGTTGCGCCAGCAGGGGATTGGATTCACACTTGAACTGAGAACCTGCAATCGTAGTATCTAGGTTAAAGTAAGCTAGAACCTGTCTTTGGAGTTTTGCAGCGTAATTTTCCCCATACTCTGTAGAACCCAACATTGCAGGCTCTTCGCCATCCCAACTGACTAATTGAATAGTCCTTAAAGGTTTCCAGCCTTTTTTCACCAATTCGCTCAGACCGCGAGCAACTTCCAACAAGACACTGCTCCCGCTATTAGGATCGCCCGCACCGCCCACAGTCCAGGAGTCTCTATGGTTGCCAATAATGATGGTGCTACCGTGCAAAATACCGGGAATTTCAACAAAGACGTCAGTTATTTCCTTAACACCATAGTCTTGTTTGTTAAAGACTCTAACCTTTACCTGTTCATCAGATGGCCCGCTATAATATTCAAAACCTTCGACGTTACCTTGAACATCGAAGGCACAACCTCGACTATTCAAGTGGGGTAGAATTTTACCGATATCCCGCTGACTCATGGGTATGGAGGGAATACCTGGCACCCTTCCCAAAGGAGACATTCTTTTAGTATTCGGGGATTTCGATGCGAATCCCGGTGTTGTGGGATCGCCGGGGGATTCAGTGAAGTATTCAACCGACCCTCGTTGAAATCCGCTGGGGTTACGGGCTGGTCCGAATGGGTATGCCTTGAAGCCGTTAGATTCTGTAACATTTCCATCATCGAATGTGTCGGTGTACAAAATTACTGCTGACGCACCGTTGGATTCAGCGTTTTTCACTTTAAGCCCGCGGAACATTGTGTCATACCGAATAACATGTATGTGGCCCTCCAGGTCTACTCCTCTGCTTTTCAAATACTCGTAGTCTTCTAATTTCCCATAGTTGCAATACACAAATCTGGCTGTGATATCACCATTGGCCGAATAACCGTGAAACGCTGGCACCGGGTTTGGGCCGGAACTAGAAGGATCCTCCTTCAAAAAGTCCTCGATCATGTTCGACTCAAACGTCATTTCGTCGTTAATCCACAACGACATACCCGCATCTACAGGTGTATTCAGCCATGGATAGTATTTCTCAAGCTTTGGTGAGAAGCCAAGCTTCTTTAGCTGGTCCACGGTATACTTCAAGGCGTTCTCATCACCTGCGAGATGCCTCTCGGATGTGTAAGCTCTCAAATGCTGCTGCGCATGGTTTTCTCCTTGCAAACTCTCCAGAAATATCCGATATGTCTCGGCGTGGGTCAGCTTGCCGAAATGAAGACGTCGAAAATCTCGAGAAAGCGAGGTTCTGGGCAAAAAAGCGAGCGTGAAGCCTACATATAGTAGCACTGACGCCATCAGAGCGTACATGAACTGTACTCGATGTCTCTTCACAGTATCGTACCCGGTTTTCAGCCCGCTAATCGTGTTACTTCTGCCGCGCGCCAGAATAGACGTTACAGAGTTTTGCCTAGGCCTGCCAGGACGAAGCAAAGGCTGCGATTCATTATCTCCCAATGCATCATCCGTATCAGTCATTTGAACTCGGACTACACCTTAGGATATAGTTAATTAGGGAAATATTGAGTAAGATATAGGCACAACTTCATTTTGAACTACAGTGATCGGGCATCATGTGACAACAAAGAAGGAATCTAGCAAGGAAACTGCTCCAAATCCTGGCCTAGCGACTATGCGCAACTTGTGAAGCTTATTTTAGTTAAATTTCAGCGTATTACAAAAGCAGTTTCAACTGCTCTGCTTTCTCTGGTCCAACCAGTTCTACAAGCGCTTCAAATCCTGGGAACGGCTTGTAGTCGGTGTATTCAAACCCTGGGACTACCACTTCGCTGATGAGGAACCCGTTATCGAACTCTTCATTTGGAATGAGGAAACTAGCTTTCCATACACCCCCAGGAACCACCCATTGAGAGACCTCGCCGCTAGCATAGTCAAATCCGACTTTGAAACTCTTGATCTTGCCATCAGGGTAGACTAGCACGAATTGGCCTTTGCCACGTTGCAAGATATGTATGTTGCGACTAGTATTCATGATCATTTTCGAGACTGGCGCGTCTGGTGTTAGCATGTAGTAAATCAAAGTCGAAAAGTTTCTGTTCGACTTATACTCGGGTTGTTGCGAATCGGTGGGCATAACGCTGTTCTTCTCGTCGTCATCTTGCCCCTCACCACTGTCTTTACCGCACTCAAACTCAAATGGTGACCGATCGGTCTCTTTGAAGTATCCGTTTTCCGCATGCTTTTCCAAGCCGAAATGATTTATCCATTCTTGCAGTGATTGAGGGGGTTGAGTAGCTGGGAAATGCACAAATTGCGGAACCTCAATGTCGCAGTCTGTTGCGCTATCAATAGTTGCTGATTTAAAGAATTGAGACATGCTACGTTTCAAGAACTCAAGCTATGGGCTTTATATGAACTTGACGCTGAAGAATTGCCGTTTGTCAATAATGTTACATGTTGATCTCTTTTTAAAGGTCCGTATATAAGTACAATTAGATGTGCCAAAAGACCGATCGCAGCTCCAGCTTGAATCCAGTCTGCGGTTTCTTCAGAAAGCAGCATCAACATCACCTGCTGGTCTCTGCTTCTTGTCTTCTTGCTGCGTTTCCGGTTCATTATCTTCGAGCGTCCTCTTTAGGCTATCCACGACCCTTTTGTCACCAGTAACACCGTTGACAGGTCTGAAGTAAGGTTGGCATCTCCAGTAAGGCACCTGCTTATATGCTCCTCCCCATAATTCAACTTCTCCCGTGGTAACCACGTCCTTCGTGGCAATATCGGGTTGTTGATATATTTCGCGTACGACACGTTCTACCTTGGATATTACTTTTTCCTCCCAGTCATCGAAAGAGGTCTTGGCATTCATAGAGGCCAAGTTCGACCGTATATCAGTGTGGTGGGGAAGGAATGGGCGCAATATTTTGAAAAAATGCGATTTCATGGCAATGCGTGAGGCATTGGAGCCCTCACAGCTCTTGACTATCTCGAAGTACTCCCTTAGAAGCTTGTCTACTCTTGGGAAAGTTTTGTCCTTATCGTCTACATGATCCGTGTTGAAGACGCCTGGGTTGAACAGGTTGCCTTCAGCGCTCATCACCGAGTCACAGTGTATCTTATTCATGCATCTTGAAATATCCTCGGGGTACAAGATGTTACCATTTGCGAAAAAAACGGTATCCTTTGGGAGGTTTTCTCTCAAATACTGAATAATATCCCAATCAGCGAGTCCCGTTTTCTGCCCTTTCTGTTCTCTTAGGCGACCATGGACTGTCAAAAATTGTGCCCCAGCATCCAAAACCATTTTAGCATACTCAAGCGTCTTTTCACGCTCGGGAAACACCCGTATTTTCGCGGTGACGGGGACGTCTAGATTATCATGCAGCGTCCGGATCAGCTTGTGAATGAGGCCCCAGTCCTCCATCAAAAACGAGCCGTAGTGACCCTTCTTGGCAATACCCTGGGGGCAACCGAGGTTAAGATCGACGGCATCACACTTGTCTTGTACGAGTTTTGCGGCCTCCAGAAGATATTCGGAGTCGTTGGCGCAGAACTGTACTACGAGCGGCCGGTCGACTTTGCTGCACCCGTCTTGGTCGCACCACATATCTCTTCTATATTTCTCGGACGTGGCGAAGTTCTTCGCGTGGAACATGGGAGTATAGGCTAGAGTAGCACCGTACCGCCTGGATAGGATCCTCCAAGCCAGTTCCGACTGGTCTACCATGGGAGCCACAATTTTTGTTGGCTTCCCTAGCTTTTCAAACAGAAGTCTGCCTGGAACTTTGGGCGCGGCTTCGGTGGTCATCGCTTTTTCCACTTGAGTCTTCGTCATTGTTATGAAAGATGCCCGCTTAGTTATAGCTGGTATAACGAACCTCGTATTCAATATTGATTTCCAAATCTTGAGCGTCGAACCTAAATGAAGTTGATCAGCGTTCCTTAGAGGTTCTGGAGATCTAAAAGTCTGAATTCCGTCTCGATGTGGGATCTGAATAGAAGCTCATCGCGATTGAAATATCTTGAAATTTCCAATTCAATTCTTTTTTTTTCCTCTTGCACATGATAAATTTTGAGAAGGAACTGAGACAAGGCATATCGGTTCCTCTAAGACGACGGAGGATGGTTGGCCAAGTTGAAAATGGCCCTGGATTGTAATGCATGGGCAAATAGCAGGGCGATTGGCCATATAGGGGCGTCTCCTAAAATTCTAACTCCGAGATAAAGCGAACGAGAAGAAATCCGGGCGCGCAAGATGAGGTTAATAGTTTCTTCAATCTTAGTGTCCGGGCTCATCGCCTTCCGAGCCAAGTCGTCGTCCAAAACTTCGACATCCAATGCTCCATTAGCCTGTAACCTTAGAAATTCCGCATAAGACTGCATGTTGTAATCTTTGGGATGTAAATGTTCTTCAACCTTTTTTAGAATCGTTTCGGATTTGAGCCATAGAGTTCTGTCAACTGCCTTAAGCGTCTCAATCCCCACTGATTCACGATAGTCTTTAGCCCAGGTTTCGACACGTTTCAGGTATTCTGCAATGATTAGGATGGATGAAAAGATGCAGGTAATAGAAAAGATAGGAGTTCTCAGCGATGTCTTTTCTGCGTTCTTGACGATGAAAACGGTGTCGACCCAAAATTTGACAATGTTCAGAGCGTAATCCGTGGCCTCCCGCAAAACTTCCCAGTCCCGATATTGCTCCAAGCATTTGTTCATGCCCTCCCAATCCTTGAACCAAATCTTTTTCATAATGTCAGTGATTCTTAGACACTTCCTAATTTTTGCGAAATTTAGGAGTGGTATGATAAGTCGCAGAGAAGGGTTCGAGTTAATGAATGCAATATTGCCCTCATTCGCCATTATTATGCCACCATTCTTAAGATACAGGGCCTCCCAGTATTTAAGCAAAGACTCGATTATGGGCCTTGAGTTCATGCGCCATTTCATATCCATTATTTGTTCATTGGTTTCGTGCCGTAAGTTGTTCCTCTCAATGAATATTTTCTCATGGATGGAAATCAACAAGGACAATAACGTCTTGAAGGCTACCTTATTGTTTTCATAAAAAAACTGATAACCGTTTGTTAAATAAATTAGGCAGTTCTTATAACTCTCGCCACCGTTAGATAGCTCAATGAGAGAAAATTTGGAGTCCAGTGCGAGGTGATAATTCGTCAAAAGGGAAGACCATTCTTTAGAGTTTTCACAAAAGTACAAGTCTTCTCGGTAGCAAGGAATCCCACATTTCAAATCAATAGAGTGAAAGCAACAGTCCAATCCAACCAGAGAATTGAATAAATTAGAAATAAGCAGCACAGTGTGGCAAGTTCGTATCCTAGATTGCGCATGCACAAAATAGTGGTAGTTGCGCTCTATTTGTTCCAGGCTATTATACTCTTGTCTTTTTTGTTCCAACAACTTTGGATCATGCTGATAATCTAAGATATGGTCGCTGTTGATGGGTGGATTGATGAATTTCTCTAGCGGCATGTTCAATTGAGTAATTTTGATTAATTCGATCAGTGATCTAATCTGGGTATTCATAATCAGCGTGAACGAGACATCATTGTTGAAAATGCCAATGAAAATCAATAATACCATAGTTTGTATGATCCATAAAGGCGACTTTTCATGGTTGCTTGACGTCCTTTCCAAGTACTCCCGGACACGAAAGCGGCAAATGTTGAACAATAAAAGTGCATGTGATGAATGAAAGCCGTAAAGTGCACCGATCATGGCTATCGATAGTAAGAAAAAATAACAGTCGGTGGAAGGCTTAATGGAGTGTAGGTGTATGAACCCAAAGTAAGGATGAAACTCGTCCTGATAGAGGTTGACATAGGTATTCAGTTCTATTAGAGTGGGGAATTGATCTGCCGACAGATCGTTTGACTTCAAAATGTGCTCTCTCAATTCTTCAGTAAAGAAATGCAATCGAGAACCTTTTTTCTTTGGTTTATTCACCCGCTCTTGGCCGTCGTGTATTGAAGAGCTGAAGTCGTTTTGACTCTCCATAATCTTTTTGAATAAATCAATTTGCCTGGATTTGAAAAACAACGGTATATCGCCTTTCCTATGATGTTTTTTATGAGCTGCAGTGGCCGACATAGGTGGGCAGAGACCCGGGGTCGTTATGTTGCTTTCTGCAAAATTTTCGCTAAAACCCGGACTGGAATTCATTTTCGACTTATCTTCAAGCCTTGTTATAGGTGTAAGGGCGTTGACAACAGGCGTGGAGTTATTAGTAGTAACCTCTGAGTTGGAGTAGGGGAATCCAATTTCGTTAAAATCATTTACATCGACTTTGAAATTTCCATCAACATGTGTATTAATAAACTGAGATAACCAGTGCTCATGGTTGCTAGAGTGCTGCTCTCTTTGAGCGCTCCTACCAGAAGGTCGTGATTGTTCTGGAATTGCACTCAGAGGCATGGAATGCGGCAACTCAGAGGACGATTCGTAGCTGAAATAATCCAAATTAGAATCTGGTGCCAGGTAGCCGGTAAAACCACCGGATCCGCCTGTGGACGCACCCATCTGCAAAAAGTCTGAAAGCAGGGGTGTTGTTGCTGCAAAGGTGGACCGAATATTAGGACTTGAATTGTGATGGTACTCTGAACTGTGTAGCAGAAGCTCATCCTTGCGTGAGTGATGTTGGATCGGCGGATCTTCTGGAGGCAATGAATGATGGTGGAGATTAATACTGCTGTTATTCACCGCTTCCGGAAGCTCCAGAAGTGGCGGGAAAGGTAGCATATCAAAATCCACACCGCTTTCCAATGCTTTTTCCACCAGTTCCTGCGCAGATAGTTGTGGAGTGGAAAATCCCACTTGGTGGGGGATGTCTGGAATCTCATTCTCAATGATGCTGGGGGCATCTTTGGCTTGAGTGTATGTGAAGGAGCTGGCAGCAGAGAATGAGGCATGCCGTTTACGCTTGAGGTGCCGTTCCTCGTGCTCCGAGTCTGGTCCGAATTCTCTAGAAAGAGGACCGGCCGGCGGTGCTGCTAGATCTGCTTGTGACTGAGGTAGGAGTGCATGTTGCTGGTTGATCGCGTTGTCTTCTTTTCGGGGCATTGGGAGCATGGCCTGTTTGTTCCCTGTGATGGTGATGATGTGCTCGTCGTTCAAATGGTGCTTGGAGTCGCGTGGCTGAACCGCGCCTGAACGACCCTCCTTGGAACCCGCATTCGTGTCCGTAAGCGAGGAGTGTAATTTCTGCTGGTGCCGAAGCACCAGGTCGCGCCGCGCAAAACACCGTCCGCAAAAGGCACATAAGAACGGTTTCTCGTTCGTGTGGGCGCGTTGGTGGCGCTTGAGATGTTCTTGGCGAGCAAAACCACGCGTGCAGATGGAACATAGGAACGGGCGTGGCCTGTCTGTCTTGATGGTCCGCGATTTCTTTGGTATGGGCATCGTGCTGGCAAGCGACGGTCCAGCCGTGGATGGTGACACGCTATCCAAGGTTTGTGGGCTGGTCGAATTTGACGTCAAATCAAGATTCTGCGACGGCGCAGCCTGCTGCGAGTCCGTGGCCGCAAACATTGTGTCCGAGCGGTCCATCCAGGGCTCCTTTTTCGGCTGAGAGCGAAGTGTGTGAACTCGGTGTTGGTCACGCGAAATTCACGTGCCTCTGGTCTCCGCGTAATTTCAATAAATAGATATGGTTTTTCGCCAATTTTCAGGTTTCCGGCGGCTGAGATAGGGTAAAAGCGGTCTATGGTGGTCCAATTCGTGCTTCTTCTGACTTCCACGTATTCGTCAGCTATCTCTCTGCATCTAGAGTCCCTTACCGGTGTCTTTAATCGCTGTAACACCCGTATATAGCCCTTTACAAGTGGTAGCCGCTTTGTTTGCCCTATGTCATGTTGATGATATTCAATAATGTCGTTGGGCCTCCCAGCTGAAAAAATTTTGTAGACGAGAAGAGCAGCGAAAAAAAAAGAGTATATAAGGGCAGCGATGAGGTTCTGGTGAGTTGTAATGGTATACATCTTTTGTATAGTTTTTATAAAAGTATTAACTTTGTCCAAAAGTAATCCACCGCAATAGACAGTACGACAGCCGAGCGGGGACTTTGATCGAAAACGCCGGGGAATTGTTCTAATTTCCTTGTTGGAGGTCGGGTCTCTACTTCTACTCGCGCTTGCTTCGTGATAGGCGTGTGGGGAGATGAACGTTGCCATTCATAAGAACCCGGGAGGACTACAAGCATGATACTTGGGTGTCAGAGAATGGCTATATTTTGATACATTCTGTGTGTTGTTTAGATGTGTAGAAGCGGGAGAAAGCGCGATGCCGCGGTAGCGAAGTGGCTAGCGTGCGGCAGCGCATTCAACTGCCGGTTGAACTGGAGACGGAGCATTAATCCGTCTACAGTGATACTACCAGAATCTTGTGAGAGCCTGATTGGTACCGCGTTTCGAGCCCCAAGTTGGCCTTCAGCGCGAACTGGCGACGTGTAGGTTTCCAACAGTTGTGGCAAGCGAAAATTAGCGAATGTGCTGTATCTGGCGCGACAGTATGGTACGAAGTGATATAACAGCTTAGAGAGGTAAAACGACTCGCAAGTGAAATCGCAGGCCCTGCTCGTGCGTTAAGTGCTGTACATATTGTTTCCAACTCGACAAGCAAGCTCTCATACCGATTAGAAAGGATATAGCGCATGCGTTCTTTAAGCTTGCAGGAATTTAAGTATAATCCGACCGCAACATAATCTTGCTTTTTCATTGGGATTTCAGCCATTTAACATCAGTTCTACAGGTATGGTGATTTGGCCGAACGCTCTGGCACGATGGGAACCTGGTGTTGAAACAAGCTTGAGATTCCTGACTTTTGTCTTCTTGTTCATCTTTGAGGGGAGTCTAACCCATGTATTTTGAAGCCTCCAAGACGTTTTGATGTATTTACCCAAGAACATGATCACCACTATTATGATGCAGGAGTGGTTGTCTCAAGAAAGTACAGATGTTCTTGTTTTGGTCATGCAATGCACTCGTTTTCTGCTATATCTTTCCGTCAACATTTTGGTTTCATATGGCTATCCTTACCAGATGTAGAAAACTTTTTGCTCTCTTTCGCAAATGGAACAATATCTGGGTGGGAACGGTTTTTGTAAAAGGTTTATTTCGTAATATCTTTGCCGGTTTTGCTTCAAATCGTTCGCGACAGTCTCTTCCATCGAAGAAAAATCTACGGTATTGCCAAGCTCTTTCAACAAAGAGATAGTTATTTATGAGCATCGCAATTTCGTCCCATTTTATTGTCATTTTACGGTTCTTGACGTACTACAATGCTCAAATACTGTCAACTAAATGTGAAGGGTCGTCTGGTAAATATTTTCTCTCACCGTATGTAAGACATCGGAAACAAAGTAGCAGCAGGGCCACCCTACGATTAACCAAGACAAAACACCCAAATATTTGTTTTTCAGCTCGAGGCAGCAGCATATTTGGGAAGAGCCTTTAACCAGGGTGCTCTCTTTACAATGAGGAATTAATTAGAAATAAACCTAAACCAAGCTATTTTTCTGGGAAGTTTCTGATCGTGTTCACAATCGGTTGCAGCCCCAGAATTTTCGTCCGAGTTTCAATAGTTTGAAAGACATCTTTCGTAATGATGGACCGCGTTTTCCACAATGCTCCCTTCCTTGCCACCTACGATTTTTCCCAAAGATGGTAGATAGACGAAGGATTTGAAATGTTTGAGGCATTCCTCTCAGTTGTAGATAGAGAATACAGAAAGCCAGAACATTTTCTTGTGCGAATAAGCGTTTGCGTGAAGTGCGATTGTGCCCCAGTCTCTGAAGCGAACCCCAGGCTCTAGCTCAATGACTTGCTGAGCTAAAAATGTACGCAACTGACGAAGAGCGCGGCCCTGTCTGAGCATATGCATGATGGGCAACATTGCTAGAAATAACGACACACCTACTGTCGCGACAAACATAGGGATGTACAAGTGCCATGATTCAAGTATGCTCCAATTAGTAAAAACTAATAAAGCAAATAAGATTAAAGTTAGAAGCCATGCATAAGATAGAAGTCCCTCTCGGTACTCGTGAAATCCCCATACGAGCTTGGAACTAAAACGGTTTACAGGCAGCCGAGAATTCTGCTGCGCAACCAAAAACTGGTTACGCTCACCCACGCTATGAGGCTGTGGGATTCTTCAAGTCATTTTCTGGGCCTTGCTTACTAGGGCGATCTGCAAAGAAGACGTTGAGAAAGGCTCACACATATACTCAAGAATGAAACTCACGTGCGGGTATTTCAATCCAATGAGAAGTTTCATCAAAAGTGAGTTCCGTTTAAGTGAAGCCAAGATAACCGTTGATCATCATCCTACTCTCGGCTTTAACTGACTAAAAACAAATTATTAATGCTAACCAAAGAGCCTGTTTTAAATCGGTCACCAAACTTGAGCTAGTTGTGGTGCGTGTAATGTTATCGCTAAATCCTCTTTGTGACTTCACTTATGATTGATGATTTTGGCTCGGTGGTTAAATTTCTCCGCGCCTTTTCTATATGAGAAGAGTATAGATTCTACGCAGGAAACAAACGATCAGTCTTTATATTTCAAGTTTTATCGACAAGTTCAGGTGACATTAAATGTTCCAATATGGGCATCAATTGTACTGGCCTCATTGTAAGGAGTAACGAAAAGGATGCGAGATGAAAGCTTGCTACATCACTCGAAACAACGCTCTCATCAGCTCGTTTGGCAATTATATAGCTTTTGTCACTTTATACCAATATGTCGTAACCAAAAGTTGACAAGTGTTCCGGTGTAGTTACTGGCGGTTGCATCAGCGGAAAGTCGCAAGTCAGATGTAGGACTTAGTAGGCGGCAGTATGAGCCGCCACATTGACCGCCGCGCAACTCGCAGATCTAAAAGCCTCCCTAGCAAGCAGCAGCGACCGATTCAGCAGCCAAACAGTGAAATAATCATAGTGCAGAAAAAAACTACGTGAATAAACAGTAAGCCAGCTTACTTGGATATTCCATGCTACCGAGGATTAGAACTAAAATTATCTTTCAAAGCTCGTTTTTCTTAGTACACAATAGGTACAAATGACATAATCGAACATTACCTACAGTTGACCATTTCCTCCTTTATATTTTAGTATATTGCCCTTTTCTCCAATTCCCACCGCTCCAGAACACGCAATTCGATGTCCGATCTTAGCAGCTACCACGCAACATTCGTTATTTTACTACTGTTTTCTTCGCAGTTTCCCTGACACTTTCCGCAACACTCACTTTTGTTATTCCTATTGAGCCCTTCACTACTGACAGCCGCAACCTGTAGATTTACCGTCTTCGAAGGTAGTGGAGACGGTCTGTTATCGTGATCTCTCGCTATTAGAGTATGACACTGTGGGTCATGTGACTTGTGCTTCAAATAAATATAGTTATGTAAGGCCATGATGATGCGTACAAATGAGAACTATTTTCGATTACAGTTGATTCCCTCGTGAGCTTCGTGTCCTTTGAACATCCACTTCTTGCCAGACTTCTATCTCTCTGATCATTTATATATTCCTGACCAGTGCTATTTTTCGTTTATACTCAAAAGAGTGTGGCCTGACTGAAGTATGTTGACAGAAAAATCTGGGCATCCCCATGACAAACACCGCAGAGGACGCCAAGCTCAGTGATGTTTATCGGAGCGGTGGTAATTGTTTATAGTTAGGGTAATCAAGGGTTTAGTTCCGCCCATCTGCTTACTGGTGGCTTTGCGATATGAAATCCCGCTGTACTCTGTAGATTCGAATCGCGCCAAATCCCAGATAGTAGACCATTGAGCAGAGAGCAGACCTCATAAGAGCAGCTTCCGACGATTTGCGCACACGAAAGCTCGAGTTTGTCTTCAAATTATTGGGATACACTTTAAACGACGCGAGCGGCCACTACGTCGCGATTGCGTTTTCGCCGTTGGAACTCAGAATAGATATTCGAATTGATACTATTACTCGTTCAGGACATTTTTCGAGGAAAAGTTGAGTCTTTATCTGTTCGTGAACTTCAGTGTATAGAGCAACTGTTAGTCTGGTCCAAGCTATAAACACATGACGTACTGTCTGGAAAGGTGCATTTCTGCTCTACAAGGCCTGTAAATCCCGATGCATGCAGTAAGAGCCAGAGTTGAGATCCAAGAAAATCGGCCCTAAGCATTAGATCATTTGGACAGTAAGGAGGTGGTGGGCAAAAGCTGCTCCTTATTTCCAACTAAATGCTACGATTTTTCTAAGTTATTAATCGCGGATTCGATATATGGAAAGTGCCGAACTATGGAGCATAAAAGTTGAGATCGCGCAACAGTGCGCACATTAAAATTGAAGATGGTGGTTTTGAGTGTGGTCTTGTCGTAGGGAAATCAGTATTCGCTGCTTGTATATCATCTTCCACCAATGGTTCGTGATCGGAGAGCAATAAAGTGCTTTTAAATGACATTCATCCTCAGCAATGTTAGTGTGCCTTTTTGGGCTGGTCTTTCGCTCTTGCGTTCCTAGAAATTTGATTTCACTCTCCTCAAGTGAAAAGCAAGGTATTTACTAAAATCCCAGCAGTGAGAACAGTAAACATACACGAACAATAGTTTCAATTCGAAAGCCCTCTACCAGCTAAATTTTCCGGCAATACGTTACTAGAGTTGTCAAACCCTCATCCTTCGGTGGAGGGGTGCTCGCTGGGTCGTTCGATTCGAGCGCAGAGAGGATAAACATATATGACATAACCTTCCGTGTGGAGATTCACAGGCATTTTTGAGTCAGTTATCTCACAGTTAAAGTCCATAACCATGTAGAGGTAGAAGCGGGCAATACTTGTCTCGAGCCGGACGACGCATTGGCCTCATTCCTGGACTATCAAGTATTGGGTATCCAAACTCTTAACAAGTTACAGATCAGAAAATTGATAGCCAACCTGCTTGTTGAAGTCAATTGCCAGGTGTACCTTCCCACCTGCTTAGTTTGCTTCACGTTTGGGTCCGATTGAGCCTCACTCATATCATCCTGTACTAGTCTGTCGCAGTTTTGTGCCATTTCCAGTAGAACATGGCTAAGAGATGTCGAAGCACGTATATAGTTCAAATCTTCGATAAGAGCTAATAGGATGGTGACTTCCAGGAGATTCAGGGAAACCGTCGGCTAGCCAAACGTAAAATCAAATCAGTTCGTTAACGTTAATTATTTATCGTGTTCATTATAAAGTATGTGCTAGACGAAAATCCATAGATCAGCGAAATTCAATTTCTCAGCGACAGTTTGTGTTTCATACCACTCGACACGCTTTCAGCATTGTCAGTGGCAAGCTTTACTGGCCGCCAACAGCTTCCAATGCTAACGGGAACACTGCAGGAATGGCATAACGCTCGCACCTAAAATGGTCTCATGCCATACACTTACTCGTTCTATGTCTATCTCTCAATCCTTTGACCAGTTCCAACCCAAAACCCCAATACAGTGCCACACCTGCGGCTACCACATGATGTCCGCAAGTTTCTTCGTCTCTTTCCCGCAGTTTCCGTCGCATTTGCCACAGCACTCTTTCTTAGGATGTTTCTTGTGCTTGTCGCTATCCACAGACTCAATGGAAGGATTGACAACGTTCAAGGGCCTTGGAATCGGCCGGTTATCGTGGTCTCTAGCTATTAGTGTATGACAGCTAGGGTCATGTGACTTGTGCTTCAAGTAAATATAATTGTGCAGGGCCATATTTGCTGGGCGGAATATATGAATGTAGTTGAGATTATGCCTTTCCTGGTTTGGTCTTACAAACAGGCGACAATTCAACTTTTAGGTTCTCTTTTGTTTTCGTAGCTTTTATAAATGAACCTTATCGCATCTGATGCAAATCGTTTATGTTCATGCGCAGTTACGATATGGTCTGACTTGAAGTGAAAAATTTGGAAACCGTCTGAGACAAACGCTAAACACATGCCAAGATGGTAGCGACTGATTTTGGGTGAGTGATTTGTAGTAACAAGTAGCAAATGACGTGTCTGAAGACTTTGTTGTCAAGCCGATCAATCGAGTTCCTCTAAGTTCCACGTCTCAGATCCCTCGTTCTATTTGGTAGATTCGAATAGGTGCGAAATCCATCGGTTTGATTCCAATTATGGTGGTTTTCAGACCATTGGAAGCGCAACAGGATTCAAAAACCGCTGTGGTTTGCTCGTTTCTCACTGTAGCAGCTATCATGGCAAATCTAGCGGTTTGGTCGATCAGTGCTGTGGCCAGGCAACTCACTAAGTGTGGAATCACCGAGGCATCGAAAGTGACGTCGGCTGCTAAAATCAGATCGACGTTGGGAACTGCGTCTTCGCCCCACCAAAGTCTTTGAAATTTGTATTTAGCGTCCGTAGTATCAATGCCGTTGAGCATAAAATTGTGACGAGCGGTTTGCTCGACTAAAGTAGAATCTCCGTCTGTAACATATAATTCGGTAGTGCTTGTGCCGCGCAGTTTGGCCCACGCTATGCTGACAAGGCCTGTTCCCGCGCCCAGTTCGAGGACTCGCGAATTGCTGGTCAAACCACCCAAGACTGCTGGATTTTGCGCCAAAAACTCTGCCAAGTAAAGTGCGGCTTCCCATGTCCGGAACCCCGTAGTTCCAGAGGCACAGAGTAGATATGGCTTTTCCTGCACATCTATGGCTAAACTGGGACTGATGGTGTAGCGTATAATATCAGAGAAAGTTGGCTCTGGAGTTCCCAATGGTAAAAATTCCACGTACTGTTCAAAAACCCATTCGCTCAACTCGATTGCCTCGCTACCAGATGTTTCATCTGCCAGAAGTCTTGCGCTTTGACAAGATTCTCCATCGATGAGTTGCGTGTTCTCTGAGAGCGCTTTGATCAGCTTCTTCGCATAGTATGGATTTCTGGATCTTACTAGCTCTAACTCTTCAACGAATTCCGCCGGGCTCAAGCATTCAGCCTTGCCTAGCTCTTCGATTGCTTGTGGTATGCTCGCTCGTTGATGAATGATACTATAAAAGTCAATCATATTGTTGTTCAAACGCGCCTATGATAATTTTACAATAATCATTACTGCGGTAAACTTGAACCGACAATCTTCAGCACCAAAACCAACTCAAAAAGTTTATGACTATTAAAATTACATGAATGTGAGCTCCGCAAATAAATTACGAACGAATTGTAAACCTTGACGCTCGACGTAAGCAGAACTACGATCAACAACGAAAACCTTGCAACGTTATAATATGTTCTCCACTAGGAAGTGCGATCTAAGGTGTGTAAAACGTGTATGCGTGGGTGCGCACCGGTAATGGGTGGCCTAGTTTCCGAAAACACGGATACGCTTAACACCACCATCCGGAATGATTGTAAGCTTGATGTGAGTAGCCGTCTTATGGGAGTCAGTGACCTCAAACTCGTGTTCCAAATCGGGGCCGGTCTTAGACTTGCCCACTAAAGAGAACCACTTAGGATCGTCATGAGCTGGTGGAGTAGAGGATGAGCAATCGATGCCATGTACAGTAACGTACTGAGGAAAGTTACCTCTGAAATGAGCGGTGTCGACAATTACAGTAGTGATCTTTGAAGTACGCTTACCCAATTGAATGATAGCCCAATCTACGTGGCCGGGGGTACGAGAACGCTTGGTTTCCCAGCCATCGGACATGTCGTGACCACGGCCTGGCAGCAGCAGGTTGTCGGCAGAGCCGAAATGCTGGTCAGACACGCGAAGGGCAACACCACCGTTACAAGCAGATGCAAGGTCAATGACTCCCAAGGACTTCATAAGTGCATCGGTTGGGGGCACGACACGGCCGTAAAGTCTGAATCTAGCAATGCCACCGTCTGGGTACATCTTCAACTTGATATGTGTGTATCTTTTGTCGGTCGCAGCTTTACGTAGCATGAATTGTCGCTGAGAAGGCCCGCACTCTTTCTTGGGGATAACTTCTTCCCAGCGAGGGTCGTTTTCAGCTATGTGCTTTTCGTTCTCCGCGTATAGAGCTTCGACAGAGATGGCTGGGGCGTGGTTTCCGTTGAAAAAGGCTGTGTCAACTTCGCAGCCCACGATATGAGCCGCGGCAACGCCCATCTTCATGATGGTCCAGTCGTATTCGTTCGCATTGTGACGGCGAGTTTCCCATCCATCGTACCAGGCGCCTGCATGCACGAATTTAGTTGCGTCTCTGATTGGAGCTTTGGGTTCCAGCAGGTTTCTTGCTTCAGCAAACCACTCGTCAGAGCAGCTCATTACAAAACCACCCAACTTGCGGCCTACAACATCCACTGCCATATGATCGGCAGTGACTTTGCTTAGAAACTCGTCGGCTTGATCTTGAGTGTAGTAGAACATCCTAGTTGTAGTGCAGTATGAATTGATTCTTGGTGCACAGAACTACCAAGCAATTATCTGATGGTGTCGTTTCATACCAGGAATCAAAGCGCCAGTGGAGCGTACTTCCCTCTTTTATAGAATATAGAGCTCAGAGTTATCTCCCCTCTATCTAGTCCCACTGCCATTTTTTACTCATCTCGGAGCTAGCCGAGAGTCATTATAGACTGCCGGAGAAACCCGGCGGCCAGACCTCAATTAAAGGGACTTCAGAGGCAACGGGAACAGGAATAAGGATGAGCGAGAGTACTGCAGGGACTATGGCGCTCAACGGGTCGTTGTGGAAGTACCTGTGTGCATGCATTGGGAAGTTTTGAGCTTGGCAATTGATGAAATACCGCAAAAAACCTGGCCTTGAGTTGGCCGGAACATTGGTAGTTGGGGAATTCTAGTCTTCCAGAAAGCTGGATGGTAAGCTGGTAGCAATTACCAGCTTGATGTTGAGGTTGGAACTTTATTTCACCTTTTTGCAAGCAAAAAAGATGGATATCCAACCCATAACAATGAGCGTGCACGCCGCAAAGTGAGCAAACTCTTCAGCAGCAGTGGAGGCGGGCGTTGGACAAATCTTTTGCTTCAGGAGTGGGAGATAGGCTGAAGCTGAGAAGTTCAGGACGGGAAAAGTTCGGGACCAGAGAAGTCCAGAACCGGAGATTTGTGTTCCACGCAAAAGTAGAGGTAACAAAGCCAGCGCTAGACGTCCAATTCGCATTCGCAAGCGAGGGAGTGCTCTCCAGCCTTTTGGGAAACACTGATCACAGAAGTTGCATATATCGGGTCTCTTCCGAAGAACAAACCATATTTTCCGGCTCAAAAAGCGCCCTCTGGCATGCCCCATTACAAGTGTCGTCAGCCATTCGCACGTACCGTGCTCTCGAAGCCTTGGTTCATCATCCTTTCCCAATCAAAAGATATGTGTGCTCAACAAGCTGGTTGGGAGGAATAAATATTGTAATGGGCGGCTATGTGCATTCGTGGGTGGTGATTTAACCAACTAGATGAATGGGTATAGAAATGGCCAGAAGAATGGCTAGAGGAACGTTTGGACAATCGATGTTTTATCAACGACTTTAAACGCCGAGTCTGCCTTGCACACGCTGCTGGGTTTCAAGAACGATACTCACACCTGTTTCCTTTTATTATTTCCGCTCGTCTTCTGTTTCGATCACAGGCTTTCAGCTCAAGCTTGTCATTTTTTCAGACCCACGGTCTTTCGACAGAAGCTCCTCATCTTCGGGGCTATTCGCGGAAATTCCTACATTTATCTGCTACCGGGATATGGCCTACTTTCAATCTGCTATTCCGGCCAGGAAGCTCTCCACGTTCGCCTTTTTTTTTCATTACTTTCAACAAGGCCAGGAAACTAACCAAAGATATAGATATATGTGCTGCTACGAGGCCAAGATGCCCGCACCCTACTGCCTGTCTCATCTGTGTCTGAGGTCTCGCTTTCGCACCATTCTGACACATTTAATATATCACCTTTCACGAACTTGTTGTAAGAGCTCCAATTCTAGTCAAACCGTTACCGTTCAAATACGCAAAGCTTCTGCTCGCTTGCGGTACGCAGTCAGGCGTCCTAGATTACCTCCAACTTATACTGAAAGAATATCACCTCGTACGAGCCAATCAACTTGCCAAATCTTGCCCTTCTTACTTTCTCCTCTCTCACTTTTAAAATTTTCTAACATAGCCCAATTAAACATCTTCAACAACAAAATCTAGAATACACCTTTAACATTAGTGGAAGCTTGTTGTCATTCTCACAATCAATTGTGCACTTGCTTCGATAAAGTAATGTTCAAGCGATTCTCTACTCCTATTATGAAGCCATACTGGCCATTTTTCGTGGGCGGTGTGGTGGTCTACTGGGCCGTTGGCAAAGCAGCTAATGCTTCTGCTCAAACCTCGGAATTCATCAACGATCCCAGAAATCCACGTTTCGCCAGGGGCGAAAAACCTGTGGAATTGAAGTAAAGCAAGTGAGGCCTTTTTTTGGCAGTTGTGACCCGGCATTTCTTCACACGCTACATTCACCACGCAACGCTCTCATTCCATCGTTCCTCTTTTTAATGACAGATTGTATATATATTCAACCACGTACAAGTCAATCAATACACATCGATTTCGAACTACAAAAACTTTGGGTATCAGAGTTTTTACTCAGGGGTTTTTAGTGCTTCGGTGACAGCTTTGGAAAATGTGTCCTTCAGCGCTTGCGGACTCTCGAGCCCAACGCTCACCCGAACCAAGGACCGCTCCACACCCCACTGCGCCACTTCATCCAGCTCTGCGTAGTGCGCCAGAATCGCGTAAGGACACGCCAGCGTGAAATTAGTGCCCAAAGATGGGCCCTTGCACAGCTCCAAAGCATCGAAAAATACCTGCGCTTGGGGCTCTTTGAAAAACGTCAACGAGAAGAGCCCACCATATCCGCCTTTCGCGTATTTTACCATGTCGTAGTTCTTTTTGGTCTCTTCCGATGTCAAATTTGGATAGTATATCTTTTTGAAAAGTTTCCCCACTTGTGGAAGCAATACATCGTTGAGTAATTGCTTAGTGTTCTCGTTTACCGTCAATGTTCTTGAAACAAAATCTCTGGAATTACGCTCAAGGTATATTACATCTTCGCACCACAATAGATCCTCGAAGTCTCCATTGTGGAAAAATTGTTGCGCGAATGCGTACATTGGCGATCTGGGATTGAGCACTAAAGACCCGGCCATGACGTTAGAATCGCCACTGAAGATCTTGGTCAGTGAGGAACACACCATGTCCGCGTATGGCAACACGTCTATGTTAACAAAACCGCCTGCCGTTTCATCCACCACGATGTAGAACCCATATGCATCCGCCAGATTTCGTAGCTCTCGTAGATCGCCCATTTTCAACAAGGGGTTTGATGGTGCCTCCATAAACACGGCAAGTATTTGCTCGCCGGAATGCAGGATTTCTCTTAGCTGTTCCATGGAGCTCGAGTCTCCGTCTCCAAGGAAATGAGTGTGGTTGAATTTCTTTAAAATTGACAAGGTATCGGTATAGGGAAATCCGAACATGACAGTCTTTTTATAAGGAGCTCCATAACCCACCGCGTCAGAGGCCCCGATACTAGGCGACGAATAACCACTGATATCATTCCGCTCTCCCTGAGATGTTGGTCTCCGACGTACACGGCACGAGTCCAATGACAGCAAAAGTCTGTGGGCGGTAAATATAGAAGCCATACCACTGGGAAAGAGATAAATATCCCGTTCTGCATTTACCTGCACTCTCTCCTGCACTCGTACGGGCTCGGATGTGTGTTCTTCTTGCTGGATAGGCTCTGCAGGTATGCTGGAGTCCTGCGATGTTACCATAGCAGTCCCTTCGTTATCATCGTTCGCAGCTTGAATTGTAAGTTCTTGCATCTGCGCGGTTTCGTCCTCCTCGACATCAACGTCGACAACCTTACGAGCGATTCTCCTCTTGATCACAAGTTTGGCCTTTTCAGCGGAGGAGAAGTCCAAGTTTCTCCCAAACCTTTTCTCGATGAAATCTTCCTCGTCTTTGATTTCTGAACTGCTTGCCTCTTTGACATCGAGTAGAGGCTTACGAACCTGTTCTTGTTTCTCGACCAACGACAACTCTTGCAAAACGTACTCTGCCATTCTGCTGCTGACAATTTCGCCAGTGTGTTGCCAGTATTGTTTGAGAAGCCCGAAAGACGCCTTCGGAACAAAAACAACAGAAATTCGACATTCGCGTCGCCAAGAACGCTCCTCGTCAGTTGCTGGAGGGGGAGTGGCAAGTTGTAAGATTCTTACCCGTGGAGAGCCGTCGCCCTTGATTCTGACGAATTCTCTGCATCTCTTAGCCACCTGATAGCTTGGAAATACCAAGCAAGTCTCGTCTTCCTTTGCAAACTTCGCTGTTAAACTGCTACACAGTTTTTGAACAGATTTGTGAATAAAGAATCGTGGATATCCTGTGGTCATGCTATCTACGACCTCTGGGTCTCCTTCCTCGTAGCCGATTGTAGCTTTCCAAGTTGGCAGACAAACAGAGACTGCATGTTTGGTATTTGGAGGGATTGACTCTCCCACTTTTGTAGATATCATAGCTGATTAGCTCAAATTTCAATTAGCCTCAATGATAGCACTGTGAATACTGACAAACTTGGACTACGTAGAGTTTGTGCCTTAGCGGGGTAAGTACTAAACAGAAATTGGTGAATCAAAGGAATTGTACCTATTTAATGCTTCATGTATATCCTATTTCGAGTTCTTGGGTCGATCGAAATCGTTACTCAGATATATGATGAAATTAAGAAAAAGTTGATCGAAAAAGTCAATTCTACGAACACAACGCAGTATTGTGGCTTTTGAACGACATTGACTGGGAGTCGAGAGTTCATTCCCATCACCTTGTAGCAAGAGTTCTTGTTCTGTTTTGGAAAGAGGACGTGGAAATTCATCTAAGGGTCATCTTGAGAATAGTTGTTATTCTCCCCTGGTATTGATACGAAGGTGGAAGGAGCTGGTAGCTTTAAACTAAACTATCACCTCTAGGAATTCAAGCGACACAGTATCTTTTGAGCTTACTGTTCGAAGTTGTAGGTTTTGCCCATCTGCTACACTCTCACTTCTGGGTCTTATACCCTCAGAAATCTTCAAGAAGCGACATCTGTTACAAGGATCATTAGCGCGCTTCTTCATGCTGTTTACTAAAGGATTGCTTGCTGCTGTTGTTGCATACATTGCATTTCTCGTGTACCAGTCGCACTCGCTCGACAATAAGAGAAATGCAATCGAACTGGCCTTTTTGCAATCTTGGAGAGACTACACAAGACATGGCTGGGATGCAGACGTCTATAGACCAATCTCCAAGGCCAAATCGAATATGTATGGATCTGACTCTAAACCTTTAGGCTGGATCATCGTTGATTCCATTGACTCCATGCTCCTCATGTACAATTCCAGCAGAAAGAACCAGGAGCACTTCAAAACTGAAATTTTGCGCGTTGAAGACTGGGTAAGTACCAAGCTCGACTACGACATTGATGTGAGTGTTTCACTCTTCGAGACCACCATTCGCATGCTCGGCGGCCTTTTGTCGGCCTTCTATCTTTCTGACGAAATGAATATTGGAGATCCCAGTATTTATTTGGCAAAGGCTACAGACTTAGCGAATAGAATGCTGCCCGCTTTTGAAAACACTGCTACTGGGATCCCATACTCAAGCATCAACTTGCACACAGGCGTGTCAGAAAAAAACCATGTGGATGACGGGGCGTCTTCGACTGCTGAATTCACGACCCTTCAATTGGAGTTCAAATACTTGAGCGCCATTACAGGTGATGATAAATATTGGAGGGCAGTGGAAAAGGTTTACAAGCCCTTGTATGAGGAAAATAATCTGATTGACACCTACAAAGGACTAGCGCCTATCTATGTTTATCCAGATACAGCAAGCTTTAGAGGACGCAATGTCCGATTAGGTTCTCGCGGTGATTCTTTCTATGAGTATCTCTTGAAGCAATATCTGCAAAGTCACGAAACTTTGTACTACGACCTATACCGCAAATCCATGGAGGGAGTCAAGCAGCATTTAGTTTCCAAATCAAGTCCCAATGGATTGGTGTACATTGGTGAGAGAGAACATGGACTGTTTGGACCCCTGTCGTCTAAAATGGATCACTTGGTGTGCTTCATGGGTGGACTATTGGCAATGGGAGCTACCGAGGGTCTACATATCTCGAAAGCTAGAGAGCAAGCTTTCTGGGACACCAAAAGAGAAGAAGATTGGATATTAGCTGAAGAATTAACTTACACCTGCTATCAAATGTACCATCAAATACCGTCGGGACTGGCCCCAGAAATTGTAGTTTTCAATGACCAAATTTCAAGCAGCACTCATGGGTGGTGGAAATCTGAAAAGGGAGACTTTTACGTGAAACCCGCAGATGCGCATAATTTACAGAGGCCTGAAACGGTAGAATCAATCATGTTTCTTTACCATCTGACCAAGGACCAGAAATACAGAAACTGGGGCTGGGAAATTTTCCAAGCATTTCAAAAGCACTCCGGTCAAAGCTGTAAGCCGTCCGACGCCGAGTGTCCTTACACTTGTATTTCAAATGTATTGGCGGACCCTCCAACGAAGGCCGACAATGTCGAGAGCTTTTGGCTGGCGGAGACCCTGAAATACTTACACTTGCTATTCCAGGACGACATCGATCTCTCCAGCATTGTTTTTAACACGGAAGCTCATCCATTCCCAATTATAACTCCGGAGCAGACCAAAAATGGAACGCTTTTGAACACCGGGTGGTCATTCGACTGAGATGAGCTTTTTGAATTCAGAGGGGTTTTCATTACTGTACATACTTTAGGAACACGTCACATAATCGGAAGTGGCCTATCTTTGAATATGATCTTATACCTTATTATGTCTTGTAGATCCACTGATCCTGTTGATTGATCAAACTTCAAGAGTCCCAATGGTGTCTCCAGCTTCACTACCGATCCTAACAGTCGTTGTTTCTCGCCTACAAGCATTGTAGCTTTTTTCGACGCTTCATCAACCTGTAAGAGACCGAATCTGACGATGTGTTCATCGTTGAATTTGCCGAATTTTTTGTTCACATCGTTGGTTGGCAGTGTCAACGGAAACTCCAGTTCACCTTGTATTTCAAGAAGCGTATTACCCAAAGGTGTGGTCACTGACACGTTTCCCTCATTCTCAAACAATATTTTGAGCTTGGACACAGATATTTCTACACTTGGCATTTAGTCTTCGATCAATAGAATTAAGTTGATGCCATAAATTTAGATGTTGAAGAAAGGTGAGAAAAGGTCAAGAAAGGTGAAGAAAATAAACAAGATTCGAGATATCCAGTGATTTGTGCAAAGCTAAACTAACTATCTTGCTCTCTATGTTTCGTCAAGTCATGGGACTCTTCCGAGCTCAAAGCCAAGAGAGCCTAATCAAACAATACACTCATGATTTAGCTTCGCTCACATCGAAAATTCACCAGTTAGATCAATCATTGAAAAAGAAGGATGTTGGAAAGGCAAAATGGCACAAATGGTGCTATCTTTATGGATCGAGCCTCCTAGCTTTGTTCAATGCTGTTTTGTACTTGCAGTTGGCCGACAAACATTTCGTAATAGCATCGCTAATCGTTTCCGTAATAGTGTTCGTCTTTCTTAAGTGGGGCATCGACAAGTGGTATGAATTCTTTACGCAACGCACGCTGCGGAAAATGGATCAATTGAGGGCGGCACATCAAGAGAAGCTTGAGGCTTTAAAACAGAAGACGCACTTCTACTCAACGAATTCCTTAATTCAGAGATTCTCTTCCGGTGAACACCAGGAAGAAGACGCTGTAACTCTCATGGACGAAGAGATGAAAACTAAGTATGATGAATTACACAAGCTAAGGCAGGAGCTAGCAACATTTCAAAAGCAGGAAAATCCACAGGAGTCCCAGGTACAAAGGGACAAATGGTTTGACAAAGTGCTAGACGTTATAGGTGGCGGTGATGTAAAACTAGAGTCGCAAGTGAAATCCATAGTCTGCGGGAAGTGCGAGAAGCACGCCGGCAGCTACAGGATTGCGGGACTGCGGCTACAATACGTGTGTCCGCTGTGTAATTGGAGGTATGACAGCGAAGAAAAGAAAGACGAACCCAAGCACGAACTTGTGGACATTGTCGAGAATTTAAACACAGATCGTACACAGCAATCAAATGTAACGTCTAAATGAATTATATAGTCCGCACTAAAAGAAAAAAGGGCAAATCTGCAATCAAAGGGGGACCCTTTATTTTAAAATCACTTAAGACAACGACATGATAGCATTGACGATGTCAGAGTTGTTGTCACGCAGGGCCTTAGCAGCCTTTTCTCTGGAGACATTGGCTTGTTGCACAACCAACTCGATGTCGTCGTTGTTCAATCCAGTCTCGTCGACAGGACCGGAGGCCTCCTCGTCAGTGACTTCGGAGACCTTGCTCTCGTTAGCGGCGGCAACCATGTCATTCTGGATGGATTGAGGATCCTTAGAGATGGCGTCGGCACCGGCAGCAGCAACACCTGGACCACCAGCAACTTGGGCCTCTTCTTGGGCCTTGGCCAATCTTTGTGGGAAGTCGTCGATCTTGGCTTCACCGAAAACAACAAAGTTTCCACCGTGAGATCTGAACACCTCTGGCTTTTCAATAGCGTAAATCTGGTTGTTCTTCTTTCTGAAGGTGACACGGGCAATGCCTGGGACCTGCTTTAGGCCCAATTTGCCAATGATTTCTCTGGCTTTTTGTTCGTTCTTGGCGAAGATGGAGACGTTGGAGTTAGCTGGGATTTCAGACATTATTGTGTTGGTGTTGGCGTATCAATTGAGTCAATTAGATTCTGGAGTTAAAAATTTTTATCAACTTTGCAAGTTTGTAGACGACGAACAACTTTTTCACCATCAGAATTTTTCACTCCGGAAGTTACAACTTAATAAAACCCATGTGACAGGACGACGACGACGACGACGACGATAATAGTGATTTGACCTGTTCTCTTGTTCGTAGCGCTAGAAAGAGCTAGTTAGTATTGATTATTGGTACTATGCGCGAAGCGGATTACGGATTAATTGTGTATTATATAATAAATTCAAAAGTGTGGGCTACGCGGGTTTTATAAGACCTTAGAGTGAATTTTTACCACTATCGGTGCTCCTTCTGACAAGGGAGATCAAATTAATTAGCCTGTGTACCGGCATTGATTGATAAGGCTTGTGGGCCGCACGACCATATCTTTACTTCGATTTACAATTAATGATCAGATCCCAAAGTACTGACATTGGACAAAAATGCTAATAATATACAGTTAACGACAACCAAATTAGGGGAATTAATTTCTAAAATTTTGTTGGCTATGTCGTTGCATTGCAGCGAATCAGTAAGGAAATTTACGAATCGATGCTTTGATTGAACCAGAAGGAAATCGATTGTGTTCCACAACTAATCAAGAAAACCTTAATTAACACAGTCCCTTGATGCTGCCTCCAGCACTTATATTCAACATTGTGACTCTGTGAACGGAATCTAATTTACAGAACAAAAAATAAATGCGAATTCTGTGGATCGAACACAGGACCTCCAGATTTCAAAGTGACCGAAGTTTTCTTCAGTCTGGCGCTCTCCCAACTGAGCTAAATCCGCTTGATGTAAAGAAACTTAAAATGTTACCTACATAGAGTACAGATGAGGTGTGGTGACTCAACGTTTTCACAAGTTGATTGATCTATGTAATATATAATATATTAGAAATCTAGCAGACTTAGGGTCTTCTTGATAGGTTCCGAAGCGTGTCTACTACCTAAGATTGAATTCTCTTAAGGAATCTTTTTCAGGCAGTTTCTTGGAGCATTCTGGCTCCTTGAGTTTCCCAATTCCAAGTACATTTTGTCTTCTTGAAGCAACTATTTCAAAAAGAAAGCCCAAAAGTTGACAGTATACCAATGCAGAGGCTCCTTCCGAGGTTTAGATCGCTCTCAGGGCGCCATGATTGCTTTACAAAAACCTTCAAAAGAACATTGCATTCCAATTCCGCCCCACAGTCCATTATTCTCGCAAAATTAAACTCTCAAATGCTCAAGCCTTCAACTCCAACCCCAGTACGATGGAAATCTCAGAAAGCATCAGATCAATCGGAAAAGCCAAGTCCTCCCAACAGCGCGACTCACAAATCCCAAACGAGTGACAAGCCGAGTCTGCATTCATTCAAGCTCATCACAGAAAGGGATAGATTGTTGGTCCAAGCGACAAGTATTTTACAAAAACTCAGGATCAATTTAAAGTGGACGCTTACCAGGTCGATGAAACCTTTTAACTCTGATGATATCAGTGCGTTTATTTCTTGGGTGCTCGTCAGCAACGTTATTCTAATTATCTTGGGAACTACAACGTTCGCGTCGCTAATAATATATCTGATCAACTCGGTTTTCGCTCAAGAGTACGTGGCAACGCATGTTGGAAATCTTTTAACACAAAATAGCTCACTCTCGGTAGTCTTTGAAAGTGCTATTGTACCGGATTGGGCATCTGGTAAAATCTGTTTCAACAAAGTGTTCGTGTCTCGTAGGCCCATAGCGTCTCACAGTTTCACAAAAGGTTCTCAAAACGAAGCTGCCGAAAGAGCCAAACTTGCCATCACAGAAAAATTGCTTGTCAGTAGAGAAGATTTTGATGATGGCAACTATGCGCAATTCGACTTGACCATGGATCAACTTGAAATATCTCTAAGCTTCAGCAAGTGGTTCAACGGCAAAGGAATTTTGGACGAAGTTACAATTAATGGACTGCGTGGAGTGGTCGATAGAACCCACGTAATCTGGAAAGAAAATGATGACCCGAGAAATTATCTAAACGTGCACCAACCGGGCGATTTTGAAATCTCAAGATTCGAGATGAACGATGTTCTGTTTACGCTATATCAGCCCAATGGGTTCAGACCATTTCAGGTTAGTTTGTTTAACTGCGAATTGCCTCAACTCCGCAAACATTGGCTTTTCTTCGATTTCCTGAATGCCATCAACATAAGCGGCACATACGATAATTCGCTGTTTTCCATTCATAAGAAGTACAAAGCAGATGATTCCCAAACTAGCCCATCGCCGTGGAAGAAAGTAACACGGATGCGTGTGGATAATCTGAATATAGATCATTTGAACGCTGGTGTCGAAGGTCCCTTTGGCTGGATCACTGAAGGCCAGGTCGACATGCTTGGCGACATTCTTCTTCCGGACAAAGATCCGGATGCTTTGCAGCTAAGCGAAATGTTCATGGTCATTGGGCAGCGGCTTCTTAAGGAGGCACACCGCCATTCTTCAATTTTGCTCCCAGAGCCTTACCAAACACCAGAGCAGAAAGATATCGATCCTCAGCAGTATTTCATAATGGACTTTTTTCTAAGGCTTCATAATGTCACTGCAGAGGTACCATTGTTCGACAATGCCTTGAGCTACGTCAACAGTGCGCTTATTAGGCCCATAGTCGGCTACATCAACTCAAGAAGAACTTACATTCCTATTCGATGCCAGGTGGTTAAAGAAATATCCGATTTTGAGGGTTCATGGACCAGTTACGACTGCAGGCTAATGGACGATTTGAGCGCCGAAGTATACGACGCTTTTGCTGATTATGTTGCAGATGATAACCGGAAAAATTTACGTCTCAAGAGAATCGGGTTTTGGTCTTTGCAGATACTAGTGCAGCTCATTCTCTTAAGTCTTGGGTCTATAGCTTGATATCAACTGACGCTTTCTCAATAATTTCGTTTGATAGAGGTCGTTTAATGCGACTAGTCGTTAATTAGTATGCTTGCCGAGTTTAGACAGACACCTTTTTTAACCAAAAGGTTGAAAGAGACACAATTGTATACTCCAGAAGCTGTTACGCTTGAACAGTATGCATAATCGGTCTACATTGCAGAATGGCTTATGGTTTGGAGCGCCGGTTGCTTTATTCGCGGGAATTCTATCACAGTTCCACATACCTATGCCAGCATGGCTAGCTTCTATGAGCCCACCATCATCTACAATCATCAAGACGACAAACCCAGTAGAAATGTACGATGTTGTACACATTTGTCATTGTAACGAGCGCGCTATTGAATGGCAAGACGTTTTTGACTTTCTGAGGCGTAAATTAACGCAACCCGATCTGGAATGGATGAGTTTGGCTGTTAACTTGCTTCTGACACTAAATTTGTTGTTGATAGTACTTCGAAAAATAGCAAGTAATAGGAGAGCCAAGGTAACGGCGAGCTCTGCTGCTGGGAGTTCAAGTAGAGAAGTTCAAGTTCTTCAGTATAGTCCGAGGGAAAGGGCCTTGCTCCAATTTCAAAAGCTGAAATTGATGCCTCTGAATTTCAAATGTGACCGTGAAGATGTGTGGGACTTTGAAGGGGACGATCTCATAAATTGGGAACGGGAATATGTGCCGGGAGAAATGAGTGAACAAAGTACAGACACACTACGGAGTGCCATTCCGACAGTTTCGCCGCCTACTCAAGTAGCTTCTGTGTTGAATGTAACTCTCACGCCACAAAGAGTACCAGCTACTGCACCACAACCTCATATTGTACCAACTGAAGGCCCAATTGGGCAGAGCGATACACCATCGCTCCGTACGCCAAAACTTAAAATACGCGCTACTACGATTTCCAGCAGCCCCACACAGCTTAAATCGTCCAGTCCTGTCCTCAAAAGTGTGCCAACAACCGCTGAGCTATTAGAGAATATCTGCCAGCCTCCAACACAATCTTCCTCGCGCACTTCGTCTCATGCATCTTCGGTTGAATCCAACGCCAGAAGCACACTACGAACTCCTGAAAATTTCATACCATCGTACCACCAACCATCTCCTGCCAAGTCCACCATTGTAAGGACCGAGGTGACGCAAGAACAGGTTTACTCTCAGCCATTCTTGTACTAGGTTTACTATCTTATCCCGTGATCATAAGAAAGGCGAAAAAAATTTGGTTGTTGAGATCCGCATCTCATCTCTACGAAAAGATTGTTTGATCTTCGCCGATACAGGAACAATGGACCCGTCTGCTCTGCTGCAATGCTTTGCAGGTACCTTGGATCACAACCATGATGTGCGCACTGAAGCTGAGTCTCAGCTCAAAATGGCCGGGAAAACTCCTGGATTTCTTGGAGCATGTCTAGACATTATATCTGCTGCGGATGTGCCTGAGAATATCAAACTATCAGCAGCTCTGTACTTTAAGAATAAAATTCTTTATGGATGGAGCGGCAAGCAGCACGGCAGAAACGAGCTACTTGAGATCACGGTCGATAATGACGAAAAGCCAGTGGTGAAAGATATGTTTGTGAAGGCACTTGTGCAGTCGTCGATCTGCTCCCCCAACTGCATGAGACTGTTACAGCCTGCTTTAACTACTATAGTGGCTGAAGAATATCCTCGAAAACAATGGGATTCACTTCTCAGCAGCTCTTTTGAGCTTCTGAGCTCAAACGACGTGAACTCTGCTCATGTCGGACTTTTGTGTTTGAGTGAAATTTTCAGGACGTATAGATGGAAGGATAACGACTCAAGGCAGGAATTAGAGCATCTCATTATGCAGTACTTCCCGCCACTTCTCGAGTTTGCTTCCAATACACTCCTTGGTGAGGGTGGAAACATCGATAATGCTAAAGTAGGTGATATGATCAAGTTGGTTCTTAAAATTTACAAATTTGTCACCTATCATGATCTGCCCTTCACGCTACAAAGGCCTGATAACTTCATTGCCTGGGCAAATCTACACGTTGCCATCATTCAGCTGCCTCTTTCGCCCCAAATTTTGGCTACCGATCGCACTAGCCGAAAGAATCAACCCTGGGTCAAAGCCAAAAAATGGGCTTACGCTAACGTCTCTAGACTATTTCAAAGGTACGCGTCCACGTCTCTATCTCGCAAATTCAGCTATGACGAGTTCAAAGCGTTATTTTTACAAGAATTCTTGCCACAGTTGTTACAGCTCTATTTTCAGCAAATTGAGCAATGGAGTAACCAGTCTTTGTGGCTCAGTGATGAGGCAATTCATCATGTTTTAGGATTTTTAGAACAAGCTGTTGTTCAAAAAGCCACATGGCCATTGATCAAACCGTTTTACCCTATTCTTTTAGAGTATGTCATCTATCCTTTGCTCTGCCCTACTCAGGAATCTATGGAGACTTTCGAATCTGACCCTCAAGAATATATACACCGCAATCTCGAAACTTGGGATGACGAATATTCCCCAGACTTTGCCGCTTTATCGCTTCTCACAACTTGTGTCTCGAAGCGTGGAAAAACCACTTTGAAACCTACTGTTGTATTCGTTACAGACAAATTGAAGGCTAATCTAACTGAAATTGATGTCTCAGAGAAAGTTGTAGAGGCAGAATCTTCTCTAAGAATCATTTCTAACATTTTAGACCGTCTATGTCAAAAAAATTCCCCATTTGCTAACGACGTTGAAAACATATTGGTTTCCCTTGTGTTCCCTTACTTTCACTCCCCTCATCAATTTTTGAAAGCTCGTGTTTGTGAAATATGCTCTAAGCTGGGAGACTACCAGTTCAAAAACGAACAAACATTGCAAACTCTTTACAATGAAATCATCTCATGTTTTATGGAGGAGTCGGATTGTCTCCCTGTGGAGTTACTAGCGGCATTAGCGGTTCAGGCCTTCATAAATGTGCCCGAATTCCAAGTCCCAATATCTGCCAATGTGGTACCTATGACGCAGAAGCTTTTGCGGATTTCCAACGAAATCGAGTCAGATGCAGTTTCCGGCGTATTGCAAGAATTTGTGGAGTGCTTTGCTGAACAATTGCAACCTTTCGGTATTGAGTTAATGAATGACCTCGTGCAACAGTTTTTGAAGTTGGCTATTGACTTGAATGATTCTTCAAACTTCGACATAAACAACATCAGTGACTATAAAGATCTACCTGATGACACTGAAAAGCAAATGGCAGCACTTGGCATATTATCGACAGCTATCTCGATTTTACTGTCATTCGAAAACTCGCACGATATCGTTAAGAGCCTCGAGCAGTCGTTCTACCCAGCTGCTGAGTTCATTTTGAAAAATGGCATGGAAGATTTTTATCGTGAAGTTTGTGAATTTCTAGAGAACTCCACTTTCTTGTTAAGGGATGTAACGCCGTTTTCGTGGAAGATACTTGAGCTAATTGGCGAATGTAATCGCATCGACGAGAGTATGGTAGCGTTTTACTTAGAAGATTTTATGCTGGCCTTCAATAACTATCTGGTCTACGGCCAAGAAGAACTGAGAAAAAACTCCTTCTACTCGAACATTCTCTTCGAAGTCTACTGCAAGGCGGCGGCAAATGAAGACAGTTCTATTGATGAAATAATTCCTGTTTTTGAGCTATCCCAGAAACTGGTGCTAGCTTTGGGTTCTAAAATACCAGGCGAACTGCTTGCTAGATTTCTGAAGGATGCTCTGAAGGCCATCAGTGACGAGGCCGCGAATCTCAAGAAAAGCATTGCTTTCACGGTGACCTCTTTCAACGTTATCATAGCGTGCATAGCATGCTGTCCTTGGGACACATTGCAATTTCTGGGCTCACAAAACGCTTTGGAGACTTTTTTCAATCTATGGTTTGATTTTTTAATCCCTAATTACAAGCGGGTCTATGACATCAAATTATCGACAATGGCTCTATTGAGTATGGTGAGCGAAGTTTCAACCTCCAACCTCCAGAGCCTGTCTCTTGGTCCGGTCATTGCCAAGTCCAGCGCTCTGATCGTGAAATTGCTAACAACGCTTCCCCAGGCGTTGAACTTACTTGAGGAAAAGCGCAAGACCTATTCTTCAGACGAGTTTGGTGGTGTCAACGAAGCTGGCTGGGAAGACCTTGGTGATTACGACGAAGGCGGTGATGATGATGACAGTGACGGGCCCGACGAAGAAGACTACCTAAATTTCCTTAACAAAGAAGCCCAAGATCTTAAGTTTGTAGACGGAGGTAACGACATTCTCAACCATACCGAGGGTTTCGAGGACCTAGATGAAGACCCCTTATCGGGTTCCACGATTGATAGTGTGAACGTTTATGAAGTATTGAAGCATGTCATGCCAGCTATTCAAAGTGAGGCTGCCAAATATCAACTGTTTACCTCCAACCTGTCACAGGAAGATCAGCAAACTTACGTGGATCTTCTCAACCTATAAAATGAACAAATGAGCTTAGGCCAGGCGTTTATTCCAAAGATTTGTCACAGGCTTACTGAAGCTAGCGGCGTCGCTTGATTATGGTAATGGTCGGGTAATGTGGAAAATTTTCAGTTTTGAAAAAATTAAATGTCTTGCTCATCTCAGCTCATCGCGAAGACAAAATTGAAGATTTAAAAGAGATACTCGAAGCTTGCATCAGCAACCGATATCGATTAGACAGGTTTGAAAATGCTTTCTGATAACGACATTATTGCCAGTTTCTCGCCAGATTCTCGAACATTTGCGTTCAGATCAAATGGCCTGCAAAGGAAGTATGTGGACTTATATCCATTGAGCGAAGCCAATGACTACAAAGTCTCAAGCTCCTTGGTTAGCCATATTGATTACGAAAGTGGAGATCTGAAACTTGAGGATCTGAAATTCACAACGTGGTGTTTAGCAAATGCCGAGGACAGGAATTCGTCTGGCAAAACTAAGCGTAAGCTTTCTGAGCCAAATGCCGACTCAAATAGTCAAGCTGGATCGGTATCAAGCGAGTCATACTTCGTAAACGTGTTCACGGGCGGTAAGATTGTCGTGTTCTCGCCCACAGGTAAGGAAATCGTCAATATAATACAGAATAAGCGCGAAATTCTAGGTCTAGGTGCATCTGGCTCCACCTTGTGGATTTTAGATGACGAAAAGACGGTCAAGCATTTTGATTATAGATCCTCTAAACCTCTTAAGACCTTTCATCTCGTGGATGGCAAAAATGACGATATCTCGAATTTCCAAGTGCTGGAATGGCAGGATAAAGTTCTACTTGCTGTTTTTACGCCTACAAATTTATACATCGTGGATCCTTCTAAAAGAAGGCCCTCCACAGTTGTAAACATGGATCTACCAATGGGCAAGTACTGTGTCCCTGGTGCCGAAAGTCAGTTGATTGTTGCCGGCTCCGACAGCGTCCACATTGTGGAGCTAAAAACTGGTAAAGCAGTGTCAAAATGGAGGTTTCAGGCATCCCAGCTGAAGTTCTGGCAAGATAGAATATATGGGCAATCTGTCGACGGCATTGTGTCTGTTTTTGAGGTGGGAAATCAGAAGGAAATTTGTTCAATCAAATGTCAATCTTCGAAGATCATTCACTTCACGTTTGTGGATTCTAACATAATTATTGCATGGCTTAACGTAAATGAGCCCAAATTTGAGCATCTAACATCCGAAAGGATCAGCAAAAGTCACGAAATCGTATTTCATCAAGAAAAAGATGCTGTCACGGAGTCCAATGCCGACGCCGAGCTTGAAACCACTAACACGAACAACAGAGTTCCAGAGAAAGTATCAACTAAATCTAAAGACAAAGATATTATTACTGTGCTTTTGCGCCTAATGGATGATAAAAGTAGTTCCACTGAGATATTACATACTCTTGCATCAGAGTCGTGGTCCGAAGCTCAAATCAAAGAAGTTGTGAGCTCCAACCTAGCTGATGAGCACGCTAAGACGGTTTTCAGCATTCTGTCTAACGAAATATCTCAGAATCCATGGTCTACCGGCAGCAACTGTGCGCTTTGGTACAAATGGCTGCTGACGCTTTGCCACAGTAGTGTGGCGCCTATATCTGATAACCGGTCAAATAAAAATTTGAAGCAAGTAAGATCGTCGCTGCGTCAAAGCAGTGATGTGTATTCCTTGCTACTTTCAATGAAGGGTAAGTTAGAAATGCTAAGTGAGCAGGCTAAACTTCGGGAAGAGTTTGCCAACGTGTCTCTGGACGCTGAAGATTACCAGTTCAGCACAGAAAATGATGAAACAAAAGAACAAGAGCCTATATACGCAAATGGTGAGGGCGATGAGTTCGTCGATGCACTCGATTATACCGATCCGTCTCTCAAGGTCAGCGGCAGCTAATAATTTCAGAACGTTGAACATCAAAAGATATAGACCAACATGCTGGTGAGATGGAACTCTAGTTCAGTAGCGTGATTATGTACATAAACAGAGGAGTTAATCGGCATAGTATAATATCGAAATGTGCGACCGTAGAAGTCAGGGTATTTTTTTGATTTCAATGGATTTTCAAAATGAGTCGAACCATATACGTATAAAAATTTTCGATTACTATTGGCTTAAGAAATTGAACCTATACTTCATTCAACGAGACTTGTACAAGTTTAGAACCAACAAATAGTCATAGAAAGCATATAACCAACTGTTAAAAATGGTGGAATCTTCAGGTGAAGTTGAGAAAATGTACATCTCCTACAATAACATCCACAAGTCTTGTCAGAAGATTGCCAGCCAGATTATGGCTAAGGGCGAGAGACCCGATGTCATCGTTGCAATTACTGGTGGTGGTATGATCCCAGCTAGAATTATAAGATCGTTTTTGAAAAGCCCTGGCCAAAAAAATATCCCCATTCAAGCAATTGGCTTATCGCTTTACGAAGATCTTGGTTTGGATGATCAAGTAGAGACTATAGGGAAGGAGGTTATCAGAACGCAATGGCTGGATTTTGGCTCTCTTGAGCAGCATTTCGATTCTCTCATTGGTAAGAGAGTTTTGATCGTCGACGAGGTTGACGATACCAGAACCACGCTACATTACGCTGTCACAGAATTGGAAAACGAAGTCAAAGCTCAACAACTGAAACTGAACAGAACAAACGAAGAGACAATTTTCTCCATTTTTGTTATCCACAACAAAGACAAGCCCAAGAAGGCTTCCTTACCTGCGAATATGCTTAGTAACGATCGTTACCTAGCCGCCGAGACAGTTCCAGACGTTTGGCTCTGCTACCCATGGGAAGCTCTGGATATCGAAGAACATACTGAACTTGCGATCCAGCAGGGCAACAACTAATGTGAGTATTTATGCATTTATCAATGCGCCCTGATCCATGTACCTACTAGATATTGAAAATGATAGATCTCTTTTTTATAGACCAATATTCATCGCACGAGCTCTTGTAGTTCTACTAGCTGTTGGAATTGCATTTGCAGTAACTCCTTCAAGTCGTTCACGTCATTTTCCAGCTCTTCCACACGCTCAGCGCGGTCTGCTAAAGCTTGTGCAGTATTGTTCAATTCTTCTTCCAATGACTTTCCTCGCTCACTTGATGTTTTCAGCTGATCTTTGATCTCGGCAACTCTTTCGTTTTCCTCCATAAGCTTGAATATAGTATCATTTACGGTTTGCTTTTCCTTTAAAAGTTTTTGGTGTGATTCTTGTAGTGAAGCAAGTTCAGTCTCAAGTCTCCTTATCTGTGCCCCCAATCGACCTATCATTTGTGCATTCATCTGCGTGTTCTGATGGTTCTGAAGAGTGTTTCGTTGCTGTTGTGAGGGTGTGTAATCGAAAGACGCTATGCTGCTTTTTCTGAGGGATCCTGGTAGGTCGCCTGCCTCACTGGGCAAGAGTTCTTCAAGGTCGTACTGTGACTTGATACTCGCTACCTCTTCGTTGCCTACAAAAGAAGTGCCCAAGTTCTGCAGGTCCTGTAGTTCCCAGTTCGAGATTTTATCAATATCCCGGCCATTCGGGGAGGTCGGCTCTTCACCATGAACAGCAGACTCCACTTCGGACTCGGGGCCTGCTTGAGCTTTAGAAATTGATAAACGGCTTTCCAGTTCGGCCTTACGAACTCTGTATTTTTCTTGCCAGAGCTTGACATCATCCTCAGCGTCACTGAGGCTGTGTCCTAGCGTAGCAACCTTTCTTTGAAGTTCTTCGATCTCTCGTGCCAATCTTACTTTTTCATGTTCTGACCTTTCAAGCCTACTCTTGTAATCTGAGTTTTCATCGCGGAGAGTTATTTGCCCTTCATCGGCAAACTTGCGGGCCTCTTCGGCTTTTCCTAACCTGGATTCAAGTTCAAGTATTTTTTGGCGCAATGATGATTCAATACTAGACCAGTTCTCCCTACTTATCTCAAACTGGGTCTCCAGATCTTTGTGTTGAGAGGCCAGTCGTGAATTATCATTACCATTATAACTTTTGTCAGTTGTAATTTCAGAATTTGACGAGAGCTGACTTAGTTGTATCCTCGCTGCTTCGAAAGCCATTTCTAGCCTAGCTATTTCTCCCTTCGATGTTTCTTCGAGAGCCTGATATTTCATGTCTGACTTCATGGTGGCAGTTTCAAGCTGATCCCGTAATCTCTGCGACTGCAGCTCCAGTTGCTTTATTGTTTGCCGCGCTTTCTCAAGCTCTTGCTGTAGTTCAAGCAACTGGCCAGTTCTCAAAATATCAAGCTCGGACTCAGCACTATCACGCTCTTGCAAGAGTAATTCAATTTTTAAGGCGGATTCTCTACACTTCGACTGCAGTTCTATAAAGTCACCCGACAAGGTGTCAAGCTCCACGGTTTTCGCTTCAAGATCCCCGTTCTTGCATTCCAATTTATGCTCTAGGGTCTTGACCCTTTCTCGAAGCCCCTTAATTGTATTACTATGCCGTAATTCGATTTTGGACAGATTTTCGCCCTCTTTGCGAAGTTCATCTATTATCGAATCCTTTTCCTTAATTAGTTTGACCAAGCTAGTGTCGGTTTGCTCCTGTCGGATAGGACTGCTAGCTGTCGTGGCAGTGCTGTTTGATTGAGCCAGGTGCGGCCTGAGAGCAATTAGCAGTTCTTCAACTGACAGGTTTCGATAGTCTGCCGGTAGAATAGCCGCGAAATCCTCGAATCCTTCGTCAGATTGCGCTCCAAGCTCACGCTGTTCAGGTTCGATGGTTGTGTTTACATTGTCTAATTCTCTCAACTCGCTGGCTTCAGATTCTGCATCTGGCGATGGTATTGAGAGAGATGGAGAGTCAAGCCTCTTGCCTTTTTTCCTGCCCTTAGCGCGAGCCGCTAGCGACAGTCTTTCTTCAATGGAAAGCTTTTTGTTGCCGCTGCTAGACATTGACTGCAGGAATTATGATAGGCTCAACGCGATCGGGTGTTGGCGTTAATGATTTGATGTTTGTAGTTTGTTGATCTGAATTTGAAGTCCAGAGGCTGAAATGATTATTGATTATTGATTGTACTTTAAAATCTCGAAACAAATGTGCATCTTCGGTAAGTCGAACCGAAGAACAATATATAAGAGATGTTTTTGACCGCTACACCACAACAAGGTTCCAGAAAGAGGAGAATGCAAAAAACTAAGAACCCATCAAAGGCAAACTAGGCACGTGTAGATGACTTGTGTGCATGTGCGCGGAGCTTCTGTTGAAAGTCGCCTGAATCTGTCAACTAATATGCCCACCTCTCTGCTTGTGTAATTATTTTGTGCTCGGACATCGGGCTTTTCACAGGTTTGAAATGCATAACAAGTAATTTTCCTAGTCCTCAACACTAAGCATCCATTTTCTTTTGCTTTAAATAAAATAATAGATTTAAATGTCAGCGAAGACAACTTGCCATTGACCGCAATACGCTTCAGCTCGATAATCGTGCCATATAATCACCGCGCCAGAGTTGGAAATTTCGTAGCTTCTTTTTTGACTTTTTTCAATGTTGCCGGTACAAAATAATAGTTGATGGAAAAAAAATTCAAGCTCATCGCATCGCATCGCATCGCATCGATAGCTGCTAACTTTTCTCCATCACGAATAACCTATAAAGATCTAGAAGTAATTTCAAAATGGCCGTTGAACCATTGCCGCTCTCGAAAGTTGCTAAAACCTTGGAATCTGCCACTGGGTACGATTTTCAAGTCATTCTGAAAACACTCACCTCGTTCAAATATGTGGACGATAAACTTTTGAAATCCGATCTGGCAGTTCTGGTGGCTAAAATCCTAAAACTGCTCCGCTCCAGCGACGATTACCACGTTTGGAAAGCATGCCACCTCACTGAGGTCATTTGTGCATACAACCCCGTTGTTCTATGTTCTCAAGCGGGCGTTCTTCTTACTGCTCTTTTCAGCAAGCTAGAGCAGAAAGCAGGGTTCTACCGGACTACGGTCTCAACTCCTCAAGGTAAAACAGTATTGTTTACTCTGGTTAAATCGGTTGGAGTCATGGTGGATTTGGTTCGTGGCAAGCCAGCGTTAACCCGGGAAATTCTCACTCCTAGATTGCCAGCTATCATCTCAATCTTGATAACTTTATCCCAATTTGAACCTAAGTTGTGTTGCCCTATTTTGAAAAAGCTTTTGACCAAAAATACCACCACATTTAGACCCCACATCAACAAGTTCAAAAACGTTTTGATAAATCTTATTGCGAAAGACTACCATCACTTCGATGATGCTACAAAGAAACTCATTGTCGAAAATTTTGCGCTTTTGAATCTAGTCAAACAAAATAGCGGACCTAAAGACGAAACCAAAAGCCATCTCAAGACATATCAAGATGAACAATGGAGACAAAGTATGATGTCAGTTTTGTACAATTTCAAGCCTATTATTAATCTATGTGGCGAGATCATAGATTTTTCTGCCGACCGGGACATGCAGGATTTGGTACAAAGGCTCCCATCCCCTCCCAGCGGAGAATTTGAGGAATTCCTGCCGCCAGTAAATGTCGACTTAAATAAACCAATGTCGCTATGGCAAATAGCAGAAAGACTGAGGATTTTGTGTGATTTGACCGTTGCGTTCACATCTCAGCATACTAAGTACCAGATTAGGGTTCCTCTGGGTGGCATCGTGACTATTTCTGAAGCGATTCTAAGTTTGACAACTAACTATCTGCCTTTACAGCGTACTTTGCGCCGCGACGCGGAACTAACATCTACAGTAGGTGCGCTTCTCCCCACTTTACAGGCTAGCGGGATGACCTTACTTGGTTCGATGTCTCAGTTGTACGGAAAAATGCTACTTTCCTACACACCATCTATTTTGGCAACGTTGGAGTTCTTCATTCCTTCAAAGAAGGGTTCCACTTCAATCGATCTTGAGAAAGTGGACTGTCTAAGAAGCGAATTTTTTGATCTCTTTGGCATTGTAAATCTATATTTGAGTCACTTGGGACATTCGCTCAATGAAACTACTTTGTTCACTAAGCTTGTGGAAATTGCTTTACATTTGACTAAAGATTCAGTGCCATTGAAACATCTCTATCTTCAGCAAAATTTAGCGCTCAGAAAAACTTCAGAAAAGTCAAAAAAAGCTAGCAAGCAAAATACTGGATCAATGTCGGATGTGTATTCTCATCCACAAGCCTTCATAAGTACTTGTTCTTTGAAACATTTCGATTCTTTGAATAGATTTTTAACGGGCATTGTCTTGAATCTAAAGATGCCATCTGTGCAGCAGATCAAGATAACAAAGTACGCGATCACTGCAGCGGTCAAGCTCGAAAGGGAGCTTGGGCAAGTTCCCGAATCTTTCGTACACTTGTTGCGGGCTCTTGTGATGCACCCCGGCTACGAGCGAATCTCGATAATTCCTATAGCAGTGACACTACTCAAGAAGCATGGCGATGATGTGTTTGATGTTTTCTGCAACCCAAGGCTACCAATCGGGGCTGTTCAGACGGTAAACAGACAGGAACAGTCAAGTCTCTATGATGATCACGAAGAGGAGATAGATTTCAGTCACGAAGCTGAGGAAGAAGGTGAAATCACAACGGTAAATGAGGATACTAAGCCAGAGCCGGAGGAAATTGAAAAAGCAGAGGCGCCCAACGTGGTACTTGCTTCTAACATGGAGCGCATTTTAAATGATGAACCGGACAAGATGTTCAGAAAAAGAACCATTGAGGTTCAGAGCGACGATCATGAGTTGAAGATTCGCAAGACCGAAATCGAGCAAGAAGTTGAAGTGACTAAGTCAATTCCAGTTGAGGTCGTGCAGGAAAGTGAAACGGTTGTAGAGGTTCACGAGAGTGATGTCGAGGATGATTCCGATTTCGAGATTCCAGATATCAACCTAAGTGACGATGAAGAGTAATACACCGATTATATTGCGATTTAGTTCTTGAGATGGCCACTAAACGTTTACTGTTGATACCAGACGCTGCGTCAAAATTCGTCCAAGAAGTTAATCAAGTGAATATGAGACCCATCTTGTGATTTACATAGACAGTTAGACCTCAATAGTAATCGGTAAAGACCCGAGGAGTAGTTGCCTTCAAAGTCATTTGCCGTAAGGCTTTCGTCTCTTTTAATCAAGCGCTTCATTAGGTTCTGCATTCTTTCGGCAACGAGATCACTATCAGCGCCATCTGGGCAGAGGTCTATGGCGACGAAGTTCTCAATAAGTGTATGCAGAATACGCCAGAGATTAGAATTCCGCGTTTCGGGGCCATCTTGTTGCCGATCATGAAGCTGAGGGCTATTTTCTGAAAGCCTCTGATTCAAAAGTGTTGTTAGTGTTTGTACACCCTGATTAAGCGATTCTTGCGTCGCAAGGATTTCTCGAAGAGGTTCCAAAGAATCACTTTCGAGATACTCTCGACTTGTCTTAAGACGGGTTCTGTTTTCGCAAAAAGCAAGGCTGAGGCCTATGGGATCGGATCTATCAGGGGAGAACATGGGCTTCCCCAAGAACTCTATCCATAGATCTTGGTCACTATTGAGCTTCGTGTCTGGACCGCTCGATTTCAGTTTGGCTAGAGCATCTGTCACCTGCTGTAGGAAGTATTCTTTATTGTCAATTTCCCTCTCCAGACTCCGCTCATATATTGCCAACTGGTTTGAGCTGTTTGCTGCCATTGTCTTCGATACTAAGGGCAGTTTATGGTGTTATATTCAATTCTTGAAGAGCGAAAGAATTTAAGACGCTTTCGTCAGAGGTACTAGAAAAGTTGGGTGATTGTGAGTAAAGCGAGCAATTCTGGATGTTTTCAACTACATTTCATAGTCCATCCTCCCGCAACTTCTCCCACAGTCTTGACGCTCACATTTATCACTTGAAGCTCGCTCATTAGTGACAGGAAAGTAAATGTATTCACAAATATTCTCTCGAAATTTTAATTGGCCGAAAACAATCCCAACTGCTCATTGGCGGAACGATATTGAAAGGCTACGAAACCCCCGTTATATGATACCACAACAACAGATAACTAAGTAACCATGTCACAATGAGATAGGAAGACCGTTGTTTAAGTATTCGTGCACTGTGCTTCTGTCGTGAAGATCACTCTATACTAATCACGTTCAAATTTATCATTATAGCAAGTAGTGCTGATACATGAGCTCAATTCCTTCTTACAAGACTCCAAGCAATAATGTCTTCTATCACCCAAAATGACCTTGCGACTCTAGACGATGGCTCTAAGAAAGAGATCATGACTTTCTTGGAGGCCGAAAACTCCAAACAAAAAGTTCAAATGTCTATCCATCAATTCACTAACATATGTTTTAAACAATGCGCTACTTCTGTTAACAACGGAAACCTAAGCTCTCAAGAGGAGACATGTTTGAAAAACTGTGTCAACCGCTTTTTGGATACCAACATCAGAATCGTGAAAGGTCTGCAAAGTATTCAATGAAGGAATTAGCTGGGTAGCGTGCTGTTCGGTCGTGTATATATGTATTGTAGGTTATCCAGTCAATAATCGCTACATATCTGAAGCAAATTTCAGGGTTTCAAACATGAGTCCTGCGATAAACCTAGAGCGCCCCGAGTGGCTTTCATCTCCACGTCCTCATGCTATATTAATTAGGTGTTTATATTCAGATGTAGAGCTACTCATAACGCCATATTCAACGACGTATTTCCTCAACATGCAAATATGTCTGTGTGGGACAGCTCCAGCTTTATCGAGTCCTTAATCACATTGCTTGTCTGGCTAAAGTTCGAACTTACCCCATGACAGCGAATTGTTCAGGAGCTGACGCTCATCTTGATTCCAAGAACAACCCTTGGACTTTAATAAATTTACGAATGCATGAAACTGGGCTGACGTTTCGTCATCCAAGGTTCCTTCTGAAAAGCACTTCTCACTTAAGATGGTCACACACGCCAACAGATCGTATTTGTGACCCACGATTCGGCTTCTGGAACATACCACAACCAGCTTGGTGAGTGTCAAGACTATTTGGTGCACCAGTGGCATGAATAGAGTGATGTATCCATTGCGAATTAGGAACTCCCCTAGTACGTAAATCAGTCGCTGCAGATGTGCGACTGATCTTTCTTTCAGTATATCGATAGTCGTATCCACAAACTTTAGTACTTTTAGAGTCAGCTCTGGGTACTCCGTGGCTACTCTGGGCAGAGTTGCCTGAAGAATAATTTCCGATAGAAATTTGCTGACGCTCTTGTAATATAGAGACCGATTTTGACTATACTCCACTTGATATAGAGGAATGAGCGTGGTAAACACGGTTTCCCAGATTTTCTCGGTAAGCTGTGGGTCTGTGGAGGGTGGGAAGTGATACCATAGAGAAGTCAAAATGGGTTCGAATACTTTTGCTAGACCTGTGTTCGTGAAATTAAAATGTACGGTGTCGTTCAAATCAATGGTTTGGGTCAAAAATTGTCGCAATAAGACCACTCCTCCTAACTTAATTCCTTCCAGATCTGAGGTGTCATCCATCAAGTTCAGTATTCCGGGCGTTATCCACCACAGGTTGGAAGATATGTCTCGGTGCTTCAGTTGGCTCAAAACCATGAAAAACAAGGGAATGGATCGCCTACCTCCACCCTCATGCCAATCAGACCGTATTTTGTCTTCTGCAAAATTAAACCCTTTATTTGAATTAAGTGCCAACATTTCTTGATCTTTGAATCTTCCTTCATTCGATACTTGACTATTTTTGATTTGGACAAGCATTGAGCGAAGATCTTCGATTATGAGAGAGAGAGAGCTCTCATCTAACTCTTGACAAGCACAGTCAAGACATCGCTTCATCAAATCAGGCTTGTATTTGTTCTCTAGGCAGTAATAACTTATGCATATAATGGATTTGATTCGCTGAGACTTGTTCAATTCATGGCGAAATTTCACGAGAGCATCACAAGCTGCTGAAAGCTCTTCTGGGCTTGGATAGTAATCAATTGATTGGTTGACTTTGTCAGTGAAATCCTCTAGGTCCTCAACGAACTCTATCATGACGTCCTATCGCTCTTGGTTGATGAGAAACAATTACATCGCTAATTTGACATTGAGAATTGATTTTAGAAGTCCAAATTATTGTAGGAAGATAAAGAATCAAAAGTACCTAAACAATGTTCAAACCTACTTATCTGAGGCGGTTCAAACGACTTTTTCATGGGATAAAGATATCCGATGAAGTCAAAAACGCTCTGGCTATAGGGAAGCCGGTCGTAGCTTTAGAGTCTACTATTATCACACACGGATTACCGTTTCCTCAAAATCTTGAAATGGCTATGAAAGTTGAATCTTTAATTCGTCAAAACAATGCAATCCCTGCCACAATTGCATTCATTGATGGTGTTCCCACGGTAGGACTTGGAGCCTCAGAATTAGAACGGTTGGCCGACACTGCTGGCTCAGATATCATCAACAAAGTATCTAGGAGAGACATTGCATACACAATAGCCAACAAACAACTAGGTGGTACTACAATATCAAGTACGATGATTCTTTCGCATATGGCAGGTATCAAAGTTTTCGCTACAGGAGGCTTGGGCGGGGTTCACAGAGGGGCCGAAGTGACTATGGACATAAGTGCAGACCTTGAAGAGCTTGGGAGAACACCTGTAGCTGTAGTTTGTGCTGGACCAAAAGCTATTTTAGATATTGAGAAAACGATGGAATATTTGGAAACTCAGGGTTGTATGGTGGCAACCTATGGACCCGCTGGTACAAACGTTCCAGGATTCTACACTAGAAATTCCGGGGTTTCATCTCCCTATAACTTTGAAACATTTGCACAAGCCGCACAGATCATTCACGCAGGAAGAACATTAGGTCTAGATTCAGGTTATTTGATGTGTGTTCCTCCTCCTACAGGCGTTGCATTAAGCGATTCTTTGATAGAGAGCATTATAGACAAGGCTACACATAGGGCCAATGAGCTGGGTATACGTGGAAAAGAGCTAACACCTTTTTTACTGAGCAAAATTGCTCAAGATACAGAAGGTTTATCGGTGAAGAGTAATATAGAATTTGTTTTGAACAACGCCAAAGCTGGCGCTCAAATAGCTCTTGAGCTGTCCAAATTGGAAAAGCAAGATGTCTCTAAGCAGAAAACGCATATACCCCAGTTCACTTTCAAAGGTGGAAAAACAAACAGCTGCGTAAAGAATACCAAAGATGTATCTGTGGTAGTCGGCGCGGTGGCTTTAGATACGCATTGTTCCATATCCAATAAAACAAGCATGCATGACTCAAACCCAGGAAATATATCTGCCGCTATCGGCGGGGTTGCTTACAATGTTGCATTGGCTGCACATTGGTCCAACAAATATCCGACAGTATCAACAAAGCTATTAACTAGTGTGGGAAATGACTTACCAGGATCGGCCATTTTAAAAGACCTCGAATTGTCTACCGACACCATTTATGTTGACGATAAAAATCCAACGGCGCAATACGTCTCCATGCTCTCGAATGACGGAGAACTCATTGTTGCCTGCGCAGATATGCAAATAACGACCAAAATGCCTGATCAATTTTTACTGGATCGGCTGGAATCCATTAAGCCTAAATTAGTAATTGTGGATGCTAACGTTGCCACGCAAACTTTACAGCTTTTATTGAAGCTACAAACTGACTTGAATTTCAAACTTATATTTGAACCCACGTCTGACGCAAAGGCAAAAAAACTCAGTACTCTTAAAGGAATCGAACCTTTTCCTAATCACAAATTCTATTTAATAACGCCAACTGTTTCGGAATTACAAAGCATTTACTATTCATTTGGAAAAGTTGACAAGTTTGACGTCGATAAATGGTTCCCTATTTTGGACTCCCTTCAAGTAGATACTGCGTTCAGGAACGAGCAAAATAAGGGCCTCTCAAAAATCATAAGAGACGCAATAAAGAAAGGCGTCTTCCAAATGGCATTTAATCTCCTGCCATACTTCCCTAAAATGGTAGTTAAAGATGGACCAAACGGGCTTTTTGTGTTTACACTGAAGGAAGACATGGCTGATAGGGACTCGACAGAATCTTTTGCTCACTATTCTTTTGTATCAAGGGGTTTTCAAATTGGTGACAAGCAAATGGGAATGATGTTTGAACATTATGAAGTGCCAGACAAGACATTGACGGTAAAAAATGTAACCGGTGCCGGAGACACATTTTTGGGAGTTTTGTCTAATGATATTTGCCACAAGGGTGATATATTCAGCTTAAATGCTACTGATAGATTCGCGTCCATCAATAGAGCTCAATTAGGTGCTAAGATGACGGTAGAGGATTACGGGGCTGTCAGCAAATGTCTGAAGCAACTTAATTAATTTAGAGACTTTCGCGTAGGGCGGTTGGCTAAAATGTTAATCAAACCATTGTTTTGACCTTGGAAACGAAAGAGTCTCGCGTAGCAGGACTCAAAGGTTTAGGCCCACTGAGGTACTGGCTAAAAAGCATTCTACCTATTATTGGCTCGTCAACCCTCCCAAGCATTATTTTCTCATTGTTCTTACGAGAGCAATATGATAGCTGTAAGGAACCATTGATTTGGAGCTCTATCAGCAAGTCATCATTCTTAGGGACGAATCCTTTTCTTGTGAAAGCATCTTTCAATTCTTGAATTCCTCTAGAAACAATTTCCTGATTTTTCTTGGCATCTGGATGGTTTAAAATTGACTTGATCAGGCCCTCTTTCAAATGGCTAAAGTCGGTGTTTCTAATGGGCGTGATCTTGGCAGCCATTCTAACACCACCATCAATGAGGTTTCCAATCAGTGCTCTAGATTTTATTGGGTCCCGGAGAGCGTTTTCCACATTTTCAGAATGTGATTTCGAAGTGTCCGTATCTAGAAAGGCTTTGGATAAGTAGTTGGAATTGAAGATCTTAGATATCAACGGCAAGTCTTCGTTGGCCACATATATTCCCAACGCATAGACCTTAAAGTTAACGAATGTAACTGCACGAGGTCCAAACCCTAAAAGATTGTAAGAAGCTGTCAGCGGATAGTCTGGAGGTCCTAGAGTTACTGTGAATGGCGACACGGATTTGTCCACCTCTACGGATCTGTCAATATTCTCAGTGGGACCAGCGTCGTTTCTGATCGATTGACATTGCCATAAAATGAGACCAAGTCCTGCTGCTCCAGCTCCTAAAATGTAGGTTGATTTATGCGATTTTTGATATTGGGTTCCCAGAAGTTGCTGAGAAAAAAAGGACCTCTTTGAGATAGAGCTGCGCGCAAAACGCAAGCTTTGAGCAGCTGAAAATCGAGATAGTCTGTTGAACATTTGAAATAATCTTTTGACGATTTGTGATTCTCAATGCTTGTTCATATCGGACCTTACTTCATGAAATAACTGAAATTTATTAGCACTGCGCACGAATAGCGTTGGGAAATAGGTTTCAAGCACACAACGTAGACATTTGCACAGAACAAGTTGTACTGGTAACGCCGTCATGATCGGTCAATGTTCGTCCCCTCGAACCATATGATAGTTAACAGCCCATGCGAGCTGCGAACAAGGATTTTGGGAAAAAAATTCATAAGCTGCACTAGACAAGTCTATGCTCGAAAACAACTCAACAACACAAGATGTGCAGTTTATTTGGCTCTGGATTTAGTAACGTTTTGCTAAGTAATACTATATGCATCAAGCTGTGTCAAATTTGTACATAGTGACAAGCTTGTTACAACCAGAAGTCAGATCTATGCAAGCCAGCCAGAAGAGTTTGCTAGAGAGGAGCATGGTGAAGATATTATTTATACTTCCTTTTGTAGCCTGTCCACCATTCTCAACTAAGCGAAACTTAAGAAAGGTTATTGGCATTTCACAAGTAAATATTGAGCTTTCACCAAGAATATATGCTCGCGACCTCCACAAACTCTATAGAAAGCAGCTAAACTTATTGCAACACATTACATAGGGCTTTGGCGAGTCATTTTAAGGCTTTTCGAGAACCTGATATCATGTTTTTATTCTCTGTTAAGAGATCTGCTTTATCAAAACTTCATGTATTTCCCTCTCTAGAAAAATAAAAACTGCCCGTTCTCCACGCTTGAACTCAGTAGACTCATGGAAGGAAAGCATGGCTTCATATAAATGCATCACCTCCTGACGAGCTTCTTTATTATTCGATGATGGCGAGATGAAAGATCTACGCAACCAGAAATTTTGTGATTTGACCTTCGAGGATCGAATCTCAAGATCTCATGAGCATGTTTTGATCAAAATTTAATAAACAGTTTATAAATAACAGATTAAAATCTATGACGAAGCCTGCTATAGTGCATCTTCGGGAATGTCGTCGTGAAAGTATTTACCCTCTAGTGTTGGCTTAATGACTCCTGTTCTGATGAGGAAGTCACCGAAATGCTCCCCATCGTTTCTGTGTAGCGACCAGTTTTTGAACATAGGCTTCAAGGTAGCAATGATTTCGTCTTCTTTAATGGAGGCCCTGTAAAGCTTATTCAGCCTCTGTCCATAATAACCACCGCCCAACATCAAGTTGTAGGTACCAGGAGCTTTTCCGACGCAGGCTATCTCGGCCAACCAAGGACGGGAACACCCATTAGGGCATCCGGTCATCCTCATGACAATAGAGTCATGGCGTAAACCATATTGTTCCAAGACGTCTTCAAGCTTGGTGATCAGGACAGGTAGATAACGTTCTGATTCAGCCATCGCCAGACCACAGGTTGGGAGGGCAACGCAAGCGGCTGAAGAAAGTCTTAAACCGCTGAAGTCGGAGTTATCAAGCTTGTAGGTTTTCAATATCGATTTGATATGGTCTAAATGGTCATCGGTGATGTCGCTAATTACCACGTGTTGATTACCTGTCAGGCGGAAATGTCCGGAGTTGGTTTCCTTCATGTAATCGGCTACCTTCTTAAGACCTGTCTTTTGAGGCATATCTGGCGAATTCTCGATTCTACCATTTTCAATGAAGATAGTGAAGTGATTTTTGCCAGTCTCATCTTTAACCCAGCCAAAATAGTCAATGTTAGACTTGATCTCGTATGGTTGTTCTGGACCAAACTTTTGACCCCATATTTCTTCCACTTTTTGTTTGTAAACCTCTACCCCCAAATCGTCGACTGTATACTTTAAACGGGCATGTTTACGATTTTGGCGATCTCCATGGTCTCTTTGAACAAGCATCACCTTCTCAATTGCGATATGTGCGTCTTCGGCTTTAACAAAACCGAACGAAGAACCGGTTCTTGGATAAGTTTTCTTGTTATTGTGAGTAGCACCCATACCACCACCAGCGTATAAATTGAAACCTTTGATGATTTGTGTTGCCTCATCAACAATGGCAATCAATCCAACATCAATAGACCAGACGTCAACATCATTGTATGGTGGGACTGCCATGTTCACTTTGAATTTTCTGGGTAGGTAAGTAGGGCCATACAACGGTTCGACATCAACTAGAGCATTGCCACTTACTAATGTCTTTTTCTTGTTTGGTCCTTCCTTTCTATTCTCAAAGATCGAAGGCCACTTTGAATCGTCATCATTTGGATCAGCGCCTTCTAGCCAAATTTCGTGATAAGCAGTCGTTTGTGGAAGCAAGTGTTCAGAAATTCTAGCCGCGATGTCAGCAGCTTGTTTGTGAACCTTCGCATTAGCTGGGAGAGCTGATACCATAACATTTCTGTTGACATCACCACATGCAGCGACAGTATCCATCAAAGTGGAGTTCATTGCTCTGATAGTATGCTTCAAGTTTCTCTTGACAACACCGTGCAATTGGAACGTGGCTCTTGTTGTCACCTTTATAGTACCATTACCAGTCTTGTCGGCTAAGTGATCTAGGATAAGCCATTGCTCAGGCGTCGCTTTGCCACCGGGAAGTCTTATTCTGCTCATGAAAATATAGTACGGTTCTAACCCTTGCGCTTTTCTGGCGTCTCTGATATCACGATCGTCTTGCATATAAATACCATGAAATTTAGTAACTTGCTGATCGGAGGCAGAGATGGCTCCAGTGGAGTCATCGACTAGTGCCTCTGGTATTGTACCCCGCAGAAAGTTTGACTCAATTTTGATGTCTTCATTTGTGATTGGTTTAGGCTCGTCGGGAACCGAGGCCCCAGACACTCCCAATACCTCCCAAAGTTGAGGCTCCCACTCACCGTAACCAGTTTGATAGCTATCGGCATCTTGATCATCACCTAAACCTAGTGGAATCAATGGTTTGGCAGAGAGAAGCTCTAATCTCTTAAACAGTTCCTGAGCAGGTTTGTTGTAATAGTGCTTATCCTCCTTACGTGGCCAGTAAAGGGAGTCCCCGAGGCCGAAAACGGAAAAGTTCAAAGCAGCCAAGTCTAAATCGAGAGAAGCTTTTAGTTGATCCCAAAAAGCTTTACCATCTTGGGGAAACTCACCTTGGCCAGCAGTAGAAGTGATGAATATAACATTTTCTTCGTCTGGTAAAACTTCCAAATCTAGGTCGTCCATGGACAGAACAGTTGCTTTCAACCCTCTAGCAGTAGCTCTACTGCCTAATCTGTTGGCAAGATTAGCAGCATTACCGCCATCAGACGCATAATATATGTGCAAAGGAGGTCCTGACAAACCTTCCAGCAGCTGATCATAAGCTGCCTTTGCCCTTCTCTGTTGTTTGGCCTCAATTTGACCACTAGCGCCCTGCTTTAGATTCCTGGCTAGTTCGGGACTCTTTTTGGTGAGAAGACTCAATTTGTTTTCTCTATCAAGAAACTCTTGCAACTGTCTTCTGATCACAGAGGACTCGAGCTTGAAGGCCTCTTCTGGGTTTTCTTCCCTTGGATCATATCTGTACAATGGCCAGTACCCAGATTCCACTGCGTTCTTGGTTTCCTTCAAAACATCCAGAGGTGTATCATTCTCGGAAGAGTATGGCAAGTAAGCCAACACAATGGAAGGCCCTGTGAACTTAGCAGCTTCGATTAAAGAGGTCAAAAGCTGCGTGTAAGAAGAATATACTGCCACCGAAGCAACGTATACTTCACCGAAGTTCAGAGCATACAACCCAACATCCTTTTTTCTTAGTTTTGATTGGGAGCTTTTAACTTGTTCGTAGGGTTCTGAATCAATGATGAGCATGTTCACGTCTTTCTTTGAAGCTAGAACATGGTGAACACCAGAATTTCCTAGATCGTAGGACCAAGCGTCGGACCCCACTAACCACTTAGAGGCGAATTTGAAACTATCGACTGTTGGTGCATTTTTCAAGATCCTCAACGAAACGCTGGAGTCTTGATTTTGTTCTAATAACTCGTAGACTTCAACAGCAAGTTTATTAGCTTCTTCCAGAGAAGCTTCTTTTGATTTTTCTTCATTTAGACGCAACCATTTGGATAGTAGTTCAACGATACGGGATCCCTCAGGAGAGTTGTAAGCTCTTGCATCAAGGGAGTCGCGAACAATGGCGACTAATTCTTTTCTTTTTGATTCTTCACTAACTAAAAGACCATATCCATATTCGGGACTTGTAGCGTTGACGTTCTCGTCTTGATACTTGTTCAAAATATGAAGGTTAGAGGAAAACAATTGCTTTAACACCTTTAGATAGGCATCTTCGAGGGAGAAAACGTTGCGAATAGATTTTTGCAATGAGGCGTTCTTCTCGGAGTTGGACGAGCTTTCTCCAATAAATAGGGTTTGGTCAGGGTTCTCGTTAGTCACATTTGCGATGATTTTTTTCAAAGCAGCAGATGTATCATTAAGCTGTCCAATGTTTGTCACTAGCAACTGATCTATGCCTCTCTCTACCAAAGTATTGAAATCAGCAAAAAAGTCAAGCAAGATAGGTTCGAACCCATTAACAGACAGATTGTTGTTTGTTCTTTGTACGATAACAATTTTTTGAACAGATAGCGGTACCTGCTCAAAAAACTGTTCAAACGACCACGGTCTGTATACCGAGATATCAATAAGCGCAGTATTTGATGGCAAAGCTTCAGCAAATTGCTGGCCATATGGCGAAAGATTGACCACGAGAGTAGAAGGAGACTTGGATGTGCTGTGGTAGGTTACTTTAGCCAAGTCCTCGAAGATGGCACTCTCTGAAGCTGGCTCCTCGGCCACCTCTATAAGGGGAATTTCGGCAGTGGCGACTTTGCCAATTGTGGACAAGTTTACAAAGTGGAAAACGGGCTGTAAGGTTTCAGACGCGCACTTTGCGGCTGCTAGAGCATGCTGTGGCAAAGTGGTGCTAGAGTTTGAGACCAAGGTCGCAAACGACAAATCCTTCAGCAGAGGCAATGTGGCATACTCGTTCAGCGCTAATTCGATGTTGACAACAACGGGAAAACCTTTCAAAGAATACAGATGAGGCAACGAGTTAAGTAGTGTAGTTTCATCCGTGAAAACGGTAGTGAGTTTGGACTTGCTTAGATCTTCCACGACCGTCGCAAAGGGATCGGAGGAGTTCACCAGCTGCGAGCAGCGTGCATGAGGGTTCGCCTGCAACGCGGCAGAAACCCCAGAACCAATCGACTTGGCTTCTGTGGTGTAATAAATAATGCCATCACCAGTTCTGGCAACATCGGCCAAAAACTGAGCTGGACTTAGTTGGGCCATAGTGTGCGTGATGCTCGGGCAGATAGCGTTTCTGAAACACTTACCAAAAAATCAGAGGTAGGCGGTGAGTTCGCCGACTCACTATTCTTATATGCCCTGCACTGCACTTTTTCGAAAAACTATAAACGAAGCTTCTCTTTCTCAACAACACAACTGTGGCATATATTCCGATAATTCAAAGATCAATGAGCGACCTGTGTTCCTGTTCAGCTGATCTGCTGAGATTTCGCAACTCTCAGCATCTCACGTGCGTTTGTCCGTTAGTACGCCATACCAGCGAGAGAAGGATAAAGACTAATGACCGATTCGAATACCACGGAAACCGTATTTGATTCCTCGCAAACGCGCTCGTAAACTTTTGGCACCAGCTTTGTATTTCAAATGTCGTTTGGCGTCTTTGTTTTAGAATTAACAGTAGTGACGCCTGAAGGCTACACTTCAGCATAGTAAAAAAGCGGCTTGTAGCTTAAATTCTTGATACTATCTTCTGATTTTCTCTCTAGCAACTTCCCTGTAGCATACTCTGAAGATCCTTGCTTCGCATAACCTGGCTGTTAACCCTCATGGCTTCGCTGTTTCGTAGGGGGACGAGAATGCACGACTTTTATCTTAGGAATTAAAGTAGACGAGTAGACAAACTCGAATATGGCTCGCATTTCTCATGCGAAGGGTACTGAAACGTTCGTTGTTTCTGCCTTAGGATTGTGGAGCAACTCTGACAGTAGTCTTGGTTACTGATCTTTTTCGGAAAGTAAGAGCATACGTGTCGGAATCGGCACACCAGCGCTAGCATTCAAGAACACAACTATTGCGGACTTTTGCTGAGTGGTGTGTTATGCGTAAATGTGAACTCGTTGCTTGAATGTCTGTAAACGAAAAATGATCTCAACAGAAATGACTTTTGTCACTTCGAGTGATGGATCTCGGTTTGTATGCTGTTTATGGAGTGTGGGAAGCATAGATGTTGCAGCATCAAACCCTGCTCTTACTCTCTAACCCTGAATAGGCCAGAGGCATCTTTTTTCCTGCATGAGCAAGTAGCGGTAAAACCATGCAACATTTCGTTAGGGAACCCTGTATTGGCTTTCTACGATCTAAATAGTACGTTTTTCATAAAACATTATTTTTCGGGCCTTGGAAGTCAATTAGCCGCCGACGTATTCCTCCCACTAAAAAATCGCATGTGTTGTCCAGAAACCACAGGCCTCTCTTGGGATCAAGCAAGATAAATTTTCTCAGCGCTATCAAATGCTTTGACCTTGGGAAGCTTATGCACTTGCACTTACTATTGTTCTTCATCAGTAGTAAAAAAAGCCACTCGATTTTCCACAAATCGGTTCTCTAAGCTGAATCTATAATGTTGAGCTATTGCGTCAACCTAAATTTTACTACATTTTACACAGGAGATTAGCAGTCGGCAATCAGAAATCTTTGGAACTTCGGGGGCTTATTTGTCTCAAATATCTGTACACTGTGAGCTTCATATTCCTTATGCGATCGAAGTAGCGGTGGCCACGTTCGCGGATGCCTTGGTCATAGAACAAGAGCTCCAAATAATATGTGGTTCACACAATGCACAAGTAACGCCCTATTTGGCCTGCATTAGTGCTCAGGAGAAAAGAGAAAAAAAGATGAATGCGCTCTGCAAACATAGAGTTCGGTCTTTTTTAGATATCGGAGAGAGCCGCGGAGACTCAATCGATTGCCATTTGCACATAAATTAATCACCTAAAATTTTACCAACTAATCAAGTCAAATTGTGGCGCAGGCATTAGTTCTCACTTCGCAGATCGTTCCAAACTGTATCCTTGAACTGGCTTATTTTCTTTGCTTAAGGTTTACTTGATGAGATACGACGACTCAAAATAAAATTACACATCGTCTTTCCAATCGACTACAATACCACAACTTCTTCTATTGGAATACCAAAATTATTGAAGCCATGGTAAAGTGTTGCCCTATGTTTCAATAGTCAACATTCGACCGGTGGTCTAAAAAGCTGAGGTCTATTGAATGCCTTAATTCATATCACCTATAGTTGAGATTGTCAAATATTGCGTCTAAAATCAGCTTTCCTTATTGTGTCGTCACTTTACCTAGAAGTTTTAAAAGCCATAACATGAATTCCAATTTTGAGAGTCTGCTTTGAGCAACCATTGACACGGTTAAGCGAGAAATTATCAATGTAAATCACTATCTTACGTTTTCACGCTCCTGGTCTAGCGTTTCCCCGATAGTCATTCCCAGATTTGCTACTCCAGATTGTTTCAGTTCTGCCGCAGCTTTTTCTAATTCTAGGAGGTTAGAATCTCTAATCTTAGCGCAGTCGTCCAGAGTAGCGTCCACTGTTATATCATGTTAGTTTCAGCCGAAAACAAACAGTGGCATTCCTTGAATACTTCGCTTACTGCAAAACATACGTTTCAATCGCATCTGATTCAGGACAGCTTCCTTGATGCGTATCTTCTCCTCCTCACTGAGCATTGGTGGGCAAAGCGGATGTCTGTCCCAGTATAATCTAACAGTACCATACATTGTAAATCCAATTTCGAGAAGCTTGGTTTTCGTATGTTACGATTTTGAGGCTTTGAGGCTACAGCTATCATGCTGTTAGTGGTTGGACAAGAGATTTTAAACCTCTATCAGCCGCCACTATTCTCTTTAGGCTGGCGGATCTTTTTGTCAGTGAGACTTTGAGAGTTGCCACTTCCAAAATCCAAGAACGTATATTTAGAGGTTAGAGAATCCCAGCCGATACGCTCCTGTAGTCAATTTAGCACAGTGTATCATGAACTTTCTTTCATTTCGGAGTTGCTACTTGAGATATAATCTTTCCCAAACTCAAGAAATAAATGATGATAATTTTTGTAAAAAGGTAGCGATTTTGGAGAGATTGCAGGTTTTACCGAATTTAGTAACTCGCCTCTAAAATAACCAACGCAATGCCTTTCAGGGGCTATTCGGTAAGTTTATTTTTATTTCGCATGTTTTTGGCTGAACCCATCGATTCAATGATGCGGTGGAGCTTTTTGCTATCTTCCATCAGCATGCAGTTGATCACTTAGCTGTAACTATAGATGTAGTTTCCAGATCTTTGCAGGAAGTAAACCAATTGGAAGAATGGCTCGCATCGATAGGACAAACTTCATTCTTATCACGTAAAGCGCTCGAGGATTTGTCTTGGGAAATTGGAAAGAGGACACTTCCCTAATATTCATCGCTCTCCAGAAGTTGTTCAGTCTGTGCTATGCACATTACGGATAAGTAGGTAAGGCGAACTTTGTCCATTTGACTCGACAATTACATCATCACTTGGTACTATTTTGTCATTTATCATATATATATAAAGATCGGCATATAACGAAAAACTGCATATACCGTGTAGGATAGATGAAATGGGGGCGATTGTTATCCAATAGTGTCTAGTGAAAATGTTGTCACTTGATGAAGAGACTTGAAGAGTGCATGTAGAATGTAGCAAGATATTTTCCATGAGATGTCCAGGCAAGTGAAAAATTACTATTGAGCAGGGCGCGAATTCTTCAATCTCAGCTGGTGTAGTGTCAGTATACTCAATCAACTTCTAAAGCGCCAAACTTCGTGGTTGACCCTTCTTCCTCTAGATTCTCAGATCTAATGTTCTTGTCACCGCACACGTACCCAATATTTGACAAAAAGACCAAAAGGTGGCAAAATGCACAACCTTAAAAGAATCATTAAAGGTTAACTTGTCCAACTCTTTGCATTGACCCATATAACGACTGAAAAGAATGGTTTTGGAAGCAGCAGTACTGATTGTGGATAATTCAGAGTTTTCCAGGAACGGGGATTTCCCGAGAACTAGATTCGAAGCGCAGATCGATGCCGTGGAATTTCTATTCCAAGCCAAGCGTAACAGCAACCCTGAGAACTCGGTTGGGCTTATTTCGTCTGCCGGAAGTAACCCTCAGGTTCTCTCAACTTTCACATCGGAGTTCGGAAAGATTTTGGCAGGTCTACATGACACCACCATTGGCGGGGAAACAAGACTGACCACTGCCATCCAGATTGCAGCGCTAACGCTCAAACATCGTCAGAACAAAGTTCAACACCAGCGGGTCATAGCATTTGTGTGCAGTCCTTTGCCAGAGAGCGAAAGGGATGAACTCATGAAGCTAGCCAAGAAATTAAAGAAGAACAAAATTGCAGTCGATGTGGTCAACTTCGGTGAGATAGACAGCAACACTTCCATCTTGGAAGAGTTCATTCAAACTGTTAACAACCCTCAAGAAGAAAGCAGTCATCTAGCCACGGTATCGCCCGGCCCTAGGTTACTGTACGAACATGTTGCTGCGTCTCCTATAGTACTAGAAGAAGGTGCGGAGCCTGGATTCGGCGGTGTCGGAGGATCGGGAATGGGCGGAGGTGACAACTTTATGGATTTTGGAGTGGACCCATCCATGGATCCGGAACTTGCTTTGGCGCTGCGTTTGTCCATGGAAGAGGAACAGGCCAGACAGGAAAGACTCAGGCAAGAGCAGGAAAACAGCACCGGAACCAAGAACGAGGGACCCTCGGCCAGCTAATCAATAACAGCTTCTCTTTTTTGCCATCTGCCGCGAAACGAAACCACTGCCACTGCCACTGCATTTCCATGCGCAATTCCATCGAATTCTGTAAAGTACATATTGGTCGATATGGAGCCATTAAAAATAGAAACATCCAGTTTAAATACCTCAGCACCACTTGGTAAAATGTTAGACAGCCACCAAGCTCACTACTAGTATAGCAGTGGCTACTTTTGCTTAAGTGTCGGAATCGAGTCGTGCAATATCTTGATCTTCAATTCACGTGACGTATAACGAGTTGTCGTTTGTAGTGCTATGGAAGTACACCAGGCTTCCTTTAAGTTTCTAGCTGTTCAGCGGATAAGATCGATAAACAAATTATACAACCTACAAGCTTTCCTATATGTCCCACGATGCTCGGGGCGCCATGAAGCCTCAAGTAGATCAATCTGGATTCCCAGACTCTTTGCAGAGCTTTTTGATGGACAAAAAAGACCTGAATCATGCACCTCAAGCGCATATAAGCCAAATAGGTTCCAAAATGAATATTGAGAATAATACGCTTACAATTGGGGGCACTGGGGAGCCCAGAAGAAGTGGCAAACCTCGAATGACCATGGACGCTGGTCGAAAACTAGATTTGAAGCGATCATTGGTACGAGAGCAGTCCGACAGGAAAATTACTACAAATGCGGAGACTCCGGACCTCAGCCTATCGGGATCAGACTCACTACCTCAATCGCAACCAGAGCCTTGCAGCGGGCAAAGAAAAACTTATCAATTGGAGCTGGGGCTCCATGAGTCCAGGTTTTCTGAGGAATTGGTGATATTAGATTTATCAAGCGTACGGGGCTTGAAAGAAGGAGATTTGGCGGAACTCAAGACGTATAAGGGCAAGAATGGAGTCAAAGGCAAGAAAATATATTTTGTGGTGAAAGATTTCGATAAAGAACTTCGGAAACGATACAAAAACGCACAAATTTCGGTGTTATCAGGTCAGTTACAACATGCGATAGGGTTGCCTACGCGTTCCAAAGTTTGGGTCAAGGCGAAAGATAGAAATGCTTGTCAAGCAGACCTTGTTGAGCTCTATGTTAAGGACTGCCTGATTCATCGTGGTGATATGTGGGTCTTTTCCTCCGAGATAACTGGTAGCTGCGTTTACAATGAGCAAAGATTAACTTTTGTGGATAGTGTTCGAGCTACAGTCCATGGGATATATCGCGAAGGGAAGAAAGTTCTTTCAGGCTACATCGGCGATGATACGAAAGTTGTCTTTCGATCAGAATCTGCTAGATTAGTCTTTCTGATACAAATAACTAATGAGATGTGGCACTTTGAAGAAAATGGCGACATCTATTTTTACAAGGTAGTCAATTCTCTGTTTCCAACCATCTTCAAAAAGTGGAAAAATATAGGCACACATCACACAATCACCATAGTTTTCTCCGCCTCCTTGGATCTCTCAGATATTCCATTCCGAGACATACCAGACGGTGAAAGACCTAAAAATACAAAAGATTACTATCGCATTGTTGTTGATCAAGTAAATATAGTTCACTGGACAGAGATCATGAAAACACTGAGGCAGGAGTTTAAAAATATATCTAAAGAATTGAAAACTTACCAAACAGAAGATGGTATATCTTTGGTTAGAGGTCGATTTTCTCCTGCTATCAAGTCGAATATCCTAGAGACTATTTGCTTGGCCACGACATTTTGTACCAATCCTTTTAGACAGCCTGATCTTCGACGAACAGCGGCGCATGTCATTATTGTTAGTCCTGGATCATGCATTTACGATGTTGACTTTGACTTGCTCAAGGAAACAAGTAAAAAAGTTCAATCAATTGAGCTTTCTCTTGATGTCATTTGTTTAGGACGACCCCCTTTGCACGTTGTTCCTCTCCTGAGGTATCGAGATTACGAAAATCGACTCCGATGCTGTGTACCTTCTTGGATAAACATTTCTTTTTGGAGGTATTCGTCCTATTCTAATAATATTTGGTATCCGAGGTGTAAGATGCATGACCTTCAAATGATGGGATTGACCGAAACAGAGATGAAGGATGAGATCGCAATAGACTATATGGAGGTACCTCCCAACACATCTTCGATCTCTGAGTTGATGAAGCAACACGACAATAGTATATTTACTTATCAGAACGACATTGACGTGGAGGAGAGAAAATCTATTTCATCAGATTTTATCAACGAATCAAAACCAAAGAAAGGGACGAAACCTATTGAGAGACCAACGAAAGCATATCTCTCGTGGAACCCACCAAGATCTGCTTCGCCCATGGTACAATCAACGGCTTCATTGCAAGTGTTTGGGGACCTAGCTCAATCCAGTCTCAGCGGACCCCCGCATACTGGCAGTGGTAGAATTGACCCACATAATAATGATGAAAAAGCTCAGAATGAATCGCGGGCCGTTAATAAATTGAAGAGCGTGACAAAAGGTGGAAACATTGCACAACGAATTGTTTCTAGATTTCTCCCAGAAGCTGAATTGAAGCCCAAGAGAAGTCCTACGGTAACACCCACAAAAAGCGCACCTACCTCCCAAGTTTCTCGGAACGAAAATCAATCTGCGCTTGATGACATAGGAACCTACAGTCAATTGCCGATGTTGAGAAAGAACATCTCCTCTTTGAAAGCACCTATGGCTAAAAAGGCCCCTTTCGAGCTGGTTTCGTCGTGTGGTCAATCTTTGTCGAGCTCCCCTCAGCGTCTTCCAAATTCCTTTTCTCATAAGATTCAAAAAAGAGCCGCTGTGGATGATATGATGGCAATTCTCTTTAGCTGGCTAGAGATAAAAAATCCATCGATGCCGATGAGCTTAGAGCGGGCAAGCTCTTTGATCATGCCCCAGTACAGAGACGTTTTTCCAAAATATGTTGCAAAGAAATACAATAAATGGAAATCGTTAACAACTCCAGCGGAGCTCCCCATAACCATATCATCCTTCCCAGCTAAAAGCGACTTCGAGAAGAATTTTACTTTCACTAATCATTCTGTTATATTGAACCCTGATCAAGAAGTTGAAAATCAAACCGCTTTCGATCTGTTAAGAGACATGGTTTACGTCAGACTTTTGTCGGGCTTCCAAATTTGCACCGGCGAAACAGTTGAAAATATTGAATTCTCAAAGGGCAATGAAGGTGACAGTCGAAAACTCGCGAAAAGATTGACAAAAGGTAATTATATGGATGTCAAGATGTACATGATGTTTTATGAAGAAATTCATAAGCTAAGTTGCGACTATGATGGTACTATCAATGTGCAAAGACATATTCGCAAGAATAACGACGCTATAGGAAGCGGCGTGCCCACTTACTATCCAGAAATCAAAACTAGATACGAAAGTTCATATCGTGAAACAATGACCGATCCCCTCAAAATGAACAGAGAAAGGTTTAATTGGAATCAGCTAGATCAGATGCTGGCAGGCTATGGAGATTCTGTTATTGAAAAGAATAAGAAACAATTTCGTTCCAAATTTGTAATATTGCCATCTGACGTTCCGGAAAATACGTTCTCGTCTACAATAAATGGCAGATCAGAGACTTTGAGTGCTGAGGAAATCAGACTTGAAGGTTTGAGACGGCTCATTTCTTCGATATATCGTACCAGGCTCAAAAATGGGCGTGACAAGCTACCACGCTCCTCCAGAAAAGAAGAAATCGCACCAGAAATTCTCTTCTACACTGGGTCACTGTTCAGTTTCATAGATGAGCAGGCTGAAATTCTAAAATCGACTGGGAACACCCGAAGTGATACAATATTTGTCAAAGATGAAGATTCTCTCTCCAAAGATGTCGATATTGTGGACCTGGCATATGATATGCAGTATGGCAAGAATCATTTACGTCTAGTAAATCGCAAGTGGCACTGGAAAAAACATAATAACTGCTTTTTGGGGTTAGAGTTAGTCAATTGGCTTATCGAAAACTTCTCTGATATCGACACACGAGACGACGCCGTAGCTTACGGCCAAGAGTTGATGGGCCGCGGCCTTTTCGTTCACGTTGAAAACAGACATGGATTTTTAGATGGACATTACTTCTATCAAATTAGCTCAGAGTTTGTGCACAACCCACGATTTCGGGAGGCGGTTCCAGACGGACAACAACTACATGCCGACTCTCTCTCAAAACGTAGCATAGTGTCCGAGAATCTGGATATGCGCCCTTCAAAGATTGAGCCCATCAGTGATGAATCCCACAGAAAGGAAGCCACAATAAGACGTACCGGTGAAGTCAATAAACCTACCGTTCTCCTCAGTAACATGATCACAGTAGACGCAGATTTGGGGAGAAGGTCTTACAAACCTGAAATTTGCAAAGTTCACTATGACAGAGTACACAATCCCAACCACTGCTTCCATATAAGATTGGAATGGTTAACTGCAACCCCCAAACTTATCGACGACTTGATAAACAGCTGGGCAAGGTTATGTAAGCGTTACGGACTGAAACTAGTCGAAGTTCCCTGGGTTGAGCTCTGCACCATACCTTTGTCCAATCCTTTTCACACATTTGTTGACATAACATTAGCCATAGACCCATGGAAAGATCCGGAATTCAAAGACGAAAAGTTGCTGTCTCAAGGTCCATACTATTACCATACTTACCTTTTGGAACAGAGTGGATTCCTCATTGACAATAGGGCTTCAAATTTACTAAGGAAAGGTGTCATTGACCATGAAGTGGTCTACTCTTGGGGGAAGCCAAAATTCAAGTACGCTCAATATATCCATTGTACTGGAGCTTATATTGCAGAAATTAGAGAGAATGGTAATTTATTCTTAGCCCCTAACAACAGGCATCTGTCGAGAGTTAACGTGGATTCGGTAACCTTGAAAACCAGACAATCGCCACGGTTTGCACTAGATGCCCAGAAGATCATGCTCGATTTCAAAAAGACATGTCTTGACTACAGGAAGCTGCACGCAATTTTTTTACAAGCGAAAGAAATTTGGTTGAAGGAGGAAGTTAGTGCTTTGGAATATTTTGGGGAGTTTCCAAAAGCGCCGAGTCCAGCCCGAGCGTTAGAGCGGTAAATTTCTCAACGATGACATTTATATAAGATGTACATAAACGACGCACATGACGCTTTATTCTTCTTTACGCGGCATTAGAGTCTTTGAGCAATTTTGAAAACGTCTGCAAGTACACCTGCTGCGGTAACATCAGCACCGGCACCAGCGCCTTGGACAATCAAAGGACTTGGATAACGCATACTTTGAATAGACACCACGTTGTCAGAACCCGTCAAAGACGCAAAAGGATGGGAAAAGTCATACTTCTCGATGCCAACGGACACTGAGTTGTTAGGGAAATCAACCTTACCAACAAATCTCAACACCTTGTTTTCGGCAGCAGCCTCTTTTTTCAATTGCTCCATTTCCTGATCATATTCTGGTAATTTCTCCAAGTACTCGGCACCAGACGCAACGGATTCCAACTGTTTAGGAATCAAGGAGTGAACTGGGAAAGAAGTTGGAGACTCTACTTTGAAGCCAGCAATTCTGGCCAAAATTGTAACCTTTCTAGCAACATCGAGTCCATTGAGGTCATCTCTTGGGTCTGGTTCAGTGTAGCCTAAATCCTTGGCAGTCTTCACAATATCCGAGAACTTGTAGTCTGAGGGCGAGGTACTAGAGAACTTGTTCAAAATGAACGAAAGACTTCCGGAAAAGATACCTTCGATTTTTTGAATTCTATCACCAGTCTGAACCATGTCATTTAGAGAACCAATAATGGGCAAGCCAGCACCGACGGTGGCTTCGTGGTAAACCAAGCCGCTAGACTCGTTGCCACTGAAGAGCTCGTTCCAAAGAGCCAGGCTGGATGAGAAGGCTTTTTTGTTAGGGGTAGCAATAGAAATCCCGTTTTGAACTAATTGTGGGTAGAAATTGGCAATCGACTCGTTGGAAGTATTGTCGACGAAAATGACTGGCGCAGGCGACTGTTTTAGGAAATCCAAAAGTTTTTCCAAGGACAAAGGCGCCTCTGTGGTTTGGGCCAAATCAGTCTCGCAACTTCCCAATTTCAAAGGTTTGTAGTCTTTGGAGATCAAAGCCTTCTTGGAAGTCGAGAGAAGAATTAGATTGTAAGAGATTTGGGATTTAACCGAACTCAACTGCTTAAGAAAGCTAGACCCAACGACACCAGCACCTGTTAGATTAGGAAAATGTTAGTAGCCCATCGCATGCCCAAACCTGAACGGGAAAGGAGTGTCGAGAAATTAACGAGTTTGCAGACATGGCAATTCGTCGAGTCCACAACTCAATTACCAACAAAGCTTGATCACATTCTCTTACTTACCGATGACAGCAACATTGACACTTTTAGACGCCATTTTGCAAAGATTGTACTCTTAAACAGTTCTATACTGGTAAGAGACCTTTGAAGTAGATAACTGGCTTTTTGAATATTTTCATAGTCTCATAATGTGAAAATACACAGCTCATTATATAAGGTTTTCTGTTTCACGTGATCTTCTTTTCAACCAAGGCCGTGATCTTCTCGAAAGCATCTCTTTTGCTGACCTTTTTGCGATTTGTGGGTGTCTTGCCCTTAACTGGCGTACCAGAAATCTCAAGCTCGTTTTCAGTCAATTTTTCGGGTTCGATTTGGGACTCAGACGAAGTCTTCAGCAACTCGTTTTTTGCGGAGACCCATGGCTGGTAGATGTGAGTGAAATATAAGGCTAAACAAATTCCATCGTAGCCATTATTGCCTTTTTTGAGCTGCAATGCATGCGTGAGTGTAGCCAGCATTTCTGGGTCGTACTTGCTCTTGTCAAAGGTTTGAAATATGTCCTCACTGCATTTTATGAAATGCACGTAGTTCAGAGTTGGAAGCAGTTTATCGGTAGCCTGTTTTTCGTTGACACCAAATCGGACTTGAACAGCCTGGCCAAAGAGTTTCAGAGCACGTTCGGTGGCCAACGCAACGTTCACCATTCCCGCTCCAAACTTTTTTAGTTTTTTTGCAACTAGTGCAATGTTCGAAAAATCGTTTCGACAGAACAATAAATCGAGATAGAACATCACATACTGGTAGGTGTAGATAAAGTGCTTGCCAGGACGTTCAAACTCTGGTTTCCATATATTTACCAGACTTTTATTGGAGCTTTTCACAAACATCACCTCGTCCATTTCCGCGATCGCACCATCAAGATCATGGAATTGCTCATAGAGAATTTTTGCGATTCTATACTTCGGCCTGTGGTGCCACTTCATTTTGTCGAGGGCAATTAGGGCGCGCAATAGACTTACAGTTTTCTCGTAAAAACTTTGTGATATCCCTTCATAGCTCTCATTTTCACCAAATGTCCAAAATTCATCGTCTTTCTTGAATACCGCGTTGTTCCTTCGCATTGTCATCAGGGCTTCTTGTGCTGTACTGACCCCTTTCGTCATCATCTTGAAAGAAGAGACAATCAGGAAATAATGTGGCTCAAGGATCAGATCCTTCGCATTCGACATGTCTTCGGAGAGCTTACATGCTTCCAATAGCAAGTCTGTGCCAGCAATCTTGAATTCTTGTGTGCACCTCTTGAACATCAACTTAGCAGAATAGAAAAAGTTTCTCCAGTTGAGTGGAGGACTTTGAGTACTTGATTGTACACAATCAATTTGATCGGCCTTGGAAAACCCGGTAAGAATAGCCTGCTGGATATTGTAATCGCTTACTGTTTGTGCGCCTGCCGATGGTGCAGTGCTAAGCTCACCATCCATTTTCAACTTGAAAGATGCAGGAGGATCCCAATGAAAACAGGATTTTTCCATTGGCTTCAAGTAACCGTTCATGAGTTCCTCTGACAGCGTTTCAAGCAGTTCCTTCAGAACCTGGTAATAATCATAGTTTTTTAAATCAGCGGCACCCTTAGTTCCTTCATTAATTGCAATCCCCAAAGCCATCAGATAGCATAGAATAGACTTTCGCTGAATGGTCGCGGGACCCATCCTCTTTTCATACGTAGCCAATTTATCAGAAGTCCAAATGAGGTCATCTTCCACAACGTACGAATAGCATTTGCCTAGCAGAAACCAGCTTTCGAATCGTCCAGTTTTGAAGACAATATCTGTTTTTAAGGTGGAAATGATAGAATCCAGTTCTGAAGGTCGCGCCTGAGTGGCTTTTTTGCGCGCTTTGTAAAGGTTCAGCGCTTGAATACTAGCAACATAAAAAATGCCTGCGTCAGCAACGTTCTGTAAATCATTATTCGGTTTGATAAGTTCTAACGAAAGCTCGCCCGCGTATGCTTTTCGAAATGTGTCCATAGTAATCATGGACCTCAAGTACTGCTCCAAAAAGAACTCGTTGCGAGATAGTATGTGATGAGAGGAAAAGTCCACCTCGCCAATAACCTGAATGATATTATCCAGAACTTGTTTTAAATTCGTTTTGTTGCCAGACAAGGTCAGAGGGTTTCTCTCGCCATAATGTGAATTGATCAAAAATTTTCCAATCGCAACAGCGCTTTCCTGGTTCATCGTTTGGCCCTTTGTGCTATGTTGATCAACATTACTATTCTCACCGCTAATGATAAAATGGTACTGACACCACAGCAGTTGCTTTATGTGCTTGAAGCCATCTTCATCACCAATCCCACATAATAACCGCTCGGCGAGATTCAAGTACATACCGTCTGATGCGTCACAAAATCCAAACCCTCCTAAAAGCTCGTGAGAGGCATCTATTAGGTGGGACAACTTACACTGCTTACTGAATGCAAAGGGTTCGTTAACTTCCAAGACATGGCGCATGTAAATGATAGAGGTGAGGGTATCGATAAAAACGTTTTTTAGTCTCGTTGAAGATTTAACAGCTTTATTGAAAAATGACTTCATTGTAGGATCTTTTTGGCACATACTTTCGAAGAACACGATAGGATAGAGTAAATTTAAACATCTCAAAAGAATTCGCATGTTGCTCGTAGCCGTGCCTTTATCCATAAGCTCGTGATTGGGGTTTTCGACGATCAGATCAAGAAATTCCCTCATAAAGCTGCCCATGCAACTGATTGTTAGCAAAAGTGTTTGCTGCCTCTGTAAATGGGACTGGGCTCTGTAGTCTTGTGAGCAAAGTCTGCTATAGAGGATATCGAGGATTTTGAAAAAAATTGACACCGCCATTCCCTTGTCTCGGTGACCATAATACGATACTAAAAGTCGCCAAAGCTTCACTTTAAGTAGAAACGGTGAATTTCTCAGAAAATTCTCCATTGAAAGCTTCTCTCCCGAAGAATCTGAACTCAAACTTTCATCAGAGATTAGCACTTTTCTAATGGATTCCATTTGTTGTTCGGTCGCAACATCGTTATTATTCTCCGGGGTGTTTATGTCAATGGATGTAATTTTTCGTATAATTTTCAGTCGAGAAAGCTGACTTTGTACAGCCTTAAGGTTTAGCTGCGGTATAGTAGAGTAATTTGAGTAGGGCACATTCACATTTGGTGCATGCTTTTTTATACCTGATTCGATTTCTTGGAGACTGTCAATTAGCTTGTCATCAGTAATGTCCATGGTGTACTGCAGGAAACAAAACTTCGCCCATAAAAACCTATAGTGAAATCTTTCACCATTTGATTTTGAATCTTCAAAAATTAGCTCCCACCTGCTGATTTTTCTTTCAAGTTTATTTTTCTGTGTCTCGAGCTCATTGACCTTTTGACCTTGAAGTTTCTTGGCATTGATCCCGCTGTATGTGTTGCCCATCATGTTCACTAGTATTTCGTAAGTTGAAAGTCCCAAAGAGAGAAGCTTATTTCCGCCCTCCGTTATCATATTAAAAAGATTCACGTCAACACTCATAACTAAAGACTCGACAGCCTTGTACAGAACGGGGCTCCAAAAGGTATCTATGATAAGACATCGGCCGTCCAAATTGGCAGATAAGAGAACGTTTAGCAGTCGAAATCTGACTTCTTGAAAATGCAAGTTATGAGTGTTTACTTGCCCCACAAAGGATACAATTTGATCAGTAGGTAAATCTGTCAGTGACTCGATTGGACAGTTGTCACCCGACAGAACACCTGTTCTGATGAGGGCATTAAGCTGAAATAAACTCTCTACGTCGCTCTCCGAATTCTTAGAGTTTTTCGTTTCGGTTTGGTTCAAAAACTCGCTATGCTTGTTTGTCCATGAACTTAAACAATCGTAAAAGTCTGACATAGCTGAGAACTCCGGAACTTCTGACGGGATATCTGAGGGACCTATCTTGTCAACACTCATCTCAAATTCAAGATCTAAAGCCGCAGAAAGGTCATTTATCATTCTAAAAAAGTTTTCATGAATATCCATGGACTTTTTATTCACCTCAATCTGTGGTTTTTCTTTGAATCGTTTACTTGATCTTTGGAGAGGTCTATCGTTAGAATCAGATGTTTCCAAAGGTCTTTTGGTCCCATTCGAGTCATTGGCGGGCGCTCCATTAGGTGCTGAAGGATTTGCTACTATACCTGCCTCATTTTGTTGAGACTTATCATGAGGCTCTTCTTTATCTTTTATTTCAAGCTTTTCTTGGTCGGCCTTGACCACGATCTGGTCATTAGAATTATCCTTCAAAATCAATTTAAGGTGTTCTATGGGATCTTCTGCTTCGTTGTAAGGATCTGAGATACGGCTGAAAAAATTAGAGATCTTGTATTTCGGCAGCGCAGACGTAATAGCGTCAGCCACAGCTTCCCAGCTTAGTTCATTAATCTCAACATTAACGACATTTGGTTCCTTCAAGCTCAGGTCATCTTCCAACCGCATGTGACGTATTTGGGCCAAAAACGGCGGTAGTTTGGACCTGCTGTCGACACTTGGGTTATTGTGAGGCTGTAGAAACCTTGTTAACTGCGTAACGAAATCAGCTTTCAGCGATGATGTATCACGAAGATCTTTCAAAAGGTGCACATAGTTTTGAATGACCGCGCGAATCTCAGGAAGCACGGAATTACGCCTATCCAGTGCTGTTGTTAGTTCGGAATCCTTAAGAAGTTCATACTCGAGCACGTAACGTTGTAATTTGAGGCTTCTAAAGCTTGCAAATATTGCTAACAAAATTTCTGTTACAGCAGAGTCACATTCACTATGCTGTAACGCATCTAAAAGATTCTCTACTGATTTCAGTGTATACTCAACAATATCTGGTGGTTCCATATTAGTGTATCTGTCCTGTAAAAAGCGGTAGTAAAAAACACCCCGGTTTCGATATGCTAGGTACCGCAGGGAGTCTAAAGTAACGCTACGGTACTTGTAATACCCCCACCTGTCGGGCTTAATCACATCAATGCTGAATAACTCCTTGAACTTTTCCTCGGCCTGCTCAAAACGCTTGGCCTTTAGATGCAACAGTGCGCTCTGATACACTTTGAAGCTTTCTTCCACCTGTAATTCGCGTGAGTGCTGTTCGGCCTCCTGTAGTGCCTCATCAGGGGTAAAATTGAGAGCTGTGAACAGCGACATCCGTGCTGAGCCGTCTATACTTGCAGGTTTTAATTAAGTATTATGGTTTGTATAAATTAATAATTAGAATCATTAAAAATGATAAAATATCCCAATACTTGATGAAGTATCTAACTGAGCATTTGCCGCGGATAGGAACTGTCACGGTAATCCTGGAAAGCGAAATTAAACTTAGCATTAAAAACCTCCGCTCTGGAAGTTTGGAACTCGTGGACATCAATGGTTTATCTTTTGTCATTGAGCTACCTCATCGCATCCAAATAAACAGTGGCCGGAGAGGTCTACAAAAGTCCAATGACTGTCATACGTTACGCTTGAAAGTAGCAAAGGATGCAGGAGGTGATGACATCTACAAAGATCGTTCAGTGAACCGCATGATGCTGGTGTCTCCAAATAAATGGATGCGGAGAGATCTAATGGAAAGTGTTAGCTTTGAATTACAATGCCCTGTATGCCATAACTGCCTGATTTCTCGCCAAGACTGCCGCAAAATAAGTGACATGCCATCTGAATTTTGGGTTGAGCTCATGGACTATTGGCATTGCCATAAACCCTTGAATGACGATCAGGTTAAAGTCGACCGTTACGCTAAGCTTGAGCCGCTTCAAGATGAACTGTTGATTGGAACATCATTCTTTTCTGTTAAGAGTACTTGGTCGACAAAGAGGATGAAGCTTTTACCGGAGTCGATTCAATGTGCGAAGTGTCAGCGTACATTGGGCCAAATTTCTCGGGACTGTGCGCTGTATAACATTAACAAGTGGGATGTCAATTTGGTTCGAGGGGGTCTTTTAGAAAGCTATCCGCCTGAGTTGCATGTAGCTTCATCCCTTTTGAATTGCCTGAATTCCAACGCTACGCGCGTGACAGTTTTGAAGTGTTCGAGGACCGAGCGAAGCGTCCTTATTTGGTTATTTGCCGTTGATGTCGATGTGTCACTCACCGGTAGTCAACTTCTAAAAAATTGCATAAAAGTCTACTATAAAGACACATGTCAAACTTATCCAGAGTCAAGCGGTTTCCAAAACGTTGAAAATATTCTTGTCCCTGAGCTACCATTTGAACGTTTCGTGGAAAGGCTACGTTCTGTCAATGCTCAGTTGCCGAGCGCCGTTCGAACTATGGACTCTTGGAACTTGAGCTTTATAGAGTCATCTTGATTGTTGTTGCTGTTGCTGTAACTTCGTACTTACAACTCCCTGCAGGCGTCTTGCAAGCATGGAGCAACCTGTTTGCGGCTTGCATTTGTATTCAACTGAGCAAAGAAAACGAAGCTCTTGACAGGAGAATCCATGATGTCAATTGGCTTCAAGTCCAAGAAATTGTGAACCTTTTCAGCAATTTGTTGCGATATTTCGATATTTTGCTGCGCTCCTGTACAAAATGCAAGCTGCCGCGAAAACTTGCCTTCTTCCGTCGTCCAACTTGTCAAAATTAGCAGAATATCTTGAGACCTTTCTTGAAGAAATTGCCCACACGCATTTATGAGCTCTTGATCCCCGAACTGCTGTTGAATCCATTCCAGAGGTCTCACGACAGAAGCCATGCCACATTTTACGTTGCCTTCCCGAGCTTTGGGAAATTCGAACTCTTTGTAATCCTTCCGTAATATGTCTCTCAATGGAAGCCCCTCAATATCGTCCTTCGCTTGACGGACTTGATCAAAGTAACCATCGAAATCAAAACCGTGAAGCGAAACCTTGTATGTTGCGTGCGCCTGCAAATCCGGACGCTCGACTTTATAGCTCATATTGGTGGTATCGATAAGAAGGGCACCCAAGCACAAATACAAAGCATCAATTTCCGCTTTTCTTCTGTGGGAGCCTAGTATGTTATGCCAGTAGTTGAATACCAAGGAGGAGCAACTCCCGGCCACGGTGACAACTCGGGGTCCACATTTTCGGTCTAGGATGTCTTTGTGAAGCCCGAGATCCTCGTGATGGTCGATGATACCAACGACTGAGTCTACCAGCGTTTTTGCCACCGATTGAGTATCATTATGATCCACAAGCACCGCATCTATGGGACAGTTGAACCGCTTTCGTAAGTCTTGGAGGTCTTCCTGGAAAAACAGCAAGCTGTGCGGGATGTTGCGCTGCTTTAGAACCCAAACAATATCTCTGCGAAGCTCCAAATCCGCTTTCAGGATATTGAGGATCGGTACAATTGGTTTGCTGGGGTCATTTATGTAACTAAAATAAGCATATGTGATTGCAGACACCACCGAATCCAAATCTGCAGATTCGTTTCCACAAACTATCCGTAGTCGGGAATTCCTCGAGAAGTCTTTCAAGTAAGAGTTTCTCAAATGAGATAGAAATCCCACTAACGTTTCGCCCATCATTTACGTGCTTTCAATTGCTTATTCTTGCCCCTTATATTTTTGTTTAATTGATCTTAAGTTCAGCTTTAACATTTCCACTAATGGTAGTTAAGTAAAAAGATCGCAATCCATCAATGACAAAAGTGATCTTAGAAGGTGGTAAGCAAGTACTTATACGCGAAGCGGAAAGTGGCTTCTCATATTTGAGTTTGGTAGATCAAGTTGATGTACTGCCGCATGATTATATCCAAAATCCACATTTCAAACAAAATGTGTACGTGATGCAATCTCATGACAACATTGGCGTTGGTTATGTGTTGAAAAGTGTTGCAGAAAGAATGATTAATTTAGCTGGTGAGGAACTCGATGATGTCTTTGAGGTTTCGGCAGAAGACCGGTCAATGAGATTCAAATCCCCTGACTTTAGGGTTAGAAACGATGGTCTAAATGCCCTGGCAATGAAACTAAGGGATCAAATGGCTTTTGAGTGTCTGTTGGGCTGGAGGAATGAATTTTACGCCGTTTACGCAAATAAAATGCCGTATGTTTTGGTGGAAAGGGCCATGTCAGGTCTGCTGGGAATTGTCACATACGGAGTACACGTAAATGGCTTTGTTAGAAACTCGGAAACTGGCGAAACCTCTTTTTGGATTCCTCGCAGATCGGCCACGAAAACTACGTGGCCATATATGCTTGATAACATTGTGGCCGGAGGATTAGGCTACCCTCATGGTATTTACGAGACGGTGGTGAAGGAGAGCCTTGAGGAGGCCAACTTGCCCAAAGATGTCATTGAATCTCACATCACACCGGTAGGAGCCGTTTCTTACTTTTATTATCAGACTGGAGCTGATGACGACAAATTTCAAACTGAAGCTTCTCTAATAACTGGGGAAGTGGAGTACCTATACGATTTAGAGCTACCACCAGGCTTAAACCCCTCCCCGAATGACGATGAAGTTGACAGCTTTCAGTTACTGTCCCTACAAGAGACCATTAATGCTCTAAAGAATAAAGAATTCAAGCCCAACTGCGCTCTTATAATGTTGGAATTTTTTATTAGGCACGGCTATATTAATTCCGAGAATGAACCGAATTATCTGGATATAATTACTCGCATCCACCGCAAGCTTCCTTTCCCTACCCGCAATTAAATTACAATGAGTGTTTGTTTTGTTTATATAATTTCTATATGTCCTGCCTTACTTGGAGAAATGCAGCTTCATATTGAACCATTCTCTGCTTTTAACTTGAGCCACATCTAGGCTAACATCACCGTAAATGATAGGAGAAAAGAAAACGAAGCACCAGATGAGAGCAATGGATATAGCCACGACGAAAAGGCATAATGAGATATAGTTGAGTCGTGGGCTAGAGTCGTAAGGAACTGCTGGATCTTCCTCATCTCTTTCGAGATTTAGAGACTTGTTATCTGTGAAAACAAATTCCCATAAGGCAGCAGAAAACATGGAAGCGATCAAATGAGCCGGCAAGTAGTGATGTAAAAACTTTTGTCTCCCCATCAAGAAGAATGGCAAATAGTGACATAGCCACCCGACAAACAAAAATGACAATGGGCCATACAGTTTTTCTCTTGCCAATTTGTTCAGTGGGTGCAACCCCCGTCTTCTCACGATCAAGTCAGCCACAACAATGCCGCAGAAGAGGGCCATTGAAATAACTTGAAACCACCATCCAAGTATATTACCAATGAAGTAAATTTGCTTCTTTTCTTCGTCCTTGGTCCAGAAGGAAACACCGGAAAGAGATCCTGGCCAAGATTCTGGATTAGACGCAAATGGATGATCTGAAGACAATTTGTTATTGTGTTCAAACATCAGTCTTTGCAGTTCAGACCATTTGGTGAAAAACGAAAGCTTTTTAATAGGCTTGGGGACATACTTCTTGCGCTCATCATCGATGTTCACGATGGTTTCCATGAACCATGTATTTTCCGGGTCAACAATCTTTTTGTTACCGTTAACCTCTTGCTGTCTAAAACCCCATTCTGGAAGGAGAACGTCGTTATGGGTCCACAAAGCTACAGTTGTATCAGAATGAACGATTCTGAACAGTGAAGCTTTGGTCTTTAAAATCTGCTCATTGTCATTTTTATTGACCGCCTGAAGTTGAAACAAAGTTTCGTGCAGATTACTGCCATTAGCTTGTTCCTCTTCGGCAGTCGTGACTTCCTCGTTGGTTGGGTAAAGAGGAGAAGCAACGTCATGAGCTAGCAAGTAAGTGCCAGTCACAATGTGTCTGAAACGAACGACGTCATCCATATGAACCGGGTGTCCATGCTGCGATGGCAATTCCACGGTTGGTAAAACTTCCCATTGGTTGTTCGGGTCCTCGATAGTGAACGCAGTAACCTGCTGGCCATTTGAAGAAACGCGCCCGTCATCGTAACGTAGAGGATAGCGATCTGGGTGCGAGTGGAGAAAAGCATTTGTATTTTTGTGCTTCAAAGTAATGATATCGAAATAGTTGACTTGTTTTGCTTCTTTGGCAAGAGGAGAATCGGTCAGAGTTTCCTGGAATTGAGGTGACATAAAGTCATCACCTTGACCCGATCCAGTCAAGATTGCAAAATGAACATAAAACCAGAACAAGTAAAGGGCAAAAGGAGCAAAAATCAGACCATTCAATCTTTGCGAGAAATGCTTAACGAATTTTCTGACCGATAAACCGGCTCTGACATCAAGCAGTTGCCACAAGTTCACAGAGACGGCGGCGCCGATGGCCGCATAGGTCATGACACCGACGTATTTGGTGGACATCACGAAAGACAAGGATGCACCAGTGGCATATAACCAGGCATACCATTGGGAAGAGAATGGTGCTTTTAGTTGAACTTTGTAGAACCGCACGTAGCAGTAGAAGGACAAGGCCACGGCGATTATCAAAGTTGCATCCAGCAGAATCAAACGCGAGTCGATAACTTGTGCACAATCGACTGCAACGAGCATAGCACCGAGCAAACAAGTGACGGCTCTGAAATTGAGTTCCTTCAAAGTGTTGAAAACAACAGGCACCGTCAAAGTACCTAGAATGGCACTGAGTGACCGGTAGGCCACGAATGGCGCCGGATTGCTGTCGTAGCTGAGTCCGATGTCATCGAACTTAAAGGCGCCCTTGTATCCAACGAGCCAGCCCACGAATGCGATCAGCATTTTGGCAAAAGGCGGATGCACGTCAAAAAAGTACGTTCTCTCAAGGTAGTACGAAGCGAATTTGCCGAAATGCACCTCGTCAAATACCACTTCGCGCGGGTATGGGAGATCCTTGAACCGCACTGCAAAAGCCAAGAACGTTACTGCCCATTGCAATACTCTATAAGTCGAAGCCTTGTCTGGCAGCGGTTTCGAAAGCCATTCTTGGCCCAGAAACCCATACGGGGCTGCATTATTCTGCACTTCTTTTTCGCCACCAGCTGTCACGCTGGTTTTCTGGTGCTTGGATCCCTTAGCGCCCGCCATATTGCTAACGAATCTCAAGTTTCGTACTGTTTCTAGTTTTCAATGTTTTGTCGAGATGATCGATTTTTCTATGTTGTACAGGTTGGCCTTTTTTTCTGATATTATGATTTTCGGAGTAAAACGAATCTTGCCTCAAAGAATGACTCGATAATAAAACATGACGACTAGATAAATGGGTAAAAGACGCCTATACTTAAATCGAGAACAGAGGAGGCACTGGGAAAACTGTTTCAAGCCGATTGTTATGGAGGGGCGGCCTCTTTGTTTTCCGGGCGGCTTCTTCCATATGGGTTTCTGTTTATGGCTTGACGTTGCCGTGATTCGCATTGATTTAGTCGAGGTGAATATACGAATGTGGCTTTCTACTGGTATAAATGAAAGTTATGTTACCTTCACCAGGGATGCGAATCCCGTACTTTCTCTTTACCAATAGCGAGCCTCTTTTTTGTCTCTTCAAATGCTTTTTTGTCTGCGTCCGCTATAGTGAGTGTCGCGAGTTTGCTTGTAAGACTCAAAAGCGTCATGTTTACCATTACGCTAGCCACTGTTTGAAGCTCGCCGCTACTTTCCTAGGTGTGAAGAGCGTTTTATCGTCGAGCTGCTCTTGTCTACTTAAAGCCATCGAGAGACAACGCGTGCCCCTACAAACACAATTATGTACTGAATTATTTAATCGTAAGCAGCCCTTGTCTCTATTTTGCTTCTCTATCAGACATGCACATAAGGTTGGGTGCTTCATTGCATTTCGTTGCTACTGAAATATTCATTAGTATTTGTTATGCCTCTGTTGTCTTTCTCTGTCCTGTATCTGGACAACCACCCAAATGGCAGCTTCTCGAGTACAGTTATTGTAATAATCTCACAAATCATCCACAATCATAATTTGGAACCCCAAAGCTGATGTAAAATACTCCTCAGGTCCTTAATCAGAGATTTTGAATGAGTTGCCGAAGTTAACTAAAATGATCATCCCAGCATAATTAAGAAATTAAGCTTCAACATCGAAAAATTCAGCCAGGAAGCGAAACCTAATGAAACCCTGAAAGAAGAACAATCAAAGCACTTTCCTGTAGATTTAAAGCTCTGAGTGGCTTTCTGAAGTGCTCTGCTAACAATTAGTCTCGTAATGTTCCAAAGACGAGCTCTGTCCTTCGCTTTCGCGAGAAGACATGTCGTCACAGCAGTTAGAAGAGCAGTTCCCAACGTCAGGCCGTCTGTTTCTTCACTAAGTAACGAAAACACTGAACCGGTGCCCCTGCCAAGAAGAGAAGCCCCAGCTACTACGGCTAAATCTAGCGGGTATGGGAAACCCTTGAGCGATGCTTTCAAAGGATATTCCTTGGAGAGCAAAGCTCCGGTACTTGACCACCCGGGACAACAACAAGGAATCAACTGGGCGGTTTCCTTCCATGGGCTCGGTTCCCGTCCATTTGAAGACGTTGTGCAAGTAGAACTCAGCAAACCTATTGCATCCGAAGATATCGAGATAAAACCTGACGGTTTGATATATCTCCCGGAGATCAAGTATCGCCGCATCCTGAACAAGACGTTTGGAGCCGGTGGCTGGGGTTTGGTCCCCAGATCCGAGACAAGCGTAACTGACAAACTTGTCACGAGAGAGTACGCCCTAGTGTGCCATGGCCAACTGGTGAGTTTAGCGCGCGGCGAACAGGATTACTTTGCTGACTCAGGCATTCCAACAGCTACAGAAGGCTGCAAAAGTAACGCACTAATGAGATGTTGCAAAGATTTAGGCATTGGGTCGGAGCTTTGGGACCCTGTATTCATCAAGAGTTTCAAAAAGACACACTGTACAGACAAGTTTGTGGAGCATGTAACTACGAAGAAAAAGCGGAAAATATGGTTGCGCAAAGACCGGGAAGTTGAATATCCTTACAAATAGTTGTATATAATTATTCGAGTTTAATGTCATGGTGAACAATCTAATTGTTAAAATCTGGAAGGAACTCAAAGTATAAACATTTTGAACAATGTAATGCAGAACATTTGACAGCTTATAGAAGACACCGGTCTAAACTAAACATAGATGCAATATGAAGCTATCTCCGATAGCACACGACAGTAAAGCTGAACACAATGGGAGAATTCTTCGAAACGACCAAACACGTGCTGTGATTTGTGATACTGTAAGAATTCTTTCCTCAACTCATTAAAAGGTGTTCCGATAGTGTAGTGGTTATCACGTAACCTTCACACGGTTAAGGTCCTGGGTTCGACCCCCAGTCGGAACATAATTTTTTGCATTTCCTATTCGATATATAGTAGGTGAAATATTTAGGGCGGATAACGATTAGAACTGAGATAAGATCATATGAAAAGTTACTAAATAACTGTGCAAACACAGGGCCGACTACTCTTGCTATGGTCTCAATAAGGAGTGTCACCAGTCTTCTGGTTTTATCCATAGATCTGAGCACTGCAATACCAACATTCCTTCAAAACGTACTACAAAATGGCATCTCGAAAGAACTTAACACTAGAGAATTGGAAATCGGAGAATTAAACTTCTTGCATACGACGGATACGCACGGGTGGTTGGGCTCTCATATAAACCAAGCTAACTACGATGCCGATTGGGGTGATTTTGTTTCGTTTGCCTCGAGTTTCAAGCGCCAAAAGGTCGGGAAATCAAGAGATTTGATATTGATAGATACCGGGGACAAGCACGATGGCAACGGGCTCAGTGATGCTACAGTACCCAATGGCCGTATTTCGACCGAAATTTTCAATGAACAGGACTATGATTTGCTAACTTTGGGTAACCACGAGCTTTACACGGCCGAAAACACGATCCTGGAGTATTACTCTACAGCTCTATCGCAAAAGTTCAAAGATGCCTACGTGTCAAGTAACGTGGAATTTGTTACCGATGATGGAGACCTGGTACCCTTCGGCTCGAAATACCGCTATTTCGAAACTCACAATCAAAATATTCGTATTTTAGCGCTTTCCTTTATGTTCAACTTCCAGAGAACAAATCCAAGAGCCAGAGTCTCCCCTGCAACAAGCATATTTCAACAGGACTGGTTTAAACAAATGGTAAAGCAATATCCGCAGGATAAGGTAGACGTGATTGTAATATTTGGCCACATGCCAATCACTGACCCTGAAGCACACGAAATTAATCATGTTCACACGACGTTAAGAAAGCTCTACCCCGAGACTGTCATTCAATACTTTGGCGGGCACTCGCATATAAGAGATTTTGCGGTTTTTGATGAGAGGGCAACCGGACTACAAAGTGGACGATTTTCAGAAACCGTTGGGTTTCTGTCTATTGATAAAATAAAGAGCGGAGCCCCAGAGTTTAAAAGACGATACATTGATTTCGGCAAACACTCTTTTGCATACCATTCGGGTGTTTCTAGGCAAACTAAGAAAGGTCAAGACCTGTCGCTTAAAATCGCGAGTGTGAGACAAGAGCTGAATTTAAATGAAGTAATCGGCCATGTTCCAACGTCCTATTACATGTATTCGAAACCTATAACCTCCAAACACAACATCTACAATTTGCTTGTAACGAAGGTTTTACCACGATTGAAATCTGATCAAACAGATGAGACGAAGTCTCGCTTCATAATCATCAATACGGGATCCATCAGATATGACTTGTATAAGGGGAATTTCACCAAGGACACAGAGTTTATTGTTTCACCGTTTCCGAATGATTGGAACTTCGTGGAGGTGCCACTTTCGCTGGCCGAAGGTGTTGCAGATTATTTGAATGAAGGCCCCGTATTGTACACCTCGATGGCTCCTCCTGGAGCTCGCAGCAGAAAAAGACATCCAGAGTCATGCCCTTTCATTCATGATCCAAAACTGAGCAAGGGTTATACAACGAGGGATGATTTTGGATGTGATGGTGATGATGTACCTCACAATACGGAGTTATATTTTACGGTTCCCAATGTAGTGCAGTCTGTGGAACTGAAGCCAACAGACGGCGTAAATGTTCACTTAGTATTCTACAGTTTCATTCAAAAAGATATATTAAAGGCTTTGAATGAATTGGGCGAGACTCGATTGAGCGGATTTGAGCATTTCACAGATAGAGATTGTAAAAGGTACGGAGGTGCTTCTACCAAAGAACTGTTGAAGGAGTATATAAGGGATGGCGAGTGAACAGTGTGAAGGAGAGCTTAAGTGGTCTATAACATATAGGTTGAGAACTTGTTGATGTGATTTATTCGATCTAGATCGTTTGGTGACAGCTGAACAGTTGCCAAGTATAATTGGAATGTAACGCATTCACTTTTCTGATTTTACAAAAGGTTTTAAAGACACGCGCCTAAACGTATAGTATTTTATTTATGAGGGGGGGTTAGATTTTGTTTACAAACCTTGTTGAGCTCTTCTGCGGTCACGCTCTTCAGAGATGGACAACTTAATACCCTTACCCTTTGGCAAGGAGATGTAAGGCTTACCAGCTTCACCAATGACGAAAACGTTGGATAGTCTGGTGACGAAAGTGTTGTCCAAGGAGTCCTTGATGTGGACCAAGTCGAAACCACCTTCGTGTCTTTCTCTGTGAACAATAGAGCCGATACGACCCAAGTTACGACCACCAGTGACGTAGACTAGTTTACCGGTGTCGAACTTGATGAAGTCGGTGATCTTACCAGAGGCCAAATCGATCTTGACGGTGTCGTTGATCTTGATGTTTGGGTCTGGGTATCTGAGGGTTCTACCGTCGTGGGTAACAACGTAAGGAACACCCTTCTTGCCGAGTTGGACCTTCTTGACCTTACCCAACTTGTAGGTGGCCTCTTCGTCGGTGATACGGTGGACGGCGAATCTACCTTTGACGTCGTACACCAATCTGAAGTTTTCGTTGGTGGCTTCCAACGAGATGACGTCCATGAAACCGGCTGGGTAGGTGATGTCGGTTCTGACTTTGCCGTCGACTTTGACGTGACGTTGCATCATGATGGCTCTGACCTCACGGCCGTTCAAGGCATACTTTAATCTGTTTCTCAAGAACACAATCAATGGCAACGACTCACGCAATTTGTGAGGACCTGGAGAAGGTCTTGGGGCGTAGGTCCCGGACAACTTGTCCAACAACCAGTGGTGTGGAGCTGCTAATCTCTTTAGATGCTTCTTTCTGTGGGAAAAGGTTGGAAAGTTAGTAACGAGTTCGACATGTCGAGATACGTCGCGTCTGGAGGGCAAACCAAGCCGGGGCCTCTAGCTTGCGTTCCCACCATCCGCGCGCGCATCCATTATCTGTTGCTGCTGTTTCACATACGGGCCTCTAGCCATCTTGTCTTATTGATTGGATTTCTTGGAGGTTTGACACAGTACGTGGGAGAACACACATTTGAAGTGTACCTAACGATATTCCAGCTTGAAAGTTTTGTAAACCTGGAGCAGACCCGGTGGGAGCGCATCGGGGAGAGAACGGAGTGGTGCTGCGAGCCTGGAAGGCTAGGCAGAGCCAGGCAGAGCCAGGCAGAGCTGTGGCCAGGCTGGGCCGGGCTCGGCCCAGCTCCTGAGAGTTACGCAGAGGCCAGACGGAGCGCATCCACGCCTCCAGCTCCGTCCAGCTCTCTCCAGCCCTGCCTAGCTTTCTGCCCAGCATTCCGCACAAAAACCTGGCATCCCACGCAATTATTTTTCCACGCTTTTTCGCATTTTTTTCATTTCTGAAACTTTTCACACAAAAAATTTACAAAAATTACAAAAGTCTGGAATTGTATGGGTGGTGGGGGAAATCCAGAAAATAGCAGTCCAATGCTGGGACTGCTATTCTACAAAATGGCATTTTGGACCTGGGGAAAGATACTTGGAAAGATTCCTGAGAGTGTGGACGAGAGAGTGAAAGAGTGAGTGGAGAGGGTGTGTAGTTGCGTTTGTAATAGAGTGTAGCGCGGAACGTAGTGTAGCAACAGTTGGCAGCCGCATGTGTGTGTGTGTCTACTGAGTGTTCTCCAAAGTGGGCTTCTGTCAAGTGCTCTCACGACTTAGCCGCCGCGCGCCTCTACACTTATTTTTATCTCCTTGGAAGAAAATACAGCCTGGGGATACACTCTGGGAACGCAAGCTGGGAACACAAGCTGGTGATCTGAGGACAGCGTCGAACCAAGCTCTACACGCAAGAACCTCAAACAACTGTGGGTCAAAGGCCGAGCCTGGGACGTGGAGCATGCCACAACACAGCTTGTCACTACATAACCTAATCTTGCGCTTTGTGCACTAGTCAACGTCTCTGGTAGCGCTTTCGGCCAACCTTGCTACTGTCCAGTTGAGTGAGACTCGCAACTCGCTTCGGACACTCGCTCCTCTCGGTTATACCCCATGTCACTGTTCACGCGAGAACTCTTATTTGTAGTGTTCAGTTCTGCACGCACGGTATGAACTGGCCCCAAGCCGTCGACTCCATTCCAGCGCTTCGGAACCCGTCATTGCATGTGTTATGCAAATCACTAGAGCTGGCACACTTTTTCTACTATGCTGCTTCGACCTCTGCTTTGCTTCTTCATTTCAACGGTTCTCGTTCAACAAGCAAGAGCTGGAGCACTACCGCTTGGAGACCAGAAACCTCTTCTACCATGGATATGACAACTACATGCAGCTGGCGTATCCTCACGACGAGCTGTACCCCATCAAATGCTGTGAAAGGACTCGGAATTTCCAAGACGAAGCTGACGTAGTGCGAAACGATGCCATGGGCAACTACTCGAGCACTATGGTCGATTCGCTGACCACTTTGGCGATACTCGGCGATAAAGCACGATTCCGCGAAGCCATCAACCTTATTCGGACCGACCTCGATCCAGACTTCAAGATAAACACAACTGTACAAGTCTTCGAGACCACGATAAGAATATTGGGCGGACTCCTGTCGGCACATCTGTACGCTACCGATCCAAGCAAGAAGGTTTATCTGGGAAGCGAATACGATGGCTTTCTTTTACAGAGAGCGCGAAACTTGGCAGATAGATTACTGCCGGCCTATTTGACTAAAACCGGTCTACCGCTACCAAGAATTAATTTGGCGAATGCCTATCACAACGTTACTCCCAAAATTCTAGAAGAGAACAATGCCGCAGCCATGGCTTGTCCCATGTTTGAGTTTACGCTTCTGTCTTATTTGACTCACGATGATAAATATCAACAGGTTACCAGATATGCATTTGATAAAGTTTGGGCTCAAAGAAGTGAGCTGGACCTTATACCCATGTCCTTTAGCCCCCATAACCAAATGGCCTTTAATCATTACACTGGTACTGGAGCATCGATCGATTCCTTTTACGAATACGCTTTGAAAGGCGCCATCCTGTTTCAAGATGATCAACTATGGGAGGTTTGGCAAAGTTCCTATTATGCGCTTCGTAAGCATTCCAAGGATGATTGGTTCTTCGCCAATGTCGACCTGAGTAGAGGACAAGTGGTCTACCCTTGGATCGATTCTCTAAGCGCATTCTTTCCAGGTTTACAAGTCCTAGCCGGTGATGTACAAGACGCCCAGCAGAAGCATTTGCTATTTTTAAAACTTTGGAACAATTACGCGGGAATTCCAGAAAGGTGGGTCTTTCAGCCCCAAACAGCAGACACTTTGGCCAACATTTCAGAGGTACCATTGCCCTGGTACCCACTCCGACCAGAGTTTGTGGAAACAACGTATTTTTTGTATCGGGCTACCAAAGATGTGTTCTACCTGAAGGTTGCTTGGACTATTTTGCAGGACATCAAGACTTTCTACCGAACGAAATGCGGATTTGCAGGACTTCAGGATGTTACTACGGGGCAGTTGCAAGATCGCATGGAGACTTTTGTGCTCAGTGAAACCTTCAAATACTTGTATTTGATATTTGATGTCGATAATGAACTGCATACGGATTCCAGTAATGTCGTATTTAGTACTGAAGCTCACCCAATGTGGCTTAGAAGCTCGGATTTCGAATCATATCGTTCTCAAAAACAATTTAACGATACCCTGTATCGCGATCATTTAACTCATTGTCGGCACAGAGACGTCGCCGCTCGAAAATCCAGTCTCGATCAGTTTTTCGAGGGCATCTCTCGCTACGTCTTCCACAGATCCGAACAGCCTCGCATCAACTCAAGTTTGGAATTTGAGACAGATGCTGACTTAGTTTCTATGGATCAGGCATCCTGTACAATATCCGCGAGTAACGATATTCGTTCAGAATTTTCTTACTCCCATATGCTAAGCGAATTCGATCGTCTCTTTGAGGTCGACCATTTATTCGCCGAGACGCTACGTAAGCCAACTAGATTTTTGGATCGTGGCCCGATGGAGTTAGAACCTGATTTCTACAGGCTATGGTGTCGGAATTCCAAAAGAAACCCCAAATGTCGTGTTCTGCCAACAACGGAATCTTTCGAAGTAATATTTGAATTGGATAGCAGTTTCGCCAAGAGACGAGTGCCGCTTAATCGATATTCGAGTCTGGCCAATTTGACAATTGCAAACTTGGCCGGCATACGGATGCAAATAGAGACTCTGTATGACGGCGCAATTGATATTTATGGTGAGCTAGTCGAAGCCCAAAATATCGCGCACGTTCCGCGAGAAAACGTGTATGGTGCAATGACGTGTCCTGCAACCGTCACTGGCGCGGTGCGTTCGAGCGTCATGGTTCCGACAATATATCGTGCAACAGCTGTGGATGGTGTTCCACTTGCGTTGAATGCTACTGTGCGCATCAGCTCACTACCGAGCTTTGGGAAGGCACTTACTGGTATTCTCGGGGTAAACAGCGATAACATGCTGCTGTTGGATGATGTTCCGGTGATGAACGTGATTTTTGCAGTTTAATGTTTGAGTATTCTAACGTGAGAGAGCGTTTAGTCGCTTGACGCTGGCATCAATGCCTGTGCTAAACCCGCCGCTAGCCTCTCAACTCAAAAGTTTTTGAGCCATTAGGAAGCAAACGTAAACCCAGCTTTGACAAATGCCGAACGCCGGTCGTGAGCACCATCGCAGCGGCCGCCAATAGCTTATAAAACAAAGTACGATGCCCATGTCACTTTGTACTATAATGACACTTGATGGATTCCATCATTTGCTAGCGTTCCATACTCGAGAAAGTTCCAACTGTCCCATTTTGTGCTACGACTCGTTATTGCTAGAGCCCCGTCTCTGACCGTTTTGCCCGGCAAACGACGACAAGGAGTCACTAATACTTCTTTCGTGCTTTACCAGCTCACATTGTAATTACACTGCAGCACTCTCAAAGCATGCTTGTTAACTCGAGCTTCGAAATATTATGACTTGCTAGCCCTGTGATTTGCAATGCTTCGCTATCACTCGCTTCTCCGCTCTTCGTGTCTTAGCTTATCGAGAAGTATTAAAACTGATATATCTTTGTCAATATCTTTCGCTCATAACTATTTAAAAGTCCTCCAAACGTCCAATTATTACAGCACTAACTGCTGACGCGTTCACCTGTTTTGCACTATTTATACCATCAACTACTGTTATCATCCCTCTTGCCATTGTCACAACGGTCGTGCGCATTGATTTGCTTTTTTTCCTTCAGTTATATTCTTTCCCCTATCAATATTAAAATTGTTAAAAGTAACTGGGGGGTAAGAATTAGAGATTGTAACTGAAAATTTTAAATCAACAAAATCATCCTACAGAGTCGTGGGATATCTTGCTTAGAGGTTTGAAAGGCTAGCGAAAGTGTACTGAGCGTCTTTGAAAAGGTTAGATTTGATTGTTCTAGCAGTTGAGTCACAGGCCGTGGTTTGAAATCACATCGCATCGCATCGCAGCTTACAGACAAGAAGCATTTCCAGCATTTGCAGCAGAATAGGCTTTTGATATCTGTGCTAGGAAGAAGAAACGAACAGTCGCTTATCGTGTATCTCCTTCTCTCTCGGACAAGGCTCGAGGAAAAGATACCAGCCGCAAGGATCAGAATAAAGTAAAGCTCTCGCATTTGATAGATTATACACAAGCGCAGCAGCAGCAGCAACAGCAACATATCACAGCATAGTATCACGCCAAGATGATGAACTTTTTTGGCACCAAGGGTTTTGGAGCCCAGCAACAGGATCAAGCTGCGTCGTCGCAAGGCGCGCAGAACCAGGCGGGTCTGCAGTTCCAACCGCAGCAACTACAGCAGCAGCAACTACAACAATTGCAACTACAGCAGCAGCAGCAGCAGCAGGACCCCGAAAAGGCAAGGCTCGCCTCCAATGGGCTTTTCCCAAACTTCACCTCCCAGACGGCAACTCCCACCACCGCCGTGTGCGACAACTCCTACGCCATGGGGACCACGGGTTTGGCCTCCAACCAACCCGAAAACGCTTTGACTCAGATGAAGTCCATGAGTTGCCACTCTGACCTGCATCTGCAGGCGTCTAAAAATCAAGATCAACAATATTCGCATTTGGCACCCCCATCGGCAGTCAATCCCAACTTTAGTTCCCAGCTATCGCAGCAGGCTAGCCAGCTGGTACCTTCGACAGAATCGTCGAACGGAAGCACTGAAGAAGAACGCGATGCCCTTGCCAAATTGGAATCAGAAACTCCAGAAACTGGAATCCCAAGAGGCAGATTAGAAGTCACCATAGCGGAGGCTCGTGGGCTACTAACTCGGTCCAACCAATCGCTACCGTACGTGGTTTGCACTTTCGAAAGCTCGGAGTTCATCTCCGATGGGCCTGAGTCTATGGATAACAAACCTATTGCCCAGAATGGCCACAGCGGTTGGGGTAACGAGCTTCCAGTGAATGCTGAGAAGAACAAAAAATCACTCTATACCCGTCAATCTTCCTCTCAACTGGATAAACTTAATTCGCAAAATATGGCACCTAATAATAATTGTGCCGATCCTATTTGGCATCATGAAACCACTTTCGACGTCTTGGGAGCTCATTCCGAGCTTGATATATCTGTTTATGATGCAGCGCATGACGATATGTTTTTGGGACAGGTTCGTCTGCGTCCTAATTTGAACACATCTTCTCACTCTACAAACGAGCAATGCTATAAGTTACAGAGCAGAATAATAGGTGAAAGTGTCGCTGGTTATATTCTAGTCAAATGGAACTATAAAACAACCAAAAAACGCCACTATGGTCCTCAGGATTTCGAGGTCTTGAGGCTCTTGGGCAAGGGAACTTTTGGTCAAGTTTATCAAGTGCGCAAGAAGGATACTAAGAGAATCTACGCCATGAAAGTTCTCTCCAAGAAAGTAATCGTGAAGAAAAATGAAATTGCACATACAATTGGCGAAAGAAACATTCTGGTTCGTACTGCATCGAAACTCTGTCCCTTTATTGTCGGACTCAAATTTTCCTTCCAAACTTTAGCTGATCTCTACTTGGTCACGGACTTTATGAGCGGAGGTGAACTTTTTTGGCATCTTCAGAAAGAAGGTAGATTTACTGAAGATCGCGCGAAGTTTTACATCGCCGAACTGGTACTTGCGTTAGAGTATTTGCACGAAAATGACATTGTATATCGTGACTTGAAGCCTGAAAACATCCTGCTTGACGCGAACGGGAACATTGCCCTGTGTGATTTCGGTTTGTCGAAGGCTGACCTAAAAGATCGTACCAACACTTTCTGCGGGACCACCGAATACTTGGCGCCAGAACTTTTATTAGATGAGAGTGGATACACTAAGATGGTCGATTTTTGGTCACTAGGCGTTCTGATCTTTGAAATGTGCTGCGGATGGTCTCCATTCTTCGCTGAAGACAACCAAAAGATGTATCAAAAGATTGCCTTCGGCAAAGTCAAATTTCCGCGCGATGTATTGTCGCCCGAGGGCCGCTCTTTCGTCAAGGGACTTTTAAATCGGAACCCAAGGCACCGTTTGGGAGCAATCGATGACGGGAGAGAGCTAAGGGCCCATCCGTTTTTCGCAGATATCGACTGGGAAGCACTGCGGCTAAAGAAGATTCCTCCTCCATTCAAGCCGCACCTCCAAGGTGAAACTGATACCTCGAATTTCGATCCCGAGTTCACGCAAACGTCCACCTCTTACATGAACAAGCAGATCATTGCCGCGACACCGTTGTCACCGGCAATGCAGGCCAAATTCGCTGGATTCACTTTTGTGGATGAGTCCGCGATGGACGATCATTATAATACCAACTACAACAACCGCAAGTTCTTACAGAATTCTTATTTCATGGCACCTGGTTCTTTTATTCCGGGGAATCCGAACCTGCCCGCGGACGAAGACGTAATCGACGATGGAAACGATCGAGACGTAGACCTGGACCCGGGCAAGGCGACCAGTGTACACGAGCAAGTAGACTACGAGGGTGACCACCACATGGACGATGAATTTGTTAGCGGTCGGTTCGAAATTTGATGGGTGCGTTTTCGACGAAACACTCAGCGGTAGGAGGCGGCAACAGCTGCAAAAGAACATTCCGCAAGCTATAAACTCTCTACCAATAAGCTACAGACTAGTTCGGCCGTCCAGACTCTGTGACAGAATATATAGATCTATAACAGCCTCTCTTACACATTGCCAAGCCCAGGTCATGTGACCTAAATTAGCCTCTTTGACGCTCATATATCAGGAATTTGACATAATACATCAATAACCTCAGCTTTTGAAAGTAAACGCCTTAAAAAGCTTTCTATCGCCGATTCAAGAAGAGCGGTTGGCTAAGTTAGGTAGTGGGAACTCGGCTGTAGTGATTCTTCGGTTATACATCCCTATAATCACGGATATCCAGCGTTTCCTTTTACCATTGAAATTACGACTAAACACAGTAACGGGAAAGAAAGTTTATTGCAAGTGCATTTCTTGCCAGCTGCAGAAAGCTGAACTACCATGGATGCTAGTGAAGACAATTTACCGGGCTCTAACGGCAACGACACTTTTGGGATATCCCGGTCGGGTCAGAAATCTGGTTCTAACGACTTTGTACGCAAGCTCTTCAAGATCTTGGAAGGCGGCCAATACACTCACATCGTACAATGGACTGAGGATGGGGATAGTTTTGTTGTTTTGGATACGAATGCATTCACGACTCAGATTCTACCGCAGCATTTCAAACACTCGAACTTTTCCAGTTTTGTGCGGCAGTTGAACAAGTACGATTTCCACAAGATCAAGCGAACTACTGAGGAAAAGCAGAACTCGCAATATGGTGAACACAGCTGGGAGTTCAAGCACCCGCACTTCAAGATACATGACGAAGAACAGCTCGATAACATAAAGAGGAAATCAGCAATGCAGAAAAAATTCTTACTGTATGAAAATACCGTTTTACTGAAGCAAAATGCAGAGAACGGAGTAGTTGTGGACTCGGCAGCCGATATGATATTCAACAATACTGTGAGTAAATCTAAGTTTCATCAGCTAAAGCGGAAAGTCGAAGCTCTGGATCAAGAAGTAAATTACCTGAAAAACGAAAATTACGAATTGAAATTGGGTCACCAGAAGTCTCAGTCCAAATACAACACACTTTTGGATAACCTTATATCGACAAAAGAGTTTAGCAACGTCCTGGTCACAAATTTTAACGTTCTTGTCAACAGTTTAACCTCCCAAGGTTTAGAAATTCCTGCTAACTTAACATTTAACGCTACAATGCCCACGACGCATACGGTGAAAAGTACTCAGTCACCACAGATGAGCTCTGCGGTTCCCACACTGCCGGTTCGAAAATCATCAAACATTGACTCGGGCCCGCCATCCACTACGCCACACATGATTTTAGATCACCCAATATTACGGCCGGGATTTAATGTGCTTCTGGTAGAAGATGATTCTATCTGCATTCAGCTATGCTCCAAATTTCTGATGAAGTATGGTTGTACCGTGGAAGTTGTAACAGATGGATTGGCGGCCATTTCAACACTAGAAAAGTTTCGCTATGACTTGGTATTGATGGACATTGTTATGCCTAATCTGGACGGTGCTACTGCGACATCTATAGTCAGAAGTTTTGACAACCACACCCCAATCATCGCAATGACAGGAAATATAGAAGATCAAGACTTGGTAACCTATCTACAGCATGGCATGAATGACATTCTGGCAAAACCATTTACTAAAGACGATTTGCATTCGATGCTTATAAGATATTTGCGAAACCGAGTACCTCTCTCGGAACAAAGATCAGAATTGTCCTCAAAGACTCCTCCATCACCCCCCCTACCGCATAGCAGCGATGTTTCAAATCTAACTCGCGAAGAACCTCCAATCAAAAAACAACACGTATAGGCTATCATCAGGAATGTTGGCCTTTGATATTATAATAATGAAAATACAGTATGCTGGTAAATGTTTATAAATGTCTAATCGAACTTACTTAAATCTAATGGTTTTCAGAGGTGAACCTAAATTACTCCTCCACCGCAGCCATTACTCTGTCATCAAACCTTACCGATTTGCGTCTTCTCCCAAACTCCAAATCATCAGGCACCTCTAAATCGAACTCCTGTCCATTTTTTAAAAGTTCGGACAGGTCGGGTTTTGATGCCTTCAGTGAGGACTTTCTTCTAGTAACCTTTATTCCTGGCAAATCTAGTTTAGGGCCGAAAGTTGATCCTGCCTTGTTGCGTGCAGCAAGCTCTTTGTGACACCGAGAACAATTACACAAAAACCCCCAATTTACTAAGAGTTCTCGACGCCTCAACGTAACACCGTGCAGTGGATTAACATACGTAGTGAACAGTTCTTCACCTTTTTTGATGTCCTTTCTGGCAAATACTTTCAAGCCCTTCTTACCATCTACTTCGTACCGCACATTGGGTTCGCATTTGTGATTTAAATGCGAATAGATGGTGTATATTTGGCCGTCAAGTTGATTTATGTTAAATTTACCAATGTAAGTCAAAAAGGTCTCTAGATTCAAGCCTTCCTCTTCTTCGACATTGGGAAATGCACTGCAAAAAGATTCAAATACATTACTCCACAGAGATCTGTCTTCTGAAGAAACTGCACCCATAGCTCTATCAAAAGTACCCCCAATATTAGTGGAGTCCGCAGACTTAGTTCGTAATGTTTGACTCACTTGCGCGAGAGATTCAAACTGTTCTCGGATGCGATCACTGTCATGCTTATCGAGTATGATTCGTGCGTATATAATCCCAATTGAATACGCCGCATGCATAGCGTTTTCTTTGCACATTTTTTCGAAATCTAACCATCCAGTTGCAGAAACTTGCTTGCTCTTGGAAGTTGGATGCTTGAGAAAGCTGTGTGTGGCGGCTTCAAGGCGTTTGCAATGCTTAGAGCACCAAACGGCAGAGCAGAACTGGCAATCGAGCAAATTTTTCATGGTAAACTGCGAGCTTTGGGTGAGCAATGTTCCGCACAAGGAACAGGATCTGCCGATTTCGGCAAGAGACGTTTTGTCTAGTGGCAATATAGGTGTTAGAGCTTCATGTTCGTAAAAGATAATTTCATCACGTCGCAGGTCTTTGCGCGCGAAAGCTGACCATCCACGAGGTTGAGTCTCAAGCAATTCGAGTTTTTCCAAACTCTTGGGATCGATAAACGGGCACTGTGCACTTACCACTTGGTCAGCATACGTGAAAAGCTTAGATTCGTCCGAGAACGATAAGTTGTGATCTATAAGTGTTTGCTTGAGCTTGCTCTCGGACAAGTCCCAACTGGGGTTTCTGTGGACGACTTTTTCTAGCAATTCCACGAGCCCTAAGTCTTCGGTGGCTGGTTCCTGTCTCCATAGCAGGACCACATCGTCGCAGATTTGTTTATCCGTCGGTACCGCTTTAGTCTCTTCTAAGCCCTCTATACTTCGAGAAGCATCGTTGAGATGCAATTGCTCCAGTTTAATAGGCATCGTAGCCTGGTTATTGGTCTGCGTAAAGTGAGAAACCCATGGAAGGTTTATTATATTTGTTCGTAAAATCAAAAAGCATGAATCTTGAACTAAAAAAAGTACCTGCTGGTGAAAGAAAAGCCTTGAAATTGTGAACAAAAAATAGCTCGCTAGTAAGCTAATAGTATCGATCACAGAGATAGTCTTGAACCTCTCCTCAGATAGCTGGAAACATGAGAAAAGTGCCATATCATTGTTGACGATAGTGTTTTATTTCACTCATTGTCATATCACATATGATATCCTGGGCATGTCAGTAGTACGTCAGAATTCACATCTGAGAAATACTGCCAAGTGATGTTCAGAGCTGGTTTGAAAGCTGGGCTAAGAGCCTACTCCAACCAAACGAAACGCTTTGTGACAAATCGTCCAAGCCGGTCAAACAAATGGGTTCCCTGGGCTATTTTCGGTACGAGTTTCGGACTGGGATGGTTTGTAACTCAGCATATGACATTTGCGGACCTGCTGGCTAAATACATGTTTGATAACGTGCCAGAGAATGACGAAGGATTGATGAAGTACAAAGCACAGATGCAGCAACGTTTGGAGAATTTAAGTGTAGTGAAACAATTGAAGCAAGTGGGATACACAGAAGTTTTCTCGCAGAGAAAGAAGAATAACACACTGATAGACAAGACTTTACAGGTACCAGGTGGCATTACTATCCCACCAAGGTTCTTTTACAACCCCAAGACGAAGGAAACCGTGGGCATATACCACCTCGGGATGAAACTAACGGGGTACCCTTTTTTGGTTCACGGTGGAGTTTTGGCTACAGTGATGGAGGATCTAATGCGGGAATCTGTAATGTTCGCACAGGGTGCGAAGTCCGAGAAGACACAAGATCTGACGCTCAATTACAAGTTTCCCACTTTCGCCAATCAGTTTGTCGTTGTGAGGATTACTCAAGTTGAAGAAAACGGTAAGAACGTGAAACTGCATGCTGAACTTATGGACCAGAGTGGTGATCGTACCCTCGTGAAAGGAACAGGTCGCTTCAAAACCTGAGATGTAGATTTTGATTAGCAAAATTTCATGCCGATATATTTATCAAAGAAACTTCTTGTCGTCGTCATACGTAGAGACAATCACCATCTGCTACTTATTATTATGCGTTCTTTGTATTACTGAACCAATGGACAGTTCCATCGCCGCATATAATACAATCCATGTGGTGATCATGAGCCTCAGTTGGAACTTGAGGAACAATTTGTTCTTGTAAAGCGAGTCCTATTAGCAGAGGACGCTTCCCATGTCTGTGCGAAGTGCGGTGAATGTAGTCGTCGTAAAAACCAGCACCATGACCCATTCTTGCGCCCCCGGTGAGACTGAAAGCCACTCCAGGAACAAGAACAACATCAAGATTAGGAGGATGTGGGTGAGGTTCTTGCACTGGCGGTTCGCGTAGTTGATATTTCCCCTGCGGTTCAAGAGCCTCAACATGTGCGAGGCTTTGCATCTCATGGAATGTCAGATGTGGATGTGAATTGACGCCTGGCCTAAGCACTTGATGACCGCTGATCTGAGTGTTGGTGCATCTTGGCAGATATACATGCTTATGGGCATCGAAAAGATATTTTATTATAGGCAGGGTTCGTACTTCGCCGCGACCCATATCCATAAAGCACGCAACTGACGATTGACCATCAATGACGGATTTCAAAGCATTAAGAATAAGCTTTGATTGGTGGTCAAGAGTAGACTGTGGTATTTGACGGATATAGGCTTTGATTTGAGACCGAAGAATCGATTTTGGGGTAGGCATGGTTCGGAAAAGAGTCAAGCGAAGGTATCGAAGTCGTAGTGCTTTGATGACGGCTATTTCTTGTGACTGCAATTTCTGAGCTAGGATCCGCGAACTATCATAGTTGAAGGTTTTCGCACTTTTGAATTTTCATCGTAATATCAAAATAGAGTCTAGTGATGGAAATATAGAAATAGAGAGGACAGCTAAATCAAAGACAAATCAGAAAGCTGCATTGACAATTGAAACTGACCTTCGCAACAGTTCCGTATTTATGAGCTATTGGAATTTATGAAGTTCAACTGACTGGACTTGGCCATTGCAGTGGCACCAGCAAACTCTAGATGAGAAGGGACTATCCCAGTACGAAGTCGTAGTAGCATAGATGCCTAAGGCCTCTATAAAATTTACCTGGATGCCATGAGATGTTGAATTTTAGAATCTCCGTTTTCAGATGGTACTGCAATGGGCGCACCTGATATGGGAGGCTACATGCGCAAATACTAAAGGAATGGCATGTTACCACAATGCTAATTCTGCAGAATCGATCACGGAAGTTAAAAAGCTTCACTAATAGAGCGCAAAAGCTTTAGAGTAGTTTCCTATCTTGTCTGTATAGTCATCTTCTTACCAAGATGCTCTCGTGCTCTGAAATTGGAACGGCTATTGCAAATACCGCTGCGGCTGCCATCTACCCATCTCTCTACTCGAGTCTCTACCCGTTTTATATACGAAAATATGACTAAAATCTCACAGAGGCATACTTTTGCCTGCATAGCGTCCGAATTGGCCATGTTAAGCTTGCTGTGGTTGCCATCTCGAGGGCCCTTGAGAACGCCAGGTTTTGTTCTAAGTACGATTGGTTGTTTTTCTTGGAGCGCCTTCGGTAGGGCTTTCTGGAGTTCTTTCTAATTATTTAGAGACAGGAGTGGACATCGCTATGGCCATAGAGGTCTGGTTGATCTCTGTGGCCTGAAGCGATGCTACAATAGAAGAGTGCATCAACTGGAAACAATGCGCAACAGTAAAAGTGGCCTAATGCGATGCTGCAGTAGGAGACTGCGTCAATTGGAAACACGCAATTGTAAAAGTACTTGTGATAGCGCAATTAATTTCAAGTGCCACTGAGGAAGAGTGGATGCGCACTACTCGCATTGTTCGACATAACTACACTCGCCATTTTTTTTGAGACCTGGCCTGATCAAGCTTCTTCGGCATGTCGGGACTGCCCGAACTCCGGAAATTCACCTAGCACGCCCCAGCTCGTCCTACAGCCTTCCCAATGCTGGTCGCTCGCTGTCTTGCGCGCTTTCTTTTACGGCCCGGTACCGGCATTCAATTATTCAAACTTTTCGCCGGTACCGGCGTCTGGTGAAAAATTGTCTGATACGCTCATCGACTCATTAGAGCGTGCAGAAAGCATACGGTGCAATTGAGTTTAGGCCCTATCTGGTGAGCAAAAAGTCTCTTACTACAGTTTTCTTTTAGGTTGGCTTGAGTTGATCAGATTCAGTCACATCGCAACGAATTTAGTCACTTTTTGGTTTCGGAATATATCTCATTTCGTCTACTCAATAATACACTAGTGCATTAGAGGTGTATATATTAGCAGAAATTAGTGCATAGATAGATCGCACCATCGTTTCAAAGTGAAACAAGACTGGAGTTTGAGACTTAGTATCTAGACTACGAACGATCGCACCACGCAATGCTAAGAGGAACAAGTCAGCTCAGGCTGTCTAGCAGACTGTTCAGCAGTTGTGCTGTGAGAAAGATGATCGCACCATTGGATGCCAGCAAAGTGCAAATCAACAAGACAAAGAGCCCTTCGAAACCCAAGTCGAACAACGAACTGGAGTTCGGCAAGACGTTCACAGACCACATGCTAACCGTGGAATGGACGGAGAAAAACGGCTGGGGCACTCCAGAAATCAAGCCATACGGAAACCTCAGTCTGGACCCTTCATGCTCAGTGTTCCACTACGGATTCGAGCTGTTCGAGGGCCTCAAAGCGTACAGAACTCCGGACAACCAGATCACCATGTTCAGACCCGACAAGAACATGGAGCGTCTCAACAAATCGGCCGCCCGCATCTGTCTTCCCACCGTGAACGGCGAAGAAGTCATCAAGCTCATGGGCAAGCTCATCGAACAGGACAAGTACTTGGTGCCAGAAGGGCAGGGCTACGCTCTCTACCTGAGACCCACCATGATCGGAACCACGCCAGCGCTAGGAGTCTCTGCCCCAGACAGAGCGTTACTATTTGTCATTGCCTCTCCCGTGGGACCTTACTACAAGACCGGCTTCAAAGCCGTGCGACTAGAGGCCACCGATTACGCCACAAGAGCTTGGCCCGGTGGGTGTGGTGACAAGAAGCTTGGTGCTAACTACGCGCCATGCGTCTTGCCGCAAAAACAGGCCGCCGAAAGAGGCTACCAGCAGAACCTGTGGCTGTTCGGACCTGAGAAATACATCACCGAGGTTGGTACCATGAATGTCTTCTTTGTTTTCAAGGATTCTAAGACCGGCAAGAAAGAGTTGGTCACCGCGCCATTGGATGGTACCATCTTGGAAGGTGTCACCAGAGACTCTATCTTGTCTTTGGCCAGAGAAAAGCTAAGTTCCGACGAATGGACCATCTCCGAACGTTATTTCAGCATCACGGAAGTAGCCGAAAAAGCTGCCAAGGGGGAATTAGTCGAGGCCTTCGGTGCTGGTACCGCAGCCGTCGTTTCTCCAATTAAAGAAATTGGCTGGGGCGAAAAGGACATCCACGTCCCATTGCAACCTGGTAAGCAAAGCGGTGCTTTGACCGAAGACATTGCCAAGTGGATTGCCGACATCCAGTACGGTAAGGAAAAGCGTGGTAACTGGTCTCGCGTGGTGGCCTGAAGCGAATGCTGCTAGCCACACATCGCAAGCAGGTTGCGAAAAGTGTTTCGGTTCAGAAGACGAAGTAAATACTAAATAAAATCATCTCTAGAAAGTTCCAATGCTAAAGGTTTTTGATGATTGGCGAACTCGCCCCGAGCGAGCCCACGATCGCAACAGATGATCATTATATATTTCAATTACAACATTTTGAGAATCTCTGGTGTGTGAACTTGCAATGGCCTGGCCTGGCTCGTCCGATGGCAGATTTCTACAAGCTTAGTAGTGTGATATAAGATTTGTTGAGGCGTATTTGCGTCAGTAGCAGTAGGCTTGCTGAACTGGTCATCTAAGTCGTTCACGGTGCATCTAATTAAATCGTATAAGAAGTTCGGATTCTACTTATTTCTCCGTTGTAATCCTATTCTAAGTTGCTTCAATATGCCATTGACATTATCTAGCAATAAGACCGGGATCCTGATAAGAATGTTGTATTCGTAGCGCAGGTAATGCTCCCTGCCCAACATTACCTTTATTTGGTCGGGCTATACAATCTAATAATTCTTACAAGGTTAACTTCGTAACCTGAAACTTAGCATTTAGGAAAAAAATCGATACGCCATAAAGTAGTAACGATGGCTGATTAGCGAGGCTAGCTACGATCCTAGATGTGTTTCGTGGGCTTGCATGAGATCTGTGCTGAGTTGGCGATCGACAAAACGAGCCGCGCAATACTACATGGCAAGAATTCAGTATCTGGAATCGACATATGATAGAGGAGCGGCAGTTTGTGAATAATGTAGGAGCGGAACGCGTGATGACGACACGTTTCTGCCAACGGAAGTAAGCAGAGGACACCTCGGGCCATCAACCCAACATTACAATCACAATTTCGGTCCTTGGCAGTCGTTTATCCCGCTTACAATCCTCGCGTCAACCGCTTGAGCCTCGGGCGGATCGAGAAACTGTTTCCAACAGCACTGTGTCCAAACTCGCGTACTGGAAGATGCTACTTTCAATCACATAGACAGGCACGAATTTCGGCAAGCGTGGATTTTGAGCTTGATCTGACGAACCATCTCGCTATCAATTGTGGGTAAACAACAACCATGTGGCTCCAAACGCAGCCAGAGATTCCTCTGCGCGTACCCAGATAAGACGATCTACACGCAGTTAAGTTATCCTCCGAATCGCGTGCGCGGTTGTTGGCGCGAACACAGAGTGCTCTATACGCAGTTAAGCTCTCTTCCGTCCCAGCTAAGACGCATTACCCATTTTGGGTCGGATGGATGCGGATCTTTTGCCGGGGTTTACCAATTCGCATGCACGGTGTGCTCCTTCTTTCGCCTCATCCGGCAAGAACCTGGTCAACAGCTCGTCTCGTACCTCGTACGGAAACGCAACCTTCATGTTCGTGCCGAGGACAAACTGAGATAAAGTCCAAAGCACACATTGAAATGACTGAACGAGACAGCTGCAGCCTCGAAACTCCGACGTGCTCGACAGCATCTGCACGTCCTGTGCCGAATGCAGCAAAAACTTCCAAAGACCTTGCCTTGTCTCTTAACTGCATTCTGACGCTTAGAAAATCTTTTTCTCAGAAGGACACATGCGGCGAAACCACCGTAGGCAATAGGGTAACAACGAAGCTACCTTCTACGCGCATACACACCGGCTTTAGTCCCCACAAGGTCGACCTCTCGGCTCCCACTATGCGCTCGCTACGCATCGGGAGTGTGTCCAAGAACCCTCTAAATAGAAAACCCACGAAAACATTTGCTCCTGCAGATTCGTTGTAGGAAAATCATCGTGTCCGCGCTATTACCCAGGCAATACTAAGCTACTCAATGTAGCCCACTTCTGGAATAGCAGCCTGCCAATTAGTATTTTCGCTCGCGGCCATCTAAAATGAACCGTCTGAGATCGCCTGTGTAGAGGTCAGAACGTGAGGATTTTAGTGACAACATATTCATGCATGGACTCATGCATGAACGCTGAGGTAATCGTGCCCTCGAGCTTACGACGTCTCGAAAGCGAACTGGAAAGATTTCAAGTCGATGAGAAGCGGAAAGCATAGCGTCGCATGCCAGCCTTCTCCTAAGTTGGCGAGCTACTAACATTTAAAAGCAGGGAGTATCGTGGGTCGAAATTCGCAATTTTTTCTTCAAAACCATTTCCTCTCTTCGCTGTTCAAAACCATTTCCTCTCTTCGCTGTTCAAAACATCACCGATGTTAGCTCTCCATCCACTGGTAGTGCTTCTGACGCTGCTTCGAGTAGTATGGACTGCAGGTACGAGTGTCAACCAGGGTGCCATCAACGGGTGTAAACCCGATCAGGTTTACTCTGGGTTTTCGATCACTTATTACAGTATGCCGATTCGAGTCGGCAGTTCGCCATGTTACGACCCCAACTACTCCAGTCCCGCTTACCTTCGGGAGGGTTACGAGACGTACGGGTCTGGTAAGCAAGGCTCGAGCTCTGCGGTCACCAATCTTACTTTTGATGCTCCTCGTGTGGGTGCTTCCTGCGCCATTGTGTCAAGTTATCTGCCTTCGAATTATAACTACGATTCTGCTCTATCTCTCACCAACTTCTCCATGTTGGTAACCGGTTACTTTCTACCTGCTGTGACAGGCCAATATACGTTGAATCTGAAATACGTCGATGATCTCGCGTACATCAATGTAGGTGCAGGTAATGCTTTCAATTGTTGTCAAGTCGGTGAGTCCGTGGCAAATCCCGGTGATTTCACGCTATTTGCCCAATGGCCTCAGACTTCTAACAAAATTAATCTCGACCTTGTTGGGGGCATCTATTACCCCATCCGTTTGTTCTTTGTTAACCGAAACGGTGCCGGTGGTCTTAAATTCAATTTCATTGATCCTGCAGGTGTTGAACATGATGATTGGAGCAAATTCATTTACTCTGTCGCGGATGGCGAACGATGCGATGTTCCGCCTTCTTACACCACAGCCTTCTGGTCACAAACTTACACTTCCTCCAGAACCGTTGTTTCCACTTACACCGACACTGATGGTAATCCAACGACCGGAAATGTTGTTGTAGAAGAGATACCCTACACCTATACCTCCACCACTACTTCTGTACAGCCATATTCGGGGTCCGTGACTTCCACGTACTCTTCAGATCTCTATACTACCACTGGAACCGACGGGTTTGCTACTGTGAACACCTTGTATTACGTCGAGACTCCTAGAGTAGATCGGTCCTCTGACACCACTTCTCCTTGGAGCGGTTCAGCGACGTCGACATACTCTACCGACTATTCCACTAATACCGGTCCTGACGGCATCGAAACTGTCGACACGCTATACATTGTCGGAACTCCAACTCCAGCAGTAACTAAAACTACAGCTTCCGGCTGGACAGGATCTTTCACCTCTACTGTCTCTACCGGTGTGACCACTTTCACTGGTTCTGATGGTATCCCAACCACCGAGACCGTGTACTATGTTGAGACTCCTGAGGGCAAGATCGAATCAACCACAGCTTCCGGCTGGACTGGATCTTTCACCTCCACTGTCTCTACCGGTGTGACCACTTTCACTGGCTCTGATGGTATTCCAACCACCGAGACTGTATACTATGTTGAGACTCCTGCGAGATATTCCACTGCTACTGAATACGAGGCATGGCCACAAGAAGGCACATCTACCTTCAGTACCGAGGTCAGTACCTCAACGGGTGAAGATGGCCTACCAACCATTGAGACTGTGTACTCCGTTTACACACCTGAAGGTGTTGAATTTGTCCTGACCGAAACTACCTCTTATACTCAATGGACCGGTTCTGAGACTCTAACTTACTCGACCGCGGAGACTACATATGGAGGTAGCGACGGATTAACAACCGTTGAAACTGTTTACTACGTCGAGACTCCAGCTCTTGCTTCGACTTCTTACACCGGATGGACTGGATCTTTCACCTCTACAGTCTCTACAGGTGTGAGCACTTTCACTGGTTCTGACGGTATTCCAACCACCGAGACTGTGTACTACGTTGAGACTCCTGAGGGCAAGATCGAATCCACTACAGCTTCTGGCTGGACAGGATCTTTCACCTCTACTGTCTCTACCGGTGTGACCACTTTCACTGGCTCTGATGGTATTCCAACCACCGAGACCGTGTACTATGTTGAGGCTCCTGAGGGCAAGATCGAATCCACTACAGCTTCTGGCTGGACAGGATCTTTCACCTCTACTGTCTCTACCGGTGTGACCACTTTCACTGGCTCTGATGGTATCCCAACCACCGAGACCGTGTACTATGTTGAGACTCCTGAGGGCAAGATCGAATCAACCACAGCTTCCGGCTGGACTGGATCTTTCACCTCTACTGTCTCTACCGGTGTAACCACTTTCACTGGCTCTGATGGCATCCCAACCACCGAAACTGTATACTATGTTGAGACACCAACAGGCGATTCGACAGGCGATTCGACTTCTTACACTGAATGGACTGGCTCCTTCACAAATACCTATTTTACCGAGACGACAACGTTTACCGGGTCCGATGACATTCCAACTGTTCGTTCAGTGTTCTTCGTTGAAACGCCAGCCGATTCTTCGACCTCTTACATTGGATGGACTGGCTCTTACACATCGACTGTTGCAACCGATGTGACAACT